AATCCTCATACGCCTCGCTAAAGAGACACGCCAAGACTCAATCCCTATCCACTGCTCAGTCACAATGGCAGAAGGTGGCACCACAGAGTTATCAAGATCTAGAAATAACTACTTCTCCTAAGCGCCCTGGGGAGCTTCAACTCAACCGACTTGACCTTGGCCGTATTATTGCGGCCCATACTGGTCATGGAGACTTTGCAGACTACCATGAACGCTTTAATCATGATGATGCTTATCTTCTCTGTCGGTGTAGAACACGAAAAGCACCTCTACATTTCTTCTTCTGCCATATAGCTAAGAGACGAGCTCCTCGTCCACCTGGACCCCCTTCTGAAGTTATCTCTTTTCTTTTAGGTACTGCGAAAGGAACACGAAAACTAGCCTCATGGCTAGCAGAGACCCGTTTCTTTGAGGATATCTGTCCTCGCCAACCTCTCCTTAGCACCTAGCTAAGTCAGCCCTACTTCCCCCTTATATCTCTCTTTTCCTTCGTTCTTTCTTTCTTTCTTTCCTTCTTTCCTTCTTCCCTTTTTCTTTTCAAACTCACTGCTTAAGTATGATAGTGGTAGAATGATGGGTCATGGAGCGTAGGTGGACCATTGCAGCTGGCAAATACCCAAAACCCACTAGGAAGTGGATCTCCCTTTAAGACCACGGCAGCTATGGAAATGCGCCAAAGAGTCTCTTATCTGTATATAAATCTGATAGGACCTGAAGCCCGAGGCTTAACCCTCGGCGGCCTATGTCCCAGTAGGGATCGGTGGGAAGCGTGCAAGTCACGAACCACGGCCGTTAAATATATACACACACACACACACACCCTCGTTCTTGGGGACAAGTCACAATATTAGGAATCAAGATATCTTCATATTGTCAGGCTCATTAGGCCGCTTCGTGTTCGCGCCTTACTACCGTCTATGCTTCGTGATACGGACCGTAGTTAAACCAACAGTATACTTCTTTACGATAGGGAATACTGGAGCAGGAGTAGAGATTCAAATTGAAAAGCTAGAAAAAAAGACTTAGAAGCATGAAAACAACGATAATCCCCCCCTAATTCCCCCCCAAACACCCCCAAAAACCCGCCGGAAACCGAAACCTATGTAAAGTCAGTATATAGATGTTATACAGTAGTTCGGGTCTGATTACTCACTTGAACAGAGCGGAGTGACGATAGAAATATTATCGAGGAAGAAAGAAAGCCTTGGCTTCGAAGATCCTAAGAGATTTGTTAGTAAAATAGTAGTTAAAGTGTTGTAAAGGAGGAAAAGAGTACTTACTTGACGCCTCGATTGAGATTGATCCCTCAATTCTTTGACGACGGCGACGATATCCTTGATGGTGATGAGGACCAAGGCCTCCAGGACGTTGTTGAGGATGGAGCCGGCGCCGCCGAAGGAGCCGGGCATGGCCCCGAAAGAGAATTTGATCGTGCTGAGCGTGGTGGGTGGTGATGGTAATGGTGGTAGCGGCGGCGGTAGCAGGTAGTAAGCAGGTAGGCAGATTTTCGGTAGTGGGAGTGGTGTGTAGGAAGGAGAAAAAGGAGGAGAGTTTTGGGGGGAGATGGGAGATGTTTATACCCTGGCCAGAGGGGGATGTAAACTAGGCAAACTGTACGAACGACGCAAACACGGTGCAATACAGAATCTAACGGAATCTTGTGGAGGATTGACGACGACGACGCCATATAGAGAACGACGACGCCATATAGAGAACGACGATATAATAAGGAATTGTCGGAACGTGAATATCAAACCTAGCGCGTTTCGGCACTGGATATCAGTTAGTCTAACGCGGCACGTGCGTGCCGCGTATATATGTAGTTAGCCACTCCCCGTCCCCCTTACTCTTGGGGGGCAGTCATCAATATCAGGAATTCCATACCATATTGATCAGGCTCGTCAGCTTGTCGGAATAGCTGTTCTACGTGACTAGTGCTAGCGACCTAGACGTAGATAAACCGACACTGATCAGTGGCCGCAGATCAGACATTTATCTACGAGCCCCTATTCCTATGTTAGTGCAAGCGTCCTAACAAAATACACCTCCTTCGACACCCTACGGTATACGTTCGCTCGTATATCGACTCACCGATATATTCGACCCCATATATCGACTCTTTTGTGAACTCTTTGCTGAGTCTTACGAACCTACGAACTCCCTGTACGAGCCTACGCACGAAAGATTATTCCTGTACGAATTCTACGCTTAGATCCCCCGTATAAGCCTACGTCACGAACCTACGCTAGAGGCCTACGCGAGAAAACTCTCGGTATTAGCACTAGGTAGGAATCAACGTAGTGAGCCTACGGATTCGGACTTTCCGTCAGAATCGACCTGCAAGAACCTGACGTACGAAGCCTACGTACAACCTACGGTGTGTCGACCCACGCACCGAACAACGCACCAAATCTCTGGATCTGGTCTCGCAGATACAAATCATCAAAATGGCAGGACAAAGTGGCAACGATACCGACCAGGCAATGACAGAAAAGAAGACACTCGACGCTACCGTCAAGGCGAAGATAAAAGAATATACGAACACGTACGATTCACGTCTGTTAAGAGCGTTCAAACAAGACTTCAATAAGTGGACTTTGAATAACTTTAATACCGTGTCCGTCACCGAACTCGGGAAACTAGTTGATTTGCTTTAAACTAACGGTGTATATGTTACCAACGATGAACAGGACAATGAAGCTGAAAAACTCTATACTCTACTCTCTACAGAAAAATATCGCCCATGGACTAAGGAGGAAGTTATTCGCCACCTCAGACGAGGCAATACAATTGAGTCGAAGGTACTCAATGATCAATTCGAAACAGTGATCAATACATATAATCAACCCTCAAACTACGGCACTAATGAGGCACAAAACCAAACTGGAGAGGGACCCCTCACAAGATCTCGAAGTCAACAACAAATCCAATATCTTTCACCCCCGGCAACAAGACACGATACACCACAAGATCAAAGTCAATGGGTGCAAATTGAGCCAGAGCCATCAAATGAAGTCCAACAAGCCCCAAATTTGGCTATCTTCGCACCGTCAACATAATCCGTTTCTCAGGCACTTATTCAACTCACGAAGATGTATTCAGACAACTAAAAGTACAGTGGAAATAAGGATTCCTACAGGTCAAAGCTTCGAATCTTCAACAACTACTGTGAACATCTATCCCTACTAAAGAATGCATATAAACTCGCTTTCCCAACAATGCTCAAAGGCCAAGCCTTGGATTTTTACTATGACAATAAGGAAATATGGGAAGCAAGTGACTGTGACCCTGTTGAAGGAATTCGTGCCTATTTCGAAGGCCCAGAATATCATCGAACCATACTGGATAAGTGGAGCGGAATTTCGCTTCAAAATATAGTCGATGAGAACCCAGAGAAGACATTAAAAGTGTGTCTCAACATAATGCTAACAGAACTTACAAGTTTATATGACCGCCTAGCTCCAAAACTGCGCAACGAAGAATTTTACCTTGCAAGACTTTTACAGGTAACTCGTACACATCCAGCATGCCAACTTGCAACTTCAAAGCAACAAGATACAGTTCCTGGACTAACCCGCGATTTACAATCAGGTGTTAGCCAGTACGAGGACATGATAAAAGCTACAAATGGACGCCGCACTGCAAACCCCAGCACCAACGCATACTTTACGGATTGACAGTATTATAACCAACAGTCACACTTGCCTTCTCAAGGCTGTTCAATACGACAACACCCCAACCAGAGAGGCAAGAAAAAGTGCTTTATATGTTAAAAACCCGACTGCTGGTCAACACGTCACACACCTAAGGAAAGAGCCGATTCGAAACGCCATTATTTAGACCATTTTAACAAGCGTATCGATCAATATATTGCTGATTACGAGGGCACAGGGGATGACAACGATGAGGAACTGCCAGAGGAACTCTTATTAGCTGCCGATGACCTTATTTTGACAGATGATTATGAATCTAGACCTATACACGATGCCTCGTCAACCCTGTTCACAGCCACATTCTTTACAACGCATAAAGACAACAACACGAACTATGGTCCGTCAATAACCATGGAACTAGCAAACTGTTCCACTTCGCACTGGATTGCCTCACTATTCCTGAAGCCTAACTTGGAAACTAATTCGTATAAAACTAATGAAGTAACTCTTAAGGTTCTGACCCCTGAGTCAAGTCACGTCTATCTAAATGAGGGCCGCTATTCGTCAGAAAGCTTTAAGGGTATTGTTATCAACACTGGCGCCGCGCAACTCTCTACAGCCGGATATGGGCAATACCTTGCTTACAAGAGAATCGTCAGAAATATTGATATTAATACTACAATGGCTGGCACAGCAACAGTTCAATTTGGACCTGGCGATCCCTATCAGTCAATAGGATCAATCGACGTACCTATACCTATTAGTACTATATGGTTCTATATCCTGACAACCACAACACTGTTCCTAATATCGCTGTACGAACTCGACAGACTAAAACTCTATTTTGACAATACCTGCAATCTCCTTGTTAATAAGAAAATGGGAAAAACAACACCAGTCATTTGTCAGTTTGGCCATCCATTCCTTGTATAGGACTACTCCTACCATACCCACTTACTTACCTCATTTGACTACAACCCCTGCCTCCTCACCGATACCAAATTACGCCGTCTACACCGCCGATTTGGCCACCCTTCAACTGATAGACTTCGCCGTGTACTTACACGTGCGGGCCATGAAACCAACAAGGAAGCAATTGAGCACATTCGCAAATTCTGCCACCATTGTCAAATGTACAACAAGTCACCTGGACGATTCCAGTTCATACTGCATGAAGATGTTGACTTCAATCACTCTATCATTATTAATATTATGTACCTTGATGGAGACCCTGTACTTCATATTGTCGACAAAGCAACACACTTCAATGCTGCTGCGTGGCTACTAAATATCTCAACAAAAGTCGTATAGGACACACTCCGAAAGATCTGGATTGACATGTACCTAGGACCCCCAGACTTAGTTATCATAGATGCTGGAAAGACCTTTATAAGCAGGGAATTCTCACAATCTGCTTCAGCTGTAGGCATAATCATCAAAACAGTACCAATCGAAGCACATTGATCAATTGGAACCGTTGAATAACACCATGCCATGATTCGCCGCTCATATAAAATTATTAAAAAGGAATTACTAGATTTACCTAAAGACGCTGCCCTACAGATGGCTGTCAAGGCTGTCAACGATACAGCTGGCCTAGATGATTTAGTCCCTACGCTTCTTGTTTTTGGAGCTTACCCATGAATGGTAGAATATAACCCTCCTGCACCTACAATTATACAATGTGCCGCTACACTCAAAAAGGCAATGACAGAGGTCCAAAAACTACATGCCGAACAACAGGTTCGAGATGCCCTTAATACGCGTAATGGTCCTGCGTCTACAGCTGTACATCTTCTGCCAATAAATTCAGATATACGCGTATGGAGGGAAGGAAACACCGGCTATGCAGGAGAGTGGAAAGGCCCGTACAAATTACTAAGTGCTGAGGGCGAGACGTGCACAATTCAGTTTCCAGATGAACCAAAGCAATTCCGTACAACTATTGTGAGGCTGTATTACAAGGCACTGGATGAGAACAACTAAGACACCAATTCGGAGCATATAAATGAAGAGCCTAAGACATCTTTAGGCACAAACTCAACACCACCCACACCTCAAGACGACGAGCCAGACACATCTACACCCCAGCCAAGGCCTGCACAACGCCCCCAACGAAATCGGCAATTACCAGCCCGATATCGAGATGACCTCATACAATCGGTATTCGCTCAATTCGACCAATCACAAGAGAAAGAGATCAACGGCCTATTAGAAAATGGTGTATTCGAAGTGATCAAAGTAGACGATATCCCAAAAGGCACCCGAATCTTCAATTCACGGTTCGTCAACGAGATAAAGAATCAGGGCACCGATAAGGCCTTTGAAAAGTCGCGACTAGTTGTACAAGCCTACAATAATAAAGGGAAAGAGATCGTATTAACTCAATCGCCTACAATACAGCACTGCAGTCAACGCCTGCTTCTGTGCCTTACAATCTGCATTACTGATACTCATCTTTTTCTACACGACGTCACATAAGCCTATGTACAGTCAACTACGCCCCTCGCTCGCAACTTTTATATACAACTCCCTCCCAAACTCGTGCACCTGTTCCCTCCAGGCACAATATTGAAAGTTGTCAAGCCTTTGTACGGCATCCCTGAAGCAGGTAATCATTGGTTTCGAACCTATCACATACATCACATGGACAAACTTAATATGACAACATCCACCTACGATCCATGCCTCTTGCACTACATTAACCAGTCACAAGGATTTGGCATTGTTGGCATGCAGACCGATGACACCCTCATCCTCACCGACAACACTTTTGCGAACCACGAGGAGAATGAGATTAAACGAGCTAATATTCTTTGCAAACCATGAGAAAAGCTTACACCTTCGAACCCGTTAAAATTCAACGGTGGCCTTATTACGGAGGATGTCCAGGGTATTACCCTCACCCAGGAACGCACTTGTAAGCTCATACAGCCTGTACAAGATCGATATGCGGATACAACGAGTTCCCGAGGCAAGGTCCGAAAGGACGTATCGCCGCAGGAACAATATGTGGCTCAACGCGCACTTGGAGCCTACATTGCTTCCGTATCGCAGCCTGAGGCTTCTTTTGATCTATCATTTGCTGCCCAGATCACAAATCCAGGAAAGACGACATCAAGTCACTTAATAAACGCCTCCAATGGCAACTTGATAATGCTGAACGCGGATTACGCTTTGTACGTCTAGATTTGGATTCGTTACGCCTCGTAATCTTTGCAGATTCATCCTTCGCAAACAATAAGGATTTCTCCTCCCAAATTAGCTTTGTTATTGTTCTCGCAGATGCCGCAAATAACGCAAATATTGTGCACTGGTCCTCAATCAAGTACAAGCGCGTCACAAGAAGTGTACTTACTTCTGAACTTTATGCCATGGTTCACGGCTTCGATTCGGCTGCGTCAATCAAATCAACAACAACGCAACTTCTACATCTTACCAAGCCCCTACCCCTTGTTATCTGCACTGACTCGAAGAGCCTGTATGAATGTCTCGTCAAATTAGGCACTACCCAAGAAAAGCGTCTAATGATTGACCTCATGTGCCTCCGACAGTCATACAAGCGCCAAGAAATTGCAGAGATCAAGTGGATTGACGGTGAAAGCAATCCAGCCGATGCCATAACAAAGAGCAAACCATGTCGCGCTTTACAGGCACTTATCGACACAAATAAGCTTAATATCAATGTGGATGGATGGGTGGAAAGGTCTACAACCCCTCCAACAAAAGCTATACCAATTTCTTTGCTTTGTCAATCCTGTACCGCTCGTCGTCCTATCCCTATTTCTTAGAGAGTTGCCAGTGTCGGAACGTGAATATCAAACCTAGCGCGTTTCGGCACTGGATATCAGTTAGTCTAACGCGGCACGTGCGTGCCGCGTATATATGTAGTTAGCCACTCCCCGTCCCCCTTACTCTTGGGGGGCAGTCATCAATATCAGGAATTCCATACCATATTGATCAGGCTCGTCAGCTTGTCGGAATAGCTGTTCTACGTGACTAGTGCTAGCGACCTAGACGTAGATAAACCGACAGGAATTAACGGGGCAATAAGCTTAGCCCCGTCAAGGACGACGACGCAATAGAATCAAAGAACGATGCAATTAGAATCGTATAACAGATTGCATATCTGTAGGGACTCCACTAACAATTGCTGGTGCTTCCCATGTTGTTATAGAAGCAGTATTCCGTGTCCTTCTTGTTGTAGGAGCAGTATTTTATGCTCTCCTTGTTGTAGGAGTAGGATCCTGTGCCTGCGTTGCTCTAATAATAGGTTGTAGTGCTTGTGTATCCTCTGCAATAGTATATTCAAAGGCCAAAGGCTCACGCTGAGTGCTCCGGACCGTTGCTGAAGCCTGACTTGGTATAGGAGGATTATTTAGAGCCCCTGGCGGTCTTCCTCGTACACTGACTTGTGGTGGAAGAACGAGAAGACGTGGGTCGATCTCAATATCTTGAGCTTCATTGGAAATAAGCCAATGAGGATGAAAATGTGTAATCTGTAGAGGCTCTGATCTGGCAAGCAAGCCGGATAGAGTGTGAATACATGGAATTCCCATATAGACATGGGTAGACCCTGTACAAACTGGGGGAATTGGTAGCTTTCCCAGTCCAATTGGTAAATATTTCTCCATCATTTTCTGAACTTCAAAGAGGCAATATGAAGATATTTTATATTCGGAGCTCAGCATAGTAGCTAACACTCCAATGCCAGACCATTGCTGAAATGTTATGAATTCCTGAGTACTGATTAATTCCACAATCAATATTAATCACGAGTCTGTGAAAGTAGCCTACTTGCAGATCAGTATTTTTCTGAAAATAGTATCTATACGTGTTTTTACCTATCGAAATGGCTCCTGTATGGTGTGCTGATTTGGGCCTCATTTACGATCGGAGTCAGCTTTCCAGTACAACTATTTCAAGCTGTAACCTTGCACGATCAGCTTTCGAGAGTCTGTATCCAAGTGTTCTAGGCCTCAGCATCTGAAAATTGATTCCCTGCAAATGATACGAAGTTAGGGTCTCCACGAACAAGGAACGATAACATGGTCAGGCGAATTTACCAAGCATAGATACGATCGGTTTCAGCGGCGAATCCTCCTGTCAGAGAATCGTTGAACCACAGCCAATAAATATGGAACTAGTATGTAGGAAAATAGATTATCCGAATAAGAGTAATCCTAACGCATTGAGCGTATTGAGCGCGTTGAGCGTATTAAGTACGTTGAACGCTCTTGGCGATCTGAACGTCGGAAGTACTCACGTACTAAGGGTTAGGGTAGCAGAGTATATAGAGTATTGTTGGAAGCTATTGGAATCTTTTGGTACTAGTCCGAACGGGGTTAGGCTCTGATAGGAGTTGTACAATTTGGGTGAGGAATAATTGACTCTGATTTGCACGTCTTCTAAAACATAGCTAACTACACATCTTGATCCTCTTTATATACACATCATAGTGGCAAAGTATCACGGATTTACGGGATAAATGACAATCCTGACTCCAAAATGTAGGCTTGAGTTTGGCTCTCATGTTCTCACGGATATGTCGTTATTCCGAGGAATCATGATTAGTAATGACATCCTGATTGGGATTAGCGTATCAAATATCCAACAGAAGCCTCGTATCATGTGAGACGCTAGTCCAAAAGCGGCCAATAACTCTAGCCAATAAGATTGGCATGCTTGTATACTAGTGGCTTGGCATAAACCCACAAAATAGGGGTAGTCAAGTAAAAAGGCCAGATCCCCAAGGCCGGACATAGTCAACAAGAATGAACACATTGATACACATACTAATTTGTTAGTCAACCTGTGTTACAAGCGTAATACGCTATATATACGGATTCCAACAAGTATCGCTCTGCTGTCAGAGAATCATTGAACCTCAGCCGATAAATACAGAACTAGTATGCAGGAGAATAGATTATCCGGACACGGATAATCCTAGCGCACTGAACGCGATGAGCGCATTGAGCACGATGAGTGCGCTGAGTACGTTGAACGCTCTTAGCGCTCCGAACGTCGGAAGTACTCACGTGCTAAGGGTTGGGGTAACATAGCGGACATAGCCATCGCTATGCTTGCTCGAACATAGTGGGCAGAGCAAGGACTATGTTAGCCATGTTGATGGTGGAGTATATAAGGACGCTTATTTACCATGTACTTAGTTCTACTCTAGGTATCGTCTTGAATTAACTGTTTAACCTTGAGTATAGCCCTTTCGTTATCAAAATACCATTTAACCGTACGTTAAGTGAAGAGTTCGCTCTGATCTAGACGCCTGACAAGCATCGGTTTACGACACCTCCATGTGAAGGCTCAAGCCAGAAATGATTAGGTCCACGATCGGTACGATCACATCATTTGATTAGCAGAGCGTAACTAAGCTCTGCTTAGTTTACAGGAAGGATCCCGACCCAAGACCCACCTCAATCTGATTGGTCCTTAAGCTCTGAGCCGATTGGTCAACCAACAACTGCGTCTAAGGATTTGATTGGTTAAAAAAGTGCACCCGCACGTGACTGTCCGCTTTCATAGGACATATAGGGCATGCATCTAGGGTTATTTCTTTGTTATATTTATTTCAACTCTCGCTTGTCAACAACACGCCACTTTCCTTCCCCTCAACACCTTTTTCAATACTCATAAAAACCTCATTTTCCGCTCAACCCCCATCTCATTAGGTTTTGTCAGCATGCCATTCCACTGCTCGCCGTAATGGCGGAGCCTCGTCAGACTTGCTGTCAGATAAGCTGGCTTTCCAATGAAGCCATCGAATGAAGCGATCAATCCGAAAACGTTATGTGTAAGAGAAATGTCCCAAGTTTACTCCGTGGGATAGCTTACAAATCATACAAACCTTACATGCCGGATTTCATACAAATCAGCTCAGGAGAAGGTCTATATGTACCCGGCTTTGGAACCTCATGTATTCACACAAAAAAAGACAACTCAATACATACAATCTTGCTAGTCACTTCTTCTTACCATTCTTGCAAGCAACTATTCAGGATTGGCCTGGAGTTAACCCACCAATCCGACACTTGCTCTGGCTGTCTAGCTGAAAAGCCCTTGGAGCAGTTCAAAAGCAAAACTGGCAATCGCACATTCAAGACTTGCTCTACGTGTCGTGAGAAAAGACAAGATCAACGAACTGCCAAAAGAAAGAACAACGAAGCAGACGTCTCTGAGCCTCCAGTTGAGGATACTCATGTTCCTCACTTTATGCGGCCAACTACGGCATCCTCACTTCGAAGAACGGCGTCCTCACGAAGACTCGCTCCTTAACGCGTCTCTGCCCAAGTGTTCCAACAACAGACTATCGAGGAGAGCCAACAGGCTAGTACCTCGTCTCCTGCTCCCTCTTTCCATTTTCGAGGTGCTCATTCCCAGGACACCTCACAAGTTGCTGATGCTCGTCGGCGTAGAGAGCAAGATCGACGTGCTCATCGTGCTGCACGACGGGCTGGGGAAGACGTGCCTCCCACTCAGGATTTGGATACGTACTTGCTGAGCAAGAGCAAGAAATTCCCCCTTCTGCTCAACAACCACTCCCATCAACTCCTCGGATGGAGAGTCAAGTTTTGTCTACACCAGATCCCCTCGCTATCGTGAGTACTAATGATTTCTCTCCGGACCCGTTGGCTGTGATTCCAAATCCACGCGTTAGTTCTCTTCTACTAAGAACTGTATCTTCAACGCCCGATCCCTTGGCTGTATTCAGTAGACGGTCCAGCACCAGCTCTCTGCCACCATACCGAGGCCGCGGCAGTCATCTTAGTTTTGGGCCCCAAATGACGCCCCGTCGGACGCTCCTTTCGAATCACTTTATCTGTACAGCATGCCATAAACCACGACATCCGAGCCGTCGTATCGCAGAAGGCGTTGATACTTGCCAATATTGTCAGGATCTAACCATTCCCGAAGACCAACAATACCAAGTTTGTGTCAGTGGAGACCATGAACCCCCCAAATCCGCCTTCATTGATGACCACGGGATCGAACATGATATTTCCAATTCGTGCCTCACCCAATTTGTGACCCCTATGGATACTGACCCTTCGTTTCACCCTATTAGTAGCGCGGCGAGCAGCCAACCCCGGCGCCCACGTGAAACTAACCGCCGTGCATCAAGAACTATTCCTCGTCACGATCTGAACCAACCCGATCCTCCATATGTCCCAGGTGACCCCGGCAGCCTTAGTCAACCTGCTTTGACGGAAACCGACTGGGGGTATATTACTGCATTCCATAATGCTCTACAGCAGCATAGAATGGAGAGGTGCATTGTCTGCGATGAGAAATGGTTTAACATGCGACTGACATCTGACAATATTTGTGCACGTTGTGTCAATGCTGATAGAAACCAGGATACCCCTCTGTATGGTGTTGCGAATAACTTGAATCCTGGTGATATGCCTGATCTGCCCGAACTTTCGCAAACAGAGGAGATGCTTATTGCCAGAGTCCATGTATTCGTGGAAGTCCGTCGAGTTCGAGGGCAGCAATACAAGTATAGCGGGCACGTCGTTAATTTCCTGAGAGACACGGCACGCGTTTACAACACCCTCCCTCTCCTTCCTAGGAACCTCGAAATCATCTTGCTACGGCCAGCCAACGCTTCCACGGATCCTCGTCTACAAAGACAATTCATTCATGACTTCCGTGTTCGCCGAGAGCGTGTCCTCAAATGGTTGTCATTTCTACGCCAAAACCATCCCGGATATCGAGATATTGAAATCTCCACCGCCGCCCTCGAGCTTCTACCACTAGACGGTGATGTTGTAGACCAGGTTATCAATAAGTCACTTGATCCAGTTCAAATAAGTGATAGCGCTGATACGGAGGTCATTGAACCTCCAGAAGTATGTGCAGTGCCAGATCTCCTTGCTCAAGAGGATGAAATGTCCGCAATTCGCAACCAATTGCAGCCTGAGGAGTCTTGTCAACAACATATGGAATTTCCCCCCTTTAGATCAACGCCTATTGCAGAGTTTACACGCAGTCAGCCACTACTGTCATGGGCGTTCCCGGCTCTTTTCCCTCGTGGGGAAGGAGAATACATACATCCACGACAGCGGACTGTCAGCTTTGCTGATTATGCAAAACATTTGATGAAGTTTCATGATGGACGTTTTGCCCGCCATCCACGTTTCCGCTACGTTGTTTTCAATACAATGATGAGACAACAGGCCAACACCAAAGCTAGCTTTTTTGTCAAGCAGAAAACCAAGGATGGGCGTGAGATTACTGCAGATGATTTACGTCTAGCTTTTGAGGATGACGCTCCAGAAGGTGAAGCATTACTTAACTCGATCACTCGCCGATCTGGGACGCTTCGGGGGACACGTCCTTTTTGGACAAGCAAACACCAACACCTCAAAGCAATGGTGAAGAATATTGGCCCTTCACACCTTTTCGTGACTTTGTCCGCTGCTGATTTACATTGGGCTGATCTCATGCGACATCTCCCGGATTTTGAGCAATGGAAAGCAGGTACCAGTTCAGAGCGGATTCAAATTGCACGCGATAACCTTCGAGACAACCCTCACATCGTCGCTCAATGGTTTTCATTCGATACAATACATTTCGAAAAGAGGTTTTGGACAAAAGATTCAATGTCACTGAGAACTGGAATCGCTTCGAATGGCAAGGACGTGGCTCGGTACATAACCATGGTCTATACTGGGTTGACGGTGCTCCCAATTCAGAGGTCGAATCTTTGTCCCTCGAACTTCGTCAAGCCTTCGCTAACTTTTGGGGTATCCATATCACTGCATTGAACCCTCAACCCGGTCAGATGGTGGCGGATACGACTGAACGATCTCCAATACAGCTAGAATTCGCAGATTAGGAAAACACCGTCCGTAACTGTTCGGCAACTGCTAATCGCGTCGAAAGACATATTTGTAGCGAAAAATATGGTCTCCGGAAGGAAAAGGGGTCGGACGTTATATCCTGTCGCTTTCACTTTCCGCACGAACTACGGACAGAGCCTTTTGTTGACCGCGCTCCAGGGCACCAATACTACCGTTTCTATCCCATTCGCAACGATGCAATGATAAATGCTTGGAATCCCTGTATACTCATGGGATGGTTGGCCAATATCGGTATCGCACCATGTACCGGGAGCAAAGCCCTGTTGGATTACATTGCCAAGTACGCGTCAAAGGCTGAGAAGAAAACCGAGTCTTACAAGGATACGATGAAAGGCTTTTTACCTAAACTCAATCCTCAGAACCCTTTTCTTCTGCTGTGAGTAAGATGATAAATCGTCTTATTGGTGAACGGGATTGGTCAGCTCAAGAAGTATTGCATTTACTTCTCGATATACCACTTCAATCCGCAAGTCGAATCTGTATCAATGTCGACTGTCGCCCTGAGGAGGTTCATTCCGCCGCATTTGTTCCCGTTGAGCCCGAGATTGAAGGTGATGAAACCGTCCAGCGAGGACTTTCACCATTGGAAAAATATAAACGCCGTTTTCCACTGTTCGAAGATTTATCTTACTTCACCTTCTTGCGTGAATTTGATTTCCGGAATTGGAGGCAAATCTACAAGCGTGATGCCCCGGCTAGGGTCCTCAACTATTTCCCGCTGTACGATTCGGACAAGCAGCCTGAAGACTACGCGCGCGTGAAATTAATGATGCACCACCCCTTCCCTGAGATCAAGGACTTGCTGGAGATAGACGGTGACATATTCGAGTCTTATGCTGCTGCGTATGAATTTTGCAGTTATGCCCATGTTCATGAGGATGATTTTTATGACGAGGTCCTTACTCATCCGGAAGCAACTCACGAGGATTCAGACTCAGAGGACGAGGAAATGCCGCAGTCATGGGAGGCACTGGCTCGACAGCTGCCTAATCGAGATGACGCCACGAGAGTTGAAGACCCCGATAATATTGGAGATCGTACGGTTGACAGAGAGATGGATTGGACTCCACACGTTGGTCGTCATTCGGAACTGGAGGATAACTTTTGGATGACGTTGAAAGCCGACAATCCTGCCGACATGACCGTGGAATCCTCTGCATCCTATGAAGGGCTTGAGATCAAACAGCGTCAAATCTATGATGTAGTCTGTGGTCATTACCAGATGCAACTAAATGGAGAGGATCCTCCCCATACACTGATCAACCTTGACGGTAGAGCAGGGACTGGAAAGTCTCATGTTCTAATGTTCATCTCCGCTACTCTAGATCGAATAGCAGAAGACGCTGGCCTCGAGAAGTCACCCGTCATCCGTGCAGCCCCAACAGGTGTGGCCGCATACAAACATCACTGGCTATACACTTCATTCGCTATTCCGTCTTCCAATCGGTGTAGGTTAAAAGGCTATCTTACTCCCGAGAACCGTCAAGCCCTGCAGGCAATATTTCGGGGTGTTAGTTGGCTGATCATTGACGAAAAATCTATGATTGGACTCAAACAGGTTTACTACATGAATCAACGGTTGCAGGAGATATTTCCAGCGTCAGATTCCGAGTCCGTTAAACCTTTTGGAGGTCTTAATATAATACTGGCTGGCGACTTCTATCAGCTTCCTCCTGTCGGCCAGAGAGCTCTGTATTACAACAAGAAACTAGACAACCTAGAGGAAATCCATGGACGTGCTCTCTATCACGATTTTCGGTCAACAATCGAACTTGATGTCATACGGCGCCAAGAGGGAGCTGATCCCACCTCTATTGCATTCCGTGATGCTCTAGATCATCTCCGCATTGATCAGTTGACGTTCAAGGACTGGGAGCTGCTTTGCACACGCATACAGGCAATGATTCCGACAGAGGCTGTCAATTTCAAGGATGATATCCGACTATACTCCAAAAAAGCAGAGGTCCGTGAATACAATCACAAGCAGCTCCGGGATATAGGGAACCCTGTCCTCCGAATCCTAGCAACTCACCAGGGCTTAAAGGCCGACAAAGCTTCTACTGAAGAAGCTGGCAATCTGCATTCGGAAATACACGTCAATATCGGATGCCGTGTCATGTTGCTAGAGAACATATGGACACAATGTGGGCTTGTGAATGGGGCTATTGGTACGGTTATGGATGTCATTTGGCATTCCAATGTTACTAACCCTCGAGAGACCCCTCCATTTGCTCTTCTTATTCATTTTGATACATACAAAGGTCCTGAGTTTTGCACCGTTGACGGCAAGAAAGTTGTGACAATCTTTCGTTCGAAGAGAGACTTCGCCATAAGCAACATCAACTGTTCAAGAACGCAGTTTCCAATAACTGTGGCTTATGCCATTACCGTTCACAAATCCCAAGGAATCACTGTTCCCAAGGCTGTTCTAAACATCTCTGAAAGGGACTTCGCTGTTGGGCTTACATATGTAGCCTTATCTCGTGCTAAAAATTTAGATGGCATCATGTTTGAAGAACCGTTCGACTTTGAAAAGTTCAAACGAAGCAAGCCTAATCCGACTATGGTTATGAGACATGAAGATGCGAAGCGACGAGCAGAAGAACATGTATGATTGCTTCCCACCTATTGATCTAAGCATTTACTAATCAGTGACTTTAGCATGACTACATTCCACTTCCGCCTCAACCTCCATCTGTGCCTCAATCACAAGTCCTAACTATCGATCTGCCAATTCGTACATCGTCACCTCAGCGAGAGACCTCTGTCATCCCGTGGGCCTCATCGCAGACTCCTCCCGACGATGAGACTGACGACGAGCTTGCCTAATTATCGTCCCCGCCGCCGCCGCATCGTTGCATCGTCCTTACCTCTGTGTTGTTGTTGCATCATTGCATTGCATCGTCGTACAGAACGTGCCGGAATCTTCTTTCATATTGCATCGTGTTTGTGTGGTTCGTGTGGTTTGCATCGGTTGTCTCCCTAGCCAGGATATAAATATCTCCCTCCTCCCCCCGGCTCCCCCTTCTCTTCTTCCTTCTTACTTACCACTCTCTCAGCCGCTCCGAATCATCCAAAATCTCTGCCCGCTCCGCCGCCGCCGCTGCTGCCATTGCCATCACTACCATCGTCGCCCTCTCGTCCGGACGATGTCCAGGATGCCTTTCGGAAAGATGCCTAGTTAACTAGTTAGTTAACTAACGTAATTCCCAAGCGAACCGCCCACCCAAGCGACCCGCCCACCTCCCCGAAAAATAACTCTCTATATTGATTTCAAATCACAATTTCTTAATCACATACAAATTATATACAAAAAATTAATTAGTAGTAAGATTAGGACATCGATTAATTTTATGTCCTTCAACACCACAACCACTGCAGCGAAATTGGCGGCGTACGACTGCTTGAGAAGCTGGGAGCTCCGGCTCAACTGGAGCAGCCGTAACAGCTTGAGATGCCTCAACCTGACCTTGTACAAGCGCTTGAGCTTCTTCACTAGTAATCCCATGCTCAATAGATATCTGTTTCTTAGATTTTTGGCGTTTTTGCTTCTCTTTTTCATTCGCAGCTCGTAAATCATGGTTTTCTTTCCGTACGAGTAAAGTATCATTCGCTAGTATTTCGTAGGCTTTTGACAACCGTATAACTGCCTGATTGATTTCTTGATTCTGATTTCCTGTGCGCTCATTTATATGTTTATTGATTGTAGTTGACTGGCGTACAAATTGGCGTATATTTTGAGGTGTTTGTAAGCAGGATGATGCTGTATTGCTTGATCGACTTGGAGGGGGGGTTGGAGTCTTCAATTGAATATTAAGATATTGAAGAACTCGATCTGGATTGAAAGGCACTAATCCAGTGGCTGCGAAGCTATTCTGAATAGATTGAGCTTTATATGCCACTGTACGAGCCTGTGGAAATGCTGTTAAAAAGTCCATTTTGTCGATATGATTGAATCCAAGCCTCATTCGTTGCTCAACAACCTGCCCATAATACCGTTTTAAAACTGCAAAACAGCCAACATCAAGAGGCTGTAATAGATGCGAAGAATGAGGTGGCATGCAGATTGGAATAATATTATTCTCAGTGCATGTACGATCAAATTCTGGAGTCAAATGGCTTCCATGGCCATCAAGAATCAACATTCGGTATTTTCCCATTGTACGATCATTAATATTAGGAATAAAATGGGTTTTAAGCCATTCTAATCCTATTTGATCTGTTGTCCAACCATTATCGCTAATATTGATTCTCCAATCATCTGGAAGATCCTCAAACCAACCTAATCGTACGTTTTTCTTTGCTTTGAAAATAATGTACGAAGGTAACGCCCAACCAGTGAATTTGTTGCTTCAATTGCAGTCACCCATTCTCGATTTCCAGGCTGTAAAAGCTTTGGCTGAGCATATCGATCGCTTCCAGTAATAACCTTCGCAGATGCACAGAGTCCCATAGCAAAGCCAGTCTCATCAAAGTTATAGATATCTTCTGGTAAGATTCCATACTCAGATATAGCAGCTCGTACGCGGTCAAAATGTTCTTGAATTATCTTTGGATCTTCACATTTGGCACGTTCATAGTTATATTTCCTTGCGAATTTAGAATCAATCTCCGGACGGCGTTTAATCAGATTGGTCACCCAGTTTTTTCCAACTTGTGATTTTCCATGTTGTTGTAGAAGATAATTGACCATTTCTCGTACAAGAGAATGTCGGGGAAATAATCCACGTCGATCTAAATCAAGAACCCATTTGACAAGTGAATCCTCCTCAGATTGAGTCAATTTATGGTGGTTGGTGCGCTTTTCACCTTTATATTCAATGCCTTTGAGTCGATCTCGGAGAGTCGTACGAGGAATATCATAAATCCTTGTAGCTTCACGAATATTGGAAATTCTTCCATTTTTCAAATCAGAAATAGCTAACTGGATCTTTCCCTCTATCTGAGTAGATTTTAAGGGATCTTTCTTGCGAATTGGTGGCATTTTGACGCGTTGAAATATGAGAAATCAATATAGAGAGTTATTTTTCGGGGAGGTGGGCGGGTCGCTTGGGTGGGCGGTTCGCTTGGGAATTACGTTATCGTATAACATGATTATATAATCACACTAGCGGTGCAAATTTACGCTCTGCTACGACTTCGGTGGATAAATGCACCGTAGAGACCTTGTACAATACGATTTGGTCGGAGGTGAACACGATCCGTTCGGGAGTACCACTCTGTCTGTCCAGTGCTTTGGCCACAATCAGAAGCAGGAAATCGACTATGCATAGCGTCAGCTGTCGACTTGCGTGGTATATAATCAACGAGTTTCTCTTTCTCACCTTATACGATGGGAGGTTTTTCTGCAAGAATCCTTCGGCCTAGGATCGGGCTGCACACAGAATGAGCAAAAGAATTACATTTGTATCACTTACTGATACCAAGCGATTAAAATCCGAGATGGCGGCCGGTGATGGAACACCAAGTCTGGGAAAACGCGAATTGCCTAATCCGGACAACATAGAAAACGGCTATTTAGAGCTCACAACTCCTGAAGGTCTACCTTCGCCACGGTTAGACCGGGTGATTGTCAACTTCGGTAAAAACAGCCCAAGAGGCTTTTATGGCATCGAATTGGGCTATATCTCTCGCCCGGTGGCCTTCGTCAAACGCGTGGTGGTTCCTGATATAGATATGCGACGAAACGCGTTGCGTAAAACATGCCACCCCAACTTGGTTAACCTAACGGATGTATTCATCAATCAAGAGACCGTCTATTTCACCTACGAGAAGTCTGGGTTGCTCTGAGAGAGCTCCAGGACATGGACGACGTCACTTTTGACCGAATTGCTGTCGCCACTATCCGTAAAGAGGTTGGTCCATTGCCACGTCTTCCACTACCTTGGGCTAAATGATACAAGGTCCTGAAAGGGTTGATTTATATGCAAGAAGAGTTGGGACTTCTCCACGGACACTTGGATACGGACTGTGTTTACGTGAATGAGGATGGTCAAGTCAAAATAGGTAGGCGATCAGAATTGATTGGAATTCCGTTCACTGACCGGATTTGTGTTTTGCAGGAGACGTTGGCAATAGCATGCTGGCGAAAGAAGAAAACCAGGGCGCGGCCCATGATATTCAATCAGTGTATAATCTTGCAGCGGATCTTGTCGACAAGCTCGGAGAAGGACACTATGTCCTTCCACTTGGCAGAGGACTTTACACTCTTACCATCCGATGTGACGTTTCAGGAAGTTGTGACTGTAGGTCTGCAGGCCTCGATGTTAAAAATTATCTCTGCTAATCATGAAACGATAGCGTAGGTTGTGGCTGTTGAGATGAGCGTGGAAGCCTGAGGCAGATATCCTTATCTTTCCATCTTATCTTGTCTTATCTTATCGCAACCCCAATCAGGCATAGCGTTGTTTAGCATACGTCTTCAACTTTTTGTTTGGAGCTTCATCTAACTCCAATCTTGCTCAGCTCATTCTGAAGCTCTTCTTGAACAGTGCCGTGCCACGATGAATTGATTGGTGTATTGAATTTCTGGCCATTTGGCAAATTCAACAACCATCATGACAGCCAATCTGAACCTCGGACACCTCCGCGATGCCAGCTTTGACGATTGCCGCATTCGCGGTGCTTTCTCTATTCCTCGTCACGTTTGCGTTGATTATTGTGAGTACTACAAGCACCTAAATTGATATTACCTATTCGTCTCTGATGCGCAAAAATGGATATAGTCCCTCCACCTAATACTCTCATCCTCGCAACACTCCGCCGTTCCCAAACTTCGTCGCAGAGGCACCCCAACCCATGTGCTCATCGTGCTCGGCAGTGGTGGCCATACAGCAGAAATGCTATCAATGCTGCGCCGCATGCCACTAGACCCAAACACCTACACTTTCCGTACATACCTCGTGACCTCGGGCGACAGTTTCAGTGCCTCGAAGGCTGCGGAATTTGAGGCGACTCTTCACGCGCAATACAAAGACTCAAAACATACACAGAATCAGGACTATGAGATCATCACCGTACCTCGTGCCCGTCGAGTTCATCAGTCGTATCTTACAGCGCCGTTTTCTACAATACAATGTTTTTGGGCTTGTCTTCAAGTCCTGCGTGGTAGACATTCAGATCAACGAAGCAGCAAGCGCGATCTCGCATCTCCATATCCTGATTTGATACTTACCAATGGTCCTGCGACGGCGGTATGCGTAGTGTTGGGAGCAAAACTTCTGAGATTCTGGATTGCGCTTTCTGCACTGCTATTACTCAAGTCCAGTCAGACATCCTCGCCTCCTACATCTGCACTCCGCACTGTCTTCATTGAGTCATGGGCTCGAGTCACAACACTGAGTCTTTCCGGAAAGATACTGCTGCCTTTTGTAGATCGGTTCTTGGTGCAGTGGCCCAATCTTGAGGGGAAACAAGCATGGAAAGGCATGCGAAAGGCTGAATATGTCGGTACAATCATCGATTAGGCATGATAATGAATGAATGACTAAAGGGGATATGTGTAATTATCTAGTATCCATGCATGGAGAAAGAGTAGAACTGAGCTCGCTGATCAAACCAAGTTACATACCACAAACACACGCATTACCAGAAATTACGCAACACCTAGTCAGAATACCACCAAAATGACACGATATTTTCGATATTCTATTCCATCTCGTCGATCAATGCTCAATTGCGAGATGTGAACAGTCGGCAGCCATGTCAGGAGTGAAATACATCGTCTTCAAGACAGATTCTTTTGCGTATCTAGCGGCGAGTGTCTTCAGTTGGCCACAGAACTCTCCCATCAGGACAGAACTTGAAGCGATCCACCATCCTCCCGGGCACTTCGTCTTCATGCTTAAAGCAGGCAGTTCTCTCCAATGCCCATTGTTCTAATTTCGCCCAATTCCGGCACATCCGAATCTGCCCTGCGCCTGTTCCCGGTGGATCTTGAAAGCCTGCATACCGTGGCGTGTCATCGGCATTACAGATAACGTCCTGGCGTAGCTGGTCAAGGCAATGCTGAATATGGATAAAGGCGATGCGCTGCGGCAGTCCGCGTTCGGCGGCCCAGACATATCGGAAAAGGGTTCGCTGTTGTTGTCAGCTAAGTGTCTTCTTTTTTTTTCCCTTCTTGTTAAGGTCTGAGATGTAAGAACTAACGAGACAGTGTAGGTTGTGGAAACCTTGTAGCAGGTATACGCCTTTGTCAGTGTCCCACGGAAAGCGCATGGCATGAGGAAGACCATTTTTTGACACGAATTCCTGAGGAAGGGCAACGACCCCTGGATCGCCGCTAAGCTCTTCCCATAACTGGGCTACCTCGGTTATATTGTTGTCATCAGAAACAAACTCAGTAGACGGGTATATTGGAATGGGAGTATCCCTTTCCAGGCCGGCTGCAAGACGCAAAAGACGTTAGTCAACTCAATAGTCTCGTTTGTTTCTCAAGAGTAGGTTGTTGTTGCACCATAATAAGATCTGCCGTCGCAGTGCTGGGTATCTTTTCCCCGGTATGCATAAGTATAGATCATGAAGAGCCCATTGACGCAAAGGGAGACGGCGAGGACAATCGAGAGTATGATCAATGTGCTTCTTGGTCCTGCCGAATTTCCAGACTGTCTTGTTTGATCGTCGCTTTCGTGCTCGAGCGAGTTGTGTCTCAGTAGGCGGTACTTTTGCTGGTTGTTCGCCATGACTCTTTGTGTGTGTGTGTGTGTGTAGTATGCAGAAAGCTTGGTAAATAAAATCATAGGTCGGGACTGCAAGGTATAAAAGTTCTTTATACTTGCTCATGCCCGCTAATCAACTGGCTGATAGGCATGCACATATTGACTGATTGTTTGCTATGCACTTTCAAAAGTCTCTGTATGCAATACATACTACGTAGTATATACTGCTACCATCATTTTTACAATCCTGGAATCCTGTTTCGCCTTCACATATGATATTTTCTATCTATAGACCCAATAAAAAGCAGGAAATCTGCCGAACTCTTCGCTTTACTTGTTCCTGCTTATAGTGATAGGAGTCTCTTCTTCATTTATGCATCAGAATCGACCCAGGACTGGTCAACCTGGGCGGGATAAGCAACAGCCTCATCTGCGTCCACGGAACCTAATTGTTGTACACAGCATCAGAGACACATATCATAGCTATAGCCATACCCTCACTACCCATAACGGGAATTGGACTGTGTTTGTATTGCCATGGAAAGGAGAGACTTACGACGAGTAGTATCGACCCAAGATTGATCTACTTGTGCTGGATAAGCAACGGCCTCGTCGGCATCAGTCACATCACCACCTATTCAAGAATCAGTACAACGTTCTATTCTATAACACATTACACGGACGTACTTGTAGCCAGTGGAATGGCGCGGACAGCCGCTACAAGAAGCAGAAGAACTCGGATTTGCATATTCGAAGACTCACAGTAGGCCGTGGATAACAATAGTAACAATGTCCTTGTCTTTCAATGTATGGAAGTTATCAAAGTCAAAGTCATTTTTTGGGGCAGAAACGCATTGTCAGGGCCATATTTTATATGTATTACTTACAGCCAAATGATAACCGGTTTGTTTTTTCTCTCCTCAATCCCTGACCACTGTACATTTCTCCCCCTCATCATCGATGGCCTCAACACCGCCCCGGCGCCCCATGCATGGGAAAGGTTTGGGCATTCTCATGTGATGCATTTCTGGATGTATGTATCTTCAAGAGTCGGATATGCGAACGTGGTGCTTCCTATTGAGATGATAGGTGCGGAGTTGCAGCTGACAACAATCGAATGGACGGGGTTGAAATACTCAAGGGAGGCCTGATTTTCATAATTATGATATGCACGAATGGGGATCAATACTACCTCCAGTTTTCAATCCCTGCTAGAAGCTGCATGTACACATCAATAGTCCGGAGCAATGGGCTGGACATTACCTATATACCATCCATATCCTGTACTGTCTTATTATTATCTTTAGGGTGGTGATCTAGCGACACCCCCCTAGTTCCAGCGACACCAGGGTGTCGTTCCAACGACACCCCCACGGAACTCATAGTTCTGAATGGACAATTTCCTTCCAAGTTTTACCATATTCAGTAACCGGTTCTAGGGTTAGGGTTAAAAAAAAAACTTATTAATTCGAAGCGCTGCCAAAGCGCCAAGACCTCGCCCCAAGCCGCCCATAACGCGTAGGACACTCGGGGCGTCTCCAGACGCCAAATACCCGAGCGGTACTTCCTTTTGTTCGTTAAATTAGGGTGTTGTAGCTGCATCAGGTAGTTAGTAAATGGCGCCCATCACACCTAGGCCTCAACTAGAGGGAGGGTCGCGTCTATCTTGTGAGGCAGAATGATAAAGAATAACACTATCATGATCTTTTAGTTCTTGAAGCTTCTACATGTCTACATATATGTGGCAGTCTCTCTGTATGCACCAGTAAATTCAGTACTGAGAGACACGAGAATGAGGATAATGAAATTGGTGATAACGAGGACGACAAGACCAACGAGAATCAGACCAGGAGAAGCAAGCGACGTGACCGTGATCCCAGCTAGCGTTATGGCTAGATGATGGGAGTGAGTAACAGGCAAGCAAGGCACAATTCCTTTTCTGAGCTGTGCACCCTAATTGACTGAAATATAGACTGGCAGCCCCTAAGGCTTCGAATTAATAAGTGTTATGTTTAACCCTAATCCTAGATCCTGTTGCTAAATATGGTAAAACTTGGAAGGAAATTGTCCAATCAGAACTATAAGTTCCGTGGGGGTGTCGCTAGATCACCACCCTATCTTTATTGTTGCTGCGGGCCAGAAGTAAATGTCATTACATAGTGGCTTTTCTAACTAAATCAAGAGAACCCCCCTATATTGCTCACCCTGCGATTTTCGGCCCATGTTACTAATGCAGCATAATCACGACAAAATCGTTCATTTCCCCAACCAGTAACTCCGCCTAGCATGCTGTCAACAGGCTCTAAAGAGGAGTCGGCTGCACACATCAGGCTCTGCCGCAGGTAGTCAAAACAGTGACGCATGTGACTCATTGTGTGTTCGGCGTAGTCGTCGTCGTCGTCATCGTCGTCTAGCCTTTCAGGGTCCATATGCATATGCGTGGATCTATAGTAGTTCTGATGGATAGACCACTATCTCTCAGAGGGGTAATTATGCATCTGTCAGTATATCAAGACGATCCGAAGGCAATGTAACTACCGAAGACGATGCAAACATGCGTACCAGGCAATGCAGTTGGTGCACTACAGACAATGTGTAGAGTTGTTTGCTGCCAGCAGGGTAACGTACAGTCCCTTGACCGACTTTGAATGACCCATGCAGACACAAATCAGTCTCATAAAATCACACGAATACTTGAAAGGTAATGCATCTCTCACGCGGAACAAGCGAGTCCCATGCCGCTTGTGTATTGCTATCAATCCCAGGATCAGCGCCGAAGGTCCGGTTGTATTGAAAAACCTTTCTTTGAATGGCGAGCGGAATCGTCGCTAAGGAAGAGAAAAGTTGTTAATTTGACAGTGCGTTTACAAATGGGTAAAACACACTACTTACGACCAGAATACGTCTCATTGCATCCACGGCTGAGAGTGGCTTGTCCAAGAAAATAGCCCACGCAGGTAAATAAAATGATAACCATCAGGCACAAGAGATGCTTGTCCATAGCGAGTCGGTTTTTACCGGGTGAAATTGAAGAAGAATCCTCATCTTCGCTGTTGGCCAATGCCTGATAAATGGCTTTGATGTTAGATGATCTCATTGTGAATCTTGGCTAAAGAATTCTTGATGAACAGTCGACACTGCCAAAAGTATCAATTCTAGATGTTGAGCCTTTGAACTTTGTTGTTTCTGAAGATGGCTGATTCGCGAACAGGTACATATGGTGTAGTTATCCATGGATATAAACGGATAAAAGGATTCAAATGTTGGCCCTACATGCAATCAGCCGGCCGTTCTTCAATGTCGTCAAATTTGGGTCAGCATGGATACCGTTTAAAAAAGAACTGAATAATGCATGGTACCGAACAAAATATACAATACACATCAGTAATTTCATGTTCTGACAATGATTTTTTTACATATTACCGCATCCCGGCAAGAGTAGGGGGGCTCTTGAGGATCGATAATGGCGATGTAACCCCGTTTTCTTCTCCCAAAAGTCTGATATTATGTCTTTGATGTGCTCATCGACATGAGGACTGTAATCATCTGATTTGATTGTATTGTTACGATATTTCATCCAAGGTTCATTCTCCAATATGGATGGCGTAAAGGAGATCGAGAGACGTGAGCCATTGCTTGGTGAAGATTGTATAGAAGAAAAATATAAAGAGCCTACTCATGGATTGCATTGGATATGGCTCTTACACGGCACGGTAATAGTCACTTACTCGATCTTCCTTTCGGGTGTCTTTCTTCTCAACGTGAATCGCAGCGCTTCGTGCGAAAAGGGCCGGCAGTCGCAGTCTTACCTTCCATGTCCGCCTGCTACTCTCTTCTCTTTTGAAATTGAATTCTAACGAAACAGTGGCAGTGCCTTCAAGGGAGGGGTTACAATGGGAAGACCGGCGATTTGAGACAAATATAGTAGACAACCCATTTGCAGGGCCACCTCGGGAGGAGTTGGAAAATGCATGGCACGACCTGTTGAAGAGTATGTCCGAATAGTCAACTTGTTAACAAGGCTTTGTTCTCACCTGTCATAGATGATAATATTCGAGTACCTATTGGATATCTCGATGAGAAAAACCTGACCACAGTCTACACCAAAGATCATGCCGAAGGGATTGCGTCTTTGAGCATCTATCATTCCTTGCATTGTCTGGTATGGTTCTGTCTTTTCTTAGAAATTGCCAGAGATATCATTGATGTCTATAGACTAATATGAGATATTCTTGCAGAAAAAAATTAAGCGCATGATGTTCAAGGAACATTATTATGCAAATAAGGATGAAACTTCTATGGCTCGCGAAGAAAAACACGCCGATCACTGCGTGGAATATATACGAGAGTCCTTGATGTGTCAACCAGATCTCTCGATGGTGACTTTTCGATGGATCAATAATACAGCTCAACATCAAGACCCAGCTGAGTTCTATCCGACAAACTTTGATGTTGATATCCACCGCTGTGCAGACTGGCAACATCTAGACCAGTGGGCCGGAGAGAGGGCATTTGATCTTTTCCAGGTTGATCTACTAGATAGGCCGGAATAGTTCTGAATATGTCCATGAACATGTTATGCGTGTGTAATGAAAAGAACAAATGTATTTCTACTTTGGCGACAATACCATGGAACATCCATGGATCTAAGTGTTTAACCAATTTGATCAGTCCTTTATTGCCTCAACAATGCCATCGGCCCCTTCCTCAATTGGCTCCCAAACCCTGACCACCCGGAGCCCAACGCTCTCCAGTAATTCGCTCCATTGTTTTGCCGTGCGCTCCATTCCGCTATTGAAGGCCATCATTGTCATATCCAACTGCGCCTGAAATTGAGGTGCGCCCTCTTCAAGCACTATCATCTCATGCAGCAAAAGTTTCGAGTAACCCGGCGTCATCGCAGATACTACTCTTCGTAGTATATCGAGGCAGTAACTGTCCGACCAGTCGTGAAGGATATGGTGGTAGAAGTAAACTCTTGCTCCTGTGTGGCTTAAGCTTGTATCCTCTCAGGATCGTCTTTCTGGAGTGAACGTACCTTTTACAGGCTGCTCAGTAAAAAAATCATACGCAACTTTTTCAATCACCGGATTCAAAGCATCAAGAACCTCTATCACCGGCGGTAGATCTTGCAGCACGAGTTTGCCGGCATGATCTGGAAATCTGGCGTGAAATGCCAACAAATCATGCCCCTTGCCAGCGCCAACATCCACGATAAGCGGCTTTTCTGGGTCTGCATTATCTAGAATCTGCGTTTGAACTGGGTACCAGTCTACCCAATAGCTGCGCGCTCCCATTGTGTTACCCATAAACGTGTTAAAGTCCTTGAGCAATGAGGGCGAAGAAGTGATACGCTCAAAGGTGGTAGCTTTAGTCAGAAAAGCGTGCTGCACGAGTCCATCTCTGGGATCAATCGGGCAGGAATATCCATGCTTGACGAGGTAATCCGGCGCCTTTTGCATTGCAGGAACAATCAATTGGGAGCTTTCTATGTGTTAGTTGCGTAAACAATTCTTTTTGGGATATTGAGCTAACATCATCCTGTGGCCAGCCGCAATTTCTTCTGTAGCCATGGCTGCCGTGATCTGAGTCGCCTTCCATGTTCGTGGTCCAGTCTCTTCAACAAAATGGGTGGCCGATAACGGTCGCATGAGACGTACTAGAATCTATTGTGTTAGGTGTGGTAAAGTTGGACAGTTCAAACTTAGACCAAACATACTGATCAACAACTCCTCGGCGCCGCATAACTCTGCTAGTCTCGTCGATGTCACCGGCCCTTCGTTCACAACGTGCCGGAATAGGTCCAAATCGACAGCAACTCGCGCAGCAACTGCAATCATAGGCTGGCAGTCTAGTCAGTAACAAATTTCCCGACTTCAAGAGAATGAGAGAGAATTTGAAAGCAGTACCGAGAATGCCATATCAACAGCCACGTTCTCTGACTGTTCCAGCTGGCTTGTAAGCTTCTTGCTCAAGCGCAAACACTCCTTTCTAGCCTCGTTGTCATTTCCATTCCTGAGACGCACAGAAAGAGAGTGCAGCTTGTCTATGATGCTGGCAGGGTCCTCGTTTTTGCTTTTGCCGTTTACAGTCATTGTGCTGGTTGAAATCTCAGGCTTATGAAGAACGAATATCGAATACTTGATACCACCAATTTTAATATCTTAGAGAATATAGGCGAGCGATGACAGTGTCGAATTTTACGAGTACCACATACGTATTGTTATGTATTGTTACGAAGACAAAGAAAACATCCATGTACTTGCATACATTATGTTACATACTCTCCGAACAACCCTGTAGAGCAGGACCCAGTGACTATCTGGGATGACAGCCTGAAAGACCTCGAGGCTTCTGATTTCTTTTCTCCTCCAATCGAGCTGAGTTGCAGGCATGTGCTGCAAGTGCAGCGTCCAGCGCCACCCTGTACTGCACATCAAGGGTGCATACAATTGCTATACTAAGAAACGATGTCTGCGTGTGCATGAATCCTGGTAGGCATAAAACACACCCCGGCTTTGGTGACCTAATCTCGAGTTATTTCCTATTCAACCTTTGAAGTCCGCCTTCACAGCATGGATGTAGAAGAGTCGAGTAACTAGAATGGAGGATACAGCCCTTTGTGAAACATGAGTTTCACTCATGAATTTTATAAGCCGCTGTATTTATTCGAGTCAAATCTTCATCTTTGCTGTTGAACAAACAACAAATATAGGCAAAGAAATGGTTTCAACTCTGGGTAAAGCTGTCTTGGCTATCGCCTGGGTTTTCAACGGTGTCGCGGCCCTGGTCGTAGCGGCCAGGTACTACGCGCGCATAAAGATTCTAAAAAGATTTACAATTGATGATGCGCTGATTCTTCTAACACTGGTGAGCTCGAAAACTACCTTGACTGCAGGAGAGAGAACTTAGTCGTGTGGCTGGCCTAGCTACTGGCTGTAGGAAATAGTGTTTTCCTGACAATTTCTGTCCACTGGGGATTGGGAACTCACATGGCCGCTCTCTCCGATATTCAGATTCAGAACACAGTAAAATGGGTGTTCCTTTGCGAGTTCTTTTCCATTCTATCACCCGGAATTGGCCGGATCGCCTATGCCTTTTTGCTGCTCGGCCTAGTTCCACCTGTTCAATGGCGGACTCGCTTTCTTTGGAGTATAATTGCCATTCAGTTTGTGGTCGACATTGTGACTATAATCATCAGCTTTGCTCAATGTAGGCCGTTGAGTACGTTCTGGAATCATGATGTTTCGGGGACATGCTGGTCTCCCTCTGTGCAACAAGACACGGGCTTCTTTCAGGGCTGTACGTTTAATACATGCACCGCGCGTGCCACATTCTTTCGTCTAATATTCATATATACTGACTAGCTCAATCAAGCTGTTTGCTCTGCAGTTGATCTTACGCTTGCTGTCTTTCCAGCGAGTATGTTCTGGAATCTGAACATGGAGCGGAAGAAGAAGATCTTTCTATCGTGCCTAATGGGTCTGGGTGTTTTGTGAGTAAGATCGATCGTCAAATTTGTTTTTTCTTTCAGCTAATGAATTAAATCCTCAGTGCGATGACTGCTTCCATCATAAAAACAATCGAACTAAGGGCGATAACAGCGGCCGCAGATCTTACCTACGCCATGGCTCAGCTTGCCATCTGGTGGACGCTAGAGGCCAATCTTGTCCTCATCGCAACCTCAATTCCGACATTGGGTCCAATAATTCGAAGACAACACCGCCATCCGTCGCCAGTACCAGACGGCAGCTCCAGATCATCAAAGGGCGGAGGTGCACAGGCGACCCGGCCGTGGCACGCGCTCTTCTATGCAAAACGGAGTAAAACTGAACGTGGCAGCTCTGAAGATCTTTGGCCAGGTGTACCAAAAGCATATGCTTTAGAAGAAAGTGTCAGCCGGGAGCAGAAACGGGGTATCAAAAAGACAACGACTATAGGTGTTGGGTATGAAGATGTCGATGCGGCGCCACTAGGTACAATCTATTGAGGGTGGACTTTTTTGTATCTCTTTGTTCCCTTTCTCTTTTTGTAGATTGGATCAAACAATCCATTGCCTCCATGAAAACATGCATCAGCAGACTAAAAGCAACCTTGCAAGTATCCCTGTTCGGATTGCCCGAGCCTGGTGATTAGTTGTACCACCATGGATGTTGATAGTGGGTTATATATTGTAATCTTTGCCCAATTAATTTGCTTCCACAAATTTTCTTTGTTGAACAAAACTACATACATCATCTGTCTGTTACTTAATATGCGGTAATTGACTGTCACGAAACTATTGATACATACCATACATCCCACCAGACCATTTTCTTTGTTCGTCACAAATTCAGCTCGCGCAAAAACTTCTCTTTTTAATCTTCAAATTACCTTCGTCAATGGAACAAGCAAATATATTCGAGCTTCCAGACCCTGTATCTAGGGAAGCAGGCGGCGATGCCGAAAAGAGCAGTCACATCACAACGTCAAGCCCGCCTGCTAAATCTGCTCCAGCTGAGAATTGGTTCGCATGGTTACAAGTTCTTGGGGCATTCTCCCTGAATCTAAACACATGGTATGTTTTTTTGATATACAGCAAGCCACAAATCGCCAATACCTGACGTTCAATTTAGGGGTCTCATGAACGCTTTCGGCGTATTCCAAACGTTCTATCAACTTGACCTCCTCTCCTCAAAGAGCTCAGCAGACATATCATGGATCGGCTCAACCCAGTCCTTCCTGATGTTTCTAGTTTCAGTAATTGCTGGCCCAATTGTCGATGCAGGCCATCTCAAATCGCTGTTGGCGCTGGGATCGTTGCTCACGATACTTGGCATGTTCATGACCAGTCTATGTAGTACGTACTGGCAGGTCCTTCTCGCTCAGGCTGTAACCATGGGCTTGGGATTTGGTTGTCTGTATGTGCCGGCGCCGACGATTGTGTCGCAGTACTTCCACGCCAGGACAGCGCTTGCGATGGGTGCGTCTTCGGCTGGTAGTGCTCTTGGTATGAATCCTTCCTTGATATGTAGAACATGGCAGTTACTAATGGTACACTGGTGCTTGCGGCAGGTGGCATTATATATCCCATTATCTTCACACATCTCCAGCCCAGTATTGGCTTCGGCTGGGCCACTCGAATCATTGCATTCATCATATTAGCAACACTAATACCTCCCCTCGTCTTGATGAAAGCCCGATCTCCCCCAACAAGCAACTACAGACTACTAGACACAAGCGCATTCAAAGACACGCCATACATTCTACTCAATCTCGGGCTCGTATTTGGCTTCATGGGCTTCTACATCATCTTCTATTACATCCAACTATACGCGCTTCAAGAAACCAGCATATCAAGCCTTGTCGCAAGCTATCTTCTCGTCATTATCAATGCCGGCTCTCTCCCAGGCCGCCTGATCCCCGGCTACTATGCAGATAGAATCGGTTCGATCAACGTGCAAACAACGGTGGCGCTAGTGGGTGCTATACTGACATTCTGTCTGATTGCGAACAAGAACTCCGCTGGGCTGATTGTGTACAGCGTCCTGTACGGATTTTCGGCTGGGGCGTTTATGGGCCTTCCGGCTGCGGGGGTGGTGAATCTGACTTCTGATAAGAGCAGAATTGGGACGCGTCTAGGGATGACGCTGGCATGTGTTGGATGTGGTGTGCTCGTTAGTAGTCCGATTGCTGGCGCTATTCTGAATGGGAAGGGAGGTTGGGTTGGGCTGGTTGTGTGGTGCGGGGTGTTGCTGACGGCGTCATGCATTGCTATGGCAGCCAGTAGAGTCTGCAAGGTGGGATGGAGAGCTGGAAGAGTTATTTAGGTAAGTAAATGGAAGTAATGCCTATAGGTAGATAGATGTTTACATGCTATAGGTAATGATCGGGTAGGGCTTAGGGCTGGGCTGCGGTCTGGTTGCATGATTCTTGACCTGTCATAGAATATGAGTTCTAGATTTTCCAGAGAACTTAGGTTTGAACAAGAATCATCGGAAGACCCAATTAAACATCTTTTCAACTCAGTTCTATACCATGTCCTTTTCAAGCCATCGTAGATTGTACCACTGCTCAAGTGCAAGAGTTTAGTTCTACCCATGAGAGACTTATCCGACCATTTCCATAACTAGATACGTATTGAATGTTCTAAAACAACTTGAAATAGAGATAGAGTCAGTTGACCAATCCTCGCTCTGTTGAATCTTGTACCTATCCTTGCCCCGCAGCCCTAGATCAATGTAAATCGGACAGTCCGACGGCCTCCGACGGGCCTCCACATCCATTGATATAGATCCGACCAGACGCTTCTCATAAACAATCTTAGAATATATTCTCACAATATTTCTCTATTCAACACTCTTTATGTTCTAGCAGCCAGCACAATGGGCTACTCACTTAAGAACCGAAACGTGCTCGTCACGGCAGGCTCTCGGTATGTTACCCTCGGCCTTTTCCCCGTGTTTCCCCCTCATCACTTAATTACTGATCTCTTTGCGTGATCAATAGTGGCCTTGGGGCTACGATTGCGGAAAAGTTTGCGGCAGAAGGCGCAAATGTAGTGATCAATTATGTATCGAGTGAGGATCGAGCGAAGGAGACGGAGGCGAAGATTAACTCGCAATATGCGGTTAAGACTGCTATTGTTCAGGGAGTATGTTCTTTTCTCTTCTTTACGAAAATATGAATGGCTGACCGTAGTCAGGATCTGGGAATAAAAGAAGACTGTGTGAGGGTTGTCAAGACAGCCATTGAAGTATTGGGTGGTCTTGATATTGTCATCTCAAACGCTGTCAGTCACATGCATCAAGCTCATGCGGCACATTATTGACTTGTTATGGTGATTCCAGGGCTGGACGAAATTCGCCAATTTCGCCGACCTCGATGCATTGGATGAGAATGACTGGGACAAGGTACGTTCAAGTGCCAATAGCTTAATGGATTGGTCCTTTCTGACACAGTCATAAAAATAGTGTTGGGCAGTCAATGTCAAGGGCCACATGCACACATTCCGTGAAGCCCTAAAGACCTTCAACGCCAATCCTGACGGAGGCGCATTCATCATCACGGCTTCTATAGCAGTAGTATGAGACCTGAACTATTCCAGCGCAGCAGAGTACTAATATAGACACAAATAGGGTATGATGCCTGGTGGAAGCAGCATGCCATATTCAGTCACGAAAGCAGCTTGTAAGTCTTCAAGACTCTTGATAATTATTAGGGTTATTAGGGTCTGACTGACAATCACATTGTAGTACTGCACCTGACGAAATGTCTCGCCAAGTCACAAGGACCCAAAGTTCGGGTGAATGCCGTCTGTCCTGGATTGTTGTTGACTGAATGGGTAAGCATGCTCGAGATTATAAGTGCTGTGTAAGTATCGATGATTGACATGACTTCAACCAACAGGGCAGCCAATTCTCGGAAGAGTATGTGAAGAACCACATCAATCAAACAGCACTGAAACGAGTGGTCAGTAGATATACACTAAAAGAAAAAGCTGCCTTAGCTAACCTGACAAAAGGCCGAATTGGATGATACCGCAGACCTATACATATCCCTCGCTAAGAACGCATCCATAACCGGCCAGTCACTAGCTGTTGGTGAGTTCATGCCATTCTGTCGGTGTCAAGAAGACAAACTGACTGGCGAAAATGACAGACGGAGGCTACGCTATTCTCTGAACACCCAGCGAGTCTGTAGTACGAATACATACACATGCATCCAAACATACACTACTAGAAGCAGACTTACAATTCAAGCTGCGTATATGAGTATAATAGTATTGTACAAGGGTATCTAAGCACTCAAAGAAAATTCCTAAAAAACATGCTGATCTCGGAATCCCCAATTTCAAGATCCTCAAGGTCGAACATACGGGCCTTTTGAGCAGCGATAAGTGCATCATTGAACCTTTCCCCCTCAAATTTCAGTTTTTTCAGATGCAAGAGCTTCTTATCTGCACTGTAGACGTACAAAGCTTTGTCGTGGGCCTTCCTTTGGTTAGAACCGAGGGTGAAAGGAAACCCGGGACAGGATTGCATTCGATCACTTCCCGGAACACTGTCCGGTGAGACCTCTTCGATTTCATCAAAAATAACCCTCTTGTTGTGTGGTTGTTTTAAAAGTGGGTTATGTTTCTCTTTATCAGACAGCTTCCGGGCAAAAGCTGCGCAGGCGATGCTCCACAGGGGTCCCAAGACTCGTTGTCGCCGTTGAATCTCAGTCCAGGTCCATTCGTTTCATTTAATATGAGAATCCTGCGGTGTTATCTTCGCCGCGTGCGTGAGGTCTTTGGCGTCAGATTCTTTGAATTGAGACTTGACACCCTTCAACGGAGGAACGAATACGCGATGCCGGATGCCATTGACCAGCATTTCCGCACCCTTTGGTGCAAGAAGGCCCAACAGCTCCGGTACCGTGCATGAATCTGGATTTGGAATTGTGATTCCCGGGGCAGGTGTTTGGTCGAGTATCATGCCTTGGTCGAAATGTTTATGGTGGAGAGTTTGAAGCGTTATACCGGTTGTAGTTTTCCCGGAGAGGAGGGTGTGATGTAGAGGCGCCGGACCTCGTAGGCTAGTTTCGTATATTAGCTGAGATCAGCGGCCAGTTATGTTTGAAGGTGGATTACTCTGGGAGTAATGAAGGATGGACATTGACTCCTCCGTACTTTGCAGCCGTGAGTAATCTGGAGGGAACGAAGAGGCCGAAAGACACGGCGACAATCAGGTCAATAGGTCCATCTGGGGGCTATTGGAAATAATTTAATCACATTTCCTATCACATGGATATGACCCTCAACTCACAGTCCATCCCCTGAAGGTGTCTAGTTCGTGTATCCTAAGGCCAAGCTCCGAAGCAGTCGACTTGATCGGAACTATACCACCAACCCTGATCAGCAACGTCACTATACTGAGCTCAGAAATTGCCAACCTTCGCGAATCTGCTTCAACCCTCGTCCAACCCGTTTCCCCGGTCGACAAACAACGTCAATGGACTTGATGGATTGTGGTGCTTGTAGCTGTTCGGCATGGAGAGCTTTCAGGGAAGCAATGCTGAATTCGTCGGAGCCGCAGAAGAGGATGCGAAGGGGATCGATTGGCTTGTCGGAGTACCAGCGACGGCCATTTGCGCGGTTACATCGAGCTTGAGTGCGCAGTATGAGTAAAGCAGAGTACATATAAGTCGACATTCTGGTCTGGTCTCTGAGCCAGAAAGAAAAGAAGTAGGACACGTGCGAGCGGATCTCGACGCCGGAGCTTTCTGGCAGCGCTAACCCTCAAGCTCTCGGATTCTCTCCACATTCAACTTCATGGATGACGTTGCGCGACAACCTTGATCGAACAACACATATTTCACTCGAAAGCAAGGACACATGCTGATATAGAGAAGCAGTGGTGCGCACCAGACGCGATATGATTGACCACGAATCTCTCTCCGTCATCCCCGCGCAAGTCGGCTTCCTCACCATCTACAACCCCTCCTTGGGGACGACAGACGAAACGCTCCAGGACCAGATCGTCTTCTACTATTCCTCGTCACAACAGGCTAGTCGGTCATCGAACAGCGCAAATGCTTTGTCAACCAGCCCTGACCCCGAGCAGCAGAGGAGCAAGGATGACACAAATGAGAGATTGCGCAAAATTGGCCTGGCGCAGGGCATGGTAAATTTTGCAAAGTAAGCTTGTGTGCCTAGGGATATCTAGAAAGCAGGATAATGGGCTGATGCTTGTTGTGTTCAGAAATTTCTCCAATGGCCAGCCTGTTGATCATGTCGAGACTGAAAAGTCGCGGATTGTTCTCAATGAACTTAAAAGCGACTGGTGGATACTAGCTGTGAGTGATAACGACACTGTACGGTTCTTCGAAGCTAATCGTTTCTCTACAGTCCATAAATCTCACTCGAATATCATTTCCTAATACCGTCAATGCGTCTTCCAAAACCTCTCCTTCAGTCGAGTACTCTTCGCGAGAAATATACCCTCCTCGATCCCTAATCCAACAACTCCGACGAGCGCATGCGATATTCCTGTTACACCATGGCGATTCATTGAGCACCCTCTACCAACGTATTGGAAGAGACTCTTTCTGCAAGCTTCTCGGTCGCTTCTGGAACAGATTTGTCCGCCACTGGCTCGTACTCCTCCACGGCAACCCGGCCGTGGATTTATTCAATGGCGTGAAACTGGCTGTGGGCGGAGAACTTGGGATTGGCATCCATTTCTTGCAATTGCGCAAGATCCATGGTATTTGACGTACCTTGGTTTGTCGTATACCTTTGGTCTTCAGCAACACACATGGTTCAAGACTCCGTTGGAGCAGGGTAAAGGAAGAAAATTCTCTGAGAGAAGCTAAGCAATAGCATGTTTTCATTAATCATGTGAATACAGCCGTTTGCTACTCCGCTCTGAAAGAGTCACGGGCTGGGAAACAATTTTTAGAGATGTCTTTAACAGATACGAGAACGTGACATTTCTCATTTCTCAATGCATTGAGTCTGCTGAAATAGATCAAAATAAGTACGTAAATCGGTAATATTTAAAGCATAAGCCACAATGACCAACCACATCGCCGTTTTCTTTGCTTGGCCCCAAGAACTTTTGGGAACACTGACGGGACGTCGGTGCCTATTTGGGCATGGCGCCACCTAGGCGAGGGCGATATCCCTCGCCTAGGAGAGCTCGCACAGTAGTTAGTTAGCTAGAGACAACATCACCAATACGAGACGTATTGATAGGCCCTCATCAAACACTACTGTAAAGATAGTACCAATGAGGACCCCCTGTTGGTATATATGTGCAATCGAAATGCCTGAATGAAATGAAGGGTAAATAAAAATCTCTGCCAGGCGCGTCCGCGACACCCCAGCGCTGGGTCACGTGCTGCCGCCGCCGCCGAATCTGGGCTGCTTGCAAAAAACTTGCACGTGATCTTCACGTGATTAGGGCTGCTCCTTGCGAATCTTCGCTATCTCCAAAAACCCGGTGTACGGAGTAAAGTAGATATGCAGGATATCTGCACTATTCCGATAGTCTCGCTACAGGCTCCAATCATTGAGTCTAAGGATTTTCGTTATTACGCTGCCGATGCCACTGCCAGAACTCTTTTTTTTCTAATAATTCTTAGTACCCAACAAGGAGTACCCGGCCCAAAGAGGCGTGGATTCTGCTACTTCCTGTTGTATATAGTATCTTGTGCTGGAAGCAGGAAAACTGACTCTGTTGTGTGTGTCTCTCTAGGAACCTAGGTTCCTAGGGACGAAGATATCTAGCTACCGGCGCGCTAACTACATCAGGTAGGCGGTGCTGACTATCTAAGGGCAGAATCCCAACACATGATCACTTTTAATATATGCCATCAAACATCTCTCTCCGCGTGAATCGAATTTTTGAAACTGCGCGCCCAGATCCGGCCGGAAACGGCTGTAAAATTAGCAGTTTATTCCTCGAGTCAAGAGCTATCGATCGAGCCTAGTTTTACTAGGTAAGACAGTGGCGATGGCTCTGGGTGCTGTTGTAACTCCCTTGTCGGGTGAAAATCTCGTTCTGCAAGGCGTACACGTACGCGCGATAGAGTCACAATAACAATAGCAGCAGCAATTACATAAAGCAGCTATCAAGCCAATCAAGCAGCGTATCAATAAGATACTCAAAATTAGAATCACGAGAATAGAGCAACTCGAGCAGATGGCAGACCTCATGCTACAACAAATACAAAGCAGCCCTAAAGATGCGCTCAACGAGCTCTTACTCAGAGGCTTTGTCCAGCAAATCAAAACATTCGCATCCTCGCAAGGCGAGCGTATAGATGTGCTTACAGATCTCAAGCAGCTGCTTGAAAGCGTTCAACAGGACACTACAGCAATACATATAAAAACAGAGCATGCATCTAAATCAAGTGTTATAACAGGACTATCTAGCGATTCTGCTATCCTCTGGAAGACTTATCAAGCGTAGGTATGGCAAGCCAATGTATAAACAGCAAGCGCGAGCTCGCCTCAATCCCAAAGCGCGGGCTTATCTACCCCTGGTGTTAGCTATGCAGAGCTAGGCATGGATTGTAAAATTATAGTGAAGATTTAGGACAATTCTGAACGTACAGCATACGGAAGCTGCAACCCATCGATATCATGAAGCGTGCTGAACGAGCCAGGGCTCTTGCAGCGAAGAGCACTCTAAGCCTACCTCTAGCTAGTCACGCTTTTATCGCTGCACGACAGCTCCCATCAGGAGATATCAGCCTCTGGGCTCAGAGCGCTGCTAGCGCTGAGGTCCTCTGCTAGTACTGCAAGAATTGGGTTCACGTGTTCAGGAAGTCAGTGTACGTACTTCCTCTTGTTGATGGGTCCATATCTTTATTTAGGATCAGACGGAGTGTCTCGTGGATTGTCTGCTGCTGGTATAATCGATGTATACCTTCAACAAGGTTTTCTAGTCGTGCCGTAGTCTGGTGGTTGCACCAGGAATTTATAAGCTTGATCAATTCCTTCGCTGCCGTTACGAACGACATGACAACTGTTTTTGTGTGGATTCCTGCTATTATCAAGACGTCTGGTGCAGTCGATAGCTTCAGAAAGGCTGTCTTTAACAGACTTTCTAGATCGCTTCCTGCCTGGTATTAAACCTAGTCGGCTCAAGATGCGAGATGTGCACATGGACACTATCGCGGTAAAAACTTCATTTTCTGTGCTGGAAGCATCACGCTCGCCTTTTCCTGTTAGAAGGGAGACATTATTCACATTAAAAATGTGTTTCTTAACTTACCATCAAGTCTTCCTGCAAGGATATGAAATATCTTATCGAAACCTTGTTTCAAGTCACGGAGAATGTTGGTGCCATCGTTGAACCCAACTCTGTTGACAGCGAGAAGGATTCCCATACAGTTTGAATTAGGTTCCTCTACAACACAAACCGCAGGTATATGATCAGTGTCGTCTCGTATGCTCCAAATGAAAGCTAGCGTACCAGCCAAGCTGCGTTCCTTATCCATGGGCAATGTGTACGTATAGCTTTGAGAAATAGATAGACAGCTGGCAGGATTTTTTTTGGCTGTACTGGCACAAGATGCAAAAGTGACAACAAGGAAATATTTTCAACACCATCAATTTGAAGGGTTTCTTTTTTTATCATTGTTGTTTTCACGCGGGGTGTGGTGGAACAGACCAGCCGTTATCCTGAAGGAAGGGTTAGTTTTGTAAATTTTCAAGGAAAAAAGAACACACTCAAACGACAAGGAGTGTGGTACGACGATGGAACAGTTGGTTGTTCACGACCAGACTGTTGAACTCCTAGCTGGGTGGACTTCGGAATCTGGAAGGTTACACAAGTATTTCAATCAGGACGTAACCCCTCATTTTTCAAAGAAAGACGACTGCATTCACCTGCCACATCAGAAATACACATGCATCAGCCTTGATCATTTTCTAGCTACAGGGACTGATTTATAGGGACTGATGACAATAGTGACCTCTATACTCTAATTGCTAATCAATGCAAATATTGCAACTTCGTGCTCCAATAGACCTGAATACTGCCTTTCGACCTCCCCGGGAAACGTTCTTGGAACCTCTTCGCTATCACAGACCACGGCGAGCCAGCTTCCTTCAACTGCACGAGAAGCTTGATCTCATCGGGTTCCCATGATTTACCCTTCCTGGACTGTTGATCTTTTGCCGACAGCGAGTCACTTCTGCATCGTTTGCGGGGGGTGTCGCAATTAATTTCATCGCCAGTCGCCTTTTCGATGGTAACCGCCGTGTATCTGAGTTTGCGTCAGAAACAGGTGCGGAATCCTCGACAATCTGAGCATGTCTATGTAGCGCTAGTGATTTCGGCGACGTAGGATACGATGAGCCAGAGCAGTCAAGCGCAACATTCTCATCCGCATTTTTCTCGCTCACGCTTTCTTTTCCGAGTATTGCTGGGTCGATGGGAATAACTTCCTCAGCTGGTTCGCCTACCGTCACATCAGTTCAGCCGGCTTGGTAATCGCGGAATATGTCTACAACTCACGAGATACAGATACAGACCATTCCCGCTGGCCGTTAATGTTCCCCTGTGATAAAGCTTGTGGTGACTCGTTTGTCAGGTCCTCGTTTCCCAATTCCTCGTCGCCCGATAACGAGAACATATCGAACAAGGATACCGGCTCCTTGCCATGGATATATACATTAAAATTGGTATCGTGACTGAAATAAGGATCGATCGGTTGTGGTGCTTGCTCGATCGCCATGTCACATCTTGCGACAGGTAGAGCAACGTTAGAGCCAACTTTATTCTTGCGTGATACGCGTTTCGAAGGGTCTTCAAATATGATATTATCCATACTGTCTCGGAAAAGCAGAGACGTATACGAACAGGACGATAGCGCAAATGTCTGTACTTGTTGCGAGACAGGCGGAATACTGAGGGTTTATGTGGTTCAGGAGACAACCTAGTCACGCTCTTTCGGAGCGCCGTCGCTAGGAGCTAAACGTACTGCCTGGCACCCAACCGAGATGGAGCGAAACGCTGGCGGGGACGCTGTCGTACGTTTCCAACTAGCAGTAATGCATCATTTTTGCTATTGGGCGAGCGAAAAGCAAGAACGACGGCGTCTCCAGTCCTGCGTCGATACAACCTCAGAGAGGACCGAGCGCATCGCCATTGGCCTCCAAAAACAGCTCATTTGCTATGTAAAGGAGGGTTCCTCGTGACAGTCTCAATGCAGGCGCTCAAATATCAAGGGGCTGTGCAAGATGGCTTCAATGCTCCAAACCAGCACCATTGGGATCATGTATTTCCATTGGCTCCTAGCACTAGTTCAGCCCCTGATTCGCCGCACCAACACATTTCTCCCTTTCCAATCACGAAACGATCGGTAATGACCGGCGACGCTTCGAACATGCAGGTCTCAATTTTGGTGCAAGGCAGGCCGACCTAACGGAGCATTTGGTCCACAATCCAATCAACACGATCGATATGTAAGTTCCACGTCAGCACTGCGTCGTAATCGCTGAGACAATGGACAGACCAGGTGACATCGTCCACTTGGCGCATCCAGCCGGGCTGGCTGAAAATGGGGAGTTGGGACAATGGTCATGAGACAAGGCAGAATCCGGCCAAAACCGGATTCGATTCACAGCAGCTCCGCGGCTAGGGAGGGTTTGGCGTGGAGAGAATGCACAAGAGAATTCGGTATGAGTCGAAAAGATCAGCGCTGTTTGAGGCCCAAGGACGATGGAATCCTGTCAGCTGGCCGTGTAGTGCGAGCTTTCCGAGGAAAACAAGGGGCTGAGACTGAGGCTAAGACCGAGTTCAGGCGAGACCTGGAACGAAAGCATGGATCTTGATGTGGGCATCCAGTTCAGGAGCTGAATGATCAAAAACCAAAAATGAGACACGGCATGAAATGAAAAGTGGGTTGATGAGAGCAGAAATGCCAATCACCGGTTGTTGTTGCACTCCGGGATTGAGCGGTGGCGGATCACGCGGCAGGACTGAAAAATCAGTCCATGAGACCGAAGGGCGCCTGTGACGGAGGAGAAAAAGAGGAAGTAAAAAGAGGTTGAGTTAAAACAGCGAGGGTTGCTCGTATTTATAGATGGGCAGCCGGTCTCGACGCCATGCCCGAACGGGCGGGCCGCTAAACCAGACCGGGCCCCAGCCGCCGCACCAAACCTGATCGGGCATGGCGCTAAACGGGAAGCGGAAAACGGCCCCGGTTTCACCAGGACGAAGATTATTAGATTAGAAGTTCGATTTCATACTTTATTTAGAGTTATTAACGTAATCCACAAGCGAGCCGCCACTTTTTCCCGAACCCGTACACGATATTGATTTCAAATAATTCAACACGTCAATATGCCACCAATTCGCAATAAAAACCCAAAAGATTTAGTTGAGCAAGAAGGCCGAATCTTATTAGCAATTTCCGATTTTCAGAATGGCAAAATCTCTACAATTGCGCAAGCTGCTAGGATTTACAATATCCCTCGTACGACTCTCCGAAATCGACTACATGGCACTCAACAAAGATCTCTCGTACGTGCCAACAACCATAAATTGACTCAATTTGAAGAGGAATCACTTGTTAAATGGGTCCCTGACTTAGATAGACGTGGATTACCTCCCCGCCACTCTCTCGTACGAGAGGTGGCTAATCATCTTCTCTTACAGCGCGGCAATCAACAGGTTGGAGAAAATTGGGTATATAATCTGATTCAACGTCGCCCAGAGATCGAGTCAAAATTTTCACGGAAATATAATTATGAACGTGCTAAATGCGAAGATCCAAAGATAATCCAGGAGCATTTTGATCGCGTACGAGAGGTTATATCTGAGTATGGAATCTTACCGGAAGATATCTATAATTTTGATGAGACTGGCTTTGCTATGGGACTCTGTGCAACTGCAAAGGTTATTACCGGAAGCGATCGATATGCTCGGCCAAAGCTTTTACAGCCTGGAAATCGAGAATGGGTGACTGCAATCGAGGCAACTAATTCAACTGGTTGGGCTCTGCCTTCGTACGTTATTTTCAAGGCGAAGCAATATACTCGATTAGGCTGGTTTGAGGATCTTCCAAGCGATTGGAGAATCAATATTAGTGAGAATGGATGGACTACAGATAAGATTGGATTAGAATGGCTTAAAATCCATTTTATTCCTCTTACAAATGGCCGTACAATGGGAAACTATCGAATGTTGATTCTTGATGGCCATGGAAGTCATTTAACTGCTGAATTTGATCGTACATGTACTGAGAATAAGATTATTCCAGTTTGTATGCCTCCTCATTCCTCACATCTTTTACAGCCTCTTGATGTTGGCTGTTTTGCTGTTTTAAAGCGACATTATGGGCAGCTTGTTGAGCAGCGAATGAGGCTTGGATTCAACCATATTGATAAAATCGACTTCCTCGCTGCATTCCCAGAGGCTCGTACAATGGCATACAAAGCTCAAACTATCCGGAATAGCTTTGCAGCAACTGGATTAGTACCATTTAATCCAGATCGAGTTCTTCAACAACTTGATATTCGATTAAAGACCCCAACACCCTCTCCAAGTCGATCAAGCAATACACAATCATCCTGCTTACAAACCCCTCAAAATCCACGTCAATTCAAGCGCCAAATGACTATATTTAAGAAGCGAATGAGCCGGCGTACGAGAAGTCCATCCCAGGTTACTGATGAAGTAGTTATGCGGATATCAAAGGCCTATGAAATGACTGTGAATGATCTTTTACTCGTACGGAAAGAAAACCATGATTTACGAGCTGCGCATGAAAAAGAGAAGCAAAAACGTCAAAGATCTAAGAAACAGATATCTAGTAAGCAAGGGATTACTAGAGAGGAAGCCCAAGCACTCGTACAAAGCCAGGTTGAGGTATCCCAAGCCGTTACTACTACTCCAGGTGAGCCTGAGCTCCCAGCTTCTCAACCAGTCGTACGCCGCCAATTTCGCTGCAGTGGTTGTGGTGTTGAAGGACATAAATAACTAGATGTCCTAATTGTACTAGTAATTAATTTGTATATAATTTGTATGTGGGTTAGAAATTGAGATTTGGAATCAATATCGTGTACGGGTTCGGGAAAAAGTGGCGGCTCGCTTGTGGATTAACGTACTACACGGGTCATTCGGCCACACGGGTCATTCGGTCACCCGCAAGTCCCATACAAAATGACCTTCTTTAACATCTTGATTTCTCAACGGATTCATATATAAACCATATCTTAGACTTTACGCATGATTCGCTATATGAATCCTTATCAGAAATGTTAATTTGGAAGTGCGCCTCTTCTATAAGTCTTGAGATACTAGAAACTAGCCAAGCTATTAATGTAAATTCAATGACAGAGGGTTCTTAATATTTTTAGAGTTTTTAAATCCAGATATATTATAAGATATATTCAACTTTTAGATACGGTTTATATATAAATCTGTTGAGAAATCAAGCTGTTAAAGAAGGGTGACCGAATGACCCGTGTAGTACGTTACGTTAGGGTTGTTGGCTTAGCTAAGCTGATCTGGCCAATCAGACAGATGAGATTTGTCAGCCAATAAGAGCGAGCCACAAACTGATCCACCGAATAGGGGGTAAAGATATCTTCCACCTTTACTGTACTTAGAGACAAGAACAATGACAACAAGGATCAAGGATTCCATACTTTTTGCATACATAATTTGATACGTTGAGATATACCACTTGAGATTGTTACGTACAATCCAACAAGGGTCAATAGGCACTTAACTTAATTATCAAAATTTGGTAACGTAATCCACAGGTGAACCGCCACCCCAAGTGAGTTGCCATCATAATACGCATACAAAACCGACACTTTTATAACCCCAATATCCTTCAAAAATTATATATAAATAGCTATTTAAAATAAGATAAGTATTAAAGAATAGTCTAGAAAGAGATATATTTATATTTTTAAGAGTTTTTATAGCCCTGAATCTAGAATTATGTTATATTAGTATAAATTACAGATATTGTAATGTAATTTTTGTAATTCTTGTAATTATAATAGATGTGGGTGCATAAAGCACGTGTACACGTTAATGTACGTACGTACGTAGGATGGTTAGCAGGTACTGCAATTCTGTATGGGTTCAAATGTGTATGATTGTAGCTATCTAATTCACGCCCCGACGCGGTCTTACATCCCTCTATCCTAGACGAGGTCACGTGAGGCCCTGCGGCTCAGTGCGTCGGAGTGAGGCATCTCGATTGCTTCCACAAACCAACAATAGATATTATATCCTTAGGGCTTTATACTAATACCATACGACTAATAATATATATATTTTATTTTCAACTACTATTTCTATATAATTTTTGGAGAATATTGGGGTTATAAAAGTGTCGTTTTTGTATGTGTATTAATGATGGCGGCTCGCTTGGGGTGGCGGTTCACCTGTGGATTACGTTCACATAGTACTGCCTTATTGGAAATAGTTCAATTGATACATTTTCCTTCGTATTACTCCCGGTAGGCCCGCTCTCAAGATTTCGGTTCTCCGGGAAGTTCGACCTTTTTTGCTGAACACAGGTAGCAAAATCGACTAACAGTATACTCGATCATTTCAAATGAACACGGCCAGGGATTAATCCGCGTCAGTGTAAATACGCTTGCAAAAGATGGCTCCCGAAGACCAAGGAAAACAATTTGTCTTCGTTGGCGGGCCTATGCTGATTGGGAAGTCCAAAGACGGGCTTCGATCGAAACTCGCCCGAGAAGGGATGCGCGAGAAGCGTCTGGAGGCACGGAAAATTGCGATGGCTGAAATAAATAGATTACTCAGTGAGAGGACAACAATAACAACAACAGCAGCAACTACTACTACTACTACCACCAAATGTAGCTGTCGCCGTGAGTCCAGAATTGACGGGCCGGCTGTTCGCTGCTCGTTCTGTAGCAGGAGGAATATTCGCCCCTACTACTACCCCTGGTTCACCGGCGACGGCGACAGCAGCTCGGTATACGACCTAGCCTCTGGACTTCTAGATCCCATGATGCCTATTAACGAATTGACTTCTCGGCTTAAGGTGGGGTCGATCTTTAGTTTTGCCTGTAGGCACATCTTTCCGAACCTGCGTTCGTTGGATATGGCTGGCATTTATCAAACGTGGGCCTTTCCCTTCGACGACGATGAGCTGAAGTTATACGCCTTCCTCTGGTCTAGCAAATACCATGAGAATTTGATACGTCTAACGTACGGAGCACCGGAGGATCCAGCAGCACTAAAGGAGGAACTCATCCTCAAGGGGCTCACGTTAAGAGCATTACGGAAGGAAGTTGGCAACTATACAGGACAGAAGCCCATCGATAGCATCATTAGGTGCATGCTTGTCCTCGCCGTTAACGAAAAGGACAGCGAACGGATATACAGGGAGCCGAGTCCATTTGCGCCCGTGTTCACGGGGCTTCACGGTCTCGAAGTTTACGGTGGCCGTGATTTCAGTCCTCTCCATTGGATGGTAATGTACAAGCTGCTTCAAAAGCAAGGGGGGATCAAGAAACTTCGCCTTTTTGCGCTGGCGTGGCACGTCTCTGCCTCTGATCTCACGAATGCAGCGCATACCCTCCGAAAACCACTCTATCCCATAGTCGATGTTTACGGGCAGAAGCTGGACTTGGATCCTCCTCTTTTACTATTTGCACCATACGGATGTGGTCATTCTTGGGGTCAGCGGAAAACACCGGGATCTGGCTTCAACGAACTCCTTTTTATGGAGCAACCGGTGCACGGTGAGCTTGTAATAGTATTCTGTCACATTGGCGAGCTGTCCTATGTCATTGATCACATGTCAACACAGTCATGTGACGCTCAACTGCTTGATCTCCTTGGCGACAGCCGAGATCTCGTTCACCACCGACTCTTCTCCCAACCAAATGAGGACGACACATCCGATAAAATCCTGCAGCGGCTCGACAATGGTCCATCAATCGGCGACACACACAAAGGATGTTTGGAGCTGTACCTGACCTGTCGCCTTGCAATGCTCTTATACTCCGCCCACGTTACATTCCCAGTTCCCCGGTCAATAGCTGTGAGACAGCGGCTGCTCCGTTCACTGTGCCCTAAGCTTCAGTCTTTCGCAGTTCAAGGCTTTTCAAGCCCATTGCTCTTGTGGTGTACAAGCGTGGCACTTATCGCGGCCTATGGAACAGAACATTTTGATGAGGTTCTCTTGCTATTTAAGAAGCTCTGCTGCGCCTTGCAGGTGATGAGTCTGGAGAAGTTGCTGGAAATCCTCTGTTCGTTTGCCTGGGTGCACGCCACAGTCCAGCATCATTATCCGAAAATGAAAGGATATTTTCTGGCGAATTATGAAGATACTTGAATATGAAATGAATGAATTAATGAAATCCATAAAACTGATTTTTTGTTGTTAACTAAGCGTGACAATATACCCATCCTCAAGAGAGCACCATCAGAAAAAGCGCACGCGCATTCTATCTGATTATGCTGATGAAGATCGGCAAAGTCTTCGGCGAGGCCCAGTACTAATGTCGAGATAGTCATGGCGCGTATGTCCATACTTCTCAGGATTATATTTCTAGTAAAAAGACGAATATTCCAAGGGTGAATTCTCTACTTCTACATGTCACAACTCGTCTACGAGTATCTTCCTCAAAATCATCTTGAATGTCTGTACTACCACGTTGAATGGTATGATTCGTGCTTCTGAAGACTCGTACATGTCATCCCTTTGCAATTTTGAGAGCGAATTCACTGCGGGAGTCGGCCCTTTATTCAACGCTCACACCGGGCGGATTTTGACCTTGGGAGAATAGAGATCTGATACTTTGTAAAACTGTATGTCTACTACCGAGGTGGACGAGGATACGGGTCGTACCTTAGAGATTCTACTACTCAAGTCTAGAAAATCCTCCAGCTAGCGGACTGTCTGTAATTGACGTTGGATCATGCATTCTGGGAGCGGCTGAAATATTCACTCAGAGCGAGGTGGAATTGGGTACATTCCGTCAGAGCGTGAGCTTTGAAACAAGCCGCACCGGTGATGGCCCCAAAACGAAAACCCCTCGCAAGCAAGCCAATTCGAGTTTAGTTTGTACTGGTTTATTTGGAAAAATGGTGCGTATACAGTATTTGCTGGGAGAGACTCTAGTTTTCTTCCAACTAACGGGATGCTAATCATTTCATCGACTTGGTGAATATATATAACGGAGCCAATCTGCTCTTGAATTTTAAAGTGGGCGGCTTTATATCAAAGGATTTTATCTGTATACTATGGCTTGGTGTGCGATTCGGGTCTTATGGCAAATCTTAGGCAGCCAGCATTGACCTCCAAAGTTGAATTATTATTGGCCACAACTAGTAGTACTACTGTCTACAATCTATCAATGGTCAATTTCATCGGGATAAATCGTAATAGAGGCCCAGTAGAAGAGAAATTTAATAATAAAGCAGAAGCGTGAACAGGAGGCTTTATTAGTGGTTCTTGCCATTGATTCGGCATCCCGGGATGCCAAAAACTAAATCGTGTTTCTAATGGTAGTGTGGTCCTGATGAAGGATCATAGCCTGCTATTCTATGACGTTCTAGATGCTAGGAGCGACGCATCATGGTTTACTGATGCTATTGCCTCTGAATGAATTTTCTTGTGGTTGTTAACTTTCACGTGCGTGAGAGGATAAAGGGAAGCTGGTTACTCTACCACTCCACTGTAATCATAGGTATAAAAGGACCAATTTTCATGGAACCGGTGCATTTCTCGTCACTTACTCATAGCCGGGCAGTTACATGATAATACATCATGTTACAGTAGTCTAAGCGGTCTCGTCTGACTGTTAGTCCGGAAAACGGCTTCGAGTCAACCTCATGGGTAAATGTTCCTGACAAGCCCCGAGTCCCTGCAACCTCGAGCGGCAACAACCTTCAACTTCAAACGGGAACACTTTGCGACTCTGATCGGGAATCACTAAGTTAAACGTTATTCAAGTACTAGGATGTGGAATGGGATTTTGATGCCCCAAGCCTCTAGAATCGGAGACGGTGCGCATGACTATGCAAATATTAAATACCAGTAAACATTTCAGATAGGAAATGTATATTAAATACCTTTTTACAAATTGTCGCTACCGCGATTCAATCCATGGTCTTGAATTGCTGAATTTTGGCCAAGGATATTCCGGGCCTCTCATAATGCAGATATACTTCATTTCCACAGACCGAAATATCCATGAGATTCAACAGGCTGGGATGACTGGTTCGCGGCACAGGATTGGATCTTCCGTCCACAGCGTCAAGGTCCATTTTTTGCAGAAAGGTCGGTCGGCAAGTGACGTCGCCTATCTCCATTCCATAGAATCCGTCTCTGTATTTTTCTGGGAAAAGTTGATAAGAATTGTATCAATTCGGGAATATGGAGACTTTTTGGAACCGTCCACTAGTGACTGAATAGTCTTCCTCTCGTGAATAATCTCTTTATTATTGGAGTCTTGGGCCAGACTCAATGTATCACTGGACACCTTATCCACAGAAATAGATAATCCACCACGTATGCTCATTTTGAGTCAGTTAGGCTCACCATGATCTGAGAAATAGTTGTGTAGCCATGGGGAGATGGGCGGTTTATATATCTCATGTCAAAGCTCTCCTTGGAGATCTTCAAGAACGTGACTCCTGACCTAATTACGAACAGTGAAAAAAGAACAAAAGCCCAAACTCTGAGAACGACGCATTTCAATTCTTGCTTCATCCTAGTTATGAGTCTCGTTAGGGCTAACGTCAAACGATAACAATTCTGACTCAACAACCTAAAGGGAGCAATCCACCAACACCAAACGAAACGAACCCGCATTCTCAAATTGTACCAGTAGGAATCAGGGGTGTAGATACACTCAAAATTGGGGCGACCGTTTTGAAACAGCCATCTTCGAGAGTCGTATGCTCGTAATTTAGGATCACTATCCGTTCCCATTTGATGTCACCACTGTTCCCGTTTGGGATCATAAAATTCTGTGTTTTAGAAATTTGTTGTTTAATTGTCAAATTGGCGTTCCATCGTAAACAAACAAAGCTGCACTGAGATAGCAAGATAGAGAGATTGGCCAACGTAAGTGGAGGTTGTTGATAGCTTGTCCGGGCGTCCAGTACACTTACTAGTGAGCTGGCTGGTTTACAAGGTAGATTGAAGTTCACTTTGGAGTGCTTTTATTGGTGTTTCAAGTGAAAAAAGTCGAACTAACCCGTTTGCCTTAACCAAGGTAATACCCATCAAACAATTGAAAATGAGTATCCCTAACCATAGAAGTCTATCATATCTTGGGGAAGGGAGTGATGCCAATACTCACAGTAGACTCTATGGTAATGCTATCCAGGCTGTTTCTTAAGAGGACGTCATAAATTGTACAAGCAAGATGTGGTAGAGCTCTCTACGCTACTTCTGCACATTATCGTGATGTTGTACAATCATTAATACTAGATAAATAAACAGATGCTCACACTTAGGGCTGACGGATATCTTTAGATTCATATATATACCTGAAAACTTTAATAACAATCCGGAGATTGACGTGACTGCCGTAGGCTATATTGGCGACTGCGAGTTGAATTCTCAATATCTTGCCGAGGTTTGTCTACAGCAACCCTTGGCTGGCTAGTTCTTGGTTTTCTGCGACGTTTCGTTTGACTTTTATGTTACTTATCCTTTAAAGCTATACAGTATCGTACTTGAAGAGCGCTTTTCGTTCTTCCATGAAAGTGTGCAGCAATACCTGAACATGTAAGCTTTTCAACCTCTTTTAGTTGTACTATCAGTTTGTCTTCGGCGGGAGTGTACTCGTTGCCTTTCGACGACACAGGTATTTCCACACGCTGGGAGACTTCATTGTTCTCCAAGGGGTTATCTTCACCCGGGGCTAAATGTTCTTCGTGAGATGATATTTCAGTCTGTGGTGGCGTATATCTCTCTTTAAATGAGCAGCTCCATGTATACCCACAAGGCTTGAGTTCGTAAGTGAATAAGCCTTCAATGTTGATGACTTGAAGGTCAGACATGCCGCTCAACTGATCTCGCTCATTAGCCTTCTTCTGAAATGAGGCCAAACAATCAGACACGGAAGGGCTAATGGCGGTCGAGCCTTGATCCTCTGCGAACCAGCAACAATACTTAGCTCGGCCCAAGGCCACTTTACCTTCATGCTCTAGCTGAAGGGGACGGTGATGGATCCTAAATCAGTGGATTTATAAGTATAATGAATGCAACCGTGGCGCAGTGTAGAAGGACCTCGGCCCAACAAGCCCATCTTCCTTGTAATTTTCCACCCAGATGATGAGGCAGAACGGTAGCAAGGCGGTATACGGGTTCCAATACCTCAGCAAAGATGCCGTTTCACTTGTTAATCGCGTCAACGCTAATTAAACCAACGTGCCCAGCTAAAGCAAACGAGTAGGACGCTATCGTTTAGCGCAGTCTCATGGACAGAAATGCCTCGCTGCTAATTGGCAACATTGGGATAGAAGTGTACTAAATGCAACACTGGTGGAAAAACACAGGCTCTTCAAGGCCAGCTTTTCAGCTCAGTGAATGCGGGGAGCCACTCTCCTGCATGGTTACATAGTTGCATTCGGACATCACCGTCAAAAACCAATTCATGCGCCGTACCTAAGATCAGTTAGCCGAGGAGTATGAATTCGGGTGGCCTTCAAGTCGACCTTACTTCAATTATGGTTGGTAACATAGCCGGTCTGAGCCCCTCAAAAAGGCTTGGATGGACAGAAAGAGGCAGTACTCGATCCAACTCATATGATCCTTGCACCGCTAAAATCTCTCTGCAACCAGGTTCAACCCTCATTGAGCCACATATGACGAAGCCTGGTGTATACATTGGCATAGGAGGACACTTCCATCCAATCAGCTGGAAACTCGCACTCCTAAGAAAGTGGAGTGCACTCGACAGAGTTCCAAATTCCATCCGCCACAGTGGCCAGGTGGACGTTGTGATTCATCGTATCCTATATTATGCCAAATAAGTAGAAGATACGCGAGCTCCGGCTGAGTCTTTCTCCACTGCAATACGCGCAAGTCCAGGGGGACTACCCAAGACGCAGTGTTAGTTGAAAGGCAGACACCCAGAATGCGGTGAGATGGATGTGAGGTTCAATGCAAGAAGAAAGACATTCCCCAACCACCAGTACAAGCAGAAAATTGTACTGTATGATAAGCTTCCTCAAATCTTAAGACTGTGTCTTGTGGGTGTACTCTCTGAAGCGTTAATCACGAGGGAACGGAGAGAATAGAAGCATCAAATGTAACAATGGCACGGTCCACCAGCCCAGTCAAGGACAAAATTTTCAGCTGTGAGACGGCTCATGGGCCACTAGTGAGGGTCATGAATGCGCAAAATTATTGAGGTAGAGAAAAATAGGGATGCACACGAGCGGCGGTCGTTGAGCGACGCACTCGAGGTTTATATAGTCGTCGAGACGAGTGTCACTTGCACTATCCTCCATCGGGACAGGCACCACAAGTCTAAACCCAAACAGGACCCGCTAAACCTCAAATAGAAGGCGCTAGGCCGAAGATGGCGATCCCGAAGAGCAAGCCGAATCCGGATCCGCCGGTACAAATCGATAATCTACTCGAGGGAGTATCCTATTTCCTAGTTTGACATTCTTCCTGTTGGTTTAGCTACGTCCTGATAACACGAGCACAGGATTACGCAGTAAGGCTATTCCAAAGAGCCCATGAGCCTAATAATATTGATGTTATTCGAATATTATGACTAATCCCCAAAAAGGGAGAAGGATAATTACATGTAGGTAAAGGGGATATCCCCAGGGAACCGGAATAGCTAATATTCCGGTGTTGATACTCAACACCTGGGGATTCCCGTACACACACTTCCCTTTGGCTACAGTGTATGTACCATAGTGTCTTGAAGGGCTTGTTAACATAATCTAGGGCCTTGAGGATCTTGTGGCTTCCTTTCCGATAAATGGAGGGGTCGCCTTGGAAGACACGTTTGACATCCTGCTTCCAGTCCTCCTATTCGCGAAGGCTTGAGTCGATACAGAGGGTATAGCTTGGTGAGACCTTGTTCCCTTTAGATTTATTTCTCCTATAATATTTCTGGCTGTTCCTACATGATGCGTCAGGACCACTCAAATCTGGATTAGAGTCAGAACTGCTCGTGTTGGAGGAACTTGGCGAAGACAGGTTAAAGGAGACGGTAAATCGTTGACAGTTTCTTTGCTATTCTGTAGTCTCAGTTTGTTACTGTGTAGTAGACTAATTCTTAGTTTGTTCTTGACGCTCTTGTTACTTTTGGGTTTAGGTTAGCAATTAGTCATATTCTTTGATAATATGCATCCTCTTTTCTAGTTCGATTAATTCTTCGCGGGCTTTAAGGCGAGCCTTTAGGTCTCTCAGTTCTTGGGTTGTAAGAGATCTATCTTCGTTCCTAATAATATTAGGCTAGGGCGGCGGAGTCATTAAAATCCCTGTTAGGTTGGCTTTGCTGTTCAAGGGTCTCAGCAGTGGAGGGCGTAGTGGTCTCTATCATACTGATAATCAGTCCTATAAAAGAAAGCTTCAGAATTATAATGGGAGGTTAACCCGTTGATTGGGTAGGAGGAATTATCAATATGGCAGAAGGGTTGGATGTCTTTAATCTTTATTGACAAAGGCACTGTTACTAACATACAGAGACTGAAGCTTGAGAGAAGAAAAAAACTATCATCGTTACAGAAGATCTCCTTCTTATGCATGCATGAGTCATTGACAGGAGACCTCGCGTTGTTCCCCTAGTTGGTGTGGCTTGTCGCAGATATCATGTTGTAATGTTTCAGTACTGTTACAGTAGAAGATAGGCTATTCGATCAGGTCAGCCAGTCACCTCAAGCTACCTACACTTCAGCAAATAAGAAGTCATCTTCTTATCAGGGCTCAATATATCCCTCGAGGTTTACCCCTCATAATAGCTCACAAATCACCCCGCCAAAAGATGTTTATAAAAACCCAGCTTTGAAACCTGATGGATAGAGAGAAAGAGACAACTCAATACACACAATCTTGCTAGTCACTTCTTCTATTCTCATCCCAGTAAACAACTATTCAGGATTGACCTGCCAATCCGACAAGTATTAGATCGAGTGATTAGGCCCATTTCAAAAGCTTGATCTAATTCCTAGCCTAACTAGTAATAGAAGGTGGTACCTTTCCCTCCCATACAACAAGAAAGATAACGATCTTCCACAGAAAGCATTAGGCTAGGAGATAATAGCCAAGATTGAATGCTATTGGTTGTCAAACTAAGCTTAATATTGACTGATCGGAATGAGATATGGTCTCAAAAGCTTGATTAACGAATCTCATGTGATCAATCTTTCTAAGTATAGAAGGTAGTATGCCTAACGAGCGGCGTCTGTCCTATACAGAAAAAGATCAGCAATGGCTTTTAAATTAAAGTGCAAACAAGCCAGAATTCAATCCAATTGGTGTTGAATCAGGCTTTAAATGTCACCTTCCTTTTTTGAAAACCATGAATGTTCACTATTAGTATCGTGACAGTGAATTCTTGAAGTACTTTTCATGTATAACATGTCTAGGTATATAAGAGGTTGCGTTTCGCTTCAGAAACGACTGGTTGATTCTCTATCCTTCAGCTCACTCTAGACGTTGACTTTGACTTCTACTTTTGTCTCTTTCTACCATGATCTCCTTCATTACCCTTCTAGCTGCCAGCGCAGCCTTAGCATCACCGATTGAGCGCCAGGCCAAGACTGCAGTCTTGCCATTAAAGCGTGTTTCGAACTTCACGTCGGTGAAAAATCTCGTTAGCAAAGGCCAAGCGCGCCTCAATAGGGTCAACGGTGTGGCTGCCATCAGCGCCGTCTCTGAGGTCAGCTCTGGTTCAGTCACGAATGAAGACGTCAGCTATGTTGCTCCAGTCTCAATTGGGGGTACCACCTACGACCTTATAGTCGACACTGGATGTACGTTGCTTCTTTTAAGAGACTTTAGAATTGATTTACTGACTGGCCATCCTGTTCAGCTTCAAACACCTGGTGTGGTGCTCAAAGCTCATGCGAGCCGAGCTCCACAGGCAAGAGTACCGGCGGTACGGTCGAGGTCAGCTATGGTAGCGGCTCATTCTCTGGCAAAGAGTACAAAGACAAGGTCAGCTTCGGGGGCCTCACTGTCTCATCTCAGTCAATCGGCGCTGCAACTTCATCGTCAGGCTTTAGCGGCGTCGACGGTATCATTGGTTTCGGCCCGGTCGTTCTGACTGAAGGTACTGTCTCCAACGCCAACACCGTTCCAACCTTCCTGGACAATCTATACAGCCAGGGCTCTATCTCAGAGGAGGTTCTTGGTGTTTCATTCAGTCCAGAAAGCGGAAGCGACACTGATGACACCAATGGGGAGCTTACCCTCGGCGGAGCCGATAGCTCAAAGTACTCCGGCTCACTTACATACTTCCCAAAACTGACCAGTGGCGATGCTTCGTACTACTGGGGCATCTCTATCTCTAGCTTCACTTTTGGCTCGACGACCCTTGCGTCTTCTGCCTCGGGCATTGTCGATACCGGCACCACGCTGATCTACATCCCGACCTCAGCCTACAACAAATTTCTTTCTGCTGCTGGAGGCAAGACCGATAGTTCCTCTGGCCTGGCTGTGTTTACCACCAAGCCAACTTCGAACTTTGGTATCACCTTTGGTTCGACTAGATACAGCCTTACGCCGTCGCAGTATTTAATCCCCACCGCCCAGTATAGCTATTACGGCCTGAGCTCCGGCAAGTACTACGCCTGGATCAGCGATGGCGGCAGCTCTGGCGTAGATACTATTATTGGCCAGAAGTTCTTGGAGAACTACTACTCTGTCTTTGATACTACCAACTCTCGCATCGGCTTTGCTACTGGGATTTAATACGACTTAGAATATGAGTCGCCTGGTATATACAGAGAGACCTCGTAGCTCGATTTTCCCTATAGAGGCAATTCCGCAACATGCAACCGTATCTATTCTAAGTTAGCTTATATTAAAATCAATAACTTTGCATACAAATGCTTTGAGATATTAGACTGTAAGTATGATAGTATTGTCGCAAAACCCGATTCCGTCTCGTCGCTTCTCCGCTGATATAGCCCTTGATATCTGACGCCGCAGAATTGCGTTCAGCGCTCAACGTGGCCCAACAATAGTTTCAGTTTGATATACGTATGACGCTAGCAATCCCATATATCTCTTAATTATCACGCCAACTTTTTCCGTCGTTGTATCCCATGTCAAGCAAAGGTCGATTGATCATTTAGCCTCTGAGGCTGTAAAGAAATCGTAAATGGATCGTATAGACTCAGAGGATTGATATCGTTCAGTAATAACGATCAATAATCAGTTGCTTGTTAGTATTGATAAGGAGGTGAATCGGTGCGTTGAATCTCTGTGTGTTATTTGTCTTCTTCTCTCTTCTTCTCTCTTCTAGTTACATATAACTCAGGGGTTGAGTGTGTGTGTGTTTCTATTTAACGGCCGTGGTTCGTGATTCGCATGTGTCAGATAATCTGGATTACAAACGAGGCAGAGAGATTCGATGTTCGATCTTACAGGTCTAAAAAGGCACCTTAGGTCATATATCTGGGCATCTAGATATCAGCCCAATATTTACCCCTCCTGATAGCTCACAAATCACCCCGCTAAAGGTGTCTATAAAGGACCCGGCTTTGAAACTTGAAAGACAGGGAGACAGAGAACATAACTGTGTGTACGGGAATCCCCAGGTGTTGAGTATCAACACCGGAATATTAGCTATTCCGGTTCCCTGGGGATATCCCCTTTACCTGCATGTAATTATCCTTCTCCTCCCTTTTGGGGATCAGTCGTAATATTAGGAATAACTTCAATATTACCAGACTCACCACGTAGGGCAGTTGGACTGCCCTTGCCGCAATCCTGTGCTTCGTGATCCAGGACCCGGCTAAACCAGCAATACCTAAATACAAAATACATACAATCTTGCTAGTCACTTCTTTTCTTTGATCCTAGTGAAACACTCTTCAGGATTGGCCTGGAATAAACCGACTAATCCGACAACTTTCACATAAGATTTCATGTAGCAATGATAAGAAAAGTACTGTAACAAAAAATGTATTTCTCGGATGCGATATGACCGAATGTAGCTTAAAAAGTGTAGGCTTATCCCCTCGGACTTCCCTCGGTATCATAGTTATTGATTAATTGATAAGGTTCCTCGAAAATGATTCGCGCAGCCTGGCTTGTATGTGACGGCAACGCAAAAGTCAAGTCTGCAAAAAGTCCAAAATCCCTTCAATAGACAATTGATGTCGATGTTGGCGTTGTCGTTAATGCAGAGACATTTTCAATGGACTAGATTGAAGCAAATCAATGGAGATAGTCTGTTAGTCTCATTCAAATCACTAGCATGGGGGAAGGTGGTGCCAACAAGCTGAGAAGAATGACGAGTAGAGTCATGATTAGTGGTGTAGACTAGAGGCTTATTGCCAACATAAGATAACAAGACAGGAACACGAAAGCATCCAGGATATTTTTAACAGCTGGCATAGCTGCCATGTCCCCTGCAAGATTCCAGTAAACGAACCATGGACTGTTTTCTACACTGTATTAAGATTTCAAGTGACGTTGTGGGTTGGCTTATAAAGCCAATCAAACAACGTACGTACGTCCGTACACGCGCTTCAGGTGGTACTCCAAGTACTATGGTCAAAATGTATTCAATCGTCTAAGTTCTCTTCTCTTAATGAGGCCCCGACGCGGTCTATATAGTCCTTGCTTGACGAGGTCACGTGTACCTTCACGTGACCTCTCCTTGGTTCGCGTCGGTGCCAGGAATCTCGATTGCACATATAAACCAACAGACGTCCTGTTATTTTACGGTAAGTTACGATAGAGTGAAACTTTTGGAATATTGTTACTCCGGGGCTTTTCCGGATATAGGTTAGGGTGAAACATATTTAAACAATTGAAGTGAGTAAAAGTGTGCACTGGTTTTGCAACCAGGTGTACTCACATATATCCGCAAAATTAAATGGAAAATAACAAACGGCGCTCTTTTATTCCTTAAAGGTAGTATCACTTTTCTTACATTGGCAGCGATCTGGGGGCTGGTGGAAAGCTCTTTTAGTGAGTGGATCTTTTTACACTTAGCTATGTCACAAAGATTGGCATGTCTCGACCGCAAGGTATACAGTATTTAATTAAATTTTATTAGTATTTCCAAAGAATCCTGAAAGTTGGCTTCAAAGAGACATAGTCAAAACACTCCATATCAGAACAATGACTACGAAGCTTGATACACATTTAATAGTAGTCATATTAGAATATTTGGTATTGATTCGACATAGGATTCGAATTTGCGAGAAGTGAGATCTATCATCTAGGTCCTTCGAAGGTTGGCAGCCTACCTGAGTAGTACCTGCACCATCTACGGTTGAAATCGCGCTCAACTATCTCTCTAGATACAGTATAGTATAAAGCAAATCATCAGTCATGGAATCTCTCACAGCCAGATTATCTAACAGGATCGACACCCCTTTTCATGTGGGGCGCGCTAGACGCGTTCGTTGCGCGTTTTCGCCTTCCACATCAAAATCACGACGTTGACTTCTGTAGATATTTGTCCACCATCCTAGAGTTTCGCTGTGTTCGTATTCAGCGAAAACCATGCCTAGACTAAAGCGCGCCTTGTCTGGGGTAGACCCCAATTCTGAATCTAACATTCCCGTCCCCCAAGAGTCATCCAGTAAAAAAAGAAAAGCTACTGTTACTAGAGGTGCAATGGAAACCAGCTCTTCGAACAGTGCCGCATCCAATGCGCTGTCTAACGGAAGAGACGAGATCAATGCTGCGGCACTAAAGTTCATTGCTGTGCCTCGACCGATCTGGGACATTGATGCGGAGGCACGAGATAATGAAGACCATCAATCGGATTCGAGAGATGTAGGAGACACCGAGGAGTCTGAGACACTACGCGATCAAGGCAAAAGCGTAACTGACCTCGAATCCCCTGAATGGCCCTGGATCATGTCTTCGTTAGCTTTAGATAAGTATCATGAGCTGGAGAAACAGGCCGAAAATCGCGATCAGGAACTGCATGGGGTTTACATGTACAACGATTTCACTGCGTATGGTATCAATGAGGTGATTGAAAACCAGGTAGGCTAAATCAATCCTTTAACGTCCTCATTGACTAACATAGCACAGCTCAAAGACTTCAATAAAGAAGTGTCGCGAAGAGTTATCTCCCCATATGCCGTATGGGCCCAACTTGAAGCTCTTTCGTGGTTCTTACAGCTTGATTATATCGATATCTGGTTTCGTAAGTCATTTTCATTTTCTTTCGTTAGTCATCTTGTACTGAATTACATGTCTCTCCTAGAGGGCGATGACTGTCACGGATTCGCTGAAACCATTGCCCTTATTGGCAAGGCTCTTTTGACGGGTCTTAATATTTTAAAGACCAACCAGCTGTTCAAGCCCTATCACCCCGAGGAAGGTGGTGGGATTAGAGATATTCCTATTGTTTTGGCTTTGTTTGTTCGGTTTGCCAGATCGTGGACCCCCGACATATTGCATAGTAATTGAGCAGTAGTCCACAACTGTCTCCGCATCACACTGTCACTTCAGTATGTTACTTGCCAAAAAAAAAAAGGTTTTTACTCTGCTAGAGTGTCTGGGCGCTCTGACTTATCTGCTGGCTATTATTCTGTGATATCATTTCTTTCTAGTGACTGCTCCACTCTATGCCGTTGGGGGCCACTTGAAGATGTCGGGATGAAGCGCAGTGGGTAGGATCCAAGTCAGCTACGTGAGGATATCGAGACATAAGCACGGATTAGATAAATGAAACCGCATATGGTTAGTCAAGTGACAAGCTGTAATCTTATGGTATGCTCGGTGGACCTTAAACTGACGTTGGAAACGTGGTACATCCCTCATTTCGGTCCGATTCGCATAACGCTTGTATATCGGAGTCTGATCATCATACTGTGACGAGATATTGGTTCGAGTGCTGCATTCATGTAACTATTACCTGCAGCTAGCTGATATAAGGAAACGAATTCATCCTTTAGTTTCAATCACTGTTGAACGTGAGCTTAGACAGCGGCCATTAGTGGGCCGATAAAACATGAACATATTTTCAATTAACCGTAGTAAAATATCTGTATGTTACTGGAGTTATTTACATGGTAAAATAACATGTCATGAACGGCTGTAATGTTACGATACAAGCTGTAAGAAAATATTATGGTTCAATCTACTCTACGAAGTAGATAATAATGGAAACATTGGCGGGCCGCCCGTAAGGATCCATTGGATCCGGATGTTGCCATTTAAGCTATGATTAGGAGCGCGCTAAGTTAGTTCGTCCTGTATGAAGCAATACTCCGCACTCTAGGGACTGATTTAGTAGTAAGGCACTTTATGCAAGGGCCAAGTGAGGATGCTCTCGAGTCGGTTAAATTAAGTAGTAGAAGTTACGCTTATCAACAGTTACAATACGGCTATTGGGCTAAAATGCATTGGCAAGCTCTCGGATCAATTTCGGCCGGTGGAGATACGTAGCTACGTATTCAACTTATGATAAGAGGGAGAATCGCTATCATTTTTTATTTTATGAGGTAGCGTTGATTAGGTTTCAGCATAAGTGTTAATGCTGATCAGCTGATCATAAAGACATTTCATCCAAAAAACATGCTTCTGGTAGTGCTTCCCCGACTCCTACGGTGTCATACTGGTCTTACTCGCGCACTTTGGTCGTAAAATACAGCGCTACTAATGCAGACAGACCGGCCGGGAGAAGAAACCAGACCACACCTGCAATGCCTTGTTCAGCCTCGGTAAATAGCCACGTCGTAGCCATCAGCGTTGTGACAAGGATCTGAGGCAGGCAGATCATGATATTGTCACCCCGTGGACTACTCCTTGGCTTTCTGCTAACGATGATGACTCGTATTTGCCGCATAATTCGTCACCAGGAAGAGAATATGAAATCCGGCAATTCAATGTCCAACTGACCCCAACTGAAGCAAAGAGAATCATAATGCCAACGGCAGAACGTACCACGAAAGTTGCTAGCATCGTAATCATGAGTAATGCGTGAGAGAACTTCCACATCTTCCGTAGACTAAAAGAATCAATGGTACTGTGTGGAAAACATGGCCACCACCGACTACTTGTGATGGCTTGTCGAGAAACAGAAGATGAACGAAGATATTCCCCTTTTTGATCTTGAGGTGAAACGAATTATGCTACAGTAGACCAGTATCCTGCATCAAAGACGCGCCATGATACACTATTTTCACAGAAGGGAAATACGCATCTCAATTAAACGATAGCAAGGTTTTCTACACGGCTCTGCCGGTCCCAGTGGAAATGGCACTGCAAGAGCCCAATCTGAGGCATGAGCAAGGCTTGATTGCCCAAAAATTCCTTCCAGAAATCTTGAGTTATTACTTGATTCCCTCGATGACCAGTTCTTTTCAATTTTCGATAAGCTTTTGGAGGACTTTCATTGATTACAGGTGGTGATAAGAAACAATGATAATCCATTCGCACTCCCGCCCAATCTGGATTAAAGCTCGGATACAGGTATTATTACATTACAAGTATCGTTCCGTAATGAGTAGGATAAATCAATCTTCGTATCGTTACGAAATACCTCGGTAACCACGATACTGTTACAAATATAATTCATGACCCACTATGTAACGTTATTTCGCGATTCGAGATACCACCTCTTGTCCTTGTTGATCACGAGGATATAGGAACTTGGGAATGACTGCGTAGAATTGGGGGCCGGAATCACAAGACTTGCATTCTCTTTTGAGCAATATCCGCGATAATCGTTATCCCAACGACAAGTAGCTATCCTGCTGGGGACTGCCAGCCGCCAACTCAGGTAGAAATCTCTCGAGAAGTGATTCCACAGTGATCTGAATAGGAAAATCAAATCATGTGGTCGACTTCATGTGTTGCAATGTTTAGCTTGTTGAAGGACAAGAAGAGGGTCTCGTCTGGAAAAGGCAGAAGCTCACTGCTGCTTACCTTCGCAAGCGAAAGCACGCCGCAAGATAGCAATACTCTGCGCCCCTTCACTCTGGGACGATGGGCACATGTCAGCCTGCGTGGGTTGATGACTACCCGGGCATGATCTTGCCATTGACAGCATGTACAATTTCAATTGCGATATGTTGTTTGAGGCAGATTTGGTCAAGGCAAGACAATGGGCTAACCATCCCTGGATCTTGGAGATACAACACAACAATATCCACAAATCTGCAGATAGTTGAGACCGCCGGAGCCTTACTTGATGCTATCATCACTCCGGTACAGTACGGGCTGAAGGTACTGCAGATACATTTGTCTCGGCGAGTCTCGTTGACCTAGGTACGACAGAAAGCGATGTACCGTCAGTATCGGAGCTTTCACTTACGAATGGCAAGGTTCCAGCCGTTGATGAGTTATATCCGGAAGATTCGGCGAATACAGCCCCGCAGTCCGAGCTTCTCCAGGAGTCGGGAGATTTAGAAACACAGAGAGGGCACGTAGAATGCAAGGCTGAGGGAGCTGTCCCTTGGTTTATTGTGAAGAGGTACTTGAGCGCTATGGGAAGTCAATGGTACTGGGCTGCGGTATTACCGATGTTCATGACACAACAGATTGCTTCACTAGTGACCAATTTGTGGATCAAGAATCGGGCATTGCAGTACGATAATTCGGAAGCGCGAGTCAATGCATGGTATCATATTACAATCTACGTAGCGTTTGTGTACTCTCTATGCTCCTGTCACCGCGCTCCGCGATCTCACAACCTTTCACGGATCACTCAAAGCGTCATCCAAGATATTCGATCGACTTCTCAATAACGTTGTCCATCCAAAATACATTTCTTTGACAGTGTTCCTTTAGGAAAGATAATGAACAGATTTTCCAAGGACCCGGAAGTAGTTGACCAACTCATAGCTGGATTCTCCACCAGTGGGTTACAGCTCCTTATCTCCATAGTTATGGTTGTCGTCTTTATATAGACTCTTCTGCCTGAATTTCTTATAGTAGCTTTCTTCATCTGCGTGGCCTACTTCGTCATGGCACTTTATATCAACGGAGCCCGGGACTTGAAGCGGATTGAGGCTGTCGAGGGGCCGCCTCTATACCAGCAATTCAGTGAGACTCTTGCTGGTTTTGTTAGTATTCAGACATACTCGCGAACATCCGACTTCATCGCACAGAATCTTAAGCTTGTGGACCGGTTGAATCAGCCGTACCTACTCCAATAGGCCAGTAGGGGATGGCTTACTTTCCGAGTGAATGCTCTCAGCTCGTTCATCTCGTTTTAGTGCTTTTGTACAGTGGAACTCACAATGGATTCAATTCTGCATTGCTGGCTTCGTGCTATCATATGCGGTAAATTTCACGGAAAATATTATGTGACTGATTCAAGTCTATGCAATCGTTTAACAAAATCTCAACTCGGTGGATCGCATCATCGAATACGATCAGATTGAGCAGGAAGCTTACACGCCTCTGCGGAAAATAGGTTATGATATGCCGGAGGATTGGCCGTCTCAAGGTGATATTTGATTGATTGAAAACACAACGTGCTATGGCCATAACCTAGAGCCTGTCTTGAAGGATATCAGTTTCCATATTCGTCCTGGCGAGCGTATCGCAGTCGTGGGCGGATGGGAGCAGGCAAAAGCTCTCTTTTACTGGCGTTGATTCAGGTTTTGGAAGCAGACAGTGGGTGTATTGAGATTAACGAGATCGACATCGCCGCTGTCAGTCTTGAGCAACTCCGGCAAGCCATCACCATCGTACCCCAGAACCCGAAGCTATTCGACGGCACATTGCGTGATAATTTAGATCCACTGCATCGTGCCACCAACGAAGAGATCATCACCGCCCTGAATACGGTTCATCTCTTTGACAACCTACGAATATCTGAGCCTGTGAGAGGGATAGATCTACTGCAGCATTCAACCAATGCACTGTCTCAGGGTCCACGCCAGCTGCTGTGTATTGCCCGCGCTCTATTGCGGCGGTCACGTATTCTCATACTCGATGAAGCAAGTGCTTCCATTGATTATGCAACGGACGCGGCAATCCAAGCAGGATTACGGGCCAGTATCTCCAAGGGAACATCCGTGCTGACAGTTGCCCACCGATTACGAACCATTGCAGACTACGACTAAGCCATGGTGCTGGATACCGGACGTATCGTGGAACAAGGTTCCGTTCAGGCGCTTCTCTCGCGGCAGGGATAGTCTGCAATTTTCCGCCGTATCTGTGAAGAGTCGGGAGATCTTACCCATATCATGTGAATCGCCTCTGAGGGGGTGGTACAGTGCCTTGCAAAATCAGTTTCCCTCATGAACAAACTCGATTTCTTTTCAAAGCGATACTTGAAACAAACTAGTTCGTATACGGTTAAGCTCGTCGAGTTTCCCTGTTCTAGAATGTTCGCTTGTACAATACGAAACATTGATGTGACGAAACCTCATTGTAAATTACATGTATCATGATCTAGGCAGACAGTCTAAGTCCCTTCATCATCCTAATGTAGTACATCATATCAACATCCAAAATATCACAAAAATATTACACTAGAATCATGGCACCGAGACTAGCCGTATCGCAACTCATCCTCATTCGTGATATGTTAGTTAGCGGTGAGCCATTCACTGCATCCCAGATAGCTGTAGCTGCCGGCTGTAGTGAACGGTCAGTTAAAAATATCCGCTCTAATCTACAGTTATTTGGCAGTGTCAGAGCACCTCCAAATCGTGTCGGTCGCCGACGAAGCATCACGCCCGTGATGCTAGAAGCGCTTTGTGACCATCTGCTTGAAAAACCTGGCTTATACCTAGATGAGATGGTGTTATTTATATGGGATGAGTTCGACACACTTATAATGACATCCACTACTAGCAGAGCACTTGCTTCCATTGGGTGGTCCAAAAAGACAATCCAGAGAAAAGCAAGAGAAACAGAATGCAGATTTGTGGGATTCCTATCTCCACAATCTCTCTCCGAGTTTCGTTCATATCACTTGGTGTATATTGATGAGTCTGGGTGTGATAAACGTATAGGTTTTAGACGGATAGGCTGGTCTCCTCTCGGTATGGCACTAGTTCAAATATCCCAATTTCATCGTGGCCAGCGATATCAAATTCTACCGGCCTATGCGCAAGATGGCATTGTTCTTACTCGTGTCTTCCAGGGTTCCACTGATGCTTCCGTGTTTGGAGATTTCACTGAACAGCTTCTCCAGTCCGTCCTGGTCATGGATAATGCATCTTTTCATCACACTGATCGAATCTATCAAATATGTACAGACGCAGAAGTCAAATTGATATATCTGCCGCCGTACTCACAGGATCTAAACCCAATTGAGGAATTCTTCGCAGAACTAAAGGCGTTCATTAAGCGCAACTGGCGACTCTATGAGGAAGTTCCTGAGCAAGGATTCGATGCTTTTCTTGAATGGTGTGTAGATCTTGTGGGCACCAGAGAAGAAAGTGCAAAAGGCCATTTCCGGCATGCAGGCGTGATAATTGAAGAGTATGACTGAGTTACATAGTTGTTTCTGTTGTAGTTTTATGTTTTGCTAAAGACAATAATTTTCTCTGCGAGATCGAGTCCTACATAACAAAATAATAAACTGTTGGGCTTTTGACCAACTAGACCAAAAAGCTGCGCGCATACTAGATGATCTAGTATGGATGTAAATAGCTGGCAAAGGTGATATGTGATGTGAGGTGATATTCCCAACATAAACGCTAAATCTCGATTATGATTGGATACATAGAACGTGATAGTCTTGCAACAGGTGTGATGTGGCGGGTGGGGTTAAATGAAAAGCCTCGAGGCTAAATTGTCGAAAAACCTTCCCATCATCTCATTTCTAGCAACTTTATCATTTCACCTGCCATCAGAGTTATGTTTGTTCTTTTTGGCTGAATGGCCTGTACTAGTTGATTTGGATACAATCTAGCTCCTCTAAAGAACCAACGGTAGCATGCGTCAAAGACCAACCGCCACCAGGAATGGGAGAATTAAACAAATACACTGTTGGATGGATCTGCGCCATCACCACTGAATATGTTGCAGCAAGAGCCTTTCTTGACAAAGAGCATGAAAGCCTGGAGTATGGATTTGCCAACGATAACAACATTTACGCATTGGGTGAGATGGGAAAACACAACGTTGTGATCGCTCGGCTGCCCAAAGGGGAGTATGGGATAGCTGCTGCTGCCAGTGTCGCGCGAGATATGGTACGCAGCTTTCCCAATATCAGGATTGGTCTTATGGTTGGCATCGGTGGTGGTGCACCCAGTAAATGGCACGATATCCGGCTCGGCGATATTGTGGTTAGTGCACCCCACAATGGAAAGGGTGGTTTGTTTCAGTATGACTTTGGGAAAACTATACAAGACCAGGAATTTCGGACCACAGGATTTCTAGATCAACCCCCTGGTCTGCTTCGAGCCGCAATAGGTGACATTGAAGCTGAATATGAGATGAACGGCCATCGCCTTGACGAAGCAATCGATAGTGTGCTTAAAAAGCGACCAAAGCTGCGAAAAAAGTACAAGCGACCAGAGCCAGGTACTGACCGACTGTACTAATCGCACATTATTCATTCTTCCAATGATGTGTGTGGAGATGACGAGTCGAAGTTGATTATGCGGCCTGACCGAAGCGATGAAGATGATAACCCAGCTATTCATTATGGCTTGATTGCATCTGCAAACCAACTGATGAAGGATGCCTTGGTCCGAGACAAACTCTCTGCTGAGAAGGATGTCCTCTGCTTTGAAATGGAAGCTGCAGGACTGATGAACCACTTCCCATGCCTCGTCATACGGGGTATCTGCGACTACTCAGACTCCCACAAGAACAAAGAATGGCAAGGATATGCTGCAATGGCTGCGGCTGCCTATGCTAAAGACCTCCTCTCTCGCATTCTCCCAATTAAAATTGAAGCAGAGAAGAGGATCGGGGATGTACTTTCTTCTGGTTAGTCTCTAATGAATGTTGCTCAATTCTCTATTAACAGAATTCATAGTCGAAAAGAACATCATAAAAGAAGTGCATAATACTGCTCAACAGACAAATACTGCCATCGACATTTTAGATAGTGACCGACGGCGTGAGAAAGTAATTGCAAAGCTGCCGTATGCAAAAGGCTCCACATTTGACTCTTTTGATGGGGCCCTTGATTCAAGATGCCATCCCGAAACAAGAATTGACTTGCGCCGTCAAATCAAAGAATGGGCAGAAAACGGACAAGGGAAGTCCATTTTCTGGCTGAAGGGAATGGCTGGTACTGGAAAATCAACAATTTCTCGAACAGTAGCCGAGTCCTTAGAAAAGGAAGGGAAACTAGGAGCCAGCTTCTTCTTCAAACGAGGGGAGGCTGATCGGAGCAGTGTGGCGATGCTTTTTACCACAATTTGTGCTCAACTCTTGGTCAAGATTCTGTTGCTGATAGCTCATGTCGAAACAGCGATTGATGCTGATCTAAATATATCTGACAAGTCGATGGGGGAGCAATTTGAGAAACTTATCTGTCAACCTCTGTCACAGATTCGGGGTCACCTCCCCTTAGCGTCCAAGCTCATCATAATTATTGATGCCTTAGATGAATGTGCGCGGGATGGAGACACTTTCCTTCGCCTTTTATCACAAACGAGGAATAAATGGTCACCGAGCTTGCAGATATTTATCACGAGCAGACCGGAGCAGCAAATTCGATCTGGGTTTGCAGAAGTGCCCGAAGAGATACGCGAGAATATAGAGCTTCATGAAATACCGCAGCCTATCATTAAGCAAGACATTACCACTTTCTTGGAACACAGGTTTGCGCAAATCCAGAAGAAATATACGAAAGATGGCCGGTCACTCCCATCCGATTGGCCTGGCCTAGAGGCGATGTTGGCCTTGGTTGATATGGCTGTTCCACTCTTTATTTTTGCTGCTACTCTTTGCCGATTTATTGAAGATGAAGTGTATTCTAACCCCACAGACCAGCTGAAAAAGGTTCTTAAGTATCGAAAGATGAAAAGTGACTCTGAAATGGATAAGCTGGATGTCACTTACTCTCCAATTCTGAAGCAGTTGATCGATGGACGCCCAGAAAAGGCGCAGAAATCACTAGTGAAGAGATTCCAAATCATTGTAGGCACAATCGTGCACTTAGCTGAACCACTTTCACGATCATCTCTGGCAACTTTGCTGGATATTGATAACCAACAGATTGAAGGACAGCTCTCGTCCCTGCATTCTGTCCTTAGTGTGCCGTCCTCTGCCGAATCTCCCATAAGGATGTTGCACCTGTCATTCCGTGATTTCCTTGTTGATGCTGACAGACGCGACACAAACTTATTCTGGGTAGACGAGGCGGAAACTCACAAGATGATCATGACCAAGTGCCTTGACCGAATGTCTCAACGGGGTTATCTGCAAGAAAATATATGCAATCTGCCAGACCACGGAACACTACGAGCTGAGATCGACAACAGAATTATAACCAACTACTTGCCACCAGACGTGCAATATGCTTGCCGCTTTTGGGTATACCATTTAAAAGAAAGTCAGTCGTACATCAATGACAAGGATCCAGTCCATAGGTTTCTACTGGACCACTTTTTACATTGGCTGGAATCATTGAGCCTTTTAGGAAGAATTATGGAAAGTGTTCACCTAATCCGTACATTACAAACTCTGGTTGTATGTGTTTCTACATTTAATTTTGGTTTACTACTCATTTCTAACAGTTCCCTCAGCATGATAAAAATATGGAAATATCCAAATTACTCAGTGACGCAATGCGATTTGCCCGAAGACACAGCTCAATAATTGACCGCGCACCTCTTCAGGTGTATTCATCTGCTCTTATTTTCAGCCCTATGACAAGTATAATTAGAAATTTTTATATCAATAAAATTCCTCATTGGATTGAAAAGTTGCCAGAAGTCGAGTCAGCTTGGAGTGCAGTGTTACAGACCCTTGAAGGCCACTCCGATTCGGTTTCCACAGTGGCATTCTCTCCGGATGGCACACTGCTGGCCTCATGTTCTCGTGATGATACCACCGTCAAGCTGTGGGATCCAGCGACTGGCAGCCTCCAGCAAACCCTCGAAGACCACTCTCGTTCGGTTTCCACAGTGGCGTTCTCTGCGGATGGTAAATTCCTAGTCACTGATCAATGACGCTTCAATATTGGACATCTTTGTGTTCGCAATACCTCTCCAACAGCAAGTGGTCTCTGCAATAATGTATCATTAAAGAATGAATGGGTGGCTCGAAATGATACTAATGTCATTTGGTTGCCAGTTGAATATCGAGCAACATGTTCTGCTGTCTATGAGAGCACGCTTGTTTTAGGACATGCTTCAGGTCGAGTTACTTTTTGGAAATCGATCTAATAATTATTTTCACACTGCAACTACTCTAATATTTTCGAATCTCTCTGCAAAAGAAGGGGTATGGGAGGACTGAAGATTTTATACTGTTGCTGAGTTGCCACCAGTAGGTATTGTCACCGACCAATCAGGAGGGAGTATTACATTACCGTTTGGTACCATGCTCGCCAAATGGAGTTAGTATTTGTCGGATTAGTCGGTTTATTCCAGGCCAACCCTGAAGAGTATTTTACTAGGATGAAAAGAAAAGAAGTGACTGGCAAGATTCTATGTATTCGTTTCTCCGTCTCTCTATCCAGCAGGTTCCAAAGCCGGGTCTTTTATAGACACTTTTGGCGGGGTGATTTGTGAGTCATCAAGAGGGGTAAATTTTGGGCTGAAATCTAGGTGCCCAGATATATGCCCTAAGGTGCCTTTTTTCGACCTGTAAGATCGAACGTCGGATCTCTCTGCCTCGTTTGTAATCTGGATTATTTGACACGAATCTGACACGGCCAAGCTAACTTCCACCTGCTTAACATGGCCCAGGTGCTCTCTGTACGCACGATTTGATGTGCGCTCTAACCACTGCATACCCTACCCAGTCATTCCGACTCCTTTGCCTTTGACAAAATCAATTTTCGACCTATCGTTCGTATTTGCCACGATCCAAGTGTTTAAACATTCTCCTTTCTTTAGTTTGAAACTATTCTAGCCACGTTTCTTCCTTCCTGCGCAGGTGCTTGCTTCAAGCAATCTCAAGATGGGCTCCACAGTCGATTGGTCTCAGCGTCCGACTTACTCTCCGGAGCAGTTGGACAAATACTTCGACCGAATAAAGCTTCCTGCGAAGTATTGGCAATCCCCAATCGTTCAGAACGGCGCAAGTAGTGATAATGAGGCCGCTCTATCCTTTTTGAAGGTGCTCGAGCGATACCAGGTGGCAGCAGTGCCATTTGAAAACCTCAACTTGCATTACTCGGTGCAACGCCATATTTCCATAGATGCACAAAAGCTTTTCGAGAAGATTGTCGACAGCAAGTCCGAGCGGGGAGGGTACTGCATGGAGAACAGTACGCTTTTTGGAACCGTCTTGCGAAGCCTGGGCTACCAGGTTACCTCGGTTGGGGGAAGGGTTAATGAAGCCGCGCAGCCAATGTCGGCATCGAAGAACTGGAGGGGGCCTAAATACGATGGATGGTACGATTACTCATCCCCTTGCATGAAATCATTCGAGGAAATGGTCTTCAGCTCTTCCATGAGACCCTATGCTAATTGTCTCCCCGAAGAACCATCACTAATGAGCCTACTCGCAGGAACCACATGGTCAACATCGTTAGTATCGGAGAACAAAAGTACCTGATAGATGTGGGATTTGGATCAAATGGGCCACACCAGCCTGTACCATTAACTTGGGATTTTGAGTTTCACAACGTGGGTGACCAGTCAGGACGCCTGCGCTATGGACCAATCACCCAACATACCAACAAGACCGAACAACAACACCTTTGGCAATATGAGATTCGGAATGGGAACACAGACTGGATCCCCGCCTATTGCTTCACAGAGACCGAGTTTATTCCCGAAGATTTCACTATGATGAATTACTATATGAGCACTAGCCGAGACAGCTGGTTTACTTTTCATATAGTGTGTGTTCGCATGCTCCTGGATGAAGCAGGTGAAAATGTTGTGGGCGACCTAACGCTGTTTAACAACTCATTGAAACGGCGGATAGGTGCCACATCGGAGGTGATGCAAATATTCAGCACTGACGAGGAGCGAGTGTCTGCATTAGACAAAACATTCAATATCCGCATTGGTCCAGCCGATAGGGATAGTATTCGCCACACGATTTCAGAGATCCTCTAGAGTTCCTAGCATATTTTTGTATTCATATAAAATAAAATTTTCGCATCCTTTTTCAGCATGTTTTCTTCTCGGTGCTTCGCTCAAATGTACAGACAGGGTACCTATGTCATTTACGCTATCTCCAATCAATCTAACTCTGCACACATATACCTAATCACTAGGTACATTATCGTATTCCTAATACATTTTGACTCCCACCTCATAGATTCATTTCTAACAGGTATATTATAATACCACGTCTCGTCGCCTCCTCTGTTGCCGATCTGCCCGAGCGCAGTGGATAGGCAAGTTCTAGATCAACTTGAACCATAGTACTTAAACCAGGCTAAAATGTTGGCCATGGATTTCTCCATCCATACATGGCCAGGGTCTTCTTAGCCTATGTTTGCTCCCTGTCCGTAACGTGAGCTCCGGCCGTGTATGAGTGATAAGACACAAGTCTAATGCTGATTGCATGAATGCCGAAATAGCACCAAAGAATGACCAGGGCTACCTAGACCTCGCCCTCTTTGTTGATCGTTCATCGTGCGGCGGGCCAGGAGCCCCAATGGCCAATAGAAGATACTGGAGAATCTCGCAGATTATCTACTTCCCTTCGATTTCCTAAAAGCCCATACCTTCCACCCTCAATCGTAAATGTGGGTGAACCAAGGTCAAGCATCGCTATGGTGCTCTCGACCGCCGTTGGCCATGTGGACGAAATTGCTATCGCGACCCTCTATCTCTTGGTCATGATTATCATGGCTGTGTTGATACGACTGGCATTTCGATACTATACGCTTCGGTGGCTGCAATGAGATGATACAATGGTTTGTCTTGCTTTGGTAGGGTCTTGACCACTCATTGCTTGTGCATATCCTGGAACATGAGATGCTTGTTGGAACTTATATTAACAATTATTTGAGGGACAAAAAGGCTTTAGCTACCTCTCAATCTGCGGTTATTTCCACTGAGACTAAACACGGACCTGGAAAGCTTCAATGCGAGATGTCTGCACTCGACTTTACCACAGTGAAAAAGGTAACCCGGTCTCAACCAATCTTTCTACTCAAGGCCCTACTAATACTGTATGCCTTCCAGGACCTCTACTCATCTGATCTCTTACACGTTCTCAGTCTAAGCCTTGCGAAAGTTTTCGTCTTTCAGTTTCTGGAAAAGCTCTGTGTGGAAAAGTGTCACAAAACTATCTGTCGCTCGTCATCGCTTCTAGTTGCCGTGTGGACCGTTCCAGTGTTCTTCACTTTAGCTTTCAAGTGTGGGATATTCTGTCCCTGGGATATGGATAAAGAACATTGTATCAAGATCGTGAGTTCGGATCTCCACCCTAATTTCAATTATAAACCATATAGATCATACGTATTGACGCAAACCATCGCTCAGTTTGATTTCTAGGCCGCTATATCCCCAATAGACATCGCCACTGAGCTAGCCGTCTGCATCCTTCCAATATACATCGTCAAGCTAGTTCGAATATCATTTGACAAAAAGGTCACCGTTATAGTCGCATTCGCCTTCCGCATCTTGTATGTCCTAAATTCCAACTCTCCTGAGCTCCTCCACTGCATAGCCTAACTCCAAATCCAGTGCTATAATTACAACTATCGCGCCCCTCATCTTCATGAAGAGAGCCAGCTTACTCACAGACACGAACAACAATGCCTTTGCAACTAGCATCACAACTCAGCTGAATCTTTGCGTCAGCCTCATGACAGCATGCATTCCTTGTCTAAAACCCTTCCTTGACGCATTCAACAGCGGAATGCTCAACGTCTCCCTGCATGAACGCATTGGTGGAGGATATAGTAATTCACGCGGCGCCTCACAAGAAAACTCGTATGCACTGGTTAGTATAACTAGAGGTACAAAGGAGTCTAATACACGCTTCCAATCTACGGAAGATGAGAATGAGGGACTGGGAACTTAAGCCAGTGCTTTTGCTGTCACAGCCTCTGTGAGACTGGCGGATGGGACCCATTCTGCCAACACTATTCAGAGGATGGATAATTGGAGTGTCAGGTATGAGTATATGGATCACAAAGCTGCTGGGTCGCTTGTAGACGAGATGGAGATACATGAGGATCGAGGGAGTTGCAGGGGAAATTCACCTTTGTAGGTGATGCTAATGTGATGCCTTTCTCTGCACGTAAAAGTCGTGTTTTGCGGCAAGGCTCTGTATTATACCTCTCAATATATTCTTAGATGTTTCTCTTTTGCTGAGTTTCTTTAATCTTCTTGATAGCATTTGCACATTTTTTGCTTCCAACCCTAAGTAACAACCCTAACCCTCTGATACAGCTAGTGTCAACCGTATATTACGGCTAGGCCTGATATGGAGGATGCAGCATGTAACCCACAACCGGGCTCTCATTGGCCCACGGCTTTCCTCGCTAGTCGCTTATATAGGGGCTTCACACCCGACCAGTTGAATTCACTCCTTCGTGCTTCCATGTCTCTCAGTCAATACATGTGATGGTTATTGTTGGTTTAGTCGGGCCCTGGATCACGAAGCACAGGATTGCGGCAAGGGCAGTCCAACTACCCTACGTGGTGAGCCTGGTAATGTTGAAGTTATTCCTAATATTACGACTGGTTCTTAAAAAGGCAGAGAGAAGGATAATTACATGCAAGTAAAGGGGATATCCCCAGGCAGTGAAACGGAATAACTAATATTCCCGTGCTGAATACTCTCAACACTTGGGGATTCCCGTACACACAGTTATATAATCATTATTGTTAATTTGTTGAAGAGCTTGTCCAAGCGTTCTTTTCTCCCTTGATATCGAAGACAGTCTAGTCTCAACAGAGATGGCTGAACGAAGAAACTTTTTCCATGATCAATCCTGGATTGATAGGCTCATCAATTTTGAACAATCTGATAGCAATAACGTCCATTTCTACCAGCAGTGGCGGATTGTGAAGAAGTTGGACGAGAAATACATTCAGTGCAGCGTAGAAGAATGATTGGATTTTGGACATGATCCTATGATGGCAATTACTTTATTTCTGCTGTCTCAATCCTAAAGATACCAGCGAGTCTGCATGTATGAAAATCTATATGCAATTTGTAGACATTCTCTTCATATTCATCTGTTATACTCTATGATATCCTGACACTTGAACACTAGGATTCCGTACGCAGGCTCGGGATTTTTATTACCCAGTATCAGAATTCAGCAAGCATTATCCAATACTGAAATCAATGAAGAAAGGGCTCTCGTTACTTTGACAAAACTGGGATGCAAATCAGCACCACCACTTATCGACTGGAAAAGAGCAACACAGTAAGAGTTGGGACTTGTTCCTGGAGATTCATTGTCTACCGTGTGACAAGAAGGCTGCCTGGAATTCTTCCCAGGGATGACAACCACTGGAAGCTTTCAAAAGGTGACCGTACTGAAATTCGTCTAGCTTTCATGGATACGTACAACTATGTGAGCTATTAATATGTTGATCTATCCGGGGCATTCCTCACAATATTGTGCTTATTAGAGATTATGTGGGCCACGGCATTGTTCAGACTGCAGGGCTCTTGGGCAGCCAAGCTGCTTTGGGATCACGGTGGTAAGAAAATGTAAGTCAAACTAACTCGTGCTTGCAAGCTTCATGCAGTTATTTTAGTTTTTATCTGTGAATATGATACTTATTTTATTCTGGTGTAGTTACATTCTGGGCTTCAGGATTAGAGAGCTTGCCACTGAAAAGGATGCTTGGGATGATATGTTGTGGGTGACTTGGGGATCTGGTCGAAGGGTCAAACAGCTAATAAGTTGCCATCACCATCGCCAGCAGACATGATACGAGATCAAAGCATAAATGAGACGATATGGGAATTCTGAAGCATGTGAAGTGGCAGCTGCTAAATTTAATAAATTCGTCGAGATCTTCATAGATTTCGAAGACAGATAGAGTGTCTTTGACGTGAAAATGACTACAGATTGCTCAAACTAATATACCTAGAATCTAGACATTGGTGGATTAGTCTATAGTCGAGAGGATTCGGCATCAAGCCTTAAAAGTACAAGCTAACACTACAATCTCATTGTGTATGAACTGCCAGTCAAGAAGTTTGGATTCCTGTATATTATTTGTCATAGATTGGTCTCGAAATATCTTACTAAAATGGGAGAGCGTGTACCACACATATTGATTGGAAGGAAAACGAAAGAAAGAAAGAAAACAACATCCATTCTCGTATAATTCTGTTAATAAAGCTGTGTTACCACCTCAATATGCTATATTCAAGATTCCGACAGGATCTTTCTTGCAGTGTTTTTTATCTGCGTAGATGTGTTTTTATGGGTCCGCGAGGTTTTAGCCCTATTCATATCCAACTACGACGTCGCAGCTCAACCACGAACTTTTAAACCAATCGAAATCTGCTTCTCTTTGATAGAACCCAGAATCACGCCCACATCCTTCTCAGCATTGTGCCAGCTACTCTCAATAATTTCCTTGTGATGCTCGCTGCGTGGCTTGAAGATGGCCTCAAATGGCAATGGTGAAGAGACAAACCCCGAGGTCATGTGCATATCATTAACTTGTTTGGGCTTACCATCATCACCGATAGTAGGACAAATATTGAAACCCCATAGAATACGTGCAATAAGTAAGAAGAGCGAGTTTTTGGCAATATGCCTGCCCGTGCAGATGCGACGTCCGTATCCGAAGAAATTCACAAATCGCTCTTTCCCACTCTCTGGCACCTCCAGCCATCTTTCGGGACGAAACTCTAGAGGCCTATCGAACGTGTTCTCATCCAGGGCCATAGCCCAGAACAAGCTTATTATGGTAGCTCCCTTTGGAATTCGATAACCTAGGTAGTCGTCTTCCTCTAGAGTGGCATGCGGGATGCCCCCCGGAACAATAGAACGCCATCGAAGGCTCTCCTTCATCACTGCAGTGACATAAGGAAGGTCGGGTTCGTCTTCTAGAGTGGGAAGTTGGTCTAATCCAATAACTTCATCTAATTCTTGCTGGGCCTTCGTGACAAACTCTGGATACGAGATAACACCCAGGGTGAACATACGCATTTGCACGGAGGTAGTATCAAGACCGGCGTCGGCAAGGATTCCCACATTGTAAGCCAATTCAATATCTGACATCTCAGACGCTTCTTTAGAAGCCAAGAACTCTTTGGCCCAGTTCCAGCTCTTGCTAGCGAGTGCGGTCTGCATGTTACCCAAGTGCAGCGCCTTTTCAAGATGGTAGAATGCTTCGGCTGTCTTTTTCCACGGGGCCAGACAAGATGGGAGGATGTTAAGGAAAGGTAGTGCATCTACAATCCACGTACCCACACGGCCCGCGTATCCAAAATTTTCCTGTATTTGGTGTGCATGCTTCAACATCGGCTCGGCACCGGTCTGCAAGCGGATTCCGTATGCAAGACTATAAACCAGACTTGCCGCGTATCGTTCATACACCTTTCTAAAATGATTCGTCGACAAGAAATCAAACAATAGCTGCTTGCTTTCCAGATCCTGCAACGGATAGTATGTCTTTGACGCACGGGGACTGAGCACTGGTGCATCAAGACGTTGATGAAGCTTGTATCGTTCATCGTAGCGGCGAAGTAACAAGTGCATGCCTTTTGTCAAGTTCTCGCCAGCCATAACCATTCGCGGTCGATCACTGTAGATATTGCCTCGTTTGTCTAGAAGGTCTCTGGCGATAGAGGCGTCTCCTATGAAAATCACCGTGTTCCCGCCGAATTGGGCACTGGTGATAGGACCATACTCCTGGATCCAATTTCGGTAGGTTATCCATGGAAGTTCGGTAGGGGCTTGATGGAAATTTCCGATAAGTGGAAGACGGCGAGGTCCTGGAGGAAGACTTCTGTCTCGTATGCGCTCATAAATGACTCTGAGGACAACGAGGCCTAGAATTGACCAAAGAACTATAGTGGCGGACATAACCTATGTGGCAGAATCGACCTAGGTGACTAGGAGTGTAATGCCTTAGGTAAAGGGAAGGAAAAGCGCAAGGTTTGAATGATTTGTTAATCTGGTCTCGTAATGGTCAATAAGCGAGATTAAATGTAGTCTTCAACTACCAGTTTACGTTACGTACACTGTTTTATGCGTTGAGGAGGGTCACATTGGTAAACAATACTAGCGAGGTCTACTAGATTACTTTCCCATCTAGAACGAACTACCTAAATACACGCACAAGAGCATGCATAACCTTCAACGATCATAATAATAACCGTCTTACATTGTTCTGGGATTAATTAAGTACTATGTAAGCCGCGGTAAGTTACTTAGTACATGTCTATAGTCAATGAATTGATGCGAATCAATATTCCAACAGCTATCATCCGACTGGATGAGCGAAGAGAAACGGCACGGTTGACGGCACAAGCCAACCGTGGATAGCAGTAGTGCGTACGGAGTAACCCCAGTCAGACAAAATCTAGGTGTTCGGTAGATTTGATACAATTCACTGGGTCGAATAGACCTGTCACTTTTAGTCTCATCATGACCGGCACCTAATTGAACGTCCTGGGCAATGTACTATTTTGGGCATACCACTCGCAGTCAATAATTGACCTTCGATGTCATTGCAAGGATGCCTGCCCAGGTATAAATAGGTATAAAGAGGCACAGGTAATACTTTGCAGCGGAGCGAAGAAGACGTGATAATCTCAATTAGTGAAACTCCACCTAAAAATACCAATACCCCCTAGTGTCAGATAACCTGGATATCCGGCGAGGTAGAAGATAGGCTATTCGATCAGGTCAACCAGTCACTTCAGGAGAAGTCATCTTCTTATCAGGGATCAATATAGCCCTCAAGGTTTACCCCTCATGATAGCTCACAAATGACTCCACCAAAAGTGTCTATAAAGACCGGGCATTGAAACATGATGTATTAGAAGACAGAGGGACAGACAACTCAATGCACATAATCTTGCTAGTCACTTCTTCTTTTCTCATCCCAGTAAACCACTATTCAGGATTGGTCTGGAAGAAGCCTACCAATACAACACCTAGAACGTCCAATGGCAGAGCACTATATACAGACGGTAACGGTTAAGGTTGTCGTCTGGCATCGAGAAGGGAACGAAGATATATTGTCTTGGCCAAGACAGTATGTTTCATTTCCTATTTTACCTTAGAGGCACATAGATCTACACTTCCAGGGAGAAATAGAGCAAATAAAGTTCGAAATCTATATCCAATAGGGAATTTAGTAGCTATACTCCGTAAGCTGAGACATTCGCGGGCTATTCTGGAATATCAATCAAGGTTCCCTCAACTTTTTTCCACCCGCATCCTGTCAGATAATCCGGATTACAAACGAGGCAGGGAGATCCGACGTTCGATCTTACAGGTCTAAAAAAGGCACCTTAGGGCATATATCTGGGCACCTAGATTTCAGCCCAATGTTTACCCCTCATGATAGCTCACAAATCGCCCCGCCAAAGATGTTTATAAAAACCGAGCTTTGAAGCTTGATGGACAGGGAGAGACAGAGAACTCAATACACACAATCTTGCCAATCACTTCTTTTCCCCTTCCTTGTAAAGTACTATTCAGGATTGGCCTGAAGTTAACCCAGCAATCCGACATATCCCTGCCGTAGCGATTGGGTTACACCTGCCGTCATCTCAGGGACTTATCCTCAGGATACTGGAGGAGATTAAATTTGCTAGACAAAGCAAAATAGGTGTTTGCCTTGGTGCCCTGATACCCACGACTATGAACAGAGGGTTGTATAGGCCATTTGACAAAAGCCATGGCGATGCCCCGTCAAAATATTCCGCGACGAGCATAGTTCCCAAAATAATACGCCTGGTCACACCTGCGATTTGCCATGTTCCAATTTTCTCATTCAGCATGACGAATGATTACTGCTCAACCTCAATTACTAGCCGTAGGTTGGAGTCTTGCAGCGTTAGCTATCATTGTCATCGGTCGAATCCATTGCCGTAGTATTTTAACCAGCAGAGGATGTGAGGATGTCAGAAGTTGTGCACATTTGTCGCTCTGAAGTTACACATCTAAGAAAACTGTACAGGCTGGTGCAATGCTCACAACAGTGCTGGTCACGCTCAGCACAACTTATAGCTTTGGTTTGCACTTTGACGATATCAAGAGCCCTGTGAACCAAAGTCTTGCAACAAAATATACACTCATCCAACCAGCGATATTGCTTCTATCTGCCCGGCCAGTGGCGAAATCTCAATCGTGGTCTTTCTGTTGAGGATTTTGGGCCTATCGGCTAAGTCCTCATATAAGTTCAGCCTCTACATTCCTTCTGCAATCTTCATGGGCGCGAATGTTTTCGCCATGGTTATATTGCTCGGTTACTGTACTCCGCCGGAGAAGGCATAGAATCCCACGGTCCCAGGACATTGTACGTCAGCGGAAACATTGGACGTTGATGGGAGAGCTGTTACTGGTACGGATGTCCTGTTTTCCCACTGCACCCTTCGTACTCATCTATCGATGATTGCTGTTCTTCTTTTCCTCATATATAACTCCTCACGAAGTAGAAAGTTCACAACTCACAACGCTGCCATGTATCTTTATGCGCTATTTTGATCTGGAAACTCAGCATGGAAACGCGGACCAAATGGGGACTTGACAATTATGATGAATGGTGGCATTCTGTGAGATCATTCGTTCCTCCATACTATGCAAGCCTTTATTCTAGGTTAAGACGCTGCTAAGCTATAGCCTTCGTGTCCGTGGTGCGACAGCAAGCCTTGTAAAAGTTGTTATTATGAGAAATATCAGAAATACTGCGGATATAACGTGTGAGGTCTCCTCAGACATGAATTCGAAGTCCATTTTGTATCGTTTGGTGCTAATAATTGACAGACTCGTGGGTGCCTATTGCGATATGGTATGACTGAGGTATTTTCATCTGGTCCTCAGCATCCTTGGGTCTTAATGACTTCAGGGGTCTTGATTATACATCTGTTGCAATCGACATTTTACTTTGATTTATGCATCGTGCTAATGTTTACAGTCTGCTGACAGTCAGAAAACTCAGATGTTCGCCTTTATAATAACCAGATCTATCCCGACATCACGCCCACTCTGTAAGGCTATTCGCCGACTTCAATCAACTTCTCACAAGAACGCATCGTCCGCCTACCGTGACAACAGCCAGCAGGTCAAGCAATTTTAGAGTCCCAAGATTGGAATAGGTCCAGGATTGTATACTATGGTATTAAGAGAGCTTGACAAGGATGCAAGCAATGTCGACTCATGTGCGCCAAGGTCGATAACCATTAGCGAAGCCCAGCTATTGTATGTTCTTGTTTGCTCTTCTTTTTTGCTTCTCATATCCTTCCTTGAAATTGCCCCCTTCATTCCAGCCTTGGTAGTCCCAGTCGTCACAGAATGGCCAATATGTTGACAGCAACAGGTGGAATGAGTTCCATGGATAAACAAACCAATTCCTGTCTGTAGTATTATCAATAAAGTACTATCACAGTAAGGTTAGTCTCTGGTCAATTGAATGACATGGGAATAAACGCACACTCCCACACATGTTACTATGCACTGTTTTGTCAATAGCCCTATGTAGTTGTAGGTCATATTCCCGCTCGCGGGTGCTTTTGACCTCCACCGATGAGGCTTGGTGGAGAAGTATTGGTCTGATGGCTTGCATTACCATAGCAACTTGACTGTTTTATCGGTTAAAATTGCTGAATAAGTATTGGAAAAGATGTGGTACCTTTCAATTATCTGAATAGTAGATGTATAAAGTCGTCCTGAGTTAGGTCCCAGAATATAAAAGAAATTGGGGAATCCATGCATAGCTATGGATTTGTAAGTGGCCTTGTGACCATATTGCTTCCAATGCTGTTCGCGAGTTTTGCCATTTCGTCCACGTAAATCTACATCGTACTGGGTGAGAGCGAATCCAGTGGCAAGTAACTTGACGTCCATATGAGCATGCCATTTTTTTACTTCGATAGAAAATAATCGAGTACTTACAATTGTATCAACGCGAAAAGCTTCACCTGAGTGTGTAATAACAGAGTCCTCACTGATCTCCAAAATGGGATCATCTGTCAGAAACATGTTACTCTTGTGTAGGGTCGCGAGGTATCCGCGGTCGAAAATCCGTCTCTAAGTAAAGCCATGAGCGTCAATCATAGGGACATATCATTCAGGGGTGTTGAATCATTACCCTGCATCCGAACTCGTATGTGGGGATAAGCATGTCCCAGTAGATCTCTGTATTTAGTCGTCAGCCAGTGTGAGGTACCATGACACAAAAGGCTGGATGTTCATTACTTGGTGCTGTGTCTTGAACATACGTCCGGCTTCTATTTTTGACAGATTCTCGTCCGATCTTCCCTAAACGGTTGTTCTGGAATCGGAACCACGTAATTTCCATGTAGAGAAAGAGGAGCAGGCGAATTAAATGAAGAAGGAGAGGAACGCGTCGGAGAAGATTCCTCCACTCTGGGGAGATCTGATGGTTAGTCGCGTTGACGATGTGATGAGGTGACTATTAATATAATTCAGTTAGGAAATGACCGCTCCATGAACCAAATTGACATCGAGCTTACCCGCATGAATTGTGTGACTGATTTCGTTTTATCAATGATAGCTGGGATCACCTGCGTTGCAGAAGCTGTCTATTGTCAGTAGAGGTTCGAGACATCGGAATAATAGCCATAGAATTGCTTACCACCATTGCCGATAACAGCCACATGCTTATTCGTGAGATCTATATCGTTCTTCCATCTGGCCGTGTGCATGATACTCCCCTTGAAGCGGTCAGCACCGGGAATGCTGATTTCGCATGGGTTGACCAACCCTCCGACTGCAGATATGAGAATCTGGGACTCCTGTCTGAAGACGCGCTGTGTCTGGATGTCTTTCAAAGTAACAAGCCAGGTACGTGACTTATCTTGCCATGAAGCTGCGGTCCATTCCACACCTCCTTTGAAATGCTGGTCGACGCGATACTGCTTGGCAACCACCAGTAGGTAGTGCAGTATTTCAGCTTGGGATGGAAACAACTGGGTGAATCCAGGATTCGGCGCGAATGAGTAACTGTAGCAGAATCCAGGAATATCTACTGCGCATCCGGGATCTGGACAATGGATGTTAGATTGTGCTTACACCTCTAGAGCAATTTACTTCAGTATTGTTCAACTGACATATATTAGCATTCCAAGTTCCTCCCAGTGACGTTTGACGATCGTAGATACAATAATCATCTAAGTCGTAGTCTTTCATGAGACTGCATGCAGTTGCTAGTCCAGATACTCCGCCACCGATGATGATTACTCGGCATGGGGGAAGTGTTAAAAGCTCCTCCATAGTGATACTTGAGGAAGAATATTCGAAGAGTTTATGGGTTGGAAATTGGAAACACACCGTCAAACATTCCCGTAAGACACATAAGAAGCTATAGAGCTTTTAAACCATTTTGAGAACCACATTTTTGTGCTACCGCCATTTGAACCTCCTGTTCTGGGCCGAGGGTTTTACGCTGTGGTTCAGCTTTCTAGCCAATTGGTATTTATCAAAACTTACCGTAAGATCGGGCATGCAGAGTAGGCGTATCTACCAGCAAACCTGAAAAAAAGTGACAATGCATACGTAATCGGAAGGTTTCGTAGTAAAGTGGATACAGTGCGCTCCAGCGTAGAGTGTTGCTTCACCAATCCCCAATCTGTTGTTCCTTTTCGGTTCTTGTGAGAGGAATCCACATATATAGGATATGGATCTAGTGGGTGTTCGTGCAAGTCACATCTTTCATATCGTGTCCAGCCACAATACACTAGCCGGCCCACATCAGCTTGTCGGTACCAACTCAGCCAGCCCTATCCAGCCGACAATCTCGGAAAATACACCTACTTATTCGGAAAACAGACACCTGTCAAACATTACGCGCGCCACGTTGTAAAATGGATAAAGGAGGCTGCCTGACTGGAAACTGGTACCTGTGTAACTCAACCGGATCTTTTCTCTCCTTACTCTAGATGATCCGCTCGGGTTTATCCAACATGGCGCTGGGCTTTTCTATTCTATTTTCTTTTTATCTGTTCTTTGCAGAATCTTTTTCGCTTCGTCATGACGAGAGATATAACCTGAACAGTTGCAAGGCCTTTGTAGACATACCTTTCATTTCACTCGCACGACGATCCAGTCACCAACATATTTTGCAAACCGAAAAACACGATGCTCACGGAGGCAGTGCTGCTGCTGGTGTATTTGGGACAGCAGTCTCAGACTCCAAAATTATGGACAGTGGCTGTCAGATGGGGAGCCATTTTCTTAGTGTCATTTATCTTTCTTTCTTTACTCATCATGTTGGCAAGAACACTCTTTGCATCTCGAGAGTTAATTTGCTTGTCAGGAGAAACCCAGAATGTTTTGGGGAAACCGCTACTCTTCCCAGTCAAGTTCAGACATATACGTCTTTCACCAGTAAAAGACAGATTCAACAACCAGTTCCTACTTGTGGGCGTTCCAGTTGGGCTCCGTTGCCGCATCGGCAATCTGTTGGCCATTGATGACAATTCTCTCGATGTGTCCCCGCCGCCAGGAGACATTGCTGGGCTTTCTTGGAGACGGTTATTCTCCCATTGGAGTTGTTGGTTCAGCTTTGATTCCGCACGCTTCCTACATAGGGGAGATCATGGGGTAGATCTCCGAGAGAAATTGGACAACTTTCTAAAGTCCCAGGTACAAAGACCCACGGTTAAAAGACATTGATTCAAATGCTAACGTGGATAATAGAACGAAGACCCAACTCAGTGGCCATATGCATATTTACTGAGTGTGCCACAGTTTATGGGATGGTCCCGGAGTGTCGTAACTTGGTGGTATCTCTATAACGAGGAACGAGAACTTGATGCCCTAATTCTCGAAATAAACAATTCATACTGGGAGAAGCGAAATATTCTGTTGAGGATAAAGCCAACTTCGGATAAATTGAACCCGTGCCAGTCTTTAGATTCAGCAGAGTATCTTGATCGGCGGCAGCTAGTGCGATCTTTGCCTACAGCAACGAAGGCCAAATTCTACGGGGGCGATTGGCGTAAGTATATATTTGCTTCCCCTTTTGAAAAGGTTGATGGACTTGTTTCCCAACGAATGATGGACCCGCTCAAACCCCATTCTTGGGCATCTGGCTCAACCCTTTCCAATATGACGACGCTAGAGGAAACCGGCGAAGTCAGGATGGCGACACGCTTGACCTGCGATGGTTACCCGATTGATCCTACGCGAATGTCCTACATTGATGTCATAAAGGTCATTATTTATTGGACCTTGCCAGTCATTATGACAACCCCGGAGATCTTCTTCAAGGCCATAAAAATTAGACTGTCCGGAATGATGAAAATGAACAGCAAGCCTCCTGTCCGTAGTGGGAGCGTTGGCCGTCATATCAAAAGGCTTGAACTGTGCGTGCACTTTTCTTTGATCTTGGGTCATAGACGACTCCTTACTGATTATACTTCAGAAATCTTGAAGCGTACTTTCGGGCGTATCTTGCCCGTTGTGTCGATAATTATCCCGAACCTGTCGAGCTCAAATACCTCCCCTGTAGGTCATTTACCAACGACACCGTTTATATGCGATCGCCTTCGTTTTATGAAAAGGGACCTACAATTGTGCGATATCTTACAGTTGAGCCAGCTGATCCATCTTTTTATACGCGAATCATCAATTATATGGACGTGAAAACTGCACTAGACCAGGAAGCCCAACAGACTGGACACATTGCGGATCCAACAGCTCAGCGGCTCATTGTTTCTGACACCTCCCTTCTTAAGTCCATTCTTGAATACTCATCATTTTCATTTCATGAAGAAGAGGCAGTTACTTTTTCGAGGTGGAAGCTTAGACAAATGCTTCTTCTGACTAGGCCAAAGTCAACTCTTACATTTATGGACATCTTCATTCTCTCGTCTTTGGAACCAAGATCATGTATGACCTATATGTCCTCCAGACTCCGACTATCAGCCGCACATACACTGGCTGCTGATTCACAGAGACTTCTTTCAATTTACCTATTCGTGGCATCGTGCTTAATTCGATGGTCGGTCCTGGAGTTGTTTTCAAGGGCGCGAGTGTGCATTTTTTCATCTACCGGACTGCACTATCCCCACTGGGTAACACTGGCCAGTGCCGTTTTGGAATATTGTCTCATGTTGAAGGGTCTGGCCGTTATGCAAAGGTGGCTTATGTGATAGAAATAGATTAACGTTAGTCCTTTCTACTTCCTGTACAGACTGAATGCCAATCAATCCCTTTTGTTGGAAGCCAGTATCTAGAAATATGACGACCTCTTAAATTAGTACATCGAGAGCTATTACCCCATGTTAACATCCATTGCCATGATTATAGGCTGCCCTTTAGTTTTTTGAAGAACATGCGACCTAATAAGGCTCTTGTAGATGCCAGATATGTATTTTGCGGTCGTAGACGCAGCTAGCGGTTATAGGGTTTATGAATGGCTTGCGGTATTCCCAACTCTCCTTTTATACGTGCTCGGGTGCTGCTTATCCTGTATATATTGTGACGGCTAAGTTCCAATGCTGGCATTATTAGATATGGTACCCCTAAGTCGAGAACTCCATCCCGTAGCAAATAAAAATGCCTCTCCCTTCCAATTATTAGGGTTATGTTAATATGGCCCTAATCACCCTAGCTCGGTGAGTGGGTCGTCTACCTACACAAAATTTTGTCCTCACCACATTGAAATGTTGTCAACTGCCAACACCATCGATGAATATCACTCTTCGTCAATGGATTTGCCTACATTGACAGAGACCGCCTTGCGTCACCCGGACTGCTGTTGCAGCCTTTCCTCGACCCTACTTGACGCTATCACGTCTAATCTGTGCGAAAACATAGACTCCGGTCTTGTTCTATCAGTCGGCAGTGGCACTGGCTTACTCGAAGCGCTTTTGCTCTCTTTATGGACGTCATCCTTTGTATCTGTGGGCAGGAAGCTTAATATGGAGGGAGTAGAAGTCCTTGGCTCCGAAAGCTTGGACCTTCATTCTCCTAACAGATATCTACCCGAGGAGTGTTTTAACGTAGTAAAGGGAAGCTGGGCGCTCTCATCACGAGTGAAACAGGCTGCCGCAATTATGTTCGTTTATCCGCGCAGCACAGAGCTTGTGCGTCGGTATATGGAAGAAGCTGCCCTCTTCTCGGACAAACTGCATATTGCTCTTTGGCTAGGACCGAGCAGCGATTGGGCAGAATTCGAACCAAGTTTTACTGTTAGTAAAAATTGGACAGCACTTAGCGTCATTCGTGGAAAGGAAGTGGGCTTGCTTGATTATGAAATTATGGCAGTTATCAAGAAGTCATAATGTCAAGACGGAGATGATAAATATTCTTTATGCTATGTCCATTCCGAATTTTCATCTATACCAACCCAGGTAAGCTCGGCGAGCTCATGAAGGAGCGAGTCGGCTATGAAAACAAAATCTCCTTCGCCATTTTCCTCATCAGGAAGCTCAGCTGGAAGCATACACGAGAATGGGATGATTAGGTCATTTCCTCAAACAGCGTGTTCTGCATTGTTTTTGCCTCTTGACAAGGTGATCACTTGGTCATTGATAGGTGGTGGAAGCGTATGTTCCGAGGGCTTAAGAGAATCTTTCTCCCTCTACGTTTCTTTGTGACCTCTCCTTCAAACGGCGCAAATGCCAGTATCCATGAGCGGATTGTGATGGCGCAGGACGGTTTTATATCAATTGTGATTCCCTGTCTGACTTCGCCACGGGGATCGTTAATCCACTAAGTTATGTCTTTCTCTAAATTTGATGCCGTTTCGGAGTACCCAACTTCCACCACAATTCAAGGTCCACGTCGACCCGAGCGTATAGGCTTGTAGGATCGATCAGCTTGTTTTTCCAATAGGGCTTCTCGGAAGTGGTCGCACCACACGTGTGGATTCTTTATTGGAGATTCATCGGGAGAGGAGAGCCATGTTCACGAGCATGGTTTCAAACCGGGAGGCCGCTTCCCCGTGCGGTTGGCTGACTATAGTGAGGGTTGGGAGTTTCAGAGATGATGAGAAGTTGGCTCGTCCTGGTAGTCTTTTGTCAAGCTTATTGTATCTAACTGCAGTAAGGTTCTTAACCGCAATGAAGGAATCTTTGATCGAGTAAGGTATAGGAAGGTTCTCCAAGTTTTGGAAGTCGTCGTACCAGTACACAGGCGTACCTGGAGGAAGGTGCGATAGAAATATTTCAACTTCGTGATTTTCCATGGACACAACCTTGTCGTAGTACCCAGTCATTTTGAGATTATTCTCGCTCTTCTGTTTGATTAATGCCTTTTCTGAAGTGTAGAACGGATATAAAAGTTTGTCATGAATCTTGGAACTCCTAATTGCGATGTCACAGGTTCAAAACTACATGAGCTTGCCGAGTTCCCCTCATAGTGAGCCAAATTTCTCTACTACTTGTCTCCATATTGGTCATAAACAGAATATGCAGTACCTTTCACGGTCTTTTAGAAAGCTTGAACTAGCCCAGTTGGAGCAGGTTCTGGACCGTCGCCTGACAAGACCTTATAATTCCAGATAGCAAGTGCGATCGTTACAGCCTCAAGGTGTTACTGATTCTCAACATCAATTCTTCCATGGTTTTCATATTAAAGCTCCAGCTGTGGTCATTACCTGGGTAAAAATCGTAAAGTTTGAGTGAATTGTCGCGGGACTATCTAGTATCCGTTGGAGAAGTGGACAAGAGATGAATCAATCTATGAATATTGCACCTTTAACGGCATATGAGACACTTCTTCTTCTATTTATCCTACATCCACAATTCAAGAAATATACTAGACTAATGGTCCCTCAACTCTACATACCTCATGACGGAGTTTAGGGTATAAATATCTCCGAGCACTGCTATGTCACTCCGGACTTTACTTCTGTTAAGTCCATTCCTACCCCTTTTTTTGTCTTCCTAGCTGTATACTAAAGTGGAAAGTATGGTATGAAAACCAAAGCTTTTCATGTCACATCCATACAAGCATAATCTCACAAGTACCCTCGGTATTTCCCCTCTGTTTTTCTTTTCTATCTCGCCTCCATCACTCTCTCTGCACACTCCTCCGATATTTCATATATTTCTCTCTTGCACCAATCCACAAGATACTGACCATACGTATAAAGTCATGTTACAAGGATACAGCAAGGATCAGCCTGAAGGCTTCCACAATCGTATTGAAAGGGTGGCATTAATCGGCGTGCGTATACACTATATAAAAGAACCAAAACAAGAAAAGCCGATGAGACAAGAATTTATTTCTAACTATATCACCAGGCCGGTGGTCATATGGGATCGCATATCGCCGAGGCTCTGCTCAAAACTAGAAAGCATGTCGTCAAAGTGATTTCGCGCCCAAACAGCACGAGCAAAATGCCCTTCGGTGCACACGTGGAACGTATCGAATATGGCGACAGCGATGACAGCGAGATTGTCCAGGCTCTAGAAGGGCAACAGGCATTGATCATTACTATGTCCGTGGCAGCACCAAGAGATATCATCTCAAAGCTTATACGCGCAGCGGCTAAAGCCGGTGTATCATATATCCTTCCCAACTGGTACGGGCACGATCCTGCCGCTGAAAAACTTTGTAAAGACACGTTCCTAGCAGATATCAAGACCAGAATCTGTACGGAAATTGAAAGTCTCGGTGTAAGCTCTTACATCTTGCTTGCCTGTGGCTTCTGGTATGAGTTCAGTCTTGGTGGCGGACCTGACAGGTATGGCTTTGATTTCAAGAATAGAAGTGTTGTAGTTTTTGACGGCGGCAATACTGCGATCAACACGAGCACTTGGCCGCAGTGTGGCAGAGCCATTGCCAGCCTAATGAGTTTAAAAGTACTCCCGGAAGATGAGAATGACCGCTCAGTAACCCTCTTACAATTTCACAACCGCCCTGTCTATATCTCCAGTTTTCGACTAACCCAATGGGACATGTTTAAAAGCATCAAACGTGTCACAGGTACGAAAGATGCAGACTGGACTATCACGCATGAATCGAGTGCAGAACGCTATGCATCTGCCAAGGATTCCATCCTGCAGGGAGATCATCACGCCTTTGTGAAATTTCTGTACAGTCGTACTTTCTATCCAAATGGTGGTGGTGACTTCGAGTCCACTCATGGTCTTCACAATGGAGTACTCGGTCTACCAGGCGAAGATTTGGACGCATACACATCTGTTGCTATTTCTATGGGTGAAAATGAGGAAGTGGTAGATGATGATGTTCGCAGGCGCGTCATCCACGTGCTAAACGAGTGAAGAAAGAGCCGCCTTGGTACACATTGAGACTCAATTTGAAAAAAGACAAATAACAATTTGTTGGATTAGTGGGTCGGTAGGCACTAATCCGTGAGGGCAGAATCGGTAATGATTCCTAGCTTTGTTACGTGGAAAGTGTAGATATTGGAAGTAGAATTAACAAGCAAAATTTTATGTCTTTCGTTCTCCGTCCCTCTATTTACACGAAGCAAGAAGGCAGTATTTATAGGCAATATTGACAGTTCCTTGTGTACGGGAATAACACGAATTTGGTGAGTAGATGCGGGGATGCCCAATCGACAAAGCACTGCATAAAAGAGGTTCAGATCAGAGCCCAACTTGTTCTTCCCACAGTTCGCACGATCTCGGGAGTAATCGTTCAAACGCTGGCCTGCCACGTAGGCCTAGTAATTTAACACAATTATCAATATATAGCCCACCCGAAAGCGAAAGGTGAACGGTTTATTTGCATTGGCGAGGGATGTGCTTCTTTGCTAGACATTGCAAAAATTTTGAAGAAAAACCTTGGACCCAAGACTCGTACAGTGCCAGCCACCGTCCTGTCAAACCTGTTCATCCAGGCCGTTGCTATTTCTCTTCCCGTTACCCGTCTTGTCCTACCAGATTTAGGAGTCAAAAAAGCATTCAGCAGCACCAAGTCCAAAGGACTTCTGGGATGGACATGGAAATACAACCATGAGCAGGAAATCATCGCATCTGCTGAAGGTCTACATAAGTTCCGTTTGATCAAGGCGTAAGGGAATTCAAAAACAATCATAGGGGTCGGTTATATCACTGTTGTATATAAGATATTCTCCATGTACAACTTTCGAATAGATATAGTGTGTGCATTTAACCTAAATCTGCCATCCACGAAAGCCATAATGTTACTCGAGTTGCTTTTTGATATGCTGAATAGTATGAAAGTATGCAACAGAGTAAAAATCATTAGAGCGGTCCAAATTCTTTAACAGTAGGATCAAGGTGATATAGCAGAAGGCTACGGACAATTATACTTTTAATCACAATGTACCGGTTCCATTATTTTACTACGCCACATCCATTCTAGATCACGGCTCTATGGTGGCGCGAGACCGCCGCAGATTGCTTGCAGTCTTCAAAGCGAGCTCATAGTCAAAGTTCGCAAGTGGTAGTTGAAATATCGTCTGAATCGTGGACAAACATCTTGTATCATGCATCAACATGCTGTACCTGCCTAGGCGATTAACTAGCTATCTAGAATATGTTTGGTATCTCACTGGCTTGAGCCATTAGGACCCCTGTCGCAAGATAAAGGCCGACAGGATTGCTCCCAGTTATCAAAGTCGGTTATTTCCCTGCATGCCGCATCTTCAATGATGTGGACTTCGCTTCCAGATAATTTATTCGAGATAGATCCGCCATCATGCGATCTAGTAATGGATGGTTGAATGCCGGATCTCATAGAAAGTCCATAACTCTGGGCCGTAGTAGTACTATACACTCGCGTAATTGTATCAGTGTTACCCGAGTCCGATTTCTTCGTGCTTATCAGTGATCGGATGCAAGGAACTGATCCCGTAATGATAACCAGATAAGTCTCAATATAGAGCCAGCGCTCGAGGTCAGCCGTTGCCACAGTTGGATCACTGTCAATACTAGCAAGAACGTGAATCTGAAAGGTCTTTATAATTGACGCTATCATCGCACTATCGAAAATGACATTTGAAATTAGTCTTTGCGTGTCATTGACATGTCCAAGTAATTCATGTGTTCCTCACAAGATTCCAAGACTAAGAAGGCCTATCAGGCCACATTTGATGCCCAACTTGAGTTTCAAGTTCCATGAGATGTATGTCGAATATGCTGCGAGATAGAAATCTGTCACGGAATTGAAGGCTGTGATGGAACCGAATAGTCAGTTGTGATGTATCTCAGGCGTGGTGTAGCGCTACCTACAGCTTTGAAAATATCCATAATATGTTTGGACTCGGAGGTCCCAGCATTTCCCTTCACCAGTCACATTCCATATAGCCGAAGTATATCCTGGACATTGTAGAAATATTACAAGAATGAAGAGCGAGTTTATGATGATTTGTGCTCCAACGAGAACCCACAGCACAATTCGATAAGCCTTTCTCGTCCCAAGTATGCTAATGATTAAAACAATGAATGAGACTCGACTAATTGCTCCACCTGCTAACCCTAAAGCTTGGGACAGATAATCGTACAAAATGACCTTGGAAACATTCTCGGGGTTGATATCCCACACTTGTTGACCATATCCATGTTTGATACCGATGGTGAGTATAGCTGATCCGGCCGAAGACGTGCACTACAAAAAGGTGACACCTTTCGTCACTAACTATACAAATCTGACATTAACTTATCAGGCTTACTAACCAAAGCAAGGATTACCAGGACGTCGTCTAGTGCAAACTTTCTGATTCGAGCTTTAGACACAACTCTAAGCATCACGATCAGAATTGAGATGGCTTCAAATATCCAAATGGTCTGAAGCAGTTCCGGTCCCAGATTTGGACTCGATTCTTCATTCGTTGTGGACATGCTGCCTCAGTTTGCAGAGATTGCTAACAGCCAAAACACGAGAAGTTGCCAGAATCCGCTTGATCGTAACACAATTGTTTTATTCGATGATCTGTACTGGATATATGGTTCTGATTAAAAAGAATAGAGATCTATCAATATCACTTCAATGTCCAGAAGCCCGGAGGCCGCCGTCATATGCATATTCGAGTTGCTCTTAGGGGTTTTTCTTTCATATAATTGAGATATCAGTAGCGAGGGATTGAACTAGTAAACTATCCAATGAAAGATAACAGCGCTCTTTGAAGCTTTCGGTGCTAATATGGAAGTTGTGGATTGAGGCAAGAGTGTTATGATAATAAATCAATTCATGATTGGTCCTCGCTAAATGACAATGTTGCAATTTATATACCTTCGAGATTGGTATCGACGGCGGATTCCGAAGCATGGAATGGCCCTCGCCGGCTCACACATTCTGTACTCCTAAGAGCCCGTCCACGGCACAAAGACTAGATAATATTCTAGATATCGTTTTTTAATCAGTAGTCGCATAAACTATGATTGGATGCGATAAGAGCGATAAGAACGTGGTCAAATTAATAGTCAACCATCCTGTTAATATCTTCGAATCCTAGAGATACATCTGTAAGCTCCGTATGCTACGACTCGTCTGTGGGTAATGTATGAGACCTCTTACGATTGAGACTGGAACATATAGGTCGAACCGTCGGGAATAAGTGATTTCAAGAGTCAATCATCAAGGACGTAAAACCTCGTCCAATGATTTTCCTGTGACCAGTTGACATGCAGATCTCTCGATTCGCCCATCTATATCGTCTATCCATCGTACAGCCTTCTAGATAAAAATGAACTCCAAATCCCCTTCTATCTCATAAAAACCCACAACACCAGCTGAGAGATGATAAAGAAAAACGAGCTTCCTTCGAATGACCAGAAAAAAAATATAGGCGATTGGTCTATCCTCTCGAAGATGAATCAGATCCCGTATCAAAGAAAACAAGAAAAGCGACTAGCTGAAGTACAGCTGATAGAAGCTTGGAATGTCGGGTTAGACTTTGTAAGTTTGATGCCACTGACGCTTTCCATGCTCACTTACCACACATGTCAGTATCCAACTATGGAGATATATGTGACGGCACTGAAAAGACTTACTCTGCACGCCAGACTAAATAAAGGCCTAGGAAGCCAGTGATTAGCCAGGTGAACGCCGACAAAAAGCTGAAAGCCTCAGCGGTTTCCCAAACGGTGCAATTTCCTCCATCGTTTACGGGGCCCAACCCATCAACACCACCACAGACGAGTCCATCAAGGGCATCGAAGAGAAGTCCGAAAGCTGCGAACCATGCCAGAGCAATCACAACATCGACTATGATACGCGTTAATAGTTTCCATCAATGTGGTAATGGGAACAACACATACTTGGCCAGATGAAAAACAAAAGGAACGCTGGTAGTAGAAATATCAGTCCAAGTATGACTGAAAGGCCAGCCAGGATTTCAACATAAATCCAGCGTCCTAGCAAGAACCCGGCGTCGTTTAAGTCAAACAAGCTGATAAAATATCCAATCATACCAGCCACAATCTGGCGCATATTGGTTAGCACAATGTCAAGAGGAAAATGGCAGAATGTAGCGATTCGGGATATACATACTGCACTAAAAGCAAATTGACCTAGACGAATGGTGATCAACAGACTCCTTGGTATGATGTCCATGGTCACACTATGCAATAGATCGTTGTTCGAGGGGTCGGCGATGGTCGATTGGAAGTAAAGGAAAGCAATTTGGACCAGAGGTCTCTTTGATTCTCAAACTGAAGAATGAAACGTGTTGCGCTCGTGGTGTTTTTGTTTCTGTCTAGGAAAATAGTTCAAAGATACGTGGAAATTGACAACTTTATATACTCATTTTCTGGTCACAGTAGCCACATATCTCTAGAGTATGACATGTTATTAGGAGAAGAAACAATGCTATGTCAAAAAGACGTATCCCTGAGGTGACACACTTTCACATGTCTACATGGATCAGAGCAGTAGGTAAAGGCACGATAAAAACGGGAGAAATACTGTAAAATTTTGTTCCTGACGGTCGTGTTTAGCAAGACAAAGGCACCGAAATTCGTTCAATGTTCAACTTCGGAAGATTAAAGCCGAAATATATTTACGGCCAACATACGATAGTTCCATGATGTTCGCTGTAGGTGGCACAGCATGGGATGTTGACTCGGAGCTTCGGATACCTACAGTTGCTTGAAGAGCGACGACCGACTCTCGAGGGCCGAGAGGCTCTTTTTGAGAGCGAAGGATTACATGTTACCTAATCACCACTTGCCACTGCCCACGTTCATGCGATAATGATGAACCCAAGAAAAAGGCCGAGACTACATGATCGTCACGATCGTCAAATTAACCCGATGTGGTAATAGCCTCGGCATAGCTACGAAGTAATTATCCATGAATGGAATAGATGAGAGACCCCTAAGGAAGGACTGTTGCAAGACGGACATCTAGTGACCGGTTACCTAGGTACCGATCATAGTAGCTAAATGATTCCTAGATATTCTTTAGGTTCACGTATGTAGTGCGAAATTTTTATCTCGTCTTCTGCTATCAAAATCGCCAATTAATGCTGCAAGTTAGCCAATACAACTGATATGCTCTCGGTGCACTTCCGCAAACCACACTGTGGTATTGCAATGGATAGAAGCTTTCAAAGTCGTTGTCATTGTCAGTCGATGCACCTTCTATCACTCTTTTGAATGACGCTGTCCAAAATTCGTCTACATGCACCCACAAAAGCATACTTAGATGGACCTAACAGGCTATATACTGATACATATGTTCACTTCCAAGGTTTTGACTGAGTGCCTACAACTAACTGAGATATTACTCGTGTCTGTATGTGGGTGTTCATCTAGGGCCTGATGTTTGCATGAGCGCGCAGTGCAGGTCTGCTTACCACCAATGGCCCAATCTCATACGGCTTTTTGTGTAAGTTGTTCTAGGTAAGCGAAGTCAAAGACATGGGGACCTAGCATATAATTATCTTGATCCTGTATGGGTTACAGCAGCTGCTTTTCTATGCATAATGATGGTCTGCGAGCATGTGATAAGGTTGCATACACATATTATCAACACGAATTGCAAGCCCGACCGTTTGGAGAGTATGATTCGTGTCCAAGACTCGTATGAGTGATGTGATGCTTTACGTGGGCTCCTAGCGACCATTCACATGTGCTGTTTTGAAGGTGATCGGCAGCACCAACCGCAGCCACCTGATGGCTCATAATCGACCAGGGCTATGACTATTACACAAGTAGCTAGTAGCTATATGGAATAGACTGCAGCGATGTTTGGTGGTTGCATGCTTTGATATCGCACATAACTGGCGGATTGGTAGTTAATGCTACGGTAGTACAATCCTCTATGGTTCTGGCTAGGTCTCTATGCATGCACCCCTCACAGTAGTTAGAGTAGGTAGACACTTTCATGAATTTCATTCTCCCCAGTTTCCATAAGGGATTCAAATAGTTATGCAGCGTGCTAAAATAACAGATGCCCATTGGACTTTCTGCGGCCATACTGGGATTCCAATTAATCACGCTAATCGTATGTACCTCAGAGTCGACAGTCTTCTCGTATATATAGCTATAAATGGCCTGACTCTATCCGCAATATACGAAGCTTGAAAATAATGTAATACTTATAGCCTTATAGCTTTGTATTGTTGATAAGAATGCTCCTGGACATCACAGAAAAGCAAATTGCAAAAGAAATTAGATATGCGTCCAGGTATCTTGGTAGGCCTATTGGCCTTTGCTGCCATCACTGCAGGGTTTCCGAATAAGCGCACCGGACTGCCTGCTTCCAAGTCATCTATACAAAATCTGAAGTCCAAAATTAAAAATGTTGTCATTCTTGTCATGGAGAACCGCTCCTTTGACAACTTATTGGGAGGCCAGAAGCTTTTCGGTCTCGACAATCCAATTCAACACGGGCCATTTTGCAATCCCTACAATGTCAGTGACCCAGCGGAAGGGATGGTCTGCAGCGCCGCCAGAGACTATGACTCGATCACCGATGACCCGGATCATGCAGTGTACGGAAACAATTTCGAGTTCTACAGTACCTTCACACCTGACAATGCTGCTATTGAAAGCGGCCAACTGATACCAAATCAAAATGGCTTCATTCATGAGCAACTCCGTCTGTACAGCTCCGAGGCCAACAGGACTGAGTTAGCCACGCAGGTTATGAATTACTACACGGAGGAACAGGTTCCTGTACTTACCACGTTGGTGCACAACTTTCTCACTTTCAATCACTGGCATTCAGATATCCCCGGAGTAAGTGGTACCAAAGTTATCTTCGAATCTTCGAATAGCTGAATAGCTGAATAGCTGGATTGCCAAATTTCCTTCACTTGCGTTCTAGCTCTGTATGCTAATCAGTGAGTTTTTCGGTATATAGCCTACGAATCCTAATCGAGCTGCGATTGTATCTGGAACATCGTACGGGCATGGTACAAATGATGATGGTTTCTCAGAACATGTTTTTCCACAGACTTCAATCTGGCAGCAACTGACTGAGACAAATCACTCCTGGACCAATTATTGGGATACTGCTGGCGGTACAGGTCCAGACGCTGGGTACTTCAGTTGGACTTATGAGACTGGCAACAATGACAAGATTGTTGCCATGGAGAATTTCTATACGGATGCTGCGGCTGGTTCTTTGCCTGAGCTCAGTTACATCAATCCGTCTTGCTGTGGAGTAGGCACCACTTCAATGCACCCTAGTGGCCTTGTTTCTGATGGGGAGGAACTGATCCGGAGTGTTTACGACGCCTTACGTGCAAGCCCCCAGTGGGAACAGACCTTGTTCATCTTAACATTTGACGAGAGCGGTGGTTTCCATGATCACGTTCCTCCTCCTCTTGCTCCTCGTCCGGATAATCTTACTTACACTTCAACAACACCGTCTGGTCAAAACTATACCCTTAGTTTCAACCGTCTGGGAGGCCGCATTCCTACACTTTTGATCTCTCCTTGGGTTGCTAAGGCCTATGTTGAACAAAAAAGTCTCAATTCTGAGGGCGAAACTGTCTCGTACTCGGCATCATCGATCTTGCGTACGTTGGGTTACTTATGGGACTTTGAACCGTTCAATCCCAGAGTCGAATATTCGCCTTCCTTCGATCACTTGATCCAATCTTATTTACGAATGGATACTCCGAGCTCTCTTCCTAAAGGGACTGCATTCAAGAGCTAGACTTACATTTTTAATGCTATGAATAGCGTCAGATGTGCGCTTTTTTATTGATAAGCATTCCAGACATCAGTTCCTCTTTCATTAAACACTATGAAAGATAATCTTACAGTCAAGAAGATGTGTATGTAAAATGACAAGAAGTTGCATTTTCAGTCAATACTCCAAAGATTGTCGAATGTCCACGCAGCTGGATTTCCAAAGAAGAATTCATCCAGGGGGATATCCATCTGCATGACCTACGTAATGATGGATTAGTAAACAAGGTAAAATTTAATGGAGTTTTGTAGTAGTGGTACCTGAGACTGTTCTGTAGGAATCAGTTGAAGACTGGCCATGTCGCTGTTATGGTTGTGAAGTGGTAAATTTCCGCACGAATTTATCTGGACTTGGATTAGCTAAACCGTCCTCAAGGTTTAAATGGTTGCCTCACTTAGTTAGTTAGGCTTGATCCTCTGACCAATTTGCACTTACACTTCTCGGATGCATTGGCATAATCATATCCTTGGCCCTTTCTACATCCACCTGCGATTCTAAAACACGACAATACTGTCTTGTCACTCTATTGATGGCTTCTTCCTTCTCTCTCACGCCTTCAGAGGGGACCAATGCAGATTGTAAGAATTTGGACGCAGCCGATATATACCAGTAATAAGTGTAACCTGTGCCATACTGTGTAATTCGTTTTTCCAGCATTCCAAGAACATCTTCGAGATACTGGATGAGAATCGCGTTATTTGAATTTATGAAGATATTGTCTACAATTGTAAGCTTGATACGTCTCATCAAGGGCATCAGATCGCCCGGACTTACTTGTAAGCATCAAGTTAGCGTAAACAGTTTGGCATATCACAAGCCCAGCTCGGAAGTAATCGTTTCTCTGGAGTAAGAGAGAAAAGTTTGCAGTTTTGACCAAGTTTGAATGCATCCTGATAATCTCTGCTGCGGCGGTGAGACAAGCAATTCTAGACAGTGAGAACCGCGAGCTTGTTTGTGTCTGACATGCAAAAGGTGCATGAAGCATAACCAAGAATTGTCGAAGCTGGATATCAAGTAATGTCCTTACCACATAAGACGACCTCTTGTTGACGTGCTCGTGTCTTTTGCTTGCGGTATCCGATTGAAGTCTTTGAAGTTCTTTCATAATCATGTCTTCGTACCTTAGCACAGTCTCGTGTACCAACGGGGAGCTTAGATCATTTATTATAGAATTCAACGAGACCCGCAACGAAAAGCTAAACCTTGAAATGTGAAGATAGGAGGTTGACGTGTGTTCGCAGAGTGGTCTGGATGTTAATCGACTGCTTTTCTCTAGCTCTTCGTCATGCACATTGAGTACATTAACTGTGTCTGAGGGAATTCCGGCCGAAGCAGAGGGCATTCCTCTATCAATTGAAATTTGCAGCTCCATTTCTATTATGGTAGCCCATAGCCGCCTACGCATTTCCTGATCAAAAAAGGAGACCTTATCTCCGAGTACGCTGGGGTCACGGTGAAATCCAGCAGACATAGCCTCCCGTAATAATGTGCCAGCTTCTGTCCATATGCGTTTTTTCTTCACAACGTTAATCTGCTTGGCGAATATAAGTAGACAACGAATTTGCCAAATGGCAAGATAAACGTGCTTGTGACTTTGGCGCGCAAGCCATTTCTCGGAGACTTCGATCCAGAAAATGGCCTTCTCTCTGGACACAGAACTATCACCAATGTATTCTGGTTGATCCTGTGGGAATAAAACCTCAACAGAAGCCATGATCAGCAGAAGAATGATGACGACCGCGGAGTCAACTTGCTTCGGGTCTTGCCACAACAGCTCATACTGTTTCTGAAAGCTCTGGTAGTGTAGGATTCGATATGTCGACTCAACAGTGTCAAAGTAAAGAGTCACATGCCTATCTGCAGCCTCCCGGTCTGGTAGTAGGTGGAGCAGCTCCTCGTGCGTCAGGAACCAAGCACCATCGGCCCTAATACCTTTCCATCTGACTTGCAATGATTTCAGTTCCCGTTGTACACGTGCTAAAGAAGTTTGACTGTGTATAGTCTCTTTCATGAATGATCGAAGTTCCGGAAACTATAAAGAGTTAGAATTGTATAGCAGAAGTGCCTTCGTCTTGTTTCAAGGAATTCTTACATGAGCGATGGAGCTAGTCGCGTTGCTACCACCATAATATTGTGTTCTAAAATTCTCTCCACGAAAAATGACTGTCTCCTTTGGGATTGACTCCTGGGATCCGGCAGAAGCGTCCATGATATCAGCGCCTATAGCGGGCCGGGATTTTACACCACCGGTGTCGAGGACCGAAACATGACCTAGTAGTTGCCATGTTCCCTGAGTTTGAGCGGCTTGTAAGCTGGATGGTGCGTAGTCTTTGCCACTTATATCGAGAAACTGAGAAGCTACTCGCGGCGATGAGGAGTGAATAGCGTGGTTTCCCGAGGGTACACCATGGGGTTGCGCTGTGGACGATAACGGCGGAAGAAAGCTTGACGTATTTGAAGGCTGTCGACTTCCGGGGAGGGACGATGCATCATAAACATATGAACATATCTCTGGCTGTCCGGCTTTCCTACAGCGAGTACACGAAGGTTCTTCGCGATCACACTTCAGTTTCCGTCGTCTACACTCATAGCATGAGAGGGTTTTCCGCTTTCGCTTTCCGTGAAGTGAATGAGGACTGACTCTCGGAGATGTCGAAGTCCGAACTGTTGGGACTGCAGACTCCATTTTTCTTCGACTAGGTGAATAAAGCCACGTAGGACGAGAGATAGAAAAGGAAGGAAAAGAGGACAGAGAAGCAGTCGGAGTTAACTAGCGGAGAACGCGTCGGCACGCTTCGGAGATAGACTCTGTGCTCTGATTGGCCTCTGTCCTCTGCTACGTTATTCCTGATCTGTTTGGAGACATCATATTCATTACTCGGAAAAATAGCAGGAAAGAAAAGAATGCTTCGATTTTGCTGACAGCATGATGAAATTTCACACAACAACATGGGGATTATATTGCTTGAGAATTCGGCAAGCATTCAACCCTAAGTTAAGGTATCCACTTCAGGATGTCAGTCAATTTGATGCTCTAGTTACATATCAATTATAGTACTACTTGAGTATTTCCGTCAACTGGTGCTCAGCTGATGCCATTTTCCAAGGTTACCTACTTTCTTTTGAGGTTGCTATCTTTCTGAATTGCTAGAAGTCGCGCCAACTAGTTCTAAGTACATGGATCCTTCAAATATATGAACTGGCCCATCTCACACTTTTAATAGGTGATTGTCCACCAAATCAGTCGAATAAATCTTCATTCCACAATGTGGAAAAACTGCGCCGAAGTATATTAGGTAGAATGAGTATCATGGAAGTTAGACAGTACAGATTGATGTTCCCGACTTCTAGACTTTGACTAGGCCTCCAGATGGATTGGGATTCTCAGAGGAGACAAATCACACGGTAAAAATCAATTGAGTACAGTGAATTCCAAGGTTCCGTATGTTTTGACAGAGCTCTGTATCGTCCAATCTTTAAATGTATGCTATGTGACTTCAATGACTGGCGAGGGTGATAGGCATCAGAGTAATAAGCCTATTATTGCTACGGCAACTGGTTGAACAAGATTTACCTGTATGGACATTGTCTCGAATTAGTAACGAACGAGTTATACGACAAATCTTGATAAGGAGAGTCTCGTAGGAATGGAGTAGCAAGTAGAATGGGCGGATACATACAATCGCGGTCCGTTCAGCATCTGATCCTGACTTTGTGCTTGTGACTGTAGCTCCTGTTGGTGCATGGGTTGGAACTACAGTCGCAGTCACAGCCTGTGCATTTCCTCCAAAACTAGCGAAGCACGCACTCGAACTTGCCTGGCCACAACACTCGTCGATTCTTGTCTGTCCTAGACTTGTGCAAAACTGACATACTCCGTCTACCTCTTGCTGGAATACCTGGCTGGCTGCACTGGCAGGGAGACCTGAGGTTTCTGGTATTCCGTGGAGGTAGTTTGTGCATATTGTTGCTGATGCCGCCAAATCGCCGGTGAATGTCGCAGGGACCGCAGTTGCACCGATGAACTGGGAGAACATGGCAGAGTCTGCACGAGAGACCGTCACGAAGGCGAAGAGGACGGCCTGGTAGAAAATGGACATAACCGGAGCCATGCTGGGTGGAATCGTGAAGATATTTATTCTTGATTTTACTTCCACTTAGTGATATGAGATTGGTCTTCGCAAGTTGTGTCAATTGTGTCCTTGATGTGAGCTTTGTAAGTCTCGGTTTGTGGGTTTAGTTCTCTAGGGTGTAACGACGAGAAGACCAACCATTATAACTTTCTTCGCAGTCTTAAAGTTAACTGCTTATCTGAAATAGGCGCCACGAACACGAGCTGAAAACTTAGATAGTGATAATTTTGGATATGTACCTAGGTACAGCATTTTTTTATTGGCTAACATGCAACGTGAGGAGAGTTGTCAGAGAAACAGTGCGGGGCGAGAAGGAGGGTGTTACCCCTGATCATAGTGAAATATTTGACCATATCGACACCGAACACAGAAATAACACGGAAAACCACATGGTTTTATGTCGTCGCGTAAGAGTTGGCTTAAACTCTGATCCTCCGTTGACAAATGGCAGAACTCCTCGCTTTGTAGACCCGGAATGAGTAAAGCCTACTCGCAAGGGTGAGCTATACTGAAATGACTCCAAAGTCAAGCACCCTCCCCGATCAAATAAAGAGAACTTATCGTGAGCCGTGGCTGACATAGACCTAGTTAGACATTAAAAGGTCTAAGCTGAATAGTTTGATCTTCTTAATACCGGGAAACAGGTGTTTGTTCTGTAGAGCGACGCTTCTCCTACTGCATTCATCGGTATAAAGCATATTGTATGACTATATAGGCAGTCAAAATCGCAATACACAAATCTAGGATAAGCTTGGTGTCTTGTCGCTATGGATGGCAGTTGTGAATGAGGTCCCATGACTTGTCCAACGTCCTCCCTTTTCTTATAATTTTCAGAATAAGATTCATCGCTCTAAGAAGAAAGGATAGAATATGGACTAGTTGCCGCTGACAGTAATTGGATAAGAGCGTGCGGCTGATGCCACAAGGATTTTTCGTCGGCGACAACGGAGAACCAATGGTATGAAGGTAACATACTAGTTTTCCGGTCCAGTGATTGTGTTATGAGAAGCAACTAACCAGAGACACTGGTCAGAAAAAAATGTGGCCCAAGATCTGACGGACACTGACCATTATAGTTTCAACTTGCCCTGCTGTCATTACCTTCCCCACAGACCAGTATGAATCGCAGTAAACAGATACGATTTTGCTGGAGCTGGTTTTAGGTATTTTTGGAAATTTTTATTCTTTGGCCGTTTCTGGCCGAAGGTAAGCAGAAATTGTCAATTGCTGTCTCTGGATGTCACTGCCAGAGACACGTTGGTGTAAAGAGATTTCTTTTCCCTAACACAAGAGAGATGACTGCCTGTAGTATTAAGTTATTTACCGTTCATATCACGAGAGGTTCATTTTATGATTGATGGCTAACATACCACATCCAAGGGTGAAAAGGGAGGAAGCTGATTCTACATTGTGCCGTTGCATACACCCCTATTTCCGAGTTTGATCAGCACCGCGTTCATGCGCCGACTTTCTGCGTTGCCTCCTCCACTCTTTTTCGGTCTTCATGAGTAGGTTCTGCACGGATTTGTTACTATCCGGATTGTTCTTGACATCCTCATCGTTAAGCAGTTCGGTTAATGCAGCTTTGACCATGTTCTCGGAGTTGCGATGGTCTTGCTCGTTTTTATCAGGCTTGACAGCAGCTGGTAGCGTTTTAGGGTTGGCAGACTGGTCCTCCACGGGCAACTTGTCTGAGTATGACAGGAGTCGCTTGAAGCTGTGAACTGTATTCACAGTTGGCACCTGAGTAGTGGATGCGGCGGGCACCTGCAGGCGTCTCAGAGGCTTCTCTTCTGCCATCTCGACTTCAACGCGTTCTTCGGATATGTCAAAAATATCTTTCTTGATGAGAGAATGGTAGAAAGTCGAGGTTGTTTGTTGTTGATTTTTTTGTCTTTTGTGGTTGCTTTTTCATCACCATGACGTCGAGTGTACAACTATAGGGTTAGGGTTGATATTGTCCCGTCCTTGCCCTTGTTCTCCAGGGTTGTTAGGGTTACGACACGTTAGCATTCTCGCACGGGAAGGGGGTCTCTCAGATCCAATAACGGAGTCCGTTAGAAATACGGTCGGTTATAAACCGCTAGATCAAGCACGTTAGCCGGAAGTGGCTTACGGAAGCCAAGCTGTGTTCCAAGTAGATTCTCTAACAACTAGCTAGCGACTGTACCTTTGTTCTGTACGGTTAGAAATCCTAGAGGACGACTCTGGATGTTGTAGAGTTCTCTCCCTTCGTGCTGACCACATTGGGATGGCGTGTTCTTAGGTGTAGCGCGTCCGCTCTGTTCCGGCGCTCCTACAGCGTGCTCTATCTACATGCGTTTCTAGGTGCTTTTCTACAATAAATGATAATTTTGATGGGAATAGCTAACAAAATTACACATTATTCTCAAACAACACGAATTAATCTTTGATCAGACGATCACGGGTAAACGGGGTCGACCATATTCCTCCACGCATTATACTCAAGGGCCGTCTCGTCGCTTGCTGAGACCGGGGGGGGGGGGGGGTCATTGTTCCTAATGGGGCTTTTTGTAGCTCTTTGAGAGCCTTCCTTTGAGCCCTCTTTTCCTCCTGCACAGCACGCTTTTTAGTGGCTCGATTTGCATCCTTACAGAGAATTCCTCCAACTTGAACTTGACGTTTAGATTTTTTAGCAGATTTGCGTTGGTTGAGCGTTTGGAGGTGCTTAATCTGCTCCTATTGCTGTTCCATAATATGAGCCTGCGTAAGACTCTCATCAAAAATCTTTTTCAGGCTTCTTCGGATGCCTGGAATCATATCACTAAGCTCACTTAGTTGCGTGTCAACCTTGGTAATGCTTTTTGAAGTTTGTAAGCCGTAGTTGGTGGAGAAAATGAAGCATTTGTAGGCGAACTTGGGATATTTTGCTCCTCCTCATTGCCATCAAAACCCTGCAAATCCGGACCCATTTGACCTTCCCATTTTGCCATAAGACGATCAACAATAAGATCCGGATTGAGAGTCCAGAGTCCACGTTCACTAAACCCTTTCCGGATTGTTCGTGGTGTAAGAGCTTCGGCGCGTACTCGAGCAATATCGGCCAAAAAATCCACTTTACCGTAGAAATAGCCACCAAGGTGAGCTTGCTCGTTTATAGCCCTTCTGTAAATGCGTTTATAATGTAAAAATGGCATTCCATGTAGAGGCTGTAAAATATGTGGTGTATGAGGCGGAAAAGCGAATGGGATAATCTTATTTTCTTCACAATAAGAGATGAAATCTGATGTAAGATGAGCGGTATGATTATCCATAACGAGTAGTCGAAAATCATTCCCAGCTTGTTCTTGCATATGCTCATTGAAATGTTTAAGCTATTCGTATGTGATCTCATCATTTAAAAAGTCTGAGTCGCTTATAGTGACTTTCCACTCATCCTCTTTGAGATATCCCGAACCAATTCTCAAGGATGACTTTTCCGGTAAAAATAAGCAACAAGGGAATCGTGTTTCCTTCAGCGTTTATGCCCTCAATTATAGATACTAATTCTCGTAATGAAGAGCTTGGAACATGCTTTGAAGATTCTAGCTATTTTATTATAACATTCTCATCCCCCCCTTGCCCAATTTAAAATCTAGATTCGTCAAAGTTCCAAAAATTATATGGCGTAATCTTCTTCTCTATTATCGTGATTTCTAAACGATCAAACCAGACTTGTATAATACCTAGGTCCTCAGCAAGATGGCATTTTGGATAGATAGTCTTTTGCTTCTACTTCTTCGCATCCTTCGGGTAGTCTTTTTACGAATCTGTAGACTCAACAATCTCCAAGTTAAGGCGGGGGATTGTAATAGGAGGTTAATCCGATGGTTAGGCAGGAGGAATTATCAATATGGCAGAAGGTCATTCGTGTGTTCAATCTTCATTAACAAAGGTACTGTTGCTAACATACAGAGACTGAAGCTTGAGAGAAGAAAACTATTCTAGTTACAGAAGACCTCCTTCTTATGCATGCAGGAGTCGTTGACAGGAGACCTCGCGTTGTCCCCCTACTTGGTGTGGCTTGTCACAGATATCATGTTGTACTGTTTCAGTACTGTTACATTACCCCTCTTGATGACTCACAATTCATCCCGCAAAAACGTCTTATAAAAACCCGGCTTTGGAACATGAAACAGACAGACAACACAATACGTAGTAGATATAATCTTGCTACCCAATCTAAATATATGCAAGCTCATTGGACAGATGTTTCAATGAGTCAAGCACTATCAATGATTTGATTGGCTTCTTTATTTCAACAGCGGGATCAGGTAACTAATTTCAGCCAATCAAACCCGATATGTGGGGCCGAAGAAGATAAGATAAGGCTTCGCTTCCCCGTAAGTTGGAAAAGTTCGCGAATATTGTAACCTAAACTGCACAGACACTGCGAAAGAGAATATCAACAGCTATAGAACTGCAACATTGTAACAGTGGCTACTTTGACATTAGACTAGTCTGTCCCCAAGTACTGGGATTGTTAGTATGGGGCTATCTCATAGCTATCTACCAACAATCGGGCATGTAGGAGTAGATAAGTACGAGGTTGAGTCGTCATGATTTCAGACAATCTTCTCCCAGTGAAATAAAAGACCGGCAAAGCAAGATGAACAGTCATAAGCAATATACATCTGGACTGCAAGTAGTCGCTGTAATCACTGCAGTCAGTGGATGGCTGCTCCCAGAATGCAGGGCCTCGATCGAAAACCCTGGCCTGCTGCCAACCCCTCCCATGGGTTTCAATGGCTGGTCACGCTTCCAATGTAACATCAACGAGACCATATTTACACAAACTGCTGATGCCATGATATCTACGGGACTGCAAGCTGCGGGTTATAACCGTATCAACCTCGACGATTGCTGGATGGCAGATTCCCGCACCGACCAAAACACTTTGACGTGGAATACAACCACATTCCCTCATGGCCTACCTTGGCTTGGAAGCTATCTGACAGAACGCGGCTTTTACTTTGGTATTTACGAAGATGCGGGAAATGTCACGTGTGGTGGCTACCCTGGCTCATACAATTATGAAGCTATTGATGCAGAAACATTTGCATCATGGGGGATTGACTACTTGAAAGTTGATGGTTGCAACGTATCGCCAGGAACGGAAGCTGAGTATCATGAGCGTTACTCGACCTGGCATGAAGTCTTCAACAACATGTCTTCACCACTTATTTTTTCTCAGTCCGCACCTGCTTACTTTTCTAAATGGATCACCGGATCAGATAACTTGACCGATTGGTATACAACTATGGATTACATGCCCTACAACGGAGAACTTGCAAGACACTCATCTGACATTATCGTGTATGCATTGAATGCCACTTCATGGGATGGCGTCACCAGCCCATGGGGAAGTATCATGCAGAACTACGTTTACGAGATCCAATTGGCGCGTTATCAGGTTCCTGGATACTATAATGACCCGGATTTCCTAATTGCGGATCACCCCGGACTTTCACTGGACGAGAAGAAATCTCAATTTGCTCTTTGGGCCTCCTTTTCAGCGCCGTTGATCATTAGCGCCTGGATTCCAGGACTGCAGGAGGATGTTCTCTCGTACTTAAAGAACTCCGATCTAATTGCTATCGACCAAGATAAGCTAGCCCAACAGGCGACATTAGTCAGTCGTGATGGTGCATTTGATGTTTTTTCGAAGAGCTTGGATAATAGCGATCGCCTGGTGACTGTTCTCAACCTGGGTAATACTACATCTAGTACGAGTATCAGCGTACCTCGCATCGGCCTGGTCGAGGAGTTACTCGGCGTCAAGGTTGAATACACTGCTAAAGACCTTTGGACAGGCAAAACTATTATATTCCAAAATAAGCTGGAAATCAAAGATCTGGCCTCTCATGCAACTGCTGTCTATCGAATCTCACTCTCGGCCATTCTCTCCGAACTGGTCATTCCGACTGGTCTCATCTTTAATGACGCTTCGTTCAATTGTCTCACTGCTGAAAGTTCAAATGAGAAAAACACACAAATTGCTTTCAATACCTGTTCAGGTGCTGACGAGCAGGTCTGGCAGATTCGACCGCTCGTGGGAACCGTCAGCCCACTTTCCGACACAAGTCTCTGTCTCACAGCGAGGAACAAACAAGCGAAATTGGAGCGGTGCGCAGTCATTCCTCTGGATTTATACCAGCAATGGGACTATTCAGTTCGTGGATACTTGACGAACAGACTTACTAAGGAATGTGTAACTGAGTCCACTCAGTCAACACTGTCCACATGTCAGTATGAGGATAATAGCCAGGTCTGGGCGCTTCCTGTTGGCGTCAAGGTTAATTGGTAGAAGGGTGTCTGCATTTACTCAGATAGCATTCCAGGTTACTATATCTCATGGTTTCTTTCTTCGGCGGTCACTATTTATCTACCATATACCTACTAAACCCCTGGACATTTATCGTTGATAGTAATTGGGTTGATAAGCGAAGTAAGTCCAACAGATATGATTCTCTTTTATCTAATATTATTCAAGCATTGATGCTATCCCCAAATAACACAAATGAATCATGATCCCTACAACTTACAAACTCGCATTATGAATGTCCGCGTCAGACCACTTCACCCTAGGTACGCCACCAATCTTCTTTTAAAACCGTAACTTGAATGTGAAGGACGAACAATATATTAATCTCGCTCAGAGAAAATAACGTTTTTTCATGATGGACTTCTCAAGGTTCGGAACCTTCCTAGCATGTACTCCGTGCGGACGCTTTGGCCAATATATGTGAGCCTTACTTTCATAAATGTAGCCTGGGCAAAGTCGGTCTGCATTGGTTCAAAATTTGGAAGAGGGGACTTACATAAACTGCATCAACGGGGACTGTCCAGTCATTGATAGATAACGGAATATATTCATAAGAATATATCCTACGCTCCTCATCCGTGCCGTCGCTTTCATCGTCGTCCAAGCCGTTTGCCTTCCGAGACGCCGTGGTTTCGTGATCCGGGTTCACAGGAAATTCAGATGTAACTTGTGCTATATGGCTGACATTCACTGCGTCATCACTAATCGTAAAGGGCATGGATAAGACAAAGGGGGCACATTGTGCATCTTGTGCATTGGGGTAATCAGCAGCTAACGACGACAGCGAATTCGGTAAGTTGAATATTGAACCAAGATTAGGTACACTCGGGAGCAGATGGGTTTCCGAGGGAGGAATCAAAAGACAGGCATTGCTATTATTGGCAATATGCGTATTGTCGGTGGAACTCTTAGCTGAACCTCGACTATCAAGGTAACCATTGAGTCCGCTGAGCTCGTCTGTCGTTCCATCCCCATCCTGCCATTGTAGGTCGTTGTTCCAAATACCAAGGTCGGAAAAATCATAGAAAATCATATTACCAGGAATGGGATCTAACGTAGGGTTATAGTCCGTGGCCTGGAAATCTATAGGACTGTCTCTCCATGCGGCTTCTTTACGACTATCTTGATGTCGTGTAACAACTTGCCGTCCTCCACTCGTTGTAGTGCCCGTTTTCATTGTCTTGCTTGCATGCTTTGGAAAGCTCTGGGGAGATCTTCCGCGCACAGTGATCGCCGAGCTTTGACTCTGGCTAATAGCATGAGTAGTTCCATCTTCCAGTGTAGCTAGTACAGTGACTCGAAGATAGAAATACTGCCACGTACCACGCTTCTTTGCTGTCGCGTGCCGAAATTGTAGCTTGTCCCAAAATATGGGTACCGAAAGTACAGAGTCACCGACACCAGACTCCGAGCCACACTCAACATCTTCATCCCTTTCTAGCCACAGACAAACACGAGGCAGCCCAGGGATTGTCCGGGATAGCGAATTCCTGCTGGGACAGCCTTGGTCAATTGACGGCTCAAACTGCGATGAAGCTGTTGTCGGTTTCGATTTTGGGTCTGTATGTATTATTCGCACAGAGACACCTTCAAGGCTCTCGGTGGCGTCCAACTCGGCAAAAAGACCGGTTATCCGAGAATCGCCAGTATTTTCAAGTCTGACATTGGCAATTGCGGTCGGTATAGAGATTGTTCCGACAACTTTGAATTTATTGCGGCGATAGAAAATAAGACCAACTGTGTCTTTATCGTCAGAGCTGCTAGCATTAGCAGTGCTGTATTCGCGCCGGGTTTTAGTTAAACCAACTTCATCATGATGTGTAAAGCGGCCTCTCAAATATGCCTGGATTTGAATCTTGGAAGAAACCGAATTACCATCCGAATCCCGGAGAAGTTGGTTTCGCGCAAACGGAAGAGCCTGGAATGTTAAGTAGTTCTCGTTGCTAACTGCCCTTGTCTGGAACTCTTCATGGTCATTGAATGATAGAAGATCAGGTGCTGGTTCGTTCCCTTTTTGCAGAGAGCCGACAATTCCCAATTCAGATACTTCTATCTCGTTTTCTGACGATTCATCTCCCACCGCATTGCCAATGAAGTCGAGGTCCGACATAGTGATCAACAGTGTGATACAATTGTTACATAGTCCCCGTCTTCGGGCTTTGTACTTGCACACAACTGGGTAAAGGATCCTGATTGATTCCAAAACTGTGTCAATGAAACTCTCAGGTTACTGGTGAGAATTGACAGTACTGCAACTGTCTTAGTCACGGGATGGATTGCGGCTGAAAGATTTGAGGTGGGTACCAAGCGGAAATTGTAAGGAAAGGTCTGGGGAGAATCTTTGGGTTACATTAAGGGGTGTCACTACCGCTAGGATTATATTTGGGGCGGTACCCGGCCACCCCCACACTTCACTCATGGTTACTGCGTCCCCGACTCACTTAGAACCATAAGTTAATAAGTTACCTATAGCGCCTGCTTTGCCGGAATTTTTTCATATGGTCTATCGCACATGTATGCTACAGACTTGCAAATATAAGGACGTTCCTGAAAGTATTACTCAGATACAGATAGCGTTGAAGTTGACACCCACACATGTCAACTACGCCTCCTAATTACACCTTAAGAGTGAGACAGGTCGAGCTGGTATGTTTAGTCTTATGCAATTGCCGAAGTGAAGTTGTCCGGCCGCATACCAGATTTTCGAGTATCGCGGCGTCAGTACATCACACTCATCTATCAAAAGCGAGAATGTGTTTATTCTTTAAGTCGTGATATGTTGGAAACATCAATTTTCTGCTATAATTGCTATGGATCGAAGAGCTCCATAATGTAGATTAACGTGTCTCATAAACTATGACAGTCCAACATCGAAGTCTATTCCACAGGGACTTTTCAGGTTGTGGTAATAGTTTTCCTGCTGATACTGAGAAATTCAGACACCTTCTGAAAACCGAGATTTACCAAAATAGGTGGATAAATTGGATCTGCGACCTGTGTGCACGTCAATATCAGTACAATATAAGAGCCGTCTCTAGGCATAGCAGTGATTAATACCCGAAGGTATCGGAGGTATGGGAGGGGTTCGAATCTTACAATGAAAGTCTGTGCGTTGTTGAATCCTATATCAATTAAGATATGAAGTGCCTTTCTGATCAACCCTTCAACTATCGGGACGGCTTGGGCCCCTTGCAATGATACAACCCCAACAAGGCCGCCAGTTTTTCGATCTTCAACAGGGAAATATTTGCTCATTTGTGACGATGCATGATATAGGATCATGGATCCTATTATCTTTCCCTTACCACTCAAGCATCCTGAGTTCCTCGCATCCCTGGTCCTTGCTAACAGAATTTTACACCCTTGACTATCAGTCTGAGCGCAGCGGTAAAGCTCGGATAGTACAACTGGGTGGTGTAGTAACGAACTGCTAGCACCAAAGCAGGTTTGGATGAGCAAGTGCTGATTCAGCTCTTCTTGGTCTTGCGGTTGGATGGTGTCATAGAGGAGTCCATTATCAACAGCAGATTTTTCCGGTACCATGGTCGGAAGTGAATCAGTTGCCAGGCGTATGGCGTAGAAGTCATGGTGATTCCAACTCCCAACGTCCCAGCCCCTGCAATGGACTCACGTTTTAGCTGAGCGCGAGAACATAACAGAATCCATAATATGACCCTAAAAGCGTGACGTACCTATTCTTAACCCAGCTTCGCAAGCCAAGCTGATGGGTGCTCAGTCTGTTTGGTATGCCAGGAAAGATCACTGGGATTTCGGATCCGAATTGCACTACTTCAATCCTCCGTCGTTGCAAATTATGTAAAGCGTATTGATGTAACGAAAATCCAATGCCTTTACCCCTGTGGCTTGTCGAAACCACGATGGCAGCTATGATGCCGCGCGAAAGATTATCACTGTAGTAGGTGGCGCAGAATCCGTAGATCGTCTGAGTACTGCTGTTACGGACTATGAAATTCTCCATTTTGAATAAGGGTTGGTAATTGTTTTGATAGGAAGATGTTTCAAAACAGTATGATGGATATTGAGCTTCGGGGTCGCTAAAACTATTTGAAGCCACCATGCGCACTTGGTCAAACATCTCTTGCAATGAGGATGAATCTCGTGCAAAGTCGAACTTCTCAACCAACCATAATTGCCTTTGAATCGTTGGATGTCGGAATGTTTGCCGTATCGTGGGCGGTAGACCTGTAGCTTTGAGCTTGCCGAACAGTACACGCACAAGAGTATTGAGCGATGGACCCGTGAGGTCATATGTGCAGAGATAGGTTGTGACTTGTCGATCATTCATAAAGTCATATGGAGAGCTCACTGCGACAACAATACAAGGCTTATCTGGAGAACCTGCGATGGATGAGGCCGTCGGGAACTGGCTTCGATTACCTTGACAAAGACTCAGTATATATTTCGTAAAGCCGTACTGATATACATTACGGACCCCGTCAGCTGTAAGCAAAATTACTGCTGATGCTTCCGAGACCAAATGTTCGTGAAGTGGACTGATTCCGCTCGCAGTATATGAAGTGTGAACCACCTTTCCACGCCACCTCTTCGCAAGGGCAACGCCCAATTCTTGAAAAGTACTTTCACCTTCCAAGTAGCCGCTCCGACGGTTACTAAGGTGTCTTGCACTATTAATCAGTTTTGAAGGAGTGGCGTGAGATAGGGATGAATCCTGCTGGGGCTTCTGCTCGTCCTGGGAAGGTCGTCCAAAAGGCTCCACCAACGGAGTCAGAAGTAGTAACACATCGGTGGGTGCACTCTTCTTCGTTAAGGGAATATAATTGCCCAAATCCCTTACCAAAGTAATGGAGGCATTGTATACTGAGCGGGAGAGTAACTTATGGGCAGGTCTCATTACGTCTAGGGCTGACAAACCGCCAGGGTTCCATGTTTGCTCCCACGACAGCTTTCGCTGTTTCATTTTCCGTACTCTCCCTGCAGCAGCCTGAATGTGATCTACCGACAGTAGGCCCGATTCGATAGCTGTTTTAATTCCCTGAATAGCTTCGATTTGGTTGGAATGACTTTGGCACAACATGATGACATCGCACCCGGCATTTATCGCCATTGCGGCAGCCTGGCTAACCCCAACTCCTTCATACAGGGCCTCAATCTCAAGGCAATCAGACAGAATAACACCGCCAAAACCCATTCGTCGTCGTAACAGGCTCGTAACAACTGTGTATGATAAGCAAGAGTAAGGCACTTGGGCATCGGGCATCCCACAAGCGCCGACCAAGATTGAATCTACTCCGTTGTCAATTGCTGCCTGAAATGGTACCAAAGATGTTGATAGTAATTGATCGAAAGTCCCGGAGACATTTGGTATATCAGCTGGTGATCCTACGAAGTCGAGGCTTCCAAAACCTGGGAAATGTTTGATGCACGTGAGCAGCCCGCCTTCCTGATATCCCAGCATAGACTCTAAAGCCTGCTCAGCAACAATTTCAGGATACTCCCCGAAACACCGAACTCCCATGGGTTGCGGCTTTGTGTTTGAGTGGACGTCAAAAACTGGCCCGACGAGCCAGTTGACCCCAATACAAGCAAGCTCTTTTCCTGCAGCGCGAGATACAGAGCGTGTCAATTCTCGGGATCGACAAGCAGCTAGGCCCATTGCTGACGGAAATTGGTGAAAATATTCATGATCGAAAATGGAGTTGACACCTCCATTCTCCTGATCGAGGCTGATTAGGAGCGGTTCAGTATATCCAGCGCCATATGCTACTTTTTGAAGGGAGGTGATAAGCTATCATTTTAGGCCATTAGATTACGAGTCCCAGTCAAAACAGTTCAATTGGACAAAGAGAGCGTGTTATTACCTCCATAGCTTGCGGGGCACCTATCAAATGTGTCAGGAAATTCCGTACCATGATAATGACACATTTAGAAGGCCATTTCGTTACGACATTGTCGAGATAAAGGAAGAGGAAGAATATATTCGCGAATCCTATGGTATACCGGGGAAGCTTACTTTTGAGGTTTTTTGCTTGAAGGCATATGGTGCCCACTCGATAATTCTCAATGAGAGATTTCACTTGGGGGGTAATTGTGGTACCCTCAAACCCCATGGATAAAAGGGAGCCAATCTGACTATTGATCAATATGTCAGTTGCATAATCTAAGCAACTCCAGACTCAATACTGTTACGCAACTTACTCGTCCATAGAGTCCGCCATGACTGATAAGGTCAACGGCCGTCATCAACAACTATCACAACGACCCGAGTGAAGGCTTATAGGATCGCGTATCATTCTGGACTGGGCCAAAAGCCAATGTAAACTTGACGAGATAAAAGTCGACCAGTATGGTTGGCGGGTAGCAGCTGTATTATGATGAAATGGACAGTTTCGACAGCAATCAGACCTATCCAGCGGCGACCAAGTAGTTCCGCCGTTCCTGTCTGTCTTAGCGCATCATAACTGTCCTCCCGCAAGGGCAAATCTAGTAATGCCAGGTGCAACGCTATCAGGAAGAAAATGAGGAGGTCAAAATTGTAACGTTACATAAATTTAGCCTAGAACACCCGCTCCACACTAAGTCGACCAATTAAAGCGTGAATGCCGGTCGGATTACATAACCAGCACATGACACACCCTAACCCTAACACTTTCTCTTCTCTTCTATTTCCCAGATTAGACATGAGAATGCCCCTTATATTTTGAAAGAGCAAGCAACAGTTTGACGAATATAGCCCACTTCACTTATCCCTCCAGGGAATATCCAATATTTTCACCCTTGCCCAAACCAATCAGATTGGTCCGCATCTTCTCTGCTCGCTCGCCTGCATCCAGCGAGGCATCATCTCGGTCAACCCACAACCCGATGCCATGTTGTAAAACAGCTGTTGCTCTTACTTTGTCGGAATCAGTGCCGTGGTCTTTCAACCCTATGCTACCGTGAAGTGTGAGACGGATTTCCTCGCCTCCTTCAGGTTTCGGTTGATATATGCCGCGGTGTAAAATATTGCTGTCGTAGAAGACCGCGTCACCAGGTTCTAGGCGAACGATGAGCTGATTTGGCAGGCTTTTCTCGTAGGGATCCGCACTCCTCTCAGTCTCAGTGCGCACGCGACGATGGGACCCGGGTACCACAATAAGGGATGCGTCCGGACATAACGAGAAATTATATTGTGCGTGTGACTGTTTGCCTTCGGGGCTTTTTTGACGCAGTAGCTCGAGCTCTCGTTCAGGTGTAACTGACCCTGGAATATCATCTCGGTGCCAGCGCAGCTCAAAGGGTATGTTTTCTGGTGCAACGAGAAGGTTGAATAACTCCATAACTAGCAATTCCTCACGATCACTACTGTCAGAGATTCCTAGTAGTTCTTCTGCAATGCTCAGGATTTGAGGCGAGAAATATGTTTTAATAAATTTTTCACGATGCGGCATCTCAGGATGCATCAAATGCTGAACCCCCCAAATGCCACCCTCGGATGATGGCGGTGGAGTATTCGGCCATGGAGGGAATTGCTTTGGCACAGAGCGCAGGTACGGCCATTTGCCGTTTCGCGTTTGCAGAGTGACTTCGGTCGCTGCTTCACGTAGAGTTACTACTTCAGCAGGCGAGAGAATCGACCGTACGACCACGAATCCATCACGTTGAAGGGCCTCTAGGTAAGGCTTGTTAGTGCTTGGTGTTGTGGGTGCAGTCATCGTCTCAGTGGCGGTCATCTTGTGCACTTGATAATTCTTCCAAGGTTGACCCAATCAATAAGATAGTTAGTCAGTGAGAATACAAAACTCTTGGATCTGTGAAATTGACAATTCAAAGATATGGAGGTCCTCGGCTGTATATGTACCAAGATATACAGATTTAGTCCCAGAAATCTACTCATTAGAAGTGGTCATGTTACATGAAATAGATGTGAACAATCATTGGCTTCAGTTGATGCAGATACCCATGTAGATTTTCATAACTTATTATGGTGAGGTAATGATAGAATCCTACTTCTTACCTGTTACAATTTTGATTGCTTCAGAGAAGGCAGAAAAGTGTTTAGTAACAACTACAGTAATTATAAATCCTAGATATGCTACATCCCCATCAACGTTTGGTTTCACACTGTGACTATCATCCACTCATCATCGAGGGATGGCTGTGGAGGTTCCAAGGTTATTCTTGCCACTCCAGCCATGAGCTAGGTACAATGGAAAGTATGTAACGTGACATCCCAATCTTGGAAGATTCTATGACGAGCTTCTCCAAATATAACTATGATTCGGGTCCACAATCTAGTAGCCGCATCTTTCATTGCATCCGCCACAAGAACAGTGTTCGTTAAAGATTTGCTTTACACTCGAAACCTGCAACATAATAGCGACATCAATCATGTTCTCTCATCAATGCGCTCATCCTAGACCCAAATAGGGTTTTCTGTGCATGACGGGGACCGTACTCTTATATTGCATAACTGAGATTATACGCCAATGTATAACTTACTCTCTTACACTGATGTGTTTGTAATAACTCCTGTCATTAAAAATCCATATCCCGCTCTATCCCCTGACTCCGTTGCCGGGGTACAAGCCCCGGAGGGGAACGCCAATGCAGAATGCAAATCATCTTAAGAGCCATATTACGCTCAACCCACCCACTATATCAAATGTTCCCCTTCTCGTCGCTGCTAGTGTTGGACGTTGAAAACAGTTCGGGATAAACCCTTCGGTATGGTAGTCCCTCATCTATTTCAATAAGAAGTTGCTTGAAGTAGTCGGAGGCGATTATACAAGGCGTAAAAATTTTTATTAAGCTCACTAGCTGGTAAGCTTGGGGAAAAGATTTCGCACCGCATGCTGGATAGCGACTTCATATCCAAATGCCCCTAACCCGACGATACACGCAAGTGCTTTATCCGAGAAGTAACTATGGTTTCGCCATTTTTCCCTGGCGTGGACGTTACTGATATGAACCTCGATAAACGGTATTGATACTCCAAGGAGGGCGTCACGGATCGCAATGCTGGTGTGGGTATAGCCTGCTGGGTTGATCACGATCAAATCCACTTTATTTCGAGCTTCGTGAATGCAATCAATTAACTGGCCCTCATGATTGCTTTGAAACGTTTTCACGGAAATATTATGCTGTTTTCCTAATTCGTGACACATTTTTTCCACGTCTTCTAGGGTACTTTCCCCGTAGATATGGGGTTCTCGAAGGCCAAGCAAATTGAGGTTAGGGCCATTGAGGATCAAGATAGTGGGCATGTCGATAATGGCAAACTTCTTAAACGAGGAGTCATGAACTTCTCCCTTGCTCTGCAATGACTGATCGAAATGGATTCTCTCCCTCGAATGGTTGCGATGTGCTGAGCTACAACAATAAGTATCTGACTGAATAAGTAGTGAAGTTAAGCTAGTGAATGCCACCAACCCCACCCGACGGGCAAACACTTTGCCGACGACAGAGAAATCCCGGAGAACTGGTCCGCCGAGTGACACGGGCAGTTTGCCGATGCGGGTTAATTATGTCTTTACCCATCACCTTTTGTAGTTCGCAGTCAATAATTGTATCTGATTGACAAGCCTATGGAGTCTAAGGACCTCATTTACTCCAATATGCTGTGAAGTATGAAGCACGTAAACCAGCACCACGGGGTGTGAGATCACAGCATATAGAAGTCAGAATGGAATACAGTAATTGGTGCTTCATCAATGAGGTCGTAGGCAACTCGTCACATGCGTGATAATGAACAGAGACACTTCAAGAGCGGAATATCATAAGATTCTCAAGTTTCCGTAGTCTCATGGTCACTGTGAGCATTCTGAGCGATGGAATATTGTTCCCGCACTGTTCGTCGCATAATGTGGCTGGGCGCAGGTCTATCCGTTAGGATTTCGAATTGAGCAATCCCTTGTTCGACAAGTACGTCAAGACCATCGGCAACAATCCATCCTTGAGATCGTCGAGATTGCATGAACCGGATGAGTCGGGTGACTAGAGGTTTATACGCAAACTGCAAGCCGTTAGCAATCTCGAGGTATGATGAAGAACGATTGAGAGATAAGAAAATATAAAGGGGTACGAACCTCAACAAACACGCCTCCGGTCGAACTACCTAACCATTGTTCCGGGATTAGAAAATCTGGTGCATCATTATCCCCAACCTTGTGCGCAGGAATGCAAGAAACAATAATCGTGGGATGCCACAAATCCGTGGGCCACGGAGTGCTGAGGTCGGTGAGAATGGTCAATCGAAGATTAGTGTAAACAGTAGCGAAGTAATCTGCAAGTCTCCGAGCATTCGCTTCGGTCCTGTTGAAAATGCAAATATTTCTGACACCGGCTTTGATACAAGCATATATGGCAGCACGCGCCATGCCCCCAGCACCAATAATCAAAGCACTCGTTTGTGATCGTATTGCGTTTGCAGGTGACAGATTCTTTTCGATGCATGTACGTATTCCAATATGATCTGTATTGTAGCCCTTGAGATATAGCTTTGGGCTGCCTTCATTCGTAGATATCCTCTCAATGACAACGGTATTAACCGCACCAATGACTTTGGCATCAAGACTCATTTCATCCATCATTTGCACAACTTCAGTTTTGTAAGGATAAACGATAGCAAGACCACCCTGTGATTCACGTTCGAAAACCTCCCGAATACGAGCCAGACGGTCGCTTTCCACATAGTCACATGTATGCGGCATTCCACATGCAATGCAGGCGGCGTTGTGCATAGCCGGAGTCAAACTGTACGAGACATTTTGCCCGAAGACAGTGAAATTCTTTTTTGTTCGCCAAAATGAAGAAAATAATCCTCTTTGGGCATCTGCAAGAGTGATTCCCTGCTTTGTAGACTGGGACGGAAGGACAACTGGAGACAGGATAGGATTCAGGCAAATAGACGAACGTCCATACTCTCCAGTATTGTAGCAACTAACAGGAAGGTCACTAAGCTTTCGTGCCTCTAGTACGACCCTGACACACCCAAAATTATTATTGGTCTCATACGCCTCACCGGTGAGTCGAATAGCACTGCAATGAAGTAAGCTTGCTTTGTCAATGACAGTTTGCAAATTGGTCAAATCCCAGTTTTCAGAGATCGGACCTTTCTGATGATACTTCCCAATAATTTTAGAATGGCCTTTCGCAAGCGACAATTGTTTAACCAAATGGGGACTCATGTCTAACGAGACCATGATTACGTCTGGCGCTTGTCGAATAACGAGTTCCAACAAGTTCACTTGGGCTATATAGTTCATAGTCGCCGACGTCTCAAGGTCAAGAATGATAGGGACGCGACAGTACTTTCTTAATACAGCGACTCTTTGCGATAATTTGAAAAAAAGGTCCTGTTGATTCTGAGGGCTCATCTCAACCAGTATCTCCACAGCGTCCGCTCCAGAGTCAAGCTCTGTGTAGTCGGCCTGCGGGTCATCCAGCCACGAAGAAGGAGCTTGTAGAGCATACGTGTATGAGCTTGAACAGAGATTTTTCAGTCCTCTAGATGCTTCGGACTGCGGAAAGATTCCATTGAGGAATCGAACGAACTCGCGCTCAGTGGCTTTCAGCCTGAGAGGTCCAAGTGGTTTATCATCCGCCATTGGCTGGAAGATATTGAAAAACTCAAAGTTGGCAAAACGTCGGTGCATCTTCTCACTCAGTTGATAAGTCCGATACAAGCGGTCTTTGTCCGAATCTCCCCGATGAATCATGTTCCCAAGATCTCGCTGAATATGTATGATAGGGTTTGTGGTAGATAGCGATTTCAATAGTCGCCGTTGGCGGTTGCTTGCCATGGCAAAAAAACCGACAAGAACACATCCCTTCTGTCTCGAGCGGAATACTTCACTTGTCAGTTCGTCTTCCACACTTCGATATGCCGTCGCTCCATGAGCCTCAATATATTCCCGAGGTGATAGCCCAGTTTTACCCACGAAGACAGTGTCGAAATCCACAAACTCTCTTCGCAAAGCTGCGGACGCGATTAATCCGAGCGTTTTCTTGCCTGCGCTGGGAAATCCCACCAGGATAAGACTCTCGTCTCCATAATATTGCCTTGCTGAGGCCGGCGACTCGTATAAGCGGTTCTCTGGATCTTCAAGACTCGGTGATCCATTCGACGACGAAAGGGAAACTATGTGACTAGAATGGCGCTCCAAGTCCACGCGGGAATGGGTGCGTGAGGGACTGGTTCGGCGCGAAGACTCGTTGCTGTCTTGTTGTAATAGCATCTGTTCGAAGCTACGCTTCCGGGAGTTATAGGACGCCGGATCTAACGTACTCCAAGAAAGGCCCCTAATTGATGCTGTATCCATGACTATAACCACTCCATTGTTGTCGATAGGCCGATGAATGTAGAAGTCGAGATAAGAGTGTCCGCCAGTCTGAAGGCTCAACTAGGAGGAGTTAGCCCACTGAGGAGGAAGCATTAATCCGGGCCGCAGGTCGGGACAGTGATTTCCCGGTCTCCGCGATCTTGCTCAACCTCAACAAGGAGGGACCGAGATGAGATACTCGCATTCTCACACACACACACTTTTTATGATACGGGCCTGCGTCGGATCGGCTTGTCACAATGAAACGCCATGTCAGAACACGATCCTTCTTCAAAACGCCAGAGAATTAACCAAGCCTGTGATCAATGCCGCAAGCGAAAGTCGAAATGCGATGGCGCCCAACCCACATGCTCGACTTGCGATAACCTTGGCAAGACTTGCACTTATGGAACACCCGTGAAAAAGAGAGGGCTGCCCACTGGCTATGTCAGAGGCATCGAAGCCCTACTAGGGTTGCTCCAGCAACTCCTCCCCAACGGAGAGTATACCCTAAGAAAGATCTTGAGAGAGAAAATTGCTGGTCGAATGGTTGACAGCGAATATCTGGACAATGCATCGGACATTTGGCGATCTTCTGAATTAGCGAAAGACTTCGATCAATTGCTGAGCTCTGTGGATAACAACATAGGGAGTAGGCTAACTTCAGAAACGATCCGTCTTCCGGAACTGCGAACTGCGAAAACTCCAATCTATGGAGGACTGGGCGAAACCAACTTATTCGAAAATTTGCAGCATTGTGCGGACCTCCCATCTCCGAACTTTCCTGCAAATATCCAAGACATAGTGGACTTTTATTTTCAGACTACGCACTGTTGGTTCCCGATTGTCGAGCGTCGCATGATCTTGAAGGCCCTCTACCGCGATGAACCCGGCAATGGTGCAGACCGTGACTCCGACAACTATAATCTTTGTTTATGGGCAATTGTGGGTTATACATCATCCATCGCGCCCGGGAAGACTCGATTGGACGCCACTTCTCCGAAGAGCATTCAGACCTATGTCAGGTTCTGCTTGATGAAATGCGAGAACTCGTTATCTATCGGTAATGTTCAAGCGCTTTGCATACTAGCGCTCCTGAACATTGCACTAGAGCAGTTCAACACTTCCAGACTACTACTTTTGCAAGCATTTACTATGCTGATAGACGCCACTGTTGAAGAGAGGCAGAAATCTGAACGATATTATCATACGCTACATGGATGTTTCTTTCTGGATCAAATATTATCAGCGTACCTATCGACAACCTCTTTTTTCCCAAACACTTGGTATCCGGCCATTGGTCATCTGGATGAAAATGCTTTGGAAGAGTGGGAGCTTTCTCCACCCGCCAAAGGTGCGGAGCGCCCTCTACTGAATTTTGACCGACAACCTCTTCGCACTATCAGCTCCTTCAACATGATCTGTGAGCTTGTGAGCAGGATACCTCCTCGCGGCGAGAGTAAGCTGGACACAGAACAACTACATTCAGTCATAACTCATTTACAAAATTGGCACTTGAATTTAAAAAAGCATCACCAGTTTCCGAGGTCTGGAATAGCGAATCCTCCCCTTTTGATCCTGCATCTCACTTACAACTTCATCCTTTTAATCATCCTTGACGAGGCCAGCAGGGCTGGACTGCAGCTTACAGTACTTGTCGATAAGGTAGTCAGCTCCATTATAGACCTTGTGACTCAAGCTTTGGAGCCCAATCACGCCTTGTATCGGAATCCGCTCCTGATCATCTTCGCGTTTCAGTTAAAGTCCTTGGTTGATTTATCTTTTACATCAGTCCCGCTAGATATAAGTCCGAGCATTCGTTCGCGCTTTTCCGATTTTTTTGGGAGGTTTCAGGACGTATACAACAACGAAGGCTCAATATCAAATCATTACCACCCTCCTGTGATAGTATCAGAATCCAGTAATGTGGCGACAGCACAATCTGAGCATTCTTCGCCATCGCTCGTTCCTAGCCGAACAGTCATATTGGATGATCAAAATTATGTGAGTCTCACATCATGCATCACCATCTACATATTAAATCACTCTACCGACTTCTTTCTGACCATACCTTTAGCCACAAACCCCATTTAATAATCGAAGCTTAGGCATCAATCAACTTGGCGATGATCCTGCTATCGAAAAAGATGACCTGGACCTTATTTTTGAGGATATCGCGGCGATGGTCTTGCCAAGGAGGTACTGCATACACAGTCCTTTAACGTGTGGTGATACTTGCGCTAATTGCACAAAGCAGATACGACGACGACATTGCTGACTTTGCTCAGAACCTGGGCTTTCTTACTAATGACCTCAACTATGACTCTATGGCTTTTCAGGGCACTCAAGGTGCCACTTAAGAGAGCATTACACTGATGAAATCGATACATTAATACGTAATCTGGAAAACATACTTCAAAGCCGTCCACTGCATTGATGAGAAACTCTGTCAATATCGAGGATATCCGCGCTTAGCTTTTTCCAGGAATCGATTCCTCTCTTTGCGTGCGTGGCCGGCACCGAAGGGTCGGGGTCCGCCATTGTTCTTGAGAATAATTCCATAGACACCCACCCTTTATACCCAAGGTCTCTCAATATGGTTTTCGCGATGTCTAGAATGGGAAGGTAACCACCTCTGTCTGTCTCGTATGCAAAGAGCCTTGCATTGCGACTCCACGACATCCTCGGTGGCTGGTTCTTGACATGCCATGGGTGTCCCTCAATTAGGGGTCTCTTCATGCGCTCAGCGTCAACCAGTTGGATGAAAAACACTTTCTCAATGTCGATGGTTGCACGCATTCGATCAAGGGAAGCTTTGAGGGCGGTGTCTGCATTTTGGGTTCTTCCCGAGGGACTCTCCGGGTCAGCCCATATCCGGCCTGCGATATTGAATGTGTCGAGGCAGCAACCAAAGTTTACTCTGTTCACTCTCTGCACCACTTCATAGGACTGTTCCCATGTGTCAACATAGGTCCCCCAGCAAAGGCTCTCAAAGGCGAACCTTACAGGGGGTCTTTCCTCCAGACCCAAATCGGCAAGTTCAGTCATGTCGCTAACAAGAAGGTCGATAGCATCTGAAAGTTCCTCCTTAGGTAAAAAATTCGACGGTATATGAATCAGGTCTGTTCTTAATATCTTGACCAATCTGAACCAGAATTTTATCTCCTCAATCTTTCGTTTGTGTTTTTCGCGGTCTAAAAGACCCCCGTAGAATCCGAAAGGTTGTAAATTAATGATAGCCAATTGATTGAGATCACACAAGCGACGTATTTCTCTTGCTGCGTCTATGATACTACCCTCTCCAGGTGATTTTGCGAAGCCTTCCAAGTCTTCATAAAAAAGTTCAATCCCTTGAAACCCTGCTTTGGCGGCTTGGTGCAGCTTTTCTGGCATGCAATGCACCCAGGCGCGCCCGAGGGACATGGTTGAAATTGCCGGGGCACACTTCTCTGTCCGTCGAAGCATCTTTTGCTCTTCTTCTGTATGATGTCTTTCTTGGCCTGAAACCTGCCACCACGTTGAAGATGTAAACCGCTAATGTAAACGACCAAGCACAAGCACCACTGCCGTTTAGAAAATAAAGCTGATCAAAGTATGCAAAATTTGGACGAGCAGACCATAAAATCCCACAATGAATCGAGTTCTGCCTCAGAAGGGAATAAATAATACAAACCCGCGAAGCCAGCACTGTACGATCGCATGTTGATCAGGGAAACGCGTTCGGCAAAAGCCATTCCCATCCACTGCTACCATCGGAGCAGGTCATCCGAGCTCTTTTTTACCCACTTAATCCTGAGTCAGAAACACCTTTACATGCTTCACTAGGGTGTACATTGGTATGTTCAATTGTAAGCGTATTCGGCATCTGGCATTTGTTCGCTAGAGGAATTCATGATTTGGATCTCTCGCATTTCTCGGTTTACGGTAATTCTAAGGCAGCTCAAACATTGTTTGAAAGTGCTGCTGACCCGCATTACAAAGATAATATACATAGAATTTCGAGATAAGACGAGCTGAGATGAATTTTACAACATAAAATTATCACTATCTACTCCGTATAACCAAAAAGATGAGAGTCTTGGCACGGCGAAACGCTCAGCCGGCGGGGAACCTCTCTTCCCGCAGTTTTGGCGGGACGGGAAGACCTTTTCTTATTTCATGCACATGTCGAAGAGTCAGAGAACAAATGCAGAGAGAGATTGGGCCTGTCCTATATCTTTACTTTCAACTCGTGCTCTGGTGACTGCAGACTGGCTGCGATTGGAAAGACCACTACGAAAGTCTGAAAATCTGCGGAATGACTTCGGATCTCGCCATCGCTCTTCGCGAGTCTTACGAGCATGGCTCCTCACTCTTTGATGATTCAGCAACGCGAGATATAGAGACGAGAATACCTCTTCTAGGATATCCAATCCATCATTCTATGGCACCCTTGGTCCACAACTATCTCTTTAAGAGCAAAAATCTACCATGGCAATACTACCTGCTGGAGTCAGAAGAGCCCAGCGATCTGTTAAAAGTCCTGGATAATTCCTCAGAGCACTGCATTGGTGCTGCAGTGACCATGCCGCATAAAGTCACGTTCATGTCTCATGTGGACGAGATCACATCCTCAGGAAAAGTAATAGGAGCGATTAATACTGTCTTTCTACGCCGTGACAAAGCCACCGGCAAAACGAGGCGCATCGGTACCAACACGGATACGATTGGCATCAGCAGATCTTTCAGCACAATTGCACCCTCATTAACGTCTCCAGAAGCTATCAATAGACCTGCCCTGGTAGTTGGTGGAGGTGGGGCTTCTCGAAGTGCCATATATGCTCTGCACTATCTTATGGGTGTTTCGGAAATATATCTAGTCAGTCGGTTGAAGAGTGAAACAGATGAACTTATAGCATGGTTTAATCGGGGTGCTTCTTCAACTTCGGGTGCTCAATTTAAAGGAAAACTACGACCCTTGCATTCACTTGAGCAAGCGACTACTCTTCCTGCGCCATATTATGTCGTCAGCGCCATCCCTGATTTTCCGCCACAGACAGATGGAGAGAGATTATCATTTGCTATTACAAGAGAACTCCTTGGGCGGGAAAACGCACTGGAGAAAGGGGTTTTGTTGGAAATGTGTTATCATCCTAACATCCGAACATCTCTATACGACTACGCTGAGAAGAAAGGGTGGCATGTCATTCCAGGCACCGAGGCAATGATCTGGCAAGCATTAGCGCAGCAGGTCCTCTGGATCGAGGATGAGCTCATCAATGAGGAATCAATCATCGAAGATCTCAAAAGGATTGTTAGGGATGAAATTTCCAGACGGGCAGCGAACGCAGAAAAATAAAAGACCATATCGGCCAGATTAAGGTAACAAATGGTCGATGGATAGTCAAATTATTGTACTGCAGAATGGACACTAGTCTAGATGAAAGGACCTTCAAAGTGGTGGATGGTATGGCTAAAGGGAATCAGAGATTTTTCTCCTCCGCTCTATCGAGCTGCCGTGTACAATCGCCGGTTTTATAGTCTAAAAATCCAGCTTCATGATGCAGATCATAAATTGCGGAAAGTTGGAGATGCTCACGACTCCTTTTGGCGAGACCAATGAGTTCACACATTATAAGCTACTACATACACTACACATGTTACCATGACTAATAATGTGGTATTGTGTACCCCCGAATCCACAGCAACTCCTATTTTCAGACTCAGACCTCAATAGTCTGTAGATGTGGAGAACAGAGAGATGACACTCATGCCTCAATGCTCCACAAACTGGGAACTTTAAGCTTCCCAGCAAAGAGTGCTGACAACACTTACAAGGAAGCGTATAGTAGCTGTGAACATCGACAGAAACGCGGAGATTCTCCGATGGAGAGACTCCGGTTGCGCATGTGGTACGTGATAATAGTTAGTGGCCATGAAGTCGAGAACTGACGCTTATTTACTTATGGATAAATAGGCCCCCAGTGGCACCCTTTCACAGGTTTTAGAAACTTCTTCATTCTGTGCAGTATAATCAACATATAACCTTGACAATCTCGGAAGGTACTATGATGAAATACGCGAGAAACCTTCTGGCCTTTCTGGCTGTTGGTGTCACTGGATCGATTGTTAATGCAGCTCAATTAAACTGTACAACAGATATATTCAACGATTATCTCTCCTTCCACCCCTTTACGGATGAGCCAGCTGTGGTGCAATGGGCTTATATGATTCCCAAAGAAGGAATTTTTTCCAGGTTCCGGAGAGTGACATTGCGTATCCACAATCCCCAACAGACCTACCTGATACTGTTGTGACCAGTGTCGGTCGACATCGACGCAAAACCGTATCGAGCACCAACGCCCTAAAAAGCTGAGTATCAGCGGCTAAAGTAACCCAATATTTTGTAACTATTATTTTGAGGGCACTTGCCATATCATCCTAATATATGCCTCCGGCAAAACCACCATTACCGACTGCCCTGTAAAGTTATGTCAATCAACTTGAATGTAGAGAAACATAAAACGGAATACTTACAAAAACCTCTCGTTCCACTATCTGGGCAAGAATAAGCCAAATTCATATAAGCTTCCGAGCTGGATGTCACATTGACCTGAAGAACACAAAGCTCAGCACAGATGGTATCTGGGCGTTCGATTCGCCGGGAAAAGTCATTGATTGGGTTACCGAGCCATGCATGGGTCTGTCATGCTTGCTAAAGTGTTAACTGAAGTATACTACGGCAAAATGCCAGGATATAACTACTATAGCGGTTGCTCTACAGGTGGTCGACAAGGACTGAAAGAGGTTGAGATATATCATGAGGATTCGATGGAATTATTGCCGGAGCACCGGCTTGGTGGACAACACATTTGCAAATATGGACTGGAGGGATTCCTCTGCAAAGGCTCAAGCAGCTCCAGCTCAGCGGATTGCCTAAGCGCTGCCCAACTTCATACTTTATACGACATATATAACGACTACGTTGACATTAACCAAACATTTGTCTTTCCACACTTGCTACCTGGCCGTGAATCCCAATGGGCAGAGGTGATTATCAATAGTAGCAATAGCCCATTAGGATACGAGTACGTACAATATTTTCTGGGTATGGGCCCCCAGTGGTCCCCGAATCAGTTCGATTACAGTATCGTACAGTTTGCGGACGAATTGAACCAGGGAAACGCAACAGCCTGAAACTTTGACATATCTCCTTTTCAGAGGAAGGGCGGCAAACTTCTAATGTATCATGGCATGGCAGATGGCTTCAATCCCACCGAAAGTAGTCCTATAACCAAGTAACGGAAACTTTGGCCCCAATTGGGACTGATTTGGGCAGCTTCTATCGCTTCTTCTATGTGCCGGGCATTCAGTATATATCCATTCCGGATCCTTAACCTATATGATCGGTCAGGATTACTGACGCGACCGTAGACACTGTAGGGGATCACCAGACTCTATGCATGCCCCATGGTACTTCGCTGGACCTAATCAGGCTTCACATCCTTCCTCTAGTTTACATAGCGTCCCGTGGTATGCGGATGCTCAGCACGACATTCTTCTCGCTTTGATCGAATGTGTAGGAAAAGGCGTGGCCACGGATTCTATTACTGCAACGACATGCCACAATGATACAACGCAGTCCGAGGTCTATCGGCAAAGACCACTCTGTGTCTATCCGAAGAAGGCATTTTATAAGGGCCATGGTGATCCTGATCTAGCAAAGAATTGGGAGTGTCGAGATCTGTACTGAAACATTGGAAATGTCATTTCTACCTAGGTATATAAAGGCTGGAAGCAGGGTATGTACCTAGGTGCTTTAGTAGACCGTGAAAAACTGGCAGCTCAACAAGCAAAGTACGTCTCAGCCATCGCCGAGGCTTGCTTATTATAATTCTATGTATTTCCTTGCCATAAGAAGAAGTCTTGACAAAACATGCCGTGGATGAACTCATTCTGGCATGTGGTCTTGGGTACAATTTTCGTATGCTCATAAGCGAGCATCTATTCCTAGATCATTACTCCTCAGATCCCATCTTCCTTTTTTTTGTCTGTCGAGATGCAAAGCTGTCTTCCGTTCCTTTTCTTTTTCCGAATAATGTATCCAACGTTTGCTGACCCTTCTCCTGCCTTGCGCCAACTTTTGCCTTCTCGGCTGCCAGCACCGGCGGCAATCCCTGCACGCGTCGCTTTGCGTCCTCCAGAATATCAGTCTCCCGCTCTCGCTGGGCCTTCACTGTAGGAACAGACCACGCAGTGGCGGATATTGACTTGTGTGCTAGTTTATACTTGGATCCTACAAGGTGTGTCTCGTAGGTATTGTCATCTTGCTTCACGACGTACTGTATCTTGCCGATCACCAATGGTTGGCCATCGGTTCAACATATCAGTCATAGCCAATTTTTAAGCCACAATTCAACCCAGTCAATCTTCTTACCTGATGTGCTATGATAAACCAGTGATATTCTGTACCAACTGGTACGCCGCTGCCTTTAGGGGCTTTCCGAGCTCGCCGTTTCGTTGCGTTATAATCAATCTCCCATCGATCAGGCTCCACCTTGGTTTCCTTCCAGACTCCTTGATCATAATTCCATTTATGTGAGCCGCCTATTGCCATTCCAGAGTATACCTGACCTCTGAAGGTCTTCAAGGCGTTATAACCGCCACCGCCAACCGCATACAGCGAGCGTTGACCATCTTTATTTGGCGCATTGATTTCTGTGCTGTCCCTATCGGTCATATCAAATACCTCCATGTCTTCTTCATCCTCGTCAATTACTAGCCTGTCATCTCCGTCAGAACTGGCACCATCCTCTGAGACTGGGCTCGAGACGTCGATTGGCTGCTTGTCGGCGGCAGCAACTGATGCGTTTGGTTTGCCGGCAAGCTTGCTGGATGACGCTGCAGCTGATTTCCTAGTTCTAGGCGGCATGGTATTAAGTTATCATCAAATTCTGTTTCTGCTGATTGAAGAGAGATTGAAAGAAAATAGAGGAGAATTTTGGAGTTGATTTGCTGACGTTGCGCTCTTAGCGCCGTGACGTCACGATCCAGACTGCGATATGTTTAGCCCTAATTGCCGAATCGGGTACTTTTCTTGGGGCCTATCCCAACTACTGTTGTATACAGTAAACAGCACTATACACTATTTAGAGGCATTTCGGGCATGGTATTGCACATTTATAGCGGATATCTACGCTCCAGCTTGAGACAAAGAGGCCAAGCACTCAGATTCAAGATTTATGGAATTCCGAATATAAATAGTCGAATGTGGCCAATGACCTTAGAAACCTGAAATTTATGATTCCACTCGTTCATAGAGATAATATCCTGAGAGTAGCGACAAGAATTCTCCGAGTATTGCTCACTAACTAATGTTTCTGCTGTTCTGAGAGAGAGGAGCCCTCCCTAGGAAGTGTTGATATGCCCTTTCTCCCAGAGGCGCTGGCAACAAAGAGAGCCCCGTCGACATAATCTGACATTGTCATTTCAAGGGAACAGCCCAACATTTCATACACAGGCTTTTCTCTCTGAAGGGAATTAATGAGGCTTTTATTCTCCGGATATATCCCGAGGTCTTTTATTCCACTTTCCTTTGGTCATCTTTACCCACATTTGTATAAGCAGTTTACTTCAAATCATGAGTCAAATGAACTGGAAATTAACCAATCATACTGTGATTTACCGAGAGGCACAGTATAATGGAACTAGCCGCTCTTTGAAAGAGAAAAAAAGGGCACCCCGAAGTTCGGATACATAGTGAATACGAACTGACCTGGTTAAAGAGTTTCTTTATAGTGAATGATATTTAGTCATCTTTCATGGTGATTGCGGAATAAGATCTTCATATTGTTCCCAAAAGTTTCTTTATAACTTGGGCCTGAGATCTCAAATATTGTTGTCTATCCAAAAATAGAACCCTGCTCTTTGTTTCAATTTTTCACCTTTTTCTATGTCTAGGTTGAAGAGAAGCATTTCATGAAATTCGACACGATGACAATCGGGAACGTTGGGTACATACTCAGCAAACTACCTTTGATCAGGCATATATATAAATGTCAATGTCCCTCTGCATTTCCAGAAATACTTCCCCATGGTCGACCTTTCAAGGGCTTTCTAACTTCTCTAAACCTACTCTGAATTGTATTATCGCGGTACGAATCGAGCGACTTCTGCAAAATACGGGCACTTGAAAATGGTATTCAAATTCGGGTCTCTTGTTATCTTCACTTTCGCAAATCTTCTACGATCCGCCGAAGCGAGCTGGTGTCTGGGTACTGGAACAGGCACATGCAATCTCAACATCTTTGGCACCCCTGTCATTACTGAGGGTGGCTACAAATATGTTGAAATGTGGACAGGTGTCCATATCTATGACAATGAATGTAACTTGATCGGATACCTCAATAGACCTGTGGAAGGGGTTGCCATCAACTCTCAATTGCCGTGGACGGTTGTACTGAAACATATTGCAAACGACGACCGACACTTCACATTCTGTTATGCCGGAAAATGCTACGTTAACGGGTTTACCTTCCAAGAGACCGATGAAGGTGGTTATACGGCTATCGAAGCTTTGCATGCCTTTGACTGCGGTGATGAAGTGAGGTTTTCAAAGACGGAAAGCTCATTTAGCAGCCGACGTCACGTCAATGAGACCGACTTTGTTTAAAGTCGCTTTCCACTAATGAAGCTCATGAGGCACCGTTCTATGCTATATTTGGGGTTCTCCAAGCCTATAGCAGCTTGGTTGCTCAATACATCAGCTACCGGTCCTCCACAAGACGATCTCAACTGATTGTCAAGCTTTTTCTGACCAAATCTAAGTATGGCAGCCAATTACCTGGAATTGGTATGACCTTGTGTTTCTCTATACGGTCCACATGAGTTACCAGCTTTCTGTTCAGATAGTTACAGAAACAATAAATATTGAGAGTGCTCGCATATGAATTATTCTTTTATAAGTAACGTGGCTGTGGAAAGTATCAGATAGTTACAAGAAGTGATTATGAAAAGGACTCAAATGCACTACATAAATGAACAATAAAGTAGATGATGACAGATTATTCTCATACTGTCGACTCAGAAGAAAAACAAGAATGAAGGGCAAGCAATTGGAGTTTATTGCTTTGATATATTTTGGGGAATGGGTATACGTATTCGAACACAATTTTTCCCTGCTGAACCATAGACAACTGAATATAGAGCAAGTTTTACGCTTCAATCCTTCTCAATGCTTGTTCTCCTCTGACTCAATCTTGTTCATCTCAACCGGCGTCGGAGTTCGGCTGCGGTCTTCAGGACCGACAGTCCATGAAGCGATCGTCTTAGTGATAGGGTCAGCTTCTGGGTCCGATTTGGGCGCAGAGTGATGCTCGTTGCGAGGGGTTCGACGTGATTCCCCTGTCACTGAATTGAAGTTGCTCCCAAAGTATCTTGGAAATATAGCTCCAAGAATGATACGCAATGCTGGCATACAGGCACAGACAATGGCAATATCGCATTCTAAAACGGACCAATAGACTGCTGGAGCATTATCATCTTTTAGAACTGTTAGTATGTTACGCTCTTTACTTGTTGTGCCTGAAGAAAAAGATCTTGAATAGTAAGCTTATTCATTGACTTACAAGTTGTGTTGGTGGACTTGGAAAACCGCACAAGAGACTCAAGCCGTAAGATGCTGACGAGCGTGATCCTATTATGATGTAATTTTCAGTATTGATTCTATAATCGAACGTATGAATGTTTTGTTAAAGATGACTGACAGGAATCCAACAGAAAACATTGCCAATATCTGTAGTTTCTTATGCCAATTGAGTTTGAGGCCCAGCAATAGACGGATAGGCAGCGAAATGATGGTTATGTCAATGAATATTTCAATCGCGGCACGAACCCATGAGAAAGTGTTGATGTTGATACACTTTCCCGCATATTGGCCAGTCCAGCCATCCCAGAAGAACGATACCGGTGTACATTGGAATATCATGGAAAAAGTATTGGCTATTCCGAAGCAGACCACGAATATGGAGATACCAATGGCACACTGACGGAATAAGATTGAGTCAAACACGCGGAGATAGAAGAAGAGAATGGAAAGCTGAGTGAACATTTCCGAAACCATGTAGAATACTTCGGCAAAGTATAAATCCTTATAACCGAGCATCAGTAATCTGCCCACAGGATTGAATTCGCAGTTCAGTATACAACAGTTACTCACCTTCAACGTTTTTGTCAAGTTTTCGAAGGATAATGTCCATATATCCTTGCCCATGCCAGTTCTAGCCACTGTGAGAATAGGTTCATGCAATTAGCTCAGCTCGAGTCTTTCCCTATGACTTAATACGTACTTGGAAAGAGGAGGAAATTCAATGGTAAAGCAAAGACCTATTTCCCAAATCGTCTTCGTAAGTCTTTGTAGCAATGGGTGCTGGTGCTGGGAGGAAGGAACATACCAATGCTAAGACTATAAATCTGTCATCCCAAGCAAAGAACTTGTTGATAAATACTCGAGCGTAGATTCGAACAAGGACGAAGATTATTGCGAGACTACCAAAGGTAGCCGGGATACCGACAATAACTGGACCGATGTCATGAGATGGCAGTCCGCAAGCCGCATATGTTGCATTCGTGGTTGCTATAGTAGTAATATCAGTTTGATGTAACAGATTGAAAGTCAAACATTAGCGTTACCAGGGGTTGGTATGTCTTACTGAGAATTTCCTTTGGTGTGCAGGTGCCATTCCCAAGGCAGATCTGTACAGTACCCTGGAAAGTAGTATCTGCACAAAGGCACTTCAAGTCCTGCAACGAGCAAACAGAAAGCGGGAGCGAGTCCTTGAAGCAAGTGGCCTGTAGTTCCATGTATATGCGTTAGATAAGAAAAGGTCCGGACGCCCCAATATGAATGTAGTCCATAAGGTTCACAAGTAACGTACCGCACAACCTGGTATCTCATCTAGCAAACTGGCACAACCGAAAGTTGCTAGTAACAAGAGGGAGAACACCACGTTCATCTTTGAGTATCGATATTGAAGCTTTTCTATGGTTTAAAGAAAAAAGTTTTGCCGTCGTACTAAGGAGATTCATTGACCGAGGCAACAAAAAGCTGCATATCCGAAAGAAATTCCGGGGACTCTTATATGATGTTTTGAAATTCATGGCCCCTCTTGAAATACGAAGAGGGAATATCACTGTAAGGAGACATTTTCTGTTTTTTCTCAGTACGTAGGTCCTTCCTGAATGATATGCGCACAGACGATAGAGACACCGTTTAGGTACTCGTAATAGGGCTATTTAGCAAGCTGTCAAACGGCATACGGGGCGGAATCTATGGAAGCCGATAGGAGCTGTCGAGATTTGGCTGCTCCTTCTTCATTGTCTGGGTCTGGGCTCTTATACTAGCCTGAAGACCTGTCAGATTTTATTTGACGCAAGGTAGTAAACCATTCCGCTTGTGGAGTCTGATGATGTGGCGTGGATTATTCCGGCGCAAGGGGCTCTACAGCTCTCATCTACCGAGAGGTTATAGAGTGCCTCTCAGCGGCACAATGGTATAATTTATCCATTTTCCATTTAAACATTGCATAAACCGTATAGGCTATGTGTCATAGCTTTGTAGATCACCGAATTTCTAAACCCTACTCCCCGAAAGTGGATCGACCTTGGAAATCATGGAATGAAAGATATTGGCTGCGGAAGTCGACAAGCTTGCATGTATGGATCATCCTCTTGCACATCCTTCACCTATTCGGAGGCTCAAGACTGAGTCTCATCTGCGTTTGATGTCCCGAGATTGGCACGCTATGGATCACATTGGAAACGTCCATAGACATACGTAGTGGAATTTCCGAAGAAGTTGACTCCGATTATTTCCATCAAATTTGTTTGTCATTTCAAAAATCGAAGAACAGTCCAGACGCTAAACATATTTCAAATTGCGTTATTCAGACTAATATAGACTTGTTGCAGTCCACATTCTCACGCCTCTCATTAATCCCTAACAGAAGTGATCTATCAATCTAATTATTAGGTTAATACCTTCGAATATACCCTCCTGTCTCTTCCAGTATGATCGACGGGCCATGATAGAGATTAACTAAATGACAACGTTTTGCATTAACTTCGAGTCACTCTGCTGCCAAGGATGTACTCTTTCGATACCCCTGATAAGATCTTCATGGTGTGAGGAGCGCGATTTTATTGAAGCCCTGAAGGGTGCTGGATGGCTTACGACACCAGGTAGAAACTCTACCACTGGGTCGATTTCCTGGCCATTTTCGACTGCTTTTCCGATCTTGAAAACTGACAGAGCTTGTGCAATATTGATGAACAGAGCAGTATCAGCTAGCAAACGGCCAGGGCATATCCGACGTCCGAAACCGAAAACTAGTGTATGCGGGTCAGGCTCGGGGATTTGATTGTCGGTGGCCAAGAAACGTTCTGGCTTGAACTGCATTGGATTCTTATAGACAGCGGGATCATGCGTGAAATACCTAGATGCAAGTCAGCATAAGCGATGTTCCGAGTAAAGGACAGAACAGGGGTTGACTCACCAAACGTTAGGCATGATATATGATCCCTTCGGAATGAAGTAACCTTCGCAGATATCATCTTCGGTGGTCATATGTGGCAAACACATTGGTGCTACAGGATGCCAACGAAGCACCTCTTTCACCATTGCATCAATATACGGGAGATTGGGTCGGTCTGCAACCTCCGGAAGACGATTCGTTCCTACAACCCGATCGATTTCTTCTTGTGCTTTTTGCTGAGCTTCTGGAAATAAAATCATGGCCAAGAAGAAGCATGACAACGAGGAAACGGTCTTTATGCGATCATATTAGCCCCGTCTCACACTAAAAACTGTAAAGGGGGGAGGGGGTTACAGTATCTGCCCCGGCGGTGAATAAGGACATGGCGGAACATTTCACTGTGAATAAATCATCAGCGTTTGAGATTGGCTGCTGGAGTAGGTCAGACAGGAATGACGGTTCGTTGACACCCTCGGCCATCTGATGCTTGACGAAAGCATATGGTCTTTCGGTAAGCTCGGACAACGTGGATCCCCACAAACGACCAATCTTCTTGAATCCAGCTCCAGGAAACCAGTCTGGCAAATGCTTCACTATGTCGAATATCAACAAATGATCATATAAAGAAACCGGGGCACGCGTACTAAATGGAAGCATATCAACTAGCCATGTACCAGGAACTCCAGCCCGTGCAAATTGATCCATGGCCTGGCCGGCCAACTCCACCAACGGATCTCTACCATGCGGTTCTGTTGTGTACCCATAAGCAATTTTGAGGATGACTGAGCCTGCTTGCCTATAATTTGTTGATAGGGTTAGTCACATTGATAGCCGCCCGTTACCTACAGTCATTGACCAGAGTGAGGGATATACTTTCGGATATGCTCGGTGAGGTTGTTCGGGTCGTCCAATATGTGAAGAAGAAAATGTCCAGCCTCTTTCTCTTGGAGGCCATTGAAGCGTGCTGACGAGGTTGGCGAGCCTAACATTTTGGTCATGTTTTTCCGAAGAGCTCGAAACCGATTGTTATATGGAGAGAGTCCTAGAGAATTTTCCCAACCCATCCTGCAAGCGGTGGATCAACAATGACCTTAGAAAGACCTCTCGAAAAAAGGGCGTTCCAGATATAGACATAGGACATAGAAGGAGGGACGTACATTTCACCCGCAAAAACCTGTTTTGGTCTTGAGGAATGTTTCGCCGAGCGCTTTTCCAACAATTCAAACGCCAAACAAATGTCGTGGACAATAACCAAAGTCTGACCCATGATAGTAACAGAACTGATACCTCCTAACCATTCCAAAGGTGTGAGATTTGGATCCATAGATTCCTATTGACAACTAACATACCGTACGCATCTTTGTGCTTTAGCCAATGCTTCCATTCTGGCTGCCCTGGTGGAGGGAGGTCGCCTAGATTCCCAACCAAGAACTTGGGTGTCGGTCCGGGAGGAAGTGGCGGCCGCCTAATGTGCTTGAACTGGGCAAGAATTTTATAGATAAAGTAGAGGCTGAGGCTGTAGAGCATGAAGCGCCCGACGGATACAAAATCCATCTTTAAATCCATCTTTAAATGTGGGATCTGAAGAAGATGCTATCTCTGGCACGCCCTGATTTGGTAAAACGGAAACCGTCTGACCGAAACTAACGTAATTAAGTTTTTTTTTGGGTGGTTTATTGAGTCGTGTCTAGGTAGACGCACTTATATATCTTCATCGACATTCTTCACATTTAACAGCAGTCGATCAAGGGCGGGGAAGCACTCGGGAAATGGCACCAAACCCTCCGAGAGTCGAGATCAGAGATTCGAGTGAGGAAATGTGACAACGGTACTCATATTTGTACGCTTGTCTTATCGATTTTATTTGAGACAGCAATAGATAATCTTCCGTTCCCACATGGCTCAAAGAAATTATACAGCGCGTGTCCCGTATTGGCTGCATGTACGAGTGTCCCACTCCCTCTCCTTTTGTCTAACCCATTGCAATAACCACTAAGCTGCTTGGTTCAGACGCAGAAACTGTCAGAGTGTCAAAGCGGTAGCGAATTTGATCTGGAAAAGTGACATATCATATTTGTGTGACCTGCATTGCAGCTCCACATCGCCAACTATTGGGGGAACGGAGTATTGTTATCCATCCTTGCATGACTTCTACCAACCTTCATCCTCTGATTGGGAAGGTCAATGTGTAGTCACCGTAACTTAGGGGCTGTGAGGTTTCGGTGCATAACCGGAAATACGAACTGGTAGGAAAATTCCTATCATCTACTTAGCACGGGACTTCAAGAAAGCTGTTTAAGTAAAACTCGATGGTTATGTGTGAGACCTGTAAATGTATATCAATGGATTAAAATTCGACTTGATGTTTGATTTATCAGAAAGAAGCAAGCCGGTCAAACTTTCACTCGGGTGGTATTTCACAAAATCAGTCCCTTAGACAGAATCTTCGACGGACATCGACGACCACCGAGATTCGGCACTCTCGACGCCGTAGATGATGCTCTCACTAAATTCTCGAAATTCGTAGAAAGGCCCTTAAGTTGGGTCTTTATACGTGAAGGGAATATTGACAACCTATCCTGTTGTTATTGGGAAGTTCCCGAGAAGCTACCTAGGTACCTACACGATATGTTCAATAGCAACCTCGGAAGTGGTGGCAATGACCAGCTATACAGTAGTTGTTTCTTATTGGGGATAGCTATGTAATACTTGGTATCCTATTGCTCCATAAGTCCTTTTGTCCAGTTGCTTAACAAAGAGCTTGGACGCTGGCAGAAATTAACCGGCTACCGTATTGTCGAAGCGAGGAACACAGCATCAAGCCCAATGGCTAGCCGCATGTTAGCAGTAAGCATGATAGAAATTTTAATTTTATCAGAAATACAAATGTGATATAGAGATGCGGATGCTAGGCAGAATAGTGGTACCAGATAGGGATTCAAAGCTGTGCAAATGATTTTGGCTACACTGAATCCCCTTCCAATAATAGTGGATTTTGTGCGAAGTAAAGCAAATATACTGCTCAAAAACAGCCTTTCTCTCAGTAACTCTACGATTTAAGTACTGGTTCAGATGTTGCTTGATGTGTCTCTGAGGAAGCTCACCATGTTTTTTTATGACGATAATAATCAAGCTTGAAATTAAAGCTACAACTTAGCAACTCCTTGTGGCTGCGTCAATCATAAACTCTGAGCTTTCCGAAGCCAACCGTCTTTCTAGGAGTTGCCGTGACAAACTGCAACTTGTGATGTGTAGTGTGTGTGCGGAATATCCATATTCCTATTTGGACTCAATACACGCTGAGAGTCATGGCCTTCGCTAACAAATGTTAACGCAGAAGTTAGGGTTAGGGTTAACACGATCTACCTAGGTATTTCGATACTTACGCCTACCGTAGAGTTGTCAAGTCAAATATGACACATGCAAGTCTTCATACACATTGCACAATTGTATATCATTCCGGTATTGCATTAGATAGGTTTGGTGCTTAAGCTGTGGTTGGATAGCTACTTTTAAGCGTGGCTATACATAGAGTGAAGAAGCATTCTTACCTATTAGGATTTAGGGGAGATCACCCTCTAGTTCTGAGCTGGAGGTCGAAACCCACCGACGGAGTTGCGTTTGTGGGTCGAGATCAACATTGCATATGCTCAGCTCTAGTTAAATTATTGGCAACGACTTACATTAACTGGCCGAAGTGTATCGATTCCACAAGTCAGTGCTTGTATGGCTTATCAATTGCTGGGGTTTAATAGGCAGTGTTCTAGCTGAAGCTATAAAATCAAGAGCATATTGCAAACTGGGCTTCATTTTTGTTTCCTGAGTAATATATCCCATGCCACATGCCCAACGAGTATGCCTGCATATTGAGATTGAGTGGGGACAATAGACATCTTGACATACTCAAGAACCCAGAAGGGTTTCAAACATCTAGCACAGCTTAGGGATCCAACGACGAACGAGTAGTTGAGGGTTTAATCAAACAATCGTTACAAGTAGCTGTCCTGACGATAGGGGAAAACAGGGTTCATAGTGCTGCGACTTTAAATGCGAGGTTGATTGACACCATACCCAGATAAATCTCAAATCAAGCTAGGGGGAACAGGCGAGGGTGAATTATATCCTTGTACCCAACCTTGGAAATCGTAGTCTCTCACTTGCTTTCAGTGAGTCCCAAGGGTCACAAATTCAAACCCTTTAGCCTGTTCTGGAGCCGATACACCGAGTCAAACACGCCATCCTCCGCTGGTGGACCGTCGTGACAAACGAAGAGCCGATCCTCCATTCTATGGTAGCGAGAGTCGAATAATTCGCAAGCAAGCCTGTGCCTTAAATGTAAGACCAATATATGAATTCAAAATCATGGCAGCGGGCTATCATTGTGTATGAGTGTCGTTGGTGCTCTGTTGCTGCGCGTGTGCCTCTCTGTCTCTACCTGCGTTGCCCCGGTGAAATGTAAGAAAATGGGCCACAAGTATCACATAGTATGTAGCATCAAATACTCACGTAGTATTTCCTTTATGTGTGCGAAATCTTCCTCTAGTTTCTGGTCCCATCTCTGCCTCATTGCTTCCAGATCGGGAATCTGTGATGGCGAGGAAGAAGAAGGTGGGTTAGAGCCCATTGGAGGGGTAGCAGGCGGGCGATTTTGCGTTGATTCGGGCATTATGGCTTCCTCTTAAAGATTCCGAATAGCTTCTTGCCGGTGGAACTCCACAGTCTACGTCCAGATACGGACGTTGAAGTCGTCAATAGAGGATCTTAGGGTTAGATGCGAGAATCTTTGGTATGATGGAGTGGCTCGGGACAATCTCCGGCGGCTGCTAACCGAGTTAATACTAGCTTCCATCAAATCCCAAATTCGGAACTTATTGACCAATTGTCACTGTCGAGAGGTTTTTGCTTACCTGTTTGATCTTTTGAGTGTGACGAAGAATATATTGACGTTATCCTTCAAGACAAACTTCCACCTATATAGGGTTCAATTGCCTTAGAACTAAATATAATTCAAGAGAATCGGATGACACGTTCGCGCGGCGTTCTTGGATTGTCTGGAAATGAAGAGCCGGGAAAGGGCGATGCTTCACCTTTATATGTCGTCGGTCTAAGGGACTGCGCAAGTGGAAATGAAGCCACAGGTTTCTAAGCAAATTAATATCAACCATGTTATGACTGCTCAGCGTGCCCACTACGCACTCCCTTCTGATCCCGGTCTTTCGACTTTGTGGCCCAATATAGTAAGATGTCAGCCCTCTCCTGCGCCGCACAAGACCATGTACTATGAAGAACTGGGAATAGCGGAAAGAGAGAAGCAACAAGAACGATGAACTGCGAGAAGAGGCCCTAGCATCCAATAACACAGCGCCGGCTCCACTTCCCGTCCCGTCTTTCGCCGTCAAAAGTCACCCAACGTCAAAAGGTCTACTCAGGTCAGCGCTTCAGGTACGCATTTACTCCATAATGGAGCACTCACTGATTCAGGGTTAGAACCAGGGTCCAACTTGATCGTAAGTTGGACACTTCTCCTCTCACTCGGCGGTCTCATGTATGCAAGCTCAGACCTAGACCGGATTGTAGCACAAGAATCGTATCGTATCGCTAATTCTATTTACGTAGTACTCTGTAAGTCGCTTCAGTCGCTGGGAATGCCTTGTCGGGGTATCCATTTGTTTTCCATGCTTTTGCTTTCCTTGCCTTCTTCTTCGTGCGATCTTCTCGCGTGCGCATTGCAACGCCTGACTATGACTCATTTGATCACTCTTCGCTTATTGTTTACCTGGTTCGACTGAAATAATGTGGACAAACGAGGAGGGAGAGTAACAGAAAAGATCTGCGTCGGGCAGTCACTTGCTTTGTCAGTACGAATACGGCGCTGTAGCAGATGTCGGTCAGTCGAATTCCTGATATCAGCCTCGTTCACGATGGGCCACGCTGTCAGGACTCAGAACTTCAGAAGTCGTCGGTTCAACTCCTCCGCACTGGAACGGGGTCTCATAGGCTACAATCTACAGAGGAAATGTGAAGGGATTAGTGTTATTAATTAAGTTACAAGTGATGGTAACTGATCGTACCCACCGTAAGCCAACTAATAAATACCTGGTGGAGATCAACGGGAGCGGTGACGCTCACTGCAACAATACCAAAAGAGTGACTCTCCGAATATCACTCTGGTAAACGCGTTTATTTTTTATTTATTTTTCTTCTTCCCTCAAAGCAGAGTGGAGGAAGAAGGGAAACAATAAAAGTACCGAGCAATTCCACGAACAGAGCCGGAATTCCTCGCGATTGGAACGTCATACAAAATATCTGCATTCTGCAGCTGTCATGGACGCCATGCAGCGACTTGCCGATGTGCCGGAGATCGCCCGAGACCCTATTGTAGTCCTGTGAACTTAGCCTCCGTCCACAATGCGCACTTGAGGTCTCCAGAGGATTACCCAAGAGCGTAATACATCATAGGTTAGATCCATAGAGTCTAAAGGTTTATCAATCTCAGCAGATACTTCAAAGTACAGAGGTAAGGGGCGTGGTACTGAACTTTGATTTTGAAGCAAGAATCGCCGAGAGCGAGTAAAAGAATGCGGTTTGAAATTCGTGCAACCACTCGTCTCTGTCAAAATGCATGTTACCGATGAAAAGACGCATGGGTATGGCACATGGAAGCTGACCATGATCATTGATGGCCAGGAAAATGATTCTAATTCAATATTAACTCTATCCGAAAAGCCGGACCAACTACGTGCGACCACTAAGTAGGCATTTATCATAGGTCCCATTCGTGTAGCATAGCCAAGTGGGAAAAAGAAAAGAGTATCGTTTGGAACGCAAAGCGACGTTTTTGCCTAGATAGTGGAAGTTAGTAGGTAATCCGGACCCTGGCAGTGACATGTGTAACTAGTCTAGGAGGAACCGGACACTGCTCGGCCTTGTAGGTGATAATGTCGACAGAATAGTTCATCAATGTAACACTAGGTTCTCGTGAATCTAGGCCTATTGTTTTTCCTCTTTCAAACTGATAGTATCCGTGGAAGACTACGGTAGTTATGAGAGAATTTACGTCAAGATACTTGCCGTCTACCAGTCACTGTGGCGTGTATAAAATTTCTTAACCATTATTACAGATCTAAGCTCGAGATATGCTGAATTAAAGCAGATAATGGAAAACTCATTAGCATGGTACCACCTACTCAGATCGATTTTCAAATGTTTAATGGCCGGAGACGTCAGAGAGGAAGCAAACGTATTTGCAGACCAGCTAATCCTTTACGATCACAGTTTTTAGCCAAGGCCATCCAAGTTGTCAGATCGACGATGAAGAGCAAGTTATTAATCTGTCTAGATCCAACAGTTACACTGTAACCAAGAAAAGAAAGATACGACAACAAGTTGGCATTAACAGGAATACTAGATCTGCTATGGCTGCAAGTTGCGGTCTGCAATTCAATCAAGAAAAGAAAAACCAGCATATCAACGCATGACTTATGCGAGAGCCACATCCTCTGCCTAGCGTGCGCTAATTATATGTTTCCTGGTTATTTTGAAAATTCTTTCTTTTGATTTTGCTTACCTACCGTCTCTCCATGTTCAATGCTTCATTTTGGCACTAAGCCGCCAAGTGTAGTTGACCTGAGCTGGAGTACACTTTCGGACATCACAGCTCATTCAAGGTGAATCGTATGATGTATAGTATCTACAAGGTAGGCATTCCTTAAGCGTAGTAGGAGCAGAAGTATGAATTAGGTTTCATTCAAGCGCGTGATTTAGAATATATGGGATCTCTAGTTTTTTACCATCCCTGTCAACGTACAGTATATAGTTATACATGTACCACCTGGGCATATGTAATCAAATGCATTAATACGATCCTTAACACTGGCATACACAGCTGCAATGGCGTGTTTCAGCTGTCAAATAGGTTTGCGTGTGACGGATGTGATGGATGTACGTCTCAAGGTAATGGGCAATCTCAAAGTGTTATGCAGCTGCATGAGTCATGCTTCATGGCAGCGCGTAGGCCACGTTCAAATCTACTAATATCTAGTGTAGACTGTGTAGTAGCAGGCTGAGTGCAATACTCTGGATTTCGCCGCATTTACCTGCTCATATCAATTGATCCCCATGGCCGATGCTATATGCGAAAGAAAGTAATGATGTATTCAATGAGAGCAGGTTCGCATGAGCGCATCCGAAGGAAACAATGAGCACAACTATGTAGACACGCTACTTGAATGCCAGGGAATAGTCTGACTAGTTTGTGAAGCAATGATCCAATATGCTGGGATGCATCAAGAGTCTGAGATGGTGAAGGAAAGTCGAGTACCGGAGGGAGACAAAACATGCATGATCAGGGTTTCTCGAGCTGAAGATGCAACCCTTGTGTGAAAAAAGACCGATAGAGCCAATGGTATTGCCAATGAGCATTGCAACTAATCTGTGCTACCTTCTTTCGGGTTGATCGGTGACAAACTCGCTGACCGTAAGCGGATTCCCAAGCCTATGCCATAGCTATGTTACACAGAGTCGATGCACAATCCGTACAACGACATAGGTAGCAGTACCTAGCTAACTTGAGAGGTTAACGGAGTACATTTTCGATATTTTTCTCGTCTGTTTGAGAATGAGGCATATGATTACCAAAAGAACAAACTAGGCAATGCTTTGATTTCAATAAAGGCCTCGTCTGAGTCTGTAAAGAAATCGATGAATGGATCGTATAGACTCAGAGAATTGATATCGTCCCGTAATAGTGATCAATGATCAGTTGCTTGTAAGTATTGATAAGGAGATGATTCGATGCGTTGAATCTCTGTGTAATACTTGTCTTGTTCTAACTTAGTTACATACGACTAGGGGGTGAGACTATAATTAGCCTCGGAATCACTGTTGGAAATAAAATCACGTGACTAGCAGAATACAGAAGTCGAACTACGGAGCGCTTCGCAAATACCTCAAAAATACCAAATTCCCTTTAAGGGCGTCCTTTTTGCTGAAATGGTATTACGTTTTAGTTCCGATAATCACTAGTCATCACGTGACCTTATGATCATATTCTTTGCAGAGCCTGGCTGCAGTATCTTACATAGTTAACTTATTCATCTTCTGTATTATGTAATTTTCAAATCTCTGATTGACGCAGAGAGTTTTCATTTGCCCAAGTTACGTACCCTCTCAGTCAGAAATCTGGGCCAAACTGATGAAATGCGTCATTACCCGTTTCGGAAGTCCATCAAGCCTCCTGTAGTATTCGATACTGGTAACAGCCCTGTGGACAGTGACCTGCCCTTGTTTCTAATTGCAAAAAAATAGATGATAAATATGCTTCACCGGACGCAGTAAGTAATCAGGCTTCTCAGTTGATACCATTATCCTAGAAGTATGAAGTGTACGGACGTTTTAGGGCTATTTAGGATAGCCCTAATAGCAATGATTTTGATTGGCCCAAAAGACTTGGCGCTCTAACTCAATGAGGTTAGAGCTGCATGCCAAACATGTGAGTCGCAAACAAATTTTCACTCTTTGATAAACTAGTTCGTCACGCGTTCGAAACTCTGACGGTTCGCTTTTTTCCAAATAAATTTCACTCTCATGATATCACCACAAGCATAGTAAAAATACAGAACCCTTTCCCATGCTGTTGATGAATCCAGCAGCACGCTCTTCCTCACAATGGCTGGGGCGCTTCGCGAACTCATAGAACTCTTGTTGACGGAAATAGCCGTCAGTGGCACTGACGGTAAGTATGCCTGAGGCTTTTCAAGCCGACCTGCACTCCTTCCTCTTACGGCAACTTGCGGTCACGTGTCTCTACATTTTTGCCCAACTCAGCATGACCGAAACATCCATCGCATCCAGATACATGTTAATTATTCGACTTCTGACTGGCATGCGCTAATCCCTTATAGGAACTCCCTTGTCAGAGATATGGGGTCTGATTGAAGCCTTTTACAGTAACAGGTCATCCTACGCCGGGCATGACCACAGCTCACCCGGCTTCTTTTTGGATCGTTCGCTACAGGAAGACCTGTGGGAATGGTTAACACTGAATCCTGAGGTGTCCGTCGGACGGAACAAGGAGTATAATGGGCTTAGTTTACCTGAAGCAGAGGCAATCAATTCAAAGTCCTCTGAACTTAGGCTTTTCGTATCCGAGGAACGTATTTGGAAAGCGTTGACCGGTCATGAAAAGGACGAAACCAAAGTCCCATCCACCGAATTCTCTCTGCTCTCTATTATCGCGTCATGCCGGTCCCAAGGAATCCTGCAGACTGAGTTGGTTCGTCGTAGTGGTCAGGATGCGAGGTCTGTGCCGAAACGTACCGACGCCTTGAAGACCAAAGGCTACATCGATAAACGACAAGTACAGGCCAAATCGGCCAAGACCAGCTTGTGCACGCTTTCGAGATTTGCCAATGTTGATGTCGGCATTGTATGCCAGGAAGGCAAATCTGCGCAATCCCGAGAAGTGATCGATTTTGGAGCTTTCTGCCATGACATATTTCGCATTCTCAAAAAATATCAGATCATAGCTCGGAGCGATCTCAGAGATGAGCTCGGTTTCCACGATATCTGGCGCCGGCGTATCTTGAATAGAGCGATACGGAAGCTTGAGACAATTGGTTGCGTGCAGCGAGTTAAAGCGCGATCGCAATTTCATGACACTATGCAATCCCTACACTCCTGCGTCCTGTTGGTTCGTGAACCCACGCAGGTCGATCTGAAGTTGTTCAAAAGCGACTACAAGACAATATTGGCTGCCACAGACCAAGAGAACGAGGAAATGGAAGAACAGGCCGAGATGCATACTCCCGACCACAAACTTATTCAATGGGTTCCAGATGCTAATTTTGCAAACCTTATTGCTACTCTAATCAAAAATAGTGGAACTAGAGGAAGCAGTAATGCTGAAATCATCAGAGAAGGATTCGGGAAAGTTTTTCGTCGTCCAAGTGAAAACACTTTGAATCGCATCACGGAATGTTGGCAGCTCTCGCAACCATTGCATCTCAGAAGTAGTGCTATTGTCCGAGACACTGCACTGAATGGCACGGTCACTCATTACGTGCATTACTCATATTCCAATTTTAAGCAGCTGGTCGATACTGGGTGTGCTGATTGGGATGCGGTATCCTTTCGTCCAAGAGACGTTAAGAGTTCCAAGCTTGCTATACCACCTCCTGATGCTCTACCCGTGACTGACCAAGACGGCTTGGTACCTTTTAGGCCCTCTCGAAGAGGGATCGCCGAGTGTGATCACTATTGTGCAGTTTCATCCAAAAGCCTTGGCAACTATGCAGTAACTAAAAGCGACCCAGTCGCTATGACTAACGAAAATATGGATTTTGGTAAGGTGTACGAAGCTGATCAGAGGAAGCAATTTCACTAACATGAAACTTCAGTGGCTGTGTTTCCACGTGAATCTGACGGTTTTCCCGGATATAAACCTATCCACAAAAGAACTGACACTCATACGGTGGCTAAAAAGGAGCAAATAGATTCCGCTAGATCCCAGCAGGATTTCCGTGGTGAGAATATGGTCGAAACCCCGGGATATGCGCAAATGACAAAAGCCGAGAAAATTGAAGTCGAGCTCAAGAAGGGTGAAAGATCACCCAGAGAGGTATTTGCTGCATTCGGCCTAGACGAAAGTTGGACGCATGTAGCAGTACGCCTTATGGAGCGAAATGCCCCTGGAGTTTATATGACAGCAAAAGGAAAAGCACGACCAGCTGGTAGACGCCAAGGGCGTCCCAAGGAAAGTCGAATCGCTGTGTTTAGGAGTTCCACCCTTGTCGAATACCTCAAATCAATTCCTCAAGCTGTAATGGATGTTTCTCGACCTCTTGTCTCACGAGCGAGTCCATGCAACGCTGGCCGCGAATCGTCAATCATCACCACCCCGGGAGATCTGATCTCAGAGACGAATAGTAATAACGAACAAGGCGCCCTGGAACCCGCTCCTGTAGCCACTGAAACGCAGTCTAACAAAGAAAACAATATCGTGCCTAGACCGGCTAGTACTGAACCGCAACCGACTTCGCCGGAGCTCCCCTCAGTTATTCCTGACCTCCCTGAAATAGAGAAGGTGGTTTCCTTGGAAGCTGAAGAACGATCTACAACATCTACGGCTATAACAGGAATAACTATTTCGAGGAACAACACATTGGAGTCTTGTCCCTCCGTACATCCTGTGAGCAATGTACCCTCAGCTGCAGCGGATGAATCTTCAGTCGTTGGTCAAGGACATGATTCGCCACCTGAGTCCCCAGTCATATTCACAAAAAGCCGACGTCTGGACCATGGAGGTTCTGTCGCTCGTTTGAGACGTGCAATCATTATGGATATCATAAAGCAGGCCGGAGGGGCATTTCCTTCGGGCAGTGAGATATGGCACGCATTTTCAACGGTTTGGATGAAGTATCTTAAACATGCTGAGAAGCCGGACTCAAGAACAGTTAGAAATGTGGTAAAGTATCTCATTGACACAGGGAAGTTGCGACAGATAACCTTTAGTGGTAAAGGTCCCAAGGGCCTCATGGTTACTCGCAGCATCGTTATGACACCCGAAACCAGCCCTTCCAGCCCACTCGTCACAAAAATGCAGAAAGCGCTCTTGGAGTCAAATTATTATGTTCCGGATAATGTCGAAATAGATTCTGATATCACGAGGATTGTACGCGGTGCCACTGGGGCGCCCACAGGTGTCTATACCAAATCGATCCCTATTGACCCCGGAATGACAGTCAACCTACGGACGAAACCCGCTTCTGTTATAGCATTAGAGAGAAGGAAAGAGCAGTCTATTCACAAAAGACTGTCCAAACCTATTCGACTGATGGGTATTAAACGCAAAGGCAGACTTCAGACTTCCGAGGGTATCACTTCATTCTCCAGGCCGGTGAGCAAGGGAATTTTGAAACATCACCATGAGCCTTCTCAACCTGAGAAAGATCCATCAGGAGAATCAACTCCAATGGAGATAGATGTTCTCCCATCCGTGACCCCTAAGCGTCACTTGCGCCGGGAATCGCTAGATCAGCCACGCTCAGAAGTCAAGAGACGCAAACGATCATATACGGAGTCCCAATATGATCGATTTTTGGATAGCCTTGAGGATGTTCTGCAATGGGAGTTCAGCAATCTGTTAATGAGTGAAACGGAACAGGGTTCATCTATCATTCCAAAGTTCACAGAAGACGACATGGATTTCATTCACCACACCGTCAATGAGGGCTTTGAACAAGCACCTGTTGTTGGTAGTATACGCTTTGCTGGTGAGAAACGGACGAGGCCAGCTCCCCTCTCAGCACCAAGCCTAAGAAGACGTCGACATAAATCCTCGGTGGCATTTGAATCAAAACTCAGACCTATCACGCCGCGACAAAGTCATGACACTGGCCACGAGTCAGGATCACAGCCGTGGCTCGTCTCTTATGCCCAGCAACCAATGGATGCGGAACTGTATATGCAGCCTAACGGTTCGGATTTACTCCAACCATCGAGTCCGATTGATGAAGATGAGCTCCACGGTTATCCGGAGAAGAACACCGCGACAATGGCTAGGAGACGACGCAGAGGACTCAAAGCTCTGTCCAATTCGATGATTGAACGACTAAAGCATGCAATCGTTGTCGTCAGGACTATTGCAGGAGGTACTCAGGGAAGAATTGTCGATTGGGATTTCGTGACTAAGGCTTTCCCGAGAGAAGATCCCCAGGATATCCGATCAAATGGTAAACTGCTCTTGAACCGTGATCGACGCCAGCTGGCACAGATGCAGGACGAATTTCGTGTCAAATTACTTGCAGAATATAAGAAGAAAAACTCGTCAATCCCAATCATTAACTTCAATAACATGGCATCTTATGATTGGGATGCGGCAGTGACATGGGCAACTGCCCAGTACTATTCACCTTTTACTCGAAATGTGCCCCTGTTGCCAGCATCGCGGGCTCGATTGATACAGGACATTCCGCATCGTATAGAACAGGTTTCCGACGAGTTTGAGATGATTTACACAACCAATCCCACATTCAGTATCACAAAGCGGGAGTCCCTTTTTGCTTCAAGACCTTATTTGAGTAAGCAGAAAATCGAGAGTGCCAATGTTCGAGATCAAAACGACGACAAACAAGCGGTGAAATGCTGGATTTTGTCGAATATCGTCGCCAAGGAAGCAACATACAATGCCATAGATGCGCGAGACAAATTATCTCGACTCCCCAATGTCATTATTGAGGATGCCGTGAAAGAGCTTATCCGAGAGCGATTCATATCGCAGAGCAATCGCGGACGTGTCGTTCCAGGCCGTAATTTCACCTTCACGGATAATTTTCAACTCACCTTCGGACGTAGAAGAGCAATCGATTCGGATATACTTCGCCAGGCAGCAAAATTCAAGCGTATGCTTGATGACGATTTCAAACGTGACGGAGTATCTCAACTAAAATATGATGCGTCAGACGGAGCTGTTCTTGCAGTCATGGCGTTAGCAGCCCAAGGACGAGTACACATTTTACCTAACGATCCACCTGCAAATCCGTTCGGCCTCACCGAAGGTAACTACGAGACACGTACCTTGGACAAAGCGATTTTCAAATTCCAGGTGGATGTCATTCCGGACAGTAGCAGATACCAATACGGTTACCCCTTAGCAGTCAAAGCCAATGAACGTCAACCGCCTATTGAAGAGGAAGAGTTAAAACAACTTTTGAGTGGTAACGACGATAAGGGACCGGTTGCAAAACTTCCGCTGTGGTTAGACATCAATGGTAATGTGCACGTGCAGTTGTGGGAGGCTATTGTGTCTGCCATAGTGGGTATCCTTGCAATAAGGCCAAAGATTGACATAGTCAATCTCCATGAACAGCTCCAGAATTACCTGGCTCCGTGGGATATTGAACGTATTCTCAGGTGGCTTGAAAAGATTGGACTAGCTGAAAATGAAGGTGGAGCTGGCGATAAAGGTATCTGGTCTGCGAAGGAGTACTGGTGGATGATCTGGGCCTAATATTTGAGGCGCCCGTGTATTTCTCGATTTTGCATTCTTATGTAACCTCTGTTCTAACATGGATCGTATGGTATAAGTTATTCCAGTATATCAACAACCCAGTTAAGATATTCTTAGGCATAGATAGCTTACTTGTCTAGGTGCAGTAACAGTGTCGAGATGCCTATATACAGCACTGTAAAGGATAGGCACAATGTGTTGAACGAGACACTGAGTACTTACTTGAGTAAAAGAGATACCAACGGGGCTGGTCAAATGTTGCTATTACACAAATACATAGTGGGCATTGCGAGTTCTTTACAACCGATAATGGAACTTCTTCGAGAGTCTAACGAGTCATCAAATGACAAACAAAGAAACAAAAATCTGGTCATGGTCCACATGAAACCAACTTGCTGAATATAGAACGCATAAGCATGTATCAAAGAAATCGTATCGGATCAGGGTATAATGGTCAAATAAAAGTCAAATAGCCACTTTCAGAGCCAGGTATGCGTGTGGAGATCGCTTATGTTATTGTAGTTGCCGAGGGGCGGTTATATATCCTCTGAGGCAGCAATCCGTCTCATTAACATAAAAATAAGGACAACGAGTACACCGACGATAGCTCGGTCCAGCCATGCGCCATCTTGGGACGGTGTTGTTTGTGTGTTTATCGGTCTACTCACTGTGCTCGTATGTGATGTAGTCATAGCCATTGTGGTTGTGGGCGTTGGTGTCGGAGATATTGTGGACGATGCTGTGCTGGGAATGGTGTTAGGCTCCGAGGAGTAAGGGACATCACGCATCGACGTATCTGGTGAAGGTGATGGCAAAGGCTCTTGCTGTGTTGAGCTTATAGTGGCTGCTGCTGGGCCAGTAGACGACTCTTCTTGCATGTCGACTGCATTGGCAATCGACCGTGATTGGCATTCGTTGGCACTGTTCTTATAGCTCATTCGTAACTCCTCGGGCACTGTCTCCCGATCCTGATCGTCCACGGATATACCCTTTCGTGAACAAACCGCGCGCCACTCATTGAGGACTTTTTCATTTGTCTTTCCGCCCATACATTCACAACTCCATGTTCGGCTTTTCTCAGCCCACATCCTCCGCACATCTTCTGGCGCGTCTAAACCACCTAATTGCCCCTTAGCGTCCCCATCCATAAAGCTTCTGATGGCTGTCAGTGCAGTACGTATCCCCCACGCGGGTTGCCACGTTTCCTCATGGTGGCCACTGATACTGAGGCAGATCTCACGATTGACTTCAAATCGCCCGGATGGTGTCAGAAAGCGAAAGGACGGCGGTCTCAATGGGTACGTTGGTGGTAGGACGATGCGGCCATGATAGATTCCTCCGGCGTATGGCGATGGAGCCGGAGGGCCAGCCAATGTGAAGTGCCAATCAAATAGATTCGAGTCAGAAACGGGATGCGCACAGAAATGCGGTGATGGAGAGGGCGCCGATTCGGAAAGTTCTGCCGCCTCTTTCATTAAGCGTCGAATGGCGGGCGACATGGTTTAGGATGTTGACGATGTGGTTACTGTTATCGCGACGGTGTGCCTCGGCGCGGGTAGTGTCCGTCCTTCAGCTCAGAGGAGATGTTTACTACTTAGTCGAGATTATTATGGCGCGTACGACGTTGTGTTTATGGGGAATATTGGTTTTGTTCCAACAGGTTGATGATAAGACCTTGGCGTAACTATCGATATTATCGTATGGGGATGGTATACCCGCCAGACTCACACGAAACTGCCAGCAGTGGGTGTTTCGAGATTATAGTTCGGTGTGCTTCGAACAGGTGAACAAAATATGAAAGAAGAAGAAGCTGGTTATTGTTGGGACAGATAGAAAGAATGACAAGCTGGCATTTGGCGGAGCTGAGTTGAAGGTGGCTCCCGCGGCATACGTAATACACCCCGAACCCCTTAGGGTTGAATCAACTGGGAACAATACATACTACCATATTTACCCAGACTTTAATCTAATGTAGCTTTAAATTTTACTGGATAAATCATCTCGATTATTACGAGATTGAAGCAGAACAAGGCGCAGTGAAGAAATAAATCGGTACGGATTCTGCATATCAAGAATTCTAACATAATGTCGTGACCCTAACCTGTGCCAATATGGACAAACATCCAATTCGAAATGCCAGCAATAATTCCACCGTCCAGTACATTTACACGCTCGAACATGAACGCCCAAGCAGATATGTGATAGCATCGTGACTAAGCTTGAGAATCCCCATAGTCCCAATGCGTTTACAGGTACACAAGCAGCAAGATTAGTCCCAGTCTCGCCATTCATCTTTTGGGCTTCCAAACTGATCGCGGGTGATTCCAAGCACTCGATCAGCTTTGCTCCCTGGCGAATGGCCATTCCGACCCCGGTGCAGTTTCTGTAGCCCATCATCATCATCTGAATCCAAATCGTATTCGTCAGCATCACTGTCTTCATGGTGCATTCGTGGCGACTTCGGTCGCAGCGTCGTCATTGAGACACCGGAATTCGGTCTGGAGCCATTGTGTCCACTCTTGGAGAAGCGCTGCATGGGAACCGGCACTGTGGAAGTTCGTGTTGCATTGTTATTGTTCATCCAATGATCATAGGATTGCTGGCGTTGTCGTTCTAGCCATTGGGACATTTCGCGCTCACGCTCCTGTCTGATACGATCTCTTGCCTCAAGGAACGCGGGACTGGGTTCCCAATACCAGCCATCACCAGAGGTATTGCAAATAGGAAGAGCCCAGAGGAATGGGTTGTCGCCGAATAAATGGCGCAGGTTCTGTTTCCATCCGTGATTGAAAGGGCTGGGAATGTTCTCACTGTCTCGGGAGTCAAGGTAGTCTTCATAGCGCTCACGTTCTCTCTGTCGTTCCAATTCTTCGTACGAGCGATGCAAAGCTTTTTGAGCAGGTGTACCATCAGTATTCGATTCACGTAGGAAAGAGATATAATCCTGGTGGTGACCAGATTGGGGCTCTACAATCGGAGAGAGCCGCTCTTCACCCTCTTCCGCGCGGGTCACCCCCGGAATAGCATTTGCATGCGCCTCAATTATTTGCTGCCCGTATCCTTGTAGTCGGTGGCCAAAACCACTGTTCCTTGTAGGATTGCCGACACTCTGGTCTTGGGCGGCTTGGTAATCGCCGCGCTGGCGGTCAAGAGCTTTACGTAGAGGAGAAAGGTATCGGGTCTTCTCCAACGACTCGATGGTAGTTAGATTCCGTACAGCGAGGCTGATGTGCCAGGCAGTAAAGCCAGTCAGGACCAATCCGATGATGCCAGAAATCACGGCGAGTAAAATGACGTTTACAGGCATTAAAGTGTTTGCGTACACAACGTCGTTCAGAACTTCATCCCAAACCCACAAACCAGATGTGGCGAAACAAGCCCAACAGAAGGTTGACGTGTATATAAGGAAGAGCATGAATGCCTTGTAGTTGCGAAGTCCCACGCAAGTGGCCAGCCACGGACAATGGTGGTCCATCTTTAACACGCATCTCTTGCAACTCGAGCAATGGTGAGCGCGATCGGGCTTTGGGCACTGACACTTCTTGCAGAATCTAGCGCCCCCGTGTCTGTTGACTGTATAGCTCTGATATTCCGGCAATTCCGTGGTAGGAAGATGACTATACTGGCCACGGTCGCTCCCGCGCTTATCTGGCGAACCGAGGGGTGAGCCGGGATCTGTAAAAACTGCGACCGTGTACGATAGGTTAAGCATTATATATAGGATAATTCCTACTGCTGAGCTTGGTAAACCTGATGGACAGGAAGGCGGATTAGCTCGGATGCAGGAGATTGTCGATATCATAACACACCTAGCCATCTACTCTTTGTGGGCAAAAAGCCGATCCCAGCATCAACCCATACCGCCCATGTAGTTAAACCATAAACGAATGCCAGGGGGAAATATGAAGCTATTGCGACACATGTTCGCTCAACGGTACGAGCTAGCGAGCGGACCCGTCGTTTCGGGGATAGAGTTGGGGAGCCGGAGGTGGCCATTTATCATTTCCTGCGAAGTCTCTCTCCACTGGTGGTTTAATAGTATTGACGAAGAATATGAGCCAAGGCAGGGTTGGCGCTGCAGGCAGGCAAGCATGCCTTTTCTCTCGTTCGGCGGGTTATGAGGTAGTCGCCGACAGATGCACGAGGTCTGGGGCAAATGTTGACACGGGAATAGCTGGGCTGATAAAAAAAAAGACCTGAACAACAAACCTGTACAGCTGTTGTCAATATTGAATCAAGATCAAGTTGTGATAGACATCATGAGCAGTCTGCTTGTCAGCAGCCTGTGGACGTTGGTTGTTTCAACATTCGGGATTCCGGATGAATATGAATAATACGATACCGTATTGCGCCGGTGGTGTGAACAGTGCGCCGTATTGATGTACCGCAAATTTACGTATCCGTCTCAGCCTCACACAAAGTTCAGCCACAATTTCATTAATTACATACATACGGAGTACATACACAACATAACAGTCAGAGACATACATATGATATTGCATACATCGTATTCTCTCCTTGAGTCAACAGCTGAGTCCAAGTCCATCATCATTCCACACGTACTCAGAAAACAAAACCAAAACAGGCTTGAATACTGACGAATTGTGAGGCTTAGCGGCGGATCATCTGGGCTGTTTGGGTCAGGGACGCGACTGACAGCTGCCGCCATTGGGCCATTTACCTGCACCGCCCCTCTTACTCCGTAACATACTCCGTACAACTCATCAACTTCCACTCCACAGCTAACTGCGTCTCCTCGTTTCTTCTGCTTCATCTGTTTGATCAACCCTGTTCGATCATTCATTCATTCATTCATTCATTGATTGCTTATCCATCAGTCAACCGCTCGCCCGCCCTTAGAACATCCGTCCTCATACAGGATTCTACTTGCGGTCTTTCAGGAGAATACCGTTTGAGAGTTAGAGACAATAACCGCTGCTTGTACAAGATCGATTATTTCAATCAGGCGTCCAGATACGCAGTTGGGATTCATCTGACCGTCTTCATTAATCAAAGTACACCAAAATATTTGGTGGATGCGTTAATCACGCACTTTATTCTTCAACATGGCTGCTAACGACTATTATGGCGACTTTCGACCGCAGCCTGCTCACAGCCAACCCCCTTCCTACCATGACGACGAATATAACCACCAAAGTCCAGTAGATACTACACATCAACTACATGCCTTTCAGCCCACCACATCACAAACACCCTACAGTTCAAATCACAACAGCTACGGTCATCAGCCCCAATACAGTCAAAATTCCTTCACCGATGACGCCCCCTTCGTGGGCGGGAGAAACCATCCCACTGACCAGTATGGAGAAGACATACCGTTGAAATCAAATGCTCAACCAGCGCAAGCTCCGGATCCGCACTGGGTGAATGAGAACACAAATTATGATGCAGGGATGCCGATGGATCCGGTAATGGGCGCAAGGAAAAAGCGACGGCGGACTAGAAGGGGAGGGTTTTTTGGTAAAAGGACTCCCTGGGTTACATGGCTATTGACAGCAGTCGACATTGGTGTCTTTGTTGGAGAGTTGATCTACAGTGGTGAGTATGAATACCTACAAGAAGGCAGAGCTTGCATTCTAACCCACAGTTTCTTAGCCCAACTGACTGGCAGTCCCATTGAAATACACCCTAGCTTCAATCCAATGGTTGGACCCTCCCCCTATGTGCAAATCAATATGGGCTCTCGTTTTGTCGCTTGTATGAAGAATATTCCCGGAGTGCAGGATGCGAACGCGACAATTACTTGGCCTTGTCCTAATACAACTTCATCTGACCCCAACACCGCTATGAACCAGTGTACGCTGTCAGAACTGTGTGGGTTCGGCGGCGTGCCCAATCCTAAACCAAATGGTTCTCTAAACGACCAGCCAGAACCCAACCAATGGTTCCGTTTCATTGTACCAATGTTTCTGCATGCTGGTCTTGTTCATATCGGGTTCAATATGCTTATGCAGATGACTGTAGGAGCTGACATGGAAAGGAGAATTGGATGGTGGCGCTACGCTCTGGTCTATTTTTCAAGCGGTATTTTTGGATTTGTTATGGGCGGCAACTACGCAGCGCAAGGTATCTCTTCAACCGGCGCCTCGGGCGCACTCTTCGGACTGGTTGCATTGACTCTTTTGGACCTGCTGTACACCTGGGGGGAGCGAAGAAGCCCCTGGGTTGAACTTATTTTCCTTATTATCGAGATTGCCGTGTCATTCGTGTTAGGACTTCTCCCCGGCCTCGACAATTTCTCTCATATCGGTGGCTTCATCATGGGGTTGGCCATGGGTCTCTGCATGATGCGATCTCCCAACTACATTCGCGAACGAATCGGCCTTCAACGCAGGCCATATGTTGTCATGAGTGGCGGAGCTGGTCCCACCCCTGGTGACGGCGACAATAATAGTAACACCATCAACAGCAATAACATTGATAATAATAAACCTAGCCGTTCAGTAGCTACTGGGCGCTTGGTCGGCTTCTTTCGAGGAAGGAAACCGCTTTGGTGGGCGTGGTGGCTCGTTCGAGCTGGAGCTTTGGTGGCTGTCATTATTGGGTTTATCTTCTTAGTGACGGATTTTTACAAGTATCCCAAATCGACTTGTTCGTGGTGCTACCGATTGAGTTGTCTGGTAAGCTTGTCCAATTTGCAACCCATTCGAGTCATTGCCGAGTCTTATTGCTAACAATCATGTTTCGCAGCCTATCAAGAACTGGTGCAGTATAGGCAACCTAGACCTAACGTCCACATCGAGTCCCTCATGAACTTCAAAGCCAGTTCCATGTTCTTCATACATTTTCAGCAAATAGCCGGTGAGGACCGAGCGCATATTCAAAGGCGGAGTTAGCAGTGGAAAAAAAGAAAGATACCCATGTTTATTGTTTTCATTATCTCGGTCAACCTCTTACCATTGCATCTCTTGTACTGAAAATAATTCACATAATTTGACGGCCGATCTTTTTGTTATTTAGTTGTCGTCTAATGCATCTATTTGGGCGGCTTTGTACTTAGGCATGGGCATAGGGTGATTTTAATCTTAGACAAGGACCCTATTAGCTATTTCTCGAAAATTTATACTAGCTGGATGTAACATAAATATAAGGTAACAATGACTACCGTAAGAATAATTATCCATGATTAGGGAGCTATGCTCGGAGCTCCAATGAAAAAGACAAATGAACGAGGGCTATCCAATGATAACTAGTACATCATTAGTTTAACCCATCCGCCCATCTAAAGCTCTTCAATCGTACACTTCAGTCGTGTTTCTCGTGTTTATTAGTGATTATGAGCTCGCCAAAATAATCAAAAAGGGCATGCTTCCACTGATTCGTGATATTTCGTTTGAATGTGCATTAGTCGTCTTCCCCCGTTGCAAGTCGTTCGGGCCGGTCGAATTGTGTTGTCTGGGGGTACCGGCGCAACGTGAGAAAGTTGAGGAAGAAAAGAAGAAAACGCCAAAAGCTCCGTGACTGCGCCAATTGAAAGGGAAAAGAACGGTTTATAGTGGCTGCTAACGTCCAAAAATCAAGAAAATCCAGGCCGTCTAATGCCCGTGGCGCCATTTTGCTGCGTTGCAATGCGTCTAGCGCGAAAAAGAAAACGTTCCGATGTGGTATTATTGTCGTGTTGCGGCGCAAAAAAAAAAGACAGCTGTTATACAGTGGTAGGAACCTCGTTTAAGACGCCATAGAACTTGTCGGCATAGTGGCTGATGTTGCCGGGCTGATATAAACGTGCTCAAAGATGCCGAAGAGCGCAGCCACGTCCTCGCTATGGCCAGTCAGGAGCCAGACCAGACGTCCTATCTTCCGGAAGAGCAGTTGCGGAAAGTATAGAAGGGAGGCCCATATCAACAGGGAGAGGAACACCAGAACAAAGGTGTTTGCGACAAACTTTTCTCCGGGAGTCATGACATAGACACCAAAGGTCACCTCGTAACGATAGTATTGTAGGCGGATATGGTCGATGCAGCGTTGGACCAGGTTGCGAGTTCTGCCGTGCGACACTATATAGTTTGTGCCGTGTGCCATGGACGAGGAATATTTACTCATAAGCTCGTCGACAATGGGCTGCGACACGTGAGCGGTCGTGGAAGGGGTGTAAAAGGAGCGCACTTCGGTCGCCATTTTGTCAAATGTTTCAACAAGAATAGGTTTGCAGCTCCGTGCAGAAACAATGAAGCACTGACAACGGAGCTCAAGCTTGGCAGTATAACGGACCGATCGAGGGCTATATATATAGTGTCACCAAGCGCGACTCGAGGGATGTCTCAGTTACAGGTAGACCAAGCACGGTGAAGTAATCCGCGAATTGAGAGCGTGTCTATGATAGGCGAAATTGAAGGCGGCTCAACATGGAAAAGTGGATTAGTAAAGATGATCCGTGATGAATAAGCGCTGAAGAAGAATATTGGTCAGGGCCTGGAACGAATCCAAGTACTAGAGTCTTGGGGCGAGAGAGAGCTGAGGAAAGATAAGAAACCCAGAAGAAAGAATACGTAGAATATAAATGAGCGAAGCCAACAGTCTCGAATCCTGCATTTTTCCAAGTGAAGCAAATCGCGGATGGGGCGTCCGGAAGCTTCGGATAGCACGTGACAGCCAATCAAGGCGGCGCGGGAAAAGTTGCCTGAGCCAATGACGCAATATGTTTAACTTGTGCTGAAGGGAATAACCAACTAGTTGTAGTTGAATATAAGCAGGCAAATAAGAACAGCAATGGTTTGAATAATGGTCCGTACGGTCCAGTGGTGAAGACCCCAGTTATGGGGTTAGGGTTATAAATATGGCTCACTTGCAATGAGGTCCCGTGTTCGATTCGCGGTTCGGGCATGGTTTTTTTTTTAAATCTCTTTTTTCTCTTTGCGCATACACTTACTGCTTATTCTGTATATCAAGTGACAGTCACCAACAAGTCCCTAGATAATCATAACTACTATACGTATGTATCTGCAGAGATTGGACCTTGTGGCACGCTGCCCCGCTATACAGCCCACCCCGCGATTAGGAGCTGGACACTATCGTCAATACACACCACACGAATTAGTTGGAATTGTTCTCATACTTGACATGTTAATATGACTCCCGAAAGTGACGATCCACTCATCAAAGCCTTACCTCCGGCGACTGACTATTTAACCTACCTGACCCTACTCGAGTACCAGCTCACTCCCGCACGCCTACCGACCCTCCATCGATTGTTGCAAGATGAGGTCCTGACAACAAACATCGGCTGGGACCTCGTACAGATCCTTCTGCCCATGCTCCCGGAGTCGCAAGACTGTCTTCAAGATGTTGCCCGACTGGGAAATCCACGTGAAGTCATACTGAGAGTTTCGGATAGCCTGATGAAGCTGGAGCCTGGCGAGGACAACACTCCAAAACTCATCATGCAGTTTAATTGTTTGGTCGCCATGCTGTCCGTCCTCCACCGCCGCATCAAGACTAAATACCCCAGCCGTTTTATCGCAACCTCGCTGCAAGCGGCGCTGGAGGCTTACAGCTCAATGCCGACAAACGAGACGACCAATGCAATTCTAGAATTTCTCCGAGATCTATCTCCCTCGAAGCGACCTACATTGCCGCCTCGTGGGACAAGCAGTTCCTATGTAGTACGGGTATCGCAAGCATCCGCACCTGACCCCGAAGCCGCCTATGACGAACCAACAGCATCTGATGATACCGCGGTGCAACAAAAACTGGTTCAATTTGGTTTGATTGAGGTTCTCAAGACGTATATGCTTAGTCTGTCCACTCCGGACAACTCTGGATTGTGGCTTGCTTTAAGATTACTAGAAAAATTCGACCAGCGGGAAACACCATCGACATCGAGGATCCGGATGTATACAGAGGATGAACAACTCAAGGAACGCGATTTGATAGTGGGAAGGATCTGTGTACGTTCATGTTTCTTTTCTTGAGGATGACCATGACTGATCATGACAGGTTTTATCACGCGACATCTGCATCAATGATGAAGATATCTTGGGTCTCGTTTCCGCCCCGGTCGAATCTCATCCACTACCTCTTGATTTTGAAGAGGTACCAAAAGCGGCAGAGGAAATACCACTAGAAAGACACGGCGCTTTGCTCTTGCTGGCCGCGCGGTCTTCAGCAGCCACTCTGTTCGAGGGTGCTGAAACGGCACATATACCAATATATCCAGATCTAGAAGTAATTATGTCCAACTTTGTTGGTGTTGCAGACGATGCTGCCGATGAACAGACCCAGACTCTTTACGATGCATTGTTAGCACTCACTATAATGTCGTCTCAGAAACTTGCTGAGAACCCAGCAAATGATAGACAATTTACAGAGCTGGTGCTGGCATTGACCAAATGCAGTTATCGCCAAGCCTACAATGGTCTTCGGAATATTCCAGCTACCATCGTCCACAGCAATCCATCAGAGCATGCTCGGTTTAGACTGATAAAAGATATTATACAAAAAGAGGAGCTTCTTTATGCTCGAGAAAGCGCAATAAGCTGGCTCAAAGACGAGATACTAACGGCAGCAAAGACACAGAGTGATAATGGCAATATATTCATCAACCCGCAACATTTCTCGGAAATCTCATCAGCCCTTTACAACACTTCCGAGATTGAATCTCTTGATATGTCAGCAGGGATAGTCGTATCATGGATTCGCTTTTCACAATCTCTCGCGCCGTACCTTCATTCTGCGCTGAATTTATACTACCTCATTATCAGCTCCTCTCAGCTGCGTGAGCAACTCAAGATAGAAAATGGGCATACCTCATTTCGCAAGAACTTTCTCAAGCCACTGAAGTCAATTTGTCACGCGTTCGAAGGAGACTTGATGCAGAATGGGGGCGACGGTCGTATTGAAACCGTTGTGGGCGAGGATATGTGTCAAGTTGGCATGGCACAGTCTGTTGGGCTGCTATATAACATCATTGAACAGGTGGATGAGCTCCTGAGCGATTTATACGCAGACTGACGCCCTCGTTGAATAGACTTTGGACTATATCTATGCTCGTTGCCGCTTACTGAAGCTGTTTGTAATATACTTAGGAGGGTAACTATTTACGCATGTCCCGGAAAAAAAAAAACCAGAAACGATCATACTATGTGCAGTTCTTGCTTCAAGCGAACGTCGGATATGTACATTGGTGGAAACGTTTCTTCAATGCACATATTTTGAATAGATCAAGAATGCCAGTGTAGAATTGAATGAAACCGTATCACAATATTGGAGAAAAGGGCAAGTACATCACAAGAAGATAACGAAAAAGGGCGGGTAAAGAGCCAACGATATGATGAATCCACCACTGAACATGCAGTTCCATCAACCTTGGGTGTCTTTTGGCTGGTGATCAAGTTAGTGAGACCCAGATTGATCATATGCAAGGCAAAACCGCTCTCATACATGATCAGAAGGTGGTTCGTATTGAATTATACGACGATGATGTCGCATTGTTTGAGAGGTAACATAAAACAGCGAAGCGAAAGCGAGAAGGGATGCTATCACGTCAGGTGTCGTGGTCTTCCGTTCTTCATGGCACTGCAGGTATGATTCGGACTTGTCTAATGAAGTTATTAGTTTCATCTCTCCCAAGTACTTCAGTGTTTCTGGTGCTGGATGCATACCATGATACCTGAGGAAGCCGTTGTCCTCACGAGGAGAATTTAGAGAATGACGCAGGTATTATAGGGGACACTAGAAGTCCTGACTGTATTTTGGTTCCATGGATGTTAGTATCTTTCTTGCAGCCCAGCAATATAGCTTGACAGATACGACATACCGGTCTCGATGGGGTTGACTTGAGGAGACATTTTGCTAAGAATGGGAGTTGACAACTCGTGACTTTATTCCAGGTCAGCGTGGTTTCCCGAATCTATACATGCAACAACAAACATACCTGACTTTGATGATTTTGTTGATATGGAGATTGATCTGATTGATTGCCGATGAAAGAGAAGAAATTCTGATCACAAAGCCGGGTAGATCTGGATCTATTTATGCCTTTGAGGAATGCCTGCTTGATCAACAAGATTTTCGATTACAAGAGAGAGAGTTAAGGAAATAAGATGACATGGATCTCTTGGATTCTTTGTCTGAACGCCACCTATCTGGTAGAGAAAGAGTGGGATGGAGGAGAAATGGGATAAACATCTGCTAGCTTGGGGAATCGCCAATAGCGACTGATATATTGGATGATAGACAATGCGATAGAACGGCCCCAGCCATCGCCCATTGTCTCGAAGCAAATAAAGAAATATAATTTCATGGTCGAGACTAGTCGATGTTGTCAGAATAGACTATCGCTCGTGATGCAATCTGGACGACTGTTCTGCTTAATATTGTTCTTCCTGCCACAGCCAATCCGCATCCGCGACTTAGGGCCTGGAGCCACCAGAACAATAGTAAGAAAAACTTCGTCTAATGCTACATCTTTTTTTTTGTTACGTTTCTTTCTTCCGATATTGATTCTTTATGATCCGCTGCATTTCTACGTATTTACTGGATGTCAGGCTCCTGTTCTTGAACTCTGGAACCTGCATTAATCATCGCGTGGCTTCATCTCCAAGGTCTCATAAGGAATTCATTCTGGTACGATCGTCTACATGCTCAATCTGGGTCACCCATTCAACTATGTGTAAATATCCTCAGTCAACGCATTCAAGGTCAAGCCCTCCTTCGCAATATCCTCCTCGATCAGGAACATCAACGGCATCTCAATCAATGTGCCCTTGATCTGACTCAACTGCTCTTTGACCTGCTGCGCCCCTTCAGGGCCAGGTGCAAAGTTGTCTCGAACAACATGGCCCCATTCGTATTTGCTGGGCCGCGTAATTCGCTTACCCTCTGCCTGGATGTCTGCTTTGCGGAAATTATACTCAAAGAATTCCTTGTAGGCATCCCAGTTCCGGACATAGTCATCTGGCACAACATTAAATACTTTGCGGAAAACCTCCGTATTCGTCCGAGCCCGTGAGTTCCATAGGCTCTGGAACGTATCCGACAGAGGATCGGCGACCACTTGACTTTCTGGGCTGCTTAGATCGAGGTCATTGGGGACCCCGACTGGCTCGCAGTTGGCATTAGGCTGCGTATAGTCTTGCGCTCTGAGCAAGCCAAGGTGCTTGCGAGTCAACTCGCGTCGAAGTGATGCGGCAAATCGACTAGCCTGCCAGGGCTTGCCATCCATGCTAGATTCGAGTGGCGTAGGATCCTCAATCACAAGGGCAATCTCAGAATCATGGGTGCCGAGCTGCGAGCGGTCGTTCAGGTTTGCAGACCCACAAATAACTATACGGTCATCGGCAATTAGAACCTTTGTTACAGATCAGTTAGCATTTCTCTTCTCGAGCACAACACACCACCTTTCGATAGTCCCAACGGGGAGCAAGGCCAACAAAAGAACTATCTATACATACCTTGCTATGCACGTACAACTCCTCTGTAATGAATGCGTCAATTTCAGGAAGATCACTATCCCACGGAACGCTGCGGATATCTTGACCACCTAGCATGTAGCATTCACTGACTGAGTCCCAACGGCCAGACGTCGCCGATGGGTGAGCCTTTGCTGCCTGCTGATACTGATCGTACGATTGAGTGGTGTCGTATCCTTTGGAATAGCTACTGTATCCCACTTCCGCAGCATCATGATATCTACGGGCATCCTCGTAATTTACACCACTGGCTTTCTCCGCCTGGAGCATGGTGCTATTGGTATTTATTCGATCGTAGTTTCGAAGATTGTAGAACCTGATGTAATCCATCGGGTTAAACCCTTCCTTGGCGATCAGCTCCATAATACTGTTTCCTCCGCGGTTGATTGAATTGTACTGGAACTCCATGATAGCCCGAGTGCCAAGGGACGAGTCGTCTCGCAAATCACCCGCAAATCCGGGAACAGATGGAATGACCACAATAACCTTGAACTTCTGACCAGCGCGGGCAGCTCGAAGAATACGTTCTACAAGAGCCGCTCCGATCTTATTCTGGACAGGCTTCTGATGGTCACCTGTGGCAGTTATGAAGAACTGATTCTCGATGTACACAAAATGGCGGCTGTTGCGGATAGCACCAATATACGCGTCTTGAATCGAATGCTCCGTCGATATACCTGCGCTCCACTGCGACGCACTTCGCACGACCTGGCACAATTGATTGCCGTAGTTGCGTCCGAAATTGGTGATATAGCGGTCCTGATATTGATGGACTTGTCCAGCCAACTGCCCACGAAGGGAATGACCTAAACCTCGAACGTCGCTTAGAACATTCTCGGTGGTAGATCGGCCTGATGCGTTGTAGCCGGACTGGTTACCACCAACCCCTCGAGTGCTGTTTTCTTCATAAACACCCCGTGTCTGTGACTGTGACTCCTGTCCAGGAGGTGGAGGAAAGTAGGGCGCCTGCGCTGGTGTTGATGGATGAGAACTATATTGCGCAGAATCGTAGCCTAAATGGGAAGGAGCATAAGGAGGGTTCTGATACTGGCCAGGATTATTGTTATCACTTTGCGATGGCGCTGGCCCTGGAGGTGGTGGGGGGAAGGATTGCCCCGCCGGTGGATTGCTTCCAGTGCTCGAGTATCCGCTATAGGATGGATGTTGGTGTTGCTGATGTTCCTGACTTGGAGGCGGAGGCGGGTAGTAGGATTGACTGCCAGTCTGCGACTGACCTTGCCATTGTGGCTGCTGCTGCTGAGTGCTCGGCGGCGGAGGTGGTAGCTGTTGGCCTTGACTGGGAGAAGCAGGAGGGTAATACTGTTGTCCAGGAGGCGGAGTGTTGTATTGCTGCCCGGGATACTGCTGCGCTTGGCTTCCAGGGGGTGGTGGATAGTATGATTGCCCTGGCTGCGGTGTAGGGGGTTGAGCATGCGTCTGCTGCCAGTGAGGCTCAGAATTCAGCTGGCCTTGGTTTGGTGGTCCTGGCTGAGACTGCGCATGTTGAAGTGGCTGCGGTGTTTGCGAAGTGGGATTTGTGTTGCCCTGTAGTTGATTGCTTCCTGGTCGTCGATACAAATCAAGTCTCTGATACTTGGGCTGGTTACGGTCGCGGTACTTTGTATCATAGATATAGTTCCAGCGGTCCACAAAATGTCTTCGGAGATCTTCCACGACAGGGCCCCGCAGACTAATGGAAATATCAGACCAGCCCATACGTCCCGTTTGCTTCCTGTCAACTTGATTTTCTTGCCAGTGAGATACATTCTGGAAGTCGAGTACTCTGGCGTTGTTGTAGTCTTGACCAGGAAAGACGATTTGCGATAAATCGCTGGGATGAACGTCGGCAATGGAATGCTGGTTTGTGTCCCATCGGCCGAAGCACAGATCAAGGCCGCCCATGAACGCAATTCTACCGTCAATCAGACATAGCTTCTCGTGGTGTGCCCAGTACAGAACAGTATCACCCTTGGTACCGTAGAGTGCCTTGAGTGATTCGCCCGGTAGCTTGTTGATTCCAGCGGCATCCAAAGTTAAGTTTTGGAACGAGGCTGTCAGGGAGTTCTTGATGTCGGCGACGTCTGGGATGTGGTCTGGATGGCGGAAGACGGCGATATTTGGATGGAGGGCTTCTAGTGTATGTTTGGTATGTGCAGAACTTACTGCGGCCAACGGTTAGATCAATTTCAGTGATAATGGTAGTCGTGAGGTTTACAAGTAAGAGCTCCCTCCACCTCCTTATAGACAATAATATTGACTCGGACGCCGCGCTGGGCAGCAGCTTGCAGCATACGGTCAAGGCGATACTGTTCGTTCTTGGCTGGAGGACGTCTTAGATACAATTCCGGGGAGAGCCACCCTGCAATAAAAGATTATTAGTACCGGTGCGATGCAGAGGCCTCGAAATACATACAGTCCAGAATCCAGATAGACTCTCTGGCAGTCTCGAGAGCTCTCGAGACTGCCCAGAAATAAGTAAAGCCGTCGACATGCCATTTGACGTCGTTGTTCTCTCGTGGGGGGGCAAAGCTGCCGAAACGATTATTGGGGTTGGCAGTACTGCTCGATCCGTAGCCAGCATAGGCATCAGCATCGATGGTGGTTCCGATCTTTTGGGCGAGCTGTGAGCCCACACCGGATACGGTCTCTTCGAATTTGTCGAGGAAGCTGGAGAGCTTGTCCTGCTTGGGAGGTTTGTTGTTGTTGTTGTTGTCGTTGTTGTTGCTTCCACTCTGGTTCGACTGCGGGGCATAATAATTCTGTTGTTGCTGGGAGTGGCTTGTTCCGTATTGATCTTTGAGTCGCTTCAGTCCATCAGACAGAAATCCTCGAGCTGAGTCTCCCAGTCCTCGTTCTCCCCGTTCTCCTCCTTCTGCTTCGTCTCCATAAAAGCGACCGTAGGCCAGTGGGTCTTGTCCGCCAGACATCGCTGTGAGCTCAAGGCCGATCACGGCAGTGCAATTCAGTAGGTTTCTTGGAGTCTCAGGAAAAATATCACGAAAATATTTACATAAAATGAAGACAGCACCAGCAAGAGCAGCATATTATTAACGCGAGACTCCGACTGAGCAATTCCCCGCCATCCGGTCTGCCGCGTGTCTCAGACCCCGCCGACAGCTGGTGATTGTGGCAGTGAACATGCTGGATAGGACGATGGTGGTGTGGCGCAGTCTGTTCTCGTTCTTGGCTGTTACAGTATGTTGCGAACGATACGTTCGCGTCTCTTCCGGGAGTCGACAGCATTCTGGATGTCATATGGACATATTGTCGATAGTAGTGATAACGTCGGAGTGAAGACTTCGTGCGGGGTGAATACTCCGCATTGGCAGCAAAAAAAAAATGGATAGGCCGAGATAGGAACAACTACTTTTGATTTGCTCTTGGTGGTCCATATTCTCGAGGAGAATTGGAGAAGATGAGGAGTGTCGTGATTATATAAACAGGGCATGACGTCCTGCCGCAACTTACTCTCCATCCTCCTCAAATTCATCCTGCATACAGAGTGACTGACAGCAATCATGTCGCACCTTAATCTCGCAACACTCGATGTGAGTACGGATAGCTCATTCTGGTGTAAACATACTGATAAACAGACCTCGCAACATCCCTACCTTCCAGCGTCATCCCAGACCTTATTCGCCGCCAAGGCCAAGAGGAAATTCACCTTCGAAGATATCTCCAAGCAAATCGGCCGCAATGAAGTAGCTACCGCAGCTATATTCTATGGACAAGCCAAAGCGTCTGCAGAAGACATCGCCAATCTCGCCAAGGTCCTCGATATTCCACTCAAATTGCTCGAAGAGCAGCTCAGCGGCTTCCCCGATCGCGGTCGGTCCGTGGAGATGCCGCCCAAGGAACCACTGATCTACCGGTTGTATGAAATTGTGCAGAATTACGGATACGCGTACAAGGCCGTGTTGAATGAGAAGTTTGGCGATGGCATTATGAGTGCGATATCATTTTCGACCAAAGTGGAAAAGGAAACGGATGCCGATGGGAATAATTGGGCTGTGATTACGTTAAGGGGAAAGTGGTTACCTTTTTCGAGATTCTAATGTCAGCCTAACAGAGAGATGATATGTGTAATGAGACGTTTATTCATTGATCGAAGCTAACAGGTTGGTATCGTAGACGGTAGGACAGATAAACAAAGACACGTGTGCAAGCTAAGCAAAACACCATATCAAGACTAGATTGTAATTGGACTAAAACGAGTCTAGCAGCAGTCCTCGAGACACTCAAAGGCGCAGAGACCAGCGAAGCTTGATAGATGGTCAGCAAAGAGTGTTGCACGTATAAATTGACGGAACTCACCATCCGCAGCAGACATCACAGCAACCGGCACCACCACGGAGTTTCATTTGTTGCTCTTCTTGAGATGACTGCTCAATGGTTAGTAAATAATAATATAATACTATTATATATAAACATATACGTGTGTATATATGTGTATATAGGGGGTAGAAACGTACAGGTGCAGCTTGTTGGCTGCCAGCATAGTTGGCGGGTTGCTCCATGGCCATGGTGGAAGGGTTCCAGGTGGGTTGCTGGGTGCGAGGTTCTTCCTCTTGCTGGGAAGACTTGAAGAGACCGAAAAAGCCGTTTTGGAACATTGTGTGTCTTTGGATGCGTAAAGGTTTCAAGGAGTGAAAGCACTGAAGTGAGGAGAGAAAGTGTGGTGTGATGATAAGAAGGAAAAAGGGAGATACAGGGGGAATCAAGCCTCTTAAAGGGTGAAGTGTCGGGTCATACGGCTGATGGTGGCTGGCGGTGACCCAAGTAGGCTATGCGTATCAGCCACAGGACTCCATTTTCAATCTAATCCTGGGAGATTGATTCGATGCGGGATTTGTTGGAGCCTATTAGGGCTGTGTTATGCAAATCGCAGAGTTAGTACGGAGTATGAACCACGTACTCCGTACTATTCAGGAAGAATACGTCACAGCCTGAAAAGTGAGGCAGCTAAATATAGAGCAGGTTACGTTGCGCGAGTTCCGAGGTTCCGAGGTGCCGAAAAGGGAAGAAGCCAAGCGCGCCCAGAGTGGACCCAAAGAGCTTCGTTCGAGAACATCTTCGGACATCTCTCTACTTAGACCATACAAGCATGGCTTCTACCTCAGACCTACAGACCGCCCGCCAGAACGACTACGTCAAGTTCAAGCGCTATGCCGCCTGGACCTTTATCGTCGCCTCCCCCATCCTCATCGCCTCTCCTCCCCGCAAACTCGACTTGAACACCGCCGCTCTCACCGGTGCATTTGCCATATCGGCCAATTACCTCTACAAAGACAGTCATCAGGGACGGGGCTTGATAGATGATCTCGGCATGAGATATTTCGGCGCGTCCCCAGTCGCCGCCCAGTCATCGACAACTCGCGACGGAATCACAAACCTATTCAATACTCTGCCCACTGAAAAAGCCGAAAAAGTCCAAGCTCAATTGCGCGCCGCCAAGGAATCGTCCATCAAAACACAAGAAGAGTTAGAACGATATCAATCCAACAAGCGATTCGAGGATCGCTCCTTACCGGAGAAGATCTGGATGGGATCCGAGGCGGAGAACTGGAAAGAGAAACGATTGAGAGAGGAGCAGGAGGCGTTGAATGAAGGGAAGGGATATGGAGACCTAATTATGGATCATATTTGGGAGGTGTGGAACTGGGGGAAACCGAACGATCAGAAGAAGAGGGACGAACTGAATGAGAAGAAGGATTCGTGATGAGCTCTTCATGTACGATAGGCTATGTAAGTAATTTGTATAACAAGAACTAATGAGCATACGACACAATTGACTGTCTTATTTGATGATTCTTGAACATGAGTTAATTTTTGTTCATGTAAATGTCTTTAACTAGTCCAGCTTCGGGGGCTGGTACAACAAACAAACTCTGTGAACAGGTGCCATATTGGCGGGTATCATCTCAAAACATCATTCCCAATCGCGAGCATTCCAGGTAACAAAAAACATCCTGGTCCGTTCTAGACAAAGACCAAGTACAAAATCCATCAGTCATGACACATTACAAACAATCTCACCAATACATAAAACGCCGGGCCTCAGGTCCACGGCAACCTCCCGAAAATTGATACCATCTAATGATATGAATCCAATATCATACATGTAGACACGATCATTCAAATTCCCCGTTATGCAGGCCTCGGCCCTGCCAACCATTCAGTATATATTCCTAGGGCAATGACCATAATCCAACCCGAATACCTGGCACCACTGAAAGCGTCCCTTCAGGGTGATATAGATATATTTTGTTTTAATGAGCTATCGACGTGGAAGTGTAGCGGATAGCATGATCACGAGCATGCTCTCATCCTTTCTGATTTGACAGAGGATGGCACGATCACGAGCGTGCTCTCATCCTTTGCTGAAATGGAATCACGAGCCCATACTCAGCTAAAAGGTTAAAGTTCTCCAGTCTCTTGGCTGAGTGCGATAGAGAGCACATGCTCGTTGGGCATGGAATGGCACATATCAAGAGGTGGAGCTTCACCCATAACGACGTCTCCACAGTTATCGACTGGAGTCAGATCACCGTTTATGTGGACGTACTTGATTGGTGAACTCCAACTGTAGTCGAGTGTCGAAGCAACTTGCAGGGCGGTTTGTTGATGTTGGGAGGTCCAATTTGGCTCTGCATGGCCCTGGAAGATTTGATTATTGACTGGGGTCTGCATCTGTGGATGGGCATGGACATTGATAGGAGACGTGTCCAGCCTGACGATTTGCCCATTTTGACCATTACGATTGCGGTTTCTGCGGCGGCCTCGGCCACCCTGGCTTGAATTTGAGTTTCGCCGAGTTAGAAGATTAAAAGGGGCTGGCGATGGAGCTGCAGTTTCCATGCCGCCCTTGATGATGTTTCCGTCAATGTCTTGACGTGGTTGTCTGTGGTTTTGATGATAACGACGTCCACGATTGGAGTTGTTGTTGCGGCGTTGGCAATTGAATTGAGCTTGAAAGCGCGCCATTTGATCAAGTGTTGGCAAGATTGGATTTTGATTTGGTTTAGTTTGAAGCGATTAAAAGATCCTTAGCGAATTGAACTTTGATATGTTTGATTTGAATTGGAATCAATCGGACGAGGACGAAAACTTTTTGGAAAAGAGTTTAACTTGAAGAGATCTGAGTCCGTGGGCCCTCCGGATAACAGATGCTTGCAAATGTGGATTGATTGATTGATTGGGTTGCAAGTGTCCTGCCGATGAAGCAATTGGTTCTGATCGTTTGGATGGATTGATTGAGGATCAGGGATTCAACTCGAGAGTCTGACGCGCGACCCGGTAGTTGAACGATTTAATAATCTGACTGAGAGTCTGACGGGCGTCTCAAAGAAAGATTTGAATGAATTTATCAAGCTAGGGCTCTTGCGTTCGGAGTCACGAGTTTGAGCTTTTGGAGATGCAAGCTAGAAACAAAATTTTTGGGTCTGAGGCTCAGTATTGCTGTAGCAGTTGTTGCTTTTGGATAGGTATATTTGTCGGGAGCACCTTAGCACGATGAATTGGCGTCAAGATCCCAGATATCAAGAAAAACAATTAACCATTTATTCCTCTCAGCTTTTTTTTGGGCGTTTTTGAGGTTTTTGAACAGAACACGCAATGAACCCGGTTTATCTTGAGCTTTTACCAACCACGGGGTCTGTACCGATCTGTTTCAACCGTTCCGTAGAGTCAATTCAAGTGCAACACAGTACAAACTGCCTGAAGAAAGAAGAAGAGAGGAGAGGAGAGGCCGGGAGAAAAGGCTGCATTTGTAGACAGCATCGTGGATGGTCCCATGGTTCGCCTCAGCTGTTGCCTGTTTCAAGGAATATATTGAAGTTATCACGCGACCATATTGTAGAGTCGTACTCTTCAATTGAGTTTGCCAGATCCGTGGGAGGCATGATCGACAGGGCCGTAGTCAGCTAAAGAATTGGGGATGTTGGAGATATCCGGAGTTCGCTGTCTGGAACGCCGTCTGGAACGCCGTCAATTGAGTTTAATTCCCCAGGCATCCACGCCCACCAAGAAATTACACTCAATGCACTCCAGATGATTCTATTCTTGATCAGTTGATATTTCTGTCTGTCGCTGCCTGCTTAACCGGAGAAAAGAATTGGTCGGCGCATGGGAAATTCACAGTCAGCCGGACAACATCACTCCCTCGAGCGCTTCCATCTATCCCCATTGTTCGACTCGATGCTGTCGCGCTTTCTTTTTTTCTCTGGTTCGGCGCTCAGTTTCTTCCGGCGTTCCTGCTTGAGTCTCAATCGCTGCTCAACCTCCTCCGAAATGTCGTCCTTTTCAAGTGCAACTGGCACAAAATCTTCCACCGCGTCACTGTCCCCCGGCATTTTCCGCTTAGTTCTTGGCCTTTTCCGCGAAGACTGATTATCCGTATAGTCAATGCTTGATTCTTGCCCTTCCGACAAGTCATTGTCCCACGATCGCTTTTTGCCGGCTCCTCCTTGTGCAGATACTCCCGTGCTGTCTGCGCTTTTCGCCTTTTCCATTCCAGAAATGCCGTTCGTTTTCTTGGGTATGCGCGGTGTTTTGGTTTTCGGTTTCGGATTTTCGGTGCTTGTGCCAATTCCACTAGATGCCTATTCAGAATAAATCTCTATCAGTACGTAGTCTATTCAAAGCTCAAGTAATAACAACTCACAAGCTGCTTCTGTAATGCCGTAAATTGGTCAACTAGCTTTTGCGCGCTGTCCAAAATCTGTGAAACTGTGTCTGCCCCTACATCGGGTTGGAGCGATTTAATGAGGCGCAGGTGTGACGATAAACTAGAATGATGCACATCGATATTCTGTATACAGCATTAACAATTTGATTCCAAATCTGATAGCTCGAAACAGCCGTACCTTTAATACTGTACCCGCATCGCTCGCATCTTCGCTCGATGCCGACCGTGTGCCGTCCATCATCGGGATCATCGTCTTCCGGAAGCGATGTAGGTATCACAGTACGTAATTTGGTATAGATATTAAAAAGAGATGAAGTTGATTTAGACTCAAGAAACACGCTAAGCAAATTAGTCATTGTGGCATGACGCTTTGACTTTTCGCCTTATCCCCGCAATTTTGTCTTATCTCCAGAACTATCTACTCCTTGACTATTCAATGATCATACAACGTTATGCAATTCTACACTGATGCTAGCCAACTAACCCAACGCCAAGAACATCTATAATTATGACTATTTACCATGCACCAGGATCGTGGTCAAACCTCATCAGTTCCTTCTCTGCGTCCTCAACATCCTTCTTAGCCTTCATGCGCATGTAGAAAATCGGACAGTCTCGAGCGGAGCAGATAACTTCGCAATGCAAACTACCCTGGCAGCGTTGACACTGTGTCCATAACCGACCAAAACGGACCTCGAGATCGGACGTCTTCTGTAGTGTCCTTGCGTACAGCTCACCCAGTCGTGGTCGGCAATTTTCGCATACAGCTCCAGCCATTTCGTCCTTTCCGACTAGAGGCTTTTTGCAGCCCATACAAGTTTGTGTCTTCTTTGCAAACTTCATTAAACCGCCTAGGGTAGGTGCAGCCACAGAAATGGATCGAGTGTGTTCGCCGGTAAGCAATTGTGCCGCCTTCTTCTCACCCAAGATAGGTTCAAAGATACGGCCGAGCGGATTGGCGAGTTGGTTGTCGAGGTAATACTTCGTATCAATGGGAATGTTATTTTCTAGAACATATATGGGATCCTCAGATTTTTCGTAGTTTTTCGATCCTCCAGCACCTTTAACGATGACATAGGCTACACGATCACCCAACGTTGGAGCAGACCCAGCATCTCGCTTGCGCATACGTTCGGCAAGTTCAACATGAGCCTGTTTGGCAGTATAGTCGGATTTCGATAACGCTTTGGTAATCACCAACTTGGACATGTCAATTTTGTTCTGCAGCAGATCGGAAATCGTATTCTTGACGTATCTGTAGACGCATGTTAGGCGTTTCCATTAAAATTAGCAAAGAATATAATAAAACTCACTCTTGCGCACCGTTGACATCTCGATCAATCAAAATCTTATTCAAAACCGTCTCAATGACTGTTTGCACCAGTCGGCAGTTATCTCGTCGAACAGTCTCAATACCCTTGGTATCCATTTTATCGTACTTCTTCGTGTTGGTCCAGTAAAGTCCGGCATATCGCTTTTTGTTGATGAGCAGATACGGAAAGTAGACTTTCTCAAATTCCAGCTTGATGGGTTTAATAAATTTTGACGAGACATATTCTGCTGCCTCCTCGCCTAATTTCATGGCTTCTTCAAGGGTTCGGACACCAAATTTTACCATCACAGAGTCAGTGTCTCCGTAGATAACCTGAGCGTCATGAGAATAACCATTCGCAATGGTGTACTTCGCTTCGACTTCAGCTTTGGTTTTCTCGATCATTTGTCGACCATAACTCGTGGTGCTACTAGCGATCTCCAAACAGGGGAGCTTGCCGACTGTCGCTCCCGTCAAACCGTACACACTGTTGGCACTCACTTTCAATGCAAGCTGACGACCGTTCAATACAGCCTTCTTGAAAGGATCCTTCTCCACAGCCAATTCTCTCTTGGCCCTTTTACGTGCACTGAGCAGCTCTTCCAGAATCTGGGACAACAACCCTTTTCGCACCTTGGTAGTACAAAACATGTCGCCGTTGGGGGTGACGATATAGTCCTCGTCCTTCTTGAGGTTGAAATGCTCAACTTTCTTTTGATTCAAAAGCGTAGTATAACAGAGGTTGTGGGCTTGGATGATAGACGGGTATAGAGATGCGAAATCAAGAGTGGCGACAGGCACATCGTAGTACCCTCGGACAGGCTCAATAACCGTAGCTCCCTCATACTCTCCTTCATCTTGTTTACTCAAATTCGGAATGACCAGCTGTTCCGTTCGAGCTTTGCGGAAAATCTGGCTGATGAACTTAACCTGCTGACCACGTGACAATAGATAATTGAAAGGAACGCCTGTGACACGAGCCATCTCAGCGTAATTAATGAGACACATCAGTTTATCCATCAATCTTTGTGGAAGATAGGCATCTTTCAAGCAATAGACGGCCAGACGCCTTCTGGAGTCTGGGGTGCCGTTGAATAGTTCCGTGATGATGGTGTGGTGGACATCTTCTTTCTGTTCGCCCAGGAATTCGGCGCAAACAGAGTTCAAGGTGTAGCTTCGAAGATGATGATCCCGTTGAACTAACTGAAGAAGATCAAGTTGAATCCTGCCATTCGTATTTGTTGATTTTGTGTCGCGGTTTCCCATCTGTTTGCTACTGAAATTCGTTTCTTTCGCCTCCGACTTGTTTTTAATTAATCTGGTAAAGTACGGAAAAGATTGGCACTTTAGATGCTTTGCTCGATCAAGAAGGTATGGAAAGTCGAAGTTGGCGATATTGTATCCAATGATAACGTCCGGATCAACTTTTTGAAGGAATTGTTGCCAAGCCATGAGCATCTTTGCTTCGTCTTTGAACTCAAAAATCTGAGTATTCACTATCAGACTGCAAGTATCCAAAACAAACACGTTCCGGACAAACGGTTTTGATTCTCCATAGCGAGTGACAACGTTGGCAATTTGAATGACGGGGTCTTGATTCGGTTCCGGGAAGATTCCTTTTCGCCCAGCGCATTCAATATCAAAGGACAGAATCCGCAACGGTGCCATTTTTGCCCATTCTCCGTCATGTGAATGTGCAATGAGGCTGCTGTAGTGCATAAAAGCCTCAATCTGGCAATTTGATTGTCGCTTCGCCTCCGGTACAAGTTGGTAGTCTCCTGCTTTGGCTTCTACCCAGGACATACCAGAAATCTTTGGTTTCAATACGTTAGAAAACTCTGTAATTGTTCTAGGTCATTAAGAGGAGAACTTACCCCTGTGTCAATCATGAATCTCAACACGTATTGAATATTATCATATGTCATTATACCACCGTCGTCACCGGCAGAAGACCAAAGCCCCTTATAGTTGTAAATTGAAATACTCTTCTCGAGACCGTTTCGTAGTCTGCTGATATGTTTGGGCTCGGTCACTGTAATTCTAAGGTACCATGACTTTAGGTTCCCTTGAAAGCCATATAGATTCTCTTTCTGTGTCAATTGTACTGAGTGAATCATATGTTCATGTGACGCGAACTTCGTTTCTAGAAATTTGGCATAAGGTTGAACATCCTCAGGGCGAAATCCGACAGGGGCAGATATATAAAGATAGTGTCGGAATCCCTCGACGTGGAGAAGTACGGAATTTCCTTTCTGTAAAACAGTAAGCTCAAATCAATCCCGCTGGTGTTGTCTATATCACAAACCTCAGTAACGCCGAAAAGCTTCACCGCAGTTCTCCCGTTTGATTCCCCTTCTTCAACATCGATCTGTTGGAAACACAGGTTATCCTTCGCAGGGTCAAAATCACCCAGTGGCGGGCGATCCCATTGTTGATCCTTTTCCGCATTTGATTCTTTCAATTCGTGTATGTCTTGAGTCAATTTCTCCAGATCCTCTTCGAAGCGACTCTTCTGTTGCATCTGGCTGGAGCCAAAACTCTTAGGGGCACTGCTCCGTGGAGGCACATTCAGACGCACCGGAGGCTCATCGGTATCGATCTTGCGTTTCTTGGGCGTGTTATTTGGTAGTGAGTTTCCGGAGGTCATCGTGGCATCTGTGAGAATGCGCTTCTGCGACTTTAGAGTGTTTTCGGTCATGGCGAGGGTAGTGTGATTAAAGTCGTATGAATAAACAAGCTAGAGCCGAAACAAATGGCCATGAGAAGTTATGGGATGACGGGGAAATAGTCAGTCAGGCAGTTGTTGTTCTTCTGACGGAGTTTGGACTGAGAGAAACGTTCCTTTTTCGAGCAGGCGTGTCGCGCCAGTGACGTGATCCGCGCTTTCCACTTTACGCGTCTGCAGTCACGTGCTTTGGTGGTCACCTATCAAGGGTTAGGGTTATGAGTGGCTTCTACTTCGGGGAATTAGGGCTAAGCTGGGAAACTCTAGGTTGTCAAGAAGAGCTACTTATATCTGAACTTATTTGGTATAAACAAGTGTGAATTGGATGTTTAAAGCTACCTCCCCAGTGCAGCTGGCGCTTCAGGTCGGTCTGATATGGCTCCTGAAGTTAATAAGGACCATTGCCCCAGTTCCAAGCGCTATGGGGATCGTTCGGCACGAGATTAAAGAGCACTGAAGGACACTGTTAGCTGATCTCAAAGTCTAGATGGGAAATAGATTGACTGACTCTGGCCGAAGAACCCTAGTGCCTCATCAACATGATGATCCATCATGTAATAACGATCATTTTCAGGTATATATGACATAGCCTCGTGATGATCTCCAATACGCATGGAGGACGAGAACATGGGCCGCCCAGAAACGTCTGTGTTTGGAAATGGTATGCCTGAATTGCTGAGAGAAGAGCTCGGAGTTAGATCATTCGAATGTTCTTTGAAACCCAAAGCACTTTGTGACTCTGGAGGATTCCTTATGGACGATTGCGGCAGCGGAGAAGATGCAGGTGAAGCGCACGACAGTGTATCCTGGCAGTTTGCAACTAAAAGCTCGGATGGTTTTGTAACATCAAGCCCATTGTCTAATTCCTGTTCATGACTTCGCTTCAATAGCCGGGTAAGCAATTGCTCAGCATGTTTTGCAATTTGACTTTGAGTTTGGAGCTTGCGACTGGTGCGAATGATGCGTAGGAGTCCAGCTTTCGCATCGTTTGCTGCAGTACTGAACGGTCGGAGAGTTGGAATGAGGCATAGTATAACTCCGGCGCTGAAGTAATTCATCAAAACAAAGGAAACACTAAATTCACTCCGATAGTCCTCCGCCGATATACGAGAAATACTAAGAGCTGCATCGAGGCATAGATCCAATGATTTCCGGACTTCGGGCATATAATCGGCAATAGTGTTTCTATGCTCGGGGCTTACCTTATACTCCAGCAAAGGGCGATTTATGAAAATGACAGCACTGTCGTATGTCATCCGCAGAGTCTGTGCTTGTAGAATCAGGGTTTTATAAGAAGGATAGTCATCTGCGCCGGATTCATATTCAGCCACTAAAGACAGTCCCCTTTCGTCAATTCCTGCATTTCGCTGGAAAACCGTGGGCAATTCCGCTTTCCAAGACTCAAGAGACGCGCGAGCCTGCAGAATGGCTTCGACAAGGCGGCAGAATACCTCGGGAGTTATTGGATTCTGCAAATTCAGAACACGAAAAAGGTTCAGACCTGTACGAATAATCTCATATAGTCGGTATTTCAGCATGTGAAACGTGATACTAGTCAGATTTGAGTCATGTATTGTATTTGATACAATGGAGGGCAAGCGGATCTCATCCAACTCAATTAGGTCGTGAAAGCCAGAAAAGGCAGTGTCCAACGAAGCTGGACGGCCATATATCATAGCCGCAAAGGTATCTGCAACAATCACATGATTCCATGTTCGACTACGAATCTGAGATTGAAACTGATCGGGAAGAGGTGCGCTACTCTCGCAATGCAACGATAAAGCATAAGCTGCACGCGCGGAGAAGCCAAGCAGATTCCACGCCAGGACTGGCGAGCCATGGAAGATGTAATATGTACCAAGTAATAGGGGCACCTGAACTGACTCTAGGCTGCACTCATCCATCAAGTTCAGTAAATGTACCCGTACCTCCGCTATCAGATTGTCTCGAAGTTGGATTGCCTGAAGGGATGATGAGGCTAGTAGTGCGTGGCCTGACCAATCCCTGTTGTGTATTACACATTGAAGACCCAAGGCAGCCACCATCAATGATATCACAACTTTGCCCCGGTCTTTTTCCTGCCATGCAGACTGGTGCAGCAGAGGTGTGACCGAGTGCATGAATGTTTTCTCATGAAAGACAAGATTAAACCAATGCATGTGTCGGAAGTATGCTTCAAGCAAGCTACGCGTCAATTCTCCTGGCGGCATGGACATTGTTTCAAGAGTCCAATCACTCTTCGGATGCCCTGAAGGGGCAGCAAGGCCTGGTATGGTGGAGATATCTTCCGAGTGGGAAGCCGCATACTCTCCGAATATGTTCACGGCGAAACCAACAGCAGAACTACTCGCCCCAAATCGTTGGCGCTTGTACGAGCGGTTTTGCACTGCAGACTCTTGGCTAACAGGAGCCGATGGCGGTGTAACAGTTTCCCGTCGTGTATTTCGCCTTCCAGTGCGGCTAAGACTGGCAACCTCCCGGGATAGACAGGAAGCCCCAGACCGCATGCACATTGTGCATGGGCGAGCTTCATCACACTGCAAATAAAGTTTAGTGTCATGTCACCATCTGCCTGCAGTCATTCAAAAGGGTTAGGGCTGACCTTCAATTTCTGCCGCCGGCATCTCTGGCATGCACGCGAAACCCGGGTCGTCGGATGCGGCGGTCTTCGAATATCGTCTAAAGGATTACTGGCCATAGTCACTTGTCCTCAGCTGAGCAAGGCCCAGCTAAAGGAGTTGCCAGGATACAGAAACACAGACAATCTAAGAATTGCCGGTGGAAATTCTGCACGAAGACGAGATAGTTAAGTTTATCAGCCGTGATTATGTAAGGGCTCAGATCTGTACGCACATATATGCATTCCTCTCAGAACCTAGAGACAGACGACACATATTCTTTGACAGAACCATAAGAACACCCAAATTTTCATTTAATCCACCCGTCAATACCTTGAGGTAGCTGTTGAATGTGTTGATTTGAATCCTGACTCCGTGCATTGCGGGGAAATGACTGGGGAACGGAAGCGGAGGAATCAATTACGCCCACAGCAGATACTGTAAACTCAAAAGTCTCGGAAGTTTTGAGATCCGTTCAAAAAATGTTCGGAAGTAATGGCTCCCGGAAAGCTGAGAGTGGCTGTTACAATTTCTTCGTATCTTCGTCTGTTACCAAACATGTTGGTGGCCTGACGAGATTAGGGTGGGTTAGATCTCGATATACCTAGGTATCTAGTTAGGAACCTCTAAATCTCTCACGAGGAACTGTATACGATTGGATTTATAAAGCTTCCAAGGTTTATATATGATGGTGTTTGAATAGTCCAACCCTGAATTGATATCATTTCAATCTATTCCGGCGATGAGCGCAGGCAACTGCACCAAAGTTCCCAAACAGTCTACGCTCGCTCTTGCTTCTGACATAACGTGCATTTGGCGATGCTTCTGTTCTCTGGATCATGTATCGACACCCATAGATAGTGCCCGTAACTAGAGAATGTATGTTCTTGAATCGTCCATGCATGATTCTTTTATACACCATCATCTAACGGCCTGATTGTATTCGGAGCATCGGAGTCGAAGCGAACAGGGATGGCGAAAACTTTATGAAGCTGAATTCCATACTTTCCAAGCTCGATCAATATCGGCGACTTCCATCAAAATACCGAAGGGTCTTGGGAGGTTGTTGTCGACATGTGTGAAATCACTGCCCTGGTATGAGGAATACTCTTCCTTATGTTTGGATAATGTTGAGTAGTCGTTACTCGTCAATTCCGCTTTTGAAGACGATGAAAGTACAGTAGGTTCTATCAAAGCATATAGAAACACTTTCTCCTGATGTGTGAGTCGTATGCCGTCGAGTACTGAGTGGATGTCATCGATCGGTTCGGTAGACGGTATCGTGTGAGACGTGTCCTCTTGCTTAACGGTTTCGAAAGGCATGATAGTGGCTGAAGATCAGTGATAACAGAGATTCTTGCAGCATGTCAAATGTTCATATTCTGTTTGCACCACCTTATGTAGTCGTGCAATTCAGAAGTCGTTCACAGTTACCCCAAAAATCTTGCAGAGGAACATCTGGGGGCGGTCAAGAAAAGGAAATGCATATGAGTACGGAGTAATCGGCTCCGATTATTTATAAAGCGATAAACTATCTATAACTCAGAAAAGTCTCCTCGTAAGCTGTTGGCACTCATGTAACCCACTTGAAGGGGAGTCGGAGATATTCTCTTCCACCGGAACTGTTTCCATTAAGGAGATGATAGATCAGCACTCTCTCGGTTGACATCAATAATACAGCAGAAGAGAATGAGAGAATAGCAAAACGACAACGATTTGACTTGCTGTTCGATTTTCAGTGAATCTTTTTGTCCGAATATGACCCTAGCCCTATCAGCTTTCTTGGGTCAAGGACTAGATTCTCAGGGGATTATTGAAGAAGACAAGGTGGTGGTCTAGTCGTCTATTAGTGTTCTCTATCTCTGAGACAATTCTCGGGAATTTGCTCCGGATTCTACAATCCGGGGTGAGGGGAAGATTTGGGCGCTTCGGGGTCTGTTCATTTCCCTCGTGTTTGCAGTTTGCTTGGAGATTTTCAGGTTCCGGTGGAACGGTGGGATTCCGGTGGAAGGTCTCTGTGAACGCAGAGAGCAACGCGTCGAGCCATAGGCAAATTAGAACCTGTTCTATGAACAAAGACAAGTTGAAGACTTCTTGAATTCTTCCTGTTTCATCTTGTGAAGATCAAACAGAATCACCTGCAACCACCAATCAGCGGCCTCGGCCCTCGGCTTCAACTGTTGCAAGTGGTAAAGCTCGTAACGCAGTGTGTGTTGAATTGTCAACTTCATCATCCAAACTGCTTTTCTTCCTCCTGCTTCTTGCTCCGGATAAATCTGGACGAAAATCCTGAATCGCAAAGGAAAGCAAAGATGAAACCAACCGGTCGCACATTCATCATCTCCGGCGGCTGCTCGGGGCTTGGCCTGGCCACAGCCCGCGACTTGCACCAAGCCGGAGCTTATGTTGCTCTGTTGGATGTAAACGCAGACGCAGGCAAAACTGTTATCCAACAGTTTGGGGATCAAAGAGTGAAATTTTTTCAGACTGATGTGTCTGAGACATCCAGCCTCGAAGCTGCAGTCAACAGCACTGTCGAATGGATAAGACAAACCGCATCTGCCCTCGTTGGCGTCGTTGCTGCCGCCGGAGTTGGGCTACCTGCAAAGGTCGGTTCTTATCCTGGTATTTCCCCATTAAATGTCTACTTTTACTCAAGGAATGCGAGAGATAGATATATGATGCGAGAACGGAGTCTCCAGTTCCGATATCGACCATCGATTTTGTCCTCAACATCAATCTTCGCGGAACACTTGACCTCATCCGTCTGGCCGTACCGCATATGGTCAAGAACGATCCATTGACAGAAGACGGCGAACGAGGGGTCATAATTATGGTTTCTTCCTCTGCTGCATTTGACGGACAACCCGGTCAGGTTGCATATGCAGCTTCGAAAGGCGCAGTAGCCTCATTGACGCTGCCGCTAGCTAGAGATCTTGCGCGCTATGGAATACGTGCAGTCACCATTGCACCGAGCTTGTTCGACAGTGCGATGACCCGTCAATTACCCGAAAAGGCACGAAAGAGTCTAGAAAGGGCGATGGAATTTCCTGTCCGAGCTGGGAATCCGGAGGAATTTTCAAGTCTGGTGATGCAAAGCGTGACTAATTCAATGTTGAACGGTACGGTACTTCGTCTCGACGGTGCCATGAGAATGCCTAGTAAAATGTAGATTAAATCAATGCCACTGCGTATTCTTCATGAAACTGCGTGTCTTGGAACAAATTGGTATTCATGTCGCGGTTAGGAGAAACTTGCTAAATACGGACTAGTGTCGCGCGATTTGTCCGATCATCTAACGGAGTTCCAAATGATTGCACCTCATACTTGGGGACGGTTGAGGATTATTGTTTCAGTATCTCGACTTATTGGTAGCCCTTGTCGGGCACGATGTGTTACGATGCTTTCGACTGACAACATTGAATGTGACTCGACTGAAAGCGCAGAACTATGAGATCTCGACGAACTCACACCAAGAGCAGACTAGGCTGCGTCCAATGCAAGCAACGGCGAATCAAGGTAGCTCTTGCATTCTGAATGCATCGTATTCACAAAGTTAACCTCCAACAGTGCGATGAGCAGAGACCTGTTTGCAAGAACTGTTTCAGACACAACATCGATTGCGTCTACTCGGTCTCGCCGGTCAAAAGCCGGTTGCTGGCCCAGAATGCAACTACACAGTTGAGCGCATCCAGCGTCCCTTCCGTCGAGTCTACGACTATTGTGACCGACAATGGCACTTCGAGTCACACGACATCTCCCTCGATCGTGTCCGCCGAGTCCGACCCGCTCATAATATTGGATCCGCAACGTGATGGAAGTCTCCCAGCTGATTTACATCTACGAGACTTGGAATTGATGCATCATTACTGTCTTGAAAGTTACAAAACAATCTCCCAGGACGCCGAATTTGCACAACCCTTTCAAAGGGAAGTCCCCAAAATCGCTGTGTCGCACCCCTTTTTGATGCACGGAATCTTAGCAATGTCTTCTTTACATTTGGCATATTTGAGCAAGAATGGCGACCGGGTCAATGAATACGTTGAGCTTGCTGCTGGACATCAGACACTGGCACTAGCATTATTTAGGAAGGAACTGGATAATATAACGCCCTCGAATAGTGCGGCACTATTCGTGTTTTCAAGTATAGCGACTGTGCTAGCCTTTGCCTCCCCACAGATAACGGGAATGCACTCTTTTTCGCCAATCGATGAGATGCTTCAAATCAGCACTTTATGTCGGGGACTCGCAGAAATCCTCCAAAAATCAAGAGGCTGGATGGCAAACTCCTCGGATAGCTGGGTTACGGATATGGTCTCTACCAGACACCGATCGGCGGAAATGCAACCCTTGCCGGCTGACATCGGGGCGAAATTGTCCTCTGTGTACAAGCTCAATGCGGATCTGACAAGAACTGGGTTCAATATTGAAGAAGCAGTAGCATGTGAAGAAGCGATCGCTGCGCTGTCACGTTCTTTCCAGCAACTCCATTCGGGTTATGATTCCATCACTCTCTTCAGGTGGCCCATTGTTATCAAGCCGATTCTGTTTACACACATGCGGGATCGCCGCCCAATGGCCCTGGTTGTACTGGCCCATTTCTGTATACTGCTTCATAAAGTAGACGACCGCTGGTGGGTGGAAGGCTGGCCTCGCCTACTGGTACGGTCAATCTACGACGTCTTGGATGTCTCTTGGAGAGAACATATCCGATGGCCCATGGAGGCTCTTGGGCTATTACCTTGAGCCTGACCCCAGCCTCAAGGACAAGGCTATAACTAATCTATGACTCAGCTGGAGAGGCTGTAGATGACCCTAGCATGTAGATTGGCAGTGGGCAAAAGCGGGCAAATACTAGGCAGTAATCATTGAACTGCTTTACGCAGCAGCCCGTGCCCTCTGCCCTATCCACCATCTACATCAGTCCGACGAGTCAAAAGATGCCATTTGGCATTTTATAGTCGCACTTTTTCGGCTTGGCGTTTCCAGAGCACTGTCAACTCAACGATTTTTGTCTGATATGCTCAAACGAAGGGCGTGGAATTGGATGGAACATGAGACGGTGAATCTTTGTACAAAATCGCCTGGTTTTCTTGCACGCTTTTTTTTTTTCTCTGGTGGCTTGTGACATTGATTTCTCGTGTCGATGCTGCGTTACTGTTGGATTTGGCGTTGAGATTGTATGGATAAATAGTAGGAATATTTGTCGAGCGTACATAGAACAGAGTAGAAGGAATGATAGAGAAGGTCGAGGTGGGTCGCTGATGACTCAATTGGTTAATCACCCACGTGACACTGTCGCCAGATCATCTCAACATCTCCATCTAAACAATCAACCACTATTTATCGTCATTCGAGTTTTGTGACCTCTTCCTCCAGGCTGCAAGTACTTGAGCAGACTGTACTGCTTAATCGAGCACTCGAGATGTCCCCTTGTGCTACCAAGTAATGCTCGACGGAGCGCTATGTCAATATGTCCATGTTCCGTTCTGCAGCAGACATCTCATCATCCGATCCGGAGTCTAGTTCGGAAGAAACTGAAAATGATAGTCTACCAGAAACTCATATTGACACCGAGCTACCGACAGAGGCATCTGCCAGTTTAGAGGAACTCCTTCTGGATGATTATGATCTTCCAACACCAGGGCGTATAGGGCAGGACAACATCCTGGGGGGCGCATTGGATCTTGATGCTGATGGACATGCATCTGTGATGACATCTGCTCTACTTGAATTCTTCTGTTTGACTCGGGCTGCTGACTTCCTCAATGCACAACCCGGATCATTTGGGCGGCTCACCCGGGATTCACCAGAAGTCAAGCAGTTGGGGAAGAAAATGTTTCAGTACAAATCACAGTTTCTGTCATCTCATGGTGTCGTAGCCGGTGGTATTGAAGACGATGACTGGGAGAGGATTCGCCAATATTATCGTGACAACCTGGACATGTTGGGAAATGCTGCCATCGGAGATGCAAGTCTTGCTAATTCATCCGGAAGGCCGGGCTCTCGAGAGGGAAGAAATGAATTCCCACGGGCGCCGTTGACTAAATCCCAGTCACTCATTTCCACCACTAAGATCTATCAAGCTGCCATGGAGCCAGACCCTTCAGAGAGCAGTCGTTGGAATATACAGAGACGTAACCCAGGCCCTCCCGTCAATCAAGGCCACTCGGAAACTTTTCTACACCTGAATAACTTATTGCGAACTCCTCAGCTGCCCGGGGGCGAAACGCCAGGGCCTATGGCACTTGTCAGTACGAAATATGAGCCGACAATCGATCATACGTCTAGGTACGCTTCGGAATTCGTAGAGGTCAAGCTTCTAGGGCGGGGATCGTTTGGTCAAGTTTTTGAAGCGCGACATCATGTCGATGGCCAGAGCTATGCCGTGAAAAAGATACCGCTGAGCAAGTGGAGACTGGAAATGTTGCAACAAGAAGGAGTGCAGCATCTGGAGCACATACTGAAAGAAATCAGAACATTAGCTCGTTTGGAACATAAAAACGTTGTTCGTTATTTTGGTGCTTGGGTGGAAGAAAGATACGTGTGTCCGGAAACCGCGCCTTTAGATCCAGGAGAAGACGTGCATATGGGAGTGGAACCATCTAAAGAACAACATGATCCTGCCGAAGAGGATCAAAGTTTTGGAATTGTGTTTGGCTTGTCTAGCAATGACGGTGAATACGATGATGACAATAAATCGGATTCTCGCAGTCATGGGACTGGTACCTGGTCGAATTCTCACCAACGCCGAAACAGTCGCTTTACCAACGCATCTTCGCTTTCGAAGAAGAGCACAATACTGGGCAGTGGGGAAGACGACGATGAAGATGTTGAATCTATCCAGAGAAACTTCAGCATCCCGAAAGCAGGTGTACTCTCACATGACTACACATCAACAAGCGATTTAACAGGCACGGATATCTTCACAAATGATATGAGCGAAGATCCATCAAAGTTCCAGCTTGCACACCGAGAGAAAACAATACAGAATCAGACCGTTGTTCTACATATTCAGATGTCATTACACCCTCTGACCTTAAGCGCATTTCTCAATCCTAAACACCGCTCGGCGTCAGCATGTCATTGCTTTCATCTTCTTCCATCTTTACGGATACTACTTGGCATATTATCAGGAGTAGAGTACCTCCACTCGAAGGGCATTGTCCATCGCGATCTAAAGCCGGCCAATATTTTCCTTTCTGCCCGCGAGGACAATGAAGGTGCCTGTCACTCTTGCCGCGGAATAGATGACCAGCCGATTAGAAACCAGTACCGTCCTCGCATAGGAGATTTCGGACTTGTGGCAGATATATCCCATTGTGCCGAGAAACCGGTCCCCAACGGTGTAGTTACTGTTCAGACTGGACAGAGTCCCAGGAGAAGATTTCGACATGTCGGTACCGAGTTTTACTGTCCACCGAGACCAGACTCTGCTTCAAACCCAGACTCGAGCGAATACGCAATCAACGAGAAATTAGACGTGTTTGCCCTGGGTGTTATCTTATTCGAGCTCCTTTACCGTTTAGGCACCAAGATGGAACGTCAACTTGTCTTGTCTCAATTGACTCGTCACGGGTCACGGGATGGCATCGTTAGGATCCCGGATGATTTCGAGGATAAGATTGAATGTGGAAGGGTCAAGCTTCGGAACGGGATGTCCGTCGCGGAGTCGCTATCTACTTGCATTCAAGGCATGCTTCATCCTGATTCTAGCAAGAGGTGGAGCTGTGAGGACATCCGGATGTCTTTGAAGGAAATTGTTTGTATGATAGAGAATGAGCCGTCACTTCGCGATTAGATTAGAGTGTTGCACGGGGCGGATGTTACGATAGAGTTGTTGGATTCTGATACTTGTACGGATTCCCCGGACATTCTGGTAAGATTATCTCAACTCCATAGATTTGAAGAGAAGAACAGGGCATCGTTTGTATCCTTTGCAAGTGCCCTACAGATAAGAAAACATTGAATTTCCCTAGAAGTTCTACTCCAGAAGAGCAGCATGATATAAATAGATCGCCTGCTCGATAACCAACAACATATCTCTATATACACGAGTTCATTTGAAGACTTAGATGACTGTAGACTAATCGCAGGATTAGGGTTAGGTTACATTAAGGCTGACCATGGGAGATACCTAGGTATTAATGCTCGTCGAGATGGTGGACCCATGTGTAATACCAATTTAGCTATTTATACACGAAAGTTGATGGAACCTTCTAAATAGTTGAGTGAAACATCATTGAGTCCCCACTACTATAAAGAAAATTGTGCCAATGCTTTGAATTTTGAAAATCCGACATAAGCAGCATACAGGCTAAGTTAACATAAGTTAACTTAACTAGTTAGTTAACTAAGTTAGTTTGGCAATATCTATTTAGCTGGAGCACTCCCAAATCTGTACACATTTGGATTTGTACGGAGTACTTGATCAACCCCCCTCTGTCTCTCGAGCAAAGCAAGAGAAGACAGCTTGTAGCCAAGATATAAACAAAGACATCGGACTGATATGTTTCCTTGTTGTCTCCCATGCACACTTCGTGGGCAGGAGATCGAGCATATCGATCAAAGCTTGGCGGTCTTTTCCTGCGACGCCTTTTGTCGGGACTTCAAAGCTTTAATTTCCTCCTGCAAAGCTAAGCCCATCATAATTTCTTCGCTGCCTCCCCCAACAACATGTACACGGACATCGCGACTGATCTGCTCCACGCGAACCCCTTTACCCCCTTTGTTATATCCTGCACCACCAAAAATCTGCTGGGCTTCGCGAACGCATTTCTCGAGTGCTCTCGTAGACATGACTTTGAGTAATGCGGTCATACCGCCGATATTGCCCGCGTTTGGGCGATCCTTGGTTGTCTCAATAATATAGACCAGCTGTTCTAGAAAGGACTGTGCAGGCTCAATAAGCATACCGCATTTGGTTATCTTGAATTGAATTGCTTGTCGAGTAATGAGGGGTGCACCAAACGTCTCCCGCTGGACTGCATAGTTAAAGGCATCCTCAACACAGACCCGAGCTAACCGGAGAGCTGCACAGGCCAGTGACAGGCGTTCTGAGTTGAAGTCTACAAGCAATACACAATGAGATATCACTCCAAAAAGATGTATTCGTGGTATACTTACTTGACATGACGATCTGGAAACCCTCGTTTACTCTTCCGATAAGATGATCAGCTGGAACACGAACATCATCAAATTCCAGGAAGGTGGAGCCTGTGCGTCTGTTAGATCAAGACACGAAAAAAAGAGAACTTGATCTTACCACTAGCATTCACACCAGAATTGTGCATTCTTTTGCGAGTCACGCCTTTCTGCTTGAGAGGTATGACCAGGACGCTGACGCCCTTTCGTCCCGGACCTCCAGTACGTACAGCAGCAGTGCAATAATCCGCCCAGAGACCATTGGTTATCCATTTCTTTGCTCCATTTACTATGTAGTAGTCTCCCTCTGTTTTTGCCGTGGTGCTGATATTGGCGACATCCGACCCGGCTACCTGAAGCGATTAGCTATATACTATAAGTGACTGGAAGGGACTACAACTGACCGTCTGGCTCTGTTATTCCGAGACAAAACCGTGTCTTCCCACTAGCCACTCCTGGGAGCCATCGTTTCCTCTGCTCTGGTGTACCAAATCGTGCAATAGAAGGTGCTCCAATGCTATTGCCTCCCCCTAAACCCCAAACAACACCAACAAATCCACATCGCGTTAATTCATCAGCAACAATGAGCGAGCACCAAGTGTCCCACTTTTCGCGAGGTACACCGCCAGGAAGAGGTATGTTATCAGCATCTTCAAGGCTAGTAAGCGGATGAACAATGCTAAAACCCAGGTGGCAGTGACGAAGTCGCACTTCTTCTGGGACCTCGCCCGCTTCTTCCCATTCCTGGGCGTATGGAATGATATTGGTCTCTACGTAGTCGCGGACATATCGACGCAGGTGATGATGAGTCTCAGTGTAGTGCGGGTTCTTAATGTCGAGTTGAGGTAGCAGAGGCTCACTGTACGGCGCGATCACTGGACGAGAAATTGGTGCCATTTTTATTTCATGATTTGCAAATATCGAAGGAGGAATATTTAGACCATAGAATTATCTTATCCGCAGCTTTTGATCAGAAAAAGATTGTTTAAATAGCATTCATTTGAGTTGATGGATTGGATAGTGAGATCGACTTGTCATCGAAGCTCTCCGCACCATTGTTGGAAATGTACCTCGGCTGGCCGACCTGCTGTTCTCTGAGGATACTGAGCGCCCCAGGATAATAGTGACAGTAGATCCATAGATTCTGGGTGTATTTTGAGCATGGTTAAAGGTTAGAAACATAGAAAATCAAAATTAAATTACAAAAGAGAAGAATCTCCCAAGTCACCCTGGGCGGTGGATACAAACTGCCAAGCCTGGAGTGTCCCCGCAGCTTCCCAGACTAAACAAACACTTTCAACGCCATCCTACAACCATCCTCTCAACCACATCGACAATCCTCAAGATGACTTGACTGTTTTTTGAGTAGTCTGCTCAAATATGGAGAGTCTGGATGATACCATGCACGCAGCTGCCAATAACAGTGCCCAAACTGTTGCTGTGGATGACCCCGCATCGCAGCCATCACTGGCGCCCCCGGAAGAGCTGAGAGCTTCGGTCTCGGATTCTTTACTCGACAGAAGCTATCGACTCCAAGCTGAATCCATTAGCGATCCGCCTAATATCTATCCAGCCTCGAGAGTGCCGCCTGAAACTAAAGATGATACCTTTTCCGAACCCTCCTTCCCGCAACTATCTTACGACCCTGCACTATCTGCAGAGGAGAGATTATCAGATGAGGTCAGTGGTGGTGATGAGGAACCAACGGCTCTCTCATTTGGTCGGTCGGGCTCGCCGGTGACTTCTACTCAAAAGAGCAAAGGGTCGTTCTATGAGAAAGTCGGCGAGGAGGGCATCACGCGTATGCACAAATTTACCCTCTACGAAACGGCCACCCGATACTACTTGGTTGGCATTGACCAACTAGACACTCGTTACAGAATACTGAAGATTGACCGGACATCCGACTCAGATGACCTGAATCTTGTCGAGGATGATATCGTTTACAGCAAGCATGAAATGAATCAACTACTTGAGACGATCGAGGATGGCAACAAAAGCTCGGGAGGACTGAAACTCAGGTGTAGCGCGTGGGCACTACTCGGCTTCGTCCGGTTTACTTCAGCTTACTACATGTTACTGGTTACTAAGAGAAGCTCTGTAGCCAATATTGGCGGCCACTTCATCTATCAAATCGACGGTACAGAGCTGATTCCACTCGTGACGACCGCATCAACTCGTGTGAAGCTCGAAAGGAATCCCGAGGAAGCTCGCTACATAGGGATACTGAATAACCTGGATCTCTCCAGATCATTCTACTTTAGTAACTCATACGATATCACGCGCACACTACAGCGAAACATCTCACGCGAGCGTCAATCCCTTCGGGAAGACCCTGACAAGCCACCTGTGTATGATCATAATTCTATGTTCGTTTGGAACCACCACTTGCTGAGTCCCGCTGTTACCAATCTCAAATCAGCCTTTGATTGGTGTCTCCCCATCGTACATGGCTACGTTGACCAATCTGTGTTGTCGGTCTATGGACGATCCGTATATATCACTATCATTGCACGCAGATCGAGGTTTTTCGCTGGTGCCCGATTTCTCAAGCGTGGAGCCAATGATCTCGGTTACGTTGCCAACGATGTCGAGACCGAGCAGATTGTGTCAGAGATGACTACCACTTCCTTCCATTCACCTGGACCCAAGTTGTACGCAAACCCACGCTATACCTCATATGTGCAGCACCGTGGGAGCATTCCTTTATACTGGACTCAAGACAGCACGGGAGTCAGCCCAAAGCCGGATATTGAGCTGAACCTCGTTGATCCATTTTACTCAGCGGCTGCTTTGCACTTCGACAACCTTTTCGAGCGGTACGGTGCCCCGGTTTATGTTTTGAATTTGATTAAAGCGAGGGAGCGAACTCCTAGAGAATCAAAATTGCTCAAGGAATATACCAATGCTATAAACTATCTGAACCAGTTTTTACCGAATGACAAGAAGATAATATACAAGGCATGGGATATGAGCCGAGCTTCCAAAAGCCGCGATCAAAATGTCATTGAGACTTTGGAGAATATCGCTTCTGACGCTCTTCCTATCACTGGATTTTTTAAAAATGGGGATGACAAAGGAACGGGCTTGCAGCTGCAAGACGGAATTGTGAGAACAAACTGCATTGACTGTTTGGATCGAACGAACGCCGCCCAGTTCGTCATTGGTAAAAGGGCGTTAGGCTATCAACTGCATGCCCTTGGTGTCATAGAAGGGACACAAATAGAGTATGACACCGATGCAGTTAATATGTTCACCAACATGTGGCATGACCATGGAGACACCATTGCCATTCAATATGGTGGCTCTCATTTGGTCAATACAATGGCGACATACCGCAAAACCAATCAATGGACGAGTCAATCCCGCGATATGGTCGAGAGCTTCAAGAGATACTACAATAACTCGTTCTTGGACGCCCAACGGCAAGAAGCATACAATCTCTTCCTTGGGAATTATATCTTCAGCCAGGGACAACCTATGCTCTGGGACTTGTCTACGGATTATTATCTCCATCATACCGATCCACGGACATGGTCAAAACTACGACGCCCAAATTACATCACGTGGTACACACCAGAGAATCTTGAGAGAGGCAACGTAAGCACCAAATGTCCCCTTCCTGTCAAGGTGAAAGATAAACCTTTGTCGTATTATGATGATTATTGGCAGGAATACTACCGTCCCACAACAGTGACGTCCTTCGGAAAGATATACCCATTAAGACTCAACTCGACAATGAAGTATCTTCCTTTCCGCTCTACTCAAGGCGGCCGGTACGATTTGAGTCCATTCGTCGTCAGGATCCCTCCTCACGAGCCAGCAAGTCGCGAGCGGGCAACTGCTCAGCAACGACGGCCACCATCATCGCATCACAAAAAGGGCGTGACCATTCAGGAGCCTGAGGTTGTGAACGATCAATCCAATGGAACATATCATGGAGCCAACGTTATGGAGGATATCCATACTTGGCAACACCAACCGCCATCTGCTGAGAAAATGCCTCCTTCAACGGGCATCATGAAAGGGGTAACATCTAAGACCTCTCCTGATCAGGGATCTGGCTTCCCATCACTCCAATCATCGACTCAAGGAGGAAGAGACGGTCCAGGTATCACGCCAAGTAAAGCGCAAATCGCGCAGTGGACGCTTGGTCAGCTTGTATCAGATTCTCTCAATCCGTCCGTTACTTCAGCCGAGGCCGAGGAATATGAACGATACATCAACCATCCCCTCAAGGTTCCTCTTGTAGTCACGTCGGACGACGACCTTGAAACAGCGGTGACCTTGCGAGAACAGGGTGCGAATCTGGAGTTCTTAGAATATGTCAATAAGGCCAACGGTATCAATGCCAGAGGAATACGAGACTCGTATGTTGCGGAGGAGGATTTGAATGATTACGTCGAATTTTTGAGTGTGAATGAGGAGGGGCTTACAGTAACGGCTGAGGACTATGATAAGAAAAGATATAAGAGATATAGGCAGTGGCTGAAGGGGAAGAGTCTGTTCAAGCAAAGGGTGGACCCATGAATATTCCTCCGGATCGCCTCGCTGACTCCATTTCTACAATTTATGACGAGTTGACGACTATAGGATTTGATGAATGATACCCTGTTATTTAGCATATATTGAGATAAAGTGAATACTGATTAGTTCAGACAAACAACGAAATGTATTTGTACCTAGGTCTCTAGGCACTAGTTCATTTGAAGAAATAGTCGTCATCCAAGTCTACACCAATATCTATCTGGAGTAGCTCCTTCAACTGCTCATCCGATTCAACAAGTGCCTGAATACCGTTATTCATACTGGCATCCTCATCAATCATCCCAATTGAGTTTAGACTCTCTTCACCTTTCATTTCGGTAGAACTTGCCCCCTGCATGCTGAGCTTCAACAGATATACCGCCCCTTGCAGTTTCAACAGCACTTTGCGTAATTGCAATTTCTGCTCTGGATCCTTCATATCTACCTCGTCCCGGACTACGTTTATCCAACATTGACAAATGGCAGCCAAAAGATCACCTCTATATCTCCATATACGCGGGTGTGCATTGAGTATAACAGCTTGTGTAGTCGCTATACCAGCGAGAAGTAACGGCGCAAATGCCGTGCCGAACGGGTTTGACAATGTGGTATAGATAACTGGCACGATTTCTTGTAGGTACTTTGTTGTGTGGATACCGAGTTCTTGAATGAGTGTTTTCAATTGGTCCAGGAAGAATGTTGATAGTCTTGGATATGGGAAAGATGCAAGAGAAGAGGTCTCCTCGATCGCGGAAGTAGGAGAGTAAGAGCTAACGTGGTGGAAGGATGAGATGACGTTTTCTCGAAGGAGAGTTGTGATGCGGGTGATGTATACATTTTTGGCATCTTCATTTTTGCCAGGTTGGCCGGGCTTTGCGTCTCGGTCGATATGATAGCAAGTTTTCAGGGTGAGTAGGAGAGCTGGATATGCTACACCTAGAAGACGCAGAGCTTCGTCTTCCGGGGTTATGGTCGGTAAAGAGAGAAGACAGGGGGTGAGGGCGTCGTCGAAGACAGAGGATAGGTTTGTGCGTTTTAAAAGATCCGATTCACTTGCACGAATCGGCGTGAGGAATTTAATCAAAAGGCTACACCCGCGGTACTTGAAAGATGAGCTCTCATCATCAATAAGAGACAGTATTGGTGGGACATAGAAGTGAAACTGTATTTCTAAACGGTTGATATCGGAAGACTTGGTTTCCGTTAGTCTATAGTCCGGCAAATGTGCATTTTACACTCAACTTACAGAGTATTGCGCAAGTATCCACTCCAAAACAGTCGTCGCATAAACGTCCTTATACTTCCAGGGCTTTGTCTCGGGATCAAACAGGCTCCCATCGAATCTCGGCTGGGGTAATGGATGGAGATTTTTACGACCACTGGCTGTGATGGCGGGATTTTTGGTTTTAGCGAATATCGGTCTGAGTCTGGATTCGCAGACACGTTCTAGGATATGCCAGCATTTCGGGCGTCTTTCCGGCTCCATGCATGAATGTAGGACTTCGAGGGCGTCTTGGACGCTCGTACTGGTTGTCCAGGGGTCATGCGGAGAAGTAAAACTTAGGATGGTCGTAAAGACTTCTTCTGGATTCGTGACTTCTAGTATGGATAGTATACCGTTAAGATACTTTGTGCATGAGATGGCAAGGGTATATGTAAATTGCTGGGCTTCGAGTGTAGCAGACAACCCAGATTCTTTCCCTCCTACTATCATATTAAATTCTGTAAGAAGCCTCTCCGGACAGTTCCATTACTCACCATTAGCTGAATAATTAGCCTCCAAGGATGTAGCGAATTCAGACGATGGTAAAGATATTTGTGCCAGCCAGGTGTATATTGCTCTTGCAGAATTCTTGTCATCTTCTTCCAATGGTACCCCTTGGGGATGATTTTTCAAAAGAACTCGAGTTAACAATAAATTCTCATTTACCTAATGCAATAAGTCAGTCAAATTGAACGCGTTGAGTGATGGATAGACGCACCACAGATCCGTGGGTATCTTGCGTAAGGTGTGCAGACACATTCGTCCACAAATATTGGAGACTGATAAATTCAGAGCCATAACCAATACTATCACCAAGCGTATCAAGTTCGCCCAGCTTCGCAGTCTTAATGACGTTCCTTGCGGCAAGACGGATATTCTCCATCTAGGCAAGAAGCCCTTTAAGAGGACCACAGCGCGAGACTAGTTGAAGGTCGAAAATATTGGTCATAACCAGATCATATTCACAGTAGATACGACGAACTTAGCATGTGCGTTGGTTGCTGAATGACCAGAAATTTAATCATATACGTCGGCCGTCGATATATGGAATTGTGAAGAAGTGAAATTATATTGATTCTCCGTTTGATTCTTGAAGCCTTGCAGCCTGAGGCACCAATTTTTGCGACGTTACTTAATCCATACTAGCGTCTGAATTATCAACTGATGATTGGTCAAATTTGTACCACTTGTGGCATGGATACAACTTCTTCCAAAATTATATATGGAGAAGAAACTCTACTGTAATGTTTAATCATTTCATTCAGTATAACAGAGATCCTACATCACACTCCCAACTCCGCCCTACGGCTTTTTAGTTCTTCCAGTGCCTGATTCTTGTCAGCATTGTGAGGATGGAGAAGCTGCCAACTGATCAGCATATCTAGAGCCGAGGAAAGCCATTTGCCATCGGGTAGACCAAACGCAGTGGAAACTTCCTTGCCATTTGCAATTGGTCTCAGTTCAGACACTTCAAGAAGGTCCTCTTTCTCTAGATATGAGAGGAATGCATCGTATTCCTGGAAGACTAATGCAGAGTCAGTAGCGTTGCTCGGTTGATTGAAACCCCCATTTGACATACCTTTACGCGGTTCGACGCCAGCCGAGATCTCCTGAAGCATGGCCATCAAGACAATCAACCTCCAATCCTTCTTCCAAGACCTGATTTGGAGTCCAACGTGTTGTCTAACCTCGGCAGCTGTCCCTGGGATGTCCTTTGAAATCACCGAACTTTTCAGAGAGCTGACCTCTTTAAAGAGTGCTGTTGCGTCCTTTAGAGCATTGACTATTTTGTTCTCCATGCGAAGATTATCCCTTGCGACTTCCGCCGCCCTTGCTATGATAGGCGGCTTCTGTTTCCTTGAAGTTGGTACACGTTCAGGTACAGTGACCCATGGGGTGAACGCGGCCATAACCCAAGCATAGAATGTCTCATCCTCGTTTCGAATGAGAATATTCTTTATGCGCTTAATATGCCTGAGCTCGTCTGTTTTGAGCACGCGGCTCAAAATGTGATCGAGGGCGTCATAAGCAAGAGACCAAGAAGCGACGTGCGGCTCAGCATCATCGTATTGATTTGCAAAGATAGTCGAGTAGAGCCCAAGGTCATCTATGTACCTCAAACCAATTCTAGGATCCGCCGCTAGATGAAGAACGTCAACACTACTGGCCAGCTCCTTGTTCCATCTAAAGACTTACCTCGGAGGGTTTTCTCCACCTCTACGCCCACGCGTTCCTTGCTGATTTTCAATTTGAAAGCCCTTTTTATGTCGTCATTCTGCATAGCTTCCTGGGTCTTCTCGTCGATGTGGTAACCAAGTCTACTCGCAAATCGTATTAGCCGAAGTACTCGCAGAGGGTCGTCCTTGAATGTCTGATATGGTTCTAGAGGTGTCCTGATCAGTTTCCTCTCCATATCATCCAACCCCAGTCCGGTAAAATCCTCTAACATTGACGTGTTCAGATTGTAGAATAATGCATTGACAGTTGCGTCTCGACGTAGAGCATCTTCCTCGGCTGTACCAAATTCCACCTGTGGATTCCGACTATGCTCGGTATATGTTTCCTTTCGCAGGTTAACCAGATCGATATCCAGACCAAACAATTTTGTGGCCACGGTCTCCAGATGCTTAGACTTCTCCGGATTCGCTTTGATTGTATGGACTTTCAACATCTCACTAGTGAATGCAAGCTCCTTGTTGTCCATATATTTCTGCAGATTATCTGGATCATCCAAATATTCCTGAAGGTAGGTTCCAAACTGTAGCCCGGTCATTGTGCTAATTGCGACATCGATATCGTGACTTGTAACACCCAGCAGCTTATCTCGAACCCAGCCACCGGTGAAGCGTAATACCATTTCTTCTTGTGCTGTTCTACCCTCGGATTTCTCTTTCTGCTCGATATATCCTTTTAAATCCAGCAAAAGTCTCTGTATGGTTTTTTCTATCGGTGTAAGTTCAATTGTTGGGAGAGTCTGCCGTTTCATTTTCGTTCCGTCCATCTTGCCGTTTCGTCGTTTTGACTGTTTAATCTTTCGAATTCTGAATTCACCATCCGAGTTCGTATTTTTTCTTTTCTGCGCTGGCATAGAAGAAGTGTACGTCTGGCCTGTTAAAGAGGAAGCCTTGTGATCGGAGGGTCTGCCATATGCGCCCAATCTCGAGATACAGGACTGCAAGCTGCGGCAGTTGATCCTGACGTGGGAATAAATCCTAGGAATCCATGGGCGCAGGTGAGCGTTCAGCATTAATGATCAAGCAAGCATTGCCATGCGAACAACTCTCGTGTTATCAAGCAAGAAAAAAGTTGCCGTTTGGCACTACTGCTGTGACTCACACGATTTCGATGTAGTCGCTCGTCTGGCGTGAGCTCTTGGACTCGATGGATATTGAAATTTCGTTCTTCAAGGGGTCGGAGCTTCAGCGGTAGTGAAATCGAGTAAACCGAGTATATCGAGCTGCAAACAAGAGAGGGGCAGGAATTTTGACTATGGAGTCTGAAGCTTCTAGTGCCAAGACGTACCATAAGCTGTAAGACGAGACGATAAACAGATGGCCGCTCGAACAGGAGATGGTGTGACGCTGATTTCACGATGAAAAAGAATAATGTGAAAATGACTCGTAGTAACAGCCGAATTTAACTGTGAAAGAATTGTTGTAGAGCTGACAGGGAAGGTTGGACGGTAAATTATTTGATGACTTCCGACGGACCAAGCAACTTCCTTCCGCAACGTCCAGCCCAACATCATCCCAAACCCGACATCTGCACATATGTCGACGCAATCATCCTCTTCGCCCGTATCAATGCATAGATGAAGGCATTGCCATACACTTATAAAACTACCGCAGCGCTACGGAACTCCTACCTGCGTCCATGACATCACCAGAAGATGCAGCCCCGGTCAAGCCTCCGCCATCCTTCTCAGGAGCCCCCATTGTCGTGCCGAAGTCGAGATTCGATGCGGACTCAGTGCAAAGCTCTTCTCGACCTCTCAGCTCAGAGATACGAGATTCGTCAGTTATAGGTTCCCCCAGAACCTCGTTCGCTACACGAAGCGAATCTCAGTCTCGCTCCGCATCTCCCAGTAACCGACTGTCAGGCTCTACATCTCTTCCCCAGAGATTATCGCTCGGTTCACCGCTGGGCAGCTTCCCAGACAGCTCTGACAACACCCGGTCTTTAATAATACGTTCTTTTGCTCCCTCGATTGGCATCTTCGCCTCCGATGACACAGAAGATCTGATTAGACAAAAGGGGTTCAAGAATGGCCTCAGGGAGCTTCTAAGGCCATTCGGTGAAAATATCACGGGAAAAGTCGTCATCAGAGATAGCGGTGGAATGAGTCGCACTTGGGAAGACTATGGCGTCCGTTTCGTGAACCTATCCCCAAGCAATAGCCGAGGAGGTCCTACCCCTCCCGCATCACCCCTACTGCAGCTTGAAGAGGTACTGCAAAGAAGGCTCGATTCTGCGGACGAGTCTTCGAACAGATTGTCCCGCCACAGTCAAGTACCGCTCTCGAATAAATACATTGCTTCCCCCTTATATCAACTACTTCTGCGCCGAATCCTGTCCATAGACCAACCTACACCCCATGAAACATTCTTACATCCGGTAGCCTGCGTCATCGCTATCAGTTCGCATAACAAGGCTCCGCTCGAGTCGCTGCGGCAACTCTATGCTCAGACTACCCAAGGCGATACAGCGCCGCCACCTTACGTGCACCCTGAATTCCTCCGATACTATGTTCTAGTGCACGACGAAGATCGAAGCGACATCGTGGAGTCCACCAAGCTGTACGATCAGATGAAGCGACATTTTGGTTTGCATTGTCACCTTCTTAGGCTTCGAAGTGATCAATGCGTGGTCACGGATGATGATAGTGTTGAAGTACCATCATGCGAATGGTTGTCACCTGATGAAGATCTTTCGAGCATGAACGAAAATAGTAAGAAATTCAGTCTTTGGTTGGTCCTGCCGCGCTCACACATAGGTACTTTTAGATGCGTTAATAGATTTTGGCACTGGGACTCACTATCTATCCGAGAGTGACATATCGGCTATAAATTCTCTAGTGCGCGAACTAGTGGTCCAATCTGTTATACCTTTTATGGAAAATAAAGTTGCGCTTTGGAATGACCAAGTGGCATCGAAGCGACGAGGGATCAGCGGAAGATTCATGTCCATGTCCAGAAGGTGGACTGGCTTTGGCTCGAGCTCAAAGTCGGCCTCTTCTGGTTCGTCTTCCGGTATGACTGGAAACTACAACACATTATACGGCTTCTATGGACACGACGTACCGGAAGCGATCCTTCGAAAGCTTGCTGATTTTGCGTTCATGCTCCGGGACTATAAGCTTGCTGCATCTACATATGACTTGGTTCGTTCGGATTATGCGAATGATAAGGCCTGGAAGTATCACGCAGGTGCTCATGAGATGTGTGCAATGAGCACGCTGCTTAATCCTCTGACCTCAACCGCGAGGAGTAAACTCGAGGCAGTTGATCAAATGATTGATACTGCATGTTATTCCTATCTCACGAGGTGTTCTGATACAGTGAATTCCCTGCGCTGTCTTGGACTTTCCCTAGAACTACTCAAGTCTAGAGGCGGATCTGCGACTGAAGGGGCGGCGAAATGGGCGATGCGTGCAATAGAACTGGGGCTTGCTGGTCCAATTGGGCAAGCACTTCTTACCGAACGTGTCTCTGCTTGTTACGCCTCCAAAACGACGACCGGCGGTGCACAGTGGGGAGCACGACACAGAAAAGCAGCTATGTGGAGTGTACTTGCTACTGACAATTGGCTGAGACTGGGCAAACCTGCACTTGCCTCTGTTTGTTTGGAGGATGCGGATGGCCTGTATGCTGAGATATATGACAAAGACGGCGTTGTCCCTATGCCTGAGATGCGGACGTTCATTGAGAATCTACAGCGAGCTGTCAAGCTTGAGTATCTGGAAGCGAAGGGTGTTGATACTACTGATGAAGTGGTAATGGATCAAGAGTTAGGGACTGAAGAGACCAGTGAGAAGCTGGATCACAGAACGAATCGCAAATCATTGATAATGACATCCGGTCCTCTGGATACCGGCCCTCTTGGCCCTATGCAGCATGAAGGGAACAGCTTCAAACCGCTTGATGATGATTTTGAATGAGAATGGGGAGTTTAGCGCCATACAATTCCATATACCACGATTATAGATAGATCACGGGCTTTTATGAGTTTATAATACTTTCCTTTTTTTTTTTTGCGTATTTGCCTGGTGTGTGGAAAATTAAGGGATAACAAACACAATCACGTGGGGTCTCACGATAGCGCGTCTTATCGATAAGGTTGCTGTAGCACATGCAACGACCCAACAACATCCAAAATCTTCCGTTTTTTACGGCTCATCGTGGCCACTCTTGAAAGCCTTAGTCCATACACTAATCATTTTAATATTTACTGCTGTTGACCTCTTCTACTTGCTGGATTTTACCCTAAGCGATTGCTAGAACCCGAAATTAGTCAGTGTCGTCATGAGCGATCTCTTAAATTATATTCTGTCCCATGAAGATGCCTTCAGGAAGTATACTAGTTCTACTCTCATGTTATCCTTAGAGGCACTAACTCTGGGTCGACTATTAGGAACCGATTACCGTCTCTATACTCCGACTTCGCCATACACAAAAGCACGAACCCTGATGGATACGCTGTGAACGTCGCGGCTTGGGAAAAAGCCCTCACCAACGCGGCGCGTGCTGGCCATGTGTCCTTCGATAATGCCCCAAGCAAGAAACGCGATCATTTAATTCTGGTTGCAGATGAGAATCTGCTACACATGTTGGAAATACCGGAATGCGGTACACCGGTGGCTTTGGCGAGTGTCTTTGTATGACAACAATTTCCACTATCTTGGGTATCATACAGTCTCGCTAACAATATGTTACGGTCTAGGACGAAGCTATCCAGAAACGAATTATGGTTCCTTTCGAGGTCTATAGGTCGAGTAATTTCAAATTATCGACCAGTCGGTGGAGGATCCTGGATTCGGGAGTTTTAAGCCCTTGGAACGTCATGAATTGGAGCTTGCGACAGCTCAAGGGATTTGTCGTTGGATCAGATAACACTTCCGGGAAGCTTCATACTCGGAAACTCGTACTCGTGGAAAATCTCAAGGTTCGCACACTGGTTTCGGGCATATTTTGGGATGCTGATACTCACTGCACAATATAGGAGACTGCGAAACGAGTACTCCACTTACAAAGTAACCGAAAATCTTCCTCTTTAGACAGGATATACTCAAAAGAGAGATTTACAAACACTTTCAGCACTGTGCTAGAAGGCGACACCGTGCTCTCCGATGATGACATTGAGGCTCTGTTAATCTACCTCTCGCGAGATATCAACGCCATTTTTTATGATGGAAAGGTACACCACACTTTTGAAAAAAGCTGAGACGAGCCAAGAACAATTAACTGAGTGATTATCATAGACAATCAAATTCCTCACTGGCAACGACAGATCACCAGTTACTCCCGAAGATACAACCATAGCCTCTATGAAGGACCTCATCTCCAACTTGACCGAACAAATCTCCCGGATTGAACTGAAGATTGGTGAATTGAACATCAATGCAAAGAACGCGCTCGCCAATAAGAACCGCATATCCGCCCTCTCGGCTATCAAGAATAAGAAGATCGCCGAACACAACCTTAACCAACGCGCTAATACATTGCACCAACTAGAGGAAGTATACAACAAAATCGAGCAGTCAACAGATCAGATAGAGATTGTGCGCGTCATGCAAGCTAGTACGGGTGTTCTTCGCAGTCTACATGCGCAAATCGGTGGCGTTGAAAGGGTTGAGGATGTCATTGAGAATCTGCGTGAAGAGATGTCCAAGGTTGACGAAGTCGGTAATATCATCAATGAAGCTGGTCCTGTCATTGATGAAAGCGAGATCGATGATGAATTGGAGGCACTCGAGACCAAGGAACTTCGCGAGAAAGAGGAGGAAGCCAAGGTTACACGGCAGAGGCTAGAACAGCTAGAAAGCCACGAACAAGCTGCAAGGCAGGCTGCACGAGAAGCAAGCAAAACGGCAGAGGCGGTGGGAGATGTCGAATCAGAGTTAGCAGCCAGTATTGGTCAACTCTCGAATATGTCCTTGAAAGACTCGGCGATGACGGAGAGGGAAGGGCAGCACGAAGTTGAAAAACCTGTTCCTGCACAGTAGTAATGCTGATCGACGACTTTGAACTGCCATTATGCTTCTGGAGATGTCATACGCTACTCCGAAAACATGTACAATGAATTTCGTAACTAACACTTTAAAAGTGTATCAACTATTTTTCCCACTGAAGGGACAGCTAAAATATCAGGATAAAGATATGAAGGGCAATTGCTTTCGTCAAGGATGCGGTTACCAGGTATCGTTGAGAGGAGTATAGGGTTGAGGTGACGGCTCTGCTATCACACCGTTGCCCATTGGTTGCTCCCCAGTAGGCAGCGTATGATTTTCTCCATTGGCATTATTCAACGCCGCGTTATCGTCTTGTTGACTTGTTGAATTATCGTTTTCTTCTTCCTTATCTTGTGTCTGAATCTTTCTCATATCCTTCTTCTTCCTCGCGTTCTCAATCAGCCGCTTAAAATCATCATCATGATTCGCAGACCACGCAGCCGCATCAAAAGTTTTTGCCATCACCGCATTTGGCCCTGATGATGATCCAGGTTGAGGAGCTGCACCCCCTTGTGTTCTCTCCCATACATCTAAATCTCGACGAAGCTCATCCTTAGTTTTTGGAACCTTAGCATCGCAATTGGCATTCCATAAGTTCATCCATTCTGTGTGCCGCCTTTGTAATATAGCTCTTGGACCCCAGTCGGGAATGCCCAATTCTTTGAGTTTCTTGCGTAACATGTTGTCTTTTATCAGAGAATAATTCATTGTTGGAAGGCGTTCTAATGGTTTTGCCGGGCTTTTGTTCTGTGAACTTCGGAAGGAGTGCTGCGGTTGTCTGTCAGGAGTTAGTATAGAACTCATCCTCCTGGCTTTCGAAGGGCATACCGCAGATAGGATGTATGAGGATTTAGAGCATTCTCTTCAATAGACCCTTTACAGTTGTCTAAATGGTTGAAAACAGCTGCTTCTTTCATTCGACGATTACACATCGGGCAGGGGACTAGGCCATCGTCTGAGAATGTCAGAAGTAAGCTTCTAGCAAAAAGAATGAATGAAAATACCTGGCATATAATCCTCATCCTTGCTATCGTCGATACTTTCTGGACCCACCAGCATAGGTTGTCGCTCAAGCTGTCTCCCCTGCGATCTTGTCCTTCTCATCTCAGGCTGCGCGTCGTCAGATTGGTTTAATCGTCGTTTCTTGGTTGCTGGATGGGACATCTCAGTGTCCTCTTCTTCTTTAGTTTTATCCGTAGAGAGTGTCGTTGTCTGGGCCTGCCGTGCGAGCGCAAGAATATTCGGTCGAGCATTTTGGAAGCTTTCCAGAATTTCCTGTACGGCCCAGTTGCGCCTGAGCTTGAGTAGCTGATCTGTAGCCCTGCAGGCCGGACATTTCCCTTCGCTACTCAGACACCTCCGAATACACAGAGAGCAGAAGGTATGCGAGCACGATGTGATGACGGGGTTGTTGAAGAAGTCTTTGCAGATTTGACATCGCAGAGCGGATTCGAGTGGCGCGACGCCAGGCAGAGAGGAGGTTAGCCAGTCCGTAGAGTCCGGTATATCAAAGGGTCTGTCCATTATAGCGATTCATCTATTATGTATAGCTGGGAAAAATTTGAATAAGAGATCAGTCGAAGCGGGCACTCAGGATGTGGCTGACCAAAAGTGAGCTGTAAGAGAAGCGTGCCAAGAACTACCTAGTTCGAAATTAAGACGCGTTAAGTGGTCCGGCACGCGTCTCCCACTACTAACTTACTACTGTTAACCAACTCTCAATGCATCAGCCAGGATAAGCCGCTTCAGATTCAAACCAAAAATGGCGGTGGATTATAAAAGATATCTTGCTGAGAATGTACTTAGTGAGCGTCGCGTGGTAAGTTTATTCAGATTCACGCTCTTCTGAAGATATTTACATTTGGGTTCAGGTTACGTACCGGCTGCTCAGTCGAGCTTTGAAAGTCCACAGCAATCTTGCCAAACAGTCAGTGAGATATCATTCTGGGAACAGATAATCCTTATATAATGCTGATGTATCTAGGATGCTGTTTGATTTCCATCGCACTGAAAATGGAAAAAAGTCAAATAGTGTGTGCGCCACTTATCTGATCAGCGGGGTTCAATCGCTGCAGAGGATACCAGTTATAAATGGCCAGTCCAACGATGGGGAAGATATAGTCATGAGAAGCAGTCCATACATGAGCTCTATGCCTCAACCCGATGATCGTGAGCGCTCTATGCGCACAACATCCTTTGTGTTGGTGAGAGAAGAGGATTTAGATGGTGAGTCGTTGTTGTGCAAGGGTATCGGGAGAATTCAGAAGTTAAACATGACCGTCCAGATGCCAAAGCTACATTCGAGTCTATATCTATGATACACATCTACAGTTTACAGTCAAATGTTCTTCCGGACCTCAATGTACTGATCGACGTTAGCCGAGAGATTCTTGCATCATTCGGCAGTGAAGACCCCCTAGAGCTAGGCAAACAGTGGGGTATGATTGAAAATCAGAATGTCAAACGAAGGAAGACAACCAAGCCGCCTTTACCTGTAACGGTGCCAGCTCCTCTGAAGACCGAAGTGCCCAAGAAAGATGTTCCTAGGAAAGAAGTGCAACCCAAAGCTGAGCCAGAAGCTTCGTCAAAAGAGTCATCACAACAAAAGATGCAGACGAAAACAACCGACAAGGCACCTACTCGTAAGAAAGGGGATCTTTTCTCATCCTTTGCAAACGCCAAGCCGAAATTGAAAAAGGAGGACTCGACTGCTTCCAGTGTCAAATCAGTGAGATTGCTCCAATTGTGCTGCTTTACGTTATCCGTCACTGATTTCCGATCCCAGGCAACTGACAATGCCCTAAAGAGAGGTAGGATTTTCTTCATGGAAACAATAGTCTCGGCTCTAACACGACGCAGGAATGTTTGACGATGATGACGACGGTGAAGATGCAGAAGGGGAGGATCCATTCGCGAATAGTAAAGAAAGCAAACCCGTCTCCAACCGAGAATCACGAAAAGAACGTGAAGCAAAACTGAAGCAAATGATGGAGGATGATGACGATGGTAGTCCCGCCTTGGAAGTATGCGATGACCGTAGCTAACATCTACTAGATGAAGACATGGCTGGTGTCACTGAAACTCCTGTCGAGTCTGCAGCAGAAGAATCTGAGCAGATGGAAACGCAAAGAGAGCCGGAGCCGGAGCCTAAGGAGACGGTCACCGTTCAAGGTGGGCGGCGCAGAGGCAAGCGGAAGATCATGAAGAAGAAGACAGTCAAGGATGACGAAGGCTACCTCGGTAGGAATCCTCAAGCTCTCCCAAGAGGATCTATCTATTAACACAAGCCTCTCTTAGTCACGGTCGAAGAGCCAGCATGGGAGTCGTTCTCTGAGGATGAGCCGGCGCCGCCGCTGAAGAAGAAAGCTGCGGTCAGTGCAACGGGGAAGAAGGGGGGACAGGGAAACATCATGTCGTTCTTTTCCAAGAAATGAATTGTTACAGATCTTAGCAGTTCACGAGTCGCATCATTGTAATTGATCGATGTATTTTGTTGTTGTCATAATATTTTATAGAGCGGGGTCCAGTGGAGTGCCTGAGGTTGCATTGCAGCATGATCGACCATCGCGCCTGCCTTCCAAAGTTGCTTGGGCCATTGGCACCTTCCCGGTGTCCCGGCGTGTGCCTTCCCCGAGTCAGTACAGCGCCGGTCGCTCTTTCCTGCCTGGACGCGGGGCTGCCTAAGGCCAACTAGCCCCTAGTTAGGCATAGTCACCTCCAAATAAACAAATCAATAAGGGCTTCCCCCTACTTTAAATCCCTTCTAAGTTGTAGCTCTCACGATACTACCTCGTACGACTAAGATCCTACCATTTCTCTATACGGCATACCCCAGCTTTCATCCCATCCCGCATTAGCTCGGCCACTGGAATGCTACCACCAAAGCTCTCCAGTCCTCTCGCGTGGGGGATGCTCGGCGATTTTCCTGTTTTCCTTATTTGAAGGGCTGATCCTCAATTACTTCCCTCGAACTTCCCTCGAATCTACCAGTATATATAGGTGGACTTGCGCGAACATCCACTTTTGGCACTCTCCAGCAGTCATGATTGTATCTACAGCTGCGGCCATTGGAGCCGCAATTGCTCTCTCTGTACTCCCTAGAGCGAATGCCGCGGCCCTACATAAACCAGCTCTGGCGCGTCGAGATTGCCCCGATTACACGGATTATTCCCAATCTCCACAGTAAGCTTAGCTTTCATCCAAGGGACGCGCTTATGCGAGGGAATATACAACACTAACGAGTTTCTAAAGCTCTCCCTACAGCGATGGACCACTCCATCTTCCTTTTCAACGCCCAACGGCAGAATGCCGGACGTTCGTATCCGAGTCCGTAGAAAAGGTCATTTCTGACGTGACTTCTCGACTGGTGGACCCAGATCTCGCTATGTTGTTTACCAATGCCCTACCGAACACATTGGATACAACGATTGCGTGGCACGTCAATGGCAGTTGGGTGCATAAAAGATCACCTAAGGCGACATGGACTGGAACTCAGTCCTTCGTCATCACTGGAGACATCAACGCAGAATGGCTGCGTGATAGCGTGAACCAACTCATGAACTATCAGACTCTAGCAAAGTCCGACACAGCCCTATATCAGCTCATTCTTGGTGCTATCAACACCCAGGCGGAATTTATCATCAATTATCCGTTTTGTGGTGCATTCCAGCCACCATCCCCAAGCGGTCTTGCTCCGACCAACAATACACAAATTGACACTGTCACCCCTAATTATGACCACTCATTCGTCTACGAGTGCAAGTACGAACTTGACTCATTGGCATCTTTCCTCTCCCTTGGAAACCAGTTTTACAATGCAACTAAATCGACCGAGTATCTCTCAGACCGCTGGTATACCGCATTGGATACCGTTCTGAAGACGCTGGATGAGGAGGCGCAACCCACATTTGACAGCAATGGTCAGTACGTTACCAATATTTACACATGGCAACGTCAGACCACCCTTGGAACTGAAACCCTCAGTCTCACCGGCGAAGGAAATCCGTTGAACAGAGGTGTTGGCCTCATTCGTAGTGCTTTTCGTCCTAGTGACGATGCGACCATCTTTGGATATTTTATTCCTGCCAACGCTATGATGTCAGTTCAATTGGGAAGGACTGCTGATACTCTGGAGGCAGTGGGTGGAAACAAGACCCTCGTCGAGGGCCTCCGTACGCGATCAGTCAACCTTCGCAAGGCCGTTTGGGAGCATGGTGTTTTTGAACACCCGACGTATGGCAAGGTCTTCGCTTTTGAGGTTGATGGGTACGGAGGACGCAACGTCATGGATGATGCCAATATTCCTTCATTGCTGGCTCTTCCGTACTTGGGCTTCTTGGATGTGAACGATGAAACATACCAGAACACCCGCAAAATGGTTCTGAGTGCCGACGGAAATCCTTACTACTTGAGCGGGTCAGCCTTCCACGGCATTGGCGGCCCTCATGGTGAGTGCTCTCACTGATGAGACATGAATTGGGAAGACTCTAGGGGACATAAGTAACAGTCGCTAACCATACACATCTGACAGAGGGTCTAACAACCGCGTGGCCAATGTCACTTCTCGTCCAAGCGCAAACAACAGACAATGATACCGAGATTATGGACTGTATCAATCTTGTAATCAATTCCAGTCGCCTTGGGCTCATTCACGAATCCATCAATGTCAACAATATTACCGATTATACGAGACCATGGTTCGCATGGGCCAATTCCCTGTTCTCGCAGACCATTCTCAAGATTGCCGAGGAGAAACCACACTTGATTTTCAATGATAGTACGCCTTACGTTGTTCCTACATAGGCGACCTGACCCAGCGCATCAGCTCAACAGACTTGGACAGTAGATAACGAATGACAACCTTATATCTATTCATAATTCCCCATTATTAGATGACATATCATATGCATAGAGATATACAATCTCCAGTCTAGACTAAAACTCTCCTCAAACAATCCGTACCGCCCAATACCCTCCGGCCTGTCACAGGACATCTTCCCTTCCCACTCTCCCACTTCCCTTCGCGATTCTTATTTGACTCCGCGGATACGCTACGCGCTTCTGATCTATCTTTTCCTTTATCCTGGTCATTCTCTTCAGAGTCGCCCACATCATCATCAGGAGTATCCCAGGCTGCGCCGCCGTCTACTCCATTCATGAAATCTATTTGTCGTTCATGGTCGCCATTCAGCCATCGGAATACACAACCATAGCAAAACACATATCCGGTTTGACATGCGGTAGGGTTCGTGAGCGGATTGAGGCAGATTGGGCATGCGCCTGCATTATCAGAATCCGGAGCTGGTATTGGAACTGTAAAGATGGGGAGATAGGAAGTTGATGATATGGGTGGCTGACGGCGGGATGCTGAAGTCTTAATGGCTGGTTTCAAGTTCGGTGAAGGGGATGTGGTGGTTTTGTTGTTGGTGGCCTTTTTCTTTAAAGAAGGGTCTATCATGCCAGTTACCACTGGAGCAGGCAAATCAAGGGTCTCGGTGACTTTGCGAGCTAGTTGCCGCGAGAAGTCGCTCGCATGCCACCACTCGAGAAATTTTAGGGCGAATATTGATGCTGGAAGGAAGAATCGTAATGACTGTAGAAGTTGTGGGTATATATTTTGGGGGCTCAATAGGCCGAGTAATCCTGACCCGGGACGCTGGCGGAGATTATTGCTACCAGGCTTGGGTTGCATGGCCGTTGCGATGGCGCGGTGGTCGGCCGGTCCCAGGCGACGAATGCGCGTTCCAATCAACCATAAGAACGGTGAAGAGTATCTTGTGTTATCAAAGAGATAGGCAAGGTTGAATGCCAGTATAGAGAAATAATATGCCGCGTTCACAGAAGGATAAACATTTCGAAGGAACCATTTATAATAGAACATGAGACGCTGTTTTATTGTCGGGTTGGGCGGCAAATCGTCATGACGGTTGTATCTCGGTCCGCCGAGGAGAGAGGATGATTGAGGTACAACATGAATGTCGTAGCTTTCGTCCAATTTGCGTTTGAGATATGGCAATCCCACCATGATAGCCAGATTTTTCCAGACATCGGATGTACGTAACCTTAGGCTCTCTCGAACTGCTGTCGCGGCGCCGATTTGCGCTCGAGGTATCTCGCCATTCTTTGTGAAGAGTACGCGCTCACGCTTGAGGGAATAGAAATTTTCTGTGAATGAGCCGCCGAAGGTGAGGAGGTAGTATCGTTCAACGACAAGTGAAAGGAGAGCGTAGAGCTCGTCGAAGTTGTTGAGGATGCGTAGAAGATACCGAGGATGTCGATGGGTCGCAACAGCTAGTAGGTACCGGATTGAAGGGGGAAGAAGGGAGGAAAGCTGTTCCTCAGCAAGAAGTTCTATAGAAGCGGTGTTAGTTTTCCGGTTCTTCTTCGACCAAAGCTTGAAACGTACCGAAAAGCGATGGTTTCAAGTCATCCAGTTCACTCTGCAGGCTGGATGTGTATTCCATGTTTGCGACTAAGAGATCAGAACTTGGTTGATGAGCGTCACATTATCAGAATTCAAAATATGAAAAGAGCAACAGCAATCTATGTGCCGCTAATCAATTCTATGGTTTTAGATAGGAGTTCGGAGGAATGAGAGATGAGCAATCGGGTAGACTGCTTTATGATAGAGGTGAGGTCGGGAAAGCCGAGGTTCGCATCCCGCAGTCCCATGCCCTAACCCTAAATTGTCTTATCATAGATTGGCTTTAAGGGGAAATGAATTTTCATGATTAAGATCGCTAGAAGTACCAGTATGATACTCCTGGAGTCAAAATATAGCATACGGACTATACAGCCTAATATAATACAGTTAAGTCAACTGCTCTAGTGTTCTCAGGTCACTTAGAATGAGCCGTTCTACCTCCCGCCACTCATCTGAAGCGGACAATAAACGAAATGTGTCAGCATCATGGCCTGCAACATGCGCACATCTTGCTATGGCGGAGATAATACTAGCGCTCGGCAGGACTGGAGGATCCTCTCTTCCCATCATCGAGATCCAAACACCCAGACATTCTCGTGCGTAGACCGGGTTTCCAGCCTCGGCGTGGACTCGGAACAGTAATTCATAATCATCAGCCGTTCTTGAGCCTTCATTGAAGGCAATAGCATGCCAGATCTCATAAAAACCGTCTACATCGCCAAGAAGCAATCTTAGCTGCATGGTCTCTCGAGTATCTTCGCTTTGCCAGTCAAGCCCAATCTCAGTCATCAATGTTCGTATCCGCAGAGCTTTTAGCCGGACATCATCAAGTCTCTCGTTGCGTAACCCCAGGATTAAAGCTTCGTACATCATATTGTAAACGCGATGTTTCCTGATTATTGTTTCTCCATTGAGAGATAGATTATCCATAACACGCATTGCGGATTCAATATCGAAATCGACAAATTCTGAGGCCGTCCTCCCCTGTTCCTTTGCATCCAGGCGGCGTGGAACGAGGAACGCAGACGCTATCTCAAATCCTAAGGGTTCACTTATTCTGTACCCTGAAGCAGTCTGCTCCAAAAACAACGTCCACAAGTATTCTTTCGTGTAGCCTGGATGTTGAGCAGATACCCCGGCAGCACCGAGCATCAAACGCAATGCAGAATTACCATTGTGGCTAGTCCCCACTGATGAATAACAATCTCGCAAAAACTCGGTTGAATTCTTGTCTTCCGGACCACTCCCTAGCTGTTCAATGGTTTCTTCTGGTGACATTTCCTTGAGAGTCGAGAATATTGCAGAAAGGGGAGGTTCCTGGCGACTTGACTCATTCTTTGCGTCTACCACCTCATAGCCGGACTCTGGGTCCACGTCCGTTCGAGCTGAATGCTGTCCCGCACCAGTAGAGAAACTTCGTCTCTGACTAAGATCGACGCGACGCAATGGTCTTGGTACATTGGAAATCGGGTGGTTAGAGTTGTTTTCGCTGGTTATAGGCGGCATTGAACGCACCTGATAATCTCCTCCAGTCGAGTATGAATGATTTTCTTCGGAATCCCCGGCTTTGACGTTATCCTTGGGGGCCCAGAGTTGTTCCAAATCAACATCCGCCCTCTTATCTTCCGTGAACATCTGAACGACAATCCTTGTACCTCCCTGGACTTTGCCAAATCCTTCAAAGCCGCCTTCTCTCATATTCTGAACGACACTTGGGTCATCCACACTACCAACGTTCACACATATCCAACCCGTAGTAATCCCGTCATCTGATGTATCCGAAATTGTCCCAGAACTGCTCGCAAGACGGGCACGGCGCGCTTTGCGTCTCAGTTTGATTTTCAGTTCGTTACGTCCAAGTAAGCCATCAGCGTACGGTCGAAGTTTATATGTGGATCTTAGCCATCGACAAAAGCGGTCTGCAGACACATTCAGATGTTTTAAGCTTCGGGCGGTTCCAATGACCATAATAACATTGCCTCCTAAGGCTGGTGGGGGATCTCTTCCTCGTAGATCCAGTAGGACCATGTCATCCAAACCGATTTCGAGTGAGAGATGTTGCAGTATTTCTTGCGTGATCGGGGGTGCATTTGCAGGAACAGCTGGAATCTCCTGCTGTCTTACTGCGGGATGAGTAGGCTCAATGACTGGTTCCACCTGCAAATACCATGGCACAGCTTGAGATGAATTCGCAGATTCATTCGTTATGAAGTATTCATTATTAGATGCAGCCGAAGCATCTCGATCGGATAAATGACGATGGGATGATTTGATGTTCAAATAGGGAGTAGTAAAAAATTGTCTTCTTTGGGGCTCGTTCGGCAATCGCGAGTTCTGAGCGGTTAGACCTACAACTCGGGTGAAAGACTGGAGCAGATATCGACGACATGTATTGCACCGTGTGCTCCTTATTAAGGCAGCAGCAGCCATTTTGATGTGCTATGTGGCTGCCAGACCGAGATGTTGTAAGGATGTCGATGTTGGCCGTTGACGATTTGATATCAGGAGGCGGAGCAAACAGTGCAAACTCCTGATAAGTAGCCAAGTGCAAACAACGCAAACATTTATCTCTTCCACAAAATTTATTCCTCGGCGGGGCAAAAGTCGTACGCCCGCGATTTTGTGATGATTAATTATTAGTAGTCTCACTACTTTCCTCCAAATAAAACGAGACGAAAGAGTGATTTTCACTTTTCTCCTCATCAAACAATTTTATATCCATTCCTGTTTAGATTTACATCAACATGTCGATGGATTTGGACCCCGGTGTCCCTATTACGGATTATAATGCCCAGCAACAGCCGGAAGCGACGTGAGTATCCCATGTCGTTGTTCAACATGCCAATTTTGCTAATCTTCCTTTCAGGATCCTTTGTTGCAACTGTGGCGCTCCTATAGACGGCACAATTTCAGCTGGTAAGTGCTTTCCATCATGAGTGATCTGTTGATACAGGAACTAACGCTGATAAGGCGCATTATGCCATGATTGTATAAAACTTACCGTTGATATCAGCCAGGATGTTCAACGTGAATCCGCTCTTCATTTCTGTCGTGATTGCGAGGTCAGTCCAGGAATATATCGCTAGGTCTATATGGCTTACTTACATTTCCAATAGCGATGGCTCCAACCACCAAACACATGGGTCAGTGCAGCACTCGAGTCGCGAGAGTTACTTGCATTGTGTCTCCGGAAACTTCGAGGCTTGTCGAGAGTCCGTATCATCGATGCCAGCTTTATTTGGACCGAACCACATTCGCGTCGTATCAAGGTCAAGATCACAATACAACAGGAGGCGTTCCAGGGCACGATTCTCCAACAGACTTTTGAGGTCGAATATGTGGTATCTACACAACAGTGCCCTGACTGCGCCAAGTCTTTCACCCATCATTCGTGGCGAGCTTGTGAGTATTAACCTTAAGTCATATTCAGTCAAAAGCCCCAATTGATGATTGAACTTATTTGTATAGGTGTCCAAGTCCGTCAGAAAGTCCCCCACAAACGAAGCTTCCTCTACCTCGAACAGTTAATGCTCAAACACAATGCTCACCGAGACACAATCAACATTAAGGAGGCCAAGGACGGTTTAGATTTCTTCTTTTCGCAAAGAAACCATGCCGAGAAAATGGTCGATTTCTTGTCGTCCGTGGTGCCCGTGCGTGTTAAGAAGTCTCAAGAACTTATATCGATGGATATTCATACCTCGGTACGACAATATAAGATTACATATTCCGTCGAGTTGATACCCATCTGTAAAGATGATCTTGTCGCTCTTCCGATGAAAATGGCAAGATCGCTGGGAAATATCAATCCGTTGACTTTGTGCTTCCGAGTCGGCACCTCGATCAGTCTCCTCGATCCCAACACATTGCAAACAGCTGAAGTGCCATCTGCCATATATTGGAGACAGCCTTTCAAGAATTTAGCCGACGTGCAGGAACTAGTTGAGTTTGTCGTCATGGATATTGAGCCCGTGGGCGAGTCAAAGGGACGCTTCTTCTTGGCCGAGATTACAGTGGCGCGTGCTTCAGATATGGGAGTGAACGACAACTCCTATTTCACAAGAACACATTTGGGCGGCGTCCTCCACGTTGGAGACTCCGTACTCGGCTATCACTTGACTGGAACGAATTTTAATGATCCCAATTTTGACGCTATTCAAGAGAGCAACCAGTACGCTTCCACCATCCCAGACGTGGTGCTAGTCAGGAAATACTATGCTCGTAAGAAGAAGCCCAAGTCGCGCAACTGGAAACTCAAGCGCATGAATTATGAAGAGGAGGAGCCTGGGCGCAAGCAAGATGCAGATCGCCTTGAGGCCGACTTTGAGATGTTCCTGCGTGATATTGAGGAGGATCAAGAGCTTCGAAGCACATTGTCTCTGTATAAGGCCAAGAACGAGACTCGCCCCCGCCCTGATAGGATGGACGTTGTCGAGGAGAAGGATGAAATGGCCGATGATAGTAGTGACGATGAGGTGCCGAAGATCAACATGGACGAATTGTTGGACGAGTTTGATGAGTTGAATATGGACGATGCGGAATGATTTGCATCTGGATATGGTAAAAATAGGATGTCATGAAGAAATGAATGGACTAAATGTGCATTTGTGGTTAGATATCAGGCGTTTGTGGAGTCACTATTCAAACTTGGAAAGTACATACAAAAGTACCGACTTGATACCTTAGAATTGATGCTTCAGTATTTTAAATGATCGCTTTGTTGATTTGTAGCTGCCAACGTTCTTCTACGGTGTCAAATATTATTTCAATAATTCACTCGCCGCCTTTACGTGATTGGCACAATCATTCTCAAAAGTGAAAATTATGTCGGCAAAAAATAAAGGCGGTGGATTACTACCCAAAAATAAGTTTCTCTACCAGACTCGTCAATGCATCTAAAGTCTTCACATATCACATCAAGTCTCAGTTAAAATGTCTTCACAGAAACGGAATAACTTCCTCGATATTGAAGAAAGTGATGGCGACCGAAGCGATCATGGATATGACTCTGAGGCCGCAGAGGAATCGAGAACCCGAGCATCAAAACGACGAAAAATTCTAGATAGCGATAACAACCTCTCGGATCTAGAAGACGACGACAACAACGATTTTCCAGCGACCTCCAACAAGCAAGATGAATCGACGCACACTCAAAATGATAACGAAGCCTCGAACCTCGAGTCAAAACAAAAGCCCCTCAAGCCACTCAACAAACCGCCCAAGAAGAACAAAACCGGAGTGGTCTACTTTTCCTCATTACCACCTTACTTGAAACCAATGGCCCTCAAGACACTCCTCGTCCAGCGAGGGTTTGGACCTATTACAAAGGTTTTTCTTACTCCCGCCGTGCCATCCACGAGTGGTAGTGGGCGACGCAATAATAAGCGTAAAACATATGCAGATGGATGGGTGGAGTTCGAGTCGAAGAAGACTGCAAAAATATGTGCGGAGACGTTAAATGCGAATATTGTAGGAGGAAAAAAAGGGGGTTGGTATCACGATGATATTTGGAATATGAAGTATCTCAAGTAAGTCTTTCATTGGCTGTTTCCGGTTTGGATGTTTTTAACCGATACGTGGAAATAGGGGCTTCAAATGGGCAGATCTCATGGAACAAGTACAACGTGAAAGATCCGAGCGAGAAGCTCGACAGCGCATTGAGGATATGCGTGCACGCAAGGAGGACAAGGTGTTCCTATCAGGTGTTGAGAAGGGCAAAGTCGTCGAAGGAATTCGGAAGAAGAGGGAGGATAAGAAGAAGGCGCAGGCCAATGATGATAATAATAATGCGGATGGCGAAGCACTGGACAAATTGCAAGTTCGTAGGGTTTTCAGGCAGAATGAAGTCAAGCAGAGAAAAGAGGATCAAGGTATTACTTCTATCGGGGCAGATGCCAAAAGAGTTCTTGGAAAGATTTTCTAGGAAGATCTTGTTTCTGTTGAATGAGTTATGTCACGTATCACTTCTGCCAATATACCATAGTTGCATACCTAATCTATTCGTTTTCGAGAAAATCTTCCAATGTTACATGTACTGCTGAGCTTAGCCTAACTTATAAGAGACGTCCAGGTACTAGGAACAAACAAAGATGTAGAAAAAAGAAATGTGTCTAGTAGTATGTATGCTATTTACACAATTTTTGATAGAGATGCAGTCTTCAAAATCATGCACTCTAAAAAGCACTTTGCTGGCTTGGGTATCATATCTATATATCTGCACTCGGGCATGCAAAAGAATCCACTCAACAGTGGGAAACGGAGATCATACAAGACTCTAGTCTCTGAATTCTAATATTCACGAGTATAGTGTTGTGGTGACGCTTGTTAAATGCGCATGAGAATGGACTGGCCCTCGCTTATTCCTGAATGTCTTTCCAGCCTAAAGGTATAACCTCGTTACATTCCTGGATATTGTGCATGCCGTACAGCAGACTTTATAGCCTGCTAAACGAAGGAAACGATATTCAACCCGGCTGAGCTCAAATTCCAAGGTACCACTTCATCCGCTCATAGACAAAGAAGCTAGTGGCACTCATGGGTATAATCTTGAGGTATCCGATTGTAAGACCGACCCAGAACCCACGAAAACCTCGCTCCAAAAATATCTTGCGAGCTGTCTCGGCAATGCTAAGCCGGTGACCATCACCCGTCGCACCACCGACCTGCATTCGTCGGCGAATCACCTCGAGCGGATACGCTGATGTCTGTGACACGAGACCCGCAGCAGCGCCAGAGAACAGCTCAGCGGACGCAGTAAGTTGCAGGCGACGTTTGCCCTGCCGTTTCCCTGACTTGCGAGGGGCATCTGAGTCGGGTATTGTGGTATATTGCGCAAGGCCAGGAAGACGGAGTATATCTCCTACGGTATCATGCGTTAAGAATGATATGCCGGCATATGGGATCATACCCAGAATGGTAGGGGCAAATCCACGATAGAAGTTGGCGAGACCGGACCGAGGTGTAACGGCGTTGATGGATGTTGAGACGGTCTGAGCGGTGGCCATGGTGGCCGACTGATTGGGACCGGCGCTTGCAGCCACTGGCCGCGAAGAAGCCTGTTCATGGTATATTTGCTTGCAAATGGCAGTATAGGACGAGCGCGCATTTCGTTTCGTTTCAAATGCCATGCGCACACGGACAACTTCTAGTGGGTATGTGAAGAAAACCGACGTAACTCCAGCTAAACTTCCAGAAATCAAACGCCGGAACGGTGTCTCCTTTTCTCTAGATGGGATGATGACCGCTCTAATTTGTTCGTACGCAAGAAATTTTATGGCAGCGTAAGGAAATATTCGCAATAAGGTCGCTGAATGCCCTTTGAAAAGACCACGAGAACCTTCGTATTTATGTATGTCGCGCATAGCCAGGGCCAGACCTGACCAACTTCCGGAATATTTAGCAAACTGCGGATTTGACGCTTGAAATAGGATTTTCACTCGATCAAGGGGAGCAACGACGGTTTTACCCTAGACATCGCCAAGCACTCGGATTAGCAACTCTTGTCTCTCCCCAAAAAAAAGCAGTATGAACCTACAGCACACCCCGCCAACCCTCCTGCCAATCCACTCCGGAGTACATAGTCGAGGCTTCGCTTATCGACTGGTTTGACGTCTGTTACTGTGCTGTTATCGGTTCGCTCCTTCGACAAGACTCTGTCTGCTGCAACTGGTGCTGTGGCATCCTCTGGGTTGTCAGACATTCCCGACGAGCGCAGTGTCGACGCCTGTCGGGACACTTCCATGACTCTATCCGACAGTCGTGAACAGCAATCTCACAGGCGTGATCCTTATTTGCGTATTGTGATGACCAAATTATGTGATTGATATGAGTAACACATGATCTGAAAGGTATATCCACACAGTATGTTTGTAGTAGATGTATGTGACTTCTAAAGTGGCGCGGTGATGATGTCTTTCGGAAGATGTTCGGCAATCAGAAAAGCACGGGACTCAGTGTTTATAACACACTCCTTTGCGCCACAAATATTTCAAGACCGCCACTCAGATATATATGACAAAGAATAACATTCTGTACACACAATGATCAGAATCTGTTTCATCTCCAGATCTGGGGTAGAAATGACAACTGAAGGAGTTTGCCATTACTTCCGCCGGTAAACCTTTAGCCGAGCCACAGCGGAAAGACACGGCAAGTCTTGGCATCATGCGCAATATTTCCGCTTACAGAATGATCTACTGCAAAATTGCTTAATGTCCATTTCTCTGATCTCAATAGATGACAAATAGTATATGCTGCTTCTTAATTCTCCAATGATTAGTAGTACCAACAGACACTACTCAGTGCGAGCCAATACTTCCAGCCAAACTCCCGCGTCAAAACCCACACGGATGATGCCAAACCATGCCAACCCAATGCCCTAGGGAGATGTCTATATCGAACAATCTGCCTCGTGCGCCGCGTCTCTATGCTCTGTCCAATGATGTATAAACCAGAAAAAAGTTCTCCAACTCCAGCAAAGAAAATAATCGAAAACCGCCCATATGGCCGCAAATCCACATATGATACACTGTAGGAACGTTCACTCAGGGGGAGCGAGAAGGAAATTCCATTGCTCTGCCCTCACGACTTATAACGTGATCCTTGTCGACTCAGAGACTTGGTCTGTTTACTGGTCGCCTTTAGCTCTTTCGGTTCGTCTGTTGCCCTCTTCGCACGCTTCGTAGGGCGGGCTGCGTCGACATGAAGGTGTCCGTTTTCATTCAGCGCCGTGGTGTTCTTCCACTTGAGACATCGATGTTTCCCGTCGTCAACGTAGGTCTTGGTCCTGGTAGACATACGCTTTGCTGGAATTTCCTCGGACTCTGCCCTCTCCGCAGTCTGAGTCAGGTACTGACGACGGTTTTCCATGTGCTTCGAAATGAAGTCTCGTTGAAGCTGAAGCTCTTTTCGTAACCTCATTTCTCGAATGCCATGTGCATCAAGCCACTTGATCAGCTCATCCAACTGACTGGACTCATCATAATATGCCCAGTGGTGGGCATCTGGGAGGCTTGTTCCACCCTCCTCACGAGCTTTGCGTTCAGCCGGACTGACCCGGTGTTCCTTGGCGTATAATTTCTTGAGGTTTTCAGGAAGTTCCAAAAATCCTTCGCGTTCCATATCGTCAGGTCCCTGAACCCACAGTCGGCCGTTTGCATACTTTGCATCGGCAGTGGAGCTGTTCGGTAGACCTTCATAGGGCATACCGTTGCGCTCAAACCACCAATATCGGTTGCAAAAGCGATCTTTACCCAGACATCTAGTTCTCGGACAATCTGCCTCGCGGAGATCATTATCAATCACCGCAATTTCATCCTCCAAAGCTGCAATTTTGGCCTCCACCTCGTCTATTTTCTTCATTATTTTTTGGTATTGCTTAGACCCCTTTGGCTGCTTCGCCAACTGCTCCCTTCGTTCTTTCTCGGCTTCCCGCCGTCGTTTGCGCTCCATAATGCGGTCCACTCCCCCACGAAGTGATGGGCCTCGGGGGTTGTCGTCCTCCGTATCCATGATCTCATCAGTATCTACATCATCCTCCGCATTCGTAGTCAGCATGGAGTCCAGATTCTCGTCCTCTAATGGCGTCTCCTTTTTTGATTTGTCATTGTCCTTATCTTTCTCATCCTTCTCCGGTTCAGGTTCGTGCTCTTTTCGCTCAGCATGAAGCTTCCGTAATTCCTCGAGTCTGAAAGAATTAGCAATGTCCATCTAATTTGATCAGCATATACTCACGCCAACTTCCGAGCACGTTGGTGCTCAATCTTCTCCTTCCGGAACTCTGTCATCTGGTTACTACATTCCTCGAGATAGTTCCTTATAGCCTTGGTTTCCAGACTAAGCATGCAGATTATCTGTAGTGCACGGATGCGGAGATTGACATTGAGAGTCAAGTATTGCTGGCCAACACTCTCCTGTGTAGGCTCAATATCGACTGGGATGAGATGTTTCAAGATCTCCTCACAAACCGCTTCCATCTTCGGCCGCACAGACAGTTGATTGAGGAGTCCAGCCATAATCAATTCCCATCCACCGTTCCGGAAGTCGCGTTTCCGCAATTTGTCAATCCAATCGTACCGCTCGAATAGAGCCACAGCTCGGTGGAGTAGCGGCTTTCCCAAGTCCGCTCCACTACCGGCATCAAGCTGTGATTGCAGATTAGCGGCCTCGGCTTTAGCCAGACTACTTCTCGTGGTCATTCGAGTGACAACTGGTTCTGGTTCAGGATTAGGCTCTTCCTCTTCCTCTTCGTCGGAACCTGAGTCATCAGAAGAGCCATGTGGTAAATCAGGCAGCGATACTTGAATTGCACCGTCATCGTCGTTTGAGGCGTTAACTAGTTTTTTGAGGACTGCACAATGGACTTCAACAAAAAGTTCGCAAGTCACCTCCTCAGAGGAAAAACGAATCGCTTCCACGAAATCGTCAAAAGTGAAAGAGTCCAGCTGGAAAACCTCGCAGTATACATTTAAGGTATTCCAAGTCTCGAGGAAATGGCTAACTGATTCGGGCTTGATTTCGTCTTGTAATAAATCGCTGTCGTCCGAAAAGCCTGGATAAGGGTCAAGCGAAAAGCTCAACTTCGGACGAGTTCTCCGCTCAGGATCATATTTGAGGTCTAAATCCTCAATTGGATACTTGATGACCGGGGGAGGGGGAGGTGCTGTTTTGATAACAACGGTAGGAACAGCTGGGAGTTTTGTATCTGCCTCGGCATCCTTCGTAGCGCGATTAACGGTCATACCGTTTTGTTTAGCAACCAGAAACGACGGGTCGCCGTTCAGTGAGCGTTGATATTCTAGAAACTGTTCAGCTTTATTTCTCGCCAGTTCTTGAGGAGTCAGCTTGACTTTCGGAGCGTTGCCGGTAGCTGGTTTGAGCTCGGGAAGTTTCTTCGACGAGAAGAATCCAAAATGTCCCTCCTGATCTGCCTTCTTCATCGCCTTCTTTTCAGCAACACGTGCACCGTACTGAAGATGCTTTGGAACTTCGGTCTCGATCTTGTATTCTTCCGCAATGTTTGGTTTAACTAGCCACGGTGCTCCACTCCATGATTCGCGGGTGGTATTGTTCTTAATAAAAGCGCGAAGCATCTGTTTGGAGAAGGTCTTCCGGTCACGCGTGATATGGTCCTGATCAAGGAGGGCCTCTTCGTGAGAGCGATCGATTCTGATCAGATACCGAGCATATGCCTCCGACTTTACGCCGCCGTCCGGATAATACTGTCGTGGAATGCTCATTTTGTCTCGAATTATGCCGTGTAAACGAGTGTTGTCCTCCAAAACCGTGGTGACATGCTCTCCAGGGTAAAAGTCTTGTTTGAACTCCTATAGTGTATTAATATTTCACCCGAGTAACGAAAAGTTCGAGGCTTACTTCAAAAATTTCATCGACTATCCGCAAGGCCGTAGTTAGTTATAAGTCAGACACTGCATCTCCCAAATAACGTACCTAGATGGTCAACTCTGGAAACGGTTGAGAATTGTACTCTCCTCAGAATGGGTTCCTTCAAGGCATCTGGGAAAGCGCTATTGAGCTCTCGAGATTCCGTCGCCTGTTCTAGCCGTTAGAAACAATCAGGTAGTAGCTTCATGGAAATATGCGTACTTCACTCTGAAGAGCCTCAAAAAATGTCAAGCCTGAATGCCCCGTGATTTCACAAATAAATCGCCGTTGTTTGTAAAAGTCCATCCGGTGTAGAAAGGATTCATAGTTTGTGAAAACTTCGTTTGTCTCTGGGATGACCCAGACCTAATGAACGGCCTAATCAGTTCTATATATACCCAACATCCTGGCTAAAATTCATACCTCCGAGCTATCATCTTCGATTGTTGGCCGGGGAAGGTATTGGACGGGTTTCCTCTTGAATAATACCTGCAGATCTGGTTATTATTGTTTGGATGATTGAAAGACTGGACAGTCGGCCTCCTACCATGGTGGTTTATGGCCGGGTGCAACAATAACCCCCCGACATAGATCGGATGGAGCGGTGTAGTTTCCCAAAAAAGAATTCCCAATCGCGGAGCTAACAGGGTTAGATGTTAGGGTTTTTGATTCCGCACGGGTATACGGTTTTCGCACGCGAGATAGCTCGAACAACCCGATGTATCCGGATTGAAGTGACGTACAACTGTTGTTCCCCGCACGCGTTCAGAAAACGCAGAATCGCTCACTTGGACGAGTAGGTAATCGGAAGCAACTTAAAGAAGCTTCGATATTGACTGGAGAAGCGCGTTGTCGTTCGGCAGCGAGACGTGGTGAGTGGGAGCTCGGTAGGAGGATGAAAGGATTGGAGTGAACGCGTTTTCGAAGCGGGGCGCATACGCATAAAACCGTTGAGCTGTCTGTAAGAGTATGTGGAGATGAGTACTTAAAGCTGGAAGTAAGTAGAGGGATGAGAAGCTGAGAGATAATGTTGATGCTGTGAGTTGGAGGAGAGAAGAGAAAATACGGAAGAAGAGGAAGAGGAAAAAAGGCGCCCATTAGGAAGGAAGCTGGTGGAGGCCAAGAAGGAAACTACAGGCCCTGCGCACGCTCATTGGGCCAGATGAGGAGAAGAAGGAACGGGCGTACTAGAACGCGCCGGGGAACCGGTCCCGCGCCGTCTTTCCTCTCTTTGGCAGAACCCTCTCACTCACCCCCAACACACCGGCCGCGCTGGGTAGAAGTACGCTCAGCTCATGGTCTATGTATTTACCCTCGTTGGAATCGTCGCATGTGAGGCAATCAGCTACAATCCTTCAGAAGACCATCGGTAATGATGATATTCAAGTCTGTCGGAGATTTCCCTACGCAGCCCCCTCCCGTGTGGGCATGACCGTTCAGGAGAATCTCTAGGATCTACTGTCCACTTGGATCTGACCTGCCACAAACGAAAGTAATCAAAGCCTTTCAACACAGTAAAATCCTTGACACGGCTATACTTCATTTGATCTGAATCTACCTGGTCATCGACTGGACTTTTCACAGCCTCTTTGTTGGCTGCATTTATTTCCTATTTGAGTAAGTATCTATCTCTCTCAAGGTACAGTGAGAGCTCGATACGTCCTTCCGCAGTCGATCGCTCATCAAGTCACCACTGGAAGGGTAAGGGAAAACCTCAAGACAGTCATTCCGTGATTATTCGTTCAAGATAATTGATCGCACTACGTATCGTGAAAGATGGTATACGAGGTTCTGTCATTGGAAGGAGTGGCAACCCATACCTTAGAATCACCATCGACTGACAGCACAATCGCTTAGTTTGAATAATAGCATGCTCTCTCTATGTCTCTCTGGAATATCTGTTCTGCTTTTTCAGCACTGTCTGTCTCTTGATAGCACAATCGTCATCTGACTTTTCCACGCGAGATTCGACGAAACCCTAATTGAAGGCAGACACCGACCAGCACTCAACGGTCGCACGGTATCTGCCAACAATAACAGATCACTAATATGCAGTCGTACGCACACTCTATGCTCATCGTTCCGAGGTAATCGAGCAACCTCTGAATGATCAATCGAACACGGCAAAAGCAGAGAGACGTGTTGTCGTGTTGTGATCTCCTGTCTGAAAATTGACTTGAGCTGGATGATTGGCTGTGGGGCCATTGGACTAATCCCTTTATGGACCAGCAGTGGAGTCGAGTGGATCGGGCAATTATCATGGGCGGAAGGCTTTTTACGCGGAAAATCATGCTCGATATACTACTACTATGTATAAACTATAAGACGTTCACTGGGATGGTATTGTATAGGGTATCAATCTAACCTGCCTAGCTAGTAAAATACACCACCATAAAACCGAGCCAGCTGCCCACAATGCCCACCGCCGAATACGAACTCATGAACATGAGCGGTACAAACTCATACCGGTTCAGGCCGAAGATAATCTGATGGACGAGCGAGCAATATAATATCAGTGGAATGCTGATAGTGATATACAGAAACGAAAATCGATCCAAAAGAAACACGCGCGGTCGCTCTGGGACGGGTGCTACTCGATCGAATACAAAGAGGAATAGGATGAGCCAGAAAATCGTATAGGCAGTTTTAATGGGGAATTCAACCGCGGTGAAAAGAAGAGGGAATAGAGAGACGTGTCCGGCAACCGCTAATGGCCGGAAGGCCCCGAGATATCGGCGATCTTTGAGTGCGATCAGACTGAAAGGAATGATAATGAGGAGGACGGCCTTTTCATGAACATGCCAGCCAAACAAGAAGGAGGCATAGCCACACAAAGTAACCGCTCCCACAAAGGTATCCCAAGTTGGGCGCAACCAGAGTTTGACGAGACATAACTGGATCAATCAGCTCAAGAAAACGGGGGCAGCAACGCGTCAGGTAAACGTACCAGCTGGAATATAAAAGTAAGAGCAAAGGTTTGTTCTTTTGTGACTTCTGGCAAGACCGCAAATGACGTATCTCCTACTAAACCACGAGTCACGCTATATACGGCTTCGTAGTCCACCGGCATTCCCAGTCTCGGAGCAACTAAGCATTGTTAGTTTCATGTAATTTCCATTGGATGGTGTAGTTCGTACGTGGTATCAAAACGCGGTCTGCAAATGCATATAGCGCCCAGATGTTGGGAGCCCAATAAGCGTGTGTTAAGCCCCGAGAAAACGGGAACAGTCGGTCTTTTAACTGAAATAGCTGACCCCAGTAGGCAAACGGACCAAATGCGAGACCGAAGACAGCTACAACGGCAATCCCTAATTTTATTGTATTTCCAAAACGGGGTCGCAACACTGATTTCGGATCCAGGCAGTATACTCTCAACAAGTAGACGAACCAAGCCAGAGAGAGGTAAAGGTAGATGTGCTTTAGACACAACAGTGCAGCGAACGCAATCGCGCTGTAAAGCATTGTTGACTGTTTTCTTGCCCATACAATGGACAGGATCAAGATACCGTATAGAAAGCCATTGTATTGAAAATGTATATGGTCAATAATAAGGAGGCCCGGAGAGAGGATGATTGAGAGGCTTGCAATATGCGCAAGATGTTTGCCGGAGCTGGGAACGGACTTGACATATCTATTGTTTATATATGAGTTCTTTATTCCTTTCTGGAAGCCACGAATATACTAACTCGTTCAACGCACTTGCCAATACCAATTCGGTAACAATCACAGTAGCACGTTGGAAATAAATGGTTTGCCACGAGTCATAGTTGAGGGTATTCACAACTAGCATTGCCGGGTCGGCATAGTATGCGAACTGGGAAAGAATCCATTCGAATGCAGCGAAGAAAGGGGGGTAATCGAGGGTCCATTCGGATGTTTTCTAAAAGTCATAGATCAGATTAGAGGGGCTGTCGGCCATGCATGAGATAATGCCGTACCTCGTAGTACCACTCCTGCACAGGCAGAGAATGAGTAATTGCGAGCCAGTTGCGGTGCACCTCAAAGTCGGTTGACTTGCTATTCAGAACGTCAGATTGAGCAAGGCGAAAATTCCGGCGAGCATGGAAGGCAGTGCATACTATGCAGGAAACAGAAGCACCTTGAATGCCGCCGCCACCACGGCGGTCTGCGCCAACGAGGGGTAGAATTCAGGCATTGGGTCAATTGTACATCGCGCAACGAGAATTGAGCCACAGACCAGCAAAGGCGTGTGCGAATGATGCAAACACAGTGAGGACTGTTAGACCCAAAGAAGCCGCTCCAGAATTAAACTACCGGCGAGGCACGTGATCCAAGATCCCTAGCTTCCCTGAGAGGCCAAGCTGTCAAGAAGTTGATTGGCCAGCGGGCCGATGCTCTCTGGACGTAACATCCAAAGCATCTTCGTGCTCCGACAAGCTCATTCCCTGTCCATGGATATGTCGGACGTTGCAGTTCGTCACACTCTTGCTCCACTGAATATTGAAGTTGTTCATCGGTTTGACACTTCTGTCGTCTCAATTCTGAGGGAGGTCCGCATCTGCGTTATTGTGCTTGTAGCTGGCTGGGTAACCACTAGCATTGTCTCTTCGTTGGCGAATCGCAAGAAGAGAGACTCCTGATAGATAGAGTTATTCCCTTCAACACAAGCCTGACTCTTCGGAAAGTCACAATTATTTTCTTGCGCAGTGGAGGGACAATTGATTGTTTCATACAAGTATATATCGCCCAGCTACGAGTCGCGCGAGACTATTTCTGGGGGCTGTCACCAAGAATGAAGTACTCTTTCGCTCTTGCATTTTTGACTGCCGTCAGCGCACAGTCGATCATTGACACACTCAGTTTTGGACATGGCTCAAGGTAGGTTGTTATGCGACAACTGCAGTAATAAGCCAAGCTAATGTCTATCTAACCTAGATTTTCTCCGAGTGGAGATAGTCTTCCAGGTTGGAAAATAAAAGGCGAGGGCCACGAACCACAAATAGTATGTTTACTCGTCTATGCGCAGAGGTGTAGAATACAAACTAACAAACCTCAAGCTCTCGGACAAGCTTATCCTAACACCCCCGTATCCTGGCCATACACGAGGTTCTATATGGGCTGAAAATGGGTATCAACTCACTAACCCTACCTTGTTATGATTTTACTAATGAACGATAGTCTCTCGCTTTCAGAATGGACTACGGAGTTCCATTTTAGAGCCAGTGGTGAGGAGAGGGGGAGTGGCAACCTTCAACTATGGTATGTGAAAGACGGCGAAAGAACCGTTGGCGCGTCGAGCATTTATACGGTTGGACAATTCGATGGATTTGTCTTAACAATTGACACCCACGGAGGCAGGGTAAGGACCTCAAGTGATATATGGTCTGGCTACAACTGGCTGATTCTTTACAGGGTGGAAGCATTCGTGGTTTTTTGAACGATGGTACAAGAGCCTACAACCAGCACACCAATGTCGATAGCTTGGCCTTTGGCCACTGCGATTACGCTTATCGTAACCTTGGGCGTCCGTCCGTTATCAAAATCGAACAGTCCAGTTCACTCTTTCAGGTGACGGTCGATGATAAGGTGTGCTTTCAAACACCGAAAGTTGCCTTACCAGCTGGCAACGTGTTCGGTGTTACTGCTGCCACACCTGATAATCCAGACTCTTTTGAAATCTTCAAGTTTGTCGTCACATCAGGCGCACAAGCTACTGCGCATTTCGGGGGACAAACTACGCAACAACAGCAGGCGCCTATCGAGGGTCGGTCAACAAGCAACCAAATCAATCTCGGCTCACTCGACGATATGAACAACCGCATTTACCAGATTAGTCAAGAAGTCTCTCAAATCGTGCAAAACATGAATGAACGTCACCAAGAGCTTCTCAACAGGATTTCGACCGGTTCCGCTTCCTCATCGTCAGACTCATCACCTCAAAGCGATGCTCGCTTGAACGCCATCGATGACCGTCTCCGACGTATTGAGACCATGTTATCAGATATACAACGCGACAATGCTGGAAAGGATTACCGTAATGAGTTTACTCGGCTTCACAAAGCCATTGAACATTCCCACGTCAGCCTGACCGAAGCTTTGCAAACGTCTATATTCAACAGTGAGTTCTTATTCCTTAAGCTAAAAAAGCCCTACTGATGAATTCTAGTGATTACCGCTACAACACCACGCATGGGTCTCTTTATTTGCGTTGTGATTGCCTTCCAACTGTTCCTAGCGGGTGCCTATGTGTACTACAAGCGTCGACGCAACGGAATGCCGAAGAAATTCTTGTAATTCGGTCTGAACTGTATATATACTTATACGATGGAAGAGATCATGGTAACGATATAGTGTATTTAGAAAAGTATCTCGGTTTGTTGTCAACTTCGTCGGTCGCTTAGCTTGGTAGTTTAGCATATCGTCCTTGTACAACAATTACAGTTATAGTTCTACTTTTGAATTCATCTACGGTGGAACCTGGCTATAACAAAAGGAAGGCCCACTAATCTCAGCTTGGATAATTTTAATATGGAACTAAAGAGCATCGTATTTGTTAATACTAAACGCATCAATATTTTGGCGGTGTCATTCATCTCTAAATCGAACTCACTTTTGGACCGGGATCCAGTATTGACTTGGGCACTGAAAGGCCTCCTGTTGTTTATATCTAGGTAACCAGGTTCTACGTAGTGTGCAGATATCCACGGATGCACTTGAAAGATAGATTTCCAAGCTTACAGGCCCTATGCGTAGCAGGAGTGAATACAAGTATTAGCACACGTAAATAATCAATGAATAGCCTTTCCCATTCCTAAACCTTCGACTAACATACAATATTCGGAATGGTCCTGGAGGCATACAAGGTAGTTAAATCATCTACCCTAAATAAAAGAGTAACATGAAAGAATAAGGACGTATACGCACAAAAAGTAGAACGAGAATGGTGAAAAGACTAATGGGAACAGAAAAAGACAACCAAAAATGAAGAAAAGACGAGGCTTATATGCCAATGATGCCTGCAATGGGCAGAACGAATAACGGCGGGAAGAACAATAACAAGCTGGACGCCGTTTTCAGCCTTTTTTTTTTGAAATTTGCAAAATAATACTTGTGATATGTGTAATAGACACGATGAGTTCTTCAAGGCGAGAAGATGCAGTATAAACTGCTATGGTACATAGATGTCAGCTTGCGTCATCATAATTGACGCTCGAGGTTAAGGAGGCGTTCAAGTGTTCAATCAGGGCTCTGCAATACCCCAATGCGACGATCAATAAGATCTTTCAATGCCTGAAGAGAATCAAGTTCATTCAAAGCTTTTGGCGCTCCGTCTGGCGAAGATGCAAGTAACACATCCACAAGATAGCCAATCTTTTCAGACTGGACGAGTTGAGCATCACGATTCTCCGTGGCAAAAGCGACAAGGTTGGCGACAGCCTCTCTATCCGCATCTGAACGCGAATTTAAAATCGCAGCTCGTGCATCATCAACAACAGTCGAAGGTTCGGGTGCGAATGCTTTTTCGTAAAATGCTGTTGCTCGTTCAACTAGTTGGTCCAATTTGCGACAGGCATAATCCCTATACTGGGCTGCGGCTGAAGCACGAACTTCGGCTTCGAAGTTCTCCCGTTTGACACGTTCGAGAAAATTGAGCTTCAGGCCATTTTCAGAAACTCGATAGACAATCCCTTGTGTTTCTGTCTCCTGTAATTCTTCGACTTCTGAATCGTCTGGTAAGACATCAACATCAATAACACGCGGGTTTCGGGGTCGGCGGATGCGGGCCTTGGCAGCATTTCCGCCGTTCTCATCATGAACGATAGCGAGCTCATGGTCAATATGATTGGGGCACATCCAGTTATGATAGGTCTTTTCACTGGCATTCTGTTGTTTCGGCGGGATTGGCATCGGCGGGTCGGTGCAGTCCATGTGCCAGTAGCATGGGCAATAGTCACACTGGATGATAGGGCGAGTACCGTTCGAGCTCAAGCCACATGCAATACAAACAATCAATTTGCCTTTGGCATCAAACTGCCGGGTAAGGAATTCTTGGTCTGATTTGCTACCTTCCTTCTTGCCTCTACCATGAGTTCCAGGTCGAAGGTTCGCCGCAACCTGCTGGTAGACGCCGCCCTTCCCAGTTTGCACGCCCTGGTAATACTCTCGTATATCGAGTGGAAGCTGGAAGTCTTGTTCGCTGTCCTTAATATTGTTCACAAGGGAGCCAAACGAGTTGCGCATTTGACACGATGGGCAGAACCACTCCCCTTCTGGAGGATGTGCAGGATCCAGAGGAGGTTCCAGGCATGAAAAGTGATACGAGTTTACGCATCCATCGCAACAAAGTAGTGAACCACTGCGCTGGCATTGCCGACAGAAGTCATTATTATCAGGACCTTCGTCTGCAGCATGTTGATTTGACACTAGTCCATTTGATTTGGCTGCTTTATTTCTTGTCCTGGGGCCTGATGCACTCATTGGACTTTCCCTGCTCAAGGAAGACCGAATCTGACTTGGTTTTACCATAATGGAGAAATTGTCGCGACGAGTGCGTTTTGCAACCGAAGCTGCATCCTCTTTCTCCTCCCCGTCGTAAACTTCTTCAATCGATCTCTTCTGACCAGAAGCATCAACCAGATTGGAAGTTGAAGAGGGAGCTATTTCTGAATCGCGAGCCCTTTTGCGTCCTCTAGTGACAGCGCCAGTACCATTTTCAGTCATGGTTGTAGTAGTGATAGGTTTGGCAGCACTCGCATCGGCCGATTTTGCAGAAGACACAGAAGTAATGCTGTTAGTAGATAGTGAGCGACTTATTGGCTCTGCTTCTGTAGCTTCGGGGAGAGGTAGGGTTGGGCGTGTTTGCTTATAGGCAGCGCGCATAATTGCTTTGAAGACGGCCTTTTGTTCTGCGTCTGGAGTTTTTCTCATCACACTATTAAGGACGGAAAGCATGAAAGGATCGGTGGTGCCTTGCTTCCACATCTGACGCAGACCTTGGGATACTGCGAGGTCACCTTTTTCTTCAGCAACACTCAAAGCAGCTTGCACCGGCGTTCGTAATTTTTCAACATCAAACTCAGATGATGTAAACAGTGGCAAAGGTTCTGAGTCAGATTTGTTTGTGACAACTTCGTTGACAGGCGTGCTGTTTTGTTGGCTGGCTGTCTTTTTGGCCGCCTTGTTCTTGTTGTTTGCTTTGGTTTCCTTGGCTGGCGGCTTGGGCGGCTTGAGCCCAGCTTTGCGCTTGTCACTTGCGTTGGGGAGCTGTCCCAAGGGCCGCATGGTAGACAGGGCTGGATTGGTGCCGTACCAGGCGCCGGACCAAGTGTAGTCTTTGTAACTGGGTTGAGGATCTCTCACAGGAGGCTCATCCCATTTCGACTCATGAACCAGTTGGTCGATGGTTATTTTTCCATCTGCTCCGACCACATGCGGCTGACGATTTGGCTGGTCACCATTCTCAGCAAGAGGATGTGAACAATTGGTCGTAGAAGCGTCCTGTGGCTCCGTGGTGGCCTCTCGAGAATCATCCATGGATTCGACACCGACGCGCGAGTTGCGGCCCGTACGGCGCTGCTTGCGCGGTCTGTTAGAGTCTCCGTAGATGTAGTCTGCAGGTGGTAAAGTTGCCGTGGGGGTAGAAGGGCGAGAATTATTCGAGGTAGCTCGAGAACTTGAACGTAAATGAGGTGCCATGGCGGTTGCAGTTTCGTTTTGATGCAAACCGAGCGGCAAGAGAATGGTCTGAAGCGGAGCGCCTCCACGCATTGTTAGTGTACGATGCAAAACTAAGAATTCAAAGAAATAAAGCTTACTGGTACAATGATCCACCTACTGGACGCAAAAGCACCAGGCTCTGCTGTAGGGTTGTGGTGTACCCGCGCGTAACCTCCGGGTTGAAGGAGGAAGAAGGACTGCGAGAGCTCGGGGAAACTAAAGTTGGATCTTTTCTCGGGAACACGCCAGAGAACCCTTTTCGGAAAACTGTAAGGAGAAAAAACTGCCCCCAAAAAGATCCAGCAAAAGAACGCTGCTTGTCTTGAACAGCAAAAAATAAAAAGAAAAATAAGGATGAATCCAACTGTGATACAAAGATAATGTAAACACGTTAGATATGAAGACTCTCCAACATATCAGTATGTCAAGGGGGTTCAGGGGTTCAGCTCTCTCCTGTAAAAGGTGATTCCAGAAGAATACAGAACGATAAAGAAAAGGGATCGTCAGGATTTTTCTTTTGAACTGACTGATCTGGATCAATAAGCTGGTGAATGGGCTTGATATCTGCTATGCACTGCTCTTTTGGAGACCCTGTAGCAGATAGTCACGGATCAGCTCGTTAGAAGACCAGGCAGACACGATTCTCCAGAGTCGAAGTAGCACCTCGAATGAGAAAAGTAGATGTATCTCAGTCTCTGAAGAGATACGACAGTCTCGCTTGGAATAGTAGAGGGTTCAGTTGCTTGCAAGTTCTCACAAGGAGAGACACGAAGAACCGAGGGGATGCGGGGAAAATTGTGGCAAGATGTAAGAGAGCACTGTCGAGATAATTCTCGAGTAAAACCAAGTATTCGAGGCTAATGTGACTGATCACTGACACGAAAAAGTGTCGATAACTGATGACAACGGTGGTGTCTTGCGTGAAAGGAGAAGGGAGGAAGAAGGAAGATGGAGGAGTCAGTTAGTCGAAGAACCCGGCCGCTGGCTTTGAAGAAATGGGAAGAAAGATCCGGCGGCTGAAACCCTAACAATGACTTTTTTATGTATTGAGAGGGATGCAAACAAATGGAGGACTCTTTATCTCAATGAGGGAAGAAAGAAATCCGTTTGTTTGAAGAGGTTGAGGGAGGATGGGCTTAGCAGATGGGAGATGATGAGAAACGGCGAGAGAGAGGCAGGTAAGACAATAGATGTATGAGGAAGCCAAAGGCCTTGTCCAAATGATGAAGGCTTTCCAAGAATAGAATACGTGGGGGTTTTCAGGACTTTCTGAACATATGAAGATGCAGAGAGGGAGGTGACGGAGTCTTGAAGGAAGAGTGAGAAATCAAGGATGATAGAAGTTTTTAAGGGGGGCGCGCAGAGACTAAGGATGACTTGGAACGACGCGCTCTGGAGGCAACAACAGATAAAATAATGAATCGATAAAGAGAGAGCAACGCAAAGGATCGAGTGTTGGTCTTTGGGGAGAGGGTGACTTGAGGGGGAAGTTGAAGTTGTAGGCTGAGTAAAGGCGTGAAAAACGAGAGCGGCGAAAGTCGGCCGACATTCCCTGGCAGGAGGAACTATCCACCCACAAGCTAACAGCTTCAACGACAGCCAAATCAGTGCAAATCAAAATCAACCAAACATTTGGACATTGTGCAAAATATCTATGATATTGATTTTCTTCATGGACTAGCGCCTCTAGCCATCCCAACTCTTACCCAGGAAGACAAGACGGCTGATATATTCTATCCTTGATACTACGTTGGTCGCCAGCTATAAGAGATCTAAACATCTTTACGTAGTTGATGGATAAAGTCTCGAATTTTCTTCATTTTTCTTTCTTTCATTGTCATGCATGCATGGTATGTACGGTCTCATACATCGCAGTCTACTAAGCTGCGACCGACTATGCCGGATCAACGGCATCATTTCCACGCTGCAATGACATGTTGACAGATGGCCATGTCATAACGCGTGCTTCCCCAGAAGAGGATACACTGGAAAATGGACCATTCCCAACAGCATACAATGACCCAAAACACGGCAAAACGGGATGCCTTTTTTACTCTGCATCGCTTTCCTCTTCTTCTCCTTCCTTCTTGGCGGGCTTCTTCTTCTTCTTATTCTTCTTTCCCTTCGATCCAGTAGACTTGGCCAATGGCTGCTCGAGGATCTTCAAGATCTCTTCATCTTCAATCTTCTTATCTGTCTTGAACTTGGTCAAATCAGGTGCAGGGGGAGCTGCCAGCCTGGTCAAACCGTTCTTGGTAATGGCTACATCAATGGTTAGCAATCTGGTAAAATACCTGTTACGTAGACTAAAAACTTACCAACGGTGGTCAACAAGCGAGAGACAGGGGCATTGTCAGAGTCACCGGCTGGCTCATACTGTCGCACGACGCCACCTCGAACACACTCGACAATACCAACTTTACCGGCCTTCTCGTCATCCAATTGGCGTAAACTGAAAGGGAAAGTTCCGAATTTCTTAACAACCTCTGACAAGGTCTGACGGGAGCTGGGGCGCTTCAATATATAGGTTGTAGTGGTTCGGCGGTGCAAGGTAGCTCGATGGGGCAAGGTCTTCACTTTACCTGAGCCCAAGCTCAGACCGACTTCGACACCCCAAACTTCTCCGACTGCTGGGGAACCTTCGCCTTTGACTCCACCGCTAGGGGAAAGGATGATCTTCTTGGTGCCTTCAATCTCGTTGCGGTCGAACAGCCAGCTGGTGGTGTTCTCGACAACATTGACGTCGTATGTCTTGGCTACTTTCTCGATCAGGCTGGAAATCTTGCTCTGGGTGGGAGGCTTCTCTGCTGCAGCCTTTGCCTTTTCCTCATCTGTGCCGGAAGCCAAAAGACCGGGGGGCACCATCAAACGCAAAAGCAGTTCATTAGCATAGTGTGTCGCATGAATGAGATCGGCTTCGCGGCCTTCCACTACACCATCTGATGATTCCTTTCCAGCAACAATGATGGAGTCGGAAACGATGGTACCGAACCCGTCGATCTGAGCACCGAGTTGGATCTTGATAACCTCGCCGGCCTTGATGGTAGTCTCGGCTTCCTCGGTATCCGAGACAAGTGGTGTATACGGAGTCACGAATGAACTGGGAGAAACCGTGGTGGGATGAGCAATGCCTGAAAAGGAGGAACTGGTCAGCTGTGCCTGCATAATGGTGGGTAGAGAAGGAATCACCTTTAGCGATCTTTTTGCCTTTGTAGACCTTGGCAATTTCCTCGTCGAGGAGCTGGTCACCCTTTTGGCAGAGCTCGACGATTTTGCTTCCCTCAATGCACCATCCTACAATAGAAGAAACGCAGTCAGATCGGTTGATGCAATGACCAGAAAAACTTCGGGATAGCACCTGTAACGGCCTCTAGCACTTTGTGGGAAATCTGAGCAGCGGTCTTGTACTTGGTGAGGGTATCTGGGTTGTTGAGGGTGTAGTCTAGACATTCGACAGTCAATTTAATGCTCATGGGCGATCAATTTCAGAGGGTAATCGGCCACTTACCAACCTCGGTGGACTCGGCCATTGCGACGAGATGTTTCCTCACGCAAAGGAAATACTAAAAAGCAATGCGACCTTTGAGATTCGACCCGAATGTATAGCAGGAAGATGCTCGTGTGCATTGAAGACGCAAAATGGGCTGGCTGGCGGGGTCGTCGATTTGTGCGAGTGTGGGGCAGGGGAAGACCAGTCATCATCAACGTCATTGCTGTTGTTGTCTCTCTGAGAGAAAACAAATACAAGCCAAGAAGCAGTGTTTACTCTTACGTGGATTCCAGCCTTAGAAATGAAAGCACAGGCGAGCCTTTCCCTACGCATCCTTACCCATAACATTCGGTACGCTACCTCGCAGCCGTTTAGAGGGGAAAAGCCATGGGCGGAGCGAAAACAGTTGCTACTCAATGAGCTTGTCTATAATACCCGACACATTGACGAATCTTTTATATGCCTGCAGGAAGTTCTCCATGTCCAATTGGAGGACATTCTTGGGGGACTAACCCAGGCTGCAAAAGCAGAAGAGCAATGGGCTTACATCGGAGTTGGTCGAGATGACGGTGAAAAGCAAGGCGAATACTCCCCCATTATCTACCAACCGGTAACGTGGCAGCTACACCACTGGGAGACGGTATGGCTGTCCGAAACACCTGAGAAACCCTCAAAATCATGGGATGCAGCGTCAACCCGCATTGTGACAATTGGCGTTTTCCGGCACCGAGCCACTGGAAAATTCCTGCTCGTCTTGAACACTCATCTTGACGACCAAGGTCCACGGTCCCGGTACGAGGCGGCCCGGATCATCCTTGGTAAAATTAATGGATATCTCGACGGGTCATATGATGAAACGATATCCGGAGTCGTCCTAGCAGGAGATTTCAACAGTCAAGAGACCCAAGAGGCATACCAAACCTTGACGGCCAAAGAGTCGATCTTAGTAGACAGCCAGAAGATCACGAAGGCAACAGAACATTATGGTAACGAGATCACCTGGACTGGGTTTGGGTATGAAGACGAACCAAAGTCAAGGATCGATTATATTTTGTTAGGGCCTGTTGACAAGAGTTCTGATGAACCACATCATCGCTGGAATTCCATTGGATATGCCGTGTTGGCCAGTCGGTTCGATGACGGGGTGTGGAATTCTGATCACCGCGCGGTAGTAGTCGATGCGGATTTGGCTGATCCCAGTATCTAATGTTTGGTGTTGGAGCTGATCTGTAAATCTTTTCCGTCGTTATCGTTCATGTGACGACAATGCAGAGTCACGTGACCCGGAAGCCACCCCGGAGTGCCGGATCCGCCAAAACAATAATAATACGGTAATGTGACGGTATGCATACCATCAGCGTCAATACGCGTAATGGAATTACAGAGAACAGTCATTAATGCTTCAGGCTGTCACTAAAAGAAACGGCTGCTCTCGACTTATTCACTTCCAAGAAACATCACATTGTATATACATCGACATGTTTTGTCTGCTCTGTCTGCCAGGATGGATGGTCGGCCGGAGACGGAGAGGTTACTGCCCTAAATGGTTAGAGCCGGCAGACTGAAAGAATTCTCCCGTGCGGACTCTCTTTCTTTTCTCCTCTTTTCCCACGGCGATGCCAGAACCAGACAAATCAACTTGCATAGTATCGAGTATTTTACATACTTTGTCACGTTTTATTCTCCAGAGTCTCCTCTTCGGCTCGGCATCCCGAGTCGCTCTCTGTCGCTGTTGTCTCCAGCCAAAAGTGGCTGCAGCACTCAGTCCGGCGCTTGGCAGCCCCCTTCCACGTCCTCTCAGTTCGGACTCGCGGCAAAACAGACTCCAGTCCAGACACATCTCAGCCATACTGCGTCCCTGTGTCCCCATAAGCCTGGATACCCAGCTAGAAACAGTAATCGGCAATCCTCCGATTTTATTATCGTCATCTCATCTACTGTTGGGTGGCGCGCTTCCATCGGTTTCTGGTTTTGGTATGCACCCATTGCCCTTTCTCATTTCATCCATCCCTGTCAATCTTCAGGACAGAGAAAATATGGCACTGTTGTCATTGGCGCGTTTACTCTCTGTCATTGGAACTATATCGACATGATAATGCGATCGTGGCCGCGGCTACGACTGCCCGTACGAACAGTAAACGGCTAACAGTGCTGCTACAGGTCCCTGGAAATCAACGATGCGTCTATAGGCACGGACCGCTGTCATTCTCCGTCAATCGCGAGCTATTCTCCACGTGTCCCTCAAGAGTGATACGTCCTTCGCATCTGCTCCACGTCGTTGATCAATCGCCATGCCTTCACCCGACGCGTCAGAGACGGATTCGTCACGTCCAGTCTTACCGACTGGCGACTCACAACCCGCCACCAACGAGTCACAAGCTGTTACGGCTGACTATAACTCCAGATCTGAATCGCTTAACGGTTCGTCGGATAAACAGACCAATGGCCCGGTACTAGATTCCATATCTGAGTCTAAGCAAAACGCAAAAATAATGCTGCCTGCATCGGGGGTCTCTCCAGCCAATTCCAATTTATCCGAAGGTCAGCAACAACATACAGCCAACGGGACCAATGGGATTAACGCGAGTCGAAAACGCTCACGGTCGGGTTCTGTTATCTCATCCTCTGCTCCAGAAAACGCGCCCGCCACTGTGCGAGAGACACCGGTGGAGAAAGTTCTTCTCGAGCAGTATGTGTATCGGGAGTTCCAGCACAGTGCTTTAGAGGCCACTCGTAATAAAAGCCAAGAACTCTTCCAACAAAAAAGAGCGGAGCGGGACTATTTATTGGCGCTGCGTCGCGAAAACCAGCTTAATCCTGCGGCAATTTACGGTGTCGGCTATGAAGGATATGGCAATGCACGGACGGATCTGAGGAACCAGCACCCTCAATTACTCTACCCGGCGAATCGGCGTCGTCCCGGGGGAAGAAAGACTAGGGAACTGCGGATATCGAGGAAAGATCTCAAGGCACAAAGTGAACTCCGGGAAGACTTGGTTCCTATTCGATTGGACTGTGATTGGGATAAAGTTAAAATCCGTGATACATTTACATGGAATCTTCATGACAGGGTCACATCTCCTGAGCTATTCGCCGAAAAGCTCGTTGAGGATCTAGGGCTTCAACCCGAAACATGCGCACCGCTCATCCGCCAAATTACGCAGAGTATCCAAGAACAGTTGACCGATTACTTCCCCCATGTGTATATGGAAGAAGAGCCGCTCGATCCTCACTTGCCTTATGAAGCATATAAGAATGATGAGATGCGCGTTCTTGTCAAGCTCAATATTACCATTGGTCAGCATACTCTTGTTGATCAAATCGAATGGGATATCAATAATCCATATAACTCCCCGGAGGACTTCGCTTTGCAGATGACGAATGACTTATCACTGTCAGGGGAGTTTACGACAGCCATTGCTCATTCAATCCGAGAACAGGTCCAACTATTTACCCGCTCCTTGTACATTACAGCACATCCGTTTGACGGGCGACCCGTCGATGACCCAGACCTCAAAGCCGCCTTTTTACCTTCCCCTATGCCATCTACTTTCCGACCATTTCAGGCAGCCAAAGACTTTACACCTTATCTATACGAGCTCAACGAAGCTGAATTGGAACGCACCGAGGTATCGATATCGCGCGAACAACGAAGACAGAAACGGTCCGTCAATCGTCGTGGCGGTCCTGCTCTACCAGATCTTAAAGATCGACAACGAACGATTCGAACCATGATTGTTTCCTCCGTGATACCCAATAGCGCCGCCTCAATTGATGAGACCCGTCTGTTCAAGAGATCGGGAAGCGGGCGCACGAGACGAGCGGGTGGCGGACAACGCGATGGTCTGGATGATTCGGACCTGTCGGACAGCGATGACTCTTCTGTTGGTTCTCCGGCTATTGGTGTCCATCTGGCTCAAGGCACAGCTCGCACAAGAGGTATGAGGGGGGCAGCATCCGCTGCACAGGCTGCCATGCGAGCCAACCTTGCACAATCCGCTACACCCGAACCCGCCTCACATCATCATGAAACGCGAATATCACGACGGCGCGACTACCGAGAGGAAAGTTCAGAAGAACCCGAGAAACTTGTTGTCACATTCAGAATCGCCAAAGATCGATTCAGACAGTTGGTTTCAGATCTAAGCAATCGAAAACGACCAGTGACGCCGAATTTCCCCGTACAGGTACCGACATCGAAGAGCAGCACTCCTCAGTTAGCAACCCCTATTCAGAGCAACATGCTTCCACCCAGCACTCAGCCTCAACACGCATCCACGAGCCGTCCGGGTAGTACCAGCGCAGCTCCACAATCGCATACTCCGACACCACAAATTGGAGCTGTTGATGCTCCTCATCCCCCCCAGCCGGGTGTGCCACCTGTAAGTTGACGACTATATTACATTTGCGGTCCGAATGTATTAAGCACGTTCATGAATACTAACCCGAACAACTCTTATTCAGCCTGCCGCACCCAGTTGGCTTATATCTGGGTTAGAGAAACTGAAAAAGGGTTATCCAAACGATAGATTCGAGGGAGTTATGCGTTACTCTGCAGTGGATACAGCAACAATGAATCCCGTAGCGACCTCCAGTGGACCACCACCAAATATCAAATTGAAATATCAATACCTACCTCGTATTCGATGTCTCGATTGTCCCGGCAAGTTGTATACACCTGGTCCCGGCATGACAGTGGAGAATTTTGAGGTCCATCTAAGGAATCGACTACATAAGGAACGTGTCGAGGCAAGACTGGCCAGATCTGTAGGCGGTAGCGCCGGTACTACACCTGCATGATATGTGACGATGACTTGAACAATGTATGATGTTGCGATGCATTTGAATTGACTTGACCTGAGGACAAACAAGAATACAATCAATACCTTGTTACGAATCTTGTCTGGATCTGTCAATCTCGTTTCCTTGTTTTTTTCCCGTTTTATCCGCTTCTCTTTTTTGAATATTACTATTAGTATTATACAAATTCATAGTACATATGGAGAGTATGGAATTCGTACACATGGACTGCATCATAACATGAGCTAAGCTATTTGCTTCGTGGTAGATAGATACACAGGTATTTGGATAAACATGAATATTGGTTTGGAATCGAAACGAACTGAGATATGATTTGCGACACTCATACATATACCATGAAAACGAAGACATGCGCAGAAATCACAAAACGGAGATTTAGAAAAGGAAAGGCAAGATGGGTATTCGGTAAATGACAAAGTTTGAAATCCTGATTGATGGGGCCTTTAATTTCGGAATGGCATAGAACATACACGTACATATGTAAAAACAGAACAGTCACATAGGGGAACGAACATTGGATAAGACACGATCAAGCACGTCTGCTCGAACGTCGTACTGGCAACGCCTCTGTTCTTACGGACTTTGTAGAACCAGAAGATGTCCTCTTACCTGCCGCCTTTTTCTTCGGCGTTGTTTGCTTTTCTTCTATTTCTTCCTCTTCTTCTTGGTCTTCGTCTTGCTCTTTTGCGTCGCTCATTTCCTCGTCCTCATCGTTCGCACTGGCTGCATCTCCCACATCACTCTCGTTAGCTTCGTCCTCCTCCTCCCCATCTTCATTCACCTCCTCCATCTCTTGATCGTCTTCATCACTGTCACGATCAGCATAGCTGACCTTTTTAGAAACACCCCGGCCACTTCGCCTTCGTTCTGCGGCGAGGTCTTTCTCGTCTCCATCAAAATCAGAACCCCATTCATCCTCTCCCGTCTTCTTCTTGCGGAATAACTTTGTGTTCGCAGATGTAGACGCTCTGCGTGGAGCAGTAGAAGACTTTCTGCGGGCCTTTTTGGCTTCACCATCGCCGTTAGTATCAGCATGTTCACTCTTTCTCTTCTTGCTTGCGTTAGCTGCCTGAGTAGATTTCCTCGGCCGCATCCACGACCGTACAATGATGTCAAGGCTGTCTTCTATGTCTTCTGGAAGGAAACTCTTATCGGCTACTTCTTGTGCCTCTTTATGGCTTGACATGGCAGCAAACAACGAACTAGGAAGCCTCAATTTGCCCGGGTATGTCTGAAGAATGCTTGCACCACCAGTTGCACCTCCAATCCGGTTCTGCTGCGCATATATCTCTGCAAATCGACGGATCGTTGCCTGCGCAAGATCTGATAACGTGTGTAGTCGCTCCGTGATTTCGTCAGACTTGGTGATGCCGTCTCTCGTTTGTTTGACTCGTTGCGCCACGTGAAAGATCAACGATATATTATTCTCGTTCGCGACAGCTGACAGATAGAAAAGGATATATCGAGAAAAGTCTGCCAACTCGGCCATGCGAGTTTCAGGGTCTTCGCTAGCAGGAGGATAGTCGGGGTGATAAGCCAGTAAAGAAAGAAGACGTGCAAACATGGATTCCATCACAGGCTGGTGTTCCTTGCCTTTGCTGCTAGCTTGCATCTGGCGAGAGAACAGAGTTGCGCGCGAGCGAAGCCACGTAAGCGTGCTGTCTTTCAAAGTGACACTGGGCTCAAACGCAAGTAGGCATGGTAATGTATACCAACGGACACCAAGGAAAGATTTCTGTGACAGTCTCTTCCGCAGCGCGTTGATGAAACCGGATCTGACAGGGAGAAGGCGGTCTTGAACAACCAGGGCTAGCGAATTGAAATCTTTCGGCAATAGAAGTTGGTCACAGGGTCCTTGCGACGCGGACAACTTGATTAATAATTTTGCGGCATCAAGGCGCAAACGAGGTTTTTGAGTATCAGGTGTATCTTTTTTCTTTGATATTTCACCCTCACCAGCAACAAGCTTATTCAGAATACTATAAACCGGTTCAGCAAGCTTCTGAAAGTCATCTTCATCCGTCCCATCTTTCCCTCGTAGTCGATTGACAATGATTCTGAGTGCCCATTGTTTAGCCTTGGTCTCTTCGTCAAGCTCCTCGGACCAGGTATATCCTGAATCCGGCTGTTTTGATCTGTTGATAAGGAGGATTTTATCAACTGCAATGGATATAATCTTAGAGCTTTCAGCATCAACTTCCTTGGGAGCAAGGAGATTAAGCTGCGCAAGTGTAGCTAAGCGTGTCAAGAAGTACTTCGAGCCGTATTCGCAGTCCTTGACGCATTTCTGCACGAGATCTTTCGCGTACATCTCTTTTTTGTCGGCAATGGCCATGATGATCGATACAGCGCGCTTCGCCCCTCGAGGAGATGAGCTGTATAGAGCGTACGCATTCAGTGCCTGTAAGAACTTTCTTTCTTTGGGCAGCTTCTCAGGCAGCTTTCTGGCGAACCCGGAACATGCCTTGAGAGTCTCCTCCGATCCCGAGTCATCCGGTGATTTGGCACTTGGAGCTTGCTCTTCCAAGTCCTTACACATCTCCTGCACTTGCGCTTCCAACACCTCAGGGTTGCGGGATGAGATTTCTTTCAGAATTTCGTGTGCAGGTACAGCTAGACCTTTGTCGTCAGTTCGTGAAAATTCCATAATAGCGGGAATATGGCTCCTATTGAAAACAAGAGAGCTAGAGCGATAGAGCAGGGGAGTGAGAGTATCCAGTAAAGATGGGGTGCTGCCGCTTTGTATCCTCTTGGCTAATTCTTTAATGGCTTTAGTGACTGTTCGATAGTCGCTTTGTGCCGCCATAGCAAATCGTATAAGCTGATAATTACGTCGGTCATGCATTTTGGCGAATTTCCAAAGATCTGAAAACACGCGGGAATGATCTGGCAGCGATTTCGCTACAAGATCAATAACTCGACCAAGTTGAGCCTTAATGCGCTCTTCATCTTTCTCGATGACACCACCCTAGATATTATATTAGTCATATCACTATGAAATACACTGAGAATGGAGCTCACATTGTATTCTTCGCAGGCCTGTAGATACACATTCAAGGCTGTCCGCAGGTTCAACTGTCGATTCTGAAATGCAAAGAATACCTTTTTCGACTTTTCGTCCAGGCTCTTCACCAAAGTCAGAATGCGCTGTACTCGAACTCGATCCATCGTACCCTCCGCCTCTTTACCCTTACTCTGCTTCGACTTCGATGAGGGATAGCCAAGAGGGAGCAGGTATTCGAATTGCACTCGGTCAATGAGAGCTTGAATCTCGGGATCGTTGGTATAGAATGCGTCATAAATCTTGGATGGCGCATCTTTGAGAAGTGACAGTACTTGCTCATTGCCATCTTCAATCTCGCCCATAGCGACTGCCCATATCCTCGCGAAGACTCTCATGGCACGGTCACGGACAGCTGGTTTACGGTCTTTGACACGTTCAGCAAGGATGGCAAAAATCGAATCTGCCGATCCGAGACCCCCGCCAACGCCCAGTTTATTTACAATGTCTGTGAAACCCATTGACCCAATAGCTTCCACACCAGCTAGACGAACCTTTTCATCGGCGTCCCGGAGCATATTGGCCAGACTCTTGACCAGGGATTTCTCATCACTTTCGCTCAGACCGGATCCGCCCGCAGAGGTTCGGATAATGCGCCCTATCGCAGTAGTCCATGCTGAGCGGACGGAAGCAGACTTATCCTGCCGACGACTCAGAAAACTCTCGTAGGCTGATGAATGAACTTGTGCAAAAGGTTTTGGCGCTAATGGCTTCTGCAGGACATTCGGCTGAGGTACTGTTTCGGGATAGCCGATCAACGTGACAGGCGGATATTGTGCAGGATCCATTGGGGGAGGAGGAGGGGGGCCGGATAATCCAATCCCGGCCGCAAGATCGCCAATGGTTTCTGTTGCAAGAAGACGAAGAGATATCGATTCTGCTGATAATTCCGCTTCTAATTGCGGGATAACGTTCTGCAACACATCGGGACACGCACGCCATAGTTCTCTGATTAGCCGATGAGCTTTTCCAAGCTCCTTTATATCTTCAGTCTCGTCGTCTGACTCATCCAAGCTATGTCTGCGGTTTGATGACTGTTTAGACCCATTCAATGTATGAGATGGAGCAGAGGCATCAATGATGACATTGTTGAAGTACTGGCTGATATAGCTGGTCATTTTTTCGGGGCACGCATGACAAATAGCTTTGGCCATATCATAAGCCGGTGGATATTCCTTGAGAAGGAGAGTATCCTGGCTTGGGTCGATCTCAACCTTTTTACCCTTCTTCCCCGACTGCTCGAAGACGCGCGGCTCGACACGAAGGAACTGCGTGATTAGAATGTCCACCACTTCTGGCGCCAAGGTCGGCGACTCATCAATAACCGTCACCAGCAGACGGGTCATATCGTACTCGACATTCTTCGCGACTTGTTCACCGGTAGAGGACTTGGAGGACCCTTCCACGATGTCGAAGCAGGAGTTGAATAGAGGGAGGATGAGAGAGTCGGGGTTGTCTAAGTCCGTTAAAAGCACGATACTCTTCACTTCGGCTAGTGAGTTTAAGACGTAGATGTGCTGCGCATTGTAGGCATTTGAGGGATCTGCGAGAGCCGGAATAATTGAAGTGACGATGCACGTAAATATATCCTGCAAGATTAGCACATAAGCTCAATAAGATCTAATTCCGAGGAAATGGAGAGATGGTCACACCTTCAATTGATTTCCGGTAAAGGGGGCGTCTGGCGCGCATAGACGTAGGATATCCACGATGCAACTTGTAACCCACGCGCGTACTCCTTTGTCTCTATGGGCCAGCAGGTGGCCATTGGCTAATTCTTGAGAGACTTTTTTCAATGATGACTTGTCGATATCATCCTGTTCGGTGGTCGATAGTTCATGCGCAAGAGCTTGAAGTCGGCTCAATAAATCGGCGACAGGAATGGCGGATTTCCCCACGCGCCATGACAAGGGTTCATCGAAGCGCAATTTGCGAAGACCATTCTGTTCATCTTCCGGCTCGACGACCGAGGCCGTCGAGGTTACAGTTTGGCGAGTGCGCGCAGGCATCGTTGCTAGAAGAGCGGGGAAGCTGGCGCAGGACGTTAGCGAATCATTAGATGGTGTGTATATCTCCTGAGGTAGACAGAGCGACAGAGGAGAGTAGTGTAGAAGTGCGGAGTAAGGACGAGTGGAGATGAGCGGCAATCGGGGGAGATTAAGAGAGGAAGAGAGACACTGAAGTCGCGATGCCAATTGACATGCCTTGAAATAAAAGTTGGAGATAGAAGAGAGACAAAGAGTAGACAGATTAGGGAAGCAAGCGCCCGACGCGTCTAGCGTGTCCGGCGGGAAGCAGCCAGCAGCATCGCGTGCATACACTTACACAGGACGGACTATAGCTACAACTACACAGTCTCTTGTAACAGTCGATTGAAGGAGTGCAATCGGTATTTACAATTTATACTTTATGGTTGTTTTACCAATGTTCTCTCTAGGTTGTCCCCTGAAAATATTCGATCAACAGAGCAGTAATTCGTAGCGGCGTTCTGATTGGTTGTTGACTGATAGAGTCATGTGACTTGTTGGGTTATTATGCCTGTTAGTTCAGGCATCAACAATCTTGGTGATTCCGTAAACGGAATAGTCTAGGGCACGCCCTTCGCTTAGCGAGAAGTGTGGAAAGAAGCACTCAGCCTGGGGCTTGCCCATTTTCGAGATCTCGAATTTTGCTCCCGTCACGACAACTCTCGACGACATTCACGACACACCGACGAGGTTCGTTGATCGATTCATATTACATATCAACTGAATATTTAATTGACGAATATTTTCCAGATGGCCGCCAAATCCCATATCCCGATCGTCAAGAAGCGTTAGTACCCCGTCCAAGTTATCGGAATAGAGAAGAGGAGGAATTGAAGATCCAGCATTACCTACATGGGGAAAGGAATATGGAACAAATCGACTGATGGTTTTTGAATACAGGCACGAAGCGCTTCTTCCGCCATCAATCCGACACCTTCAAGGTAACAATCAGAGATTTTGGGAATGAACATGGACTTATTCGTGGTTTAGTGTGTGCCTTCGTCATGGCGCAAGCCCAAGGGTATCGACAACCGTGTCCGTCGACGATTCAAGGGCACGATTGCCATGCCTTCGGTACGTTTTTTAACAATCCAGTGCAGGGAAAGAATGGCTTCTAACGGGGATATAGATCGGTTATGGTAGCAACAAGAAGACCCGCCACTTGATGCCCTCTGGCCACAAGGCTTTCCTCGTCCACAACACCAAGGACGTTGAGCTCCTCCTCATGCACAACCGCACTTACGCCGCTGAGTACGTACCTCCTACGATATACAACACTTTAGTACTAATAAGACAACAGGATCGCCAGCGCCGTCTCCTCCCGCAAGCGTGTTGACATTTTGGCCAAGGCCAAGGCTCTCGGTGTCAAGGTCACAAATGCCAAGGCCCGCGTTACCACCGAGGCATAATTATTTTCAAGCAGTGCATCATGAACAGGATTATCACGTTACTTGTCTTTTTTCCTTGTTCTTGTTTTTGCGCGTGGCCGAGGTTTTCGCATCTCAACCTCTATTCTTTTCTAAAAGGGCTGAAAGGAGTGGAAAATGTGTCTATTTAAATGGATGGTTTTAATGGAAATTTCTTTTCAAAGGAATCTCTGAAACGATGATACCAACTATTCCCATGGTCGATCTGGGAAGGGAGGAAACTTTTTCTCGTCATCAAAAACGCATGAGTGATCGATCGACAAATATCAATCAATTGTTATGAGGAAACGGAACGCTAGGTTAGGCTAGGTCTGGGGAAGTGACCGCATCACTTCCAAAACTTTCAAAAAGAAATGCATTACCCTTGTTGCGTCTTCGTTGCTGTAAAGCTTCTTGATAGTTGTAGCTGAAACATTATAGATGTGTAACTTTTGAGTATGGATTGCTCCCTATGCAAGAATTATTTACAAAAAGCAGTTCCATATGATGTCGTCTATTCAATTGTCACATCCTTCCCATCCCTCAACTTCTGCGAAAGATTGACCATACCAACCCCTCGCACAAGAGCCAGGACATCATCTTCCCTGGTCTCCCCGTCCTGACCACCACCAGCAAGATTCTCAGGTTTAGAACCCGCAAACCCATTGTTGATGATCAATTCCTCGCCCTCGCCTGGATCGCGCCAGTCCGGAATTGAGGTAGGTCCCTCCATATCTGGCGGCGGGAAAGCCCACGACGGTAGCGCACTTTTGTATTTCCATGTACCATTATTATCTGAATATCGGGCTGCATGAAGGAAAATCCCTAGTTCATGCGCACCGGGATCTGTGTAGAGTGGCGCATCGCATTCCTTGCAGATTTCGCCAGAAAGTCTCTCACCTTTGCGTTTGTGGTAGTCCTCTACAGCAGCTTCGTGTTCACGGAACATGATGGCTTCAATGATATTCGGATCTGTGTCCGGTGCCACGGCTGGTGGGCATGTAAGATGGGTGCGGTATGTAGTTGTGTCTGCTAATTCTGTTTTGCCCATGTTTGAGAGTCGATCGATGATCTCCTTATCGTTTTCGGCGCTGTCATCGTGTTTACCCAGACTAGGTCCGAAGACACGGCGGTTAGAGTATATGGGATCATTGGAGATTGGGTATCCCAGAAACTGGAGATGGACTCGAATTTGGTGCGTGCGGCCTGTCAGAGGGAGACAGTGCACGATACTGTATCCTTCTTCCTCGGTGGTTGTAGCTGGTGGCGTAGCTGGACGATCTCCGCTTGCCGTTGTAGCATCAACACTCTTTTTTGGTGAGACTGGATAGTAGGCTATGCGACGAAACTTAGTCCTAGCTTCCTTGCCAGCAGCACGAACCCGATTCAACCCCAGTTTCGGACTAACGGCCATGATGGGTTGATCGCAAAGCACAACGCCATCAGGAAACCGCCCACTGACTCTGGCCACATACTCCTTTTGCACACTACGCTCTTTGAGCTGGGCGGAGAACTCCTCGGCGGCTCTGGCATTCTTGCTGATGAACATTACACCAGACGTCAATCGATCCAGTCGATTACAAGGCAGAATCTTGGAGCCGGGACGGTCTGCTTTCATGATTTCGATGATGGAGTTGTAATGATATCTTCCTGCGCCGTGGACTGGGATTCCAGCCGGTTTATCAATCACGATCATGTCATCATCTTCGTGGATTATGCCGATTGGTTGAGAGCTAACGGGAGGTTCATGTCGGTGGGTGGAATGCGAGACGATTGCTCCGTTGGGAACGATGGTATCGAGATTGGCGACTTTTCCAGAGATGAGGACACGGCCTTCTTCAATGGCTTGTTTCTGTATTGTTGTTAACATGAATATGCGACAAGTGGAATACTTATTACGGACATAATATTCAGCTGTGCGATCTCTAAACTCGGATGTAAAAATGTCATACACCGTCCTACCCCGCCATCGCTCCTTGCAGTATGTGTTGTAGGTATAGAAGTAGGGCTTGACTCGTCGCAAGCCCCCTTCAAAATAAAAGCGATCAGCATCGTTGATCGGCTCTGTGGCACTGTCTTCAGTGGACGTGGTTATCGGGGGGACTGCCATGGTTCCGCTGTTTGTCTTTTCAATGGCGGAGATGAGGCTTGGTAGGTATCGATAGCGAGCACAAACAGTGCATTTCTGTATGAAGCTCAATTTGTTGGTGAAGGCTCTATTGGGCCCCGAATCTTACGTGAGCGATTGGGTGTTATTGAGCGGAAGGCATGGGTAGTTGATGCCGAAGCAGGTCTATAAAGATGAGAATATATTTTTTGAGGCTAAAAAGGTTCCTCACGGGGAAACTTGCAGGTTGCTTCTGATTGGCTCCTTGTGACTTTTAACGAAAGTCTGAACTTCGCTCTTACATAGCCCTGGAGGTACACTAGAAAAATAACTGAACTGATTTGGAGAATCAAATATCATATTCAGACGACCTTGGATGCATTTATGTATATTGATATATTGATGCAATCCTGATCATATGATTGGTCAGTCGAGCTGTTGCACTGGACCTCGGCTTGACTACGTACGACGTCTCTGACTGAGACATCGTTGAGAAGTCACTAAAGTCGATTGAATTGAAGTACAAGAATTACAATGTCAGACAAATCCTCCAAAAAGCTCCGAACGCGAGCAGACTATCCATTTCATCTAGAGTATCGCACACGATGGTAGCTTCTTTCTCTTCATCTGCTAAGTTATTGATCTCACGATTAACTTCTACAGGTCCGATAATGATATGTACGGCCACCTTAATAACAGTATATATGCCTTCCTCTTCGACTCCATAATCAACCACTACCTCATCAATCACTGCGGCATTGATCCTGCACAACAGCGACCCAAGCAAACCCAAAAGCACAATCAGATCGGCCTTGTGGTTTCTTCGTATTGTGATTATTTCGCTTCCGTAGCGTACCCTGATGTTTTGGAGCTGGGGTTGAGGGTTGTTAAGCTGGGATCGTCAAGTGTGGTGTATGAAGTCGGTGTGTTTAGGGCTGGGGAAGAGCTCGTCAAAGTTGTGGGTGGATTTACGCATGTGTTTGTGGAGAGGGAGACAATGAAGCCGAGGAGTAGTGGCGGGATGGATGGCAGTGTCAGGGAAGGGTTGGAGAGGTTGTATGCTGCAGACAATCCCAGGTTATGATACTCTACGTATAAAGCTCATGAATGATATGTTTCATTGAAGTGTATCCCGCCTTCTATATTCTATTCCGTTCCTCGATTGGCCTCCAATAACGCCGTCGCTCATAATATTAAATCATGACTGTAGAAAAGAAACCCGCTTGCTGATAGATAGTGTAGCATGCTGAAGAAAAAATTTTGTGGACAAGGAATAGTAGTAAAAGTGGAACAATTAAGCAACACTGCTGGTGCGCGATGTCATAGGCGAAGTCGCAGCAGAGCTATCCTCGTACGAGGTCATTCGTCGCATAGTCATATTCTCCTTATCGTAACACCACTTGCGGTATGGACCGGGTATGAATCTGCCACGGGAGTCCCAGCCAATAACCCAAGTGAAACCGTCATCGAGTTGGAAGAAGAGACATTTTTGGGGCTCTTGACCGTCTCTTAAGTGTACGCGGTGGTAACGGCAGCGTTTTTCCATGTCCGAGGCGAAAAGATAGCGGTGGACGATACGACAGTAAACGACAGGACGGGGCTCGGATTCGTCCTCCTCATCACCGTCGCGGCGTATGAGGTGCCAGCCTCGTTCTGGGAAGTAACGATAGGTTCCTGGGACGGGGGATTCCCAGTGCTCGTCTTTGGTGGGATGCCCGACAACTCGAGTTCCTTTGTCGAACCAGTACAGAGGACAGATGACATTGCGCAGACAGATGAAGATGTTTGGAGCCATGGCTTATGACTCTTTTGCTTTGAGTGATGACTTTTGTGATGAAAGAGGTGGATGTTGAGGAGAAATTGGGTTTGTAGGCTGCAGCTGTCAAAGGCTTGTGACAATGACACAATTGGCTGTGTGGTCGTGAGTCAAGTGGTGAGTCTGTAGTGTTGGCTGTGACAGCCGCCGGGGTTATTGAAAGAGGTCCATGGCGTGAAAGAGAAAAAGAAGCAGATAAGCCACTGGAATTTATAAGACAAGTAAGGGGAATAGTTGTCTACTTGGCCAAGTAGCAGGCTGGTAGGGAATTGGGGAATTGGGGATATCCAACGGAATGGTACAGCGGATGGGACGAGATAAAGAGCAGGAGAAAGATAGGGAGAAACTGGGCCAAATAAATGGTGGAGCAGGATATCGGAGAGATGATCACAATGACAACAAAAAAAACCACTGAAACAGTTTGAAGTCACCGCCAGATGGAGCTATCCTCAATCCCGGGCTATATCGAGAGCATGGCCCAACGCCAGGATATGAGTGGACGATGCCGTGCAGCTCTAGCGATTATTTTCTTGATCGGGACAGGATGCAGGATGTTTAATTGACTTGTTTTTGAAACAAGAAAAAGAAAAGAGAGCATTAAATAATTGTTGTTGTTATTACACGCGGTGGAGCTGGGATATCAAATTTTTTGAGTGGCTCAGGCTAGGCCCGGCTATTCCTAGGCTGCAGCTAAGGCACCAAGGCACTAAATTCGCGGCCCGCAGCCGACCCACGGCTTCATTCAGCTTCTCAGCTTCTTTTCTTTCCAGATTCTCTTTTCTTTTTGACCTTCCAGGTGTTGCCCTGCAGGTTGGGATCCAGTCATTGCCTGGCTCCTTACGTTATTCGCCTCGATGTATAGGGATAATTGAGTCAGCAAGAACCCACTCTACACTGACTCGATGGAACGTACTTCGGATTGATGCACCACGTCCAGAGACTCGCTCGCTACGGACTAACATAGACTGGGACACAGTGATCAACAACATGTGTGGCGGCCCGGCTGCGTGCTGATTGCTGATCGCATGTTGTTATCTGCATGCCATGGACACGGATACACGATTATCCCGTGTCATACCCGTCCTAATCCGATGTGTAATATCGACTCAACTACCCCAGTTCACCGACCGAATTGCCCTCTATCACAATTGAATCAAGGGTTTGTGCAACCATCTGTGTATTTTATGTGATTCCGATATATTTTCGCATCTATTGATGGCACAGAGGTCAGAGCTCCCTGAAAGAGGGTGGTGTATCGAGCCATTCCTGAGTTTCCCGGTGTAAGGACAGGGAATGTTCCTATCACGCTGTCAGTAATGACTCGGGACGTACTTCTCATCACTCAGCATGACTCCCATCCAACTTCTTGACTGAACGACATTACGCAAGAACTAAAGGAATGCCTGCCGTTACTCCCTGATTCGACTATGTGCAGCAGTATCGACGGCGTTCTGAAGCTTTCCAAGGCTGCAAGCCGCCACAGGAATGAACCCAACCGCCGGTCCATTCTTGCAAGTTGCGACTCGTATTAGCACTACCAGCCCTAGGTTATGAATCACTCCACCATTCAAGATGCATGACCACGAACATCACCACATACAACTCCATAGCTGTGGAAATAGTACCTTTGCAGTGGGTCTAAGCCCGGCAAGTGCCGGTAGTGGGGACATGTACTCCATAGTCCTCCATCTTTTCATCTTGCTTTATACACACGGAGAAATGAAGTGCAGTAGTAGTGTCTGCGATATTAATATGATCACATTACCTATTCTAGACTACTGCAGTTGTAGCCGCAGTCAGAAGGTGTTGATGACGTCGCGGGCTTATCACATGCAAGAACACCACTATTCTTGACTATCCTCAACCAGCAATGACGGGATATGATTTTCATGTAGTAAGTATTAAAAATATTCAAGAATATAAGTGCAATATATTAATGGTTATGCCTCGGTTCATCCCACTTCTGCGCAATCCGTTGATACTTCAACGCCTCCCGTAAAACCATCCCGTGACTGAGCTGATCAGTCTCCTTTCTGAAAATCTCTTGCCATGGCGTCTGACTCTCCGGTCCATGATACCCTCCTTCAGCATGTAATTTCTCTCGCCGAGTCTTGATTTCGTCAGCTGAAATCAATATATCCACTCGTCGCTTTCGGAGATCAACCCGAACCCTGTCCCCCGTTCTAAGAATACCAAGGTTTCCGCCTGCTGCTGCCTCGGGGCTTGCGTTTAGGATAGACGGCGAGCCTGATGTTCCGGATTGTCTTCCGTCGCCAATACAAGGTAGGGACTGAACCCCTTTCTTCAAGAGTCGGCCGGGTGGATGCATATTCACCACCTCAGCGGCACCGGGATATCCCAGTGGACCAACGCCACGGATAATGAGAAGTGTCCTGTCATCTATGGGAGTTAAGTCATCTTCAATGCGTCGATGATAATCCTCAGGACCATCAAAGACAACAACAGGACCTTCAAATGCATCTGGGTCATCCGGGCTTTGGAGAAATCGTTCCCGAAACTCTTTGGAGATAACGCATGTTTTCATGACCGCGGAATCAAACAATGTGCCACTCAAGTGGCGGAAACCGGCATTCTCAAGTATAGGATTCTTGTATTCGCGTATTACACGACGATCCCATGAATGTTTACCTCGGACATTATCCGCGACTGTACGTCCGTTACAGGTGAGTGCATCCGGATGAAGTTTTCCGGCATCTAGTAATTCAGCCATTATAGCTGGAAGACCGCCTGCACGGAAGTATTCTTCCCCTAGATACTCACCGGCAGGCTGCATATTGAGTAGTAATGGAACTTCATATCCAACTTTATCCCAGTCTTCGACTGTAAGGTCGAGGCCCATATGTTTAGCGATAGCAGTCACGTGAATAGGGGCGTTTGTGCTGCCTCCAATCGCCGTGTTGACGACGATTGCATTCTCAAATGCTTCGCGGGTCATAATGTCGCTTGGCTTTCTGTTTGTCAGGACCATCTCGACGATCTGCTTGCCTGTCTCGTAGGCGCATTGAGGTCGTTCGCGATACGGTGCTGGTATGGCTGCAGAACCAGGGAGGGCCATCCCTAGAGCTTCTGCCAGTGCGTTCATGGTGGAAGCTGTTCCCATGGTGTTACAGTGGCCAACGGACGGTGCTCTTTCTAATATTAGTACGGACACATTTTCAGAAGAAACTGACATCGACATACCCAGTCGCCACATATTCGACAAACTCGTCTCGAGTCATTTCTCCAGCAGCCAGCAATTCGCGACCTTTCCACACAACCATTCCTGACCCTGAAAATTCACCTTTGTAATAACCGTTGACCATCGGCCCGACATTGAGACACAGCGCGGGGATATCCTGCAACGCAATGAGTGAAATATCCTTTTGTATCTCTTGACGATAAGCTCACCACTGTAGCAGCAGCCATCAAACATGCAGGTGTCGTCTTATCACAACCTGTCAGCAACACCACGCCATCTAAGGGATACCCATATAGAATCTCCACAAGCCCCAGGTACGCAAAATTTCTATCCAAACAGGCCGTCGGTCGTCGCACACTTTCTTGAATTGGGTGTATGGGAAACTCAAATGCAATACCCCCCGCGGCACGAATACCTTCACGAATCCGCTTGGATAATTCTAGATGATATCGGTTACAGGGGACGAGGTCGGATCCAGATTGAGCAATTCCGATAATGGGCTTTCCGGAAGTTAGCTCGTCTTGCGTGATGCCATAGTTGAGGTACCGCTCGATATAGATGGCACCCATTGACGGGTTGACGTCTGAACCGAACCATTTGCGGGAACGAAGTTCGCGTGAAGTAGTAGATGACTTTGTTTTCAATGACCCATGGATCTTGAGCTCGGCCAATGTAGATTCTAGTTGTTGAGTACGTTTTCTCAGGGCCAAGAGCTCTTGTTGACAATCTTCAATGTTGATGGGTTGTTTTTCTTGGGCGTCACATGAGCAGCCCTCGCAGCTGGTCTTGGATTCACAGCCCATCTTCGCGCATCTCTCCCTGGAAATCGGGTTGCAAAGAAAGGAAAGGGAGGATGATCTATTTGATGGATTTAGATATATATACAGCACTTTTACGATCACCGGTGACCACTGAAGGTATCCACTATTCAGTCATAACGTGGGGAGAATCAGCGCGGGGGTACACCTGCTTGCTGACTGCCCAGGTGAACGTGGGGATAGAGATGAATATATATTATCAATCTTGGTCAATGAAATAAGTCCATTCGTAAAAATCAACAAAGGAAATATGCATATACATGTCCTTTTATGCAGGAAACAGTCATCGTGCGAGTCATTTTGGATGACAGAAAATGCCGACCGGAAAGACCTCCGAGATGAAAATAAGGCCTCGGGAGACACGGAGATGCTCCGATTTTGACATTTACCTAATCGGCTTGGATTTCCTAATCGGGGAGTTAGGGCTAATTCTGGAATGGATGACATTTGATTGGTATACATCGTCTTGCCATCACCAAGCCCGGCAAGCCGGGCACTGGGCAGTAGTATCAGTCTCATGTTTCCCTGATGATTTAAGTCTCTCTGAATACGAATCTGCATTCGCCTGGCTTTCCGTTTGAGAGGCATGTATGTAGAGAGAAACAACAATCTTAGCCCTGTATACCCCACGCTGTACTCATCTCTCGGGTGGCAGATATACCTAGGAAGGTGGACAAAGTTGACTATATAGGCTACAATTACCCAGTTGGTGGGTTTGGCATAAAGTCGCGTTAATTTCGGCGATCCACTATAGAGATAGGTTGCGGCTATCATTTTGGCTGTAGGAGTGAGATTTGCAAGTGGCACATGGAATACCTACCTAGGTAGCTCCACGTACCATATTTCCTTTGCTCGTTGGGACTTCCCTTCCTTAGCAGCCGCCGCTTTTGTGAGGGGGCTTACAGTCAGGCTCACAGAGTAAATTTCAGTCCGGGGCTCAGGCTTACTGAGCTGCTCAGCGAGTGTGGTATCACACTGGTTACCCCGGCTATCTATGAAGCACTCAGTCTATCCAGTACATGCCAAAGAGGGAGCATGCAGCCCTATAATGCTGTTGAGATGGTGAGTCTACTTATTTATAGCTCTAATCATGGCCCTTCTCTCATCTTCTTTCAGAATTTGACCTACTCCAGCTAAATACTTGATTCTCTTCAACATTTCAGGTTTTTTTATAATGGTCTTTTCAGGGAGGAAGGCGACTTTTCAGAGGGCATTGCGGATCGTAGTGAAAGATGGGCGTGTCAGGGGGCAGGTGCAAGAGAAACACATCCTCTACATCCGACACGACATTTCCACGTTCATGCACAGGTGACATTTTTCGTACCTTGCTATGCTTCAAATTTGATGCTTGTGAATTGATGGGATTAACTAATACTTAAGAAGCAAAAGAACAAGTACAAGAAATTGCTTTAAACTTCGGAAACCTTCATCTTGCTGACATCACCTCCTCGCCCATATACCAGTGCTTCAATTAGTCCTCCAAAATCACTGCCAATCTGTTTTCTCCTGGGTTTTCCGTCCAAGCAAAACCTCTCCAACAACGAGCCAACTTCGCACAGGTTGTGGCGTGCTTTCTCTGACACTATTTGATAACCTGTCCCCTATAGTTAGACTGCAGTAGGTCGAGTTGTGCCGATATCCAGTGAACGGCCTTGGAATGGTATCGGCCCGGTGGATTTAGATTCTGCAGAAATGATAGGGTATTAAGTTCCTCAGGGAATATAACAATGTTGATGGGCATTGTAATTGATTCAAAAAGGGCGGCTATGGATCGAAGCTGGTATGTTTGAGGATCTGATAGTTATTGACTATATTATACCTTGACCAATTAGTGGTATAAACTCTCACTCCATATCTGGTTTTATATATCCTTGATGATAGTATTATGGCAATATATTTAGAGCCTAGTCTCCATCTTGGATAGTGATTGGTCTCAGTTTGAGGCTGTTAGACTACAGGAATGAACGGCTGATGAGCCCTATTGTCTTAGCAAATTGGAATTCAGCGAGGTAACTAGTTATCACATTGCTTTGCTAAAATTTATATGTTTAGTATGTGTTCTATCCTTTCTAGTTATAGAGCTGAACTATACATCCCTTTTTTCTATCGCTACACCAGCCTGGAATAGTAATAATTGACGAAAAAGCATAAAAATCGGACATGTATTGTATACCCACATATCAGGGATCAGTTTTATTAGTGTTAATGCCAATTATAATGTGTCATGAGCTGACCTTGTATGGGATAGGTTCAGCCCGGAGAGCGAACGTACGGCATTTTGATGTTATTCCTGATCGGCTGAGCCCTAGACGCAAAGCCGTAGCCCTGCCCCGAACCGGCGCCTAGGCTGAATAGGGAGGTTCTGGCCCTTTCTTTTCCCAACCATCCCCATCTCATCAACATACAGTAGAACTGCGGAGTAGATGGCTAGGCCAAAATCGTTGTTCATACTGAGATGATTATACTTCCCACATCATCCAATCTTTAGAAACACCTGCAAATAATGAATGCATTCCTGGAAATAGACCTCGAGTTCCTTGATTTGTCAAAAATACAATGTTAAGGTCTAGGAACTCATCTTTAGTTCCCAGAAACAGCATATCCTTTTCTAGGAATGCAGAAACAATTGGCAGAACCAGCACTATTCATCAAAATTTCAGCTACTTCTTCTGATAGAGACTATGAAGTAATAATTCTCAAGTATCGCACACATCGTAGCTATATAAAGCATCTGTGGAAAATTAGTTAGTACAAAATATGCCAATAAATGGTCCTAACAAAGTTGTTACATATAGGATTTTATCGGTTTTTGTCTAGTAGACTCTGGTAGATTCATGCTCAGCTCTACTCAGTGAGTAAAAGCGGCGAGGAGGTGAGCACTTAATTGGAAAGGGAAATCCAAGCGACATCAAAGAAAGTCCAGTATGTAGGTATCTGATAGGTATGCTTGATATGGTCTTCAGCCTGGAAGGACATCGGGACAGTCTGGTGTCCTTTAGCTTGGTGATGGAAGCCACATGCAGCTGCCTAGGTGGACATACCCTTCCAAAGTTATATTTCAGGTAAGTAAGGGTATACCTAGGTGCTAGAATCGATTTCATTGGAAACCTTGGAAGTCGGTAATGCTACACATGTATATACAGCCAAGAGACTTTGGGCCCGATTTCAAGGGATGCATGTGCTAGATTCCAAGGTTGTACACTACTATATAGCAATAAAAATGGCCAAGACAACTGGAAATGGTGGAATTTTGGTATGCATCTCGGCACTTGAGAGAATCCGTGTTTGAATATGTTTCGATACAACAGTCTAGATTCTAGTCAAACCTTCGAGAGAGGTGGGGACTGGATTGATCCCGTCTTATATGACTATGGACAATACTGCGAGCAATACTTTCTTCCTATGTATATCCTAGAGTGAACTCACTGGAGGCAACTTTGACGAGTTTCTGGAATGCTGGTAGCTTATCCCGTACCTAAGTAGGAAAATATCCCAAAGAAAAGAATAAAAACAATCAAACTTTTCATGTTCGTCTAAGGCATTATCATCAGAATGGAGTGAGTGCTCAAAATCAACCAATAAATATGTATGTCATCAGCGGACAAGTCTTGGAATCGAAGAGCTGACGATTTCGTAATGCAGATGATGATATTATAATAATGCCGCACAGGGTCACGTAGTTCAAAGGAAAGAGGAAAAGACATGAAAGATCTATCTATTGAGTCGCGCACTGCGCCGGCTCGCCTTCTTCATTATCCTGCCATCCGGAACCTCCTCGGGGATCCCCTTGACCGAATTCTTCAATATTGGCATCGGACTCATAGTCGACTTCATCCACCGTCTCGGCTTCAATAGGTAGGTGCGTCGATTTTGGTAAAATCTCCCTTAATTTCTCCAGCGTCGCGGGACTCGGTGCCCAATCTTTGTCAGGGAATTTGATGTCGACTATAAGGTACAAGTCTCCACGAGCATCGCTCTTTTTAAGTGGCATGCCTTCTCCGGGGATTTTCAAGACCTGCCCTGGTGACAGGACATCACCTGGTTTCTTGGGATGCGTGATCTCAATTCCTCTCCCGTCGAGATGTTTTAGAGCCACTCGAGAGAAGCCAGCCAGGGCCTCGGCAAGGGTAATTTCGAGATCGGCGGTCAAATCAGGACCAGCGCGACGGAAGACTGGATGTTCAGTCTCAACAAGGTGAAAAACGATGTCGCCCGGCTCTTGGTCGGGTACTTGATCGGCTTCTCCTTCTAGAACAACTCGATCACCTTCCCTGCAGTAACGGATGGTTAGACAAGACGTCACAAATCCGATAATAAAACTTACTTGGCTCCCCGAGGTATGTATATCTCCAACATTTTCTTCTCCTCCGTGACCTTCTTTCCTTTACACTTTTTGCATTTGTCTTTGGGGCTGAAAAAGCTTCCCTGTCCATCGCAAACGGTGCAAGGGGCCATGGATGAAGTCAACATCGACCCCATACGAGTAAGCACTTCCTTGTATCCTACGCTGAGTTAGCCATGTTGTTAAATTCGTGTTGGGGAAGACATCGAACCTTGTCCGCCGCATGTCGAACATTGTTTTGCGGTAGCCTTGTCCTTTCCACCTTTGCCCTTGCACAGTCCACAGACCACGTTCTTGGTACTGGCAAACTTGACGGTTTTGCCCTTGTAGAGATCTTCCAGGGTGACTTCGTATTTCGTCTCCTCGTCCGGGCTCTTTCTGGGTTTGGGCGGTCGTCCTCCTCCGCCGTAACCAGGCATACCTCCCATTCCACCCATCCCACCAAACATCTGAGCTAGGATATCGTCCAAATCTGGTTGTCCACCCATTCCAGGATTCCCTGAACCGTCAAAAGCGCCCATACCGTGTGTGTCGTACAGATGGCGTTTATCCTCATCGTAAAGAATATCGTATGCTTGTTGAACGGACTTGAATCTGATCTCCGCCGTCTCTCGTTCTTCTTCTGGGACTTTGTCTGGATGGCTCGCTAACGCCGCCTGATTTATTTCGGGTTAAGCTTATAACGGGTGCGAGTCACTATGGTTTCTTACTTTGCGATAAGCCTTCCGGATCTCTTCCTTGGTTGCGCTGCGTTCGACTTCGAGGACCTCTATCAAGCGGTGAGTTTGTGCAACCTATGGCGCAAAAAGAGCATAGTTGTTCTTACCATAGAGATCAATATGAGCGCCGTCCACTGCACAGTATATCAAATTAGAAAATGGTCAGACGAAGCATCTTGCAGGCGGCAGGATTAGACGAACTGTTGATTTGCTCGACCAGTTACGGCCAAAATGGACTGATAGGATACACTGGTTCTCTGCAGAGAGATGTAAAGATGGAAAAAATTGCAAACAGCAACAGACAGGCAAAAGTATTTGTTTTGGAGTGGACTGATAAGATACGGAGAGGGTCAGATCTGCCGGGCGGAATTTTTTCAGCGATGCTGCACGCCAAGACCTCAGCTTCCGCCAATACTTCTTTGATTCTTTGATGGTCATCTATTCTTGTCAACAACAATACGGATAAATTCGGCCTGCGTTTCATGTGTCCTGTTTATAGTAGGATGATAAAGCTGCGCCCAGGCTTGTTGACAAAGCCGTCGTCATGGATATGTCTTCAATGTAGAGCCAATTCGTCCATCGCATCCCGCGCTCCATCTCCGTCCTCTGTCCGAACGACCAACAACACAAGACTTGTCCCAGACAAACCTGCCCGAACACGATTTGCGCCTTCCCCTACAGGATATTTGCATCTTGGCTCTCTTCGAACGGCGCTATTCAATTACCTCCTCGCAAAACGTACCGGCGGACAATTCCTGCTCCGTCTCGAGGATACAGATCAGAAGCGAACTATACCAGGGGCGGAGGAAAGACTATATAGTGATCTACAATGGGCTGGCTTGCAATGGGATGAGGGTACGTTTGTTGAACAGGCCGTCTGTGGTTTTCTAACATCTGACTGTCTGTTGTAGGACCTATCGTTAGCGGTCCATATGGCCCTTATCGTCAAGTATGCACGATTCTCCGGCTTACAATCTCAACCTGCTAAACGATCTTTCTAGTCGGAGCGAACAGCTCTCTATAACAAACACGCAAACGATCTCGTGCACTCCGGACATGCTTATCGCTGCTTCTGTAGTGCCGAACGACTAGATACGCTCGCTAGACAACGCAACCAAGCCGGCCTTCCACTCGGCTACGATCGCCACTGTGTCGACATCTCTACGGAGGAAGCAGAAGAAAGGGCAGCAAACGGAGAAGCACATGTTGTCCGGCTGAAAGCCGACGAGTACCCGAAGTTTAAGGATTTCGTGTTTGGGACCACAGGACAGAACCAGGATGGTCAGAAGAAATATCTGAAGACGATGAATCGTGTTTACGATGATCCCATTCTCTTGAAGTCCGATGGGAATCCAACATATCATCTGGCCAATGTCGTGGACGACCACCACATGAAGATCACTCATGTTATCAGAGGAACGGTGAGTGGGCTATCAGGACTGCTGGATATATCATACTTATCGGATGGCAGGAATGGCTGGCATCGACTCCCATGCATGTTGCACTTTACAACGCTTTCAACTGGAAGCCACCCCAATTCGGCCATGTTCCCCTCCTTGTTGACCAGAATGGCCAAAAGTTGAGTAAACGCAACTCGAACATCGACATTTCCTTCTATAGAGACAGTGGTATCCTTCCTTCTACGCTTCTCAACTATGCCGCCTTATTAGGCTGGTCGCATAATCAAAAGTCGGAAGTCTTTTCCCTCAGGGATATGGAAGAAATTGTGAGTTGCCATCTTTTACCTATGTTCAGAGCTTATGCTAAATGCTACCGGTCAAGTTCACCCTGAAAATCACCAAGGGTAACACTATCGTCAGCCCCGAGAAGATGTGGTTCCTTCAAAAAGCTCACACCAAACGGTGTGTAGCCGACAATGGACCCGAATTCCAGAAGTTGGTAGACGATGTCACCAAGGCAGCGAAAGAAAGAGGGAATATCACAGATAAGTATGTTTCTTTTCTTTATTCGGAAGACATCATTCTCCTGGGTGCTATAAAAGTCCTTGTTTGGTGAGAGCTAGCACATGCGACCATAGGGTGTGGAAAACAGGGCTTCCCGTCCGCTCAGCCGTACTTAAGCCACACGCCGGCTGGTTAGTAGTTGGGTGGGTGACCACCAGCGAATCCCAGCTGTCGCATGTTTTCTTTTTTTCTTTTTTTGGTGATTGTTATGTGTTTCTTCTATTCATGCCTTCTCTTTTTGGGCTACTGGCTAATGTTCTCAGCTTGTCGGTCAACGACACCGTAAAATCTCTACTCCGATATGATGGTGGCCATTTCACAACTCCAGCTGAATTCCTGGACCGGAACTGGTCCTTCTTTACATCCTCATTAAACCGAGCTCCATACACACTGACTCAACCCGATCTAGGGCTCGAGGACCCGGTGTCGCCCCTTGCTGCTCTACAGACAGTAGCAACAATCCTCACACTCGTTCCCGAAAGCCATTGGAACGTCGAAACACACCGTGCAAACCTGGACTGTATTCCATATACAAGCAAAGCCTTCAAAAAAGAGCTATATCACTATCTTCGCTGGGCTCTTCTCGGCGGCGCTTCTGGACCAGGAATGCCGCAGATAATGGAGGTTTTGGGTAGAGACGAAACGGTACGACGGCTGACGGAAGCTACACAGCTGAATGGAAACGAAGGTCGAAACAGAAGGGGAAGAATAAAGCTTGATTGATATGCTATCAGCCTAGGAGTTTTCTAAGCTGCATAGCATGTGGTGTTTTGTAAGATATATCACCCCCATACTATAAAGAAATAGGTTCCATGAAATTTATCTCAGTTTCTCAGACTAAGCTAAGCAGCCGTATCACGTGCATACAGGCTAAGCAATATCTAATTAGCTCTGGAGCACTCCTAAGTCTGTACACATTTATATTTATACGGAGTACTTGGTCTTGAATCCCTCTCTGTCTCTCGAACGAAGCGAGAGAAGACAGCTTGTGTGAGAATACAGTCTTTGGCTCGGAAGAAACTCGGAAAATCAGCTGAAATAGGAGCTCTCAACCATTCCAGACTTCCTGGAAGCGGAATTCAAGCAAAACAAGATTTACAGGCCGAACAACCTTCTACTCTAAGGCTACTCAGGTTCTATTCAGGAATGTGAGTTGTATGTACGTTCCTTCACTTATCCCAGCAGCTTGAAAGTGATCACAATTGGAGCAAATAATTATTCGTAATCGAAACGAGGCAAAACGACTGGAAAAGGCCCACTGATATGGCTCTTTCAGAATTCGTCAAGACCCAGTTTCCTCTTACTGAACAAGAGTTAAACTTCACGTAATCACGCAGGCTAATATGGGTGTTGGAAGTCCCCTATCATTCATTTTCTCTCTCCGAATTTGAGTAAAAAATTTAGAAAAAGAAAATACCGACCCAATGCGCAAATACGTCATGGCTAAAGGAGAAGTAATTGACATCCAAGCCGTATTCTTGCGAAATTCCGAAATCCCGAAACGTTCAAAAATCCGACATGTCTAACCCTAAATGCATTCGTCAAAGGTCTCGGTTTCTATATTGCGATAACAACCACATGTGAGGATACAAGATCAGCGTCATTGTGTACTTTGCAACTGTCCAGATGTGATAATTGTCTTGATCCCTCTAGACTGCTATATAAATATATCACGCTTCACCCAGACATGGGGGATATCTTGTTACTTCAATCAACTACAACAGCCCTTTCCTCTCAAGTCATTATCATAGATTTGCCTCAAAATGCTGTATTTTTATCGCTTCCTTCTCCTCACTGCTACATTTGCACTGTCTGCGAATGCTCTGGCAAATTTCACACAGCCAACTGAGAGCTACAAGTGGCCAAGCCAATACGTGAGGACCGATCAAGCAAACTTGCGGGTTTTTGTCCAAGGAAATGGCCCAGCCGTTGTATTGATCCCATCTTACGGTAGAGATGGTGGGGATGACTACAATTATTTCACCAATGTCCTTGTTGACGCCGGATATCTGGTTCTTCGACCTCAGCCTCGGGGTGTCCTAGGATCAACAGGACCAATGACGAACGCCTCCCTCTATGATTTGGCAGCAGATATAGCCCAAGTCATTGATACCTTGGCCGGAGGACGGGCCATCGTGATTGGTCATGCCTTTGGCACCTTCATGGCAAAGGTTTGTTCTGTACTCTACCCAGAGAAAATCCCGGCTATCGTCGTGGCTGCACCAGGAGGAGTGACGATTCCCGCAAACATTGCTTCGATGCCATTCATAGCAGGAAACACTTCTCTGCCACTCTCCCAAAGACTGAGCGCCTTACAAACTGCGTTTTTCGCCCCTGGACACGATCCGCACATCTGGCTCGATGGATGGTATCCCGAGACTCTAGCTATGGAGCGGGCAGCTATCGAGGCATATGGTAGCTTGGTGCCTCACTGGGGTGGTGCAAATACCACTCAAATACTCGAAATAATCCCGGACGCCGACCCTTTTCAGCCAGAGGACGAGTGGAATATAACATCCACTTGGTATTCTGACCGAGCGACTTCAATAGTCATCAATGATGCTTCTCATGCACTATTCCCGGAACAGGGACAGGCCGTTGTGAATGCTGTTCTGCCATTTCTGAAGCTTCAGAGTTCGAAGCTGTGAATAATTTTCATTTGGATATATGGACGAGGAATGTAGTAGCAACTTCCTACTACTCTCTAGGCAAAGTAGTGATTGAGTGGCTGATTGTATTTTGCACACTTTTTGTCTACCTTTTCCCTTAAGACAAGAAAAGATGTAGCCAGAAACATAAATTATATATCCAGTTTGCTAGAGCTTCAACATAATCTCTCTAACGCAACGCATCATCTCGTCCTGGTATGCACCTTCCTTAGCGATAAGTGGATTATTGGCGTCGGTAGACTCTCCGATAAAGGCTTTCTCGTCCAACCTTGGACGTCCATTTTGCAGAAAATGAATGGCAAGATGATAGAGTGCGAGGTTATTAGTGAGAAAGGAACACCTTGCGCTCAACTCGGAATAAGCCGGCCACTGAGAGGATATCCATATATTATACCATGTTTGCAGAGCTTGTTCCAAGGCAAACATTCCGGTGGGGAGGATCGATGTTTGTGCCTCTAATAGTAGCGAGTGAAGACACAAAATTAACAGCCGCATACCGAAGCTTGTTAAATTCTGTGATGTCGGATATTGGCCAACGAGCAATCCCTTCAGTGACGACAGAAAGCAGCTAGACGGATCCTGTGCTGGAAGCTGAGCCCAGGAAGATGCAGACAGCGCATTCCAACTCTCTTCGTCACATGGATAAGATGCCCGAGTATCCGTAGGAGATAAAAGTGGCCTGCTTCCACATAAAATGGATTGATAGCAATCAACAGTGTATACTCCCCACAATATTCTCTTTTTAGACTCCATGGTAATCCATTTCGACCACGCTTCTGGGTTCCTGCTTGCTTTTGTACATTCTCCATGAATCTTCAAAAACCCTGCTTGCCGCACTGCTGTAACCAGCAGAGGATGTAGAAGACGTGAGGCCGCTCGCTCCGGGTCTCCGCCATTTGTCATACTGGCGAACAGGATTAGAAGCCATGCTTGGAGTTCATCAAAAGAAAGCTTTACCCCTCCGGACTGTACGCATGATCGCGCCAAGATTATTGGCAGAGAGTCAAAAAGGAGGTTTGCATCAGAAGCTGTTTCCAGTTGATGATCAAAGCCGCTACCAATGAAACATATTGCTCTAACCAGCGCAGGACATGAAGACTGAAGGCAGAACGTCGGAACATGTAATATAGGGAAGAATTGATGAAAATGAGAGAAGTAGAGACGAGCGTACTTTTCTAACCGATGAATCGGAACGGAACTTGGTCCATTCAGGTTCAGAACATAGTCAGCGGGCAATCGAAAGTTGTCTGGAGAAACAACATACGTCGCATCACTGCTGGCTTGCTTGGATAGAAAGATACCCTGGGACAATGAGTTGAATTGCTGTGAAATAGCCGAACTTGCTTCGCTCTCCCAGGCCCAGGCACTCATGTCAATTAAAGATCCAATATCTGCCAGCTGCGACAGAAAATGATTGTCATCGTCGGCCGTGAGTCCCGTCAATGCATGATCTTCTATGAAACTAGGCCCTTCATGGTCAGGGCTGTTTGGCGTTCCAGATGCCGAGTTATTTGTTGAAGAGTTCCCTTTCCTCTTTTTCCTCTCGATGCGCTGGCAAACCAGTCCTTTCCGCAAACACCTCGAGCAAGACGAGGATTCTCTTGCAAGATCGCAGCGTAGTTTTGATGCTGCACAAGGTCCACAACTTTTGTTCATTCTGTCCAAATGAATGATGTTACTCGGAATGTCACGGACGAAGTGGTGAATTTCCAGAGAAGCAATTTCCGAAATCCCGAAAAGCCTTCATCTTAGTAATCGGCTAGCCCTAAGTTAATATTCGATATCGCCTTACTAACATCGGGAAAAACACACGCCGTTCTGGGAAAAAAGATATTGGGAGAAGAAAAATATGACCATGAATCATGATTATGACGTCTTTTGTTCACCTAGGTATGCGGTTGAAGCTATTTAAGCCCAGGGAGGGCTTTATTCCCTTGCTTGTTGGGACTTCATACACCCAGCAGCATCACATTGTCACATCGTTTCAATAAAAACCCAACCTTGGAATATCAACAGTTATTACAGTATGGAAAAAACAGAAGATAAAAGCAGACAAGCCCGAAAATGGGTAGATTTCCTCTGCTTCATTTCAAAAATTGACGACCCCAAATCACATACAGCCTTTCAAAAACATGTCATCGTGTCAATCATCACCTTGTCTGCGTTTACGGCTCCATTTGCTTCCTCAATTCTCTTCCCATCGTTCACATCTCTCGTCGATCAATTCCACACGACTGATACGCAAGTAGCCCTCACGACCACTGTTTTTCTTATCGGCCTCGCCATCGCTCCTCTCTGGTGGAGTTCGCTAAGTCAACAATATGGACGGCGTCCCATTCTCGTTGCCAGCTTTCTTCTCTCCGTGGTCGCGGTGATTGTCTGTGCCGTCTCCAACTCGCTTCCTTTGATCATCGTATTTCGTCTGATTGAGGCCCTTGGCTGTTCGTCTGCTCAAAGCGTTGGGGCTGGGGTTATAGCTGATATCTATATACCGACTGAGCGTGGCACTGCTCTAGGATGGTTCTATCTCGGAACTCTGATCGGGCCTTTGATCGCTCCTATTGTCGGTGGTGCTCTTCAAGTATGGCTTGGCTGGCGTGCAAATCTGTTCTTTATGGCTATTTTCACATTCTGTACAGCCATGCTAACAGTATTACTTTTGCCGGAGACTCTCGTCAAACCAGCGGCCGAAGAGGCACCAAAACTATCGTTTCTTCAAGCAGTTCGACGAGATGCTCTGGCTCCCTTTTCCAAGCTCAAGTTTCTACTGATCCCCTCTATCGTCCTAAGCATATCATATGTCAGTATATGTTTCGCTAGCTTGTACTGCTTCAACACCACACTTCCATACGCTTATTCCGCCGCGCCTTACCACTTTTCTGCCATTGAAATCGGCCTTTGCTACATAAGCAACTGTCTTGGATATGCTATTGGCAGCGTTGTTGGAGGAAAACTTAGTGATGCAAAGCTACGCCAATATCAGCAAACTCACGATGGCGCAGTTGAACCTTCCGTACGTATACACACGGTGTGGTATGGTGTGGGTTTCGTCCCGGCCGGCCTGATCATATACGGTTGGCTTGTTGAGGAGAAGACGTTTTGGTTAGCGCCTCTTGTAGGTGCATTCCTCTTCGGTCTCGGTCTGATGCTCATAACCTCCACTATCATGCCCTTCTTGGTCGATGTTGTGCCAGGGGCAGGAGCTTCAGTTGTCGCTGATCTAAACCTTGTGAGAAACCTCCTTGCTGCTGTTGGCACAGTTGTCTCTCCCATTGCTGCAGACAACATTGGATTTGGATGGTGGATGACCATTTTGGCAATTCTGTGCTCTTTAGCGGTACTCTTTGTGGTGGTGGTTGTGTGGAAGGATGCAACATGGAGAAAAGCTAAGACTGGGCCGGAAGAAGCTGTTTAAATAGGACAGAATGACTTTGACACGCTGGCCGATTTGAGAAAGGAGCTTTGAAATTCAGTAATTTTTGCGAATGCGAAACATCATTACCTGGAAGCTTCTCGAAAAATGATTATTTGGATACTGGCTGCGAAGGATGGATGATTCATGAATAACGATTGCTGCATATTTCATTTATGTATATTTAAGTACTCCCCAATAGACTACTTTTTGTTGAAATGTATATATCCATGCTTTTTAAACTGTTATTTTGAAAGATAGTTACTCATCATACAGAACAGAATTGTTGCATATATAGGAGTGGAGGTTGGATAATAGGCCCAGGAAGTTAGGACTTGTACTGTATGGTCATGCTTTTTTGGACAACAACAGCAACTCTACTCTATCTGGATAAATAGTGAGAGTCATCCTCCTCTCGACTACTATTTACTGTAGTACATACCGTCAATACCATTCCACCCCAGAACGGGCGTCCTGGTACGACTTTATCTTGACTATCAAGGTGGTCCGGACCATATGAATCAAACAATATTTTTTTCTGGCAGAACTGGTATAAAGTAAAAGGCTAAGTAACATCACAAGCACCCTGTGTAGAAATGTGCAATTATTTGAAACGAAAAAAGATAAAAGATGAAGCTGAAACCCAGGCACACACACCCCACCTCGGATGGAAATAATCAATACACATGAATCCCCAAAAAAAGAAAATCAATATTAATCAGAAGTAAAGAAGAAAGTTCACATGAAACGAAGAAATCAATAGCCGAGAGAAAGGTATATGTCCGGCTGTAGTTGCTCGGTCGCCACAAAACTCCAGTACCAGCCAAGAAGTGCGCCAAACAAAGTAAAGGTCCCTATCGAATACCAGGGGGGATTGCGATATCGAAGGTGTGGACTTGGTTTGTCGTGATAGCATCAAATCATCCGCTGTAGCCGAACGGTCGTTTTCAGTACCAGCCAGAAAGCGTGAATCGTAGCGAATTCATAAAGCTCGTAGATCATCGACAATGCTACCTGCAGTTCAATACGTCTCCAATTCATCAGTCCAACCTCCATCACTTCCCTCGATCCTCACCATTTGACCATTATGCTCAAGAAATTGCTCATCAGACCCTACTGTGCGGATACCTCTCATCTTCTTGCCCAAGAGAGACTCTTCATGCTGACCCTCTGGAGCCAAACGCTTTCCATGAGCTGCGCGTAGCTTGGCATAATATACATCACTGGCATCAATCTCTGGCTCTGAAGCATCATCATCATAAGTCTCCCAGTTCTCCGAGCCAGATGTGGCTGTTTGAACTGTCGAGTTTGAAATTTGTCTCATTGCTGGAGCAAGGGGTGGTGGCTGACGGCTGAGGTATGGGTTCTGTGGAGGATATGCCATCTCTCTAGAAGCTATCGAGCGAAGAGACTGAGACGAACTATTGGAGCTCATAGCAGTCCTAGGACGTGGCATGGTTGAATGGCTCACCACCGATCGTTGTTGTCTGTCATCATAGACATCTTCAAGAGAAACGGGCCGCACACTTCGACTAGACACCACACTTTCACAATGCGAGGGTTCCATCATATAACTGGGAGCTACAGAATCTTCATTTGGGTCTGTAAATAACTCGCGCATCTTTGGTGGTGGGGCACGAGGTGGTATCTTGCCTCGTATTGTGTTAGAAGAGTACAAAGTTGGGGGCTGGCGGCGTTCAGGAGAATTGTTGCCGTGAGGCATATTGCTAAGCGGGACACGAGCAGGAATCTTGGAGGGAGACTTGGCCTGTGCTTGATTGGAATAGCAAGCTGCTACTTGTGGTGCGTTACGTCGCATGGTACCAGTTGGCGTCTTGGTTGCAGACCGTGGAGGTGGCGCACCACGAACGCTTCCAGTACCGTACGTGCTTGCTTGTTTGGACTTCACTGCACTTGGTGGCTGCACTGATGGTGTCTTGGATCGAGGAGGAACTTTAGACGCCACTGGCGTAAGCTCCTCAAGATACCGTTCACCGTGGACAAGGAAAGGTCTGCCGTATTCATCCTCCCACCTCTCTAGCATCTTTCGTAAATCGACTTCAAGCTTTGGTAACTCTTTGGCAATTCGCTTACGCATCTTCTCTTCTCGCAGAAGCTTGCCAGGATCGCGTTTCTCCCCCTTGTTACCACGTGCCATGAGGCGCGAAGCATCTTGACTCGAAGCCGCAAGGGTGTCTCGCTCTTCGATCAAAGCCTTATGTCTTGTGATGAGATCGAGAGTAGGAGCGCGTTGCTCCCTGATAGCCTCAAGTCGGGCGATCTCGGCTTCATGTGCTTCTAACAAGGCATCACTATAAACATCGGAAAAGGCAGGCGTAAAGTCTAGCATCTCCTCTTCAGAATAGTACAAGCTATCCCATAACTCCTGTAAGCGACAACGAGCATCTTCAACAAAGAGATGCAGATTCTGACGCTTGAGTTCCTTGAGTCTTTCAAGTTCCTCTGAAAATTCATTGATTGTGCGAAGGCCACAGCCACGATTCGCTGCAAGGAAGGCCTTTTGATCACGCTCATCAACTCCGAGGCGCTCCCACAAACCTTCAACTGCTGTCTTCAGATCATTTAGCTTTCTCTCGCGATTCTTCTTCTCTTCCATGAGCATGGCGCGCTTTTCCTTTAGGCTAACAATATCAGTATCATGAAGACCTAGCTGTTCTGGAGCTTCACGGTAGTATTTGACAATGTTAGAGTCAGTCTGAGCTTGTGGAGTACCAAGCTCGGCCCATAGCTTGATGATTTCTTCAGAAGTCACTTTAACCAGGTGAACTCGCTTATTGTATTCTTCGTAGACGCGTGTAAATTCGCTGTCCAATCTGGTAACATATGACGGCGAGAGATCAAAGTTAGGTGGGATGGACGCGTTCGGCGCTGTTGGCGGAAGTTCAATTTGTACGAAAGATGCTTCCAAGTGTGAAGAGTAAGACTCGAGGGCCTCGACCAATTCTGTATCAAAGTTAGCGGGTTTCTTTTAGCAAGGCTTGAAAGGGTTGGAATGCGACGGACTTTTTACTTGTTCAAAGCGCTCGCGATGTAGTCTGCTGATGGCAGAGTACTTTTCTTTTAGGTTGACAATACAGCGATTGAGTGGAAAGGTAATACGAAGATCTCCATCGTCAAGCTCATATTGTCCATTTGCCTTTTCGTCATCAAGCGATGCTTCCATTTGTTTGATTGTTTTAATGAGGCGTTCGGCTTCTGCAATCATCTCCTCTTTCTCGCTGAGATAAGGCGACGGGGTCAGCGGGTCAGCAACATTTAGGACTATAAGTGTTTACTTACGTAGTGACGATGCGTAAATGATTGTTCAGTGTATCTGACAGGGCTGCGAAGAGCTAGGGAATAGTGTTAGATTTAATACATGATGTGTCTTCTGCATTAGGTGCGAGAAATTACTTGCCTCTGTCTCGCGTGTCTCTCGCTCATGGTTTGGCACGCCAATATCATCAAAAATCCCATGTAACTGGCCGATGATGTTGTTGACCTGAGTGGTCAGGTAACTCGTGTCGACCGACATGTCGCGTATAATGATATGTCTCGCTGTTGGACAACTCAATTAAAAAAAAGCAAGTCCGTAAGGATACGGCTGCGGTCGCAGCGTGGAGTCTAGGTGAGTGACAAAACAGTGAAATGCGCCAATCAACGAAGGTGTTTTAACACGAAAGAAATTGCTGCGTGGTCAATCAAAAATGACGCTCCATGTGGGTGGGAGTATTAATTCTCATCAAAAGAACAGGAGGGATATCCCGTCGAGGAGAGAGATATAGAGAGAGAGAATTGAGATGTTGAGGTGTTGAGAACTTGGAAGGAGCTGGTGATAGTTGCTTTCCCGCGGTTGCCAGGGCAACCCAGCCGCGCCCGCCTTGGTGCCTTGGCTTTTAGGTGTCGAGCTCTCCCCACTTGCTCCACACTCTATCTGTCTCTCTCCGTCCAAGTCTCGCTGCTTCATACAAGCTGTCTAGATTATCGACCCCGGTCTGCTCTTACAAGATAAGGTTAGACTGACTTAATATTTCCAAAAATACAGTCTGCTCATCCACCATGCAGACTGCACAGCAGTCGTGGGGTAAGCCGGCTCCATCATCGTCATGTTGATTCTATTCACTGACAACAACAGAATCCGAAAATGTCGTTCAACTCATAGACCCCCGCCGAGACGCCCTCTACAACTACGATGCATCAGCCCATCGCGCCCTATCGGACGCCAAACCTTGGAGCACCGATCCACGATATTTCAAATCCGTGAAAATTTCCGCTGTAGCACTCCTCAAGATGGTGATGCATGCGCGATCAGGCGGATCACTAGAAGTCATGGGTCTGATGCAAGGGTACATTGCCGCCGAAACATTCATCGTCACCGACGCCTTTCGATTACCTGTCGAGGGGACAGAAACTAGGGTTAATGCCCAGGGAGACGCAAATGAATACATGGTTGAATACTTACAGTCCTGCCGTGATTCGGGCCGTATGGAGAACGCCGTGGGTTGGTACCATAGTCATCCTGGGTACGGCTGCTGGTTATCTGGGATCGATGTCTCAACTCAGTCTATGCAGCAAATGAGTGATCCCTTTGTGGCCGTCGTGATCGATCCCGATCGCACCATATCCGCTGGTAAAGTCGAAATCGGCGCTTTCCGTACCTACCCCGAGGGCTATACCGCCCCCAAGGAATCGAGTGAGGATGATGAATATCAGAGTATCCCGCTAAATAAAGTTGAGGATTTCGGCGCACATGCATCTCAGTATTACTCTTTGGAGGTGTCGCATTTCAAAAGCACGTTAGATACACAGCTTCTTTCGCTATTGTGGAATAAATACTGGGTTGCTACACTGAGTCAAAGCCCGCTTTTTACAACCAGAGATTATGGGAGCAAACAAATCCTGGATCTCAGTCAGAAAGTGAAACGGGTTGCGAGGACGATCGGTGGTAGTGGCGGCGGAGGGGGAGGTGCTGGTTTAGGAGCGTCAGGACTACTTGGATCAGCAATTGATGGGGGATCCAAAAATATTCCAGCCAAGGATCAACAGATTGACAAAGTTGTTCGTGACGGATATCGGATCGTTGCTGAGGAAGTCAGTGGCCTGGTAGCTGCTGACATCAAGAAGGGGCTCTTTCAGAATATCCAAGGGAATCCTTCGACTGCTTAAGTTACGAATAGAATACAATCAACGAGTTCATGACATTATTCAATTTACATTCATTTTTACGTAGACTGCAGTCTTGTGACATACGGGGTCTGAAGTTGGGGCCGCCGGAAATGAAATTATCACATGTCATTCATAAGATAAGCAATTATTGCAGCTGCCGAAACCCAACATCCGATCCAATCCACATCAACGATTCATAGCATACCGTACTCCAATAACCAGAGACTCCAACAATAAACACTTAAAAAGTTTCCAACCATATGAGACAGATCAATCAAGAATGATAGATACAAGAATGTCGTAAAGAAAAGAGAATATAAGGACTGAGAAGTGGTAAGATCAGCCGGGCAGTGAGAAATCGTAAGATATATATCCAGAGAACGTGAAGCATCACAAGAGTATAAGCAAGATGCTTGGTAGTGGTGTGAAAGAAATTGTGTATGTACAACAAAAATTCAAGCATCTCGGACCCGTTCAACCTCAGGAGAGTCACTCGGCTTTATCATAAAAATCGAATTATTTCGCCACATCGGGATGCCAAAAGGTATCAATAAAAGACCCCGGGTTGCAAGGAGGTTAGAGAAGTAGAATGAATGCGTATCGTACCTGACGTCTGTACGTAAGGCCGGTCAACTCGCTCTATCCGGCTAGTTTCCAACATCCAACAGGATCAATAGACTTAGCGGTGTGTCCCGTGAGTCCTGCTTGATTACCGGGATTCTTTCAGGACGCCGAACGCAGTACGCAGTCTAATGTGTCAGCGTTGCATATAAGGCTCAATCGGCATGCTGATCAATCATCAGACACGGCCCGCTCTCAAGGCCGCCAGTCCGAACTCCGTAAGGTCCCGAGGAGCCGTCATAACGGCCGATCCACCCAGATTGAACGAGCTCAAAATAGAAAGTGGACTCCACTGAAGTGTCAATTTGTAGGATGCTGTGTATATTACTTTTTCCCGTATAGGTAGGGCCCCGAACGCCGCATTGCTGTGATTCGTTGTCGAGGGACCCAGTCGTATATCTCATTGTGAACAGGCCGGCTTGTCTTAACTATCGATCGTTAGGGCTTCTTTATAGAAAGCCCGATTCCGAAAGTAGTCTACGCGAGGGAAAACGTTAGTCTCTGCAGTACCCATAGATGATCGTATGAAAGATGGTAATAGTGGAGTTGACGGGGAAAAGAAAAGAAGAATGATCGACAAATAAAAGAAAAGGAGGGCTGGAAAAAAAAGAAACGAGATATGCAGGAGTGTGAGACAACATCAGCAGCAGCACATCAAATTGTGATAGCTTCGAAAGAGGATTTTTTAACAGAGCTCTCTTTCAGATGGTTGGCCTTTTATAGAAAACAGCTGCGCATATAAGGTGTGACAAGATTGAGGATTCCAAGAAAAATAGCAGTCGTTGCAGTGGTCATAAAAGTCATCAATGTAAATAGAAAGACGCCGTGTGTGATTGCATGTTAGTAGAAAAATAGATCAACGCATTGATTGGAGAAATGATGAAACTGTCATGCCGGTTAAAGAGGAATCGGTGCTACTTTTACCGTACCTAGCAATCTTTTCGTCTTCTCGCTCTCTAGGCTCCACTTCCAAGCTGCGCTCATACATCTCGTGAACATCGCCTGCAGCCTGCATGTTACTTAAAATGTAATCCTGCAGCTCGGGAACGGGTTGCAATTGGTAAGGCACATTCTGGTATTGTTGAATGTCGCGGATCACTTCAGCAGTCTTTGCTCGTTTGTTGAAGTTAATGAGATCGGATGGCGTATGCGATGGAATACCGTCTTCAATGAAAGTCAAATCGGTCAAGTACACGCCTATGTAACGTTGAAATTAGCAAAGTTTGGGAGTGAGGCTCTGCCTAACCTACCAAAGAAAGGAATACATGGCGGGTTTGCCGCATGTAAAGTTTCCCTATATTCACCGAAGTTCTTCGTGCTCGCCATAAGCCTGCGCATTTGCTCGAGAATAGTCGAAGTTCGGCCGCTGACTTGGGCCCATGTCCGGGACAAACGATGAATCGGGGCCGTACCAAGTGCTGAAATGATAGAAGTAAGCGTAGAGTAATTGTTCAGAGCGCGACATTTCTAAGAAGGATAATCGTTAGCTATCTTCAACCAACGCAAATGAAGAAAACGAGATCTTACATCTGCCACGTTAACAAAGTGCTTGATGACAACAACTCGCTTCTTGACGTCGCCTTGCGTCAAGATCATTTCAGCAACCCAGTTGGTCAGCTGGTTAGAGTGTAGAATCAAAGCCTTGACATTTGCAGCTGGTTCGGTCTCTCCTGGACCGATTTTCTTCTGCCACGTTTTATTAAGACATTCTGTAGCACGAATCTTGCCGTACAGCCTCGATTCGATGATCGTGAGTTGTCTGGCGAATTCAGTTGCGTCAATATCAAGGAATCTAAGTTTCTTCATATTCTTCGGAACGATTGGGGTCGGCGTGGCCATGTTCTGCGTAGGAACGAGCTTCTTGACTGTCGTATCCTGACCACGTAGTCGCTGTTCAATAACACTCAACAATTGTGGTGATCCTGGAGTTTTAGTCGTAGCAATCGAGTCTTGGGTGAAAGCATGCACTTGGCGGAGAAGGTTCATGTTCCCTTCATCATTCGACTCCATCCAGTAGTTCTCAAACCAAGTCTTGAGAATATTAACCACGCGGAATCGAATGGGTTTTTGTTTGCGGTCAATCCACATTCGCAGTTCGTCTGGAGTCAGGCCATATGGCGGCTGGATGCTAAATCTTTGCACAAGCTTGTCGAAGAGCTCCGAAGCAGTGGTAAAGGAGCGATATGTCAGTAAGAAAGTGTTGTTGAAAGAGGCATCCAATTTGTCGTGGCGCGTCAATTGTGCCACCAACCCCTCGAGCGTACCGCATTTGAGTGTGGGGACATCGGCTTTGTTATCATAAAAGACTTCGCCTTCATGATCAAAGTTCAAGAACCAAGGAGTTTCTTCTGGTAGTGAAACAGGCTCCCTTAGGGGTTCTCTTGTAATTGTAGAGGGAGGAGCTTGACCAAAGAACCGCTGTGCTTTGTTCATATTTCGGCGCACTTGCGTGTCGTCATCATCAATACTAAGAGTTGCCAATGGCACGGTCGGGATCGAGGAAGCGGTGCCCCGTCGTCTGCCCGGTTCGCGGTTTAGCATAGAATCAGAACCTTCATTATCGTTGACGAAGTGAGTCTGGCCATTAGGATCATGGGGCGTCTGTGGAATCTGCTCCTGCAAAAGTGATAAAGAGAATCCTATTTGAGAGATAGAGCCTTCTAACTGGCGAGCCACACTTCGCACGTTATTGAGACGATCTTCAATAGACTCTCTGCGTAGTTCAGCCCACTCATCACCAAGCGGAGCCGAAACAGCTTGACAACTGAGGACAAGATCAGCCATGGTTTCGTATACTCTCTGTTTCTGTAAGCCAAAGTCAACCAGCTGTGGGTTCTGCAGACTCGTTCCTAGAGGGCCCAAGTTTATCGATTCGACCGTGGAGATCCAGGGTCTATACTTCTCAACGACGTTCAGAGCAGCAAAGCAGATAGCGTCACCAAGAGCTTGATGTTGTCGGGGAGTAATCGTTTTCTGTTCCATTTTTAGGTGCTCATCTATCTTTCTGATGCCGAGCACAATGGCCTTTCTCATAGAGTCAATCTGATCAACTAGCGCAGCATCTAGCGGAACAGAAGGCTCCTGGCTGGAATCCTGGCCATCCGGATCCAGGAAGGAGGTTGCACCTGATTCACCAGTTCGAATACCATTATTCTGCCAGTGACCACCCGTGGAACTGTTGATGACAAATCCGGGGACGATACGATTGACATTATCACCGCGCTGTTGACTCGCAACCTGTACGTATCCGGAGACCCCCTGCCAAACGCCATCTGCCTCTTGCAAACATTTCGAGGCAGAATCAGGACTCGTCCAGTCCGCTGCAGCAATGTGCGAAGACAAAACTAACTTGGAGAATTTCGACATCATGTCTCGGAAATGTGGATACAAGGCGCGATTTGGTGCGATAATTGAGGGGCTTCCGGAGTGATTGTCTGTCGTGTCTGACCCAGCAGCGAGTAACATGCGAAGATGGTCTGAAATGTCCTCTGCTTTTCGAACATATTCGCTGCGCTCGCCGTTTCTAACAACTTGTCGGTAAGCGTCAATAGCATGACGCATGTTTTCGAGTAAATCGGCCCAGCCGATTCGAGAGCCCGGTGTATCATCTACGAAGTGTCGTGGAATTAAGGATCCATTAGGCGTGGCGAAAGATGTTGAGTCTTTGGAATAATGGTAGTAACCCTGACCCGAGTGTGCTGTAGTATGTTGGGACGATTTAGTCACAGGCGATGGGCCGAGAGAATCCATGGAGGTAGCAGGTGAGACGTCATCTGCCAACGACCGACGTCTCCGAGACATAGAATCGTGAGAAGCCAGCATTAATGATTCGCCTTCTCCTTCTGAGCCGGAGCCGTCGTAATCATCTTCGTCGCGTTCGACACCACGAGCCATCATCTCCGGCGGTGGACGAGTCTGGTCAGGAACGAAGAAATTGTTGCGATCGCGTGGGCCGGTCTCATTTGCTAGCAACGGGTTCTCCAAAGGCAACTCCATCGTACTTGTTCCTGTCAAGGTATTGAAATAAAATAAGCGGCCATCTGCGGTCGCTTGAGGGACCCAATATGCGGCTTCCTCTTGGTCCATCTGAGGAACACCTTCGATGGGTAGTATCGGTTGTGAATCGCGCTGGTGATCTACGTCGAATTCATCCTCTTGGTCATCCTCATATTCATCTTCGGCACCTGACTCTGCACTAACATCGCCAGGGTCAGCCATCATCATCATTCGGCGAGAGGTGTAGTGCTCGATTTCGTCTGGATTGGTGATTATTGTACAATAGTTGCTAGGAAACCACCCCCGGACATTACCGATAACGCCGTCCCACCATCCAGTCTCGAGTCGATTAAGGACCTGGATGACATCGCCCTGGCGGAAACTGAGGCTAGCCCGATCATCGGCATTATAGTCGTACAGCGCTTTCACGTAAAGTGCGGGGAGAGGTTCTGCCAGTTTCATGGGGGAAGTCTGGCGCTGTGGAGAAGTCTGCGACATATCTCTCTGGATCGATTGACTACGTTGGCGACCACCACTGGTGCGGAGGGGAGAAGCCATGTCTAGGCCGCGTTCTTCGTCGGTCTCGTAGCGGAAAGTAGCATACGCAGATTTTTTGAAAGCGAATCCGGGGTGAGCATCCAAAGCCAAGGGCTCTGCCACTCCACCTTGGTACATGACCCTTCTGGAGGGAAGGCAATAAAAGTGCGTGCGTGGTTAGTAGAGAATAGAATAACCGGGCCGATCCAATGATGGTGCAGAGTAAAGGGTGTTCGTTAAGACTTATTCTCGCAGTTGAAGGCTCATGACTTGCAAGCGTAACGGATGACACGGCCACAGGTCGACAGTTGCAGGTCAGCAGGTATGGAAGGATAAGTATAGGTAACGTGTGCAGACGAGGGAAGCCAGAGGGGGCTCTTCGGGAAAGAGGGGTGGCCTGGGCTGGCACGCTGAATGAACGTTTGGGTAATAAACGGAGGGGAGAGAGCTGAGGGATCCCCGAAACGAGCGAGTTCACAGCATGAGGGTTGGAGTGCAGAGTTGATGGAGAGATCTGTTCTTGTTGAGTGAGGGATGGAGTCAGAGCGAGAGGAGAGGCAAGACGGCAGAAAGTGGGCTCAAGCGGCCCAGCTTCCAGCTTACAGCTTACGGTACCGTTACGCGTGCGGTAATCTATCGTACAATATTGCATGATTATTACTACTATTAATACTACGTATTATGCTTAATAGCCAAGCACTATGCGCTGATTTGCCTCTTGACTCGTTGTTTATTGTCTATGCATCTGACTTTATTCTGGCATATGACTCGTCTGTCAGCTTAACAGATCTGAATACTCTCTTTGACTGCAGAGTCAACGCTTTCATAAGAGAGATATGTTATCTAGCTTGTCTCGGTACGTATTGTTACGTGGGTAATAATACAAGGTTGTATGGCGTAGTACGGGCTGTGTTATTCAACTCTAAGTCCACTTATCTTCTCTCTTTACTTTCGTAACACAGAATATGATTTGAACAGAGCAATACTAGGCTCTGCACCCCGTACGGAGTTGTCCCCATATGTACTGTTAACTAACAGTAATATTGATCGCTTATTTGCTCAAGCAAACACCAATCAGAACAGTATAGTAAGTCTAGACCGCGGTATTTTTTCGTCTCTTCTTCACTATGCTGATATCAGTTTTTTATACAGGATAATATAGACGGAGTTATTTTCCATTGCTATAGACATTAAGGTGGCTGTTATCATCGGCATCCGAAACTGTCGCTCAACACTCAAGGTATCACATTGATACATCTGTGATACATCTCGTACGCCTCACTGTTATCGAAAGGCATGGGATGACTACTTGTCTGTGCACTCGCTCTAAACGGCCATTTTACCTAGTTACAGTGGGATGAAAAAAGTGTTGGCACCCCCCAATATCGGTAAAACCCGCACAAGGGTGTCAACACTTTTTTCGTGGTACTGTACGTACTAAACTGGTGTCGCATGGCATTGCCATGCGATATTTGCCGGGTGGACTGTGCAATTCTCGTACTACTACGACTAACATCCATCACAGGTAAGTGGCACAGCTCGTATCGCATACAAATTGGCCATATACGACACCTTAATATTTCCACAACAAATAGATATTTCAGGCTAAGATTTAATATAGAAAATCTAATTACTAAGATTCATTTCATATTCGAAGTCTAAAAGGCTTTTTTCAAATGGGTATTTAGATTCTAATCGACTCTTATAAATTACATGGTATTTTATAATACGTGTGATGGCGTAGCTGATAGGTGAATGTAGGGCTGCCATGGTTTCCCGATTAATGAGTCACATGACCCAAATCACGTGATCCATGATATTACTATTGACCGAGCGTGTAGCCTACTGTTTGTTTTCCTGTTCATGCTTAATATTCTCTTATATACTACGGTTGACCGTTTTTATTCGGAAGTCACACACGATCAAGTAATACTCAGCACGGTATTTTAATAAGAAACTATCTACTATATGGGGTAAAGTCTCTCTACTACTTCAGTCATCGACGTCTGATTATTATGTTCTTCAGCCGTTACTTATGATCAGCTAGCTGGCAGCTGACAGAACACTATCGATTCGTTCTTGATGACAAAAGAGCTTGATATTTTGAATTTCGAATGGATAGGTAATGTTCTTGAACGGCATTCGGTATTCCTTGCTGTTGGTTTATCTACGTCTAGGTCACTAGCACTAGATAATACAATCGTAGAACAGCTAATCCAGCAAGCTGATGGGCCTATATTATTCTGGTTTCTAATAACATGACTACCCTCCAAGAACTAGGGGTGGTGAGGTGTAGTATCCTTCGTACATGGTTAGCGCACAGACAATAGTTGTGCCCTGTAGGACGTCATCTAATTTGACTACTTCAAATACGCCGTTTTCCAACAAGCCATTGATCTCTTTGTCCCTTGATTGGTCGAACTGAGTGAACATTGACTGTATGAGGTCATCTCGATATCGGGCAGGTAATTGCCGATTTCGTTGGGGGCGCCGTACAGGCTCCGCCTGTGGCGTAGATGTGCCTGATTCGTCCACCTGAGATGTAGATGGTGTTGAGTCCGTGGCTTTAAGTGCCTCAGGATCTTCATTTTATGCTCCAAATCGGTGTCTTGGTCATTCTTATTCTGCGGCTTGTAGTAAGGCTTTACAGCAGTTAAACGAAATTGCTTTGGCCCATCTGGAAACTGGATTGTGCACGTCTCGCCGTCAATGCTTAGCAATTTGTATGGCCTTTCCATTCTCCTGCATAGCCAGTGTACCCTTCCCTCCATACGCGCACATCCGAATTTATTGGTAAAAGGTGTATGGCCGTAGATGAGAGGCCGTTGCGCGTATTGAGGGGATCTCGCATCTGTCATTCAGCGTGTAGTTTTCGGACCTCTGTCATTGCCATTTTGAGTGTAGCAGCTCGTTGTGTGATTGTAGGGGCAGAAGGGTCATATTCTACCATTCATGGGTAAGCTCCAAAAACAAGAAGTGTAGGGACTAAACCATCTGGGCCAGCTGTGTCATTGACGGCCTTGACAGCATCTGCAGGGCGGCATCCTTAGGCAGATCTGGTAATTCCCTTTTTATGATATCGTACGAGCGATGAATCGTGGCTGGTATTGTTCAACGGCTCCAATTGCCAATCACGGGACAAAGAGATCAATGGCTTGTTGGAAAACGGCGTATTTGAAGTAGTCAAATTAGACGACGTCCTACAGGGCACAACTATTGTCTGTGCGCTAACCATGTACGAAGGATACTACACCTCACCACCCCTAGTTCTTGGAGGGTAGTCATGTTATTAGAAACCAGAATAATATAGGCCCATCAGCTTGCTGGATTAGCTGTTCTACGATTGTATTATCTAGTGCTAGTGACCTAGACGTAGATAAACCAACACTTGCATTCATACCAGTCCGATAAGCTGATGCTGTATCAAAATAGGATTATATCACATCTATCCCTGTAGTCTGGAAGTAACTCACCTGGAAGAGTGGACTCATCGAGATATATCAGAACACTACATCTAGATTTGTGTGTAATAATCGGAAAATTTCCCTCATACTCTATGGTGGATTACTATTCGTTTTCCTTGCGGAGAATACATAGATATCAATGCACATCCGCGCTGTCATGTCCTGCAAGGCATCTCTCCCTGCGGCGCTTTCGTGGGCTAAATTGAGTATGTCATGCTGAGCACTTGAGTGTCTTCCATTGGACCATTGATCAATCCAATAATGCTAAGATATCTTGGCCGCATATTACACATCATCATAGGGATAAATAATTGAGGCTGTTGTCTTTGAAATGGCAGGTATTTGTTAGGTTCAATGCTAGTCCTGATGTTGTCCGAATAGGCAGGTTGACTCCTACCATTGAGTAAGCGTTGTCAGAGCTTCTGAGTCTTTATGGCGGAGATCGTACAGTTTCGTAGGACGCATAACAATGTTATTACCATCAAAGTATGCCTTGATGACCCGAGCATGCTGAGGACCCTGTGAAGGAGAATAATAGAACCTATCAAAATTTCAGTTATTGACTATATAAACCTGGAGAGTGTTCACATACTGGCGCAATCATATGCGTGAAGTATCGAGGTCGCCTCAATTGTCCGGATATCTCTTCCAGCAGGCAAATCATAATCTCCCCACGACGGAGCTCTTCATCATTGCCATTCAGGTTATAGAAATGCTTGTCTTTGACTTGTAGAACACGTTTTAGGCCAAACCCCGGGTGTTCGAATTGAAACAAACCTGTGAAGGGTGGGGTTGGGATGCTAGGTGTTGTAAGCTCTCATGATAATCTCTTTTGAGTGAGGTGAAAGGCATACAAGATTGAAGAGCAAAGGGTTCCAACGTATTCCGTAGGTCCATAATATGAGCGTTGTAAGCAGGATAATTGTCGAAAAAAGACATAGTAGCATATGCACTGTCTATCGGCCGATATTCTGCGTCATGATTTGAATAATCTGGATACTCTATGTCATCCGGTTCTAGAGTTCGATTGCGCGGATAGGGACTGAAAGAAATAGGTTTTACATCTGAACACTCATCCAATTCCATGGGAGAAATGCGGATTTTGCGGACGGGATTGGTTGCAGAGGAAGACTATGCTGTTCGAGTCCTTCAACATCCTTCACTATGTCTTGCAGCGCAACACGCATTCTTCGGCAGCTTTCCGTTTCCAAAACCATCACTAATGGAAGTAGAAGTCGTATTCTATATATTAAGTAGTAATCGAGAGAATGCACTTCCCGAGATGACCTCGGGAGGAACTGGTCTACCTATCCCAAGAGACCAACTAGTTCTTTATAGCATAGCAATGGAACCTTTCACTGAGAGTAACAATCCATGATTCATCTCTTTGATCTCTGTATCCCTACCTCTCAAAGATGTTGTGCCAGGTCAAGCTACTTATTCTCTATAAAGATGTGTGTTTTTCATGATGAAAGTGATACTGCTAACACTAACAAAGACAACTCCTACATAGAATCCAGCCTAAGAGATATCATTGATTGCCCTAACTATTTTACATAAGGGCCTGCAGCAAAACCTAGAATAAGTCACACATTCACCATTGATAATCTAGTTCCTTGACCAGTATAGCACAGCAATAGAACCTTTCATCCAAACAATAATACTGTTTAAACATCTGCAGACCATACATGATAGCCAGAGTCAAGCCTCTTATTAAAATGAGCCCATATGCTCATAGTACAGTCTGTCAACCTACAAAAACAAATCGATTTTCCATCCTGTTCTACCTATTCGTACACAAGATGGGTGGAATACCGGATCACTTACCCAAAAACCGCGATGAATGGAGAAGAGTTATAGACCGCAACGATCTCAAGAGCGCAACTGTCCATACAACTCAGCTTGCCTCTAGTTCGAAAATGGGATACAGCCAGTTTCTTCTTCTTAGTGTCTTATGGGAGGACCACGGTCGAAAAGCATATAAGCTTCTGCAGAATTGCGCCAATTCATCCCAAAGGCGGAAAAATTGCTTAGGAAACTGGATTCAAGGAAAAAGTATCTCAATAGTTTCCAGAGCTACTCAAAGAGTCAAGAAGGAACCTTCACAACAGCTCGTCATTTCCAGCTTTGTGTACAGGAGACCCAGGAAAGGGCCGACGCAAGTAGCTTCGACACGCCTACTCAAAGCGTACCCGCCACCAGTCGTAGATACATGCAAATCAGCCTGAAACCCCTTCGAAGCAGTCTACAACAGTAAGCGGAACATCAATCCCTATCGGTCTGCCAGATGATGATGACGAGACATCAACAGAGGAGTATACTACACCGTCCCCCATAACTCCCTCAGCTTCTATTTCTGAAGAGCTTCGCAAAGTAATGTTCCCGCCAATAAAGGACAAGAATATTGTCAATACAGCCCTTGATGTATTCTTCAACGCACTTACCATGCACTTCGATATTTTGAGGCAGTGGAACTGGACTCCCCATCGAAAGAGTTTTGTCGGCAAATTTAAAGAGGCTAGCCTCAAGGCTCGTGTCGATGGATACCTGGAAAAGGAGAAAGGAGAACCCTATGCTCTTATCGAGGTGAAACCCGTGATTCGAGAGACCTACCGATGTCGTATTCAGATGTAGGAAAGCGCTCAGACGGTGAGCTGGATCAAAAACGAGGCCCAGAACCCGCGAGACAAACTGTAGGTCTGGGTATCTCCATGTTAAAATTCGCCCCTCATGCTAACACGTACAACGCTTGATAGTCGTATCCATGTATCGTAGAACCGACACGAAATATTCCTTATTTACGCCAAGTATGATGACAGTTATCTCGCATATTTGAAAGATGGAGCAGTCAGCGACAAGGAACCATTTCTGATTATGCACCAGGTGGGCCCTTGGGATACTCGTGTATCTTCTGATATGGCAGAATTGGGATCGATTATTCTTGCTATAAGTTAGAGCTAAATACGGACGCAGAGTTTCAAGCTGTACGCCAAGCTTGAAAGTGTGCCCTAACAATCCAGTCAGCCAACAATTTATTTACTGACAAAAGACGGACCGACACATTGTAATGAATGTTTAACTCGGTGCACTGTCTATATGTCAAGAGGAATAATGGTGAGAGAAGATGCCCACCCCACATAGGAGACGATAAGAAGATAGACCCCCGCTATCGGAACAGAACGGTTATAACCTCCTCTTGAAAATAAAAATAACCGCGACCAAAATGACGACTATTTTCACCAACGGACACTTATTCACAGGAAAGGGGGCGGGAGAGGCAGAGGATGCGTCCTTTGCGGAATGTATGGTCATCCAAGACGACACCATTGTTCACGTTGGGCAGTCGACAGATGGCGTGGTTACCCAGGCCAAACAGAACGGTGCTGTCGTTCAGGATCTCCAGAAGAAATACGTGCTTCCTGGTTTCATTGATGGACACATGCATCTGCTTCTTCTCGGCCAGGCGCTTCAGAAACTAGACTTGGATGGGTCAAACGATTTGACAGGAATACGGGATAGGATCAGCTTGTTCGCCAAGCAGAATCCAAATGTTCATCGGATTCTGTGCAAAGGATGGATGCAGAGTATGACTGACAACGAGGCATTGGCGTCAATGCTGGACGATCTTGATCCCCGGCCAATCTACATTGATGCCAAGGATCTGCACTCGACATGGTGCAACACTGCGGCACTCCAGGAACTCAAGATCGATGAAATGGGTGATATTGAAGGTGGTACTATCCACCGCGATAATAATGGCAAACCATCGGGTCTTTTGTCTGAGGCTGTGGTCTTTGCAGTCGTCTGGCCGTACCTTGCGCGTGCAGCATCGATGGAAGAGAAATTGAATGCGATTAGAGGCGCGATCAGTGCATATACTGCTTCCGGGTACACGGGTTTGGTAGACATGGCCATGGACGAGAACACATGGGAAGTTCTTCATGTGCTGCGACAGCAGCAGCCGGACAGAAAACTAAATCTGCGTATTGCAGCGCATTGGCTGATAGTGCCCTCAGCAGACTCTGAAGCAGACCTGAAGCAAGTCGACAGGGCAATTGAGCTTTATGCCAAGTATAACCTAGATAATTCGCCTGATTTCCGCATTGCAGGTATCAAAGTCATCTGTGACGGGGTGATTGACGGGTGTACAGCAGCACTCCTAGAGCCGTATACCCTCAACGGTGTGTCGTGCGAACCCCTCTGGCCCCAGGAAAAGCTCGCGCCTGTCGTTAGCCGTGCGATCAAAGCAGGACTCCAATGCGCGCTCCATGCGATAGGCGATAAGACGGTGCACATGGTCCTGAACGTGCTCGAGGATCACGGTACTCGCGATGGTCGACACCGAATCGAACATCTCGAGATGACGACTGCTGAAGATGCAGCACGATTAGGAAAACTAGGCATCACAGCATCGGTGCAACCGGTACATTCAGACCCAGATATTCTGCGCGCATGGCCCTCATTGATTGGAAATGATCGATGTCGCCGTGCATTTGCCTATCGTGACTTTGTCGATGGTGGTGCCCCCTTGGCTTTTGGGTCTGATTCCCCCACGGCCCCGTTCAAGCCTTTACCAAATGTATATACGGCAACCACGAGACGATCGGCTCGTCTTCCCGAGTCTGAAGAGACGGTTAATCCACATTTTGCCTTGCCGCTAGTTACAGCCTTTACGGCGGCGACTACGGGGGCTGCGTATGCATGTTTCGCAGACAAGGTAACGGGAAAATTGGAGAAAGGTTTGAAGGCAGACTTTGTGGTGGTTGATATGGAGTGGTCAAAGGAGAGATTATTGCATGCGACTGTGGATGAGACTTGGTTTGAGGGGAAAAGAGTCTTTTAATCCAGAATATTCATCTTGTAGTCTCGATATCTGAAGCTTAAATTAGAAAAGCAGAGATATGGTATCTAAAATGGGATTTATTCACTTGGATTTGCTTCGAGACTGTAACAAAAGCATAAGCGACGTCCAAAATCCGTATACGACTAAGTTATCATTCCACAGAGTAAATCAAGCACGATACTACGAGCATAACATAAATAGCAGCACTTCAAGAGCCAACAGTATCAGTCTATCAGATTATGGTCTTATGACTCTTAATCTAAATCTGCCTACGATGTACCGTGTAAAGAAACAGATAATGATTCTTCGCATTATCGTGCCTCGTGACTCGTGGTATTCATACTACGGCTTTGATCGACATGGCTCCTAGACATGGAACTTGGTATCAAGTCTAGACTGTACTATGTAGCAGTTGACTTGTCTAGTAAAGTAATAAAGCCGGCTAATTTAGGTCTAACCCAACACCAAGTGGCGCCGGGGAACCGGGAATGTTCCATTAATGCCCCTTTTTTCGGTACTTAGCCTTTCACATCTACTCGTAGCCCGTACAATCATTTTCTAGTCCGGTCCACTCGTAATAAAACTGGGATCTCCATCCTTTTCTTTTTTCTGTTCCGTATGGACGGATAAGAATCTTCTTCGTTTTCTAACCTTGCGACTCGTTGCGAGCTAGACCCAATTCACAATTACACGCTAACCGGAGTTTCGAAATGACCAATACGAAATCAGGAATAGAGAAGTCCCGAGAAAGAGGTTAAGCTTCCCATTCCTCAAACGATGGCTCTTTTGTGGCTGGTGGAATGAGAAAAGGGGGAGGGGAACCCTCTTGTCCTATGATCCTATGGGAAAGCAAGGAGCCGGGGCCCCTGCAGGAAGGGCCGGAGAAAGCGTATGTGTGTATGAATTTCCTATTTTGGTAATTTTGCGAGTTGGAGATGTCTTGCATTTGAGATAGCAACAACAACAACAGCGGACAAATAGCCGGACAGTAAGGAATAGAAAAGCGGTCAGTTAGGGCGAGAAAAAGAATATTGAACGGAAGGAGTTAATAAGTTAGGGAAAAACGGTTGAGATGCTAGCATACTTTGTTGATTCTTCACCGACTTGATCGGGTCGATTTGTCGGTGTATATTGAAAAAGTTAACCATATATATGCTCGGGATTGACTGACCGACTTTGTACAATAATCTAGACTATCGGACGATACTACATGCCCAAAGCTTACCGATGGAATGATTTGTTGGTGTGAAGGCGTGTGAAGGCTGTAGAACTAGCAATGCAGTTCATGATAATAGGCGACTCTGGTAAGTGCCACACAGAAAATCTGCAGTAATCTTGCTAGATAGCTAAGACCATTCGTTTGCATCTCTTTAACACTGAGCCGAAGCTATATCATGTGCAGTCTCAAGAATATTCCGCAGAATTGACGTTAGTATTGAAACGTCAACAGGTAAAACCATGGATCGGATGGAAGAAGGGACGGTCCGCTGCACCAACGGAAAAACCAAGAGGCTGGAGCTGTAAGAATTCCAGCAATTTCAACCAATCAATTCGATGCTTACAACTCACCGACCTAACAGTTCATCGCCTAAATCGGTCATTTATGCTCCATACGTATTCCGGGGACTAACCAAGACATGCTGGTGAATGTTCAAAGCGGTGAGGCCTGTTTGTCTTCTTTAGGGCTTGAGATGTCTTTTGCTGTGTTGATACCTTGTTGCGCAGGTTAGCGGGTGTATACATCACCTACGTAATAGTGCGAAAGAGTCCAGATCGCGAACTACTTGAAGTTAAAACTTAGAATAATACGTACAAAGTAATATTACCACGACACCAACGCGCTGTATTGTCATCTACGTAACCCCTCCTGTATGACTAGTCATTCAATTCACTGCGATCAATCCACTTCCGAGTGATGATCAACAGGAACCATCTGGTTTTAGTACGAAGGATGTGGTAGACATTATGGCATCATGATTGCCTAGTACAGTATTCGCATTCTTGTCTGTTCTGGCCCTATTAATGCGCACCTGTGCCTCGGCTACGTGGCGTTGTTTTGATTAACCAACAAACTTGGATAAAGTATAAAAGGTCACGCGCGCATTTAGCCCTAAGAAACCAAGCCGAATAGCCGTGAATAAATTACCAACTCAATGTTCATATCCAGATAACCCAGGCACGAGACGATTATCGTAGTTTCAAGTAGGATGCTAGAAGGGCATACAAGAAATACGCGTGATCGATGAGAATTTCTCGGATTCAAAAGAGGATGACTTGTCGAGCCAGTAAGCCACAGACGCCACACATCTTGTATTCTTGTATTCTTGTATGCGTATGTATTTCTTATTAATTCCTGGTGATCTGCAATCTGACTGGTCGCCCTTTTATTTTCAACAATCGTGATTGGTCCGTTGCGTTTCCGTCATGCTTCAGTTGTTCGAATGATTCGTTTCGGTTCTTTGTTTTCTTTTGCAAGTTGTATGTAGAATTATCTCACTTGGCATATGTATTGTTTTTTATTAGTACTGTACCGCAAGGGTCGCCGGAGTATTCAGATCGGTCCCCGAATCTGTAAATTACTCCTACCAAACAGGCTAACATAGATCATAATGGTAAAATTGTTCCTGTTTTTCATAGTTCAATAAACGAGGGGCAACGGAGGGGGAGGGGAAATATCTATTGATGATGGAGGAGGGGCAAAAACAGAGACGAATCAAAGAGATATTCGCCGGTAAAGTGAGCAAAGGCATCACATGAATGATTCGTGGTTGATTCTTGCGATGTGCAGTGCAAGTGTACTGGCTTATTTAACAAAGGCCACGAGACCCGAGCATGGAAGAAGGTTCGTAGCTAGGGGAGGTTGCAGTATTGAAGATTCCTACTGAGACGACAAGCCGGGGCTGGACGGAAAGCCAGAAAGGGGGCTTGTTAGTGAGTAGAAGGAGGGGCCAGAAGGAGGGGCAGAGTGGGCTGGTGGCAGGTTTTGCTGTTTTAGGCCGTATTTTCAGTACGTACCGTATGTATTGTACATACATAAGTAATAAATGACATTAATTCATGCAGTGCGTGTCTTTAGGCTGGCTTGCTTGGTGGTTACGGTTGCCAAGGGATCGGGCTCTGATGCGGCCCCGCTCCCGATGTATCCAAGATTGCGGTTATGTATGATGTTTATGGGAGATATTTGGGATGTTATCTCATATTTTGACGATGGATCGATCGGATGTTATCTATCAGATGAGATTGACTAACAGGATTACAATCTGGTTTCAAAGTACGTTATATACATTTATACTTCTGAGAATTAGCATGACAGTGATAGTGATACCCACCTACCGGGGTCAGCAGCATGAATTACAACACGCTCGGCAAATTCACGAAACGCACAGTTAAAAAAAAAAATGCAAAATTCGAAAATCAACTCACAAAATACTTCATGCTCCTTGAGTCTTAGACTGTGTACTAGTTCATGCAGCTAAACCAAGCTGGCTAGACAAGGAACCCGTTGTACCGGGATGACGGGTTGCCAGGTCCGCCATGTGGGCTGAAGGGCGTTTGGTTTGTTTCTTGAAGTTGTCACGGTGCTATTCTAATAATCAATGCTGAAGAACTATTCGTGACATCTAAAGTGATTGATAAACTATGAATGACAAGGGCAGGACAAGATGACAGATATTGTTCTCTCTGTTTCTCTATTTGTTTTCTTCATCGAGTAATTCATGCTGTCTGTATCCTCTCTGGTATATTTATTCTTTGTCTGCTTCTGCTTACTACTTAGTACTATATGTATGGCTATTCTGGTTCAACAACGGCACAGTTCCTATCTTTGTACCCCGTACCATCCTGTGTAGGCCTGAGGCCAACATACTACGACTAATGTGGTAAGTTTCCCTGCGTGGGCCACACTGATTCAGTGCGTGTCCGTAATGTAGACTCCGTATGTATTAGATTACGCCCCCCTTTTCTTCCCCTCCATGGCCCGCTTATGCGCCCCTCTTGCACGTAATGACACGCGCCTGTACATATTACATACCATTACGCGCTGCTTCGCTCGGCAAAACCAGGTATTAGTCGTAACAAACACCACGTATGTCATGCTATTTCCACTAACCCGTCCTCGTCTGTTTTACGGACACGCGCTCTTTCCAGCTCGCCCGTCAAATTCCACTCACTTCCCCCCTCCTTCCTTCCTGCCTTCCTTCCTGGCTTCCTGTCTGGCCTCCTTCCTTCTTTACCTCTCCTCCCTCCCTTTTCATCCCATTTATTTTTTCTCTGATTTCAACATCTTCCCCTTCTCCCCTCCTCCAACCACTAGGACTGTATACAGTTCCTCCCTAATCATATCATATCACTTCTCTTCTGATCTTTATTCCCGTCCGCCTGTGGCTGGACATCCTTTTCCCCTCTCCCAGCTTGCCCTTCCCCCTCATCCCTCTAACCCCGTTTCCCGGTTTTTACATCAGCTTTGGTCAAACCCCCGCCCAAGGAATGAACAGACAGCAACGCGACTCTTCAACGTCGTTAAACCTCATTCACACCCGGTGCGCGCCCTCCGTCCGGCTGATACCGCAGTCGTATTCTTTGTCACCTTCAACATATTGACAAGAATAACGCCCGTGGCCGCTTCGTCCCCCTCGTCTCGACATGGCTCCCACGGCTCCTTCCGCGGCCTCGAACTCGCCGGCCAAGAAGCCTTCTGCTCCAGAGAAGAAATATAAGTGTCAATTTTGCAATCGTGCTTTCAGTCGCAGTGAACATCGCAGCCGACACGAGCGATCTCGTATGTCACCCTTTGCATTGTGTCTTAAAACTCCATGCTCGAAATACTAACTTGACCTGTCAATCTCGTAGACACCAAGGAACGTCCATTCAAATGCTTAAAATGCCGCAGCACCTTCGTGCGACGAGATTTGCTTCTCCGTCATGACCGTACCGTTCATGCCAAGGATGGAGGCATCCCTCTCGTCAGCGAAGGACGCAGACGTGGCGGTAATGCAGGTACTCAAAAGAGCCCGCCTACTGCCGCCGCGCCCCCCAAACCTTCTATTACTATTGACCCTACCACTTTAGAGCAAATTGAGGCAAGCAGTGATGGTATGGTCGACCTTGAAACAGCAGCCATGTTGATGACGGATTTCCAACATAAAGCTGCTGCTGCCGCTACTGGTCATGTGCAAGACCGCACTGGTTCCGATCGCTCGTTCTCACCCAATCGTGGATCTCTTCTTGATCAGCATGCCTCTTATCTATCGGGAAATGCCACGCTACCTCAAATGCCCTGGGACTCTTTGGTTTCGCCCACCGAGACAAAACATCATTCCATGTTCGCTTCTCAAGATGCTGGTTCTCATGGTCATCAAATGTCAATGATGTCGGCTCGGGATACACTGGCACCCTCTTTGCATTCGCTCGTCGACTCATTACCAATGTCTGGCAACTCGACTCCAAATGCGCTGTCGCCATACCCCTCAATGACCGGCCCAGTCAGCCCAGTGAACTACCGCCGCTCTCCTGGTCCCAGTCAAGCGCTCACTCTGCCAAAAGCCCCTCAGCTTGTTAATGAGATGGAGAGGCAACGTATTGTGGAGAATGTCAAGAATTCGGACAGCTTGTCATCGCTACCGGAAGGCTTCCAGCTCCCATCCACTGCGTTGTTGAATAAGTATCTTTCGACTTACTTCAACCTTTACCACCACCATCTGCCCTTCTTGCACCAGGGCTCTTTCGAGCCTACCGAAGCTTCGCCGCCCCTTCTCTTGGCCGTGCTTTCTATCGGTGCCCTTTATACATTTGAGCGGGAGCATGCGTTCATGCTACACGTTGGGTCAAAGGTCCTTGTCAACCAGTTCCTTCAACAGAAAGATAACTTTGATTCGCGAAAATGTCCATTGTGGGCCATGCAAAGTACTTTGTTGAACATGATCTTTGAGAGCTGGAGCGGCGATCCAAAGGGGCTGGAATGGACCTGCTCTATCAAGAGTTTACTCGCCAATGTAAGCCTTTGTCTTTGATTTATATTTTATTTTATACTGACTCTTCTAGATGGTCGCTGGAAACCGCTATCAATTGAAGCTGCGCACCGAGGCTCGTGAAGGCCGACTACCCACTCGTGAGCAGTGGATTGAAGACGAGTCTTGTCGTCGGACGTACTACGCCGTCTACATCTTCTTTGGCATGCTGACTTTGACATTCAACCATACTCCTGCCATGAGCCTCGACGAGCTTGACAGCTTAGAGTTGCCGTCATCTGAGTCGCTATGGAGCCTTGATGTGACTGATGAGGACTCCTGGCACCGCACTTTGAGCACAGTGATCCCTGTCAACATTCGTGAAGCACATGATCGGTTGTTCCAGGGTGAACAGACAAGGTACAGTGCTTTTGCTACTCGAGTCATGATCAATGCGCTCTTCCTTCAAGTGTGGAGCCACAAGCGCAGTTTCGAGGCTCTCCAGGACGTAGTAACCGAATACAAGCTTCGTCTGGCGTTGGAGACTTGGGAGAACTCACTTGAGCTGTGCGAACCTGAAACCATCGTGGTTCCTTTGAGCACTCCCCAAAAGGGTCATCCTTTGATCTTCAACTCCATGGCCATTTACCGCAACACCCGGGCCCGGTTGGCAGTAGACCTCAAGTCTGTTCAAGAAGCTTTGCGCTACCACTCCTCATACGAGGTCGCCGCTGCTATGACGGTTGCCCGTGACAAGGTCAAGCGTTCTCCTGAAATGAACAATGTCATTCAACAATGCTTCGAATGCATTGAAATTGCTGCTGTGCAAGGTATCAACTGGGTTGCCAAGACATCTGCCACTAACTGGAGCGTTGAGCACCCTCTTTGCGGCTTGGACCTTATGGTGATCCTCAGCTTGTGGCTTTATCGCCTGGAACATGACGAGGAGCCTGCTACGGATGCTGAGATGGCCATTTACGCCAAGGTACGCAATCTGTTCGATGATGACGCCATTGATGCCTTTGGCAAATTGAGCTCTACCGTCGCACGTGTATGGGGCAACATTCTCGATGGCGTTGTTGTCTGGGGACTCACCAAGCTCATGGGCGAGTCCTTCAAGCTTCATGCGCAGGCCTTGGTTGGTTATGAGGATTCTTTGCAGGTTGCCAAAGACCAGCCATTGCATCCTATGCCTACGAAGAGCCTTGCCAGCGTTGGCACTGCATACTAAGCCTAGCTTAGTTTTCCGTCTATCCGCAAACGTTACGATGGACAACTACTTTCTTTTGTTAATGATTCTCTTCGCCTTGGATAACCGCTATACTTTTTTTAACAGTTATAATAACTTAATTGTCACTCATTCTGGTATCGGGGCGTTGGGAAACACGTGGAGAAATCCAAAGACGATGTGACCCTCGTCACTGGACTCGCATCTTGAATCATGGTCGCACAATTTTGGCGCGTTGATTCCTTACACTCGTTTATACACTCTTTGTTATTTTTGGGTCATCGGTCAAAATCGGAATACGGCACTCGGACTGGACTGGCAAGGGGGCGGCATAGTAGTGTCTTTGCGATTACGGATGACACTGGTCCTCTCCCTAGCATTCGCCTTTTTTTTCGGCTTTTCTTATCTCTCATTATTCCCTTTTATCTTTTGCATTTTTCTGCGTTCAGTTTGGGTCTCATTCTGGTTGTCTTCATAAGAGCTCACAGGAGTCCGGTCAGTGCGTCTTCTCGGTTTTTGATGGTTAGCGAAGGCAACAATTATCTACACTCGGCTGGTCCTGTGTGTTTCTTCGATTCTGGCTCTGCCATTTAATATTACTATTATTTGTTGTTTTGGTTCTTACCTTCTTCATCGCCGAACCTGACTTGATACCTTGCTTAATGTTTGCGCTTGTTGTTTATGTTGCATGCTTGACCTTATTGATTTATGTTTCACTGCGTCTGCTAGATTATGTTTATGCATTGCTCTGGATTTTGCACCCAGACACTCGTCTCTCCTCTCAGTCTTGTCGTTAGCACTGCTGAAGTACATGCTTTTTGTTGTTGATTTGATTTGATTTTTGTCATCGTTTGATTGGAAATTTAATTGATTCGATTCTTGGATTATATGCATTGCAATTTCACAATTTGAATAGTGTATTTGTACTATAGTTTTGAGCGCAAATAAATAAAAAAAAACTGGGGATGAAACTTTTTGTCTACATAATAGTAGTATGTACGGAGTAGTGTCTTTCGGATATGCTGTCGACTTCCGTACCTGAGCACAAGTCGTAGTGAGCTAAGTATGCGACCAAATAATTTCAGCACCCTCCTCTGTTCGACGACTGTACATACCGCGACGCAGAATCGTCAATCTATAGCAAGATGCTTTATAGGCCACATTCTATTTCATAATGAACTAATTCGTCCTTGAATTTACAAGTCTCAGGTTGTCTAGAGGTGAAATTCTGAGCGGGGAATAAGGTACCTTACACCAAGCTTTTAACAAGAGTTTAACAAGAGCAGATCAAAGCTGATTTTTTTTACGACGAAAGGAGAAGATGTCTCACTCATCGCACGATATAATAGACGACCTTGAAAAGGCACCAGACGAAGAAAACGCCGTGGCACCGCTATCAGAACTCACCTCAGAACGACCGGTTGAGCGTCGCGATCGCGGAACAGACCGCGAAAGGATCAGAGACGAAGAACAACAAAGGGAGCAGGAAGAAAGTGCAGGCTACGATGAGGGTATACCGCTTGCAGAAATCACGTCTGAGCCACCGGTTGAGAGACACGAAGAGCGAACGACGACGGTAGCAGAGGTTTTGCCTCCGTTGTCAGCCTGGGCTACAAGACTGTATACGATTTCATATCTGGTATTCTTTGCGATCTGGGGAACACTTGCGCGACTGGGTGTGCAGGCCTTGACGACGTATCCTGGCGCACCCGTGCTTACGGGTGTGCTATGGGCGAATGTAGGCGGATGTATCCTAATGGGCTTCTTCATCGAGGATCGAAACATATTTCGCGAAGAATGGGGTCAACCTACAAACCCTGGAAAGTCGCAGAACCCACGGCGCAGGCTACCGTCCACAGCGAGCGCGCAAGAACGATGGCTTAAAACCCACAAGACAGTGAAAAAATCAATTCCGCTTTACATCGGCCTCACGACGGGGTTTTGTGGCTCGTTTACTAGTTTCTCGAGTTTTATGCGAGATGCGTTTTTGGCACTATCGAATGATTTGGTCGATCCGTCTGTTTTGTCTACTTCTAGTAGTCTGATTGATGGCCGCGGACGAGGGGATAGTTTTATGGCTGTTGTTGCGGTGCTCGCTATAACCGTGTCGATGAGTATAGCCGCTTTTTATCTAGGTGCCCACCTTGCGCTCGCGCTCGATTCGTGGATACCCATCATTCCATTCCGATTTACGCGAAATGTGCTTGATCGTCTTGTCGTTTTCCTAGGTTGGGGCTGTTGGCTCGGTGCAGTTTTTATGGCTATCTGGCCACCGCATAATGCATGGCGAACCGATGCACTGTTCGCGATTATCTTTGCGCCGCTGGGTTGTCTATTCAGGTTTTATATGTCACTTGCATTGAACGCGCGAATCCCTGCTTTCCCCTTGGGAACTTTTGCGGTTAATATTATTGGTACGGGGGTGTTGGGTATGTGTTTCGATTTGCAGCATGTAGCTGGTATTGGGGCCCCGGCTACATCATGGCGTTTTGATCCTCTGGCATCGTCAAGGCCGTCACGTTTCCCTGGTGCGGCGGCTGAGATAGAGGCCACCGCACGCTCGATCTTGGTATCCTGTCAGGTCTTGCAGGCTGTCATGGATGGATTCTGTGGCGCGACTACGACGGTGAGTACCTGGATAGCTGAGCTGACGTCTATTGGACTGGGAACCTCGCGACGGCGTCGATTTGCATGGGCGTATTTGTATGCTGTGGTTAGTATGGGAGTGGGATTGGGATTGTTGGTTATTGTTATGGGGAGTGTACGATGGAGTCGTGGGTTTGATAAGCCTTATTGCTAGCTACGTGGCCCTCGTATATACTACTTTTGTCCAGTCAATGTCATATGTATCATAATCATAACTCATATTTACAGCCGACAATCAAAACATGTCCTTCGCACTTTGACCACCACTCGCCTGCATCATCGACAAAGGTGTGCGATTGCTCACTGCGCTCCCATTTTGATACGTATTGGATTGCGAATTCCCAGACCAAGATTCATTCCCGTCCGTATCTATCCTTAATCCAGCAGTTGCAGCGTCTTGCATATGTTTTTCCACGGCAGTAGTAGTGATAACGGTGTTGGTATCACTCATCCCATCTTCACTATTATGACGGGTCCCACTCTCAGTCTTGAACTCGGCCGGTTCAGTCAGGAATTCCAACGTTTGTCCCTGCGTTTGCGCAATCGGATCCCGATTTGCGTATCGATGTAAGGCCTTGTCGTGATATCCGCCTCGTTCGTGATGGAAGCCGCGGGCTCGAAGTTCTTTACGTCGAACTTCGTCGCGGGCTGCTGCGCGACGTTGGGATGCTATCAGCTCGTCTGTTAGTACACCTTCTCAGGAACTGTTGAATAGAGGAAGGCTTACCCTGCCAGAATATATAGTATACAGCAACGGTTAGGATACAAGCGGCCAAAAACCCGAACATGATTCCTAGCTCTTGCCGGAGGGAAACGGGTTGTTGGCCATGTAATGGATAACCGTCTAGACTGTCTAGCTCCATTTCGATGGTCCTACTTATTTCGATTTATGTTCTGTCAATATTGTTGATGTTGTTGTAGTCGGGGGATAGTTATGCGATGATAGTTATGCGATCCGAGAATTCCGTATTGTAGATGCTCATGACAATAGAGAGACACAACGCATATCTGACAATAGAGACATGGGATACAATGAATAATATAGAGAAAAGACTAGCACAGGAAGCCAGAAAATGAAACTGAGTTGCGCTGTGGTCCCTTCATCCTAGTCAGTCGTACAAGAGTTATCTTCCAAGTTGTTGAATCTCGTATGGCAGCAGTGGGGCTGAAACATTACAAACCAATCAGGGCGTTGTATATGATACAGGTCCGCGGGGGCCGTATTGGAATTACCATTAGTTTGTATATCGTTACGATGGGTTAGGATACAGAGTACCTCATGAATGAGTCACTCCAATGTATCAGTTGTAAGTATCCGGTGTTCTCTGATCTATCATAAGGTATATAACATAAATCCTATCCAACATTATGTAACATGGGTCTGGACCCGCGTATAAGCAGAGCACGCTCGGTAAACAAGAGCCGGCGTGACAAAGGAATATAGAAACAGAAGGAAAGTACATATTGACCTAACCATCCCAAGTGTGTATCTGTAGTGACATAGTCAGAGTCGAGTTCCGACGGTATCGAGACCAGAATTGAAAGTTTTCAAGCGGCGTGGACTGAAAACATCTTTGATAAGTGATAGAGTCAAGGCGGACGGAATATTATAAGGGAATCGGAAATCTTTGGTTTGCTCGCTTGGTGTATCGTATTAGAGTATTATGTGCGATAAGCATCGTCTTGTTAGGCATGCATGAACAGACGAATTGAAAGTATTCGCTGCTTAGGGGGGGCGTCGCGATATGTATTTCAGTCGTAGCATGAACTACCCCAGCATCAATGCTGCAAGCGTGGTACAAGCGAGCCCAAAAGCCATCCCGTACCAGGGTGCTTGCCCCAAAGCACCCTCATTCCTGGCCTTCAAACGAGGAAGAACCGTCACTCTTGCACCAATATCCTGCGTAAAAGTCTTCAAGTCAACCAACTGGCCCAGCCATCGATCGGAGTGAGTATTATGTGTATGTGTAAACGACTCGTCTGCCATTGCTTGTATTGACTCTGACACTGTCTCCGTCCGCGTGACTATAACCGAAGGCGAGTGCTGAGAGACATGATTGCCCAATTCGCTTTTCGATACGGGATTATCTGCAGAAACCGTGGTGGCAGAGAGGAGAAGCGCGGCGAGGGGGCTCGATATCTTCATTCTCGAGGTCGAATATAATATATACACACACAATTCTTCGAGGATCTACTGAGCGCTCGCGCAGTACGGCAGAAGTATCCGCGTCGAGTATGGTTGGCAATTGTGGTCCGAAAGTAAAGCTGACGACACCGCTCGGTAACCTTAGGACAACCAAGGTTCTCGTGAAGTTAATTCGAGAGGAAATGGTAGTTTGTAAGAGCGGCGATTCAATCCGAGAGCGCAATTGTTCGTAATCCGTATTAAAAAGACATCACGACGTAGCACAGGCGACGATAGATCAAACAATCAATCAAACAGCCTCGCACTGCGAGTGTGGGCCAAGCGAAAATACACGAACCGGTCGCATTGACGCGTGAGAAGGAGAGGAAAAAGAAGAAATGAGCAGAAATGAAGCCATTGGGGTTGTGGAGCTAGCTGGGTAGCTTCCAGGTGAATAGGAGACTCTTCAACTCGGCAAATCAGGGATTTCCGGCACTGAGCCGTTTTGAGCCACGCTAACATGGCCAGCCGCGCCGGTGGCTAACTGGATATGGTTTAGTGGAACGGATAGCTGGTGCTTAGTCCTTCTTTGAAGAACGCTAAGCCGAATGCAGCAAGGATAGCTGGAATTGGATGACGTCGAGAGAAAAAAAGTCTTCTTTTGTACTGATTCATGACTCTATTGATTCTATTGATTCATCGTTGATTGACGTTACAACAGCTTGTTCCACTCAGGACTTGCAACAAATTTCTCGCTGAGCTGTCCCATAGACCACACGCTTCTCTCTCCGGTATCCTCCTCGCCAGCCCCCATGGTCGACGGTGTAGATGCAATGACCGCTTCCTGCACAAAATTGACGTTGGCGCCCTTATCCAGCTCAAATGAAATCCCACCCCAATCCAAGGTGACACGGCCTGACTTGTGGAGATGCAGTCGTCCGACCCGCCCGGCCGGCAGTTGGCGCTGAGTCGCAGTCACAAGTTTTCCTGCTGGTTTCTTTGCGACGTTCACCTTTTCTTCTTGGTCTTCTTCCCTCTTCACCTCAATATCGCCTAGGCCTTGTGTAGGATTCTCCTGTACCACCGTGACATCTTCTGTAGCCACGTTGTCTTGTACTTCAAGAGGCTCTGCTTCACCGGGCACAGTCAGATTAGGCGTCAAGGGTGGGAATTGAATTAGGTATAAGCGGCCGGCGTTTTTGTCGACAGTCTCTTCTTCTTTTACTTCCTCCTCTGCTTTTCCGCCATCTCCTTTGCATTCACCCTCTGTAGTCGTGGCTTGTTTCTCCACTGTAACTGGCTCATCAGGTGTCAAGATATCCTTCAAAGTCTCGAGGTCTTCATTATGACGGTCAAACTCTTCAATCTCTTCTTTTGTTCGTAGCAGGCTTCGAGGATCTTTAACGACTACGCTCTTTCGTGCCTTCACGCGCTGCGCAGGGAGAGGCGTCTCATCGAGATCCTCGGCATGCGGTACATCCGCCATAACCAAATCGCCATCTGTAGGCTCCCGCTTGACCTTCGGAGTGGCAGGGTCTTCACTAATGAATAATTCATTGTCCGACTCCTCCTCTTCTAGTGTCTTGCGACTCGGTTCAGCTGCAATACTAGTACTGGCGTCAACATCGACACTGACGATTCGTTCTTCATGTTCATGACGTTCCACTCGAATAGGCCTGGGGCCTCGAAGAGGTATAGCCAGTTTCTTAACGGCCTTTTTGCCCTTTGCATCTTTTGAATCTTCTTCGTCTTCACTACTATCGTCCAGATTGATTTCATCAATACTGATCCGGAGGGCTGAAGCTTGCTCATTCTCGTCCGAGGAATAGCCACCATTGTTGTTTGATCGCCAATGTGCTGGTGTGTGTGAGCGGGAAAGAGTATGTCGCAAAGCTGGCGAGGAGCGTGAATCATTCTCAAATCGGCCACCACGGCCTCGTTTGAAGCCTCCCGGACCACCAAACATCACCCCACCTCGCCCCCCTCTACCCCGTGCCCTGGGAGCATTTCCGAGCCGTGCTCGTTGTATTGCTTCTGCTTCTGATAACCGCTGTCGGTTCCTCTCTGCTTCTAATTCTATTAAGGCATCTCGCTCCTCTTTGGCACGTCGATTGGCGGATCGTGGTGCAAATTTTAGGGCCGGTTTGGTTGGTCCTCCTAACTCGCCGCGGGAGAGCGATCCTCCTCTGGGTCCTATACTTCCTCCTGGCGTGCGTCTATTCAGAGACTGTAGGCGTTGGACGGGGGGTCGTGCGGAGGGTGCTGTAGACGACGACGACGACGACGCTGTATTGGCGGTATCTTCTGTAGAGCCAGCGAGCGCTGGCCTTCTTGCAGCGCCGCGTCCGGCTGCTTTGGGGGGCATTTGTGATGGCGTCTCGATGGTGAAGGTTCGGCAGCGTTTAAGTCACGCTAAGTTATCAATGTAGCAGAATATGCCGAGAACAGTCAAATAATTCAAGATCAAACGTTTATTGAAGTCTGAATTGACTAAGAATTCTGCTGGCGATACAGTCAAGTCCTCGTGCAACGAGTGCCTGAAGAAAATAAAAATGTTCAGAAACTGAACCGCGATAGCTTGCCTTATCTTGCCCTAGTCTATTTCCGGAATAGCGGGCATGTTAATGATCTTAATCTGAGCCGTTGGCCAATCACAGCGGGATATAAATCAATTTCGAGATATGGCTGTAGCTGAGGTAGGTAAGTACGAACAAAGTATCGAAAGTCAATAACTACTATTTTGAGCTAGGTAATAACATAGTCCAGAGATGAAAAGAGGAATAGCACTGAATACATGTTAATACTGATATGACCATCCTCTCCTTCGACCATGATCCGGTGCAAATAGGGCCTTGATTTGCACGGTGGTCGACAAAATTCCCCAGTAAAATATGAGCGCGACAACCAGCACAAACAGAAATCAATATGATGAAAAGAGAGAAAATGACTAGAAAGGAACATCCACACAGAGCTACCAAGATCAACACGAAGAGCAGATAAAGGTAACAGCCAAGTCGAAAGAGACGATGTAGCGCCGGTGTAGATATTCGATGTGAGACAGCAGGCGATTGCCGTCCCTGGAAATAATCACAGAGAAAATGAAAGGAATGAGTAGGTGTGCCCATAAGCTCAATAGGCAGTAGTCGAGCTTTAAAGGCGAGTCAAGCGAGTGGTATTCGTATGAGCGATGGAACGAAGAGTGACGACAGTGGTGAGATGCAAGCGATGCGATGCAATGAGGAAAGATTGGATGCAATACCTGTAGCAGGAAGATATTGCCAGAAGGATATGGTGGGCCCATAGTGATGTAGGGTACAATAAATTAAATCTAATGAATAGAGACGCTCAACTCCTTGCAGCAATCAATTCAGGAAGAATAGACAAGCGATGAAAATATGGAGCAATGAGAGTATGATCACCGCTTCCGCTTTTTATTTTTGTCGCCTGATGCGACAGATTCTGCAGGAGTCGCTGGAGTAGGCAATCCAACTGCATCGATCACTGCTCCAGGCTCTACGGTCTTCTTGATGGGAACACCCATATGTCGGCCATAACGACCTTTCCGTCCGTTTCCTTCGTCTTCGCTGATACAACCTTCCAGACCAATACCTGCATCTTTACACCTGCCGCACGGTCGTTGACGGTCACAACCCTTCTTGCTCTTGCGGCAACGTTGACAACGAGGCTTTGTGGATAGATCTTCCTCATCTGCAGCAAGTTGATGTTGGAAATTGACACCGGATCCAGATGTCTTTCGTGATGGTGCAGGACTCAAAGTTTGTAGTGCTGTCTCGGTCTTCGGGCCAGTCGCTGAAGGAAGACTTGATTTAGACTTACGAGCAACAGGACGAGCTTTTCCATTCTTTGTAGGTTTGGCGGGAGCTGATTTTGTAGCGCGGCTCTTGCTCGAGGAAACACTATCTGATTTGACCTTCTGTTTCTTTGCGCGGGGAGCATCGGCACCCTCGTAGTCGTCATCATGGTACTCGTCCTTGACAGGGTCGCTGGTTTGGTGGTATTCTTCACCTTCATCGGCGCTGGCATCGGTGCTATCGTAACTTGGGAGTATATCATCTAATCGCTTGTAGCTCTGTTTAACATGACCAGGTGGTAGTAATGGACTAGACTCCACACGTTGCCTCGATCGGGGTGGGAGCTCCTGGTCATCTTCATTATCGCTGAAATCCCCGTCGCTTGTCGCACCTGTTGAAGATGCATCGGCTGCACCGCTGAAGGCATCATCCAATGTGGAAGTAGAGTTGCGACCATGGGAAAAGTTTGAGGCGTCTCCAAGACGGATCAATTGCAATGCCACATCCTCGTCTGATATGCAGCTGGCAATAGTTGGATCTGGCGTTGGGAGTATTCCGGATGCTGTTTGGCGGTTCGCAGAACCTGGAACTGAGCTGCCAGAGAGGCGCGAGCGATGTCCATTATCTGTGAAGACCCCATTAGAGTAGAGGGAGCTTTTTGCTGACCCGTTCCCATATCCGTGTTCGCTATATCCGTAACTCTGAGGGGATGGCAACGGATGTTTGTTATTCAAAGGACGGTGCGTAGGTCGAGCGAATGGGGATGGTTCGCCATCGTTACCAATCGATCGTCGTTGCGGAGATATAGAGGATGTAGAAGTGGTCAATGGAACTTGTGGAGGAGCAAAAAGAGGTAATTCCTATCAATAACATGTTTCGTTAGTTTAAGACAATTAGAATAGTCCCAAAGCATCGATAGCCATACCGAGCTCTCAAATTTGGGCTTCTTGCGACGGCTTTCTTGAACAATGTTGTCCATGCTGATCTCGGAACTTGCGAATTGTTCACTCCGAGCTTTTCTAGAGCCACTAATAGAGCCATGGCCGCCCTCGCTGTCGCTATATCCGGATATCGGATCTTCAGCGAAACTGCCATGTGCACTCGACCCTCGACTCTTTACTCCGTTTCTCGTAGAGCCCTTGTGTTGTGAAGCACTGCGCCGGCCTCTTCCAGATGGAGAAGTGCTAGGTCTTCTGGTGCGTGATAATGGACGGGATGATGAAGAGCCATAAAGGTGCCCTTGGCCTGTGGTTGGGACCATTTGAAAGGGTTCTCCAAGACTTGGTCGCTTGCGACCATCCATTGTAGTCATGCCGTGATAGTGTGGCTCGTAGCTGTCGGCATAGCTATGAACGGGTATCACTCGGACATAGACAGTCATATTGTTTCTCAAGTTTTCATACCTCGCAATGAGGGTTGTGCCGTGCTCATCTTCAAAACTCACTCCACTAGCGACGCCATCATAGATACCATAAAAATTTTTGACCGTGGTCACAATGGAGTCAGTCGTATCATGAGGGAAGATTTGAACTCGCATTGGAATTCTGGCTCGAATCTTTGAGTTCTCATCGAGAAGAAGCTCAAAGGCGACGTTCTTGGGTGCAGGGCTACCCGGGGAGTGATATTGTTGAGGAGTCATATCACCTTGGTACCGATCCATGTCACCAAAGTTATTTCCCAAGCTTGCAAGGCCCTCTGCAGCTTGGTGATCTTGTTGTGAAGGGATATTCATCGCTTAACGGCGATAGGATAGTGACCTGCTTGGGGGCGCCTTGGGCGCCTTGTTCTTCTACAGGCTATACGAGTATAGGCGACAGAAACAAAGACGCAAGGCCGCAGTCGAAATGGGCTGCTTTCTGCAACCGTCAAGCGCTTTGATAGGATCCAGGGACCCTTGTGCAAGATCGCCGGATGGATTGATTTTGTTCCGTTGGTTGAATTGCCTCAAACCTGGGGTTCCGATGAGAGAATGGGTGGGGGTGGAAGATGACGGAAAATTCGGTACGACGAGAGGATGTCAAACTATCATGAACAAGCGACGTTAACACCAAGGTCTTTATGAATCAGGAATTGAAATGTATAGCCTTTAGGTTATGTGAAGTGTATAGTTCGATGGATGGAGAGAATCGAAGGATGGGTATGGCCCGATCCAGGTAACCCGAGAAGGATCAGGACCTGGAGACTAGGCGGATGCACAGATTGGAGATAGACATACTCTTCCACCACGATTTTGTGATTGACGATAGTCGCCTAGCGTAGAGGCTTCGATATGATGGCCGTAATCGAGCGACGACTACCGAAATGGACTGTGATGGCTTTGGGGATGATCTGGTTCTGCGATGAGGAATCCTAATTAGCACCAGTACGTAACCGACGCATGAGGCAGGATGAGGAGGATACAAGAGGGATACATACTGAGTTCCAGTGAACAAAGTAACTTTACCTTTGAATGAACTGATCCTAATGCAAAGAACAACAGTCGGGATGTGGTGGTAATAGAAGAATGAAGTGCTGCTTGGGAAAGAGGAGGAGTTGGGGGAATCGGGTGGGTGCGAGAGGTTTCACTCTCAAGCGAAAAACGGCCTGGTCCAGACAGAGAGTGCCATGCTGGTCGCCGACGACTCTTATTTGTTTTCCGCCTCTTTCCACTTCTTGGAATCTTTCTACGCCGTTTGTTAACCATACAATTGACAATTTTTTGTGCTATTGTATCTTAAAAATTCATATTGATACTGATTCATTGTGTGTAGCGCAAGTTCATTCAAGAGCCATCGGCATCGCATTGGCAGCGCATGCGGACGAATGATTCAAAGAAGATAGACCACCCCTCTAGATTTGTTGATTGGATATTGCGCATAACAATTGCGATTAAAATAGACATCGCAATACGAGCATATTGATATCTCCTAGTCTTGACAGTAGTAGGATATCGGTTCCAGCAGCGGTGGCAGTCTCCGGGAGGACCTCGGGCATCTGGATCGCAGTAATGGCATTCACACATCTGGCGCATATCATTGATTGGGTGTCTAATTGATGTCTCGAGTCAACCCGAAACGGATTTCCTCATGTGTTAATCTAATTTCATGCTGATCAACCTGAGCCAACCACTTGTTCGCAGACCAGCGCATCCGGCCTTAGTGACCCGGATGACAGCGCTCAGGTGATTTGCGCCGATTGACTTATCATGGGTTGATCTTGCATTTTTTGAAGATTTATAGCCCGTTTCTGAATGATATAGATTTGATTCTTCATTTAACGCATTTTTTTCCCTATCCTTGCGCTTCACTGATGAAAGCGTGGGTACATCAATTTCAGCAACTCTACTCTGGGTTCCGGCCATTATCTTTGCTGCGAAATGTATGGATGGACTTTTAGCGTCTGGTGTATCATATAATCAGACCCTGGAGGTTGCACCTGTCTGGGCAAGCTCTGTTTCGAGCCGAAAAAAAAAAAAAAAATAGAGTCAATCAACTAAACTCGCTGACTGCTGATTATCGCATAGAATCGGTGGAAGCCAAGCATTGGTTTAGCGTATGCGAACAAATCCTCTTGTACATCGCAAGAGGATATCAAAGGGAATTTGTCTCATTTCTTTTTACTTTCTTTCTAGAAATCCTTGCGACACCACTGCAGAGTATCCCTCATGATCCTACGCTTTCACAAGGTACATATTCGTTGCTTTGCAAGGTGACCACGACTATCCTTCTAATGCGCCGGAATGGGAAGCCTGCCTGATAAAACCGTTTTGTCTGCAACGCTAAATGCGCTGGCTCTGTATCTACTATCTATCAAACGTAACAGCTACTGCGACGATATTGTTTTCTTTCTATAAGGGTGCCCAATGAGCTAATCGCGCATTATCGAGCACGATGTATCGTATCTTCTCGTCTTAAAGTTGACGCTAAAGGTGGTGTGCGGCTTAACAGTCTTCTTGCGCACGACCAAGAGTCCAAGACATCACCACTCTGCTCTTTTCGGTTTGCGACAATGGGTCATCCTGTGCATTGCCGGTGCTAGGGTCTGACATCTCCGCTTATTACGAGATCGTTTTGCTTGCAAGAAATGGAGACCAATCTACGAAGTTACGTGCAAAGCTAAAGGCTAGCGAGGAGCGCACTGGGCGAATAATTCGATAGTTGCAGTCAGGCGCATATGCTTATGCGGATTTGGAACGTTGTTGTTGTCCATGACCAGTCGGAGGCACGCCAATCCAAATCATCTAAAACACTGATCATCCGAGAGGGGGCGGTTGGCGACCAAGGTCCGCTCAGAGTACCTTAGAAATGGGCTCACTGATCTCGCAAGAATATCGTCAGTCTTCCCCCCTCATTCTACCTCAAAATTGTGGATGTCGCAAAACTTTCGGAAAAGTCAACTGGTGAGTCGTCACTAAAGAGTGGATTCGGGCTTCCTGTTCGTCACCGCTGGTTTGCGCTGTACTGGTCCCGTTTTGTTTGCTCTTTTTGTGGCTTTTCGCGACAACCGGGTCGGATGAAAAAGAAAGATCGGCAGGTAGCAAGCAAAAATAGGTTAAAAGTCTTGAGATGCCCACGATCGCTGAACCCGAGACCGGTATAGACAGATGAAAACCGTTGAATTGATGCATTCTTTTTCTGAAGTGCCGTGGCGAGACCGGTGGAGCAGCAATAGTGAGGCGGAATTACCGGCTTGACTGGTCAAGACCTATCACGTGACCCCGTGTCGGCTTCGTGACGGGCCGGACCGAGGGACGCGTACAAGTGCGTCGGATGTAGAGTCATGATTTTTTGCAACCACAAACGCGAGCGCATATATAAAAGTAAGAAATATAATGTCGCATAAATGAATACTACTATGTCCTCAATTTGTGTTTCTGTTCATCTCGTTTTGGCGTGGTGGTGAGCGTGGTTCCATATCGGCAGTGCAGTGGTGGGACGCGACTAGTGATGTCATTTCCGATAACAAAAGAGATAAGTGGATGACTAAGCCAAAAAGAAACAGGCTAAGCCTAGAAAAGACTAGCTTTATTGATGGCGAGCAACCATGCCAAGCAATGCAAACAGACCAAACAAAACAGAGATCCCGCTTTCTGATTGGCTGGCCCCGTCGCTATGTTTCCTTGTTGGGTAATGTCAACAAACTTCCTTATTGATGGTTCCTCATCAACCTCAGGCATCTTCAATTGGAGTTTGCTATTCTTCTCCTTTCGTTTGTTAATGTCGACCACCCTTTCAACATTTAGCTTCGTCTTCTCCCTTCTGCTCTAGCATCTCTTATTGACCTTCAATCCATTGTAATCCCTTTTCTGCGCGTCCCATTCACATCAACTCATGGCTGCGGCTCTCTAAGAAAGTCAATATCACTTTCTCCAGCCTTCGAGGTCTGGTGTTTGGAAAACCCTCTAGGTGACTGAGCTGTCCATATCTCTTATTCCACAAGGACGGCAGCACTGGTATTTACATTCGTCAATCGACTCATCAAACGACATACCAACACATCTCTTTGCGATAGCCTCGATATAACTTCCAACAATGGATGCAAGGGTAAGTCAAACATGTTTCTATATCCTCGACTTTCACGCGTTACTGTACTATGCACCGATATCGCGTCATTCTTACTCGTCCACCTCCATCAAACATCTACGAGGCCACTGTCTACGTTTCATGACACGTCCTAGCTGCTGCTGCCCATTTTTTTCCCAGTTCCAATGCTAACTAACACGTTCGACCAACAGCCTCAGCGAATTCGCGTCCGCGGCGACGAGAATGCCCCAGTCGGTGCCCTTCCTACCAAGACCATTCACCAACGGAATAAATCTACTCCTGCTCTATCGGCTGCTCTACAAAACGGGGGTCTGAGAAATGCTGCCAAACGCACTGCCTTTGGTGATATTAGCAACATCCGGGCCAGCAAAGATGACAGTCATGTTGCTGGCAAGAACATCACCCTTGCAAAACCTGGCGTATCTGCTCAGGATAGGAAGGTTCATGCCCTCTCACAACCTGCCCAGCGCTCCGCATCTGTTATGGGCATCAAGACGATTCTAAATACTACGAGCAATATCAACGTCAAGCAAGTACTTGGAGATTCTCACAACAACACGGCAACCACGCGCAAATTACTCACTAAACGTAGTACCGTCGCGTCCAAGAAGCAGCAACTTTCAGTTGTCAGTGAAGTCAAGCCTAGTGTTAATGAACAGCCAGTATCGCGTGTCGACCATTCCCGTCTGCTTCTCGCGAAACCATTTGCTGGATTGGCTGACAGGAACGTCAACGAAACTGAAAAGAACTATTTTCACCCAGGTACTGAGATAACATCCGATGACACTATCGAACAGCCTGCCAGTGAGGACAATGACTCAGTGAACGCTGGCGTTGGAACTGTTGAGATTGTTGAAAAGGAGTCAGTTCATCAGGTAAAGCTGAAGGACAAAGAAGAGGACTCGGAAGAGTCGGTCAAAGAAGAGATCGCAAGCGTAGAGATCTCCGCAGAGGCTCGCAAATTGGATCATCATGCCCCACGCGGTTCCCTTGACCTAATCCATGTCCACTCTGGCCATGGAGCCGTAGCCTCGGAGCCGGAAGAATACTGGGATGACGACGAGGATGACAATGAAGAAGATGATGGTTATGTTACTGCGCGTTCCTATCGGTCTCGGAGCGAAAACACAACTGGAGGAGCAACTACTGTTCTCTTTCCCAAGTACAACACGAAGGCACGGCGAGAGATTGCTATGGCCAAGCAACTTGTCGAGGCCTCACGCACTACAGACGATATTGAGGATGAAATGTGGGACACGAGCATGGTGGCAGAGTATGGGGACGAAATCTTCGAGTACATGCGAGAGATGGAGGTGAGCTTCTTTGCTATCTCGGAGGTCTTATGTCATGCTAACTAGATAACTAGATCAGAATGCTACCGAATGCACATTACATGGACAATCAGGCAGAGATCCAATGGTCGATGCGCTCAGTTCTCATTGACTGGCTCGTGCAAGTTCACCATCGGTTCTCCCTATTGCCAGAGACGCTGTTTCTCTCGGTGAACTACATTGACCGATTTCTGTCATGCAAAATTGTCTCCTTGGGCAAACTCCAGCTGGTTGGAGCTACCGCCATCTTCATCGCAGCCAAGTATGAGGAGATCAATTGCCCTTCAGTTCACGAGATTGTTTACATGGTCGACAAGGGTTACTCTGCCGATGAGATCCTGAAGGCTGAACGCTTCATGCTTAGCATGTTGCAGTTTGAACTGGGGTGGCCGGGGCCAATGAGTTTCCTGCGAAGAATCAGCAAAGCAGATGATTATGATTTGGATACGCGTACCTTAGCCAAGTACTTCTTGGAGGTCACCATCATGGACGAACGCTTTGTTGGCAGCCCTCCAAGCTACACTGCTGCAGGCGCTCATTGTCTTGCTCGATTGATGCTCCACAAGGGAGACTGGTCTCACGCTCATGTGTACTATTCCAATTACACATATGCACAACTCTATCCACTTTTGCTTATTATCCTGGAGTGTTGTGAGAACCCTTCGAAGCATCACAACGCCATTTACGAAAAGTATGCGGACCGTCGATTCAAGCGATCCTCTGTGTTTGTTGAAGCTGAAATTGCCAAGGGCTTTCGCCTTCCAGACTCGTACAAGGGCAACGACCCTTTCGCCTAAACGTTGCATGTTGTGGTGCCCTTCAAGGAATCTCTATACTTTTGACCAACTGACGACTTCAATGTCAGGAGCGCCCTCAGCGAGTACTTTCTATGCGATACGACTATAATGGCGCAAAGGACGGCTTGGTGTTATTTCATGGAAAGCAAGGAGCAAGGGCACGGAGTTCTTAGGCGTTCGAAAATCGTTACACACCAGTACACGCGTCGGAGACTTTCCCTTCTTGTTTCATTTTTCTATGGGCATTTTAATCTTTTTATTTTATTGATGGAGTATGGTACAGGTATTGGAACTTTTATGGCATAATCTCTTTTTTTTCCTTTCCCCCTTTTTGCTACGCAACCATTCAGAGGGACCAAACATTCACTTTTCTTTTCTTTTTTGTCCATGCTCGCTTTAGATACCACTTTATCCTCCTTGGTCGTTTCTTTTGTACAAGCCCAAATCCCGTTTGTACTGAGATTCCTTGTCTCTTCTATTCAATGAGAACAAAGACTTCTATTGAATGTATCTGAGTATCAAGTAGATGCCAAGGAACAGGACTACGTCGACTCCCGGTGTTGGGAAATGCACTGAGTGTGCTGCTTTCTCATCCATTTGAGGGGCTTCGTAGTATTCTATCATATTCAAAAGCAAGAATTGATAGATACTTCATCATTGATCCAAACCATTATAGTCCACCAGCTTGGTTACCAGCTCAATGACCTTTGACTCAAGTTCTTCGCCTGCACGATTCAACGAAGAAGATGGATTATCTATTCTCGCTGCTAGAACATCATCCAGCATCATTCTCAAGCGGGAAATCAGAACGCCGATTCGTGCCCAGCCACGCAGTCGAAGCCAGCCATCTACGACCAGGCCGCGGCCCATAGTGTCTAGGATTATGGAGCCGGCAAATAGAAGGAGGGAGTAGGCGTTGAATGCTGTCAGTATCGTTAGTGCCGCCAATGGAGTTATGGAGAAGGAACGTACGAGTCAATTCCCGAATAAACACTTTACTCGTCTCCATCTTTGAGAAATAGCTGATATACATCGCATTCGCAAAATTCTGAGCTGAAAATAGCACGGAGCTTGGATGAATAAAGACTCGACCATTTTCAAGGTTGAAGTACTTGATTGTCCTTGCGTCCGGGTCTAGTTCGATTGTACCCGTCATTGAAGCTGTGTATTTTTTGTCTGGGAATTTGATTTGTGCTATTTGTGGGTTGAATGAGCCTGCAATCAAGGCTTGGAGAAGGGATGTATTGTTGCTGTTTCTGTCCCACTGATTTGATGATGCTGTACTATTTTTCTTGTAATCGATTGGTAGGATCCCTGCATCTTTTAGGGATGTGAGGAGTTGTGCACGGTTGGAGGATATTTCGCGGAGGGTTTGGTGGGATAAGAAGTTTTCGGAGCACCATGAGTTGCTTTGCCAGTATCCAGTTGACTTAGATCTCTCGGACCATTGTTGATATGCAGCAAGGTCCGTCAGGAGGTCGCCACCTCCACGTGAAAATGCCGCCCTAGCAGCGGTAGCCTCCTCACGCTTGTCACGAGGGGATACAAAGGGGCTCCTTGCAATGAGGATTGAGGCTATAGTGATGCATGCGTCTACACAGCCGAATATCGATCCGTATACCATCAGTTTTGCGCAGCGTAGATCTGCTGGAATCATCGACATGTGTCGTCCAAGTGCTGTCAGCTTGTTATTGTCCAGAGCGCCAATACTGTGTAAAAGACTCAGAGCACCTTCGACGGCTATTGTCTCTGGCGGTGTAAGAGTCTTTGCAAGGAAGTCTGCCGCATTCTGAATACTATTCATGGCCACAACGGAAAGACAAAGTTGTTCCAAGGGAACACGACGAATCTCAGGGTCAGGTCGCGGTGCCATGTTAGATTCAACGCTCCGCGTGAAAAGCTTGTAGCACTTTCCGGCCTTGACACGCCCAGCACGTCCACGGCGTTGTTTACAGGCGGCTTGAGACGCCCAAACTTCTTGTAACTTCACCACATTGTCCTTGGGATCGAAACTTGTTTCCTTGACTCGCCCAGTATCTATAACGGCAACAACGTCGTCGATAGTAATGGATGTTTCGGCGACGTTGGTGGCTGCAATGACCTTTCGTTTGCCTTTGGGGGCAGGATTGAATACCCGTTTCTGCTCTGCAGGTAGAAGAGATGCATGAAGGGGAAGAGCATGGAGATTCGGGACTGCTCTGATAGCATTAAGGCATCGGTCGATTTCCATAGTACCGGGTAAAAATATGAGAATACCGCCTGGATCATCTCCCAATTGGGAGTCTATATATCGGACGGTTGACACAATCAAGTCATAGTTGATACCAAATCCAAGGCTGCGGAGAGACTTTCCCAAAACCTGATCTTCTGTCACTTCTGCTGCATCATCGAGATCTGAGATCATGGATGCTCCTCTGTTGAACCCAGTCTGACGGAGAATGTCATCCACATAGTAATCTTCGACAGGGAACGTGCGTCCCGGTATATTCACGCGGCCAACGCGCGATGGGCCTCCGAAATACTGCATAAAAATATCTGCATCCAATGTGGCACTCATCAGAATGACCTTTAGATTTTCATGACGATTCAAAATATCTCGCAACAGAGCAAGGAGGAAATCGGTGTCAAGACTTCTCTCGTGGACTTCATCCACTACAACATGTGTAATGTCGACAAGCGATTTTGCGATATCGTCGCTCGATTCAGGGGAAGTTTGGAGCCTGCGAAGCAAAACACCCGTTGTCATAAAGGTAATCTTCGTCCTGCCGGATTTGACCTTGGAACCACCTCGAATGATATAACCGACTTCATCTCCGACAGTGGAACATCGCTCATCACTGACGCGATCTGCAAGACTAAGAGCTGAAATCCTCCTTGGCTGCGTACAAACGATGTTTGCGACATCTCCGATATCTCGTTTCAACAAGTCATCGAGGATGAATTGTACGGATTGAGTACTTTTACCGCTTCCAGTTTCTCCTGATATGATTGTAACTTGATACGTATTGACACACTGGATAATAGACTCCTGCATTGCCCAAGCAGGTAAGGATTGCCGTTGTCGATTCATCTTTATCTGAGCAGCCGACGTCTTCTTGGATTCCCAGTCTTTGCGCAACGTAATACCTAGTTGTGAGCTCGACTGTGCTCCAGAACTTACGGAATTCTTGCGCGCTGATCGGAGTGGTAGTTGTGTAGTAGCGGTGGGTTCCTTTACTGACTCACTAGGCGTAGTAGATATATCCCGCAACGGACCGGGACTCTCCACTATCCTAGGAAGATTCGTTTCCAGCCAATCTACTAGGCTGAATATCATCTGTGTTCCTATCAAGTCTTCAGTTGCATATCGGATAGCCTGACGGACGGCACTTAATCGAATATATGCTGGAAGACCATTTGAGAGAACCGAAATAATTGGCGGATGAGTTGGATATGATATTGTGGGTTTTTGAAATCGGAACGAAACTAGTTCTTCCATATTCGGCACCTCTCCTTGGATTTCACATACTATCTTGGAAACTCTTTTGTACCGATCTCCGAAGATAGCTTCCAAGGTGACAGCTTCTTCAGCCCAGGCGTCTTCTTGCTCGTCTTCTTCGGTCGAGGCACTTTGTGAAATGTGTTGAGTTATGGTCATTTGAAGTTTTTCAGCCGCTAACGCTTCGTTTCCACCTGCGTTATCGAGAGTTCTTGCACATAATTCAGAGGGATAGCCAGCTGCCGCGAGACGTTTGATTTTTGACTCTCGTACAAGGTCCCCGCTCGCTAGAGAAATGCCAGCCGAATAACCTTCTGGCAGGCTCCAACTAGGCAAGTCATCCTCTGGCACGTATAACAAAAGCCATTCCAGCACTTCTTCGCGATCCTTGCATTCGGCAACCGCTTCTTTAACATGGCTTCGACGGAAGCCCACTTGAGAGAGGTCATCAATGATTGCCTTGCGCTGAGGTTCAGGTATAGTCACTCCGTATGGATTCCAAACGGTTTTATATCTTAGGAGATCTTCGATATCACGTCGTATTTTGGTTCCGAGTTCGATTTTCGGCGCTTGCGACCAGCCTTTCCCACTTTTCCTCTCCTCTAAACCACCTGAGCTCAAAGCTCCGTCTTCTTTGGCCTTTGCCTGTAGTTTTTGTTGCTCTGTTTTCTTTTTCTCCATATCTGCAGCTGCAGCATCACGCTGTTGTTTCACCAAGAATGGGTCGGCTTCGTACATCCACGCTTTGCCCTCGGCGGTTGCTTCGGCTTTCAGCGCAGGGAAATCATCTTTCCATAGCTTTCGGTAATCAGGTGGCAGCATCAATGACATGTTCCTCATATTACAGACCCGGTAAAGAGCGTATATAGCTGCGAAATGTCTTGCCTCTAAGGCGGTAGGTCGTGCGCCGAGATCTCTTCGGGCTGGAGGCAGTTGCATCGAAGGTAGAGTGACTTTTTCTTTCGTCTTGGGGTCTACCTTGCTCAAAATGACTGAGGAAACAAACCCTTTCGCGGATTGAGTCTGCGGTATACCATGGCCGGTTAATAGCCGTAGCAGCAACAAAAGCTTAGGACTCTCATACCATTGTATATTCTGGTTTCTCCCACTTCTGCTTCTGGCAATGCTCTGAGAGCAGATTTACCGGGAGCTTGCCCGTCCACGATGCGCCACCAATAATCTGCTTAACTGTAGGCTTCTTAGCCTCCCCTTCGTTCTGCTGCGCGTTCGCAGTTTGGGCAGATTTTTCGGCGGCAGCTTTTGCCTGCTTGGTCCCTGGTTTCGGTCCTCCTCCACGGGCATTGCCCTTTGATTTGGGACCCATTATGTAGCAAATTAAATGCCACGTCCAATGATACCCGTGGAGAGGCCTGATGACAGCATCTGGCCGTTCAGATCTTGAATCTACCGAAGAGTTCAGGCAGTCTTAACTTCCGACAGTGCGATATAAGTTCTGTCCCGCACTAGACCGGGTCGGGACAGCTACTGCGGATCCACCTTAAATCTAGTCCTTGCTCTGTACAACTCCAACGTCAGAATTATTTTACAGCGAACTACAACCTGGTCCCTTCAAAGGAAATCTGTTCGACAGCACCGGTCAAGACGACTCATATGAAATTGCTCTGAACATGACTTCAGACTCGGAGCTACCTGAGACCCCGCCTGTAACAGAAGCAGGGATAGAGCAGACTACAGAAAAGCCAGGAAAGCGAAATGCGTGTAATGCCACCACTATATAGTGCCAACTAATATGACCTAACGCTGACTCCCAGTTACCGAATTAATGACTTCCAAGGACAAAAAATCGAAACAGACCGAACCTCAAAAACCCAAAAAGCATATGTTTAACCCGTCGAGAAACGCTTTAGGGCTTTATATTGAGCGACCGGAATCATACCCTGCATCTGTCGTTGTCTACTACAACGATGACTTTGTCGCAATTCATGATTTATATCCGAAATCATCCCTACATCTACTATTGCTCCCGCGCGACGCGAACAAATTCTACCAACACCCGTTCGATGCTTTTGAGGATATTGAGTTTCTACATAAGGTTCAGGAGGAAGTCAAAAAGCTACGTACATTAGCAGCTCAGGAATTACGACGAAGATACGGAAAATACTCGTTGCAGGAAAAGGCGCGTCGAGAGGCTATGGAACAAGATCCACCGCCTGACGAATTACCTCCCGGACGAGATTGGGAGAAAGAGATAATGACGGGGATTCACGCGCACCCATCCATGAATCATTTGCATATCCATGTCATGTCCGTGGATCGACACAGTGACCGGCTAAAACACCGTAAACATTACAATAGCTTTTCAACCCCGTTCTTTATTGATATCAAGGACTTCCCGCTGGCTGCAGATGACGTGCGGCGTCATCCAACTAGGGAAGGCTACTTGAATCGCGATTTTCTATGTTGGCGATGTTCTCGAAACTTTGGGAATAAATTCCAGCAACTCAAGCAGCATCTCGAGGAAGAATATGAAGAATGGAAAAAATTATAGGCTTGTGGGCATGTGTGACTCATCGTACGTATAAATTCACATTTTTCTATATTTCGACCGAACGATATGTCCAGTCAGATAGAAGGCAACATAAAATTGCCACGAAGGTTTGAATTGTATAATACAACACTTCTGAAAGTAATTGGGCCCTTCATATTCCCTATCTCGTGTCGTCGCATTTCCAGCGAACCATCAACACGATCCTGGGTCTCGTGAAGAGCGTATGTAGCACATCGGCAGGAACAGTTCAATAATACCACAGCAGTCAAGCTGTAGACGCTACTGCAATTGAACCGAAATATTGGTGCTCTAAGCACGGGACTTGGATCGTGCGCCTTTGACCTTACGAGCCTCAGGCTTCTGGATGTGGTGGGCAGGGATCCAATCGGAATTGTAGGCAGTGGTGGGCACAGCGGCAGCATCAGGAGAAGGGACATCCAGGTCTGTCTTCTTGACGATAGCCTTCTTGGACTCACGGCCACGTCGCTTTTGAGGAAAGTAGGGGGCAATCCAAACGGTGTAGAAGAAGTAGAAGATACCCACGAAGAAGGCGAGGATGAAGAAATAGAGGAAGATGCTTTTTGGCAAGTTAGTTACCGTATGGTACATATCACTAAAGATAAGGGAAGACCTACATCTGAGGGTCAAAAATGCTAGTCTCTGGCTCAACGACGCTGACAGTTCCATTGAAAGCCTGGATGGTGAAGAACTGGGTGACGTTCTTGCTGACAACAGAGATCAAGTTCAATCGGAGGTCCTGAGGGTGCATTTCAGTCGTGAGACTGTAGGGCAGGGTCTGGGTTTCTCCCGCTGGGATCTGGACCCCATAGTTCGTCGCAGAAAGATTGCGAACGTTTCGGGAAGGCTCATCCAGAGTCGCAAGGCTTCCTCCCACAAAGTTGACGGTGATGGGAACGTCTTCTTCGTTGGTGAAAGCTAGCAAGGCCTGTGTAGGCTGCCCATTGACAAGCTTGATGCCAAAGATCTCCGATGAAGGGAATGATGCTTGCACGGAGACAGCTAGAGATGGCGCAGGGGCAGCTTCATCGGCGGAAGTTTCCTATACGTAATAAGCCGAAGTTAGTCCTAGGAAAGATAGCATAAGAGAAAGAGCGCATTGGAGACTCACGGCTGCGAGGCATCCCTGGAAGAGCGTCTGTAGCGAGAAGAGAGCGAGGGAAAGGAGAGCGAAGCGACCCATGGTGTCAATGGCAAGTCTGCGAGAGACTTTGGCGATGCAGCAGAACCCAAAAGATAAGACGATAAGAGAAGCAAGCGACCCGTGAGAGAAACAAAAGAAAGAAATATCAAGATAAGTGACAATTGGACTGAAGATGAGGAGAGAAGGCCTGTAGAGTTGATGGGTTGCCTTTTTCTCCACGTATGCCTCTTTGGCGCCAGCTGCGCTCTGTGTGAGCCCTCTGATTGGTGGATTGCGCGCTGGGGACCCGCTGAGCCGCTCTTTCCCTTTGACGCTCCTTCCTTGACTTACTATGGATGCTCGCCGCTGACCGCCTTCCTCCTTTGTCCTAGCCGCACCAGCACAAAGAGCGCGCCAGACCAAAAGGAGAAAAAAATGTCAAGACTCTGGTTGATGCAGGTCCTGGTCTGAATTTCCTCCAATTCACTGTTTCTCGCCTCTTCTACCTTGTCAGATACTAAATGTGAATCTTTGACAACCTCTACATCTTCCAGAACTGGCTGATTCTTTTTTAGACCACTGGAATCATCGTCCTTCCCCATCGAACCAACCTGAGATATTGGCGCCCAGGCCTTTCTCTCAAACCTAGCGACGATACCAATTATCAGGACTACCAAAATGATCTCAGGAATACATGCACAGGCGCTTTTCAAGCGATATGAGCAATTAAAGCTCATTGAATTAAGCAAAAATGATCTTATTGAGGTAGGAACTCTTCATACTCTTGACTCCCTCCATTGGTTGGTGAGTTTCGCGTCACAGGGACTAACGTGTGATTCTACAACTCAGGATCTATTGCGACGGGTAAGCGAGCTCGAAGACGCATACCATCAAGTTAAAATCGAACACGAGCGTGAAGTCCGATATAACCGAGATATACAGCTCCATGAGATGGAGTTGATGGAGCAGATCAAACGTGTTAAAAAGATAATGGTAGATATGACTTTCTCTTGGCTCCGAGAAGAGTACATTTTCTCACAAGACATTTTTCAATCTTCAGGATCGTGAGCCGTTTGTTATTGTTCTCCTTGATGGCGACAAGACGCTATTCCTCGATCAATATGTCCGCGCTGGAGAGCAAGGCGGAAAAGATGCTGCGAATAAGCTGGCTACAGATATGGGTGCATATCTCTCAGAGAATCTCCCCAACGTCGCTTCACCGAAGATAGTCGTTCGTATTTTCGCAAACTTGAGAGGCCTTGGTAATACCTATCACCAAGCCGGCATAATCGATAAGACATCAGTGATGGAAGACTTTGTGCGAGGATTTAATGAGAGCGGCCTGCTTTTCGACTTTGTTGATGTTGGACAGGCGAAGACTAGTGCAGAGGATAAGATCTCAGGTATGTCTTCTGCTTACAGCGTGGCGAGATTGTGTTTGCAGTAAGCTGACGAAGGAAATAGAAACTTTAAAACTCAATATCTATAGCTGTCACTGCCACCAGGTTTATCTCGGGTGTTCTCATACTAACAGCTATACTCAGCTCCTGCAAGAAACAATGGAGGATATCGACCTTACAGGGCGAGTTTCTTTGATTGAGAGCATTCCTGCAGAAAAGGAACTGGATGATTTGAAGGCTTCTTTCCGTGTTGCCAGGTTTTCAGATGTCTTTCGCGATACCAAGATATCTTCAAGCCCCATCGCATCAGTGAAGACGCCAATCAAGGCCCAGAGCGCAATGTTGTCGCCTCACCCAAGATCTGCTTCTTTGACACGGACATCGACAAATACCTCGACGAGCTCTGCTACTCCGACATCTTGGTCATCGTGGGCTTCAGTAACTGCATCAAATCCCGGCGACGTGACTCTTCAGTCCCTAAAGCCTGCTAGTGCTGCGGCAACAAAGACACCTGTTGTCGAAAGAAATAAGCTTGGGCAGCGGATTGATCGCATGGATTTCAAGTCTGTCTCCAAGGAGGAATTGAGTCGGATCAAGAAGATGAAACTCTGCAACCTTTATTACTTGCTTGGAGAATGTCCGAATACCAACTGCTATCACGATCACGATTACAAACTCTCCAAAGAGGAAAAGGACGTTCTACGTGCTGTCGCTCGCATGACTCCTTGTCATTTTGGAATGACCTGCGATGACCCGAAGTGTATCTATGGGCACCGTTGTCCTCAGAGTGAAGTTGGAAAGAAAGAGTGTCATTGGGGCAGCAGCTGTCGCTTCGAGCCTGCACAACATGGAATTGATCTGAACGTGGTCAAAGTCACCAAGATCTAAAAGATCATGAGTGTGTCTCTGACCCCCTCGCTCCCTTGTTAGTCCTTATATTACTCCAAAGACCAACCATTATTCTCCTTCTCTCCTGCTGGTTTTCTTTATTCATTTTTTTTTTTTTTCAATATTGATGGGATTCAAGTGCAGCACTGCGGCGTCTACTGGCTCGCTGCGTTCGGGACTATGGGCGCAATGAATTGGGATCGGCTTTTTCTCTATCTGGAAGTGCTGGCATATTCCTTTCTAGTACTGTATTTTATTCTCTTTTCGTGCAGGTTGCAATCATGTATTAAATCACGCGGGTTATCTTCGGTATGTACGTGTTTTAGGAGAATCTTTTTTCGGGCGGAGCAGTAAAGGGGTATCGACTAGTCTTTTTAAAATACACCTGATTTTATTATCCATTTCATTATGTACAATCGTCATATGTAGGATATGCTCCCATCCTCACTCCTCATTAATTGTAGTGCCAAATAGAGCGAATCTCCTTTCCCAACCCAGGCATTCTCGATTATGTTCGGGACCGACTACAGCGCATTCTCTATCGCTGTCATCCTGGCTGCTGGCATTTGTTCGACACGCGCATCTGACACCCCACTCCTTTACGCAGCATGTGAATGGAAGTTGAGATGGGCCCTTTTGCTGTGTATCCATTCCTGAACTCTTACGCTCCTCCAAGTCACCCCAAAGGATACATAGCTTCTCTTGAAGTCGTATGAAGGTTTCTTTATTTTTGCGTAAACTAAGAAAAGGTGTAATCAGTTAGTGGCAAGGGAAAATAGCTAGCCAAAGAGAAAGAGGTAATACATACTTTACAGCATCAAGTTTGAGTAAAAACTCGGCATCGCTTCCACTAACGAACAACTTTACCCGATCTCGTGGCTGACCAGGAAGGATCTGAGCATCTTCCACGAGAAGGCAAAAGCGCCATTCCCATCTGATCCCCGGTGTTTCTGATGTTATGTCATCTTCGTCGTCACTAGAGGATGAGGAAGAGGATTTGGGTATGTACGGCACCGCGAAATCCGCAATGTTGGGAGGGAAGAAATCGACTACACGAACAGTGGTACGGTATTTGACACATTGAAAGGGTAGACGATATTGTATGTTATCGGGAAGTGAGATATCATGGCTGTCGTTGAGTAGGATCTCTGATAGTTTTCGGCAACCTCTTGCCGGGTCTTTCGCTTGGACTACATTGCGGTTAGCAGTCAAAGGTATGTGGAAGGTAGAGAAGAGTGAGCGACAACTTACTATGCGGATTTGGTCTATTTGATTTGTTCACCGTTCCCGGAATCTCAGTCTGGCCCTCTTCTCTCTGCGGCGGCTTGTTTTGTTGTTTTCGCTGCTCTTGTTGCCTTTTCTGGCGTTGTTGATCCTTTCGCCTTTTTTTGGCATTCTTCTTTGATCCTCCTTCATCTCCGTCGCCAAAATCCTCAGCGAGCTCCCTCTTGTTCGTCCTGTTTTGTTTCCAGTATTCACGCTTTCTTGTCTTGAGTTCGACGATACGGGGATCATCTTGTTGGTTGTCCTCAAGGACTCTGACGTCGACTTTTTCGGGATATTTGTGATCAGTATGCATGACACCTTCCAAAAGGCCGTTCATTTTGTCTGCCTTTACATGCACGTTCCTCAAGAGGATATAGCCGTCTTCATGGACATTTTCTCGTGCATAATACGAATGAGGATCCCAAAGGGTCACCTGCAACGTCATCCGTCCCTTTGGACCCTGCCATGCTCTCTTTTCACGGGTCGGTCGTGTCAAAAACCCAAGACCATCATCAGCTGCACCTTCATCTTCGTCTGACTTGTCTCCATAGTCGAAAAGTGACTTATTTACTGTGTAGTCTGTGACGTAAAGATGTACCCTATCATCCTGATACCACATCTTGACTACATGCACCGCAAGATCGGCAAAGGTGTTCACTGACAAGTCCTTTACCAAAGAAAACCTGTCTTTCTTCTTAGGCTTAGCAGTGGCCTGCCGTACACTTTCGCTTGGGGTTGACGAGGATTCGGCATGGCCTTTTCTTCTCGATGAAGGAGTGGCCGAAACGGTCGATCTGGAGTAGATAGCAGCCTCTAATAGCGTATGTGCGTAGGTCTGTTCTTCAACAGTGAGCGCCTTTGAACCCGGGCTGCAAACTGGCATCCCTAGAGATTCAGGCCCATCGGGTTGGCGGAAGATTGCCCATGAGACATTGTCGGTATTACCGACCACCCCGTGTAATGGTCCATGAAACGGTCGTACCTTGGATTCTAAATCAACACTCTGTTACCACATGGTCCGAATCGAAGCACTTACTCTGAGGCGGCGTAAAAGAATCACATCATTAACCTTGACATCAGGTAGTCGGTGCTCATCGTCGTTGAAGTATTTGATCTTTAGCCCTTTCCATGCTTGGTTCCCCGGACCCAAATCTGAATCTTTGATAGTGAAGGTAGTAACGTAAGAACTGCCTTGCGATCGGCTCTTGGGTAGGCAGTCGACGACCACACCGATCAAGTTATGATACCCCTGAGAACGTTTGGCTGTATCAACACTGACGAAACGCGGTGGGAAAGATGCGGGCATTGTCTAGATTTGTATGATTGTTGATACGCCCCAACACCAGGAAGGCCTTACTTGGACAAATTCATTGCCATGTGCTATGTATCTGCTCGGGTTCGGAATATTTCAAAGTATTTCCACTCACAATATCATCTCTTCGAATCGGAGGTTGTCTTCTGGGGTGACGCGATCCGATAAGCCCTGTCAAACGCGTTGAATTGTCATGTGACCTTATCATGTAATGCAACATATGCTTCCGCTTCTGGAATGGTGTCATGCACTAGGCCGAACAGGGACATCGTAGGTTTAGGGCTAGGGCTAGTGTTCAGCCACTTTATCAGTATCTTTCCAGGAAGATATCGAGTAAGAAAGAACACAACGGAAAGGCTTCCCCAGTCTTCGCTGTTATCTCCGTCAAATATTTGAAAAGACACAGATCTAGTCGGGTCACGTGATTCATGGCAACGGAGACTGACGCGCTTATAGCGTCTTGCCGCGGCTAATTAGCCGGAACAGGGCGCCAAGCCTGGCAGAAAGGAAAAGCGCGGACCAAGGCTGGCTCTTGCCCAGAGCAACCAAACCAAGCTAACCCGCCTTGAGAGCGTCAACACTTTATTCTTTCTCTCCCCCTCCCTCTCTTTCTCTGACTTCTTCCTGTCATCTCCTCCGCTTTTCTCCCAAAACATAACCGCTTTCTCACCCCTGCAGGCTATTTTGATGCACTCATCCTAGAGTCTAGCTTGCAGACTTTCTACATTATCTCTTATCCCTTCTTCCTTCAGCTCAGTCTCAAGTGTTCGCCTTACCCCACTCACACAAAACAGTCACTGACCGTCCCAAACATTCACAATGGCGGACCGTTATATTCCAGAGCATCGCCGGACGCAGTTCAAGGCCAAAAATCAGTTCAAACCCGATGAGCTTCGTCGTCGCCGTGAGGAACAACAAGTTGAGATTCGCAAGCAGAAACGAGAAGAAAATCTTGCCAAGCGGCGAGGTATTCAAACCAGTGATGGCGGCATCGTCGGTGGCCAGGTTGGTGTTGATAGCGACGAGGAAGAGGGTGGCGCTATTGAAGGCGAGGTAAGTCGTAACCTTCATTTTTCTCTTGTTTACCCTTGTCTCCAAGCAATTATTTTAGATCCGTGGCACGAGACAGGGTTTTCTCGTCCCTGCCGGTCGCTATTCCTATTTGGCTACATTCGTTATGTATATTATATATACATATCATGTCAATAGCCGATGAAATCATCTCTTGTACGAAATGGCGCTGACAAAAGAAATTTCGTCCAATAATAGCTCAACGTCGAACTTCCCGAGATGGTAAAGGGAGTCTTTTCAGATCAGATTGACGAACAAATTCAAGCTACCACCAAATTCAGGAAGTTGCTTTCAAAGGAACGCAACCCACCCATTGAACGCGTTATTGAGACCGGTGTTGTTAGCCGTTTCGTCGAATTCCTTCGCTCCCCTCACACTTTGGTCCAATTTGAAGCTGCCTGGGCCTTGACAAATATTGCTTCGGGCTCTGCTCAACAGACTCAGGTTGTTATCGAGGCCGGTGCTGTCCCTATCTTTGTGGAGCTCCTTAGCAGCCCTGAGCCTGATGTACGGGAACAGGCCGTATGGGCTTTGGGTAACATCGCCGGTGACAGCCCTCAATGCCGTGATTATGTCCTTTCTGCGGGCGCTCTTCGCCCTCTCTTGGCTCTTATTAGTGACGGCCGCAAGATGAGCATGCTCCGCAATGCCACATGGACCTTGAGCAACTTTTGCCGTGGCAAGACCCCACAGCCTGATTGGAATACGGTACGTCCTCTAAGCTCCAAGCTATCTTCGTGTTAATAGTTTGACTAATATCTTCTATCAGATCTCCCCGGCCCTCCCTGTCCTTTCTAAATTGATTTACATGCTTGATGATGAAGTTTTGATTGATGCTTGCTGGGCTATTTCATATCTGTCTGACGGTTCCAACGACAAGATCCAAGCTGTTATTGAAGCTGGGATTCCTCGTCGTCTAGTAGAGCTTCTGACACATGCTTCTACTTCCGTTCAGACACCAGCTTTACGATCGGTTGGCAACATCGTTACTGGTGATGACGTTCAGACTCAAGTCATCATCAACTGCGGCGCCTTGCCTGCATTGCTCTCCCTCCTTGGCTCTACCAAGGATGGCATTCGAAAGGAGGCCTGCTGGACAATTTCTAACATCACTGCCGGAAACTCCGTTCAAATTCAAGCCGTTATTGACGCCAACATCATCCCACCTCTTATTAACCTCCTTTCCAACGGCGATTTCAAGACTCGTAAGGAAGCTTGTTGGGCCATTTCCAATGCCACTTCAGGCGGACTGCAAAAACCAGACCAGATTCGCTACCTGGTCTCTCAAGGTTGCATCAAGCCGTTGTGCGACCTTCTTGCATGCCCCGACAACAAGATCATTCAAGTCGCTCTTGATGGTCTAGAGAACATCCTCAAGGTTGGTGAGATGGATAAGGAAGCCACACAAACTGGTGAGGGTAACCTCAACCGCTACGCTCTTTTCATCGAAGAGGCTGGTGGTATGGAGAAGATCCACGAGTGCCAGAACAACGCCAATGAAGAGATCTACATGAAGGCTTACAACATCATTGAGAAGTATTTCTCTGATGAGGATGAAGCTGGTGGTGACATCGACGAGCTTGCTCCTCAGCAAACACAGACCGGTTTCGCTCTCGGCACCAACCAGCAACAACCTGGCGGCTTCAACTTTGCCAACGGTGGTGGCGACTCAATGGACATGTAAACGCATTTTGGAATCATGAAATATCCGACACCGCTATTGCGTCCATTGAATTTGTCGCTATAGTGCGGTCTCAAGTCAACCTGAAAGGCTCACTCCTTTTTTTTTTGTTCCTCGAGTCTAAACTTGATTCCAACTTTCCTACAAGATTTAATTACTGCGGTTATCACATCATGCAACCTCCTCTGGCGTTCTGGCACAACATTATCCTAGGCCTTTTCCCTCCCACCCATTTCTCATTCAAACTGTTTCCTATCCCCATCCTATCGATTATAAATGGTTTGATCCCTTTTTGCTTTATGAAGGTCTAATGTTAGCACGATAAGTAAGATACACAATCATGTAACCCCACGTTTTCTCATGTTATTTTAGCAACTAAACCATCAATTTATGTCGCATCCGATTTTCCTCATATCTTAGGAGTATACTCCCCCCTATATTTTGGACCTCCCTCCCAATCAATCTAAATGACGCCCCAATTCGACTTCATATGCTACTACTCCCTAGTGCTGCCAAGAACAAACAACTGATCAAACATTAAGAAGTAACAAAAAGAGAAAGAGAAAGAAACGAAAATTTTTATATCCTAGGCACACTTTCCAATAATATTCGATTTTGATCCAGAAATCTGAACAAAAAAGAATATATCAATTATTCCTCCATGTTTTCAAATCGCTAAGCGTCAATTTATTGCGACTTTTTCTTAGTACGGTAATTAATTTTGGATCAATTGATTACTCAGTGTATATGTATCGGACGATGGTTAACCATAAAGCATGTGTAAATGCTAAGACGAAAACTATACAGACGATCGTTTCCAGGTTCAGATCAAAGCAAATCAAAAGCAGTGGCATTTTGAAATTAGCTGTCGTTATACACAGAAAGAAAGAGATGAAAACCACTTGAATCCTACAACCGACAAATATAAAAGCTAATATGAACGACAAAGTAAAAGAAGAGTAGAGAACCTGCTACTCCTCCCACAATCCACTTAAATCAAAGCAATACATAAAGAAGAAAGAAAAAAGAAAAAAGAAAAAAGAGAAGAAATCAATCACCCATAACTTCATCTTCATTTTCGTCCCCGTTTTCTTCCTCCCCTGCTTCATCTTCTGCGACGCCATTTTCTTCTCTCTCAGACCCGTCATCCTCTTCACCCCCCTTTTCGGTATTCTCGTTATCGTCGTCAATGTGCTCTTCAACAAGGCCTCTGGCACGAAGATCTTCGTCCTCGTCTTCCTCGACAGCGGCTGGATGAGCATCTGCATCATCCTCAATGGGATCATCCTCTAACTCTAAAGGTTCATCAGGTCTCAATGTCCCCAGGCGAGCGGCTGCGTCTTGTTTGTTCCTTAATTTAGCACTGGTATCGGGCCGTGCTTTACGATCCTCCAGGAATGAGACAACCTCTTTGTAGTTGTGGCCCAGCAAAGATTTGTTCACAAGCAGTTTCTTCTTGAGCTCGCCACGTTGTGAACCCGAGTTATCTATGACACGGCCGATAATAGCCAAAACGATCTTGCCGGTAAGCTCGCACAATCGTTGCTCGGCCAATATTGTTAACCGTAGCCGTTCCGTTGCGACAGACTCGTCTTCGACTGCATCCTCGTCCTGCTCGTCGTTCTCTTCCTCGTCATCTGAGGGCAAATCCTTGAGATCCTGTGCTGATTCCAATAGGCCATTATCATCCTCTACAGAAGAACGAATCTCTTTCTTCAATTTCTTAGCTAAAGATCGTTCAGCGACGTCGTGGAACTTAGAGATGAGGTCTTGTGTCGATGGAGTGACTTCCTGTGCAAGTCCTTGCGTCTGGAAAAGAACATCCTCATCAACCTTTTCTGGTCCACCTTTCACATGCATTCCAATGTTACGCAGTGTACCGAACAGCGTCTGAAGATCCAAGAAGGTCGTTACCGCAGAGAACCGTATATCGTCGAGGATTTTTCTCGATTGCATGACAGCAGTCAGAGTAGCAGCAAAAACATCCCGACTTTTCGCTAAGGTCTCAAAATACGATGTACTGTATTTAGCAGTGCGGGATTTCACTGCGGTCGATAAAGCTTGCACCTTCCACATGAAGTAGAAAAGTAATGTTTTGATACTGTTCACAATCAACTCCGTTTCGAGACCTCGTAATTCCTCATCCGACTCTTCCTCACGGAGTCCACGGTTGACTAGATGAATGAGCGTATTGAAAGGCGCTTCTGAGCTCTGTTTGCGTTTCTTGCCTACGGTACCTGGTACTGTTTCGATAACACTTGTGCAGTCGACGATGCTGGCAAGATTTGCTATTCTTGTAACTGTATTAGAAAGCTCGACCAGAACGTTCTTAGCAACTGATGAGCCGGCTTGAACATTTCGATTCTGCGAAATTGTGCTGAGTGTTTCAATCATATCATCCCAAAGCTCCTGGACTTTGCTTTCCATCGCTTCTTTCATTTCGTCCGAGCTTCGAGCATGTAAGAAGGCAACGCTAGCCTCGACAAGGACATCTTGGTCTGAGTGAGTCAGGAACTGTCTATTTATGTCATTGAGAAGAGAGGTATAGGAAGTCGTGTCCTTCTGTAGGTTTTGAATCTTATCCAAATCGACAAGGTGTTCCAGTCGCAGAACTGCTGAAGCCGCTTCGGGCACGGCACCAAACTTGTTCAACAAGCGTGGAATGATCTGTGTAAGGTGGTGGGCGGTCTCTTCTTGCAGCTCAGGAATCTTATCCGTCAACGACTTGATCTTTTGTCCGCGCTTATTGATATCGGATCGAGCAATTTCTAATATCCGAAGTTTGACCGCACAAACTAACACCTCAAGCAGAATGATATCTTGGCCCTCTTCTAATGCAAAGAATTGTCGGACGTTACTAACCTCGTCCTGTGGAGGTGATTCCGAAATCTGAGAGTGGTCATAGAGAAGATATCCGGCAAGCGATTGCCATTGGGACAGTTCTTTCAAGTGCTGGTAAATCGCTTCAGTCGCGAGGAAGAAACGCGACTCAACTGGCGCACCGGAAAGAGCCTCGACAGTGCCCAGCCGCTGGCGTTCGATTGTCTGATCGTCTCTTTGTCCATCGTACGATTGAAGAATATCAACAAGGCATTTGTACTTGATCCAAGATCTCTTAGGTGCTTCAAAATCATCTTCGTCCTCTTGGTCCCCAAAAGTCTCGTTAATGTCTTCAGCCATCTCTTCCGTGTGTGTTTCATATATTTCCTCAAGATTCGCGGCAAAGAAACGACCGGCCACTTTACGGATACGCGACTCCGCATCGAACACCAACTGGCCGACTTGATCAATCTCAGCGTTCTCCATTAAACCTTGATTTCTAATCAATCCGAGTAATTCGACAGTAGAGGTTCGGACGTTGGTGTCAGTATCCCGCAGGGCCATTTCAACTAGTCGACGAAGGAATCGACCCGTGAACGTTCTAAGTGTAGCGATACTAAACTTGATCTCGTAAATCAGGCGAAGCTGCGCGACAACAGCAAAACGAACCTGTGTCACGGAGTCCGACAGACCCCAGCCGAGGTATCGCACGTACTGGGGTTCAAAGAACATCTCCCTATGAGTCTGAATCCATCGGGCCAATCCAGAGTAACATTCGCTACGAATTTTGAAGTCGACGTCGCGATACCGATGAACCCACATAGTGTCAAATGCTTCTCTGAGAAGTTCTTCAATCACAACTAATTTCTCTTCATTCTCTTGAATCGTATTCTCTATGGTGTTAATCCGACCCTTATTCGCCTGCTTCTTCCTCTTCTCGCTTTCCAGTTGTTTACGAGAGGTAGAAACAGCAGTTGCAATTTCCTCGGCAACGTCACACAAGGCGCTAGCTATCGTTATAGAGCATAGAGTCGCTGTGTGTCTGAAAGCTCTGTTCCCAGAGCTTGACATAATATTGAGCCATGTCTCGGCTTTCAAACCCGGGGCGAATGAGTTGTATAGCAACGAGGAGCGGTGAAGGTTTTCAACCCAGGAGTCGCAGAAGTCAACAATGGTAGATCGGAAGTTGCGAAAGCGTCTGTCCCTGGATATGAGAGGGTAGTCAGAGGGCTCAGTATCGAGGTGAGCCTCTTGAAGGTCCTGGATACGCTGGGGCCAGTGGTCCTCATCTGTTACGTCCGCCGTATCCACAGAAAGATCCGCTCCTGTGGACTGGAGGAAAAGATTGAACAGCACACGCATGCCCTCCACAGGGTCTTTCTCATATTCGGTCACCCATTCCTCTACCACGGCCTCTACATCTTTTTCTCGCTCGAAAAGATCGCCTACATGTAGATGTTAGTGACCCAAATATCGAAAACAAAAATGGATGCCATAACAACCCGAGAAATACTCACCGAACAATCCTTCCGAGGTAGCATGGAAAATTGGCCTTGGCGGAGCACTTCTCTTCTTTGGAGCTGCCTTTTTGGCCTTGCCGTTAGTTGTTGAGCGGATTGCAAGTGACTTTCCGGCGCTGTTAGTCTTTGCTTTCTTCGTAGCACGCGATGGTGTCCGTTTTGCATTGCCTTTCGCACTCTGTCTTCTTTTATTTGCGGCTCTGCGGGCTGCTTTTCTGCGTTCTTTTTCTTCCTCCTCATCTGGGTCTTCGTCTTCAGGGTCGTCCTCAGACTCCAACCCCTCCGCGTCTTCTTCGTCATCGTTCTCCTCGTCCTCGTTCGCTGCCATTCGCTTCCTCTTCTCGGCGGTATTGTTATTTAAGCTAACATCTTGTGAATATAATTGCGGTTTCCTGATTGCACGGCCGGATTTGCGCCGACTGGAAGACCCGCCATTTTGCTCGACGTCAGAAGATCTTGCGTCGGATAAATCCATGGTGTATGCGATTTACGGAGTATCAAATTCTTCAGCAGAAATTCTTGAGGTCGTGTTGGAGACAGTTTTTAAAATCTTATGGAATGGGCGAATCCAAGCGATGGAGGTCAGTCGACCGGAGTGGGATACGCGTCCCGAACGGGTAGAAACGCGGTATTTGAATAGGAATCACTGGTGATTGCAATTGTCAGAGCAATTCTGTATGATAGAGATATCAAAAATTGAATGCTTTAAAGTGTTCAGTAGATACTCACCCTATGGCATCTCCTTTCTCCCGAACCACGCGGCTGAATTACTTGGGATGGAATTCTTGCGATGAGGGAGGACCAAAAGGGTAGACCGTTCCTTACGCGCGACCGCAACTGCCCGCCCGCACTTTCGTGAATCTGATTGGTCCAAAGTGGAGGGACGCTCCTTCCCCGTTGGCCCATGGACACATCGGGCCTAGCGGGAAACACGTATCGATAAAGGCCTCAGGCAGGAATTTCATGTGACAGAATAGTGCCCTAACCCTACAACTCGACCTGAAATGGCCTAGTGTTATCTGGTATCAGACGGTCAGACCAATTCAACGGCATCGACTGTTCCATTCCACGAGAAGAGGCCGTTTGTGTGACGTACACAGGGAAGATGAGCTGATAAAGAGATGTAAAATGTTCTTCTATCAAATACCATGACTTGGAGGAATAGCAATGCATGAATCAGATCAAATCGCTATAACTGCCACAACGAATCTCTCCTTTAGGCTCTATCTGATCCTGGGCCCTCAGAGGCCGCGAATAAATCTCAGTTGGAAAAGTTGAAGAAAGATGGCGTTCAAATCTCCATTTGCTGCAAGTGTGGCAAGTCCCGGCAAAGGCAAGGCTGTGCTTTCGATACTACCGCCATCTATTCCAACATTAACGACCCTGACATACAAGTATCCTCTCAAACTCCTGTCACGTACGCCAGGCTTTACTCCCGAGGATTCTGTCGCAGGGAAAGATGCTACAAGACCCATTCATTTATATTTGTTGACATATGGAGGCGGTCTTCTTCCCGGTGATCATATTGATGTCTCAATTACCTTGGAGCCTCGGGGGCGATTGGTAGTCACCACGCCCCAAGGAAGCACCAAAATTTACAAAACCCCGCCGGAAGGACGGGGCCTAGCCAAAACTGCGGTGTTAGACGATATGAGCCGCCAAACGTTGGATGTTCATATTGGAAGCGAGGCCGGCCTCTGTTATCTTGTCGATCCATCGGCTCCATTCAAGGACAGCCGTTATGAACAGATTCAAGTGTTTACTGTGGACGGTTCTCAAACAGGGAATAAGAGGAGCAGTCTATGCATCTTGGATTGGGTGACACAAGGTCGAAGCTCGCGCGGCGAGAACTGGGACTTTCAAATCTGGAAAGGGCGCAATGAGGTGTGGTCTGAAGATAAGACCACGGGGAAACGACGACTATTATTGCGTGACTCCCTTCTTTTGGATGATGAAACAATCAGTCCTCCGCAGAGTCTAGGGGCGAGGTTTCAGTCTAGCGGACTCATCCGAGAGAGAACGCATCCATATGGTGTTTTTGGCACGTTAATTCTTTACGGCCCTATGTTTGATCAGTTGAGATCTTATTTCATGGAAGGATTTACCTCACTGCCGCGCATCGGCGGCCGCAATTGGTCTTCTACGTCGACAACAGCAGAGCTTTCAAATATCCAAGATAAAGTCACTTGGACGTCTGCCCGAGTTCGAGCAGGGTTCGTACTTGTAAAGTTTGGCGCTAAGGACGTTGAAGCTGCTCGAGAATGGCTTGGGGATATGATTCGCAAAGAAGGGAGCATCGCCCGAGAGTTCGGGGAAGAGGCACTGTTCTGCCTCTGACGGTAGCGAGAGTACACCAATATCTTTATCATTCAAGTATATAATTTAACAACAATTAATTGTACAATTAGGAAAGACGCTGTAAGTCATTCGTAGGTATGGATAGAGCCCTTCGGGGGGTTCACAACGTTGTGGATTATATATGAGGAATTTAGCAGTATACTATACATGGATGATCCAATCCGTCTGACATCAATCTGGGCAGCTGTGAAATCCAGTCGTTTAATCAAAAACATAATCAAATCCTCGAGCCCTAGGTATGATGCACGAAAACAAAATGTGATGTCCCCACGGAGAATCGAACTCCGCTTTCCGGATCACTCAGTTGTTTTCAACTGAGTCATAGATGGGTATGAGACCGATGACTTAACCACTAGTCGATGGAGACTGATATCACAAATGATGCCGGATAGGAAGTAATATTGATGGTTGGAAGCCGTGCTCTACGGCCGGTTCCATATATCGGAGGATCTATTGACATTTTTTCGACAACTTACAGATATAGGCAGGTCTAAAAGAACCACATAATCGGTTTTTAAGATTAATAGCGATATCTTAGTGTCCGGAGTGGATTACAGCTGAAGTTTATGTTGCTTCTACGAATGTGCTTCATACGGAATCTCGCCGGTACAATCAGTTACTCCTACCTAGGTAGGTGGACAATACTGCATACGAAATACCTTGAACAGTGGCCGCGTTTTTCCGCATGACGTTTACAGCTAGTACGAGCCCAAATTCAGTCATGAAATGCAACTGTCCATATTGTGATTGTCGTCTACTAGAGAATGTTGTTTGGGAAGATCATTTATGGCTGTAAGTGAACTAGACCCTAAAACCGATCCTTTAACATTTGAAGAAGTTTATTGACGATGACTTACTGTGTTCCTATTCCGTAGAGATCATGCAAAGAATGATCTCGAGCATATGTATGCTGTTCCATGACTGTGTGACTCCTAAAACCTTGTATAATTGCAGTGAAGACTGGGTAAGACATCAGCGCAAACACAAGTTACGATGGTGCTACTGGGGAAAACTTCATGGGGTGATAGTTTTCGAGACACAAGCGATGTACGCAGAGCATATGACTCAAAGACACAAAATTGTAGAGTTACAGCTTTCCATTTTCGCCAAAAGAAGTCGTCATTTCATCGGTCCACTTTTTGAAACATGTCCTTTATGCGGATTTCTAGGGAACGAGCCCTTAGAGCCTCACATCGCTGGTCACCTCATATATCTTGCCTTAAAATCAATGACAGGTTTCGATAATATTGACAGCGCTGAAGATTCTCTTCTTGATACTATTGGAATGACCTTGCGGGCATTGGTTACACGTCACAGAAGTATGCAGATACTTATGCAGATACTTATAGTCTCATGTTAAGAGTAACCAGAGAGCATAGGGCCTCTTTACAAGAAGCGCTGCATAGGCCCCCAGAAAGAGCTGCCTCACGGAAAATAGTTTCATCAGATACCACTGATTCCGTGACAGACAGCAGCGCTCAAAAGCCGATCGCGACGAAAAACATGGATAGTATGCCAACTTTCATTACTAAAGAGCGGCGATGGACTTGTTGTCACTGTTATGACGGGCCGTATAATCTATCATGGCAAGATTTATGTCAAATCTGTGGCCATATTACGTGTTCATCTTGCGGTTTGTGGTGATACCAGATCAAGGGCGACCCCTTTTCGGTAAAGTAGATAGTAGCAGTATGTAGTTTCGTTCCAATAGAATCGGCAAGACGTTTAAATGGTAATCCGCTACTGGTAGGCCCCTAAGAGCACTTTAATAAGTAGGCGGTTTTGATATGGTGAAATTTGGAGATGTTGTCGTATGGTGTTCATTTTGAGTTCGAAGTGTTCGTAGACCGATAAGATAAGACTAACGTTATCGCGATAAGGAAGAAAGATGGAGAATTTTCTCCAAAGACAAACACTTTATCTCTAGACTCGCCAACACATACCAACATATTCAAGATGCCTCACAAGCACAAAAGACGTCAAAAAGACGAATCGTGAGTTTTCAATCGATTACCTAAGACCCAGCTAGATTTCTGACAATCATTGCCACTCTCATAGGACCTACGATCTTCCACCCACCACTATAGCAAAGCCATTGCCAGTCCACAAAGACAAACAGCAAACGAAACCAGCAAAGAAAGGCGATAACAGGAAAGCGGGTAAATCGAAAGACGCCACATCAAAATGGGCGGATGACACACCTCGCGCCTTTGCGCGCTTGATGCGCTTTCAGCAATTAGGAAAGGCACCTTCGGGACTCGATGATGGTAATGATAAACCACAAAACAAGAAACGCAAGCGCGGCGAGGATAATGATTCCTCCACTAAACCGAATTCAAAATCAACAGCAGCCTCCAAGCTTTCTGAAGGTATGGCCCTTAAGATCCTTCCCGGAGAAAAATTATCCGATTTTGCGGCCCGGGTCGATCAGGCAATGCCCTTATCGGCAATGAAGAAATCGCAACGAACAGGTGCATCGGAGAATTTGCCCAAAGTCCGTGAGGAGCGTATCACGAAACACGAGAGACATTTGCGCAAACTGCAACAGGGCTGGCGGGAAGAAGAGGCTCGGATTAGCGCCAAGGAAGCTGAGGAGAGGGAATTGAGGGAAGCTGAAAATGACGAATTGGAGGAGATGTGGAGGGAGGCACAGGCAGAGGCTGGGATTCTCACAAAGAAGAAGAAGAAGAAAACTCAGTCGAAGAAAAAGAAGAAGGGAAAGAAAAGGGCCGGAGACGATGGTGACGAAGTCGAGGATGATGATGATGATGACGATGATGACCCTTGGGCAAAACTTAATGCTCGTGAACGAGCTGCGAAACCTATCAACCCGCTAGAAGTTGTGCAAGCGCCTCCAGAGTCGTTGGCTAAACCACGCGAGATTTTCAGGGTACGGCGAGGTGTTGGCGGTGCTGAGGTCGATGTTGCTAATATTCCTGCAGCAGCAGGAAGTTTGAGGAGAAGAGAGGCACTTGCTGAAGAACGAAAGAGTATTGTTGAGGAATATAGGCGATTGATGGCTGCAAAGAGGGGGCAGTAGTATCACGACCACTGTATGAGATATCACTGTTTTCTACAAGCACTAATACTTTCCTACATGCAAGCTCAAATTAATATAGTATCGAGGGAGACCTACATGTCATTAAAATGCTGGCTCTGCTCTACATGAAATGAATTCTTCACAATGCATTCAATGATATGTACATCCAAACAAAACGCTAGAACATATACCTAATTGTAACAGAAAACACTTTTCATCATAAAGAGACACAACGAATTTAGCCCACTGTCTAACTTTCCTGCAATGAGTTCACATAATCAGCGGCTCTAGCTTTAACTTCCTCCACCATCTTCTCATTTCCACCTTCAGCGGCAGCAAGCTTCTCCTCGAAATCGAGCCACTTCTTGAAGAAGAAACGGGCCTTCTTGGGCTTCAACTTCTTCTGCGTCTCGGTTGAAGCTGGTGTAGGAACGGCACCCTTTTTCTTGAGTACAGTGCTGATTCCAAGAACACGCTGGAAGACGCTACGGACTTGGTCGGCGTCGCCTTGTTTTATTTCCAAGTCAAGCAATATATTCCAGAGATCGGTACGCTTGGGGAATGATGACAGTAAACCTTCGAACAGAGTACGACCTCTTTCAACATCTCCGTTCGGTGACCGGAACTCGAGTTGGATGAATTTGCAGGTAGTGTCAACGTGGGTGTTGGAAGGTAAGGACTGCAAGGCTCGTGGAAAAAGATCACGGCCGCGGTCAGGATTTGCCAGGGTATCAAAAAGGAAGGTTGCGTAGTTGATGAAAAATTTTTGTCCAGAATACACTTTCTTCTTGAGCGCTGTTTGGAATAGTTCATCGGCTTTCTACAAGTTGAAAGGGTAATTAGTTATATGTGGGTAAGAGTGGTTAGTCTGGAGCAGACGTACCTCATTCTTTCCAGATTGAATGTAAATGCTGATCAATCGCTCGTAGATTTCCTGTGTGTCGTTATATTGACAAGCCTTCTTGAAAACTTCTTCGAGGCTGTCGTCCGTGCCGTAGGTATTTTCAAGATTGAGTAACGCCACCCAGATATTCAACTTCTCTGTATCCTGGCCTATGCTGATTGAACGAATAGCACGTTGGCCAATCTCTCTTGCCTTGTCCACTTCACCAAGTTCCAGCTGGAAGGCCATGTACTGAAGCCACAAGAGTGATGAATCCGGTTCACCAAGCAACAGTCGTTCGTAATCGGCCACAGACTGGGGACCGCGAGCATCAAGATCACCAGTCTGATCAACTTGAATCTCTGGTTTACGGATGCGCTTCTTCTTGTTCGAAGCCTCTTCGCCAACGGCTTTACCATCGGTGATCTTCGATGTGCTTGACAGCCCAGCATCTCCTGTCCAGTCGAAGTCACCAACATCAAGCCCTCCCTTGTCGTTCTGTGCCCTTTCGTCTGCTGTCGTTACATCTTCGTCGTCATCGCTTGATTCCGATTCATCATCGCTGCCGTCTTCAATCTCAACACCACCGATAGACATATCTTCGCCGCTATCATCACTGTGAAGTTCAACACCTCCAGCCTCATCCATTGAAAGATCTTCATCAGACCCTTCTTCGCTATCCAAACCTTCTTCATCCTTAAAGTAAGATGCTTTGAGCCCGAAGGAAATCTTTTCTTGTTTCGGATCGATTTTCAGAATCTTTGCCTTGACAATATCCCCGGCCTCGAATAACTTCCTGGCATCATCGATGTTCTGTTCAGCCATTTGGCTACGATGGCAGAGACCGCTGACGTTGGCGGAGCGGTCTATAACAATGAATGCACCGAAATCCTCTACTTTCCGAACCTTTCCGGTCACAATTTGGCCAGGCTTCAGATCACGGATAGTAATGGGAGTCTTGTAATTGGAATCTAGAACAGATTCTTTCAAGCTCATTTGCAACCTCTTGTTTTCTTGATCGACAAAGATGATTCTTCCCTTAACCAACTGGTCTGCCTGGAACTCATCTTTCCACTCCTTCAAGTAAGAATCAGACAAATCTGAGATACGGACATAAGCCGAAACACTATGGCCCAAAGTCACGAATAAACCATTATCGGCAACTTTGCGAACGAATCCCCTGACAATGTCGTTGACCTTTAGCTGATCAATTGATGTAATCTCCCGGTCCCGCACAGGTAGTGTTGAGCTCAAAACCTTGGATGGACGCAATGACAAAAAGATCTTTTTGTTGGATTTGTCAACGTCGATAATGCAGGCACGAAGGATTTCGTTCTTCTTATAGATCGACGTATCAATTTTGGAATAATCATCAGCCATGTCTGTAATAGTCACGGCTCCGACAAGTGAATCGCTGAGCTGCATAATGATCTGTTTCTCGGTAACCTTGGTGACTCGCCCAGGTAGAATCATTCCCTTTGAAAGCTTGTCGAATGAAAGCTCCCTCGTGGATCCCGACTTCACTGACAGATCCAAGTGACCTTTATCCGAATCGACACCAGTCACGCGAACCTTGAGAGCCGATCCCATCGGGTAGTTGCTTTCTAGATCCGTCAAGGTAGATAGATCATCGCTGAGGTCAATAGCTCGTACTCGACCACGAACATTGGGTGAGAGGCTGATCCAAAGATAGTCGTCGTTGATATTGTTAACAAATCCGATCATAGACGAGCCAACCTTGACTTGCTCGAGACTCAATGGCTTTCGTTCACCGGCAGTGATGAAACTGGGCTTGGCGGATAATTCGTAAACGGGATGCTTGCTGGTTCGATGACTGATCGGTAGGAATCTATGGCTGCGAGCATCGTGGAGGCCCAAGATACGTACAGGAAGGATCTCCTTGACGCGGAACTTCTGTAAAGGCTGCTTGCGGTCCTTAATGTCTTCCCATTTGTCAAAGACCTCTGAGACGTCGATACGTCCTTGCAAATTATCCGCAAGAACGACATTGATCTGTGTCTCCTTGATAGATAAGATTCTAGCCTTTGTGACTTTTCCGACAGTATATTCGGCAACGGTCTGGATGCTTTCATCGACTGGGTTCACTGGCTTCTCATCTTCAGGGAGAGGCCTCTCTTTCGATTGTGCCTGTCGGCTAGCTGTTGGTAGCTCTACCGGGCGCATGGTTAATGTGAAACGCCGGTGGTCCTCATCGATCTGATGAATGGTTGCAGTCAAGGCTTGAGAAGGATAGAACCCAAAATCTGGCATGTTGGAGTGTTCATCATCGACAAGACGTCTTGGTAACAGCCCATTGAGCCCACCAAGGAACTCCACGAAAACACCATGGGACGTTGTTCCTCTCACGAAACCCGTAACCTCCGTACCTACTTCAAGCTCTTCGAATGTTGATGGAAGACTGTTTTTCTTTAGCGCCTTCCTGAGACTTGGCTTGTGTGTTACTTTGATCAGCCGGTGGACTCGCTTGGCTTCGAGAACTAAGAGGTCCGAAAGCTTCTGACCGACTCTGATCTTAGCAAAAGCGGATGCCGCTTTGGATGCGTCACCATCAACAAGGTGAACAGCGCTGAGTCTGGCTGTCACGCCATACTTGTCGAGTTTCAAAAGCAGATCGTCGCTGGATTTCTCAAAGACGGTACCAGTGACTGACACTCCTGGGCGAATTTCGCTAAAGGCTTCTCTGTAGGCCTCGGATGATGTTGAGGGATCTTTGCAAGAAACCACAAGCTTGTCCGAGGAGATATCAACGCTAATTGCGTGGACATTAACGACCTGCCCCTTTCTGAAGTGTTGAGACGGGTCTTTGATATACGCCTCGCTCATTTCAGAAACTGGAAGGAAACCTCTAACAGTCCCGTAGAATTGGACAGTTGCACCATTCGGTTGGATGTTAATCAGTGTTCCTGGAGATTGTTGACCGGGGACGATGTCGTTGTAGTCTTTCCAGATGGCAGAATCACTGTTTAGCAAACTTTTCTTCAAGGTGAGCCGCATCTGTCGCTTTTCTAGGTTGACCGAGAGGACTCGAGCAGAGATGGCCAAGCCTTCCCGGAATTTCTTCTCGGGGTGTTGTAATACGGTATCAGCAAAATGCATAGACGGAACTAAACCTGTAATGCCATCTGCAATTGAAAGAATAAGGCCGTCAATTCCTTCTGGGCCTATGAGTAACTTCTCAATCTTTCCTTTGACGACTTCGCCTAGAGGGACATCTTCAAGTCGAATGTAGGGTTGATCAATCACCTTCTTCTCAAAAGAGAGCAAATATAGATTATCCACAGAATTGTGGCCGATGATTCGTGCTTTGTGTGTGCTGCCGGTCTTGAATGCACCCTGCTCTGCTGATATGCTCTCCACAGTGCCATCGGCGACCCTGGAGATGTGAACGAAACCAAGATGTTTGAGAGAGCCAAACTCTACATAAAGACCTAGTCCAGGCTCAACTGTCGTGACTCTGGCATCCAAGATTGTTCCAATTGAGGGCGATGAAACCTCCTGGGTGGATGGTGTGCGTCTCCATTCCAAAATATTTTCCAGAACAGAGGCACCAACCTTGAATGGTTCCGCTGCAGGAAACGTGCACGTTATTCTGGCCTTAATTTTTGCACCAAGTTGGTACTTTGTAGTAAGATTAAAAGACCCCGAATTTGCGCCTGAGTGAACAAAATCAACAGTAGCATCTAGCAGGCCCATGATTTTTCCGACCAACCCGGTTTCTGTGACCGAAGTCAAAAGTATTTCGGCTGCTGTTCCAGGAAGGAAAGTCTGGATCGTCGGTGCAGATTTGAGAACAGACTTGGGCGAGGCAGCAGTTTGTAGTTTGGAAGAGAGTTGAAAGATCGTTCGGCTAGCGTTGACACCGGTAACAATGCAGAGAAGCACGGCACCTTCTTTGATGTTTGATTGAATCGCCTCATCAGTGGAAGCCATGAAGCCCTTGGCCCCTTTCTTTCCTAGGCCGATATCCATGACACATCCATGGTCTTCTATACTCGCGACAGAAGCCTGAACCATGGCGCCTTCAACGAGATCGGACTCTGAAAGGCCCGTATTCGCCTGTCTCGGATCAAGGGAGAGCTCGATCTTCTTTTTGATTTTGGCAGTCCCAGCCTCTACTGCACTGCTTCCTGTAGATGTCACGTATGCACGCAGGTACTGTCCAACATAGAAATAATCCGAGGGATCCAAAGAGTCTTCTTCTGAATCGTCGTCTTCGTTCTCATCCTCCGCATTGAGAACATTTTCAATCTTCTTGTCGAATACTTCCGAGATCGCAGTCAGCGGAACGTAACCTGTCAGATTGTTGGGAAGTGCTAAGCCGATATCGTGGGAATTGATGCTGGTGACTTGCCCGAGAACCATCGTCCCTATGGTCAAACGCTTCCAAGTAACCAATGTCAGTACTGTCACGGGAAGAGTAACATCCACGGGAACACACCTTGAAACTGAGACCTTCAACCCGAACTCCTTCCTTGGTCTTCTTCTCTGAATCTCGAGACTTTTTGTTCTTCGACTTTCGTGATTTCTTGGTAGTAGCAGGCTTTTTACCCTCGTCTTGCATGTCAATGTCTTCGTCTGAAATGCCATCGTCGAGTCCTTCGGTCGATTTTCCGGATCGCTTCTGCTCGAAAAGAACATCTCGAGTGGCCTGGATCTGAATTTGTTTGCGCTCGAGTGGAGTCAGGACACTTCCACCTCCACGAGGAAAGGAAGACTCCTCATTGCGCAAGACGGAGACCGCGGCATCTCGACTGGTAGTCTCTTCTGCGGTATCCTTGCTTTGCTTGGATTTTTTTGATTGAGACCCTGCTTTAACGGCGTCTGAACTGACTCGCGCACGCTTTTGGTTTTTTGTGGCGGAATCGTCTCCAGTAGTTCCCTTGCGCTTAATTGGCGCCATGATTGAGAGAATCCCGAAGGTGAGAGCAAAGTCTTTCCCTTCGAAATGGACAGACAATCTTGGGAGACGTGCGGGCGTTGAAAGCCAAAAAAAATTCCATGACAGATAAGGAAGCTATCAGTGTACTAGTCCGTTTATGGTTAGGCAGATTTGTTACCAATTTTCTCACACTAACCCGGATAGAGTATGGATCGATATTTGTTTATGCCTTAGTTTTCAGGCTACTTAACTCTATAGTCTTCGGAGCTTCTTAGCTGCTCTGATCTCACCTACAAAGTTGTATATGACTGATCAGACGCGTAGATACTATCTTTTGTAGATGGGAAGAAGTAGATTATCTGTGCTTCGTGAATATCGTCACTTTTTTGAATGCTCTACAGCGGCCGCGACCGATATATAACAAATCCTAAGTGACCCCAGGAGCCACCTGGGCATCCTCCGACAGTCTGACTTGACTTGTCGATATATCTATGTAGAGACAGAGTGGAATAAATAGAAAACAGTATTATGACATGGCGCAAACTGGAAATTGCTGTGAGTTTGACGGGGGAAAGAATAACCCTAGGTCCTTGCCCTAACTGCACCAGTTGAGCAGATCAGCGAGTTAGGTACTATTTATCTCTGCGGAACAACGGAATTTGATGAAGAAAGCTAGAGAATGTTTCATCTGCGACTTATTTTTATTCCCGACGTCGACGGTCGACACCGGTGACGAAAGGTTGCCATTGACAATGCTATTGAGCTGTTAGTGGCGGTGCCTTGTCAATGAAGAGAGATCGTTCGTCTTATTCAGCCACATAAAAATAACTGCTAACGGAAGCTTTTGTCGACAAATGACAGTAAAGCTAGATAAGAAAAGATGAAACTGGTAACACCTTGTGGAACTAAGGTTGGGATGCCCCAATCCGTACTCATCACTCGAGGCTCTCGGGTGACAAACAAGCAAGGAACGAGTGGAATGAAAGGTCTGGAATTCGATTACACAAACCATCTTATCCCAGACGACAGACAATATGGGATACCATAATCTATGGACTCTGGAAATACGGATGGCTGTCAATCGGATCTTCGGCCCGCCTACAATAATGTCCCTATTGATACCCGGAAAGGGCAAAGGTAACACGCATCCGTTGGTTAAAGATACACACAGGCCAGCCAATTCAGCGATCTTCAGCAAAAGATCAGTCAATCATCAAATAGACTTATTCTCTGCACTCTTGGTGGAACGGGTTATTCATGCAGAATTGACTGGTCCAAATGCATATATTGCTACTGCATTATTCATGCCGCATTTGGGTTGCTCGGCTTTCTACAAGATGAGAGGACATTTTCGTCTTCCTTTTCCTTACTTTCTTAAGATGATGCGCTAGGGAATGACTGCAACTGATTAATCTTCCACCTGGGCTGGCACCACTAACGGACGCATCATCTCCACGCATCTTCATTTCAGGGGCAAGCAACAACATACAAAGTTAAGATCATGGACTCATACCATAGATCCACGCAAGCAATCCTAGCTCCTGTGCTGTCGTTCCTGGGCCTGACACTATGTATTCCCCCGATGGTATGGCACGCATCAAACCGTAACTGGGGTGCTTCTTTCCTCGTCGCCTATGTCATGTTCGAGGACTTGATCAACATCAGCAATGCTCTCATCTGGCCTACTGACGATATTGACTCCTGGTGGGACGGGGCAGTATTCTGTGATATTCAGGTCAAGCTCAACGTTGCAACTCAAGTAGGTATGCCGGGGGCTCTGCTGTGTGTATTTCGCAGTCTTGCTCTGGCCATGGACGTGAACAACTCCGCTTTGGTACCAAGTCGAGGCCAACGGCTGCGCAATAAGGCTGTTAACGTGGTTTTCTGCATTGTATTGCCTGTTCTCCAGATGGTAGCACATTATACCATTCAAGATATCCGCTACAACATCTTTGCTATTGGGGGTTGCACTGCAGGGTTCGATGAGAGTTGGCCGACCTTGGTGTTTCTATTGTGCCCTTCTGTCATCTACGTAGCTGCAGCGGTTTATTGCTGTGAGTTTTCAGCTTCCATAGTCTTCACGTGTCGAATGCTGATTCCATAGTCCTGATTATCATCCGCCTGGTCAAATACACATCTGAGTTCTCCGCAATTCTGGGTGCATCAAGAAGCAATCTGACCACTCAGCGGTTCATCCGACTCTTTGGTCTTTCCTTAATCATGATCTTGATCATCCTACCTCTTCAAATCTACATTCTTTTCGCCCAGATTGAAATAATGCTCCCTCTCCACCCTTACTCTTGGGAAGGCACGCATGGCACAGACCTGTCACGGATCGAGAAAATTCCGAGCAACGACAACTTACGATTTGAACGTTGGATTCCACCTGCTTGTAGCTTTTTAATATTCTCATTCTTCGGATTGGGACGGGATGCGGCGAATATGTACAACATCTTCTTCAATGTTATTGGGCTCAAAGGGTTCTCCGTGTCGTTTTCGAGTTTCAAGTCGACATCGGACTCCTCCACTTCTTCTGCAGAGAACAACAAGGGCGGTTCTTGGTATCGCTCCTTACGATCAAAGAAAAATAGTTGGCTGGGGTCTGGGCGAGCGTAAGCATTTGTCTCCGGTTTGGATTCTGATAGAACAGTATTGACTGAGAATTAGAAGCAAAGGGGGGAATGTCCTATCTCTCGAGTCGCTTCAGACAGATACTTTTATGTCGGGTGGTCATGACCTTTCGTTCGAAGGATCACGAATTGAGATGAAATCACCAGCTCGAGGGTGCGATCTTGATAGCAGGATACACCCGAGAGATGACTGCAGTGTTTGATGATATTACCTTTTTCGTTTCACTTTTCTTTTTGCGCGTTCTCGAAGCACCATATACAGCTATGCAGATGTATTTGATCATTGTATCATCGGTTAATGTGCATGGAATTTCAATGATACCTAGGTAGTTGTATTGCTATGATTGTTCAAGGAGTTACTCGCCTGGAATATCGCAATGACTAAGCTCAAATTGCTCAAATATGCATGAATTCTTTTCAATTGCCTGGAAAATGAGTCAACTACGATGATAGATTTGACATATGAATGAAGAAAAGGAGAAGAGATTGTCATGTCACCAAGCCACCCATAGACTGTCTATCTCCAAGCAAAGATACATGAAAATTTCCAAAGGGTATACTGTAACTATAGCACATCATCATCTTAGTCAACTACTTCGTACATAAGAAAGGAATCTTTGTATGAATAACACGTAGATAGAAGCGGCGTCTTGGGATCCTGATGCGTCAAAATTGTGTTCTACATCGCGGCGGTCATGCTCCGTTGTATGGTAAACCTTATATATCGCCGTGATCCGTGTCCGGTTGGATCAAGTATCGACTTATTGAGTTCCCTCGCTACCCGATTCGCTGGCGGTATGAGGGCGCTTGAGGACTTCGAGTGTTCCTGTATGCAAGTCAGCATACAAGCAGGTCAAAGGATCGTGGGATGAGACGAACGTTGCACAATGTTCAAGCTGGATGTCTTCTTGCCCTCGGCGTCTTCATAGACACGCATGCTAGCATCACCCTCGACGTATACTAGAGTTCTATACAATTAATCAGCGTATAAGACTCAGGCTAGTTGTCCGAGTATGAACCCACCCCTTTGGAAGGCTCAAGAGATGGTCGCGTCCAGGACCCTCAGGCTGGAAGCTGGCAACACGGAACCAGCTCGTTTGACGGTTGTCCCTGGGGCCATATGAAGTTCCGACGACATACTTGATGACGTCTTGACCGGTGGATGTGGCCGTGATCTCAGGCTCAGCAGCTAAACGACCAGTGACGATTATGCGTGCGATCGAGTTGGAGGGGGTGGTGCTGAAAGATCGAACAGATGCGACTGCGGCGCGAGCGCGGAGAGAGGACCGGATGGCCTGCATGGTGGTGTGAGTGTTATGTGTCTGGCGTTGGATAATTGTCTTGTTCAAGATTGTTGTTGGGTTGATTGGCCGATCAATGGGTTTCCCAGACAGGATGGCTTTAAGGAGGTGTCTCCCATCTTGCCGTTTCGGGCGGAGCAGTTGACCGCGTCCGCGAAGCTATAGCATCACGTGATGTGATTGGCTGCCTGAGTCCCGCCGCTCTGGTCTCTTCAGATGTGTTTCTGTTTCTCCTTACTGACTAGTTAGTCGTCTAGCTATAGATGATCAGATATCGTCTTTTGCGTTCTATTATGCCAACCGACCGCAGACATGTGCTGCAGAGTACTCGACACTATTAGATACCACCTACATGGGACCAGTAGAGCGTGACAGTCGGTGTATACCACCACAGCTACGAGCTCTTTACGTCGATTAATCAGCCTCATGCAATTTAGAAATAGATTCATGTAGTACGTAGCGAGCATTTTTCCTGAGAGCCTGAGGCACCAAGCTGTCCACTAACCTCCCTCAATTCCACCTTCCATTCTTATGCTCCGTTCACTCTCTGAAAGATTCACCCATGATGACAGTACTCTGAACTATCAGTCTATAGCTATCCTACTATCCTCCGAAATCATCACGATGTTCAATAGTCTTGCCAGTCTAACCCATCTCGAAGGCCACGATGTGACAAGTATGTTCATTGGCAGAGATTCAAGCCGAACTCCCCAAGCCTTGCCTTTGCTCTACGATTGAATTGGAATATGGGCTCTAATTTCACTACTCAGACTCTTGGAAGCGCGGAATTGGCCGAGCTGCTTGATTAGTGCATTTCAATTGGGACCGATCACATTAATTGATGCAGCTAATCCCTTGACTAGACAGACGACGTGCTACCTACCACCAAAGCTGCAATGGGTTCTGTATGTCCTTTGATCGGTGTACCAGAGAATTACCGGCCTCTCTTCCAGAAGTTTGCTTTTTTTCTGAGCTGGATTCGGTGATAAGAACCGGGTACTGATGGGCACTTATACCCCGGTCAGACACGTCATGTACTTGGTTCATTTCTTCCCTTGCTTAGGATCGGACACATCCGCGCCTCCTAGCCGAATAATCTCAGGGACTAATCAATGATCAACTACTCTTCGTCCTACATGGTCTTGCTGCAGATGCCACTGTTCAACGCAGACAAGATGCTCCTACATCAAGTGTACAAAATGCGCAATCCATGATGCAGGCGGCCGCTTCTCTCTCAACAACAACAGGCTCTTCTGCTACTACAGATTGGTCAGATGTCTCTGTGACGGCGTCGACAACGATGATAGATATCCATACCGTGTTCTCAAATCCTCAACCCACCTTGGAACCTACGCCGAATACAATCAATGGTCAGTAATTCGGTAACAACCTGATAACGGCAACCATTTCTAACCGATTCAGGAACCATAGACGTTAACACCTTGCCAATTCAGCTTACAATAACACCCGCAGTGGTGCTGATGATAATAAGCATAGCCTATAATATTATTGGTATTAAGAACCAGTGGTAAGTTGCCCAACAGCTCAATAGGAGTATTTTCTCACCTGGAATAGTCTTCACCTCTTCTTATCTGCTGCTTCTCTTTCAAGCCTGTCGGTAATTGTAAGTTTACTGCTTCAGATGCGCCTGATGCCCGCTAAACAAGGTTCAGGCCTTGATAGAATATTTCATGGCTCCTCCGGTACCGAACGCAATACAAGGAGCATACTTTGTAGCCGCTTTTCTAACTGGCCTTATTTTCGGGGCAATGTCTCTGATCTTCAAGGAACTCACCGAGGGACGTGGTTACCTATTAGGAGGGGTTGTGTTAGCATGTGGCTTCTTTCAGTGAAGAGAGGTGGTCTTGTGGCCAGCCCGGAAACCAGAGGTGCTTTTATTGGTGCTTTCTGTGCAGCGTTCTATGCTCTATCGTTCAGTCCTTATACTCGGCCATATGGACTGATATTGTCTACTGCATTTGCCGGTAGCACAATAGCCGTGTTAGGAATTGACTGCTTCAGTCGAGCGGGATGGAAGGAGTTCTGGCTATATATCTGGGGTAAGTTCGAATAGCTATGCCTTATATAGAACTGATGGACTTATTGGTATTACTTTAGGGTTAAATGACAATCTATTCCCGCTCAGCACATCTACTTATCCCGTCACTCGAGGATTCCGCGTTGAGCTGGCTGTTACTGTTGTGGTTTGTTTACTCGGATTACTGTCACAGTTCAGGCTCTGGAAAGTTATCGGAGAGAGACGAAAGAAGCAAGAAGAGTCTTCGGCTGAAGAAAGGAGGATAAAAGATGAGGCCGAAGTTGAAGTGGGCCGGGCGCTCCAAGAGAAGAAAGAGAATGATTTAGTGCGATGGGAGCCAATATATGGCCACAAGGGCAATTGCACAACGAGTCAAACACCGGGCTCAGAGGCCAAGACGTATCCAACGCCCGTAGAACCGGTTGAAGCTCCTGATAACGCGATGGAAATGGCAGATCTTACCACTTCATCTCATAACACCAACGACGAAGATATTATCGAAGAGAAAAGTCCGGAGAATGATAGGCATGATGTCGAACGTGAGACTGCCAACGAACAAGATCGAATTGCAGAATCACATGATGTGGACGAAGAGTATGTTAATGCGAATGATGAATCCAATTCGATAAATGAACAGAAAGCAGCAGTCTCGTCAACGCCGTCTCCATCTGTGACGCCCTGTCCTTTCAGAGTACCCCAGCCTGAAAATAACCGAGCTATTGGTTATGGCGATGGACAATCCATTCAGGTTATTATCGATGATATAGACACTGCTTCCGTCGGCACATCCAAAAGGTTATCAGCCGCGTCTCTGTTCAGACGCTTAGCACATCGAAAGAGCGTGATCAGGAGAAGAAGTCGATTACAATCAAAGTCAGATGAGATACTCGTTCCTATTCATCCGGCAAGCTCAACATACTCAGATAAAGGAATCGAAGATAGTGATGCTGGTTCAGACCATGAAGATGCTCCAAGTATAGATATCGACAATGTGAATCCTCCCCGATCTGACTCGGTAGCCGACGAAGGTGATGATAAAACATTGCAAGAGGGTGCTAGCTCTGACACAGCTGTCCTCAGTCCAACGCCGCCCGACCCCGGGGAAACCGAAATATCACGGAATGTCAAATCTAGTGCATCCCAGGGGGCACGACTCGAAGCCCAAGAAGAAAAAGTTCCTTTAATGAAAGACAAGACATCGACTGAGAGTAGGCTAGTGGACGCCGGCTTGGGGATAAGTACCGACAAACGTCGACATACTGTTGACGGTGCCACGACTATCTTTTCAATCGCGAAAGCTCCATCTCCATCTTTAGTTCATGGGAATCCCTCCAAGCCTACACAAACGAATACAATCAAAGAAGCAAAAGCCAAGAAATCCATTACTCCTTTGTCAATTCCGAAATCGAAATCTAGTTCTGCTAAAAACGAGAGTCTCACATCAGATGTCGTCAAAAGAATTCCTAGTCATGTTTCTTCCATTGTCATGTCTTACCGTACCAACGAATGGGCGAAACGTCTGTCTCATGCTGACGCCCCTGAACCCGAGCCACTTGAAAATCTCACGGTTGACACGGAGCGTCCAATCTCGCCGGATCTCATAGAATTAGCTGCTCCATTAAACGTGGATGAATTAAAGCAAACCGCGCTGACTGTTTCTCCACCACCTATGAACGAGAAACGAAAATCACTTTTTCCGGAGAGAGTCATAGATGCCACTGTTCAACAATCAACATCAAGCACCTCGCGACGAGAGTCTGGTGATGCTAGTCCAAGGGATCTAGTTTTCGAGCACCCAGAAAATGCGAAAACATCGCTTACCCCTACCTTCCGGAAGTGCTCCCACCAAGTTCAACCCTCACTCTGCCTGTTGTGAGTCGTTCACCAGCTTCGAGGGTTATCCCAAACGGCCTACGCAGTGTTTCTAGTCCATTGCTGAGTGCAGCTGTGGCAACGCAAGGTATCACACATAATTCGGCTCGGAAATCTACTCAAGGTCAAGGTGCGGAGGAAGAGTCGCAATTTCTGATGGCCCAACGGGAGAGGCTGATTCAAGCGCGCCTTTCATCAGTCTCACTAACGCACGACTCCTTGGCCACAAGGAACAAATTGAGACATTCGCTAGAAGGAATGTATCAGTCACGCCCTGGAAGTCAATTGAGCATGGTTGGTGATATGCCTTTAGCACAGAGACGGTCCCTATTGCAGCAAAGAGTCGTGTCGCCTATTCTGGCCCTGGATATAGACGCACCAAGATCCCCAGTCGATAAGACTCCTCCGATTGGCGCTCGAATCTCGCGAGAGTCCAGCAAGTCCAAAGTATCGGCCATGGTCGCATGGCGCGAATCGCTTCAAGAAGACTTTTCCAAGTACAAGCCATTGGTAGATGTCGACATTGCTCAGAACGAGTTGATGGAACAACAACGAAAGGCGCAACTGGCGAGGAACCAACGCCTACAAGTGTCTGAAAATCTGCATAACTCGATTGCTGAGCGTATGCGACGGGGTGATATGCAGGATCTGCATCGTGAAGCGATGCGACGGATGCAAGCTGCAGCTAACCGCAAAGTGACGAACGGTCCGCGATAAACGAACTCGCGATCCTGGAAAGGCGACAACAAAAGTGATGTTTTCTGCAGTATTTAATATTACTATATAAGATATATCATAAAGAAGCTCATTTTATAACCTTTAAATCATTATATCTTGTTGTTGCGTTGTTATTCGTAATAATTAGATGTTGAGATTTGTTAGCGATCGCATATAAATTCAACTTGGCCTTTGAGCCCGGGCCGACCACCACCTGGAGAGTGAGGGGAGGCGACGCGACAGGTAGGAGTTTGGATATAATTTCGTCTATAGCATCAATAACTAATGTATTGGTATTGGTAATACCGATGGTCAATACGATCGGGCGATCTGAAATGTGGGGAGAACCACAAATAAGCTCACTAGCGTGATACAAGTGCGTATTGATGATGAGATCACCGAGGTTGTTGTTCCCTGTTCTCCTCATGCCTTATTAACTCCTCAATCAATTGTCATTATACTACTTCTTGATCCTTGCATGCATAAGCACTGCAAAATAACCAATATTATACCATGTCTTGTTGATTATCCTGGGCTATATTGCATTTGATTTCGTCTTTGGTCGCCTTTCCCCGCATTTTGTTGTCCGACGTTTGTGTTACTACATACTATCCTACAAAATGACAGAACAAGCATCGTTTCAGTCCGGCGCCAACCTCAACTCTCTCGGACCAGCAAATCTACGCCAACGACCACTCGGACGAGCAACCACATTCTCAGAGGCTACTACAACCCCGTCAAAATTCAACAGACGCAACTCGGCAATCTCAGACACCGTTTCTGAAGCGCGGCAATCAATTCGCGATTCAACTGATGAGCTACTGTTCCCGCGTGCCAAAGCCACAGTGAGCCCTCGATTGGCAGAAGCGCATCATGATTCTCATTGGCAATCTGCGCCGTTAGCGTTGGCTTTGTTGCCGGCTGTGGGGGGGTTGTTTTTCAATAACGGGAGTGCGTTTGTGACGGATGCGACGTTGTTGATTTTGGCGGCTGTGTTTTTGAATTGGTCTGTCAGATTACCGTGGTATGTCCTTGACCCCTATACTCATATTTTAAGAAATTCGTTATTGAAAATATGTAAGGAATTGGTATCGTTCGGCCCAAGAGATTCGTCGACCGCTTCCGGACACCTTGCATGGCGACGATGGGACAATCGTCGAGGAAGACGATGGAGAAAGAGATGAAGGCGACAAAACGACAAAAAAATCAACAGAGCGAAGGAGTATAGAACAGGCCAACCAATCAGCTATCAAAGAGCTCCATATCCATGAACTCGCAGCTCTGATATCCTGTTTCGTATTTCCATTGATCGGCGCATGGCTACTACACGGTATTAGAGGAGCGTTATCACGCCCATCAGAGGGTCTGGTCTCGAATTACAATCTGACTATATTCCTTCTTGCGGCTGAGATACGTCCCTTTGCGCATTTGTTGCAAATGGTGCAGGGTCGTACACTTTATCTACAGCGCGTGGTGGCCGAAGCAGCGGATGAAGAAGATGAAGATAGAGAGATTGATCACAACAAGATCTTAGATCTTGCTGCGCGCTTGGAAGATTTGGAGGCGTATGTAGCGGATAACGCCGCGACGAAAAAAGGCTCAAACTCGAACTCAAAACAAGCCACGACAGGGGAAACTTTAAAACCAGAGCTTCTATCACAAATTATAAACGAAGTCCGACATAGCATTCAACCAGAAATGGACGCTCTTAACCGCGCAATACGTCGCTACGAGAAAAAAACGGCTCTAATGGCCTTTCAAACAGAGACACGAATGAACCAGATCGAAGCTCAAGTCGGGGATGCAATTGCCCTTGCAGCTGCAGCTCAAAGATCAGCTGCGGACAACCGTCAGAGTTTTGTGTTTGCCCTGCTTGATTGGATGGCTGCTGTGGTAGTTGTGCCGGTTAGAGTGTTGATGCAGCTTTTTTCGTTACCTGGGAAGATGGCCTCGTTTTGTGTGCAGGAGGCCACTCTTCTTGTTTTGGGTGGTGGGAAACGGAGGCTTACTAAGATCAACAAGGGCAAGCAGATGCAGAAGCCGTCGACAATGACTGAGAAGCGGTATTTAGGTGGCTCTTCGCAAAGTGCTGTGGTTTCAGGGATTCGGCCTGTGAAGAAGGAGACATAATGAGGAACACTGCCTCTAGTGATCTTTCAGGATTCCATTTTATTACTAGGTCATATAATCTCGGCGAATGATGTATATATATATGTATTAAACATAATGTCTGTGCCAAAAGGAGGAAATAAAGACAACTTTATATAACATAATGCTAAACAACCAAGGGGATGTCTCAACTCCGCTCTTCTCTAAAACCTATCATACCTGTATAAATCACCAGAACAAAAATCTTCCTACAATTTCGCCACAGCGTTAACCCCCAATCTACTCTAATCAACCCGATGTTCCACATTAGGTGTTATAACAGGTTGCAAAAATGCCTCTACGACAAGTCTCTTCCTCTCCTCCCATGCCCGACGTTCCTTTTCTCTCGAAGGTGCGGTGGAACCAGGCGATATCATTAGGTTCGAAAATAAACTTGATAATCCCAACTCCACAGCCTTGCGTCTTTGATCAGGTGGCCTGGTCAGGTTGGCGTCGGTGCTGGTGTATTCCTTGCTTGTGTCTCTACTGGATGAGTCTGTAGAGCTTAGTGTTAATGTTCGTTTTCGACGGGATGGAGATGAGATGCTAGGTATGATCTTTTCTGGTGGTACCTTCGAGTCTGTTTGCGTTGGTGGTGCTGGCGGTTGGAGCATAGGAGGTAATTCCGACGGGTTTGATGCTGGAGCAATTTCGTTGATGATTTGATTCAGCATAAATGTCAAAAAGGTAAAGGATACGCTATGAGCTGGGGATGGCGCGAGACTGTCTAGCACCCATGACTGAATGTCCTCGGGAGAGCGCCAGGGATCTTTAGATCTTTCACGCAAAATAAGCTGCTGTTCCATAATTTTCCATGTTTCACGTTTGATGATTCCATCCTTGAGTGTTGTTAAGAAGAACACGAGCGTTTCAGCGAGTATTTCCAATCGAGGTAGAGAAGATACCTCTGGTGGAAAGATGGAGCTTAGTGAACTACCATTATCGAGGGCTTCGCGGGCCGCAAACAGAAACGGTGCTCTTTGATTATGATCTCGAAAGGTCCACGATCCGGGGCAAAAGGGCCAACACACTCCGCAGCTCTGAACCAACCACGGAGGTGTCTCATCTTGAGCTTCACCTTTCATCATGCTCCATTCTGCTACTGCTTGCTCAGTAAGACGAGAAATCGCTTCTGTAAGACGGAATAGCTCTCGTGGAGCTGACAACCGAACATTGCCCTCAGCTTTCTTAGCATCTAACGAAGTTGGGAACCCGAGACTGCGAACGCCCGCTTCAGGAATATGCGTCAGTTCTTCTAATGATCGGCCAAAGCAGGTTGGTAACCATCTTCCGTATACCGGAATGAAATGATCCCTGCCTTCGATCACTCGAAGCACCAAAATCTCCTCAATCTTGACTTTGCCTGCATTCAATGACCGTACAAGGTCTAGATCCTTGACATGCACAGTCACTTCAGCAACTGCTGAATCTCCCGGTGCGAAAGTGTATGTCTTTTGAGGTCGTTCCTTCTTCTCATCCTTTCTCTTTTCATCCGACAGCCATTCCACCTGCACATCCATCCAGGCTTGACGATCACTCTTGGCTTCTTCGGATTCCGAGTAGCTTTCATCAATCAAGGCCTTTGATGTGAAATAGAAAGTGGCAGGTACACTTCCTGTGTTCGCAATCGTCACGTTCTTGCATATGGGAACACCAAATGCTACTCCACCAAAGTAAATCGCATTTTGATCATACGCTACATCACGGGGCAGTTCTTCATTCTCTTCCATATGAGGATCTACAACCACCGTCACCTCTGGTCGGGCTTCATTTTCAGCCCTATCTAATTCTTTCGCGACCTCTTGGTAGACTTGACGTCTCAGATCTGGTATCACTGCATCATACGTAAGTACAAATGCTGCGTCAAGAGGTTTGTGATCAGACGAAAGGACACCCTGATGTGACGTATAGTGTATCAACTTAATCTTCCCTTCCGGCTTGTCATCGTGGGTACCCAACGAGCGCTCTGAAGCCCCGTCCTGAGAATCCCTGGAGATATCTTCAACTTCACCAAAAAATCAGGATTATAATCGAACAAAACGTTTTCATCGTCGGCCGCCTTGTCTATTCCCCGATTCTGCATTTCTTCATCCTTTTGTCGTGATTTTTCGGCTTCCATAACCTCCTTCTCATAGGCTTCGCGGTCTGCCTTGGATCTATAAAGTATACGATCACACCAGCTTGGCCCCCTTTGTTTTTCACTGGTATCAAAGATGGCAACACTGCCCACATCATACTTATAAGTTGGCAGAAAATAGATTTCTCCCTCTCTCCACCCTTCGTGAAATGCCTTTTTCTTCATTTGCTGATTACGAAGCTGATCATGACTTAGTAAAGAGTTGAGAGTCGTCAGGAGGGATGTTGGATCGTTGAGCGGATCTGAAGTCTCTACTATGGTTGTGGGCACAATTGTGGTTTTTTGTGCTTCAGCTTCCAGCACCTCCGCAGTCAGCCTTGGATTCTCAGCAGTTTGATCAACGGTTTGTTTCTGAACTTCTTCTTCAGTAGTCTCAGTTTCTGAATCGACCACCAGGATAGGTGAGGGGAGATCGGTGTCCGGCTTCTTTCGGTGCTTATGCTTTGCATCATACGGATTTTGAGTATGTAATGAGAGAAGACGACGGATATCTTCTCCTGGGATATCATCTAGGCGATAGTTCAAGTCGCCGAACCAAAAAGCAAAGTCTGCACTGGCAATTGTGTCACTAGGCTCCCCATAAAGCTCGTGGTCTATCCCAATAGGATTAAACTTAGTGCGGCTGACGATCTGCCCAGCATCCCAGTTTCGCCGGTCAAGGCTGCCCTTATCGGAGCCTGCTGCTAGGTGACAGTTAACAAATACTAGCCGTGTGGTCTCTCCTAGTACAAGACGCGTTATTGTAGCTCCTTTATTCCCCATGCCCATGATACCCGTGCCCACGGTGGTGGAGCTCACAGAAGTGATTGTAGGCGCAACATTGGGTGCGGCATACACCAAGAGCAAAAGCCCGACTAACTGGGATTCAGCGACCAGTTGATATCCAGCAGGAAGTGCTTCCTGAACAACATTTTTCCAACGAGTCGACGGAACCGGGTCATTGAAAGGACTTAGCGTAACAGCCGGCGATGAAAGATCGACTATTTCTTGTAGCCCTAGTACATATAGCCCGACTTCATCCGTCAATTTTTCAGCCAGGTTTTCACGCGCTTGTGTGGTAGTGGACCTTTCTGAGGACGTCGACCTTCTTTGCTTGGAATTATGGTATTGTCTCCCCTGATCAGTCACATGGTGTATTATATCCTTCCCTTCGACAAACCAATTTTCAATGTCCTTTTCCGTCCCGGATAATGCGGCGACATTCCATGTTCCAACCTTGATGCGGATTGTGCGCGGTCGGATATATTCAGCTTTGCGAGCTCTGACCTCTCGAATAAGACTTGGTAGGGTTGAGGTATCTTGTTGGACTGTGTCGTCGGAATGCTGCTGTTCTTCAGGCAGGGTAAGCGGACGTGAATCTGAACTCGTGGTTGAAGACCGTCGACCATTTGTAGATGGTGCCATTTTCACGACTTTGTTGTCTGGTTATGTACTATCCGGGGCCAAGTAGCGACCCCTCTGTATACTGTGTGCCACCTTCGCCAACCATTCACCGTAGACCCAAATATCTCCTGCGTATTTATTCCGCCGTGCTAAGAACGCGAAGTCATCAGCTTGAGCTGTATGCAGGCAACAGCCATAGTTGTAGACGACAAGACGAGGTTGAACTAGGCGAGACAATGCAGGCGGGGTTGCCTCGAGGGGTGTCGAGAATCTAGACGCCGCTGGCGTGGCTGATGGGCATGACGGGGGCGTGAGGCGTGAGGAATGAGGGGTGTATTTCGCAGTGCGATGGCGAGATTGAGCAGATCTGTCTGTCTGCCTTGCCTTGGGGGTACGGTGACTGACTAACAAGCTCAGCAGTCAGTTAGAGTTTGGAGCACCCAAGAATGGATGGCGTTGAGGTGTCGTCTGACCTAATTCTTTCCTTCAGAAGGCAAAGACAAAGGACTAAAGGCCTGATTGACAATCACGAGGGGTTAGATGGAGTAGTAGCCCAGGAACCATGCTTGAAACGTATCTGATGCTTCTCATCTGCAGTACACTAACGAGCAGCGAGGAGATATGACGCTCATGACTGGCTGGCGGTCGCTGGTGGGCTGGTCTACCTCGGGATACAGTCCAGACCAGTGGAGTTGTTCCGGTTCAGGCAGGCCAATATGTGATCCCTGGTAGACAATAAACCGAAGATGAAGTTGGAGTCTACTACAGCAGAAGGAAGGTACATCACCAAGTTAGCCTCAGATTTAAGGCTGCAAGGCTTTCAGTTTATGTACCCGGTAACAGCCTGGTATTTTTTATGGCTTGTTGGTCAAATCATACCATTAAAAAAATGTAATGGAGCATGATAATTCTTCTTTCATTTCCAAATAGTTCTCAACTTGTTAGATAAATGGTTCTAAAGGTTTCATTCAAATCACATGTTTCTGTTGCATAGATCTGATTTTGGAGCTCCCGCCCGCCGCTCTACACTGACGACATCTTCAACATCATCCTTTCAACAAACCTCCACTACTTCCACCACATAGTCGCATGAATGACACTCACTACAACTCGCAATCTATAGTCGCTATTTATCCAGGGCTCGATCAGCGAAACATTTAAGGCAGGATACATACCACGATGACCCCTCGCAAGGGACGAGGTGGCCGAGCACATAACCACAATCACAACCACAACCACAATAACAACCACCACCTTACGAATCTCCTAAGCTACAACCACAACAGTCAATACCTCGCACAATTCCCGGCAGTCTTGCCTCAACAAATAAACATGTCTGACTACGAATCCACCGATAATACATATTGCTACTCCGATACTCCACAACCGCCACCAGCAGTAGCGTCATCAACACAACAACAATCCGAACCACCACGCACAAATGAAGAACTCAACATCTCCGTTCTACGTCGCCACAACCCAAACATCACATCCATATTATCCCTTGCACCGTACGTGGTAGTCTACACATTCAGTTCAACGACACAACTGTGGGAGAAGAACGGCATAGAAGGGACCATGTTCATCTGTCAATTAACGCAGGGATCTCTAGGCGAAGAACGATATAGTGTCTTTGTATTGAATCGGCGAGGACTAAACAATTTCGATATACTCCTAATGGACGGTGAGAATGTGCAGATTACGGATGAGTTTGTTATTCTGAAATCCGAGAAGAACCTGGATGATGGTCGTGATGCGACAGATGAGATTATCGGGTTATGGATCTTTTCTGAACCGCCGCCTAATTCGACTGCGGAGACGCGCAAGATAAATGCGGAGGTTATCAAGGAGTGTGCGACGCATGCAGGGAGAAGTATGGCGTTGGCTAAGGAGAGTGTGGCTGCTGCACAACAAAGTGTACAAATGGGTCGACAGATATCGTTACAAGAGCTGTTCAGTCAACAGCGTGCTCAAGATGATGGACTCAATCGTCCGCATATAACAAGTAGTGCTGAGGCTGGTATGATGAATGGTGCTGGAGGGATGAACTGGAGTCATAATCCGGCGGTCCAGCCACCTATAGTACCATCTCCTGGACAGTTACCATCTGCAGTGGCACAGGCTATGAATAGACAGTCCAGTGGGGATGTCTTGACGAATTTGTTCCGGAGAGCGGGATTGGTGAATCAAAACTGATACTGATCTTATCATTACTCAGTCAAGCGTATTGTTAGATGATACCCTTTTCGAGCACTGTCCTCTAGAGGGAATAGAAATCCTAAATAATCTCCAGACAGGAGCATCATATGTATTCACAGTAACTCTTCTGATAACATGATGATAGTGAAAATCCACTGTCCTTCTGTCCTTGACTCAATCCTCCTGGGAATGGACCCTCCATCAAGAGAAAAAAACATGAAATAGGAAGCACGAAAAAAGACCTCCGGTCATGGAACAAACCACGTCCATATAATACCGAGCACAACCAACGCCATGAATGCTGTCTTGTATCTTCCTGCTTGCGCAGTGAACAAGAGACCGTAAGTAAGCTGAGCAGGGAAAAAAAAAATCAAGGTATAATGATATCCTCTCGAAACACAACTGCAACATATGAAGAAAGCTGTAGATGTATCGGAACAAAAGGAAAAGAGAAGAAACATCCTCTGGGGCCATCCCATATATGGTAGACAGAACGCACACTCAATGATAAATGCATACATTTTCCATACTTCGTTTGGTATCTCCGTTGATGCGTCCCGTCCCAGTCCGTTCAATGCGAATGAAACAACAAACACACCCAACTCCAATGATTTCTATTGCGCACGTAGTACGAAGCGGAAGAAACGCCTCTTGATCAGGAACTTTGAGCTGTAGTTTCACTTTCTTTCGTCTCCTTGGTTTGATCGCCGTTTGACGCTTGTTCGTCGATCTCGCTGAGTTGGATTGCCTCGGCTTCTACCGTGACATGCGATTTCAAGGCCGAGCTCAGATTAATGGCGATTTTCTTCGGTGCTGCATTGGTTGTCGTAGTAGAGACTTCGTTGTTCACCAAATTCTTGTGATTGCGATCAATTGAGTTCTGTCGACGGCGGAAGTACATTGATGCAGTAGAACTGGCGCTGGAACTGCGGCGCTTGGATCCGTTTTGGGCAAGCCGAACCAACTCATCCTCGTCATCTTCATCACGGCGACGTTTCTCAGAAAGTCTCTCTGGCGGATGCTGAGGCGTAGAAGTTGTTGGTGAAGGCGTGTTTGTATCTGCGACATTGTGTTCAGGTAACTCAGTTTCCTGCTTATCTGCAGATACCGTTTCCGATTTCGCATCCATCTCTTCATCGTCATCATCAGGGTAATCCACCAGTCTAACGTTTGATTCCGTTTGATTGGCGATAGCCAACCCTTCTTGGCGAGCGTCCGACGGCCACTACACATATGACAGTTGATTAGCAATATATTTCATAGTACGACTGGCGGTACTGATACGCACCTCTTCCTCATCGTCCGAGGTGTTGAAGTACTCCTCCTCGGCAGCATCCATTTCTCGTACACCTTGCCAGCGTTGACCATTGAGTACTCCACGCTGCGCCGGCGGGATTTCCTCTTGACTGAAAAGCGTAGCATCGGCTTCAAGTCCGTATCCTTGCATCTCATCATAGCGTTGTATCAATTTCTCGAAGATGTCGACATATGTGATGGCTTTTAGTTTCTCGCGGTATTTCTCGACCATATGGATGATAATCGGCTTGATGTTATCGCGCTTGATGTATTCGAATAATTCAAGACATGCTGAATTCAGCAGATTATCACGCGGCATTGTCTCGTGGACAATATCAAGTATAAGGCCAAAGATATTGTTGTGGGTCAACTGCGCCAGGTAAAAAGTATCCTGGAGGCTAACGAGAGTACGGAAGAATTTCAAAGCAGCTGCAGCCATGTTAGAGAAATTTCATGTTTCCGTCCTTCACGAATACTTACTAAGCTTCAAATGTTTTTGAGGCACAGTCAAAAGCTGTGCCACGCGCGGAGTAAGGTTGTCTGAGTGGATGAAGTTGCGGCTCCTGAATAGGTGTTGTCGAACGAAGAATGTCAAAATATCTACTAAGTGTGCATAAAGCGTAACCTCCTGGAAGGTCAAGTTGGAGACTAGAGAATATTAGTACGGTGATAAAGAGGTAAATGTTAGATCAGATAGCAACATACCGGTAGCACAACCTTCTAGCTGCTTCAAAGGAGTAAAAAGACGTTTGGCAGAATCATCAAAGTGGACTTGCACAAAAGCATCCGGAAGCTGATGTGTGGAGCGAGCTTTGCCAGATAAATCAGTACCAATCCTGTTCATAGGATCATGTATAGCTATTTGCGGATCCAGTAGGACTTTGATAGCATCGGCAAGCTGATTCTTGACCCCGAGATCCCCTTCCGTATGCAACAAGTCAATCAATGTGTCCGTGAGTGGTACTTTCTTCTCATTGATAGCCTTGAGCATATATCCTCGCATCATGATGGGGTCGTGATCTAGCAGAGCAACGAGGATATCGATTCCAATAGTGCGCATTGCCGGTTTGGGATGTTTGACGGCAAACGCTATGACTGGAAACAGGCCGTGGCCGATAAACTGAGAAAACAACGTTGCACGTGCAGGCGCTTGTAGATTCTTTGCAATCGAGGCGCACTGGTGAATAAAACAGACAGCATCGTCTTTCCGGCGTTGATCCGTATTCCGCGGGTCGAATATTGCGAAGAGTTCCTTCAGAAAAGCGGCGTTGGTTTGAATATGATTGATTATATCGACTTGGTTGAAGAATATCAGCGAGTTCAAGACCGAGAACGTGGGGTCGTCTAGGATGCGGGCCAGAACAACATCTTTTAGGTATTGTAATCGCCACGTCTGTCGGATCTTCTTTTGAATGATGGGATCTTTCATAGGGACCACTTCTCTGTATCTGGACTGGTCTTGGAGGTATTGACGATGATTCGCTTTGTGTGTAGGAAAGTCAGGGTCATCTAACAGCCGTCAGCTAAATTCTTGATATATGTTAATTTTGCTTACATTCGAGGGCGCCAACCACGCCGATGATGATTGGATCCGTAACCACATGCTCTATGATAACGTTGTCGTTGAGTAGGATCAGAGACTTCATGATGTTGCACAAGCGATGGAGGTCGGGTAGACTCTCCATATCCTCAGCATCCGAGACTAACGGTATCAATTTATCGATATAGTTTTCGTTAAGAACGAATTTCCCCAGTGCATCGCGACCGACCTGCGACATGCTAGCTGCGCGAACGGCTGCTTCAATTTCAGAGAGGTTTCCGAGAGTAGGTGGTGGAAGCATGATAGGTTGATGGTAAGCCTCGATGGCCTCGTCAGAAAGGGCGTCATCTACTAGCGCTGTGAGTAATCTGCCTATGCGAACGTGATTAGATGGAAAACTAACCTCCGGCCAAAGCGATCAAGTGATCCCTAACACTACTGACATAATCCCTAAATAAATCGTCAGAAGGAAATTTTTATGATTTCGCGCATGAGATACGAACCATATTGCAGCACATCCATCGGCCTCCTGAAAACTAAGGGCCATATCGGTTCCATTGGTTTCAGTCCACACGATGAGTGTATCTGTCGGACAGTCAGAACGGAGTCATTGCTTCAGGCTGCCTTAAATATCATCGCACCTTGCTGTTTCTGGTATCCTTCCTCTTTTCCTATCGTTGTGTTTAACAGACAGCGACCCTTCTCATCCTCCGACTCGACGAATATCCGGGGCATATCCTAAACGACACGGGATGCATGAATCAGCCGAGGCACATTCTCCAAAACCAGCGCGACCGGCACGAAATCAGATGTAGAATCAACGCGAACGAAAACAATTATCAGAATAACAATAAACAAGTTGCGCCAGCGATGTAACACGAAGCGAAGACTATTGTTGCTGTCGGTCGCGCGAGCACCGGCTTGGCGGATGTCGATGAGCGACAGCGATGGCGTCAGAAAAGCTTACCTCGACAATCGCGCCCGTACAAAAGCCCGTTCCACGGTCAAACCAGTCATTATCTCGTAATTCGTAGACTTTAACACGTTTCCGGTCCTGGGGTAGCTTTATCGCCAGCGCCATGTCGACCGAGAGTGACAGGTGGCGTCCTGTCACTCCGGTACAGCTCTGCGCGAGTTGTCCGGGGAAAGCACGAAGAGCGATCGGGAGAATGACGTGGTGAGGTGAACTGTATCGAGTGTGTCGAGGACGTAATCGCAGAGTTCGTCGAGACGCAAATTAAAAAGGTGCGAAAATGGTATGAAGGGGAAGTCGTCGGGATGAACGGTCGAGATGATTGTGATAGATAAGTGAGGAAGTTGAGTTTTGCTGCCGGGAAATATCGTGGCGGCTAGTCTGGTCCTTGGGAAGAGGGGACTGGAGATCAGGTCAGGGCAGCCCGTTCGTCAGATGGCTCGGCGCCTAGAACAGCCCACTAGTCGTACATACTACGAAGTACATAGAGTTACATAAAATAATATGAATATTATTGTTTTTCTGTTTATTAATCTTTGAACTATTATTACTACGGAGTACATCCCATACGATAATAAACAAACAACAGGTGGAGTTCCTCTTAAGAAAGACTTGGGTAGGCCCGTAGGGACAAGGGAAGTGGACACCACGCGATGAATGCCTTACAAGTGCCCTAAGTATGAGACCCAGGTAATGAGGTAATGAGCATCAAGTGAAATCATATTATTATATTACACAGTATGTATGTAGTTGATGAATGGGGAAAGCAAGGCGACCTGATCAATGAATGAGGCTGGACTAAGTGCTGGCAGTCATGCAGTAGAAGTACTGTTGATGATTTGTTACAGGCTCCTGTACATGCATGAACTGTTCGACAATTGAGATGGAAGCAAGATTGTGGGGAAAGGAGAGAAAAAAGAAGGAAAGAAGGAAAGGAAAAGAAAAACCAAAAGCCACTGTGGAGTCTTCTTGAAAGACTATTTATTATTGACACGCCAACGTCGTCGTTTTATCAGCATTCCTGGGGATTTGGTCCTGAGTCTTGACAAAACGGCGGTGATTATGCTGATTGGTATGTTGTCTTGGGCACAGCATCCGAGTTGACGCTCGACGTAGCCGCCGAGACGGAAGGCTGCAGGTGTATTGCATGAGGGACAAGTCAAAGCAGAGTCGATGGCCCATCCCTTGAGGATCTAGATATAGATAGTAGAACAAGAATGAAAGAAGAGAGTGGAGAAAGAATTAAGCTTGACGATCTCACATGACACGGACAAGGCATCCAGGCCTCCGTGCCGCTCGGCTTTCCCGCTCGATCGCCGCTGCTGATTGGCTCTGGCCACCCCGCCCATAGCTTCTTCGACCTTGCCTTTTTGATCGTCTTCGACATTGAGTAAACGGTCAACGTACACCGTATTGATGACCGGGCAGTCTGTTCTACAAGCCAGAAATGGCCGCCTCTGAGCCATTGATTGCTGCTCGAGGGGATCGGGACAGCATTTCCGAAAGTCAATATGACGCGCTGCTTGGTCAGGATCACGTTGAACAGAGTGATGAGGAAGTGACGGACAACAAGCGCCAGGGATTATTTGCGTATCTACGTACCAAGGATTTCTGGACTATTCTACTGCTTGGGTTTGTGGAGATTACCAAGGACTCGAGCAAATATATCTGACAAGATAAATATATAGACAAACCCTGGCCATCCTCAATACGTCGAGCAGTACGTTCACCTCTCTCCTCGAAGCGCAGGGGACATCAATACCGGCCTTTCAGACATTTTTCAACTACGCCCTGCTGAATATTGTCTTTACATCGTTTACAATCTACAAATATGGGTTTAAGCACTGGGCACAGATTGCGCGAAGTGACGGATGGAAATGTGCGTCTCTCTTTCGTCTCAATATTCCTCGAAGGAGGACGATTAATTGAATGATACAGATATACTATTTGCCTTTTGCGACGTCGAGGGAAATTACTTCATCGTTCTCGCGTACCGATACACGACCATCCTCAGCGCACAATTGATTAATTTCTGGGCCATTGTGGTGGTGGTTATCCTCTCCTTTTTGACACTCCACGTGCGCTATCATACCATGCAAATACTAGGAATATCAATTTGTATCGGAGGCATGGGCATCCTACTAGCATCAGATCGGATTACAGGGAGTACCTCCGAAGGGGAAGCTCTAGATCCCGTCAAAGGAGACCTCTTCGCCCTCCTCGCCGCAACATTCTACGGCTTCTCCAACGTCGTCGAAGAATACTTTGTCAGCAAACGACCCGTTTACGAAGTAATAGGGCAACTCTCATTTTGGGCCACAATCATCAACGGTATTCAAGCTTTTACCTTAGACCGGTCATCATTCGAAACCGCAACCTGGAACAGACCCGTGCTTCTCTATCTGTTGGGTTATACCATATGTTTAGCCAGCTTTTACACCACTGCACCCTTGATCTACCGCCTGGCTTCAGCCGCGTTTATGAATATATCTATGCTCACGGGTAATTTCTGGGGTGTACTTATCGGCGTGTTTGTGCTGAAATTGCAGATTCATTGGTTATACCCCCTCGCATTCGTGATGATTCTCCTGGGTCAGTTTGTATACTATCTCGGCCCGCCACGACGAGATGGCAGTTTGGGCGAGGCAAGGAAACCGTGGTTAGGCCGGAATCAGGAGCAAGGTGTATCGGGGATATTTACGGCGAGGAGGAGGATTGTTGATAGGGCTCGAGATGTTGTTTCTGCCGACGGGCTTGCGGGGTGAATAGCAGATCCGATTATATGCGGATGTTTCATTCTGTATGTATGTATGTACCCCGCTTCACATGTCAGACTAGCACATGCGTATAGTGTATAATCAGAACACCTGATCCCTTCGATATCTTCCAAGGTCATTTGCCACCTCCAGAAGTGGTGTACACTAACTGCTGGGCACTACGTAGGTATAACCATCGGATATATACGTAGCAGTACCGCAGTTCAGAAACCTAATGCAAATCTTCGTATCTGCAGATGCATCATGACAGACAGGTTTCGGGAGACTTTCTATGCATTATTTCATCATACATGGTCTGATTCACGGACGGGACAGGCAGGACATGACTCGCGGTGGCCACCTTTCTGACTCTACTAAGTATGTAAGTATGATGTTCAAGGATCTCGGTAGAAAAAAGTCGATATATGCGGTATTATTAACTAATCATATAAATCCATAGATAAGTAATAGACATGAAAAAACGACAGGATACAACATGCTCCATAGATATTGAATTCCCGGTTAAACTATACCTCCCATATACAATTGTAATCAAGAGAGATCGAACTTAGAGCGGAAACAACGACACTATTCATAGAGGAAATGGAAAAAGTGTTATAAAACAAGAAGAATTAAAATTGTACCAAAACCAAACGCAACAATCAATCACATACTTGAGGGGGAAAATAGAAACCCATTCCATGCAGCAAGTCCGCAGTCATCATCAAAACGCTCAGAAGCGCAAAGCATAATGAGACTCCCAAAATGAGAAGAAAAAAAAAATGGAAAATGGAACCCAAAAAAAATTGAGCCAAGAAAATAATGAAAAAACCAGATGCATCAGACCAGTTTCGGGCGAATAGAAAACTCCTTCGAGAAAAAGAAACCCAGAGCAAGACCCCCTCCTCTTTGCCAACCAGTTCCAGGGCCAAACACAGTCAGTAAAAACAATAGACAAGAATGATTCCCAACCAAAAAAGAAAGCATGCCGTGCTCCAATGACCTTTCCAATATATCAACCATTTCCAAGAACCGGACAACTTGCAAAAAACACACCGACGCAAATAATAAAGGAATAAACAGTAATCCCTTCCTTGACTTCTCACAAAATATGTACGTTCGCTTTTGTCGCCCCCCCCAAAGAAATAACCATTAAATCCAGTTATGCTGCCACTCACAACGCCGCGGTGCTTTGAATACACAGCAGGTACCAGAATCCGAGATAAGAAGAACCGAGAGAGAGAGAAAAAAAAGAGCATTTGTAAGAATATCGAAAGTGGCTCTAACCCCAAACGGAAGCTTGTACTCCAAGGTTCTTAGAGCCCCAAACGCCGCTGTTGCTGCCCCATCCAGACGAGAAGGCACTTTCCTTCGCATTGGTATGCCCTGAGTTGGTCGGGTTCGATGCGGAGGAGTTCGATCGCTCGTTTGCGGTGGTGGCGCTCTCATTCGGCGCAAAGCCGAAGCCTAGGGGTGAGGGCAAAGGCGTGGTAGACCGTTTGTTCAGAGCCGGGTTTTGGGCCTGGCTAGTTGCAGGCTGAGAGGGACGAGATCCAATCGGTCCTACCGAACCCAGATGACCGGCTGATTTAGAAGACAGCTGGCGGGATGACGGCGAATCGGCACCGCCAGGTGAGGAGTTCGAGGTATTTGGCTGCTCGACATTCACGTTCTCATATAGACCATACGAAGAGTTGGCGCCGGTGTTGGGAGACGTAGTTCTATTAGCACGAGGAGACTGGCGACCAGTTGCAGGCAGTGGATTCGATCCGCTATTCTGACCCAAGCCCTCCTGCGACTGGCTCATACCGAATGGATCAACTGCTCGAGGAGAAGGTCCACGGACACCACCGCTAACCGAAGTTGGAGTGCCGGTGTTTGTGTTATCGGAGCGAGAATTGTGTGCATCCTCGCCGAGAGAACCGGGTGCAAAGAAGGCCGGACTTTCATTTCCATACAAAGCACGGTGCTGGCGTGCAATCAATTCGCGGCGACTTTCCTCGCTCATTGCAGCGGGACTCAGAGAGCGGTCGGGTTTGTTTCCGGACATCTCGGCAAGAAGGCCTTTGGAAAGAGAAAGAACATGTTAAAATTTTGTAACGTACAGAAGAAGAAAAAAAAAAAGGATGGCTCAGAAAATGACTGCTTCGCTACGCCAAAGAAGAGACAAGGGACACAGAATAGATAAAATAAACAAGGAAGAGTCGGGCGTAGGAAGTGCAGTGACAAAAGATAGGAAGGTAGCGATCATCACATACTTCGGTTGTACTGTTGCTCCTGATGGTAATTACGGAGCTCTCGCTCACGCTGCGCGGCCATGCGGCGTTTCGCCTGTAGCATCTGTTCCGTCTCCGACTGGCGACCCTGGAACCGCTGAGAGGCATAGAATCCTTGAAGCGCAGCTCCTGGGTGGCCGCGAGATTGGTCGAAATCACTCACTGAATGGTGTCGTTGAGGTGGTATACCTCCGGCCATTCGGGGATCTATATGGAGTGAGCGATTAGATGTTGAAGGGGATGTTACGAATGGATCCGCCAAATCATACCGTATTCTGGGAAGTGACGGCCCATCATCATCATTGGCATTGATTCTCTCCGTGGACCGTTGAAGAGCTTTCCGCTTTTCACCAGGTTGTCAATTGCGCGGTCTACCTCGTCGAACTGCGAAGAAAATGCGGACGAATCATCTCTTTGAGAGACTGAGCTGGTTCCTGTACGAGCAAAGACTGTAAGCGTCAGGTATACAATTGCATGGATCACGACTGCTTACCTGAGCGAGACGGAGGAACGGGCTGCTCCCACGAGGCCTGACGGGCAGGAGCTTGCCAGCCCTGCGGTTCGTAGTACGAGGTCGACATTACTCTGACAGGACCGGCGAGAAGATAAGGGAATGAAGAGTGAGATTGCGTCCGAGATGTGTCGCGGAGGACAGCAACCAACTATAAAGCCCGATCTGTTCGCAGGCTTGACAGGCCAACGTGGTAGTCTAATAGATATCACATAAGTAAGTGGATGATCTCTCAATAAGTCACCAATAAAAAAATCCTCTTCAAATGGTTGTACTCCGGGGTGGTCGACGACGGATGGCAACAGCGGCAGTGATGACATAGGAATGTGTGCGTGGCCAAATAAACGGTCCTTCTCTTTTCCCTTTTCATCTGAGTCCTCCTTTTGTTTTTCTGGTGCCGATATCAATGCTTTTCTTGTTGACTCGCCATCGGCGCACGGCGCACCCGATTGCCGAGAGCAACGAGAAAAAAATATGTGACAGGAGATAGAGGGGGGAAAAAAAGAAGCAGTGCCAAACGGTAAGGTCGCAATATCCTTTCCAAAAGAATAAACAGTGGTAAGGGAAAGGCAAATGGGTGCGTTGTTCAATATTCGACTTACCCGAACCGTGGAAAATTTTCGAAATTCCTACCACGACAGATCTTCGGGGGTAGTTCGCCGAACGGAATCTTCGACGGGAAGACCGGGGGAGAGCAGAAACAGAGAAAAGAAAAAAGAGATTAAAAGGGCAAAGGAGGGGAAAGAAATAAGAATAAACAGGAAATATCTTCAAGGCTGAGGAGAGAAGGGAAGAGAAGAGAGGGGGCCGGGTTGGTTTGGTAAGGAGAAAAAGACAGAAAGTGTTTAGCCGCGGAGAGAGACGGAGGGCGAATTAATTACCTTCCTTCCCTAAGAGGCTTACCCTGAGGGTCCTTCCCGTTGTCTTTACTTACACTCTCTGACTATTTCAATTACTGTCAGTAAGTAATATTATTCAGAGGTCAATCTGCAATTTCATCGATGTACCCTGACTCCTGCGTGAGACGAAAACCGGACGTTGCAACTGCATCTCGGTGAAGGAATGGGATTTTTATCCACGCTGCACTTGGTCAGTGTCTCCTATTTCTGTGATGCAGTGGGGAGAAGAGGATGCAGCCCCGTTCTGGAGTGGAGTTGCCTTTAACTTGTTCAGTCTGTACGGAGTAGTAGTACTGTAACTCCGTGCGACTGTGGCATTTGCTCGTTACCGGAATCCATTTTGTTGTTGACTTGACAAAAACAATCTGTCAGGATCTCGTCGAGAGACTAAAGATATTGCGTGCATGTATTTGCAAGTGTGAGCGTTTGTGTTCCTTTTGCTCATAAAATATACGAAGAATACGTCGAATCTCAAGATTTGAGGGCCGGGAAAGAGATCCCGTCATGTCTTGATACTGTACATCGTACCACGTATTTAACCGATGTATAATATAATTACCTCTCCGCAGAAACGATTACTGTGAACCCATGCAAGCATTTCAGTACGACGTCGTTCTACCATCCTCGATAAAGAATATTATAGACTTAGACATTGCTCATTTATATACTACGTAGATAGCCATGTGCGAACTCACGATATCTAATAATTACTAATTATCAAATGACGGAGTGTCTAAGCTGACCACCAATCAGCGTCTGACTTGCCCGGGAGCTAGTAATATAACCAGCTTGGCTTGGGGTCTCGCCCTACTTACAGAACGGATACCGGGTAAGATTGGACTTGGACCAATCGCTGCAAGCTGTGCGAATATTGCTCAACGCGATACGCTGGATTTCTTACAATGATTGGAATATTGATTACTCCGTACAATACAGGTCAATACTGTAAATTGTGAGATATGAATCTAACTAACATGAATATAACAAACAAGACGTTATTTTGACTCCCTACATCCGGAACTGCTTTTCGTTCGCGCCTAAGAGCGGGCGGAATGGAAGTATGAGACCGACAATAAGATTGATAAGACTGCTATGACTCGTGGAGTGATAAGTCCAGATGATCGAGGACACCCATCATATCGTTTGCTATGTTGTTCCCGCGCGAAGAGAATGCATGTTAGCCTTATCGAATGAATGTACCGGGGGACTATGGGACTACCTGAGCATAAAGAATGCTCATGAGACATTCTGATATCACGGCCAGCAGGTACCTAGATCGAGGAATAGATCTCGGTATCTGTTCCCTGACGTCAGGATCGCTTGCTGCAGTCTCAAGCTGGATGTCGGACAAAGAAACTATGCAGTGTGCACGGTGTAACCGTACCAGCTCTACCTAGCTCTTGCAGATGGACTTGGATTCTAGATCCAGGTCATATGTGGGAGATGTCTTCAGTATACACTTAACTTAGGTACCAGGTAACCGAGTAGATGTAGGACTCATTTGCCCACCCGAGCATTGGCCTGCCCACTGTCCTATGCCTTCGACTGTGAGCGCGGCCAGGCCATCTCTTTGTTCCGAACAACATTAAGCATATTTTGGAAAACCAATAGCGCCGAGAACAAAGATCTACCAAAGCGGGATTGATGACAACTGGCGACTCGGCCTTGCAGCGCCAATAAAAAAAGCCTTGAAGACGGAGCAGCGCGTTTGTAGGAGTGATGAGTGAGTGATATTCAAACGCCGCCTCATAACGCGCTAGAGTGTGACATCTGATAATAAGTGGAGATGAGACATGGTTGCAGAATCGGCAATATTGTTCTCCTTTTTGCTTTTGTCTGTATGTGGCTTCACAAGAAGGATCCGGGAAAGGGGGATATGGGAGTCAGGAGAAGATAGTTTGAATCCGAACTGAATATCGTAGTTGTAGCTAAGCTGGTCAACAGGGAAGGGAGCAGTCTGCAACGGCGCTCCTGCCGTCAGAGCAAATGCCGCCGCTAAGCAAGTCACGGACTCTAAGGGAGACCCCCAGATCCTCGACGCATTCCTCGATCCTGAACCATCACCACAGCAAAAAGGCAACAAAAAAAAAAGAGACTTCTTCTTTCCTCTCTTCTACTCTTTCTGCTTGTTATTTTTCTTGTTCCTTACCCCCGCTTGTCCTGGCTTTTTGTCAATTGGAGCTTGTGGTGAAAAGAGGCGAGCGGCGTTCTTGCCATAAGAGAAACCATTTGGGTTGGCGGCGCTGCCATCTCATTACGGGGGGTGAACCACCACTTCAACTAAGTTACGTACTACCCAGAATTGCTACTACTACCACCTCGACATTTTCCTCCATTACGGTCCAACCATATCGTCTGGTCTCACGAATTTCTATTCCTTGCGAACGTGCAAATCCGATCCTCTTCGCTGTACAGATATTTGAAGATCTGCGGAACCGCCTGGTTCGCGGTGTCTCTTTCCTTCCTCGCGTAAGTCTTTCCAGGCCATGGTTCCCGTCTCACTTTGCCTCATGAGAACAACGAGTACCGTACGAGCAGAGGAGTCATAGTAATATATGACTACTGTCTCGCTTTTCTCGGGCTTCAACCGCTCGTCTCGTTCTCAGCAACTCAGCAACTCAGTGACTGACAATCTTCTCGCAACAGTCTTCTTTCGATCTCCCGCGGACATTCGTACATTTTTCAAACACTTGCACAACCTCGTCTCGTTTTCTCTCAGCCCTGTTGATACCTTGGAAAATCGTCTACTGGATAGATTCGATTTTTCTCCTTTTTCTTTCGACGCATATATTTCGTCATTCCCCTGCTGAACGCATTTCTTTTCGTCTGCCGGGCGCCGTTCGCACGAAATCCAAAGCAAGAGTGAGAGCAGCAGTGGACTGCGACTCTCGCAGAGAACTCTCCCATCACTTTGCGCTGAGGATCGCACGAGATTGTGACTTCCTGAATTGATGCTTAGGACCTGTCTTGACCTTTGCTGTTCCTTGTTCAGTTCATAACCATCACTTTTGCAGTGCCCCTCACTGTTTGCTTCCCTTTCGAGGGCCACCGTTTTCCCTGAAACGTTGGATTCTCTGGATGCGGCCAGAAAATACTAATGGGACTTCTGCACATTTTCAGAGTCCAGGTGCGACCTCAAATAAATCACGAGAACAGCCACCAAACATGGCATGGCAGTCGACGATAGAAACAACCCTGCCCTCACGGCCACCTCTGATCCCTCAACAATCGAGCTCTCTTCCTTCAACCCCGTACCAGCGCTCTCGTGGACTGTCGTTACATTCGAGGTCACCCTCGCCGCGACGTCGAAGCACCTCTCCACGGTCCACACACTCAGAAACAAATTCTTCATCGACTTTTCGTAAACCCCTTGGTGGTTGCAAATATGAAACTGCGATGGCGTATTTTCGACGGCGAATGCCTTACAGTATTGGAGGCGATCTTTTGCCAGAAGAGAAAATCGGTCTGAAGGAAAGTCTAGATCAGGAAGAAGAAAAGAAGCTCAGTGCCGAGATGCAAGTTTTGTATGAACAACTATTGCCATCGGCGGAAAGTGACGACCGACGGCGACAGCTTGTTCAAAAGTTGGAGAAGCTCTTCAATGAACAATGGCCAGGCAACAATATTGATGTGCATGTCTTTGGATCTTCAGGGAATAAATTATGTTCTAGTGACTCTGATGGTATCTACAACCCCCCTCCCCCTTCGTCAAAGTCACTGTGTGAATGCTGGCTAATGCTGTCTTTGTCTTACAGTCGATATTTGTATTACCACTTCATTTAAACAACTAGAAAATGTCTGTTTATTAGCAGAGGTTCTGGCACAGCGTAAGATACTTAACTCTTCAGATAAAAGCAAGACTAATGATCTTTCTTTTAGATGGAATGGAGCGAGTGGTCTGTGTATCTCATGCTAGAGTTCCTATTGTCAAGATCTGGGACCCGCAACTGAAGATGGCGTGTGACATGAATGTCAATAACACATTGGCTTTAGAGAATACACGAATGATCCGGACCTACGTGGATATTGATGAGAGGGTCCGGCCCCTAGCCATGATTATCAAGCACTGGACAAAAAGACGAGTGCTCAATGATGCTGGTCAGTGCCTAGTTTTTGTGGCTTTCTTTGCGTCCTCCCCTGCTGACTTGATTCAATTGCGTAGCTCTTGGTGGTACATTGAGCTCTTACACCTGGATATGCTTGATTATCAACTTTCTTCAGACTCGTGATCCGCCTATTCTACCTAGCCTCCAACAACAGGCCCATAAAGCTCATAAAGTGATAGATGGCGTTCAAGTATCTTTTGACGACGACCTCGAATCTTTACGGGGTTATGGGCACAGCAATAGGCAAACGCTAGGGGAGCTACTCTTTCAGTTCTTCAGGTATTATGGCCACGAGGTTGACTATGAGAAGTATGTCGTGTCCGTCCGCGAAGGGAAATTGATCTCCAAGGAAGAAAAGGGTTGGCACCTTTTGCAAAATAATCGGTTATGTGTGGAGGAGCCGTTTAATACATCCCGTAATTTGGGCAACACAGCAGACGACACCTCCTTTCGTGGTCTACATACAGAGTTACGCAGGGCATTTCAAGCCATTAGTACTGCTGATCTAGAGAAATGTTGCGAACAGTTCGTCTTTCCACCTGAGGAGGAACGTATCTTCGAGCGGCCGGCCCCGCAGCCTCGTCCGATTCTCGCTCCGGTACTGCCTACACCACCGTCTGGTCGTGGAGGTCGCGGTGGAGGTCGCGGTGCTAGGCATTCAAATCACTACGGCCGTGGGGGCAATAACTCTTCGCGTCGTTCTTCTAGTGCAACGAATCGCGGCACGAATGGCAATGGTTACCGGACGAACAATATCCCACTTTCTCCAGACCTGAACAATTTGCATGCTCAACAGGCACAGTATCTACTTCATGATCAATTGTACCAACAGATTCAGATTCTACAGGCCCAGGAGCAAGAGCTGCGTATGCATTTGCAACATCAATCGATAGTTACTGGTCGACCCCCACCAGTATTAATACGCCAACCTTTGATCCAATTCTCCTTTCCACAACAGGAAATGGGCACGGATGACAGCTCTCGAGCTCGGGCAGGAACCGTCAGTCATCCACCAATGACTTCTTTTCGGCCTGGCATGTTTTATGCTCCAGCCTATATGCATGTAGCTCCTCCGACGGTGCAAGGGAGCAATACCAATCCTCCATCTCCATCACTTGCTAATGCTGTCCCTGATCTTCGCCGCAATCCTCGCCGGTCTTCAGTGGCGAATGGCTCACCGAGTGGATCACTGCGCTCCCACTCGCAGCCTGCAAGATCTATGCACTCTCCAGCTATGCAAGGTTTGACTCCGTTGTACTCATCAATACCTACCGATGCTACTCGTAGTTCACGGGACGGAATGACACCAAGTTCTCCAGGTCGGACTGAAACTGATTCGAGCCTCAACTCCCTTTCAGCGTCGACAGTGCCTACTCCCACGTTCTTCGACGAACAGCACCGACATCTGGAGTATGGTAACTACTACCTGGTCCCTCATAATTACCCTCCGGCCTACATGACCATGTCTCTCCCTGCCACAGCGTATCTTCAGACGGCGGACTATCGTACAACCATGCCAGCGTATAGTGAACCGTTTAGTCCAGCAGATGACAATAGCTCCACACCCACTGCACATCCCGTGTCTCCGCGTGGGTACTCGGTGCCTACACAAACACAACCACAACGTGATAATAGCGGGCCTTTGATCATTGATGGTTCGGTCCCGCCTCAGGAGTCGAGAACATCTTCTCGTGACGACTACTCGGATCAATATGTCAATTCGTCGGTTTCCGGAACCAGCGACACTGCAGGTAGCTGGGAAGTGCCATCTAGCAGACCAGACGTGTTTTCCAATGGAGTTCAGGATCACACATTTGAGATGGATCCATTTTCGATGGCTAGAGAACAGGAATCCCGTTCTCAAATGACGAATGACGCAGAATCGAATCTTACTAGGCAGCTTCAGGGACTACACCTGGCAAGTACCAATGCCCCTACCAATAACGCCGAACCGGCAAGATCGTTTGCGGAACGAAAGAACGGGAAGACAGGGTATGTCAATGGTGAATACTCGCCATCTAGACATTCTCACCAACAACGTCATCAAGGAAAATCGAATGACAAGTCCTCAACGATGGGGAACCACACTTCGAATAAAGAAACGCTATCGTCTTCGCCTACACACCGCAGCCGTCCAAATGGTGTTGATTCGGATAAACCAAACGGGGTTAATCACCATAACATTCACAACCATAACCACAAGCCTAAACTGAAGGCCTCCCAAGATGCGCATGCAGGCCCAGCTTTGTCCCCCTTGAATCGCAAAGATGCTCAACCAGCTTCACTACCTAGGAAACCTGATGGGCTACCACCAGTTAGCGGAGGTCGGGATCATAACCACTCCAACGGAGGGTGGCAGACCACTAAAAAGAAACACAAGCGCAATGCGAAGTCCGTTGCTGAGACTCAGAATCATGCGCACTTGGCAGAGCCTCTTCCGGTGGATGAATCTCTCCGAAAGGGTGGTTGAACTATGATACCAGGAGATTTACGGCGGCATAGCGAAGAATCTAGAATTTGGCACCGTCTTGAATTCAATATGGCTACGAAGGACGAATACGATCATGACTGAAGAGATTACCCTGGAGACTGTCATCCAGTCGACATTTTGATCAGCTTGAGATTATGGGAAATACGACTGCAAACGAGAAATGGGACCTTGCTACGACGACAGCTGTTTCTTTTCATCCTTGTTTCTCTATGTCAAAACTAAAGAATTTTTCTCACTTTGCATAAACATTCCTGGGGGCTTATTGTGATTTTTTTTGTTAGTTCTTGCCCAAAGTCATTTTTCTCCAAAAGACGAGATCCCCTCTGGGAGGCGCATACAGGATGTTTGCATTTTCAGGCGAGCGAAGAAAAAAATGACTGCTTTTCTCTTTTTTTTTTTTCCTTTTGCTTTTTCTTTTCCCTCTTCAATGTACTTTTGCACCCTTTTCTCCCTCCCTTTTGATTTGATGCGAATGAGGAGGGGAGCATGTTTGAGTGATACACAACTTCATTAGCATTGATTGTACTTAGTATCATAAATAGGAAAAGAAACAATGAAAGAATGAGTAATGGATTTGGTTGAGTGATATTATCATTAGGTAGTAATTATATACAGTAGACACTGAGAGGAAGATAAGTCTATACAGAATAAAATCAGACACAATCTTTCGACTGCATCGAATGACAAAAGGAAACCGACCCCAGTATCTTACATCACTATGCCATACCGATGACCATCTAGTCTATCGATCACTTCACTTTTATTTCCCTTTCAAGACGCAAAGATTACCGCCTCAACTCCGCAAACACATAAGGCATAATAACTTTACACGCCGTCCACAGAACAGCACAACCCTGCCAAAATGCAAGAGGCCAGAGATAAACCGGCGTCTCTGCGTAATTCATGTATATAGACAAGAAAGCGACGGCGAAGAAATGTCGGATTAGGACGGTGGGTTGTTTGATGAGGCCTGCTAACATGCCGCAGGGTGCTTCAATCATGCCCATTTCAAAGTAGCGGAAACAGCCGCGTTGGAGGATTTTGAGGTATGGATCTATACTAGTATATTAGCGGTGTGGGTTTAGGAAGATAGGAGGAGAAAGGAGGGATACCATTTGCGGCGAATAAGGAGTATAGAGCTTGCGCTAGGATGTTGATGGTTGACGCAGTCTTTTTCCTCTCCCAGTGGAATGTTTTCATAGCCTTGGTCACTGAAGGCGCATCTTTGAATGAGGGCACTTTCTCAGGACTGAGGAGATCTCGTAGGACCACTACATCATTAAAGGCCACCGTCATACCACCACCGGTCAATGGATGGCGCATGTTGGATGCATCGCCGATGATAATCAATCCGCGAGTCTTGTTGGTTGTAGAAGGAAGGAATGAGTTGGGCATTGACCTTAACCGGCCGTTTTCAACGGCGGCTAGGAAACTCGGTTGTACGTCTTTGGGGAGTGATGGTAGAACGACGTTCTTCATATGATTCTTCACGCCACCATATTCGACCGAGGCTGACGGCAGATTGTCAGGTATATCAATCAAGGCTCGCGTTTCGTGTGTTCCGATCTGATACATGAGAACTGGTGGTCCATCACCGATAAAGACGTGACCGTGAAGGGGCATGGGCAGTTTAGCGTCAATCAACTCTATACCCCAGAACCTTGATTTGACCTCTGGTGTATGTGTGTGGTAATCTTTGCGGAATTTAGAGGCGTATCCGTCCGCGACGATGGTCAATGGCGCAATGAAACTCTCCGATTTGCCATCAACGCTGACCTCTGCGCCGATAACTTCTGATTGAGACTTAATCAAAGATGTTGCCGTGGCTTCGATTATGGTCACATTGGGCGTGTTTCGCGCGGCTTCTCGTAATTTCATAATAAATCGACCATGATGGAAACTTCGTCCCTTGGGACTGATCCCCGTCTTTTTATCCGCAGGGTATGGAATCTCGACTTCGGTGCCGTGGAAAATCACATCGTACCCTTCCACTTCAACAGCATCAATCCCATCCAGACAATCCAACAGACCCAATTGTTCAAGTGCCTGCACACCACCAGGTTGTAACAACTCGCCCACGATACGATCAGGTTCCTTGAGCGATCTTTCGAGTACGGTGACTTTACGGCCTTGTTTCCCAAAGGCAACTGCCAAAGCGCACCCGGCGACTCCAGCGCCGATTATGAGAAGTTCGGATTCATTGAAGGCCCATTTGGTCTTGTTGGCCTCGTCTTCGTTGCTGACTGCGATGATGGGGAGTTGTTTTGCGCCTGGAATGGATGTCGCAGTTGTTGCGGCGGTGGTGGAGGTTTTGGACATGGCGAAAATTACTTGATATGAGAAAAAGGAAGAAGAAAAACTCAGGAAACACAATCAGTAAAAATAATCGCTAGAAACACAATCATTCAGTCTCTGATCCGTGTTGAAAGAGAAGTATTTGAATAAAATAATTATTGCATGACAGGAACCAGAGGTAAAAGTTGGAGTGGCGTGACATGTGATCGAGTGTCCCGATCGATTGGCGCATCTCCTGATTTTTTCCCCTGGATCGGTGGACTGTCACCGCCTTTCTTTCTGGCAGCCACAATATACTTGAGTGTCCTTGAAATACATGTGATTTACATATTTACATATATCATAGTATATAAAATTGTACATAGCATCAGTCCATGACTTCTCCTTCCAACTCGTAAACCCGTCGTTCATTCCACAACTTCGACGTCTTGTCCTCCGTGAGCAAAATGGCCGTTGGCTGTGTAGTCATCCATTCTAATTCTCGCTCCTCGTCCCAATGCGCAATAATTTTCCGAAGATTCGGCAGTTTGTCATTGCGCCATCTGTGAATCTGTGGGTGGTAGAATTGCTTGGCCATTCGCTTTCTTTTCTTGTTGTTTTGCAGGAGTGTAACGAGCTCAGGGTCTTCGGCGGCTTTTCTTTCCAGAACACTGACCAGTCTACCGAGATGATCGAGGAAATCGACTCGTTCTTTCTCTCGCCATACCCATCCGGCTTTCTTTATATGCCCCGTAACTAAAGCCCGGCGTGCATCAACAATAAAATCCCTGTTGCAGGCTGAATGACGTGCCAGCGCTGTAAGAAGACACCACCGGATACCCTTGAGATGACCAGTAAGAACAAAAGCTCGTAGCATGGTCCTCATACATGCTCCGTCGAATTCGAACTGGCGACCCCATCGAGATTTGTATGCCGTGAGAAGTAAGTCCTGTGCAGCCTCTGGTCGTCCCTGTTCAATGAGGCGATTTGCCATGTGGTTCATGAACTGATGCTTCAACTCGAGCTTGGGCATTTCCCAGCACAGAGTATAAAATCGGAACACTGCCATTTTGATGAGCTCGGTGTCCGGTAACGCATCGCTGCTCTCCAGAATCTGCAGAAAAAACTGGGGGATGACGACTATTTTATTCTTTAGATCCTTTTCCCAATGCTCTTCAACAAGCTTTTTGGCAGGAGCAAGGCCTTTCTCCACAAGTATAGCAATAGCCACTAAGTCTATATGGTACGACTTGAACACATAGCCCGCTGCCAAAGCGTTCTCATAAAACCACAAAGCAGAGTCGCAATCACCGGCATGCAAGACATCTGCAAGTTGTTTGTCTAGCGATGGGTACTGGTCAAGGGGCCTGTCAGTCATGATACCATTCACTGCTCGACGGTACCAATTCGGCCAAAGATCTGTGTATGGAATACAGTTGGCTTCTGGCCAGGGTAGCGAGCGGTGATCATAGCCCAGAATGCGTTGAGAAGCTGCTGCCTGGCCATAATTAACCCGAGCAGCATTCAACAGTTGCCAGAACCCAACAGGGTTGTTCTCCATTCGTCGACGGTGGATCTGTAGATGTTCGTAAAACTGATCTTCTTTTATCTCGACTTTCCATCCGTGAGTGTTTGCAAGATTGGCTAATTCTGAGACAAGATCAGGGTCCCCTTTTTGTATATATGCTTGTAAAACATGCTCAAAGAGAAGCTGATCAGGCTGGAGCGAGTATTTCTCGACAGCGTCCATGAAGAATTCACGTATTTCCGCAGCGTTATGTGTAGGCCAATACTCCAGAAAGAGTGAAGTAAAAGCTGGGATGAAACCTCGGTCCGAAGTCAAGCCTAAATTGTGCATTTCTCGCAAGCCATCCTTGACTTCCTTCCAATTGCAAGCAAATGCCTGTCCAAGTAGTAACAGGCCCTTGGTGCGACAAGTGGGCGAAACCCCGTATAATGTTTTCATATCATTCGCCAAGATCTCTGCATCTTTCAGTCGACCGAACTCAACATAGGCTCTCAACATTGGATTAAAGAGTTTCGCGGTGGGCTTGAGATTGAATCGCGCTAATGTCGTCAATATCCTTTCAAACTCTCGATTCACAAGGTCGATACTCCGCGACTTCTTCCATAGATTGTTCAGAAACACGCCGCAAAGACTGAAATCGGTGTCGAAGGCGACGTTTCTATACATCACTATTGCAGCTTCGCGAAACCGGTGGGTCTCGATTAGACACCGAATCACTAGTTCCGCCATGTAGAAGGGTATCTGTATCGTGTCGCTGTATTTCAAAATCAGCTGTGAAGCCGATTCGATCGCATTGCATTTTGTCAAAGCAATAATCAAGGTCTTCCACATACGTGGAGAGACGCTACTAAACTCCTCAATGTGTTCAAACACATTTCTTGCTACCCAGATATTGTCATCCGCGCAATTGGCGTAGAATAGGTTCACTGCAAGTTCACGATCCCTTGGAGAAAATCGTTCTTTAGTCTGCGAGCGTTTCTCTAAAAGCAACTCGGCAGCTTCAATGATTCGGCCTTTTTCGAAGAGATCACGGACAGTTCGAATTGCTTGACGATATTCTTCTGCATCTGGTAAAGCGCTTTCATCCTGTTGTGATTCCGTCGCATTTGTCGTAGGTTGATCGTGAATAGAAGGTACGACGGTTTCCTGATCGTAAGCTGAAAATTTAATAGCTTCGGAACGATTGGTCAACCACGATCGTGTAATCGTCGCACGTTCCAGGTCATTAGCAGCTGCTTCCAAGTCTGAATGCGTAAAAGGGTTTGGGTAGTTCGAAGACTGTCGCGTAGTAGCGGGGCCTTTGACTGCTTCCGCGGCAACACCGACAGAATCAGACACGGGGTCAGAGACTCGGTTATGCTCATGACTATGCGACGATCTATTCCAACCACCCTGTTTCAAAGAAGCCAACCCATCGAATTCTCCCGCTTCTGCCGCCTCCACCATTAAGGCAAGTTTCTTCGCGGCCGAAGTGGCATTGTAGTATGGAGTCGATGTCTGTATAGTCCGCTTGTTCTTAACAATCTTTTCGGCTACAGAGGCACGGCGGTGGGCATCGTAGGTAATTGCAGCGACTGTGCAGACACCCCCGAGTGTTGATCCAGCTAATGCTAACTGACGCAGGATTCGGAGAGCGTTCCTCGAGGGGACTACTGCCGTTCTGGTACGCTGCGGTAGCATGACCCCGGGTTTCTGGAGACGCGAGGAGGTTAAGGGATTGTATAGTTGGACATTAGGAAATGATGAATGAGCGAAATATTAATGAGTCGATAATCATGAGACGATGCCAAACTGATTGGCCAATTGAGCTTGGAATCGGATCCTAACAGGATAAGCTGGAATCAACAATAGATGATGTTTAACTACTTGGGGATTTTTTTCGGGTCAAATGGGCGACCATGCCAAGAATCCCGGAGCCGACACATACGCTTAGCCTATTTTGGTGTTAATGCCTCAGGCAGAAAGACCATCGTATCGTATGATGTGTTGATATTGTACTTTTAAATAGTCTGAAATAGTGTCTATGGGATTAATTCATGTAGGATAGAAGCTCTTCTAGATTCCAGGAATTTGACTAAAGTTTCATCACCTAAAACGCCAGTACATGAGAATATAAATATTTAAATGATGCGCCAAACATAGTCTAGGATGACCGGAACAAAAAAGACTTAGTCCACTATTAGCAACGACACGAATTCTAAAATAAGAGATGAAAGAATGTGACATATATTATGCTCACGCATCCAATGTATTGTTGCCTTCGTCTTCTGGAGGACTTGATGGAGGAGACTCCGGTAGATGTACTGTGAAGCGAGTTAGCTATCTGACGAGATGGGAGTTTGTATGAGCAAACTCACCACTGGGTACAATAAACCAGGTCAAGAAAGCTGCTAGACCAAATACTGATGCTAGGCAGACAAACACTGCCGGCGTAAATTTACCAACAGTAACACTATAGATGCCGTTGAATACAATAGGCGAGACAACACGAGCAAGGGCATGCAAAAGTCCCGTGGCTCCCAGAATACGCCCTGTCTGACTAGGAGGTACATGTTTCGTTAGCGATGATTGTAGACTCGGTGGGCCGATTCCTCCAATCGATGCGACGAGAGCGGACAAAGTGAAAAGCGCCCCAGTCTTTGAAGACGCATAACCAATGTAGCCGAGTAGGTCGATGAGAATGGCTAGACGAATAAGAGAGATATCCAGCCAATCGCTTCCGGAGTTGGCCTGATTGCTTCGTTGTGGTCCACGGACGAGCCTCGTTATAGTGGGTAATATAACAAGCAATGTTATTACCCGTCCGGCGTTTGTGACGGAGACAAATATGCTGGACTCGTAGTTGCCCCAGCCAAAGACATATTCTGCATATAGGATGATAATCTGCACCGTACCCATTCCCACGCCAAACATCAGTGTATCGATGGCAGCGATTAGGACCAAATTCTTTCGCAAGTTTCTGAAAAGAGCCAGCTGCTCTGGCGAAGTTTCCGAGGATTTGGGCTTTGGCCACAGGATGGCCAAAGGTTTGAAGATATTGGATGGGTGAAGTTCTCGTAGCATATATCGCGTGTAAGTGGTGTCCCCATCCCGTGGCTTTGCTAAATGCTTCGTTCGCGCAACATTTTGACGTTCCTTTGACAAAGACTCTGGGACAAGGAATATCAGCGAAAGAAGATAGATGCTGTGGCAGACCAAAACAGCCACAAAGACATCCAAAAGCTTCCCCGTATACTCAATTAGCAGTCCAAAAAGAAATGGGCCTAACGCAATGCCGGTAAATAATGTCGCATGGACGTATCCAAAGACGACATTTCTTCTCTCTGGAGCTGTGCAGTCGGCTCCGTAAGAATGTACCAATGATAGAGCCAGGGTGAATGATCCGCATAAACCATCCACGAAAGCGGCGACGAGAAGCCAATTGATTGAAGCGCTGTTCGGGTATGCTGCGATAAATGTTGTAAAGACTTCAGAAAGTAGAGTACCCGCAACACAGAGAGACATCAATGGCATACGGCCATATCTGTCAGATAGGTCACCTAACCGTGGGCTAACTAGTGCTGACAAAAACCCAGATATCAAGTTGACGTAGAGTAATATTTGAGCCGCATTTGACTGGACCTCTGGTATACGGCATTGATCGTTGTCACTTCCGAACACGACGGGTAGATATGTGAAAGTAGGGTCCTTGGCCTTTTGATCTGCAAAATAATCTCGACACACAACAGAGAGGATCAGGTTTATTTTGGGCACGGCTGCACCTCCAAAGGCAAGCGTGAAGAGAGCCGTAGGCGGAATGAGATACCACACCTGAAAAGTGTTAGATTTTGATCAACACGTGGAAAAACAAAGTCATACGTTGGGTCGTCTCCAGAGTGGTTTTGCATCGAATTCCCGCGATCCTAACCATGGCTTATTCAGACTGTTGTGCAATTCGGATTCTTCATCAGTCAACTCGGGTGTTGTTGTTGCTGGTAACAACGGAGACGTTTCCGATGCTATTTCGGCCGACCCTAACGACTCTCTTCGCTGCATGACACGTGCATCCTGATCAGCGTCTACAGCAATAGCTGCATCGCCTCCTACGGTCGACATGAGAGCAAAACTGTGCTGCGACGGTGATTATGGAAAATGTTGGCTATGTTATATCTTTCCGGCGACCCCTATGCCCCTGCAATCCCAAGTGTAGGGTTTTAGTGGGAATGCTGGGTACGCCAGGCTTATCAAGCCAAGTACCTAAACTCCGAGCAAGATAGGGAACTGTGCTGGACGCGGGTGATTGGTACATGTGTTCAGGCGACAGAGCCGATAACAATGCGACGTCTGGATAAACTTCGTGCATCGGACTTAGAGATAAATAACGTCAATTACAGCGTGATTACGCCAAGTTGTAACATGATAAGGTGGGGGATTATTAATGGGCATCTGGGTCGCGCATATTTGTACACTAATGTACAGACGTACACGAATAATGCACATAAATAATGAAGCCACACATTATTCAGCACGCCCGAACCCCGACACATTCCTTTTTGGGGCCGAAACGGCTCGTTACATGTTTCAATACCAATACATCGTGATAAGATATTGACTAATCTATGTATACATCTATCTATCGTACAAGAGATTTCAAAGCATCCCCCGCAAAGAATTTCTTCTGCTCCAAACACCGCTCACTATTACACCCTTGACAGCGCAGCGTCATCTGTCGTGAGCATTTTTCTCCGGACTGCAAGTGATTCTTGGCGATATCGGCTAAGGCGCGAATGAAAGTCGGGTTGCCATTGAGACTTTCTGCCCGTTTGATACCAGTGTGGCCAGCTTCACCTATCACTTCCTTGTCTAGTTCGTAGAGAGTTTCAATGTGGTCGCTGGTAAACGCAATAGGAACAAGGATCATGTCGGTAAAGCCCTTTTTAACGTAGTTCTCAACAGTATGGCTGGTTTGAGCTCCTTGCCATGCCGATGGTCCAACTTGTGACTGCCAGCAGAGTCGGTAAGGGTTCGAGAATCCCAGGCGCTGCATAACTGCGTGGACCGTTGTCGCAACTTCCGCCGTGTATGGATCGCCTGTTCTTGTCAGTTCTTCCGTCGTCACTATTTGTGAAGGACCTAGAATGGACCAACCTCGGTTGACGACGCTCATAGGTAAACTATGAGCAGAGAAAAGAATAACCACAGAAGATCGTTTCTCTTCTGGGTACGTGGCTAGCTGGTCCTCAATATTCTTCGCAAATGCTTCTACCAATCCAGGATGCGTAGCCCATCGATCAATGACACTCCATTGAATCGCACCGTCGCCGTCTTGACCTGAGCGTGGCCCTTCTAACCTATTCCTCCACTTCCATAGCTCATTAAGAGAACTGCCTGTGGTAGAGCACGAATACTGAGGATATTGAGTGAAGGCGACAGCTCGGCCACCATTTCCTCCTCCAAACCCGTCTTCGAGTAGTTGTTTATACATGTTTTCTGTCAATGGATCCGCATATCTGAATGCGACGTATGGCTTGTGAGGCGCGGTCTCCGGGGATATCTCATCGAGAATCTTGCACATTTCTGCACATTGATACTCTGACCATTTTCGAATAGGCGATCCTCCACCAATCTCGGAATACTGTTTTTGGATCTTGGGTGTGCGTCGCCGAGCAATGAGAGGTCCTAGATATTTTTGAAGCGGACCGAGAGGGATCAGATCGGCATCGGCCTAGACCAATGTCAATCAGTCTGTTTTCCTCTTTCATAGAATAGGAGTTATGTTTAACGTACAAATAGGCGACTGAGGAAATCTTCAACCTCTGCGACTTTTGATGGACCACCCATGTTCAATAGTACCATGGCTGTAGGCCCTTTGGAGCCCTTCTTAGGTACTGAAGTGGCTGTCGCAAATCCATGTCCGTTCAACGGCCGTTTAACGAGTTGCGTGGCAGGGCGGACATTGTGAGATATATTATTCGGGATCATGCGACATGGCAGACTTAAAGAAGTGCGGACCGCCATCATGAATGAGGAGCAGCTGCAATTACAAAGTAAAAGACACCATATGCGAAGAAAAGAGCTGCGCTTCTGCTAAGCGAATGAAACGAAGAGCAACTTCTGAATAATAATTGCTCGTTTTTTGCACTTCCTGTCGGCTTTCTGAAGATGAACAACGTCAGTCGCCGATTAAGGCACCGCTTCCGAGCTCCGAGATGTCATTACTGATCGGACCAATCAAAATTACGCCGGAAGTAATCACACGAAAAAGGGAAAGTGGCCAGATCACGTGGATTTCGTGTCACTACGCGTCCGCCAAGACACGTCATAGATAGGCAGCAGAGTCCTTTGTTAGGCTGCTTGTTCTACTAACTACAGACATGGTATAATCAGCAACCGGCAAGATGGCTGACAGCTACCCGCCTGCAGAAGATGATATTTATCAGGAGGAGGACGAGGAGGTCGATGACTCTGTATGCGAGATACTATTGCTTCATCTCTGTCTCATTACTGACTGCACAGGGCTACAAATCTGTCAAAGATGCCATACTCTTTGCTATTGATATCAGTGACTCCATGCTGATGGATCGTCCATCAGAGTCAAACAAAGGACAGCCACAGTCGCCTGCAAAAGCTGCCATCAAATGTGCCTATCATCTCATGCAGCAACGCATTATTTCCAACCCAAAGGATATGATGGGTGTATTATTTTATGGAACAGAAGCTTCTAGATTTTACGATGAAGATGAAAATAGCTGCGGAGGTCTTTCGTATCCCCATTGTTACCTTTTCACAGATCTAGAGGTCCCTGATGCAAATGATGTAAAATCATTACGTGCATTAGCTGAAGACGATGACGAAGCAGAGCAGATATTGGTATCCTCGAAGGAGCGGGTTTCAATGGCAAATGTGCTGTTTTGCGCTAATCAGATATTCACATCGAAAGCTTCGAATTTTCTATCGAGACGGCTTTTCATAATCACGGATAGTGATAACCCCCATGCGGATGACCGTACAATGCGGTCTGCAGCTACTGTTCGAGCAAAGGATTTGTACGACCTGGGTGTCATTATCGAATTGTTCCCAATCTCGAGACCGGACCACGAGTTTGACAGGTCAAAGTTTTATGATGTAAGTCGTTAAATGAGGAGGAGTTGACAAGTATTCATTGCTAATTGAACAGGACATCATCTACAAAACCGCACCGGGAGATCCAGAAGCATCCGCTTTCACAGCGGCTGGAACTCAAGTTCCGAATGCTAGCGGTGATGGTATCTCCTTGCTTAATTCACTTCTATCATCCGTCAACTCCAGATCTGTTCCCCGTCGGGCTTTGTTCAAGATACCCCTGGAGTTCAGCCCAGACTTCAAGATATCTGTCACCGGGTACTTGATCTTCAAGCGCCAAGAGCCATCTAGGAGTTGTTATGTGTGGCTTGGTGGTGAGAAGCCAGAATTAGCAAAAGGTACAACAACCCATGTTGCGGACGATACTGCAAGGACTGTTGAGAAAGGAGAAATACGAAAAGCGTACAAATTTGGCGGGGAACAAATATCCTTCACTGCAGAAGAACAGGCGAAATTGCGTAATTTTGGCGACCCAGTCATCAGAATCATAGGCTTCAAGCCAAGATCATCCCTGCCAATCTGGGCCTCTATCAAACATCCTACTTTCATATACCCGAGCGAAGACGAATTCGTTGGGTCGACTCGGGTATTTTCAGCCTTACATCAAAAATTGTTGAAAGACGAGAAGATTGGCATCGTTTGGTTCATCGCACGAAAGAACGCCACGCCCGTATTGGCTGCTATGCTTGCCGGTGAGGAAAAGTTGGATGATAATGGAGTCCAGTTCCTCCCGCCTGGATTGTGGATTCTACCTCTTCCATTTGCAGATGACATCCGTCAAAACCCGGAGACAAATCTGGTGGTAGCCCCAGAGCCACTTATCGATCACATGCGCACTATTGTCCAACAACTGCAACTCCCCAAAGCTCAATACGACCCTCGCAAATACCCAAACCCCGCCTTACAGTGGCACTACCGCATACTACAAGCCCTAGCGCTAGATGAGGAGTTACCAGAGCAAGCTGAAGACAAAACAATACCCAGATACAAACAAATTGACAAACGCGCAGGAGATTATGTCCTTGAATGGGGCGAGGAACTCGAAAAACAACATCAAAAGATGTATACAGGTCAACCCAAGACCTCAACCTTGGCGAAGCGAGGCAAGCCTGAGCACGAGCCTGCCGCAGAAGAGAAGCCAGTTAAGAAAGTAAAGACTGAAAGTGCTAGTAATGGTAGAAATGCGGCAGATGAGGTTCAGAGTCATTATAATAGTGGCAGTCTGTCAAAGTTGACTGTTGCGGTTTTGAAGGAGTATTTGACGAAAAAGAAGATGTCGGTTATGGGTAAGAAGGCAGATTTAATTGAGAGGGTGGAGAAGTATTTTGATCGAAAGGGTTGACGGGTTATTTAATATCCAAAGGCGTTGGGACTGTACAAATATCTGTATTGATAGCCTGAATCTATCTATGCCTTGAAGTCATATTGTAGATTCCAGATGCCCTCTAAGTTTTGATTATATACACATGAAAACAGCTGAGCTGCGGTCGATATCAAGCCGCAGCGTCCTGTTCATCCTCAAGTTCCTCTCCATTGCCAATAGCCTGTTCTCGCTTCCTATTAACTCTTTCACGTTTCTTTTCCAGCAATCGATTCAATTTCTTCGCAGTGTTAAAAACACCTCCAGTCCCCGCACCGCAAGCAGCACACGAAGGATTCTTCCTATATCGCTGCAGAGCGCACGACTCGCAAAAGTAATGTCCACACTTGGTCACAATCGGATTCTTGTATGATTCCTTGCAAATAATGCACGCAAACGGGATTTTTTCTAGCATTTCTTCATCCTCATCCTCATCATCTGCTCCGCCAGCTTGTTGACCACGCTTTTCCAGAGAGGCTACCGTGCGCCCAGCGACTTTCTTGCCCTTTGTTTCAATCTCCCAGTCCTTGTCAAGTTGCCAACCATGCTTATAATCTTCTCGCATATGAGCGAATTTACACGAATCGCCGAATCCGCAATACCCCGTTTTCTTGTAATCCTTGCACACATCCGGCGCCATATCGGTAAACGTGACTGTGCGAATATTTGTGGCTGCTTTCATAGGCCCAAACTGTTTTCCTGCGCTATCGGGATTTTTCTGTATAAACGACTGATAGTTCGTAGCACCTTTGTACGTCCCATCTATCGATGGGGCAGTAACAGTCCCCGGTTTTGCGCGTGTATTTCCGAGAAGACCCTTCGCGCTCAACTCATCACCGCCGTTCTCTTGCGCCTCATCATACCAGTTCGTCTGTTTGGTGGCATCATTCGATTTCACCAAGGGCGCTGCCGTGGCGTATTCGGGTGCATCCTCATCAAGTCTGGAATGTGGTTTGTTCGCTGCCGATGATGCCGTGACAGCCGCTGTTTTGCGTAGTCGTTTTATTCTTCGGCCTTCTTCGTCGTCTGAGGAGGTGAAATCGGAGTCAGAGTCGGCACCAGCAGTAGAGGCAGGTGGTGGAGTGGCTGGTCTTTTGCGGAAATTGGATTTCGCTTTGGAAGAACGCTTTTTGAATGTTACTTGTGGCAGATTGGCGTCTACTGCGGTTGCTTGGTCTGCCATCTTGGCTGTCTCCTAGCTGGCAAGATTCTTCGTGGTATTCAACAGTCAAGGAGTAAGTATGGAGGTCGATAAAAGATGTAGGTGGCGTCGAATTGTGGAGACGATTAACTAATATGGAAACCTCCCTTACATAAGACAGATTATGCACGTGATGCTAAAATTAGCCAGCTTCTTCTGGTTAGATCTGCGTCAACGTCATTGGACGATCCTTCGACATCACATGACTCTGAGTTCGGGATTTAAGCCCAAAACTGCTTAGCGTTGTATGAAATCTTTGGCCTAATTGGGTATGGTTTTGTTGACTTAGTTCCCGTGTTTAAATACAATACGGTATGGCCCTGCGAAAACACATGTTTCATGATGTCGGTGCTGCTAAAACATATGCAGACTACCATCTCATTCAAGAATCATATCTGATGATTATTAAGCTTGTTAAGACTTCAACCATGAACTGATTCTTCTCATCTAATCAGAATTCGTAGCCCGTTACAGATGGATTAATCCCAATCCGTAGCACAGCCACCAGTCATATCTCGTAATCTATCCGTTACACCAATACAGCGATACATGGCCCCTGCTTGGGAATTGCAATGAGGGCCAGAAATGCCAACTCCTCCTCCATCTCCCTCTCTGTTTCCTGTGTTGTGTGTCGTGAACTCGCTCGTAGTTCGTACCACAAAGTACTACGAATGTGCTGATAGTTCCTCTCGATCCTTTTCATTTTTACTAATCCCTTCGTTTGTTTCCTTTTCCTTCCTTTGCTTTTCGTGTGTGCTTTCTTTTCCGCCCAGTGAAGTCCGTAAGTCTGCGCGTTCGGCTTCGTGGCAAGCATCGCCTTAATTCATTTGTCTTTCCTTTTCACTTTTTTCCTTCTCGTTCTTTTTGTTTTATCATTTTGCCCGTTGTTGAGAGTACCCTCCAACCCCATTCAATTGGTGCCAGTTCGGAGATCTGCGTGTGGTCGTTCGTCCAGGCAAAATTGACGTGTTGTGATTCTTTCTACGGTTTCACTGGAGCCAGTTGCCGCCTTCCCGCTTGGTACAGGCACACCACACCACCGCGCGTACCTTACTTACCATTGTTGGACACCCTATCAACAAATCCTTATAATCACTTTATAACAGTCCAACTTCAGCAACAATATATTCATAGCTCTGTTCGCTCGCTTTGTGGCTCATTCAGTGAATGCGCTTCGTCACTCCAGTCGTCGTCTAATTGAAAACGCCAAGACACGCCGATTTGCCTTGTCTGTTAGGCACGAAATTACTCATCAGCCAGCCAGGGACACACATCGTTTATCGTGGATTATGTGTGTATAAACACCTCGCCCAATAGCACAACGTAGTCGGAAGCGACTGTACGAGGAACGCTCAGTTTCAATCTTACTGTTGACCAAACAATTCAATCGGCCCCTTGATCATTTCGGGCCCGCGCACGACTTACTTCCAGCTCCAGCAACTGAACTACGCTGGTATCTGGGAGTGAGCCAAGCCGTCTATATATCATGGAGGATCCATTCGTTTCGAGCCCTGATGGGCTGGTAGGAACTCGAGAGCCTCATCGGTATTCAACATTCGATACGCAATTATTCAGCCTGAGTGCCTCGTCGCCATCCCAAGCTAAGCGGGCCCTCGAGGCGCATTTAGCCGAGACAGAACGGAGACTGCAAGAGGCATCGAAACTCGGCACAGCACTCGTCAATCAACAGAGGGAGCTGACAGACAAACTTCAGGAACTGGATCAGCAGCGAGATGAAGGCGAGATCACCCCAGAACTCCGGCAAAAGTTGATCGAGTTGGAGAAGGAGTACAATGAGATCGGTCGCGAAAGCGCGCGTGCCTTTTTAGTTCCTAAGCGGGCAGTCAGTGGTGGGGAGAATACTCCAGGCATTGATCCACGCGTATGTGTTAATTGCAAGTGTTTTGGAGGGCATATGAATACTAACTATGCGGATTTAGTCCCCCGCAGCGGCTTCCGTTTTCACGAGCCAAGCTAGTGCGTCGCCATCCAAAGTCAGCGTCCCTTCGCGCAAACAACGGAATCAACCTTCAAGTCGTGTCCATGATATTGAATTCGCCACTGAGATCTCAACCTCCCTTCTTGCGCAGGTTCGCCAACTACAGGCTCTTCTCGCTGAACGAGAAGAATCTTTGAAGGCCGCGAACCTGGAAAATTCCCGGCTCGAACTGGAGGCCGAAGGGTTTACACAGAGAATTCGCGCCCTTGATGAGAGCGAGCAACGTTACAAGGATGAAAATTGGAGCTTGGAAACTCAGATGCGCGAACTAGCGGCAGCAGTCAGAGATTCTCAAGAGCGCGAAACAAAACTTACCAGTGCATTGAGCTCTCTAACAGCTGAGAAGGCGGGTATCGAACGTGAGGTGGAGGAGTTGAAGCAGGCTCATGGAAAGCTGTTGGAGGAGCAGACTGCTACACAGAAGGCGCATGACTCTGAAGCAAACCTGTTGCGGAGGAATTTGACCAGTGGAGATGCGGAACGAGTTGTTCTTCAAGCCAAAGTAGAGGAATTGACATCTCAGAACCAAGAACTCGCCAGGGCTGTTGCATCCATGCGTAATAGACATATGGAGGCCGAAACGCCTCGTCCCCGATTGCATGACGCCGAGGATACAATGCCAGAACAAGATAGTCCCGAAAGCTCACCACCTCCATCGCCCAATAAGCAGACGCCAAGACACGGTCATCTCGAAACAGAGACCTTAAGAAGCTCCTTGGGTCATGCTCACCGTATGATACAAAACCTCAAGAGCAATATTCATCGTGAGAAGACGGAGAAAATCGAGCTCAAGCGAATGCTTCAAGAAGCTAGGGATGAATTAGAGACTCGCCGACGCGAAAACAATCCTCCCGGAAGTGGTACTAAACGCCAGAGGATCAAACCCGATACCTTCAAAAAGCCGCTTCCTCGCTCCGACCTTCTTGGGCCTAGCAGAAGGGGTCGCACTGAGATCACCTTGGAAGAATCAGACTGGGAGGATCATACGAGTGAAGCAAGCCCAACGCGCACGGTTCGCGGCAAGCGTTCTCCACAACATGGAACTGATCTCAGCGATGTCTATCAAACCGCTGCCGAGACCGATGATGCTTTCGAGACTGCCCATGAACGTGAAACCACTACGGAAAGCGAGGCCTTCCAGACTGGTGCTGAGAGCTTGGCTGAAGATAGCAATGCGGATCTTACTGAAACCGAGATAACGAGAACTCCTCGTCAAGCAGTAACTCGTCCCAAGAAAGTTCCCTCTCAGCTTTTCAATTCAAGGGCTGGTGATAACCTTTCTTATTTGAGCACCGCGTCTACCTCGGATGACGATAGCGAAACCGTTCACACGCCGATACAGTCGCAACGTAATCGTGTCAGAGTTAGCCGCGGCGGGTTCCGGCGAATTCGACCATCTGGAGAGGCTCCAATGGCGTCTTCCATCAATGAAGTTTCCAGCACCCATAATTCGCCAGCTAGTTCATTCCAGCATGAGAACGCAATTCCCATGGGCCAGAGCTTATTTGCAGAACTCGAGGAACTCGGCAGTCCTGGCAGTGATGGCGATTTCGGCACTCCTATACGCTCGACAAATGTCATATCTCAGCCATCCACTCCGCTTCAAAATCTGGTTAGGCGAGCGTCTCAAGCATCGATGCCTCTGAGACCCACGATGGTTGATTCATCTACCATGACGGACGCTTGGGAGCCCGAGTCTGTTCCTGTCCCAGTCCCTGAACCAGTTGCAACCAATGAAAAGTCAATTGAGACATATTCGCCAGACCGCGTGGATTCGTCCACTCAGTACACACCTTCAAAGCCATTCATGGGAGCAAATGGCGAGCATCAAACCGCTTTCCCAACTCCACCGAAGACAATATGGGACGAATCCGCAACAGCTGAAGACAGAGCCATTGACGTGCGCGAGGTGCAGAATCCTCCGGTATATGAACTGGATTTCTCAAGCATCAATGCTATAGAGACAACTCCAGTTACACCTCTCACTCCTGAACTCACGTTATCAGCTATACTTGATCAATCCACTGAACCTGTAGCGGCGGATATATTCGAGCCACCAGAAACTCTCATTACCGAGAATGTCGAGGAAAGTCAACCTATACAGTTGTCGCTTTCACCGATATGTAGCGAGCATTCTCAACCAGTCGCCTTCGTACTGCCTCCTGCTGAAGCCGCTCCCGTTCCTCAATCTGAGCCGGAGATACTTGTCACGCCTCCCCAGTTGTCTTTGTCTTCGATCCACTTCACGCACACTGAGCCTTTAGCTTTGCCAGAAAAACCACATCCTGCAATTCCTCTGCTGTCAATTGCTTCAATTCAATCCCTGGAGACTCTTCCGGTTGACCCTGTCATCCCCCCCCCCGTGTTGGCACCAGTTCCTCCTGCCGAAATTTCATCAGAACCACCTAGATCTGCTGTACAGCTGGACGGTACTGACCCGAAGCTCAACAAGCAGCCATCTATCATTTTTGTGTCTGAAGATGCAACAAGTCAACCTCAGCACCAAGTGGATCTCGAGAACCATGCGAAGGAGCAAACACCTCCTTTGAACAATATTTCTGGAAACAGCACTTCTCGTGAGAGGCGCCCAAGCATTGTAGAACACGCTGATCAAGCCTGCCAGACGACTGTGTCAGGTAAACTGATTGATCAGTTACTCTTGGACCGCAAGGCTGCTCGCCCTTTTACACCATCAGAGCCAGGATCGATTTCTGGTATGGATTCAACGTTCAATTCTCCTGGTGCAACGCCAAAGGCCAGAACTCCTATTATTGAAGCTGGCACGATACCAACGGCACAGTCGACTCCTAAACGGCCTAGCAGCGCCACAAGTGCGAGAAGAGGTTCTTCTTCAAGTCTTCGCCCGCCGCTACCAGCAGATCACAAACAGCTTATTGCTGCAGCTCAAAATGCTCAAGGCACAACTGGTACAATGGGCCCTCCCCTTGCTCCCGCATCAGTGTATAAAAACAACATACGTCCCAGAACCCCCGGTGAGAGCGTCGCTCCTCCTGCATCGGTTCGTGCAAGGTCGGGACGTGAAAGCCAAGCGTCCACTCGGAGATCCTCATTGTCTTCGTTTGTTTCTGAAGTTGAGGCTAGATTGGACCCTAACAGAGATGTGTTGCCTCAGGGTATCCGGCCTGGTACAGACCCTCGCATGATTCAAGCTATCACGCAGACGATGATTGGAGAGTATCTTTGGAAATATACCCGCAAGGCCGTGTCGGGAGAATTGTCTAGTTCACGCCACCGTCGTTACTTCTGGGTTCATCCCTACACTCGTACGCTTTACTGGAGTGAGCAAGATCCGCAACATGGAACCAAACATGAAAGTAAAGCCAAGAGCGTTGCTATCGAAGCTGTTCGTGTAGTCACAGATGACAATCCTTATCCTCCTGGATTACATCGCAAGAGTTTGGAGGTTCTTACACCTGGACGTCGCATCCGATTCACCGCTGCCACGAGCCAAAGGCACGAGACATGGTATAATGCTCTGTCGTATCTCCTTCTCCGAACCGATGATGAGGACCAATCAGTTGAAATCACCGCAGAGGATGTGGATGAGTTCAACCCAGGGATGCGAAGCACATCACGCCAAACAGGACCTAGAATGTCTGTGTCCTCATACCAAAGTATAAGGACTAACACATCAAAACCACGTGCCGGATCATCGCTATCAGTTCGCCCTGCTGCGACTCCTGGTCGTGTGTCGCCCGCGCCGAGCTCGCTGCAAAACTCTACCCTCCGCCAAGATCAATATCGACAGAGTACATCATCTCGCATAAGTAGTGTGTTCAATGCGACCATTCGAGGGTCTTTTGCCAGCCGAAGAGGCAGACACACCCCTGTCCAGGCTGACAGTATGTACGATAATAGCGCGGAGCATGATAGTGCCGAGGATCTCCGACAGGTGATTGAGCGGCAAGAACGTGAATCTGATCGCTTGGAGAATGTCCGTGCATGCTGCGATGGTTAGTACTTCTCCAGTGTTTTCTCATTGTCATAATCATACTGAATTTTCTATAGGCAAGCACGATGTGGGATCCCTTTCAAGAACAAGTCGATTCAGTCCTGGACTGAAACGTCTATCGAATTCATATAGCCCCCACCACTATCACCATCATCACAATTAATGTATCGAGCCATACTCGTCGATTGGTGATTGGTCATCAGATCCAGAATACTGGACGTTCCCGCTATATATTGTGGTCAACGAGTTTCCTTTGTGCGAGCATTCGACCCCCGAATGCAATTTGCTTGGGTTTTGGGTTCTTAGTTCATTGTTTCAGATACGGACGGAGTTGAATCGTTGTTTTAGCGCTTCAAAAATATGTGCAGGGTATCTATCAGCTTATACATTTCCGCTCTTTTGTTTGAACCCCTATTGTTATTAATGTGTCTGACCGGCAACCGGGCGGTACCTTTGATTTATATGGTACCTGACCTCTTTGGAAGTGGTCTTCCGTATGTCAATTGCTGACATCGATGCCCGGATGCATGTTACTATTCTTATTGAACATTGCCGATGTCCTCTTTCTTTTCGTTTCTAATGCTGAAGCTCTCTCTCTTTTTGTTTTGTCATCGAAGTTACTTTACTTTCGATTTGTTAGAACGGCCGTCAATCATTCATTTTCTTACTATTGATTGTATCATCCTGTCCTCGTTATTATTCTTTTGTCCATTAGTCTAGGCAGGGACACTGATACAAGTAATTACGAAGCTTCTTGGTCCGGATCATTTTAACAAGGACTATAAGTACCTAGGTATGAATATTTGCCTCAAGGTAGATCTGAAGTTTGTCGTTCTCCGGGTTGAATGCCTCCCAAGTATTCTAAGTCTAGCATTCCCATACCGTCTTACTTGGATCAGCTAACTACGTACATCGGCTTCAGTGATATGCTGCATCAGCATGAATGAATGCTTCTACCAACACGAAAGTATGGAGTGATTGTATATGCTAATCAGGGACTTAGGGCTAAAACCAAAACAGATATTTCTACATGCTGCTTTTTCGAGCAGCATACAAAGTCTCAATAAAGCGGCATGAAATTCGGCTCTATCGAGTATAGTTCCATATTAGCTTGAGTCATTTACTCTATATTTTGACCCACCGAGATCATCCCATTCTATATCTATGTTTCGTTATCTTTCAATTCCCCTCTTTCTCTAAACATTTTTCGTGGAGAGAAAGATAGATTATGCTTGTACCGGTGCAATGGATATTGTGGACCCCCCACCGAGTTTCAGCGAATACGTGCTGGGTTTAGTTCAACCTGCTGTCCTGCTGGCATGGTCTTTTAAACGTGAACCTTCCTTTTCTGCTCCTCCATCCCTGTTTCAAATATGAGATTCGCATTGTCAGCATCTACGTAATAAGTTAAAGAACTAACGAGAAACAGATTACGCTGTCGTCGTCTCAGAAACAATCTTCCTACGCGGACAGATCCTCGCACCCATCTTTCGATCCCGCCAAGTTCGGGACGAAGCCTTTGGACGATTCTGGATCAACTTCTCCGTGGCCCGCGACGAGAAAGGAACCCCCATCGTAGACAAGGATGTCCCCGACCCAAGCACCCTCAGAGGTTCATCCGCACTAATTCCAGATATCCTCTCAAAGGCCCGCGGAGTTGTCCTCGACGTTGGTCCAGGGTCAGGCACACAGATGCCGTATTTCGCTGACCTAGCCACTAAAGAAAAGGCTTCGACTATCTACGGCGCTGAACCGTGTGTAGGCCTACATACGGAATTGCGTCAGCGTATTCTCGCCAATGGACTTGACTCGAAATATCATATTTTATCCGCTGCTGCTGATAAAACTCAACTTGTCGATGCGCTCCGGAGGGAAGGTGTGCAGTTCAATGACGAGGGTATTTTCGATACTATCGTTTGCATTCGAGTCCTATGCTCCGTGCCCAATCCCGCTCAGACAATCTCAGATCTATACTCCCTCCTACAACCGGGGGGTCAAATGCTCATTGTCGAGCATGTGATTAACCCATTCTCATTATTCGGTAATCGGAAAGGAGGGAATTTCCTTGCTAGAGTCATGCAGACTGTGTATACGATGTTGGGTTGGAGATTTTTTATTGGTGATTGTGATCTTCTTCGGGATACGGAGACGTATTTGCGAAATGCGGCGGAGAGGGATGGGGGGTGGAAGTCGTTTGATTTGGAGACGAGGTTTACTTGGTCTACGCTTCCGTATATTTCGGGTGTGTTGGTGAAGAGGAATTAACGATGAGAGTTGGAGATTTGGATGCCCTCAGATATGGAAGCCTTATCAAATGGTATATTTGTCTAGTAACCTTTGACACTGGTAGTATGAATGGTATCTATGTATTAAAACACTCAAATAGTTTCATATCTCATAAATGGAACATCAATACTTAAGCAGGCATCGGACGTCCAGGTGGCCACCAGTCAAAAAAGTCCAATGCATCCGCAGTCCACGGACCAGACTCAGTCCTAACAGTACTATTCCGTTCATTCATCGGAGGTCCTGTAGTAGCAAGTGGCCGAGAAAGGGCATTACTTGCGTTGTCCAAATTCCGTAAAGCATTCGTATCCGAGTGAGCTCTGCGAAAGACACGCTCGCTCCTCTTGATGACAGTTGTAGAAAGTCCTTCTGCTATTGATGGGCGGGCTAAATTTTCTGCGGGATCTGAGTTGGATTCCGAAACCATATGAGATATATCCGAATTACTGCGCATAACAGGCGCTCTTTGACCGAGTACCTCGTGCTCGCTGTCTGGCTCCAAGGGAGAAGATGCCATTAACACGGCTAGGTCATCGCCCATGTCATCTTGTAATTCCACCCCAGCTGATGAAGCAAGAGGACCGTACACCGAAGCATGTGTTGGAATTCGGTTCAGTAATCTCGTTTGAGAGTTCTGCGACCTTGAAATCTTTGGTATTTGGATTTGCCCCAAAGTAGTGTCTGGATTTATGACACTGCCTACTATCAACGTATCGGCGTTCGTCGACGTGTCTAGATTCGATTCTTCGAGTATGGCAAGCGTGGAAGCTGAAAGAGGAAAATCAAGATCAAATTCGACAAGAGAGTCCTCATCTGCTGTTGGACTGTTATCTCTCCGTCAACGTGGATTATTTCTTCAGTTTCGAGAGGTTTACTGACTTGGAATTCGTCTGCACTTCCTTTTGGCCTTTCGAAGGAAGGAGCGCTCTATACATGAGTTTCTGACGTGGCTTTTCATTGCTCATGCGTAAAGGATTTATGGAGACGTTGCTGTTGATAATCGAGTTCGAGTTTTCGGACAAGACCTGCGGTCCTGCGGATGAAGACTGCCCATTTGGAGTATTTTGAGTGAGAGGGGTTTGAGCTACGGGTCTTGATTGTCCTCGATGTGCTCGCTCTTTTATTGGTGATGCGCGTGCATCGCCTGACGACGATTTGGGGCCTTTGGTTTGTATTTGAGCTTTTGGCCTGGATTGATTCCGGCCTAGAGTTTGCTCCGAAATTGATTGAGTATTCCCCGAAAAGACTCTGGTATTGTTGGTCAATATTTGACACTCTGATCTTGACTGCTCTCGATCGGATTGTTGTTCCACTGAAGGTCTTTGCGTGTTTGCCATCAAGGATTTTGGGGTATCGGTAGACTTCTCTGTGTTTCGCTTGGTAGTCGAGACCGGAACAGCTTTCGGCGATGGCTTGACAAAGCTTGGATTATCCAAGTTAATTACTTCCGGTCGACTCCGCACCGGCCCATTAGTACTTTTATGTTGTAAGATATCTGACGTAGGTGTCGGTTTTTGTCGTTTTGCGGGCCGTTCGCCTTGTGTAGGTCGTTGTGGACGATGACATTGCTCATACGGCGATTGCGGTGTAACTGAACGACCAATAGGCCCTCTCTGAATACCCAAAACATCATTTAGTGGTTTGAGTGGGTTGAACGGCCTAACTGGTCTTGCCAGGGGTGATTGTCTTGCGTATGAAGCTGATGAAATACCGGAGGACAGCGGAGGAGCCGGGGTTTTCTGCTGCGGAGATTCTTGACTAGCTTTGCGTTTGTCGAAAAGCACGGATATATCAGTCTGCGTGGTTTCCATGCACTCGCTAACTTGTATTAAAACGCCCTTGTCGAGTTCTAACTCATCACCATCCTCGATGTCGTGGCTTTCCCGCCAATGGTGATCGCCTATGAAATTTCCAGCATCGTCGTATACCATGGCGCGCTTGTTGAAGGTGTGGTATTTGAGGTACCCATCTTGCCAGCGTTTTGCCTTGCGGCGAACATCATGAGTATATAGGCATCGGAATTTGATGACTGGGGCGGTGTTTTGACTGGCAGGAACACTGGTCGCGCGATTGAGGGACGAGGACGGTAGAGACATTTCAGCCGACTGAGATGTCAGGAGATATCATCCTTAGATGTAGAGCCTGGGTGCTTCCTAGTAGTGAGGTGGAAGATTGATGGCTAATTGAACTTAAGGAAGGTGACGCGTGAACCGGAAGACGCGTCTACGTTGATGCCTTAGATAATTGTTGCCTTAGGGTTTTCATAAGCAGTAGCCCTGGACAGCGTACCTCAATGTCAAGGAATACACCTGTAGTTTCAGAAATAATCTGGCATGTGTAAGAAGATTACCTACGAATTATTATAGCATCCTGAACTTACAGATAAGTTATAACTCTCCCCGTAGGTCTTCCTCTTTGACCTACGTACCGGAGATTTCCTGAGACGAGCTGGGCCCTTTCCTTGCTCACTACTTGCCGCCTTTGGTACAACTGAGCATGTCCGGTCTTATGAGCCTCTAGAACTCTAGCTTTGTATTATATCAAGGTGATCGTCGAGATGAACCTCTGTGGGATGGACAAAGGATATCCCCGGCAAGGGTCGACTAGCAATCTTCGGTTTACCATTAAGTTAGCTTAGGCCACGGGGATTACATAACCAAAGAATTTTGCCGTTAACTAACTAGTTATTGTATTTTACTTATTTAGGAAATAATTCTGTCAATGAGGTGTTGATAAAGTGCTGGCTGTTCTTGGGAGTTGGACTGTGGGCACAAGACTAACAAAGTGAAAGAGGTGGCAAAGAGAGACGCCGGTTTGAGGTAAACTCAAAAAAATATTGTGCCGACGGCTTTTGGTTGCAGACTCATGATGCCGTGATACCTGATACCTAGTTATCCAAAGCAAAATCGCATCTGAATTCCATGAAGTTGACAAGCTTGCTGTTTCTTGTCAATAATAGACCCCCACCAGACCCCATCATTAGAAGACACACTCCTTTCCCTCCATATCTCCTCAAGTAATGAAGAGGCACTATTGAACAGATTATAGCCCGAGCGTCTATCCCAGTATTGACAGAATTCTCGGATACTTTGTCTCAAAAAGGGATCTTTTGTCTCACACCCAGCAAGAAATAATGGGAAGAAAGCCTGTTTCGCAACTATAGATGTACGACGACAACTTTGAACATGTTCGAAGATCAGTCTTGCATAGGTGACCAGTATATTGGGTGGATTCGATTCTCGATTCCACAGAAACACCCGGGTGATATAGATCAGGAGGCCGTATCGCCATGTCTCAGTGCAATTCCATCGATCGCGTTGCTGCTGCATTGCTTCTTCGGGGAGGTTATTATCAATCGGGGTACTAGGGTTTCTCCATTCACTAATAGAAGCACGGGTGTTATTAACAAGTGCTGGATCGAATTTCGTACAACGCATTGAAAGCGCCTGTTCGTTCTCCCGAGCAAGATTTGTCAGCTGCATCAGATGAATGATCAGGTCTCTGGGACAGCCGACGAGATCAAAGAAACTCCAATACTTGTTGTTCTCTAGAGCCAGCAGAGACTCGAAGTAGGAGTATGGGAGCATGCAACCCTGTCGTGAGATAAGGGCTATAGTTGCATCCCACCTTGAGTAAGGTCAGTGTGGTCAGACTTCAGAGGTCAAAAGAACATACCACAGAAGTAGGGCAACCTGGGCTTGAACTCTTCTGTTGTTGGCCCAAAACTCAGGACCACCACAAATATGGAGAAGCTTTCCGGCGTCGGAAATGTGAGTGGTCCAATTACTAAAAGCGGACTGTGTTGCCTATATCTATTAGCTATATCATAATGGTACCAAATGGATAGAGCACTCTGTCCACTCACCCTAAATAAGAATAGTATCATGGTCGTATCAAGAAGATGCACTGTCCGTGTTAGATCAGAATCCAGGTCCTTGTGATATAGATTTTGAGCAGCTTTATAGTGGTCATCAATTTCAGAGTTTAGATAGCCACTTTTTTCTTGTCTCCGTGCATGATAGCAAGATACAGCTAAAATGGCATGTAACAAGGACCGGGATCTGTGGCAGGTTTCTATGCGGCATCGTAGAGGATTGCTGGGAATATCTCCACTCAGTGGTATAACACAGAATTCTTGATCGTCTAAAATCTGAGTTAGATCCTGTCTTTAGAAAAATTGAAATCCCATTTCTTACACATATTGAGCAATTGTTCATATTTCCCGTATAGATCCTCATATAGAACGGGACTCCGCAAGACCATCAGTTGGCGTGGATCTATGAACGTAGAGTCGACTTGATCCATAGGCGAAGGTGCAGCCGCTCTTTCCAAATCATGACGAGTATCACTGGGTAAACAAGTCTCAGCCTGCTCGAGGCCTATATTTTCAATTGGAGGTAGGCTCCAGTGTTCGAGACTGCTGAAGAAGCAGTCATGTGGAAATCCCATAGAGAAGGGATCAGACACGTCGATGTGTTCATTGTTAACAGTCCCTTCCAAATCCATGTTAGTAACTCAAGCCCTGCAAAAGTATCTCAGGTCACCGTAAGTACCGCCACTTGAAGATGTAAAAAGAGGGCTTCTCGATGTAATTTCATGGTCGGTAGTGTCCCGTGAGATGCTCCTTTGCTTGGAAGGTACTCGTGGTTCAATCTCATAACAAGATGAAAGTCTCCTTCTTGTCCGTGGCTTGCACGATGCAGATGTCTGCTTCTGATCCGAGATTCCCTTGGAGACGAATTCCAGCTTTTGATATCTTTGACTGACAGACCTAGAGAACCCGCTACGTGCATGTAAAGAGGCTTGAAATGACAGAGGCTCAAGATAAAAAGGGTCGTCTCCACGAACAAAGGACAAATCAGCTCTTCGTTGAAATGATTCGCTTCTGGACCATGTTAGCTGCATGGGATAACCACCGCATAGAATGTCCTTGCCAGAACAAGTCGAGCATCTTGGCCGCTTTCTGTCACACTGACGCCGATGGGCGGTACAAGTATGGCAGTCCGTTTTGGCGAATGCCAGGGAATTTGTGCGAGTGTTAGACGAAGAGATGGACATAGCTGGGTTAAGTTAGCTACAAGAGGAATGTATGGAGATTTAGGAAAGTGGAAGAAGACAGTGGCCCGGGTGAAGCCCCACGCAACTAATTATTTCCCGATTGATCTCTCTTGCCATAGTCGGTTAGGGCTAATTGCAGTGGCAGTGCAAGCCCATAATAATTTTGAAAGACTGAAACTATTCCATGGTCAGTCAGTTTCCTAATTCGTTTCTCTTGCCCTTTTAGGAAAAAGCGTGAGAAGGACGCTCATCAAGACAGTGTCATTTTTCTCATACAGACATTTCCCCTTTTTGCAGTCGCCATGGCATGCACCGAGAAGAAACAGGATTTTATTGCCCTTGCTGAGGCGCTCACCAATACGCCGTGGTGTGATGACTACGAGAAAATGATATCCGGAATGTTGTAAGAATACCTCCAGTCCTTTTTGCTGACGTCTACTTACCACCGTCCAGTTACGATTCTTTCGTGCCCGAGCTAGTAGAGGGTCGCCTACGTGCTCGAAAACTTGTCAAGAAGTATAACGATTATCTCCCTGATGATGCAACCAACGAGTCTCTGAATAAAGACCGTGAGATCATGCTGAAGGAATTCATCGGTCGAGTTGGTAAAGGAGTTTGCATTGACCCTCCTTTCAGAGTCGATTACGGGTGTAATATCATTATCGGAGATGAGTTTTATGCAAACTTCAAGTGCGTTCCTGGAGTCGATGGGAGCTCTTCAAGATGGCGGCTAACATAAGCATACTCAGTATGGTGATCCTCGATTGTGCAATTGTGAAAATTGGTGACCGCGTAAAATTCGGCCCCAACGTTAGTGTCTTTGCTGCAATACATCCAACGGAAGTACAGGCGAGAAGAGAGACTCCGGACTATTCAAAGGAGGTGACAATTGGGAACGATTGCTGGATTGGAGGCCACACAGTAATCATGCCGGGTGTGACAATAGGTGACGGCGTGACCATTGGTGCCAGCTCGGTGGTGACAAGAGGCATTCCAAGCTACTCGATAGCTCTTGGGTCGCCAGCGAGAGTAATCAAGAGGGTTGAGTCTGTAGATATGCGATAGATGAAAAGAGAAAGAGTCAGGGACATCTTGCCCTATTGGGCAACCCCCACTAGTCCCAATGTGGATATTTGTGGCCTCAAACCTCAGGCGTCGAAGGTTGTATGACAGCGCTAGAATTTGGCCAGACCTTGCATCCTTCAATCTGTCTTTTTGTTTTGTCATCGTCTTCTTCTTCAGACTGCACATACCAGCATATCTCTGTTTCGAAGTTTTACTCGTGTTTATTGAGACACAGCCTCCGCAGACGCGTACGCATCACGTAACGAATCCATTCCGGTCACCCCGCGGAGGTGCAACCAAGCCTCGTTCGTTACACCTTTCCCATCTCTGTACTGTATGAACTTTTGGATATAGCAAGGGGCAACAGCGCCATTTATACTCAGAACAAACCAAGTTTATATCGAATCTACAAAGTCCCGCAAACATGCAGTCTATGCACAGGCAGTTCGGAAAGTTGATGAAGAGATCGGCGGATGATAGCCAGGTTTCGGTGCTCTTGAAGGACTTTGACAATGCAGATAAACTTTTGACAAAGGTTCGGAATGGATGCTATTCTTCTATTTATACAATCTGTCTATGAACATTTCCGTACTGATACCCCTCCTATCTAGATTATAGAATCGACGAAAGCCTGGCGCGATGCATGGATATCGATCTTGACGTATCAAGGGCGCCTGGTACAAGAATTTGAGACCGTATACGCACCGATTGTGGGCTCCTCAGAAGGAACCAAGAGTCGACCAGCTGTAGAAACACCTAAATCAACTCTGGAAAGGGTCAACCGCCTGAGTCAAGAATTCGAGTCGCTTCGGACGGATTTGCTGGTTGATGTGAATGCTGTGGATGATCGCATGATTCGTCCGTTCCAACAGGCAAAGGATTATCTGGCTCCATTGAAGAAAACAATCAAGAAACGAGAAGATAAAAAGGTTAGCATAAAGCCTCGAAAGTTGTCGTTGGATGTCATTATTGACGCCGAATATTGCAGCTGGATTACGAACACTTTCAGAACCGAGTCGATAACTCAATGAAGAAGGCTAAACGAAGTGATCGTGACAATGCGGTGTTAGCCAAAGCAGAGGCTGACCTGGCGAAGGCCAAGGAGGTTTGTACCCCATAGTATCATTGACGACCCCTAGCTAACTCCGTTACAGGAATACAGCAGTGCAGACGATAACTTGAGACAACACCTGCCACCACTTATTACCGCCGTATTCTCTCTGGTGCCTTATTTCTTAGCATCGCAAATTGAACTGCAAAACGCCCTACTCGGCCATTATTATACCGTTCTTCATACATACGCTCAGGACGAAAATTTCCAGTCGCCGCCTCCGCCAATGGAGGATGTTATTCAAGTCTGGAAGTCTGAATTTTTACCAATCCAGCAAGAGATTGAGAGCTTCACAACTATAGCAAACGGCAAAGCCGTTCGAGGGGATGACGATCGCCGTAACGGAAGTCATTCAAACGGTTTCGGCGTGCGACGTCCGAGTTATAATCATCAGATATCCGCTACATCACCCAGTCGCAATCTTGCTCCTCCTGCCCCGAACCTCGGAACGAAGCCAAAAATTGGTCAGACTTTGGCGTCATCTCCATCGGCTGCTTCCAGTTATCTCAGTGTAAAGTCGCCGTCTCCGGCCGCTAGTACGCCTGAATATGCATCCGACCATTATAGTACCCCCATGACCCCAGGTCAAGCATCAGGCGGTTCTCGCGGCGACTATTTCAGCCGAGGCAGACAGCCATCTTCAGGTTCGACCACGCCTGGTTCTATGTTGAGCACGATAGGAAAGAAGAAACCTCCCCCACCACCGCCCCCTCGCGCAAAGTCAGCGCATCAAGCTGTTTACGTCACGGCTTTGTACGACTTTGGTGGCCAAGGTGAAGGAGACTTGGTGTTTAGGGAAGGGGATCGAATTCGAGTAATAAAGAAAACTGATAGTACGGATGACTGGTGGGAAGGCGAATTACATGGTGTCCAAGGCAGTTTTCCGGCCAATTACTGTCGGTAATCGAATCCGTCTGGAATCAATACGGAATATTATGTGATTATGTTTCATTACGTTCATGATGTGATATCCAAATGCAATGGGCGGAGAAATCGCATGCAACGAATACGCAAGGACATCTATGTATTTAGCGATATAGTATTATTATACGCAACATGTTTTGGTTTCAATTGGTTAAGTGCACTGCGAATCGACCATGGAATTTGAAGAGTCAATATATGGTTGAATCATCACTTTCGGGCTTGACCTGGGAGAGCCTTATATTCATGTTAAGGTATGTATGCAGTATTTGAATAACTTCATTTTGAATGCTCTCCTACCAGATTGGAAGCAATGTGCTCCAAGGGACATGCATGTCAATAGAGTAATCCGATCCAAATCACAACCTGGAAGGTAACCACTAGGTATCATCGGTTTCCTAACAACCGCCCTTGGAACATCCATAAATATCGGAACTCTCTAGGTGCAACTCTCATCCCATGTAGTTTCAAGTCTACCTAGGTGCTGCATTGGTGGAACGGTTACCTACAAACCCGAATATTCAAGGCAGTCCTCCGCTCTGGCTCTTCAAAAAATGGCTATTTACTTACAACTCTCTACTACCTACGAGGATTCATAGAGCTCTCAATCGACAATGTCTTCTCAGCAGATCAATAACGATGTGGACACTCCACAGGCTCGCGAGCCTGAGTCTATCGGATTCCTGGACCTTCCATACGAGCTACGCCTAATGATATATCGCTACTATATTCCCTGCAAATTCGACATTCTTGTAGAGCTGAGTTCAGGAGGAGTAATCGTCCTATGGAACCTCCAGTGCCACCATAGGCAGAGTTCCTTTCATAATATCCTTTGTGTCTCGAAACAAGTCAGCGAGGAAAGTCTGAATGTACTCTACGGTGAGAACCATATCGCTTTCATTAGGTGAAAGATAAGGAATCATTATTCAGCATATTTTTTACACCAAAGAATAGAGAGATATTTCGATCATAAGTGTATGTTATACGCATGGAATCCATCGTATGGGACCTCTCGGAGCCAGAATGGGAGGAAGACTCGGAGGAAGATCGGGACGGTTATAATTCACCGAAATTTTATTTGCATAGACGTCAAGGTGTACTGAATTGCAGCCTCGGATACTGTCAGACCTATGGTCAAATTTCTGAAGACTGGATTCGTTGTCTTTGCTCCATGATAGCTTGTAGATTACAATGCCGGGATTGTTGACGCCTGCAGTCACTAGAGTCCTTGTCTGCTTGCCCTCGTCGGTTGACGAGGATATACTGGGCAAGATCTGTTGTTGTTTTAGCGAATACCTGCCTCAATACTATAAGATTGAGTTTTATGCTAGGTGGGCTTATGGCGATACATGCCACGAAGTATTTTTATGGAAAGGAAACCGATTTCAGGGGCTGGATCGCTTCTTTGATGCAACTTAGGGCTTATATAGGCTTCATATTCAGGTTTGTGAACAAATGTATATCTAGCATTTAACCAAAGAGGGAGGATGTCTGTATCTACGTCTAGAATTCTTTTCTAGGTACAATGAGATCAATTCTAGGTGATACCAATCATTGTTGACCCCCTGATTTTCGGTTGTTTGCAAACATCTGACTAAGCAGCAGCGCCCAAATGTCTTGCATGACTTAGGTCAAAATATAAGTGTAACTATCTCATCCGCTAGAGCACTCTATACCCATTTATCTAGGTATATTTAGTCCAGCCTTTTTCATCTCTTGAGCACAGTGAGAGCAGGCAACTTGTGCACATCATCAAAGACCCTTCTTAGCACCGACGTTGTCGTTAACATGCACAACACAGCACAAAAGCCAAACAGTATGTCTCGGCGACAAGATTTTTCTAATAAGATCATGTTCACAGCTTTGTTCTTTCTCTCCTTTACATATTTTTGCCACGGATTGATTCCACATCCTCAGATCTTGAGGTGTTTCTCTTCATCATTTCCTACACTCGAGACTCACAAGATCGAACATCGAAAATTCCAACACTTCACCCATACAGAACCCTTAGGATCAACAGCCCACAGGAGTCAAGATGGATTCAGAACATCAGATCCAAAAATTCCAGGCTCTAAGCCTCCAACGCCGTGCCACACCAGCAAACTTCCTCGATTTGCCCTATGAACTGCGCCTACAGATTTATAGTTACTGTATCCCCCAAGGATACATCGTGGAGACTGCAGGAAACTTCATCGACCGAAACACGAATGCAATAAAGACCAAGTTTGCGTTCAACCCTCGCGAGAACCAAGAAATACCCAAGCTGCAGATATCACAAACCAACACGCTTAATCCCTCCCTCCCGCGTGTATGCAAACAAATCAGCGAGGAGTGCCTCCAGATCCTATACGGCAACAACCAATTCTCCGTCCGCATAGTACCAGGAGGGGGGGAATCGGATATGAGGGATGTGATGACGGAACAGAACATGATGAGAATTCGTCATGTCAAGGCAACCGCTGGCCTGTGGCCAGGGTATATGACACAGACATTTTTTCCGTTCTTAGACGACGAGTTCTGGGAAGCAATGACTCCTCATTTGAAAAGTTTCGTTTTGGAAGCTAACGAGCCTGGGACTACCTGTCTCGACTGGATCACCGCTTCTCCGGAAGTCGGTGGAGGTCGTTTGGCACATCGTTGGGATGTGCGTATCAAACCATATTTTCAGCTTTTTGGAAGGCTTCTGGCTGATTTTTGTGACGATGTTGAAATCGATATCTCCGTTGGCTGGGAGACCTTGCCACTTGCGCGAGGATATTTTCCAGCTCCTATTGTGGTGAAGGAAATGAACAAGGTGCAATGCGTCTGTGGTCGAGGTTGTACCGATTACTACTAGGCTTGACAATCGTTAAGCAGATTGTCTTGCTCGACCGACTTTTTTTCACTTTTTTCATTCTGCATGTCTATTTTACATTACTCCTATTGAGCAAGTTATGATCTTGAATGTCACATCGCAGAATGAATCTATCAGACCAAGACAGCTTTTAATAAACATAGACTTGAACAACTATACATAAAGAATGATGGCATGAGTGTCTATAAATACAGGCCCTATTCAATAGACTGTTTTTCAGACCAAAAATTCAGTCTCCTAGACATAACAACGAACCTTGCCAGTTGATTGTTTCACGATAAAGCATACAAACCTATATAAAGGTGACGTAGGGTTTCAAAGTTATCAGATAAACACACTCTCGCTGGTAAATGAACTTTGCCGGGTCACTCGCCGGTTCTGCAGAAAGTCCTCCACCATGCGATTCCCACCAGTCTTGTTGGGCAGATCTTCCAGTTTGGAGAGTCCAATGGCCTTGTCTTTCTCCCTGAAGCTCGGAGACATGTGATTTTCTTTGTTACGCTGTCCATTGTTAGACACCCCACGAATGGAGCGAAATTGGACGGCCTTCGCATCTGGCTGATCATCAGCCTGTTTGAGTGTGTTTCGTCTCGCCATACTGCGATTAAGTCTTGCCTCGCGTGCTGTCCTAATAGCCTGTCGATTAAATGGAGAATTGTTGATAAGATAGGGGTACTCTCGAGTTTCATTGGAGAATGGATCAGCAGGGTAGCCTCGTTGGATTCCGAACTGATGGATTTCCACTTCATGAGACTGCTGGAGTCTGCTGTTTGCAGAAAGTCGGGCTGCTGCACGAAGTGATCCCATTGACTGTCGGCTCATTGGTCTAGAGAAGTTGTTCTGTCCATAAGGTTTGGGCTCGATTTCCTGTACATCTTGTCGCGATGCGTAGATCTGCCGAAGTTGGCTAAGAGATACGTCTCTGTCAGTGGTTGTATAGCTTGGATCGCGACTTCGTGGAGGCTCTTGGGGAATCGCCTCCCCATCGCACTCAGCATCTTCACGGTGATGTTCTCGCTGGCTAAGGAGGTCTGGTGAGTCAAAATCAACCTTGTTCATCACCCAGTGCCTCCATTCTGCACTGTTCCTTGGCCCAGATTCAACGGCTGGCGATTTTTGTCGTCTGGGAGATTTGTATGGCACTTGAACATCGTATATTGTAGCCATACCAGGCTCGAAAGGTTCCTCGGGTACATCTTCCAAGTCGTCGCGACTTGCGGCAGCGCCACTCGGAGTACGTGAGTAGATGCTCGGCGAGCTTAGGTCGGCAGGCTTTTCGCTGTCGTTCTCGACGAGGTTTAATCTCGAAGTGTATATGTCTGGCTCATCATGTATCTCACGAATCGAAGTCATCGAAGCCTTGTAAGGGCTTGGCGTCTTCAGCCTTGGTGATCCTGAAGGGAAGAATGACGGTTTTGAATCTCTAACGTTCACTCGAGCAGAACGTCCCGACGAAGTGTGAGGTGTTTGCTCTACCCGTAGAGGAGTGGCAGGACTTTCAGCCATATAATACTGAGAACGCAAAGATGAATGACTCTGGGAGCTTTGTGGTTGACGTTCTACCATAAATGAGGTTTGAGCCGTTTTCATCGAGAGATCACTTGGTACTTTGTGGATGCTGCCATGATTCCTCAAGGTACGGATGGAAGGTGAGCGTTCCACGGTCACAGGCGACCCTTTCACCGCGCCAGTTGATACGATCCTTTCTCCATCTCTCGCCGCAGTTTCGCCGATATGCCTCATAAGAGCAGAGTAAACTCGTTGAGAATCAATCTTGCCATGCCGGTTACCTACTTCGTCAAACTCATACATCTCTGAACCACCTGGCAACGAATTGTCGACAAAGTCGTAGCCCTCTTCGATGGTGGAAAGAGATTGACGGCCCGTGGTATGTCTTGTTCTCACTGTATTTCCTGCGGTCGAATTGGTCCAGCTTGTGACACGAGAGCCTGACGTAGCGATACTCTCAGAGCTTTTTGTGGAGTATAGGCTTGGTCGCAAGGTGTCATCAGAAAGTGTGGGACTGTAATCGTCAATAATAATCCCTTTCAAGGTCAAGCAGGTCAGGCAACGTACCTTTCAAAAACCAAATCGCTGTCATATGATGAGTGACTCGCTGGAGAATGGCCATCAGCATAGCTTGGGATACCGAAGACCCGTTTCAATCTCTTTCTGATATTGATAGAGAACGCTCGGGCCTTTGAATGATGTTTACCGCTATTACCATTCGAGTAAACGCCATCATCCGGACTATATTCCCGCATTGTTCGTACAGTAGTCCTCATCGGTTTATGTGCAGGTCGATCCACAAGCCCAGAAGGTAGTGGCAATGGAGGCACAGGAGGTTCGGTATCAAACTTGGAAAGATGCTGCTTGCGGGTGGAAAGTGAACCGTGACTCTTCATCTTCCTAAGCGTGTGCGAAGCGCCATTAAAGAACGACAAAGAATGACGGAGAGATCTGTGTGGCCCAGTTGTGGAATCGGTGCTTCTTCTCAGGGAAGGTGAGTCAGCCTCCGAGCCGTTGGCTGGAACACCTGCAGCACGTAGGTTTCTCATGGACTTGGTAGTGAGCATAGATCGGGACTTGCGGAGCCGGCGGAATGAAGATGGAGCATCGAGATCCCCATTCAGTCCAAACTCTTGAAGCTCGTTAATCGGAGGGACTCTGAACGGAGAGGATTCATCTTCGGGCTCATCATCAACGTGTTGAGATGATGAATGAGGATTCGACACTATGTCTTCCCCGGTAAGACTAGAAAGCGAAGGGCGACGACAAAGTGCTCGAGCAGAAGGCATTACTGCGGGATTCTCATTTGAGGACGCTATTGCTTTCTGTGATGTATGAGCCATTCTATTTTTTGCCTGTGCCATTGCTAGTGATGCAGCGGTGGTAGCATGATAACGATCAACCTCGGACTCTAAAGGCTTCAAGACAGCGGCTTGACGGCGCTTCTGTACGGATGGAGTGGACTTTGCACGTCTGACTCGATGGAAGCCGGGTTCCGAAGGCATTGTGAGTGTGATATACCGAGTAGTATCAAGTAGTTGTAGTACATACAGTATCGTATATCTGAAGAAGAGACAATACAACTGATGATGGAGTTATATCTTCCAGGTTGATGATGGGAAAGAAGAAAAGAAAACAACAAGAGAAGAAAAAGAGATGTCGTCGAGGTCGCATGCTTCCTAAATAGGAAGGGGCAACCTTCGCGCAAGAGGAAAGAGGCCACCGCATGCCTTCCTTCCCAAGCTGAGCATCTAGTTAGGTAAGCAAGGAAACATCACTTTGTAACTCTTTGTATTCTGCGATATACTCATTATTTATTATCAAAACATGGCATCCCGTTAACAAGCCATCATCAAGAAACTGGAGAAATATGGAAACGCTGGTGAGATCGATTCATGTGAGAAGAGATGGACATTGTACAGTCGTAGAGGAGTGTGATCGATAGATTATAGCGAGAGGCCAGCTCTCGGAAACGAGACAACTTATCAGGCGCCGTCGCCCCAAAGTCCCACGATCGCCATTGAAAGCGCAGCGCCGGACAGCAAGGAACGGACAAACTGATGAGACTGTTCACGAGCCATGTCACGCTCTACTGTTTCTCCATTAAAGCCTGCTTCGACCACAACCAAATCTTCTTCCTGCTTTGTCGAAGGAGAAGTCGTCCCAGAAGAAGTTTTCTTGACAATAAGAGATGGGAAGTCGATGTCTTCCACGACGCTGCGCAGCCAGCCACCCAAACCCAACTGTCTATTGAACCAGAAGTCGATTCCAAAAGAGCTGATGGCGGATGTCAAGGATACCCAAATCAGATAAGGATGCTTCTTGCGCTTCGATGCGACGAACCAGGCGAAGAAGAGACAAGTGCTTGTTAGATTCGACAGCCGGAACGCGTGTTTGCGCGAGCGTCGCTTTGCTTCTTTCAGGGCGCGGGCGGCATGTGAAGCCGTGGGTAGGGCTCGTAAGGTTGGAATGGTTATAACTGCCGTGGAGTAAGACACGCCCTATATTCATGGTGGGTTTAGAGCGAGATAAGACATTCAGGTGAGTACTTACAGTGAGCAGGCCCAGGGATACGGTCCCGATAAATTTAGTGGCTGTAATCGGACAAGACATGTCGCAGTATGATTCGATATTTGATCGTATCAGATGAGCGTGAATGATATGTTGGATAAGATTGCGATGGTGATGTCGGGCCAGGTGCCGTTGTTGTCTCCCAAAATGTTGCGGCGCAGAGCTAATTGGTACTCACTGATTGGCTGCCGGGAATTTCTTCAAAGGAGCCAATCAGATAAATCGTTTTACCGCTGTTAACAAAGTAACAAAAAAAAAACACACATTTCTTTGAAATTTGAAAGCAAATTAATTTGACTCAGCTGATAGACAGGATTACTTCCATGCGCTCGAATGCTCTTTTCGCAAGTTGATTAAATGCTTACTCATTCTGAGTCATCTTCTGATTGGCCACATTGAAATGCTGGACACGGAGCAGTTGCCTAGTGACTCATATATCAGCTTATGCCAATATGAACAAGGTTGAATTCGTGGTCTTGGGTGACTTTTAGAATACTTGTCTGCACCGGAATTGCTGTGACGAATACCAGACAAGTGAGCACTTCTTCACCAAGGGTACAAAATCGGCTGAGGTGAATATGGCGCCCGGATATGACAGACATGGGAAGCCCTCGTCAGTTACAAATCCTGCAAGTCTAGATGGGCCCATCACTATTATACATATCGATGGGAGAATGCTTGAAGGCGGTGGACAGCTGGTCCGCAATGTTGTTGCTCTGTCCGCTCTGACTGGTCTTCCGATAACCATCGACAACATTCGGGGTAATCGCCAAGGAAAGACGGGATTGAAGGGTTCACATGCGGCTGCAATAGGGTTCATTGCAGGTATATGTCAGGGAGAAGTGGTGGACGGACATGTCGGTTCTCAGAGGATGACATTCTATCCTCGAAAAAGGGAGTTTTACCACAGCCATGATCGGTCTGAACCGAACCAAATCTCACCTGCGCCGCAACAAACGAAGCTGTTTAACAGCGACGTGCCACCGATAAAGCCAGAGTACAAAATTCATCAACATACGGCAGGTTCCATTTCGTTGGTATTCCAGGCACTATACCCATATCTAGTTTATGCTAGCAGCCTGTCATCGATGGATACCAAAGAGCCTGTAAGAGTGCACATCACGGGCGGAACAAACGTCACATTTTCTCCTTCTTTTGACTACATAAACCAAGTTCTAGTACCTAATCTACGAACTTTGGGACTGCCAAAATTGAATGTCAGACTACACAAACGTGGCTGGTCGACAGGACCAAAAGATCTTGGTTCTGTGACATTTGACGTTTATCCGCTAGAACCCCTGGAAAGCCACTGGTTTCCGATTCTCAAACTGCATGAATACAGAAGAACAGAGGTGACATGGGTAAACATCACGATTCTAGCCCCTGACATCAATATTCAGGACCGAGAAGCACACGGGAGTCGTCATGATAGACGGAAAATAAAGCATGAGAAACACCATACCTACGACAGTGACATGTACTCGCATTGGACGATTCGGGAGTACCTTGAAGACCAATGCGAAAAGTCCTTACGTAAGGCTTTGAAGGGCTTAAACAATAAACGACCTTCTGGAGACGGAGACGAGAGCACTTCCGAACCCACAATCCAAAGACATCTTTCAGAAGCCACGCATCACCATACACATATCTACATCTTGCTTGTAGCACACATGTCAAACGGCCTTATTCTCGGAACCGATGCACTTTTCGACGGATACGAGAAGCGCGACAGCCGCAAAAACAGAAATCGCGATAACAGCGATAATACGATTGCAACCCTAGACAATTTAGTGGACAGCTGCGTTGGTCGTCTCGTCGAAGAATTAGATGGGTCGAAGAGAGATGATGGTAACGGGAACGCGGGCTATCATCCGGTTGTCGACGTTCATATGCGTGATCAACTGGTCATTTTTGAAGCTTTAGGGTTGGTGAACAGGTCAGTGGAGCGGAATGAAAGCAGTGTAGGGAGTGATGTTGAGGACCAACGATATTGGAGTCTGCATACTCGGACTGCGCGATGGGTGTGTGAGCAGATCCTAGGGCAGGATATCTGGAACGCCTAGAATATCTTTAATGTCTACAGAATCGTAAGTTTCATAAGATGACTACGAGGTGAACATGAGTACAATTGCATACCCTGATAGAGGCAACAGGATAACCGCTATCCAACAGGAGAATAACCAGGCTAGGTACCAAGGTAGCCCTAAAACAACCAAATTTACTATATACGTAGTCAATACGAGCTCACGGACGCAAAATCAACATGAAACACGAAACAGCGCCTGAAATAAAAACTCAAAAAACCCTGACTATCCCTATTTCCGTTGGATAATGAGGCTCAATCCCCGGAACCGACTCGGCGATACTTCCCGGTGCTCGTATTCTAGTTGAAGTCAAAGACCTCGACTTGCAGGACGGGGCGACCGTTACTCTGTTAGAAGCTATTATTAGCGAATTAGCCGTGAATAATAGGAAAAACCAAAAACCGGGCAAACTTCAATGTATGAAACTCGGTAAGAAAGTTCCGTTAGTCTGTGTGGTTGATGATTAAACTCGGATAATCAAATCTCGATGATGATCTAGGATATTATTTGATCGCTTTATAAGCCTTGATAGGAACACAGTCAGCTTCTAGGTAGAGAGGCTTAGACTTAGAGAAGCATAGCCTCTTGACAAAGACTAGTTGCATACTCGATCCGGTAAGCGCGGAGAATAATTCTGGAAGATCGGGCTGTGCTTTCTAGAAGCCTGCCTAGAAAAGATACGAGCTCAGCCTTAAAATCGGTCCGTGTTGGTTAACAGCATTGACATCGATAGATAATACTTATGTGTGTCAGATTTTAGGTACTGATACGAGTATGGTGTGAGTCAGATGTTTACTCGTATTCGCATAATCATATATACATACATAATGTTATTGTCTACACATGGATAAGAAACAAATAGGATTCAGAATAGGGTTGATAGTGAGTTTTGGAACAAATTACGTGGCTAACCCTAATTCCGTACGTTCACGCGGTCAAAGCAATTGAAACAAACACACGTAGATCTACTACGTACGTATATTGAAACAGTGAAACAAAGTCGAATGCTACGCTGGTATATTAGATACATCCTCATCTCGGGATTTGCACCGGTCAGTCGATACAAACCGATTTTCTGTCTGTTACACTGAATATGTATGCATAGATAACGGATTACTTGCATAAACCCTGCATTTGGCTACTTTTAACAGCGGAAAAGCTCTTGAAACGTTAATCCGTCAGCCGCTATCAGGCTTCTACCTTGGATATAGGAAAGGATGGAAGTTACTAGGGATATTCTACGTTGGCGGCACATCAGATACATAGTCACGAGGAAATATGCCTTGTACTCTGTGGAATACCCACGGGCAGGCCTAGATTCATCCTTAATTAATCACGGCACGGGAATTCATCGATACCAAGACCGGATGTTCGGGTACAGGAAGGAAACATGCCGCGAATGAATCCTAAACCCAAGACTTTGAGTTAAAGCGTATAATTCAATTGAATGAATTGGCTGTGTTGTGTACATGAAGATAAGCCAAACACCGTGGAATGAAGTGGGAAAAACAGGGGTATAGTCTAGCGAAGGATTTTCATACAAGGGGAGAGGATAATAATAAAACGAGAAGTGAGACAGCAAATCAAAAAGGGCCTCCCACAATTAGGCAATGTCGAATAATCAGACATGGTAATGGTAAAGACAGCAACAAGAGAAAAACGGAAGATTCAATTAAAAAAAAAAAAAAAACGAAAAAGAAAAAAAAAAAAGAAACCGGCGACGGATTCTGGCCCGCTCAGCGGGTCCCCCGTCACAAATCGTGGGTTTCAGAAAGAGAGTGTCTTAGATCCTGACAGATTTTTGAATAGGTCCAATTTGTTGGAAAATTAGAGCCACCCGCATGTTGTCTGAATCTGTCTTCGTTTTTGGCAAACCAGTCGCCAATGTGATAAGGATCGTAGGGTGAAGGTCCCTCTTTCCAAACGATAGAAGCCGGCTTGTTTGAAAGAGGTTGCACTAAAAAAGTTGTAATAGTTGGTGTTCTTGAATAAAACGCCGCGCTGATGGTTCGTATATGCTCTTGAATCAGATAGCCTCCCAGATTATGTTGAATGCAATGTTCGTTGATATTTTGTTGTTTTGTTTTGTTTCGTTGGCCGGGTACACCTACACCTGGTTGTTTTTATCCGGAGCCTCGGGATTGGCGCAGGTGGTCATCTGAGCGAGACGGCGGAATTCGCCTTGATTCTGAGCAAAGGGGGATGCCATTGTGCGTGGTCGTCGTAGGTTAAGAGCCTAACAATGATTATATCAGATATTGCAACATACAGCACAGTCTAGAACGACTTACTGTGCAATCACTGCATTTTCCACCTTGAATGTTGCAGCGGCCACGACAGCCTCGAGGGTAGTTGGAGCACGAGTACATGGTCGTAGAGACAAGATGGCCAGATCTGGTTGTGTCGAGATAGGAGAAGGGAACTCTTCAGTCGTAGAGTAGAAGCAACAGTCGTCTAGGTGTTTGTTCAAAGGAAGGAAATCTCCTTGTCGGAGGGAGTGGCTGCGAGGGAGCGTGTAGAAGGATAGAAAAGAAGGAGAGAGGGAAGGAAAGGAAAGAAAAGGACGGATGACGTCGGAAAACAAAGATGCACAAATCGACAGAAAAGGAAAGAAACTTAGTACGCAGTACTAAGGAGTTGTCTTGGGGCTGGGCTGAGAGAGTGGGAAAAAGAAGAAAAGAGAAAAACCGAACGATCGGAGTTTTAGTGTGGATCGGGCTTCCTTTCAGCAGGCTAAGTGCTAACGCCACCGACGGCAGATGGCTGAGCCTAGATCGTTGGGATGCCCGATGGCTGATTTGGACTGTAGTTGTCGAGAGTTAGGCACAGAATGCTCAGTGAAGAGAGACAACAAAAAAAAAAAAAAAAGAAAAGAAAAGGAGCAGTCGGAGCTTAAATAATGAGAAATAACGAGACAATGAATGCCCGACAAGAAAAGGCCCGATTAGGCAAAAAGCCAGGGCAGAAAAACACCTTTGTCACGAGTCAGCCAACACTTCTTTTCTTTACCAAAACAATTATTTGATTTGATTTGGACATCCTTGAAGATTCTGTCTAATTGCACATTGCATGTATGAAACAGCTGTACGAATCATATTCTCATTACGCGTACAACCCGTCCATATCAAACTGTAAAGCAGACTTGAACATGACACAACCTTGCATGCAGTGCCATGCACTCCAGTTTCTCCGATTCTAGACTCCAGCTAAAGCTGCAACTAACATCCACTTGACGAATAACAGGTCCTTGATCCTTCCGAGGCTGTGGGCGTGGATTAGGGCTGTGTGCATGACAGGTAACGGCCCCCGACTTTACGAGAGTTTACACTCCCAAGTCATAAAAGGATCAGTTTGATCGGGCAACTTGCGAATCATGTATTGCTTTGCTTAATTTAGCCTGCGCGGGGCTAAGAGACTTGACTAAGAGGCTTGGTTATCTCGATGATTGATACTAGCAAGTGCGCATGATGCTTAGACTTTGTTTCTCATTCATTGCTTTGTATTTCCAAGCCTATTTCTTTGGAGGCTTGAACATTCACATGCTATTGGACCAATTACACAAGCTGACAGATAGGAATAATCATGAAACACTGCATACCTAGATGTTTAAAATAGATCATTCGTTCTCAAAGTCTAATTCCATACCGATGCTACAATAATTTCGATTCATTGTACAAGGATGATAAATCATTGGCAGGGCAAACATCTCATAAGATGTATACACGTAATCATGGATAGTTGTCGTGATTCAAGATGAGGGTATGAAAACATTAAGGAGCCTCAATATGTTACAATGTTTCATAAACAGCACCCATGAACGTTGTATAGCCAAGACCAGGATTATAATACCTATTTCTTCTGAGATTAAACGGTTGACCGTAAGGGGTATTCCGAGCCATGCTGTCTTTGAGATCAGATGTCTAGCTTCATTGTAGCATTGAATTCTTGTGGACATAATCAATGTATCATTCTTCCACAACTTCGAATTGGAGAAGTGCTATCTCATCTGATTCTAAATGCACTTAGTGGGAAAGTAGCATGGACTGAGTGAAAATCAACATGTGAAATTTCGGAAATTAGAAATAGTTGAATCAAAGCTAAATTGGTGTATAGTATCCGCCCAGTGTCCATCAATTCTAGTCAGCCTACGCCAAGGTCCGTAAACGTTTGGATGAAAATTGATTTACCACCGCTTATATGTTCCATATAACCACGATAGAAGCACTAGACAGGAAGAATAGCTCCATTTCAATTTTGAATAGGGATTGAAATTGAGATTATTAAAGTCAACCGATATCATTACTTGTACAGTGGTATCCTCGGGTGATTTCTTTCAAGTACTCCGGTACTACCCTCACTGGTGTTGAAATAAGTAGTTGACCTTTGAACTATCTAATACTGCTAACACAAAAAGGCGTACATTCGAGTAGAAATGATATTAGTATTATCACCCCCCCTTCCCCCGAGCCTCTGTATGTACAATTTCTCTAAGATACTAATCCTAAACACAACGGCTAATACTAGCAGATTAATTAATCACTGACCTGGAAACAGAAAAGGTAGTAGGAGATAGCCCATATAAAACCCTAACCCTACTGGTTAGATATGGGGCACAGTAACATGATTGGCTGCACACAATTAAGCTTAATCGTTGACCCACTATGGCGATCTATGATCATTCCTCTTCATCCTCGGGATAAATCTCCTCAATTCGTGATACCGATGAGTCGCCTTGCTATATATACACTAAAAGTCAGCCATATGCTTCATTAATAATTGGAATATGCAGGTACCTACCGTCGTCAAGTGATAATTCAACAATCGCTCCACATTCCCCTTTAACAAATACAGCTGTCGCTCAGTACGAGCAAAAGGATCGATGCTTGCTGGCGTTTTGATAGTTTTAATCCGATTTTCGCGTGACTCGGTAGCAGTTTCTCGTTTTACTTCTCGGAATAGTTGTTGAATGACCCGGAATCCGGGAACGTAGGCGGACGGCATTGGGATGCAGGGGTACCCAAGCCGGTAGCATGAAAGACACTTTCTTATATGTGGAGAAGGGTGAGGGAGGCAGTTGTGGCTGTATCGGTTGAGTCATCTGGCACATTTTATGCAGCATAGTCTTTCGGGATTAATTGGACTTCTGGGGTCAGTAATGGGATAGGGACTTGCAGCGCATTGTGTTGTGTAAAAACATTGGTCGAATCCAATGTGCTCGTTCTCAGATGGATTATTCATGATTGCGGATCTTTTTTCTGGGCTTATTTGAGGTTAATAACTTTGGTAGAAGAGTACTGACAAGCTGAAGGAGGATCTATTTTCTGAGACTTGAAATGAGGGCAGATGAGCTTCTTGTACGCTTGACCTAGTCATAGACAAATCTAATAGACTAAGTTAGCCATGACAAGACTTGCCTAGATACCTACAAGAGAAAACATTGCGAAGGATACAATATCTAGTACAGTGAATGTGGTCAAAGAGACACACAACAAACCATAAATTTGTGAAAGATGCTACAATGCTAAAAGGATGACATTTGTCTTGCGATGTGCAGATAAGTATAGATTACCAATGAATACATGGGGAACGGGTTGTGGGCGAGTAAGCTTATTCTTGCGCATCGTAGGTTAATGGTGAGGTCTCTTTTATATATGATATGGTGAGTTTATGGTAGAAACTATCTGGAAACTTTTGACAAAAGATGCTTGGCAAGCTTGCCATTAAGTTAGGTACGACAAGTTGGATTGTGGTCAAGTTCCCAAGGACAATCAGATGCCAAGAACAGTTCATTAAAGTATAAACGGATACCGTCCTCTGCTCCCTCCATCAAGCACACTTCAAATGAAAACTGTATCCATAATCTCTCTCTCCAGTTAGGGCAAGGATGGACACATGTATGCCTGAAGCGAGTCAGCCATTATGATGACGAAGGCTGTCACGAATGTTCTCTTTGCTTGGGGGTGTCGGGCCTTGGCTTCTCTATACGAACTTTTAGCCATGTGGTATTCTTGAATTTGTGGCACAAACTTACAGCGGCTAGGGTAATGTTGATCAATCGCTCAATGTTAAGATTGATCAGAAAGAGTTGCTTTTCAGTGAATGTCCAAGACTCGTAACCGATAAGATTGAGCCACTTTTGACGAGCTTCAAATCCCAATTTGAAATTACCCCTTTGAAAATATTGCTGCACAACATGAAATTCGTTGACAAGGTGCTCTGGAATGGGACTGCAAGTGAGATGCATATTGTAGCAGCGTTGGCACTTGCGTTGATATGGGTCTGCATGGGGCACACAGGTGACTCCGACGTTGCCTACGAGTTTGGCGCAGTTTAAGCAACAGTTTTCGGCCAAGATTGGATCGCACTTGTTTGGTGGTGGAAGAATGTTAATGCCTTCAGCGGACATGACGCGGAGGTAAGATTGATAATAGTGGGTTGACGACGCTGGCGAGCAGAACAATCGCTTAGATGGACAGCGCTCGAGATTGAGAAAAGAAGGTAGGTAGCCTGATACTGACAATGGAGAAAGAATACGTCGATTAGAAACAAAAATGATTTACGAAAACAGACTTCTCTAGTAGGAATCTCACCTATTTATACTCCCTGCCAATCTTATCCTTCCCAGGAAATTTCCATCCTTTTGACAACGTCACAAAGGTCAAGGCCGGCTAAGACTCGTAGATATCTATTAAACGGGCGAACCAGTCAAAGAAGGCTTCTCTGATATGTCCATCTTACGCAATATGAAGCTTAAATGCAGCGAGTCGTGGTGCATCCTTCTGAAAGTGTGTCTGGCATAACGCACCGAATAACCTGGAAGATAATGCGAGGTATAACACGAACCAACGTCCTCATCGGTGATGTCAATCTGGTATGGTCCTCCCAGAGCTGTATACCAGCAACCCATAACTCCAAAGCTTAACCAATTCTATAGCATCAACAATCCCAAGACAAAGTCTAAATCTCCAAACCACCAGAAACCTCACCCAAGAGCAAAGACCGAAGCACAATCCACCCACCAAACATCCCGGCCACCGAAGCCAGTAAAATGCCATTTCCCTCCCAAGTCAAGGCTAGATAGGCAAGCCCTCCGACGACAACCTCTTTGATTCGAGCATTTTCCCGTCTTGTCCTCCATGTAGGATCGATGGGGAATGGTGGATGCAATCGGACATCATCGACGCCTGAAAGTTGAGATGATGCTGGAGGAGTAATTGGTTGTAATGGTATAGTCACAGCAAGTGCAACCGCACGATGATCAGACGTCGGAAACAAAGGTAACGCGTTATAACCTTGAACCTGAACATCACCTTTATTACTGGTTGTCATCCACGGAGGATAGTCCAAATACAATATTCGATCACACCAACTTGGCCAACGTTTGTTTGCCCATTTCCAGCCGTTGCTGGATTCTTGGGATTGTTCTCCGGATAACGCTGCTTTCTGAGCTTCCTCTGAATATTTATATGTAGGTGGGAATGTGATTGGTGCTTCTGATAGGCCGTGAAGAGTACGTTTAGCGAGTAATTCTCTTGTGAGTTGATCGTTTTTTAACAGTTTCGTATGATGAATTGCATCATTGGGGGTGGCGTGTGGTTGGGGGTATCGGGTATGATCCCCAGGTATAGGTGGTACATCGGAAGTACGATAATTCAAGTCTCCAGCAAAGAAAAAGTGTGACCGTGGACTAAACATTCCAGACTCTTCAGTTTTTGTATCTTGCTGAAGAAGATGAGTATCCTCATCGTAACCATTGTCACCGCGATCACCATCGCCAGCAGACCTTGTAAAAACCAACCGCTCAACAATGCTCCTCCAGTCCTGATTCCTGCGCTCATATGCATCTTCCATAGGCGCAATATGAGCAGCTACGAAGGTCAACTCCATCGTCTCGCTTCTGCCAGAGGACTTGCTCGTCACATAACCCAGCCGCGCTCCGACTGCACCTTTATTACCCATTTCCAGTAGCCCGACTCCAACCTCCGCTGTATCCGTCCAGACCACCTTATCAACTATATCGGATCTGACAAACACGAGTAGTGCTGTAAGTCCACAATGATGCGTGACGACATTCACATATCTGACCCTGTCATCCTCGGCAGTACTACACGGCCATCGATTCCGCGTCGCAATATCAACAGCCTTCTGAAAAGCGCTCAAATATGGAATAAGAAACGATCCACCCAGAAAAGCAGAATATATAGGCGCAACCTCTTGCAAACTCAAGACCAGAAACTCAGGTGGCGCGGAGTTGTATTGTTGTTGCGGCAAGACATCGAAGAGATGGGCTGCGAAGTAGTCTTGGTGAATTGGGTTTCGAGCACAGTTAAAGGTGAGAATGTATGCGCTTAGGCATTCTTCATGTGCCGATGGATTGGTCATTGTATATTTGCGAGCTTTATGACAGGGCTATTGAGTAAAAAGAGGAATATTCAATATATGAAGGTGTTGAACTTGAGTAGTGACGTAGACGGGCCCCACTTAACGCTAGCTCAGATAGGGGTTATAGGGTTAGGGTCTGGGGGAACACGCCAGTACATACCTACTGTCAACAGGAGGCTGCTCCTGTAAACTGTTCACGATACACCAATCGCTTATACAGAATCAGGTTAAGAAAAAAAAACAGAAGATACTGCTAAAAACAGACTATAAAAATAGTAAAAAGAAGAAGAGGCTTGCATCATCCGTGAATCGAACACGGGCCTCGTCGATGGCAACGACGAATTCTACCACTAGACCAATGATGCTGGTTGATATCATGCAGACAAAAAAATTGTATCTTATTCTAATGTTTCAGCCATAACAATCATATCAGATTGAGATGAAAGTGATTCATTCACCAACCACATTCCAGTACCTATCATAGCTATATACACAAACGATATATGCAGGCATTACATACAAACCCCAAAAATCTGCTCAATAATGAAACTTTGGAACAAGATAGATAATGACAGGCTTATGACAAGACCACGGAAAAAGTACGCTAAGCTAAGCATTGAATTCAACCTTGCTCACACCTCCGTCTTGAGGTAATTTACTCTGCGGCGCCGGTGACGGCGTATGTTGTCGCGCGTTACCTTCAGAAGACGGTTGATTCTCAAGCACGGACGCGGCTTCAGCACCTTCTAACAAATCCCTATCTCGATCACGGACACTACGTCGCTCAGGATCAATGCCGTATGCGCCTGCACCCCAGCTGGATATTCCTCCCACCATGACGGCGGAAGAAGCCAGACCTCTACCGTCGTCATCTTCTTCATCGTCTTCTTCTTCATTGTTATTGCGGTTCAAGGCGTTGCGCTCCATTTCGCGTTGGGCTTCTTCCATCTTTTTGCGGACTTCGGCGGCCATGCGCATTCCGTCGGAGACGATGTTGTCAAGCACACCGCGGAGGCCCTTGTTGGGTGGAACTATGCCACCTGATGCGCCGGCAACGGTTGCGCCGGAGATGGCGCCGAGCGTGGATCGGCTGGCGGCAGCGCCGATGTTGGAGAAGGTTGTGAGATTGGAAGAGAGTGAGGTTGAGGCTGTGAGAGATGCTGGATGAGGACGGTCGGAGAGATGGAAGGATTGCGGGAAGAAGGTTTCGAAGAATTGTTCCAACAGTTCGTCTGCTAGGACCACCATTCTGAAGGTGGGGAGAGTGATGTGGAGAGGGTTATTCGGGTCAAGAGCTGCGTTTGCTGCTTCTGAACGGCCAGATGGTGAATTCACGGGTAAGGATGTATCTCTCGTTGAGATGGGTGTGTGAGGAGGTGATGAGTTCTTCTCGTCTACCTCAATCAAATCTTCTTCATCTTCATCATCCCCGATAGAGAATGCATCCAATTTACTAGCAGCGCCTTCCACTTCCGTAGCAGGCTGGTCGTTTTGTTTCTGATTCTGTGGATGGCTTGGATCCGCATACTCAAAGCATCGGCGAATAAAAGAACTGACACTTCCAAGGAACCGCTCGTCAACGCTCATCTTGACTTTATCACGCTGTTCAGCTGCCAATCCTGCATCTGCAAGATTTTCCATCGTCTCGCTGGGAGTAAGTGCACCATCGAACCCTCTGCGCGACAGGAAAAGAAGAGCTTCTGAAATCCTCAAAATTCCCTCGCGGTCAACTTGACCATCCCCGTTATCGTCATAAAGATCAAAGAAATAGTTTATCGAATTCATAATGTCGCGTGTACCTTTCAACTTGGCCAATCCAACAACGACATTTTGCAAACTCAACCCCTCGCTATCGTCAGCATTCCATTTCCGATACAGCCGGCGCATAAACTCGTGATCAGCAGGTTCAACATTATCAGCCCACTTTGAATGCGACGCGCTCCGACCACGAACACTTCCGTTGCCATTATTGCGATCCTTCTCAGAAACGGAATAGTGTCGACTTGAGCTGGGAGAGTCCGCAATAGCCCATCTGGCAGTATTCGCTAAAAACTGTCTAAAGGCATCGTAATCCATATGCGTCGAACTCGGACCGAGCCCGACACGCCCAACTTCAGCGTCAACCGGGGGTCCGAGAACAGAGTAACGTTCGACCTTTTTCTTTTCCAACTTCTTCTTTTCCTGTTCTAAAAGTCGTTGTTTGCCTTCGTAGTCATAAAGTACCTCGTAGAAGCGATCGTAGATTGCGCCGAGATCTTCCATACTAAGCTTCTTACTTTCGGGGCCGAGATTTCTGATCGATGTGCGTTTTGCGAAATTTTCGATATTCTCCAAAACTGCATCCTTATGTTTCTCGCGTTGTTCAGTTATCGAACTATGAGTGATACCTGAAAACTCCTTGAAAGCCACCACCATCAATTCCTGAAACCGCGTAATAGCTCTGAGCTTGGGGTTTTCTGAACGCGGATGTGCTGATTCATCCAAGCGAGAAAAGTATGATTTCAAGATGGAAATAAATGAACCGTCGTCCTGTACATCCAGCAGCTCTTCTCCGTTAATACGCAGGATAGCCAGTCCGACTTGAAATAACACTTTCGGTCCTTCGAGGAAGAAGACGTCTAGAACTCGAAAGGCGAATACAAGGGGCATTGAGTTAATATAAAGAGAGAGAAACCACGGTAGAGATACGACGGACAATTGGACATCGGATTTCACGAGATGATCCCAAAGGACCGGCATTGTCTTTTCGACAAGTGATTCGAAGACCTTTTGATCCAATAACGTGCCGTACATTGTTGTAGAATAATAACCGGGAAGAAGTCGGTCACACAGCACCGATAGTAGAAAGAATGCTTGTGACTCCGACATATATCTACCGCCAAGTTAGTTATGTCGACTTCCAAATTATGACGGACTTACATCAAAAGCGCTGCGACAACTATATTCATAGCCTGACAGTAACCGACAGATTCATTTGTCCAGCTGTATGCAGTCAAGACTCTGCGCAAACGTCCTATACCTTCCTCACTCTGGAAACCAGGGTATTCCGGCAGACTCCGATTCAAATCTTTTTCAATCTCGTCAATAGCCAAAGACTCTCGCCCAGAGAATTTAGCCAGGGTTTCTTCGTAATGTTTAGGGGATCTTAAACGTAGATATAGCGAGCCAGACGTGAGTTCCCAGATCTCTCCTCTTAGACGATTGGGTAATCCCACACGAATGAGTTTGTGAAATGTCGGTTGACGAATCAACGTGGCATTACGTCCGTTTTCTACAAATGTCAGCATACCCATACCCCCTTTTAGTAAAAGGACGTACCTCTAAAATACTCAGCCCATAATCTCATCTTACTCCGATCACGAAGTTTACGAGCATCTCCGGGATATCGAAATACCATCCCAAGTCCCGCATCAGGTGGCTGTCGAGCGGGTGTATCGGGGTCTTCCTTCCCTTTAGGAGGAAGCGTCAGAAGATATTCTGAATACTCGTCCAAGACCACCGAACGCAAACTCTCAATCTCCTTAATACTTTCCCTCAACCCCTTTCTGAGTCCATCACAGAACCGTTCGCAGGCCTGCCTGCTTCCAACCAGTTGGATAGTGAATTTCTGAGGCACAAAGTTTGGATTTTTAACGGCGTTGGGACTTAGAGCTCCATTCCATGTTGTTAGTGCTAGGGAGAAGATGTGGTTGAGACTGTTGAGTCGTTCGACGCGACGAATGGAGCAGAGGGGCAATGTGAAGCCGTTCCCGGACGGACCTGTGCCGTGAGTTTGACCCGTGAATACTGTAGATGCATTATAGCTAGCAGAAGGCACAAAACTCGTAGGTTGAGTTGAGAAACATATAAACCGTTCGCTGAGGTGGAGACGTCCTGTATATCTGTTTCCGGGTTGATCGGCGCGGTCTCCCTGGGTATTATTATTCGAAGCCGGACCGCGATTAATGGCAAGAATCAATTCAGCCGTTATTTCCTGTAATGGGTTTTGAGAGTCTGGGAGACGGAACTGTTGGCGGAAGAGAGAGGCTTTGGAGGGGTTGCGATCGCTGGACGAGATGGTGGGTAGATTGAAGTTTGCCGGATCAATGAATGACTGGGCCTTTTGGACCAAGGATGAGAATTGGAACATGATGTCGACCGGTCATCCGCCTCAACTGTCTTTCAAGATATGTGAACGCGCGAAGGAATGCTCGCATACACAGAAATGATCGGGTGAAATAGCTCGAAGCGATGGATCAAAAGACGATACGGTGCTGACGATAAAAATCAAATCATGATTAGGTAGACTCCGTAATTCCCATATTCTGAAGCTCTCGAGAATATTGGGAATGGGTCATTAGTTCGAGGCAAGAAGATGCAATGCAAGTTGAGGCATGGTGGAGTGGAAGCTGACTGACAACGGCTGAGGTGAGCTAGTGGCTTGTCAGTTTCAGCCAATGGCTGATACCTTGGCTTTCCATCGCAGTTGAATGAGATTCTATAGATTTAGAGGCTCTATGTTAGGGATTTAATGTATAAAGAGATTGATAATTTATGATATATATATATATATATGTGTGTGTGTGTGTGTGTGTGTGTGTGTGTGTGTGTATGAATATCATTCTACATTGTGCACTGTATAGATACTGACAGTTACAATATGATAGCACAGCTACCAGTCATCGAAAGAATAAAACCACAAATGAAAAAGCAACCAAACGAAGCTAAAGAGAAGAGAGCAATGCGTTGACAGTCATTTCGCCGATCCTTGATGCACCTACTCTTCATGAGTATAGAAAGAAAAAACAAGAGTGTATCATGAGTAAAGAAAAGGGATGTCGCAATATACATCCAACGAGAGAGTACGAGTTGATTATTTGGCATCCAGAGCATGATGCTCATCATTGTATGGAGGAAGGTCTTCTTCATTTGAGACCTCTTCCTCCATAATCAAAATAGCCTTCTCTGACTCGGTGCCTTGTTCCAAAGACGAGGTTGATCGGATATTCTTGGAGCCGCGTCGGTAGCGCATCCACAAGAATACAACAGCCTGTCCGACAAGCATACCGATAGCACTGGCAGTAAGACCAGCAAAGATACCGAGAACGGCAGGAACAATAACAAAGCGAATAATAGCGAACAAGGTTCGGCGAAGACCGTGCATGTGACGGTGACGGTGGTGTGGGTGGGGAGGCTGGTGACCTTCTTCAACTTCACCAAACCCAGGACCGTGGTGGCCAGCCTTGCGATGACCAGGGAGAGACTTGCCGTGGCAGCCCTTGCCGAATCCGAGTTTGGATTTCAAGTTCATCATATGGGCCTGAGCAGCTTGGACCAAGGCCCGGATACGATCGAAGATCAAGTGTCTCAAGCATTCGGTGTCGCCATTACATTCCTTCCAGGAAGCGTGATCATCCTCGCCGGCGGGGAGTTCGACCTCTGCTCGCAAAATGAACAGTTCTCCCGCTGTGGTTCGAATAGCTGTAATGGAGACGGTGTCGAGTGGAGCCGGGTGACCATCGATATCGAGTGGAGAAAATCGGATTTGCAGGAGTTCCAGATCATCTTGAGGAGGCGCAAGAGGCAAAGCCATAAGAGCGAAACCCAGTGTCAAGGGTTCAGTTTCCTTGCCATCTGACTCTCGTCGCTGGACCGCTTTAACGGTTTCGACTGAATTAAATGTGACAGGGAAGATGTGAGCGTCGTTGACGTAGAGGTTGCCATTTTCAGCGTGGAAGTTTAGTTCCTAAGTTTGTTAGCTGAATCCTATCGCACTTAGATGTAAATATAAACCTACCAAAGAAGACTTGGTGTTCTCAGTCCACCTGACAATACCATCTGACACGGTCTCTGGGAACGGACAATCATCGCAAAGTAACTGAAACTTCTCGCTTTGGGCGTCTTCAAGCTCGAGTGCATGAGTGACAGGTAGATCGTTAGGTTGTTGGACCTCTGGAACAACCAGAAAGGCAGAAGCGCTCAGAGAGAGGGCGCTGGCGGCCACGAGAGACCGGAACAACATGGTCAAATCAGGTCAGTGGATAGAACGCAGATACAATAGACAAAAAACAACGCGGTATATTGAGTATTGACACGGTGTGGAATATGAGAGGTGGTATATTTTATTTATTGGGTATACAAAGTAAGTAGTGAAGAGGAAGAAGGGGATGAAATGAGTGTCTGGTCGGCTTCGTCCGGGAGGGGAAGGGCCTACGTAAGCTCGTCCGGAGTTAAGCGCCATACCGGCGAGCCTGAATCATTGATTGGTCACTTCTGGAACAAATCATTCCGAATAAAGTAATTTTCTGCCTGCCGCTTTTATTCCAGCCAACCAGAGAGTGATCTTCCATGATTTCCGCAAAAGCGGCGAGCCAATGATGATGTGGCGTGATAGCTGACGAGGCCAGGGTTAGGGTTGTTAACATGCAATAATATTTATTTGTAAACATACTATCAGATGCATCACAGCTTGGACTTCTTCTGTCCCTTGACATTGGCCACGATATCACCAGACAAAAGGAAATCAGGGTATTTGAGATTGGCGCCAATCGACGCAGCAGGCATGCGCCACGAAGCTCCGTCCACTGCAGTATATTAGTGTGATACTTAGTCATCTTAGTCATACAAGAGTAAAGATACGCACCAACCAACGCATGTCCGTTCACATAACTGCCAGCATCAGAAAAGAGATATACAGTGGCATCAGCAATATCTCTTATTGATCCGTATCGACCTAGGGGTTGCGATTTCCACGATTCCTCTTTAGAGTCACTTGGTAAAAGGCGCTCGACGCCCTAATCAGACAAGTCAGCACAAATGTCAATCAGATATAGATAGTTAACCTACCTCCGTATTTGCAATTGGTCCCGGAGCGATGATATTCGAAGTAATGCCCAACGGTCCGAATTCAAGCGCAATATTATTCGATAAAGCGTCCACACCTGCTTTGGCGACGGAGACGTGTGTCTGGAAGATCATTCCTGTATAATGCATTGTTGCGCTGACGAAGATGATACGTCCTCCTGTACCGAGGGAAGATGGTTGCACTTGACAAATTTAGTACAGAAGTAATATCTCTGTGATGAATTGTAACTTACAAGTCTTGGAGTCGACCTTATGTTTCGCTGCAGACTCCTGTAGATACGGAAGCGTCGCCTTGGCCGTATTGTACGAACCGAGCACATCGATATCCATTACCGTCTTGAAGCCGTTGACAGAGAGCTGATTAATCGACGCAAGGAAATTTCCCGCGGCACCAGCACTATCGAATCAGCAAACTACCTTGGAAACAAAGGGAAGGGAGGAATATACATCACAAAATCAATCCCACCCAACTCGCTGACACAACGATCAACAGCAGCCTTCAAACTGTCAAAATTGCGAACGTCCGTCGCACCCACACCAATAACCTTCGCACTCGGTCGAGCAGTCGCAATACTCTGGGCCATCTTTTCGGTTTTGGCGACGTTGCGACCGACGATACATGCGTTGGCGCCTAGGTGGACGAGAGCGCGGACTTGGGCGCTGCATATTGTACCTCCGCCGCCGGTACAGAAGACTACTTTATTCTCTGCCTAGGGAGTTAGCGCTGTTTTATTCAGATGGTAAGGGTGTAGGAAAGGATTGCGCACTGAATAAATCGTCTTTCCAGATGTTGCTGAGATAATCTGATTTGGGGAGAGCCATTGTCTATCTCGGTCAGATAAATGTGCCATCTTGATGTTCTGTCAGGACGTACCTATATCTATCGGCACAACGTCTGCTAAACTGCATGTAAGGAAAGGGTATATGCAGAAAATAAAATCAAACAGAAAGCACAGAAGAAACAAATATATTAGTATCAACGAAGCAAGTTACGGCCGTACAACAAGTGCGGAGATGCTAAACTACGGAGTCAAAAGTCCCCGGACTCTCCACATAAAATCGATGGATCAGATATGCCGTGTTCCTGGCTGATTCAACCTCGGTTGGTCACTGATCACCCCAGGCACCTCGTACAGAGTGCGAGCAAATAAGAGGACTGCAGGTTGATTCTCAAGTCATCTATAGCATCACACAACATATCCGACCGAGTACTCGATTCTTAAGTGTTTATTCTATAGTCTTAGCTCTGTCGACTATGTAACGTCTAATCTCACGGCGAATGTCTCCTATTTAGGGATGGTTAATTATCAGATGAATCGCTGTATGTACTTAATGGAGTCTGATACCATCGTTTCATATACAATAAATCGCAATAAAATTAAATAAACAAGAATAACCCAAAACAAAATGCCACAATGCAATAAATATATAGAATCCAAGATCCTTGCCACGAGTCCTATCATGGTCATGCTTAGTCACAAAAGATCATCTGAAGGGAATAAACAGGATGGGTATGAACATTGATATCAAGTTTATACGAAACAGAAATCGCGCTCTCATAATCAGAAAAGCCAGCCAGAATGTACCAAAAAAACTAATCATTCTGTTCTTCATTCGCAATCAATTCCACCACGATTTGACTGCGCTCGTATTCTGGATGTTGCATGCAAATCTTCACCGTTCGACCATTTCGAGCTTGTCCGCCGGTAGAGGAATGTCCATTTGCGCCGGTAAAATTACTTTCGTGTGCGGTGTTGTTGGTGTCAACTGCACTTATATTACCACCGTCATCAAGACAGACCACATTCCGACCGGGGATAACTTGTCTCAAACGGCCGTTCATCGCGTTACGGACTTCGACGAAGTCGTCATTTAGTAAGATGAGGAACTTTCCGTGTAGACAGGCTGTGTGCGCTCGTCCTACGAATTCCATGACCACGCTGCGGGATACGTCGCCGAGTTTATTGACATATACCGCGCATTCGCTGTAGGCGAGTAAGAACTCTGCATCGCTGAGTCGGAACATACCTAGTGGTCGGAGGTCTTTGATACGGTTTCCAATACTGGTAAGATAGGGCTGGGCTTCGGGGGCTGTTGCGCTGAGTATAGGTAAGGACCATGGCTGCTTCTTGTCCAATGTCAAAACTTCAATGCCACGTTGTGTGGAGATGGCTAGCGAACTGTGGAATAGATTGATATTGTAGCTTTCGGCGGGAATGTAGAACTCGTCGTACTCGCGGAAGAATTCTGTTTGACCGCGACGACCAAGGAAGCGCGAGCGAGTAGTCGTTGACTTGTGCAGGACCGGTTCAATCACCTAAAATAATCAGTATAGGTTCTATAGACCGACAGAGAAATGAAAACACACCTTGAAAGTCGATGAGATACCATCCCGCTTCTTATAAAAAACAAGAATCCGATCCTTCATTCTACCCACAGAAAAGAATCCCACCTCCCGATTCCCAGAAATTTTCTGAGGTGCTCGACGTGCCGAATCATGTTGTGACGTCTGAGAAGGCGCACCGCTCGGCGGACACACCACATCCAAATGGTAAGCAATAAGAGACTTCTCCGCAATCAGCAACAACAGATTAAAATCCTCAAAGACTGAAATCTGTGTGACTTGTCTAATCGAAATTGCTTTTTGCCAACCTCGTGGGTCATCGTATCTTGACATGAAGACTCCAATATCAGTACCGATAGCGCAGATCAGTTGGCCACTTGGTTGCTGGAATACCGTCGCACAGTTGACCATGGCTCTGCACACGGGGTTAGGTCGGATTCCTATACTAGCGTATCTCGCTTCCACTTCTCGGATTGCGCGGTCTAACGGTGTCCCCTTGATCATCACGGTCTTTGCCCCTGGTGCCTCAGAGTACGTAAAAGCAGCATCCGCCAACACTCGCAACCGGAACGGCTCTGCATTCTGTGCAAAAAGTGATGAAGCGTGTCTAGTCTTGGCTTCGGTGATCTTTTGACACCAATCCTGCCTGTTTTGAGCTGATGGCGCAAACAATGTATATGTCGGCATCTTGCCCAAATGTTTGACTTTGAATGGATATAAGATTTTGTCATCCTTGGAGTTCTCTAGACTGGTTGATGCAACAAACGACGCAGCGGAATTGGCAGTGCCAGCGGTTGCAAGAGTCCCTGGACCAGCTCCTCGTGCTGCTGCCGCTGCAGCCGTCGGAGGCGTGATTGTGGAAACACCTCTTACAGATGATTTGATAACAGGATCATCATTTGTACTCTCCAAAACCAAAAGGTCCATCGGGATAGGCAGTTTCGAAACATCATAGACTTCAAACTTGCCGGTCTTGGTCGTATCACGCATCTGGACTGTTTTCGCGAGAACAAGGTAATGATCGAATAGTATAGCGTGTGTATCCACGAGATTGAACCTCGTTCGAGTTCCAGGTCGTTGAAGATCACCCTGAAACATAATCTCTCGTCCCAGATGTTCTAGATTCAGCTCAACCTCCTTGCTCATTCCTGGTCTCAATTGCAACTTTGCCGATAACTCTGCCAGATCCACCTTCTTGGTCATCTCACCAACCTTATTGTCACACTCCAAAGCCACGACCTTGATTTCTTCAATAGCCAGTGCGAGGTTAGTCTTCTCTTCTGAATCTTTTGGCATGTTTTTATATACGGTAGACAGAAGCAGGGTATAGCGCTGAATGCGGGTGATTGGAGCCTTGAGATACGTATCCCAACTCAAGCGATTTGACAGCTTGTTATCACGGGCTTGATTGAGAAATTGTCTGAAGACGGCATTCCTCTCAGCTTCCTTGCGAACCATGTAATTTGCGTTGGGGAACGTAGCCGCATAATCGATATAGACACCCTTGGCTTTTCGTATCCACTCCCGGAAAATGTCACTAAAGCCAGCAATAAAAGGCCCCTGTTCCTTCTGTCGGTACTTGAGCTGTGCTAAAAGATAGTCTTCGTTGACTTTCTTGACCGCATCGACTTTACCAAAGACATCGCGTAAGAATTTCTCCTGGCGCTTGGGACTGATGATTGAAGGCTGCATGGTGGCTAATTGATCACGATAAAGCACCCGCAGCACGTCGAGCTGCTCTATGAAAGCATCTTCAGTAGTAACAATCTCATGAAGATTGTTTTGTCGATCAATCTCTTTACGTGGATGACTCTCCCATACTTCCTTTGGCACGTTATAAAAAGTAACCCAGTCCTGGGCTTTCTTCTGCGGCTCCATAGCCTGGGCACGAAGGTTGATCTTCTTGAGGGTTCTCATACAATGATGCGAGTAACAACGGCCGTATGTCTCTGTTTCTTGCGCATGAAGACGAGGAGAATAACATCCGCTGCCCGTTATCTGAAACAACACACCAGACAACGACTTATCACTGAACTTGACCCATTCTTCGTCAACTATCAATGCACCCTCGCTCAACATATTTTTGGCAACCGAAGAACCTAGAGTCTCTGCATCAGCTGTATTCATTGTTGGTACCTTGTGTGTAAATAATGCAACAATAGCATCAACAACGGCTTGTTCTTTGAGATCAGTCTCATCTTCGCTCAAATCCTTAACCCATGCCACAATCGCACTAAGCGCCCAAGGCTCTGTACATTTGCGGAATTGCTCCGAAGATAATTTCGCAGGATTGAACTTCTTCCTCCTTCCAGCTGGTATAGTAGGCAGATCAAGGGCTATGGCAGAAGGTTCGGGAGAGGCGTTGAACCCCAAAGTTCCCATATCCGCCGCTTGTTGTCGCAGGAATTCCTGCTGCTGTTTATACTTAACCCGATCCGCATCGGTCTTGGATCTAATGGGTGCGTCAGTACGGGGAGTACTACTATGACTCGATAGAGATGTCGACCGCGGAACTTGATATGGATTCGGCAGTGACAGTCCGGACGAGTCTGAAGATGTGGGCTGCGGAAGAGGTCTATACTGATCGTGAGTTTCCTGTTCCCCATACTGCGAGTTGCGATACGTTCCCGCAGGAATCAAATGTGCCAGGACATCTGCGTTATTTGCTGGTTCGACTGGCGCTGGTGGAAGTGGACGCATTCCAGGGTGGTAGAAGAGATCCGCTGGTTCTCCCTTTTCTGGACTCTGACTTCCAGAGGGAATATCACCATCCAACACAGGGTCCGCATCTTCGTCTCCATAGTCAAAGCTTAGTCGTCGTCCCGAAGCACTTGGCTCGGATAAACCACCTGTACCTCCGGTGTCAACTCTGGCCGGAGTAGTAAAATGGAATGCCGGCATGTGTCCATTGTCATCTGGAGGATATAAGTTCGTTGCGGCAAGGTTCGTCTCTGCATCCAAGTTTGGAGTATCGCCATAGTGCATCTGACCTTCGTAGCCTCCTCCATACAAAGCCAAGTCGTGATGCGCGTAATCACTGTCACTGCTAGCTTCTTGTTGCGATGTTTCGGCATTAGGAATAGCGGTTGGTGAGGCATAAGGCGGAAACAAAGAGCTTATAGTTGCACCTCTACTTCTTTGTCGCGCAGCTTCCGCCCTTTCTTCTTCTTCTGCCATTTGCATCATTGCAATCCCAGCAGCAGCCTCGGCGTCACTCTCATCGCTATATGCATCATAATTGACATACTGGCCAGTACCAGTTGCCACACTCCCATTTGTGTGCGTGTGATTTGAATCAGGACTCTGTCGGGTGCCATTACTGAACAGCGGTCGATACTCCTCTCCAGATGGTTGCGGCCCCAGAGAGGGTATCCGGCCAAGTCCATTACGTCCCATGCTCTGAGAACTTCCCTGTACCGCTGCTTCTACTTCCTTCATAAGATCTTCATAAGTGTTTTCAGCGCCATTATACGACCCAGCTACCTCTGTATCTGATGGTGGTGGACCAGGAAGGGGTCGAGACTGAGGGTGTCGCGTGAGCGTGTCGGTTCTCCGAGGAGACAATGACGGCGGAGACGACTGATAGACTAGAGATGGCTCAGACGCTCTGAATGAAGTTCCTGATAAGCTTGAACGTTTATGTACAGGGGGAGCAGGTGGTTGCTCTTCGAGAAGCGGCTCCGAAGATGAAGAAGGCACTTGTGGAAAATATCCATGTGCTTGCGACGCGTGGGAGTTTTGTCGAGAGGGGAGAGACTGTGGGCTGGCACTCGTATAGGATTGATTCGATGCGTAGACCGGCGACGTCTGGCTCTGTTGATGTAGGTGACTGCCGTACGAATAGCTGGCGTATGTGGGATTGGGAGAAGAGTCAGATAGCTGGGGCGAACGCGGACCATACGGATGATCTGTACCACGAGGAGGGGGAGGAGGTGGTTGTTGCGATTGCGGAGAGGGCATCGTATAGGAGGCTTGTTGCGAATAGTACCGTGCAGACGGCTGGCGGAGAATGTTTGGCGCGGTGTACCCAGTCCCTGGGTTCGGCTGATAAGCAGCTGGATTGTACGTCTGGTGAGTTTGACCTGCAGTGCTATTGACGCTGGTATAGGCCTGGGGATTATAAGACATCGAGGGCGGTTGAGACAGCGAATGAGGCCGTGCATATTGTTGGGGATTATAGGCTATATTCGATTGAGTCGGCGTCTGCACAGAGGAGGAGTACGACTGAGTATGGTACGTGGATGTCGCCGACGATCCGTGAGAGGAGGCGCGACTCGGGTTCGACCGCTGAGAGCTCCCAACCGAGAATTGAGAATGTCTTGAGCCTAGATTTGCCTGCACTGTATTTGCGAACGCGTTGTAAGTTCCCGCAACAGGCGAAAACACCTGACCTGCTTGTATTGTCTCGTTTGGCGCACCGGAAGCATACAACGAGTCATCGCCGGCAATATAGCTGGGGGTTCGTCTCAGAGGTTGTACCTGGTCTGCCGGAGGTGAGTAAGGTGCGTACTGGGAGGAATGTGGTGTCGATCCGTTCGCATTATTGCTGTTCTGTCCGTAATACGCCTGCTGGCCAGGCTGATATTGAGACATGACTGACGGTTCACCACGAGAGGAAATATTTCAAACAGTACAAGCGGATCTGAGTCAATTATGATGATCAAGATGGGTTGATGTGGTAGTCAACCGGGGAGTCATATCAAACAACCCCGTTAATCTCATCCAAGACCACACCAGCAGAGACGAAGTAATACTGGAAGAAGATTTCCCAATTATGATGCTTGCCCGAAGGATCCGCGGTCGGCCGACGAAAATATTTAGTTTGATCGTGTGCGCTGAACAACGGTCGCAACGGGAGATGCAGTATCCATACGATCAATGTGTATGTCCATATGAAATGATCGCCGATATTGATACTAGTTCTTCAGCTTCATAACGAAGAGATACAGAGATGATGTCGCAAAACCGTAGTGAAGGAGTGACTGGACATCTGGCGACCAAAGAATAATATTGCTGGGTTGGCTCGTTGTTGACGTTGAGAGACACAGCTGAGAGCTGAGTGGGGTTTGACTTAGTTACTATACCGTCCAACCAATCTGCGCGCCTCCACCGAACCGCCAAATCTGCCGAACTGATCTGACTGGGTGTCTCCGTCTGCAACGATGACTGAGTTTCGGAAAAAAAAAAAAAAAAGAGGAAAGCTTTGACTGCCGTGGAGAATTTGCGATTGCCTGATAGTCGGGTTGCTACGACCGTTGGATCGACGCCGAACATGTCTGGACACTGGATAGAATATGCTTCGGTAATTGCGTGATACTACGAGCTACAAAGCTATTGTTTCGCTTATGAATGGACGAGAGACGCCTATGGATTGCGACAATGCTTCACACAATCGTACCAGGAAAAAGGGTCCTTTAAAGGTCCTCTCTTCAATCAAGGTAACCTGGTCAGGAGGTAGTCGATAAAATGAGAAAATCGATCCTCAGACTCGGTTGCGGGTGACTCCTTGTCTATTGTGTAGGAACTTCTAGCAGGCTCTAGGAAGCACTCATCAAGGATATGATCAGAGCCTTGTGAAGTTAGAAGTTACGGTTTAATTAGGTTATACTGGCGTGAAAAGAATCCGAAGTAAAGTGAGTGTCTAGTTACGTACAGCTAGGTACTTGAAACATTCGATCTTGATTCTGGAGACACGCTCAATAAGTGGTATGGGTTTTTGCTAACTATATTGCCTAATAAGTGTTGATAGATGCTGAAACATGTCAAACAAGATACCATTGAAGACGCTTTGAAATTTGTCGCCGTCACCGCTCATCCATAATGTATATAAACCTTTCCTGGAGACACCATCTACTCCCCATTATAAATCTGGTCAGGTGCCGGATTATACTCGCCCTTGACACGGTCTCCCTCCTCCACCATTTCAGGCTTCACGTGTCGAGAGGTAAGGGCGAAGCGCAGCTTGCCTTTGGACTCAACAGAGTGCTCGTAGTACTTCTGCAGCAGTGACCCATGCATAACCACCATATCTCCATGACGCAAGTCCAGGGTGATAAGACTGGAGCCCTCGTTTTTGGTAACGGCTTTTGCGAGACGCATACGATGCTTCGAGTACTCATCTTTGGTAAGTTCTCCAGCGTTACGCTGTGCTTTGAGCTCCTTGCGCTCTTCATAATTTTCGCAGCCCGGAAGAACGGCATCATCTGCGACTAGAACATGGGATCTGCTGCTGCCACGAAAATATTGATCCTTGAGACGAAACTTCATTGTTGCATTTGCACCGAGAGACAGAGTCGCAATTGTAGGTCCGAGTGAGTCTTCACCATCGTCATGAAACTAGGAACGGGTCAGAATTGCTCAATTGACATTCATTCTTGACGTACACCCATTGCCATCTTTTCCAAGTAACCGAGAGCCAACAACTCGTTGGGTCCAGACGCTTCCTTACCAGCAACTTGATCGGTTGCCCACTTAAGACGATCAAGACCGAGTATTACCTCAGCTGGGGCTTCGTCGAACCCTTTTGAGCGGACAGAAAGAACATACTTATATGGCATTCCCTAAAGGCAAAGTTAGTCTTTAGACTCATCGATTATAGGGCTGTATTGATCTCACAAAGTTGGCAGCGAAGCTTTTTGTCAGCTGCCGAGTTCCTGTTTCTCGTCAGCCCAGACGGTTATCTGTGCTGGCCTACAATCTTACCGGCTCTTGTATTGATACTATATCGGTACAGTCCTAGATCAGCCTGTTGAAGGCGTTGAAATAGATCGTCAGGACCCTTGGGCTTGTTCAATATCGATTCGTTGGCTCTGAAATGAACGATCTTTCCAACATCCCCGATGATATAGGTCATTCTATGATATGCATCTGTGGAGTGGGCTTCTTGCTGTATGTGAGTTCGCCATTCTTTGTCAACGGGTTTGTTGATACTTCGGACATTAAGATCTTCTTGGACCGCTTTGAGGGGAATAGTAGGAACGTCCAATATCTTCTTCCACTGACAGGGAGCTGCACTCTCGGTAATGACGTTGTCGTCCAACGGATCGTGACACATCCAACCTTTCCAGTATCTCCTAGCAATGCACTTGTGGCACTCAGGGCACACCACACCTCGCGACGCGAATTTTTGTGACCACGCATCAGGAAACCGTTCTAATTCAGCCAATGTATTAGGAACAAGACTGAATTGGGGCTTAATGTGATCGTCTGGTGGCTCGCGGGAACTCAGAAAGTTTACATCGTACGTAAGGTCGGTTGGAGCTGTGCCATCGTCCAGTAACCCGGATAGAAAACAGCTCGATTTTGGCTGCAGACACATCCAACCTTGCTCATATACCAATTTGCTAGAACGTAAACAGCCCTTGCAGATTTTGCTCTCTGGCAAGCGCAAGTTTCTTTGACTTATAGGCGGCGGATCTTCCGATCCCCTCTTAGCCCACCAACTGGGCTCTTCGAGGTCAAGCTTTTGAAATCGAACACGTGCTCCGGACTTTCCATTGGTGTTCTCAAACCAGATCTCAACGACGCGGAACCAGCCCATGACATTCAACTCATGTGGCAACTTTCTTTTGATGGGTTGATTCCCTTTGCCTGGTTGATACCACTGTTTGTCAGGCCTATTTGCAAAGACACCAGCCGAGAGACATACTAATAATCAGGCCAACAGCAACCCCAGATTCCTGACTCGCACGGAGCGATTGCACTGCCCGCGTATTCCAACTTTGATCGTTCATCTGTGTCACAGCACCATTTCCGTTGCTCTCGCAATCACCTCCGCTTTTCAGGGGGTCAGGATGTTTCGGCCTTCGGTACACATGAGCGAGACTCACACTCTTGTTATCACAATCTCATCATCTATATAATCTCGTGGTCCACCATGTCCACCAAGAAAGAAACCATGACACACCTTCTCCGTCTGATATACTCCGCCTTGATGCGATTGAAACCAGGGGAGAGTCTCACAGAGACTTGGGCGATCCTGTATTTCTCAGCGTTGGTATGAGTCCTGCATATATTGAGGTTGGGTCTATGCTTACATTCGCCCATACCGCAGGCTGACCCCTAACATCTTCAAGCTCTTGAACCTCCGCGCTCCCTGATGCGCTTTCCGATTGTGTCACTTGGCTGGGAGCTTATTCGGGAGATTAGCTTGCAAGATCTACTGCTGTATCGTTAATTCAACTCACCTTGACCGCTGCGACGCCGCTTTGGATTCTTGCCTTGTTGCTTCTTTCCTCTTTTCGGCATGTTGTCGATCGGCGCTGACACAAGTACGATCGATAGTAGGAAGTTGAAAATGCCTTGAACTCGTTATATAGTGGAGGATTGAGAAACAATCACGAAGGATGGAGGGAGGAACTCTTTCCTTCCTAAATGGAGGTGTAGTGGTGATGTCATCTATATAGGAAGTTAAGGAAGGTGCAGCCTGAAGCCCTGAGCTCCTTCCATGGTAAACACAATGCCTGAGGCATATTTGGCCTAAGGCTGAGACTCTGGACAGATGATTATAATGTCGCACATCTCAAGGCTAGATATAACTGACGAGCAGAATGACGACATAGTCAATTATCCTCTCTCTGCGTAGAAATGTAGAGCACCACGTCGGAAGCCCGTACCGATTGCAGTAAGTCGTTCTGTCGAAATAATAGAGGGGATTCAGCTAGCAAACGTAGGCATGTAGGCGCAATGCAATGTCGTATTCGGCAGCTGAAATAAGCGGCTAAACATGGAATAAGAAAGGAAAGAGCAGCTTGAGGTTATTCCCAGCTATAGACAAGCCCTAACCCTAACCATTCTATGCCCCGTCTTGGAAGAACTTCTCTCCGCTTTCTGCCTCAGGCATCAGTCCGGCCCGCTGGCATCCTCTGATTGGCTCAAAGCACGCGGAAACAAAGCCGATGTTGTCCCCCGCATTTTCTTTACTCCGCATGATCGCCCGCTGCTGATTGGCTTGCAATAACCGAAGCTCTTCCCGGGCCCATTATTACCCAAGGTCCAAGGCACTACTCAGGGTCCAAGGGAAGTTGGATTTGTACATATTTCATCCATCCTCACGTTTTGGTTGTGAATACCGGATTTTCATTCTTCAACCCATTGCGCATTGCTTGGATAGAGATGGTCTTCTTTCCTCCTCGCAGCTTCCCTCCGCTGCCTTTGATACCAGATGATGTCGCAATATGCGATTTTATGCTAGACGAAAGATACGGACGATTCTCCCTCAGCGAGTCACAAAATCCATTTACGTGTGGTCTTAGCGGAAAATCATATTCGTGGCTAGAAGTGAGGAACCGTGTCGATTACCTCTCACGTGCTCTTTCCAAAGAGTTCAATTGGCATCCTAATCGAGGGACGGAGTGGGACAAGGTTGCTGCATGCTTTCTCTTGAATACGGTACGCCCCTGGTCATTCTATACCTGCCATGAGACTATTTGACCATACTGACATACCCGTCGTCGTGCAGATTGATAATCTTTCGCTATTCTGGGCCATCCATCGACTGTGCGGTGTAGCAACCCCTGCGAACGCTGCATACTCTGCTGCCGAGTTGACCTATCAACTGAAAGACTCCAAAGCTACCGCATTATTCACATGCGTTCCACTTTTAGAGACTGCATTGACAGCTGCAAAACAAGCCGGTATTCCTCAGAATCGCATCTACCTTGTTGATTTGCCTTTGGAATTTGTGGGCAACGCAAAAGCCCCTCCGCAGTTCAAGACCCTTGAACAACTTATAGAGACCGGCAAGTCACTGCCGAAAGTTGAGCCCTTGAAGTGGGGACCAGGACAGGGAGTGCGGACGACTGCATTTGTGTGTTACTCGAGTGGAACGTCGGGTCTCCCTGTAAGTCTCATCCGCAGTCTTACCCTTGCCTAACCCCATCGAGGTGGAGAGTGAAGAGTGAAGAGTACATAGTAATGCTGAATGCTAACGTACATATAGAAAGGTGTTATGATATCACATCGTAATGTCATTGCTAATTCCATTCAAATCTGCACCTTCGAAGGCACGTTTCGTCCGACTACAGACACACCATATCATGAAGTTGTACTGTGTCTTTTGCCTCAGAGTCACATCTATGCACTGGTTTACATGTGCCATGCTGTGCCTTACAGAGGTGACGGCGTTATTGTGCTTCCCAAGTTCGATATCAACACGTTCCTAAACTCTATCCAGAGATTTCGTATCAATATTCTCTTCCTAGTAAGATATGATCCCTTCTGGACGTGTTTGTAAGTGGTCCATGATTGACATTTACGTATAGGTACCTCCAATCATTATCACGATGTTGCGGAATCAGGAATTGATGAAAAAGTACGACCTGTCAAGCGTCACCGCGATATTCACTGGAGCCGCACCTCTCGGAGCCGAAACCGCCAAAGAATTGCACAGTATATTCCCTGACTGGGCGATAAGGCAAGGATACGGTAAGGATACTTTTCTGAATTACGGAATCTATACTGACATGGAAAAGGCCTGACTGAAACTGCCACTGTTGTATGCGCCACAACAAACAACGATATCTGGTTTGGTTCCAGTGGTAATTTCCTACCAGGGGTCGAAGCAAGACTTGTTTCTCCAGACGGCAACGAGATTCTTGAATACGATACCCCTGGTGAGCTCGTGATCCGGTCTCCAAGCGTAGTGCTAGGGTACTTGCACAACGAAAAAGCTACAAAGGAGACTTTTCGGGATGGGTGGATGTTCACTGGAGATGAGGCTGTGATTCGAGTTGGGCCTAAAGGGACAGAACATATGTTCATTGTGGACCGAATCAAGGAGCTCATCAAAGTCAAGGTATGTAATACTGAGAAGGTACTTCATATCAAACTGACAAAATGCAGGGATTACAAGTTGCACCTGCCGAGCTTGAAGCTCACTTACTCGAGCATCCATTGGTAGCTGATTGTGCGGTAATCGCAGTCCCCGACGAGGCCGCTGGCGAAGTTCCCAAAGCATTTGTTGTGAAATCACCATCAGCAACCCAGGATGATACCTCTATTATACAGGCAATCAAGAAACATGTAGAAGATCACAAGGCACGACACAAATGGTTGAAAGGGGGCGTACAATTTCTGGAGGTTATCCCAAAAAGTCCTAGTGGTAAGATCTTGCGACGATTACTGAGAGACCAGGAAAGAGAGGCAAGAAAGAGAGCAGGCAGCAAGCTGTGATCATGTATTACACAGGTGAGAGGCTGTATCTATCGTTTGGCTTCCTCTAGGCTCTAGATTTCACATTACTCCTGTTTTTGGAAATTCTGCGATTTTGTAGAGTGGATACGCGAAATTTAGTTTTGATTGGCTGCGCCGGAGATAACAAAATTTCTAAGCTTCGAGGGGCAAGCATTAATAATTCATTGTAGCAACGCCGGCCTTGTTGCCTTCAGAGATTTCTCTTTAGCAGATTACAAATCTGATCGCATAATATTTTGTTTCTAATCGTTTCGGCATAGAAGCTATAAGAGCTGACAATTGTATCGACAGGAAACGTTGGGTTTGCGAATTGAGACCTTACCCCGCTGTCGATATATTATTTTTCCCTTTTTGCGCTTTTCTTTGACCACTTCTATTATATTGGGTCAGTGAAGGAATAAAAGAAGAGCCAAAATGTCTGCATCAAATCTTCACCCCGAAGGCGAAAATGAGGAAGACCTCTACCTCGACGAGGCCGACGCCGAAGAAATCATCCAAGCCGACGAAGACCACCCCATGGACTCGGACGACGAAGATCAAACAATGCAAGAAGAAATCACAATCCAGAACGACTCTGTCGCGCATTTCGATCATCACTCAGACTCTGTGTTTTGTATTGCGCAACACCCCGTTCATCAATCCATAGTGATCACTGGCTCTGGTGACGATACGGCTTATATATTCGATACAACCCCATCGGATGAACGGCCGTTACTCCCTCAAAGTTACGAGTCGAATCCACAACCGAAAACGGAGCGGAAGTCGTTGGAGCCTATTAAGAAGTTGGATGGGCATACGGATTCTGTTAATGCGGTGGCTTTCACAGGGCCTAAGGGTGAATATGCGCTGACCGCAGGGCTTGATGGACGTTTGCGTGTATACAGAGATACGACGGCGCAAAAGACAGGGCTGATGTGGGAGTTTGTCGCTGAAGCGCAGGAAGTTGAGGAGATTAATTGGTTGGCTGTATGTCCGGCTCAGGAAGGTCAGGAGGATAGTTATAATATTGTCGCGATTGGTGGAAATGATGGTAGTGCTTGGGTTTTTAAGATTGATCATACGGATTCTACGCAGCCGATTTCGATTATTCAGACATTCTTTCAACATACTATGTCCTGTACGGCGGGTGCATGGACTCCCGATGGGAAACTTTTGGCGACTGTCTCGGAAGATGGTAGTTTCTATGTCAATGATGTATTTGGACAAGCTGCTGCAGCGGGCGTAGCTTACTCTGCGGGTACAACTGCGGTTGTTGGATATACAGCAGAAGATCAGCGATTTGCTGTTGAAGGTGGATTGTACTCTATTGCTATATCCCCCTCGGGCGCTATAGCTGCTGTCGGTGGTGCCGAAGGTCATATCAAAGTGGTCGGTTTGCCTCGTTTGCAAGCACCTGCAGCTAAATCGAAATCCAAGGCCGCACCCGCTGCCACAGGCTCACAAGCGTCGGGCGCTGGCGCCCTTCTTGCTTCTTTACAAGCACAGTCGGATAGTGTGGAAAGCTTGTCGTTTTCTTCCCTACCTCTGACAATGCTTGCGGCAGGTTCTGTCGATGGGTCAATCTGTCTGTTTGATGTCGCGCATCGATTCGCAGTACGAAGACATATCCGTGAGGCCCATGAAGGAGCTACTGTAGTCAAAGTCGAATTCTTGCAACAGCCTGCTCAAGCCGGTACACCGTTGGTCCGTTCTGGTCTACCAGGACCCGCCGCTAACGCAGTAGCTGCTCATGCCGCTGGTCAAGGTCGACCTTGGATTCTTACTTCTGCGGGATTAGATGGTGTGGTGCGACGATGGGATGCTCGAGGTGGAACTGCTGCGGCAGGGCAGGGTTTGCTTAAAGAATGGAGAGGTCATCTTGGGTTAGTTGAGACTGAGGGTGGAGAACAATCTGGTGGTATTCTGGGTTTCGTGCAGGGGAATGCTGGTGGGAAACGGGTTGTCACTGCTGGTGATGATGGTGTTGTTCTTGTTTTTGAAGAATAGACAATTTGGCGTTTCTAACAAGAAAAGTCTCGATTACTTGCATGCAAATATACCATTTCGTGAACGACTTGGCTGTTATCATCTCTAAGACGGTTGAATGACTGAGTAGGACGCACCTCAGGAGCGTCTAGTCTACGCTCTGTAGATTCGGTTCGGACTGGAAAAGTAGATATATCATAATATGTACATACAGCAATGAAAAGAAATAGAGAATGATATCCGGGGCGCCATATCTACACATGATCTAGGAAACATTGGATTTTCTGACAACATTGTAGTCAATTCACCATCGCGACTCAGCCATCCACGATTTTCACGGATATAGAGATTTCCACTATGTAGAGCCCGAATAATACATTGGAGAGATAGGACCTATACTTCGGGGCCGCAGACATGCCGTTGAGGGTATGGTTCAGATACGAGTGATAACGAAATGAATCAATCTTTCGCGGATGGAATTTAATGGTGAGACTCTTCATGGCCGTGTCCGTGATCATTCGACAAAAATACTTGTTCGTATGCAAGATAACCGGCAAAAAGGACAGTGGCCGTTCCAAGACCGGGGAACAAGCCCTTGAATCGGTTCCAGCGGGAGAAGGGACCTGTGTATCGCCATGCCTCACTACACACCAATTAGCAACAGTTCCTTCCCCCTTGATTCAGAAGTTATAGACATACTGTCGAGCCCATGGATCTTTCTTTGCCCAGACAGATCGCGGATGCGCCGCCGCCTTGAACTCCTTCAAATCGAAGCCGGTGGGGTTTCGTGAAGACATGGTTAGGAATTGACGGAATGTTGGTCGAATGCTGTAGACCAATTGATGGGATTCACTTTAGTATCAATGTATTGTTTCCTTCTTCAGCTATTCCTGAGCTGAGAATTGGGTTTTTTGAGCGTTGCGATAGAGCTGATTATGGTTGGTGGTTGAAACGTTCAAAGATCGGGATTTCGTAAGTTCAAGGGAGATCATGTGACCTGTCACGCTAAGCCGGATCGGAGTAAGATGCTTTCAGGCTTGCGGGCGGCCGATGCCAGATGCCAGATCAGACTCCGAAAAGCTTCAAGATTGATCACTATTTGCATTCTTGACTCGAACGACAACTTGATCCGACTCTTATCGTCTACTCAGCTCGCAAATATTGTAAAGACTCGTACCAGTTGTTACTACCCGGACAACTACTGAGATCGAATCGACCCCCCCATGCTTAAATCGACGCTCAGTCGTCTCCATTCATGACCAACTTATTCGCCAACTCCTCTCGCTACACAAGGTTGGTCTGTCGGTAGTAGAATGCCACCGCCTATTGGCCGATACGGGCCCTCGGCCTTGAACACGCCCTTTGGCCATCTTCAGCAAGCCCATCAATTACAGCAACAACAGACCCAACAGCAATCACAATCACAACACCATGCCACTCATACACAAGCCGCACTACCTCCACCTTCGTTAGGTGGTCACCCTGGATTCAGTGCTGTTGCTTCCAGTTCGACTGCAAACCCGTTTGGACTCGCCAGTACGAATGGTGTTGGTGCGTTTAGTGCGGATATCGCTAATGGTACGGGACTTGCAAGTCATGCAGCACAAATGGGGTTTGTTCGGGGCGCACAGATGCAGCAACAACAGCTACATCAGGCTCAAGATGGGAGGTTGCTGTTGGAAAGCAAGGCCAATCCAATAAAGACTCGGATTCGCGACGTTTGGAAACATAATCTGGCACAAGAGATGGCTGTGTTGAGACGGCTGGTAGAGCGATATCCATATATCAGTATGGTAAGCTAAGATGCATTCTGTCGGATGGGGGGGTTTTCTTTTCTTTGCTGACATTGATTAACAGGATACCGAGTTCCCTGGCATTGTTGCTCGGCCGATGGGCGCTTTCACAACCAAAGCAGACTACCATTATCAAACACTACGCTGTAATGTTGACCTTCTTAAAATGATTCAACTCGGTGTTACGTTATTCTCCCCAGAAGGTGAACTGCCACCTGCCACACCAACAGAAGTCAATGGACAAGGATATGCCAGTAACTACGGACCAGCACCATGCACATGGCAATTCAACTTCCGATTCTCGTTAGAAGACGATATGTATGCTCAAGATTCGACGAGTATGCTGGCCAAAGCGGGTATCGATTTCTCCATGCATGAAAAAAATGGTATTGATCCCGTTGAGTTTGGCGCACTTCTAATGAGCTCTGGACTGGTTTTGCTGGATGATGTTCATTGGATTTCGTTTCATTCTGGTTACGATTTTGGCTACCTCATGAAGATCATGCTCTGCAAGCCTCTTCCAGAAGATGAAGAGGAATTCCACAAACTACTCAAAATATTCTTCCCCTCTCTTTACGACATCAAATATCTCATGAAACATGCAGGCCGGAACCAGACTGCAAATGACTCCCCATTGACACCAGCAGCACTTCAAGTGATCAACAATCTGGGACAAAAATCCGGTCTACAGGATATTGCCGACGAGCTTGGCGTCAAGCGAGTAGGCATAGCCCACCAGGCGGGATCTGATTCCTTAGTAACGGGCGAAATCTACTGGAAAATGCGTCAAATAGTCTTCAATGGCACAATAGACGAAGCCAAATATTCAGGCCAGGTTTGGGGTCTCAACGGCCAATTACCCGCCATGACTACATACTATGCACAACAAACACCTAATCTCAACGGTGCCACAATCTACTCCACTGCTGGAACGCCCAGTACCCCGAACAACACGAGCACGAATGCGGGCGGCAGTTCTCAGACACCATCGCACATTGGAGCAGGAGCTTTGACTCCAGGTGGAGGAGGGGGAGTTTTTGGGGCGTTTCAGATGGGAAAATCATGATCATATGTTTCATTTAAAGATCTGGAGTGGATGATTATAGGTTTCCTAAATTCATGCCATTTCTTCCTGCTCTTTCATTACTGTGCTGGTATGTTACGTTTTGTTATGACATGGGTATGTAGGTAGGGTGTTTTTCGCTCATGAGTACCAGATGGGCTGGTTGATGTATATCATTTTCTTATTACTATTGCTATTCTCTTTCTTCTTTACATTCTTACTTTTTTAAAATGGCGGTAATGTTTCTTGTACCAGGTTCAATAGCAACCTACTCAATGGGTGGTTCTTTTTAATTTGGTTTCAACTCATCCGTGACCTACTCGTAACATCATATCGGGGTCTATGCCACATGGTGTTTTCATGTGCCTTCTAAGACCTTGGTATTATCTCCATTCCGCTAGAAAGATGACTTTTTGCTCTGGGTATTTCTTACCTTACAGCACGTTTCCTAGGTGCTTCCAGACTTTTTGGCTGATTTTTCCATGACCAGAGCTCCCGGCTGCTCTGCAGTCCGCTTCTATAAGATGTGATACTGATGACAACTGGCCATATTTGACTTTTTATCCTTGAGGGTTTCCGGGACTCGCCAATTCTCTTCTTCGGGTGATTTTTGTAAGATCAGTACATCCGCCCACTTGATGAGTGCACCCGGTATGAAAGCCCCCGCAGAGAAATTTGACAATGCGTCCCCAAAATCATAAATTCAGCCATAAAATGATGATAATGAATAAAATAGGACTGCCAATAGCTACTCACCAGAACCTCAGGCTGCGTGGCCCGGCAGTGGAGAGTATACTTACGGCGATGAACAGTGGCCGTAGCCAGAGAGGCGCAGGCGCTCGTTGATCGAGGAGTACCTGGAATGACGAATCTGCAGACATTTCACGTCATTATCATATTTTCCGGAATGCAGAAGCAAAGAATACTGGCGTCTAAAGCCAATCACTTATTGACTGGGAGGGTTATAGGAACCATCACTCCGAATCCATCCTAGCTAGGTATCACACCAGAAGCCCGCACACGCACCAGCTCGTTGGCTTAGATATAATCCATCTTAAGAACATGCCGATTCTGTGTCATTGCAGTATTTGAAAGGGAAAGAAAAAGAAAAAGAAAAGAAAGAAGCTCTCCATAATATGCGAGTCCGAAACTTCTTTCGCTCTCGACTTTTATCCTTGCATGGATATGGACCAAAACAGGTCGGGGAGATGCCAGGAACCGCTCACCATTCGCTCAAAGACTCCAAAGACGAACTATCCAAGTATACCTCTGGCAGATGGATGTATGGCTTCATTCAACAGAGTACTGTTTTGAGACTAGCGTACTATAGCCATAATGAAGATGTTTCGGGTTAAGGTTCCAGGGTCTTAGGGCTTGGTTGGGTTTGCCCTAAGTGGTTTGTCTTCATCAGACTCCTCGTCGTATCAATTCCCACTGTGCTTTATTTGTCTTATCGTCTTAGCTAACTTGGTTATCTATCCACAGGGAAAGTCAAATGTTTATTGTGCTTCGAGCAAGGCCCAAGTGGCGTGATTTGCGTATCAATTATGGCGTCAAACCCTTGCTCGACTTCAGAATTATGTCTATATCTATGTACAGATTCTTATGGACAATTCATTTACCCAATACAATAGTATTAGCTCGGTCATCATCATAAAGAGGTTCCTAAATTTATATTAGAATTCAGATAATCTTACTGTCGGTATAGCAATCTTACCTATCTCGGCGCGGGAATGGGATATAGTTTATCCGTGCGCTATAGCGTACGGAGGGTAACTACATCTCACCACCCGCATCCCCCTAGTTCTTAGGATTAGTCGCAATATTAGGAATTCAGTATTACTGGCTCAATCAGCTTGTTGGATTAGCTGTCCTTCTTAGATCTTGCGATCTAACGAAGGTAAACCAACACTTACTGAGCTAAAAATTAAGTGCATTCTTAGCTGATATGTTGGATTGCAACATGAGACCGGTATCAGAATTAATCAAAAATATCCTCTTAAATTTGTTCATCACTGGAACAATCCGAAATAAAATATAATATGTCCGAGGATGAATTAACAAATCTATGTGAACAACCCCCAAAACGGGCTTCATTTCTCTCGGCCTAAACTATACTCTTCACCTACGAATATCCGGTCCTAACGATACAATCAGCCCAGCGTCTAATCATAATAATTCCGGGACTTGATTCGCACGCCTCAGAATGGGCAGCTGTAAAGCGACTCGCTACGCTATTCGTTCGTATCCTTCTCTATGATCGCGGCGGCCATGGCTCAGTATATATAATAACGCTACGATTGCCGACAAAGTGACTGCCGCGGATATAGCAACATAACTCAACGATCTGCTTCAGACAGCTGATCGCCGCGATGTGCTGACTTCCCATTCTTATGGCGGTATTATGGCGCGGGAATTCCTACATTTACGGCCTAATGATATAAGTGGCATGATCTTTGTGGATGTGGATCAGGAATTGAATACGGTTGAAGGGCTGTGGCCTGCGCCATATGTTGACTCTGTGGTCGACGGACTTGATGTTTTTGACGTTCTGGGGATAACATCGGGGCATAGGTTGTTGGCTGATGATGAATGGCGGGAGTTGATGAGTGTGAAAAAGCGAGAGAAAGAGGATGAAGAAAAGGAACATGCTAGGGTAGTGGTTGCGGAGGCTGCTAGGTATATTGAAAGCGGATCTGTGCTGACGTTGAAGAAGCAACTGGACCGCTCTCAACGGAATGCCCCTTTGCTTGGTGATAGACCGGTGAGTGTTCTCAAGGGTGAGACATCTCGAGATTTTGAGAGGATGCTGAGTCGTCGGAATGCCACGGAGGAAGAGAGAAGGAAATTCCGAAGATGATTGAGACGTATGATACATTGGATGAGAAGTGGCAGAGGGGATTGTTAGGGTTGTCAAGTAAATCGAAGTGGGTTTGTACTGAGAAGAGTGGACATAACATTCACTCGACTAAGCCGGAGTTGATTGTGCAGGAGCTGAAGTGGGTATTGGAGAACCTTAATGAATGGTAGTCAGGATGCGTTGTGCTGGTAGCTACTCAGTAGAAGTTGGATAAATAGATTGATCAAGATAAAGTCCATGTGATTCAAACGCTGGGAATTCAAGTCAAAATTAAAATGAGAAAAAATTTATGTACATATACAAAACAAAACAACCAAATCAATTCAGCAGAGAAAGTCAACATCAAACCAAAACACTGCTTCCATCACCCTTAGGCTTAGAATTACATCCACAGCCAGACGCACCAGCAGCGACCTGTGAAGGCGCACGAGCATAACTAGGCGGAACATCAAGGACAGGATTACGATCAAAAAAGTTCCTTGGTCGGAGTAGCAAAGTCATTGGCTCGGCAGGCATGACGGGGAAATCCTCTGGTGATGGGAAATGTGTAATACCGAATGTGTGCCAGAGAACGATATCGGTGTTGTCGATGGAACAGTTGTCGCCGGCTTGTTCGATCCACATGGGTAAGCCCATGGAGGGCTCGCCTGAGGTTTGAGGAACATGGCGGCCGGCCGGGTGGACTTGGTCATCCTCGTCTGTTTGAATGAGCACAACTGTATCTCAAATGTCAGAATCCAAGGGGAAAGACTCACACTTTGTAACGTGGACTGCGTGTCGAGCAAAACCAGCACGTTTCCATACCAATCCACCAGCCTTGGGAAGTAGAGGTGGAACCTCACGACTAACCAATTTATAACTCACTGGCTTCTTGCTATGTGGGTTCAATTTGTTGGTGTTTGCAATCTCCCACGTTCGGCTGGTCGCTCCGTTGTAATCTGACATGGCCTCCTTGGGGGTAGTGAATTTGGTCTTCTTTGCGTAGAAGGCATTGCCATACTTGTTCTCGACACTACCAGGTTCTCCTGGTCCCTGGACGGCGTCCACTTGGAAGACAGTGTTGTCCTGACCATCGATCTGCGGGTCAACACGCAGACAGAAGAGATGTTGGTGGTTATGAGCGTTGACTCCGGGGTAAACTTCTGTTCCCCAGCCGAGGGTGTCTTCACCGGGGTTGATGGAGTATGTGTTGAGAATTCCAGTAAGCTTAATATCCAACTGGATTGTGCCATCTTGGTGGAAGATCCAGTACACGCAGTATTCGTAGTTGGCAGCAGTGAAAATGTGCGAGATAATAAGCTTTCGGCCACGAGTGACAATGGTGGAATCATCACGGAAATCGGTATGCTTGAATAGAATACCTGCGTCTTCCTCGTGGATGCAAATAGCGTTCTTGATTACTGTGCTTGCACCTGCTCTGTTCACGAATGCAGCGTCCATGTAGTGGATAGCACCCTTGCAATCACAACCCAGTGACAGACTGTTGGTCATATAGCCACCACCGTACTCGCCCAAATCGAAAGCGTGTTTGCGCTGATGAGGATGTTCGGGATTACCGTATGGCACTACCATCTCTGCTAGTGATAGACGGTACATGATAGGACGAATGGTGCCCTTGTCATTGAAGGTAATATTGTTCAAGACAATACCTTCCCGATAGTTGAAGCCAACGTGGATATTCCATTTTTGCCAGTCAATCACTCGCCCTTCAATCTTGAATGAAACGCCTTCAGGTTGAGTGATATGGATTGGTTTGATGTCCGTGCGGTAGCCACCAGCTTCTTCCACTGACTTGACATGATAGTTGTTCGGTGCGGCCTTGCTGAGCGGCCGACGCACAGGTGGGATATCAATATGGATGATGCTCTTGGTCTCGGCGTTATAAATAGGACAGAAGTCTAGTGGATAACCGTATTGAGAGTCATCGACGTGAGGACGGTAGTACATCAATGCCTGCTGTAGACGGACATTGCTTCCGAAACGTTCATCATAGCCAATTGTCCATGCTAGATCTCGTTAGCACTTCGAAGTCAAAACAGAACAGAAGTAGAACTTACGGTCGCAATAGACTTTATGCATATCCTCTGGTGGAATACCCAAAATTCCACACTGTTCAATCACTTTCGGATCCTTGCGAACAACATGCTCGACCGCTTGAAGTTCTTCCATGGTAATAATCGGCTGAACACCGGGGGTATACTTCCAGGAGATAATCTCTTTCTTGTTGAGATCAACGATGCCGTCGTACACTTTGCCCTGAGGTGCAATGCAGACGACATCTGCGCATCGAGCGGGACGTGGAGCTTTTTCTGGGTTTTGTAGCCATGCTAGCATCTCTGCTTTGCGAGGCTCGTAGAGAGACACGACATTGAAGTTGATGGGCGCATATTTCTCTCGGATTAGAGCCACAGTCGTGTCAATTTCGGATGTGCTCAAAGGATCCAAAGGGTGTGGAGGAGGCGCTGTTGCGCTGACCTGGAAGGTCAATTGCTTGAGACGATCAACCATTGTATAGTGTACCTGGTTATATAGGTAGAATGTAAGGATGCACTTTTGTAACAATGTGAAGAACCAGGCAGATGGAATGAAGGACACTCCTTTATAGCTTCAATTCTTCTGTGCTCGTCTTATCAAGTCGGTCTCTGTTCCCCTCTTGGACCGATTCGATGCTTTGGCCCAAAACGGCAGGCAGAGCATCTCCGATAACGATAAGCTCGTGTGGATAACTATCGTCAAGCTATGGTTGGCTGTAGCATCAAAAAGCGGGGTATCCAGCTGTCTGATTGGGCGGGATTTTATTTCTACATCCAGTTAGGCTTACATTGTATATCGCATTCTCTTCCAAAATTTGGAAATGCATCCCTGCTTTGCTTCTTGTTAACTGTTCGAGACTTTGGATGCGATGCTTTGACAATATGAATTGGAGATATACTGTCACGGGCCAATGATGTGTCAAGGAATTACTGCGAATTCGCTTCATCGTCTGATGTCGCCGTTATCCTATGTGTCAAAGTCTGAAGATAGGATAAAGCTTCATACAATTTCTTATTATCAAGGATAACGCTTATTAGAGAGTACGTAACCGTCATATCTTCAATTGATGGCTCGCACGTACCAATCTTGGGATAACTCCAGGACGCCGCAATGATATCTACCACTGTCACTCACAACAGCCCGAACAGAAATAGAAACAGACAATGAACGATGATTAAGCCCTCTTGCTTCCCTCCTCCACCTCCGCCAACAGCGCAACCAGCTCCTTCCCACCCTCACTAGCCGGCCCTTCAATTCCCAAGGCCTGCTCAACCCAAGCGCGAGCCTCATCCCACCGTCCCATCTCAACCAAACACTTCCCACCACGCCACCATGCCTTGACGTTGCCAATAGGTTTGCACTCCGCGCTACATTTCGAATCAATCCAACCCTCTGGCCAGGACTGTTGAGACATGTACGCCTGCGCACGATTCGCATATAACCCCGACAATTCGTCCCGGACAAGATTCACAGGTTCCCAGGCCGGTCGACTAATCGCCATATCGATAGCGTAACCATATAACTTGATTGCTTCGGCATAATTCGATTTGCGGAATGCTGTGTTCGCGGTGTCGCGTAACTTGGTGATCTGTGCACTTCGTTTTGGGTTGATGGGGAGAGGTGGTGGAGGGACGTTAGGTGAGTCCAGTCCAATCAAGGCACGGTGTAGGGTGTTTAATTGTTGGAGTTCGGCATTGATGGCTTCGATTTGTGCGGGCGTTTGGCCTTCTGTGCTGGGGAGAGAGATGCTTTTTGTTGTTGGATCTAGGTAGAGGCCGTATTGTGTGTAGCTGTCTATATCGGAAGTCATTTTGATCTGATATGTGCATTAGTAAGGTATACTTGAGGTTGCAGAGGATTACCCACTTTCTGAGCTCTCAAGAATAATACACAATGTTTCTCACAATTAACTCTGAGAAAATGATCGTTTTAACAAGAACTGCTTTTCAGTATCGTCCGGTGCAGTAGTGTAAAAGACTGACTTAGCTGTCCTTAATCAATAGTCCGCGGAGAAAAGGCGGTGGCAGAATATTTTGGAATTGCGCCTCAGGCAGCAATTACATTGGAGTGTGAGGAGCATTTTAACTTATCTATACATGAAAATAAAAGGTTATATACTTTTTATCCGAAGTGGAGGCATATCTAATGAAACAGAACTTCAGGAAAAGTGGCAAACATGCTGAGATATAAACGCCATCATAAGAATACAAAATCCCCAAAACATACAAATATAAGAGATCTCAAAACCGGGTATGGCGTTGGAAATACAAAACATTCCATGCGTTGACTGACAATCAATCGCGAAAAAATCAACAGAAAATGTGGCATGCCTTCGTGAAAGATGAAACGCGTTCAAAATCATCGACCGTATTCAGTGGCAGAATGATAACTAGTATCCCTATAACCACCAGTAGTATTCTCCTCAAACCGCGAGGTATAGCCGCTGTTGTAACTTGTGTCGTAATCATGCATTACCGACCCTCCATGTGTTGAGGTAGGGTCATATGCACCTTGCACGCCTCCGTGATGCGATCCGCCAAGTTCATCAGCTTCACTCTGTTGAAGCAAAGCATAATCTTCATCGCGGTCCTGGCCATAATGAGAGGGACCCTCGCCGCCGAGACCACCGCCGCGTCCAGGTCGGAGTTCGTCCTCTTCTTCAAAATCGTGCGCTGGGTTTGAAGAGAAGGCCGCCTTGGTTTGGGCGTCGAAAGTTGGGTCCGAGACGGCGTCGGGCATTGTTCCTGTGCGGCGGAAATAGGCCACATTTCGGAAGGAGAAGTATGCAGTAGAAATAAATAGGAGGCTATTCGCATTAGTTCTGGCAAAGAAAATCCCCAAGGGAAGGGAGATAACTTACAAAATGACAACTCCAAAAATCACTGTTGCAGTGCTGACGTTGCACTTGGATGCACTTCCATAGGCAAAAGCATCACAACCGGACTTTTTGTCCTTGGCATCTTTCTGATCTTTTTCGCCTTTACTCTTGCCCTCGGCGACATATGAAGCGACAGCGACCCATCCACTGAACCATAATATAATCATCAATGCGTCAACCGTAGCAAAAGCGTAGACATTACCAAAGCGTCGCGCACGGGGAAACGTCGGCACAGCGACGAGATAGATCAGAGCAGGGATAGATAGCCAGCACTAGTTAATCAATGATTAATGATTTTATCCTGGACTGGAAAAAGGTGGATGTCAACTTACGATGCCGAAATACCACCCAGTCCGGCCATCGATACCGCCTGATTTTGTAAACACAGCAATCGTAAGTACCCATGCAAAGAAAATGAGAACGGCTTGAGCGCCGTGTATTAAATTTTTGATACGGGCTGGACTCGTTGATGGCATTCGTAGATTTGGAAGTGGCATCTTGTGCTGGTGGGGATAGCTTCAGACAAAGCAGGAATGAAGTAGTGAAAAACGAAAAAGAAGAAAGATAGGGCCTGGCCGTGGCTTTATTTAATTTGTTGAATGAGAGAAGAGCTGTTTTCTTCTATTCTGTGAGTCGGATTAATAGATTGACGATGTCTGTATGCGCTCCGCCTTGTCTCTTCCGGGACGTTATGTATCGTCGAATGCAATATGGACAAAACCAGCAGATCAATGTAGTCGTATCCTACAACAAGCAATAATGCCAATATACAAAAACAATAGTAAAGAAGGAAAATAGAGGATGTGTTCGTCAAAGTAGAAGACGTAGGCAGAACAGAATAATGAACAAACAGTCCGCGACACTGACAGAAGAGTATCCACTTAATCCGTGGTCAGCCTGGAAACCAAAAAAGCCAAACAGCTGAATCAGTGGAATACGTGACAATACCGTATATGTATGGAGTATGTATTATCTTTAGTGGCTGTGCAGTTGACTCGTCATTGATTGGTGCGTAAAGCTATCCGATTGGTGAAAAGCTATTTACCGTGCTATTTTTAAATGCCGGCTGGAACTTGCCGGATACATGATTACAATACCTGTATTTAATACGGTATATAAAACGGAATGAAACATTCAACCTTATAGCCACGTTCGCATACTTACTTTCATTATTTTATTCTCTATGTACGTCGCTTCATAAGTCGTATCTCATTAGGCGGCCTGACTCATTGAAGGATACATTTGCAGGCTTCACTGAGTCTCGACATCACTGTCGAACAATGACAGCATACAGTTCACCGGCTGACTGACATGATAATGCCACCACCAGGGAAGTGGATCAAATACAGAGAATCCACTACCCTCCAACGGTGTATACTTTTGTAGTCGATGACCAAAAGGGACATAACTCAAGGCTGAATGTTGGAGCTGCTGCGTCTGCTCCCAGAGCCTCCCAGCCGCATATACCACCGGCGAGATGGGAATATGTATGCGATTCAAGGCAGCCGAGTAATTGGACTCTTTCTGAGGGCGTCCAGACTTGTTATATGCTTGTGGCTCAATGCTGGAGTCAACGCTTTCGTTGGCTTCTGGAGATAACATTTCCAGGTAGGAGGTGTACAAATTCGACGGAGGATCATCCAGCAAAGCCGAAACGGCACTGCTTCCTTGCCGGCAGCCACCAATATATACCGTATAGCATACCGAATTGGGAGCGAACTCTTCATCAACCATGACTTTTATTGATAAATGTCCACTGATCTGAGGTCCCGCCTTTTCCGCAAAATTGTCCATTAGACGTCTAATGATCTCGTATAATCCGGGTTCTATCCTTGAGTCTTTTTGAGGACGCGAAGAACGAATTTTGATGGCTTTGACACGCCCTCGGACGAGGACGAGATCTGCCCAGTAATTGCCTTGTCGAGCGCGCTGTTTGAGGACCCAGGGGTTGTCTTTTGAAATAGCAATAATGCTGACCTGCGCATATGTGTGGCTAGGTGTACTTTTAGGTAGGGCAACGGCGTCCCGCAGAGAACCCTTGGACATTTTGTGAATGAGGTAGGCTTTATTCGGTGAACGGTTCAAGATACGATGGACCGAATCACGAGAGTGAACAGTGTGTTTCTCAACAACAGGCAACCCTCTCTCTTCCGCATGCTGTAGAAAGGCATCATGTTGACCGAAGAGAGTCGCATAGTCAACGTTCAGATGAAGACATTTGCAACTCGTCCGACTTTCAATCGTACCTTTGGCCATTGCATCCTCAACAGGAGTAATGTCGCTGGAATATGGAATCCACAAGTCGACTTTCTCCCGGTGAATAATGTCAGTCAAGTTGGAAACATATTGAGATTTACTACCGGATAGGGAGTAATAGGCGAAAATTGTATTAGACATGCTGCCACCAGATCGAAAGTATGATAATCCCACATCGGTGCCAATGACTCGATGACCGCCGTAGTGGAATTGGCGTGCTAGTTTGAGGCCGTGTGGTGTATTGATGCCGGTGATGAGAATTGTCTTGGGGTAGAAGCGCGGGTTTTGTAAGAGAAGTTGTCGATTATGTCTCTGCTGATGGTGGAAAAAGTGAAAATGGTTGAGGAAAGCCGCGACAAAGAAGATGAAAGTGTCCAATGGTAGGAAGAGGACTGATATCAGTATTTGGATGATGAATCGATATATACGTGAAATGGTGAGTTTCGCTGTTCTCCCAGTCTTATGAGAGCCCGGGATTCGGTACCAAGGGGGCGACGCCATGATGGCTATCTACTGACAATATATCTTCTGGCCGGAGAAACTATGATATTGGATTCTGTATTGAGTCAATACTCGGCCTATCTTGCCTGGAACGTCATCAGTGGAGTTGTGGATCACATACATGTGATTCGGACCAACAGCCAGTGTTTAGTCTGCTATATAAAAAATCTGTAAATATTTAAAGTCCCTCACAAGTTGCCAGCAGTAAGCAACATAGCTGCCGTTTCAAGAAGAAGAACAGGGTAAGAAAGGGTGATGCGTTGGCCAAGATGCTTGCAGCATGCCAGATATCCGATGGGCCAATCATAATCAATCTATATACTACAAGCGTCGCAGCCAATGAGCGGCCAGATCAACCATCTTCTTACAAGGAATCTTGACAAAGCTACTGAAAGGTATTCATAAAGATGGGATGGAATCTCAATATGGTATATCAATGAATGGGTTAAGTTTGGAGAGTTCATAGTCTCAACTAATATGCGTTTAATGATCATTTAAAGCATGCTTCCCAGTCATTATGGTATTCCTTTGACTGGCTAGATTGCTTCATAGACTTGTCAAGTCAGTCAGAACAAGTACAATCCCTGAAATTTTTTAATTCGGGATGATTACTACAGTAGAACCTAGTTGTAACGAAAGGAAGCGCTCTCCATATCTAAACCAATCTCAGATTTGATTGCTCTAATATGGAACTAGAGAGCATTCTAATTATTAAAACTAAGATAGATTAATATTTTGGAGTGCCATTTATGCCTCGTTTCTTTGTTTTTGACTTAAGATCGTGACAGGTCTTCAGTTTGTTATAGCCAGGTTCCACTGTAAATAATATGGAAACATGCGAGGCAATTGACGCCCTTGGAGATCTCCTACTTGTCGATCATGCACGCCTGTTCTGATCGACCTGGAGATTTGAGGAACTGCCGTTTACGATCTTTCAATTCGAAATCAATGAAGAACTTGAGGTCGGTGGGGAAAAAAGACGTATCCAGGGTCGATAGACAGATCAAACTCTCCATGACAGGATGCACAGAGAGGAATAGCGTTCGAGGTGCATTTGTATGAGAAAGTAAACAGACCGGCGCGCTCCCATATGTCTGTCTACAGGCACTTGTCAGCCCAACTTTTTCAACAGATAGAAGAGGTAAATTCCACCTTAGAGGCTTGAGCTTGGCACCACCTACAGATCGAGTGCTCTGTTTCTTCCCTGCGTAATAGCGGCTTGTCGGTTTCCTCCTTCATATGAAATCTGTTCTCTCTCTTGTAGAAGTTTGCACATCCGCTACAGCACCATTTTCCGGCACCTTCAACCTGTGCTCTGATAGACGAGAGAAACTGTCGGTTCGTCTAGGTTATTACGCAGATAATAACGATAGACCAGCTAATCCGAGAAGCTGCAAATGAGCCGATAATATTGGTTCCTAATAATATGACTAAAGACTAGAAACTATCGAGGTGGGCGGTGGTGAGGTGTAGATATCTCCCTACGCCCCGGGATAATTGTAGATCTGTGCCATAAGCGAGGCGGTGCTTATTTACGAAGGCACGGGACACAAACAGAGGCTGATCCCGCATGAAGTTACAGGATTCGCTCTTTTTTTATAAGCATCGAGTTCCTCCGTGTTCCGAAATCTGCTATATTCATTGTAGAACCACACACAATGTATGCAGCGCAATTTGCCCCTGCACCGTTGGGCATATTTTATATCCAATACTAGCAATAATAGCACTGTGAGCTTCACATTCCTCTCTAGGTAGAATTGTCCCAACGGCTGTGGAAGCGGCTAAGTTTATGGAGACAAACAAGCATACGCTTTGTAACGACTTCGGTGGACAAATGCACCATAGAGACCTTAGGGCAATGCGGATCTTCGCCAAAGTAAAGATCTCGTAGTTGCTCGAGATCCCTTCGGGTATCGAGAGGCATAATGTAAAATCGAGGACTACCAAGGGCAGCAAACGCTCGTCTAAGTGACGCCACTGGACTGCCATGCCAAGTTCTCAGCGTAGAAATTGCCGTGACAAATCGTCCGACAAAAAGCCACCAAGATGGAAGTCTTTTAGGACTGCGCACATATATGTCAGAAGTGCGAAAAGCAAAAGTCTGGGTACGTTTTTCTTTATAGTAGGGGGGATTGGCAGGGTTCTCGAAGCTCTAGATGGATCAGAACAGGGATGCATGATCGACAAGTATGAAATCTCCAGGGGTGTCAATTGCTCGCGTATTTCCATATTATTAATAATCATCCAGCATTTGAAAATCTCATGGTGCAAAATAATGATACGTTCTCCAATTGAACCCTGAAGACCTGGCGGCGACCCCACAGCGTCATAGGGATGATTAAGCTTCGGGTTGAGCTGCCCCGCGTTCGGAAGAGCAAAAAACCGACAACCACAAGAGATATCATCACACTGGTATAAATAAAGCAGATCGCTTCACCAAAAGCACCCGGAAATTCTCTTCTTAAATATAAATCCATCGAGTAGTAAAGCAATCGCAACAATGGTCACAAAAACGTGGAACGTCGGCCTGATAGGATACGGCTTCAGCGCAAAGATATTTCATCTACCATTCATCCAATCCGTCCCCGAATTGAAGTTATACGCCATTGTGCAGCGCAATCCCACACCGGAGAATGATGCAGAAAAAGATCATCCCGGGATCAAATCGTACCGCAGTGCGGATGAGCTTGTGAAGGATGCGAATGTTGATGTTATTGTCATTACGACTCCGCCGGATGGGCACTTTGAGTTGACGAAGAAGGCGTTGGAGGCTGGGAAGCACGGTAAGTAGATCCAGCTCTGATCTAGTGAATGTTGCTGATAAGAATAGTTGTGGTTGAGAAGCCGTTTGTTCCTACGTACAAGGAGGCGGAGGAGTTGGTAGCTGTCGCTCAGAAGAATAACAAATTACTGGCCGTTTATCAGAGTAAGTACAGCCTCTTTGGTCATCAATGATGTGATGTCGTGATGTCGCGATGTCGGCAGAACGTGACTGAACGTGGATAGACCGCCGCTACGATGCCGATTACGTGACCCTCTCAAAACTTGTCAAGAACGGCTCCCTGGGCCGAGTGGTAGAATACGAAACACACTTTGACCGCCACCGTCCTGAGATTGCCCCCAATTCCACAGCCTGGAAGCTCCAAGGTGTTCCATATACTGGAGCAATCTATGACCTCGGAGCACACCTGCTAGATCAAGCGGTGCATCTTTTCGGACTACCTCAACGCATTACAGGATTTGTCGGCAGTCAGCGCGCGAACAACCCCACTGGACTGGAAGACTCGTTCACGGCCCTGCTGCATTATGACAAGGGGTTGTTGGTGACTGCCAAAGCTGGTGTTGTGAGCCCGGAAGAGAAACAGCTCCGATTCTGGGTGAGGGGTGACAAGGGTAGTTTCAGGAAGTTCCATGTGGATATCCAAGAGGAACAGTTGAAAGCTGGACTCCGACCGGGTGATAGCGGATATGGCCTTGAGCCGAGTGATCGATATGGTATGCTCTTCTTCCTAGGAAGAGAAAGAAAGAGCAAACACCCAGGAGGAGATTTGAGCTAACACACATGCCGTCATTTAGGAGTCCTCACCACCATCGACCAGAATGGAAAGCCATCTGCGGAAAAAGTGCCCACTGTCGAGGGACCAACATGGGTGGAATACTATCGCAAGCTTGCACGAGCATTGGCAGGAGAGAGTGAGCTTCCGGCCAGTGGATATGAGGCCAGCCAGGTTATCCGATTGATTGAGCTGGCCAGAGAGAGCTCCAAGTCGGGCCGAACGTTGGATGTGTAAATACATACTCTGTAGTCTTAACCGAAAAGGAATAGAAAAGTTCACGTGTGTGCGTCATTGCTGAGTCACGGGAGATCATCCAGGCGCTAAGGCCGCCACCAGTCTAGAAGTACTACTCTCTCGGGTTAGCCTGTTTCCCCGGATTATTCCTCACCATCCGTATCACTATGCTATGAAGAGAAAAGATGACTCAACTACTGACTGATACATATTCAGTATGTGTATTGACTGGAACTATGTATTCATCGTTCTGAACATATAGTGTAAGCCTATATTAACTAACTATGATAGTTACTATGTTAAGTTAGCTACTGTAGTTAGATTACGTGATCCTCCCATTGTGTGTTCCTCAGGCAGCGACTATACCGCATCCGGGTTTTCATTACCCAACACCAACTTCTGTGAGTGGCCCGGCATGGCGAACCTGAGGCAGGAACCTCATTTTCTCTTTTGTGTCTCTTCTTCGCAGTCTTTTCACTCTGCCGAATTACCGCCAGTCCGCGGAGATGGTTGATAGCGATGCAAAACTCACTCACAAGGTCAACGCTGGCTGGGTGGATGTTCTATAAAGGCTGTCTTGGTCTGGAATCTTCTTTTTCCTTTTACTTGAGATGACACATCCAGCACTACCAACCAGAGAGCGCAACCAAGCAACATGAGGCTCTTTGATCCCGAAGCCTGGCACTTTGATATCGACAAATGGCTGAATCCGTTGGTACCTTGTCCGCCATGGCATATACTGCCGTATCCAATTTCCTATTTTCTCGGCCACAGGAAAGGACCACTCAAGCCTATTGGGAATCTGATCATGACTGCGTGGGCTTTTCTCGGCATCTTCCTCGGTCTCATTGTTATCGAGTTGGTGACGAAGCAAGTATCGATATTTCAACAGCATCATGCGCCTATCATCATCGCTAGTTTTGTATGTATCAGCAAAGATTGTTTCTTTGATAGGCTGTCTGACGAGTAACATCCATGTTAGGGCGCCGGGTCTGTTCTGCAATTCTATTCTATCGAATCGCCATTGGCGCAGCCACGAAATGCAGTCATCGGCCAATTTATTGCCAGTGCAGTCGGCGTCGGAATCTGCAAACTGTTTGCCCTGAGCCCGCAGTTTGAATCCATCCGGTGGATAGGCGGTGCCTTATCCTGTGCCATTGCCACGGCGCTGATGGCCTTGACCAAAACCGTTCACCCACCTGCCGGCGCAACAGCGCTGTTAGCCGTTGTCAGTGATGACTCGTTAGCGCTGGGATGGCTGTTGATACCCATGATGCTGCTCGGGTCAGTTCTTATGCTGATTGTAGCGTTGCTTATCAATAATTTTCAGCGCAAATTTCCCCAGTACTGGTGGTCACCAGAAGATCTACCTCCCTCCGGCACGCGTGGCAAGGTCACCGAGGATGAGCCTGGGGATGCCCAGGGTGCAGATCTGGAGAAGAACGTGTCCCTAACATCGCCAAGTCATAGCGAAGGCTCGCTCGACCAGCCTCGGATAATCATTAGACGGGGCACCGTCCATATACCAAGTCATTTGTATTTGACGCCCGAGGAGAGACTTTTTCTGGAAGAGCTGAGTGATCGTATATGATGCGACAACTGCATAATGATGATGATATTGATTAAAAATCAAAATTGTACATATTCATATTTCTCTTTTAGCATACAGCATACAAGCATTGCATAGCAGCGTCAATGATATATTTTGTTCAACTGAATCGATGTTCTCAGGCACTCACACGCAGCAAGCCAGCCTTGCCACTTCACGTGCCCGCGGCGGCGTGTATGGGCCAATCAGCGAGCGAGGGGCACCCCACCACAAAATTTCAGAGATTTACTTGGTCTCTCCTACTGACACACACTACGTACAACTCACTCACCCAACAAACAACTATCAACTTCTGTAGTTGTCGAAAGATATAGACAGTTCTGCTTCACTGACAGAGACTCTCTTATATTTTTCTTTCCTCTTTCCTCTTTTCCTCTGTGATACCCTTGTCTTTTCTTCCTATCTCTTTGTTTGTGTTCGTTCACCTTCGATTAGCGGGGCATTCTTGTTTCGGGCCTCTTTTCCCTAATCGATAAGCAGGGCTGTACCCCACGACGATTTTTTCTCGCCATAGAAGAACTTTATCCTCTACTAGACGGATCATCTCATATTCCACCACACCAGAAGTTATCGTCTCATCAAAATGGTTTCTGCATCCAAGGCTGCCCGTCAGGCCAAACGTGCCGCCGACGGTGGTGACAAAAAAGTCTCCAAACTCGCCGCTAAAAAGGCCGCCAAGGCCAAGGCTGAGGGAGATGAGACTCCCGAATTGCAAGATGGTGATGGAGATGCTATCCCAACCGGCGATGAGCCTGCCACCACTGCCGATAAGATGAAGGAAGTCGACAAGTTGACGGCACAAATGGACAAGCACGGTCTCTCTGACCGAGTCACGACTGGTGTGTTGGCCTCGATGGCTTCTTCCCGAGACGTGAAGATTACTTCGGCTTCATTGGTGTTTCACGGTAAGGTTCTGTTTAATGACAGTACTCTCGAACTCAACTATGCCCGACGTTATGGTTTGTTGGGTGAGAACGGTTGTGGTAAATCTACACTTTTGAAGGCTATCGACAAGCGCGAGTTTCCCATTCCCGACCATATTGATATTTACCTCTTGAACGAGGGTGCACCACCTAGCGATCTCGGTGCCTTGGAATGGGTTGTGAAGGAAGCCGAGAATGAGATGGAGCGTATGGAGAAATTGGCTGAAGATATTCTTGAGAAGAACGGTCCTGAAGATCCTGTTCTGGAAGATTTATACGAGGTAAGCCCTTGATTCCTGCATAGACCTGATCTTAGAGGACTAACTTGTCTTAGCGCATGGAAAATATGGACCCATCGACTTTCCACACCCGTGCCTCCTTGATCTTGACCGGTCTAGGATTCAACAGCATCACTATTCACAAGAAAACAAAAGACATGTCTGGTGGCTGGAGAATGCGAGTTGCTTTGGCTAAGGCTCTTTTCGTCAAGCCTTCTTTGTTGTTGCTCGACGACCCTACCGCTCATTTGGATCTTGAAGCCTGTGTGTGGTTGGAAGAATACCTCAAAAAATGGGAACGCACACTTGTCTTGGTTTCTCACTCTATGGATTTCTTGAACGGTGTCTGCACAAACATGATCGATATGCGTATGAAGCAGCTCCTGTACTACGGTGGTAACTACGATTCCTACCACAAGACCAGGAGTGAGCAGGAAACCAACCAGATGAAGGCATACAACAAACAGCAAGAAGAAATTGCTCACATCAAGAAATTCATTGCTTCTGCTGGTACATATGCCAACTTGGTGCGTCAAGCAAAGTCCCGTCAAAAGATTTTGGATAAGATGGAGGCCGATGGATTCATTCAGCCCGTCATTCCCGACAGAGTATTTTCTTTCCGTTTCGCCGATGTTGAGAAGCTCCCTCCTCCCGTCCTGTCCTTTGATGACGTGACTTTCTCCTACTCTGGAAAACCCGAAGACACCCTGTACGAAAATTTGGATCTCGGTGTGGACATGGACTCCCGGACGGCCCTCGTCGGACCCAACGGTGTTGGTAAATCCACGCTCCTCCGCCTAATGACCGGCAAACTGAGCCCCAACAGTGGCCGGGTCACTCGCCACACTCACTTGAAATTGGGTCTTTACAGCCAACATTCCGCCGAACAACTTGACCTCACCAAATCCGCCCTCGAGTTTGTACGCGATAAATTCAGCGAAACGAGCCAGGATTACCAATACTGGCGTCAGCAACTCGGTCGCTACGGATTGAGCGGTGAATCCCAAACCGCGTTGATGGGTACATTGTCCGAGGGACAAAAGAGTCGTATTGTCTTTGCTTTACTCGCTATCGAGGCGCCAAATATGCTTCTACTGGACGAACCTACGAACGGTCTTGATATTCCTACCATTGACAGTCTTGCGGATGCTATTAATGCGTTTAATGGTGGTGTTGTGGTTGTTTCTCACGATTTTCGGTGCGCGCTCCCCCCTTTTGTGTTTTCATATCCTACAAAATACAATCATAACTGACGGAAACATTTAAATAGACTCCTCGATAAAATCGCAAAAGACATCTTGGTCTGCGAACACAAGACTGTCCGTCGATGGGATGGCTCTATCGGAGAATACAAAAACTACCTTCGCAAGAAGATGGTTGCGGCCGGCGCTGTCTAATCCACTCTCTTTGGTATATAGTATTTCTCTTTCAAATCCCGCTTTGTGGGCTTGTCATGCGATAAAAAAGAATTGAGACGAGTTTACTTTTTTTTTTCTTGCATTGAGTGTTATGTTTGTGTGTGTTTTTTTATCTGCCCCTTTCATGATAGATAGAAAGTTGGTTTTTGATGAGATGAATATTATTGTTATTAGATGAAGGGGTTCAAATTTAACACAAGATTAAGATTTATACAGCTTCTACTTGGTCTGATTACCTAGGTCGATTAGATTGCTCATTACTCACACCCACAATTGAGATATATTAAAGGTTCGAGGTTATAAGTCAAGGTGATCATGTCTAGTTTGTCATAGAGTTACACGAATGAAATATTGCGGCTGCCTACAGTTTCAAGAGGAAGAAAGTATTTACAAGTACAATCCCTCCGGCTCACTCTCATTCTTGGTTTTGAGGACACGTTCACGCGCAGTTCTGAAATCCTCCATTTGAACCCTCATACGACGCTCGCGAAGAGCCATGAGACCGGCTTCGGAGCAGATGGCTTTAATATCGGCACCGGAGAGATCGTCCTTTTGGCTGATGAATTCTTCCAGATCGACGTCGTCGCTGAGAGACATTTTGCCGGTGTGGAGGAGGAAGATTTTGCGTTTGGTGTTTTCTATACGAAAAAAGTTAGTGCGTTATTAATTCAGTGGTGGAAAGTGGTACTTACGGTCAGGATTTTCGAACAAAATCTTGCGGTCGATACGACCTGGGCGAATCAAGGCCGGATCCAAGCTTTCAATCTTGTTGGTTGCCATAATCACCTTAACATCTCCCCGGTCGTCGAATCCATCAAGCTGGTTCAACAGTTCCAACATTGTTCTCTGAATTTCTCGTTCACCACCAGAGGTAGAGTCGTATCGCTTTGTGCCGATGGCGTCGATCTCGTCAATAAAAACAATAGATGGAGCATGCTCTGCTGCCACCTGGAAAATCTGTCGTACGAGTCGAGGGCCGTCACCCAGATATTTCTGGATCAATTCACTACCAACGATACGCAGGAAAGTAGCGCTGGTCTGGTTTGCCACGGCCTTCGCCAAAAGCGTCTTTCCAGTACCCGGGCTACCGTACAGAATAACACCTTTGGGGGGCTTGATACCCATTTCTTCGTAAAGTTCCGGGTGTAACAACGGCAACTCGACGGCTTCCCGAACCTCTTGAATCTGAGACTCGAGACCACCGATATCCGCATAAGACTCTGTCGGCGCTTTGTCTAGCTTCATGACGGACACCAATGGATCCGTGTCGTCTGTCAACACACCAACCACTGACACCGACTTGTGATGTAAAAGAATACTAGCACCAGGCTCCAACAAATCTTTGTCGACAAAAGACATGATAGAAACGTAGTACTCAGGACCAGTGGCACTGGATACGATGGCGTGGTCGTCATCAATCATTTCCTCCAGATTTCCAACACCCATTGGACTCCCTCGCATGTCATCCACCCGACCTCTTTCATCAGCATTTCGATCCAAAGCATCGAGATCTCCAGTTGCTGAAGGTTGGGTGGTAGCCTGTGCTTTCGCCTTTCGGATACGCTCCTGGTTCTCGACATACTCCTCCTCAAGTAACAGATGATCGTGGATTCGTTGCATCCTCAAATATCGCAATTTACATCGTGCCGTGGGAAGAATAGTGGGAAGTTTGGCGGCGGCATTTGGACCAGCTGCCTTTCTCTTCTTGCGACCGAGGCGAGTGGTGGGTTGTGGTGGTGGTTCGTACTTAGGCTTATCCTACAAGTGAGTGTTAGTAACTTTCATCTCCAGCTCGATATATTCGACGAAAATACCTTCTTGCTCTTGTCATCGTTTCCATCTCCTCCTGGGCCACCGCCCCCGATATTGGATTGTTGATTACCCTGTGCAATAGTTAGTTACTGATGCTCTGGCCAAGCTTGATGATAGTCATACCATGATAGGAGCTCTAGGAATCAACGACCCGACACTTCAAACTTGTATAGATCACAATAAGCACTTGTATATTGCGATAATATACTGAGCAAAAACCAGATGAGACAAAAGTAAATGGAGATGGTGCGGTGATAGAGGTGATGAAGCTGGTTTGTCTGAGGAAGGAAGCGAAGGAGCTTTGTCAGTGAGCTGTCGCCATCCGCCAAAAGCGGTTAGTCTGGTTTCTCTACCAGGCCCAAGTGCACGTGACATGACGGCAAAGCCGCGTCCACATCAATGTCCCGGCAGCCAATCAGCATGCGAGAACTGGTGAGGCTGTGCGTCACTTTTCGAGACTCCGATGTTTCCTTTTGTTCTGAGGAAGTGCTTCTGATCAACTACTAACGATTCAACTGCTTGTCAAGCAAATCCTTCGCTGCTACTGTATTTTTCTCTCTTCACCACAGTACAGTCCTGCCGCGCCAGAACTGACCGAGCGATAGACCTGGATAGCAGACACTACTGACTTCTCGTCGAATCATTCAATGTAAGCTACCATCGTATCGTCAACACTCATACGCAGACTTGGCTGTATACTGCTTAGTACATGTACTACATAGCCGTCTGCGGCTCGTGCTATTCTGCCTTATTCGAGAACCTCCATTAGGATCCGATCTCCGTCCAATACCCATCGTTAGACTACAGATCCATCGTCGAATTCCGAGACTCTCTTGTTGCCTGACAAGTGGCTGGCCAGTTATATACTCAGTCAGGTCTCCACTGTCACCACGAAATAAACAAACACGAAAGCGAAAGTTTCTTGTTATTAGGAGGAGTGCATATCTCTGCAACCTTTCATCTGGTTGACTCAACTCTCATCATGGCTTCGAATCGTACCCGCCGCATTGCGAAAGAGATTGCGGATATCCATAACGACTCCTACTCACAAGTTACAGCAGAGCCGGTGGGCTCCGAAGATGACCTCACACATCTGCGAGGCTCATTTCGTGGGGGGGGGGGACACCATACGAAGACGGCACATACTTTGTTGATATTAAGATCCCGAACGAATATCCTTTCCGACCTCCTATCATGAAGTTTGAAACTAAAGTGTGGCATCCCAATGTCAGCAGTCAAACCGTAAGTCTAATCTTACAACTTCATAGCCTGTTGGTAAACGTTCTAATGATTTGTGTCTAGGGTGCCATCTGTCTGGACACGCTCTCAACCGCGTGGTCTCCTGTCCTCACGATCAAATCCGCACTTCTTTCTCTTCAGTCCCTCCTTAGCACACCCGAACCCAAAGATCCTCAAGACGCAGAAGTAGCCAACATGCTTCTACGCAAGCCGAAAGAATTCGAACGTGTGGCACGGGAATGGGCTATTAATTACGCCGGCGCGCCTAAGAAGCAGGTTGCTGAGGGTAGTGGTGGTGCCACTGATGCTTCTATCCGGGAGCAAGAACGTAAAGCAAAGGAAACGGAGGAACGGGATGCCCTAGCTGCGTAAGCTCTTCACCCACTTGGCACCGAAAGACGAACTGCTAATATGCTCTAGATATGATGGGTATAACAAAGAGCTTGTCGATCGTTTCTGTAGCATGGGATTCGATATAGACCGTGTGGTGGCCGCCTTTAAACACGTTGGCATCGACCGTAATAATGGAGCCGACTATGAACTCGAGGCAGAATACGTTGGAGATGTTACTGCATACCTCCTAGGTGAATTATGATTTAATGATGAATGTATATGACGAGATGATTTACGAGTGATTTAGGTGAAGACTGAAGTGGCTTGAACGAGCGTTCGGAGCTTAGCCGGAGCATATTTCTTTCAGCTCGACACTGATTTTCCTTTTAAATAGTTTTACTCCCTGGTTCTGGTAGATATGAGGTGGTGAGGTGGTATTAGCTCAGTTTTATGTTATCTTTGAGAACAGGTCGACTGTTATTAAGTCGTTATATAAAGAACTTCAGCACTCTCTTGTAGCTATCCCAAGACTAAACTCACTGATTGGCGGGTGATACCTAATCGATAAGCTCACGACCCACACACATCTTCTGCAGCCGAATGAAACTAACAATTTGACTTCCTGGACGTCCAAGTTCTCCGAGTATGTGACTAACGACTGATACGTCTGAAATGAAAATCCACTGAAGTTGGAGAGAAACCACCGACCAAGCTCTTATTATTCGCATTATCCCCAAAGACCCCACGTCCTACGATATAGGAATTAATGCTCCACTACTACCACCATGATCGAAGACGAAATATATAAAACCTCCACACAATTCCGGATATGGTCCTTCACAAAAGAATCCCTAAAGTCATTACGAGCGAATACAAATGCCGTCGCTTGCGAGCATCTTCGAGCTGCCCAGAACCGAGCGCGTGAGGTGCCTCGATCTGCGACCCCTTCGACGAGCGGTAACCTGACGCCGAACCCAAGTGATAATGAAGCAAAGGCGGAAGCAGCACTTGGGAAAGATGTCGAGTGTTTGACTGCAGAGGAGGAGCTTATGTTTGTGAGCTATTATTGCGAACAAGCTCTGGAGCTAGGTGATAATTATAAGCCACCGCTGCCGACTATGGTCAGGGTAGGTATTTACTTTTAACCGCTACTCTGGAAAGCTTCGGCTGATTCAAATTCATCAGGCAACTGCTATACAATACCTTCGTCGATTCTACCTTACAAATTCCGTCATGACCTACCACCCTAAGACGATCATGCCTTGTGCGCTTTTCCTGGCCACAAAAACCGATAACTATTATCTCTCCTTAAACGAATTTGCAAAATCTGTGCCTAAAATAGACAGACCTGCAGACGTCATTGCGCCAGAATACACATTAACACAAGCTCTCAGATACACCTTTGACGTGCGCCATCCGTTCCGGGGTTTGGAGGGTGGGATCATGGAGCTCCAAGCAATTGCTCAAGGCGAGGGACGGCCTGGACCTTTGAATACGGGACAAACCCCCGAAATCATGAAGCAGGCCATTAATAGCATAGAACCAATACCGGGATCTGACAAAGGATCAATATCTTCCCGAATATCACTCGCCCACGACAACGCTCGAGACATATTAAAGAAGGCTGCGCAAATGACGGATGCCTATTTCTTTTACACACCATCACAGATATGGCTCTCTGCGCTTTTCATTGTTGACAAGCCTCTCGCTCAGTTCTATCTAGACGCCAAAGTAGGTCCAGATGTGAGATCCGGCGTAGTGGATTCCGGAAACCCGCTAGAGATGATTCGCATGAAGCTATTGACTACACTATCCGATTGTGTCAGTCTGTTGGAATCATACACACCATTTTCTGCGAATTCGGAGAATCTCAAAGAACTGAAAGCCATAGCTAAGAAGGTATATCAATGCCAGATGATTGAGAAACTGGATCCCGCTGCCCCCGGCAGTGGTCAGAAACGATCGACTGGGATATCTGGAGCTGAAGGCGCGTCCGAAAGTGAATTGGAGAGGGTAGCTAAAAAGAGACGTTTGGAACGTGAGAGGCGCGAAAAGGAAGGTAAGGATATCTTTGGCGGAGAATTAGTGGCGCGACGGAAGAAGGCTGGTTAAAATGAGTGTATGATAAAATTTATTGCTTGATAAAACATATCCAAATGCCTAGGTAATAATAGCCTCAATATTTCATTGCTAGCTACTCCTCGAACTCGATCCTCGCATAGCTTTGGGCTTTGAAGTTGCGATGAACGCTGATTGGTCAACAGCTTGTACCTTGGTGTACATACCGATATACAAAGCAAACATTGCAAACAGGGTCGATCTATATTTGAGCCTCCCAGAATTTCCAACAAACTTCACTCAAACCACAAGTTCGCATTTCTACAATATGGATGACTTTGATGAGGAAGCTTTCAAGAAATTCTTTCCAAGGAGCTTTGGGAAACAAGAGAAAAAAGCTGATCTATCTACGCAGTTTGAGCGCTCAAAGAGAGCTGATATCAAGGCGAAACTAGACGATGAGGGAGCAGGCGCCACCGGATCGCAAGCTTTAACCGACGACGGGGGCGATAAAGACAAAAAGGAAGAGGTAGAGCGCGATGATAGTGATGATGACGATGATGATTCCGACGACGATGAAGACGAAGATGAATTCCCAGTGTCGCATGAGCTCGTTTTCAAAACACACGAACGGCCCGTAACGACGCTCTCCGTCGATCTTCCCGGTAGTCGATTTGTGTCTGGTTCAGCAGACTGTACGCTAAAATTTCACGATTTTGCTTCCATGACACCATCTACGCTCCGCGCCTTCAAATCTGTCGACCCGAGTGCGAAGAAAAATTCCGCGGCGCAGGAAACTCATACAGTTCATTACGTCGCATTTAATCCGATATCGCCCAGCCAAATGCTAGTGATTCCCGCTACACCACAGCCTAAGATTCTCGATCGAGATGGTAACGTGCTCACTGAGTTTGTTAAGGGGGATATGTATCTACGGGATATGCATAATACGAAAGGCCATGTGTCAGAGGTTACTTCGGGGGCATGGAGCCCGACGGATTATAATCTATGCGCCACTGCCGGAACGGATAGTACTGTCAGGATATGGGATGTTAATGTTGGCCGAAGTCAAAAAGAGGTTATTGCGTACAAGTCCAGGGCTGCTGGTTCGGCTGGTAGGACTAAGATCACGGCTGTCGCATGGGCGTCGCCTAGACAAGGCGGGCCTAATGTTCTAGTCGCTACTGGTCTTGACGGCAGCCTAGTGATGTGGAGTGGTGATGGGCCGTATACGAGACCGGCAGCAGAAGTTAGAGACGCTCATACGCGAGATACATGGACCAGTGGGCTGGATGTGAGCGCTGATGGACGTCTGGTTGTGACTAGAGGAGGCGACGATACAATTAAACTATGGGATACCCGCAAATTTAAGCAGCCAATTACGGCAGTTACGCATCAGTCAACATCAAGCCACTATCCAACCTCCAACATCAAATTTTCCCCAACAGGGACCAACATTATCACCGGTTCGGAAACTGGCCATCTTTACATTTTGAACCCGGCGACACTAAAGCCGGAGCTTGTATCGCCGGTAACGCCAGGCTCGCCAGTGATTACAGTACTGTGGCACGAGAAACTAAATCAGATACTGACCGGATCCGCAAATGCGGAAACCCATGTCCTCTATAACCCGACAATGTCCTCCAAGGGTGCGGTACTTATTATGTCTAAGGCCCCTAAGCGTCGACATATTGACGACAACCCAACCTTAACTACGGATATAACAGAAGGATTTTCTGGCGACTCGATGGTCGTCGGAGCAAATGGTCTACCCCAGGCAGCAGCAAACAGCTGGTCAGTGCGCCACCCTACGGTTGGCTTGACTGTATCTGGACGTCCAAGAGACCCTCGCCGACCGCATCTCCCTGCACAAACCCCGTTTGCGAAATCACAACCTGATGAGAAACATATCCGTGAGAGTATTCCTTTGAGCTCGATGCGCGATGAAGATCCACGTGAAGCGCTGCTTAAATATGCCGAGAAAGCAGAGAAGGACCCCATCTTCACCAAAGCCTGGCAGAAGACCCAGCCTAAGACAATATATGCTGAAATCAGTGATGAGGAAGAAGAGCGTCCTGAAAAGAAGAAGATAAGACGATAGTTTGTGTCTATCAAGGTGTATATAATGGGAACCGGGGTTGGGAAGCTAGACGGATGACGGCGTATATATTTTATAGGTACCTAGAAAGCTACGATTAATGAGAAAAATCATCTTTTATCTGAATAAATAGAACTTATTTCGTATTGTCTGCTCTCCAGGCTCCAGAGTAGCTAAAGTAGGGCATTGGAATTCTACCCAATGAGGAACTAGCGCCTTCCCGACCGAAATGTTCCGCTGGACAGATTCGCATCAACCTCAACCTCTGCAGCTTCTCCACCAGCATACTGCTTGTAAATTGTCAGTTGTTGAAGTCTATGAATCCGAATCAACAGCAGATAAATTACATATACTGATCTTAGCGACCTCGCAGTGAATCTATTCTCTACTACCGCGACTGCGACGTCATTCCCTTCTCCGTCATCTCTCTGAGAAGCGAGCGATTTCTACTGTACAGTTCAGTGCGAGACTACAGATGAAAGCCTAAACCGCCCACTGTGCCTTATGAAAGGGCATAATGCGATCGATGGGAAAGCGACCCAGTCCGTAGGCCCAATTCCATCACCCCGAGGCACAAAGAAAGAGACGAGAAGTTCATTGAGAGGGGCGCGTTCATACCCAGTACTAGGACCTTTAACGTTGACCACAACGCAACCGAGCTAGTATACGGGAGCTATCCATCAAGCATGGCTACTGCTGTACCTACCACATCGGCTTTACCGGTACCGCAAACATCCGGATCAGATTTTACATTCGATATACTGTCATTTTTCTTCGGATCACTAGACGATGGGGATGAAGAAGGAAGACATCAGAGGTGGTCGTCCTTTATCGGGATAGTTGTGGCGATATGTGGAAATATTCTCATTTCGTTCGCCCTTAATATTCAGCGTTATGCCCATGTGCGGATTGAACAGGAAGCGGAAGGCGAACGGGTTCGTATGAGATCCCGAAGACATTTGTCCACGAGCACGTATGGTTCTGTCGAAGCTCCTTATAGAGATGAGCCGGACTATGTGGATAATTTTCAAGATCAGGATGGACAACATACACAGCGATCCCCCAATGGCCACTATCAACCTTATACCGATCATGAAGTAAGAGGTGGAGATTCGGATAATATGGAACACTCTGTTCTTTCCGACCATACCCTGCGACCTGATGATAAGAGCTCAGTACATGGTGATCGTGCCAGTTATCTTCACTCTCCCTATTGGTGGGCTGGTATTGTCTTGATGACCCTGGGCGAGATGGGCAATTTCCTTGCCTATGGATTTGCGCCAGCTTCCATCGTTTCACCCTTGGGTGTTGTGGCGTTGATTTCGAATTGTATTATAGCCCCGTTCCTGCTGAAGGAGAAGTTCCGTCAACGTGATTTGTGGGGTGTTTTAATCGCCATCGCTGGTGCGGTCGTGGTGGTATTGAGTGCGGAGACATCTGAGACTAAAATTGGTCCTCATGATATTTGGGTGATGATCACAAAGTGGGAATTTGAGCTGTATATGGGTATCACTGCTGCATTGATCATAATTCTCATGTACTCAAGTGAGAAGTACGGTGGTCGCACTATCCTGATTGATCTCGGCTTGGTTGGTCTATTTGGTAGGTATCGCTCCTTGTGTCGTAATGAAATCAAGCTAACATCTCAAAGGTGGTTATACTGCCCTTTCAACCAAAGGAGTTGCATCGCTACTTTCGTTTACTCTATGGCACGTTATTACGTTTCCCATTTCCTATTTACTTATCGCGGTACTCGTTATTAGTGCCCTGATGCAAGTGCGCTACATCAATCGCGCTCTACAAAGGTTCGACTCTACCCAGGTCATACCCACCCAATTCGTTCTCTTCACCCTTTCCGTCATTATTGGAAGTGCTGTACTATACCGTGACTTTGAATCTGCGACATTATCTCGGTCATTGAAATTTGTTGGCGGTTGCGGTTTGACGTTTCTCGGGGTGTACTTCATCACCAGCGGTCGAGTTCGCCATGACGATGACATCAGTTATGGTGACGAAGAAGATGAAGAAGCAGGTGTGGGTTTTCTCAATGAAGAACGGTACCGTGATTCAATAGATGAGCCTTCGCTGGAGCCAAGACCACGGCGACCGAACAACTTAGGTTTCGATGGCTCCAGTCCCATACGTCGAGATTCAATGCGAAGCGCATTCTCCGAAAGAGAAAGCTTGAGAACACCCAAAGGTCTGCTTTCACCCGTTGGGTCTGATCATGAAGGCTCACTTTCAGAGAATTCTCTTGCCCAAGAATTAACCACACCATCACCCCCTCTACGCTCTCATTCTCTGACAGACAATCCCTGGGCATCACCATCGCCTGCAGACACTACCCAAACTCCATTCCAACAAGAAAGCATTCCAGCCACTCCTCCAAGTCGTCAACCACATATAGAACAAACTCCTCCACTCCTTCTCCGATTTCCAGCTGCTCCTACACATGACGAGAATCCCTCGTCGACCAACATTGAATCCCATAATCAGTCGCTTCAGTTACCAGGTGATATCAAGACACCCGCCGGTCGACGCCGCAGCACTCCACGGACACCACAGTCGAATCAACGGAATTCCGTAACTTTACGACTAACGCCCAGTCCACTGATCGCACCTCTCTCTTCTACGCTTTCCGCTGTTGTAGCAGATTCTCTCCTACGCGGTGAGGGCAATTCTGTGAAGCATCACCGCAGTAAATCTGCCAAGGTCCGGAGACTAGCTGCGGCCCCGTTAATGCACGATGGCTTGCACAGCGACGGCCAACTTGTAGACCACGATGCAGATGTAATGCCTGGTGGCCATAATATTGCTTCCAGTGCTGTGACTGTGACTCCAGGGTCGTCACGTCTCAATTCTGATACCGATGTACGGTCTCCAAACACCTGGCAGAACAATGATTCCAAATCGAAAAACGATGAAACTACTATAAACCGGATACGAAGCTTCAGCGATTCCATCAACGGTCACCTGGCTTGGCTTGGAGAGGCACTCCTAGGCGCAAAACGACTATCGAAACCAATGTTACCTACACAAGCGAATGAAGACGGGCCAGCTTCTCAGAATGCAGAATCGTGATGCTTCCAGATTTAGTCATGAATTTGTACATTTCTTTTCTTTTCCCTATCAAGAGATATTTTGTCTTGCAGATCCATACAAGCATTTGTTCATATATATTTAATACCACTGTATAAAGGCTTCCTATTGCATTTGTTGTGGAATATCCCCTTTTTCATCATGCATATTCCCCGGCTTTGGAATTTTGTCATTGCATTCGTTTTATATACATGTATTCAGGCGGCTTGAATATATTTGAATGATACACATATCAAATACCAATATTTGATTCGCATTGCAGTCACTTGAGTACACCAAACCTACGTATGAAGAGGAGCTTAAAGATGAAACTAAGGGCTGACTTCACTAAGAGTACCATAGAAGCAAAGACCCAAGAAATTCGACTCGGATCAAGTCAATGGCCTATCATATCACTCCACAGTAACAATAGGTCGAATACAGCTCCGCATTGGGTCCCGTAAACGGCTCCGTCCCAGCCTGGACGGACAACAAATACTGACTCGAACTAAATCCTTCATAATCCTCCAAATACTTGAAGAAATCCAGCAGATTCCCTGAATACGAAGATTGTTCACTACTAGCCGCGAAGCCGTACACTGTAGTAGCACCGTTGGGTCTACTGTAGAGATTCCAAGTTATACCTCCAATCGTAGGGGTTGCGATTGTTGATCCTGAGGATGAGATAGGATTTGCGCCTCCGAGAGCAGCGAGCCAGATCATGATTTCGTATTGGGCGCTACCGCTGGCGCTGTAGCTGGTAAATAGGTTGTAGGCAACGTCTGCTACGATGTTGGAGCCGGTATAACTTCAATCGCCGTATTAGCCTGTAGATTACCTGGGAGAGATTTGGTCGTAGGTAAGGGGTGTGTATAGACATCTATTTCCATGTCGTAGGAACACTAGAAATACTACTCAACTGCTTTGGAGTAATAGTATATGCAGCGTTTGCGAAACTCTTGACATCGCATGAGATACCTTCCCATGACCAAGTAGTGGACCATGTGAGTATGTCGTTGGTAAGGGACACGATCTCTGTACATTGCGAGACGGATATTGCGGAGGACTCGCCCCAGAGGTCGCCGTTGTAGACGAGTAATTGCCGTCAGTGGCTGAGTCCCATTGTCCGCAGAATTGCGCTGCTTTTAGGTGAAATTTATGGGTGTTGTGAGGGTGAGGCTTGCGAGATTGGCTAGGAGGGTCAAGAGCTGAAATCCTTCATTCTTGCGTGGACAAATGGCACTTTTCAGCACAAATAAAACTTGACAACTGACGCCGTAATTTTTGTCATGTTTCTCTGAGGCTCGCATAAGATAAATTCTTTGGATTCAAAGGATAATTACGCTTCTTTCTAAGTATCTATCGTGTCATATAGTTACGTCAACATTCTATTCAATGTATTTTCAAATCTCCAGAACATATGTCTCTGTATATCGATCAGTATATATATCCGTATTTTTGACCTTTTTTCCTCCCGTGAGATTAGATGTTTCGGTATTTCAAGTCAATTCTCCATACAAGCACAGCAACGTTAAATACATGAACCGTCCGGCTGATTATCCGCCGACGAAACGTGCTGTAGGTCATTCCACCTTGCTACTTAGGACAAGATGTCTAGGTATGTCTAAACAATATTGGTGTACACGGTTTGCAGCATTCTTCTACTCAAGTACTCTATCTTCATTTGCAGTAGGCTGCGAAGAACAACAGTTATCTGATAATTAGTGGAAAATCACCATCTCAACCCTGAGTTCGCTCTCCACTTCCTAGTGAAGAATCGCATGGCATGCAAGCTATCCCTCAGCCATATGATACCTAGGTAGCTGTCGGTTTACCTTCATTAGATCGCAAGATCTAATAAGGATAGCTAATCCAATAAGCTGACGAGCCTGATCAATATGGTATGGAATTCCAAGAGTAAGGGGGACGGGGATAGCTGTCGGATTGGTAGGTTTATTCCAGGCCAATCCTGAAGAGGGTTTTATTGGGATGAAAAGAAAAGAAGTGACTAGCAAGATTGTATTTATTGAGTTCTCTGTCTCTGTTCATCAAGTTTCAAAGCTGGGTTTTTATAAACATCTTTGGCAGGGTGATTTGTGAGCTATCATGAGGGGTAAACATTGGGCCGAAATCTCGGTGCCCAGATACCTAAGGTGCCTTTTTAGACCTGTAAGATCGAACTTCGAATCTCTCTGCCTCGTTTGTAGTCCAGATTATCTGACAATAGCTAGCTAGATATATACGCGGCACGCACGTGCCGCGTCGGACTAACTAATATCCAGTGCCGAAATGCGTAGGGTTGATATTCACATTCCGACAGTAGCTCTATGTGCCATATTTCCCTTGCTGAGTGGGGTTTTCCTTTCTCAGCTGCTGCCGCTTTTGTGAGGACACTCATGGTCAGGCTCAGTGAGTAAATTTCAGTCCGGGTTGACGCTCATTGAACTACTCATTTCATCATGTGATCGATTATGACTGTTCAATGGTCGCTCACTGAGTGCTCACTGAACGGACACTGAGCGGAGTGCTGCGGAGAAGTTAAATTTCGACTAGCGATATATCGAGATATCCTTCTGTTTCTGTTGGAAGACAAATTATTACGGTACTTAGAAGTCACTCGCAGAGACTCCTCTCATGCCATTTACTACTACACGCAGCCCCTAGTTGGTTTATGGAGGATCTGAACCTCAGCATTTGCTAACAGAAAATGGCTGGATTGAGGTCTTATTTTCAAGTTGACATTTCTGAGGAAGTCGAAGGGTCATATACAAGCGTTTGTCCCTACTAAAAGAGCGCATAACGGGTTTGTTCATTATTCGTTCAGCTCTCTTAGGTGGCCAAGTATCAAAGTTTCCATTCCGGTGGCTTGCTTGAGCCGCTGAGCTTAATATTCTACTAGTCATTTTATATAACAAGTATCCGTAGGCGTGAACGCCAGCTATTGCGAATGCGTTTAGAAATGGATTTTTTACAGGTTTTCTAACCAATCAGATTACGAGAATTGTATGGTTAGAAAGTAAAAAAGTGGAGGAGGAGGTGGTGGTAGTGGTGGCAGCGGCAGCAGCAGCAGCAGGCTTGGAGAGCAGATTCTTGACGGGAGGAGTGGTGTGTAGGAAGGAAAAAAAGAAGGGAGAGCTGGGGGGGGGGGGGGGGGGGCGGGGGGATGTGTGATAGGAGATATTTATATCCTAGCCCAGGGGCTATAAGATAACTTAACCACGCATAAATATGTGTACACCTGACCCTAAAATCACGTTGAAACTGGCGGTTGAGTCGTTCGTGGGTTTCTGCATTCTGTGGGCGTAATAGCACCATATTGAGGTCCTGTGAAGTAATGGTAATCGATTATAGACGCGTTGCGTGTCTCGAAGGAAGTTAACAATATTGCCTTGATATCGATACTATTGTTCCTAGATTTGTTCAGGAAGAAAAACAGGGACATCACTAGGATCTATACTATTTTTAAGAGAGTATAGACTTATTGTCTGGCCTCTATCAACACGTCTGCATCTATCGCAGATACCGTCACGAAGCTTCATTTTAAACCATTTCTCTTAGCACCGTTCACATTCTTCTTATGCGAAGCTACAAAGTGTGTTATAAAAATTTTCCACCAATCCCCAATTATCCGGATGTAAAGCAGGTTTTGAAAGGATATTCTAGTCACTCATATCCAGAGAAGGGTCTTCGACAAATAGAGCATTCTTTGATGACGTAGTTCGGCTTCCTTGACGTGGTTGTTGCTCTAGCAGAGGAGGTGTATTGGGAATAGTGTTAACATGAGGATAAAGATGTAGTTGAGACGCAGGATCACGTCTAACCGCCAGACGTAGATGGATAGGTGTATGATGGCGACTAGGGATTGGTGTTGATTCTTGACTGGAATAAAAATAGCATGTATCGGACTCAACACCCGCTATGTCACAAAGCAGGCCGTAGGACTTGATGACCGCCACGGATGCAGTATTCATTTTGCTCTTTAAATAGTGTATTATCAGCACAGTAAAAGCATATATCCACTTCATAATCGAACTGGTCATAGGTCAAATGTAAAATATCGCACTGGGAACAACGAAAATAACATGTAATAAGCAGACGAGGCGCGGACGTAGAGGAATAGCTGCTTGAAGGATTGGAAAGACTGTTCGGAGCTAGAATAGGTTGTCAGAGGGGATTTGATAATCCTGTCTGTTAATGATTTATGGTAAAGATGGGGTTGGTGATACATCTTCACCCTGTCGTTGCTTCAAACAATTATCCTGACTTGCTCTTGACGGGCATGAGCATATTAAAGACTGTCAGAACTATATATTCCTCTAAAATGGAATTGAGGGCGCTCTTCGGTTTTAATATGAGTACGTTTTAAGCGATTATAGTGTGCAACGCGTTCACGGTATGTGATGCATGTAGCTGTCAGTGGCTGGTCTTTTTCCCTTCTGGGAATGAACTGATCATTTAGCTGCATGGTGTGGCAGCTAGAGTACTTTTTCACCTGCTCCATGGAGTCAAAGTAGATGAATTTTAGAGTATGTATAACTGGCAATATTGTTGAAGCCTTGGATAGCCGTGATGCTGAGGTTGCTCGGGATCGGATTAAATACTACGTACGTACACTCTTCACGACGAGCACCTCACTGGCAAGTGGCAACAAGTTGAAGAGTTCATTTCACGAACGACTGCTCGGAGGCCTACTGAGGTAAAATATCCCGATTGGCCGTGATTTTTGGAGAGTATTAGCGGCCAAGTGCGTTGTGACATTTCCCCTGAAATGAGTTTGGCATGCAAACCAGTCTGATCTCTAAACTCATGCAGAGAGGTGGAAAGACAGAAGTCATGATACAGCCAATACTCTCGTCTGAGGAAATATGGCTCGGGGGCATCCCTTCGGTAGTTCGTATTCACTCAGATGAAGATCTGTCCGAGGATGAAGGGAGGAATCCAAAGGCTGGTGCCAGTTTGTACATGTATGTACCTCAATGTTAGCTTCTGAGGATCTTCGACATATTCACTTTGTTATAATAGGAGGCATGGATTTCGAAAACTGATTCGATCGAGGAAATGCAGCAACGGCGAGCAATCATTGAAAGATGGGCTTCTGCTGATTAAACTTTCCGAGATGTAGATCTAACGGATATTTATACATCCAGCATTCATGAAGATTCCTGAGCTGATTAAGACTAGTCTTATCAAAACCGCGCTCCCTTGCGAAGCTCACCACTGGACTACCCTCCGAATCTACTTCCAAAGTATCTTGACTATCAGAAGCGCTTTGTTTGTTTGGCCCCAGTCGACAGAGAACGAGATGCGGTGAACTATAAAAGTCTTCTTAAGATACTCATCCTTCTCTATGTTCATCAAAATAATACGATGTCCCATCCGATGAGCTATCATGATTGGGACTCTCCTCATATACCTGCGGCAATGGTTGACCCTTCATCCGTGGTGGTATATGATCCAGGCTTTAAATCTTACTTCTAATACGGAATTATCAAGGATGGATGTGAATCAACCTCTTATCGGTATTTTGAATTCTGCTGCACGAAAAGGAGAGCTCAAGTTTAGCATGTGTTCTCCAGAAGATTGGGCGCGCGAGTTGGAGTACTTTACACCTGGGTATCTGGGAATGGAAGCGCAGGACAGGGAAACCGACTATGATCTGGCTAACCTCTGGAATCCCATGGAATCCACCTACAATCATGACCCTCCCCGGAGCCGACGAAACCCAGTATTCGCACAGCATCTGGTACTCATTGGAGACTTTGATACGCACACAGATGACTCCAGGGAGTACTCCCTTGGAAAGTTTGCGCCAGCGTAAATATGCAGGAGAGCGAGGAAAGAATGATAGGTGACTAATAGTTGTTCCATCTGACCGATGAATCGTTGACGTCGAAAAAGTATCTTAATTTATTGGTGACCTCACTCAGTCAAGATGGGCAATGTATGGCCGCAACGGGTCACCTGTCCTTGAGGTCTTACACGTAAACGCGTACGACCGCAGCGTCAGAGAGGGCCCCGTCCGCGCTCCCTTGTGGGGAGGCAAGTGTCTTTGTATTGTAGTGTGTTACGGGCTGGTCCCGCATATTTTCTAAGATTATAATAGATCCAGCTATTACTGAGCGTGTATATTTTGGGTCCTGGTCTACTCTATATTGGGAAAAATGAAGAAGCTTATATTTATCTGGTGTAAATGCAATGCCCTTAGCAGGCCCTAGTCAAGAGCTTCTTGAAGAGAGTCTGATAAGACTTAGCAGTTAGTAGTAAGAGATGAAGAGATCGCCAGGTCAGCTGCATCGTCCGCGTAGCCAAATCTGATCCTTGGGTTTCCTAGACAGAATAGAGGTGCTATGTAGAGTATAAAAAGAATACTAGAGACTAGAGATCCTTATGATAGACCACAAGCGATATCTATTGAGGAGCTAATTTCTCCATCAAGTCAGATCTGAACTGATTGCCCAGTGGCAAAGGAGACGATCCAGAGAACAAGATTAGTAGGCCAGCCTTGCTCGCGTAATCTGCGGATGAGTCTGCTAGGGAGAACGGCATCAAACGCGCCCTTAACATCTAGGGTAAGAATTGAGGTAGTCATGCCTTGATTTAGCGCTTGCTCAACGCCATTAGATAATTGTAAGGAAGTCGCCTATCAACTCGAAATCGAAGATCAAAGAGCTCTGACTCTGTTCATTGGTGTGGGTTGATCCCGTTGACCTTTTTAGAGGCGAGCGCGTCACGGGGTTCAATTCGCTCATTATTCAGCTCACTGAGCATGTTTCTCAGCATACATATATATAGTATGCGAAGCTCACTGATTTGGTCAGCGTGCTCCGGGCATGCTCAGTTTTACTCAGTAAGTAAAAGCGGCGAGAGTCGAGAAGCGTCAAAGGAAATCCCGTATGTAGGTTATTAACCCGGGTAATAAGATCTCCGGATAAATTATCACCTATGATATTACACGCGTACGTACTTAAAGAACACTTACTGCTGGTTAGAGATTATTACCCATCGTACACTGTCAGCAAGACCTGGCCAAGCGATACTCCGCAGTGTCATGCAGATCATCATGTGTACGTTTGTTGATTTCTCACATTATTTATACGAGTCAATTTCTGAGTAGTCGTCTGTTTCTTTGATTGAAAATGATTCTATGGACTTCTAAATTACATATTCGTGATAATATTTAGACTTATATGACGTGCTAGCTCTAAGAAAATCGAGATTGAGTCCATGTTTAAAAATTTCCTCTTTGGGAAGGTAATGCGAATAGCCCTAATCGGCTGGAATCCGCAGTCTTACCGCCGTCCACGGGTGCATAGGTGCTGCAACTAACAAGGAATGCTTAATCAAGTAGCGATGCACACGTAATGGTTTTCACTTTATGTCTCCGCTTTCTTGATTGTTTATATTATCTATGGGTGGTCTACGATAGACTAGGGCTAACGGATATTTCGATCTGGTTCCACATCAAGGTCTAGCTAATTAATATAGACAATAACCGCCCAGTATTTTCGACATCTCGGAACTAGATTGAAAGTGAGATATGGCCAAGATGCCTAATATGGCTATAATATCGTTATGCGTCCTTTTGACACTTGGTACAGCATGGGCGAATTCACCACCTCCATACAAGAATCCTCGTCTCCCAGTTGAACAGCGCGTTGCGGATTTGCTAGGCAGAATGACAATTGAAGATAAGATGGCGCAATTGATGCAAGGTACATATCCGAAAATCTAATTAGACACATTGGGTGCCGTTAAGCGATGACACTGCTAAGCGGAAATGAAGGTGATATCACAAACTGGATGAATCAGACAACTGGCACATTCAATTCTAGCGGTCTTGTAGCCAACATGGAGGAGAAGGCGGGGTCATTTTATGGTATGCCTCACCCCAATTTTTATTCATGAAGGAGTCTCGCTAACAATGAAAATGTGATATGAAGTTGGATATCCAATCTCGTGGGAATGGCTTACTTCAAACATTCAAAAAGGCCAAGATTACCTGGTTCATAACACGACCCTCGGAATCCCAGCATTGGTTCAGACAGAAGGAATTCATGGATTTTTGATAGGCAATGCTACCATATTCAATTCACCCATTGGCTATGGCTCTTCCTGGAACAGAGATGTAGGCGATTCATATACTGCCCCAGATTCCCTCAAGGATATAGCAATGAGATTAATCTGATATCAAAGCTGGTGCGAAAAATGGGACAGATTATCGGCCAAGAAGCTCGTGCTTTAGGCGTAACACAACTTTTTGCACCACTTGCAGATTTGGCTAGGGAGCTACGATACGGTCGAGTATGTTCAGATAACATAAAGGAGACATATAAGAGCTGATCGTAATGGTGGTATAGGTTGAAGAAACAAATTCCGAAGATCCGTATCTTGCAGGTGAAATTGCTTACGGTTATGTCAAAGGATTACAGAGCCAAAACGTCTCTGCCACCGTCAAGCATTATCTGGCATACAGTAATCCCGAGCAAGGCTTGAACACGGGTCCAGTTCATGGTGGACAGAGAGAGTTGAGAACGACGTCTGTTTTCTCTTCCCCATTGTTGGAAAAAGTTCCTGCTAACAGGCAAGAAGATGGGCTCCTCCTTTTAAGAGAGCAATCATCGATGCAGGTGCATGGAGTATTATGAGTGCCTACCACAGGTGAAATCTCGTCTGCAGTGAGCCAAGTACAGCGATAACTGATTTAAGAGCTAGCTACGACGGTATCCCTGCAGTGGCCGATTACCAAACGCTCACGACTCTACTTCGAGACGAATGGGGTTATGATTATTGGGTCACAAGTGATGCCGGCGCAACAGATAGGCTATGCACAGCGTTTCGACTATGTCAGGCCTCGCCAATTGACTCCGAAGCCGTTACATTGGCTGTTCTCCCTGCTGGAAATGATGTAGAAATGGGCGGCGGTTCCTTGTAAGAAACCGTTTACAGGAAGTTCTCAGACGGAATACCTACTAACATACAGGCCTTCTCTGTGACTAGCAACTTCAAGACTATCCCTCAATTAGTCACTTCCGGCAAACTCAACGTTAGCACTGTGGACACAGCAGTCTCAAGACTTTTGCGTGCCAAATTCGAAATGGGACTTTTTGAGAACCCATATGTGGGTGCTTCAGCTGACAAATGGAACGAACTTATTCATACCCCGGAGAATGTGCAAGTTGCTCGGGAGCTAGACCGTGAATCAATCGTGTTGCTTGAAAACCACAATAACACTCTCCCTCTGAAAAAGAGTGGTAGTATTGCGGTGATTGGACCCATGGCACACGGATATATGAATGTAAGCATCAATACCTCCCAAGATCCTCGTCTAGACTTTTGGATTTAGCTAATCTTGCTCCAAGTATGGGGATTATGTCGTCTATCAAAGCCAATACAGGGGAGTCACACCTCTTGATGGGATCAAGTCCGCAGTTGGAGACAAAGCAACTATCAATTACGCGCAAGGCTGCGAGCGTTGGAGTAACGATCAGTCGGGGTTTGATGAAGCAATCAAAGCAGCTAAAAAGTCGGATGTTGCTATTGTAGTCGTAGGAACCTGGTCTAGAGATCAACAGGAGTTGTGGCAGGGGTTTAACGCGACGTAAGATTCAATCACATCGACGTATTCAGTCCCTCTTGGACTGTTCCACTAACTTCCATTCAGAACCGGGGAACATGTTGATCTAAACGAATTGGGTCTGGTCGGAGCTCAAGCTCCCCTAGTCAAAGCAATCGCAGACACAGGCGTCCCAACAGTTGTCGTCTTCTCCTCCGGAAAACCAATCACCGAAACCTGGATCTCAAACTCTACGGCCGCTCTAGTCCAACAGTTCTATCCATCAGAAGAAGGCGGTAATGCCCTTGCTGACGTCCTCTTCGGCGACTACAATCCTTCTGGAAAGCTTTCAGTCAGTTTCCCACGATCTGTGGGAACGCTTCCCATATATTACGATTATCTGAACTCCGGGCGATCAATCGGTGACTCGGGCTACATCACGCAAAACGATACAATCGTTTTTGGGCATCAGTATGTCATCGGATCACCATTGCCGTGGTACGAATTCGGGTATGGGAAGAGTTATTCGACCTTCAAATATGGGACTGTGAATCTCGACAAGACCAATGCTACTGCTACGGACATAGTAATAGTGAGCATCGACGTTACGAACGAGGATATCTCCCGCAATGCTACCGAGGTTATTCAAGTATATGTGGTTGATGTATATGCGTCCGTGGTTGTTCCCAATCGGCAATTGAAGGGCTTTGAAAAAGTTGTCTTTGGGCCCGGTGAGACGAAAACGGTGCTGATGTCGCTAGATGTGAGTGATTTAGGGCTTTGGAATGTCAATATGCAATATGTGGTTGAGGCTGGTGCTTTTGATGTTCTTGTTGGGAGCAGTTCTCTGGATATTAGAGGAAATGCGACCTTTTATGTGACGTGAAACTTGACCCGAGTCATGCACTTCGGGGTCCCTTGGCAGAGCTCTACACAAAACATGATGCAACTAAGAAGGTAGCTACCTAACTACAGTGAAACCTGGCTATAACGAACTGAAAGCCTCCCAGGATCTAAGTCAAAAACAAAGAAATTAGGCAGAAAGGCCACCCCAAAATATTAATCTGTCTTAGTTTTAATAATTAGAATGCTCTTTAGTTCCCATATTAGAGCAATCAAAGCCGAGATTGGTTGAAATACGGAGAGGGCTTCCTTTCGTTATAGCCAGGTTCTACTATAGCCGAGCTCTATTGTATAAAGTACTAAATTTCGAACCGGTTTATTCGGGCGATGCTGTCCATGTCCCATTTCCAGGCAAAATAAAAGGCGTCAAATTAAAAAGAAAAAGACCATGTCGAGTTGAAAATGGCAAGGAATGTAAGGTACAGAGAAAATATACAGACATCTTCGCTCAAAAAGTTTCGAAAGAACATGAACGCAATGCATCTAGATACAAAACGTATAAAGGAAAACCTCCGGAGTAGTAACAAATAAGCAAGTAATGCTCGAACTCAGAGATTTTGGGACACTGACTCCTTACACCAAGCAAATATATCAACAAAGAAAAAGAAGGAGGGATTGTGAGGCTCTGGTCGATGGCCTAGAGCTATGGGAAGGCAAAGGAAATGAATAATGAATGAGTGGTAAATGAAAAGAAGCATAGCACACCCTGTATATACATCGGTTGCATGGCTTTCTTAAGTTTGGGAAGGACGGCTCCGATCTTGATGGGTACTAACTATCTCCTCGAGCCTGTCGAGACGGTCACGGACAACTTGAATGGCGTAATCCATCTCCCGTTGCGAAATCTGCTCTTCGTCAATTTTGGATGCCAGAGATTGACCGTGACGTTTTAGATTCCGCTTTCGTGCCTTTGCATCCGCGTTGGGGCTTCTGTTGTTGTTTGGAAAATTGATGCCTTCCATTCCAACTCTGTCTTCTAACCATCTCCATAGCTCGTTCTCCTCAGCTCGCCAAATCTCCTCATAAGCGGCCAGACGTTGAGAAGATGCGTGTCTAAGGAAATTCAAGTCAGACGAAGTCGTTGATGAGTTCGGCCCCCTTGTATAAAGCGTGAATAACAAGAAAGCGATTATTGCAATAGCGACAGGCGCATTCCAGAGAGGTTTGAAGATGCTTATGACGGGGCCGAGGAGACTATGGATAGGCTCAAATATGCCCCATCCTTGGGAGTCTCGCTTGTTGGCATCCAGAGCAGCACTCACAGCAGCAGCAACATCTGCGGATTTAGTAGCGGCAGCTGATGATTGCTTTCGTCGGCTCTTCGATGATTTAGCGCCTTTAGTCGTGCCAGCCGGGCGGGTATTGACTGCCGATTTTAAGGATTTGACAAGGTCATTTCCGTAAGTCATTTGTCCATCGATAGCTCCTTTCTCGATAGGCCCTAATCATTCATTAATCCAAGTCTCTTAATAAATGCCATGGGTCGATCTTACCTTTCAGCCAACTCTTACCGGTCCATTCAATGGCGCACGTCATGAGAAATCGAGTATGGTTATTCGGAGCCCACGTCAACAAGTACTTGGTCTTGACAGAGAACACATTGCCGCTGGGAACATCAGGCGTTTGAGTGGTCAGAGTGGCAAGGACTGCCTTCTCCAAGTCGAGTACGTCCAACTGTTCAGTACTGATACATTTTGTTTGCTTCGGCCCAATAGCTCCATTCAGTGGTTTGATATACGAATATTGCCGCGTCTTGCTTGGCTCGTTCAACCCTTTTTTGTCGTCTTCAAACTGCAATTCCGTGCATTTCTCGTCCTCTACCAGAAATTTGCTGACAAAAGCACCAGATGCGGGACCAAGCATAAGGTTGTACACTTTTCCAAGGGGCGCCGGGATGACATCCTCTTTCACGACTTTATCATATCGACCAGCTGGGTCATTGTACTCCGTGGGTGGGTGTGTACCTGGGCCTGGGAACCCATTCCCATCAGTGGAATTTGTTACGCCTTTATCATTCGATTTTCCATCGGCTGTTTGCAAAGCGGTGGTCGATTCTGCTCTTTGGCTGGTCAAACCAGTGTTTTCTCGGCTCAATTGCTTGCCAGTCCCAACGGATTCACTGCCATTGATGCTAACATCGCCATCTACTAGACTGTCGCCATCATTATCCTCGTCTTCATCGTAGATTTCATCTTCATCAGCGACTTCGCTAGCAACATCGCTCTCATTCGCTTTCTCAGTCTTGTCGCCAAGCCCATCGTCGATCCGCATTCCGTTCAGATAGCTTCTCAAAGAGGGATGGTTGATCTTCCAAATATTAACCATGAGATCATAGGTCGCTTCACGGCTCAACAGACTGCGAAATGTGTGCCTGGCATGCAAAGTCTGAATAGCAATTGCATTCGGAATCACCATGGCTGTGTTTTCCTTCTCAATTGCCACAATTTCGTCAAAACTGATGACAAGTGTAGTTACCCATCCGAGGATATTGCTGGAGAAGCAGATGTGGCCCTCAGAAATGTAGATACGCCCGGCAAGAATAATATCTCGCTGTAAAGCACAGCTGTAATCTTCGATCAAAAAATCGTCTTCTGGTACGCTGCGGAAGAGTTGATGGTAATCACGATTGCGCTTCTTGCTTGCAACAGCAAATCCAGTCAAACGCGGTACACTTGAATTGTTGTTGGGTAAGCCCAGCGACCCTACGGTGAGGCCAATAGCGCCGATTGTTGAACCTGTTGCGCCCGAAGAGCCACGATGCCGTCGAGCCAACCGACTTCGAACGCTTCCAGTACGTTTTATACTACCGCCGGTATCACCGTCGAAAATGCTTCCTCCTGGAGGTGTCTGCGTTCCACTTCCTTCAAATGGCATGGAGCTTGGTCTAACTTTAACATCACTGGCTTCATCAGAAGTAGATGCAACTGTCGTCGAAGGAGGGTCGGACGACTTCTCATACGCCAATGATACGGCTCTAGCTGCTCTTGAATCTTCAACGCGTGCTGACTCTCGATCTCTTTTTGCTGCAATGGCGGATGTGCGTGACTCCGCAGGAAGGTCTGGCTGAGTGATGACCACTCCATCCTTTGTTGTTACGATGCCGCCTGCAGTGAGATCCATATCAAGATGACTGAAGTCCAAGTCACCGCTTCCTAGGGTATTAATGGCAAGTTCCTTCTGTTTCTGCTGCTCTATGCCTTCGGCCACAGATTGTCTCGTTGCCTCTGTTTGATCTTCCGAGGCATCGTTGGCGGATTCAGTTGCATTCTTGCCTAGATCGGCTGCCTGACTTGTGGTGCGATTTTTATTTTGGGCACCGAGGGTGTTAGTAATGGTAGAAGCGGCATTTTGAGCCGCTGAAAAGACAGATGAAAAGAACCCGCCCTGGGCGGCTGAGGGAGAGCGCGGACTCGTCCCTCGAGGCTCCTCGGCCGTAGGCGTCAATGATGTCATATGTGATAGCTTGCTTGGAGGATTTGTGACAGTGCCCGCGGAACGCACTCGGCGATGTGAAATCATATGACCTGAAGGGCTTACCACTGTTCCTGGAGGAAAGTCTGCACTTTCAGATTTCACGGTCTCAGGTGATTCTGTCAGACCAGTAGAGAATTCCCCGGAAATGTTAGTAGGAGTTGGTGGAGTGACTGTGGTCACAACCTTCGAGGCGTCAGTGGTTGAGGGAGCATCTAGGCGATCTGCCTGATCAACTACCTTGGGATTGCTCGTTTCGATAAAGTTTGTGGAAAGAGTTCTTGGTAGAGGTGGTGGTGGACTAGACGATCTTTTGAACGATCGCCTCTCCGAAAGACTGTTACTACGGCTTGGGCCTCCAAGAAGATTTTGGCCGTTCTTTCTCTGACTTCCCGTAGACTGTGAAGATTCTCGATCTGGACTGACACTAGGACTCTTTTTGCTTTGAGATGGTTTGAAAGCGTCTTTCAAACGCCTTGCAGGAGAAACACTCCTTTTCTTGGAGATTTCTGCGTCAGGACCAGATATAGTTGTGCCAAGGAAGGCCGATGATGCTTGCGGAACAGAGATGCTATGCCGCCGAGAAGACGAGGCTGAATGTAACAGAGAGGCGTCTTTTCGCTCGTCATTGTCCTCGTCCACCGCCGTCGTCGTTATCAATGGCGAGGATGCAGTTAGGTATTCTGCATGAGAATCGCGTGAGAGAAGCGGGGGTATTCTAGATAAGTCGTTGTTAGTTTATACTTCGTTCGGGCTGACCGAAATACTTACTGGTCTGGCTCAGAGTCGTCAGTTAGAAGATTGACGCTACCGGCAGAACGAGCTAGAGCGTTATTACTGCCATTTGGCGATGATCCCGAAACTGACGGTTCATTTCGTAATGACATCCCGGCGCTGTTCGTGCTAGATTCCAGTATAGAATCTGCGGACGCAATTGATCCTGCCCTTTTATCGTTGGTGGCATTCTTCTTCTTTCTTCGATTGTTGATCAGCTTTGATAATCGACTTGAAGAGTCTTCTTGACCCTGGTCCCCGCTAGTCGCTGGGCGTCTCTCTGGTGTCGATTCTAGTGATGAACGCCCATTGCTCCGATTAGAACTCGAATTGATTTCGGGGTCTTGGCGACTTTGTCTCGAAAACACCTTCTTGATGCCGGAAGGTTGCGATAACGAATCCTGGGCGCCGTCCATGATATATTCGTAGGACGATCCTCAGATTGCGTCGAGAAACGATAACAGAGGTGAGCAGACCGCCAGAACTAACATATAGCTCCCATGTACAGATACTATCAGATCGAGCTCGAACCTGAAACAACCCGTGTGTTGTCGAGAGCTTTTGTCTTAGTGTCGCTGTAGCATTTTCCCCAAGTATTGAGTCGACCGCGACGGATCCGATAAGAGGTATTTAAGGTGATAAGATGTAGACGGCTCACGCGAGAGGATGTAATGGGATGGAGCGAGATGCAAAGCGACGTCCTGAGGCGGGCGTCAAACCGGGGGTGACGACAGTGTCCGACTAGGCTGTCACTTTGGGCCTTCGTTTTGGGGCTATGGCTTAAGCTAAGATGCAAAGACCCACAAATTGGAGAATGAGAGAAAGTTCCTGTATAGAGTATGAAGTGTCGGCAAAAATCAAAGCAGCATTGTATCGTCTGTGAGGTCTTTCGACATGAGTTTCTCTGAAGAGGACGAAAGGAGCTGGTCGATCTGATCGATCTGGTCGATTTGGCAGGCGCGAGGGACTAAACATTGAGTGCCAATTAGGGGAAAGTGAGGTCTCAGAAGGAAGGTGCGGAGAAGGATGGCCCGGTAAGCAGTGTGATTGGCCAGACTATGGCGCAGGCCCACTATGACATGTTGACACCTGAGAAACGAGGAATCAGCAGCAAGTCACCTGCCACTTGCTGTATCGTATCCATCCAGCTCTTCTTTGACTCTTTCGTCCATACAATCCAATGGATGAGTCCTTTCTCCCATTATCTTGACTCTTGTGTTGCTTGATCTTCAGTTCCGCAGCAGTAACTTCCCGACAGCTCCCCGCACACCGTTCTCCAATGTAACGACATCCGCTTGCGTCGCCTGTTAATATTGACCGCCCGCCTATCTTTGTCGATAGCTATAAATCTTGTTACAGCGTGGAGCTCAGGATACTCTGAGAAATATATATTTGAGAACAGGCGTCGAAATGGAAAGTGTGCCTTTGACGCTGGTAAGTCCAAGTCGGTCCTCGCGCAACCTAGCCTCAAAACTAATCATTAATAATACAGGCGCATACCCATGCCCGGAATGCTATGCTCGAGACTCGAAAGTCCAATCCAGTTGCTGCTAGTGAGGAACATGATTTGGCGGCAGGAGAATTTGCAACCGCGTCTCAACACTGCTTGGACGCCTACGTATGTTGTTGAGATCGTAAATGTGCCTCTGGCAGGGCTTGGGGCTGACGCGAAAGTATGGCAGGCTCTACGAACATTGAAATTGCTGGAAGAGGAACATAAAAGACTTGCTATTCTTCTACGATCTCAACACGAAAATCCCGCCAGTGTCTCATCACCAGATCCATCCATCGCAACTCCTTCACAGTCGCGTACCAAGGAGTCTCAGGCTGATGTTTCTACTCCGTCCAAGACCAACCCAATTAGTACTTCAATTTCCGCAGCGACAAATGAATTGCTACAGCATCCGCCGAGGCTTCCAGGGCATCATCGCCAACTACAAAGAGACACATCGTCCATCGCCAGCAACCTGGCCTCTGCCCGTGGTATACCATCGTATCCTCGACGAGCTGCTCCCGCTTCGCCGACACTTTCTGCTCAACCTGCAGGAGGTCAGTTGTCAGATTCACCATCTCGAGCCAAGACAAGCGAAGGAAGGCTTCGCGAACGAGCAGGCAAATTTCCAAGCGCACCTCGTCAACCATGGACTTCTCCATCCATCAGCCCGACAGAAATCACATTACGCCAGATTGTTCCTGCCGATGCGCACGAACCGCAGCAGAACCGAGGGCATTTTCCCACGACAGACGAAACGTTTCAAAAGTTCTACTCCAGATTTGAGGGTTTGATTTCGAAGCTGTCTGCACCATTAGCATTCGCGGGGTTGCCTTTGGGCACAGATAATTCTGATCCCGCTAAACAAAAGTCTCCTGCAGACACCAAAATTGACCGCCAAAATGCAGTCTCACAGCGTCGGACGGAGTCTGCTGAGCCGGATATCAACAGTATATTCTCACGTGCTGCTTTGCGGGCTGTACGTGAGGCAAACGGGGGGATGCCTAGTAGTGGTGCAGAGTCTTTTTATGTGGTGCCTACAACAGGCGGTACTGTTTCTTATGCTGGCATTCTATCTCGTGCAGAAAAAGAGACTCGGCGAGGCAGTGTGGATGATGGAGACGAGGACTTTGTGGATGCGAGAGAAACGCCACCCTCACCGGAGATGCGACAGAGCTTATCCGGAAGCCGGACGAGATTGACGCGTGCCGGCACAGAGAAGAGTACAAAAACCATGGAAGAGCTGCGTATGGAAAACGAAGCCCTGAAGCAATTATCCGATCAACTTTCCAAGCGCCTTCACATGTGGGAGGTGAACGCGCAATCATCATCCATGGCTCTCCAGCAGTCATTGAAAGCAATGCACCACCAACAGAACACTTCATCCCCCACAGCATCGTCAGCAATGCCACACCCTTCGGATGACGCGGTAGATAACCACGAACAGCGAATCAGAGAACTTGAAGCGATTATTCAACGCTCCGAGAAAGAACGCGATAAAGTCGTTCGTGAGAATGAAAAGCTCAAATCTGTTCTGGGAAGGTACCGCGACAGATGGGAGAAACTCAAAGAAGGGGCGAAAACGAGAAGAAATGCCGCCGAGTCTTCGTCTGCGGCTGCCGGGGAGAGTCCTGTTACGACACCGACGTTACAACAGGGGGAAGACCGTGAGCCATCGGGACTCCCAGACGAACAGAATCGGTCGAGTGGGAATGATGAGGATGCTGCATGATCGAGCAATTATAGCTCCTTTTATTCTATCTTTACGTATTTATACTTATCTTACGGCTATTACGCATTACGACTGATGTATTGACTTATATGCCAATTCCTTCCTAAATGTCGAGGTTGGACAAAAGTGCTTTATGATTTCGCTCTGTACCGCACAATGATCCAGATTGGGTTTGCATTACAATGGAATCTTTACCCAAAGGTCTACCTGAACACAAAACCTAAAACAAATCTTGCAATAAGACGGGAAAACGAAGAGGCGGAATAGCCAAATTGTATTCATGGGTATCATTGAGAGCAGATACATGTGATTCATGCCTGGTCTCTTCTATGGTGAAGAAAACGGACCAACCTTTCAAGGTTGGGACAACAAAATCAACAAGCTCATGGCAATAACACAAATCATTACAAATGTATAAAAAATCTTCCCACATAACTCCAAACAAACAAAAAATTTGAAAAAAAAAAGTCAAACATCAGGATACGGCGGCGTACGCGTAATATCCATCGACTTTCGATTATAATCCATCGATTTTCGTGTCAAGTCCATTGACTTTCGGGCAATATCCATCGATTTCCGGGATTGTTCAACAGTCTCCTTCATCTTTCGTTTCTCGACTTTCTTCATCGCTTCACCTGTCAGACCCTGTCGGGCTAGACGTTCAACAACATCCTTTTTACGCGTGATTCTATCGCCAATGGAAATTAATATACCACCCGTGATGTTGCATGTGATAGAACAGCAGAGGATGACGGTCGTTAATGCAAAGGGGCGCACGTGGTAGCTTATACTCCATGTACAAGCACCCAAAGCAATTTGGAAGATGGAGTGGAAATCTAGAATGACCACGATGGCGACCAGTAGTCGCAAGGGAAAAGCGTGATGGGTGGCAGTTTCGTGAGGTTTGTAGAAGGTATGTGATTTAGCGAATTTGCGTTGATGGTGTTCGAGGCGTTTTTGTTGTTTCGGGGTAAGGAGTGTGTATTCTAGGTATTCTTTTTTCTCTTCTGATGATGTGGTTGTGGTGACGCCGCCGTCTTGTTCGAGGTCGATCATGTCTTCGGGTCGACGGGAAGGGAGGTCGTTTTTGTCGGCGAGTTTCGGGAGAGTACGCTTTTTGCGAAGACTCCAGGTTAGATGGTGGTAATGTGCGATGAAGATCATGTGGTATGTATCCACGGCTCTAAATGGTGCCAGACCATCGCCCATAATGGCAAAGAGAGCCACGAGCACGTTGTCAATGACGTTGATGATATATAGTTGTCTTCCGCCGACGTTGATCCAGCCTGAGACGATTAGCCTTTGACGCTACAGGGACCTGATATGTACATACCAATCAAAAAGAGAACCCAAGCAAGTCCAAAGAGAGTAATTAATGTTGCATATAATGTCACCAGAAATCCGAGTGCTACCCATTGTTAGTTCATGATTAATGCATCCAAAGTAGTATGTCACCACTTACGTCGTCTGACATACTGTCCAAATCCCTTCATAGCGCGTTTGAACTTTGACCGTCGGGAGTGAAGCATATGCCGAACGTGGTCATTCATTTCCTCAATCTCCTCTTGCGTCCAGCCTTCCAAGGTCGCACCTTCAGGAAGGACAGCGAAGCATACATTAGGCCCCAAAGCAGAAACATGCGACTCCACTGGCTCCGTGGGCTCCCCAATAGTTGGCAGGGGTTCTTCTGCTATAGTTGGTTCTGGCTTTTTCTGGGCCTCCCGACTTTCAGGACGCTTACTGGGTCGTCGTGTGAGTGTATAAGTAGGTGCACGGTTGAGAAAGGGGCCGAGATCGGGAATGAAGAGTGAGTTTTGAACGTTGGTAAGAGTTGATAACGTCGAAACTTCAGGGTCTGTAACCCGTTAGTCTCATGAGATACCTGATGTCCAGGCAGAAGCCTTACCAATAACGTCTAGAAAGTCAACAATTCGCGAATCGTATTCATCCGGAGGAAGAGAACGTCGAGTAGGGTCAGCGCCAGCCACTGTCGACGCGCGATTACGGCCCATGGCCGAAAATGCCGCGAGACTGGCTCGTCGGAGCATTCCCGGCCGCGGCGATGGTGCTTGTTCTCGCGGTGGTTCTTCTTCTCTAGTTTCCTCAGCTTCATCACTGTTGGTAGGTGCAAGTCCTCGTAATGCCGCTATACGTTCGGCAGTAACGAGATCCATAGATGGTCTGCCAGTCTCTTCTTTAACCGGAGACATCGGGTGCTGTTTGGATATCGGTAGTCCGGAAGTCACGATAATCGGCGGCGCTGAGTAGCGACCAGGACGCGGTTCGGAATTACTGCGACGTCTATTCCCTTCCCATGAGTCATCTTGACTCTGCTCTGCGAGCCTTTGATGTTCTGTTGTCTGAGGGGTAAGTTGAGGGAATTGTTCGGTCGTTCCAGGAGTAGGTGTCTCCTGTGGTGTTGTAAAACTCGAGGCAGACGAAAGGCGACGCAGTCTGATACTCGGCTGGCGAGATGAGCGTCTCAATCGAAGTGATGGTCTCGTTGAGGGCTGTTGCTGTGGTGAGCCGGGGTCCTCGGGAAGGGAGGGAAACGACTCCTGTGAGGGAGGCTGGAGGAGACTCGACCGGCCATTGTTGATGTGATCCTCGGGGCGCTCAATTCGATCCATGTTGGATAGACGAGCGTACTGAGGAGACCGACAACATCGAGAGAAGGGAAGACGAGAAGGAAGAAACAAAAGTTATGAAGTTGGGCGATTAGTTAATAGTGGCTGACCACGGGCAAGTCTAGCCGACTACCCGCTGGAGGCAGCCAATCAACAGGCGCGCTACACTGCCGTCATCCATTATTCAGCATCTGATTGTCCACTGAGTAAGCGACCTACTAAGCACAGTAAGAACTTAACCACCACTCCTTTCCCTCCGCCACTCCACGGATGATACACTTGTCGCGCTTTCAAATGCCGTGGGAACAACTGCTACGAGGGATCACGGATGTGTCTTCAATTTTGGTAAGGATAGCTAAAGCTAAATTGATCTGCACGGCAATTTCCCATCTACTAACTAGAGGAGAGCAAATCTAGCATTCAATCGGATGTTCGGTTAGACTAGTGTAAGAAATTTCTTGGACAATGGGAGATAAGATGTCATAGGGTCTTCAACAGCACCTGATTCCTTGCTACATGGGTTAGCAAGACTCAAACTTCTACAGGTTTCAATTCCTAGAACGGCGGTAAGTACAGAGTGACTCGGGCCCTGATGTTCACATAATCAAAGTAGAAACGGAACAATTGATAAATCTTGAGGCCCCAGATCTAATCAATCAATCAATTCTGGGCGCTGTGGAGCAGACAACCTTATTTGCCAACACAGTGTGTACTATGTAGAAAGTATTCTGCCAATCATGTTGCCGGCCTGTGCCGTCCACATCCGGAATTCACACGACATTTAAGACTGTACATCCGTATAACCACCACGAGACACCAGCTCCACCATGCTCATGGATCAATCGAGAAACCGGCCGTGTTTCCGGGAAACAAAAAGTGCCAATAACGAGGCGGACTACGTAATCCGCTCGACTGGACAACATCAAGCACTGAATTGATAATGCCTAGCCCCTGCCAACCCGTCTACTGCCGGCCACAGGCTTCAAGAATACGGCTGGTGGCGAGCCACTTCATGCACTCGACTCGGTGGATGAAGCACGCTCGGAACTCGAATCTAGGTCTGGGGAAAGCGGTGTTTCTATGAACGTGCCCGAAAACGGATGAGCCACGAAGCCGAGGTCAACGAGCTATCCCTTCAAACGCAAGATTGCAGAATGATCAATATCAACCCGCTTCTTGCAGTGAGAACTTTCCCGTCTCTGATCTCTAGTTGTATCAATCGGAACTATTCAACAACCCACAAAGGCCAACTGCACGCCTGCAGAGCCTTTCTGCCAGTGATATGAAGACGGCACTTGGAACCGCACATTGTATTGTCACTAACTTAACAACTGTTGAATTACCTAGAGCTGTTGCGAATACTTATTCGCAAAAAAAAAAAAAAAAAAAAAAAAAAAAAATTTTGGCTCTCCCTTAAAAACGCTACTACAGAGTAATTCGCCGCAGGATTAGGCTAGATCTGTTCCTTCTGGGTTTAATCAATAATCATCTACTGCTTAACGATATACATACATCCAACAGCATTAGCATCCTCGTAGTTTCTTCCTTTGTAGAGCATCTCCGTAATCCAAGTACATCTCTTCCAGAGTTGGATAACCTCTCAACTAATGCTTCAGAGGCGGGGGGAGGGGGGGATTGCTAAGGAATCTCTAGCAGCAGCAGCCATCCGAGGATAATCCTTCCTATGGACTCTCCCGCATTCAAATATTCAAATAGCCAATTCGGATCTTCCATGTCAATGCCATCAACCCAGATATCGTCGAAATGCCCATTAATATCAAAAGATGAAGGCTTTTCCTGAGGCTGCCAACTTTCTGCTTTTTATGGCTGTGCCCTGGGAGCTCCGCCATAGCACGCTGATCTGTAGTCTTAGGATATTTTTCATGAAGGTTGTCACGGAGGACTCTGAGAATATTCCTGCCAGTGTCCTCGTCATCCAATTTGTATCTCTACAAGCGAACCAACAGCACGAAATTCCAGCAAGTCTCGTTTGGCAAAGTCCCACTGCTCACTCGGGGATATCACAAGTTTGTCTCATCTGTCTTATGAAACCGGTGCTCAAGGTAGATAAATTGAGTGAAGATGTACTGAGACGGCTTCCATTTTCCCAATATGCGGCCATGATTTGGTATTCTCACTACGAGGGTGCGGACAGAGGAACCAATAACACACTGGATGGTCTAGTCCTGAAGCTCTTCAAGGATGGTGTCAGTTTTCGGAGTTGAGTAAGGCTGTACGATATACAATCTCCTTGATATTTCAGACCACAACTAAAACTTGGAGAGAGTGAAATTCCACCGCCGTTTCACTATGCATGATTTCTCGGCCTTCCATGGCTTTTTCAAAAAGTTATCGATGATTTTTCTTTAGCTACACTTATGGATACGCTCAACGGGTCACAGGGAAAATATAGACCTACGATACTGGCTGTAGCTGACCCCAATTTACAAATAGGTTCAACGCCAACCGCACTTCAAATACCGTTAGCTTATTATTGCAGGAAAGAAAAAATAGTTCACCTACTACTTGACAAAGGAGCAAATGCCAATACAGACACACCTGGCCGGGTTGGGACTGCTCTGCATGCTACCTGCTCTGAACGCAATCCCAATATAGTAGAGATCCTGCTCAACGCCGGTGCGATACTACAGCAATTGGCGGCGAATTCGGAACGCTTTTACGAGCAGGATCTTACGGGGAAAAAGCCCAAACAGTAAACATTTTCTAAGCGATACAATGAAACTCAGTGAGGAGGAAATGAATATTCCGTTGAAGCTCTCCCTTGGGCGCGATAGCATCATGTGGCAATGGGACGATGCAGACAGTTGTATATCTTGTGATAAATGCTTGGACGCTGTCTTGGCCCTTGAAGAGCAGATTATGTTGGAAGGATTCTCAGAATCTAATGCAGGCAATGAACGAGCTGAGTTCACAGACGTCGATTCCGCGTTAGATATTGCATTATCAAGCCCGGGGGGGCGCGGGGTGGCCATGGTGAAACTGCTGCTATGCATTGCTGGCATAAAGTACAACGTAAATGGAATTCTGGGAACCTTGATAAGGTCTCACACCTTTTGTTAAGCAAAGAGGAGTATCCCCGAGACTTGGCCCTGTACAGCACGGATATCAATCAGTCTCATAGTAAGGCTACTTGTGGAACATTATGGAAATCACTCACGAGCTATCAGAGTGATAATCACTTTAGCGATGTCTATGGATGAAGATCTCGCTAAAAAGATCATAGCCCTTTTAGTGAAGCATTACGCAGACGAGACTGATACAGTCAGAAAGATAATTTCTCACGTGGAATATGGTGATCTGATTTTAGATTGGCTATTCAGTCAGTATGAAGATCGGGTATTTAATTCATCCTATTTAAAACAAAGTGATAAACTGTTGGGATTGCTGATAAGCCAAAAACAAATATATACGACCATGATGGATGAAACTACAGCTGTGATAAAAGCAGCAAGTGCTGATCTCCGGGAAAAACTTGTGGATAAGGAAGGGCATCCACTGAAATCCTCTCAGATGATTGTAATTATTGCGGGTGTCCCAGAAGCTCAGCCCAAGTCTTGGAAATGCTCCTGAAAAGTTCATCTCATATTGGTATTTCCGAAGCCGCACTTACTGTAGGCGGAAATCCAGGATGGAAGGGACATCCTGGAAATGTTACTAAAATGACCGTTGCATGAGGTTGATATTTCCAGAGCAGCGCTTATTGCAGTCGAAAGCCCAGACTGATATTGTTGAAGCAGTACTTATTGACGTCAGGGATCCGAGACGGGGAAAAGAAACCCTAGGTATTCTCGTATGCTTTGCGACAATCCTGCTTGATGTCTACCGTCTAGCTCGCATGGCCGAGAAAGAACTGAGGTAGGGAGAAGCAGTAGTTGCCGTGCTTGTTGACCTTCTTTTCAACAAGGTTGTCAGGGGCCTCGTGGGCAAGGCATGTAATTCAGAAGCAGACAATGTTTTCCCAGAACAATCACGAAATGGAAAAAATGTTGGGAAGTCTTTCCTGAGATGCTATCTGGACGTGCAGGGGCGTACTATATGCACCACGTCAAGCCAGATGCTTCCTTCGCTCAGGCGTATAACGCGATAAAAGCGTACTTTGACACACCCAACAACCAGACAGATTACTACCAGGAGTGGACCACAGTCACCCTGGCCGGAGAGCGCCAAAGCAATCCTGGCAAATTGTTGGTTGAGGTTGTAGATCTCATGGTCGAGAAACTTCATTTATGCCAGCAAGCGTTAGGATCGGCATATGCTAGTGATGAACACCTCATCGCCGGTATCACGAGAGCGTGTTAATCTACACCGGAAATGGGCGAGGCTCTCAGTGAACCAACAAGCAGCTTCCAGACAATCGTTTCTAAGCTGCGTGCCAGGGCAGGTGTAGTGCAGCAGAAGGAATCAGTAGGCCAGTATGTGGTAGATAAAGTCAATAATCCTCAAGTATTCTATACAGACAGGAAGTTTATAGGACGCACAAATCGTCACGACTATCCTATATCGCGTCAAGAATACCGACGCAAGAACTGTGACGATGCTAAACAACTCAGGAAGAGCGATAGAAGGTGCTTTATTTGTCATCGAGAGAACTGCCGCTCATGGAAGCATTCTGAAGAAGAACGCCGCGAAGCGCAAGATCGATATGACCGCTATCGACAGGTGGATGGAAGGAAGAGGCTGTCAACCCACGCTTACCAGACCTTCTTGCAGGAATATGAAGGCACTTCGTCGGACGAGGAAGACGAGGATTCCACTGAGGAGGAGGTTAAGCAGGACGTGGCCACCGCTCAAGCAAGGACTATATAGACCGCGTCGGGGCCTCACTAAGACAGATAGACACAACAGAACACAGAACCGAAGAATCACCTATTGAGATTGACTCAAGTGCTTCGTACGTACGTATATGCACCTTAGTGCACCCACACATACTGTATTATAAAAATGTTCAAAATGTACTGAATTATCAGCGACTTTGCGAGAATGATTAATTGCTTTCAGATAAACACTGTCAATTCGATCGTGGTAGCGGTGACAGAATCGACGAATCCAGCACTCCCCAACATCATGTTGTAGAAGCTCTACAACAAGATTTCGGAGAATTTGAGGCGTTGGAGGTAATCCACGAGACGAAAGCTTCGAGATATGATGAAGAAGAACTTCTTCTTGGGCATCTGTAAGGAGTTTGCGGTGAATAGAAGTTGCTTCCTGGTTTGATACGGTCTGGCCTTTATACCGGCGCCTTAGGGTCGAAGGCTCAAGATTATATTTTCTGGCAGTTTTGGCATATTGAGGCGTTTTTGCGATTCTAGATCACTAATTGCCTTTAGAATATCCGCTTCGTTGACCATATTATCGAATTTTGAATGTTATTTGTAGGAGCCGGGTAAAACGGGCATCGAGTGATCGGGAACGATAGAGTTGGGCGATTCTGCCGGATTTATGGTCCCACTACTCGCGTGTGGCGAATCCATATTGTCGAGATGTGCGGTATCAGGAATAACATTTCCGCTCCGTGATTCGGAACCTTTACGTCTTGGTTAGCATACTGCGTACCCGTGGAGGAAGATTTCGCGATGGCCGAACAGGAGGCTTACTCAGAGTAGCATGGATACCATTCGATTCTGAAGCATGAATCAGCTGCGTCGTCTCCTGGTGTGCTGAGCAAGACCGGTCGTGTCCCAGGAATCCCGCTGATATGCTGGGACTGGCCTCGTCATCATGGCTCGCATGTTGCACATTATCACTTTGATCACCTGGAAAATGTCCTCAATACGTCAGCACTCCCTTGGCATTTGCTAGGCGGATAGAACTCCTGAAATCTGGCTGTACTCACCAGATAGTAATTTGCGGGGGCCATTTTCAAAAAGATCACTACCAATGTGATGTTGCTGCTGTTCTGTATTCTCCGTGGCAGTGCTCACAAATGCGGTGGTCTTGATGGCCATATCGCTCCAAGCTGCCAGTTCACGATCGAAAACATTTGTGTATAAAGGTACTCCAGACATCTGCTCCTGATCTATTGGACTAGGAATGTGATCGCATTTGGACTGATGCAATTGACTGGGGCATGAGGGTGACTGGTGTCGGGACTGGGGTTTTTGTGGTAGAGGATGGATCAATGGGGGCAGTTTTGACGGTGGTGGTATGGTTTTGGAGGATATGCACGGCTTGGGAGGTAGGGGAGGTTGATATGGGATAATCTCGTCCAATGTGATCATCATTGCAACTGGATAGACGATTGAAGTGTATTTGGAGAGGGAAGAGAATGGAAGGAGACAGAGGAAAGAACGAAAAGCGAGAACGAGACGTTCGAGTGGACATTAGAGGAAAGACGCGACCAAGCACCCCTTTTAACTTCGCATCACATGGTCAACTATTTCACTCCTGACAAATCTGATTCACATCCTGGCAGGATAGCTGGACTCGGAGAGACCGAATGTATCCAATCTCTCAGTAAAATTCTTTCTCCGAGCGCCATCTTGAGGACAACAGCAGATCTGTCTTGCAAATATCCAAAATTCAGCCCTTTCAATGCGTGATTTTACTTGCAGAGTCTGATAGATACACTCTGGAGCTCTCTACTAATATTCCACAAATCAGTCAGTCTTTAGCTATTCATTATCCTTTTTGATCTCCTACAAGAAGTTCAGGATAGGGAGGGAAAGTTCAAGGACTTTGATATAAATGTCGCCAATGCAGCCAAAAGTGCCATGACGAAATACAACAAGTACTATACTCTTATAGATGATTCATGCAATATATTCTATATTACAATGCTTTTAGATCCTCGATTTAATAAGCTTGTCCTTGAGCATGAGTTAGAGGATGAAGCTAGGATAATATTATTGCTATGCAAGGGCAGCTTGAGGTCCAGTACCCTATAACTCATAAGCCCGAATTTCCTACAGCTTCAGAAAAACCAGGACCATCAACTGCGTTTCAAAATCCGCATAAGACCATTGTATCAGAGATGATGAGTAAGATTAAGGCAAAGTCGCAAAAATTCACAGAAAAATCCTCTGATATTGCACGATATCTTAATTCTGATGTTTTCGAATCTGACAAGAAGAAGAGAGATTGGATTTACACATGGTGGAGAGGTCATATAGATGAATATCCACGCATGGCAGCGGCTGCACGGGATTATTTAGCTGTCCCAGCAGCAGAGGTTGATGTTGAGATAGTATTTAATACTGGACGAGATCTTCTTGGCTTACAGAGGTGGTCTTTGAGTAGTGGAACCATGAGGAAGCTCCTTATACTGAAAGATTCTCTTTGTAAATAATACCAATACATATCCATGGATGTCATGGATATGAATATGAACAATGGATTTTTTTCATGGATAATATCCGCGGATATATCCGTGCTCTTAAAATTTAACGGATACGGATATAGATATGCTAAACTTTCATAGATCTTATCCATGGAAAGTGTGTCTATGTTGTCGGATTAGTCGGTTTATTCCAGGCCAATCCTGAAAAGTGTTTTACTAGGATCAAAGAAAAGAAGTGACTAGCAAGATTGTATATCTATGTTCTCCTCTCTCTCTATCCATCGGGTTTCAAAGCCAGGTCTTTTATAGACACTTTTGGCGGGGTGATTTGTGAGTCATCAAGAGGGGTAAATTTTGGGGGCTATAAGATAGGGCTTCTGATTGTTCACTTCCTTTTACTGCCTCCGGATATCCGAATTATCTGACACTGTCTTGCTGGATATCCGGTTTATCTAACATATGTAGGGCAAGCGGGCGCGGGTGTTTGTCGGCGGGGAAAAATAATCCACCCGGGAATATTCATGAATATGAATGAATACAACATGGTCAATGATCATAGGATAGAAAAACAACCTGGAACGGGAGAGATAGGAAGAAGTGATTCTCTCGGAATACGCGATAGCAGGCACTTGACTCAGCTCTAGGAGCTAAGCTGGCGATGGCGGACGCGATGGTGGAGGAGCCAGCGACAACAACGCGTTCGGGACGCGTTATAACACCCTCAACAAGGGCCCAAGAAGCCACAGGCAGCACCAGCACTGCCAAAGTGCCTAGAAAATCAATGACAGAAGTGGAACTGACAGCAGTGAAGAAGGCAGTTAGCCTTATTGATTAAAAACAGAGCGCTAAGGACGGAAGCCGAGACATGCTTAGAAAGATATATCAATATATGGAGGATACCTATCTGGAAGTCAAAACTCTAAAAGAAGCTCTTAGCAAGCAGGGAAAAATGATTAAGGAACAGAGCCAATTGATATAGGAGCAGAGCAGCACAATTAAAGCGCTGCAGGCTCAGCTAGAAACGAGCCGAAGCCAATCTGCAGAAGAATATAAGCAACTCTGGGAGCAGCTAGACACTGTCGCAAGTACCTCAGCTAAGGCAACATATGTAGCTACATTAGGTAGCCAACCTGGTCATCAGTAGGATGCACTATTAGGCCCTCCAGTGCCGTCTACGTCTACCAATACATTATTTTGCACAATCAACATATCCCAAGTCATGGAAGAGGATAAGGGCAAGACCCAAATAGCTAGGATTAGATAGATGATTGAGAAAGTGATGCAAGAGAACAAGGAAACAAAGAACTGGCGCTGCGCAGCAGTGGTCAAGGACCCTAAAAATACAGCCTGAATCAGAGTTATTTGCAGAAACGAAGATAAGATCTAGCAGGTTAAGGAAGCGGCCCAAAAGATTGAGATACCAGGAATAAGAACCCTGCAAGACCAGCTATATCTAGTTAAAATCGACAATGCCAACCAGACAGTAGTCCTAGATGCGGGTGGAAATATCCTACCAGGGGCAGCTAAGGTACTAGGAAAAGAGAATAATGTCAGTATTGCTAAGATCTCCTAGCTCAGTAAGAAGGACTCCAACAAAGCATACAGATTAATGGTGGTGTATATCACAAAAGGGACCAATACCAAATGTTTAATAGATGGCAACTACTTTGATATAGCAGGAGAATCCGCGTATACTTGAATCTTTGAACCACAGATGGGACCAGCTCAATGCTTTAACTGCCAGGAGATAGAGCATAAAGTCTTTTCCTATAAAAAGACTCAGACCTGTGCTAAATGCATAAATAAGGGACATTACCATAGCACCTGCCAGGTTATAATCTTAAAATGCGTTCTATGTGGAGGACCACATGAATCATTTAGCAAAACCTGTCAAGTATACCTCATGCATCCCTATGCATAAATCACTCCATACACTACAACTCAATGTAGGCAAAAAGGACATAGTATAACAAAGCTTAATAAACAACAACAAGATCAGAGACCACAGTGTGATAGCGATATCCGAGCCATATACATAGATGATTGAGGGCATGATTATTACAAGCCTAATGGAACATAGTCACTGGACAAAGATGATACCTACAGAAAGACAGGAAGGAAGATGGCTAATTTAGAGCATGCTATGGATCCAGAGCGATATTAAAGCAGAACAGATCCTAGTGGAATTATTAGATCTGACAGCTGCGATGGTTCGTCTCCCAGACTGGGAGGTGCTAGTAGTCTTGGTTTATGTAGAGGGAAATAATGAGGAGGCACTGATATCTACAATTAGGCTGCTATGCAGCTTAGTGGTAGACTTCTAGGGAAGAGGAGGAATACAGATAGATGTTCTAATAATGGGAGACTTCAACCAGCATGATCAACTCTGGGGCGGAGATCAAATATCTCCTATAAGATAGAGGGAGGCTGATGCTTTAATTGACTACATGACCAAGCACTCTCTCCATAGTCTTCTACCAAGAGGCATAAAGACATGGCAATCAGGGGATATAGAAATAACAATTAACTTGGTATTAATATTAACAGAACTAGCAGAAGAGATAGTTAGATATGGCATACACTATACAAACCATGGATCAGATCATCAAGCAATTAAAACTAAGTTCAATATATTAGTTCCAGATCAACCCACCACTAAGAGACCACTCTAGAAGAACGCGCCGTGGGCAGAAATCAGAGCGAGAGTCACCTCTACCTTACAGATGGTTTCTGTAGACAGCTCAGTCCAGCAGCAGACAGACCACCTCATGATAGCGGTCACAGAAGTAGTCTTGAAACTTACACCAAAGGTAAAACCCTCATAATATGCTAAATAATAATGGATGACAGATCTGACGCAGCTTCGCCATATATATACCTACTAGAGAAATCAGGCTAGGTCGCAGCGTAGGGCAGGACATGCAATCCCCGAGCTTAAACAACAGGCATGTGAAGCAGCAAAAGAATATCATGATACAATCAGGAAACAGAAGAAGGCACACTAGGAGGATTTCCTTGCTGATAATACTAATATATAGCAGGCAACTAAATATCTGAAACCTAGTAGGAGTTCATTTAGCGACAAAATTCTACTATTGATGAAGGGGGATAGATCTACTACCAAAGATAAAGTAGAACAGATAGAAGAGCTATTAGTGACATTCTTTCCACCATTACCAACAAGAATTGAAGAAGAGGGAACCCAACTATAAAGAGAGCCAGTACACATGCCCGATCTCACTATAGAGGAGATTGAATAAAAAATCTTTGAAGCTAAGCCATAGAAAGCACTTAGAGAAGATGGCCTCCTAGCAATGGTGTGGAAGTAGCTCTGACCAGTGGTTAAAGAAAGAGTATTCTCTATCTTTTAGAGATCACTTCAAGATAGCGATCTCCCCTCCTAATGGAGAAATGCTAAGATTATACCGCTAAAGAAGCCAGCAAAGGACAGCTACTTGCTCGCTAAGTTATAGAGACCTATATTACTGCTCTCTACACTAGGTAAGATCCTAGAAGTAGTTATTACAGAAAGAATATCATATGCTGTTGAAACATTTGGTCTATTGCCTACAAACCACTTCAAAGCAAGGAAAAGATGCTCAGCAGAACAAGCACTGCTACTACTTCAGGAAGAAATCTACAAAGCCTAGAGAAATAGAAAGGTACTTAGCTTGGTCAGTTTCAATGTCTAAGGGGTATATAACAGGGTCTTTAAAGAAAGACTGCTGCAGAGATTGAAGGCAAGGGGAATACCTGATAAGATAGTTCAATAGATTAACACCTTTTGTTCAAGATGCACCACAACCATTGTAGTTAATGGGCTGACAAGTGAACAAAAGGAGCTATCTTAAGCAGGCTTACCCCAAGGATCACCACTATCCCTAATATTATTTCTCTTCTTTAACGCAGATCTAGTACAACACAGGATTAGCGCCTCAGGAGGATTAATCGCATTCGTGGATGACTATATAGCCTGGGTAACAGGCCCATCAGTAGAAGCAAACCGTACCAGTATTCAAGCAGTAATTAATAGAGCCCTAGATTGGGAAAGGCGCAGTGGAGCTACATTTGAATGTGATAAAACAGCCATAGTATACTTCACCTGGACTGCGAGCCACGCAAGCAGTATACTATTGACCATTCAAGGTAAAATAGTCAAGCCAAAAGACAGTGCAAAGATTCTAGAAACAGTGATAGATTCACAACTACGCTTTAAGAAACACATTGCCAATGCCACTACAAAAGGATTAGCAGCAGCTATAGCGCTAAGACAACTAAAAATAGTATCCCCTTAGACCACAAGATAATTATTTAAAGCAACAGTGGCACTAGTGGCAGATTATGCCTCAAACGTCTAGATATATGCCTGTGGGATTAAAGAGACACAGTATATGAATAGAATACAGAAACATGGAGCTATTGCGATTATAGGTTCCTTCTAGATAGCGGTAACGGCAGTGGCCAAGGTAGAAGTAGATATTCAACCATGTCATATTTATCATATGGAGAAAGCGACAAAACTATAGGTCGACATCTAGACTCTACCTAGATTAAACCCACTAGGCAGACTAAGAACCGTTGCCACCCAGAGATTCCAATCTCTGCTACAGAAGATCACTCAACCTTTCGAGGCAACGATAAGGGAACGGATTGAGACTATATAGGCATTCACAGTGTCACCGTAGACTAACTGGATACCAGCAATCTGTGAAACAGACGAGAATAAAGCCATTAGCAATGCCAATAACACAGTAGGCATTCTAATTGCGACAAGCATATCTATTAAATCGGATAAGGTGGGCATAGGAGGCTGCATAAGAGATACCCAAGCAAATAGGAATAGTATATCCAGTCACTTAATCCTCTTGGGCAAAAGAACATAACAGAATCCTTACACAGCAGAGCTGGAAGCAATAGCAACCTCCCTGGAATGTATCCCACGCCAGACATATCAGAGATGCATATTCATCCTCAGTAGCAATAGATTGGCACTGTCTGTAATTAGCCAACCCCATCAACAATCAGGCTAAAAATCAATCCAATGGATATACAAATAGGTTTAAAACTTACAGCAACAAGGAAATGCGGTGATCACAATTTAGATTCCAACCTATTCAGACATAACCATGAAATAGTAAGCAAAAATAGAGGCACAGAAAGTAACAAGAATTAAATTGCTACCAGAAAAATAGCCATACCAAGTAAAATCAACCGCCATCAGGCTTGCTCTTGCGGAAAGGCAACATGAATGGACTCCAGAACAGTGGATATAGCTCTTCCAGGAAAACACATAAGAAGCTTATATGATAGACTGAATTGGAAAGAGGCAAAGATCCTAGCCCAACTTCAGACAGGAATGACAAGGCTCAACAGCTATCTTAATTGGATAGGCGCAGCAGATTCAGATCTCTGTGCCTGTGACCAAGCAAGCAAGACAATAGAACACTTCTTATTCCGCTGCACGCAATGGACAGCGATGAGAGAAGACATAAATCAGTGCACAGAATCAAGACGAGGAAATCTGTCCTTTTTCCTGGGCGGTAAATCACGTTCAGATCCAGATCGATAGCAACCAGATATGAAGGCCGTCCACGCAGCAATCAAGTTCGCAATCGCTACAGGAAGATTGGAACATGAACCTGAATCCGAATCTCAATCAACGCAGTGAAAAGTAAAACTATTCCCCTCCCCTTCACCCTCCTTTCTCTCCCAACTCTTCCTCCCTTCCTCCCCTCCTCCCTTCCAGGGTAGATCCCGCTGCAGTCGCCGAAGTTAGGACACTGCACACTTGGAGAAGATAACCTTTAAGATCATCTACTAGCAAACACCTTTAACAAGGGAGCCCCTCACAAGCCAACCAAAGAAGCCAATCACCAAGCACACACATGTTAAGAAAGCAACTTATGGGCTATCGCGAGACCATGCCGGATTGATTGATTGATTGATTGATTCATTAAGCCGTCCCAGCCGCCCCGCAGGCAGCTATGCGGCATGTGTCCTAATCCTGACCGCCAGCTCCGGTCCTATATACAAGAACTAACTATGTATCTAAATAATTTAGAATGAAACAACAAGCTGGTGTATGCTTGCTAGAGCACATTGCTGCTGCTCCGGCTGGTATAGTGACTGTTGTACCCTTGAGGACTCACCGCTCCGCTAGATGTCTAAATCTATGCTCCCAAATTGCCCAAGGAGCTTGGTTTCCAACATAAATTTTGCTGCCCTAACGGCGTATTTTCCCTCAGAGAGAATCTTCCTTGCATCGGACGACTATGTCCTCTCATTCTTCCACGCGTTACGCTCCTCCTTGAACCTGGGACAGCTCAGTAAGATATGTGTGACTGTTTGTGCTCCACGTTGGCACTGGCATTCTCCGTTGTCGATTCCCGGAATCTTTCTTTTGTATAGGAAATGCCGCAGGCTGATATTACCTGTCCGCATCTGTGTTAGGATAGATGATAGAGGCCTGCTAAGTCTGGTGTGAAGCTCTATATTCTTCTTTGATGGTTTATCCACGACCCGGAAGAGAGTACGGCCTTGTTGATTCTGTTGCCAGTTCTGTTCCCACTGTTTATAAGCTAGGGTCTTTAAGTCTCTCTTGAGCGCTGACAAAGGTTGCTGGAGCCCAACTAGTCTTGGAGCTGTGCTGTCCATATCCAATGGAACCTGTCTTCCTCTATTATTCTGCACCAATCTCCATCCAGTTGCCTCCTTTGCTGCTATGTCCGCTCGCTCATTACCCTCAATTCCCTGGTGGGCCGGGATCCAGTGGATAGTCACCTGGACACCCTGGCTCCTGAGCTCGTCCCATTTTTCCGCAATGCTTCCTAAGATCTGTTGGCCTGTCTTTTGAGCACCATCGATCGCCTGAATCGCAGCCTGACTGTCACAGAAGATTATCATCTTTCTTACTATGAGACCATGCCGGATCTGTGGGAATTGATTATGTAATTAGCGCACTAGTGCCCTCTAGGTTAGCACCTCCGGGCGTAATAAAACATCCATCCATCAATGATCATATTCATTTATTCATTTCGGAGCTCTAACTGTGAATCAATACTGTAATTAAACATGAAACTCTTATATGTCCAGAAGCAACGTGTTACTAATGCATCAGGCTGAAAAGTAAGGAGAACAGTAAGTGCCACTACAAGGCCAAATGGCACATAAGCTACGAGAAATACTGCTTCGGGGAGCCTTAGATCTAGTCACTCACAGTCTCAGGGAAACGGAAAACGATAGCCTGGGATCACTGTTATGCACCTTGAAAGCGCCGAGGGGTTTGAGCTCCTACCTGTCAAACGCTCCAATTCATTCAGAGCTTTAGCATAGAGCCCATAAGCGGTCTTTTCCTTATCTTCTGAATTCTCTACTCTCTTTCTGCGTCGGAGAAACACGATTTGGAGGTGAGCTTCAGCAAGCATTTGACGAGCTTTTAAAGCCTTTGACGATGGTGGCCAGCCGAGGGTCATGAAGATGTGTTTGATAATACGTCCTTCCTCTTCCAGCTTTTTTAAGGGCGGTTAACGTTGGAACTCATCCCAAAAATTCTTCACCTGTTTCCAATCTTACATATATTTAGGACACCAAATAATATCGCTTAGAGTAGAGGACAGACGAACCATGTCTGACGTAAGGTGGGGGATTTTCAGGCATTATGAGGCGAAAAATTGAACACTGCCATTTATAGATTGAAAGATACTGTACTACAGCAGGCAGAGAAAAAATCGAAAAGACATGATAACATGAACTGACACGAGATTATATACTGTACGTACGTATCTTACATATAGACTTATTCATTGGTTTCATGCACTACAAAGTTTTAGCTCTTCTTTAGTATGTTACTCATTTTGCAATTGAACATGTTAATTTTGGCGAACTGAAATTAACTACTACTTCTTGAGCCCAAAGTGTCAACGTTGATACGTGTAGCTCTGTCCATCGGATCTCGATGGCGGTTAATCTTCGAGGAGAAGAACCATTAGCTACTAGTTAACAGCTTGGCACTGATCGTTCGGATGTCAGCATGCATGAGTTCGGCAGCCAGTACCGCTTTGCTATGTTTATCATTTGGGCTAGTTCCATAAACATGGCCTCAAATGCTGACTGAAGCGTGGAAATCCGTCAGCCCGCATTTTCCAATACACTTTACGCGAAACCCTCCGCAGCTTAGCTCAAAAAGTCAGCAATCCAATCTATGTGCTCCCGACGGCCTGGCAGCACCGACGGAGTTGAAGACATGAGACGTCAGAGACCACTGTAAAGACCAGATCGAGTAATAATTGTAAACAGAAGTAGGTATCAAATTTGCTATAAATGGCCCAAGTGGCCTGATAGCTCCGATAGTGCGATTAGTTTTACTGCAATTTCGAGGAGGTATAATCAAGGTCTTCTTAAGAACAACATATGACTCTTTGGAGCTAGTTACTGGGGGGGAATGTTTTTGGGCTTTTCTCCTAATACTCGGGAGGTTTCTCTTCTCTCCATTGAATCAATTTCCAGGGCCAATTCTGGCCAGGTTCACGAGCCTGTGGCGCCTCTGGGATATATTCAACGGCCATGCTCATATCACCCACATCCAGCTTCACAGCTCTTTTGGGTCTGGTGTGATGCTTGGTCCGAACTTTGTATCCCTTGCTGATCCAGAACACATTAGTATGATATACGGAGATGAACGTTTTGTCAATATGAGATTCACTTCCAGCACAATTCGTGCAGACAGCTGAGAAACAACAGAGTGATTTCTACGCCGTCGCAGATGGCCGGTCCAGTAAGGGCAGAATACCAAACATCTTCAGTACGACAGACCCCGCAAATCACAGCAGAGAAATCCGTGCTCTTGGGCCACACTCTTCTATAGTCAGCATTAGAAGATTTGAGCCCATTTTCGATCGTAGAATCGCAAAACTGGTAGAAATACTAAACCTCCATCCAACAGGCGCAGTGTGTGAGCTTGGCCATTGGCTGACACTATGTGAGTTGCACGTGAAGATTCACGTGGATCTTAATACTAATCCAAAGATCAGTTGCGTCGGATGCAATTGCCGAAATCATGTTTGGCGCGCCTCTTTCTAGATCAAGAAAAGGACGTCCATAAGCTAATCCAATCCAATCAAAAGGAGTTAAGATATTTCGCTCTAGTGCGTGCGTTTGCGCAATGAAAATTATTTCTAGCTAACCATCAGAAGATTGGTCAGGTTCCACTACTCGACGTTTTTCTGACCAGGCTTTTACTATTTAGCAACCCTGCATTCTCCTATGCGGCACAGTTCTGTGCTGATAAAATTCGAGAACGCATGCTATAACACCCAGCAATCCGGGCTCACAGCAACAGAGAAATTTTCTAGATATGTTCATTCGAAGCGCGAAATCACTGGTGTCTCGGTTGTTGAGCAACGTGGTTGCTGGAGCTGACACTACAGCCAGCACATTGATACCCGTAGGTGCTGAAACATCGCAATATCCTCAACACCCTGAGAGCGGAGCTCGATAGGGGAGTATTGAACATTCCTGCGATGTTCGATCAGGTCCGCAACCTTCCCTATCTCAGCGCCGTTGTCAACGAAACTATCCGTTTCTAACTAGCAATAGGTCTAGCCCTTGGACGAGTAGTTCCAAAAGGTGGGTTTACTCTGCCTGATGGCCGCATTATACCGGAAGGTACCATCGTTGGGATGAATCCATATGTGGTCCACCGGAATGAGGAAATATTCGGGCAGAAACCTAATATGTTCGAGGCGAAACGGTGGCTCCAGCGGGAAGGCGAGGACGACGCTGCGTTCAAGCAGCGGCTCGTCCGAATGAGGTAGTGCAGCCTAGCCTTCGGATCTAGGAAGAGGATTTGCACTGGTTGAAACGTGGGCTCGCTGGAAATCTACAAGACGGTTGCAACACTGTGCTATTTGTATAATGTATGTTCGTTCCGTTACATAATGTTACAGTGTATCAAGGGACATGCTTACAATAATAGATATATCTTATATATCCAAATCAGAGTTACCAGGTTCAAAAATTCTGGTTTGTAGATATGAGCGGACTGCTTGTTAGAATTAGCAAGAGGCGGTAGAATGCATGTCCAGCTCCCATCAGGAGGCGACAGCCGGATTGAACTACGAAATGGAGCAAACGGAGGCCTTTGATATCACTAAAGTGCTTGCTCATTACTCCGAAAGCTTACCTGAAACACCCAGAAGCTTTTGGAAACTGTTGTTGACAAAGTAATTCACTGCAAGTGACAGAAGATCTCCCAATCGCCGCAGCAAGCAATTGCTATGCAGGCGATCTTGTATTGGAACATCTGTTCGAGCATCGAAGACCGAATACCGATTGCCAAGCAAGCGTGTTTCAGGCCGCGTTGGAAAACCGACATAGGAAGCACGTTAGTTATGATATTTCTGCTGACCAAGCAGATTCGGCCATTGCCCGTGCCGTCTCATTTGGTCGAGGAAGTCTCTCTACACTTTGGTGCAATTGTAGTGGAGCCTATCTTACTTGGAGCTCAGGAGATGGTCTCGGTTGTCAGAACACTTATCGCAGTTGCAAAGGACCACGAGGAAGGAGACATGTGGGTTAAAATCCCCCTAACACATGCCTGAGAGAGTACAGTTGCGGTTATGGCGGAGATGATTGATGAGATGAGTGAAAGAGAAGCGACTTTATATGTTGCTAAGCTTGAGTCAATGGAGTTCCTGGAAGTTGTCGAATTGAGAAAAAAAGGCGCAGCGGAGTCTATCAGGAAGCTAATCAGTGTTCGAGATTCACAAAGAGGCTCGCTGTATTGTTTTGCCATCAAAAAGCGTCACTATCAAATAACAAACTATTTACGCCGCTAGGAAGGGATATGGAGCTCGTTTGTGAGAAAGATTGAGAATGTCTCCATCATTATCAGTTCAATACGAGTATCTTCTATAGATTATTCGAACAATGAACTTTCAACTTTCAAAGGCGAAGGTTCCTGTTAAGAAGACGAGATATTTTCAACTATTTTAATAGAAAGGTATGGAAGGATATGTAGAGACTCAGGGTAACTTGAGAGAACTGGCACTCAAGTCAACATACATTCCCTGAGATAATGACAGCAAGCACATTGCCTTACCATTTTAGGGTTTATGGACACGGCCAAACTCTGAATCTGACAGGACAGGATATCGGGGTTAGGGTTAATATGAGGAACGCAAGGGTAAATCACGTGCAACTGCCCGCACCTTTATTGAAAGGATCTACTAGTACTTAGGGTTGGGTTCAGTACAAGTGCCAGCACAGAATGCATGATGATTCTAAAGAGGATTAGTAAAAGAACAGTCGATGAAAGGCTTTCAGCTGTCTATTGAAGCATCATAAAGGACATTAGCTCTATCATGAAAGAGCACAATCACGACTAATATTGTGTATACTCATGGAAACCACCTGATTCCTCGAAGCATGACATGACGATGTCGAGTAACTAAATCTTTGGTCGCGGTGGAGACCTCAGGCCGTCAAAGTAAGCTCTGGAGCTACACAGCGCCAGGCAGCAAGGCGGCAACATCTCACCCGAACAGGCTTAGCGCGTCTTGGGTCTGCTGCCCTTTTCCACCTCCTTCTCCTTTCTGGGCCCGCGCCTTCCCTCGTTGCCAAAACAGACATCGCCAATACTCTGACTTTGCTTCTTCAACTTCGATCTCCAAACCTCCATCTAGGGCACTAAGCTACCCTCTTCCTTTCCCCTCAAGTCAATCTATCCCACCAAAAAGGCAGCCTCACGCTACCTGAGTCATCTCTCCACACATCGGTCTCTCTACCTTCAAACCTATCAACAAAAGACCCCCGTGTCCTCAGCCTAAATATGTCTACTGCCGCAGACAATCTCGCCGACTCCCTGGCTAAAACCTCCCTCAACGACACCAACGGCGACGTCAAGGTCGACGCCGCTGCTGCCAGTGCTGATGAGGGTCGTCGGCTCTATATTGGGAACCTCGCATATGCGACCACTGAGGGGCAACTCAAGGAATTCTTCAACGGCTACACCATGTAAGTCTACAGACTAGACTCGGTCACAGCACGATATATTACATGCTGCTTGCATGACCCGTTCCATCAACTTATTACGTATGAATCGTCAACTGACAGTACTCGAAATACAGTGAGAGCGTTGCCATTCCTGTGAACCCTCGTACCAACCGTCCCGTGGGCTATGCCTTTGTCGATCTGGCAACCGCCCATGAAGCCCAGGACGCTATTCAACAGCTCTCTGGCAAGGAAATTCTCGAACGCAAGGTGTCTGTGCAAGTTGCTCGCAAGCCCGAACCCGCCGAGGCTAAGGAAGGTGCAGTGAGTGGCGGTGAAGGTGCCAGCGGTGGAGAGGGTCGCAAGAGGGGCATCAAGCGTGGTCGTGGCCGTGGCCGTGGCGGCCGTTTCGTCCGTGGTGGCCGTACCCGCACTGAAGCTGTATGTTTTAATTTGACTTTCTCTTTACTAATTTTGATCTAACCTCTGTTTACAGCAAAACGGCGAAACTGAGGCTGCCGTCCCCACCAACGTCCCTGGTCAGGCCATTCCCTTGACCGAAGCTGCTGTTGAAAATGAGGCTGCAGCCAAAGAAACCAAGACTCGCGGTCCTCGTCCTCAGAAGCAGCGTGGACCTCCCGAAGACGGTATCCCCTCCAAAACCAAGGTCATGGTCGCCAATCTTCCTTATGACCTCAACGAGGAGAAGGTTTGTCTCTCAGTTCAGATCAGCATTAACAAACACTAACACCCGTTGCCTACAGCTCAAGGAACTTTTCAAGGATTACGAACCCGTTTCAGCCAAGATCGCCCTTCGTCCCATTCCTCGCTTTATGATCAAGAAACTCCAGGCCCGCAATGAGCCCCGCAAGGGCCGTGGCTTCGGATTCGTCACTTTGGGATCCGAGGCTCTCCAGGAGAAGGCCGTCCAGGAAATGAACGGAAAGGAAATCGAAGGACGCGAAATTGCCGTCAAGGTCGCCATCGACAGCCCCGGCAAGGAAGATGTTATTCCTGGTGAAGGTGAAGAACAGGCTGCTGAACCCGCAGCCGAGCAGGCCACTGCTTAGAGGACAGTTATTATCGAACAGGGGATGATTACAAGGCTTGTGACGGACAATATTTTATGAAAGCCGCATGTCTTAAGAAGGTGACAGAAGTAGGCCGAATACTTTGTGTCTGCGTGTTTGATACGTTGCGGCCAAGGGTAGGCTACTTGAAGCGATCTCTATGGATTGAGAACTAATCGATTCATTTAACATTTCATTCTTTGTATTTTATCAACGAATCTAGCTTATGCGTTGAGAATTGCAATTATCCTTGAATGTAAACCGTAGTAGTGTAAACATGCCAAATGCGCAGCTGCGGTCTGCAGCGGTCATGTATGGCGATGCACGGGCCAAGTTAGTTCGGCCAACCGTCTGGTCCTTTATCTTGACTAAATCAAACCGCTTAATCATATCACCATAAATCCACCATACAACGCAAAGCTTTAAAATAATAGCAGGCCAGGAAAATTGAGCATATTGACACTGGTTCCGCCGCTGCATATCAAGGGCCAGTTGCCATCGCGGGCATTCTGCCACGATGTCGAAATTGTGGGAAGTAGACCCTGAGACGAGAGCCAAGGTATGATATTGAATGCCGAACTAAGCATTTACACCTCTATGGATATACGAGTAGTACCTGAATGCTGACTTATTTCTCTCAGTTGCTCCAGATTTCAAAGACAAATGGAAACGACAGATGTTGTGACTGCGGCGCACCCTCCCCTCAATGGGTAAGACCTCCCAACATCTCAGGATAGAAGATCTCAAACTCACAAGATTATAACTGCACAGGCATCACCAAAATTCGGTATTTTCATCTGCCTAAACTGCGCCGGCACCCACCGCGGGCTGGGCGTACACATCTCCTTCGTCCGCTCAATCACAATGGACGCCTTCAAAAACGCCGAAATACAACGAATGGAACGCGGAGGAAACGATACCTGGAAACACTTCTATGATGAACACGCAATTATCATATCCGAAGGACGGACGTTTGAGGATTCGACGATAAAGGAGAGATATGATAGCGAAGTTGGAGAGGAATACAAGGATCGACTTACGGCGAAGATTGAGGGTGTTGAATATGTGCCTGGTGAAAAGAAGAAGGTTGTTGTTCCATCGGGGACGGTGACGGAGACTGTGTCGTCGAGGTCGAGTACGCCGATATTTCAAGGAGGTCGAGCATCACCCGCTACTTCAATGACTGGCGCAACAACACAAAAGGATCGCAATGAAGCATATTTCGCAAAGTTGGGGAATGAGAATGCATCGCGACGAGAGGACGTTGCGCCTTCTCAGGGTGGGAAATATGCGGGTTTTGGGGGCGGTGTACCCGTATCGTCGAAACCTGCTCGACAGGAGGGTGTTCCGGGGTTTAATGATTTTCAGAATGATCCAGTTGGGGCTTTGACAAAGGGGTTTGGATGGTTTACGTCGGCGGTAGGGAAGAGTGCTAAGACAGTGAATGATACGTATATTCAACCCACGGCCAAGCAGGTCTGTCTTTTCTCTTTTCGAACTGTTGAGAAACTTGATACTGACATCGTATTTAGCTGGCCGAGTCGGACTTTGCTGCCCAAGCCCGGATACACGCCGCACAATTAGGTCAAAATTTACAAGTCGGCGCACGAGATGCAGCAGATCGCTTCAATCGATTCGTCGAGGGCGAGGCGTCGGGACCTGGTGCCGGCGCTGCAAGTGGCGGTGGTGCACAACGCAGATTCCAACCAGAAAGACAAGATTTCTGGGACGAGTTCTCAGCAGTCGGCGAACAGAGTGCTGCTGCTCGCCAGAAACGGCAATCTTCTGGTGCCATAGGCACGGCTGCTATGAGGAATACGCCGACTACGTCGAGTGCTTCTGCGACTAGTAGGGTTAATAATACTGCCGCGCCGGCTGCTACGGGTATTGGTGCGAGTACGACTACTACTTCGACAAAAGAAAAGGAAGATTGGGGCGAGGATTGGTAGTGGAAGTTTCGTTCTGAATATCAAATATATAGTTTTGCATTGATACCCTTGTCCTGACTCCTCACTCGATAAATATAAGTACATGATGATAGCATTCCATAATTAGATATATAGATATTATACAAGCTAGGTAGACAAACTACCTATTCAGCTCCGCCAAAACAGCCTTCTGTCTCTGCGCCGACATCCTCTCAAACCGATCAACATGCATCACAAACGTGCCTCTACCAGCACTCAAACTCCGCAAATGCTTCAAGTAACCCACCATCTCTTTTAAAGGGACCTTTGCAGTGATTGTTCGAGGTTGGTTCGCGGGTGCTTGGATCGGCAATCCGCCTGCAACACTGGGTGTTTCGAAGGGGTCTGGTGGAGCGTAGATTTTATTTATGTCGACAGCGACGGGTTGGTCTTGTGACTCTGGACTTTGGCTTAAAGAGGTTGAGATGGGCATTTCTTCATCGAGGGAGACTATGTGCCCGCCCCGTGCTGAAGAGATGTCGTGTACCACCGCGCCGAGACTGGCTTCGTCGACGCTTATAATTACGTTCATAACTGGTTCCATCATGCCTGTGCCGGTACTAGCAGCAGTAGTCGTCAAATTTCGCAATGCGCCCTGAGTTGCGAGTCGCGCAGCTGCTGATAATGCTGAAGCGCTACTCTCCGAGCCAAACAGGTGTTCTGCAGCATTGCATGTAAGTGTTACTTTTGTATTGTGCATTGGGAATGCGAATTGCGGTCCACGCGCAAGTGCGGATAATGCGCCGTTGTAGAGGGACGTTCTGAAGGAATTCAAGTCGAGTTGTGGTGGGAGGGAAGTGCTTTCTTCTTTACCCTTTTTGTCGGTGGTGATGTTTACCCCTGGTGCTGAGATGATGATTTTGTTGCCGTCGACCGTTTCTGTGAAGATGATATCGTCGCTGCCAGAGGTATCATTTCCATCTGATTCTAATTCTTGACCATAAGGCTCGACAACTGCTGTGCACCCAGCTTTGCCCTTTCTGCCGGCCACCTCTCGGTCAAAGATTTTAGTTACTGGATTGGATTGATCGAGTACACACTCACGATATCCTATCTCGATGCGGCCCATAGATGCTTTGGCTTTAAAGTCATTGACCAGTCGGTCTCGGGCAATTTCTAAATGTAACTCTCCCATACCGCTTAGTAGTGTCTGACCAGAATCTTCGTCAATAGTGACATGGAGACTGGGATCTTCTCGTAATAATAATGCAAGCGCTTCTTGCATGTTCTTTTCCTCGCTTAGACTGTGGGGTTCGATACTTGCGAAGAAAACGGGAGGCGGTACGTCGATGGGACGTAACTGTAAAGTATTCAAAGGCTCTGGAGGGACCGACTTGCTCCCCGTACATGATATAAGGGTATCTCCGGTTCGAGCATACTTTAGTCCAACCACAACTCCGATATGACCGGCGGGGATTGAGTCGACTTCAACAGCATCGTTGGCGTACATCTTGAAAAGACGTGGAGCTCGCTCCGTGACATGGAGGTTGGTGTTGTATAGATGACAATTCCTATTCAGAGATCCAGAGTAGACACGAACATAGACGAGAACTCCACGTTTGGCGTCACTCACGACCTTGAATGCTAGGGCACAGCTTTCTAGGTTAGCAGTTAAGCTTTTGATGTCCACGGACGTTCGTGTCACGACTGCCTTCTTCTTTTGCTTGGATTTCTCAATACTGGCTGTTTTCGGGTCTTGTTGTAGAGCCAACTCTCCGCTTAGTAAGTTTCCTAGGGATGTCTTATCGCTTCCGAGACTGATTTCTGGGTCATGGGACTCAGATGGACCCGGAAGAAGGTTATTGACTGCATCTAGCAGAGGCTGCACGCCCATGTTGCGGAAACTAGACCCAGCAAATACTGGTATAATCTTCTGAGTTTCAGGACCAAGTAAACATTTGCGGAGACTCTTCAGTATAGTTATTGATGGAACCGTCAAATGATCTTCCTCATGCTCGAAAAACGACTCGACCATGTCTTCATCATGTTCACTCAGTAGCTCGACCAAAGCCACTCGCGCACGTTTCAATTCCTCGGCAAGGCTTTTATCCTCGTTCTCTAAACCATTCAGATCAAATACTTTGACGGATTTTCCGTCTCCACCTTCCTTCCATAACAGCCCTTGAAGCGATACAACATCCGCAATGCCGGTGAAGCGTCCATTGCTACCTTCAAACCAAGGGATTTGGCAGACTGCGGGCCAGCCCTGCAGCCTAGAGCCTACTTCACGCACCGTACGTCCAAATGCAGCACCATCTCGGTCTAGCTTGTTAACGTAGACAATTCGCGGAATCTGGTACACACTAGCCTGATGCCATACTTTCTCTGTTTGGGCTTCAACACCAGCGACGCCGTCTAGGATGCAGACCGCGCCGTCAAGAATACGAAGGGATCGCAGGACTTCAAATGTGAAGTCTGCATGACCTGGCGTGTCGATCAAATTGACCGTGTGAGAAGCTCTTGACCTGGGAAGATTCTGTGCCTCCAAATCTTCCAAGCTAGGGCTGCTCGAGGTTCCGTCACCAGTCAAGGGTGGCCAGTGGAAGGTGATTGCGGCAGATTGGATGGTAATTCCACGAGCTCTTTCAGCTGGTAGAAAGTCTGTGACTGTTGATCCGTCATCAACGTCACCTATTCGTCGGGTGAACCCGCTGTAATAGAGCATGCGCTCAGTGGTGGTGGTCTTGCCGGCGTCAATATGTGCAATAATGCCGATGTTTCGAGTTTTCTCGAGGTGGACAATAGCCTCTGCTAATACTGCAGATGAGCTCAAGCTTCGATAGTAATGCAGTCTCAGATAAGAAGCGACAATGCCATTATATGATTGTAGGCTGTTCGATGCATATTTGCAGGTTTTTAATCTGGACACGGGGATGGGTCGAATTGCGGCCCATCCCAGTAACGGAGCAGAAACCATTTCAATATGCTTATATCCAAGCGAGGAAATATACTCTCATCTTGTGAAGCTTGCCATAGATCCAATTCCTGTCCAAAGCTGGCTATTTATCCAGTTCATCAAAAGTGGTCCATGCCAGTTGCTTTGAGATTTTTGGCAAAAAGGGAGCGGCAGTATTGGCCAATCAGAATATCCCGACAGCCCCACTAGCCGATGTCATGGTCTCTCCGCACTAAACACTCAATCAACGCTTCTGCCTCTATCGTAGAGCCTCGCCTGTGCGCTCCTCTCTCAATTCTCTCTTCCAGGGTAATTCGCGTTGATTTGTTGCTCTACAAGTTAAATCACTAATTCCCATTACTAGAGCCTTGCGCAACCCTACTCCGCCGAACAGAATCGTGGCAATAGGAACATCCGGCTCCGCCCACATATCAGCTTGACAACGTCAATTTGGCCTTTTCATACGATGGATTACTCCTCCATCGCACACGATCCAGCTGATCCAGTGGAACCATCTCCCTGGGGCTCTCCACATGCAGATAGAGATGCTTTTGGAAGCACCGGCCACGGCACAGATGTTCCTGCGCCCTTACCTCCGCACCAAACGCTGTACGGTGATAACCACGATAGCGAACCTCATACCGGGAATGCGCCAGCTGCAGCGTCGGAACAACACGATTCCTTGGATACCCCCCGCAGTGTTCCGGCAAGTGAGCACGAACATCCGCAACAATCGCAGCCTGCATCTCAACAGCAGAAACGGACAGAGACACCTGCTCGTTATCAGACCGGAGCTCGGCAACACGCAAGACAGGCTGCACCAACGTACAGGTTACAAGGAAAGATAACTGCGCTGGAAAGGACGGGCAAGAAAGATCCCATTCTTCGTTTCGATGTCTACGTATGTTGATATGAATATTACCCATGATGTGGAATTCAAGCTAATCGCTTTCAGACCAATATCCCCAAATTCCGTACCACGCAGTATCGGGACGTTCGTCGCACCCACTCAGAATTTGTCAAACTCTCTGAACATTTGATATCTTCCAACCCCGAGGCAATTGTACCCGCTGTGCCTCCTCCACTTACTCCTGCCGGTGCAGGGACTGATGAAGACGAGATTCGCGTCAAGGCATCAATGCAGAAGTGGTTGAACTATGTATTCAGTAATGACGTCCTCGTGCATGACGATGAGATTGTTCTTTTCGTGGAAAGTGATTTCGGCTATAGTCCCGTGGTTCGAATGAAGCAGCCAGCGACTGGTGTTCGCCGAAAGGTTCTTAAGCAATTTGCACCACCTCCGGACGACACTCCTGAGTTACAGGATGCGCGTCCCGTGGTGAAGATGTTCTATCTCGGTGCACTTGATTCTAGTCAAAAGGTGGATCGTGTGGTTAAAGCTCGAAGAGGTATGTCTGTTTTCTCGTGTGTTTGTTTTCCGCGCTGATACGTTGCAGGCCTCGGACTGGCAGAATCTGATCTCGGCGTCAAACTTGGACATATGCATGTACAGGAGACTCATGTCGGTTTAAGCAACGCGTACCGGAAGCTTGGGCGCGTCATCCAGACAGCCGGCGACTATCATGCTGCTCAAGCCACAGCGGAGGCTACAACTCTGGGTGATCCCCTGGAGTACTATTCCTCTGACGCTTTCATTGTGAAGGAGACCTTGACGAACCGACATATTCTTCTTCGAGAATTAATTCAGGCCCAACAAGCCGCTCGCAGCAAGCGCGCCGCAGCCGACCGCCTCAAGGGCAGTTCATCTGTTCGCCCGGAGAAAGTGGATGAAGCTATTAGCGCTCTAGATGAAGCCCTTGGGCACGAGACCTACCTTACCAAGAAGACACAAAGAGTAACATTAAACTTGTTACTGGAGACCCGGCGTTGGTTTGATCGAACATCAAATGACGTCCTATCAAGTCTCCGCGAGTACACCCTTAGACAAATTGAAGCTGAACGCCGAACATTAGCTCTACTCGAGAGTGTGCGACCTGATATTCGAGCAATTGATTCGTCTGGTGGACTTAGCCGTCTTGGACGAGAGTCTCACCCCACAATTCGCCGATCCAGTTTGGCGTCGAGCCAAGGCCCCAAGGGAGATGCATGGAGTGGTGTACCCCGTCGTAACGATAGCCTTAACCGAAGTATGACCAATAGTACGGTTATTGTGCCCGTTCTTTCGGATGAGGTTTCCAATGGCGACAGTGTCGGCAATGGCCGGGCTCGAGCCCTGAGTGGAGTTGGATCTATCGCAGAGGAAGATGATGATGACAAGCTTGATGCAAGAAATGCGGCAAGTCGGCTGGCGACAAGCACGTTCTGATGAATTCCTTCTATTATATCCTTGTTTTCTCTGTTGTTTGTATAGTAGCATATGTTTCTACTATCTGTCATGCTCTGCAATCACCAATCCTACACAATATCAAAATTTTCTCTTTCTTTATCCTTTTTTTGTGGCGCCTCGTCATTTCTTAAATCATGCCATTTGAACACATCACCAGCACAGATACGCAATAGCCTATTATCCTCCCGGACTTGTTATCAAGAAGCCCTACCAATTGAGCTACAATCAAAAGGATCACCTATGCATTTTTCTCCGTGTATATCTTCTCGGTCTATCCATATGCCAACCTGTTGCAATCCCACTAGGTTAGAAAGGCGCACTTAGTTTTCACCAAGTAATATTGGTTTCAAATAGCAAGCTTGCAACATGACCTCAGGAGCTCATTATAAGCTACAGGAGAAAGAAAACCGGGAAAGTGAAACCCATATCTGGGAAGAGGCAGCAATAGAATTGAGCACTCGGCGATTTCAATCTTGATACTAGCTACAGTATTGACTTTCTGTGTTCCTTGCTCTGCCTTGTGGTCGGTGTCCTCGCATGCCCTATCCCAAACCTTTAAGGATGCGAGAGGCCACTCTTAGGATTTGTTGATATCAACATCTCCTCTTTTGTGGTATCTGATATCAGAATAAGAATAATAAGTACAAAGTCGTAGAGTGTACTCAATTGGGCTTCAGAACGCCCCCTTTACCAAGGGAATAACTTCATCCACGGTCCCCAGTCCAGCCATCGGCTTACTAGAATGATCGGAATTCTTAAGCACCCCAAACACAACTTTCAAATTCTTGAGATCTTCAGGGACATTCTCCCTTCCACCCAGACAACCCTTTGCCGCCAAATCACCCAGTCGCTCACTGCTGCGAGCCGTACACAGCGTCTGAACACTATGATGACAGACTTCATCATTCAAGTTCAAATATATATTGGCTTAGCCATTCAACCGCCTTCCCAATGAAGGATAGTGCATGCAAAGCCGATCTTCCTTCTGTTTCTAGTTAGCTTCACGTAACAGCATTCTCGCTCTCTCTCGTTCGTTCTTCTTGATTGTTCCTAGTCTTCTTGGATTTTCCAGTGGAAATGAGCCTCTTTTCTCGGTTCCGAACCCGAGTTCTTGGATGGTGGCATGACGTTCCGTTTCCGTTGCCCGCATTAGAGGTCAACGCCTCGCCGGTCTTTCAATCATGGCATAGATTCGACTCATTCTCCAACAGATGGATTCCCTTTAACCCGCCCCACGAAACCACTCAAGAGGAAAGCAGTGCTAGCGTAGATGTCGGGCCAGCTCAAGGCTCCAGGCTAGTCCTTGTTACATGGAATGTTGATGCCACTGCGTCCGGATCAGAGACTCGTATCTCTGCTATTATATCGCATCTCCAGAATTCGGTTCCACTTGTCGATGTTATTTTCCTCCAGGAAGTATCACGGCCTGCTCTGACCACTTTACTAGCAATACCTTGGCTCCGCGATCACTGGTACTCGAGCGAAGCGGATACTATCAACTGGGGAACGCAATCTTTCGCAAATATGACGCTTGTGTCAAGATTGCGGCTAGACGATGTAGGCCGCGCTGCTAATAATGCGGCTCTCGGTCCAATCTGGAGGGCCAAATATCCCAGTCGTTTTGAAAGAGATGCGCTTTGCTGTGACATTCTTCTAACCTCATCTAGATGTCTTTCCCGTGTCCGTCTCATCAACGTGCATTTGGATTCTCTTCCGATCCAGCCGTCTCTGCGCCCCATCCAGCTCTCCGTTGTTGCGTCCTACCTTCACGCCGCTGGCCGTGGTATAGTGGCGGGCGACTTTAACTCCGTTCTTCCTGAGGACGACACACTCGTCAGTACAAACTGCCTCGTAGACGTATGGGCCGAGCTCCATCCAGATGAAGCGGCTTTACTTAGGGATTTGACGGAAACCAGCCATTTGCGCCCAACCGACTCGACAAGGTGGCTGTGGTTGGGCTGAAGGCCTACGATATCCAGGTGATACGACCAGGTATGTGTGTGAATACGAGCAGCCAGAGGAGAGAGCAGCAAGCCCCGCTGTTGAAACAAGGTCAAGAGAAGAGAAACGATCACAGTTCAATGCTTTTGTGGAGCGATCATTCTGGCCTCTTGTGCTCCTTAGGATTAGAGTTCACTTAGTGCAAGGTGGTATTATCACTCTCCTTAATGAACATAAGTGGTAATTTACGTCCTCATCGTAAAGTGGTGGGTAAGCGTCATTGGGACGGCCAGAGTAAGAATTCACCTACAACTACTGCCTTTAGCAATCTCTTGCTACCTTTTCCTTGATTTTGCTATCCTGCCGGTTCTATCATATCCCATTTAGCGTCAAGATTAGCCACAACCTTGTCATTTGCTATCGTTTCTTAGCTCTTGTAGGATGAATCCAACTCCTGCCACTGCTTCAAGTCTTGAAATTCCTTTACCCACTCCCGTAGGCCTTCGGCTTCATCATCCTCCAACTGTTTCAACTTGATATTCTCCCCGTTTCCGATCATGCATTCCCGGATAGACCGTACCTCAGTCATATCACCGTTCCTCTTTGGTCCTTTACGGCGAGTCGTGCTCGCCCAGCTGCTCAGTTTTAGCTTCAGCAAACCGACTGCGCTAAGGGTGTTCAGTTGCAGCGATCCCACCCGAATGCCATCAACTTCGACGAATCGACCGGACGACTCAACAAAGAAGTAGTGTGAGCCGAGGAGGTAATGATCAGTATCCATTATAAACGGGTAACGTGAAAAAAATGTCGAGAAGCACACCGTATCCTTGGTCGCCGCCTGGAACGGCAATATCTATATCGGCTGTCGTGCGTGCGGTCATGGCGACAGTAATACATGCAAAGCCACCACAGAAATAGTAAGGCACCTGGTGCTTGCTCAATTCATTATGAAGGTATATAGCACAGCTGTAGAGGTCGTTGGCTGGAGGGACAGGAAGTTTGACTGCGGATAAACGGTGTTAGCCGTGACTATTAAAGCATATCACTAGCGAGTAGTAATAACACTGCCGGATCAATCTCCCTTTTGAGCATTTCCTTCAGTTCTGCGAACGCTTTCGAGGCCGTCGCTAGTTAAATCGCAGTACGTCTATGTCAGCAGAAGTATGGATCTGCTTCAGATCCAGTCACTCACCTCCAAGATCTTTCTTATCCATTTTGAAGAGATGTATCTAACATTGTTGGGAGAATACTCGTGTTACGAAAATGTAGGTTCGGCACCCTGTAAATTACGAGCAGTTAGTCTATTTGCACTGTGAAACGGAGCCAGCAGACCAAATATGACTCTCACAGAGAGAAATGTTGTTGGAAACAAGGAAGAAAGGTCACTACGTGGGTGAAGAAGGGCGTGTAGAAGTTGTTGGAGTAACAACTGAATTGGTAGACAGCAGGCAGGGACGGCCACCTCACTGAACCTCCGGCACCATCTGCGCACCTTTCCTCTAATAGTAAGATGTCTAGGTATAAAGCTGTATAGAGTATATCTGCTCCTGCTATCCCGAGCTTTACATTCGTTCAATGCCAACTACAGTCGGAATGAATCGTGAAAAAAAGATTGGAGTCTTATGGTACCACTATCTGTTTAGACCGGTCAAAAAGTCCGTTATAGCCGTGAAGCACTCCTGCGTCAGCCACCATTCCCAACCACACCGTCAGGTCCTCCTCATCGCCACCCCCAGGATAAGAGGAAGTCATGTTTGTGGATGCGCTCTCAATAACCCTTCCACTCATCATCGATATTGTTCGATTAGCGAGCACCATAAATATTTCCCGATAAGGTGCAGCAGCATCCCACCGCTCTGCAATGATCACCAGGGTGATGATGCAGTCATTACATGTTGTGTTTGCTCGCCTGTAGCCACAGGCATTTCGGGCTGCGGATGATGCCCAAAGGCAGTGAAGATACGTCAGTCCCGCGAGGAAAAGCTCGTGTAGAGCTGTCCAGGTACAGCTAGTCCGTTTTCCTAAAAATTGGCGACGGTACCTTTGACAAATGCTCTCTGCAGCCCCGAGACATTCCAGGAAAACGCTGTCCGGAGTGTCCGTCCGGTAATCGATGATCTGCCCACGATAGAGCTGTAAGATTGTGTAGTAATACTCCAAATCATACCAGTCTTCTGTTGTAAACAAGACAAGCTCCTCATTTGTGTGGGAAGGTGTGGGCGGAGTTTCAGTACGCCAGTTTTCTATCTCAGCACGGATACCTCGAATGTCTCTCTGCCGGTCGTGTTTCCCTACACAACGCGGGTCGGGTTTGGAGTAAAGGTGGGTATAAATTCGATTTAACAGGCGCCGAATCCTAAACGTATGGATTGCTCTCGTCATGTTGTTTGGTGCATCGGCTGGTGATGTTCGTGGTGTTCCAATAAGCTCATTGTCTCTGATACATAAATCATCAATGTCGATTGGGTACTGTATGTGAATGCGTTAGAATAATATAACCACAACAGGAACCGAGAAAGAATCAGAGCATACTTCAGCATCAACCTCTTGATAAGGGATCCCTAGAGGTCGACCCAACATGACGGCGGCTTGAGTCTCTAAAACGTAGGCGCACCAAAACACCCTTTTGCGTAATTCTACCCCCAATACATCTCCAAACGGTGGAAAGTGCTTCGTATTACGATGGTAGCCCAGATCAATGCACTGGCGAAGTGCCAAACCAGCCAGTTTCCTATACATAATGAGCAAAGAGTTCTTTCTATCCATGGACATTTTTCATCTTGTCAATTACCAGTGGGAAGTGCCAGTGGGAGACCTGACAGAGTATATTGCACAGCACAGGATGGCCTGCACAGCTTCTAGATTGTCGTAGGCTAGTATATCATCGATGTACATAAGTGCCGACATATATAGACTCTGCACAAGGGTCAGTCAGCTTTATGAATGTTTTAGAGGAACTATCTGCTTACCTCGGCCGAGTATCCGAGATTGGGTAAAAGCAGAGCACCGACAGCATATACCTATTACAGTGAGCTGTTACTCTGTAACATAAGCACGAGACCATTCCCTATCTTACCATATTCAAGAAGAACAGGGAGACGGAGTTTGGATGACAATTCCCTATTCCCACGGACTCGTCCATAATAAGCATTGACTCCCAAGCCCTAAATGTTGCCTCATGCAAAAAGGGGTAATGTGTATTGACATTTTGGAAATATACATCACTAAGTTGCACCGCTGAGTCATAATCAGGTAACAAACATGGTGAGGGAAGAAGACAAGACCGATTCCCAGATGCGTCGAGCGAGTTGACTGCGGGTAGATCGGGGGAAACCACCTGTCGAAGGGTTGAATTAATCAACCTCGAAAAAGCAAAGATTGAAGATGTGCCTAAATATTGAGGCTCTGCTCCGGCTGCACTTAGACTTAGTAAGCCGACTTTTGATGCCAAATTCTCAAGGCCATCGTTATCCTCATTGATACTATCATTTTTAGATGTGCATGACGCTGGCTGATTCCTATACTGAACATCCTGCGTCTGTGTATGTTGTTGTACAGAAGGGTAGTCTGACTCGATTTCAGGCTGGGACCTATCATGTGGAGGTAGGTCACTATTGGCAATGTCTGGACGGCGTTGCTTCAGAAGGTTCTCGAGATGAGCCACGCGTTTTTCTAAACTTTCAACATAGTTTCGCGGCCGATATGTCCTTGTTACGGGATCTTCCACGAGGCAGACTGTAATTTATTGTAAACATCGAAAACAGGAACATATCAATGTCTTCTTAACTTAGTGGCAAAATCATACTGACCGGATCCAGCACGGAGACAGTTAGTACATCCCGAAGCTCCATTGTCACACTTCATCGTTCAGTTAGCAGATCCTGAGACTAAATATTTTGGTATATTCTTCACCTTTAGTTTCTTTTCCTTGCATTTTGCACAAGCGATAGCTGTTCTGTTTCCGGACGGTATGCGCGGAGTCCCTCCGGATGAGGGTCTTTTCTGTCCCGCATGTGGGAACATGGAGCCAACTCTCAGCAGGCCTTGTTTCTGTTGGTCTCGCAATTGATATGAGAAAAATAGACCGCTGCAACGCGGATGAACTGCGTGACTTGCTCTGTGAGGGTCTTAATTTACTCTTGTGGATGTGATATGGGTTTATCAGTTGCCAAGGTTGGGTCAGTCTGGACTCTGGATCAATCAGAATGGGATTTTCTAGTGTGCCGAATTTAGACGCAAATAATCGGGCGATTATACGATATCTCAGCTAGGCATACACCTCTCTATAAGACTTTCAAATTTCGAGGTTCCAAATAAACCTCCCGTCTTGAGCATTATGACCTTTACGATGAATATGGGAGCAGTGTTTCTGACTTGTGAACTCCGCAGATGAATCTTTGCAATATTTCCAGCTACGATTATGAACTTTTGGAGCGTGAGTTGAAGCAATCAGCAGAGAGTGAGCCAAAATTTTTCCCTTGAAGAGTGACTGATAGTACTACGTCAAAACTACCGTGCATAAGACTCGGAAAGCCTGGAACTGTGCAACTTAGATACGGGCCTGAACTGCAGATGATTTTCTCAAGCCCTCTTTCAGTGCTTCAGCCCTTGCTGCAGTGATTTGGAATACCTCAGGCAGCTTCGTGTCAGACCAAGGACTGCCCCCCATCAATTTAACCAAGCCCGATGATGCTGTGAAGATACGCGCCATGCCACTAATGGGATCGTATTGTTAGCATAACTTAAGTTACAACCTATTGGGGAATATATGACTTACTGTCCGTGATGCCCAGCACAAACCCACTGGCCTGGGAGTCCAGGTAATTGCCCGACGAATGGAAGCCCATCTGCGCTCTTTTATACTTCTCAGCTCCTTATTCGGAGTAGCACAGCAAAAGAAAGAGATATAAAGGAACTTACAAGTCCAAGAATACCGCTCCAGGCATGCTTGTACGTCTCTTCCCTCCTCATCATATCATCTGTTGACCATCCTTTCAGTTCTTTTACGGCAAACTCCTGAACAGCTTTAGAGATTGAGTCAAATCCAGTCATACCGTCGTCGGTGCGTCGATTCGAATTATTCTCAAGCCATTTCAACAGATCATTTTGACCAGGATTACTGCCGCCGAATAGAACCGCCCCGTCTCCATTGAGACGAGGATTGATAGTAATCAAATTCTCTTTACCAATGAGGACGCCATAAGAGCCCTTCAACTCCGAAAAGCCTTCACTCTCTTTGGGTGGAACGACTTTATTGCACATATGAGGACATGGTGTAATTAGACCGCGGAGTGATGGTTCAAGTGCAGAACTATAAGCATTGGATGCGTGAACGACTTTCAAACACTCGACGTCGCCACGTTCAGTTTTCACAACCCACTTGTGTTTATTCTTTTCGGAACGGATAATAGCAGTAGCTCGGGTGTTTGTTTGGAGGTTCACGCCTCTCATGATATTGTCACGCATAACATGTGCTGCAAATTTCCATGGGTGAAGTGTTGATCCTGGCCAGGCGTAACATGCTTGTGCATCTTTGATTTGCGATATCTGGTGGTGTATCGTGTCAGTCAGTCAGTTTCAAGCAAACGTAGATATCGTTACCAAACCTTTGCTGCCTCCTCAGGGTCTTGAGTAACCTTAATATGGTCAACTTTGCCCCCGGCTGCCTTATATCGCTCAAAGGTTTCCTTAGCAAGTTCTGCAGCCCAAGAATCAAGTGGAACATCGAGTGTATCGCCGGTCCAAAGCTCGCAGTCAACGTTGTTTTCATTAATGTAGCGTACTACTTCAGTCCATGTTTGTTGTTCATTGTACAGGATCTGTTAAAGCCCACATTAACGCCGATGGAAAAATAGAGATATTAATTGATACTGCTTAATAATCCCCCATACCTTTAGAGCCTGCTCAGTGCCGAAATCTTTCTCATAGTTCACAAATCCCCGCCACTGATCAGGTTTACAATGGCCGGCATTTCTACCAGTGGCACCGGAGCAAAATAGACGAGCCTCAAGGACGACTATTTTTCTTTCCGGCCAGGTATCTAGAATGTTTTTGGCGATTGTTGTTCCGGACATCTAGACATCGGAAGCCATTCAGTCCTCTTTTCGATCATATTTTTCCTTAGAATAACCTTGGAAGATGAGTACTCACTCCAGATCCAATGATCACTACATCTGCTGATTGGGGTAGTTCAGATGTTGTTCGATGCTCGAGAAGAGGATCGCCTTCCACAGATTGCAGCCAATGCGAAATGGAATATCCGGTCCTTTTCGGGAAGCCATAGTTCTTGAAAGCAGCATATGCCATTTTTTTCGGCTTTATTGTAATGTTAAACTGAGTTTGGCACAGACGTGAAATAAAGGAAAAGGTTTCTTGATACGTGGATAGATTGCATCATCAGCCTAGAGTCTATTTACATAAAAACTTTGTGGTTTTCCCCCCAGTCAGCGTCTGGTCCATAGATATTGCGAGGTCTTGCGACATCTGACTACAACAGAGAGGTCAAACTGATAGCCAGCATTAGTACATCCAGTTTGCTTTGCAGTCCGGGACTTGCCTCCAATCAAAAATTATAAAGTCGTGGGATTCTGCTCCACCACCAGTTAGGCCAATCTTGGGAGCATTTAATTCCTCTTTAGGCGGGTCCAGTCGGAACTTTCCACAAATCGATAAGTGATTGATACTACTCCTCACGTTGGTGCGTGATAAGATACTCTGTAATAGTATCACCATTATATATGCGTTTTCTGTCGTTAATGCCTGTCAGCTTTGACAAAATGGATGCTTATCATTGATTCTCGCTGCTGGAAAGAGGCTTTTTATATCCTCAGAATGCCCGGTTCTGTATCGATGATTATAATTCTAGCTTCTAGTCTGTCTGTCCTTTGCGAGTGTCCTTCTGCCCATTTCAATATGTCTCCCGGCCCCACGAATAGTACCACAATGTGGCCTCCTGGTACACTTCCTCTTGCGGATATCACTGCGTCCCAAGGAGGAGAGATCATTCTGCAGCCCCAGCCTTCGGACGATCCCAATGATCCCCTCAATTGGGCCCGATGGCGCAAAGGTTTGAATATGGGATTAGTCTGCTTTTATGTTGCCATGGTCGCCGAGCTCATCAACGCAAATTCTCCGACATGGGGTCCCATGGAGAAGGAACTTGGATATACCAACGATATCCTAAATGACAGTTATGCTGCTGGTTGTGCAGCTTTGGCAGTTGGCTCCGTTATTCTGATTCCCTTTGCACTCAAATTTGGCCGTCGACCGTTGTATTTACTAAGTACGATGGTTCAGTTTGCCGTTTCGATATGGTCTGCTAAAATGCAAACTGTGGGGGACTTAATGGCAATTAACGTTATACAGTGCTTCTTTGGAAGTCTGGCGGAGGTCATCGTCCAAATGACTATCGCAGATCTCTTTTTCGTGCACCAGCGAGGAAGAATGAATTCTCTATACGTCTGGACATGGCTTCTTTCTAGTTACCTAGGAATTCTTGTTGCTGGGTTTGTTGCTAGTGGCCTTGGTTGGAGATGGATTTGGTGGTTGAACGCCATCATCTTCGGCGTTAACATTTTTGTTGTCGGCTTTGGATATGAAGAAACAAAGTTCTGTCCACCAGTTTCACTTCCAGCTGCAGAGGAGGTTCACCCATTGAATATAATGATGAAGAAGGAAGACCGGAACCAAGACATCAAGAAAGACGAGAACTTGGGGAAGCTTGAGATCAAGCAAACAAATGCGGACCAAGGCGCCCTAGGTCGTGCCTCATTTGAATTGCCCGAGAAAACACCCACATCTACTCCTGTTACAATCAACCGCAATATCCCCATGAAGACATATTGGCAAACACTACGCCGTCATCTACTAGCACGAACCACTCTTTCTTCCAGCATATGTATCAGCCTCTCATCATTCTGGCAACAATTCCCGCCGTCGCTTGGACGGCTCTTGTTTACGGCATCTTGGTGGCACTGGGAGATGTCATGTCCACTACTATGTCCGCATACCTCCCTAAACACCCGTACAACTTCTCTCCCTATCAGGTTGGGCTCATGAACCTCCCTAGAGTAATTGGGGTCACTATTGGTGCGCTCATCGTCGGCCCACTAAGCGATTGGTGGATTGTTTTTCTCTCTCGACGGCGCCATGGGATTTTCGAGCCAGAGATGCGCCTATGGTGTATGATTCCCTTTCTACCGTTTGTCATCGTTGGTGCTCTTCTATTTGCTATTGGGCTTAATGACCATCGATCCTGGCCTGTTATTGCTGTCGGCTTGGCTTTATATAACGTCGGCGTGACCCCAATTAACACCGTCACCGTCACCTACCTAACCGACTCATATAAAGAAGTAAGTCTTCTCTCTCTTTTCCATGGCCATGTTCTAACATCAGTATAGATAGTTGGAGACGCAATCGTGGGTGTTACTTTCATCCGGAATTCCTTCAGTACCGCATTCATCTTCGCACTCGCCCCCTGGGTTGCAAAGGTCGGTCTCAAAAATACCTTCATCACTATCTTGGTCATGGCAATTGCTATTCTAATGATCTTCGTTGTCTTTCTTCGATATGGAAAGGCGATCCGACGCATATTTGCTTCTCGATACATTCATTATGCAGCTCTCCAGTATAAGGAAAGGGGCCTAGATTAGGCTTGTTTATATTGGAGTATCATATTTTGCCTGTGACTCGTTAAAGTTGCACGTGCGTGGTACTAGTGTATAACTTAACGGTATTTTGTTAAATATAAAGGTCGCAACACATAATAGGCATATTAAAGCAGAGTCGGTGTGTAGCCCTAATTTTAATCGTACAGGTACGTATGCGTGAAACCATGCTCGACCCATAACTATACAAGTATAGGTATGGCTTAGCTACTTACATTGAGTTAGGAGCGCAAGTCCAGAACTATAGTTCCACCTTATACAGCCCAAGAAGAAAGTCAACTTTCGTTATTATCTATCAATGCTCATTAAAAAGGGGCAAAGTGCGCAGTTTCCCTTGATAAGAAGGGAACAGGACTTTTTTGCACCTCCTATAAGATTTTTCCAGCGACAAATAGCTACGTGATACATTGTACGCTCTAATTAGGGTTCAGCTAAGTGGAAAGATAACAGGTTTTTTTGTAAATAGTGGCATAAAAATAGCAACTATCTTATTATGCACACATCCATTTCAGGATCAGCTTACTCCGAAGTGACATCCGGAAAGATGACGTAGAAATCCCCTACGAACACAAGCCTTAGTCAATATACTATATATGGTTCGATATGTTGCTTATTTAAGAACTATATAGTCTTCAACCCCTACTAGGTACATATCATTCATATAGTTCTTGAAGTGAGCGAACTGCGTCGGGCTGAGGGTAGCTGGGACAGTGGATGGACCGAGCTGTTGCGAGACAAAGTCCTCCGTGTACAAAAACGCATGCGCTACGCCTGCGAGACTTTGAGAGTACTTAGAACGGATTCAAGATGGGAGAAGTCAGAATAAACATGGAAATCGGTTCAAAGACTCCAAACACAAAGCTCAGGAAAGGGGGTAGAAATGTTGACATGGCGTTCAAAGGACACCTGTTACTGAATGTAGGTGCTCTCTGTTGCGAGAAGAGAAGGTATCTGATATGAAATGCTCTAGTAAGTCAAGGAGCATTGAAAAGTGACATTATTTCACCCTGAAAAGGACTAATGATCAAATGACAGAGGTACTGTACGTATTATTCACACGTGTTAATCTAATATAATGAGCGGCTGAGACCCGTGCTTGTTACTGTAGGTTATTAATCGAAAAATCAAAAGTGAAGCTGAACTTTGCAGCTGAGAATAACCGTACGTAAATCCAGTAAATTTCCATACGAAAGTTTGTAAAATATGTATTGTTGATTAGTCCACTGTATCTGAATGACTGTCATGACTCAGAAGAAGAAACGGTACGAAAATGGATCGAAAGTAGCTCCTTTTGTGCTGTGTCTAGCCTTCCCACCTGATCTGTATGAGACACGACGAGATCTATTTATAATTCATAACCGGAGCAAACAATAGCTGTGCTGATGCCTCACTAATAGATTAAGTAGATAGAGCACTTCAAACTTCGACCTGTTTGAAACCCATCTCGAATACGGCCATTCCCTCGAGGATGGGCTGATTATGAGTCGCGGACGCAACAGCGATGGATGTCACTCCACAACTGAACTTATTGCACGAAGCCCTCGTGAGGCCGAACACGATTGGGGACTGTTACAGAGCAGTCACTTTAGTTCACCAACAGATGAGTCAAAGCAGCGGCCATCTATAGATACATCATGAACATCCTCCAAGATCAAATCAACATTCAAACATCAAGGGCTATGTTAATACACTTGTACCGCTATGCCTCACCTCTAGAAAAGGTCCTGACACTTGTTGCATGCCTCTCTGCAATTGCTGCAGAGACTGGCTTTCCCCTGCTTGCCCTCGTATTTGGCAGTAATTCTGAATCATTTCAAAACACCGGCATAGATGGCACGATTGCAGCTCTGTTCCGATCACGAATAACATTCTATGTGTTGGACTATGTCTACCTCGCTATCGCAGTCTTCTTTCTCAATTATATTTCCATCAGTTTATTCATATACACTGGGGAGAAGATAACGTTGAGAGCAAAGGAAGAGCACCTGAAGTGTATGCTTCGACAGAACATTGGCTGCTTCGATCAACTTGGGGCGGGCGAAGTGGCTACGCGAATTGGCAAGGACTTCAACCTTGTCCAGTCGGCGGTTTCAGAAAAGGTCGGACTCGTACTTACTGGGACCATTACGTTCATCACAGCGTTGTTGGTTGGATTCATAAAATCCTGGAAACTTACAATGATATGTCTGAGCACGGTGGTGGCCATCGTTGTCATCATGTGTGTTGGTAGCGTGATGGTTACTGTCTGGGAGAAGAGGGCGCAGGACGTTCACGCCGTCAGTGGCTCAATTGCCAAGGAAGTACTCAGTACAATCAGAGATACTGTTGCTTTAGGGATGAGAGACAAGATGGCAGAGAAGTATAGTGCAAATCTAGTCGAGGCACGTCGCCGGGGATTTCGAGCGAAGATTGAAATTGGCGCACTCTTTGCCATTCGCATGTGTCTCGTATACATGAACTCGGGACTATGTTTTTGGATGGGTTCTCGTTTTCTAGTTTCTGGCGAAATCACCTTGTCAGGCATCCTGACCATCATTTTGGCTGTCATTACGGGGGCGTTCTATCTGGGTCCGGAAAATCGTCAATTATCAATATAATCGAGAGATTCTACGAACCGGTCGAGGGCTCGATAGTGGATGGCCACGATATACGGAGCCTTAGTCTTTCTTGGCCACGACAGCAAATTGCGCTGGTCCAACAGGAGCCGGTACTCTTCCACGGCCCGATCAAGGAGAACATAGCACTAGGCCTCATGCACTCTCCTCTTGCCGATGCTTCTGAAGAGGAACGCGCGCAAAGAATTACCGAGGCAGCGAAACTTTCGAACGCACACGAGTTCATATCCGCGCTCCCCCAGGGCTACGACTCCATGCTTGGAGTTCGCGGGATGCTACTGTCTGGTGGGCAAAAACAGCGTATCTCAATAGCTAGAGCAATTATCAGGGACCCAAAAATCCTCCTCCTGGATGAGGAAACATCGGCGATAGATTCAAAGTCGGAGGAGGCCGTGCGGCAAGCTATCGACCAAGCATCCAGAGGGCGGACAACAGTGATTTTTGCGCATAGACTATCCACCGTCAGGAGCGCGGATAATATTATCGTTTGGCACCGTGGCCAGATCTCCGAGCAAGGCACCCACAATGAATTGATGGAGCTAGGTGGCTCATACCACAATTTGGTATTAGCCCAGGCTGGTGGAATGGATAGCTCGTCAACGGACAGAGACTCTGGAAATACCTGCTTAGAGCTGGCAGAGCTATTCAAGGATGTCCCCATTGTCGAACCCTTCGAGTACTCAATCAATGACAAGCCACCCGATACACACGAAGATCAGTACTCGCAGCCATACAGCCTCTGGAGCAACTTATCATTTGTCTCCCGACTCAACTTACCAGAATGGCGCGTTCTAGCTGCAGGCCTCACAATGAGCTCCCTGGCAGGGTTAGCCCAACCGGCTCAGTCCGCCCTATACGCCAAAGCAATTATTGCGTTGTCCAAGCCGCTGACAGAACATGTCCAAATCCGACACGATATAAACATTCTAGCACTGTTGTACCTTGGCCTAGCATTGTTACTACTAATGGTTAAGATGGTTGAGGGTATTGCACTTGGTCTCTGTAGCGAGCGACTACTCAGTCGTGCGCGGGAAATGGCATTTCGAAGCATGCTAAAGCAGTATATTAGCTTCCTTGATAAGACTGAAAACGATCCCGGATCTTTAGTGAGCTTCCTAAGTGCGGAGACGGAGAATCTCACAGCAATTTCGGGAACCACGCTCGGCGTGCTGGTCAGCAGTTTCGCTACTGTCGTCGGAGGTATAATTATCACCCTTGCCGTGGGATGGAAACTGACACTTGTTTATGTATGCGCTGTGCCAGTGATCTTGGGAACATGGATCCTGCGCTTCAAAGTAATGGCGGACTTTGGCGAGGCAGTGGCGGCGTATAACGCGAAGTCTGCAAGCTTGGCCTGCGAATACACCAACGCTATCCGCACTGTTGCGTCTTTGGAAATGGAGGAGTACTTCTTAGATCGGTACGCAGCCCACCATCGCGACCAGCTCAGGCAGCCTTGGAAGGCTAATCTGCGGAACTCCGTGCTTTATGCGAGGACACAATCAGCACTGTACCTCGCCAGGGCGCTTGCATTTTGGTACGGTTCTAGGCTGCTGTTCAGCGGAGAGTATTCACAATTTCAATTATTTCTTGTGTTTGCGGAAGTCATCTTTGGCGTACAGTCTGCTGGAACGCTCGCTAGCTTCACAGGGGACATATCCAAGGGACGTCGAGCGGTGGGATGGCTACGTATGTTGGCGGATCGTGAACGCAGAATTGACGAGTCGTCTGAAGGTGGCAGCACCTTGCCACAGTCAGACTGGTCTGTTGAATCCCGCAACGTGAGCTTCAGTTATCCTTTGAGACCCGAGGTTTTGGCCTTGCACAATGTCAGTTTCAGCATCCAACCCGGCGTGTACGCAGCATTAGTTAGCACTTCTGGTCTGTATGTTCCTTATCTTTGTGGATGGTACCATGGCCACTGATAAATCTGCAGCTTAGGCTCTGGAAAATCTACGATTATTTCTCTACTAGAAAGATTCTACGATCCCCAGCAGGGAAGCATACTCGTTGGTGGTCGTCATATTACAGACCTTAGCCTCCGAGCATAGTACAGATAACCCTGAACAATGTATTCAAAGGACGAACCACAATCGCAATTGCGCATAGGCTGAACACAATTCAACATGTAGATGTTATATTTGTCTTTGATAAAGGGAACTTGGAAGATAGAGGGACCCACGGCGAATTAATGCAGCGAAATGGACGATATCGATAGATGGTATTGTTGTAGAATCTACCTAGGTAGGTTCATTCTAGTAGATATGGTAGATACCTAATTTTCAGAGAGATAGATCTATATCTTACAGCATGCATGATCATTGATAAAATACACGATTTTCGTGATGAACTTAAGACCACCTCACCACGTTTGTTCAAGGACAATTCGACTGTGTTATGTACCTTACCCTGTTGATTTATGTTACGTGTGCCCAATATCCCCATCTCCTGGAGAAATGACGGCCAGATTGGAAAAGGGGGAAAGAATATTCCACCCCGTATATTGCATCCATATATACCTACAAACCCTAGTATATACTTTTCCGAAAGAAAAAAAGAAAATAAAATTATCGTTGCCCATTAACAGTAACAACCTCCTCCTTCTTATTACACTCAATAGTAATCTCATGATGAACCTGCACCGTCCCATTGGCCGGCTCATGTAATCTCGAATTACTCCCCGACGGACTAACCCTAACACCATAGACAATGTCATCATCCAGTTCATAATATGTCAAGTCATCGTGATGGTGGCTACTACCAGCCATTTTACGGGGTCGGTTGGTACGGGATTGACCGGCGCCAGTAGATGAAGAAAGTTCTAGGGTTGGGCGGTGGTGGTGCGAGTAGTAGCGACGGGATTTGCGGTTTATAAGGAAGGACATTTCTGGGAAACAGACTATTAGGAAACCTGAGGTTATTTCTGCGGCACTGTTATACTGGTCAGCTTTGTCTGGAAGACGTTGGATTGGAGTTGATGTACCCCCATAGAAGGATCTCGGGTTCGTTCCATGTTATATCTGGACTGCCGCTGATTCTGAATCGGACTACTAATCCGACTGTGCTGAATATCGGTGCACTGCAATAGCCAAAATGAGCGATGTGATCTGTTCCTGAAGAGGGGAGACATACCAAAGACCAAAAGTAAATACCAAAACAACCAAAATCTTCTTCATCCGACTAAGCTGCAACCTCAGAACCGCATGCACCGGTAGAATGAGAATTGTATAATCCGTAATCGTATTAAAGAACCCACTCGTATTAAGTAAAGCCGGCTCATTGATACACGTTCCATGCACAGAACTATCCCAAATCTTGGCTCGGGGCGTACATTGCATGATTTTCACGATGCAGGTGCTAATGTAAAAAGATGTCATGATTGCAATCAAGGCGACGATTGTGCAGTCAAATGCGCTCCAGCGGACGGGGGAGAAGACTCGGCGGTAGAGGAAGAGAACTGATAGTTTTGTGAGGCAGATGACGAAGCCATATACGACTGAGGCAATGTTGAACCACTACCGCTGAATGTTAATTCGTTGAGCGTTTGGGTTGAGGTGGTTGGATACTAACGTAGAGTGCGTCTTTGCCTTGCGCATGGTTTATGTCCCAGGCATGCTCTCCGCCGTGATTTGCCATTACCAGTGATACTACTGCGTCGTAGACTATCGTACCAAGCTGTGGATCTAGTCAACTGGCGATCTTGCATTCTGCTATTGCAAACTTACCCATGCTAACAGAACAAGCCCTATGTTGATAAAAGTTAGCCAAAGACTACAATCAAAGATACGGAATACTTACAGTCCTCAAATATCCAAGTCTTCTTAATCATAACCCTGGCCCACAACCGCGCAAGAAAAAACAGCGTAACGAATCCAATGGATATCCCAACAGTGATATGCGTCTCATATGACAGTGACGCTGGATCCGTCGGATTCGATACCACCCCGGGCGGCGGCGTGATATACGGGACAAACGTTGAAGTCGTCGTCGCCATAGTTGCCTTGTTCCAAGAACCTCACAGACTCCCAGAAATACTCTGGTAAGAGGCCCCGTGACGAGCCTCCTCCGTTCCGGAGACAGCCCGAGTATGATAAGGCGTACCCAAGTAAATCAGGTCTGTAAACTGTGGGGACGTCTACCACATGTTTATTAGGACTCCAATTCTCCGCAACGGATAGTCTCCCCACCAGTAGTTCGCGATAGTATGTAGGGCTTCAAAAAAGAAAAATCAAAGCGAACTTTCTGGATCAAGAGCAAGATCTAAATAGTTGCACAGACAAGTCACGAGCGTGAAAACGTAGCCGCCAAAGCTTATTTTTCTTCCTATTTTGGGGCCAATAGTCAATATGAAAATGAATCAAGACGATATATAAAACAAAAACAACTTTGCTTGCTTCGATCAACTGTCTGGGGTTCGTGTGCTGATTCTCTCGGTTCTGCAGGGAATAGGGAACAACCTTGAAAGGTGCATCAGCGAATAACCAAGCAAAGACATTATTATTATGTGGGAGATTATGAGCGGGGGACTTGTATGAATTACTTGCTTTAGCCTTTGGGAGGATTCGAATTATTTGCACGCCGACATGCCTAGAAAGTCTTGCATACCTTAGTCACTTCTAGCTTGAAAGTGAGAACCACAAGCAAATGGACGCAAGAATCAGCCCCCGAAGCGGCCCCATTCATGCGTCCAAGTCTACTCTTCTGAGTAAATGGATAAGTCTTAGAGTTTGGCTGACAGATGATCAGATCCGCTTATTTTGTTAAAGCTTATTGAATTTGAGTTTGTAGAATCATCTGATGGATCTTCTTATACGAGGAAGGATTTTGCTCTTCGTAGAACAGTATCAACGGTTTCTTCCCGAATTTTCTCTTTTTCAATTTCCAGGCGCATAACCAAAGGCTGATTGGCTCTTGACTGCATGTATGTAGCGCCCCGTCCTCCCTACCCTAACGCGTGTATGTGCTGCCGTGTTGCAGGGAGTGTGTATGACGAAAAATCCCTTATTGTTCGGGCGATCCGTAGCCTATGCAAGAAGCACGAATAATAGCATTGCACCATACCCTACCGCTAAAATACAATCCAGTGAACACCGTGGATTTACCAACGATTCGATACTAGCAGTTAACCACCAACCCATTGATCAGCGTCAGATCAAGTGGGAAGTTGGCAGTCAGCGAAGAAAGAGAGCGTAAGGAGCACATACTACATACTACGTACTACTCTTCGAAAATGCGCATTCTACTGCAGAATCAACTAGGAGAAACAGCACGAGTATCAAATCCACTCCATACACCTCCGTAAATTACCTCTTGTTGGGTTTTCCAACACGAGGTAACCCAGTCCAACTAATAGCCATACAGCCTGCAATGTCCCAAAATAGTCGACAAAAGGAGGCCAAAAAAACCACATCACACAATTCCAAGCCGGTCGCGAGGCGTTCTAATCTGTCGGTGTCCGGGGTGTAGACGTATGTATGCAATGTTGGGTTACAATCCATTTATAGACTAGAATCCCAGCTTGGGAGGATCATGTTGGGTGTCCAAGTTGCAACCAGAACGTGTGAGAGGAAAAAGCAAAGGGGAGGGGCGGAATATGGTTGAAGATCGGGTTAAGGACTGGGGGTACGGGGTAATTAGTAATTAGTAATTATCGACAGTAATTACTATGGTTAGTGATTTTGCGGGTATGTACTGGTCTTGTTGGGTTATTGACGGATTCATATTCGCATAGCAAATCGACGAGAAAAGACACTTCACTAAGTTCACTACTATAAAATATAGAACGATATATCATGAGACTATCCAAGAGAAAACGGGTTACACGATGTGTTATTTGTATACGACCTGACTGAGTCTATGAATCAAAAGGCGAGTCCAGACTAGCCATACACTAGCAATACACTAATCCAGACACTAATCCAGAAACAGCCTAGACGCGCCCAAAGTTCTAGCCACTCATTCCGGGGTCTCCAGGTCTCCACCCACAACACACCAACCAATCACACTACTTTGTACACTACTACATAGTAGATCGTCGCTCACCAACAGGTTTACCGCGAATCTACGGAGTACTATGTATTGCTCGTAAGTTGTGAAGGAGCCGATCCCATGTTACAAGTTTCGCATTGCGGCATATTCGGATGTGAGGCTAGTACGTCGTTGTTTCTAGAACATCGATCTGTTTCATCTTCGCCCGTCTTTCTTTGCAGTTATGTACTCCATACTATGGAACACAGCGAGTCAGTGACTTATGTGGAAGATCTGCATACGTGGGCCGGTATTGATACTACTATGTAGTACGCCTCCGTACTCCATAGGTACGTACTCTGGGATCCGCCCAGACGAAGATCAGAGGACAACCTTGGGAACGCTTGATCGATGACTACTACTGGAGTAGCACGTTACTCCGTACTAATCCCGTATAAATCAGCCTATAAGTTATGAATTATGAATTATGAGGACGATCCAGTCACTAATCGAGTCAGTGGCCAGTGGCCACGTTCTTAGACAACTAGGAACTAAAGAACCTAGTTGGATCCTTCTGTTCAATAGTCTCTGCTAAATCGCGCATAGCCCTTAAGTCCGGAGAATCGGAAAACATTGCCAAAACACCACATTGAGTGGCTGCCGGATAAATTTTCACAACGCAACATTGAACACGCTGATCATGGCCTGGGGTACTTCTCCGTATCCGGGAGATGATGGATACGCTGTACCCAATCAGGCCGTCTTTTTCTTGGATTAGCCAATTAGAAGCTGTATACCATGTCGGTCCACTATGCCGAATTTAGGTTAGACCAGAGAGATTTTCAGCCGACCGCGGCCTTACAGAACCTTACCGAACAGCACGCACTGTTCACTGTTGCACACGCAGTCTCGACGTGGCGGTTGCTCTAAGCTTAGAGATTCAGAGTCTCAGGCACTAGAGTACGTATACATGGTATACATAGGATTGCATGGCTGCTAGACTAATCGATGTAGTGAGAGTCTAAGTGGGCTGGTCGGCGTAAAGGTCGGACTTACCTCCCGGAGGTACGACACGCAGAAGGAGAGATGCAAGGAAGAAAGGAGCAAACAACGAAAGCAGCTGTCCCCTTCACGTGCTCTCTCTCCCCACTTGTTCTTTTTTTTTCAGGCCAGATCTTGCACTTCTCTTCTTTCCTCCTGTCGTTGGACTCATGGTAGCTGGAGGTCGTCTTCTAGCGTCGAAATGCAGAAAGCCAACTCAAAAGGTCGGCACTCCGTACACGCATATGTACAGCATGATTACTGACTGGAATAGATGTCGAGGCGGTCTCGCCCAGCCTGGAGTCGCCGCCCGCCTATTTGGACTCTGGCGTCGATGAGGCCAAGCTGCTGCGCAAGATCGACATGAGAGTCATGCCCATTCTGTTTATTATATATCTAGTTGCTTTCTTAGACAGGTACTATCCTACTCTGGCGCATCAGTGAATTCCGCTAATGCCGAGCAGAGTCAACATCTCCAATGCCTTGACGCTAGGAATCGTCAAAGACTTAGACCTCTACGGTGAACGGCCCAACACCGCTTTGGTCGTCTTCTATGCGCCGTACATTCTGTTCGAAATTCCATCCAACATCCTCATGAAACGATTCAACCCGCATATGTGGCTGTCCGGATGTATCACCGCCTTTGGTATCGTCATGCTGGGTCAGGCTTGGGTCTCGAGCTACGGCGGACTGATCGCGACGCGATTTTTCCTGGGTTTCGCTGAAGCTGGTATCTTTCCTGGAAGTTTTTACTTGATTAGTTTCTGGTACAAGCGGGAAGAAGCGCAGAAACGGTTTACAATCTACTGGTCATCCGTCATTCTGGCAGGTGCTTTTGGTGGTTTATTGGCTACTGCGATCTCCCGAATGGACGGCTTGCGTGGTATGGCGGCATGGCAATGGATTTTCTGCTTGGAAGGCATCGCCTCTATTCTAGTCGGCATCGCAGCCTACTTCTTGGTGGTTGACTTTCCCAAGGAAGCGGCGTGGTTGACACCGGAAGAGAAGGCTTTTGTCACGGCAAAGACTCGCAGTGATGAATCGCATGTCGTGTCCGTTACTACCCACGACGTGCTGCGCTATCTCAAGGACGTCAAATCTCATTTGGGTGCCATCATGTATTTCAGTAAGTCATTGACCGTATTTTTGTGCCGCCGCCTCTAACAGTCGTAGCCATCGTCGTTCCCATCTATGCCTTTTCCTACTTTGCCGCGACCATCGTTCGCGCTCTGGGATATTCGACAGTGCAGACCCAGTTGCATACCGTTCCGCCCTTCGCAGCGGCATTCGCCTACGCTCTTATAGTTGCTATCTGGTCGGACCGTGTCAAAATTCGCTATCCATTTATCCTCGCATCGGATGCTCTGATCCTCGTCGGCGTGGCCTTGATGTTGCATTACCATGGCAAAGAACACTTTTCAGCCGAATATTGTGGAATCATCTTCATCACCATGGGCGCATTTGGCGGAGGCGCTATTATAGTCTGCTGGATTCTGATGAATCTCCACGGTCACGCCGAGCGCGGTATTGGCTCTGCATGGACGATTGGTTTTGGTAATGCCGGTGGGATCGTGGCAGTCTTCCTGTTTCTGTCCAAGGATGCTCCGAATTACACCGTGGGATACTGGGTGCTGATCGGTATGGTACTCGTGGGTATTCTATCGACTTTTTTGTACGGAGCCATGATTTGGCGGGAGAAGCGAAAGGCATTGGCGAATGGGCAGGTTGAGAAGGCCAATTCTTTGTCTTTGTGAGGGAATGCAGTGGTCATATCATATGAATCGACATATTTCCACGCATGTGCAAAGGCTTACATTCATACTCTGAGCATGATTATTTATAGATCAATATATATAGACTCTACCAATCTACTCGCTGAATACAAATCTGGACGTAGCTGCTATTTATCTATCATACTACAATTGCCACCGTAATTACTCCCGAGTGTCCTTTCAACGTTATTCCGAGTCGAATCATCCACAACAAACCGTGACATCCTCCATCGCTACAGTCATCTTACCCATATCCGGTCTACCATCATCAGCACCCATCCACAATCTGACTAGTCAGGGGGGCAGGGGAATACATACCCATCAATGGAAACACTAACACCCTCCCAACTAAACGCAAACGATCCCAAATACGCACCAATAAAAATACAAATAATAAAATACCCATTGTAATACATGGCCAATAACATGATAAAATACGCAACTGCGAACGTGACCATATGCAGTAATGCGCGGACTGATTGTTGGACCAAAGTAGGACGGAAGTAATACATCTCCTTCGTCGTCGTGGGAATGTTGGCGCAAGTAGGAGGATTCGAAGAAGTCTCATCCAACCCCGAGGTCGCCGATGCGGTCGCTTTTGGTGGTGGTGAAGAGGCGGGTAAACTCGCTCCTGCTTTTCGGGGGATTTGGAGGGCCTGTTTGAAGTGGCGAAGAATGTAGCGATCGTATTCCTTGGACAAGCGGCGCAGGAATTCGAGACTCATAACGAGTAGGATTACGCCAATGCAGGAGCCGGCGAACATGCCGTTGGAGGTTATGCGCCATGATTTGGAGATGAAGCCTGGTGCCTGAAAGTCAGTATGGTTTCGTGAGAGCAAGAAGGGAGGGAGATACAGACAGGCGTCGATTGTGTTCCAGTTCCATAGCATCTATTACCGATATTTTGTGTTAGCCTTGCGAGGTTTTCTGGGGGGTTAGAGGAGTGGACATACGGAAATCTTGCAACTATCTCCCATATCCATGTTGCCGACTTCTGGACCTGTGATGGCCGTATCCGAGAGTGAAGAAAATGCACCTGGCGGGGAGAGGGTTATTTGATTCATTCGTCTGGATGAGTAGATTGATTCTTCAGAGGAGGAATCTTCAGAGCTTATAAGTTCGGAAAATAGACGCGAGGATAAATGATCATGATCATGAAAGTTCATGACTCGGGCCATATAAAGAAATCTGCCCACTTATCTAAGTTACCAAGAATCCAAGATAGTCTTGAATAACCAATAATATATCAAAGAGGATAACGAGCTCATACCATCTCATACAAAAAAAAGCATATTTATTTCGATTTTCACGAATCGGATCATCTAATGAGGAAAACATCATGAGTTGTTCGGTGGAGAATGAGAGTCGATTTGAGCAGATTTATGCACTTGGTTTGGGCTTAGTTAGGGTTTGGCAGCCGAGGACTCAGGTCCGTACCAGTGACACTGTCAGATCGATGGGATGGGTCTAGACAGGATGGCTAGGGGAAAGATGTTTCTAGGGCTGTTTATTTCGAATATAAATATTGACTGTATATCTTGATCTGTACGTCGGCATGAAAACTCTTGCTCAGTTAGGGTTAGTGAGAATGCTTCCGATGGTGCAGTCCGATAGTTGGATTAGGAGATGTTCCTTTGATTTCAATTATTCCAAGTTTACAATGCTGCACTCGCGGGCTTGCCGTATACCTGAGTCATCGTTGCCACAGAGGAGTATCAATAGGCAAAAGCGTACTACGACTACTACTACTACTACTAATACGTTCCGAGAGATATATATCCATGAAACAATGGACCAATATACCCCGAACAACCATTATTAGCCGGTACAAAAATCCTCGTGGGATTCGATTATGTCGTGCAACGGGATTCTTGATACTAATCACTGAAAAGGCCAGCTGGATGCAGCCCTGAAAAAAAGATTTATTCCGGCGAACCCGAGACCCCGTTTGTGCACTCTATACAGTAAAGACCTGATTAACATCAGAGCCTCTGATTGGTAGGTAAATGGGTAATGTTGAGATCTTAGTAAGTCCGAGATGTCGCTCAGTTAGGGCTAACCGGGATATTTCCAAATTAGGTAATTTCCACGCCAGGACAGAACACAGTGCAGACACGAAAACTTGACAGATAGTGGTAACGGCCTTCGGAAGGAGGATATGGAGGGCGGGAAGTTACTCAAAGCTGGTTTGTATTGAACGAGAGCCATTATTAGAGTCGAAGTTTGTCGTGAATTAGGTAGGACAGCAGGAAATTGTAGGAAATGGCATTTAAAGATGTGTACTTATCGAGAGCTTCAACCAAGAATCATATATAATGTGCCCCAGGCATTGCTTACTACAGGATGATCAGTTTTAACTTTCCGTGTACGACATCACAAACACTCAACGAGAGCCCCTCGGTTCAAGAGCAAACAAACATCTTCATCCTCATTCTTTTATATACCTTCGATAGGGCAAAAACATCTCTGTATATATGAAATTGTAGTGTCAGAAGAAAGAGCACACAACGAGAAGATAGGTGCGTTCCTGGCCTTCCTCCCCCTCTGATACGCCCATCTACTCTTACGACAAACCACGCGCTCTGGCATACCTCATCCCTCATACAGCTGATGATAACTTCATCGTATTCAAAAACGTTCCACCAGAGATATTAGTCGAAGAGAGGAAGAAAAATTACCAGGACGGTGTGATAACTCGCTGTCACTCCAGATGCTCATCCTCATGTTCCCGAGCCTACCGCACGAAGAAGCAGCCGGGAGTTTTTCTGCCTTCGTTGTCACAATCGCCAGAGAGATCAAGATTTCAAAAGGATATCGCTTAGTAGATCAATGAGTCAAGGGGAGGAGTGAGAATGGGTGTCACAATTGATATACGAAGAGGATCTGGCGACATTGAAATCATATTTTGGATCCCAGCAGTCGAGCCACTACTAAACCATGTCACTATGACAGCAAGTGGTAGCTGCATCGTTGATAGACGCATTGCTCACTCGCCTCCACCTCAAGTGGCCCAGAGAATTCTCTTCAAGAGAAACGGTCCTGATTCTACGGTTCTTGGCGGGGGAACTCACTGTATTGTTTCGTTCCATGTTGTTGGATGAATCAGGAGAAGGGAAGAAGATTTCGTGCTTACAGCTGATCTGCTCTTGCATGATCAGGCAGAGCCTGTTCGGGATGCAATTGACGAGGCTGGAAGGATCAATGCCAGAAAATAGTGTCAGGATTACGCCTCTGCGGATACATATATGATGTTCGCACACAAGGATTGAATATAGTGTGCCAACTCATGTTCAGCACATGGATATTGCTCTCGGCATAGATTTAAGTCACCCTTAATCAAGAGACTACCACGACTTCCAAAACTTGGAGAATCTTCCTATACCTGACTCGATCAAAGATTCCTTCGTGGTAGTCAAGAACATTACTGCAGCTGGATTCAATAAGCTCGACGAAGTCCTACCAAGGGCGTCTCCTTAATGGGGCTTTCTGCTAATTGTATTTGAGCTGTTCCATAGCTCTTTCGACCTCATCTAATATTTCAACATCGTTATAGCCAGATTCTACCCCAGACACATTTAGCTGAGCGCCAAGGCGCTGATTTCCAACTTCGATAACGAACCACTGGATCCGAGGTCATCTGCTCTTTGACTTTTCAGAGACGCATTTTTTATTCTAGAAGAGTTCCCTATCTACTAAGTTAGCTGCTAGCATCTGTGATTGGACCCCTAAAACCACGCACGGAAAAACAGAGACATATTGAATTCGATTCAGATTTAGTAAGGTTATTGACTAAATATTTGTCAGACTAGAGCTATGCTTCCACCACATTTGAATGTAAGTCCAAACAAGATTGAATTAGCTTGTGGCAATGAGCATATGGACAAGGAAGGTCCCTGCACACTTTATGTCCTCGACACAATTGTCAAAGAAAGTATGGCCACATTTCAAACACTTCCAGCTCTTGTTGAATGTTCGATGACATATGTACGCTGCAGAATATTGCGTCGCTTTTGTTCGTCAACCGGTTGTTGTAGATACAGGATCTAAAGTTGGAGCTCTCTCTCTTTCTTCCATTGTTCCCTTTCTTCTTTCCATCGGTGTCTTTCTTGGGCTGTTGTTCGTTTCTAAGGCTTCACACCGTCCTTGTAATCCATTCACCAATTGCTTCTATTGATTGTCAACCACGATCGAGGAATCTGGACAAGGGTTCCTTACGAATTTAGGCGAGAAGCTTGGCGCCTCAGAGTCTTCTCTTCCTCGTCTTCCCAGAGACGATGTCGAGATCGCATAATCCATTGTGAACTGATAGTTTCAGTAGCATAATCTGTTTGCCGAGTATTTCGACCTCGTGGTCGTGATGATCATGAGAGATGTGTGCTGCTGTCCTACTCATCATCACTGATCTCAATGACTGAAATGGAGACCCTCCGCTCCACTGGACTCTTCATCAAGCGAAAGTCGCTCACTAGATTGCTGCAACGGAGGTAGACGCTCATCGAAGGGAATGGTGGGGGAGGAGAATCAAATAATCTTTGTGCAGCAGCTTCAGTAGTCGGATTTTCACCTTCTGCTCTGTGTGTGAAACTTGGGATATGCGAGTCGTTGATCGGGAAATGAGCTGCTTGTTGCTGTCCCCCCATTTTGTCGGATACGTCAGCGTCGACGAAAGAATTGAGAAGGAGTTATCCTGCTGCGATGCGAGGTTACTCCAATCTATACTTTTCTGGGCCAGCATGTATCCAGTGATTCATTATCTCAATGGGGCTGAGTGATTCAACCCATATTAACTTAGGGGTATCAGGTGCGACCCTGAAAGTGGAGATGAGATAATTCACTACAACGCGAAGCGGAGAAACTGGCCTATCAGTTTCTAATAGACAGGCAATGTGGCTCGATATCACGCAGCGTACAGTGAGGTCTGTTCTGAAAATAGAATATTCACAATGAATCGCCGTCTTACTCGTCCTAACCATCAACGGGGGGGGAGGGGGCAGCGTTATGACGAATATAATAAAATTGTGTAGACTTATTCGAGTAACCAAGTCTGGCCTTCCCCTACTCTCCTTGCGTTGTATGAAGTTATAGAATCAGTCGCAAATAGCTCTCTAGGAAATGTCTTCTCAACTATGATGATTCCCCTGCAACGAATCCTGCAACGAATACAATCAGACTCCTGACCCTGATCCAGATCCTTCTTTATGACTGAAACAACAAGAACCTGAGGATGATTAAATTTTGGCCACCCAGAAACAATGACAGCGACATCCCCCCCAAAAACAGGCAATTCCGGGTTGAACTTATCTATCGACCTCACCACATCGTACCTATGTCCCCGATCATCCGTGATCCTGAACGCGTTGTCCATCGCTCTCGCTGAAGAACTGTTATCTTCTTTTTGCTTCAACAAGAGAAATCCTGGCTTGATAATCCTTAACCATGGGCCTCCTGGTTCAAACTCTGCAAGATCTTGAGATACAACCAGAGTCCTACACAAAGACTGAAGCTTATATTTGATTGCCGACTGTGTCGATCCATACAAATCATCAGATACAATCGGCGTCCCTCCCAACGACTGAACCTTATACATAAGTGTCGACGGTGCCCATGTATACCCAGTCTCTTCTATCTTGGGTCCATCGATGAACGGCAGCCACGCTGGAATGCGACCCTGCGTGCGCCAAAATTCTTTCATCCTGTCCTCCTTCCGGCACTCCAGTATCGCGCCGAGAACATGGTCCTGTCCCAGTAGACTCGCCGAACAGAGTGGCTCGTCTTCTGGCTTACTGGTTGTGCGGCCCTGTAAGGAAAGAAAGAGACTCAACAGCGAGGAATGTCGTACGCGGAGCTCCCCGCCCCTCACTGCGGACATATCGAAACCCAAATCGAAGAGTAGATTCATTGTTAGGAACAGGTTGATATGGGTGAAATTATTGGAGGCGGGACTGGAATAGTGTGCGAGAATCAGCTCGTCGGCGTCGACTTGCCCGTCAATGAACTGGAAGATAAGTTTCTTCGCGAAGATGGCTTCCTGGAGGGTCCAGACACGGAACCGCCAATCTGAGATCGCGACCTGGAGGAGTAGTTCTGTGGTTATGCTGGGGGTGTAGGCTGTGCAGCGGCGGAGGTGCTTGTCTAAGACCAGGACTGCAGCTGCGGCTTCGTAGCAGCGGCGCATTTGCTTGATGCCTGCTTTTCGGCAGTTGGGGGGGCGGAGAGGGAGGCAAAGTGTGTCGATCCAGAAGTATACAGTCTTAGTATCTGTGCTAGTATCTCCTATGTTTTGGTCTTTGTACGTACGCGTGAGGAGCTTGTCGAGTTCTAGGAGCTGGCAGCTTCGGAGAGCGTTCTCATCGGGGTTACCGAGGCCATGAGCCCACCTATGCTGTCAGTAGTGTATTCACATAAATGTCAGGTAGTCTACTCTGAAAGCAACTTACACATGGGAGATGGCAATGTATGTCATCCCTGGCTTGTACGGGGTTATTTTCAGACATACTTGCTTCTCTAAATCCATGAAGACTGTCGCAAGAGGTATCTGGCCTTGCTCAATGACACTTATCGCCTCCTTGACATCCGCCCTCACAAATCCACACTTACAGCCCTCTTTCACATGCCGTGGCGTCTCATTATATGTCTTCTCATCAACATGGTTTCCCACACAAAAGTCTTCATTACACCTGTTGTGACCGCTACGCAATTCCCTCGTACCCATTAAACTTAGTGTATATAGGGCATCGGTGGGAACGGCATCAGCAAAACTCTCAAGCCGATACGGACACCAGCCCTGAGCCACCATGCGAGCCTTGAGGTACTTATGGACTTCCTGGTTGAGGCCAGGCTGCATATCACGATCTTCTACGTCGTCTGCAAAAGCCGACGGGATCTCCCACGCTTCGAGGCCGTAGATTTCCTTGAATGTGTCGACGAGCGTGACAAGGAGGATCTCTATCGAAACGGCGACCTCGGGGTGCTCCGGGAGTAGGAGAACAGGTACTGTCCACTTCATCATGAAATCGAGGCATAGCTTTGCTCGCTCGCGCGTTGCTCTCTTCTGGCTGGCACTTCTATTAGCTCTCGTTGCCTTCGCGCGCCAGATCTCAAGATAGAATTGTAGACGCTGAGTTGTGACAAGCAGACGGCCGTCAGGCTCGGAAACACGAATAAAGTTCGTTCCTCGCACCGATACCCCCGTGACTTCGCTTATTGTGCCGAAGAACAGCCATGCCTGAGTAAAAGACGCTGCGTCGATGGATGATCGCTGTCCGTAATCTCCGTGCCGGAGGTGGCGGGGGTCCCAGCCCCGACGATCGGGGTAGGTGAAGAAGCCGAGATTATCGTAGACATCGTGGCCGAAGAAAGGGACCTCGAGGAGGTGATGGGGGGTGCTAAGGGGAAGGAGGTTATCCATACTACGTAGCTAATAGCGTCCTTGGGAGTTAAGTTAATCTAGCCGAAGAGGGGTAAGAAGAAGGAAATCGCTGGAGGAAAGATAACAGCATGAAGGATCGCTGACCAGGGTATTGATTGAACAACTTCTCACGCTAAGAAATCCCTGTGGGGAGCCAACTACAGAACCATCTGTTCGATCGCTGGGTATTGTTGTTGAGAGAGAGTAAAATCATCATAATCATTGGCGTGCCCTAGCTGGCCATGAAATTAGCTACTCCGCCATACTACCTTCCTCTAATCGTACTAGTTCCCTGCTAGTGTCATGCAAGTTGGTTTTGTAACACCCTGAGCGTCTTGCTACTTTTAGGGGTAATAGACACTAATCTTGGGAGTTGGGTAAGTAATTGAGAAGGGTTAGAAGTGAAACTTGCAAAATTTAAGGCACAGCAGCGCTTTCTCTAAGCTTAAGAATGAATGAGGACTTTTGACAATTCTGACAACTAATATATATTTCTTATAATAACGGTAGTACTAGTGATAGAGGCATCATCATTAATTAGACCAACTGGTAGTCATAATCTGTGATGCTATGTAACATCTAAATCAGAGTATCTATACCTATTTACTGGCTATCTAACACAATCATAACATTAGATCTATGCTAAATCTAGGACTCATTAATCACTTCGGACTGACTGTAACCCCTAAATCAACATCATCTTCTAATATCCCTTCCTTAATGTCCTCTATAGCTTCAAGCCAACACTTGTTATCTTGGAAAGATTTAATACTATCAGCATCTTAGCCATTTGTGGATATTTAAATCAATTTGTCCTCCATCATGCCATGAGCCATTTGATATCTTATTCTGCAGTTATATTATCAGGCACAGGCTCTTGAATTGGAGGGGACTCGAGCCAGTCATTTATCTCATCAATTTTAGAGATTGCAGAGGTCGAATAGTGCCTTCTTTATATTTCCCTGAGCATGCGTTGTCGATTTGATTTAACTTGTAAACCGTGGGCGCGACCTACAAAATTAATTGTAGGCATTGAAGACGAAGGCGTGGAATCCTAGCAATTAGAAAGAAGAGTAGAGTCTGGTGCAAGAGATAGCTCATTAAAATGAGCTCGTAAATTGTTGATCACATCAGCGGCATTATCTCTGAGATGAATCTTCAAAAGCTCAGTCTTAACACGGGGATCTAGAACAGCAGCAGAGTATATGATAAGGGTCTCAGTGTCCATTTTCCTCATGTATTTGTCTAAGGTCCTTTGGCCTACTTGTAACAACCAGCAGGCTCGGACGTCTCACTATTCTAAGAAATGCACCCATGACGTCTCAAGTTGGGTTTCAGCTACACCAGGAGAAGATTTATATGTTCGAGGATGGTTTCAGCTCCACCTCGACTGTTGGAGCTATTCGGAGAAGGGAGATCTGGTATAAGTTATATGTCTATAAAGATAGCAGACGCTCAAGGATAGCGGAAGACAGGTTTCAGTACATTGACTTTCCATACCCTACCTTGTGTGCTTTACCTTCAGTGATTCCTCTCGAATGTAATTATACCTATCCCTCGTAACGTTGTTACACTACTCTTGCCATCTCTTGAATCTATGTGTCGACACTAGCATATACACATTGCATCTCATTGATATTGTCAAAATGGTCGTTTAAATCCTAATAAGTCTCCACAGATTAAAATATTGTTGGATTTGTCTATGAAACTAAGAGGTCTTACCTGTTTAGGATAGGAAGTGTAGAATCAGACCTTTGCATTTATAGCTACGCAAGACTATAGAGTACTTCCTATTCTACTATACAAAGTGGGCAGGAATAAGAGAAGACATGCTACAGTATATAAAAACAAGAAGAGGGAGTCTATCATTCTACCTTGGAGAAAAGGCATAATCTGATCCCAAGCGATGGTAACCAGATATTAAAGTAGTATGAACAACAATTAGATATACAACATCAACAGGAAGACTCAACATAGAACAGGAACAGGAACCAAGTCAGTCACAGTAAAGCTAGCACTAACTAACTATTCCCACCCTTATATATGATAGACACCGCTGCAGCTGCTGAGGATAGGACGCTGCACACTTAAAGAAGACAGCCTTTAGGCCGGTCTATCAACTCCTTTTTTTAATACACAAGATGTTGGGAACCATAGGTCAAGGAGGCCTTAACTTCAGATACCAAGATAAATACGTCGATACAGGAAAAGCAGGGGCTTGTAGGAGGACAGGTCGGAAACACACAAATTATATATATCTAGCGCTAGTGCCCTATAGGGTTAGTCCCTCCGGGCGTAATAAATCATCATCACCTAGTAGCCTAAACACGCTTAATCTTAACCCAGGAAAACTTCCCTAAAGTTCGTCAGCGTCAACAATTCGCTTTTCTCTCCGTCTTCGTAAGGCAGTTCTGCCTCTTGTGCTGCACATGGCGCGACTGTTGGACCTTCCGGATGAGCTCATTCTTCTCGTCGTCGACTACGTGCAAGCGGATACAACACAGACAGCATTGCCATTCTATAAATTGGGAGATGCGTATAGACGCTCGGTTGAACAGAATCCACCGCAACGAATCAAAGACCTGCGCTCTCTTCGCCTTGTATCCGCTCGCTTGAGCAATCTGTTAAAACCGATATTTTATCGTAATATTTGCATTCGCGAAAACAGGTTCCGCAATTATCCGCAAAACCAGCTGAATTGGAGTCTAGAGAACGATTCAAAGCTCAAAGAGCATATTATCTCTGCAATTGTTCCCTGCAACCACTCGATTCATGACGTTTATCAATATTTTTGGTTCCCCAACATCCAGGCACTTAGCATTCTCCGGTTCAATGACTGGGAGCCTATGGAATTTGAAGACGATTCGCATATTGGCACGTCGCCGGTCACAGCACTGAATTTGATAGGCTGCGGGGCGCATGAGGATGCATTAGCCGCTGTACTAAGCTGGCCAAACGCGTTGGAAGTGCTCCATTACGACGCCGAACAAGTAGAGTGGGATGGCTACTATGGCGATGAGCCTGCCAAAACCTGGACATGCGCGGCGTTTGTACGAACCCTTCAGCCGCAAAAGGCCACTCTACGGGAATTGACCCTCACTCGGCCATGGCTCGTACATGAAGGATTGGGCAACGGACCACGTATAGATCTGAGCGATTTCACGGCTCTGACCACGCTCCGCATCTATCAAGTCTTTCTATGCGGGGAGGAGGACCCTCTTGAGGCCTGGAGAAGCCTTCCCCGCAATATTGAGGGATTAGAGGTCTTTTACGATGACTGGGAGCTCACTCGTTTTGATGAAGATGACTTTCTGCGAGGTCTGCTGGCGCATAAAAAAGAGTATCTACCCCATTTACGTACGGTGTCCATTAACTCGCCCGAGCAGACCTGGGACAGCGACATAGAGGAGTTCAAGCCCGCCGGTCAATGGACGCCGCCGTCTCCCCTGGCGCGAGCATTCAAAACTGTAGGTGTGAATATACACATATGGCTGGGGCCTGTGGAACCCCCAAAGTTTGAGGAACTAGACATTCCTCAGCTTCTTGAGCCACCGAGAAAAAGGCGTTGATATTGATTAGACCTAACGATGATGATGATTTATTACGCCCGGAGGGACTAGCCCTATAGGGTACTAAGATAGTGTGCTAGATATATACAATTTGTGTGTTTCCGACCTGTCCTCCTATAAGCCCCTGCTTTTCCTGCTTCGATATACTTATCTTGGTACCTGAAGTTAAGACCTCCTTAACTTATGGTTCCCAACATCTTGTGTATTAAAAAGAGTTACGGGCTTAAAGGCTATTTTTTTTTAAGTATATAGCGTCCCATCCTCAGCGGCTACAGTGGTATCTATCATATATGAGGGTAGGGATAGTTAGTTAGTGCTAGCTTTGCTATGCCTAACTTAGTTCCTGTTCCTATTCTATGTTGAATCTTCCTATTGACATTGCATATCTAATTGTTATTTATACCACTTTAATATCTGGTTGCTATTGCTTAGGATCAGATTATACCTTCCCTCTAAGGTAGAATAACAGACTCCCTTGTTACGGGCTAGTCCCGCCTAATTCTCACTTATAAGGGCATGCTTGAATAGCATGATGAAAGGAAGAGGAAAGGACAACAAGATTTCGCCGTACATGCAAGTTTATATACTACGTTAGAAAAGTGGAACGCTCACACTGTGCTGGGTTCGGCGCCGAATATCCGTATAGCCATAGACACCACGCGAGTGCCAAGGCATGAAGTCCTGTATTGTGCATTCTGATTGGGTAATAGATTCACTCTCCCGTTAGAAGGCAAATCAGCCAATCAGAATGAACCTTCAGCGTCTGGGAATAACTTCGAACTGCTAGGCTGCGCTCCAGCGTCCTGAGTGCAGGAGCGAATGAAAACGATACAGATTCTCTGGTGAGGGCTTCGCCCAAACCACATCAATATGAGGTCAGCTCATAACAATTAATAGAGATTAGAGAGTATTGGCCATTCAAAATTTGGCCAATTTTCCTTAGCATATTTGTAACTCGGTACGAGACCCAGTAGGAGCTGCGTTCTATCTGGTAATTGATAAAGAAGGCGGAGACAATTTCTTTTGAGCCTCCAGGGCCGGGAGGGCTTCTAGAGATGAGGGGCAGAGTGCAAAACCAGTCTTTGTGTCTTGAACTTCTTTTAGCGCAGTATAGCTTGAGTTCAGATGTGACCGTGGCTAGAGTAGATGGTATAGTCTTCCATTTTTCTAGCTGCATGGTTGGCTGGGGAGCGTATAAAGAGCCGGTTGTTAGGAAAGGATTGTTTCACTAGAGGCATAGGCTTTTTTACACTTTTAGAATGAGTAGTAGGAGTTGATTTGGCTGGAGCATATTGGGTGACAGTCGCATAGGTTGACTGTTCAAGACCAGAAGGGGGATGAGAGGGAGGGGGCGAGGGGGTAAGGGATTGGAGGTGGGGAGGGGGAAGGAGAAAGGGAAGGGGGAACGGAGGTCATCGAGATGCCACTGATATAGGCGTTGAAGTGTAGTTGGGCTACCGAGGCAAGGTTGTCACTCAGAGCAGTGAGGGCTCTCAGTAGGTGAGGAGCGAGGCCGGTGGTTTGACTGCGGTGTTTATCAAGGAATGCAGCTGTATGGCTGAAGATCCTTTAGCCGTCAGCAGCTCTTATAGTGGCTGCAGACGTAGATTCCATTAGGGCTGTCTGAAGAGGGCCATCTGGACCAGAGCCTTTCCGCGCCATGGTGTTGCCGGACGCATGGAGACGTCGAAGGCCGCACTCCTGCAAGCTGGGAAGTGGAGGAGGATGAGGATATTGAACTTCTATTGAACCTCTTGACTATTTTTGATATAGATAATTGTAGAGAAGTCTCCTGAAGAACGGAAGAATATGTTTATCGTGGTGCGAGGGACGGGTGAATTAATGATTGGTATTTGTAGTGTAGCTACAAAGTAGGGCACGGACGACACGTGATACTATCTGGGGTAGAAAGCATACTGTATATCATGGTAAATCTCAAAACTTAAAACAATTACAAAGGAAGAGTAAAATCAGTGGTCAAGTCATTGGTTATTTGGTGGAAAGAGAGGTATATAGCAGAAAAAGAAATTCGGAACAGTACAGTGAACTCCATACTACCAAACGAAGGCAATATGGACAGAAGAATATGGTATAGAAGATAGGTATGTGTCGAAGGACTGTACAGCTCTTTAGACTCTGATAGTGCTATTGTTGACATGGTGTACATCGGAATTTCTCACCATTGTATCAATCTTCCGCCTACCAAACAAGGATAATGACCACCGTCGAATGATGTTGCGTTTCTTTTCTGGTGTGGGGGTTTCAGACGGTTCTGGGGTGTTTCCCTGAGGAATGAACGCTTGAATAATCTCTGTGGTGTTATCATTGTTGTTGTCATGGGTATTAGCGTTGAGGTTGGTGTGAGAGTCCCTATGGACAGTAGCACCAATGGCAATCGAATCTGCGAGAATGTCATCCACCACAATGCCACCTCGACGATTGTCTTGATAGCGAGATCTTCTCTGGGGTGTCGTCCTTTGAGTCCGGGAAGAAGAACTGGGTGCAGGAGCCGCAGCAGTAACTTCATTCATGTTCGACTCGTCATGCTCCAAAATAGCAATCAAATCATCTTGAGATTCCGCATCTTGATTCCGATGTGCAAGATCAAATCCACCCCATGAATATCGAGACTTTTTAGCCCTCGCTGCCGGGTTTCGAGGCCTATATCGACTATACGAATTTGCTTCATCGGACGAACCAGCCTCGAAAATGCGAGAGTTTCGACTGATGGGCGAACCAAACTCAAAATTGTACAGTAAACCATTGAATTGTAGGAAAGGGTCATCCTGTCTCGATGCAAAGTCACTGTCAGGTCTACCGTTTTCCATTGGCTCGACTACAACGGATAGTTGGCGTGACAGGATTGAGAATGTGTCAACGGCAATGCTTCTCCTTTTCCTAGACTTTGACCTTTTCACCTCTGGTGGCGGGGCGGTGTCTGGGTTGATTGAAGGTTTAGTCTGATTTGTTCGTGTATCTCCGTTTCGATCAACTTGTTCATATAAACTTGTGACTGCCTGGCGGAGCTGGACTTCATCTTTGGTACGGAGTTGTGGTCTTGAGAGTGATTCATTTTGGAACTCAGGCTTTTGATCGTCTTCAGATAAAGGTTTCTATACAGTCATTAACGAATGTCAACCTTGGAAGTCAAAAAGTTCCACGTTCCTCATAATGTAGCCCTACATTTGAATATGTCGGGAGCGAAAACCTCTTTCGCATTTTGGAAGAAACAGAAGATACGGAGTCACTTCGAAAAAGTGAAGAGACCATTGTGAATGGTCTGATATTGGTGAAGTTTGATAGTAGTTGGTGATTGATAGAGTAATTGGAAAAAAAGGATTTGAAGCAAAAGACAAGGCAGAGAGACACAAATCGCAACGAGAAAAGACCTTCTCATATCCTACTTGTAGGAGGCAAAATTTCTAGATTCTTCTCATTCTAGATTTTCTGTTGTCTATATAAGCAGCTGAGCTGAACCGATCTCATAGAAAACTACTCCACTCTAATCTCCACAGAAATTAGTTAGGTAGAAGTAGTAAAATTAGGGCTGACTCCGGCAAACTTCAATTAGACAGAGTTCGTTTCGTTTCAAGATCCGTAGTACGACTAAACCAACCGGTCTGATTAGCTAGATCGTTGAGAGGGTCATGCAGTGCGTTATCTGACCTAATTATCTTCTGAAACGTCTTCTACGGACTTTCCATGGTCGGTTACACGATGGGGCCAAATGAAGATGACGCGATGATATGCAGAATCCGGCCGTATTTTTTGCCTGTTGCTTTTTTCCGGCTCAAGAATAGTCATGTCATAGCACTCTGGTTTCAGAATGGAAAAATATATCAAATTTATACTGCAGTTACTTTACTGTCTAGTCTTGCAGCCTGTGACTCTGTGTCTGGCATGTTGCCAGCCTGAATCTAGACTGGAAGTAGTAACTCGTACAGCGGCTGAGATTTAGCCCTAACTGGGGCTGTTATCTGGCATTGATCCTACCGTCGATCCTTCCACCATACTACGTACCGTGACTAGGCATAGACTAAAAAAGCAGGGTTTAAAAGTAGATCATAGCTAGGCAACGAAATGACACCTCAAAACCGACCCCAAAACTGAGGAAGGGCTTGTGGCTGACGACCCTAAATTCCGGGATGAAGTTAATCCTGTGGATTCTCGGTAGGAGATCGCATGATCTTCTTGATAATATCTTATGAAAATCACCAAGTTAGTTGAAATGAATGGTCGTCCCAAAAAAAAAAACAAGAAGTCGCGGTGAATGATGGAAGAGCAAAAAAGTGAGAAACAAAAACACAACACGAACGAGGTGGGACTCGAATCCACAACCTTTGGTGAGCCAGCCATCCGATAAGTCTGTGGAGTATTTATCAGAGACGCCGAAAACCAACGCGCTACCATTGCGCCACCCGTCCAGTGTTAGCGTAATAAACTAAAATTTCTTCACATCCGCTACATAGGGGCAATTTGATGGCATTAGGTGAATGTAGAGCTATGGACGTTGCCTTAGTTTCCCGATTGAGGAGTTGTTGTTGTTGTTGTTGTTGTTGTTGTTGTTGTTGTTGTTGTTGTTGTTGTTATTATTGGCTATCTAAGCTAACTATAGCTGCGCTGACCCCTTTACGGAGGTCACATGGCTCTCGGAGCATAGTTGATACACGCCGGAGGGAGATCCACGGGTGTAGCACGCTGATATGTTGATATTGAACGAGCGCGTGGTTTCCTCCTCATGCTTGATATTCTCGTACATAGAGACCAATACTATTCGTGTTGCTTGCTCATCGTCACAGGCAAAGCAACGACCATCTAAAATTGTTTATATATCGTCATGTCGTCTGAAGTTTATTTTATGTTTTATCCATAATGACAGCATACGATTTATAACGGTCTGATAATAACGCAGCCTGCATGCTTCGCTCCAATCTTGGAAGATAATGTCAAATGATACCCAGCGTGCTATCAAGAATGCCCTAAAAAGGAGGTATCAGGATGCAATAACGAAAAATGTAAATGTCGTTTTACTATATAAGCAGAGTCAAATATGAGAGGAGTATATTGCAGTTGCCAATATTTGATTTCCCTCCGAAAGTAATATCAACCAAATTGTAGCCCAAAAAGACTATACACACATGCGCCGTGGAATGCGAAATTGTATACATGCCTTTAAAATGAACTTCGTGCAATTTACTCGCAGGACATTTGAATATAAACGATAAAACAAGGATAGGAATAGGTCTCAAAAGATAGCCATTGGAAGGATACATAATGAATGAAAATGGAAAATAAGAGGCTGTGAGACGTCACCGAGTGGGACGACTTTTATGTACCTCGACGTGCCCGTTTGCTTTCGCTTCCCACGCGCATTCCTCGTGAACTGCCATCTCCATGTCCATGAGTATCGTCGCCTGGTCGGCCACGTTTGCGTGGGAGAGATTGATTGCCATTTCCAGGAGCATTGTCGCGGTTAAAGTCTCGATCACGATCTCTTCCGCCACGGTCCCGATTGCGGTCTCGATCACGGTTCTCGCCACGGCCACTGCCACCACCCCATCGGCGGTCTTCACTTGGTGGTCCTGGAGGTGCAGGTGGAGGATTTGGCAGTGCGTTGTTGTTACTGCTATGCGAGGAGGAAGGACGATGGCGGCCATGATGTTCACTACCGCTAGGTCCTGGAAGTTCACTTGGCGCATCTTCTCTGTCTCGGCGGTCTCTCTTTCGATGGTCGTCGCGACTGCCAGTGACACGACGATTTGTAGAATCTCTCCCACCGTGGTGTGACTCGTCTTCAGCGTTCTCATTTCGTCGGTTGCGCTCACGATCACGGTCACGGTCTCGGCCTCGATCACGACGCTCATCCCTACGGCCACTCTTTGTAGCCTCTTCTTCGTCCCGACGGTCACGATCTGGTGCACTGCTATGGCTATCATGTTTGCCAGATCGCCTGGAGTCCCGACTGGCTTCTTGTGACGCTTCTCCTCGTCGGCCACGACCCGGGGGTCGGGTATCTGCCTCCGGAGCACCGGGGAAAAGCTCAGTTCTTTCTTGCCCAGTGGGTATGTCAGGTTTTCCCACTTGAGGACTGGCTGGCGCACTTTCTTGGGCTTGTCTCCCTCTGCCACGAATCATCGTTCCTTGTCCACCACGCTCTTGAGCACTGCTTGATTGCTGGAGCATATTGTTAATTCCTGAAAACCGTTTGTCTCCACGATTCCTGTCATTTCCTGGCCCTGATGGTGGAGTACGTGTGGCAGGCGAACTGGCATGGTGTCCAAGGGAACTGCGGGGCCCACTAGGTGGTAGTGAAGCTTGAGACCGAGTGTTGGCAGGACCGGATTCGGATGATACTTGAAGATTCTTGAGACGATCAGGGTGGACACCACCTGTATCCGCTTTATCGGTAGTCGGTGGCGGTGCAGCAGGAGTATCAGGTGCGCGACCACTAGATCGACCAGAAGGACCAGTCGGCGGTAGACGCTCAGAGGGTCTACTGGGTGTTCCAGGCGGAGGTGGTTGTGTTATTGATGCATTTCGACCACGGGACTGTGTAACTCTACCTCGAGGACCAAGTGGGATTTCATTAGTCGGCTCAGGTTGTCGTGCAGTTCTAGAATCCTGGGGTCCTCTCCCATGAGGCGCGTCACCACCAGATCGTAACTCCCTTCCTTCTGGCATATCAGCTCGTCCTACTCTGTCGCTACGTGGTCCAGCTGGATATTCATCGCGGCGAGGGGCTCGGCGGTCGTCACCTCTCGTCGGTGAAGACGGTCGATGTCTCCGATCGTCTCGATCGAGCCTTGACGGGTCGCGACGCTGGTTATCGCCCTCTATCAAGGCAAGCCGATCAGGATGTCCTTGGATCAGATTGGCCCTTTCTGGATGTGGTTGTGCACGTGAAGAACCCGAACGGTCAGCTTCTGGCTCCCGATGATGACGAGCGTCACGGGAAGAACGGAATTGGTCATCATTCGGGGGACCAAGTCGCTGAGGATCTGCACGATCGCGTTCTAAACGGCCTGGGCCACGGGGTTCTTGGCCATCCAAACGGTCCCGGTCAGAGTCAGGAGGGTAGCGGCTAGAGCGAGACGAATCTGAAGGTCGGACATCCCCTGTCTCCCTGCGATCATCTTTCATGTCAGCCTGTCTACCTGAGCGGCTGTCGTGCCTGTAAATTCGAGGCGCCTCAGGCTTGTTGGGTAGATTGGGCGGTAATGGTAATCGAGGAGGCTGTGACGTAACCCTATCAATATCTGGCCGTTTCGGTATATTCGCAGCGTGACTTCCATCCGGCGGTCTTGATCCCTGTCGTGATTGAGCTGGCGATTCTGTTCTAGGTCGAGCGCTGTCGGTATCCCTGAACGAGGCAGTTGCCGATCGGTCTGCAGCAGGCAATGGCTTCTTCTCTTCCTGTCCGGTAGTTCCTGCGCGCTGATCTTTGGTTGCAGAATCCGCTGCCGGTGCCTCCACAACGGGCGGCTCTTGTCTCGATTTCTCACTTGCTGCTAGTTCAACTATCTCGGCTTGTGCGCCCGTTTTTCCGCCAGCAAGCGAAGCATCGGCCATCTTTGCATCCTCAATCTCACCATCCTCAACCTCCATTTTCCCTGTGGTTTCACTCGGCGTGCCATTTGCTCTGATAAAGAGAGAAAATCAATCAGCTATTCATTTAGAAGATAAGAGTCGTACTCACCCTGGAGGCTTGAATTCGGCGGCTTGTGCATTTAGCTGCTTCGGAGTAGCAGAGCCTGCTCTCGGTGTATGAGCTTTTCCTTTCTCGTTGGCCAATTTCTCGTTCTGTTCGTGGAAATTCGGTCAGGTTCATTTCCAGATAATCCAGCAGTGTAGAAAATACTTACAAACATAAACTCTTGCGGAAGAAGCCATTGTTTCTCCCTTCGGCTAAGTTCTCCTTTTAGGGACGCCGCAGGAATCTTCACGTCCTCCCTTTCATCGTTACTTAACTCGTTTACAAGCATCAGTATGTCACGGCCCATCCAGTTAACAGCTGGATAGTGTTGAGAAACGGCTTTCAAGACACTAATAGCGTTTCGGATATGCATGTATTCGCCATTGTTGAAGCAGTGTTTTATTGCCTGTAAAAGCAACCGATGCCACTTGTAGAGCAATCGACGGAAATTCTCATACTCCAGGAACGAAGTCACTTTGCCCTCAGAATCCACGTTCGTAGCAAAACCAGGCAGTGTCCTATTCGAGCCAAACGCTTCTTTTTCGTACACCGACTTGTCCGCATGCCAGCGTCCCATGTCACGTAAAATCTCATTGATGAACTTGCCAAAGTTATCGGCCTCTTTTGAGGTGCATTGGAAGATGATCGCGGTCAGCCTGTGTTCTCGGAGCAGCTGGTCAATTAAGCCGGCGGTGCGGAAGTTCGGTGTGCCTGAAGCATGTAGGAACTTCAAAATCTTGAAGCAATAAAAGCCATCAATAGGCGATAGCAGAATACGAGGCAAGAAGCATTGTTCTAGAAGGGCTATGTTCAGAACATCATATTTGCCTCGCATACCGGGGAACCAATGATCTTTTTCTTTTTGAAGCCTGTTTCGCGTTGTCTCATATGAAACAAGGTGGGTTTTGTTCTCTTCGAGGAGTCGGTCTTGAAGCTCTTGAATCTGCTTCTTCTCTTTCTCTTTTCTCTGAGTGCCGGCTAAACTGACATCGGTTCTGTCGTTCGAAATTGCCTGGACTTTGCGTTTTTGCCGTTCGATTTCATCTTCGTACGCCTTTCCAGGGATGTGAATGTCGTATAGAGAAAGCTGCCAGAAGGTCACATAAAAAGGTAGACCCACTGTCTGCCAGGAGCCTTCGGGAAGTACTGGCTGGATACAATCCATGAGGCCTTGCAGAACAGGATGCCAAGGGGCAGTAGTAGTATTAGGTGTTGGGTCACTGAGATCGGGTGTCCGAGTTTCGGTCACATCAGTGGACTCTAGACCCAATGATGGTTTATCCACATCCATCACTCCATCGGTATTTTGGTTGTTGTTCTTTTCGGTGTTCTCGCCCTCGGTCATTTCTACATCGGCATCGGCCGCTTTAGGTTCAGAGACACTTGCCTCGGTGCTCTGTGTTGCCTGCACTTGCCAAAGGTTGCGATCTGCTTCGGCAATTTGTTTGCATATGCTGGGTCTCATTATCCAAAAAGCGATCTCGGGTTGCAAACCAAAGTCTCCAAGCAACTCTGGAAGACTAGGAACAAAGGAGTCAAACTCTTCAACCGCAAGATTGCTCCGGAGTAAATCCAAGTACTGCGTTAGGATCCGGTGGATTTCATCAAAAATATTGCCGAGCAATTTGAGTTCCGGCACCATTTCAGACTCTCTATAAATACAGAGTAACCGCTCCTGAGCAATAGCGATGAGTAGTTGACCGGCCATCTTGGAATCGGTTAAAGCTTTCATGAGTCTTTTGGATGTCGTTCTTGACTCGTGTCGCTTATCCAAGAGCTGCAGCATAGTTTGCGATTGTAGAAGGTTGCCTCCAGCCATACCTTGGATTTGAGCTTCGTTAAAATTTGTGTCAGTCACTATTCCAGCCATAGCGCTGATCACCCTTTCCAAAACGATAAGATCGGTCGAATTTTGCTGCCGTAACTGCTCGAGGACGTATTGAAGAATTGGGGTAGGGTTGAGAACTGAATAGCGCTTGAAAGCCTTTCCCGTGAAAGTTGAAAGAGCATTCAACCATCTGCTTGTCAACAATCCACCTTGTTGTACGCGGCTCCTTCCTTTTTGACCCAGAGCATTAATAAGGGCCCAAGCTAGGATATCATATCCTAGGTCTGTAAAGTATCGTGCACATTCCACCACGACATCAATGAGATTATCATAAGACTCGATTTGCGTGATTTCAACATTGATGACAATTCCAGGATTGGCATAAGCAATTTCAGCTAATGCACGAGCCATAGCTTTGATGTTGGTCTTGCTTAATCTCTTGAGAGTATCCCTTGTCTGAGCAGTGGCCAGATCGAAGGCAGTTTTGATTTCGGGTAGCCTAGAGGTTTGCCCAAAATGCCATTCAGCATACATATTGTAACGGACTGCTCTGGGGAAGTGGCGAATGACAGCGAAAACTTCGTTCGCAACACCAGGGTTCTTTTTAGAGAGACTCAATGCTGGGAGCAAGAGGCGCTTGCAAAAGTCTCTCCACCGATTCTTATTGGACTCCGAGTCATCTTTATTCAGGGAATCCTGAGCGATCCGTGCGATTTTGCTCATCAGTAACGGGTCCTGGCCGATCCTGAAACCCGATACGTTCAATAAAGATGAAGCCAAAGCGAAGAAATCGTCAACGTTCTGGCAGATGGGTATCGTATCTGCCCAATGGTCCCAATAGAAGCGATAGTTGATTCCATCCTCTCTATCTTCTTTATCCGGATGGGCCCATCGAAGCATTCTGCGAGGCTGACTGTCGGCGAGACGAACATGACCCTTTGCGACGCCAGATTGATCGGCGCTAGGAATGGGTCGGGGAGCTCGAATCTGATCTGAGCCTTGCATAGGTCGAAGAGGCGCATATATATTACTAAGACAATGGTGAATGATACGATGGATGTAGTCGGGAAGCTCTGGTATATCCATAAGCCAAGGAAATCGGCTGAGCATATAAAGAGCCTCGGGAATAGCACCAATTGTCAGAAGACTCTTCAGCAGATCAATCTTTTGTTCGCGTATGTCGGGTAAAGGCTCCTTTTCTTCGTCATCCTTTGTCACAGCAGCTTCATTGTCCTTCGCGGGAGTTCCTGACCGGGCCTCAGCGTCACGAGAGCGAGAGACAGGGGGCGGTACAGTGTCGTCTGGCAATGCACCTGCAAGCATCAAGGCGTTGACACCTCCTCCAGGTTTGGCTTTCATTTCCCGTTCCAGTTTCTCCTTTTTGATCTTCTCTTCAAGCTCTGGCATTGATTCATCTTCTCGCCAAAGATGAGGATAGAGATCACGCAGAGAGATAAAGCCAATCTTGATCAGTAGCGCAGCTACCCAGATCAGATTTTCCGGAAGATGGCCTGCTTCACGCGCAGCTGTTGAATAGAATCGGAGCTTGAATCCAAGAAGCTGAGCAGCCACACGGTTACCCTTCGGTGGTAGTGTACCTGTTTCTTCAATCCATCTTCTTGTCTCGGCATCAGACCCTGAATTGCTGGCCTCCGCAAGGGCAATCTGCTTCTCCTCATCTGACAAGGAGCGTCGGCCGATTTCGAAGAAGGCTTTGATTCCAGCCTCTCGCACACGACCCCAAAAGGCTTGGTCCCGTTCATCACGTATCCTTGCAAGGTCTTCCTTTTTCTCGTCATCGCGGCCTGTCCATCCTGGAAGAGCCCAGCTAGGTAGACCTGTGTAGACGTCGGTTTCCTCCTCCCAGCGCAAACGATCCCCTTTAGGCCACCATGAGCTAGCCCGTAAGAACCTCACAAAGAAATGGTACTTTTTCACAAGGACAGCCGCAAATACGTCCAATGTCACATCAAGAACACGTCCGACATCCAAATCGAAAGCTCCAATCATGGCCTTGACTCGTTCAAATGTTTCTTCCACAATTTCACTAGAAGGAGACTCGGTATTACTTGTCGTAAAAAGCTCAGTAACCAATTTTGAGTAGCCCTCGGATTCTTCGCGGAGGAGGTTGTAGTTGGATTGCCGATACAGAATGTTTGTCTGTTTGCGAATTCCTATACGCGTGAACGTATCTCGTACAAGTCCCAGGCTTTGAATTAGATTGGTGTCTAGCTCGAGGCGCAATAATGCCGGCGAAATCTCTGTTGCGAATACGAACGGTTTCAATATTTCATTCGAACCATCCTTCTCTTCGGCGAGAATGGATAACGTGTTCAGGAAGAACGAAGATGCGCGTTCATTCTGGCCCATCTCACCCTGTCCATTCTCTGTAAGTATCTGCTTGACAACCTCTCCTGCCTCTGATGGATCCAGGTTCCTGGACAACACTGCCCGGATGATCTCTTGGAAAACACATCCTAATGTAACCAAGTCACCATTCTTGCGTGCAGTGACGCCCTGCTTCATAATAATTTGTTTTCCATCCTTCACCCATCCCGCTACAACCTGCTGTGTGACGTAATCGAAAGCATAGCTGGCATTTTCCTGAACGTTCAGGGGTCCTTCTTTAGACAGTGCAATCCTTGTAGCACTAGCCCCGTTGGGCTGGCGAGACTCAGTAACCGCATTCGGTTGCGGTGTCGATGGCGGAGCCATCGAGGAATCCGTAGAGGGCTTCGATTGATCTTGTGATAGTGTCTGTACACGGCCTGACGGCGTTCGGCCTCCTCTGCTCGGTCTTCGGCCCCTTCCACCAGTATTATTATCTCCAGAGCCCGAACGTGAACTTGGCGACTGAGTTTGGTTATGTTGCGCGAGGTTCAGATTGCCTGGTCGATGGGGAGAAGGTCGCTGTCCGTCGTGTCCTGAATCGCTGGACCATGATCTGTCTCCTCTCTTTCTTTTACCACCAGCACCAGAGGCCATTGTGGCCACAGGCCACTATTTAAAGAATGTGTGCCCGAGGAAACACGTTTGTAAGTAATGTGCAGCAGGTTACGCGACTCAGAAGGCGATCTTTAAGCATGGGCATATTAGTCTCGATTTGAAGACTTGCGGTATTGTAGTCGCGACGGGATATGAAGAAGTAAAGGAGCGTACCAAATGACTCAAGTCTCATAACATGAAGCAAAATAAAAGCTTTAGAGGTAAAGAAAAAGAAATGCACAGGTGTGAAACCTGCTAGTGGTGCTTGACCGGCCACAACTTGATTTTGTACCGGACTTTACCTCCTTCCATGTTGGATGCGCCAAGCCTTCGACAAACTCGCGGCTGGCACCTGCGGTGGTGCCTGAGGCCCGCAAATCCTATATCGTGCTCCTATTGGCTGGCTACCATCTATTGTTCAGCGGTCTTGAATTAGATGAATCTACTTATCGATTGACACCTAGCTATTCAAAGATACTTGTTCGATTATTCCATAGTCTATAGATATGTGTTATTGCTGCTCTATGATATGGTTCCTTGAAATCTTTGTAGTCAAACACCATGCATAGGTAGGTCTATACACATCTATCAACTTTTTCAGTATGGGTGCAAGTCATATCTTTATTCAAGATAAATTCAAGATAGACCTGTATATAAAAATAATAAGCCATCAAATAGAAGGCAGTTGGATGCTTCTTTCGCGATAGGTGCCCGCAATTTGGAGCAAGAGATGCAGTTGGATGCTCGTCTGTCGTCCTCATGAGTTGAGGGAGAACCACCTATCTTCAATTCAATTTCTTGAGAAATGCAATAATAATGTTGTATAAGTATTTTCCTTCCTCAGAGAAAGATCTCTGTCTGTTACTGAAGTTGTTGAAGCTTCCGTCCGCATGTTGGTGCGGTGGTTAGTTGGTAGAGATGCCCCTTATAGACCCGTCTAATAATTTAAGATTGCCGAGAATTCACCAAGCTGTAATGTCGTCGACTTCGGCTTCACCAAAAGTGCTGCTTTTTGTCAACTCCCCTACACTGTCTGCGCTAGCATCGCCAGATTCACCGGGTTTCGACATGATATCCGGCAATACCTCTCTGAAAAATTCCAAAATGTATGTATTAACCTGTTGGAACTGGAGAAGGAACGCGTCATGACCTTCAGGGCTATCAATTTTCTTCAATCGAGAATCCGGAATACCTGCAGCAATTTCCTGTTGTTCCTCGAATGTGAATAAACCGTCGCTTTCAATTCCCATGACCAGGGCAGGCTGCTCAATTTGGGACAAAGCATCTTTTACTGGGGAAGGTGAATCGGGGCTTGCGCGATGGCGAGAGACGTCATGTGTATCAAGCTTTCGGGTTATTGCAATATAGCAATTACTATCGAATCGTTTGACAAATTTCTCTCCCTGGTATCTAAGGTAAGACTGGGCGGAGAAGTAGGTTGACGGACGAGAATGTTTAGGTGTTGGCAGTTGTGCGGTAAATGTAGTAGTGCCGTTGAACTGAGGGTCAGTAAACTCAATCTCCGTTGGTCTTTTCGGCGAGCCAGTCTGACTAGACGGACGGGAAGCGCGGGAGCTTTTATGGCCGTCGTTATGAATAGCCCAGTGCTCACTTGGGGGCGATGGAGGTCCGGTTGTACAATTGATGTTCTGTCGCTTTGATGGGTCTGGTACATTTCTACCGAACCTTGACTCAAATGAATTGCGACTGCGGTAGGTCAAAAGTGCCGACATGCGAGCAGCCCCTAAACCTGTGGCTGGTGGGTCGTCAAATGAATAGTAACCGTCTTCGTATTTAGGGTCGCTATAGATAGATTGGCGCTGGGCTTCACTCCAGCTGATGCACCATGCAGAGTGGCGGGCAGATGTGGCAATGGGAACGATGGCTCGAACGTAGTCTTTTCCAAAGTAAGCGTATTCGAGGGTGAGCATTCCTCCCATGGATCCGCCGACAACGGCCGCAATTTGTTTGACGCCCAAGTCATCCAGAACTAACTTATGAATTCTGTAAAGAACATTAGACAGGTTTTTTTTTAAATCAATACACACAAAGATGTCCCACTAACCTCACATCATCCCGGATAGTGGTCAGGGGAAATTCGGGTCCATATCGGCCTTTTGTAGAGTCACCATCTCTATACGTGACGGCACTGGCACTCCCATAAGGGCTACCCAAGCTGTTCAAGCAAACCACGTAGAAGCGAGTAATATCGAATGCCTGACCCTGTTTTCCAAGAAGCGGGCCCCACCAGTCCGCAACGTCAGCACTTCCGCTCAGTGCATGACAGATAACTAGAGCATTATCGCCGTTTGGAGAGAGCTGCCCTCGGACAGTATATGCAACCGGGGCATTATATAGGGTGTCGCCCGATTCAAGGGTGAATGAAGGGATGATAGCGATTTCTTGTTTCGAGATAAGCTGTGAAAATGGATTTTCAGGTTGCGATGCGACTCTCTCTACGGGATTTAGTAGCTGTTCACATGAGGGTAGGTATTAGGTGGGGGGAGCACTGACGATATTTCATGGGTGCAGAAGCACTTGCTTCTTTTGTATCAGACATTTTGAATACGAGTGTAGATGGAAATATGAAAAGGATATCAATTGCTCATGTCAAGGAGAGGAGAACGTTAAACGATATAAGTAGGATGAGTCATGTTCTTCTTTCTGCATGAAGTTTTTTGGTGGGGGAATATTTTTGAGGGTTCCTCGGAGACCGGACGCAGCATCGCACGCCATTGCGGGCGGCTAATCTATAAATAGATTAGTGTCAACACGTGAGGGACAGATGAGTCAGCCAGGTAGCCACCAATCAGCGTGGAGCTCTAATTGCATCTGGATTTTGAGCCTCATTTCAGCCTCAAATTCTCAACTTCCAATAGTGGAAAACTCTTCTCTTATTCCATCTAGCAGGTCACTTCGCTCTTTTTGTCACTCGTTTGGTTATGCTTTGTATTTAACTTGTTTATATGTCGCTCGCTATCAATCCCAACTATCTTCACCAAAATGGTCTCTATATTCAACGTCTTAATCTTGTTATGCGCCGTACGCCAAGCGACAGCTACTTTCAGTCTGAACACCGGCGGCCCTAACTGGGACTACACAAGCAAAGATTTGGCAGACACCACCTCCCAGGCCTGCAAAGATGCATACAGTGCAAGCATCGACTGTGACGATGTCCTTGTCGGCATGGTCGCTTCTCTGAACCCAAACTTTGACCCACAAGCTTCGGACTTGGAGAGGTTGTGTACCACGACATGCAGCGATTCATTGAATCAGTATGTCAAGAACGTCAAGGCGGCATGCGACAATCCCGGCGATCTTGCCGGAGTGTGCGATGGCAATAAGAACCTCTTCCTAGCCGAGGTGGAGACAGTCGGCGAGGTCCTTCAGTACCAATATAGCCAGGCATGCGCCAAAAATGGGTAAGTCAAGCCGCCACCTATCTGCATTCCAGATCAATTTGTCAGTTGCGTATACTGACAATCGTATAGGTCAGACTATTGCTACTTGACCTTTTCCACTAGTAGCGATTGGGCTCGAGAAGACTTCCCATGCAACGATACCTGCGCCATACAATTCTATCAAAACGCGCATAACCAGCCCGGCTCTGGATACTTCTTCTCGTACATGGATATGTGCAACCGGACCACGTATTGGGAGCAAACTTTTGCCGGAGGCTGGGAAACGGTGGTTCAGTGCGGCGATGGCGGGAATCAGACCACCAGCTCGACGAGTGTAGGCGGAAGCGCGAGTGCAATGACTTCAGTAAGTTCAGCAAGTACTTCAGTATCGGTATCAACTACTTCTACTAAGACAGCTACGGCTCGGTCAGTCTCGACGACAGGCACCTCCGCTACTACAGGTGTAGTTGCGAGTAGTCGACCAACGAGCGGTGCTGGGAAGATCAGACCACCGTTCATCTGCTTTTGATTGTATATATATGAAGTGTGCACATAGCCATTATCCATGAATGTATATTTAATATGTGCCCAAGGATCCATCCTAATAATTTTCTTGAATCCCCCGAGCACGTCATTTTGCCCGAGCAATACCTGGTACAACTGATAACGAATCTATAATTGCGGCTTGTATCTTGAAATCACCATCCTGGGAAGTCAAATTATTCTCTGCGAAAGTGGAAGACGCTATATTTCTTGTGGACAGCAACAGACATAACAACAGATCTGACCAATAAGTGACAAGTCTCGAGTCCACTTCAAGCAACGCTAGTCTGTTCGCTTCAGGCTGTGAGTCAATATGAATTCTTCCTTTCCTCACGACCCATCCAATCCATAGATCCATTTACTGTCTAGCCAGCTCACATATCCAAACAAAACCAATCATGGGTTACACTCTTTACGATAGCACCATCACAGTCCTACAAGGTATCCTCAACACCCTGACCCACGTCCTCCACACAGCCGAACAACAGCCCAATGCCGACTACTTACTCACCAACGCCCGTCTATACCCAGATATGTACCCGGTATCTGACCAAGTGCGTCTCGCAACCCAATTCTCGGAGAATATAGTCGCAAGACTCACGAACCGGGAACCAGTGAACTTTGATCACGACCTCGGCAGCTACTCCAAATGCTATGAGCGCATTGAGACTGTTCTGAAATCAGTCAAGGAGGCGGATAAGAAAACTGTTAATGCACTTGGGGATTCAGTTTCGCCTACGCCGATGGGGCCGGGGAAACCGGTAGATATGAGCGAGGCAACGTATGCACATATCATTGCGCTGCCGAATATTTATTTTCATCTTACCACTGCGTATGGGATCTTGAGGAAGGAAGGTGTGCCGTTGGGAAAGATGGATTATTATGCTGGGTTTGCTCCTATTGCTATCCATGAGTCTGAGGTCCTGGGAAAGACAAAGTCAGCAGAGTCTTCGTAACCGTGGTGTTATGATATAGGAGTTTGCAGCCCTCCAGGCCTTGATAGGCTGTATATAGACATGTGAATATTCTCCATTCTATCTCTAGACCACTAAAACAAAATCTAAGGAGTCTCTGAAACTCTATACACTAACTTCTCAGCACTATACTCCCCCTTCTTCATTGTTTCCATCCCTTCAATCGCCCCCACAAGGCCCTTGGGCCTCACACTAACCGGATGAGGCCGAAGTCTGCCAGCCGCAAGAAAAGTCCTCGCAATCTCAAACCACATTGACTGAAATTCACCATGTTTCTCATTATTCAGAAACTTCCGTCCACGTTTCTCAAAATCCTCGCCCAGTCCCGTGTACGCTAGCGTATCTGTATGCTTGACATCTTCACGCGGGAATTTCACGCCTATAATTCCGCCGTAACGAGCACCTGGTTCAGTGGTCAGAGCGTCGGCACATATCTGAGCTGCTGATGCAGTGGCTATGCAATCCCAGGCGTAGCGGAGTTTGTTTCTGGTGTATTCGTTTATCTTTTTGCCGCATTCGGGATCCTTGTAGTCGAAGACTTCTTCGGCGCCGAGGCTTTTGAGTAGGTTGGAGTTCTTTGGGGATGATGTGCTGATGACTTTGTATCCGGCGCTGTACATTCATTTTCGATGTCAAAGACCATCTCAAAGGGGTATTGAAGTAGACTCACAGCTTTGCAAACTGGATCCCCAGCGTCCCTGACGCCGTGCTCCCGCCGTAGATAAGCACATACTCAGTCTCCTTGGTAGGTTCACTCGGCAAAGCCAACTCCAACCCATAATCCTTTTCAAACAGTCCCTGTCCAACAGTTGCGAATCCACATCCCAGGGTAGCAGCTTCTTCAAAGCTGACCGTATCCGGAATCTTGAATAACGTAAATTCTTTCGCAAGCACATATTCCGCAAATGCACCGGTATCTTTGTTATATGAATTACCACCGTTGACGAAGCCGGCTACTCGGTCACCTTTCTGGAATGGTTTGGTCACGCTGGGACCGACTTCTTCAACTATGCCGGCAAAGTCGACGCCGAGGATGCAGTCATCCTTTGGAATGGCGTCTCTGATATGTTTCCAGTCGGTAGGGTTGAGGGCGAGTGTCTCTGTTTTGACGAGGATGTTGTGATCGCCTAGTTTGGGCAATGATCGGTCTGATACCACCACCACTTGGTTGGGGTCTTTATATACGATGGCTTTCATGGTGTTCAGGTATTGGAGAGAGGTGGAAGTTAATTCCATGGGTTAGTGAATCGCTTATTGAGTTCTGAACTACGACAATTGTGAGTATCATGAACTAATCTTTGACGGTAACAACATACCTTGCTCTATGATTCTAAGAGAGCGCACGATATATACCTAGGTATATCTTTGAGTCGTTTCTTAAAAATCGAGTAGTGGAAATGGTATGCAATGCCAGATTTAAATAGACGAAGCGATCTAGATATCTATCTAATCGAATATCAGCTCAAAACATCGACTTGGTTGCTCGTATAGATCAGAGTAATACCTACCTTGAAACATATATAATCATGCCCAGGAATAAAGCTCTGACTATTTATTCTCGTAGAGATTATAAATCACAGAATCATTGTCCAGTCAAAGATGGTGGGGCATTTCATGCAAGGCTGACTTAGCAGACAGACCATCTGTAAGAGCGGACACCGCAAGACCCGAATCACCTACATTTAACACGAAGCATCGTATAGCCAGATATCAAGAGACAAGGCTGACTTCTCATAAGGCTCTCTCATTAAGAAGCATTAACCAATTGGACAATTATATGGTACACAAGAACCCGGCACTTTGGAACCCAGGGAATTTTACCCACCCCTCCACGATATGTCAAAAGGGAAACCGAGCTCCGTCCATGATATGAGAACATTCCTGATAACATAACCGAAGCAAACACCTTTCCCATGAGGATAGTAAAACTTTTGTAGAGCTTCGCCATAAACAGTATTCATTAACCCTAACGCCGTCCACGCCAGGGTCCTCGACCACCACGTCGACCACCACCCCGATTTCGGCCACCTCGATACTCCGGTCCACCATCGACAAATAAATCTGTATCCTCAAATGTGATGCGACGCATGTCATCATCTCCATGACCATAACGTCCGGAGTCTTTCCGCATCAACGTGCCAAATCGCGCTAGACGTTTGTCGGCAATGTCGCGCGATACAGGAAGATAGTATAGCTTCGGCTTCGTTATTGTAGACCGAAACCGATCATCGAGTGCCTTGAACCCTTTACCACCGCTTTGCTGTTGTTGAAGCGGGGTTCCTGAAGGTTGGCTTTGTCGTCGCGATTCGGCATCCGGACTGTAACGGTGCGCAGGCGCTGTCGGTGTGTGGCCTGGTCTAGCGCCATTACGGACCTCTTGAAGACTAACCTGCACACCATTCTCCGTGTAGACGTAGATAACCTCCCAGCGCTGACTCCCCCGACCAGTTGACGCATCCTGTTCTGTTTTTATCCACTCGTCAAACTTTTCATCGGGGACAAAGTCAACCCAGAGTGGTTTACGGTCGCGTTCATTAGGCCAGACGGCACCATGTAGCTTAGACCTCACCCTTGATGCTGTGGAGACACTATCGAAGAGCGCAAAGCAATGAGTTTTGATAGAGTCTAAAAAGAAATCGACTAGCGACTCCCCGTCAGGCTCTTTACCGGTTGGAGTAGCGAGTAACTGGAGATGACTCTTTAGGCTTGATGGTTGTAAAGGTCTCATGAGATTTCGAATGTAGATAGTAGATGTAGCGGGATGAAGTGCTGGTTCAACTTGGCGATCATCATCTTGTAGGTCCTGTTCTGGTTGTACAGGTTGTGACGGTTTCGTGATGGGTAAGAGATCTCTAAATCGGGGATCTTGCCGAGCACCTCCGGGCGCGACTTCTTGAGGTGGCACATCTTCTTTAAGAATAACTCGCGGATTCTCGTTATCAATCTTGGACTTCTTCACGACTTCGACGTTGGGAGGAGGGCTCTGACTCCGTCGTTTGCGTTTGCGGAGGTATTCGATGCCAGAGTCCACGCCTTCATTTTTTGTAGATATTTCTGCAGGAGTTGACTGTTCCGTTACAGAGTTTTCTTCAGTAGGTGGTTCTTCGGGCAGTGCTGGAGCAACTGGTTCGCTAGTATCTATTTTATGAATTTCTGCGACTGTCTCGGTTTGTTCTGCTCCTTTCGCTTCCTCGGATGGTTGGTCAAGAGTGAGTTGTTGGATCGTTTCATCTTGCGCAGTTTCTTTTTCGGTATCTTTCGACTCATCGGTCGTCGGCTGAGGGGTTTCAGCGATGGTCCCATCTTTTTCCGCGTTTACTTTCTGCGATTTCGGTGCGCCTTCTGTCGAAAGCGACCCGTTGCCCAATTGTTGCTGGGGCGGCACTGGCTCTGCTATTTTCAGTTCCTCTTGTTCTTCCTCTTTACTCTCCTCTTGATTATCCTCTTCCCCAGCGGAGGTGAGTTTTGACGCATCTTGAGCGGGAGGTTGTTCACAAGATTGTGAATCTAATTCAGTTATCTTGTCAATGAAGTCCTGCTTAAGCCGTAGCCCAGTCTGCGGGACACCGCGATTCTTGAGCTCCGCTTTTAGCTCTGTGACCTTCCATTTGCTGTAGTCGGACATGGTAACGGTCGTTATTGATGGGAACTATTTTGCCTTAATCGCGGAACTAATCATTGGTTCGACGACCAGGGCTTGTTCTTTGATGACACGTTGAAGGGTTGTAGGTTGCGAGTTGTAAGTTAAGACGGACTCTTTTGAAATGTATCGCAATGCGCGACCATTGGAATGATGACCATCCGAAAATGGCTAGCTGAATTTCTTAGTCATCATATCGAATTGTACTGCTGATTGGTCAAATGTATTCTGCTCTGGTGGCTGATATGTGGGTCCTCACACTATGCAGATCATTAGGTCTAGGCCAATCGGCTGCGGCTCCGAGATTTTTTTACCATTCATCCTCCATGGCTATTTCGAGGAATAAGGATATAGGTATGTTGGCTTAAATAGAAGTTATAGTATTCCTAGATAAGGTAAAAGATTACTAGGCAATCATACAAGCAGAGTTTTGTTTACTTCTTCTCGTAGGTATTTGAGCCAATGAGCCCATTCCGTACCAAGATAATCTTCAACAATACACAAGATGAATAGCCCAGCATCACCAATCTGCCACAAGTATCTTCCATGATGTAACAGCAATGCATAATATGCTAGCAGAACCAATGCTTCCCGTCGTTTAGCTACAAACAGCCCTCTGAGTGCGGGCGGGACCAGCAATATCCACGAAGGTATCATGTGAAAGCGATTGCCGTATTCTTCCTCCTTTTCCGCATGAACTGCATCGAACCCGACTTGCAAATATCTTATGGCTTCATGACAAGCCTCATTTTCTTCTTCTGTGAGCCCCTCCGCCTTGTTTATCAATTCTTTGACTTGCTGGCAGTGGTTCCCTATTGGAATTCGACTAGTGTACTGTGAACTCCACGACAGGATATTTTCAAGCTCTGACTCCATCAGCAGTGGCCACGCCGTGCGAGCAATCGTATGTACCCCTTTTTGGATATCAAGACAGTGAACAAAGTGGATCATGAATGCATCCAAGCCTCCTGCATCCCGCTTAGCTAGCGTGTCAGCGAGGATGTGATGGCCAAGAATTGACGAGAAAAGAAGCATAGCCACGCAATTTGACTCGTCAATGCCGTTCCAAGAAGCATTGAATAGTGAGACTGCGCGAGTTTGAAGCGAGACAGCCTGATAAAGGTAGATGTCGGCACGCTCAGGATGAAGGAATGCTAGGTGTCGAGCGGAAAACGCGAGTACTTGGTGCAGAAGGTACGATGACTCCAGACTTATCCTAAGGCCGTTGGTGACATTGGTGAGGTAATTAGTGTCGTGAGAGCCGAGACTAAACACATCTTTATCGAGTGTTGTGTGTATCAGAAGCTCCATATGATTCATATTAAGTGGTTCATCCAGGGCTGGACTTGACTGCTGGGTCTCTGCATTCGGGAATGTTGCCCAACTGGGATTTGACACTGAAGCGATAGCCAGAGGTGAAATACTAGGAACAGAGCTGGTCGAATTTGGGCCTGACTTGGGAGTATTCGGCGTCGATGGGTTGTCCTGGGGACTTTCACATGCGTAGCGGCAAGTCCGACCTGACATGGTGCATAGAACGCATACTGGTCTCCCCTCATCGCACTAGAAACGCTGAAATTAGGAACTGCAGACTCGGACATTACTACCCAAGTAGCATGGTATAATACCTTGACGTGGCGCCGCTTGCTAATTGGTTGCAGTTAGTCCAAATTCAATGTGGGTAGCGATCTCAAAGACTCACCATTCCAAACAGCCCCTCCTGGATTTTTTGTGGCTTCGACGGAGCATGGCGCAGATTCGTGATATATATCAGAACATAGGCTGCTTTGGACTCCTTCAACATGCCTATAACTCGAGTCCAATTGAGTGACTGCCGGATGTAGCACAGAATATATTAGTATATTCGGAAACAAATCGAGAGTGGCTGATTATGTGCCACGAATCAGCTCCAAGCCCCCAATCCTAGTAATTATATGATGGGCCAACATGAATAAAAAGATGAAGCCATCTTTCTGCCTAGATGCATCGCGGTATCTTAGTCAATTGCCACGGATGCTGTCAGGGTTGAGAGTAACGAAATGGGGTCGAGTTAGGATCTGGATCCGCTGCGATAGACGCTAAAGAAGAAGACCCACTAAACCTGTTTATGTAATACGAGTATTCGGATTGACCAATAGAAAGCCGTCTAACACGATCTTCTTAAGTTATGCCTTCCTCTCGTAGAAAAGACCCTTCGAGTTCTGATCAGGCTGACATAAGTCTATTAGATATGAATCTGGGCATTCGTAATACGCGGAATTTAGTAGTTGATAGGCAGCAGAATACTATATAAAGCAGCTCGATCTTGGCGTCAATTGGCATGGCACTCATAAAAGAGCCATCGGACTCTAAAAATGACCTGATATTGAGGCATACAATGAGTTCTACGAAGATACTGCTCTCAAAATCCATACCATCACACTTGAATAGACCCTTGGTGGAGATACTCGCGATCGTCGTGAATCATACCTGCACCTGGGCAGCCCTCCTCGATCTCACATCCAGCCATGCCGACTCTCGAACCATACAAAGGCGACTATTATCTGTGGAACTACGTACCTAGCCTGCCGGCAGCTGTAGCATTTACTGCTGTGTTTAGCTTTCTGACCACAATGCATACCTGGAAGATGGTCACAACAAAATCGTGGTTCTGTCTTGCATTCGTCATTGGTGGCCTCTGTTCGTCTTTCCTTGTACTACACTATTTTTTACCATTGAGATTCTCGTTGAGAACTCGCGACTGATAAGTCTTGATTGTATAGGCGAAGTCGTCGGATATCTCGCTCGTGCCGGCGCCTATAATGCCACCGGTTCCTTGATGCCCTATCTCATCCAAGCTATTTTCCTAGTGATAGCCCCAGTCTTCTTCGCCGCATCACTATACATGGTATATTCTCGCATTGTCCGAGCGGTACATGGTGAATTATTTTCGCTGGTTCCACCACGCTGGACGACATGGATCTTCGTTGTTGGAGACTGGACTTGTTTGAACATTCAATCAGGGGGCTCTGGATTGCTGAATCACGCCAGCCTCGCCTCCATTGGGAACTATATCATCGTTGCTGGGTTGATTGTCCAGGTCTTGCTGTTCGTTGGCTTCATGATCTGTTGCGTCATCTTCCACAAGCGGTTCGGGGCACATATAGCAAAGACTGGAGCTATAAGCAATGCCCCCTGGAAATCGTGCCTGCATATGCTCTATACGACGTCAATCCTTGTTCTGATACGGAACATCTATCGAATTGTCGAGTTCATGATGGGACAACATGGGTATCTTCTGGAGACGGAGTGGCCGCTGTACGTCTTCGATGGGGCATTGATGATTCTGGTCATGATCGCGTTCTACATTTGGTACCCTGCTCGGCTACAACCAAACTCCAGAGATTCGATGATCGAGCTCGTAAGTGATAGAGGTGACTCGGCCGAAGGTGGACGACATATTGGATAGACTGGGCAAGTTTTCAACAGTGAATTGACACCCGATCTACATAACTAAGTGGAGCAAATCTATCACCCCATATTTTCTGCCAATCGGAGGCTGTGGATACTTGGCTTTTACGATTCTCGTATCGGTGCCTGTTTTGTATTTATTCAAGATAGATTGGATGAAATGTGACTCTTCGCTGTTGTCTATGACTCTATTATTTCCTGATATATGTCGACCAAAAGAGTAAATGCGAACTGCTACGAGAAGGCGCAGTCTAGCATTACTCGAACCATAGTCATTGGCCAGCCTTAGGCGCTGATTTCAGCACATGAGACACTGTTTCATACGCTGTATTATATACCGTATCTGTCTGTCGATACATCACTGTTACTGAGGTATTTCTACGGAATAGCGCGAGCAGTGGCTGTGTTAGACTGTTTTCATACGTCACAAATAGAAGTAATACGACTGTACTGAAACACAGCTGCCTGTCTCCACAGTGTACGGTGGCTTGGCTCCAGGGACAGAAACTCTCTCTCTGTCTCTCTCACTCTTTTTGTTTGCTTCATCGATCGTTACTTTACCACTCGTTATTTGCCTACTCTGTGCAGATGACTCTGAAGCGAATAGCTTCATTTCATCCATCAACCTAACGACATTTTTCTACTCGTACCCGATTTATTACCATCGACTTACGATAGCCTTCCAATTGATGATGATCGATCTTGAACGCCGCCTGTCACTGTCAGGCGTGCAATGGACAGTATGCAATACCACATTAGAAAGCGAGCGCAGTAAGTCTTTTCCTGTTTGTCTATCAGCAACGTCATCTAACAGCTTTATGCGATAGTATCCGAAGTGCCTCTCTGGGATAATGGCTGGACTTTCCATCATCTCGGTCTTATAGTGTGCGCCGCCTGCGGTTTGATAGGGATAGTTTGCTCTCTTTTCTTAGCGTTTATGCATGCGACACATTATAGTAAACCTCGAGAACAACGACAGTGAGTCCGACGCTTCCACTTGCGATTTTGGTACTCTTTGGTGGAAAAGAATAACAGATGGCTGACGTGTAGCACGTGAACAGTATTCTGCGAATCTTATTTATGGTCCCCGTATACTGCACCGAATCATTCCTTTGTTTCCTCTTCTACCGAGAATCCGTCTACTTCGAAGTCTTGGGATCGTGCTACGAAGCCTTCGCCCTTTCGTCGTTTTTCACGCTGCTATGCCACTACGCTGCGCCCGATCTGCACGCGCAAAAGGATTATTTTCGTATGATTCGACCAAAGGAATGGCTCTGGCCGCTTAGCTGGTTCGCAAAATGTTGTGGTGGACAACGTGGGTGCTGGAGGACTCCTCGGAGCGGTTTGACATGGTTCAACGTGAGTGAAAGCCACCTGTCTTGATGTCTGATTAATCGAAACGAATGGGAAACTAAACTTCTATGGTGTAGATTATTTGGACCGGCATCTATCAATATTGTTTCATTCGAGTCGCCATGACTATAGTTGCAGTTGCTACGCAGGCATTCGGCAAATACTGCGAAGCTTCTCTGAGTCCTGCATTTGCTCACGTTTGGGTGGGTTATCAGTGTCTTTGAACTTCTTACTTCACTACTAATGAAGCACGTTAGGTCCTTGTTATTGAATCTGTGGCGGTTTCGATTGCTATGTACTGCTTGATCCAGTTCTACGTCCAAGTTCACGGTGATATGGCACAATATAAGCCTTTCTTGAAGATTACCGCAATCAAGCTGGTCATTTTCCTATCATTCTGGCAAACGGTACGTTTTCTTTTACTCATTCTGAGATTGATTACAGCGAATTAATGCAATGTCCATAGACTGTGATTTCTTTCTTGTCATCGTCCGGCGCCATCAAGCCATCCGAGAAACTGGCAAATCAAGACATCCAAATCGGCGTCCCGAATCTTCTTCTATGTATTGAAATGGCGCTCTTTTCAATTCTTCACCTCTTCGCTTTCCCGTGGCAACCATACCAATTGAAAAACCAGCAAGCCTCAGACGATCCTCAATACATCAACGGTCAGATTGCTTACCATGGCGGTTTCTTGGGAACAAAGGCCATGATCGAAACCTTCAATTTGTGGGATTTGGTGAAAGCCGTTGGACGAGGTTTCCGATGGCTGTTTGTCGGTTATAAGACACGTACCAACGACCCGAGCTATATGCATCGTGACGACAGCGCTTTCTCTCTCAAGGCCCCGAATACCGCTGACCCGCAGACAAGCATACCGGGGCCGAATGTAACTGCATATGGAGGCCCATCGCATCTTGATACCGCCTATCATCCAGGCAATCAATATGAAACTGCGAGTGATGAAGGTCAAGAGCTTCTTTCACATGCACAGAGCAATCCGCATTCGCCGTATCCAGCTCATAGAGGGACGGCATTAGACACACTTTCGGATGAAGAAAGCACCACTGGTGGTGGATATCCACATGCGCATAATCGCTATTACAACGATTCATATGACCTCGATGTGCCGCCGAGAGCTGGCAATCTTTCAACAGCCGAGCCACGACCTATATCTCCTCAACCGTATAGGCCATATCATCCGTCACATAGTCCATATGAAGGAGCTTAAGGTATTCTTTTCTCTATAAAACAGCCTAATGCTTTCTTCACCTTGCATTTACCTCATGATCTTCATATCCCATGATGATGTCCCCGGATCTGGTAGTAACGACCATGCCAGTTCGTTTTTTCTTCTTAATATCGGTCAGTATTTCACATGTCGATGAATCTGTACTTTATTTCCTCTTTTGCCTTGATTTTTCAACTTTCAACTTTCAATTTTCATTTTTCATGCTCATGATATCCCACGTGTCTTGGTGTATAGAATTTACCTCGTCTCATGACCATCATACCAGTTCATATCTCCTCAGGTTGGGACCTCTTTTTTCTCTTTCTGGACTGGCTACCCTGAATCTCCACAGCCCCGAATCTTCCTTGCATTATTGTCTCTATCCTCATTCTCTTTATGTTGGAAGTTTCTCTTTCCAGGAGTTTATAGCGACTCGGGCAGTATTATAGGTTTGGCATTTTGGCTACTTTATATTGGATTATTTTTCCTGTTCTCAAATTTGAAGTTTGTGCAGTATCGGTAGACTTTAATTGGAGGTATCTAGGTAGATTTAAGCTAAGCTAGTTGTACGGGGATGCCTCTTATGAAAAGTAGGTTGTGCCATCGACTGAGGGAATGGATCTCGATGCGAGCTTCAGGTTAATTACCCCTTAATGACCTGCACTGCCTTGAGATTCGTTGCACCTTCTGAGCTTGATCGGCGAGGGAACGGAGATTACTGTTACCGACTGGGGCTTCCCGGTCGGTATCGTAAGTAATGCTGTACCTTATTTTGAACAGGCAGTGGAAGGTAGATAGCTGAAAAGAAAGAAATGGGTAGTAACTATCATATCATTCCTCATTTCTCATGAATTCTGTTCATCTTTTCTTGCTTGTTTTACATAATTTGCAATCCGCTTTCCCTCAATTCATCATCAAATCGTGATTGAAGAGCCATATGAGACTTGCGGCCTTTCGATGGATCACCAATTTGCTTCCCCGTCTCCACGATGGCTGATTTTTTGCCTAGTTCGCGAATATGCTTAACATTCTCGCCTAGGCGGCCAAGAAGGGAGATGAGCGCCACATCGTTTTCTTGTGCGAGAGACTCTACTGCAAATGATTTGGAGTCTTGTGGAGTAAGAAGAGAAAGGCCGGATACGAGAGCAGATATGTTGCGAAGTAATGAGTGTGTTCCCTGGGTTGTTGGGGTTTGACTCTTGCCATCTATCGCTGATGGTGGCAGGTTTTGGAGGAATGATCTTATGAGGCGTATACGAGATTCGAGTGTCTTGACAGCATTGAGGCGTGTGGAGAGATTCGCAATGACTGTATAAGTACCAGACGTTAGTCCAAATTGACTTGGTGGCGTTTAAATCAAGAACCCACATTCTTCATTTTCTGGTGACAGAACCACAGATTCATCTGCATTTGAGTCTCCAACCTCTACTGTCGTTGCCGTCGCTTTTGGAACAGGTCTGCCCAACTCTTCAATAGCCATGGCATTACCAGCGCCTCTGGCCACAAAATCAACACTTATCATTTCAGCCTCGCCGGTCTCTATCGAAAATGGTAGCTCGCGGAAACGAATTTGTAAAGCCTGCTTATCATCTCCAACCTGCGCTGCTGGTTTGGTATCCGCGACATTCTCTCCCTCAAATATACTCTCGTAAACAGTCACAGGGAGTTTCGCCCCGCTTGAAGAATCTGGGGATATTTGTGATGGGTGAAATGTGAGTAAAAGGGCTGATTCGTTGTACTCTTGTAGGATATGGCGATGTATGGCAAGGAGGGATGAAGAAGGTCCAGATTGCGGAGTTAGAGCGAACCATCCGACTATGTCTAGCGGAGGATCTTTGTGTACATCTCTGACTGTATGAACGTGTTAGCGTCAGAATCTTTTCGTGACGTTGTTATAGTTTGTAGGCATGTGTAACGTACACTGCTGTACCCGACTTTCAAACCAGCCCGAATCAAGAATAATCTCATTGTCGGGATTTGTAATTGTGTGGCACTCGAACGCATGTTCTAAAGTTATCTGTCGGCCTTGTTGCTGTCCTAAAAGCGCGCCCACGATGGGTCCAGTCTGTTGGCGGGCAGCATGTCTTGTAGCGTAGTCGGAGATGGTGAGGAGAACAAGAGGATGTAGTGCAACATGAAGCCCAGAGTCAGAAGGCCTTGTTGAGATCAGAAGATTATCTGTAGTTTCTGCCATAATTCCACCTAGATGTTTATTAAAGGAGAGACCAGAGACTTTCTTCCAGCGAGCGATAATGGTTGAGTACGTGTTGGATAATTTGAATGACGATGGATGCTTGACAGATGGAGAAGATGGGGAAGGCTGCGCGCTGTGTTTGTCTTGTTTGTACTGGAGCTCCCCGCATTCACATAAGCAAACTATCTCACAGTTTATTTTCAAACTCATCTTCTTTCTCAATCTTGCTTCATCGTTGAGTCGTTTACAGCTGTCTATTTCCTCTCACAAAAAGTAAAGCATCACAAAAAGCAAAGCATGACAACCCCATCATCATATGCTGCAGTCAAGAGTAATCTTGATGCAATCCTCGCTGACCCCTCAACCGCTTTCGATGAAACGGCCATAGAGAAGCTCAAGCTTGAACTCACAGAACAAACCGCTTCAAGTATACCAGCAAGTATCCTCGCACACATCTCGCAGGTGCTTCCAGTTCTACAATATGACCCTACGCTGCTCACGACTCTCGGAATTCGAGCTACTGCGTTCCTCAAGTTCTCCGACCTGCAAGCCTTGGATCCGCCACTCAACCTGCTCGCAGGTATTCAAGCTCCCTCGCCGCCGGTAAACTTATTGACGCTATCCCTACTTGCGAAAGCTAATCGGTTGCCGAGTGATGCTGCTATTATTGCTGGAGATTCGGATTTGGTAGCAACACTGGTAGAGCTCTGGCTTTCAACTCCCAACACTGAGGTTGCACAGGCTGCCGTGGAGGTGCTGTGGTCGTTGCTAGAGGTTGATCATGTCGAGACTGAGACGGTTATTGGCTCGCCTCAAAATATCGCTGCTGGTCAGGGTCTCTTATGGAGAAGGATTTTCACTGACAAAGATGTGTACGGCCTCTTATTCTCGATCTGCAGCCTCACCAATACAGAAACCACTTCTGGGCTGTCGAAACGAGAGAAGACTGTTGCGCAAGGACGGCTATTGGACTTTATAGTGAAAGTTGGAACGCTTCGTTGGGATTGTATTACGGAACCTCAAGTCCCTGAGGTCGAGGCCGAATATCGGAGTAAGAGCCTGCTTGAGTTTGCAGCGTGCCATATGGTTGATACTTCCGATGTATTGATGCATATGACACTCTTGAATTTCTTCCGGGAACTGGTTCTAATCGACGCTCCGGGTCTAAAGACTGCTTCTCCACCGCATAAAGTCTCACCCTTCTCTTCTCGGTCTCTCGATTTCGTTATAGAAAAGAATCTGCATCAGCGAGTCCTGGGATATTACCTTGATCCATCTCAGCTGGACTCTATTAATGTCACTTTTCTTGCCAGTCCTGTCATGGCCTACGTCGCACAATATGCACAACTCTACCCCAACCATCTACTGAACAGTCCACGGGAACTACTTGACAAAATATTGTCTCGAATTCACAAGTCACTTGGCATCCCATCCGCTCAGTGGGCGCACGGCGATGTCCCCTTAGGTGATCTCACAATTTTGAGCTCTCTTCCACGGGTAATGCTCGTTGAAGCTAGCAGAAGGTCTCTTAATCCACTGCAAGCAGTTCCTTTCAATCCACCAAATAGCGCTTGTTACCAGACACTTGCGAGAGTTTTCCACGGGCCATCATCAGTGTCAGGATCATTGAATGAAGCTATAATTATCAGTGATGCACCTACCGATGTTTTCAAAGAATCTGTGGCTGCACGTATACTGTATTTCACATACCTCAACGAGCATGCAAACTTGTGGCAATGTGTGGTCACTGCCGCGGATATTGTTGCCATGAAGGATACAGCTCTCGCTGCTATCTCCTTGATTGGCGCTGTTATCACCGCCAATTGGAGGACAATGTCAACAGAAGACGCCCAGCATATATCGTCTTCGCCATTCAAGCTTCCTTCCGAGGAGGACCTAAATCAACAACCCTCTACCGGGCCTGGACTACTGCCTACTTCTGGGTCATGGGCAGTTTTGACTCCTCCTGCACTGACGACAGTCCTTCCGTACCTCTTCAAACCTCCTCTATCCTATAGCAACTTTGTGGCAGGTGGTTCTGGGGACCCTGAAAATGCTGTATGGAAACTAGCTACAGCCAAGTATGATGTGCTGGTTGATCTCCATAAGATGCTAAAGGATTCAACAGCGCAAGTCGAGGGCTTTGCGGATATTGTGCGGACTTTGGAACAGCGTATTCGCGATGGGCCGCAAGGACCTGCGATGCAAGTTGGTAGCCGTGTAGAGGCGCTTGAGCTGTAGAATAACAGAAATATCAGTTGAATTCAAATGATGCTCAATCTACAACATAAAATCAAACACATACCGCGTAGATAAGATCCTATATCTCCGAGCTGTCTATAAAAGGAAATAAGAGGGTCCAAACCCTAACGGCCAATGAGGTCGGGTGCGGGGCGGGCAAGCTTTCTGACATTTCTTATCGAAAGAAATTCTCCACCAAATTAATATTTCGTCAGGTTTACAACAACAAACATTCTCTGCAACACCATTTTTAAAATCTATTTTATTGCAATGACATGAGCATTTAACTGAAACTCTATTTAACGCAAAATGTCTTTTGGTGGCGGAAGAGGCGCCAGAAAGCCACTGCCTCCAGGCTCGGAATTCAACTGGCAAAAACTGCCTGGAGAACTTCCTGATGGCGCCCCTACTCCTACATTCCCAGTATGCGCCACGTCCCGTTCGACATACCCTGTCTCTCTGTCTTCCAAAATTCATCTCAAGTAATGAAACATCTAACAATGCCCAACCAGCCATATGACACCCCCAAAGCCGAACCGTTATCAAAACGTGAACGAGCCGAAGTTGACCAGTATCGAGCGCTCAGAGATCATTTCCAAAACGGGCCTTATTATGCGGCTGTAAATGCTGCCAGTACTTCTGCTAAGCAGGGGACCAAAGAGAGAGCGCAATTCGATCCGTTTCATGGCATGCCATCGTACAGTGCTCGATATCAGAAAAGGAAAAGGACTGTGCCGAAGATAGCTGGGAGAGAATATAGTGAGTTCATTAAACTGGATCAGATGCCTGCGATAGACTAATATATCCGTCGCGTTTCAGTCGTACATTTTTTCCCTCGAGAATTGTGGCGCGTCGTACGGCCGGATTACAAACCGGATAGACCGGACACTCAGACAACGGGCACACGATGGAAGCGAGTACAGGCCCAATTTGAGGATGTCGGAGACGAGGATGTTGAAGAAGATGAACAAGACCGCAAGCGACAGAAAGAGGAAGGTGATGACGAGGAAGAGACTCAAGACGACGATGGTAAAGACCTCGACGACGACGTTGAAAAGGAAGGAAGTGAAGAAGATGACGAATTACGAGATGATGATTTCTCCGAGGACGACGACGAGATGGGCGGTGATTACAATGCGGAACAGTACTTTGATGCCGGTGACGATGATGGGGATGGGGATGGCTTTGCTGATGGTGGCGGTGGAGGAGGAGATGAAGATTTCTTCTAGTAGCAAGCTGCGTTTCCTTTGCTACAATATCTTTGTGTATATAGGATACCCAAGCGACGGCATACAATTCATGGAGCGTTCAAGTGTATATCAAATCTTGTTCGTGCATGGCATTGCGATGCCCACGTAAATTGACCAGCTTACAACTATAATGGTCCGGTACAATGTAGCTCTCAAAATGTAGATACAAGAATCTTAGGATTTTTCTCTAGTCACATCCTTCACAAGGTTATTGAAGATCGCTGTCAACCTACTTTCCTCCACTCCGACACCGGCCCGCACCAATATCTTTCCACTTCCTAGATCGATTCTACTCTTTCTCCCCGCCATACACTCACAGACTTGTCGGAGGTTGAAAACATCAGAGAATGGCTGGAGAAAATGGCAGGACGAGGTCAGCCCTGATTCTATACGGTTCTGAGACAGGAAACGCACAAGAAATAGCAGAAGAGCTTGGTCGTACCGCAGAACGTCTCCATTTTGTGACGCACGTCAAAGAATGTAACGATGTCAAAGCAGTAAGTGTAATCTTTCAGATATCTTCTTGAGATTATACTAACAATATGTTAGGATACTCTGGCCTCGTATTCACTTGTTATTTTCGCAGTGTCGACTACCGGTCAAGGCGATTTTCCGCTGAATGCTCGTGGCTTTTGGAAGACGCTTCTGCTGAAAAGACTTCCGCCTACTTTCCTCGGCGGTGTTAAATATACGCAATTCGGGCTGGGTGATAGTTCTTATCCAAAGTATTTGATTCCTGCCTACTCTTTTTTATTAATGTCGCTAACGATTGCTAATAGGTTCAACTGGGCTGCTCGCAAGCTACGCAAGCGTCTATCCCAGCTAGGTGCTACCGAGATATATCCCTGTGGAGAAGCTGATGAGCAGCATCCAGAAGGGTGAGTGCTGTCCTTTGTCCAGTGACATATTATACGGATGCTTACTAAATCGAGCAGACTCGAAGGAACTTTCCTTCCATGGGCCACCAACCTGCGCAACCATTTATTAGAGCAGTATCCTCTGCCAGAGGCCCTTCAACCCATACCAGATGATATACAGCTCCCACCAAAATGGATTTTGGAAGAGGCATCTACCCAGCCTCTCTCGTTGGGTGACTCAAATCAAAGAAAAAAAGATATATTGCTAGAAGAAAGCGCGGAGCCCCATTTATATCGCCTGGAATCCGATAATAGGCCCATCCCGGATACATTAACCGTAACTCTGACTCAAAACAAACGAGTTACTCCTCAGGGACACTGGCAGGATGTACGACATATATGCCTGACCACCCCTGAAACACTGATATATTCCCCGGGTGATATGATTTCGATTACGCCTAAGAACTTCTCGGTGGATGTTGATGAAATGCTAACATTGATGGGCTGGTCGGATGTGGCTGATAAGCATCTGTCATTTATCCCTGGTACCCTGCTACAAGGGCGACCCAGGAATGAGCTCCCAGCTCCTCCTATCCCATATCTTGCCAACACAGAATCCTCGCCTATAACCCTTCGCACCCTTCTCACTGAATATCTTGATATTCGAGCGATCCCACGGCGGTCATTTTTCGCAAATATTGCCCATTATACTACAGATGAGCAACATAAAGAGAGGCTTCTCGAGTTCACGAATCCGGAGTTCATTGATGAACTTTGGGATTATACCACCCGCCCACGTCGAAGCATTCTCGAGGTTCTGCACGATTTTGGTACGGTGAAGATACCCTGGCAACATGCTGCATCAGTCCTACCTATAATCAGAGGTCGTCAATTCAGTATTGCTAGTGGCGGTGAACTCAAGGAATTGCTAAACCAGAAAACCGGAACGAAATTCGAACTTCTTATAGCAATTGTGAAATACAGAACTATTCTCAAGAAGATTCGAGAGGGCGTCTGCACTCGGTATCTATCAGTGCTTCGGCCTGGAAGCACTCTGAAAGTGCAACTACAACGTGGTGGTCTAAACCCAACTTTGAAGCAACTTGTTGGCCCTGTGGTCTTAGTTGGACCTGGTACGGGCCTAGCACCACTAAGAGCAATGATATGGGAAAAAGCAGCGATGATCAAAGCTTCACAGGAGGATCAGCTAGAAGCTCCGTTGCCCAAGATTGGATCTACGATTCTACTCTTCGGTGGCCGAAACCGTGCCGCAGATTACTATTTCGAGGAGGAGTGGGAACGCCTGGAGAAAGAAGGATTATGGAATCTCCAAGTACTGACGGCATTCTCACGGGATCAACAACAAAAAGTCTATGTTCAAGACCGGATTCGAGAACACGCTGAAGGTATATTTAGATTATTACATGAAGATGGAGGATCAGTGTTTGTTTGTGGATCATCAGGCCGAATGCCGCAAGCTGTCAGAGAAGCGCTAATTGAATGCTTTCAGCACCGAAATTCATCGGTTTCTGAGTCCATCACATATACTCGTGAGCAAGCCGAACATTTCCTCCTGGAAATGGAGAAGACTGGACGCTACAAGCAAGAGACTTGGTGATCAGTGAAGGACTAGCCATGGGATGATAATATCTACTGGTTCAGTCATGCACTTTCGAGTGACCGCTGCTGCATACAGATACTACTCCAGGTGAAAACAAGGACTCTTTCCAAATTTGGACTTGACTCCTTTCCATGAACGTGCACATTTAGTCCATACTTACGGACTTTGCTGATCGCAAATTGCATTGATATTGTTTTCCATCACCCTCGGAGATTCTATCGCGTTGTTATAATGACCCGAAAACAAAAAATCTCCGATCGAGGCGCCTCCGTTCACTTGCGACTTGTCCCCCCGAGGCTCCGGATTCTATCTTGAATTCTAATTTCGATTTATGATTTTACTCTTACCTGGCTAAAGACAAAATGGCCCTGTTCGTGCATTGCATCATGTATATAGCTGGGGGGTTCTGGTCGCTCATGAATAGGGCTCAAAAGTTTTTGAGAACTCTGTTAGTTGACATCGAAACTTTTCTCGGGGCAACAATCTCCGCTGAACAGTCGTCCAAATTTACCTATACCAATTGCTGTCACCTGTCTTCTTTCATGACCAGGTCGCAGAGACCAGGGATTGGTACTCTTCTTTCTCCCTTTTCCACCTGGCTGATCTTTCGTTTTCTTCGCTTGGTAAAAAATCTAGATGCACCATGGCAAAAATCTGGCATGTCAACGATATGAGATATGTGAGTCTAGTATAGCTTTGCATCCCAACCAGTGATATACATAAAAATCACGTACTAACAACAGCCAATCAAAAAATAGGAGCTCCTCTAAAACAGAATATTGTACCTAGTTGGAATTGAAATTATTGACGGACCTCCGGATCCTCGGATCCAACCGGCCATCAAATGCATGCACGTCGAAGTTCTTTGTCGAAATAATACCTGATTGTTCCTTTTTGAAGGCACCCTTTCTATTCTGTAATATGAAGCTATTTCAAATGTCTGAAGCCTTTGCCAGCTCCAGTCTCGCTACGAGGATTTATCGTCGATAACCTGATACTTGATACACACAACTTTTCTCAATTAGACTCATAAAGTCCGTTTACTGACTATTCGCATTTCGACTACGCATCTTTACAGGGACAGGGGACTCGAGAACGGAAAGCAATTTGAACAAGGTATAGCTATATAGCTTTATCCTTGGTGGCACAGCCTTATGCATACGGGCATTTGTACTCCCAACTGCAGTAATAGTTCAACTTACAAGTCCATTTGAGAACGGACTGCTGCTATTGGATTGCCCCTGGTACCCGCATACGTGGATCAGCTATGCTGCATGCATAAGGGTAATAAGTAAAGGTGGAAAATTGAATATGTGGTTATGTCTGGGTTCTAACAGTAACCTATGCACAGTATTATTGCTGTTATTTTCTTTTGAATCTATTGAGCATACATTTTGTGAGCCTATGCTATCCATTTGAAAAGGAGAGAGGGGCAGGTGTGAAAAGTAGTATGTCAATCGCTACTTAACATTTCTTTTTCCTTCCTCTTTTCACTACACTTGATATTTCAAACAGCTCAAGTCATGGTTCCACAGCTAATCCATAATAGCTTTATATCAGAAATTGTACAACAATAGCTCGAAACTTTCGAAATTCTGTGCAGAAGTATCGTCAAAGCACAGACACTGTCTGTAGACCATGGACAGAGATGCAGGAACTATTGACAAAGTTAGGCGGTTATTCAATTGGGCCATCTCACAAACTCGAATAGCCAGAAGCTCTCCGAATTGAGACTCGAAAGCCATTTTTTCTCATTGTATGCCTGCTGGTCGAGATGTCGAGGTTATGCATATCATATTACGTATACCTATCTAACTATGTTTCCTCCGGTCCGACGCTTTTTCTAGCCTATACGCAAACATGCCGAGCCATCCTGCTCCTGATATGGTGGATATCTCCGTTAATAATCTCTCCGGTCATAGAAAAGACGCACCGTCTTGTTGGTTCCTTCGAGGAAAGATCTACAGATGACACCTTTTGATAAGTCTTGTAACCGGTGATTTTTGGACCGTGGACATGCAACTGGTTGGAGAACACTTCCCTTCGTTGAAATTCCTAAAATGATATCCACGATTTTCTATGGAAGATCAACACGTCGATGTACGGTGGCGGTTCAGCAGACCCTCATCACTCAGGTAGACCACCCAACCCCGTCAGATATCCAAATTCCTGAATCAGGTTCTCTATTGTGACATTGAGCCTCTTGTGTCTTTCAAGCAATGGTGCTTCTCGAAAAGCCTTCTATTAACTGATACTTTCTACGCAGTGAACGTCGATTGTGAGCATAGGAGTTCAGTATTTCACATGTTGCAAAGAAATCATCCTCTCCGGCCCTGATATTCTGAGCTGAAGATTATTATAGTGGCTCTAGGTTATTTCTCAAAAGGGTGCCTCTCCATACACGACATGAAGCTATCCTCTCTCATACTCAAAGAGCTTCTGCTTGTGATATCGAATATCCGGCTCACGGAAGCTCTAGCCTATACACCAGACCAAGTAGGGTTCAACCTCAACGAAAATAAGACTGCCACCAACCCCTTAGACTTTTGGGGTCAATGGCAGGATCATGAGTACCACCCATCGCCGAGCAATTGGCGGATGCCCTTTTATACAGTGTTTCTCGATAGATTTGCGAACGGGGATCCGTCAAATGACGATGCCAATGGGACGCAATGGGAGCATGATATATTATCAAATCAGTTGAGGAATGGTGGGGATGTCCGGGGGTTGATGGATAGTTTTGATTATCTTCAAGGGATGGGAATAAAGGTGACCTTACTGAATCCCGAGAGGATCATATGCAGGCATTGACCTTCTCATAGGGGCTTTATTTAGCCGGTATGCCACATATCAATCAACCCTGGGCTGCCGATGGATATTCGCCGTTAGATCTCACGCTGTTGGACCGTCATCTTGGTTCCATCGATGATTGGCGGTTGATGATAGCAGAGGCTCATAGGCGTGGGATGTATGTTGTTATGGAAAATACCATGGCGACGTAAGTATCTATACTCACTGATCTTGTTACAATAGCTTGCTCATTGTGAATAGGATGGGAGACCTCATAGGCTTTGAGGGTCATTTAAATAGCTCAGCACCATTTAATGCGCACGGGTACAACCACGTATGGAAAACTTCTCGTCGTTATCATGACTTTCAACCCGGAGACGAGTGGATGAATGAATGCAAATGGGAATATCCCAGATTTTGGGACGATCTTGGTCATGATATTATTGAGACTAACCTGACTATCGGCTGTCAAAACAGTGAATTTGATCAGGTACTGCCAAATTTTGTGTATATGCATACAATTTGAAATGCTAACTGACTTGGAACAGTACGGCGAAGTATCTTCATTCGGCGATTATCCAGAGTGGGAACGTCAAATTACAAAGTTCGGCTTCGTTCAAGATCGTCTTCGGGAATGGCGACCTGATGTGAGACGAAAGCTGGAGCTTTTCTCTTGCATCACCATAGCCATGCTCGATATTGATGGGTTTCGGATCGATAAAGCTTTACAGGTTACTCTTGATGCTCAAGGAGATTGGTCAGATTCCATGCGGCAATGTGCTCGCCGATTCAACAAGAATAATTTCTTCATTCCTGGGGAAATCGTTTCTGGGAATTCCTTTGGTGCTTTGTATATTGGTCGGGGCAAACAGACTAACCAAACTCTGGATAACATCACAGAGGTTATTACGATGGCAAATGATTCCGTTCCTGGTCTTCATCTGCGCTCCCAAGAAAAGTCAGCTTTGGACGCGGCGGTATTTCATTATACAGTATACAGAGCACTCACCAGGTTCCTAGGGTAAGCATTACAACGAGTGTTTCTACTTCAGTATACTAACCCTATCAATAGCATGGACGGGGTTTTTGGCGCTGCAGGTGATCCGCCTACGAACTTTGTGGAGTTATGGAATGGCCTGGTTCAAACAAACGACATGGTCAATACGAATACTGGTCAATTCGACCCTCGACATTTGTATGGCACATCAAATCAGGATGTCTTCCGGTGGCCGTCTATTACGAATGGAGTGGAAAGACAGATACTGGGCATGTATATTGTCTCGCTGTTGTTTCCAGGGATGCCGGCATTAGTATGGGGTGAGGAACAGGCATTCTATGTCCTGGACAACACGAATTCCAATTATGGTGAGTAGTAGTGACCGTGTACATTGAATTCTCAGTAATGTGACTACAGTATTCGGTCGTTCTCCCATGACATCTTCATTAGCATGGCAGTTGCATGGTTGCTATAAAGTTGGCTCCGTCAAATATTTTGATTTTCCAACTGATAGTGCCTTGCGTGGTTGCATGGATGACAGCGTTAGTCTCGACCACCGTGATCCGACTCATCCTGTTCGAGGACTCGTCAAGACGATGCTCGAAATGCGCCAGAACTATCCAGTGCTCAACGATGGCTTCTATCTGGAACAGCTATCGAATATGACCCATGATCTATATCTGCCGGGCAGCAATGGTACTCGAACTGAGACTGGTTTATGGAGCATTTTACGCTCACGTTTCGTCGCTACTCAAGATTTCACAGGACAAGGACAGGGCAATCAAAGTGTATGGCTGGTTTACCACAATGATAATGTCACAGTCAACTATGAATTTGATTGCTCCGATGAGCAGCGGGCGTTGGTGTCTCCTTTCGACTCTGGTACAACATTGAAGAACTTGTTACCTCCGTTTGAGGAATACACTCTCGAAGCAAGCGTCCACAGGCTAGGGTGAGATCCATTATAGACGAGGATACGAGCATTGATTAACACATTTTAGATTGGAAGGTTCAGCGGAAGTCAACGGTTGTCTGTCTAACATGACACTTGCTGCTTACGGTTTCAAAGCATTCGTACCCAAAAGTGCATTCATCGCTCCATCACCCTATATCACAAAGTTTGAGCCTGGCCACGATGCGCGTCTACTGTCAACTACCGCAACTGGGGAGCGAGTACCGGTCAGCTTTACTTTCTCGGAAGAAATGGACTGCGATACTATCACGTCTAGACTTTCCGTTACTTCTAGTGTTCTGAATGGGGAAGCTGCTCGATTTGATAACACGTCAATATCCTGTTATTCATTGACGGAAAGACAGCCAGGTCCTTATCAGGGAACCTTTGCAGGCGTATTTAATTACTCCATTGAACTCGAAAATGTTTTTCATGGTATCCACGAAATCGTTTTGAATAATGTCACTACCAGGGACCAAAGCCGTGCTACCAATGTAAGCATCATCTCAGTCTCACTCGAAGCACATGCGCTAATCTGCTACAGTCTGTGGACCATTTCCTCATTCGTATTGGGTTTCAGGACAATCCTATGGTATGGCCTAAGCAGGCAAACTATAGCAAAGGTCTTCTCTACGCCGATGATTCAGGCGATGGTAATCTCTGGATCTCCCACAAAGCTTCAGGTGCGGATCAGTGGCGATACTCTCTCGACTTTGGATCCTCATATAGTCCTTGGATTCCTTATACGAGTGCCAACGTCTCCATCGCTCCAAAGAATTGGTCAGGGACGAGGTTACAAGCTTGGGACGGTGAACATATAATCGTTCAATATTGGAATAGAGTGACCGGAAGCAGCAACCACTATCAACATGGAGATCTTAACTGGGAAGGTAAACCACCACGTCGCTTCCCTCATCTTTGGATTCAAGGCGACTTTAATCAATACGGGTATGATTCTGGGTATCCAAGTCAAATGCATCTTCACGATGACACTGGTCAGTGGGAGTACAACTTGATGACTGAATGGCCCACTCATTTATCCCTAAATGTCTGGGGCATAAATGAAGATGGGCATCCTGATATCACACAAGTATATGGAGATATTGATGGTGACATGATTTTGGATCGCATTCCTCCAATCTCGTTAATTAGCAACGTCATCAACGTTACTGAACCTCCTGCATGGCCATTCCTCTCTTGGAAACTGTCTCTTGATGATGGGAACCTCCGAATAAGCCGCATTCCCCATGGATCTCAAAAGACGCAAATTGCAATATTCATTCTTCTTGGTGTTTGCCCAGTGATATCTGCTGCGCTGGCTGTTTGGATATACTTTAAAGTATTTTACCAGGTCAAGCGCATCGTTTTCGGTGTCACGCAGAGAAAATTTCGTACACATGCTCAACAATTGACGGACGATAGTGCAACTGATAATTCATCCGGCATAGATGAAAATGGTACTAGCTTTGTCAATATGCTGAGAAGGAATATCTACCGGCACCCTTCACCCAATCCCCTTGCCCACAATCAAGCCTTGAATGCAGACGCCGGTGACTCGCGCAGAACGGTTCTCATCGCAACAATGGAATACGATATCGAGGACTGGGGTATAAAGATAAAGATAGGTGGCCTTGGTGTCATGGCTCAACTGATGGGTGCAAACCTAGGACATCAAAATCTCATATGGGTGGTCCCCTGCGTCGGAGGTGTCGATTATCCTGTTGATCAGGTGGCAGAGCCTATGAAGATCAAAGTTTTGGATCAGTCATTTCTGATTCATGTTCAGTATCACTACCTTCGAAATATCACATACGTCCTCCTAGACGCTCCCATTTTCAGAGCTCAATCCAAGTCTGAGCCTTATCCGGCTCGCATGGACGATCTTGACTCTGCTATCTATTACTCTGCGTGGAACTCTTGCATTGCAGAAGCCCTGCAAAGATTTCCAGTAGACCTCTATCATATAAATGACTACCATGGTGCGGTTGCGCAACTTCACCTCCTTCCTAGAACGATCCCATGCTGCCTATCTCTTCATAATGCAGAGTTCCAAGGCCTTTGGCCGATGAGGACTACTCAAGAATGTGACGAGATTTCTCAAATTTTCAACTTGGACTCTGTTATTGTCAAGAAATATGTGCAATTTGGCGACGTCTTCAATCTTCTACATGCAGCAGCAACATACTTACAAATTCATCAGAATGGCTATGGTGCAGTGGGAGTATCAAGAAAATACGGTAAACGGTCCTGGGCGAGATATCCCATATTCTGGGGCTTGAGAGAAGTTGGCTCTTTACCCAACCCGGATCCTTCAGATACTGCAGAATCGAATCAGGATTCCCAGATCACAGAAGCACAGGTTGACCCAGAATTCGAAGCAAAGCGCTCGGAAATGAAAAGTGAAGCACAAGCATGGGCCGATCTTAGACAAGACCCTAACGCAGAGCTTTTTATTTTTGTTGGAAGATGGTCAATGCAAAAAGGTATTGATCTTATTGCTGACGTCTTCCCTTCGATTATGGAAAGTTCTTCCGCGACACAACTCATTTGTGTTGGGCCTGTGATCGATTTGTACGGTCGATTTGCAGCTATCAAGCTGAGTAAGATGATGGAAATGTACCCCGGGAGAGTATTTTCCAAGCCTGAATTCACTGCTTTACCGCCTTGTATATTCAGCGGCGCTGATTTTGCCCTGATACCTTCGCGAGATGAGCCGTTTGGACTTGTGGCTGTGGAATTTGGTAGGAAGGGTACTCTTGGGGTCGGATCAAGGTAATACCTATCAATGATGCCTTTAATTGTGATGTGCTAACTCAAGCCTGAACAGAGTTGGTGGTTTAGGGCAGATGCCAGGGTGGTGGTACACCATGTGAGTCTAACATCTTTAAATGAGAAGATATCGTTCTAACAAAAAAAGTGAATCCATGACATCTAAGCACCTCAATCGCCAATTCAAACAAGCAATATATGAAGCATTACACTCAAACACACCAGATCGAGCTATCATGCGTGCGTGGTCAAGAAAACAAAGATTTCCAGTAGCTCATTGGATCGAGAGCCTGGAAAGTCTCCATGTTACTTCAATTGCAAAGCATCGCAAGCACTCAAGGCAAGAGAACCCTTCGAGACCAAATTCAATAGTACGAATGAGTCTCTCGACGATTAGTCGAACAAGTATGCAGACTCCTGTCCAGCCAGTGGAGTTCCTGAGACAAATCGGTCATTACCGGAGGACGAATCAGCCAAGACCAGGGCTTCACAGGAGGGCAACGTCACAAGCTGTCAGTTTATTCAGTATTGAGAATGGGAACTCGTCGACTGAAGGGGGTAGTTCTCAGTCAATGGACGGTCAGGCCAGCGTTGACCACCAATGGCCTTTACAAGTGCCGCGTGCCGTGACGTACCCATGTTCAGAAGCCTCTGAGCAACCAACTATTACACGGATAAGTGGCAATGAATCCTCTGGAACCAGTACAACACCCAGTTTAGAAGGTAATAGCTCCCAAAATGCCTCGGTACTTGATCAGATCCGTGCAGTTCCCGAAGATGCTATGAGTAGTCGTCTTTCGATACGTGAACAAAACCGGAATTCTTCAAGTTTGAGTTTACTGAGCGTAGACAACATTATTCGTGAAGATCACACATTCAATCTACAAAAGGTGAATCCATTCTTTACCGATTCCTCTGGGCGGTATGCTCAGAGATTTGAAAAACGGCTCCAACATCTCAATGGGAAGAATTCTGAAGACCAGCTTTGCATCGAGCAATTTTTGTCAAAGAGTGAAAAGGAGTGGTTCAAGATGTATCGTGATATGAAACTAGGTCGAAGCCGAAGTCCCAGCCGAGCAGTAACGCCTGTGTTCCCAACACTTGCTCATATTGCATCTTCAAAAGAGGATGTTGATTCCAGTACCCCGGCTTCTGACGGTTCCCTCGAAGGAGGCAATATGTCAGAGGAAGAGCTCAAACTTCCTGACGGTTATGTTCCGCCTTCTGGGTTGAAGAAATTTATGTTATATCGAGTTGGGGATTGGCCAGTTTATTCTATACTCCTTTCATTTGTGAGTTATAAAGCTTGGAAAGCCCAGACGCTGGATTACCTGCTAAGGTCTGAATATAGGGTCAAATAATTGCAGCAAACTCTTATCAAATCACCCTTCTCAATGGTGAAGTAGGAGAGCCCTCTGAGAAGTTGTACCTGATTGCTACCATCTACCTCATTTTCTCAATCGTGTGGTGGATAGTATTTCGTTCTCTCAGGTCAATATTCGTCTTGTCTGTTCCATTTTTGGTAAGACCTCTTGAAACCCTTCTAAGACAGGTAATTGATTGCTATGATAGCTATACGGTCTAGCATTTACTTTTATCGGCATTTCTCCATTTGTCACCGTCTCGACTGGACGATGGTGGATGCAGAACGTCGCCACGGGGCTGTATGCAGCTGCATCCTCTAGCGGATCCATATACTTTGCACTCAATTTCGGCGATGAAGGTGAGTTCATGTTACTGTCCTTGATACCTTCCAATAATTTTCTAATAGAATATTTCATCTCAGGCAACGCTTCAGTCGGATCTTGGGTATACCGTGCCTGTGTCATCCAAGGGACCCAGCAGATCTATGTTTCGTTCCTCTGGTACTGGGGCAGCAGACTAGCTGCCGCATCTCAGGCAGGACTCACAGGGACCAGTTTGGCAGACTCTCATCCTATATTGCTGACAGGCGTCGGTCTAGGAATTGCAGCCATTATGTGGATAGTCGGTGCAGTCCTATTCTTAGGGTTACCAGATTACTATGCCCAAGCCCCTGGTAAAGTGCCGGCATTCTATAAATCGCTTCCACGGCGTAAAATCGTCTTGGTATGTCTGTTATCCCTTTTTCTCTTTTAGCAAATCCGATTAACAAACCATACAGTGGTTTTTCTACGCAGTCTTCATCCAAAACTACTGGCTCTCAGCTCCCTACGGCCGGAACTGGCTCTACCTCTGGTCCAGCAAACACGCACACTCATGGATGATCACCGTAATGGTCCTGATCTTCTTCATCGGCATCTGGGCCATTGTCCTCTTGATACTGGGCATTCTCTCCAAACGACATGCATGGTTTGTGCCTATATTCGCTATTGGACTTGGCGCGCCGAGGTGGTGTCAAATGCTCTGGTCGACTTCGAATATTGGGTCGTATGTGCCTTGGGCTGGGAGTCCGGTGGTTAGTACACTTTTTGGGAGGGGGTTATGGTTATGGCTTGGTGTTCTGGATGCGTTGCAGGGTGTTGGTAAGTCCCTCTCTTCTTCCCTGTGCCTTACCATCTCGATGATCGTTTTACTAATGAATATATAGGATTCGGCATGATCCTCCTAAACACCCTAACCCGCTTCCACATCGCATTCACCTTACTAGCAGCCCAAGTCATCGGTTCCATTGGCACAATCCTCGCTCGCGCCACAGCACCCGACAACACTGGACCGGGGGATGTATTCCCCGATTTCTCGGCAGGTGTACGTGATGCCTTCTCCAAGGCAGATTTTTGGGTTTGTTTGTTATTTTTGTTATCTATTAATGTCCTCTGTTTTCTGTTCTTTCGGAAGGAACAGTTGCAGAAACCTTGATTGGGAGATTATAGGCTGGTTGAATTCATTCTTTTTGTTTGGTAATAAGAAGCGTTTTCGGATTCATCCGATGTCCATTCTTTGATAAATCAAGCCTATTATATTTTCATTTCGCGCATATAAAATGTTTATGCCTAGTTAGTACTTGGAAATCATATACAACTTATTCCCTTCTCTATGAGGGAGTGTTTAATCCTATGGCCGTCTTCTCTCCTACCTAGGCAAGGAAGGCCACAGCACCTACGCCAATAATGCAGACGTCAGGAGACGCCCAAAGAGCTAATAGAAATTATATCAATTTTGGGTCCAATAATACATTCATCTGGTTCGCAAACTCTGCATCAAGGGGAAAAAAAAACTTCTCTCAAAACAGTCGGTAAAAACGAGGAGAGAAAAAGCCAGCCAAAGGAGATCAAATAGTAACCGAAGATGTATATCGATTACAACTCTTTCTAAACTCACTGCCCAACGTATTCCATATAAAAACACAAGAAAGTTAAGAAGAAAGAGTAAAAAAAAGATTTGAAAAACTGAAACATGCCATCGTTGAAATGGAAAAGAGAAAAAAAAAAGGGAATTCCACCAGTATACCAGGAAGCGCGCATACAAACATCAAACGCCGTATCCGAGGACCACAATCAAATTATGATCTGGAAAACAGAAACAGGAAGAAACGGAATGTATTTATGGCACAAAATAGCAGTCAAGAAAGCAGAAACTCATTTATTGTCTTTGTTTCATCAAAAGCAATGTCTTTCATGTCAAATGCTAGGGCTCGGGACAAGATTTGTTGGTGTGTTCTAATCACTCGTCGTCATCACTGGCACCATCGCCATTGGCTGGTCCTGCACTATTTCGATTACTGTTGAATGTGAGTTTGAGTTTTGGCTGCGCAGACGGAGTATCAGCGCCAAGAGCGTCCGTTGTAGAAACACCATCTGCGGCGGAAGATGTGCCTTCGTCTCTGTCATCAAAGTCGGCGAATTGAGGGTATTCGGTCGTTAATTTCTTCAGTTCCGCTACACATGTGCTCTGCGCGGCGTTAGTAGTTGAACTTCCAATATTAGTACAAGTAAACTTACCTCGATCAGATTGGCATCTGCGAACAAAATACTGGTGTCCTCGTTATATGTCCTAGCATTCTGACATAGGAGGTGAATATCTGCTCTGAATTCCTTCAGACTCTGGTATTCTTCCCGATTGATCTTCTTCCTTATCATTTCCATGGCAATGGGGTTTTTGATGATCATGTAGTAGTCAGGATAGTGCATCTTTGGAGGTGGCTTCATGAAAGGCTCTATGATAGATCTCGTCATAGGCTCCTCGTCGGCGTCTTTGTCATCAGGGGGAATCTCTTGCTCAAGATCAGTCAATGTCTGATAGACACTGTCTAAAATATTCTGCAAAGCAGCCCGGTCATCGCTGCTAAGAGTATCAACGACTTTGGGAGGTTTTCCCCTCTTGCGCTTGATAGCTGGCGTGTCTTCAATGGAATCGTCTGCTTTGCGTTTGCCCTGTAGTCCTTTGCGCCGTCTCTTGACTTGAGGCGTCTCAGAGCTCTCGCGAGATGGTTCAGGCGATGACTCCATACCACTTGCTTTGCGTGCACGTTTCTCCTTGTTGGAACGTCTTCGCTCAACCCTTGCGTCTTTACGGGCAATGGCATCTTCAATAGTATCATCGTCGGCATCAAGAGCCATAAGCCATTGATCCTCTGTAAGCCCGTCATCGTAGCGCGTGACCTTACGTTCACGCGCTCCACGACCAGTGACTTCCTCAACTTCAGCCTTGGCACTAGGGATATCTTCTGCAAGATAGATATCTGGCAACTCGTCTTCACCCATAAGCCGTGGATACCGATGACCTGGACCATACTGGTCAGTCCTAGCACGCTCTTGGTCAATCTTTTGGAAAATGATCAGTTCCTCGTCAGACCGTGCCATGATCTCATTCAAATCGTCATCATCCATCTCGTCCTGGTCATTGAGCTGGTCACCAGCTTCCGCACTCTCAAGTAAAGTACGAAGGAGAGCTTCTCGTTCTTCATTTGTAGATTTGTTATCGAATTTACCGGCTTGAATGACTTTACCATCCATGTCCAATTTGAACTGAGCACGTCCGAGAATCTTCTCTTCAACCGAGTTAGACGTGATCAAACGGAGAATTCGCACTTCGTTCTTTTGACCGATACGATGGGCACGATCTTGAGCTTGCAAATCCTGATGAGGATTCCAATCAGAATCGTAAATGATGACCGTATCAGCAGTCTGCAAGTTCAAACCCAGACCACCAGCACGAGTGGAGAGCAAGAAGCAGAAATAATCAGAGTTGGGAGCATTGAACAGTTTCAGTAGCTCAGAACGATCATCGGACTTCGTGGAACCGTCCAGGCGGAGATATTTGAGACCACGGAATCGCAAAAAGTCCTCCATGATGTTCATAATCTGAGTCATCTGGAAGAACAGCAACACACGATGCCCAGTAGCTTTGAATTTTGGCAAGACACGATCAAGAAGTTCGAACTTTCCTGCCGTACGCCAGATAAGGTCATTAGTTCCCCGACCTGGGTTCATTTGATCCTCAACCGGTTCGAAGACAAAGGGATGGTTGCAAAGCTTTCGCATTTGCATGAGCATATTGCTTAGACCGCGCATGCCAATCTTTCCTCCCTTGCCATCGCTGACGACCATCTTGTTGTGGGTAAGGAGTTGTTTGTAGAGCTTGGCCTGCAAAGCAGATGAACGACATTTGATAACGCGCTCCTGCTTGTCGGGTAAGTCCTTCTCGACATCCTTCTTCAAACGTCTGAGCAAGAAAGGACGGAGGACCTTATGAAGACGACGAATGACGAGCAGCTGCTCTTCTTCGGTCAAGTCTATCCGGTCTTGATTACCTGTATTGGCGAAAGGTGTGTTAAACCATTCATCAAAAGACTTCACAGACTTGAAAATGCTTGGCAAGACGAAGTTCAGCAAAGCCCACAATTCGGGCAGATTGTTTTGAAGAGGGGTTCCTGTCAAGATTAGGCGATAGCGGGTGTTGTAGTATTGGGTCAAAGTGCTGCTTAGCTTTGACTGAGCGTTCTTCATACGATGACCTTCATCGACAATCATGTGCTGCCACTTGATTTTGCTCAGCAGTGGGCGGTCTTTGATGATATACTCATATGTGGTAAGTAGAACCTGGAATTGACCATAGCGAATAGTCTGTTGTTGCTGCTTACGAACGGCTGGGGGTCCCTTATAAACGACTTTTGTGACTGATGGTGCCCATTTGTCAAACTCAAGATGCCAGTTTGTGAGTGTACTCAAAGGAACAATGACCAGGAAAGGTCCACTGTTCTTCTTGACTTCGATCAAATACGTGATCAAACTGATCGTCTGAATGGTCTTACCGAGACCCATCTCGTCGGCAAGAATACCGTTGAGGTTGTTGTTGTAGAGTGAAATCATCCATTGGAGACCTTTCAACTGATACTCTTTAAGCGTTCCGCCAACCAAGATGCTTGGTTGCACAGTAACCTCTTCTTTGATCCGATGAGCCACAGCGTAGTAATCGATCTTGCGACCTCCGCCTTCTTCGTCGGTATCGTACTCCTCTTCAGATTCTTCCTCTTCTTCAAATTGCTGGTCGCCTCCATACCGTTCTGCTTGGCTGCGTTGCTGCTCTTTGACAGATGAAGCAAGCTGTTTCAAGAAACCATCGGTCTGCTTGAGCAAATGAGAAATACGTGAATCCTTGGCTTGACCTAGAAGTTTGAGATAAGTCTCCTCATCGTTAGCTTTAAGGGCTTGCAGACGTTGCTTAGCAGTACGTTCAACACGTTTCTGCTCTTCACGCTCCATATACTGGTGTTGTTGAAGCATGACCCGACCTAATTTCTGCAGGCGAGCGCGCTGTTGGGCACCATTCTGCAAAACTTCTTGACCGCGTGTTAAGATTGCTTGTATCTTCTCGCCTTGCTTCCTCTTGTCACGATTTTCACGAGCGTCACGCTGTTGCTTCTCAAGTTTCTCGGTGATTTTGGCTTCCCGTAACGTCTGTTTCTTCATGCGACGGTGTATAGAACGATTTCCCGTCATTCCCAGGTTGTCGTAATGGAACATTTCCTGCTGAATTTGTTGACGGAATTTGCGCTGCTTCGGCAGAAGGTGAAGCATTTTATACTCAATCAATGCTTTAAGTTTCAAAGAGTCATCAGGTGCGGCAGTATCACCGCTTTTCACATCCCAGACGCCAAGATTTGCAGGAAGTTTCGCAAGCTCTGCTTTTCGAGCATTAATCTTGTTGTAAATGAGCAACTCTCTATCCTCACGCACTCTCTCCAAATCAATTCCAGTAGGGAAAATACTCGGGATGCGAACGCGATTCGCTCTGTTCGCATGGTCGGCATAGCTGATAGTTTTGGGAAACAACTCATAAGGCGACTGCATCTTCTCGTAGAAATTGAAAGTCTCAGCTTCCTTCTCGGGAGGTTCAGTCGACTTTTCTCCCTGAGATTCGGTAGCAGCTTCAATCACGGCTTCAGCGGTCGAGACGTTGGTGACAGGGGACACTGTTTGCCGTTTATTTGCACCGAAGAGCTGTCTCTGAAGAGATATGGGTACTGGCAAATTCTTCGTAAGTAGCTTGAAAGCGTGGATCTGGTTTCGTAGAATGGTCAACTGTTCAAGCGAAAAGCTTCCCGCTGGTGTTGCCAGTTTCTTCGCCGGGCCAGCCTGCGCGGCCTGGCCAGGTTGTTGTTGGCTTTCGCCCACTGCATTTGGGACTTGGGCTCCATTCGATGAGGATACAGAGGCAGATCGACCTAATGACAATGAGACTTACATTCATGATACTCACAGCTCGTGAAATGACTTACCATTCACACCATTAGCAACGTCCGCATTGTTCCCATTAGCTTGTTGTTGTTGTTGTTGTTGTTGTAGCTGTTGCTGCTGATACCTCTGCTTAGCGTAGGCCTGTTGTTTCTGCACAGCCGACAGGATGTTATGCGCCTTGATATACTCAGGGTCGTCATGGCGCACACCAGACCGTTGCATTTCACGGAATTTCTAATCATTGGCTATCAGTATGAACTAAGTAAAGTGGGAAAAAGTATTAGATAGTTTACCTGGTAGACTTCTTGCAAACGAGCAGGTGTGAGATCAGCTGGCAGAGCCACATTGCCTGGGAAGTTCGCACTGGCAGCACCCATATTATTGGGCGTCTGTTGTTGAATGGAAGCCATATTGCGACTAAATGTTTATGTTTTCTTTTGTTTGAAACTTGGCGGAGAGCCCGCCGAGGGCGGTTTGATAGGAAATTTTCTGCGAGACGAGCGAATAAAACGCGTCGGGTTAACGGATGGGATCAATGGGAAGTCGAAGGATCGGTCGCGAAATGATATGCGCGAATGCGAAAGCGTTGTCAAAGGATGAAATGCGCCCCGTAGCGACGTTGGGAGGACTTTGATAGATGGACGGGTGGGTGGGTTGGTTGGTTGGTCACTCTGTCACTCAAAATAAGGACACAGCTGGTAAAAGGAAAAGTGGGAAGTACCGCCTACCAGCAAAGCCGGCGGAAAATGACGGTGAGGGACGGGCCAAAGGGCCCTGGATGGAATGAAAATGGCGTTGGGAGGGCGTTCAAAGCTTTGGGCGGATAAAAATGGTGATGGATGGGATACGACGCGACGGAGTTTGGTGGTCGGGGGTCCAGCCTGGCTTTGCTTTGCTGCGAACGAAGGGAAACCGGAGAGGGCGAAGATTTGCCAGTGGAGCCACGTGACTCGCTAGCCATGTTTGGACGAAACTCAATCATGTGATGCGTGACCAACGAACTAGTCTACTTTAGTCTCAAAACGGATAATCAATGATACGAGACCGATTCATTGGTCAATTGAATGTCAACACAACTAACTTTTATACTCCAGACCCTCAGAATGACACTACGCAAAGAACGTTATCGTGTATCAATCGCCATCGTTGCTGAGGCATAACAGAACAGAACAAATCATAAAGAATCCAATCATGGTACCAGCCGCGGATCCCTAAAACCTCAAAAATACAAATACAAATACAATAGAATAACCAATGCAAAGCCCACTACTTGTTGCTCAAACCATTTCGTATGCGTCATTATGCTCCGATCAGATTGCGCTTTACTGGTGGGGGAGGAGGCGGAGGCTTAGGTTTAGTCGCTCGGGATGGAGGAGGTGGTGGTGGTCCTTTCTTCGTAGCAGGCGAAACAGAATTCAAGGCGGATGAGCTAGGCGTGCGCGAAAAGTAGCCGCCTTGTGAGGTAGCAGACGACTCCGATCTGTCATCATACGGGCTAACATTTCCATACGACGAGCTGTCCTGGTAATCTTCATGAATTTTGCTGACCGGTCTCAGATTCGTTCTGGCGCTTCGGATCGAAAGATCATTATGAACGCGGTTGGGGGTATAAGTAGACGGCGACTCGTGTGTCGAACCATCGTAAGTTGAGACGCGGTTGAACGCCGGGCGTGAATACTCCGGTCGTGCTTGCGGCGTCTCGTCATTCTGCGGATAGAATGTGGAAGATCGCCTCGATCTGATTGTTGGACGCGGAGGCGACGGTGGAGCTACTTCCACGACTGGCTCATACCTCTCTTGGTACGAATGGGCCGTATTTGAGCGAGCTCGACTAGGGCGATGGCTATTTGCATGTGATGCCGGAGGATTTCTGTTGTCGAGAATATTAGTATGATCATCTCGTGCATGCTGTTATGACGGCCACTCACGCTGTTGGTAATTCGTTCCTCAACTGAAGCAATACTTCACGGGAACGCTCGTGGTAGTTGAGCTCCGCATCAATAAAAGCTGTCAAATCCGCCAAGTTTTCACCTTCTGCATCTTGGATATCCATCATTCTGCGATAGACATCGTCATTCGTCTCCTCATATTTGGCTTTCTGCGAGCGAAGTTCCTCCTCCACACGGAAATCCTCTTTCTTGGCTTTTTGCATTTTTGCCAGGGAGGCGTCGTAGGCCAGGCGCCGGCTTTCTAATTTCTTACGAGCATTCTATGCCAGTTAGCCGCTGTTAACTGCGACAATAATAAAAACAGCATTATCATACCTGATATTCCTTTAAAGAAGCCAGACTTCGTTCAAGAGCCTCGAGCCAGCTCGTGCTGGCTTGGACAGAGTAGCTTTCCTGCGAGAAGTCAGTCAGGAATCGAGATTATAGCGTGCAGGCTTCCAAATCATACCTGAATACGCGCGAGTCTTTCGTGGGCCTTTCCAGTCACTACAGGGAGCAGTCAGTCAGCAGTGAGCACGAGTCAGTAACCATGTTAAACATACAGGTCAAAGATCGACCAAACTCAGACTGAGAATCGAAATCCTCGCCGTGTTGAATCATGACACTTCCTAGGTGAGCGATAGGCAGTGTCTTTTCCTTATCGTCTCCCTCCTTGCGCTTAGAGATCGCCTTGACATATGCAGTCATTGACCGATGCATTTTCTCCATGCCTAGCAATAATGATTGTTAGGTCAGATATACACCCGTTCATCGAAGTGACTAACCATCGTGTCGTAGGTTCATCTCTGTCTCCAAGGCTTTGAAGTCGTCAGAGACATTGGTCTTGACTTCTCCTCCCATTCGTTCGCCAGCCCATTGCTTGAAGCGATCTAGCTTCTTGTTTACATTCATCGTAATGAGGTAGTATGTGGCTCTTTTTGATTGCGGTAACGATGTCGAAATTAGGGTCGGTGTACGTGACACGAGGAGAGGGGTAAACGGTGAAAGCGATTACTGAACGAGAGTGAGGTGCTGCACAAAAGATTGTGAGTTCCAGTAAGGATAAAGAGTCGTTTTCGAATAAAGACAGGCGAATATTGTCAAGACCGATCGAAGCAAGCAACCGGCAGTCGTGGAAAGGATAGGGCACACAATTGAGTCAACACAACAGGCACCGTAAATACCTATGGAATGAGAGCACACAGCAACCGACCAGGTTGTCAATAGACACCCAATTGAAGCGCTGGCAATCAGCAAGATAGATAAAATGGAATAAAAGGTTCAAAAGGGCCAGATGGGTAGATTAAGAGGGAAGAAGGGGGATCGCAAATGATCCCAGCATTATCAGTACATTCCTTTGGCGGCGTCTGATTGGGCGGTGGGCAGACAGATATGCTAAGGCACACCCGCCACTACCGATGTGTACTCTGTAAGTAGTATTCCAATTCTCTGACACAGATTCAGCGCTAACTCAGGCCTCTTGATTGACCCACCGATATACCGTTTGAGAAGCCAACAGACAAATCACAACACGCTGGAATCCTGAAACAACATCCATAGCGCCCTTTACTAATACTCCGTCAACAGGGAGGGGGCGCGTTTGCCTCAACCGACCCCTTCCTGGTCATCCGGATGATCGAGGATTCTATATCCGTGCTCTATCGGATGGGACCATATCAATTGATGTGCTGATATACTTATCATCTCCGTCCTGCATTCTTGCACATCCTTCCGGAGCAGCGCTGCCAAATCTTAAATGATAGCCAGATTCACTACTACATATTATATCGGCGACACGCGTTCCATTCTTGTCTGATGTGTTGATGGTCATAGCCAGTGGATCTTCGTCGCATACTCCCACTTGAGACTGTCTTACCACCCGGGAGCCCGGATTGCCACCTTGTGGGTTTATGGGGTTTTGCACTGCCTACTTACTTACGTACCACCCTGTGTTTAGCCTAGTCCAGGCATATGGCTATAGGGTTGGGGTTAGGGCTTTACTGTCGCCTGGGTCAGTATTCCCGGGAGTTCAATTTAGGGACGGGTACTCTATAGATATTAATCTATCCTAAGCGGCGAATGTTGTCGAGCGTCGCCTGAATATGATGGATACCCCACGGCGAGAGCCCTAGGTAGCCCGGCTACATCTGCAGAGATGAAGAATGTTCAATGACAGAGGACTCAAACTTCGTAAGAAAAATCATAGCAGTTCGCTGAATAAATTCATAAGAAATCCAGAGTAAGGCTCATAGTAGGATATATACAGACATCACCTGGACAAGCACAATCATAGCTGCCATTCATCCAGATTATCAGCATCCGTGATAAAAGGCTTGTCTATCTGTCTGATTCCATGATCACCACATAATATACTAGACGGACAATTAGCAAACATTCCCGAAATCTATGATTAGAGGTAAGTTCAACGTACCATGCCTCCGCAATCAACGAATCCAACTCCACAATAATCTTCTCCCTTTTACTCGCCGACAAATTGCCCTTATTCAACCGCGCCTGCAAATCGCGTATATACCTCTTCTTCCCACCCGCACCTTCCAGAACCTCCTTACCCAAACAATCACTATGAAAAGCATGTTGACACGGGAACACAAAAAACTGACGACTCAGTAACGGCAAGGAACAAATCCAGCATTTCTCGCCGGGTTCGACGATAGCATATCGACAGTCTAGATCTGTAATCTCAGCTCGGATCTGACTTGCTGTTTGAGCGGATGTATCCATTTCCTGACGTAGTTCATCGATGTGGATTGAATACTCTTCGAGGGCTTTGCAGATCTCATCTTTGAAGTCGTCGATTACGACGAAATCCGGGAAGAATGGAATCATATCTTCGATGCGAAGGAGTTCACAGCGGCGGAGGAATTCGATTGCGTCTTTGATTCCTGTGCCTTGTTGGCGGATTTTTTTTTCCGCGACGAGGAGCCATAGCTTTTTGCGGAGCTTCTCGTCGCCTTCGGGTCTGTCGGCGACGATGGCTGCGAATTCGATGTCGTTGTATTTCAGGGCGAGTTCGACTGCTTGTTGATATTGACCCATGGAGCTGTAGATGTAGATGCAGGATTGAACACGTTCGTATTGTATGCATAGCCTGAGTGCAAAATCGGCGTCGTATGGAGGTGAGTCGGAGGGTTGTGATTCGAGATAACTGAGTAGTGCTGCTTCGTTGGCGGAAGAGCTGGAAGCATGTATCGATATCAAGGTATTATGCACCGCCGCTGCAGGATGGGGATGATTCGCAATGATGAAATTCAGATATCGAACCGCCTGATTTTGATTCAAAGTCGGTTTCACTGTGTTGTTATAACTAAGCATAGCAGGTATCAAACGTTCAGGATCCAGATGTGTTTGACGAATCATGATATCCACGAGTCCAACGGCAGCATGGACCATGAGTACAGTGCTGTATTTGTAGAAGACCTCGGCATCAGTTTGTCTCTGAAGTATATTCAATGCTTCCGCCCACTTTTCTCGTTGGATCCAGTAGGATAGAACATAATTGTAGTCGTTGGTTGCATTTGCAAAAAAAAGGAGCTCCGATTCACGTCCGTGACTGCTGATAATGTCGTAAACTGTCTTCTGATCCATATCAGCTTGAAACTTCGTCACAAAATCCTCAAATTCGGCCCGGATGCTTTCAAGCTGCGCTTTTGATTCTCCTGTGCTAGTTCCTTCGGCGAGTTCCGCCTTAGTCGCAATCGTATCATCAAGTGAGTTGAACTTTGCCATAAAGACTTCTATAAGCCAACTCGCAATCATCGTACGCTGCATAACATACGACTTCTTGTAACTCGCGAGTTTCGTGAGCAGATATTTGCGCAAGGCATCATGTTCACCCGCGTTAATAAACGTCAAGCACACCTCCTCAAAGCTCTTGCTACTCTTTCCCCATACTGCAGATGCTTCCAGATATTTCCCTTTATTAGCAAGATAATCACCAGAAGCCGTAGCAATAGCATCTCGTTGCGCCGCACTCTGTGCATATCGAAGCGCTTCGTCAAATCTCTGTTCTTGTAGGAAATGATGCCATGCATCACGGTCTTCGTCGTATGCCACAATCTCGTAGATTTCTTTCGGAGTAAAGAGCCAGTATGTGTTCTTCACACGATCGCTGACAAGTCCGAGAGCCGTCTGTCCGGGTTCGAGCACGGCCTGGTCATGCACTACTTCGCCGCTGAGCACATTCACGGCGACTACATGTCCTTCGACCAGAGCGAGAACATGCCATTGTGAAAGGGTTATAGCCGTTATGGGATCTTGGATGAGCTTCTTTCCGCCACGCGCGGATTCTGTTGCGGGGAATACATCGCGGGGAATCATAGAAGCCTTTTCGAGTATTTTGCTTCCATCCAACGAATTATGATTCAACAACCCCTGGAGCACGCCGGTGGACGAAAGCCAGGCAAACCGCAGCTCTGATGTCTGCCCGTCAACATGATGCTCATCCGTCTGACGCGGCGAAATCGCCAACGACGACGGCGCCGATCTAGTTGCTCTCGCATTCTCCTGCACGGCGGGGGTGTTCCGTTGAAATAACTCAGCATAAACACCCTCCTTCCCATGCCGACCGGCATGACCCTGGAAATGCAACAACTTCGTAGGTGTCGATATAATCACATATCTCTGATCCGGTTTTCCCGGTATCAAATCGGTGAATATACCCGTAATCGATGTGTCGGGGACACGATAAACGTTTGCGACGTATTTCTCCTCGCGACGATAAAACTCGGTGGACGGTTCAATGTATACCTCATACACGTTTCCATCTGTGATCCCCACCAGAATCTCTCTTGTAGATGCAGTCGGTCCTGAAGGATTCCAGGCCACACTCTCAATCGAGCCCTTTAAGCGCGATAGTAACTTCGGTTGACGTGATTGGGTATGCAGGTAGTAATTATCGCCGAGCGTTGTGGTGACGATCAAATGCGAAGCGGTAGGGTCGAGGAACATCCGACGAATAACTCCAGTTTCCGTGGACTTCTTAGGAAGATCGATATCTGTGTTTTTATATTTTATTAGCTGAGTCTCATACAACATGCGAACTACTGGCGGATTACCATCGATATCTTCCGGGCTATCCAAATCTATGCGCAGTATGCGCCCCGTAGCAAGCGCCAGTACCAGAACATTGTTAGCCACTTGTGCAGCTACAAAGTCTGGCGTTGAGAATCGAAGCTGGACATCTCGCACGTCAAAGATGGGTAGTGAGGGATCAGGCGCTTCGGACGCATTGCTCGGGGGAACATAACCGCTAGATTGATTTAGCACCATGGTGCGTACGCCAGAGCTCAGAGCTGCATGATATTACTTGGTGGGGATAGTGTGAGTGAAGTTGGAGCTTCAGAAGTCTGGGCGCGTGGTGGTTAATTGTGCAGCCTGGTCGATGTCAAGCTATGATGTTGTTGTATCTGGTGAGGCTCGAGCTCCTGATGATTGCTGGGCTGCGGGCGAGTGGGGCCACGCCAGACGCATCTCAGTTACTCTTGTTACAACTCGCAGCAGATTATTTAAGCCAAATCTCATAGTTAGTCAGTTATTGGGTACAATAATCTATGTACTTGGCGAAGAATGAATGCAGAAACATCGCTATGCTAAACATACCCTAACAAATGACTATGCAAGGACGCCAAAAGAACCAGAACAATTGCAGGCCGATGGGGGTTTCGTATCACAAAGAAGTCTCAAAAAATAGGAAGGAAATGAAAAACGAAGCACACGAGAAAGGGTATCATGATTGGAAAGACCGTTAACCGCCGCTGTTTACATAACAAGGCATTCCCTGTCCGGGTTGCTCTTCTCCTTCCTTTGGCGCTGTTTGCCATTACTCTGCCTGAGAGTCGAATCCCGGCCTCTCAACTGTTGCTTGGTCTCTGTCTCATCGTAAGCGATAGACGGGATGGTTCCGTCTTCGGTTTTCGGTCGACCTTCTTGATCAACAGTGGTCGTAGACGGACTGTCTATACCCTTTTCCTTGCTTATTCGGGACGTGAATCTTGACAGGGCGCTGAGGCGCTTTTCTCCTGATTGATCTCCGCCTCGGCTGCGCGAACGGCTGCGCGATTCTTTGCTTCGCCGAGGTATAGACAAGGAGCGACGGGTGGTAAAGGCATCGCGGAGACCGGTACGACCATTCTGTGGGCCGTCCATAATCTCAATCATCGTTCCTTCCTGGACCTCTGAAGACATGTCAATCTCGCTGATATCTAAAGTAGGACGCAAGCTCGACAGGTCGAAACTCAGACGAGCTGAAGAGGATGTATTTCGGTCGGCGGAGTGCTCTAGATGGGTTGTAGATACTATAATCTCTTTCTCTGGGTCATCATGTAGCTCTTCCGATCCACTGATGAACGATACTCGTTTATCACTTAGATTCTCCTCGGTGAGACTGTCGTCAATTGGCACAATCTGATAGAATAGAAGGTATGGCGACTCTTCTTTTAGCGCTTCTTCGATGTTGACACGTGTGATTCGCTCAGCTGCCAAGTCATCGAATCTCATCCACGGCTCAGAGTTTCCGGCGCTCAAGACTGAATTAGTATCGGAGCTATGTGAGGTGGAAGACATATTCGCAGCAGTTCCCCGTACAAGTGCGACGTAGTGGCCCGAATCGACCGAGTTGCCTCGATGACATACAACCGATTGTAGTGAAAGTTTGAAGTTGCCATACAACGGGCCATCCTCGTCAAGTTTATCATCCTGGATAAAATGCGGCAATCCTATCTCTGTAGGTATATCGATAAAGGTGTTCAACCTGATAGCGTTGCCGTTGGGTAGAACACTATATCGCTTCAAACACATGCCCAAGATCGGCCGCTTAGAAGAGAAATGGGCTGCAACTTGGGCGTCGTTTATAGGGGTATTATCCGTGTACCATGCTAAAATCTTGTTAGCAAAAGATTATAAAATGCCAATTCATCCGCACGCACGGATCAAACTGAAAAATTGCCATGCTGGCATCATAACCTCTTTGCGATAGCTTCCTTTCCTCTTTCGACCATGAACGAGATCGTCGAAAGAATCCTTATCAGGAATAAACCGCTCCTGGACAATGCTTGGACGTCGCGTTAGCGTCGATGAGGCCGAAACTTTCTCAGTTATTGGAAATTCGATTTTTGGGGACCCAGTCCGTATAGGAGACGGAGCTGCTGAGCCCACCTCTACAGATTCAACATGTACAGTCGCCGCTTTCATGGTTGAATCGAACGATCTCATTGAATTGACAGTCCCACGTCTCTCTAGGTACCTCTTGACTTCGATTTTGTTGTTGAAGTACGCCTCCAAACATTCTTCTAACGTAATTGGGGTGCCGTCTTCGTGCTCGGGTGGAATTGCAACCTCGAGCAGTCTCTCATTGATAAACTTGTGATCGTCCGCCACGTCTTCTTTTCCAGTGTGGTAAATGTCCATTTTCAAGGTCAACAGAGGGAGCTCTAACTTCTCGGTGATAAAAGTGAAGGCCTCGGACGCGTCCTGCTGACAAAGTTTGGCGGCCTCTGGCCATCCGCATTCGGACAGTGCTTCTTGCAAATGTTCGGTCTATCCTATTAGCTAACGTCGAGTGATAAATGAGCGTGTTACCCACAATATCCGTTGTAATGAGTTTTCCAGATCTCAGCATATTCACCCATAACCGAAGAAGAATGACCAGTTTTCTCCGTGGATCATTATTATCGGTAAAGGGTCGGTACAGAATAGCTTCGAAAAAGTCTAGCCGAGCAAACATTGCGAATAGAAGTGCATCCAGGTAGCATGTAACTCCCATGCGATTCACTGCTCCGACGAGTTTTATAGATGTGTCATGGTCACGCAATATACCTTCAATCGAATCTTCAATCATCATAAGCAGGTCGAATGCCTTCTCCGTATCACCCTGCGCGTACGGTGATGTAAGCGCGCCATTGATTTGTTCGGTATTGAGGTCTAGGATTCCGATCGAAGCGAGTCTTCTTTCTAATGCTCTCACCTGTCCACGAGTCAATCATGAATTTTTAGCTGATTAAGTCTGAAGTGGAGAATATTTTACCTTTGCCTCGTCTCCATTGTCACCAGAAATGGACTCACTCTTGATGACGAGGCCACGGAGGTAGCTGCGCACACCTGGATTGGTTGGCTGTGGCTGTCTACTTGTCAGCACTAGAGGCAACAGTAGCACGCAGCTTGGGCAACTCACCTCTTTCTCGTGCTTGCCAGATCTTCGGTGCCTCTCCCCTCGCTTGGTGAGGAATCGCTGAATACCACTCATTATGATGGCCGTAGTGCTGACTTCCGAAGGTTGCAAGAGAAACTTGTTCAGCTCCAAAAGTCCAATTTGCGGAGCAAAATAGAGCAGCGAATATCTGACAGAAAGAACATGTCTGTCAATAATAGAGCATATCTTGAGTAACAAAATCAAATGCTTTTAGGCTGACAGTAAATCTAGCAGCTAGTCAGCAATAACATAAGCATTTGGCCTGGGTAGTGTGAGCTAGAAATTAGTGGGGGTTCAGCGCTCAGGACAACACTGCGGAGGCGGGGCATCTCACTGGCTGGCTGGCATACACGTGAACTGCTGTCACGAAGGCAGCTGGGTTTTGAGTCATTGTGGCAAATGACAGACAACAAGATATTTCCTTGACGCTTAGAAGAGAAGAGTTGTCGTTCAAGCTATTTAAGCTATGTATCTGATCTGCATTACGGATGTTGCCTTAATAATACCTGACAATTAAGGCAGCGATCACTACAAGCACCAGGATAGACCCACAGCAGCTCTTCTGAAGCGCTGATTGGCCACAACCCCTTATTGTGACATCCTTCGGCGATTTCTTTGCCAACACTTGATCATCATAACAAGACATGCTATACTTCTATTTCCAATCGGGATTTCGTCTAAATACACGTCTTATTTGTTATGCCCTGTCACAGCTCCCCATATATATGCCACCCAGCTGCCCACAATGAGCAAGAACAACACCGCGAAACACACGATCGAGATTCTTTTGTTTCTCCTCGTGTGCGTCGTCAAACTCTTCTCCTTGAGTGAATTGATGATGGCTCCACCCTCCTTGAGACGATACTTTCTCGTCCACTGCAATACGCCAAGAGAATCGGTAAAGAAGGCGCCAATCAGCAGGGACAAGCCGACTGCGACAGAGGCAGCAGCCTGGAAGAGATAGACCCTGACAGCTCGGCGGTATGAATCATTATCTACATCCTGAAGGGCGCCAGTAATGATCCTGATGATTATATTCATTCTGCATTAATATCGTTAGTGTCGATGAAACTCTGCCAGGCATTGGATTGGGAGCTTACGCATTGTTCATGGTGACTTTCAATGAATAAGCGGATCCGAAAACTGATTGATGATATAGGACTGCCCGGATACTATCTATGATTGATACGGGTCCTAGCGATACAGCGACAGCATAAATTCCAAAGGACGCTGCTGTACCAGAGGATGTATTGGCGAAATTGACCAGACACATGCAAAGAAGCATCCCAATTCCACAGACGCACACTGAAATTGTAAGCACATGGTAAGTGATGACCGGGAAATTTTAACTTACTGGCTGTGGCCCTGTTGCCAAATATATCAATGAAAACTCCAAGACAAGGGACCAGAATGAATCCTATGCCACGAATATATTAGCACTCGTTAAATCAGCAAGAGACAATTCCCATACCCATATATTTACTCAACGCACTATACCATCCAGCCCTGATCGAATCGACATTGAACCTCTTCTCAGCAAGTTCAGTCGAATTCTGACTAAACACCACAGCAACACTAGTTTGGAACAAAGAGAAACACAGGACATTCCAAAACGGCCAGGGAAGGTCAAACACTTTCTTCAACTCGAAGTTTTTATTCTTTTCGGTCAAATTTTCGTTTGTGGCTGTGTCGCGTCGACCGATATATCGCTTTTCGCAGTAGCGACTGAAAATCCAGAATAGGCCGGTGGATGCGTTTGTGAATAGGTTCATGAAGACGGCGACCCAGAAGGTCCAGTAGAAGTGGCCGGTTCTCTGAATCAACGTCAGATATTGATCAGAGAACTGAGTTATGGCTACGCTTACCTTGGCAATGATATTGGCCGTTGACTGTCCTGCGAAGCCTCCTAACTAATTGACATCAGCACCATATCATCACTATCAGGAGGATCCAGAAACTCGCCTTTCCAATAGCAAGCTCAAATCCCACGGTAGACGCAAACCCATTACTTGGCGGAAACCAAGAAGAAAACATCTTATACTGCGCAATCTGAGTTGCAATATCGCCAAAGGCGAGTATGACGCGACTAGCGACCATGAATTTGTATGATTCGACTGTCGCTGCGGCTGCAACAAGGATTGAGCCCAGGGTGTATATTATATTGCCATATACGATCATATCTGGAATCGTTCAGCGGATATGCAGGCAAAAGACAGAGGCAGACTTACTGGCTCCTCCGAATCGATCGGTAATTAACCCGCTGAACGGTAAAAGAACTGTCGCCATAAAGTCCTCGCTTGCCTCTAGAAGAGAGAATTGCGTATTTGTGATGAGTAATTGCTAACAAAACGTCAAAATCTCTACATTGAAGAGCGTTTTGTTCAAGTAATACCTTCTTGAGCGTACTTTTCATAGCACTGGTAACGCTCGAATACCAATGAGACCCAAAACTGATACATGATATTAACAGAATCGCAGTCAACTTTGCAATTAGCGGCGGTGGCTGTTTTGTAGATTGTTTTTCTGTCTGGCTGTTGTTCTCTGTTGACTCGGATTGTGCTTGCTCTTCTGACAGAGCGGGGGTTTTGAGTACTGGATCCATTGCTCCGTGAGGATGAACACCAACCACACCTACAGCATAGAGAAAGAATTAAAAGAAAAAGGGAATGCTTTTGTCGAGACGACTGGGTAACGCCCACTATAAATAGATTATCCATCTCCGAACAGCGGATACCTCTAGATTACATACTATATCCATCATCTACGACGACTTGATTGTTGATTTGTTCTTTTTGATCTGTGGGCAGTCAAATTCGGATCAGATAAGACAAATCAGACCCACAAAAGCGGATCAGATAAAAAGTCACCTTGCACGTGCTGAGATGGCATTGGCCAATCAGCTACGGATAATGCCGGATGCATGCATCAATCGGGTCATGCCACTACGGAGGATCCGAGAATGGCATCTGTTAAGAAAGTGATTGATAAGATCGTGAGTCCACTTGTTTTCGGGTTAGCGAATCTAGGTTCATGAACGTATGAGGTGGTCGCCGTTCCTCGGAGTGCCAAGAATAGTCGTAGTGGTTCTTGCATATGGCCAAGGCAACTAGAGGGGGGTTGGCAGTGGGCTGCGAGATTTTCTCTCTCTCCGTCGGCTTCTTGTGGAAGAACCTCTACGACATACCTATCTCGGACAAAGCGTGATGTCAGTTCGCTATGTTTACGTAGGACCACAAACATAAGTACTTGGATATCCTTCCCAGTCTTATATCTTGTTCCTGCGAGGACGCAACCATCCTTTCGCCAGTCAATTCTCGTCGTTCCAATCCTACATTTTCATGCACAACAGAATTTTTCGAGGCCTTCATTGCCGTATTTTTCTGAATGGTTCACCTAGGTTACTCCTCAAGCCGTCTCCTCTGCACTTATTGAGGCACAGAATGCATTGATATACAACTTGAGTCGTATTAGAGGTCAATTCTGAGGAATTGATTCGATTGCTCGTCATGAAACACTTCCGAACCCGAGGAACCTACTTAGGGTTAACAGCGGAACGTTCCGCACATCCAAACTCTAGCCCTAACTTCTGACTGCTATTATTGACATTGACCTGACGATCTATTCTACCACTTTATAGAACTGAAACCATTATGTGTACTATGTACGTACATGCTTAAGCTTAAACCATGATCTTCAAGCAGTTTACTTTGAGGTTATCCCGAAACAGGGTACATGACCCTCCTCCATTTTCATGATCAGTAATCAACATACAAAAAAGCTTCAGCTTTGAATATCAGCCCTTATATACGAGTTGATGCCGAACCCGAATAACCAATAAAATTCTTCAAGAAGAAAGTTCATAACTGCATACGGTACGTAGTTAGATTATTTTCAGCTTCATAAAGCTATTTTCACTCCACAAAAGTACGTATATCCACCAAGATAGTCAGCCTCACTTTCCCCTGATCGCTTAGGGCTGTTTGTACATATCTAAGGTATAAATCTCCAGAATCTACCCAATCTTGGATTGTTGTAATTATTGTAACAGGCATCTCAACAGCTTTCTGGTCTCTTGTCTATACAGTACCTCAGACAATTGCAGTCACTCAAATCAAACCATCATCTGAAACCAACCGTCAACATGTTCACCTTCCTCCGCGGCTCAACTCCCCCAAAGACATTCCGCGCTCACGACAATCCAATCTACTACGAAGATGGAACATCATTCGTCCAATTCAACGAAGCCGGATCAAAATACATACTCCGAAACCAACACCCTCCCTTCGACAGCACCAAACCATCAATCATGACTCCCCCTTTCCATTGGCACATCAATCAAACAGAACACTTCTCCATCGTTGAAGGGGAATGCCATCTCTTCAAAGAAAACCCCGAAAAACCATGGATGACGATATCAGCCAAAGACCCCAATGCGCCAAAGACAGCTTCCATCCCCAAAACGGTGTTTCACACTATCCACAACGCATCAACCACAGAGCCCATGGTTGTCGACGTCAATCTCACGCCGGAAGATGCAGAGAGTGAACAGAAGTTTTTCCGAAATTTCTTTGGTTATCTTGATGATTGTCGAAAGGCGGGTGTGCCGCCGAGTATGTTTCAGCTTTTTGTGTTTTTGAATGAGGCTGATACGCCCGTGGCTGTTCCTTTGCCGTCGAAGTTTTTGAGTAAGGTGGCTAGTCGTGTGATGTTGTCGAGTGTGGCATGGTACGGGAGGTGGATTTTGGGGTATAAGACGTCTTATCCGGAGTATTATGATGATGGGAAGTCGAGGTAGTTCCAATATTACTGATACCTGGAGTTGGGAAGAATAGATTGTACTCAATTAAAATATGTGCCTAACTTTCCACGTAAGTAGTATAAACCATTTTGGAAAATCCAGAAATATTTGAAGTCACAATAAAGCATATTGGTACCCTTCGAGCACCGCACACGACTGGTTACTACCCATGAGACCTGCTCCTGTTTGGAGAATATCTTTCTACTGTCTCCTGGAGCTTCGTCTTGGCCCTTTTAAAATGGTTCCTTTCCAGAGCGCTCTACTCCGCCCTTAAGAAGAGAGTCATCTTTATCCTGGAGTCGTTTCCTTTTCTCAGTAACCTCTTTACGGAGTCCGAGTGCTTCATGATTTCCTTGTCCAAATTGAATATCAGCAAACCTGGAGCCGCTTGAAATGGTATTTTCACTATCCGCATCTTTCATTTTCCATTTTTCGTAGGCCTCTCTCTGCAATCCCTCTGCTTCCGAGAATTTCCCTTGTCGTCGAAGGATTTCAGCTAGAATGTCCATGGCACTCAACATTTCAGGATCATCTTCGTCTGACAATTCTCGCCTCTTCTCAAGAACTTCTTTTTGTACTCTTTCTGTCTCGGGAAGTTTGTCTTGGTCTCGAAGAATTACCGCGAGACCCTCCGACGCATCCGGAGTGGCATGGGGATCTGATCCTTTCATCTTTTTCCTGGCCCTCGACTACTTGCCTGATGTACCTTTCTGCTTCTGGAATTCTACCTTGTTCGTGCATAATTCTTGTAAGAATATCCTGGTTCACAACTCCATTCACAACTCCATTCTCATCCGATAATTGTCCGCTCAAATCTAAATACTTTCTCGTGAGGATTCTGCTTCGGCGGATTTTCCTTCTCTTTGAAAAGCTAAGGGCAAGATTTTCCATGGTTTCCACGATATTAGTCTTTTTCACTTAATAAAAGTTGCCGCTTCCTCAAGGCTTCTCGTTGCGGTTCTTCTGCATCTGGGAATTTTTCCTGTTGTAGTAAGATTGCCGCAAGATACTCCATGTTTTCAATTACTCCACCTTCATCAGATAGTTCTTTGCTTTTCTCAATAGCCTCTTTCCGTACTGGCTCAGCTTCAGAAGGGCACTCCTGTGCTTGGAGTATGTCTGCAAAGCCGCCCATACTTTCAATAACAGCAGGATCCTCTTTGCTCGATATTAATTGCCATTTCTCCAGAACTTCCCTTTGACTTGCTGCTGCTTCGCCAGAACTCCCCAGCATTGCAAGTAACTTGGTATAGTTCTCTACAGCGAAATTAGATTCAGGTTCCTTCTCCCCGAAAGTGTGTTTTCTCCTTCTTGTTTGCTCGTTTAAGAAACTCTGTGACCTCTCAATCATGTTCTTCTCAACGTCCTGCGCTTGCAGATAACTGTCTAGAATTTGTAGTACGTATGAAAGTCCCAGCATAGCCTTCGTAATGCCACTGCACTTGTTGCCCATCATTTTTGTCATCTTTTTATGTGCCTCTTTCTCTGCAATCTCCGGATCGTTTAACGCACCCCCTTTATATTGTAGCATTGTGAGTCTATTCAAAGCGCTCCGGATTTGCAAGTTATCCTAGGGTAACAATTGTGCCATCTTGCTCAGGCCTTCTTCGCATAATCTCGCAGCTCCGGGCAGATCCTTCCTGAGCAATAACCTTGCGGCATATTTAATTTTGGCTGCTAGTGTATCTGGATGGTCGTCACCTAGAACTTCCGACATTTTAGGAAGTGCTTCTGCTTGGAGCTCTTCAGCTTCTGATACTTTTCCTTGAAGGAGCAGATATTATCCAAGACTATTGGCGTCTCTAATGATCCCTGGATGACCGGGATCAAGAGATTACTTTCTCCTTTCAATGTTCGTTTTTAGCTTGGATATCACTTCTTCTACCTCGTTTTGCGCAACCATAGTGTCTGCTAGTCTAGAGACAGCTTCGAGAATGTCTGGATGGTTTTCCTCAAGGACTTTCTTTCTCTCTTCTAAGAATTCATTTTGCAAACTGCAGGTTCCGCATATTATTTCTGTTTGAAGTAGATATTTGCAAGATTACCAGTGGCTGAGATGGTAGCTTCATCACGATCTTTCAAGCTCTCCTTTCTCTTCTAAAAGGACTTCAAGATCCAACTTTCTTGCCTCCTCCAGTTCGTCCTGATCTCCTAGGGTAGTTGCAAGATCGCTTTTTTGCATTCATAACCTCAGGATTATCGCCCTTCATGTCAAGTTTTCTCTTTCCAGGACTTCCCGTTGTCGAGCTATGGTGTCCGCAAATTTCCCCTGTCGGTGGAGTGCCTTTGCATAATTTGCCTTAGCATTGACTGCGCCACGGTCAGTCTCTCCAAGCACATTCTTTCGCTGCTTTACAATAAAGTCTTCTACTTGTGTTTGAGCCGACCAGCGATCCAAATACTCAAGAAATCGAGCGAAGGAAGGCTGATCATTCGAGACGACGTCAAACAGTTCAGAACAACGATGCTCAAGTATCATCCGTGCAACAATGTTGAATACAGCCATTTGATGCGAAGCCACCCAATGCTTTTGCTTTGGGCTGGAAAGTTGGCTTTGCTTCTTCTTCAAGAATCCAACGACAGCCCTAATTGAAGCACATTTGCCTGGTGTACTCCATCGATCGCTCGCCCATGTACAAGCGCATGCACTACATAGCATGACTTATTTGAATTCCAACGCACGAATGGCAAGAACCTCAAAATTGCAAATGCGTCATCGACCTTGATCTGAGAGATTTCAACGCCACACTTCTGAGAAGTCCCATTTGACTTCATACTCTCGGAGTTTTCTTTCCTTTTAACCATTAAGAGATCGCCGAGTTGTTCGATATAAAATAATGATGTGCTAATGTTTGCGGTATCAAGGAAGGCTAATATGTTAGGCAACTTCACGGCTATATCGGAATTCTTATTTAGAGCACTGAGTGAACTCTCCCAGCTGGCCAGTAGACTTTAGCCATATTGGCTCAGCAATTGCCTGGGATTCTCACTCAAGATAGATCCTACTGCGGTAACTGTCCTCTTCCTCTAGATATCGTTCAAGATTGTAGCGAATTGGGTCTCTTTGGGAAATCACAGATCCTGTCATCAAAAGGGCAAGTGAAGGCATCCGAGTCTCTCAACAATATCCTTTGCCGCTTTTTGTTGAAAGCCAGGCATGCTGTTATAGTCCAAGTTAGAGCTCTTTAAAAAAGCTTCGGTGAGTCGTAATCATCCATTTCTCTAACCTCTATGGACGAAAAACTGGTTTTCTGAAGATTCGGGGTCCACTGGCGTGTAGTGATAATAACCTCCATAGACTTATTCTGTGGAATGAATTTCATGAGATCTACATAGTCTGATGAATCTGGGCTGTCAATGCTGTCTGCTCCATCGAACACAAAGAGATATATCCCTGGTTGCTGATCGAACCAATTTCTCACTCTAGACACCTTGTCGGTATTTGAGATGCTCTGGTGCTCCTCTTTGACGTCGAATAGTTCCTCATGGAGTTGGCTCATGCCCTTTTCAATAGAGTCTTCATTGCGGGCGTCAAAACCAGGCAATTCCGGAATTGACCTTTTTAAAACTTTGGATATAGTTTGGAACTAATTGTAATTCCCCAGAACCACCAAAGCCGTGTATGAACATAATTAATTGGCTAGGTGTTTTTCTCTGCAACGACTCGTGGAGCACTTGACTGAAGCTTCTCTTGCAACGTCAAACGGTCAACATAATCTGGTACTTGTCTTCTGGGTACACGATAGGACTTTTTCCGGTCCAGGGTCAGGCATTCGCCAATAGATTCCATCTGTATGTATCAGTTGATATTCAAACTTCTTGGCGAAATAAGGCTTACTAGCCTCGTCAAGTAGTTGCGCTGCGCACCTGTCAAGACTGGCTGATTGACCTTTCAAATAATCTTTTGTTACCTTCTTTATTCGATCCTGCTCTTTGAATTCATCTAATCCCATCTTTCCAATGCCTTGCTGGACATTGAAGCGGTAGTAGACCTTTTGTTGAGTGCCGTATATATACTCTCCATTTCTTTTTCGAACTTTTCCACTCTCATTTCTGTGTCGATCAAGAGCCCTTCAAAGAATTTCCGTAATAAGCCAACATCGTGATCTGGTGGGACACCAGTACCGATGCTAATAATGCACCCAATTCTGCGAGATTGCCAGATATCGCTAATCTCATCAAGTACTTGTCTAATAGGATTGTTGAACCATAATCTTCCGTCCGTGTATGCCACTTCGGGGTTACCCATCCTTATTGGAGCAAGAATGTTAGGGCTGCGGAGGTTGCTCTACAACATTTCCAAATTGGGTAACTTCTGTTGCATCTAGAGCAAGGCTCTCATAGCTGCGTAACAGACGGACAGGTGTTGCACTGCTTTTTTCGGGTTTAGTACAGACGAACCAGAAAGCTTCATCAGCTCACAGCCAGCTTACTAACTTTATAAAACATGCACTTTAGACTGAGGAAGGGAGATATCGCTGTGTGCTGTATCAGTGTGTACTTGGGACCTCAACAGCATCTCTCTGTCACCAAGGTGTTCCTCTACTAGTTCCTTGATTGTGTTCTCGAGCGGCTTAACACTGAACTTGGGATACTTCTCTGGTCCTGAGGTAACGGCTCTGTAAGTTTTACAAATTATATTGCCATGAGATATGTCATGTCCCATATCCAGATACTTGCTAATGCAACTCTCAATTTTCATTATGAGTATTCCAAGCATAACAGCAATAAGCCATAGCATGTTCAGCGCTGAAACTATAACTAGGGGCTCCATACTCTCCCTACTCACTCTCCTGTAGATATAGGAATATCACCCGATGTGCTCAGAGCATCTTGTTCCTAGTTAGCACTTGCTATTGTACGGAGATGTGTGGTAGTTCCGGTAGGGGTTGACCAATAAATATGAGGCTCATCCCCCTACCTAGAATCTCATTGTTCATGCCTAGTTTTCTCATTGATATGCGCCATCAGGTAGTTAGTGAATGGCACCCATCACACCTGGACCTCAACTAGAGCGAGGGTTAGGGGCTATCTTGTGAGGCAAATGATAAAGAATAAAACTGTCAAGACCTTTGAGTTTTGGAAGTTTTTACATGTCTACATACATGTGCTAGTTGCTCTGGTTACACCAGTAAACTCAGCACCCAGAGTCACGAGAATAAGGATAGCGAAATTAGTGATAATGGGGACGACAAGACCAACGAGAATCAGACCAGAAGAAGCAAGTGACGTGACCGTGGCCCCAGTCAGCATTATGGCTAGGTATGAAAATGAGTAACAGGCAAGCAAGGTGCAATCCCTTTTCTGAGCTGTGTATCCTAACTGACTGAGATATTGTATGATTCGACTGGCAGGAAATCTGCCGATTGATAGTGTATGATGGACTTAGCCCTAACCCTAGGACGTATTACTAAATATGGTAAAGCTTAAAAGGAAATTGTCCAATCAGAACTACTAAGTTCCGTAGGATGTCGCTGGGAATAAGGGGCTGTCGCTAGATCACAACCCTAATTTTTACACACTTGGTACCTAGGTATGTCCTCTTTTGTTTCTTCCAAGGTTTCAAATGTTGATATCACTTGATTCAAAGTTGTTTCTCGGCATTAATATTCAAATCTTCACAATGGCAAATAATCAATAGACTGAAAGGAATTTATTCATGGCTAGTATGCCATATGACATAATTAGGGGTCGATGAATTATTGGTGGTGGTGGCACCGGCAACATCATCTGGCCATCGATGACTTCAATAACCATTAGTATCAAATCTAAAGAATGAAATAAGCTTCAAGTTGCCGGAATCCCGTACTCGGACGAGGCCATCTCGAAGCCAGGGAGGTTTGGTTAAGGCGACATGCCGGCAAATTAGGGCTAAATCGATCAAGGTTAGGGCTGTAAATGGCACGTGTGGGCCCCCTATCTCTGATTGGATATTACCCCTTTTTGCTCCATTTTATCACGTGATGCAGTCCGATCCGCTTTACCTTTCCTATCCCGATTATTTTTCAAGGACTCCGATTGAATGATCTCGGCTCAAACATCCATCGATCCTCACCAACGACTCGATGGCTGCCCGCGAGCCTTCAAGGTGCCTACAAAGGGCGCTGCTCCGACCGTCACAACCTCATAAATATCAACAGTTCGCTTTCTCGAAACGCAATGCCTTCGGACAGGCTGCCGCCGCGGTCGATGTTGAAGCTGAATCTTCTTTGGCGACGCCTGTTCCTGAATCCGTTATAAAATCATATAACCCTGTTGCACGAGCAAAGGCACAGAATAAGTTACCTCGCAGTCGGTATGTTCACTTCCGAGTCATCATTGATTGCACGCAACATCGTCAAGGCAGTGATGTGATACTAACTTTGTTGGAAATATAGGTATCAATTCCGATCACCAAAATACGACCGTGGTCCTCTCCACCCTCACCGACCTCCTCCTCCCGCAGACCCATCTTCGCGTCTATTCATTCCCGGCCCCTTCTCTCTCCCACGCGTACAACAAACTTACGAATCAACCATTGCCTCCGACATCCTAACACTCTGCTACGTGCACCGACCTCCCGGTTTCCAACCACCCCCAAAAGCACCCCGTCTCCGATCCTGGGACGACAGTTCCCCATACCACAAAAATCGACCTTTGCGCGGGCCTCGTGGTGGTGATGTATTACGCCTCTTGCGCAAACCCATCACATTCCGCAACTTGCCCAAGGTTGAGAGGATCACGATTCATAGTTATGTGAAATACGCTGCTACGGAGGGTTCGCAATGGCTTCATGTTGCTGGTATGGCTGTTCAGGCTATTTCGAACGTTCGTGTTGAGACGTTCAAGTCCAAGACCAGTGTTGGTCCATGGGGGATTGTCCCTGGTCGTGATACCGTAGCTGTCAAGGCTGAGTTGTATCGTGAAGACATGCATCATTTCTTGGGAAAATTGGTGGATGTCGTTTTGCCCAAGATCAAGGAATGGAAAGGTGTCAAGGGAAGTAGTGGTGATAGCAGTGGGAATATTACGTTTGGTTTGGAGCCGGAGGAGATGGCTCTTTTCCCGGAGATTGAGGTCAACTATGACATGTAAGTCACTTGCACATTTGATTTCCTTGAACTGTGGACTAATGAATCTTTCGCACAGGTACCCTGTCAAAATGATCCCTGGTTGTCACATCACTCTCCACACATCTGCAACCACTGATAAAGATGCAAGACTTCTCCTGAGTGCGCTCGGAATACCATTTTATGGCAAATTCGTTAATTAGGTGTTCGGCGTTTAGCCAACTAGACAAAGCGCACAGTCAGGAGTTGGTGAGGATAAGATCGATGTTCGTTACATTACTTCTCCTATGTAGTATAGTTATATTTGTATGAATACAGTGTTTTGGTCTTTTTGATCCAAACTTTGACAAGAGGAGAAAATATAAATCATTCCAATCTCATTACATCGTTTCTTGTCCGAAAAACATACCCAAAACCAAGCACAATGACATCTGGCAGTTGACATGCACCCAAAACAAAGCACAAACAATTATATACGTACAGATTATATCAGAGCTCAATTACATCCCAACAGATGCTTTCGACGGTCAAACATTTACCGCCAAAAACTCACACTCCAACAACTCATCCGCACTAGGTCGTTTTTCATGATTAATCTCAAACGTCACATCCAAGAACGCACAAGCTTCCTTGCTAGCATGCTCTGGTGCCGGGGGGCGAGCTTGATTATTACCAATCGCAAAGATAGCTTGTAACTGACTGCAATCGGGGAATGGGTGAGCACCAATAAACATTTCCACGACAAGACAGCCCAGACTCCAGATATCTGCCTTTTTGGTATGGGCTGTTTGGCGTACGACTTCGGGCGCCATCCAGTAGACACTTCCTTGCAAGGAAGGGCGGTGCAAGTGGCCCTTCCCACTGACTGCACTCGATCCCAGCATAGCGGATGCTTCGACACGTTTTGAGATGCCGAAATCGGAGATTTTGATGCCTCCTTTGTTGTCGACGAGGATGTTGGCGCCCTTGATGTCACGGTGGATGATGTCACGGCTGTGTAGGTAAGATAATCCTGCAAGGATTTGGCGGACAAAGTTTTTGATGAGGGGTTCTTGGAAGGTGTTGTACTGTTTGAGCATTTCGGCGATGGAGCCACCCGGGACGTATTCCAGGAAAATGTTTAGGTTATGGTCGTCTGCGGAGGTACCGAGATATTGGACAATATTAGGATGGTGCAAGCCTTGTAAGAGTTCAATCTCGTGCTTTAGAGCGGTAACCATGGTGTTTTTCCTCTTGTCAAACTCCGTCCCCTTTGTGGCGGAAGGTAGTTCGACTTGTTTCACTGCCATGAGCTCTCCGGTAATTGCGTGAAGTGCAAGGAAGACACTTCCGAAAGAACCTTCACCAATCAGAGAACCCTTCATCCAGTTCTTGGCCGCGAAGTTGTCTCCATTCAAGAAGTCTGCGAGACCAGTATCCTCTTCTTCGCCGTCCTCCGCTACGATCATGCTCAATCGCTCATTCAAAGAGCCACCGCCATCAGTGGCTGCGACGCTCAACGTCTCGTCAAGGAAGCTTCTTTGGGTTGAGCTGGCATCACCAGATACAGCTTCGGATCCACTTCCGAATGATATGTAAGACTTCCGATCCGGTTCAATTGGCGACTCTTCTTGAAGAGGCTGCAGAGAACTCGAAGCGATCGAGTCTCGATATGAGATCTGAGGTAGATGAGATCTTGCAACTGATAGAGGTCGGGATGGGCGAGCTGATTGGCCCCCAGTAAGCCATGTGTCAGCGATACTAGGAATAGGAGGTGCATCCTTCAAGCTTGATGCAAAGCTAATATTACTGACAACACTCAGTCGACTCGCGGCTCGGCTCAGTCGTTGAGATCTTCGTACAGAGAGACGCATTGTCTTCTCGATATCCTCTCGTTGATGACTCGGGAAATATGAGGTTAGTTCATGAATGATCATTTCACTAGGAGGTCGAGCACCAAAGAAAGATCGTAGTTTTGATGCTGATGGGCGCTCCATGCTAGCAGAAGTTGGCGAAGCTTCGTGCTCATCATTTGACAGATGTCTCGATCTTTCCGAAGTCAGTGGAGAGATGGGTTGCTTGATATTGTGCCAAGGCTCCCCGGTCAGTTGTTGGATCTTGAGTTGGTTGCGGACGTTGGAGCTACTTAAAGCGTTGAGGTGAGTAGCCTGACTCTCATCAAGCGCTAACTGGGCGGCACGGCGTAGTTCATCGGCATCAGGTTCGCCAGTATGTATCTTTCTTAGGATAAGGCGACCACGTTCAGACTTCTGAGAACCCTCACAAATTCTCATCAGTTCGGAATCTGTCACCCGGCGGCAGTTGGCCGGATCAGGCTCTAGTCCGTCCAAGACATAGAAGCAATAATTCCGGTGTTGGTAATCAGGGAGTTGCAATTTTCTCAGCACAAGAAGCATGATTTCCTCGGCGCTCTTGCAACCTTTTACATTCATGGCTTTCGTCTGCCCGCCGGTATAGATTACTCGGATGACATAAGAATTAGCAGGAAGAGAGCCTATAGTATAACCGTCGATACTAGGATTCTGTCTCGAGTGCGACATTTGCGAAGTATCGCCAGGTGTGATCGGGCGACGTCCAGAGCCTGATCCGGCGGAAGACGGATGACTGAGATAACCAGGTATTCCATCCCGACGAGGGCCTTCTAGAGGACTAGTAGCGTGTCGGAGTGGTCGAGTTCTGTCGTCCATCGTCAGAGGAGACGAGGGCCGAGAATTGGATCTCCCGCTTATAGAGTCGAGTTGGCGTGACCATTTTGAAGATAATGGATTACGGGACCCTGACGATGAGTATACATCGTTCGACAAAGGTGCATATGTCGTAGCTTCGAGGGCCGCAAGAGGGTCCTATACCTCGTTAGAAACTTGCGGTAGATCGAATACTTTTGTTAAGCTTGCCGTATTGTTCTTTTTCTTACGATTAAGGAGAGCTTTGTTCCTAAGCTGCTTGATGGCGACGAATATCCGGACTCGGTCACCAATCTTCTTGATTCCGATTTCTTGAAGAATCTTTTGATCACACTCGAGCAAGTTATCTCCGTTGAAATTGTTTGCTATGCGACTTGTTAGCATGGAGTCTTTGAGGCACAAGAGCAGCAGCAAGTATACCTTTAAATAAAGGCTCGTATTGTCCACACCTTATACTATGAAGCCACTCCGCAAGCTTTTTCTCATCCCACGATCTATAAACGAGCGAGTCAGCCATCCAACCACTATTTATTCTTGATAGTAAAAGATTGTCTCCTACCGGACTGAATCCAATCCATCGTGATTAACTGAAAACTCAGACTCGGTGGGTGAGGTAAACATCCCAGTATCGCTCGTCATCGACGATGAGCCGGTTCTGTGAAAGCTCGTTGACTGATATGACGGGGTCGTTTGGGATGTCGAATGACCCAACGAAGTTTGGTATGCAGGCTTGGAGGCCAACATGATTGACTCGAGGATATAGATAAAAGTCTTTGGTGTGTAGATCATAGGCAAGCTCGATTATATGCTGTGACTCCAACACCGAAATGATGCTATTAAACGATTATTATACCCAACGCCAGGTCAACTCGGGGAACGAAACATGGCCACCACCACGACGACGAAGTAGACGGTAGGAACGAGGACCGAATATTTTCAGTTTGTAGAAGGTAGCGTATGGGTTCACGGAGTGTGCGATAATGCGCGATCGCTTTTAAGTCACTGTGAACAGATATTGTCCCGCGCTGATTAGGCGTGAAGTCGACCAGTATACCCAACTGTAGCAAAACCGACGACTCTGATATAACGACAGCGGAGGAGGACTTCGTAACGGTAGTAGGACGGTAAAAATATTGCGATACTTTATAAGTATAAATCAAAAGGACGGAGGGGTTGAGTAGTGAAGAGGTTGATATTGGGACCGATTATTAAGGTTGGCTCGTTAGGGGCACGGCTAACATCGTCCGGTCTCAGATAGACTGCCGCAACGTCGACAACAATGCCACTGAATGACTATTATTATGATAATCGAACAACAGAAACATGAATAAACATTTTATTTACAGCATTGTCAATGCGATATAAGTGCCGTGAGCAGTCCAGCGATGGTTGACCTATGTTTCGCAAGTCGGGATGCTGAGCGGCATCATGAAACAATCTGAAACTCGTCAGTCAGCCAGTAGACGTGTTCGCCTATGTTACTCCGGTCGTCGACAATACAGATAAGGGATGACCTTTACGATCTTTGCAACAGAGCTTTTATGCAAGTCAATTTCCTGGTTCTGTTCCTGCAGCAGCGTGTTTCTTCACTCTGTTAGTGTGTTTATTCTTGGTATCTTCAGCAACTTCTTGATTGATGCCTGGGGCATCAGCTCACTTTTCAATATAGCTGGTATTGTTCAGAACATCCAGCAAGCATTATCCTTGACGCTATCCGTTCGATATAAGTGTCGACTAATATTAGCCTGATTGTTACTGTGCATCTTTGTCGTTCTGTGCTTACATTCTATTGGACGGGAATGCTTCGTTTCTATTAAATGAATTCGCTCAAATAGAAAGAAACTATTATTATAACAAAGCAATGTAAGCACATCCTACCGTAGAGAACCTTCGGAAAGATTAATAATGCCTAGGTTTCTACATGCGTGATTGTCTAAATGATATGGGAGCAGCCCTAGTTCCTTTTACGTATCAAATCCGACGAAATCCGACAGAATCCGCCAAACCCGACAAGTCCAATGGGCCGATAGCTGGTGATAACCTCTGGAGTCAGGTTTTTACATTGATCTTTCTCAAATTCTACTTCGTACAGTAGAGATCTAACAATGGCGGCCGATAGCCATCGGACCCGCCCTAAGCAAGCATGCCTCACCTGCAAGACTCGTAAGAAGAAATGCAACAAGGGCCTTCCTTCATGTAACTATTGTATACTGTAAGTACTGAGGTCCGGGTTGTATGCTCGCAAACAATGCTTACGATTGGGCACAGAAAAGATCTTGAATGTCGCTACGTCCCAGTTACTCGCCAGCGTGTTTATGGCACCCCGAACACCGACATCTCAACACCTACAGCAATACGCCGTGAGATACTGACAGCCGAAACTATTGATGGCCCGACGCGGACGAGCATTCCAGAGCCTGCAACTACTCCTAGAAAGACTACTCTATATCGTCCGGTCTTTGAGTCCTTGTCAGTACCTAGCCCAAAGCCAGGCAATCTGCAACGAATTCCCAAAGCATTGGACCATTACTGACGAAAATAATATAGGGATGGCGTCCACCTCGAGGTTCAAAATATTATCCGTTTGTCTGGTGAATTTATGGACGACCTCACGTCTCGCTATTTCCGAAACTTGCACGGCAACCTGCCTATCATTTCCCGTGAGCGCTTTCAGAGCAGCCTCACTGGAATGGGAACGCCACCTAGTGCTGACTCCTCAATTCTACTACTAACTGTCTGCTTAATTGCATACCTCCCCAATCCTAAACTGTCTCAGCGAGACGGAGACACGATTGGCCGCCGGTCTCTGTATCTCGCCACAAAGGCACTTCTCGCACAGGTCCAGGGATGCTTGCAGCCTTCTATTTCTCTAATACAGGCTAGCCTCTTGCTGGCTACATATGAATATGCAAATGGAAGGCCAGAAGTTGCATTGGTCACAATTGCGGGCTGTGCGCGGATGGCCTATGCTGCTGGTATCCACAAAAGCAAACCCCATAATATGATGGATGGTGACTCCAGACTAGAAGCCGAAGAAGCTGCAAATACGTGGTGGGGCATTGTCATCTCTGAACGGTAAGTACTTCTATGTATTTGGGCAAAGCATCGATGGACTGACACAAACCTTGTTTGCGCTAGAGCTTTCGCTTGTGAGATAGATGACTATGAGCAGCCAATGGCTACTATTCTTCCTTCTGGGGACGTACAGCTACCTATCGACCGCCAAAAACTTGATATTGGGGATCTCCTTAGTCCAGATTCTATGCCTAATATTCCCGCCTCACGTTTGACGATAACAAGCATTGGCTGCTTCGGCCGTGCTGCACAAGCCTCTTGCCTCTTGGACCAAGTCTTAAAAGCCTTGGTCATACCAAATCTTACCATCAGACTACCTCTGCTTGAAAGCCTAGACAGGGCTATCCAGTCATTTTTAGCTGATATCTTGGCCCTCATCCCAGGCAAAGGGTCGGCATATTGCACAGCGTTAGCAGTGACGGTCAGGTAAATCTCCACGTCTTTGACGCGAGTATCACATCCTAACCAAATGCAGAACACTATTTAAATTACACGAGCACGTCTTGAGCATATCGCAACAAGCCGTTTTTGTCAATTTGAGATCCCTAGAAGAATGGAAGAAGAGTTCCCTAGCGGCACTCGATACTGCAACGACTATGGTTAACGATATGGCGAAATGGCATTACAGTATCCTGCCTTTAGATGGGAGTAATAATACGTCTCCAATTTACATTTACGTAGTTCGTGCTTCGATTAAGCATATGCGTACTCGGCCATATAATGGAGATTATCCTTGGCCAGAGAGCTCTGAGAATGAACTCCAACTCTATCTGGACAGGCTTCAGCACCAATGGGTTACTTCATATGATTATTAAATGATGTCTTTTACTAGCTTCCATAAAGGTGGTGGAATTCAAATTCAGATACTATGGCGTGACTAGTTCATGGAGTCATGGAGTTGGAATTCAGCTACCTAGAGACCTAGCAGTTGGATATCCAACTGGGTTACTTACAGATGAATGTGAGTCTTTGCAACACTTTTTCCGTCTCTATATGCGTCTAGCACCTCATTAACGTTCTCAGCCGTTAATCCCCTCTTCACGACATAAGCTAGTGGCTTGATTTGCCTAGACTCGAGGTAGGATGGAACTCGTGACCAAAATCCGGCTGCGAGTTCAGGATGCACTTGCGAGCTGCCAAAGACATCACGTACATCGAATCCTGCTCTCTTCCCCAGGACTTTCGACTCGTCAACCGGGACACGAGGTATGAGTCGGGCCAGTGCGCCTCTCTTGCTGCTTGATAGTGCATTTAACGCGAGCAACTGGCCCTCTGCAGGATTGATAGAGTCATAGGCGTACACTAAATCGTCGCCTACTATATCACGAATTTTGGTTAGTACCATCTCGTACCCAGCATAGCGGTCGATGACATGAGTGGCCCCAAAGGACCTCAACTTGGCCTCATCCCCACCAACTACTACTATGCGCCCAATGTTTGCGAGCTTGGCGAGTTGGACACCGAATTGGCCACAGTTTGACCCACCTCCAACAATCAGAATTGTCGTGTTGGCGTAGTCAAAGTCCTTAGCAGCGGGCAACCACGGTGCAGGGATCTGCAACGCGTCGAACAGAGCCACTAAAGGCGCAATGATGTTGGTAGGCAACGTAGCAGCTTCATCGTCTGTAATAGAATCCGGAATCTTAGTCAGAGCCCCTAGCTCAGCGAGGGCATATTCTTGCAGGCCATTCTGTTTCGAACCCGGAGCGAATGACGGTTGATACACGATACGATCGCCAATTGCAAGATCAGTGACTCCTGGACCCAGTTTTGTGATCCTCCCGACGACGTCGTTGGTAGGGACGGAGGGGAGGTCGGTGTCCCCTGAGTAGTCTTTTGGGACCGGGGTAAGATCTCGAAGAATGAAGAGTCCCCAGTCACGGCTCTTCTGGTCATGAGGGTTGAGACCGGCAACGGCCACTTTTACCTGCACCTGACCAGCGCTTGGTTCAGGAATAGGCCAGTCGCTCACCAGAGTGACGGGTTTACCGAGCTCTGACACGACGATCGCTTTCTGAGTGGGAGACATGCTGGCTGATATGTGAGCGGTGGCTACGTTTGCTGTTTGCTGAACAGAGTGAGTGCTTTCCTGACTTGATGGACATGGACTACGAGAGAATATTTATAAGTTGCAAAACGCTAGTTAACTATGTTACTTGTTGATTAATAATAAAACAGGCTGTCGGGAAATTGTCGGACGTCTCTTTACTTCTGTCGGGCCCATCGGCCGCCACAGTACATGGAGGAGTTACATGACTTGAACGTGGATAGCCTTTAGTCGGGCCTTGATTGCCAATTTCAAACTCTCCGAGTATCCTTGGAGGACGGATGGGGCAGTATATATGATGAAGTTGATAAAAAAGGCCGACAGCGATGAGTGGACGCTACATCATTTTTACGTGCAGCACAATAGACCCATATCTTTGTCTCAAAAGCTTCCAGTCTCAAATTCTGCTTTTCTTCTTCCAAGTCGCTTTACTGTCCCTGGAGACTGGCTGTTAAAGCATTCGAACACCAACAAGTTTAACTTCTCTCCCGACTCCAAGCAAGTGGAATACCGTAATGGACCCTTCTCCTACCTATTAGTAGTGATAGATTGATTACCTGCTGACTTTAGTCTGATCTCTAGAAGAAAGTTCTCAGGTTGCCGTCAGTGTGCGCGCTGACCACCCATTTCCTCCTCGAGGTAGTGGCAGCCAGTGCTTCGAGATCAAGCTTTTACATCGCGACAATCTGGAATCAAACAATATTCCCACTATTGGCATCGGTTTAGCTTCTGAATACAATGACATGGAGCCATGCATGGCTTTTCGGGGTAGCAGAGATACCCATTTTCCTATCGGCTATCACAATGATGACGACCACATCTATGAGTCTTCCGACGGTGCCGAGTCCTCCAAGGAAACTGGTCGATTCTACCAGGAAGAAGATATTGTGGGCTGCGGGATCTGCTGGGATGAGGAATCTGTCTACTACGCTACACCCTCAATGGAGGGCGGATTGGTAAAGCCCCCTTCCTCTTCTTTTGGCTGTCTAGAATTGATCCCTGCTAACATCTGTCTTGTATCAGGCAAGTACCAGACCAAATCAATATACTGAATGCTATACCCCGTGATCACTATACGTGGTTATCCGTGTACTTTCAGTGTGAACTTTGGCAAGGGCTGGGACGCTGAGAGAAGACTATTCATGTATTCGCCCCATAATTGACTTCTGTTGACTATCTTTAGTTAAGTGCGTTCTTCAGGGGCAAGGCGAGTTTTCTCGATTCATATCTGTCAGAAAATGTTGGGGGGTGCAGGGCCTATAAGGCTATTTGAATACGGGGTACTAGCGAACAAATTAGGGTTGCCGCATTTAAGCAACGCCGAGATTGTAACCATTCGTTATAGCGAGAGTCCGCTTCATAGCGGAACATGGCTATAACGAACAATTGAGTTTGATGTAGAGATCAAGAACACTACGGTATATTAATCCAGTTTGGTATTAATAATTCCGATGCTCTTCTATACCATATCAAAGTAATTCTAGCAGAGATTAGTACGAGTTCCTTTCGTAATAACGAGGCTCTACCGTATATACCCAAAGAACAAGGCTGACGCAGGTAGACTCCCCTCACCCCACAGATTTTCTCTTTCCCCGCTTAAAGCCTTGAAATCTCCCCATACAACAATTACCTTCCTATCTGCCATCCATGCTCTCGCTACTGTCATCTTCAGAGACGATGGAAGCAGATCAGCCTTCTCCAGAAAAGCCGCGCAAGAAGACGACTTCTGCTGCCCATCGCAAGTCATTAGCGTGCGAATACTGTCATCGCTCATTTGCGCGGCTCGAACATCTCCAAAGACATCTCCGCACTCGTGAGTTGTTGCTGTTCTCCCCCGCCCGCCCAGCGTCTTTGGAGGACAACTGTCCCATTGCCTGAGTAAGCCTACTAACATCATTTGTGGCTTCTATAGACACGAAAGAAAAGCCTTTCTCGTGTGATATTTGTTCCAAGTCTTTCGCTCGAAGGTATGGCCGGACCCATTGCTTTCCCTGTTGTGAAACCTAATGCTCTCTGACATTGTATGACTAAATCCCGAGATAAAACAGTGACCTGCTTGTCCGACATGAGCGCTTAGTGCATCCTGGCGAAGCGGCCGCTCATCGAGGGGAGCGTCGGTCCGGGACCGATGCTACAGCTTCCCACCAGACGGTCCCGCTGAGTCCGGCTTCCATGATCCCACAGGCTCATCATGAGTCTCGCATGCTGGACATGCATGACTCCATAAGTATTCAGCAACAACCGCCTCCACCTCCACCGGTGCCCCCGCCAGAGGTACAGGTGCATCATGCACCGTTGATTGAGCCGAATCACTTCAATCCCTCGTGGGGCTACGATCTCAACCTTCTTTCACACGCCGCAAGTCATGTTGCTCTGGAAAACCAACAAGAAATAGCACTGGAATCCATTCGCAAACCACATCTCCCAACCGGACCCTCTCCTCAGTTACAGCCTACAATACAAGAGAAAAGCATTTCCGATGCATACAGTGTTGAGCCGTCTTTTCTTGATCTTACCGATCTCGGAGATCCAGTTCAAGATTTCTCGGTTTTTCTAGAGAGCGTCGGTTTATCAACCGATTGGGATTCAGGTGTCTTTTCATCAGTTGAGACGGATCCGTTATTATCCAACTCCATCCAATTCGATTCCAAAACGGCAAATCGAGAATACGGGCAGCCAAGACTGAATCCGGATATTCTCAGTGAACAGCGGGGATCTGCAGATGAAGCTCCATCTTTCTCCAACTTCGGGTCCAGACTTCCATCCTTGCAACCTGAACCTCAGGAATCTGATGAACGCGCCAGTCTACTCGATGACCCTACAAATCCCCGTCCGGCATGGGATATTTCAAACACTGATCGGCAGTTGTTTCTCTCTAGACTTGAAGAGTTTGCACATGTTCTCCCCCGTGGATTCATCCCACCCTCTAGACATGCTCTATCACGTTTCATTGCCGGCTATATCAACGGGCTCAACGAGCATCTTCCATTTATCCATGTACCGACGCTGTCTGTAGTTAGATGTCTTCCGGAGCTCACCTTGGCCCTTGCTGCTGCCGGATCCCATTACAGATTCGAAAACAGTCGGGGAATAGAGCTGTTTCATGCAGCCAAGGCAGTCTTGTTTGAACGCATTCGACGAAGAGACGCGAAGCAAGTTCCCACGCCGACATGGGATATCTACATTCCCAGCATGTCATCTCAAAGAAGTTCTATTGCTCCTTCGAATACCCCTGGTAGCCCTTTTCAGACCCAAAAATATCCTCATCAGCTGGATACCATGAGCTACATGATGGGTGAGTCCGAAGCTCATATGGAAGTCATCCGAACGTTTTTGCTCTTGACTGTATTCGCATCATGGGAAAAACAGCCAGAGTTACTTCGAGAAATCCTTGCTCTACAAAGTACCCTGGCCAGGCTAGTGCGTGAACACGGATTATCAGACTCGATCATGATCTCCGATAACCTAGCCTGGGATGAGTGGGCACGGCTAGAGGGCAACCGACGTACAAAACTAATTGTTTACTGTTTCTTTAATCTTCATTCCATCATGTACAACATTCCCCCGCTTATAATGAATTCGGAACTGAACTTGAGGATGCCGTGTGCCCACGATATCTGGAAAGCTAATAATGCATCGCAATGGCGACGGATATATCGCTCGCGGCATGAACCGATTGTCACTTTTCAGGAGGCCTTCGCAAAACTCTTTCTCAAAACACCACCATCGAATCCATGCCCCATATCACCACTCGGGAATTATATCCTGATTCATGCCATCATTCAACAGATATTCTTTGCTCGTCAGCTACGCATATCAGCACCACTTATGCCAGGCACAAGTCTTCGTCCCGAGGACCTAGCAGCATTGGAGAATGCATTGAACGCATGGAAGGCAGGATGGAAAAGAACGCCCGGGTCAAGCATTGACCCTCAAAATCCAGCAGGGCCTATTGCTTTTACGTCAACCGCCCTTCTGGGACTGGCTTATATCAGACTTCATCTTGATTTAGGGCCATGTCGACGGCTAGTGACTCAAGATCCACTTCAAATCGCAAGAGCCTTGCAAGACTCTCCGCCCATTGTGCGCAGCCCGAAACTCATCATGGCTCTACTCCACTCGGCTCACGCGCTTTCAATTCCCGTCAGACTCGGCATCGACTTTGTTGCGCGCACACATTCATTTTTTTGGAGTATCCAGCACTCACTTTGCAGTCTCGAATGCGCATTCCTCCTCAGTAGATGGCTCCTTTCGATCCCATTAACCCAAAACGAGCAAAGACTATCTGACCATGAACGAAAACTACTTTTATGGATTAAGAGCATGATGGATGAAACTGATATGGCAGTAGTATCCTCGTCAAATGATGGGAACGATCTTGATTTCATTCAAGATCCATTCAAGGTTAGACGGTTAAGTGTTGCCGTTGTGCGTGTTTGGGCACGCACGTTCAAGGGGAATACCAGTTGGGCTATTGTTGATTTGATAGGATCTAGCCTTCAGGCTTATGCTGATCTTTTGGAAGGCTGATGTTTATACACTATGAATTGGGGGGTTCCTATCATTTCTTCAAGTACTAGGCCGTTGTCAGTTCCCTTACACACTCTTGATACCCTGATGCCCCCGTTCCACTTACCCTACGACGATCAATGATATCAACGGCCTAGGAAATGTACACTTGTTTCATCTTTTGGAATGGTTTGTTTTTGTACTATTGTATGCTTTGCCACGAGTCACGAAGCTCGTGGTTCTGTTTTCGGATATAGTATATATGTACTTTTCATTTGCAATGCAAGTCTATGGCAGTGAGACACGACTGAACCATCGGTAAGCGTAAAGTTGAACATCCATCTATATATGCTATTATGCTATAAAGCCCGACTTCATCCTCGGCCGAGGAATCTACTTACGCTCCAACTCCAACCTCTTAATCACACTCGTCGGCACAAACCTCAGCGCCGAAAGGGACGAAGCTAGGACATCGATCTCATCATCACCCACTTCCATACCCTGCTCTTTCGATGATTCATCTAACCCTTCGCCATCATTCACTGGAGCCAAAGATACAGAAGTTTTCCTATTCCGTAATCGACCTTCCAGCGGTGATTGCGGAGGTAGTGATAGCCGACGGTGGTGGCCGTGATTTTGTGAAGTGTGTAATAGAGAATTTTGTTTGTCAATGCCGTCGTTGACGATGAAGAAATTGTAGTTCTACATTTAAAACCGAAGATATAAGTAGCCAAGCAACGTGTGTTTTACTTTGATGGTAGGTTGGAAGTCAGACTTACTCGGGGGAACATGTGCTTGTCAATCAGATGTCGACGACGCTTTTGGGGAGTTGAGCATTTCCTTTCGCAGCCTTCTACGAAGCAGCTGAACTAGGACAATATTTTAGTTTGAAGTCCCATATGCATGAAGGAACAGCGGTTAGTACTTACAGTCTTCTCTCCTCTATCTCGCCGAGCAAGAATTAGGGGATCATGATTCTCCTCAATATGGATATTTAATATATGCTGCGTTGGAAAGTTCTTGCCGCATTCCGAGCAGCGATTGACATGAAATTTGAGGTAGTGAGCTTCATAATCGTCATAAGATGAGAACGTGAGGGTATCTTTGTGAGGTGGTAATGAGCATTTCATGAGACACTGCTGTTGGGGTTGAGATTCGCTGCTGTTATCTGGTGAAGGGACTGTGATCTTGGTAGGTGGTGAAGTTGATTGCTCTGGTTCTGTGAGGTGGAGGGGAGATGCATCCGAGGTTTGGTCATTTGTTCTCGACCGCTTCGCCATGTTTTGCACGTGGCCTCTGAACGTCCACCAATACTGTCTACATGACCTTCAAAAAATTGAAGGATTGAAGTGTTCTTGGAAATTGAGAGAGTGAAGTCATATGCATTGTTTGATGTCAGCCACAGCAGTCCATTTGCGCACCAATCATATTCTCTCAATCTTATCCAATGAAACATCATACTAGCCACAGCAATCCCACATTTATCATGCGTTTATCAGCCACAGTGGGAGACAATTCAGCCAATCAGCGCACAGCCTCCACAGCCAGCGTTTTTATTGTTTGCTCCTCCTTCCCCAAAATTGATCTGAATAGAAGGTGAACACTTTCATCTCTCTTCTCTCAGTCAGAGGTGAACTATCCCGAGTTATCCTGTTTGCAGAGGCCTGAATGTCGGCCTCTTTCTACTTCATTTATTCATCCTAGAAACATTCATCTCCCCGCGAATCGCTCATGGATCATACACGATACTGGCTCCTCGATAATCCGAAGCCAGCTATATGACGGCGTGGTTGATCTTTGAAGTTATGCGCGCGCCTATTCCTCAAACTTTTTGAGCATGGAGACTGCATTTCAGGATGCTTGGCAGTGCGTGTTCCCCTTTTTCGAAATAATTTTTAGGTTTTGACATGATGATTCATGATCTTAATGGTGGTGTGACCTTGACTGACTCCACAGAATAGAACCGCAGTCCAAGCCGAAAAAGATCTTCTCAAGACACTCGCAGACAAAGAGCCAACCTTTGCAGAAATCGCCCACTGCCTTGCGGAGTCAGTAACCGCTTCACTTTCCTTGACGAAAACGTCCCCCCTGATAATCTGACCTATTGTCCAGGTTCCGTACGACATGTCGCAACGCTATATTCATCGATTTTGATGCCGCTGCGGCGGAAAATGCTGAAGCTCGCTTATGGGATGCGCATGTCAAAATCAATGCTCGTTTTCGCAAACTTCTGGCGCGAGTAAGTACCGACTACGGAGAGGTCTGTTTCTTGTTGGGGAGGAAACTAAGAATTGATGCGCCGTTACAGTTTCGGGATGATGCAGGCAAAAAGAAACCTGTCGAGAAGCGAAAGCTGGAAAAGCATTATCTCGACTTTATAAAATTGAGCCAGAAGTTTTACAGGGGGTATATCCAACATCTGGCGTTGCATTATGCCGGAATTCCCGAGTTGGAGAAGGTCGCGAAGAAATTCAGCTTTGAAAGTAATATAAACTATTCTGTCTGGCTATTGGTCTTGCCGACTGACACTTTATTGAACAATAGACCTCTCAGTGGAAACTCCGGCCAACCCTGATCTTGACTTGCGTAGCAGGATACTTCAATCCTGCCACGCTACTCTAATACGCTTGGGCGATTTATCGCGCTATCGTGAGACAGAGCTTGTATCGGGTAAAGAACGGAATTGGGGACCTGCAATTGGTTATTACGATCTTGCAAGTATCATCTATCCAGCTTCCGGTGCTTCGCACAACCAGCTCGCGGTGATTGCATTGGCCGACGGCAACCACCTCAGAGCTACCTACCATTTATATCGAGCACTGTCAGCACAAGAGCCCCGTCCAGGTTCCAAGGGGAACTTGGAAATAGAGTTTAAGAAAGTTCTTAGTGCTTGGGCGAGAAAAGAACTTATCCCACGGGAAGATGCTGGTATCCCTGGAAAGGCGTTGACTCCTTGGTTTGTGTACCTACATGCACAATGTTACAAGGGGCTCGACTTTCCGGAACACGACGAGCTCGAAAACGAGGTACTCAGTCAGCTAGCAGTTGACCTGAAAGAGAGATCTCTTGAAGGTACTCTTCAGAAGTTTGTTCTGATAAATATCGCGGCGGAAGAGCTTGCCAAAACTAGATCTAAAAGTAGGATTCTTCGACTTGGATTTATCCCATTCTGTTACTAATCAAGATACACCTTATAGGCGAACCAACTCATAACGCACAGCTATTCTTCCAGAGGATTAATGTCAAAACTTTTTTCACGCTCCTTCAAATTCTTTTGGCTGAGCTTGAACGCTTCGCAACCGAAGATTCCGAATCCAAAGAATCTCAACATGGATCGGAAAAAGTCACTGTTGTTGCACGGCGTGTCTTGCCCGCTCTCCGAAACTACAGCTCGTGGCTTCTGACGAATTGTGTCTCATTGACGGCACAAAAGCAAGACAAGGATACAGTTCTTGCAGTACAGATTCAGGAGTTTTGGAAGATCTATGCCAATACATTGACATTGCTAGCATCAACCTTTGATGTCACGAGTCTTCCAGAAGTTGATTATCTTCTAGAGGAAGATGAGGAGACACTTGGCTTTAAGCCGCTCATCAATGATGCAACTAGCCGACGTTATCTATCAGAGAATGCTAGCAAGACAAAGCCTAGAATGCTCGATCCAGGCATTGAGAGGAATCATCCTAATATTGAAATGCTATATCGAATCCGAGAATTCGTTATCGATGGACTGGATCTCGTTATTAGCAATGTAAGTACTCCATCGTTACTTGTAGCTAGCCGCATACTAATTTGTTGAATAGCGAATCCCAATCACTCTTGTTGATGAAAATGAACGCAAGATGTTCATTTACCAAGAGGAGGGACTTCCTTCCCAGTTCTATGCAAGCCCTCGAGGACCTCAGCCTACTATTTCGTCAACGAGCGTTCAAAGAGATGAGATCCGCAATGCACAGCGTGGAAGAAATGTGACGACGGAAGGCCGGAGTGCCTTTGGTGGTTCTCAATCAGCTTCTATCTCGGCTTCTACGAACTTCAATCGTATCGTTGAAGGCGTCGAAAAACTGGTAGAGTCAGACACCTATGAAGCACCGCCAGCAATGCCACAAGTGCCGGAATTTATGCGACCAATGCAATCTTCGACTACCTATCCCAACGTAATCAATTTGCAAAGTACGCCTCAGCATGTTCCATATCAGACGCCAATGGTACCCCCTGGTTTTGGGTCGCAAGGTTCTCCAGCACCACCCCAAACCTATGCGCCCCTGTACACAAGCTCGAGTATCTGGGGACCTAATAACACCTCGCTGTCTAACAATGACGTATCCCCTCATCGGTTCAATGCCACCCAAGCACTGGGGTCCTCCCAGTTATCAGCAGGGGCGCAAGAAGCTTACATTCCGAGTCCTAGTCTAGTCGCTTTGCAAAACGGGCTGCACTTACAACAACAGGAAATTGAAGGGCGGTCGTCCTCGCAACCGTTTAGTTCAAGCTGGTCATCGACCAATCTCACACAACCGGGTTGGGATAGAAATCAATTTGAGGGCGGGCCTCCATACCGTGCTTCACTGCTTCAGCATGAGTCAGTTCCAGGTTATGATTATCCATCGCAGCATAATCAGGCTTTTATTGCTTCAACCTTGTCTCCGTCTCATGCTTCTGATAATCGGCAAAGTACGCAGAATAGTTCGGCTCGGTTCGGGGCTATTGGTCAGCAGACTCCTCCCTGTGGCCAGGCGGGTTGAAGTATGGCTCGTTAAAAGATTGAGATTCTGCTATTGATATCTGCGGCCGCGAGCCAGCGATCATGGGTTTACCTGGGTATGTCGAATCTTCGAGTCCGGCTACATACTTGTGAACCTCGGCGACAAGCGCGATTGAACAATTCACTCGAACTTGCCATGCAAAATCTGCCCAGAAAGAACCGACCCGGCTCTCTAAATTACCACAAGGTAGCTGTCAAGAATGCTTGTCTAAGCACAGGACACAGCTCCTGTTTCCACACCTTGTGACTGGCTTCGTTCTTCAAATCACAAGCTAACAGGGTGAAGATTCATATACACCTTTATGTCAATTCTTTTGTCTATACCTAGTATTTGATCACTGTGTACTCTAGTATTTACAATATGATAAGCAATGCGACTGTATCAAACTTCATGAAATATCATTGATAATTACTCCGGTTGTACTGACATGTTACTCCTCGAGTAGACACAGATAATAGTAGAACATATACCGTACATAAAGACCAAATCATCGTCGTTGAAGACGTTGCATTTCTATTCTTTTCTAATTTTTTCATTTTGCAAATTGCTTCTTCTTTCCCCACTTTTCTCTGTTCTCTGTCATGTGCATGTGCAGAGCATATCAAGAGAATAGAATGTGAAAGAACGAAAAAGACAACAGGAAAGCAAATCCGCATAGTTTAATTTGTTTTGTTTTGAAATAAAGCTATGTCTTCTGAGTTTCGTTAAGAAGCAATTGAGACAGGGTATATAATGGGTTGAATCATTAAATAGAAATTTGTTTTTGGAAAGTTGTCAGGATAGCGTCAGGTTGGTCGTAAACAGGAAGAAGTCTCATATTTATTGGCGAGGGTAGGTTTGTTTGGGGAAGGGGAATCTAAATCATGTTAGTGTACTATTGGTCAGTGAAGGAGAAAGGGGGGCGCATACGAAGGACCCAATTCCTGAATGCTCAAACTCGCAAGCCATTGACCAAGATCAATACTCTGCTCCAAAGATTTCCCCTGCACAATACCAGCCACAAATCCACCGGCAAATGCATCCCCAGCGCCATTAGTATCATTAATCTTCTCCTTGGGGATTTCATGAACGGGGTACTCCTTCGTCTCAACGGCACCGTTTGCGCCTGCGACAGCAGTGACCGTGGGTAAAGTTCCCTGCGTAATGATCACAACACGGGACCGTTGGGTATTCTTCTTTTCGAGGGTGGTGAGTTTTTTGGCGATTTCAGCGATGTCGGATAGACCCCATCCGTGACTTTCGGAGTAGGCGAGGGCTTCAGTTTCGTTGCCGATTAGGTAGTCGACATAGGGGATTACGCTGTCGAGTTGGTCTTTGAAGAATTGTGGGATGAAGGGGGCGGAGAGAGAGAAGACGAATGGCTACGCATATATCATCAGCGGGTTGCCCTTTAAGGGATGAGAGGTGAGAGAGGAGAGATACCTTATTCTTCCCAGCAGCTTCTTCAGCAAGAGCCAAAATAGCCGGCACAGAGACCGTCAAGTGATATCCACCAACATAGTAGACCTGAGCCTTCTCAACAAGAGACCAGATATGGGGTTGTTTCAAGTGGTCAAGTTTGTATTCGTTGGCAGCAGCGAGGTGGGTGACCATGCTACGGTTATGGCCAGTAATGATAACACCACATTTCCCGGTAGGCTGGACCTCGTCAATGCGGTATTCGGTGTGGACACCGGCCTTTTTGCAGGTTTCCCGCAGGATGTCGCCGTACTTGTCTTTGCCGACGCAGCCAATGTAGACGACAGAGTTTTCGGGGAGGATGTACTGGCAAATCAAAATTGAGTATGATGGACAATTGACTTGTTTTTGAAGTAGTCATACCTGGGCACCTCGAGCGGTGTTCTGAGCAGCACCACCTGCAATCAATTTTGCATTGTGGTTCTGGAGAAGATCCTCATAGAGGCCCATGTGTTTCTCCTCGGCGAGAATGGCATCGTTGGCCTTGACACCATACTTTTCCAAGAGGGCGTCGTCACTGCGAGTTATAAGCCTCTGTCCAAGTAATTCGAAAGAAATTGTAGGCCAAATGAAGGGGAAAAGTCGTACCCAACACCCTGGATATCTGATTAAGAAGTAAGCTGCATATTCATTCAATAACTCCGATCAGGTCGTACGAACCGAGAAGAGGGTTCTCCAGACAGAGAAGAGGGTATCCTTGAGGAGACGCCATTTTGAACAATTGCGCAGTTTTCCGGAATCAAGTGAGTGAATTGAAAAGAGAAGTAGAAAAATGTTTGGTTTATATGTTTTTATTTAGACGTGGGGTTGCGGGACGGAGGGGAGTGAGTAGTCAGTCTATGGGAGCCGACCTTCGGTGTCCGGGAACTTGACTTGACACAGCTCCATCGGACTGCAAGCTCAACATATCCATCGCAGTCCATACCAAGAAACCAAAGCTGTTTCCGATCCAATTCCACCGAGACTAATTATCGATCTACAATCCTCCTCCAATACAGATAATATATAAGCAAAATGTCTCACGCCGCCCTAGGAATTGCAGAGACCATCCAAACCGCCTCCATAAAACGTCATCCCTCACCGCGACACGACATCAACCCATCCACAGCCGCATCGGAAAAACTGCCCTACGAAGATGCAGATCACTCAGACACAGCAAGTATCGCAACAGATATTCTTGATCGACCCGCTGCTCTTCGTCCAGCTGCTCGTCGACGAGATCTTCCCCCCTTGCCGGATTTGAGGTTTGAGCAGAGTTATTTAGCTAGTATTAGGGGTGCGGAGACATGGCAGCGCGTGACTTGGATTACTATCAGAGATCAGGTCTTTCTTCCGCTGATACAGGGTACACTCTGGACCCTTGCGCTCTGCGGATGGCGGTTCTGGAATCGCAATGCTCAACTCCATGGAAACACGCTCGGAACACGGCTACGGAGGTGGTGGTATGGAGTGAATAATTGGCCTATTCCGCCTCAGGGTATCAAGTCAAATAAGAAATTCGCTGAGCGAGTTCAGGATGTGAGCCGGTCTCAATTTACTGCTTGAGTATTGCATATTCTGACCACATGGATAGTTTTACACTGCGCAGTTTTCGAGTGATTGACTAGCCGACTATGAAATTTGAGTTTCAACTATATTATGGGCGCTTGATATCGACCTTAAAATTGCATTAAAGGGCGTTCTGGGCGTTTAGCGATTGATTCAATGTCCTTCTGTGTTAAATTATCTGCAGATTAGCAGTTTGTATATCTATGTTATCTCTGAACGGCGCCTACTGTGGATTATTTAATGATTTGAACTCTAGAAAGTCTTCAGGTCCTACCGCGCCATTTCGTGATGGGCTTAATCCATTCCTGGATTCAACCGTGCTCATGTGAATTCCATAAAGTTCTCCTAGTAAAACACCCGCTATAAGCCATTCCACGGCAATTCATACCCAAAAGCGCCATAATACAATACTCGTACAACCTTCCTTTGCTTGAAACCGATCACCGAATATAATTGAAGAGAGCATGATCTACTCATGACCATTTTGCACTCGAGAAGGCTCAAGTGGTGCCACCGGAGGTTCCTGTGTAGCTTTGGCATTCACATCCTCGGTTTTCATGCCCTGAGCAGACACGTTCTCTTTGGAGTATTCATACGGAGGAATTGCTGCTGAGCTGGACACGGTCTGCTCGTGTTGCTTCTCCTCTGATGGCCCATTTGTTGCCGCTTCTGGTTGAGAATGTCCTTCTGCAGTTGGCTTTTCGACTTGTCTAGACTGATCAGTCACGGCCTCTGTCTTGGCAGTATTTGTATCTGGAAGAGTTGGATTAGGCTCGGCAAGCGGACCTTCGTTCAAATTTGGTTGCTGTTTCGTCTTGCCGTAATGAAGATGAACAACCAGACTATGTTGCTTATCTTCATCAATATCGAGCATCGACTCATCCTCACTAGGTTCTTCTTCGTCATCGCCTTCAAAGTCATTCTCGTTATTCGACTCGTCGTCTCCTTTCCAACTAGATGCAGCATCTGATTCTTCATCGCTAGTATCATTGGCATATCTTGAAGTGTAACCGTTCTGGCCGCGCGTACTACGCTGAGGGTGGACCTCTTCATCTTCGTCGTCATGACTTGCCGCTTCTCGTAATCCACTCAAGATCGACTCTCCGTATATGCCGCCAGTACGAGCTCGCACCTGTCGACCGCTAGCTGTAATCGTCGGCCCTGCGGGTTCGCCCGGGGTCGTGATACCAGATGCGTTTCGTGTTGATCGTCGAGTAGCGGGTAAGTCATCAGAAAACATACCCTCATCGTCAGAATACGTATATTTAAGCTTTTTGCCACGCGTACGGCCTTCGTAGAGAGAGAACCCCGGTTCAGGACGAGTAAATGCAGCTTTGCGTGCTAGTCGGTAATCACGTCGTCTTCGTTTCTGGTAAAAAAAAAACAATTAGCAACTGGCAGATTATCGGTAGTGTATTGACGAACCTCTTCTCCAGCTTCGAACCGAGGAATTGCCTGCATAATCCTCTGACTGAGCTTCTTCGAATGCTGTGATTTCTCCTGTACCAACTTCTCTGCAATTTCTCGGATCTCGTCGATAGTACCTGCAACACTCCACCAGGTATTTGACTTCAATGCTGGGTTACTCTCGCGATAGAGGCGGAAATGGGTATCATCTTGGCCTTCTACAAGCCAGTAGCGTCTTTTCAGTTCGTCCCTTCCCCATGGTTGTACCGACAATGGTTGGTTGAGATCGTCTTCGTGTCGTACTTGCTTGTAGGATTCTTTGATCTTCGCTTGGACCGCATCGGAGGAGGAAAGTGACCATAAGATAAGAGCTTTGAGGAGACATAACTAAATTTGTTAGATAGCTGTACATAAATATTAGTGGACCGTCATACCCTCTCTTCAGGATTCATGGTCGTGAAGTTGCGTCCACCGTGCAGAGGATTCTTCCCTTCCCAAGCACGGGGCCATTGTGACGCATGGGTCTGCACTGCTTCTTCTAGAGCTCTTTGATAATGTCCTTTCCTATGTCACCCAAGCTATCAGCTTTCTTCCCCAACACAAGGCAACTCGTCATAGAGCTAGCTCTAAGGAAGTCATACTCGACATCTTTCTTGCGATTGAGAACCAGTCCAATAAGAGCACATAACAGCTTTTCCACATTTTCTCCCGGTGTTGTATCTTGCACTCCTCGCTCAATATCCTGTGGACCATAATGTGGGAGTGACTTTGAGAAGACATCACTGAAACGCGAGCGGAACATGACGATAAACTAGCAGATTGGACAAGATATCAGCAAACGTGTCATAGCTGTATCAAAACGCGTCAAACTGGAGAAAGCTATATGACAACCATGAGGACACTTTCAAAATACGTACTGCGATATCTGGGTTGTCTGCGAGGACATATTCGTGTGGCGGAGATGGTGCGCGCTTGGGAGGCGGAGGAGTCTCCTCCTTGAAATAATTTGTAATTTTGCCATTGGTCTCGAATGTGACTCCAGACATGGACTCGTCGTCTGTCGGCGGCGCCGATGACAATGATGAGGTGTCTGAAGAAGACATGGTGTGTGGTGGTGGTGGTGAGTTGTGGGAGAAGTTGTCGCGGCTTAAGTCTAATTGCGAGGAAGTCGGGAGTGGGAGTCACTGGGACGGATCCTTTCTACAGCGGCTATCACGCGGCGCGGCATCTACTTAATGATTATCTATGACATGGCCTAGCGCGGTCTCTTATTCTCTACCCAACTTTCGTTCAGAATTGCTCTGTACATCAACTAACTGTCCCCATCTCCGCCACTGGTAAGGTTCCGACGTCGACAGAAACAGCGGTAAGAGTTCAGAATATAAATGATGGCACGCGTGGCTCAAAATTGCACTCATAAGGTATGCACAATATGCGCGAACAAGAAACTATCATCGGCGAAAGCTATGAAGCTGATTAGTGTAGAATCTGCTGTAGATAAGCGATGCATACCGCAACCACAAGCGAGTTTGATGCGACCGAGGGGTAGTATGATTCTGAAGTCAATGGACAGCTCGATAATAATCAGCCAAACGCCGCCCTGTGACGCGCACACGCTTAACTGCATCAGAAGGAGCGTCTCGAGACTTCTTATTCGGCGTAACAGAACGAGAAAACGAAATGGTTGGAAAGGTGCATTTCCGGAAAGTGTGCGTGTCGGGTATCGAGCACCGCAACTGCCAACACACCGCTGTATGATCAACAAGCAAGCCAAATCATAATAATCAATCATCTTCTTGTGCCGTTTCACTGAGCCTTGTCGAGACTCGGACAGTTTCGGTCACAGGCCATTGCGTGGAGACAGAGCCTCGCCCGCCACCTCAATGACAGACATAAGCCGCCGAAACCAGCAATTATCAAGTTGGCTGTCCCCCCGCAGGGTTCGAAATAGCTCAACAGAGACAACAACCAAACACTAAGTGGTAACGTCAGCGGCAGTTTCATGTGTATATATATCATCAAATAAGTGAGGGTTGATAGGAACAAATCCCACGTGTGTCAGCCAACGATAGACGCTCCCGCTCCCATGAACATAATCCAGAGGCGCAAGACTTGGAATCATTGCTTAGTATTGTCATCTGATAATCTCGATCTCGGCTGCTAATGTAAGCTATATGGCCGCAGCGATCAGCGACCTCTGGACCGGCAACGGTCCCGAGGGTTGTATAAGATAGAATATCCGCATTTCTCGACAGAGTTTTCGAAATGAGAAGAGCACTTCCAGGCTCTCATTGCTGTAGGTCTCTATCTACAGTCATCCGAATCATCAGCGACGAGCGCGTGATTTAAGACACTGCCCCAAGAGGAAGCCATCACCCCTGATAATGAGAAATAAATACTCAAAATACCTCGAATCGACAGTCCTTAGAGGGACATGCTTCTTGGAGACAGACTTGCACCAGCAGAGAATGCATTTCTGAAGTGACACATCGGGAAAGATGACTGTCGGAGTTTGGCGGCGTGCCAAGAGGTCCTCCGAGCACGGGACTTGGACGTCACTGAGTCCCCACTATCAACTGTCTCTGCAAACCAATTTGGATGGAGTGTGGTCTCAAATTCCCTGGACATTTATAGAATCATTACCAGCGCACATCAAATCATGGAGGCGCTCAAGGCAGTCTTCTTTGGACCAGATCCGCAAGCACAGGTGCATCTACATTATGACGTCTGCCTTATCGGACACTCACTGACATGTAGCAGATGCGAAAATGCAATCAGCTCATTAGACAAAACACCCGACAGCTCGATCGCGATATCGCAGGACTAAAGGCTCTAGAAACCAAAACGCGACAATTAATCGTCAATGCCTCTCGACGAGCTCAAAGGAATCCCTCACAGGCGAAACAGGCTACCGCAGAAACTAAGACATATGCACGCGAATTATTGCGCATCCGAAGACAGAATACACGACTAACGACGAGTCGAGCACAACTGCAGAGCGTACAAATGCAAGTAAATGAGGCATTCTCAGTGCGGAAGATACAAGGCAGTCTCCAGAAATCGGCCGGCATCATGAAGGACGTAAATACGCTTGTGCGTATGCCAGAGCTTAATGCGACGATGCGGCAGCTTTCAACGGAGCTCGTGCGTGCCGGTATTATTGAAGAAGTGGTGGATGATGCTCTACCCAATGATGAGCTATTGGAAGATGAATTGGAAGAGGCAGAATCGGAAATCGATAAGGTCCTACAGGAAGTGCTTCAGGGTAAGCTGTCCAAGGTCGAACCCGTCCGGCCAGATATTCCTGTGGAAGAAACAGTTACTCCTCAAGAAGAGTTCGAAGATCAGGAAGAAACGCTTGCACAAATGCGAGGCCGTCTGGAAGCTCTAAAGAGTTGATCACGTATTACGAATTCAATCAGCGGTTTGCTTTATTGTTATTCTCTCTGGTTTCATGGCGCAGGTTGGGATATCATTTATGAAAGCAAATTACTTGTATGATCGTTTGAGCTTTGGTTTCTTCCCTTGGGCGCACATGTCATTGGCTTGGTTGTTAATAAATAAACTTATATTTATTCGCTGTATACATTCGATATCATATCAGGCATTCTATTACTTGTCTTTCCGTTTCCTTTATCGGAGGTACTTCGATCTTGGTCGTCAGGAAGATGCGTCAAATGTTTGGTAATGACCTTGATCTGGATTCTGGACTATCTAGAACAATAGCTTTCAAAACATTCAGACTTCAGTCAATTGCTCATTTTCAAACAACTTCAATGCTTCCAGTCCTTATTCATGCTCATTGTAGTCGTGAAATTGAAACTCAAGAAAGAGCATGGACTGTCAATCGAATGAATGACTTTCAGGTATCAAACAGACAAGGCAAAAGAGGTGGCTGCCTTGATGCCTTGTTTCGAGTCTGTGACGAATGCATTGTGCACGTGATCTTGCCAAGCCACCTTGGCCCCTAACAGGCAACCTCGTCCCCTCTGTTCCCTCCGCGTCAGATCATCATCAATCATTCCACTGTTCTATCTTCCAGTGCATATCAACCCATCCATCAACCACTCCTACTTTACAAACCATATCAGCCTTGCTGACCACCTTTCAAAACTCAAACCTATTGTCGTGATACCGCTTATTCATTGCGGTAGCACTCCCATCGTCAACATTCAGCCGCAACGCGACAACTTCAACACATTCATATCATCCATCTTTTCCTCTATAATCATGTCTTCCAAGCTCGATCAATCTCTTGAAGACATCTCCAAATCCCGTCGCCAGGCCCGCGGAAACAACCGTCGCCGCAGCAGCACAGCCAAGGCCACCACTACCAAGGCGCCTGTTGGGGGAATCAAGAAGAACACCAAGCCTGCTAAAGGCCCTGCCAGAGGTCCTGTCAAGGGGCCGGCCATCGGCCCTACTTCTCCAGTGAATGAAAGCAAGATCATCGTCAGCGGACTGGTATGTTAATCATGATCATACGGTGTACAGCATATGCTAACTTCTACAGCCGCACGATGTGAGCGAAGCCAGTATCAAGGTATGTTAATCGAGAGGCTACGCCTTGGGTCTCATCGCTATTGTCTTTCGAAACCTTTCGAGATGCGTTGGCTTCCTGCGATACTTGTCGCAGCTAGTTGGGTGAACCAGTACCAGACGGGTGCTCCTCTCCGCGACTATATTCCATGACCGAACCTTGTTGCATGGAGAGTCGAGCTCCGTCGCGTCAAGCATAATGTAGGACTATGGCTCGCCAATTTGGCTGACTGCCTGGTTGGTCATTGCAGACGGTACAGGAGGTGGTAAAACACCGCTCGACTACCTTGGTGGATTTTTCTCTCCTTTCGTTTCGGACATCAGCGAGCGCATTTATGGTAGTCGCACTTGGATCGTTCTATTTGCAAATCGGATCCCTGAATGAATATGGCACTTGATGGCTAGACTGCGGACTTCTTTGAGCTAGATATGAGATGGTGATTCATCTGAACATTCGTGCTCATCTGGGTTTGGGAGAAGAAGAAAAAAAGGCGCAACCTGCCATATTCGATGATTGCCAGCGGCGGGCTTCATCTTTTGGACGATCATCTATAGTGTCTCGCATTGTTTCATACGGTGCAAACCTGTAACTTGGAAACTGCATATAAGCTTATCATTATGTGCTCGCTGATGTCTGATCTCGATTCGATTTACGCACGCTTATCTCGCTGTTCTCGACGTCTCAACGGTTACAACCCTAGCTTTAAAATACTGATCAGCCTTCGCTATAGGACTATTTCGTCAAAACTGTTGGCCCTGTCAAACGGGTCACCGTCACGTACAACCAAAATGGTGTCAGCCGTGGCATTGCATCCATCGTTTTCAGCAAGCCTGACACTGCCGCCAAAGCTGCCAAGGAGTTGAATGGAACGTTGGTCGATGGACGGCCGATGAAGGTACCTTTTCTTCCTTGGACTGGGTAATGAAATACTCATTCGATATAGGTCGAGGTTGTTGTTGATGCAACTCACGCCCCTCAAGTTGCCGCTCCTAAGCCTTTGAGTGAGCGCGTCACGTAAGTTGATGCTAGAGATTATAAGGGATTTTATCTGACAATACAACAGCCAAGCGAAAGCACAACCTAAGCCTGTCACCGCTACTAAGAATGCCGCTGCCGGAGGTCGGCGCGGTCGGGCTCGCCCACGCAAGCCCAAGAATCCCACTCAGCGTAAGAAGACTGCAGAGGAGTTGGATGCCGAGATGGAGGATTACTTTGTGGGGGCAGAGAACGCACCTGCAGGTACCACCAACACAAACGGTGCTGCCGCAGCTACCGGCGACGAAACCATGGCCGAGATTTCCGTAAGTTTCATGACGTTCCCCATCTGTATTGATGTATATACTAATGTTGATAGTAAACATTCGATACCCTTTCTAACCGACTGATGCTCTTATGGAGCATCACTCAATATTCGTCTGACGGATGTTTAATTTTTTTCTTACCTTGACTTACTCGTGGTTTTGTTCTCGACGCAATGTCTGTATTAAATGGACGACTGGTTTACATTTTACTTTTTTATTAGCTTTGATCAATTCATTTGGATTTTATCGTGTGGATTGTGTACGTAAAAGATGAGCAGGACTCGTTGGGGATTGGTAGTTAGGTTGGACAGATAGCATGGGAATCTGTGTATACCACTCTGCATGTTTATGTTTGAGTTATTCATTAACGGGATGAGATTTGCTAGCAGACATGGACAGCAGTCCCGCCCTAGTTCTTATTTCCTCTTGTTCATTCGGGTCTATCACACTGGACTATAGAAGAGGCCGAGGAAAACATATCAACCCTTCAAAAGCTAGGAGCTGGTCAATGGGTTGAGTGTCAGGCCATTGATCGAACTCTTAAGAGATGTGTTGATATTGCTGCACAACGGGCTCAGAGGGTGTTGGACTGAGACGCTATATCGATCCTGGAATTTCGAGTTGATGAGCTTGCGACAGTATGCATCCATCCTCTATGTCTCCTTAATTATGTACAGGGCTTATTGTATCAATCTGAGTCTTTTGAAATCGATGTAGGTGTAGACCATTTCATGCTACCGTTACGGGGGACTCATGGTCCACACCAAAGCCTTGCGTCAGGGTTAGGTATAAACACTTGTGGAAGGTGTATTATGCCCCGATCTCAGTATCATATAGCATCATGAGTATTATGAAGATATTCTCTTGTAGTGGGCTGACTGTACAGGAGTTCCATCTAACTTGGATATAGAGATGTAATCGAGGCCGCTTCGTTCGGCTTAAGAGATCTAGAAAGTTGGGAGTGATGGCAGCATATCCTCATCAAGCATTCGAATTCAGATACTACCTACTTAGTTGATACGTGAGTGTTTGACTGCGAACAGTGGTTTTTTGAGTATGGTGTATTATTGGTTACTTACCTAGGTAGGACAACATGGAACTGGCTGCAAACTGCATGAATAATTCATAGTTGTGTATACATATATATATTCTACCTACGTACATGCATCTGGGCAGCAATACCTAGAACTTCAAATCCGAGTCGATGATAGATACCAGCTCTTCTATATATGAGGTATTATTAACATTCAAATCTCCTCCCGAGGTCATTCTTGAGTGCTATGTACATATGTATTCATTCCCACATAGGTAGGTAATCTTGGAAACATGTTGTATGGACGTTAGGGTTTACATCACCACGTGCTACCCCAGATTCCTGCACTTTCCCATCGTAAGGAGAAAATTGCTGTCTACCTTCTAGACTACCTACTGTAGGAACAGAAATAATATTACTCTATTCCTCGTTTAGCGACACTAGAGACGTCGATTCTTGATATTGACCTCAACGTTCAGTGCTTCTCTATGTGACAGTCAACGATATACTTGGGCACGTACATGTAGGCTAGACACGGCTTTATTTAAGTTTCTAATCGTGCAGAAACATTGGAATATAGGATATCCTAGACCATGGAACAATGGCATGCCTCAAATTCTCCATCCAAAAAGCCATAAACTCACCCGAGCAGTCGAGTTAATATGTCAAACACTCGAGTCACACTACCTCGGGGAGGACGCTCACCCATAAAACAGACTCCTTCACTGAGAAACTCACCTCCACATCAAACCAAATTCATCTTCAGAGCTACAGAAGAACATGGATACCTAGCATAGGAAACCGCTCCATTTCTCCATCGGGTAAGTAGCCGACCACGATATTTTCCGTGCGGAGGAGGCAAAATTATATTCCCCGTCTTTTACCCATTGATTTAACTTTACTCAAAATACAGAGGTATAGGTTGATGGATGGATTTGGTGAATTATTTCATAATCCTCGTCTCACCGCTAGAGTTTATATTTTCTGATTCTCTGCTCCGTATTTCCTGCAGTCGACTACTGATGAAGATAGTATACTAGATGCACTCACTAATATGATCTTCAAATAACCGTCTGGCCCCACAAAACGTGGGGTGTCTCCAAACTATGGGGTAAGTCTGGCCCTACTTCTACTCAACGACTCTCCGCGAAACTCTCAGGTCTCCGTCGGCTAATTGTCTTTATTATGAGTAATCATGTGCAAATTTCTAGAGATCCATGAAAGAAAGTTAATCGAAGAGTAGGTTTTTCTTTCTCTGGTAAGAGTACAAAGCAGAGGAGGTCTATGAGAGTTCTGGATACATACGGAGTAGAACGGCGCAAATGCCCGTATTGTTCCGTACGAAGTTTGTAAGTGTTCGTATTGCTGTAACAGGGTATGTAAATGCTAATACGGCGCGAAAACGCGATACTCCACGATCTATGCTGACAATTGCGAGAGCCGCGAGATAGATACTTGGCTGTTAAGTAAAAACATGATTCTATTCCTCGTATGAATAGTCGCGTAAGCTCTGTGTTCAGGAAGTCTCAGTGGCAAGTGTTTCACCGACGGTTAAACATGACCAATTACCCCGATGAATCCATAGGCAGTCATCCATCGAAACTCAGCAAATGCAACCGTTGCGCTTCAGATGGTATCCGAGTGACAGCACACGAAATAGACAAGGCGGAATCCAGCACGTGCACCGCACAACTACAAAATACAAATACGCGGCGGTGTCGGCCGTTGTCCCTTGTTGGCCTGCAAATATCCAGGAAACCAGATTATTCATCTATTAATCATCATACACAGAATCAAGATCTTGTTCGATTTCTCCGGTGAGTAAGGTAGACCGTATGAATAGCGGGATCGGAACAAAATGGATATGGAAGTATATGCCTGAAAAAGTATCCGGCTTCATGCAGCCCGATAACCCTAATCCTTGATATATCTATCGACACCAGCGAAAACGGGCCTGGCGGTGAGAACTTTTGACACCCGGCCACGTTGATATTATTCAAGATAGCAAGGCTGTTGAAATCCTATCTGGGCTGTGTATGGTGGCCCAACGATGCGCCTTGTCTTGTCTTCTTTGATGTGTACTTGCGTTGGCTTTCATGTTGGCGATATGAGTCATCTGCCATGACACAAAGTAAGAAGCTTATCTCGCGATATAGTCGACCTTCCCTTTTAGGTAATTCCATCGTCGACGAGATGTGAACGGAGTATATGATCACGGATCATGGTGCGTGCATATTTCAAATGATCCGATCGATTTGCAATCACAGACGCAGACAGATGACTGGTTCTTAAGATGTATCACCGTGTAAGCGCCGAGCATGAATTTGTGGTGGTTGTACGAATATACCGAGTTTAATTATTTAATAGTAGCAGCCATAACTCCGTGGGAACGAGTGACTGGTCAAGATACAAACCAGCAGAATCAAGTGACTATTTTCCTGACGAATTATTTTTTTTTCGCGCCGCTATCCAAATTTAGCCGCCAATATTAGAGTACCGTGACAGCTGTACTCTGAATCATAACATCCGAGTATCTAGTCAATATGAATAGACAAGGATATCGCGGTACAAGCGTTATCAGTATTCCTGATGAATAGAGTACTATGTATGGAGTAGTTAAGTATCTCCTCGGCCCATCACATAAATGGGTTTATATATGTATGTATTGGCGGGGGAACAAAATGTGACAGTGACAGACAAACAGATCAACCAATCAACGCGTCTATCGCAGGATATATTCAAATGATCGACGACATCTGCTACAATGCGAGAATCTGATTGGATAAATCAGAAAAAAGGGCTGTCGGGGAAGACCGGATGGGAAGATCTGATTAGGTTGATTGCTCTGATTAGACTGATTCATTCTAGTAACGATTTATGATATATCAGACACTTCGTATTCGAGTGATTCACCGACATGTATTTGCTAAGCAAAGTCAGCAGGATGAAACTCGCATAATAATAAGATGGGGGAGTTGACTGCCGCCGGCGGCTCAACTATCAAGTACGAAACATAGTCATCTCCACGGCAATAGTCTAGGCGGTGTATCTTTTCCTTTTGCAATTAGGGATATGCGACTGCTGAGTGCTGTGTTGGGGGTCGCTGAAGATACAAGCTGACACTGACCACGTGTATCTGGAGTCCGCAGATTATATGGCCAACAGTTTTCGCTTCTGCCTGTCTGGAAGTTGAATCGTTCATGCCATCGCGATACCTCCGACTTGCTCCGTCCAAGTCGCAGTAACTATGTTACATGCAAAGTACTCCGTAGTTACTAGTAGGTACAGTCTAAGGACATCAAATAAATGAATCAACTTCCAAAGCTCTTCTAGAACATCCTAAACAACTCCCAACTCCCACCCCGGCATAAACCGGCAATTTGCAGGAAAGATATCGGTCATTTTATCTTGGTAACATCCATTTATCCATTGCAATTAATTAATTTCGCAAATTGTGATTGGCGCGGTTATGGGATTTTTTTTTACTGCCTTTTTTGGACTAGTTGGAGAAGCCCTTAGCTTGGGGTCTAGATTTGTGTGGTTACCCGTCCATCCGCTTGATTGCATATCACTCTGAACTGAGAGTACGATTCACATACTATTCAACGAGTTCAGTCGCTGATTGAAACATGTGCAGGGGCATGGAATATGTAAGTTTGTTTTTTGTAAAGATGGTACGCATATTAGAATACTGGCCGAGCACCTCCGTAACTGGTCTATGTACGGAGTAGTATGTACAAGAGTACTACCACTTTCAGACATTCTACAGATTGCGTGGCTGACGCCACAAGCAGCCACACAGATATTTAATGCACGGTAATCGGATGTGTACATGCCAGAAGCAGTGATGACGACACGAAGAGCGGTGTATCATTCCTGATATTCAGTATTGGCAAGTAAGGAGATTGAGTATGTACAGTATCAAGGTTTGGGGTGACATTTGGTTCTGCCATTCTGAATATTGAGTTGCTGGTGTTGCGTTTGAGAAATGCCAAAACCTGCCGATAGTGCGGACGGAGTAGTCGGCGTAACGGAGCGCTTGAAGTGATACCTACCTCGGTCCGTATCCATCTACTTACTATTCCACCCAAATTCAAGCAGTACCTCAATACTACTTGACAGTGCAAAACAACTGGAAGCACATGCTCATGAAGTATGATAGATCAGCACATTCCCGTTTCCGCCCGTAAGGAGGCAGAGCCGATCGATGCAATCGCGCCCCCTGAAGTACGTACCCAAGGGAGTGGACTCACATCCCTGTTTTGGGTCTAGTGACCTCCCGCGGAAGAACCGCGATAGCTTCCCCGGAATATCGACTAGGGGGGGCTGGACCTGGCTAAACTTCAGCAGATGTCTCATAAAAGGACATTCGTGCAGAGTACAAAGTTTAAAAGTCGACGGAATGTGTTCCGTTTTGTATGTTCTTGCACTGTGCCGTCTCCAAAGGATCCGGCAGGCTGGGACGGTAGTAATGGACCGATGGGGAGGGAAGGGGGAGCTATTCATCCTCGTTAATAACTCAATTCCTCCTTAATTTGAAACCGTTGCCAGGTCGGCGGGAGTGGTGGATCTTGGGTAGAAACAGGGCGAAAATACCCGTCAAGGCTGCTTTACGCTTTGGGAAGAATAGAGCTGACTACGGACGTCCTAACCGTCTAAAGCTAGGATTATTGTCCTTGGAAAAGTGAATAGTGTAGTGAATACTTCAGAAACTTCATACGAGTCTCATGGCAACAGCAAAATCAACCGGGGTATCCTGTCCTTGTTGCCGTATTACCTATTCAAGTAACTTATGTAGCGGCTGGGGTAGACCATAATTGAAAAAAGAAAAGAAATTACTATACGGAGTAGTATAAGCTACTATCGTAGGATTATCCCGACAGCATGGTGCGGTCCGCTTCCCGCTTCCCCTGGACCCATTGTGTTGGAAGGCAGTGGATGTTGCTGCGTTTGGGTACGAATCAATAATCTGAAATGCCATGTATATAAGTGTAGTTCCCAGAGGTATATACCACTTCAAAATCGATCTGTTCAGTACACACGGCCCCCGAGCCCGTTCAATACTTGCCAACAGTCCCGACTGGTCCAGACAGGTCGCATTTTCTGCTAGTTGAGCTCGATTGATATTGAGTATTCGATCTATCGAATTCGTCAAAAGGGCTGTCAACAGAGCTTAGCAGACAAAGGTCAAGAAGACAAAGAGCGCGCGCCCAAGCTCCGTTGGTGCAACTTGCCGGGCTAGATCCTTCAAAACAGAGTCAGTCACGATAAATATCCTGGATCAGACGCATTTCAAACTTGACAAATCCATCCACACCGCACTGACTGATCGATCGGCCGGGGAAAGAGCCAGTGCATCCTGCTGTGTGAGGTGTTTGGCATACCGCAAGGTAGACCGCTTCATCCCTTGCGGCGGTTATCGATAAAGTATATCGGAATCTGTTGCACCGGAAGCAGAAATTACTAATTTTTTACACATTCCAACCTTGCTTGACTGTCTGTGCACCCCCAGATTCTGTCTGTCTATATAATCCTGTTCGTCGCTCGAGTGAGTCAGTCCGCAAAAAAAAAAAAAAAAAAAAGAAAAACAACAACAAACGAGACAACAGAAGTGTGTTTGCGGCACGACATTGGACTATCGACACCGCCTATTGAACTGCCAGATCACACCAACCAGAAAATAGACCCGACTAGAACCACGGCAAGCGCTGCTAATTGAAAATACTCTAGCGGATTTTCTGTCGGCTACGATTTTATCCCCCACCCAAGTCAGGCTGACCGTCACATCGGACCGCTCCACGGGGCTAACACTGCTGCAAGCCTCTCGCCCTATTATCTGTTATTGTTGCATCCTCGCGGTGCTGCAGGGGCCGTTTGATTGTCACCGCTCTTTATCGCTGTTATCTATTTATCTGTCTTGTCCCTCTTTTCTTTTCCTATTCTCCAAACTTGCAAATACGTACGAAATCCACTACCACCAAAAGTCTTCTCCGGACTGTTACGAATTCTCGGAAACACGCCGTTCTGCCAGAAGCGGTTAAAGCGAACCCCCCCCACACCCGATTGCCGGGACTTTCCCCGTATTGATTGTCGCGTATACAATTATTTTTGTATATAACCGCGCCTCTTCTCCCTGACCTCCACACATCTGTCATCTCCACACCACACGAATACACTACACAAAGACAACATGAGGTTCAGCTACAGTTTCAGCGGGAGCACATCATCCTCGCCCTCACCATCATCACTGCCACCACCTCCTCCCCCACCAACCCCCAACGACGGTCTTCTCGACATCACGCCTCGCAAATCCTCCTTCTCCAGCGCCATGGGAATGAGCTCAGCCTGTGCTTTCCCCTCCTGGCCCAACAGACCATCCCTGCTCAGTCCCGACTCTGAAGAATCAACAGCAAGCTCCTATCTCTCCGACGAAGACCTCTTCCCCACTGATCTACCTCTTACACCACCTTCTGAAAGTGCCATCGACGAAGAATCCGCTGCCTCAGATCCAGTCTGTCTGCCTTCGGGAGCAGACGATCTCACGACCGAAGAGCAAATCCAAATGATGCGCGCCGCAGCAGAGGAGGATGAGCGACGGGCTCGGTTTCTGGCACATGTGCATGCACATGCGCGCGCCCAACAGGCGTTCAAAATGGCACAGTTAGCCGCGGCAGAGCGTGAGAATGCGAAGCGAAGTACGAAGAAGAAGCGTCCTGTTATGATCGCGGGAAAGAAACATCGGTCTTCTTCGTCGTCGACAAAGACTTCTTCTGGTCGCATGTGATTGTTTACATACGTTATCTACATGTTTACATGTACGTGTGTACAACCTGCGCCGGGCGCATTCGCTTCTCTGCTCATCATGCCAGTTCATCTACTCGACTTTCTACGTCGACCATTGCTTTCTTCAACGCGCCGTATTCATTCACCTCGGTGAGATGAAGTACCGGTAAACCTTCCCGTTGGGCCGTGACCACACCCGTACAATACAATACGGTATCGTCATTACAGCGCGACCCGCGGCTATCTCTTTTTTTCTTACGGTGCAGCGTCCTCCGACCATCCATCTTGACACTCACCGCTACTCAATCTTCACCAACAACACTTGTGACTCATTTACCCTACCTTATCTGGCATTTTACCCCTCTATCCATAATCCGGTCATAATCCGAATGTCGTCTTTTTTTCTTCTTTTTGCCCTTGCTGTCTTTTTCCATTCAAAGCGATGGAGTTTCTGCTTTCCGGCCTGCTGTTTGTTTTGCTTCGTCTCTTCTTGATACCAACTTCCTTTTCTGATATACCCCCTCATGTATTTCTCGTTGTTCCTCGTTCTAATATTCGCTACGATACCATTTTTTGTTTGCTTGGTTTGGCTTTCTGGCATCTTGGTTTAGCGTTTGCATTATTAGGATAGCATTTATATCGCTTTGTTTGCATTGCATTTACATCGCATAGTTAGTTGGCATACATATTATTGATAAGATTTTCTATATTTATCCTCCGATTGTAACTCTGTAATCTTGTATATGTGGTCATGTAGGGCTGTTGGGTAGGTAGCTAGCGGCGGGATGACTTTGCTGATGTCGATTACTCATGATCTGGTTGCCTAGACTGAGTAAGCCTACTGATGACTTGTTGTATTACTCATCTTTTGGTCAGTGGCCTGAATACTGCCAGTGGAAGAGGGTGCGGACTTATTAGAGTGGCTGCGGTACTTAGGGCTAGGGTTTGGGGGATGGTACCCTAATCGACTCCTCTATGGTGAGACAACTCTAGATTCTACAGAATGCGTCTATTTTCTGTGGTTTATCAAGTTCCTTAGCAGCTTCTTTCTGATGAGTGAGAGCTGATTCTTTGATAGGCTGATATTATTTCTGTCTCTGTCTGAAGACAAGACAGCTTAGAGCCGCCTGGTTGTTCAGTCTCTGGGGTAATCCACCCGAATGAAATTGATATTCAATAATACAACATAGCCAAGTGGATTCTTTGTTTTGATATGGACAGTCTGGCTCTGGTGTACTGAAGTATTCCGTTTGATACGAACAATGATTGATCGGTCTTCCCCGATCTTACCTGCGCCTTTCCAACCACCGAATGTGGCAGGAAATCTCAAGGCGTATCAGACCTCACGCTCCAGGAATGATCATGATGGGCTGGAGATGGGTTTGGCCGTTTACAGGGCGTATGCTGAGTATCCAGATAGAGACCAAACTTTATGTTTGACTGGCGAGGGAGAGAATCGTTTCAGGGCAATGGCGAGTCTTTCATGAGATGAGATGAACGGCCGGGACGCTCCCGGTGAACGGTTCAACGTTGGGACGTGGAAGCAGGTTTTGCTAGGGCGTCTGTCAGGGGTATAAATTCCCCTCCTTCCCTATGTCTCTTCCTTTTCCAACTTCAACTTTTATCCCACTCCCTATTTCTATCAGATATTTCTAGCTGGTGGTTCTGCCTCCTGACACTCAGGCGAGACAGGCAATATTCCCTCCGTCTGGTAGGCGATCAGAAATCAGAACACAACTAACTATACGCATCATCGATATGATACCAAAGAGCGAACGAGCAAGATTCAAAGATATCGGTGGATCACAAGAGGTAGAACTGGGTATGACTGTGTTTTAAAGGAAATTGTACTCTGCACGACGCGCGGCTGCGCTTGAAAGGGCTGTAGATTATCTACGCCCGAAACGACGAGGCAATGACAATGCAGAGTTTCAGCCTTGATGAGAGTCTAGAGTCTCTAGAAAGAGTGCGGCATGGCAGATGAAATGGACAACGTAGCTTTAGGATATCGAGACCGGGGAAGATCGTTGTATGAGATTAAACCAAGTGTATGGTATACAAAGCAGAATAATCATAGCTGACAAGGTTTCCATTAAAGCATACGATGCTCCTCAGTAGTGTCTATATAACCTTGAATCTATTCACAGCAATAGGATCAGAGCTCGTTAACGTCTCAACACAGTTGTGAATATTTTCTCAGGCGTTCATTACCTAAGGAGAATTTACTCGCTCTTTTCGTGTCTTAAAACTCCGCATCTCCTGCTTTCCTTCGTCCAGGCTCTTCAAACGTCTCTTCCACACATCACCAATTGCTCTTTTTCATACAGACCGTTATGGTGGACAGTTGAATTGGATACACCGGATATCCTTACATATTGGGATTATCTTGCGCGTAAAAGTCTGTAAAGAATTCAGAGGAAGATCTGGCTGCCAAGGATTATGAGCAGTAGTAGAGATATCAGTTGTACGCTTCCCATTTGGGAAATGAGGGATTCTTGGTAGAGCGTTCTCAACGTTCGTATTCTCTGTCTGCTTGTCTATATCTAAGGGAAAACTATCTTAAGGAGTGAGATCTTCTATCCTGTACGGATAAATATCGGTCCGAGGGCCACATGATCTTTACAAAGTCGCACTATAAGAGTGGAAGAGAGGCCTAAGTAGCAGCTGGACATGATAATGTGGATTATGTGATGTTGAGAATGGTAGTGGATTGAAAACATTAGAAGAAAGAGGATGCATATATGTAGTCGAAGAATGAATTGAAATGGGACCTTCGCCTTATCTACCAGTTTATCGATAAGCCAGCCGATAAGAAAATATCTCCTGCTTTCCGTCATCGCCAACTCTTCCAACCAAGTCAACACCCTAATCACAACCACAATGTCCGAAGATTCCCTCCTCTCCCAACTCTGCAATATCTGGTAATCCTTTCAATCCACCAATAATTTTATACCATTCTAACTCAAAAAACAGCCACATCAATACCCCCAAATACCGCTGTCCCCGCTGCTCCATCCGCACATGCTCCCTGCCTTGCACCCGGAAACACAAAACCTGGTCCTCATGCACCGGCGTCCGCGATCCAGCAGCATACCTAACCCGCTCCCAACTCGCGACGGAGGTATCGTTTGATCGTGACTTTAATTTCATCACGGGCATTGAGCGGAGTTTGGAACGTGCGGAGCGAGACGCGGAGAATAGAGGGATTGAGTTGGAGCATGAGTATATGCTCAAGACTACTGCCGAGAATGGTGGGAAGAAAAGGAAAAGAGGGGATAAGAATGCCAATGCGGCGCCGAGGATGGTGAAAGGTGAACTTGGGTTTGTGCGTGCTGCTGCAGAGGCTGGTGTTAAGCTTGTGCGTGCTCCTGGGGGATTATCGAGGAGGAAGATGAATCATTCCAGGGTCCATCCTAAGTATGTTTCTCCCCTTTGCTGGAAATGTGCTGGAACTGACGGAATAGACATAAATGCCTAAACTGGAGCGTGGAATGGATTGTGCCAGCTACCGGACAGACGATTGTCAGACCTTGTCTGGAGACTACGCCGTTGAAAGAAGCCTACGATCGAGTCTTCCCTATTTCAAATAGTGACCGTAACAATATACCTACGGACGAGCAACAGTCCTCTACAGAAAAAGCGAACAATTCCCACCGCAACGTCTACTTATACCTCCATCGTCATCGAGCGGCTACAATAAATATTGTCCTGGTACCGCTAGAACCATCAGCGACTTTACGCGATGTTCTTCGTGGGAAAAGCGTGCTTGAGTTTCCGAGTATATTTGTTTTGAAAGGTGATTTGCGTCAGCTGGAAACAGATACGGAGGGTGGTGTGGCGATGTCAGGGGTATCTGGTAAGAGGAGGTTTATCTTGGAAGAGGTTTATTTGAAGGATCGTCCGGGTGAAGTTGAGGATGAGGATGAGAATAGTGGGAATGGAGATGAAGAGGAGGAGGATTATACAAGTAGTGAGGGTTCGTCGAGTGAGGAGTCTAGTGACGAGGATGAATCTGAGGACGGAAACGAGAACGAAGACGAAGCTGAAGTTGCGGCTGGAAGAAACGAAACCCAGGATGAATCGCTCGTGGATCATAGCGTGATACTTCCCTAGCATATCCCAAACACGATGCCTAGTTTTACTCGATCTGCCGAGTAGTAGTAATACAACGGACGAGTTAGTAAGTTTCGGTCCATTTCACATATATACACTCATGCAAAGAATATTTACAATGTATATAGTATAAAATGGTTAGTATATCCATCATCATATCCAACAATCACCTTCAAACCAGTTCGCTATGCAGGGTATCTTCCAATCAAATAAAACGCCGTAAATGCTGTACAATATGCAAAAAGGGGGAGGGGGGATAAAGGATTATAGATGGATGATTACGACATCATACTGGCAGTGTCTGGAAGAGATCCGGTCGGCGATATAATCTCAGTCGAAACCGTATGTGTTGATCGAACTTCTTCTTCCACAGCCATTGGAGATTCAGATCTCTCGCCCTTGATGTCGTGTCGTGCACGCGACTCTATAGGAGAAGCATGCATCTGCTCGGATTTGACGTAGAGCTTCCCACGTTCAATGGCGCGCAGTATCGATCCTATATCGCTTGAAAGCCCCTTCAACTTGGATAGTGCTTCGTCTGATATCTCAGATCCCTCGCGTGGATGTTCACGCCACACAAGCCTGTCCTCAAGTTCCGAAGAAACGGACTTGGACGCTACAGATGGGACGCCGTAGACGAGCCTCTGTAGCAAAGTCGGCGAGACATCGCGCGGACGTCTGCCAATCTTGACTTGCTTCTGTTTAGACGATACCTGAGGGTTAGACACCACGTCATCGACAGGTCGCTTCGTGGCAGTGGCTATCCGTGAATTAGGGCTTTCTCCAACAGCTTTGCGAATCTTGTGATAATTCAACCCCAAGGTAGCGGCAAGAGCTTGGTGACACGCTTCAGGATATTGATACACTGCCTCTGCACGTGTGAGATTGTTTGGGTGGTCGCTATAATCACTTGAATCGTCATCGTCATCCCAGGGGACGAAATCATCAAGATGATTTCGACCCCAGTATTCATATCCTTCGACTTCATAGAACTCGGCGAGTTCAAGCAGGCGATCAACTTCAACAACAAGTTAGAATGACACGCGTCATTGATTACAAAGTCTAGACTGCACTCACTTCGACTGCGTTTCTTCAGACACCAAAAACGCCACACAGTCCTAGGGAACCAATTAGGGTATCGTAACGTTCCATCTTGATCAATCTTGGGGACAGCATTTATCGGAGCATGGACCGTAGTCGCTAATGAATTGAATCGAACGCGTTCGGATTGATTGACTGCCGTATGCAACTGCTGGACAGTCGTGTGCAACTGCTTAATCTCCGTACGACAGCCACAAACCTCCGATTTCAGAGCTTCCAATTCGACTTGTATCTGTAGGACGCTCTTTTGAAGGCGAGTGACATCGTTACGCAGAAAAGCAGTGTCGACTTGTAACTGTTGGACATTCTTCTGGAGACGCGCGACGTCGTTGCGTAGGAACGCTGTATCCCCATTCAACGACGAGACGCTGTTCCGGATTTGATTCAGCTCGGTCTTGAGGATGGTCACGCCCACATCGATACGTTCGGAGATGGTTCTTTGCGTCTCGAATTCGCGTCGGATGTATAGATCTTCTCTGTTTCGGCGTTCGACATAGGAGTCTTTGGTCAATATTACCGAGCGAAGCTCGCTTATTCGGGAATCCAGATAGTTCAAGCGGTCATGGAGGTGAGCCACGCCCGCGTCGGGCATGGCTGGGGGTGTGATATCGCGGTGGACAGAGAGTAGAGGACTGGAAACGGATATGGACATGCTGGAAGCTCTCGAGAGGCTTCTTTCAAGGGTTGTGGTCATTGTCAGGCGGTTACTGTATTGAAATTCAACACGTAATGTTCATCTTTAGGACGAAATTGGGGATATCTAGAGAGGAAATGTAGGGTTTGCGGTCTCTTGAAGGGGCAGCAGAGAGAGATTGTATGGGCAGAAGAGGCGGAAGAGCGAAATAAAGGAGAATTCGCCCTCTTTGTGGGAGGGTTGGGCCTCACCCGGTCATTCCTACGCTTTTGTCTTGTATGTATGCGCTAGTATCGCTAGCTTGTTTGGCTTCGGCCCGTATTACTGAAAGAGCCAATTGAAGTGCGGGATAAGTCTCAGCCCCCGCTTTCGGACTGCGTGGCCGCTATGTTATTGGACCAGCGCCTTCTGCAATGACCAGCTGCATGGCTGAGGTGACGCTGATTCTTGCATGTTCGTATTTGCGTTACGCTGTATTTACCGCGCTGCCGTGTAATCTTCGCATTGCCACAGAACTTCCCAGATTTAGCAATGTTTTCCTATTGAGGAAATTTGCCCTAAGTTGCCCTAACCTAGGTATCGTGATGGTTAGATGATTAAAAATGATCTAAATTCATGCAGATCTGTTCGATTGACTGGTAAGTATGCCGATATAAGAGTCGAATATGCTGGTGGCTGAGATCGCAGCCTTTCATGTCCGGCCAGTCGCGATACTGAGGGTTAAAACAGCAGATGAAGCCTTACAATTCTTTGCAGTTACTCCCACTCATTCTACAGACAATAATGGCTCTTTTCTTGCGTACCTGCCTAATGTCCGTGCAATAGACAGGTCGCTCCTTCCCCGACACAGCCAATATGGAAAGGTCAATCGACTCGATCGGAACGAAAACACAACACTTCACAAGACATGGATGATCAAAGTAACAACATTACAACGCATATATAATCGGACAGAACTACAACGTTCTATATGCTATCACCATGCAATACTATCTCACCTTCTTCGTTCTGATAACCCTGACGACTGTGTCGGCCGCTCGATCCGTCCAGACACCCTTCTCAACAGACTCGTCTACCGAGAAAAGAGGACCACCCTGTGACTGCTACAGCGTTTCAGGCCCCGACGCTGGATATTTCCAGCATCACCGCTTCTGGGATTTCCGACAGGTTCCTCTCAATCTTCTAGCGGCCAAAGACTTCAAGTTTCAACCCATCACGCAAGCAGATGCCAGCACTGCAACCGAGAATAACGACATCAATGCCGCACCTATATTGCTCAAAGATACACCGTTTGCAGCCGAGTGGCTCATCCAGGACTGGCAACGCAGTGGTTCTCAGCTTTTCCCTATCCCTATCGCGAACTCGAACCAGAATGCCTTTCTGACGAGGTCCCTGGCTGGCGGTACCAGCTTCCTGGCTATGCGAACTAAAAGATTCGAACGCTACTCCTCGACTGCAGAAATCGAGACGAATATTTCGAATTTCATGCACGTTTCTTTCCGTGTTCGACTTCGTATTCTCGGAAACGACGAACCCATCCTCTCGCCGCCGTTGATTGAGAACAAGGCCTTTGGGAAGAGAAACGACGAGATGGCAGACATGCGTATTCAGGAAGACCCTCGCTTTCAACGCATTGCGGCACGATTACCACCGTCAACTGGTGCCTGTGTCGGCATATTCACCTTCTTCTCACGAACGAGCGAATCAGATATTGAAATCCTTACTTCGGACCCTCCAAACCGCGCACACTACGCCAATCAACCGGACTACGACCCAATTCGCAATATCGTCATACCGGGCTCTCAAGTCGCAGTCGATGCTCACGTTCCATGGACACAATGGTCAACTTATCGTCTCGATTGGCTTCCCGGTATGTCTCGCTGGTACGTCGAGGATCGGCTACAGGCTAGTCTGGCATATGGTGTCCCCGTCGATCCTAGTAGATTGATTGTCAACATCTGGAGTGATGGTGGTTTGTGGTCGGGTAATTTGACAGTGGGAAACAGCGTACATTTGGGGATTGAATGGATTGAGATTGCGTATAACCTGACGGGCGAGGCACCGCGGCCTTGCAATGTTGTCTGCCGGATTGATGGTGTCAAGACTCCTGGTGTACCGGAGATGTGAGCGACTTGCTTATATTTTTAGATGATGGACGAGCCTGTAGTTTGGCGCATTCTGGATTGAAAGTTGTATCGATAGAGTGTATACCATTAGAATACACAAAAAGTTTCAATTACCTTCAATGTTGACATCTTCTACTTCTGCCGGAAAATGAATTATCAACAGAATTCTTGATCTAGCCAGCTTATACAAAGCCGTAGCAAAAGGGTGTTCTCAGAAACACTCACAGGGCCAGAAAAGAATAGATACAGCCACACTCTACCGTCATTTACATCTTCAAGATATCTACTTTCTACAGAGGATACTATCGCTCATCAACAGTTTTATTTCTCCTATATCATACAAAGCCGTAGCTCAGAGGCCCTACATGTCAGAAAATAATATGTACATACAAGCCATCACCACCACCGCAACTCGATCAATGCTCAGGAGGGCAAAGCCCATCAACCAAGAAATTGCGGTCGCATCACCACCTCAACCCAACTCCAACTCACAATTCAAACCAAGCATTTGACCAGGAGGACCTCGCAAATCCAAAGTGTATAATACATGCAAAACGCCAAAGTGTGATGCTAGGAGGAATTCCCAAAACCAAACTCCGAATCCAGATCCAAATTCAAAAGAGAACGACCTCAACTAGCATCGGGGGTATCACAGATCAAAGTCATTTCGTCGCTTCATAACATCAAAGACATTCGTGTCGTCGTAGGAAAAGAGGAAAAAGAAAATTCTATGGGATGGACCCCCTTCGCTGTAGTGTAGTGGGACAGCGATGAGACAGCGATGAGTGGTTTTGGGGACGGGGTCCATCCCATAGTACATGAAATTTGTACACGAAGAAGAAATTTCTATGGGATGGACCCCCTCCTCGTAATTGCATATTGAGGAGTGGCTTGTAGGGGGTCCATCCCATAGAGCATGAAAAAGCATGAAGAATTTCTATGGGATAGACCCCCTCCTCATAGTGGTATGTCGAGGAGTGGCTTGTAGGGGTCCATCCCATAGTACATGAAGTGATTTGTACATGGAGAGATTTCTATGGGATGGACCCCCATTACAACCGAAGTTGTGGCTTGTACACTGGGGGCTCCATCCCATAGTACATGAAATTTATACACGAAGTGATTCTATGGGATGGAACCCCCCTCCTCGTAGTGGCACATCGAGGAATTGAGTGTTGGGTGGGGAGGGTCCATCCCATAGTACATGGTATTCATACATGAAAACAAGGAAAAAAGAAAAAGAATCGAAAAAGGATCACACCGAAAGCCAAAAACCATACAAAAAAAACACCAAAAAACTATAATTGTACAAATCTGTAGGACCCCACGGGGTCAAAATCCCCAGTGAGGCCTCCGTTGAGTATCTCTGCAACGATCTTCTTTCTAATAAGAGGAATTTGCTCAGGCCCGTAGATGGTTGGTTTCAAGCCAAGGGCGATAGCTTTGGCAGTCGTAAGAAGAAACACACCGCAATCACTTCCGTTGTCTTGTTGAGGCGACGGTGTGTCGAGAAATACCCATTCAGACTCCTTGTAAAGATCTCCCAGTTCTTGCTTGAGCCAGATCTTGATATTGTGTACGAACGAATCTGGGATTCCTCCAAGGGAGTCAAAGTACTCAATAGTCCTCATTTTGGGACTGACAACGAGCAAAGTCCAATGTGCACCTTCATGGACGGGAATGAAGACAGTTTCAACGTTCAAAAGGTCTTTTCCGCCAATCTTTCCGCGTCGAGCCCAACGCTGGACACCTGCATAACCATTTCGACGTAAGGAACTGTAGAAGAAACTGTTGAAAGCGTGGTATTTTGGTGTAACATTTCGTGCAAGGTTGTTTGCCTTCCGGCGGAGATGTTCAACAGTGTATGTCAGATGGGCGTTGATAACTTCATCGTTCAACCAAGCCAAAGGTGAGTAGCAAGTATTGAGCTTTTGCTTCGTAAGATCTGCATCTCCTGTTGATGCTAAGACGCGATTCGCTGGGCCAGACATTGCCGAATCCAAGCGTTGTTCCCATTCAGCCGTCAAAGGTCGGACTGGACTTTCTCCGTCAGGTATACCGACGCGGTTGAGGGATTGACGTCTTTCTTGGATGAGCTCTTTTTGTTTTCTGCGTTCCCATTCTTCTTGTCTTCGCTGTACACTTGCGTTGAATTGTTCATAGCCACGCCTGAATGCGGGTTCACCACGAAGACGAAGTCCGACGTGGGCAGGTGGAGATTCTCTTGCGAACCATTGAACTGCAGAAGGAGAGCGAAAGTCGATATCGTCATCTATCCATGTCACTCGTTTCGGGGGTGCTGGGGTCTGGAGAGCGGTAGCCGCAAGTTGGTCGGCTGTTTCATCTATTCTTCGCTCCTCCCTAAGTAGTTCTTCGGCTTTCTTGGATCTCTTTTGACCGTTGTGCTTTCTCCAGATATGCATCTTTTGCGCATACTCTGCGTCTTCCAGCTCATCGAGAGAATCAGCTAATTCAAAAGGAAGTCGTCGAGCTCTATAAGCCAGCCACGCTGCTTCTTCTTCTTCTGGAGTTTTGATCCTTTCTTCATCTTCGGCTGGTGGTGGAGGTGGTGTCACAGGGCCAGGAATTTCTTCGACAGTCTGCTCTTCAATTTGAGTAGTGGTCTCGACAGTGGTCTGGACAGTATCGGTGGCGGACTCCTGTGCCACAACTGAAGAAGACTCTTGTGCTTCTTCGGCGTGCTCCTGAGCGGTTTCAGGTTTGTTGACCTCCACGTCAAGATTTGCTCCTGGATCACCCTCTGCTGCCGGTTGCTCGAAGCGTGTAAGCCAAGTGATCGAATCGGAAAGACTAGGAAATGAGGAGTCGTCGCGACCAGCATCTTGCATAATCATCTGTTGGAACGCCTCCATTTCGAATTCGTCGTCCATTTCCAAGGCTGGGACCATGGAGGAAGTAGGCCCCTCTTGCACCTCCGCAGCAGACGTGGGCTGAGCCTCAGTAGTGGAGGGCACATCAGAGTGCTCCTCAGTAACGGACGTGGTCGACACCTCAGCAGTAGAAGTTGCAGGTTGAATTTGAGGAGTGGAAGCCGGATGCACCTCCGGAACTGAGACGCTTGTGTCCGACATGGCTTCGTCTTGAGTAATGTGATCTAGAACCATTATGTTAGCAGAGGTCGCAGTAGTTTGTGCAGCAGTGGCAGTACGTGTAGACAAGCGAGAAGTATGATCAAGAAGCTCGGATTGCAATTGAGCAGAAGAATTATCGGCGGAGTCTGTCATATCAAGGTAATCGGAAGGGACACCCGCATCCATATCAGTCTGCAATTGATCATTGGCAGCTAACGCATCATCATCGGTGGCCATAATGATATCTGGCGGTCCTTCGACATCCTGTATCTGTCGAGTCTCTCTAATGCGTTCTCCAACAGTAACGGCAAAGCGGGTACTGGCTCTGATGCCCTGCTTTACAGCTCGATGAGCACGTCGAACGAGGCCAGTGATCCGACGGATTTGAACATAAATAGAACCTGTAGCGAGGACGATTTTCCGTTGAAGAGCACTTGGCTCAACGCCGGGATCTTCTTCTGGCCATGCACCTGGGATTGGCCCTCGTACTGGCGTTCGAGGAGAGTCTGCGTCTGTACCATCCCCATTGAAACGAGAACGCTTAGGTTCTGAACCCTCGCCGTCTGCATCTCGACGTTTGCGAAAAGGATCGCGGGTTAATGAACGCTTATGCTCTAAGATGTAACCATCCCAAGGATTACGCTGTCCAGAGCCTCCAATAATAGGTCTGCGTAAACGTGCGACTTCTAGATCAGGATCGATCCGAAGTTTCTTCTCAGGTGGTGTTAGGATCGGGTTTTCAGCGTATTCCTGTCGAAGCCTATCAACCCGACTCTCTGCGAACATTGCTCGGAGATCGATATTGGTATTGCCAGACCCGTAATCGAAAATAGATTTTCTTCGTTCACGCTCCCATCGACGAATTTCAGTTGGGCTCAGGTCTGGTGAAAACATGTGAGGAATTCGCCCAGGTCGGAACATTGCCTTGTCTCTGGGATGCCCTGTAAACGACCTTCCTGCAAAGCTGGAACTTGGTGTTCGTGGGTTGTAGGTTCCCAGGTCGAAACCGTAATTAGGCCCTTCACGACGCGCTGGTAATTCGACCTTGGTCGAACGACGTCTAGGACCATAGAGTAACCAATCTGGAGGAGGACGCTTTTGTGATCGTGGCCGCTCAGAGGCTTGGGATGGGAAAACAAATGGCTTTTTCAGGTTCTCAACCACTGGACCATAATCTTCGAGAGTAGCATGCAGTACCGGTCTATCGGCAAGAATATTGGAGGTGTTTGCTGGAATGGGAGGCTGGAGGGAGTCTTGTGTACCCCCCATATCGATGTCAGTATCTTGGTCCATTTTCCCTATTTTCTTGAGAAAAATGGACCTTTGTTTGTTGTTTATGTACAGTCCTCCGCTGTATGTAATGACGATAATGAATTTCGACGAGAGAAAAAATATGCCAATAATCTCAGCAAGTCGTGAAAGAGCTTGCTTCCCAAATACCACGTGCGAACCTTTTGAAAGAAGGACGAGTGTCCATGGAAAAAAAAGTATGGAGGAACGGAAAGCAGTTATTTGAGAATAAGAGATCGACGAGATCGACGAGATCAACGAGAGAATAGACGAGGATTTTCGAGAGTAAGAAGATCGGTTGGGTGTAGGAGAAGGTCAAGAGAGAACGAGGTTTGGACGCGTCGTAGGCGACCTAAACACGAGAGAAAGAGGTCTTTGAAGTTGAAATGAAAGAAAAAAAAAGGATTTCGGCGTCGAATCTTTGTAATTGACAGCTCAGAAACTCGCCTGATGGAAAGCTTTGGAATTGATGTTGAAAGAAGATGGAGATGGGAAGTTACAACAATTTTGAGAGGAGAGGAAAGACAGTGTGAAAGGAGAGGTAAGCGAAAGCTTTGCCCCGGCGATTGTAAAAGATGGCAGGGCAATGAGGTGACAGAGAGTAAGAGAGAAGGACATACGGTAAAGTCCGTCGATATTGTTTGTATCGACTTTGTTGCAACTCAATTTGGACTAGGTCGATAATATGGGGCACAGGGCAATTCTTTTCTCTCTTTGGTGATTGGCCGTGTGTTTGTTGTCATGTTGAGGAGAGAATGAGGTAGGTTGTGGCGGGCAATGATGGCCGGGAGAGCGAGGCGCAAACGGTGCTGGTTGATAGCGTGGAGGAAATTGAAGCTTTACTGACAGCTCCAAGCGCGCCTAAGCTCCCGCGCTATGTCGGCACGTGATGCGGCTGACATCGATAAGATAAGCCTGCTAAACTTTGAAGCATACAGAGAAACTTGATAATTACGAGACAAGCTGTCTACTCTTGGTGCACTTGAGTGAGGACAATGTTGGACTAAATATACCTAGGAAATTGTTACATAGTGCTCCAGCCGGTGAAATAGTTATGCTACTATATATATTTGATCCATGTTCCATAGGAGACTACCGCATAGTTAGATGTCTGTAGAAACTAGGATTCGTTTATAGTAAAGGGAGGGGAGGGAAGGGTTAGCTTGTAATGCGATTTGAAGCTTAAGAGTTTATAATTTGGAATAGATTCATGAGGTCTGAAAGTCGCATCTCTATCTTCTGAACAATCATAGTACCACTCCGTACAAAAACATAAATCAGGTACAAATAGAGTCAGAACCATTAGGAAGCAAATGTATAAACAAAACGCAGAAATAAACTATGTCCAGTAAATATTAAAACAAGAATAATGGATGTAATCAGAAAAATAAAAATCAGTAGTAGTCATCACCATTACGTTCCTAGCGTTCAAGGTGCCAGGCCGATAACATCAAAAACATACGCCATAACATCGACCACGATCACGCCAATGCCTGGATGAGTTAGCAGATTGTATAAATTACTCCTCAAACGGGGAAAACTTACCCATATAAACAATTAACCGCGTAACAACCTCTACATCATACCGGACACGAGGCTTCTTGATCATGGAAAACATTTGTGCTTCATCTTCGGTGGAGGATCCATTGGCTGTTTCCTCGAATGCCGAGCTTGTTTGGGTAGAGGTCGGAGCATCAGGACTTTGTCGAGGACTGACGGTTCCCATTTGCGACTCGTATTCCTCCAATTTGGACACGGAGTGCTTGCTAGCCTGACGATGTTTGCCTGAATCAATTAGTACCATCTCGACCAACAGGTCGCGGGAACATACCAGACAAGCCATAGTTATCAGAGATACTCTCCCGTCGTCGCTTCTCTCTATATGCCAATGTCTCATATGCGTCGGCCTCAGACTGAGGTCCAATCGAAATAGCTCTTCGGCGGGGATGGCGGATGGACGTAAGAATGGAAGGAATGTCAGAGAAATTCGGAAGAACCTCGTCATCTTTGAGATGTCCTGGTACTTTTCCGTACTCGCTGATTTGGTCAGTCACAATTCTGTAAAACAGGAAGGGGGTACTTACGAGGCGTGAGTGAAAAAGCGACGAGGAAGGATAAGACCAGCCTTCTCTAGACCGCGGAAAACTGGAGGTAGTATGCGCAACAATAGTGGTTTCGTAAACTCCCTCCAAGCAAAGATGATAAGAACGCCGACTATAAATCGCAAAGAAGTTCTAAGCCAGCCTATGTCAAGTCGATATGGAATGGTATCAGCAGTGAGTTCCGCAGAGGTAATCATCGACTTTGACAAGTCCCAGGCCGCTACCTGACAACCAATAAACACAGCAGCAAAGGAGACACTATCGTCAAAGCAAGGACAATCATCCGCCGGCTCGGGATGTATTCGGATCAAGACCAGCACAACCAGAACTAAAAGCAGCACTTCTTTTCCTGACGCTTCCAGAATCCAATTGTCCCATGTTGGTCCGTATACGATCTGGAACCATGCTATCAGAGCTCCTAATCCGCTGCCGATAATCACATCAAGGAAACCATGCATCCCGCAATATAGACGGCCGATGATGATAGACAAGGCGTAGATGTATAGGGCAGCCTGGGAGGCAAATCTGACGGCAGGGCTCAACGTGGTATTGTTCCATAATAGCGAAAGCAAGTAGATCGCCACAGAGACTGCATTTGTGGAATGTGTCGAGGGAAACCCGTACTCTAATGCGGCGGATCCGGACATGGTGATTCGCTGAAGCGGCGGAGAAAGAGGACGAGGTAGACAGAGCAAGTCTTTGATGAAACCGCTAAAGAAGACGCCTGCGGCCAACACATTGACCATTCTATCCACATTAGAACTGAGATATCACGTAAGATAGACCAGACCTACCCTCGACCCAGACTGGGATATCCACACCAGAACAACACGGGCAGAAAGATCATGAAGAACGTATGCGTGCCGAGATTGGCAGTAAAAGCAAAATACGAATCAAGCATGGGCGAGCGCACTTTGTCCTGAAACCAAGCAAGATACGGAGTCTCGAATCGCACCACCGGGAGGAGTTTCTGTCGGGGGTAGTATCGCCATTTTGGAAGACTATTCTGATCTGCTCACATCAGTCATACCACCGTCACCAGATTGAAATAGAGAATGTACAATGATTTAAACTCCTCAACCCAGCATCAGTCCGCCCGTTTGATTTCTTGTCCATTGTGTGAAGCAATTGCGTTCGCAGTGTATCGAGAGTCGAGTGTGACGTACTCCATTCGTCTTGGCCACAAGATATGCCAATGATAGTGGAATGGCAATTTGGCAGTAGCTCGTAAAGGACAGCAGAGCCCTGGATGGTAGATACGATGAAGGAGGTCGATTAGCAATGAGAATTCACGATGCAATCTAGCTTGGAAGTGTTCGCAGCGGAGAGTTTCTGCAGGGCGATTGGCCGCGCTGGCATTGCGGTGGATCCCTCTACTCTACACAGTACTCCGTATCCTTTACAGCTTTGCTCTGCTCGTACTCAGCCACTTGTCTATGTTCTGATCACTAATCAGGATTCTTCTAATTGCATTGACCCAATAACACATTGTGTCTATGCCTGTTCGGCATTGAATACTCGCAAACGAAGCGCTGGCTGACAGACAGCAGCAACATATAACTATCCGCCTAGGTACGGTCTACCGAGGTTCAATCAAGATCATAGATAGCCCCATTCTACTCCGTACCATAACTTATGATAAGCCCGTAAGCTCATCATCTCCAAACCCAGATCAGATCATGCCAGGCATAGAATCCACAGCGGGGTCAGGATCGCAATCCTAATCGCAAGATACAAGTTGGATAGCTACGTAGTGACTTGGACCGTGGACCCGATGCCCCTCTCCGGATCAGGTTTCGAGAGAGCGACTCGACTGATCGATCAATTCAAGGCACATAGCTCATAAGTTAATTGGTGAAAGCCCAGTTAATCGCAAGTCCAGTCAAGATTCAGCTGAGATGGAGTCGTATCCCGCGCGTTGCCATGGCAATCTGCCCTATAAACACGATGAGGGCCTGTTTCACATCGAAGCAATAGACTCAAGCAATCACATCAATTGATTCGAATCGAGCGGATCCAATAGATCGGCCATCTTTAACCTATTTATTGTCGAGTGTATGAGTTGGCAGTCGGTGGTGGCGCTTAGAGTTATCTGCAGGAAGAAAGAAACCCCTTCCTTCTTGTTTTCTTTCTTCTCACCTCTCTACCTCATCTTCCAAACTTCACATTCCTACTGATAAATTATCAATTGCTCAGTTATCTGCAGTGAAATATTCTACATTCACACATCCATTGAAAGTATAATACAGTTGGTGGCGCCAAGCTTTGTTGTTACAATCAACTCACTCAAAAGCAAACAAACAGTATGGCTGCTGTTGAATACAACCACAACTATGCCCCTGGCAGACGACATTCAGTTTATAACCATAGTGAAAAGACCCCCTCTCCCACTGTCACTCCCAGAGGATCCCATGTCCGCAGCCAGAGCATCCGAGTCAGCAACGGAAGTAGTGGCACTGTCAGCACCAACACCAGCATGTCATCAGGAAGGATGTCACAAGCAACCAATATTACCCAGCCGCCTGCCTATTCGAAGAAGTTTGTGGTTGTGGGCGATGGAGGATGCGGCAAGACTTGTTTGTTGATTAGTTATGCCCATGGATATTTCCCAGAGGTTGATTTCTTCCATATAGCTGATGCTACTGATACTAACTTTGGGGTGTGTAGAGATACGTTCCTACGGTTTTTGAAAATTATATCACGCAGACTACCCACGCTCATAGCGGCAAGACCGTGGAACTTGCATTGTGGGATACCGCCGGCCAGGAAGAATACGATCGATTGCGTCCTCTATCATATCCCGAGACCGATCTCTTATTTGTCTGCTTTGCAATTGACTGTCCCAACTCATTAGAGAATGTGATGGACAAGGTGAGAGCCCTCTCTACCACCGACGAAAAAAAAAAGAAATGAAAAAGAAAAACAGCTAACCAATCGCAGTGGTACCCCGAAGTCCTCCATTTTTGCCCAACTACACCCCTCATCCTCGTCGGTCTCAAATCCGATCTCCGCAACAAGAGCACATGTATCGAGCTCCTCAAAACACAAGGTCTTACACCGGTCACCCCGGAACAAGGCCAAGCCGTTGCACGACGCATGAACGCAGCGTATATCGAGTGCAGCAGCAAGGAAATGAAAGGTGTAGAAGAAGTGTTTGAGTTGGCCGTCAATACCGTCGTCGGAGTCGAGGAGCAGGGATACTATGGACCTGGTCCTAGTGGTAAAGGGGGTGCAGTTGGTCGCAAAGTCAAGAAGCGAACTTGCAAAATTTTGTAGATCTTTTGTTATCGATCGCCTGGATGCGTTCGTTTTCCCTTTTCCTTGGCTTGCTTCAATTCCATCTGAAATGGTGGTTTATCTGTTTATGTGTTATCGGCTCTACCTCTTCTTGTATTTCTTTTTTTTCCCTTGATCATCGGCCCATGAGGCATTGGAGCATGCATGGAGTAGGCGTTGGCACGGATTGTTGGTTAACTGAATCAAATCTTTAAACTCATCAGTACTTTTCATTCAACTCTTGATCTTTTGTTAACAGCTTCCCCTGGCAAAAATCAGATCACATGACATCGGCAGTCCCTTGCCGTATGGGAACAAGACACTTCCCAAAAAGCCTTAGCAAGCCCTAGCAAGGCCCCGTCGTGGGTATCTGGTGGATTCATCTTGATCAAATTTTAATGCTAACCAGTCTTCAGTCCACGGTTAAGAAACTGAAAATTTCCCGTACCGGCCTAGAGCAAAACCTTGTACATAAGGCTGTCTGAACTGGTCTTCCATAACGGGTCCAACTCCTCCAAGTTATCTGCTATGATAGGGCGAGAATGTGAGACAGTGTACCTGAAAAGAGGCTGAAACTACAGCACAAATCCTTAGTCCTGAATAGTTCAAGACTTGATACTTGGAACTGCGGGTTTTAAGAGGTTCGATGGCCTCTAGGATCTTCTTCCTTATTCAGAGTGTTAGTGAATTTTTCTTTTACCACCCATATCCGTAGGGCGGTAGACTTAGATGGGGGTATATAAAAAACCACAGTTTCCGCCTCGTACGTACTTTAAAGATGCTCCTGTCCTGATTAAATATATCGAGGTGCTCAGTATAGACAACTTCGGATATCTAGATAGGAGTCATGTATTGGCCGACTTCAAGAAACGAGCGATGGTTCTGCTGGACTGTATTCGCGCAAGCCGTGGCTGTACTAGCCCTGGAAATGTGAGTAACCACAAAAACCCTACCTAGGTAAACATTTTATATATTTACCTGTCTAGATACAACCTCGCTCAATGGGAATCCTGGATCCGACCAAACGGGACTCAAGTCCCCATCTCCTACCTCATCCCCATCAATCTGTCCCTAATAATGTTCGCCGTCTTCTACGAATCCCTCCTATCCCTCAAACTCGTACACGATAAATCCAACATTTTGCTGTTAGCAATCTGCATCAGTAAAGCGTGCGTATTCGCTTATTCCGTCATGCAATACCTATCTATGGAACAAAATACCCATTCTATTCAGACAAATCAGGATATGTTTGGTGAGCCACTTGTCGATTTATCCCGGGACTTGTGGAAAGAGATCAAACCGGCGGAGATGTTGGTTCCGATTGTTATTGGGATTGCAACTGTGATTGTGTGTCCGGTCGCGTATCGGTTGCATAAGGAGTATTCGTGGGCTATTTATCAATGTGTGCAGGGGGATCCGAAGATTCGGTTTCGGTATAGGGGATATGAGGTATTCTTCTTTCCCGTCCCAGAGCTGTAAGAGGAGAAACTGACGGATATAGATCTATCTTGTCTTGATTATATTCAACGTTTATTTCTTCATCGGGTTTATTGTCCAGTACAATCTGGTGGACGTCCACTTCATCGAGCCCGAGTTTTCGCTGACAATGGCCCTCATACCAGCCGCAGTTATGCTCATGGTTCTAAGCGCATACTTTGTCCGATACGAAAATAAAATTGGAACCATCATCGTCATCGTAAGTCCTTCTTCCCTTTCCTTCTTTTTCAGCAGCAAATCTAACATAAACAGACCTGCTACCTAGGCCTCATAGCATACATAATTAGCCGCATAATCCTCCTCTGCAACCCCACAGGCCGCGGAAACACTCCCGGAAAGGACATGATGCTTTTGTTCGCATTTTTGGCGTTGATATTCACTTTTCTCGCCATGGTGTGTGCGATTTATTGTATTGTCAATTTTGAGCATGGGCTGCAGACGGTGTTTAATCGGAAGAGTCAGATTCCGAGGCGCTCGTTTGTGTTTCAGGAGTTGCCGAGTCGGTATAATAGTGCGCGCGACTCGTCGAGGATGTCGCTTGAGTAGATATCATTAATTGCATATAATTTTAATCAGTTCGTGTTCGTAAATTTGTAGGTCAAGTGACAAGTTCTTGACGCCGAATCACGCAATGGGTATCATCATTTATCGAAACAAGCAGTACACAGAATCAAGAACGCCTATGCTCTCCATTCTCGATATCACCGTATTCCTCCTCTTGTTTGATATCGACTTCTTCTCCCGCATTGTTATCGTCTTGCTTTTGAACATCCGTCTGCTGCCCCTCTTCCGAACCCATGACATTCTCAAAGTGACTCCATAACGCTTCGACGGAACTAAACTCGTTGCCTACCTGTCCTCCCGAAATGAAAATCAGCATACACCCGCATAAGATTTTAGATGGGGTGGGGGAAATGTACAGCAATGATACTCTCCAAATTCCGATTCAAGCGGTTTATGTATTGGAGGACTGATTCCATGCCCTGTTTGTCGTCAGTTTGCGTTTTATTCCGGGGGATGGGGAATGGGAAAGGCCGCACAAGAGCGATTTCGCGAACGAGTTCGGAGCGCTGAATTTCGAATTCGGTTCTTGGGTCGGTGGTTGTGGATGTTGCGAAGGCGGACATTTTGTATCTTTTTTCTTTTTTGATAGAATCTGGATATGTGTGTTCGAATGTGGTAGTTGTGTGATTGTTGATATCGGACGGACAGATAAACGCGTTTGGATGCCTTAGACTTCAGGCTAATTACCTTATCCCATTGACAGATAACGTATCGGGTATAGTGCGTACCACGTGCAATCAGTTTCAAGTTGAGGAATCGCGTTCATCATGCTCATTCTCCGTAAAGGACATATACAGTTATTCTTTTCGTTGGCTCTTTTGAAATTGATTCTATTCCTATCGGAACAACTACCAAACCGGGTATCTGATCGTGCCATAAACATGGGAAAAAAAAGCATCACTTCGTATCGTCAACTCAAAAATCTTTTAGACTCGACAAACCCAGAAAATAATAACCGAACCTCGTCGCAGTTTGATCGTTCATTCCTTCGTGAATCAACGCTGACTATCCAGATCCCAGATTGATGTATTATAGCATCCGCCATGTTGCAGTATAGCTCATCCAGGAGCCATGAGACGGAAGACAGACTACCGTCCAAATCCACCCGTCAACGTAAACTTTCTCAATCTCTTATTCTCGGCACCGGTGAAGTCGGCGACGTCGGTGACGACGAAGCTGACGAATTCTGTGAATCAATCCCATCCCTACTCATCGATAATCGCGGCTGATTATTATTGTTGCTGCCACGGCTATATTCATGACTCTTCCGGAATGAGGATGATCGTGTAGAAGAACGGGATCGAGATCGGGATCGTCGATGTTGGTTGTTGTGGATGGTAGCTTCCTGATCGGCTAGGACGTCTTCGAGTTTGACGTCCCAGTTGGAGGAGCGGTGGTGGTGGTGGGAGAGTGGGTTGGAGCGGTTTTCGTCGAGGATTTCGATGAATTTGGATGCCATCTGACTGTCTGTTAGTATGTGTTCGTATCTCGGGCGGAGTAGTAGAGAGGGCTACCTTGTTGGAGAGATAACGACTGTAGTATAGTCCAAGCGACCGATATAGTTGAGGACAGTTAACGAATGCAATGATCCATAGACAGATTCTAATAGTTGAAAAGTGCAGGCTGGGAGTCGAGTTCTTGATTCTTATAAAGGCTTAAAGTATCGTCAACAGATATACGGTATCCGTACAGTAACAAGACTATATCCGCCGCATCGAACGGATGTAAAATACACGAAATCCGTCATACCGGATGAGCCACTGACCTAATGCTCCCCTCCATCTTTCTTATAAATCCGTCAAGACTTAATATACAGTGCAATGCTTATTGGATCCTCACTCCGTTGCTCATCATGGAGTATTCTCCACATTGCCGACGTCTTAAAGAACGCCAGTAAGAACCGATTATCAATCCTTTCCTCCCGTATCTCCGCGTCTGAGAATCGCTCCTCTGTCGTGGCTTGTTTGGCTGACGATGAACGGGTCTTAGTATGGTCCTAGTATGCATTAGTATACACGCTCCGTTTATGCAGTTGGGGTTTGTTACTTGTATCCACTGTCCAGAGTTGTCAATATGTGGCAACCTTGACTCTGTACTCTCTGCAATCTTTCCTAGGACAAGTCAGAAGACACAGACTGCGCGAGTCATGTGGCTGGTCTAACAAAAATAGAAGCTGACATCATTGGATGTATGCTTACTCAGGACATCTCTCGACTTCGGTCTGGATTCATTCTTCTTTTTATTTGTATACATTCTCTGATCTATTCTTCATTCAAATGACGTCGAGAAACAATGGAGAATAATTCCGTGGTCTGGATCTATCTCATCCACGGACGTCATCTATCGAACGGCGCAATATGATACAAACTACTAATGAGGAATATACCTCGACTAACTCACCGTCTGAAACGCACTACCTGGCAAACTCCTCAACCCAATAAAATCCTCCACCAGAATAATTGTCCGAAACACAGAATACGACAAACATAGCAGGACATTGGGCACAAGAATCTTCAGCGGCACATCCAGCTCCGGATCTCTGTCGGGATGGATATTTCGTAGCCGCCATGTGAGACGATGTAGCAGACTTTTCTTTGCTGGAGAAGACTGATCCTCGACGTCGGGCTTTGGTTTTGGCCGGCCTCGGAATGATGAATACATGAGCATGCCAACAGATCGTTGCACCGATCATGCCAAATCACACGAGATAAGCCGCAGCAATGCGCCAAAGAAGTCGTTCCGGGGATGTCGGAAATTGGAAGTTCCATGCAAACATAAACATGCAGCTATACAACACAATCGCCGGCGTGGCAATTCTTTCCGCTAGCTTGTCAACGTACAGGAAATTATCAGACGGGACCCTTGCGTACGGTCTGGTGGACGGACGACAGAAGATCGGAATGCGGAGATAGTGCAGTATCCGCACGTAATACCCGCCAGAAAACGACTACGGAACCATTCGTTGCGCGACAGAAAGTCGAGTGGTGTCTGATACCATTTCGACCCGGGGAACGGATGATATCGGGCATGAATAGCGGTGATTGGTGTGTTGGTAGTCAGGACAATGGCTCGAGTGACGTCCTTGGGTTTGTGGTACCAGCAAAACGGGGTGATAAGGAAGACGATTATAAAGGATAGAGTGGTGAGTTCGAGGGTGGTGATGAAGAGGTTTTCGGCTCTGCGGCCGATGCAGTTGATCAGGAACCACATTGCTTGGATTATTGTGAGGAAACTGACTTGTCAGACGGCACCGGGACTACCTGGAGCGGCAAAGCATACCTCGTAAAGCGACCTGCTTTGCTTTTGTCCCTGATGTCCTCCACATCCAAATCTGGATACACGACGAACCCATCTCAGACAAGATGAAGCAACTGCTCCGCATCGATGGGAAAGAATTCACTTCCAGGAGCATCAAGCAAGAATCCACCCATATCAGCAAAAAAGGCATGTGTCTTTGTCCAATTTGTATATCCCTCTTCTTGAAATTTCTCTTCACCTTAGTCACGACCCTTTCTCTTATAGGAGGTACTCACCTTCAAAGATACCCGCGCAAAAGTCCATTGGCCCAAAGCAAGCATTAACAAAACCTCCGGTCCCAAAATCAATAGAGAAAAGATAGAATTTGTATAGCAACTGTTTTGACTCTCCGTCTGCTCTGGAAGGGATGTAAGGGTAGACGGATGTCCAGCAGCACAGAATTAACAGTTAACAGACATGACCCTCGACCGTCGGGTTCGGAGACCCAATTTGATTCATTGGTTGGCATGAGGATATATGTATTATATGAAAATTAAGAAGAAAGTTCAGAACCTAAAAGATATATCCCATATACATCTATGGATGGCATTTTCGCCAGCGATTCCACCTGGGCAGGTTATAGCACTCCATGAATCAGCCTGACCAGGCACCAGTTTACACTGGTCATTCGCGGTTTCAGATTCTTCAAACTAGACATGGTATTTCTGCATACCCCTGCAGGACCACACGCATAAGAATGAGGTACCCTGTAGATAGGATTGTTTTCTTTTCTCAAGCTTCAGTCTGTGTATGTTAGCAACAGAACCTTTATTAATGAAGATTGAAGGCACCAAACACCTCTGCCATATTGATAATTCCTCCTGTCCAACTCTTGGATTAACCTCCTATTACAGCTAGAGTATGGTGATACGCCACTTTGCTGTTATGAAAGTCGCTATGTCGGTTGAGTATGATAAACTTAATCATTTTGAGATTGGTCTCAGACCAGTGTTATATTCACACCGCACAAACTATATGACCCAACGATCAAACCAGCACAAGTCACAGGACTCAAATATAAGCTCCGACATTGAAAACTGTATGTTGGCATGAAGAAAGTTTGCTTTTACTGAATCAATCAAGCCGCTCCATAAAAGCAAAACGCCAATGACCGAGTAGTGCTGTTCTCGACTTCTCCCTCCTGTCTTCTCTTGTATATTCTGTCGACATGTCCTTCCAAACTCAAGATATCGTCAGAGAAGGTTAGCAAGGGCCGTATCTTTCTCTCCTCGATAATAATCCGATACCGCGCTGATACGTTTAAGCCGATATACCGCTTACCATCTCAATCCCGAAAACACGCAAGAAACAAACTGAATTCCCATAAAATGCCACTTAAACAAGACAAGAAATCACTTTAAACCCAAATCCGTCATTTCGACACCATCCGCACTCGCCATCCACAAAATATTATTACACCTGTCGTACATCAGTCAGCCCCATAATCTCATCCATCCGAGCCGCATAGAAAGAGAGGAAAACCTTATCAGAACCAAACCCAAACTACCCGTATTCTTCCCATCAATGTATTCCTCTGTATCCCTCAGGAGAACGTTCATGTACGAATCGATGCTTTCGAGTGTGCCGCGGTATTCGGTTTGGCCCCATTTGAGGCGGATGATTAGTTCGCTACCCACTCTGTGAGTTTTTATTAGTATTTGGAGTCGAATATGAGGGAGTGGGGTGTTATTTGAGAGGGTTTTGAGGAGACGTACCGCGCTTGGAGGAATGGGCGGGGATTGAGTGGTTGGAACTGTGAGTGAGTCAGTGTCTGGATTTGGTATTTCAAGTATAGGGTTCTTGGAAGAGGTAAGGTGGTAGAACGTACACTCATTGTCGGCGCAATGAATTTGGGCTTCGAGTACGGAGTCTTCGCGCGATGGCCTGAAGATTGTTGCTAGTATCTGTTCCCGGAATTGAAGATGCTGATATTCGAAACTATGCAACTGCCTAAGACACCTTTTCCCTTCAGAAACAGTCAGATAAAGGGTATCAAGGTATGTGAATGCAGTGAACTTTTTTTGGTTGTTGATTGTGACAGAAGGTTGAATGGAAACAAGACCTGAAGCCCACAATATTGGTGACAAAGAGCTTTTCAGCCAATGAAAGCAGAGGAAATGTTCACCGCCTTGTGAGCTTATTTTTATGTTGACCTTTTCCTACTTCTTCTTCAAGACAGATATCATTGAATGCAATTGAATGCCTACTGATTACTGATTACTGGATTGACAGAAATATCCTCATCTGGCCATTATCATTCGGTCGTCGCTAACTAGCTAACTTACATCAACCCGTCCCCTCCCTCCCAACAGCCTCCCATTTTCCTTCCTGACAATCAATCATTTACTTGATATTCCGAATCTCAAACTTGATATCCTTAACACTAACTTCCTCACCAGCCTTCTCATCATAATCATACCACTCCCCCTCGGAGAGATCAATGCCTGAGAAGGACGTCGAAGTTTCCGCCCCTTTTGCTTCCCAGTCTCCCTACACATACATCAGCACCAAGACACGCCCTAATACAGAGTAGGAGACTTACATCAGCCTTGAAATCCGTAAACTCAAGACCGCGACAGTCGAGTTCTATGATCTTTTGAGTTTTGTTTTTGGCATTTTCGGGGATTTGGTATGCGTTTGGACCGGCTGTTATGGAGGCTGAGTGTGTTTTCTTTAAACCAGTTAATATAGAGCGATATAAAGGTGCTGATGAGGGAAAGCGTACACCGCAGAGCTTGCATTTCCAGACAAAGTTTGCTTCTCCTCGACTGCCCGGGATGTCGTGTTTTTCCTATATAAACCATCAGCTTATCATGAAATTTAAATCGTAATTGAAGTAGACCTAGTGAAGAAGAACTTACATATCGAGAAAAACTGACCCAATTTGGATGTTCCTCTCTGCATGAGCTACAGAGGACCTTGAAGGTGTAGTAGTACGGTTCCTCTTCTGTGTCTTTGGGCTGAAGGCCTGCTACCCTAGAAGATGTTAGTTTCATTTATAGTCTATTTTTGAGAATGGATTACCCCTGTAGTTCAGCTGTCAAAGCTAGAGAGAGCATTTTAATGATGATTTTCAAAGGGTTGGATGTTTTTGATAGGTGTGAGATGATGATGCGGGGAGTGAGGATGGGTGCGTGACTTTTAGAGAACAGTGGGGCATGCCTTATAGTCCTTAACAATTCAATGCTAGCACAATGCTTTCTACACTATGATCTAGAGTTATAAGGAATTAATAACGCGTCACATAGCTAATACAATGTGCAATACATGCTGAAGAACAATGAATCTATCGATCAAAGATGACTACCTGGCCCCTGTCCCAAAGGCTTCGACGAGAAAGCATTGAAATATGCATTCAATGCATCAACCGTACCACTCCCCTCGACTAGACGAACAATGCAAGCAACATGACTATCAGGACGAACAACAACAACACCACCCTGCTCAGGATCAAATCCCAGCTTCTCATGTGCCGAGTACTTAGCATGCGGTACTCGCACGTCAGGGATATCATCGGCATAGATGTGATGGTGATAATCCTTGACAATCTGAGGCAAAGACTGCATATCAACGCCATTTTTCTCAGAGGCGAAGATAAAGTTGAGAGTGAACAGTTTGGAATGCGGGTTATGTCGCTCAAAGTATGATACGTTGGCGATATCAGGCCGGCGGTAAACAGATAGGAAAGACTTCTCCTTTTCGATATAGCTGGCAAAGTCTTCAAGGGCCTTTTTGCTTTTTTGTGGTGTACCCGCAAAGACAAAGACTCGGAATGAGCCGTTTGCGGGCACTTCTTGTTCTAAATGGATCATGTTGGCGTCAGAGAGACGTGTGACAGTCGTAGGGGTGAAAGCCCTGCCGGGTACGAGTTTCACACCATCAATGCCGAACAAGTGTGACTGAGCGGGATGACTGGGACTCCAGTTGATGACGTTAGGGTCGTATGCAACTCCGTATCCACTAGTGAACTCGCAAGAAGACTTGAAAGTCTGCACAAACTCGTTCTCTTCGGCATTGGCATCGTTCGATTTAGCATTACCGACTTCCTCTGCACTGGGAGGACGTTTTGAAAAGAGGGCTGCGTATTTATTGTCAAAGGCAAGCAGGTCCTCGGCAATCTGCTTGCGTTCTGGCTCATATGACTCGAGGAGAGATCGGTTGGCGAATCCAGATTCAACGGCGTGCATCTTCCAGGCGAAATTGAGTGCGTCATGGAAAGCTGTGTTCATGCCTTGACCTGCCTTGGGCTGTATAAAATTAGTATACTCGATTACAATAAGAGATTTAAAAACGTACGCTGTGAGTATGGCAAGCATCTCCACCCATGAATACGCGGTGGTCCAATGTGTACTTTTCTGCAATTCCCTGTCCAATAGGATACACAGAGTACCATTCAACCCGGTCCCATTGAATAACATAAGGTCGTAAAATCTTCTTAGCAGCAGCTTGTACCTCTTCTACAGTGGCCGTCTTTCGCGGGTTCCAGTCAGGATCGGTCGAAGATGCGATTTGCACGTATAGTCGGACCATGTTATCCTCACGAGGAATGACCATGATTGAGCCGCTGTCCGAATGTATGGTACATTTTGTCTACACAATCAGTTCAAGCCCTGAACCTCGTAGACGGTGAGCGTACCTTGATGTCAGGGAAATTGGTCTGTACAACACCATCCATCACACCCCAGACGAAAGAAATCTGATCCTTATAGCTGATCTTGACCCCCAATTTCTCCCGGACAAAACTGCGCGCACCCTCTCCACTAAACAGATACTTGGCGCGCACATTCTCAATGACGTTGGTATCCAAACACTTGAGACTGACTTCAACAGGATACTCTGCATCCGTCCCATTATTCTCAAAATCGACGATCGTCCAGGGACGGTCAACAACTGTGCCAGCTTTCTCAATCTCGTCCAGGAACATCTTTTCAATTTTCCCTTGGTGCACCAAAGCAGTAAATGGGTATCTCGTATCAATAAAACGAGGACAGCTAGGCCAGTTGCCAGTCCTAGTAATACCTTTACCACCAGGAAGAGGATCCCAGAACGCGACATCGTATACCTTGGCGGGCTCGTATGCCATCAGAGCACGTTTCAAGCCGAGATTTCTCAAAATCTCGATGGAGCGAGGCTGGATACCGTCGGCGCGGCCAGTGGCTGTCGGCACAGGGCGGTTGTCGATATGTTTGACTCTGTAGCCCCAGCGAGAGAGACATAGTGACAGCAGAATCCCAACAGGACCCGCGCCGACGATCACGATGTCGTATCTGTTGTCTTGTTTCGCCATATTGTGGTTTATCGAGGTTGGTAAGAATATCTCTTTCTTATACTTGTCTCAAGTGTAGGGTATCAGAGCATAACAAGAAAGACCGACAACACGAAACAAAAACAAAGAAAGGAACGAGCATCGTCAGGGCGGAAATGTCCCATTAATAAATAGCAGCTGGAAATACCGAATCATCGTGGACAAGCGTACGACCGGATCTAGAAAACGGCAAATGTCGTCGAAATGTCCGCCGAAATAACATTGGCTGCTCGGTGCCACAGCCCACATTGGCTGCGCAGTAGTGCTAGTATCGTAACGAGCTGATTCATGATGTCCATGCGCTGGATCACAGTTATTCGATGAATCGATATAGGCTGGGGTTCAGTGCGGGGAGAAGCTTGTCTACAGAAAGTCGTCGGTCGGGGATCGCGGCAACCGGGTGCTCCACCCACGGTTAGAAAGTCGGCAAGTGGAGAGTCTTCAGCTGTTTCTCTGCACGATTTCTGTGAAGAAGAATTATCCCTGGATCTAGCGATTATAGTGCAATTATATCGAGTTATTGAGTCAGCTTAACCGGAGTGTATGTGTGGCTCGAGTGGTTGAGAGGACTGGTCACGTGACTGTCCATGACCTACTACGATGCAAGAAGTATAATACCAGTTCAACAGTAAGAAAAATAGCTTAGATGAATTCCGAGATGCATAGCCCAAGCAACATATACCACTGTTATGTGTTGACTTTGATTGATGGACTCGACCTGGTATAGGTATTGCGTCTTGATATGCGTAGGTAGGATAACCCTAACGCAAACTATATACCCGGCTTACTGAGATTCAGCAGATACGCTTCGATTCCAAGCAGTATCTAGCCACGACCGTTGTCTGCAATAATCTCGAGCCATTGCTAGGTAGTTGCCTAGGTGACTGCAAATACGGCATGGTTAGCTTCAAGTTTGGCCATATTCTCAGTAATCCCAGTCAGAGATGTCGAATATCATTGTATACAACGGAAAACTCAGGCTGGCCCAGAGATATCCATCATGCCAGACATATATCCAGCAGCACCATGATAAGCAGTCCTAGACATAGATGAATGTCGCCAACACAATGCACTCAACTAACAGTGACCTCTGTCCATTGTGTGTATCATTGATAAGGACCTGTGACATCGTGACACTGATACTGGTCGCCCCCGGCGATGAAAAGTTTCCACTCAACACTCCAGTAATAGATCATAATAAGAACTTTTCTTTCCTTCCTTCTTCTTTCTATTCTTCTTCACTCAAAATCTTTTTTTTTGTACCTGCACTTGTTGGCTTTTTAACCTGTTTGTTTTGTTGTTCACACATATCAGACCAACATCCAGAAAGACAATGGATAAAGATACAAAGAAAAAAGATGAGATGCTATCAAAACCAGCAAACGGGATTGAGACCAAGGGATCGGATAGTTCTGAAGGAGATATTCCTATTCTCTTGCCTCGTCGCTATCATCCCGACTTCAAGGGGAACATGGTGGTAGAGGAACCACAAACTGAATCTGCACCGGCTTCACCTACCTGTCCTCGCCAGACAAGATGGTCTTTCACGCGTACAGCACGAGGAGTCGTTGAGTCATTGCTCCCAGAACCATTAAGGCCTCGATATGTCAACGAGCAACGTCCAGTAATGATGGAGGCGTTACCAGCAAATCTCGTCGACGCGAGAAAGGCGTCCATCTATGATGCGTAAGCTGAATATGATATCTGACTCCAGGATAGCGTTAACATTGTACAGTGTACTGCACCCACCACGACCATCTTCGTCTGTGTATGAGGATGATGACCGCTGGCCCGACTTAACTACTAGCAGTGGGAGCACCTGGCATTACGAGGGCAATTCCTCAGGCATCAACACTGCCAGGAACGTCCGACGCCATAATACTCCTCGCCCTGGGCAACTAAACACTCACAAACCTCTTCCTTTGGACCCTCCCAATGTTGTCAATCTGAGACGCGAACAATCACAATATCTTGAAGGGTCCTCTTTCCATCAATCCTCGCGTCCTCAGACAGTCTTTCCTGGTTCTAGTTACTTGGACGATCCTCAACCTATCCAAGAATGTGAAGAAACGAGGTCTAGCCTTCACACTCTTGACCAGTCTCAGACATCCTCAAACAATCAGCAAGGCGATATGTATTCGCAGTTGGCTGCTCTACGGGTCAACTTTTCTCGTCGCCACAGCGCTCGCCTGCCTGACGCTGACGATTTGAACGAGAAAGCACCCCTCTTACAAACTTCAGAGAGCACTAATCTAGCAAAGAAAGAACACGTACCATTTGATCCTATTGACCCTTACCATCATAGTGGCCAGCCTAAGAAGAAGGTGCTGTATGGTCCTGCTGGCTACCTGGGCAAGAGCAAGGATTGGAAGAACTCGAACCTTCAGAGGATGACTGAGAAAGTCGAATCACTCGGACATCGTGTGGTATGTGTTGTATCTTGAATGAGATAAAAATACTTGGACTAACTTGAACTAGAAACGTGGTATCCAGCGTACCCTGGAACGTGACCCAGACGACAACAGAATGGAATTACTTCATGGCATCGTGATGAAGCCTAGCATTTCAATCAATGTCGACCCCGAAGCTCAGTCAGAAATTTACTCCAAGCTTGAGCTATTCCTTTGCATGAGCGCCAACTCGTATCTTCTCGTTCAGCTGCAAAACAACCGCTTCGTTGGCAACGATTCTATCAAGCGCTTTGTCAACTCCTGGAAGTCCAGGAACCGACCCGTCGTCCCTGAGTTTCAATTTGACATGAAGACTCAACGGGACATCATCGTTCACAACCTTCGGACTTTCGAGTTTCCCGGCAGATACGGTCTAGATCCAGTGCTCTTGAGAGGTACACTGGATGCTTGGGGTAGTGTTATCAGCCAGTTGAATGTTCGCAGTTATTGCTGGCCCGATAGCGCTATTCGTAAGCTCTTCCACGATGTCGAGCCAATCCTTGAGATGCTAGGTGCTTCCAGAGAGGTTCTTGCTACTTTCCTCCAGATCAAGCAGGTGGTCGTCGCGATTGTCCAGCAAGCCAAGTACAAGAGGAAGATGGAGCAACTCAAGCTTGCATCTTCCCTGCATGATCCATTCTAAGGGCTGGTTTGGCGGTGAAGTCGGTTATTTTTGGCTTTCCTTTGATTTTTCTTTGGCGTCTATTTTCTCTTCTTTGTCCATATGGTCTTTTCAATACTGATTTGTAATAGTTTCGCGAATGACCGAGTTCATTAAGATAGCCGAATGAAAACATGAGTTTAGGAAAGATCCACTAAAGTAAGGCGACGTCATCACCGCTCCGGCGATCACATGGCAGCAGTTCTTCTCATCAACACACCGTCTCCTTCATAGATGCATTAAACGATGCGGTTTTGATCTTCTGTTGTCAGCGAACATTATACACGTCTGAGTTATTATTGCTTCTCGCTACGGCTGGTGCAAGCATGCCCCTGCTAGTTTTGTTTTGGTTGCTGCCTTGGTAGCTACGCGACGGTCATCTCGAAGACGGAATATGGCATATTCGCCGTGATACAGAAGAATATCTGATACTCATATCAAACTAAATACTCGAGTACGTCCGTCAGTTATGTCCGGTCCAGTCCACACCTACGGCCCAACATGCCTTCGATCTACGCCGAAGCTGGATCTCGTCGCTTTCCAGTCCTCGTCCGATCCTCCGCCAGTCAATTCCCAATTCTTCTATACCTCCTCTCTTCCGATCGATGATCCCTTGACTCCGCTTCCGGCGGCTGCGACTGCGGCATCTGGGAGAACAGCGTTTACGCCACAGCCTTTCTCGGCGCGGGATAATGTTGCTTTGGAACAGGCTTGGAGAGCTCTTGCGGATACTGCTTCGCAGGAAACACGTCCGGGGATTAGTTCCCGGAAGGATAAGGCGAGGAATTTGGGTACCACTTCTGGGGCGGGTAGCATTGCGAGCGATGCTGGTGGTATGCCTATGAAGAGATCGGAACTGTTTAACCGACATGAAGGTCCATCGACATGGCCGAAGAAGAGGGACACATCTCCGTTAGGGCGAAAGTTCAAGTCAGTAAAGCGAAATAGTGCCTCCTTAGCTGGCTCGGAAGGCCATGTCTCCGGCTCGGAGGGAGCTTCATCTTCGCGTATTCAGCAGGGAGGTGAGAGCACTGCAAATGGCCAGAGCACGGATTTCGGCACAGATGATATAACCGCTCCTGCAACCCGTGAGGAAGTCACAGAAAATGCGACTGCTGAAGTACTGGATACTGAATTCTCACCCGAGGAACCTGAGGATCGTTCGGCAAGATACAAAATCCCAGTCGGAGTCTCGCGTCTTCATTTGGTAGAGCTACCAGGATTGAAGGTGATACAGTCTTAGACTCTTTTCATCGCTACTTGCTGACTTACGTAGATGAAACCGATATATTGGAGTCCGCTTCACGACATATCAGATGTCCTTCGCGCAACATGGTTTTATAAAAACACAATGCTTCCAATTGAGCCGTATCTTGCCAACGAGCTTGAAAAGGGTTATCATTATATGCGTGCTTGGACAGACACTTGGCAAGATGAACTCAACAGCTGCGTAGAACATGGGGCTGATGCTGAGATGAAGGTTGTATACAAGTTGTGGCAGGATGATTTTGTGTCTCGAAGCCGGCCAGAGACTGCTCAGGGTGGGAAAATGTCTACGGATGTGTCTGTTGATGATGCAGATGCCGATATTGAGGAAGTCACATTTGCGCAAAATCTGGCAGCCAGCGGCTCTACAAAGGAAACCGAGTCAGGTTCATACAAGAATGCTAGTGTGATCTATGTTGACGGTAAAGATGCTCAAATACTTCGCCCAAGTCTTCTGCCTTCGGTTTCGAGGAATCGTCGACCTCTTAGCTCAATTCGCAAGGGGCGTCAAATCGGTATCCCTGTAGTTCGTGGGTTCGACAGGAAGCAATGGGATCAACTTCATCCTGTCAAGCAGACAAACATTGACATGAGACACTACTTAACACGGCCCCAAACGAGACATTCCAGAGGCGAGCAAATCTGTTATGCTTGTGACATTGAAGGTAGTCGACCCAATCCATCGGACTTGGTTCTTGTCATCCATGGGATTGGTCAAAAACTGTCTGAGAAAATGGAAAGTTTCCATTTCACCCATGCCATCAATGGGTTCCGCAGGTCTGTTAATATGGAACTCAATAACGAAGAGATTTGGCCTTTTATTCGCCCTGACCATGGAGGTATCATGGTGTTGCCGGTTAATTGGCGGTCGACATTAGAACTTGCAGATGCTGAAATGGACTCTCTGGATACAAATGACCCTACTGCAAACCACTACACACTCGACGATCTCACACCCAAAACAATCCCCGCAATTCGCACACTTGTTAGCGATGTGATGCTAGACGTACCTTACTATCTCTCTCACCACAAAGAGAAAATGATTCGTGCTGTCGTCAGAGAAGCAAATCGGATATATCGGCTATGGTGCATGAACAACCCTGGATTCCACGAACATGGCAGAGTACATTTACTGGCCCACTCTTTAGGAAGTGTCATGGCACTTGATGTTTTGAGCAACCAGCCTACCAATCCTCCTAGTTTTGATTTGCAGCCGGCTGAATTGCATGATGATATTTTTGAATTCGACCCGAAGAATGTGTTTCTGTGCGGGAGTCCTGTAGGGTTGTTTCTCCTACTTAACAAAGGTAAAATCTCTTCTCCTTTCTACTTGCTCATGCTAATACGGCCTCAAAGCGAACTTGCTTCCACGACGAGGCAGAAATAAGCGAGGGAGGGAAGGCGAAGATATGCAAAGAGGCGTTGCAGGAGAGGCCAAGAAATACGGTTGTCTAGCACTCGACAATCTTTACAATATTATGCATACGACAGACCGTATGTGTTCAAATCACATGTATTATATGTTCAATTCTAACTCTTTCGGATCCAGCAATCGCCTATCAAGTAAATGCAGCAGTAGACAGCGACCTAGCTGCTTCTCTCAAACCCGCCGTCGTCCCCAGCTCCTCATCATCCTTCATCTCATCAATATTCGGTTTTGGACCCACAAACAAATCACTAACGAGTTCCGGTCTCTCAAGCACAGCGCTCCCTTCACGACCCACAAACATCACAAAGTTACCTTCAAACGTCGAACTCGAAACACACGATTTCACACGCGAAGAAATCGCCGAAAAGCGTATGCTCCTATTGAACGATAACGGTCAAATCGATTATTTCATATCTGGCGGTGGTGGACCGTTGAATATTCAGTATCTGAATATGTTGAGTGCTCATAGTAGTTATTGGATATTGCCGGATTTTGTGAGGTTTATTGTTGTTGAGATTGCGCGGAGGCAGGATAAGGATGGGACTTTGTTGGCGTTGAGGGCGGAGAAGAAGAAGGGTTGGAAGGCGTAGATCTACTCTCACAATTGCATTCTAGACATACAATACATGATAAATCTAATGAATGTATATAGAAATAAACTTTTACGTTCATTGCTCTAGATACCTACAAACTAATCCTCCGCCATCAACGGCCCCATCAACAACGCCTCAACAACCTGTCCATCACCAACCACCCCCAGACCAGGATACAAAACCAACAACGCATTCGCCTTCGCAAGACTCCCCACCCTCGAACTCCGCTGCCCAACACCCGCTGTTCCTGTACTAGTCGCATAAAGTCTCCCATCGCGCCGTGACGCAGTCACAATAGCGCGATGATATTCCGTGCGTTTGGGGTCGAGTTTGATGGAATGTGTCAGTGTTGCGGTTATTAAAGGGAGACCCAATCCTGAACCAGGCGGAGTTGTGGGCGTGTTTCGGGTTGATAGACCCATTAATTTGTGCAGAGATGGGAGGACGAAGAGGTTTAATGTTACTAGGGCCGAGGCTGGGTTGCCGGGTAAGGAGAATATGAGTCTCCGTTCGCGTTCTTGCTGCTGCTGCTGCTGCTCAGATGATGCTATCGGTGAGGATGATGGTTTGTACGGCACGCTTGCAAATGTAGTCGGTTTACCGGGCTTCATAGACACTCTACCGAAATGTATAGTACCGCCTAGGGTACGCTCAATTGTTGGTTTGAGTAGATCTAATTCTCCCATTGATACTCCACCCGTTGTGATGATGACGTCTACCGCGGGCTGGGAAACTGATATTCCGCGTAATGCGCCGCGAAGAGCATTCTCGAGTTCGCCGGCCGGTGTGTCGCGGGCTATTCCCAGGTCGACCGTCTCAAAGCCCCAGGCACGCAGACACGAGATTAGAGATGGTCGATTCGAGTCGCGGATTTGACCACCATGTAAAGCACTTGGATCGTCGTGCGGGACAAGTTCGTCGCCGGTACTCATCACGCCAACGGTGGGTTTCTTGAAGATTTTCACGGTTTTGGTACCCGTTGAAGCGAGCAGGCCGATTTCGCCGCCAATAGCAGATATCAAGTCTCCCCTAGACAGGATTTTGGAGCCCTTGGTCACGTCACTACCCGGGTCTCGCACGTTCTCGCCGATTTTTACATCGTCGGTTAGGATCTCAACTGCTGCTTCTTCTTTTCCATCCGGGGTTGTTGAGGCGAGAATAGTGTCTTCGACCATGACTACTGCATTAGCGTTTGGTGGGAGAGGTGCACCTGTAGTTATCCGTGCGATGTTGCCGGGTTCAAGGGGTGGAGGCATAGATGATGCTTGGGCATGCGACACAGAAGCCACCGGAAAAACGCCCTTTGTTCTGGGGCCTGGGGTGCTGTCGTCCGGGACAATGATTGCGTATCCATCGACGATACTTGCTCGATAGGCCGGTACGGCTTCACTGGCATAGACATCTTCGGCGAGGACTGAGCCTACGAGGTCGGTGGTAACTGGTGCTTCTATAATTGTAGGTTCGGGCGTTTCTTTCGCAATGATTTTAAGTGCTTCGTCCACTGAAAGCATCGGATAGGGCGAAGAACGATATCGCCTGGTAGGCCCGGCATTGGGGTCATTTGATTGTGGCCGATCTTCTGGTGAAGTATGCGCTTTTGGGACTGCGTGTCCGTGGTCGTGGTGATGATGGTGATGATGGTGGTGGTGATTATTATGGCTGTGATCTTTTGCCGTTGTGGACTCTGTACCTGTGGACAACAGGCCGGCATCCTGTTCGAGTTTCTTGATTCCTTTTGCGTGGATTGAACGTGAGTCTGCACCAGCTGCTTGGATGCAAGCGTGCGGGAGAAGATTGATGACAGCTTCAAGGTTCTCTTTGGCACCTTTGGGTGATCCTGGGAGTGTGATGACTAGGGATGCATTCCGTGTACCTGCCACAGGACGCGCCATCATGGCGACTGGCAAACCAATTAACGTAAGGGCAAGAGAAATGTATCATCTTGGTACATACATGGAGTCACTTTCAGAGATGCGGCTATCATGCCGTGTCTGTGATGATAATTAGTTGTGGATTGAAATACTAGAAACTGGAATCTTACATAAGTCCCGGCGCATGACGATGAATCAGAGGGGAGACTGCCTGTTATCAAAGTCAGTACTATCTCCAGATTTGACATCCCTACAACATAATAGATGTATACAAACCTCAGGCGTCCCATCCCTAACAGCAAACCCCGTCCCACCACTAGTCAGGATCAAATTGAAGCCATCTTCCTGATTATCAGCCCATTCTTTGACTGCGTTTTGAATCCGATCAAAATCATCCGGAACAATCTTGACAATAGGTGATGACCACGTCTTGGAATGTTGAGGTGATGTAAATATCTCCGTCAGAATCGGGCCGGTCTTGTCACTTTGAGGGTTGATAGAGGCTGTGTCTGAGATAATCAGAATTGCTGGCCGGAGAATGTCTGTGGACATGATTGTTATTGTTTACGAAGTCAAGGAAAAGAGTCTATACATGCTCAGTTGAAATAGAGGTCTAGGTAGAGTTTAACAGAGTGATGGATGACTTCTGGAGTGATGCCCCACATCACAGCATCAGTCAGCATGGCTGTATATGGCGGCATGTTGATACTCTAGAAAAAAAGCGGCATGATATTTGAAGAAAAATAATAACTGTTGAAATCATGGTTACATATGCCAAGGTATAATACTATACACTCGCCTGTGTAGGCGAAGCCAACAAATTCATGCGATGACAAAATCATAATGCACCTATATAAACCATACGCCCCTTGACATTTGACATACAGATAGAAGAAACTGTTTCCGTCGATGAGGACAGAATATGAGAAGCTCGTTAGATGTGATACCCGAGCAAGACGATCTCGTTAGGAACAATCACTTCCTAAGACATCTAGATATGTTATGAACCGTTCATTTGAATTCATTGGCTCGCCCAGAGACCAAAAGACCAATAATCAAGCCGAAAAGACCTAGAACGGAGCTGAAGATTTCGATAACGAGGATTTTGACGAACCTGCCAATTCAATTAGCTTGGTTTGCTGCGAACAGAGGTACAGCGGGGGATAGGAAAGGGAACGAACAAGCTAGGGTCAGCGGCATCGGCTAAAGCAGCACCGCTTCCATTAATACCAACAGAGATACCGCAAATCAAGTTGCAGGCACCGACTGTAATTCCTCCCCAAAACAAAGAGAATCCAGTATAGATATTGCTGCCGGAATACACGTTCAACGGATCAACATAGTTGAGCTTCGAGGAGAAGACAATGGCCATAATGACACCGTAAATGGCGACGACTTCACAGAAAATAATCGAGATCAAGTTTTTTGTTCGTATCCGAGGTGCCTTGACACCACCGCCGAGGATGGATGAACCAGTGAGGAAGATGCCCCTAAGAATGTTGTTAGTCTGGTTCGACAGAAAAAGATGGCTTTGGTCGTACCATGCTGCTCCTACTACCGAAAGACCTATACACATAGCTATTCCGATATTGGCCCATGTGTACGGTGACACTGTCTCTAAAAATTGGCCGACCTAGTTCCAAGTTAGATGATGGAAACCACAACCGCGTAGCCAGAAATCGTACATTAAACGCTTCTCCTTCGCCGTGAAAGAGCATATCTAATCCACCGCATCAGTAATGATCATTCCGAGAGAGAATGGTAGCTCTTACAAGCACCGACAACACCAAGTGCCGCGGTCGCAACACCAGCGGGATAGAGCGCCATTGCTGATGTGTCTGTTTATGTCTCTGCTCCTCGTAGATGACAGACCGTCCAAGCCGGGTGACGTATTCAGCAACCGTACCGAGCAGTCCCTATAGCTATTCAAAGCGTGGGGTCACCGTATGAAGAGGTCGGATAGTAGTTGGCACGGCTGATGATGCTTAGCAGTCTTAGCTAGTGAGATGTCGGCAATCTGCCGGGCGGTGCGGCCATCGGGGCTCCGTCATTGGCTGTGGCCCCCCTCGCTGTGTTAATGCATAAGGTTCACAACTCCAATTAACGATGATACCTGGCAACCTCCCTTTCCTTTACGTCCGTTTTCACTACAACCCTGCTTCCCTCGAATATTCTGCTCTGACGAACGTTACGAATTTGCTTTGTTCAGTTACTTGACACTCATACTCTAATAGCGTTCAACCTTTTATTCACAAGGTCGATCATACCCGAAGCCTCCCCCCTGAATCGAAAGACACCATACCGAATCGTGCAACATCATGGCTTCCCAGACAGCCGCGGGTTCTTATTCGAACCCTTTGAAGAAGTTTAAGTGCGCTATACTGCCGATTGATTTTATATTGAGAAAGGATTGAATCTGATAAGCATTATAGATTAGTATTTCTCGGAGAGCAAAGTGGTATGTTCTGCGATAGGTGGTATATAGTTTCTTTTGGCCTGACTCGCACTCTGCAGTCGGGAAAACATCTTTGATCACACGGTTTATGTACGATTCATTCGACAACACATATCAGGCAACAATCGGAATCGACTTTCTGTCAAAGGTGTGCATGCCACTTGTCCTCGGCCATGACTCTCTAATTGAGAATTATAGACCATGTACCTCGAAGACCGAACAGTTCGACTGCAACTATGGGACACAGCAGGCCAGGAACGTTTCCGATCCCTCATCCCCTCCTATATCCGTGACTCAAGTGTAGCTGTCGTTGTATACGACATCTCCAACGCGAAATCGTTCCAGAACACGAAGAAATGGGTAGACGATGTCCGAGGCGAGCGAGGAAACGATGTGATTATTGTGCTTGTTGGGAATAAGACCGATTTGAACGACAAGCGAGAAGTAACTACCGCGCAGGGCGAGGAGGAGGCCAAGAAAAATGGGCTTATGTTTATTGAGACGAGTGCAAAGGTTGGACATAACGTGAAGCAATTGTTTAGGAGGATAGCACAGGCCCTTCCAGGAATGGAGGGTGAGGCGCAGAGAGGGGAGAACCAAAGTAAGTTTATTTTTCTTGTTGCTTAGTGACGATATGCTAATTTATTTCCTTAACAGTGATCGATGTCAACATTAACCCGTCGCAACCAACAAATAACGACGGATGTGCCTGTTAAGTATTTTGGTGTTGGAGCTGACTTGTGGTTTGATGTGTATAAGTGGCGCATGGTTCCCATGTATATGATTACTATTATTTCTCCTTACGAATTAATATATATTCAGGCATTCTGTCGACTCCTTTCACAGTGGGCAGCCCCGAGGTTCTACCTTCATCCATGCATATCATCAACCATATTCCCTGCCTAGATAGTTAGATTATTGATATCCGAATTCTCCAAAATCTGCAAGCGTTGACTCCCGTCCAACACTAGCTTCAGCATCACTTTCGCGAAGTCATCTACTAGAACAGAAGGACCCATGCCGAAGACCACACTCCTGACAGTCGTTCCCTTAGAGAGCACCATCACAGGCCTCAAGATATAACTTTCGGAAACCTCTCTATTCTCCGGACATACGAAATGAGCTCGTTCTCAACCTGGCCCTGAATACGTCTGTAATCCTGCATGAACCATAGAGACTTTGTCGGGTCCCGTTCTGCGGCCGCAGCCGCTTAGATAAGGAAATCGGAGCTTTGAATTGTTGTCGTTGGTAGTCTCTTTTTGGGCAGAGAAGCTCTCGTTGAAAGCTCGCGCAGCAGTTAGGGTATATTCAATGCTAATTGTTTTGTTGGTTTCGTTATCTAGCATTCTTGCTTTCCCTAGCGCCCTATATGACTGAGCGTCATATCCTCGTTTCAGGTGAGTTGGCGGGAAGAATACAATATACAAGCCTCCGCGCCCTGGACTTCCTGCATGATTGATAGTGAATATGAGAGGAAATTGTTCATAATCAACCCTTTGAGCTTGGGATTACCTGTTAGAGTAGTTGCGAGGTCGCGACGAGAGAGTGCGATGATTGAGGTGATTCGTGTACTTTGGAGGCATTGCTCCAAGACTTCCCGACTAATGAAGCCTGTGACCGTCGATGATCTGATTTATACCGAGATATTTTGTCTCAGAATCTGCGTAGTAGTGAATTGAGAAACATTGTGCTGTTTCAAAGATGTGGTTATAGTATTCGGACTTAGACGGAGATTAGGCTTGGTTCAGCAGTGAAGCCAGATTCACTCATTTTCAAAGAATCGAATGAACCTCAAGGCGAGCTGATTCCAGATTTGAAGTTCTTTGTTACCTTGGAAGTTGATACAAAGGATCAACCAAATCCTTGACCAGTTTCGTAAAGCATGATTGCTGCGACAAGGAGGAGATTTTGGGATCCTCTGAAGACCCTTGTCGGCCCTTGATTGGGTGATCGGATGCTCTACTTTTCGGAGTGCGGCTTTGGCTTCAAAAAGTCTTCTAGTACTCGGGAACGAGAGGGTGTATCCGACATCCAGAGCACAAATTGATTTATGAATATTGAATACATTGAAGTATCCGCATCCGGTTGGAAAAAAAAAAAAAATTATATCCCCTGAGGCCAAAGAATAGCCACCGAGACGTCATGTAATAAGGATCTGCCTAACAAAAAATATCAAAAGGCTTGGCGGACGGCTTCCCCGGGAACTACCAACCTCTTCTCTTTCTGTTTTCCCTCCTTATCTGTTGCCATCGTTGTCACTTCTGGCTCACTTTATCTCAACGCTATTCGCATTTCTTACTCCGCGCTTTATATCGGCGATCAGTGACATTCAGACCAAGTATATTACAGTGAGTCGGTGCATTCACTGTCAACCTCAGTTTTCTGCTGTTTGGCTTATCTAGCGGTGGTCTACGACCATCGCCTCGAGCGTCATCAACATGGCGCTTCGCATATTTCGCATTCCGCGCCCTCAGGTAAGGAAGACGATGTACTTTACTTTCATGAGATAGATAGAAGATCACCAGCTAACATGTATCTACTCAGCGCTTTTTGTGCGTCCTAAGCTTACAGACGGGTGCTTCGCTCATCACGTTGTCATTGCTTCTCAACAAAATCAGCGGCCTATATGGATTGCTCGCTCTTTTAACTGGCTACCACCTCTCACCGATTCAACTTTCTATGTACATGTACTCACTAGCCGCCCTCGCCCTCGCCGTGCTTCTTTTCCCTCATATCAGAAAACAAACACCTCTCCATTGTCTGGGTCTCGCGTGGCTTTACTTCTTCGACACCGTTATCAACGCCGCATATACAGCTGCATTCGGTGTGACGTGGTTTTTGGTTGTGTCTCAACATACTCATAATGCGCCCACTACGTCGGGTCCTGGTTCAACGATTGATGATACGTCCGGCTTTACGAGCCCGAAATACAATGTCTCGTCGGTGCATATCCCTGGCCCCGGAGACGACTCGGGAATCACAGCAGACCCAGCCGCCTCGCCGGCTGGTATGGCTGCTGGCGCTCCGACCGGCACTCCCAGTCTCGGTGATGGGATCAAGCAACCAGAGAGCCTTGAGAGCATCATCATGATTTCTATTCTATTGCTGATCCGCCTCTACTTTGTCCTGGTCATGTTTGCCTTTGCCAGGCAGACATTGCGTCAGAAGCTCCTGAATGCTTCCCAGCCATCCTACAATCAACTTCCTACGCACAGCCGTGCCACCTCAGTGGCAACGGTGGCTAGTGCGCCTGATATCGATCGCGAGCCTTTCCTCCCACATACCCCAGAAGGTCAGGGCTGGCAAGGAACATTGGGCCGTGCCATGATCAGTGTCTTCAAAAATTACTGGCTGGCCCCCGAGTCTCCAGAAGTCGAAGATGCAAGCTGGATGAAGGGATTTGGCCGCAGCCTTCATTCTCATTCTCATTCTCATTCTCGCAACGACTCGTCATTTGAGGGTCTATCAGAGCGGGAGCGACGCCGTCGATCTGGTACCGGTCCTCCGAAGCCATCGCAGTCAGTTCTTCAGGCTGCAGCTTTGATGCAGCCTATTGGCGGCGAAGGTGGCAATGCCGGTGTTGACCTTCAGGATCTGAACGAGCATAGATGAACTGGCATTGCCTAGACGAGAACGATGACTTTGGAGTTTATTTTGTCATTTTCGTGGCGTTTGACATATCCTACATCTTCTATTCGAACATGATTTTTACCATACGGGATGATCGTTTCAGCATTTTACTGCATGTACTTCATCTTTTACTCCAACCGCTATCGCCATCGGAGAGATAGTGTATCGGGATGACTCGAATGGCCGGCTGGGTGAGCCGTTTATAATGACGCGAAACACATTCGCAATTCTGCATGTTGATGTCGGCCGGGACGGATGGCGTGATAGCATGTATATTCCATGCGCAGCCGGACATTTTGTCTGGTGGCTTAGTAAAATTGGTTAGGCGCAGACAGGTATATAATGATTTGATTGATTGATTATTTATTTATTTAATAATTCTTACTTATAGACTCTGGAATTGACTGATTCGGCCGACACTCGGTCACGGGACTCGTCCTCCGCAAAATGTTTGGCCTGTTTGCATCGATGTCGTGATCGTCGGCCAATCGCATCGGCCGCGTTTCCATTAAGCATATTTCCCTATCTGGACATTTTTTCTGACTCCCCTCATGACTTTTCTCTTTTTTGATCAGTGATCACTTGTATGATACTGTAGCCAGAGAGTCTTTTATTCACCTCTCTGCTCTGCTCTGTTCTGCTCCTCTGTTTCCATTTCTCTTCTCATTGTGTGTGAGAGAAAGTACAATTGCATCAAGTACACTCCCATGTGGTGATATAGATTCACCCCCCTCACCCCAATCTTTCATAACCCCCCCCCCCCCCCAACGGTTGTTGCCATAGGGCGTGAGATTTGGCTGTCGACATGGCATCTGTAACAACCTCCGCACAAGCGGGTGAGTTTTCTCCAAATACCTCTTGGAGTTTGTAATGTATATACTGACGTACCCCAGCGGCTAGAATCGCCTACCTTGCGAGCGATGTCATACTTTCTCTCCAGCCATCGCTACAAACGGACTCTATCTTTTCCAACTCAATAAACACTCAGGCCAAGAACCTTGATCGTAGTGTGTTATTGAAGGACACTCCAGAGGTAGTCCGTTCCAATTCAATATATGAGATCATCCACTAACTTTCTCAGATCCGTCCCGTCCGCTTCAATGAAGACCCTCTTCTCTCTGCATTCCATCCTCTCCAGCAAGGCAAGCTTGTCACGGTCACGACATCATCTTCTGTACTTCTCAACTCAATCCCCCACCTCTACCGACTCGCCAACCATCCCATCGTGTTGCATGTCGCTATCGAGGCCTCGGATTTCAGCGCCATCAGCTCAATCCGACAATGCGGATTCACATTCCTTCAATCCGAGACTATTCAAGAGGCTCAAGATATTGCCTTGACGGCTCATGCTCTGGCTCTCAAGTCCGGAAAAGGTGTGATTCACTTCTTTGATCCCGCCAATTCCGCCAACGATGCTGCTATTACACCAGAAGAGTACGAGGTTGTCAAGACGGTTTTGGACTTGGATGCTATCCGACCTTCCTACAGCCAATCGGCCGATGGTCAGACTCTCTATGCGGATTCCGGACGACTGGCAACCGTCTCTGAGAATGGCATGGAATTATCCACCACGGCTACTTCAGCACCAGCACCCACACTCCTAACCACGTCATCAGCTGCATTGAGCCGGGATGCCTCTTCTGTTGGATCTTCCCGTCGGGACAGCTCCTCTGATAGTCATGATGTGAGCTCTGCTGCCACAACCGTTGACGCCACAAGTGTGCGACCTGTCAATTCTGCGGATATCTTTAGATGGGCTTCTGAAATTTGGGAGACTATTGCAAAACTTACCAGCAGACAATACCAAGCAATTGAGTATACTGGTCCGCAAGAAGCAAAGTCAGCCATTTTTATCTTTGGCTCTACTGGTGTCTTTGTTGATGCTTTGAGTGATGCGAGCACTAGTGCCGATTTGAAGGAGATTGGAATCATCACAGCTCGTCTCTATCGTCCTTGGATCGGGAGCTTGGTTGCAAACCAGATTCCCAAGTCTCTTAAGCAGATTGCTGTCCTAGAGCAAGTACGAAAGACTACCAGGTGGGGTCCATCCTTCTTGGATCTGCTTTCCAGTTTGTCTTCAGGCCAAGGTCAATCGCCCCGTCTTGTTGGATATCGTCTTGGCCATGTAGAGCCATCTACAGTTGGACAAGCTTTGCGTGGTATCTTACAGAACCTTACTTCTGAGTCACCCATTCAGAACCTCGAGGTTGGGAGCTACGAAGTGCCCACTACAAAACAAGAATTGGTCCAGCCCGCTCTTGAAAATGCTTACACAAAGATTCTGGATCAACTTTTCGGTCAGCGATTGTACGTTGCCAACCAACTGGGTGCCAAAGATGCCGGCATATCTGCCACGATCGCTGCTAGCCCTGAGTACGGTTTTGGTTCTCTGATCGCAAGATCCGAGCACCGCGAGCGATTCATCGCAGAAGTTGAAGAGGCTGCCAAATCACCAGCATTTGTCACAGATAAGCCAGCGCAATGGTTGTCTAAATGGGCGTTGAGCGCACAGGATACCGCCAAGGTCAATGCCCTTGCTGAAGATGTTATCGATCACCTGAAGGTAGACGGTTCTCAAGTAGCAAGACAGCTTCTCGAAAATCACAAATTGTTCTTCAAAGAGTCTCAATGGCTCATTGGATCCGACGCTTGGGCTTACGATCTCGGTAACTCTGGTGTTCATCACGTCCTCGCGTCGGGCGCTAATGTCAACATGCTCATCATCGATTCCCAGCCATACTCCGAGCATGCCGCTGCTGATCCTACACGCCGAAAGAAGGACATCGGCTTGTATGCCATGAATTTTGGAAATGCATATGTCGCCTCCGTTGCTGTTTACGGCTCTTACACCCAGGTCCTGCAGGCTATGGCAGAGGCCGATCAGTACGACGGGCCTTCCGTTGTTGTGGCTTATCTGCCATACCACAAGGAGAACGAGTCTCCCTTGGCTGTGTTGCAGGAGACAAAGAAGGCGGTTGATATCGGTTACTGGCCGCTCTACCGTTGGAATCCGGACAGCGATGAGAATGGAGAGCCCAAATTCTCTCTTGACTCTGAGCGCATCAAACGCGAACTTGAAGAGTTCCTTCGCCGTGATAACCAGCTCACTCAGCTGATGAGGCGCCACCCCAAGTTTGCAAACAACCTTTCCGAGTCTTATGGAACCGAGGTTCGTGCACTTCAGAAACGCAAGGCCAAGGACTCGTATGAAAAGCTACTAGAAGGACTGTTTGGTGCTCCTCTTACTATTCTATATGCTTCCGATAACGGCAATGCTGCCAACATTGCTAAGCGACTGGGTAATCGTGGACGCCTGCGAGGTCTCAAAACCTTGGTCATGGCTATGGACGACTATCCTATCGAAGATCTTGCTACAGAGGAGAACATTGTGCTCATCTCTAGTACCGCTGGTCAAGGTGAATTCCCTCAGAATGGTCGAGCATTCTGGGAAGTCGTTAAAAGCTCTGGCGATCTCGATCTTTCTTCTGTCAAGTACTCTGTATTCGGTTTGGGTGACAGCCATTACTGGCCTCGTAAGGAAGACAGGATATATTACAACAAGCCTGCCAAGGATCTTGATGCTCGAATCTCTTTCTTGGGTGCTACTAAACTTACTGATATTGGATTGGGTGATGACCAAGATCCAGACGCTTTCCAGACTGGTTATGCAGAATGGGAGCCCCGTTTGTGGCAAGCGTTGGGTGTCGACAAGGTTGAGGGTATTGCGGATGAGCCTCCTCCATTGACTAATGAGGATATCAAGATTGCCTCCAACTACCTCAGAGGTACAATTGTCGAGGGACTATTGGACGAGAGCACGGGTGCTATTTCCGCGAGCGATTCTCAACTCACTAAATTCCATGGAACTTATATGCAGGATGACCGTGATTTGCGTGACGAGCGCAAAGCACAAGGTCTTGAGCCTGCTTATTCTTTCATGATTCGTTGCCGACTCCCCGGTGGTGTCGCTACGCCTCTTCAATGGTTGCAAATGGACGAGATCAGCAGTGCACATGGAAACGAGACTATGAAACTTACGACAAGACAAACATTCCAGTTCCACGGTGTCATCAAGAGCAAGCTTCGCCCAGCGATGCGTGCCATCAACAGGGCATTGATGACAACACTTGCAGCTTGCGGTGATGTTAACCGTAACGTCATGTGCAGTTCCCTTCCTGAGCTTTCCGAATATCACCGTGAAGTTCACGCTATCTCGAAGAAGATTTCAGACCATTTGCTGCCAGCGACTACCGCGTACCATGAGATTTGGCTAAAGGACGATGATGACAAGAAGGTCCAGGTCGCCGGAGATGCAGTTCAAGATTATGAGCCTTTGTACGGCCCTACTTATCTTCCTCGTAAATTCAAGATCACCATTGCTATTCCTCCTCACAATGACACCGATGTTTATGCCCATGACATTGGTCTTATTGCTATTAGGGGCTCTGATGGTCATCTTGAAGGTTTCAACGTTATTGCTGGTGGCGGCATGGGTGTGACACACAACAACAAAAAGACATATCCCCGAACTGGTTCCATGTTCGGCTTCGTACCAGCTGATCAGGCACACGTTGTCTGCGAGAAGATCATGCTCGTCCAGCGTGATCACGGAGACCGCAAGAACCGTAAACATGCTCGTCTTAAGTACACTATTGACGATATGGGAGTTGAAGTCTTCAAGGGCAAAGTGGAGGAGATCCTGCCAGACGGCATTCGATTCGCTGAGCCACGCCCTTTCAAGTTCGTCTCAAATATCGACACTTTCGGCTGGCAAAAGGACGAGAAGGGCTTGAACCATTTCACTTTCTTCATTGAGAACGGTCGTATTGAAGACACAGCCGACTTTCCCATGCGAACCGGTCTGCGTGAACTTGCTAAGCTCAACAAGGGCGAATTCCGTCTGACTGGTAACCAGCACGTAATCTTGTCGAACATCCAAGACTCGGACCTCCCGGAGATCAAGGCACTATTAGCCAAATATAAACTCGACAACACTGCCTTCAGCGGCCTGCGTCTCTCATCTTCCGCATGTGTCGCTTTCCCGACCTGCGGTCTTGCCATGGCCGAATCAGAGCGGTACCTCCCCATCCTTATCGACAAGCTTGAGTCCACTCTTGAAGAGAACGGCCTCTCTAAGGAGAGCATCGTCATGCGAATGACCGGCTGCCCCAACGGGTGCGCTCGTCCATGGCTCGCCGAAGTCGCCTTTGTCGGCAAGGCCTATGGTGCGTATAACATGTACCTCGGTGGTGGTTACCACGGCCAGCGCTTGAATAAGCTCTATCGCTCCTCGATCAAGGAAGATGAGATTTTGGATATTATGAAGGGTCTGCTTAAACGATACTCTCTTGAGCGTAAAACTGACGGCGAGACACCTGAGCGTTTTGGCGATTGGTGTATTCGTGCTGGAGTTATTAATGAGACTACCGAAGGCAAAAATTTCCATGATAATGTGAGTTTTCATCCATTCCTTTGAAAGACTACCGTCCTAACTAAATTTGCAGACCGCCGAGGAAGAAGATGAGGAGTAAATAGTTCGTCCTGCCTTCGAGTTAAAAAAGCTTTAAAGCGATGATTTATGAAGAAAATGGAAATCATCTAGGATCGAGTTATGAATCTCCTTTCTTTTGGGTTGAAAATTGTGACATTGAATGATAGGACTTGTACAGTGACCCGTTACCTCTGTTTAATATATCAAAATACAGTACTGTTTAAAGTAACTTATATCAAAACTAATGTATAACGTGCTTCGTCAGGATCAATACAGTAAACTCTCTCATGATTCAAGGTAATTAATTTTTACTCTGCCCTAATACACTGCTTAGGTGCTCGGCACATTTCGATCACATTCAACACAACAAAAATACCCCATAGTAGTTTCTGAAAAAGCATCCACAAAGACACGAGAATTAATTTCCACTCATCTTTCTTGTTATTGCTGTTGTAAATCTTGCAAAGGCGATTGGATGCATGGACAACGACGTAAGTCACGGCCTCTATAAGACTGACGAAACCAAGGGTACCACCATAACAATTCCTCCTATTCCAAGAAGGCGTTTGTCAGAATAATAGTAAAACGCGAAAGGTATGCATAAAATCCCAGTAGCAAGCATCAGACCGGATATGTAAAATTGATCGTAGATAAGTATACGATGTATCGAATCGCGTGTCCGATCGTGTATCCAATCGTGTATCCAATCGTGTATCCGATCGTTGGGGATATCAAAGACCAAAATGTGAATTGTCAAAAATCCAATCGCAGCACCCAGAAAGAGTATAGAAGAAGCATGTAAAAACGTGGCCGCCAGACTATTGGGACAACTTATACCGAAGAAAGTACTCAGGGTAAAACCACCTGCAAATGTGGTGAGAGAAAGAAGGAAGCCTACCATGCCTTGGCAATCCTCCTTATATGTCTTGTTATCCCTTTTGTCTTCCTCAGCCATGTTGAATGAGATCAACTGATATACTGTACTTTGAAAATCCAGTGTGAATTCGAGAGATCATACAGAGCAACCCATTTATATACAAAACGTCGAGCTCTCCGGCTTTTATTTCCGCGTAAGATGATTATGATCACATAACTTAGCGTAACAATTATCTATTCCTCTCAACTTTTCAACTTTGATCCGAGATAGGTCAAGCTGGTGGATAGAAATACGACGTCACGCTGAATTCTATACAAGCCTCGACATAGGGCATGACGGTTCTTGAAGAAACACCGCCTTATACTTGAGCTCGAGGATAGCTTCATGTTGGTCACATCACGGAATCAAATGTGACATCGACAGTATGGAATTCGTCGCGGTCATCACTGTAAGTACTAGTGCAAAACCCAGAGCATACACCTCTCCTGGAAGGAATAAAGCTGAGAGTAAGTAACTTAACTCTGTAAGATTTCTAGTTAATCTCAGCGGCCGTTGTCGTGATGAATCCTTCCGAGTCTGTTTTGTATTGCCCCAGCCCCGGCAGTATGCGCAATTCTTACCTCTATTTTGATCTTCAGATCGATATTAAAATGTAGCAGAAATTATGTTTTTCATTCTCGACCTGACGCATTATCGCAATAGCGAATTCAACTCAGACAAGCATCACAATGGCAATCGAAACACAAATCGAGATTGCCGCAGCCCCTTCTAGGGTGCGAGAAATTGTGCGTAACCCTTTTCCATTCTTTTCGTGCCGAAGACTGAAGCATTTCAAACAGCTACTCGATTTCTCCAAATACCCACAATGGCACACCTCCTTGATCAAATTACTCGAACCCGAGGATAACTCCAAGTCATTCTCATCGCTTCAACCAGGCGACAAAATCAAATGTAACATCGACGGCATGGAATTCGTCGCAGATATCATGGTACGAAGAACGAGTCTCCTACCTCTCTCTCTCTTAGACCACAGCATCGGGAAGAATAAAGCTGACAAAAGAAACAAAAGGCAAACACAGAGAAACTCTTCCAATGGCAAGGCCCACTAGTCTACAGCCTCATCTCCGGTCTTCACAGTTTTCACTTTGAGTCAGCCAATAACGATGGTTCGTCGACTATATTCAGACAAACTGAGAAGTTTACGGGGCCGATTGCGTTTCTCATGGTGCCTTCACTGCTTGGGAGGAAGTTGTTGGGTCAATATAATCGGTTTAATAGGGAGCTTAAAGTATATGCTGAGGGTTCGGGGTAGGTAGTGGAGAATGGAGGGTTTGTATCTTGGATTGCAAGCTCTGGACCAACGATGAAGCTTCGATTTGCAATGAGTCTGCGTTTCCTTTCTTGTTTTGGATTGGTCTGTGTAATAGATACCCATTAGGAAACCTTGTAGTCGCTCGCAACTGTTTGCCTAAACTCCTCTTCCAAGTATTGTTGCACATCTGGCGGCTCATGGTCAATAAAAAAAAAGGGATACAAAACCCCAACCCCAACCCTAAATCACAAAAACAAAAACTTCGACCTCGCCCGTGAAGACTGCAACCTCAATGTAGTGCCCATATCTCTAGTTAGCAGGCGAATACTGCATAAGACACACTCGGCGCCCTAGAGCACTCGGCCACCTTGCCTGCAGCTGATTTATTCTTGTATAGAGCATAGCCGTCATGTGTGTGTGGGTGGGTGGTGGGCGAGCTCTTATCGATAAGAAATCAAAATTGAGAGAAAAACGGCCCCACCCGCGGTCGACGTTCAACATCAAACCTCAAGACAACAGTTTCGAAGATATCGTCACTCAAGAGAGATAACTACACCATTTTTCGCTTAGCGTAATCCTTGATCCCTACTACCTGAGAAGTACATACAGAAAACGCAACAAACAGAGCCGCCCGGTCTGTCTAATACAAAGAGCATGGACTCATCAGACCCCATTATCGCCTCCTACGACGTCTTCCTCACCGACTCCGACATCGAGCGCTACGTCTTCCAATACCTCGACCGCGAAATCGAAACTAAACACGGCAGCGGGGGTCCATACGACCAGCGTCACGGGCAGAAACCTGTTTCCCTAAAACTCAAACCCAAGACTGGACTCGTCGAGATTGAAGTGCCTATAACAACCTCTGCGGGTGTCTATGATGTGAATAGAGGGTTGAAATATGGAGAAGCTATGAAGCAGTCACGCGTTTTGAGGGAAGGGGGTTCGTTTGGGTTGGCAGGGGGTTTTAATACGCAACATACAGGTGGTGGGGGTAGTAATGGTGGGAGTCGAGTGAAGACTGAGCCTGGGGAGGGTGATGAGATGCAGGATGTTAAAGGTGGGAAAAGTGGACAGACGATTTTGAGGACGCAGACGCTTGCGGGGAGGATGAAGGAGCCTGTGGATGGGGAGCCGGTTTATATGCTTGGAGCTTTTAGAGGGTGTATGCTTCTCCCTCTTCTCTTTTTCTTGCGCCTTGAAGTCAAATTACTGATTACGATCGTTATGTGTATAGCTCATTTCTTCCTTTCGCCAGTCTCGGCTCTGGTCCAGTTACGACCCCAGTTACATCACATCGATGCCTCGGACGAAGCGTCTCGGATACGACTTATGCGTGGCAGGAAGGATCTGGATGAAGACGGAGGCCCAGTACAAGCCGAAGCTAGAGCAGTAGATGTCAAAGTGAAATCAGCAGAGGCTGGCGAGACTACTCCAGCGGGGAATATTGAGTTGTTGAAGAAGATTCAGGATGATAAATGGGAAACTTATGAGTGGTTTGATGCTGAGGTGAGACAACCATAAACCCATCTATGAGTGTTCTTTCTCTTTTGGGCTTTTGATCTAACAGTTGTTGTCTTGGTATAGAGCGAAGAAGCATGGGTTACGTATGAGAATTACATGATTCATCAAGAACCCGAGGACCTGCCGCAATTAGAGTCTGCGGTGGATGGGGAGACTTATTTGGATGTCATGAGTGCGCCGCGAGTCGATCCTGCGCGTCCAGAGATGACGGGTTGGGCGATGAAGCAGAATAGGAGGAAACAGAAGGGGTTTATTGATGTTGACGGTTGACCAGACCGTGTAGCGCTGATATTCATCTAGGCAATTCAATCCCAATATATATGGCTCTGGTGGAGACACAGAGCATCCCCCGAGCACATAATCCACGAAGATATAGCATTCGTACACTTTCTTCGGCGTAGAAGAGAATATCCACATATATTGCCACAGCTTCTAGAAAGAGAAAAAAGGAGAAGCTACAGTGGAGCGCACGTGACTAACGCAATCCCATTGGCCGAATCTGGGCCGATGGTCCGATGTGATCGCGCGACAATCTAATCGTTTTTTTTTCTCTTCCTTCTTCCTTCGAACTTCTCCTCTGCGATTCATCCAACTGTTGTTGTCTTTTTTTTTTTCAACCATCTTCTTTTTATTAATTATTGTAGATAGGGTAGAAAAGTCCATCTTCTATCCTCTTTTCATTCCTTTTCTGCTGTATTTGTTCGATTTTCAAGCGTCGGAGATTTCCATTGCATTGCGTCCTTTGTTCACGCCATCTAATCGCAACACGACCATTGAGATTCTATATCGACTAATATATCTGGTCTATCGATGCTTTGCTAACCATTGAATCGACTACTCCGTGCGGCTTATCTATCAACAACCATGTTGCCTCGTGCCGCCCGTCGCCGAAACCCCCTTCACCACCTACGCTTGTCGACCGAGCAGTTGACTTTACCATGGCTGTGTCCGGCGGTACTCCGGCCTCATACTCAATCACATCGACCGGGAAACAATAATGACTCGAAGATTGTTTCATCCACGCCATCGGCGTTACATCGTCGTCGATCCTTTTCTTCACACTCAAGACGGCATCTGGCAACAGCAACTGATGGCATGCCGATTTCATCGAGTCCTTCGCCAACTCCCTCCTGGTTATCGCCGCTTCTGGGACAGTCTCTCTATAGTGAACCGGCCATTATGATTCAAGAAAGCCAGTTGATTACCACGCCGACTTTGAAAAGAGTTCGTGGTATTGGCGGTTCGCTTGAGGAGATGATGGCTAGATTTCACGTTCTGCTCCAAACTCGAGAAATTGAAAAGGCTGCACAAGTTCTTGATCGCATGTCGACGGCTTTTGCTCATGGCGATTCTCGCTTTCTCGATTTACATAACCAATACATCGAAGCCGTGGTGGCGGATATGATTGAGAATAAGCGTTCCGGAGACACTCTGAAAAAAGCATTGAGTCTACAGACCTGGTTTGAGGTCAAGTTGCCAGAGGGATTTCTGAAGCCGAATGCTAGGACTATGGCTATAATGCTACGTATGACGCTTCGCTTGTTTCATGGTTCAAGGCGCGATCGAACAGTGAGGCGGTATTGGAATATGGTTAAGCAGAATAGGTTTGAAGTAGAGGTATTATCCATGCCTGACTTATTGACGGAACGGGATTTGGGCGAAATCTCACAGGTAATGATCCCTTGCTCGGATATAATGAGGAATGCTAACAATTGTGAATAGTTATGTCCTAATGAGTTACCCAATTTTGATCTCATAGTCGACGACGAACCCGAGCCTCCGCAGGAAGCCACCCCGCCCCATAAAGAAACGTCCGTTCGTGCGACCAAGCAGAAAGGTCTTGGTCTTTCATCACTAAAGTCTACTTTGTCAATACTTCCAGAGTATGATAATGCTGTCGATTTGGATGACATAGACTCGGAAGAAGTAAGGGAACTGCAGCGCAAAAGACAGGCAGAGTTGGAGGGCAAGGCTGTGGACACAGCTAAAAAGCGTTGGCAACGAGAGATGGAGACCATGAGAGCTGCCGGTATCGATACGTCTGGTGGCGGCAAGACGATAGCCAGTTTGCTGGAACAATGGTACAACGACATGGTCTTGAAGCTTAAAGAGGAAATTAAAATCGGTCGTCCATCAGAAAGAACTTCGAAACTGTCTGCCGACGAGAAGAATCGAGAACACGCAGACTTCCTACGTATCCTCCCACCTGATACATTGGCTGCTATCACGGTGATGCACGTTATTCAACTCTTCGCTCGGGCAGGTGTCGAGAAAGGTCTCAAGGTCCCTACGATCATGACGTCTCTCGGGCAAGAGGTTCAAAACGAGTTCATCGCACAATCCATGATCGCCAAGTCAGAGCGTGATTCACGCCACCACAAATTTATCAAGCAGGTGGTGGAGAACAGGAAGAAGAAGGCAGGCCGCATTAAGTTCAAGAAGCTCCTCACCGAAATGAAATCTAACAGCCGTGACGTCGAGTCCGAGTTCACTTGGCCGGTTGATGTCCATGCGAAGGTGGGAGGCGCTTTGCTGTCTGTGTTATTCGACTGCGCGAAAGCACCTGTGATACAGGAAGATCCTGATACGAAAAAGCGCATTATGGTCATGGAATCGGCTTTTCAACACTCTTACGAAATTAATAGAGGGAGGAAGTTTGGTCTACTACATGCTCATCCCGAGGTTACACGAAGACTTATCCGCGAAGCCCCTAACGCTGTTCAGGCTCGTCATATGCCGATGCTCTCAGAACCCCAGCCGTGGACTGCGTTTGATAAAGGCGGATTTCTAGCACAGCGCAGCCCGATTATGCGCACAACACCTGGTGATACTCTTCAACATTCTTATATGAAGAAAGCTCTGGAAAACAATGGCCTTCCCGAAGTCCGTGCTGGTCTGGACATTTTGGGAAAAACGGCATGGACAATCAACAACGACGTTTTTGATGTTATGCTAGAGGCATGGAACACAGGTGAAGCATTTGCCAAAATTCCCCCTCTCGACCCACAGATTCCCATGCCAGAGAAACCTGCAGACGATAACCCAGAGGCAATCAAAGTATACAACAACAAGCTTCGTGAAGTGGAGAATTTGCGGTCTGGTCTCCATTCTCAAAGATGCTTTATCAACTTCCAAATGGAGATTGCTCGCGCATACAAAAATCAAACATTTTATCTTCCCCACAACATGGATTTCCGTGGCCGTGCTTATCCACTTCCGGCATACTTGAATCAGATGTCTGCCGACAATGCTCGTTCACTTCTTCTTTTCAAGAAAGGCAAGCCGCTCGGTGAGGCTGGATTGCGGTGGCTGAAGATCCATCTTTCCAACGTCTATGGTTTCGATAAGGCTAGTCTTAAGGAGAGAGAGGAGTTCACCATGCAACATTTAGAAGATGTTCTTGATTCAGCAAACAAGGGTCTGCATGGCCGAAAATGGTTTTTGGAGGCTGAGGATCCGTGGCAGTGTCTTGCTGCATGCTGTGAATTGCGCAATGCTCTCAAACTGGAGAATCCCACCGAGTATGTGTCACGCTTACCTGTTCACCAAGACGGTTCTTGCAACGGTCTTCAGCATTACGCGGCATTGGGAGGAGATATGGAGGGTGCCCAACATGTCAATCTTGAACCCGGTGATCGACCTAAGGATATTTATACTGGTGTCTCGGACTTTGTTACCGAAAAGGTCGAGCGAGATGCAGCAGCTGGGCACGAGATTGCCAAGCTTCTTGTTGGAAAAATCAAGCGTAAAATTGTCAAGCAGACGGTCATGACAAATGTGTATGGTGTCACTTTTGTTGGTGCTATTCGCCAGGTCCGTCGTCAGATCGCTGCGCATTATCCGGGCCTTGAAGAAACACCCGGTATCAGCAAGTATATCGCCAGTGCCATTTTCGAAGCACTCAGCACGATTTTCAGTGGTGCCCATTCGATTCAGTATTGGTTGGGCGATTGTGCTACCAGAATTAGTCAGGCTATCTCCCCGGATCAACTTGACGCGTTGGCAAAGAATGTTCTCCAGGATAACACGTCAGCTAAGGAGGATGTGGAGATGGATCCGCTCAGGATGTTTCGGTCTACCATCATCTGGACCACACCGTTGGGCCTTCCTGTTGTTCAGCCTTACCGGACTGTGAAGTGTCAGCGGGTGTACACCACATTGCAGACATTGAATATTATTCAGGATTCCACGTCCGGCAACGTCTCTAAGCGCAAACAACTACAGGCATTCCCACCAAACTTTATTCATTCGCTTGACGCGACTCACATGATGCTCTCCGCCATTGAGTGTTACCGCCAGGGACTAGTTTTCTCCGCCGTTCACGATTCGTTCTGGACTCATGCATGTGATGTCGACAAAATGAATATCGCCTTGCGTGATTGTTTCATTCGCATGCACAGCGACGACATCGTCAAGAGACTAGCTGCTGAGTTCCGTGCTCGTTATGAAGGTCATATATTCCTCGCTAAGATTCCTGAGTCATCTCCCATTGCTCGAGCCATCGCCAAGTACCGGGAAGCGAAATACGCCAACTCCAAGAAGAAATACTACGTTGAAGAGTTGTTGTTGGAGCACCAACGCCAGACTCTTCTCCGATCGGATGACCCTGAATTGCAGGAAAAAGGCCGTGCGATGGTAACAGCAGCGAGCATCTTTGAAAGTGCGGGCGGTAGCCACAACGACTTGGCTATCGCCTCTACACTCGGTCAAACCGGAACCGGTAACGTCACGACGGAAAAGCGAGCAGGCGTGTTCGGCAATTCCGTTGTGGATGAAAAGGACCCTGCTGTGGCTAGCTTGTTCTCCGACTTTGACCCACAATACCTCGACGCCGAGATCGACGCCAAAACTCCCACTGACGACGTCGCTGGCGAAGGAGATGTGGTCGAGATGGAGGATTCTGAGCCGTTTGAAGAAGAGAAGACCAAGTCTGTAAAGACACGATCCAAGATGGAATGGGCATGGCTGCCACTTAATTTCCGTGATATCCCCAAGAAGGGCGAATTTGACGTCAAGCGATTGAAGGACAGTCAATATTTCTTCAGTTGAGCTGGTACTCAAACCTCTTCCATTTTTTTTTTTTTTTTTTTTTCAAAAATGTACATATATAGGTGGAGTTGGTTTGGTTACAGGGGGGGGTTTGCATTTCTCATGGAGTTTGATGTACGATTGACGGTGAAAGAAAACTACTGATGTACTACTATGAGAACTTGTATATATACATATTATAATAAGAATCCATCACACTCAGTGCTACACGTAGCTATATCAGCCACATTAAAGGCTCTCTTCGTATCCAGCGGAGTCAGCGTAGTATGCACCCCAGCCCCGCACTCTTGGGGTAGCCTGAAAATTCCCCGTGCCAAACCTTCTTTCTTAGCTCTCTCCGCCTTGTTGCCTCTTCTGCTTCTTTCTTTCTTGTTTCTCTTGTTCCTCTTGTTCCTCTCGTTTTAACAGAAGTGAATGAATCAGTGTTGTCCCCTCTCTCTGAGCTTTCTTTTTCATCTCCGGTTTGTACAGACAATCAATCAGATTGCCGCTCGAGCCTCCTTCTCAACCTAACTCCGGACCAATTTAGCTGGAGCACATATTTAACCGGTTGCTCTTCTCCGTTCTTTCTGAGCCTTTCCTTCTTGGCAGGCCCGAGTCACATTCAGTTCGTGTTGTGTGGGCTTTTGTTCCATTCTATCGTTCTCATCGTATAATTGCCGGTGATCTTATCGATCAGTCCGTCAGAGACTCGACCTTCTTAACCTGTTGAAGGAAGGTAGTCTCAACTTCTTGTCTGTCGCGTCGACCGACCCTACAGGCGGTTGAGGCGATTTCCACGCCATGTCTTCAGATTTCCGTTAGGAATCCGGTTAAGTGGACATTTCGGTTAAGAAAACTTCCTTATATCTAGTCAATTCGGAGAAGCGAAATTCATCGCGCAATGGCGCAGCCGTCGCAGACATCCGGTCTGGACACTCTCGCCGAAAGCTCGCATTATGCTCTGGAGCAGCTGCGTCTTGCGCGCGAGTTGGACATGAATAATATCAACAACAACAGCAACGATTCTTTTATCAAAAAGGATAGCCAATCGGATTCTGCTGGGTCAAAGATGCCGATTATGCGCAGTCCGCTTTCCGAGGCGAGGTCCAGCATTCGGAAGCACTCCGCTGAGACCACGGCAGCGGTACGGCGCCGGATTAGTCGTGCTTGTGATCAGTGTAACCAGTTGAGGACTAAATGTGATGGGCAAAGTCCTTGTGCGCATTGTACCGGTGAGATATTCCTTCCGTGTACAGCATTGTGCTTGTCGCAGAAACTAATCAACGAGTTGAGTATAGAGTCCGGCCTGAGCTGCGAGTATGCTAGAGAAAGAAAGAAGCGCGGCAAGGCTTCAAAGAAAGATCTTGCAGAAGCTGCTGCGAAAGCTGCGAGTGGCGGATCGCGCGATTCTGGTACTCCCGGTTATGAAACAATCCCAGATCAATCGTCTCAGATGTCGGTGGTGATGACTTCGGAATCCGATGCTCGGATCGATCAAGCGAGACGGTCATTTTCAGAGTCGCAGGTCCCGCAGCAGAGTCTTTCTAGTTTGCGGGAATTGGCACAGCAGCCTCCTCAAACAACACGACCGAGGCAGTACTTTCCGTCGAATATGACACCGATACCTATGAACGGATTTGGACAGGTGCAGAATGTTGATCGATCGTTTATTCAGATGCCTGATTTGCGAGAGCTGCAACCTCGGTCGCCTTCTGCGCTTGTTCCGGCTGGGTTGAATGGGTTCCACGATGCGTATAACATGGTTGATCACGCGCCACCTAGTATAAACCAATACCCATTTTCACAGCCAGAAGATGCATCGGCGAACCACTTTACTGGACTCACGCCTCCTGTTCAATCTCCTGGGTGGCTACCTTTACCTGCCCCGTCTGTTGGCTTCCCTCCGATCAATGTGTCGAATGGCTTCACTAGCACGTTGAAGTATCCCGTGTTGGAGCCACTGCTGCCTCACATAGTTTCGATTATACCACACTCTCTCGCATGCGACCTTCTGGAACTGTACTTTGCCAGTACCTCCTCTTCTCATGTGTTCCCCCAGTCACCATACGTGGTTGGATACGTTTTCCGAAAAAAGTCTATCTTGCATCCGACCCAACCTCGCACGTGTAGTCCAGCTTTATTGGCAAGCATGCTCTGGGTAGCGGCACAGACTAGCGACGCACCTTTTTTGACATCCCCTCCGTCAGCACGAGGCAGGGTTTGCCAGAAGTTATTAGAGCTTACAGTTGGTTTACTGCGACCTTTGATACATGGTCCCACACCGGGAGAGGCTTCTCCTAATTATGCTGCTAATGCGGTTATTAATGGGGTTGCGCTAGGTGGATTCGGTGTGTCGATGGATCAACTTGGTGCTCAAAGCAGCGCTACAGGGGCTATTGATGACGTCGCTACTTATATTCATCTCGCGACTGTGGTATCAGCAAGTGAGTACAAAGCTGCAAGTATCCGTTGGTGGGCAGCAGCATGGTCGCTGGCGCGCGAACTGAAGCTTGGACGTGAACTTCCTCCGACGCCGTCGCAGCCTCAAAGTCACGATCGAGATGGCAATGTTGACATGGAACCAAAACCTTCGCGATATCAATCAGTTACCGAAGAGGAACGCGAAGAACGTAGACGTATATGGTGGCTTCTCTACGTGATGGACCGCCATCTGGCCTTGTGCTATAACCGACCATTGACATTGCTGGACAAAGAGTGTGAAGGGTTGTTGCAGCCGATGAACGATGACATCTGGCATGCCGGTGATTTTGCAAATGCGGGATACCGACGAGCAGGCCCAAGCCTTGAATGTACAGGCCACGGTATGTTTGGGTATTTCTTGCCGTTAATGACTATACTCGGCGAAATAGTCGATCTGAATCATGCGCGAAACCATCCACGGTTTGGGATTCATTTACGGACCAGCGGCGAGTGGGATAGCCATACTACAGAGATCACTCGGCAATTAGATGTCTATGAACAGAGCCTGCATGAGTTTGAGGCTAGACATACAGCGTCCTTGGGGATTGGCAACGAAGGTGGCGCACCTGATACTGGCTTTAATGCCGCTGCGCCTACGGGAATTGATCATGTCAGTCCATCAGCAAGGTCATCGAGCACGGTGGGGTCTCGAGTCAACGAATCGTTCATGCAGACAAAAATGGTCGTTGCATACGGTACATATCTAATGCACGTCTTACATATACTGCTTGTGGGAAAATGGGACCCCATCTCTCTGCTAGATGACAACGACCTGTGGATTTCATCAGAAGCTTTTATCACAGCCATGGGGCACGCCGTCAAAGCAGCAGAAGCCGCTGCCGATATCTTGGACTACGATCCAGACTTGAGTTTTATGCCATTCTTTTTTGGTATTTATTTGCTACAGGGCAGTTTCTTGCTGTTATTGACAGCCGATAAACTGCAAGGGGACGCTGATCCCAGTGTTGTTAGAGCGTGCGAGACTATAGTACGAGCACATGAAGCGTGTGTTGTGACGTTGAACACTGAGTATCAGGTACGTCTTGACCTCATGTTCTATCTACAAGTACTGATGATATTACAGCGCAATTTCCGTAAAGTCATGCGTTCCGCACTCGCGCAAGTCCGGGGACGTATGCCAGATGATTTTGGCGAACAACAGCAACGACGGCGTGAAGTACTTGCGCTTTATCGATGGACAGGCGATGGCAGCGGATTAGCTTTGTGATTAACATAGTATATGACCGGGGTTCGGGGTTGGGTTGGGGTTGGGGAAAAAGTTGGTTTGTTATTGTTTGGACATCGGACACTGGTGGTTTGTTGTCCGGCGCGTTGATGATTTCGAATACCCCTGTACATTACGATGTTTCTTTCTTGCTTTTTTCTTTCTTTGGACAATTTTCTGAGCTGAACATATGGACATAAGAATGGAACGTGAGGTGGTCTTCCTTTTGTCCAGCACATTCAGGCTAAATGCGAGTACTAATTAATCTGAATGATGTGATTGGCTGATCGTTGTCCTATGACGTTGAGTCGCGACGATAAGCTTATTTCACCTCGGCTTTGCAGAGATGCTGGACAATACTTTGTTGAAGGCAATAATGCTATGATAAAAAAATGTCCATCACACGAACAGGAGCTAGTCTCCTCTCAAAACGCGCAACAACATCCTCCCTCCTCCGCCCATATCGCTTCCAAAGAAGAGACCCTATCATTAAACGCCATCTCGGGATACCTCCGCAATACCTCCTCGACGACTACATCCCCCGCTACCAGCTCCTCACCCCTCTCCAAGCCGCCCAAAAGCGTTCCTCGGCCTATTCCCATTTGCGAAAATGCAACCTCTGCCCACACAAATGCGACATAAACCGCTACGAAAAGACCGGCGTATGTCTAATCGGTGCGACAACCGCAAAAGTGAACGTTATCGCTCCCCATAGAGGCGAAGAACCCTGTATACAAGGGTATAACGGTTCCGGCGCCGTATTTTTCTCCGGATGTAACCTGCGCTGCGTATTCTGTCAAAATCATGACATCGCTCATCAAAGAAACGGATTCGACCTCACTCCCGAAGAACTGGCGGAATGGATGATAAAACTCCAGAATGTGGGCGGAGTACACAATATCAATTTCGTGACGCCGGAACATGTCGTGCCCCAAGTTGCGTTGGCGATTCTGACGGCGCAGGAGATGGGTCTCAAGATTCCGATTGTGTACAACACCTCATCATTCGATTCGATCGAATCACTGAAACTAATGGATGGATTGGTGGATATATATCTGCCCGATTTCAAAGTCTGGGATCCCTCGACATCAAAGCGATTACTCAAAGCGGAGAATTATGCGGATGTTGCCAAGGAATCTATCAAGGAGATGTATAGACAAGTTGGAGATTTGAGTTTTACGTCTGATGGGATTGCGAAAAGGGGTGTGTTAGTGAGACATCTTGTTATGCCGGGAAGGATAGAAGAGGGAAGAGAAATTGTGAGGTGGTTGGCGGAGAATGTTTCGAGGGATTTGTATGTGCATGTTATGGAGCAGTATCATCCGGATGCGCATGTGGGGAAGAAGAAGAGTAGAAAGAGGAGGCAGGTCGGAGGTGAGGAAGAGGTTGAGGAGGTTAGATATGCGGATATTAATAGAGCGGTTATGGATGAGGAGGTGGAATCGGTTAGAAAGGCTGCAGAGGATGCTGGGTTGTGGAGGTTTTGTGAGGTGTCGGAGCAGCCTGGTTTTCATCTATAGTTTCTAGAAATATTGAGGTGAAAAGAGGTTGATTATTCCTGCCAATCTGCCTATTCCATAACATAACAAATACAATCAAAAGATAGACATGAATCGTCACACAGTCAATCGAGTTAGAGATCTCGCACAAGCCTTGCTCCAACCCATGCATATGGGTAATTGTGTTGATACCAATTCACACTATCCATGTTAACAGGAACCATCGCATCTGGGGATCAGATACTTACAAACTAGTACGTCCCGCAATGCGAGGATGCGTAGCCCACGATCCACCCTGCACAATATTATGCTTTCCATCGAAGAAATCAGCTATACAGAGTCAGTAATCATCCACTACATATCACATTCAGTAAACGGACCGGTATATCCTGGGTAAATCTTCATCTCCTCAAACCCGTCATGCGCACTGAGCGGAGTGCTGGTCCATTCCCACACACCACCCATTTCACCCTGTCCTGCCAGTTTGTCACCGTTAGGGGTAACGGGGACTGGATGCCAATTCTTGAAGCCGACGTTGGCGTCGGCGAGGTCCACAAAAATGGACTCGGGGTTGGCGCCGTTTATAACGGCGTCAGTCGGATCTTTCTTTTTGAGGATCGCGAGGCCATTGCTATACAGAATTAGTTGCCTGCGCTAGCATTGTGAGATGGGCACTTACCTGACAGCATCGACACCATTGGGTTGGCCCTTGAGTGCCGCGGCATACTTGTAAATGGATCTCACTTCCTCAAAAGTAGGAAGCCGACACTTCTTCCATTCAGCGTACCCGGCCAATTCGTCGTATGAAGCCATGACCGGCCAGTCGGCTGCCCAAGCGAACGACACTGGTCCAAAGACAGTGCGTACCGCGTAGTTATCCATGGAATTGCCGTGTCCGTTCGATACTCCGTTAGTATGGAGTCCGTTGAATGTGTTGTTCCAGCTATTAGCTGCCTGGATCACCCAAGATGTCGGGATGCGATGGATGCTGTTCTCTTTCAGGTAATGGGCGTACTCTCTGTTTGTGACGGCTCGGCCCTGGGCTTCGAATGCGTGTACTCTTACCGATCTCTTGGGCTTCTCGTTGTCCCAGGTGAAGGATTGTGCTGGAAGCTTGCTGAGGTCCGAATCATCAACCCCGATAGTGATAGTCTGCTCAGGAATGCTAAACCATTGGTTTGGCTTCGCATCTAGCTCAGCCTGGCGCGCAATACCCTTAAAGTCAGGGCTGTCAACTCCCAATGGAGGCAGAATCCTATCGCTCTGCAGCAGCATATACAAGAAAGTCTCCAAATGCATAACTTCATGCTCAAACCCGATCCACAGAGCCTCGCCGAGCAATCGGTTCTGTGACACGTCTTCCGTTCTCAGGAGAGACTGCACTCGACTGCGGACTTGCTCTTGGTAACGTAGAATCTCACCCAGAGCAGGCCATTCGTCTGGTATCTCGCTGTGGGCATGGCACTGCTCTGGGTTGTCCACATCAGGGTCGATTCCACGTTCAAAAATTTGCGGATAGTATTTCGGATCCGTTGGTTTTCCGCGTGTTGCACGGGTCAAGTGGATGTCTTTTAAGTCAGTATTGGTTACACACGCCAGCTTTTGAATTTGATACTCACCAAGAAATGTGGGAATATGTCCCAGGTAGAAGATCAAGGCATTTCTCAGCTTGATCGGCTTCGATAACAATTCGTCCCGTGGCACCATGGTTTTGGAGACAACGTCCCAGGATGTCCAGAGCGATCTCCACTCTTCCCATGCGGGCACCGCACTAGGTGCATATTCGCTTGGACGAGAGGGAAAACTGACTTTGGCGGGTGAAAGCATGTTGAGATCTAGCAGCAAGTTAGAGCCAGGTAAGGGTTATACGTGTAATTCGTAATGAATTGTCGATAGTTCAAACTCTTCAACTCGGTAGTGAAGTCACAAAACTGATTGCAATGTGTCAGGAGAATGCGGGGAAACTAGGTCACATACGATAGTTGTCATGACTATTCCCCAACGCAGCCACGTTGATAAGCCCCGCGTCACGCCACAGCTCTTCTCTCTCCTGGGCGTCGTACTTGTACGCTTCTTCAAAAATGATCTTCTCCCCCTTGCGAAGTGAAATGCCGTTAATGGTCACGTCCTGCGTGGGTACATAGAACGCTCGGTGACACCCGTCAGCTTCGTCATACAAGCATTCGATATCCCATTGGTCCGGTCTAAATGAATTATACCCTAAAACCTGATTGGCATGAGATAATCCATTGAGATAGAATTGGTGAGTGATGCCCTTGGAATCGTTATAAGCGCGATAGACTCGATCCTTATCCTTGCAGCCATCCAGGCCAATGATGATGGAATCGGTTGGTCCGAGGAGTTGAGAATATTGACGGAGGAAATCTGCTGCTGCTTTTCGGTTGAAGTTCCCAATTGACGATCCTAGGGAAAGAACACACGTGGGCCGTTTTCTATTCTGCGGGTTCTTAAGCCATTCCAATGCATCGTCGTAGGTACCGTGGAGACCCTGAAAGCGGACGTAATGGTATGATTGCGGCGACACCTGGGCAAAGGTACGCTGCAGTTCCTCTAATGAAAGATCCAGAGCGTAATAATCTACTCGTTTCTGCAAGTTTTCAAACTCTCTTAATAGAATCTCGACCTTACGAAGGTTCCTAGACATCGTGTTAAAAAAAAACCCACTCCCGTGTGACATGCAAAGGGACGAGAGAAGAGGCGTGCCATCAACAAGATATCCGGCATTCCTAGGGAAAACAAACACACCCGCTACCCAATTCCACCAACTGTGATTGATCCGGCAGTCTCTCGGCAATGGTCCTTGCATGCTTTTCTAGCACCTCAATCTCGGTGTTGGTCAGATAGTATTCGTCTAGATATGTAATCTCCTCAAACAGGCGTAACCCGACTGCATCGTATAGCAGGACGGTGGGAAAGGAGCGAGCCTTGCCGGCTGGCGGATCCAAGCCGTCCTGAATTGCAGCGGCTGCTGAGAAATTGGCATCTTTGTCCCGAATGTCAACAATATTGACTGAGCCGTTCGAAAGAAGAGCTGGAGACATGGCGTAGTGTTAACCAAAGCACTATGTAGCTATTTCGTAGTGTGGCTGTAGACGGTACCTTGAAAATTAAGATTGATTCATGTGCATAGATCGACCAACCAATCCTTTATATATGCCCTGGATATAGCAGAGCAACTCTCGTACGTAATAAAAGTATATTACCACAGTCGCAGAGCATGTATCATGTATCTCAACACGAGACTAGAAACCTAGCTACCCCACAAAGCCATGGGTCAACAGCCACTGGCATCAATGGATCAAGACACCCCGTCATCCACAGTGCCTTGCAAACACAGACAAATCATGCAAAACCACCGGACAGATCGAGCTGGGCCCCCTCTGGATTTGCGGCTGGCGTGCCTTGTTTAGCTGCGGGGCTCAGCACCGTCAATGCCCGTCATGGAGTAGGCAGATTGGCTCCTATGGGCCAGGGACGCAGATTCATGACGGCAACGATCCGCAGGTATCGGAATAAGAATGTTGCACGCATCACAAGGGGTGTGTATGTCTGTGTGTTAGTCTGTCAGAGAGTATGTAGTAGAAGAAAGGACACACAGACGATATCCTTGTTTGTATACAACGAGAAACAGCCAATCGGAAAGCGCCGTTACGGGCAACCGCGGCGAGGGCGGTTACACGCTGAATGTTTGTCTGGTTTGCTCTGTTTGTCTTGTTTCGCCTGTTTGTCTGCTTACACCTTTGGCTTCATCAGGTACTTTGATTCCTAATCAACATCTGTCCATATGATATCCACAATGCCACATTTCGAGATAAGCCAGATGATAGATCATTCTATGTGTTGGAGCTGAATTAGCTGACTGTTGCCTACGGCGGGTGCAGTATTCGTGAATCAACTCAAACACCACATCGTGTCGACCTGATTACCTATATGATATCCACTGGATATGGACTGGGAAGCCATTGCAGAGGAGAAATATACACTATTCTTAGAACGGAATTGCCGGGTTGAAGATAACCTCACCAACGTGACGAACTAGTCGCTGGTTGAGGACTCGTTTAAAGCTCGTTTAGCTTGTCCGAACCTTACTGTTACTACCGTATTTGCAATTATACGAGTCCTTCATCTAACTTTTTCGTCAATTGTTGATTATCTATATATTTTCTCTAATCCGTCTGTGCAGGGACTCAGAGCGATAACTATTTCGGGTAATCCTTAACATGGTAACTCTTCAGCTTCACAAACTGATCAAATCCGAATCTACTCAAAGTCACTCCTCGTCCGGAGTTCTTCCAGCCGGTCCAAGCAAGATCCTACTCAATTCATTATTAGTACTGTATATCCGGTAGTATCTAGATAACCGTGTTTGACTCACCGGGCTGGGATAGTCGGCCCTATTGATGAACACCGTACCAGCTTCAACCTTCTCGATAAGCTGTTCTGCAGTTGCGACATCTTTGGTCCATACGCTGGCCGTAAGACCGAACTCGCTGTCGTTCATGAACCGGACAGCTTCATCGTCGCTCTTGACACTCATAACTGGAATGACGGGCCCGAATGTCTCGTCGGTCATGACGAGCATCTCGTGCGTGACACCAGTCAAAAGTGTAGGCTTCACATAGTTGCCATCGGCAGGCAGGTCCTTGAAGGTTTCATTCTCCGGCGTCTCGTCTTTCGCGCCTTTGGCTAATGCGTCTGCAACATGAGCGTTAAAAGTTTCCTGTGAGCGACGCGAAATAACTGGACCAATCTGTGTGTTCTTGTCAAACGGATCGCCGACCCGGTACCTGCTAAGGACCTTCTTGACTTCTTCCACAAATTTGTCGTGAATACTTTCGTGTACGTAAACACGTTCAATTGCACAACAGCTCTGTCCGCTATTGAATATTGCACCGTCAACGATTTCTTCGGCAGCCCAGGCAAGGTCCACATCTCCACGGACATATGCCGGGTCTTTACCGCCGAGTTCGAGGCCGACGGTGACAATACGGTCTGATGCAGCTTGCTGGACAGCTAGCCCTCCTGCGACAGAACCGGTGAAACAGATATGGTTGACGAGAGGTGATCGAACAAGGGTTTGGATCTGCGTCAAAGATCCGGAATGGAAATATTGTATCACATTCTGCGGTAGTCCGGCTTCCTGGAAGGCTGATGCGATTCGCTCGACTATCGTAGGAGTCTGAGGAGAGGGTTTCAAGATGACTGCATTTCCGGCGAGGAGTGCAGGGATCAAACTGTTGACAAGGATCAAGTATGGATACTATGCAGTTAGTCTCAGGTTGCCATACTTCTATAAAGTGGCAAACTTACATTCCATGCGAAAATAATCAAGACGACACCGACGGGTTTTCTCTTGATATATCGTTTAAACCCCTTCTCCGGCTCGCCATCCACAACGCCTTCTTCCCCAAGCAGTGAGCTGCTAGTACTAAGCAAGAATTCTCCTCTCTTCACAGCTGTCGTAATCTCAACCCCAGTGTAGGAGATGGGCCGGCCCATCTGCTCCGTAATCTCCCTTCCCAATTCATCCTTCTTCCTGGCTAGGATTCCCAAGGCTCGTCTGACAATCTCTTGTCGTTGGGCTAGAGTCGTACTCTGCGAGAATGATTGAAAAGCCTTTTGAGCGGTCTCCGGGAGCAAAGCGAGCTCCTCTGAGGAGATTCCCGTCCGGATGAGGATCGGCTTGTTCGTGATGGGGGAAATTGTTTTGAGCGTTTCGAGAGCCATGATGTCTGTAGGTACTGAGTGAAATTTACCTTCAATCAGGAGAAAGAAGAAGTATTGTAAAAAGAAGAGAGGTCAAAGAGGGGAGGACAGCTTATCAGACCCCTCCTGCCGGCCGATAAGTGTGGAGCTGCACAGTGGGGGCATTCAACTACGTATCTCAATTCTTCACAGAATCAAATCTGTTATTTCCATTGCTATCACTATCTGTTGTACTCTCACAAATGGACAATCGAGCAGTCTCCCTGCACAGAAATTACCCTTCTTAAGAGTCAGAACTCAATATCTCTCTTCCTCTCGGTCCTCCTTTCTGATCAAGGGTGTTCCGATAGGATGGTTGGGAGTTCTTGGAGGCAACGGGCCATCCCTCGGCGCGTTGGGGACGATGGTGATGGTCATGGGCCCTGTAGTCCTCGAAGGAGGCCTGTTTCTTGAGTTTCTCTTTGGAGGAGGCGGAGGGGGGGCAGGTTGCCGGGCATCGTCTTCATCGTCTTCATCGTCATCGCCATCATTGCCTCCTTCATCGTCAGTTATTTCAAGAAGATCCTCCGTGTTGTTTGGGTCGATTCGTCTGAGCAATACGTTAAACGATCGTTTGTCAGCATAACGATAATAGCCGAATTGGCGTTTCATCGTTTCTCTGGACTCGTTACAGAGGGTGTCAATGTCCTTGACCAGTCTCTCGCAAAGACGCAGAATTGAGACTTGAAGATCTTTGGGTAGTTTTCCTTTAACAATGATTCCGAATTTCTTAGCGATCTCTCGGAGCAGCTCGTTGTCCATGGTTGCGGGAGGTCGTCTATCCATATCTGCGCTAAGCTTCTCGCGACGCTCGACGTCTCTAATCATCGCTCTATCGAGGGCGGTACGATTGGCTCCTAGATTTTCATGGCGATATCCATGTATGAGCTCTTCGATCTGACTCAGACTTGGAATGGGTGTCTTGAGTTCCATCTTGCCATGGATGTCACGGATAGTCTCGAGAAGCTCGCGGTGTCGCTTCAAGTGCATTTCTCTGGACTTGTTGCATCTGTTCCGGTGGTGGTTAATGTTTACTCGTGAGAAGATATCAGGGGAACATACGGCTCACACGAGTGGCCTCTTCCCACACGGAACAAAGTGTGATGGAACGCAATGCATGGCTCTGTATGTCTTGTAATACACGATTTCCTCGCGCGTGGATGGTTCAGAGGTGTACCGCAGACACCACAACTGTGCCCTAGAAGATTTCAACCTGTTATAACGGACGGACGAGAATCTTTGGGAGTTTTTGAACTTACTGAGCCCAGGTGAGTCTTCGTATCTGTAATGAATATTGATCATCCCTAATATCGAGGACATATTTTCTGATGGTGTCGGCAATGGTAATTGATCTTGAAAGTCTTTTCTTCCAATATGAAGGTGTGTCGATTTTCTTTATGTATTTAGCAGCTGGTCTAAGTCTCTGTTAAGACTCGACATATATATGCCACTAGACATGGCTTGTCGAGTTCGAATCTGCTGCATCATGGCGCATCGTGCAACACAGTCATCCTTAAAGCAACGCTTTGTGTCCGCACAGGACCATGATGAACACGCTGAGCATTGGCTGTGCTCTTTGAACTTGATGCCCAGTCGCTCTGTAAGCTGGAAAGAGTTGTGGGGCACGGGGATTAATAAAGCAAACAGCATATTAGTATCAAGTTCATTGTTAGAATCAAAGAAATAGAAGGTTCTACCTGCGATAGTTATAGATTGATGCCGGGATCAACATTTAAAGGGCTTGTATAATTTTTTACCTAATTAGGCAATATCAGATCTAACTAGAGCTGTACGTAAAGCTACGGGGAGGCCCAGGCGCTAGTCATCCGCCAGTTACCGCTACTTAGCTTCCCGCTGGGGTGGAACAACAGCAACTTCTCTTCACAATGCCATTATTCTGGTGTTGTCATTAGCATCACCACAATAGCAGCATTCTTATGATTAAATAAACACACTGCAAAGACTCAGCATGGTCAACCCGGCTATTGCTGTTCCCGCGGTCAGCGCCTTGGTATACCGGGCATGGTCCCGCAAGACACTGACTCCCGCGGGCATTCTGGCCGCTTCTCTCACAGCTGTTGTCCACGTCCTCCATCCATGGATAGCTCCGTTTCTCCTTTTAGCAGTTTTCTATCTCGCTGGTAGTCGAGCTACAAAGGTATGCATGTACCGGAAATACCCGAGACAAAGGTGACTAATGTTTCGATTTCTTTCATAGGTTAAACATGACATTAAAGCGCAGCTGACGTTATCAGCCTCTGGTGCCGCTGGTGGTGAAGGTGCCCGAACACATATACAAGTATTCGCCAATTCGATCGTGGCCACGGTCCTCATTGCACTACATACCTACTTGATCTGGAACCAGGGACGATACTCGACAACCTGTTTTGCGAAAGGTGGAGATATTGGTGATGTTTTGATGGTGGGAGTTATTGCGTACGTCCTACCCACATATAGTAAATCATAAACCGGGGCTAAGTTTTGCCTACAGAAACTATGCAGCCGTCGCAGCAGATACATTATCATCCGAACTCGGCATTCTATCCAAATCATCACCTCGTCTAATCACATCTCCAACCCTACGAGTCGTGCCACCCGGTACAAACGGTGGTGTTACATTAACCGGTCTTCTAGCAGGCTCCTTTGGCGCCTTCCTGATTGCCCTGACTTCAGTTCTATTCGTCCCTTTCTGTGCCGAATCATGGTCACTACTCGATAGAGCCCAATTTGTCGTCGCGGTTACGGTATGCGGTACACTCGGCAGTCTTCTTGATAGTCTCCTCGGCGGTTTGCTTCAAGCTAGCGTTGTGGATAAGAGGAGCGGGAAAATTGTGGAGGGTACCGGTGGGCGTAAGGTTTTGATTCATCCTGGATCAACGAAATCTTCCGTGGCAACGACTGGCAGTGACGCTAGGAAATATAATAGTGATATTCATGCAACCGAATCCGTTGTCAATGCGGTTAGTGCCAGGGCAACACGGACGGACAATCTGCCTGCCAAAGTTGCAAGTGCCGAAGAAGGTAGTCGAAAGGTTGAGAGCGGATTCGACATTCTCGACAATAATGCTGTAAACCTTCTTATGGCCGCTATAATGAGTCTGGGCGCAATGGTGTTTGCCAGTTACTACTGGGGCGTACCATTGAATGTTGCCGAGGGTTTTGTGTGATTCTGTTTGGATATGCGGCTTTGAACACATAAACAAACAACTGGACTAGGCAATCATTTTTATGAACATATTGCAATCACCTCCGTTGCTCTCACCAGGAAACATCATGTTGAATAAATGCTCGAGTTATACAAGGCACCAATGAGTTACTCAAGATTGATATCGTACAAGTGACACAAACCAGTCGAATATCTAGCTACATATCACCAACCGAACGCCCTAATTTCCGACGGTCCCAGTTTAGTTGACGACTTTTCGTTGCACAGGACAGAGCAAACGAAACACGTATGTCATGTCGTTCTACATCCGAATTTCGTACGATACGAGATATCGGAGCTATTTTTATACTGTATCAAGAGATTGTAAGTGTCGTGCGGGCGTTGGGCAATTGAAGGAAACCGTTGCGGCACTGGTTTTGCATGTGTCAAACAATTATACGAAAATAGTATCTTCAACCTTTCTGCAGTTGTACCATGTTACTTACTATATATGCACGTGTCTACGTAGTCTCTTATCCAAGTTCCATAATCATAATAACCATACGCAAACTGAATCCCAGTTTCAAACCAGGCAGGACTCATATTACATATCCAAACCGTACCTTCACTCATTACATTATCCCCGACAAATCTCTATAACCACTCTCATCCCTTAACCCCGTCATAATATCCGCACTGAACCTCTTGGGGACAAGGACAAAGGTGAATACATAAATCCGGCCCGAAGAATGGAAAGTCCTGACAAATCTCCCCTTAATCTGAATGAAGATCGAAACATTTTACCCAAGACGATGCGGATAACTAAATTTCAATGCTTTTAGCGTGATTATTATTGAAAGTTTATAATCTTTCCGAGAAATGAGTGATTGATACGTAAGTGCTAGTTGTGTCGGGCGTGAAAGGGATCTTCAGTAAAGTTCGCGATCCCGGGAGTTAGGGCTAGGATGGTCATGAGCTCAGGAGGAAAATACGTACCACGAATATACCTAAATGACTCTTTTCTACTACTTAATCATTACCTATCATTTTCCTGCGACTGATACAAGCAAATTACGAATAAATCTAGCTCGTTACACGCGGCCAGGGGTTAGCCCTAAAGAAAGGGCAGCACGAGATCGAACATCGGAAAGGGGGTTCTGGTCCCTGGAATGTGGCACGACACACGGGCCTGGAAATATTCAATATTCATCAAGTTAGTCTACCACATATGACTGAAGAGAATGGCGTGTAACGTGATTATTGAAGAGTAGAAGTGGAGAATTCTCGCTTGTTTTATGAATCAACCGATAGACACGAACAAAAATGAAGCATGACATTCTATACTCATACATCAACTTTCGTCTAAAGGACTCAAGCGCATAGCAATGCATGCACATCAATACGAATGGAAAATATACCGAACCTTAACAGCGTGCAGCCTGCGCTTAAAAAGGAAAGAAATTCAATGATCGTCTCCGGAAATCCAGCAGGTACATTTCCGGCGAGATATCATTCGCTCATTTTATCTTCTGATAGGCACCCTTTGAATGAGGAATTCTAGCTAGAACAGATATAGGATAATGCGGATTTGAGAAGAGGCTAGGGAGTCTATTTGATCCTGTCAACGTAGGAGGCTTAGCTGTTCTATAGAGTTACCCAGGGGGGTCGAGAAAATGTGAGACTGTGAGACTTCGCTTCCTAGCTATGTGTAGGTCATTTGTGGAACGTGAAACGTGAAATACCAGACATTTATATACATAACCTGTCGAGGTTTCTATTCCTTCGACTTGATCTGAGTTATCCTCAGACAATGATATAACGAAGAAGAAGGACATTGAAACAGCGCGTTGTTCTTTCTTTTTTTTGTTAAAAGTCCTCTCATTCTTTTGCATTGCATTTGTCTGCCACTCGCTTGTGCATCGTTCTTTTTGTGCATGTCATAAGATACCCTCGCTTTTTCTCCTCTTGCATTTGGTCTTCTCTTCGAAGCGTACGATTATAGACTCACGAGTCATATCCAATCAACGAAACCATGTCGACCGGTGGATGTTTCTCACCGATAACAAAATGGCTCAAACCCATTTTCAGAAAGGATGATACCAACAGTCCAGGTAGAATCATTGAAATCGTTCGTGTGACCCAATCCATAAGTTAGCGAAGATCTTACTAACGCGCACGATCTGTATAGGGACCCCCGACAAATTTCAGAAAAGAAGAAATCGCAATACGGTTTATAGACGATGAGTAGGTTATTACCCTTCACTTCGAGAAGGATAGTCGATTCTGACAATTTTCAAGTCAGAGCACGCTACACCGCAACGATAGCCATGGAGTTATGGCTGAGAAGGAAGTCGCCCAGAACGCTGCGGTGGTACGACAAGCCTCTAAGAGGGACCAGCTAAGGAGACAGGTTCTCAGGCTGAGTGCAAAATTGACGACGTAATCGATAGTACCACCGACTATGAAATTTTGCGAGTGTATACTCCAGACTTCACACCAGAAACATCGGAATATCGCTGATACGGGATCTTTTGGCCGTCTTATCTTGTTGCTTTTGCTCGGATGTTGTACGATACGTGGAACGAGACTCCTTTGCTGCTGTTGTTGATAGTAATTTTCGAGGCTGGTCCTGTATTATATCATCATTTCTTGATGTATCATTAGTTTTAACATCAGTATCATCCAATTCGTCCAGAAATATTCTTTTCCTTGGTCTGTTGAGAGTAGAGGGTTTGGTAGATGTGGTGAATGTTTCCTTTTTGAATTCAGATTTTAGGTCTTTTGCGTGAACATGTTTCTGTTTGATAACGGCGTGTTGGGGATGTAAGGTGGTAGTACTCGTTCGTTGGTTCTCGAATGCAACTTCTCGACGTTTGACAGTGTTCTGCTGAGTTTTAGGCCTTATATTACCAACCTCCGGCGATTCTTTCTTGACAGTGTTCGTTCGCACACGGACTTTCGACTCTGGTAATGGATTCGGTCTACTCGACTTGGCCTCAACAATCTCCAGATCATCATCGTCTCCCGAAGAAGTCGCCTGTAACTCATCGTTACCTGCTGACTGCGCATCTTCCCTCCATAAAGACGACCCGGGCCTTGAAGAATTACTCGTAGGAGGCCTCGCCGTAACTTCCGACTCAAACCCAGCCGCCGCTCTAGTCTTTGACCTAATCCTCTCCAATCCCACAAGAGACTTATTCTTGCGCGGACTTGTCATAAAAGCATGCAACGAAGTTCCATACCACGGATCATCTTCACACTCTTCCTCCTCATCCCCAATTTCTTCGAGCCCACCATCCCCATCAGTATCGCTATCATTATCAGGCCTCCTCGACATCGGCTCCAACCCTTTCTTCTGCCTCTCTCGAAGCCGTTCAGCTTCCTTCCGTTTCAGCATCCTCTTACTCATCGCCGTCTTTCCATCCGTCGGTCTCTCCATATTTCGCAAGACGGACGCATTCAATTTCTTAGCTTGCTTTTTGCGACGGATGTATTCGGCGTGATGTAGATGGCGCGTGAATTGTTGTGCGATAGCGTAGAATTCGTCTTCGACCATGATGTACATGTCGTCGTTGTCGAAGCCGGGGATTATATATCTTTATACCATGGATTAGTTAGTGTTGAATGTTGGTAGGTTCATATTCACGTACTCTTCGGTGGGGGGAGATGCTATCGGTGATGTAGGCGGACTCCGGGCTTGACATTGTCAGAATCAGACCACGAAGAACATTAATAAACAAGAAAGGAATACTTACATGATCTTAAAAAATCAATATTTGTAGTATTCTGACCAGACTTCTGCTTCCCGCTGCGATCACCGCCATTATTGCTTGATACGCCTGGTGAAGGCGTCCGAAGACCAACACCAGTCCGTCGTCGAGTAGACGGTTGTACTTCAGCTACAGGGGTCGGAGTGCTGCGATCACGTTTTCCGCGAAGGTCGTCTTTTGTTAGCCATGGTAGTAAGCGTGGCATTAGGGATGTGTTGTTGTGGAGTATAAGTCTAGTTGCGCATTGTTATGGGTTAGATGTTGTTGCGATTGTCGATGACGTCCGCATCCGCATCGGAGTTATAAAAAGCGGTCGAGCCTTACATATTGTTAAGCACATAATTCTACAATTCAATTTAGTCATATCACACTGATATAGAATTTGCTGGGTATCTGATTTCTTTAATAACAAATAATTTATCTTTCATGTCATGACCAAAAAAATAACTCCCAAAACGCCATCCCATCGTAAATAGTTTCATGTACTTTCATTACTCTGTTCCATTCTGCTCTCTTTTACGCAATATGCAAAACGTAGAATATCATGCGACGACGCGAATCGACTCGACTCGACCGACTAGGCCTCTCCGGGACGTTTGCTATTGCAGCTAACAATCTTGACCTTATCCGCTTGCACAGTCGTCTGATTATCGAGTTTGAAAGTAACATCCTTGATCAGGAAAGTCCATACTTCATCGCAGAAACGGTATGTATCTAGGTGACCCTATCCCGATTGAAAGCATGTTAACAACTGCCCTCACGCCCTTAGATAGAAAAAAGAAAGGCACACCTTAAACGACAACCTAGCCCGAACATGCCCGGCTAATACCTCGGTAACGTAACGATCGAAATTCGACAGAATCTTCATCGCCAACTGTGGCTCGATTCGGCCTTCATTGATCAAATCATCGAGTGTATCTGTCAATGAGAGTCCGAGACTGTATCGTCACAAATCAAAGAAGTTAGTAACCATATACGTTAGCCCATAATTCCTACGGTGTTCTGAGTCAGGCAATGAAATGAGTTTGTGCCGAGTTGCAAGAAGTTATACCTGCTACCGCGATAGAGCTCGTAGTATGCTTGAGTGCTCATTCTTGCGGTTATTGTAGTCTTGAGGGTGATGGTGAAGGCTAAGTGGCGGTGTTTAAATAGTCTGGAGCCTGCCGAGTTCGAAGGTAGTGATCAGGTCACGTGAGCGGCTGATATAAGCAATGACACCTGAGGCAACAATCTCTTGGTACTGTGCCATTTAGTTATTGTTTGAATATTTCGAGTATCAATTTGAAAGATCCCAGAATATACGTATGATCCATCCCACTTTATATACCTAGGCTATAAGAGAACGCCAACCTCATACTAACACCGAACCCCCAACTCCTATATAGTATCTCGAATCTCTTCATCTCACTTGTGCTCACTGCTCTTCTCAATTCCCAATGACACCATTCTTAACGTAAAGGACGAGATAATTATCAAACCCTTCCAGCAACCATACCAGCAAGAACCCCAGCCCCAATCACACCTCCATCAGAAGCCTCCCGTAAAAACACAGACTTGCCACTCTTCTGAGGACCCGTGCGCATAATCATGCGATCGATATATGACTGACACGTTTCCTTGAAGTTGGGGTAATTTTGGATGATGCCTCCAGTGTAGGCGACGACCAATTCTTCGGGGCCGGATTGCCAGTCTGCTGGGGCTGGTGCGAGGACGGGTACGATGAGACCTCGTTGATTATTAGTATTGTTTCCGCTCGTTGTTGAGAGTGATTTCGCAGCTGCGGTTACGGCGGATGTAACTGCAGCTGAGAATTGGTTGTCTTGATATGTGGATGTGGTGGAGTTCAGAGAAGGATCTTCTTCGCCTAGGGGAGGTTGAGGTGAGTTTCGTGCACTGTCGTCTCGCAGTTGAATCTCTCGTGTGCATGCGAGGAGTCCCACGACTGCAGACGCAATCAGCCCTGCTGACCGTGTTTGAACAGCTCGGGCGATTTTCCGGAATGCGCCTGCTGTGTCTTTAGTCCACGACCATTCACTCGATTCCGGCGGAGGCAAGGACCGCGTCAGTTCCACTGCTAATTCCTGGTCTGATCGACTACGCGCAACTTTGTGGGAAATATAGGTTGTGGAGAGTGCATATTCCTGAACCAAATTGGCCGGCAACTCTTTCTTGGTGACTCCGAGTACGTTGGTAAGATAGTCGAAGAATATAATTCGTACGAGTTCGCCAACGTATCGTCCACCAGTCATATATTCAAAGGGCTGGAAACCAGGTCGAGAACATGCCCTGTCAAGTTCAATATCCCATTTCGTCTCAATGTTGAGCTCTTTCAGCGGAGCCGCTGCACCCGAGATTGTGATTTCTGTGTTGACTACTGTTTGCGTAGCCATAGGGTCTCTTGAACTGACCAGCTTAGCCTTGGATTCGTGTAAATCACTCAGTGACATGGGTATCGTCGCATTACAGCCCGTCCCCACGATGATAGCCATTGTAACACGGCTATTGGGTAATGACTTTACGCAGTAGGCCGACGAGACCAAAGTCGCAACGGTGTCATTGGTAATGGCGGCAATTTTCAATTTCGGAAGCGCATAGAGCTTCCGTCGTTTGGACGATGGCTCGTCGTCATCATTTCGTCTTGTATGCTTTTCATAACCTGAAAGGAGCATGTTGCGCAAATTCAGATCGGATGTGATTGCAAACCCTTTGCCCATTGGCATGAGCGTAGCCTCGTCCACTGATTCCTGCCTGTTTATCGTCAGCAACTAATCCTAGCAAAAATAAAAAAAAAATAAATGAAAAGATAAGAAAAGAAAAAAAGAAAGAAAGAAAGAAAAGAAAGAAAAGAAAGAAAAAAAAGTCGGGATGCATACATTATTGGAAAACTGAATGTAATGCCCATTTCCAATTCCTCCGGAATATCTCCCTTGGTAGCATCCGAAGAAAGACTGTCGGCTATAACTTCGGCGACGCAATCGCCTATCCACGAAAACAGGTCTTCTGCTTTGTCCTTCTTCAAATGTTCCTGGATGGGCCATGCTTTTTCCAGTGTCCGTCTCACACGCTGTCGTTGAGCCTTGCGGATCGTATCGCGTGACCTTTCCGAAGCACTGCCGGGACTTTTATCTGAATCCGCATCTTCACCCAACAGCTCAATAAACGCTACCCGTAGATTACTACCTCCAACATCAATCGCCAAATAACGCCCCACTTCCTCACCAGTCGGTAGTTGTGTCACAGGCGTCGGCAGGAACTGTTGATCAGATGTCAGAGCTAGATGTCGGTATACGTCCGAGAAGCGACGAGCTAGATTGTAGAGTCGCGATTCCTCTAGGACTAACGGTTTGAGGAACTCTTGTACAGGGTCCACGTTCAATTTGGGCTCTTCGGCGTGGGTATGTTCAGGCTCGGAGGCAACATCCTCGTCGTCAACGTCGTCTACTGTAGTTTGTTGGTCTAGGTCACGAGCGAACGTAGCGGCCGCCTCCGTCATGGTGCAGGAGATATGTCTGTATATACGTGTATGTATATAGGGTGGGCTGTCTGGAGAATGCGAACGAGCAACGGTCAAATCGGCATGCTTCGTAATTGAACGCTCTACCAAGATAGAACCTGATTAGTTAGCTCTCACGTTACGCAGAGAGTGCTGATGGGTAGGTACGGCGCACTGAATGCCCAACGTGCGGGTTCGGTCCGTGTCAAGGGAGACTCTCTGATCAAAGCAAGCCCTGACAAACAACTCCCTGTTACCCAATTGTATATTATCGCGTGACAGGACTGCGCGTATATAGCGTGTATGGACAGGGATATATGTTCTTCGAATGCGGACCGGAAGGTCGACGATGCTGACGGCTCTAGTAGCTGTAGCCGGTAAGCTAGGCTGATGTTGAACGCTGGTGTGGTGGGCAGATGACTCTTCTGCTCCTCCTCCCCCGCGATTATAGCACAACCGTTTCTCTTATTTATTTGATGCTGACTACCCAGTAACTGTACCAGGATAACTTGCTGAGTAGCGAATCCGACGTCCCGATGTAGAAGCCGAAACGAGGGAGATGGACGAGGGACCGTGGAGGACGGGGAGAGATATAGTAGCAATGCGACCACACGGGCACAAGGCTTGGGACCCGATGTGACGTCGGGAGAAGAGACGACGATGGTTCTCGGTCCAGAGTTGAGGGTCTCCAATGGTATTCGTCAATTATAAAGAGAGGGCCGCCAATAGATGATTGGGTGGGCAGACATGGTGGTTGTTGTAGAGTCACTACTGCTACGTGCCTGTATAGATGATAGTTATCGATGATCACCCCACCGTGAGACTTTACGAGTTGCTGCTTTACGTACTTCTCTTTCTTACGGGTTGTCTTTTAGGGAATATTCGTATTTATTCTCATCGCCCGAGCGTTATCTGTCTGGTAGTACGTACCTGGTTCCAATGCGAGAGGCTCAACCCGAGCCCTGGGTTCTTGGAACTACCTATACATAGTATACCGGAGGAGAAGCACAACTCCGCAATCCAGGTATAGCGCGGCCCAGAATCAATAATATGCTCGGCTTGAATTGTTGGGTAAATTAGTCTTGTTATCGTCGACTACGTATGAGTCACCTACTGCACAGACTGCAGACGCAGCAACGTCTGGAGTATGTTGTTCCACTTCCGCTTTCGGAGCTTCTCGTCTCCATTCATTCGTGTTATTTAGCAGCCGGGATGAGGATCTGATCGTCCATGTCATATGAGGCCGTACTCGAGTATTCACAGTTTCTGAAAGACCAATATAAATTAATATATCTCAATCGACCCCAATCCTGGCCCAGCTCCGAGACAGTAACATCGACCCGACACGTGTGGAGGGCGCGTGACAGATATCGATCGGGACCGTTGGCCTTGTAGATGGACCTTTGGCGATGGTTAATGCTCAGGTCTTGGATTGAAACGCCGGCTCGAATACTAGGATCGGCATGTTGCTTATGCGTAAAACGTTTGACCGGGATACTTTCTCAGTGCGTACTGTCAAGAGATAAACGGTAGTCCGTAGTCCGTACTCCGTAGTAGATGGCTGGACAGAGGATGACTCTGGCGATGTACCCTGGTCAGCCTGCTCGCGTGTCTCGACCTTTCGTGCAGCGCTTACTCCGGAATCGTCGGCGAAAAGGGCAAGAATACCGACATGATTCCGATTCGTCCCTAGTCTCAGCCTGAGACTATCGTGTCGAGACGAGGATGTTTCGTGTTGGCTTCTGCTTGGAGTGTATGAAATCGAGGCCCTTGTGGAGAGAGCCGATACCGGCTAATGCCTTGCTGCCTGAGGCATAAACATACACCCCGCCAATGACCTCCATACAATTTACTCCGTACAAGTTTTACCAGTTGATTCCACCGGAACTTATCCCAGTTACCCGATGGCTTGCGCCACGCGACTCGAGGCATGGTTTTTCAGAGTCTAGACTCAGTGCTACATGATCATCTCAGTTGCAAGAAGTTAAAAGAAAAGTTCTGGACAGAACTGTCCATATTCAAGGCTGGTGTTTTCTTCTGGAATCCCGGTCGTTGGAGAATGTGACTACGTATTTTGGATGAACCGGAGAAGTTTGCGTTGGCCTGTTATAGCGGAGGAAGGACTTTAAAGAGCCGTGAGGAGTTGAGATTCCGGGCACTAGGGTTAAGGCATTATGATAGCTAGGTTCCTGAAGCATAAGCACCAGCACTGCAAACGAGTATGACATGCCATGTGCATCCTACGCAAACTTGATGCCGGTGCTTCTGTTAGTATTTCTATTTCCGGAATCAAAAAGAGATGGACTTGCTATCCACCGTGGAATGAGATACGATGGAAGACAGGTGACTTGCAACATTCTGCTCTTGCAGGGATCGACAAAGAGTGGATTCAAATGATATGTCGAGATTCGAGAAAGAAAGGACAGATGTAATTATTTTCGAGCGAAACGCTTCTGTTGGTGTTCTTCTGGTTTTCCTTTCCTGCATCGACTTCCAAATCCAAGTATCATTAGATCAAGCGTGTGAAAGGCGGCTCTCTTGGTCGACATTCAGAGATAATTTGTACGCCTCTCGAATAACTGTCGCTCACTGTTTCTAACTTCAATATTCGGTCATTGATTCGCATGTGTGTCTCCTTTGGGACCAGGGTTGCGATGATGCGGACGCTTTGGTGGCTCTCTTTTACAATCCTTACCTGCCAGGAAATACCACTGCCAACGATAAACCAATTCTGGCGGGTGCATGCACAATCAGATCCCGTAGATGATGTTTCAGTTGCAGAGAGCAGTGTCAAGTTGTAGAAGTAAACCGCGAACAACCGAATTTATGTTCAAGATTCGCGCTTAACCCATTCAAGCTAGCGCATCTCTCGGCCGCGGAGGAGGATCCCAAGTCGGACGGTAACGTCAACCCATCCCTAACCATCATCAAGCATCAGATATACTATGCACCATGCCTCCTACAGCATACCAAGTTTACCAAGACCTTGAGCGAGAGGAGCAATTTGCTCCTCAAGAAGGCAAGACCCATCGGTCCTATTCATCATGGCGCGAGCGCGCCATGAACCGCAATTTGCGCCGCGGTCTTGCTATAATCGGAGCCTGCTGGCTCGTGTATATTATATGGCTAAACCGTCTATATGCAGCAGCCTTACTGCCGGGTTCTTCGAATAATCGTGCCAATGTTGCAGGTCAGCAGACGGAAGGGAAGACGGTACCCCTGGACGTACACATTATGAGCAAATGTCCCGATGCAAAGGACTGCTTGCAGAAGTTGATTCTACCTGCGATGGAAAGGATCAGTGACAAGGTCAATTTTCAACTCTCGTTTATTGGAAGGTATGAATCGACTCGTCCTCTTTGTTCTAGTTTCAATATTAACTTCTTCCAGTGTATCCAATACCACTTCCGATGTGGAATGCAAACACGGCCCAACTGAATGCATCGGTAACATGCTCATGCTCTGTGCCGCCAATCTTCCGTTTCCCACGAGCCAAGTATCAACCACTCCCCGGACACCCGTCATCCGCTCTCTCGGCTTTGCAAACTGCCTCATTGACGATTACCCAGAGATCCCGTCCCGACCTCTAGTACAAAACTGTGCGCTAGAGCATGGACTCGACTTTGAGGCTATAAACGCTTGCGCAAGTCGCGAGGATGACGGTTTTGAGAACCCCGGAGATCCGACTTCTGAAGACCCAAGTGGCATTGCTTTGCTGCGCAAGAGCGTACGTCACACCCAAGATGTCGGGGTTACGAAGAGTTGTACTGTGAGACTTGATGAGACTGTCTGGTGCATTCGAGACGGCGGGAAATGGAAAGATTGCGCTCATGGTAGTGATGTATCGACTTTTGTGGATGAAGTCGAGAGATTATGGAAGGAGAGGAATTAGCAGGCGCGCGCGCTCGTCATTCTTCAACTCTTCTATGCTTCATGATTTTCTGGTCATGGCCACTGGCTCACACACATTGGGCAAGGCCTGAAAATTTCCTTAAACTTTGACTACCCTGATACTGATACCCCTCGTTTGATAATTATACTAATCAATATGCACTGCCTCTCAACAAGGACCAGTTTTCAAGAACCAACTGATGAATATTATACTTTTCCATTAAGGCTTACCTCCATAGCTCGTAATTGCATTGCCCAGATGACCAAAGACACAAAGAGGCCATCTCATTTGACAATGTTTCGTTCTTCCAAAATAGACAAGCTAGGTGATGGATGAGGACAAACGACATCATGCTTGTTCACCTAATCACCTGCACTTCTTTATTTTTGATCGTCTCAGCCTTTCAATTCTTTCTCTGCTTTCTCTTCTTTCTCTTTGACTGTTTCTCATCTTGTCAAACACTTTTTTCATCATCCCCCTCCTCTTCCTTTTCACTTTCTCTGTTCAGTTTTCAGTGTTTTGACTTACTGATTCGGAGTCAATCAGAGAGTTGCAGTTAACCCCCTGCCTTTGAGAACAGAGTGTGATTAAGACTTTTCCTGATGATTGTCTGATTGCTACTTCACAATTCTAACAAAGCTCTAATTATTGTCCAAATCACTCAACTGAAATCCCTACAAAACATCCAAAATGACCATCTATCCACACCATCAGTCTAGTAACTCAAGTCCACTGGACTATGTCGACGCCCTGGTCTCTGAGTACGAATCGCTCAAAGAACCAAGTGACGGTCTATGCTACATACGCGGTAGTCCCAAACTCTACTCGTCTTTCTGCGACCTCATCAAACACCACATCGGTCTGATTATGAGTCGCCCCAAGGCTATCGAAGATGGTTACGTTACTGTCTATGACAAGTGTCTGTTGGAGCTGTGTCGCAATGGCAAAGACGTAGACAATCTAGCTGGTCAAGAGTTCTACATTCGAGAGTTTATGGGAATTGATCCAGACTCGCGCCTGCAGAGTTATGTCGAGGATATGATTGATCGCGAGGTTTCGGTTACGGATGACCTATTGCGATGTCCGTCTTGACTTTCCTTCTATGTTCTCTGGGCTTGTCTTTGGCTGACACTTTTTAATTCATTTATCAGCTTACCGGTCGCGCTCCGAGTCTCAGCACCAACAAATCAAGGAGGAAGTGAAGACCAATACAGTGACGAAGTCTGAAGCGACTCCTTCTCAGAATCTCCCGTTCAGCGAGACAGTCTTCGCCGCTTATGCAACAGTCTTTCATCCAAATATGAGCATAAACGCAAACATCAACCGCATGCTACACACTTACTTCAAGGCCAAGAGCGATTTCTACGCCTTACACGAATCAGCCAGAGACAGAGATGACCCCAAACTCGCCGATGCAGCAAAGTTCCTACGTGACAGCGCCGAGAATGCACTTAGCTACCTGCAGGCCCAGGGGATTCTGTCACTGTGCGATAGCAGCTTGGTAATGGAACTTCAAACCGTGTTTGGTTTTGCGAAGAGCAAGGCGATTGAATTTCTCGGTGGAAGGAAGCGGCGATTCGAGATTGAGAGCTTTTATAGGGATGGCGGTAGCGGCAGCATCAAGAGTAACAGCCGGGTGCTGGGGCCTGAGAGACCCCTGAAACCTAGAAAACGCCATGCCATTGATCGCTACTCTGGTGCGTATGCTGATTATTCATGGCATCCGTATGCTCAGTATGAGACCTCCCGTACTGTACGACGTCGTTCGAGTTGAGTTGAAAGTGATGAGAGTGTGTGTCAGATATTGTGAGGGCTTTGAATGTCTTTGATGAGAGTTACAAACTAAGACTGGAGGTTGGTATTGGTTTAATGATGTGTTTCGTGCTCAAGCAAGTGTAGATAGTGACTTTTGTCCTTCAGACGAGATGGGCTAGTTGAAGACGAGGATTGTTGGATGGAAAAGCTTCCATGTCAGTATGGTTGTCATCTGATATCAATGACTCCGCATTATTACCAAAGCTGTTAGAGTTATACTTGCCTGATCATAGCCTATGCTGTATAGACTACTAAATTACACGTAGGCAGTTTTGTAAATCATGTTGACCACTCTTCAACCCTAAAACAGGGTTAGGGTTCTAATCTTATCCAACAGATAAATCGTGCGGAGACACGTGATGCCAGGAGGGAAACAACTTCTTCCTGATTTCATTCTACAATCTATTTGCAACATCATTCACTTATTCCTTAGTGTATTATTAAATCTATACATCTAATTCAATCCATGGATTTAACTTGACTATCCAGCAATGAACCACCCATTCACGGTCAGACTGGTTCATCAGCCTTACTGAAAAGCACCAACAATGGCCTCCCATCTTGATCCTCATCGTCCTGCCGCTCAATCCGATAGCTCGTCGTTCTCCTCGAACTTTGTCGACGTATCACCTCCGTCTTTGGGGGATACGGCCTCGTCGATTCACTCCTCGAATTCCCAGCTACCGTTCACGCCGGATATCAGTAGTCATAATAGCTCTGAAAGTGGGAATGAGCAATTGAATACCTCCGCTTCAACTGTTGGTCGCCCGCAGCTTGGATCGGTGGGATACCCTCGATTACAGACGCAGCTTGGTCATGGAAATGCGCAAGACAATGTCGAAGGCGGAGACGGAGGAGCGCAGTTGGCCGCTGAGACACAAAAATTCATAAGCGTCACTGATGGCTACGATGAGGAAGGATATGACTCTGAATTGGAATATAAGAACCGGCATCGAATGAGAAGACAAAGTACCATGGGCACAGGCACCAATGGCGAGTATACGGCTGAAGAAGAGAAAGAAGTGGTGAAGAGACTGGATAGGAGGTTGGTGTTATTTTTGGCTTTATTATATATGCTATCTTTCTTGGATAGGTCAAGTAATTCCCCATTTTTCTTTGTTCTGTGTGATAAATACATGCTGATACGTAAATAGATATCGGAAACGCCAAAATTGCAGGTCTATCAGACGATCTCGGGCTATCATCTTCGCAATATGAATGGCTTCTAACATCTTTTTACATCACATATATCGCCTTTGAATGGATGGCTTTAATGTATAAAATGGTCCCTGCACACACCTACATCTCCTTGTGTGTCTATGGATGGGGCATACTAGCATCCTGTCAAGCATTGACGAGGAACTTCTGGGACATGCTCATCATCCGAGCATTGCTAGGTGTGTCCGAAGCTGCCTTCGGGCCCGGCGCACCATTTTACTTGTCTTTCTTTTACAAACGCGAAGAGCTCGCATATCGTACCGCACTCTTCATATCTGCGGCACCACTTGCTACTTCATTCGCAAGTAGTCTGGCATGGTTAATTGTCAAACTGAGTAGCAGCATACCGATTGCACCATGGCGGTCACTGTTTTTGATAGAAGGGTTTCCGAGTTTGATTGCAGCAGTTTTTGCTTGGATCTTGATACCGGATTCGCCAGGGAAAGCAAGCTTTTTGACGCCTCGCCAGAGAAAGGTTGCTAGGTTGCGATTGCAGTCGAAGAATAAGGTTGAAAGACATAATGCGCCGTCTGCGGCAACAGAAAAATTCAATTGGAAGGCCGTGGTTGAGACGTTGTGCGATCCGACGGCGTATCTAATAGCTGTATGTGTCTGTCTCGTTGCTCGTTTCTCGCATACTAACGAATATAGTTTATGTTTCTCGGCTGCAATGTGGCATTTAGCTCAATGCCCGTTTTCCTTCCAACTATCATTAACAAGTATGTCCCAAGACTACCGCAAGAGGACGTGAGGCTAATTCATCTAGCATGGGATACTCTTCCATAGCTTCGCAGGCTCTTTCAGCACCTCCATTCCTGGTAGCGTTCGGAGTAGTCCTTGTAACTGCATCATTATCCGACCGCTCTCGCACGCGAAGTCCATACCTGGTCTTCCATGCTTTGATATCTGCAACAGCCTACCTCATCATTGGCCTAACGGGATATCTCCACTCATACATGCCTACTTCGGTTCACACTATGATCCGATATCTATGTATATACCCCGCTACATCCGGCTTCTTCTCCGCAGTCACAATCATCATAACCTGGAGCATGGACAACCGCACCGCCCAAGAAGGCAAAGGCAGCAGCGTTGCCATACTAAATATCATCGGACAGTGCGGTCCGCTGGTAGGCACCAGACTCTACCCGGATAGCGACAAGCCGTGGTTTGTGCGTGGCATGTTAACGTGTGCTTCGTTCATGTTGATAGTCGCTGTACTGGCGTTCTCCTTGCGATTGGTATTGTTACGCAGGAATCGGAGAATTGCAGAGAAGAGGGATCAGATGGGCATCGAAATGGCTGAAGGGGAGGGACTGATAGATCGTGGTCGAGATGGGTTGGGAACCCAGGATGAAATGTTTACATATATTGTATAATATCACCTTCTAAATTTATGTGCAAGGCCGCTCCACTATGCAGGTAATTTGAGACCTAAGTTTCAAACACAGATCATTCAGAATGCCCATTTTCAGTGACTCGTTTTTAGAATTAGCCTCTACCATATAAACCAGGTACGGAGATATCAAGCTCAAACATTTTCCAGCATACGATGCATGATCTACCTAGCAAGAGGACAATTATATCGTAGTACGACATATCTATCAAAGTCACGTGTGATATTCGCTAGTTTCATAACTAAATTCGTTTCGCCTATTGCCCGTCTGCAAGAAAATCCAAATATTTCACAAACAACGGATAAATACATAGGGAACGGGTTTTCTTGGTCTAATACCTCTCAGCAATTTTGGAATCCATCTACGTACAGTTCAGATTAAAACAAACGCCATGAATAACAAAAGTAACAAGAAACAGATACAAGTCGTCTTCAACACTTAAAAAGCTGCTCAGCTTTGCGAGAAGCGCTGAACCAATTCCTGCCGTATGGCATCGGCGAGACTATTAAGGGATGAAGACTGAATAATCACCATGACGCTCGTCTCAATGCTGAACTTCTGCCTTATCCAGTTTCGAAGCTCCATGGCAACAAGGGAGTCAATACCGTTCTTCTCTGGTGAGAGCTGAAGCTGAATGCTGGACTCATCTTTGATGAGGAACTTGGCCAGTGAGGCGGCAATAGTTTTGGCAATAATTTCTGTGGCTGATTCTTCGTCTAGAACGGAAGGGGATGTCGAAGCTGTGGAAAGAAGGTTTGCAATATCATCTTTTTCGGCCATCGCCTTGGTTGACGAGTCTTCGGCACAGTTGATGTTGTGATAGATGCCCATGCGGATATCGTTTTTCCAGACAACGCGGTTGTTGGGGGATGTCACTGGAAGGGTGGTAACAAGACCCAGCAGAATCTGGCCAGGGCTGTTATATGCACCAACATCGCCATTGTGGCAGTGAATCTCGCTGTCTGTGGGAGCAGAACTCTGGATGGCGAGGTTGAAAGCATCCAGTAGATCCTGCTCCTTGAGAATGCGCATCCCGGACTTTTCGAATCGATCAAGGACTTCCTTGTGCTTGGAAACAAAGCCAACCTCGCCCATAACACCAATATCGATGACTGAGGCGGCGAGTCCCTTTTCATGACGATACTGTATAAAAGCATCTAAGAAGGTATTGGCGGCAGCGTAGTTGGCTTGACCCCATTGACCGACTATACCGCTATATGACGAGCAGAGAATAAAGAAGTCCAAATCTGTCGGGAGAGCCTCGTGAAGATTCCAGGTACCTTGGACCTTGGGAGTGACGGCAGTGACCCAGTCCTCAAAAGTCATATCTTGCAGTGTGACATCCTATTCAGAGAAGAGTCAGTCATGCTCATTATGATAGGAATACTTCCCCCCTGAGATAGAATGATACATACCCTAAGGACCATGGACAGATTGACAACACCAGAAATTGGTTTGGTGGCTGACTTGATAGCTGTTTGCACATCGACCGCGTTAGCAACGCTACCGCTCACGAACTGTACAGAGCATCCTTGGGAAGTCAGCTCAGCTTTGAATACGTCTACGTCCGTGCCTGGCTTAGCCGAACGAGACAAGAAGATCAACTCCCCGGCGCCATTCTCCGCCAACCACCTCGCAAGAGATCGACCGAGACCCCCCAGACCACCGACTAGAATGTAGCTGCGGTCAGACCGTATCTGGGGCTGTGGTCGCTGCTTGACCGACTGCAAGACATCCGTGCTTTCGGGCATGGTGATAATGATTTTACCGATGTGCCGTCCCCCTTGCATGAATCTAAAGGCGTCTTGAATCTGGATGGCATCGAATACCTTGGCAATGGCGCCGACATTGAGCAAGCCTTGTTGGATCCAACCAATGCATCGTTCCAGCAACCTAGGCGGTCTTTTTAGTCTCTTTTCTCGAAGATATAGGAGTCAAAATGGCAAGAAGAACTTACTCTGAAGCTTGTTCAGGACGGACCTGCGAGACCTGCCACAGGTCGAGGCCAACGAAAGTACGATTCTGCTCGAATGCTTCCATTGACAGCTTGGCACGTCGCCGGAAGTCTCGTTTGCCAATCTCAATCATTGTTCCGAATTCGGCAACACACTTCCACGATGCGTGCAAGAGATCGCCAGAAAGGCTGTTGAGGACAACGTCAACGCCTCTGCCGTTGGTCATTCGCATCACATCGCGGACGAAAGATGAGTCTCGGGAATTGAAGATGTTGGCGCGAGGGATATTGTGATTTTCCACTAGGTATTTAGACTTGTCCTCGTTGCTTACCGTGCAATAGACCTGGCACTAAATTAGCATGTGTCACACTGGCTTGACCAAGCTGGGCTTTGAAAGGAAACTTACCATCGCCCCCATCATCTGAGCAATCTGGATCGCTGCCAACCCTACTCCTCCGCAGGCCGAGTGAATTAAGACGGTCTGCCGTAGGTTGTTAGCAACCATAGCCTTCGAAATAGAAGTATACGATAACTTATCGGATAAGACCTACCTGGCCAGGTCGAATATTTGCCTTATCAACCAGAGCCATGGTTGCAGTGGCATACACACAGGGTATCGCAGCACCTTGCTCGAAGGTCATAAAGTCGCAAATCTTCACACAAAGGGTCTGAGGTAGAGTAATCTCAGACGTGAAGCATCCGCTGGACATGTACATGACACGGTCCCCAACAGCGAATTTGGTAACTCCAGCGCCGACCTCCGCCACGACACCGCATCCTTCGAGTCCAATTTCACGTGTGCTGTTGTTGAGGACGCCGAGAGAAATGAGGACATCCTGTTTATACGTATCAGCATTAGTTGCTGCTGCGATGAATATATGATCGAGCGCAGATGTACAATATGAACGAAGGGAAAGAAAAGTGAGAGAAGAGCGACTAACCCGGAAGTTGAGACCAATAGCCTTGGTCGTTACTCGCACCTCGTCCTCACCGAGAGGCTTCCTAGCATCTTCGGCCCAGCCCATGGTGTGAAGCAATCCTGGAGTTCTGATAGTCAAGTACTTGAAGGAAGACTTATGCGAACCACCGCCTACATTGTCGAAAGCATTTGACATGGTCTGCCAGTGCAATCTAGGAACAAGCATCTTGCCATTGATCAGTGCATATTCCCAATCTTGACTCACATCGTCTATTTTGGATTCATGTGCCTGAATATGGAACAAAAGGTCTGATACGGCCTTGGCAACTACAGGCGTCGAGGCTACTTTCTCAATCTCTAGAGTGTAGATGCTGGTCGAGTATTCGTTGCGCGCAGTTCGCAGAAGGCCGATACTCATGGCGGCTTTTGGGTCCTCACACTTGACTTGGGAAGAGCCCAGGAGCCATATTATTTTGGACTTGATGCTTTGTAGGTTTCCTACCAACGACTTGAAAGATTGCTCGTTCAATTCATGAGCGGTAGGCTTTTCCATGTCAAGAACTGAAATAATATCATGCGAAGGCAACTTTTGTCCAAAAACGATCTCCGTAACGCTGATTCCCTGTGACTCAAGGCTTGTCTTCAGTTCATGAACCATTGGCGCCTTTGGTTCATAGCACAAAATGCTGACGTTAGAGGGTGGCTCCATCTGCGAGCTAACCGTGGCCATGATACCAGCGCTCTGATGATATGGATAGATACCATCTAGGACGTATTCAGGATTTTTGAACCCTGCAGCTACAAGTTCCTTCGACCAGCGCTCAGGAGAGATATAAGGCTCAACAGCGCGGTCGTCTTTGTCGCCCAGCCACCACCCGGAAAGGAAGCCCATGATGTAGTTGATGTATTTTGCGGCTATACGAATCACACAGAAAGTCAATAACCATGTGAACACAAAGAGTGCTTCGGTCACTTACCAGGACATAGCTCTTGAAGGAAGATACGCCCACTTGGGCTAAGAAGACTGCGAAGATTGCCAAGGGACTCTTGTAAACTAGCTGTTGCATGAACGACCTGGACACATAGTTAGCTCTAGTTGTCGTCGATAAGGGCAGAGTGGCCTACATTGTATCCAATGATCAAGTCATATGAATTCTTCTGGAAACCTTGTTGTTCTGGGTCCTTGGATATATCAAATGTGGCATAGTGAATTGCCTCAAAATCCGCAAAACGCTCCTTGGCAGCGGTGAAAAAACCGGCTGATACATCAGTGTAGGTGTAGCTGCTGTACAGGCGCTCGCCATAAGAAGTTTTCAGTGCATCTAGAACCTTTGATGTTGTACCACCGGTACCGGCACCAACCTCGAGAACTCGGAGGCGAGGATTTGTGTGTCCGAGAGCTCGAATGGCGTCTCCATAGAGAAGTTCGTCTCCGTTAGCGTACAGGCGTGTCAAGACGTCGTCTTCCATGAGTATATGCAAGGCGTGGGCATCTCCAGCAAATATTTGATCCGCTTTCTTGAACAGGCGGTGAATTGCTATGGCAAAGGCATCGTAATGCGATGAAGACAGCTCATGTGCAAGATGCTCGATTCGGTTCAGGCGCTGCTCTCTGCTCATGCTCTCATAAGACATGTCTTTAGATAAGAATATATTACCACCAGCCTTGTATGATGCAATATAGTCCTGAATCCATTTGAATAGCTTCTCTAGATGAACGGGGCTGTTTTCGGTCAGACGAATAGCTTCTTGATGGTCAATGATCGCCAGCAGCATCATCTCTTCCAGCATTGGCCATTCATGGGGTATAAAGGTTCGAGGATACATGTAATCCTTCATCTGGATAAAGTCTGCGTGAGGACGCCATTCAAATTGGGTGATAAGTGGTAAAGATTCATCATCCCCAGAGTTCGTCATAGCAGATGCCTTGAAACCCTTGAGAGAGAGGAACAGACGACCTTGGCCCTGGGCAGTTAGGCTACCTTCAAAGGAACCACGTTCCACGTTGTTGATTTTTGCTACAACTTGCATGTCAAGATTAGCCGGGCAAACGACCATTTCTTCGATAAAGGTTGGTACAGCGACATTCTTGCAATTTCGACCGAGACCGCGACATGCCGCAACGGTAAACAACTGGAAGCACTGATCAATGATACCAGGGTGTATGGCGTAGTGAGTCCTTGTATCTTTAACGAATGGGACTGTAGCAACTGCCTCCATGTTCACTGGACTGGCGGAGATCTGTTGGAGGCCCCTGAAAAATCCTTTGTAGTTGAAACCAATCCGATTCAGGACCGTATACCACTCATTTGCATCGACCTGACGACTTAGATCCGGATAGTCACTTATCTCAGTGCTGACAGATTTATCCACAAAGCCCTTGATTTCGCCAGAACAGTGTTTAGTCCATCGTGAGCCGTCATACGAAGTGATCTGGAATGAGTATGACGCGGTTTCATCTGACTCCACGGCGTTGGGCGTGAGACGAGTCACGATTTCCACCAACTTATCGTGTTCTAGAATCAGACCCGCCGTAATACTGACATTGTTAAGAGTGTATGAAGTAGCTCCAGACAACTGTCTGATGGCTTCTCCAACTATGCAGATATAACCAGCTCCGGGGAACACAATCTGGCTATCAATTTCGTGACCTTGTAGCCATGGAAGATCGTCCAAAGCAAGTTTGTTTCTCCAGCAGTTCTCATTAAAGACCTCAACAACGCGGGTGCCGAGCAGGTCATGGGGGAGGAATTCCCGGAATCTAAACTGGCTGGCAAGGCGATTTTCGGCCCAAAACGAAGTATCATGTTTCCAAGAGTACTGGGGAAGATTACGTACAATTTTTCCAGGAGGGCAAATTACAGACCAATCAAGGGGAATATTCTGGAGAAACAGATTTCCGGCGGTCTCCAAAATGCTGTCCGAGCATATCTTGCCTCGCTGGAGGGTACCAACATGGCTGATCTCATTGCGGTTGATATTTCGCAGAATCTGGCCAATGGGACCCTTAAGAGCAGGGTGCGGTCCGATTTCAATCAAAACCATGCGCTCTTTTCGAGACTTTAGGGCAGAACGTAGGGCTGTGTTGAAAAGAACCGGGCTTTCCATATTCTTTCGCCAGTAGTCAGGGTCAAGGCGTCCATCGCCGACCAGCTGTTTTCCAGTCACGGAGGAGTAGAAAGGAAAGATTGGGTCAACACTCTGGACAAATGGTTTCAGATGCTTCTCATACGACGCACCATACTCTTTCATATGGTGAGAATGGAATGCTTTTTCAACCCTCAGGAAGCGGGCCAAGACACCAGGCCGCTTCTTCTGGACATTCTCAACAATAATGGCGACCTGGTCAATATCGCCAGAAATGGTGACACTACATTGACTGTTCTCGCAGGCAATGACAACGCCAGGCTCCATGAATTCATCCATCTCGTGAGCTCCAAGGCCGATAGCTGCCATTCCTCCTCGAGGTTTACCACCGGGCCTTTCGTCCGAGGACGTCGATCCGCGGAACGTTGCAGCAGCCATTGCAGCAGTTGCAGAGATAGCACCGCTGGCATATGCAGCAGCCATTTCGCCAGACGAGTGTCCGAGGACAAAGTCAGGTTTGATATTCCAAGCGCGTAGCATGTCAATCAAACCAATCTGGACAGCAATCGACAGCGGATGTCCAAACTCAGCTTGTGAGACACGACTGCAGCTTGGCAACTTGCGCAGCTCATCTTCAATTGTCCAAGAAGGTGGGTTCGGCAGTGAGGCCAGAAACTCATCTAATCCCCTGATAGAATTACGAAATATCGAATTGGCATCAATCAGTTCGGCTCCCATCTCTGGCCATTGAGCACCTTGACCAGTGAAAATCCAACCAACACGGGGCACAGGCTCGATGACGGCGGTTGGTCCGGTCACATCGAAGGATATCTTTCCATTGACCTTCATAGCAACGGCGAAGGCGCGATGGCTTCGGACCGCGTGGTCTCTACGGTTAGCAAGAGTGTAGGCGATATCTTGGAAATGCACATCAGACGCTTCGATGTACTTTCGATGCTGGTCAATGGCCTCCTTCAGCGATGTTTCGCTATGTGCCGAGAACAACATCAGTTGCTGTACGTCAGCAGTTTCACTCATCAAGCGGGGGCCGGTAACCAGGGATGTCTGCTTCGTGCATATGGGATTATGTCTGAAGTATTGCTCCAAAGATTCCACCACGACGTGGGCATTCACACCACCGATGCCGAACGAGTTTACACTGACTCGCTCGGCACGTCCACGGGGCCATTCCTCTACATCCACAGGAACGCGAAGTTTGCCGCTTTCGAAAGGAACTGAGATACTTATTAGTGCTTATTTCCTCGAGTAAACAACTAGAAACTCACTCACTTTTCGAATTGAAAGTAGTGAAGTGAATGTTGGGTGGTACCTGACGATGTTCGATAGCCAATATGGATTTGATCAGACTTGTGATGCCTGCAGCACCCTCAGAATGACCGACGTTTGGCTTGACCTAGAGTATAATGAGTACCAATATAGAATAACAAGTTAAAGAATCACGTACTGATGTGATAAGCACGCCCTCCTTGCCGAAACATTTCGCCACGGCTGTTGTCTCAAGAGGATCGCCAACTGGAGTACCTGTACCGTGGCATTCGACAAAGGCAGTTTCACACATATTCTTGATACCAGCCTGTTTATAAGCCTGGCGGATTAAAGCCTCCTGGGCCACGGGGCTCGGAGTAAGCATTCCGTTCGTTCGACCGTCAGTGTTGACACTGGTACCGCGGATCACGGCTCGAACAACGTCGCCGTCTTCAATGGCCTTACTGAGCTTCTTGATATAGATTGCGTTGACAGCCTCACCGCGACCATAGCCGTTGGCGGAAGCATCAAACGTTTTGCAAATACCATCTGGAGAAAGGACACCTTGATCACTGAGAGCCATCGTCATGGTCGGGGAGAATATGAGACTTGTGCCGCAGACAAGACTACCGTCACAGTCACCCTTTCGGATGGCTTCACAAGCCATGTCTAAGCAAACCAATGAGGAAGAGCAACCTGTTTTGACGGTCATACTGTATGACAAGGTTAGCATTAAGTGGAGTATCACTAAAGAAAAAGTCTTACCTGGGCCCATGAAGGTCAAACTCATACGAAACCCTGTTTCCCAATACGAAGTCACCATAACCAGTAACACGGTATCCTCCCCGATGTTGTGTTTCTTTGGCATTCAAGTCCTGCCAGTCTTCACCGAAAACACCAACATAGCAACCGATCTTGGTTCCACGCCACGATGTTGCTCCCGCATTCTCCATGCATTCATAGGCAACTTCTAACAGTTGACGCTGTTGAGGATCGAGCCTCTCCAGCTCTGTCTTTGTAATTGGAAACACGCTAGTGTCGAATTCTTGGATGCTCACATCCTGGAGGAAATATGCTTTTTCGGGCTTGAAAGTGCCTGGCTTGCCGGAAGGATCGCAAAATCCAGCCACATTATAACGATCCTTGGGCACTTCGCAAAGACCACTTCTCTTCTCGACGAGAAAGTTCCAGAAGTCCTGATCGTTGCGGACCCCTCCCGGAAGTCGCATAGCCATACCTACGATGGCAATCGGTTCAGCCAGGTCTGACGATAGGCGGCCATTTGGGTAGAGATTGCTTCTCTCCACAACATTACCATGATAACCATCGTCTTGTGCGATGCTCCCCATATTTACTTGATGGATTTATTTTATGGTAGGTTAAAAGAAGTTCGTGAGTGCGGCTGGAGTCTGAATCTTTGTCACAAACGTCTGGTTGAGCAGACCAGAACGGATTTAACAGAATGATGCTTGAGTTACGATGAGGAAGTCAAAGCACTCGGTTACGAGGAAAGGTAAAGGATCATCAAGACCTGATATAGAAACTTTGTTTCTAGTTAAGATTGCGTATATTTGTCGTGCTGTGCTCAAAGGACTAATTCTACATGATCATGTCGGTTCGTACGTAGAGCGGCGAAAAATCGATGAAATTGCTACCGTCAATTCTAACTGCGGTCCACGTGGTGAGATGGCATAATCTACGAAGAATTTTCTAGAAAATTGTAGTCCGTGGTAGTTGGGACAGAATGATCTACGTGACAACACCGATTCATGCGTCTGGCGGCGAAAAAATCCATAGGGTCAAGGCCCGTAGAGTACTAATTGTCTACCACGTGGTGAATCGGCTACACCCCGAAGCAGCTTCAGAAGGATCATTGTGCCCGGAATCATTTGGAAAGAAGATTTAGATGCAGAAAAGCTAAGTTGCGTGACGAGACCATTATGGCCCGAGGTTTAGTACCATATATATGCCGCTGTCTAGGTATGAGGGTTAGATAGTCGCCGATATCTTTCCGGCCAGAGCAAAGGAATTCTGGATAACTTCCAAAATTGAAAGGCAATTTCGGTTCGTAAATCTAGTAGGAGGACAGTAAGGAGATCAATGAATCTTGAGAAAAGGCGTATAAGAAATATTATTCAATAGAAGTCCTATGGTGTATCGCTAATTATGCTACGAGCTTGTAAAACTCGCCAAATCTGCACGTTAAGCAAGCAGTCGCTGTACGAAACATGGAGTCAATATACCATTTGTCAATAGATTTCATAGTCTTGGATAGATCTCAATGGAAACTATGGATCTCCAGAGCAGTATTTGGTCTCTTAGTGTCGCTGATACTTCTTGTGAGTGATGCCTTCCACCTCCTACCTATCTAAACTGGCCCATGACAGTAGTAACAAGAGTAACTGCAGATTCTTTATGGTTCTTCAGTATGCATCCACAGAATTATATTCCACCCTCTCTCAAGAGTCCCTGGTCCATTCCTCGCGAAGTTCACCACTCTGTACTCCGCCTACCATGCGTGGAAAGGCGACATTCACCTAGACATCTATCGCTGTCATCAGAAGTATGGTATGCTTGGCTTTTTGAACAAATTTTTGTTACCTGGAGGATACTGATGCTCTAATTGCGGCAGGTGATTATGTCCGCTATGCCCCAAACCGTGTATTAATCAACAATCTCAGTGCAATGTATGGTATGTCAAGTTTCTATAGCCTCTCTTCTCAAAGTTCCATTTCCTGCAATTGCTGATTTGAACTACCTGAAGATATATACGGCCATGGCTCTAAGGTGAAGAAATATAAAAACTACAAAGTTCTAGCCCAGCAAGCTCCAAACATCTTGACCATTCGCGATAAGCAACAACATGCTCGGAGACGCCGTGTCGTGAGCCAGGCTTTTTCTGAGAGCAGCATACGCAATTTTGAGCCTAAACTTCTCGGAAGACTGAATCGATACTGTGAAGCCGTACGCAATGCTGCAGACCTGTCCAGGGATATGTCGCAAGATTGTAAGAATTGATAACAGGCCTGATTAGAATAGCTGCTAATTGCTGATTCCTTTCTGGAAATATAGTCAGCAACCTCGCATTCGACACCATGACGGCAGTTTCATTCGACATAGACTATAACACAATCAACAATCCTCAATATCGTTACGCTTTAGCCGCTTTGGAGGACTCAAATATTCGACTTAGTGTGCTGCTGCAGGAGCCCAAGTTCGTCATGTTCAACCTGGATCAATGGCTATTCCCTAGCTCTATTGTTGGCCGGAATCGGTTTGTCAAGTTCATTCGCATGCTACTTAAACAAAGACTGCGAGCTCGAGCCGAAGGTGCCATAACTGGAACCGATATTTTTTCTTTCCTTGAGAAATGCAAAGATCCCGACACTGGAAAGGAGCTGACCCCCATGGAACTGAGTACAGAGACAGCTCTGTTTGTTGTAGCGGGTTAGTTGATATGACTAAACTACACGAGCCACTGAATTTGAAAAATTGACCAGATATAGGGTCCGACACCACCGCGTCAACTCTTGCTGCTACAGCACATTACCTCACGGGTTGCTCACCCGCATATCGCCGGGCTGTAGAGGAGGTTCGATCTACCTTTCAGTCTATAGATGAGATTCGCATAGGGCCAAAGCTCAATTCGTGTTCCTTCTTACGCGCCTGTATCGACGAAGCACTTCGACTTTCACCCCCCGGAGGGGCTGCATTGTGGAGGGAGGTTGAGTCCGGGGGAGCTGTAATTGATGGGAACTTTATCCCAGAAGGAACTGAGGTAGCTGTCGGTATTTACAGCATCCATCATAGTGACAGGTACTATGAAGATCCCTTCAAGTACAATCCTGAACGATGGTATCGACCCGCCGACAATGAGTCCCGTCACAAGGACTCCGGACGGCAGGCATATATGCCGTTTTCTATCGGCTCTAGGAGCTGCGTCGGAAAACCGTTGGCGCTTGCTCAGGCGATGCTCACTTTTAGTCGATTGTTGTGGGAATTCGACATTCGTAGGGCAGATGCTGATCCCAACTGGCCGGAACTAAACGTGCAGCCATCTGAGTATACAACAAAAGACCATGTTTCCGCTGTGAAAGAGGGTCCAATTCTGAAGTTCAAGCCCCGATTCCAGTAGGTCGATAAAAAGATCACGATGAATGTGGATGTATTTGACGTGATGGTATTTTAGTTCCTCAATCCTAGCTCCATACTTATACTGGTGATATGTATGTAAATAAAATTAGGAAGATAATCTGCTACGATGATTGATGTCAAATATAGAGAGTAGCACAGAGTAAGATGCCACAGAAGATACTACATGCCGTAAGTACCTCGGTGTTGGATTCTTAGCTTAAAGAGTTTCTCAGAAGTTTGACTGTGCGCAACTTGGGTGAATGAGATTCCAAAACGCAGGACCACCAGAGAAAATTTAGCTATCTAGGTCCTAAGTACGTTATTTTTGAGAAAGATAGGAATCATTAGGTTCAGGGTGAGGTGATGGATACCATGCCTGCGTAGATAGGTATGTGAACGGTGATATTCATTTCAAAAGATCTATTTTAATGTCCATATAACCATATAATAGCGGGCTTATCCATTTTGTCATCCAGAAAATTCAATATTGAACTTCCTAAACTCTCCAACATACATAATATTCTAAGATTGTTTAACTGATTCACCTAGCTAGGTGCGTAGGTAAGAGCGGGTATGCTCTGAGGACAACATGAATTGACTTGGAAGTTGAATCTGTCATTCACCCTTCACTAAGATTGATTATATATCCGCTAATCTCGTAATCCATCCAAAATTATCTTTAATTCTTCCCTTCTGCATGGCCTCAATCGTCCTTCCAAGTTTCGATGCAATTGGGCCGGGCTCAGAGCTTCCATTTCCATAGACAAACTTGTCCGCTGTACTTTTCATCGTGATCGACTTGATTGGCATGACGGTTGCAGCGGTTCCGCATGCAATCACTTCCGAAAACTGGGATAACTCCTCATATTTGACCTAAAACGAGAGCCATACGATTTAGCAATATATATGTTGGATTTGCGTGTGGAGCCCGTTACCAGTCGACGTTCCACCTCCCATCCAAAAGACCTAGCTATTTGCTGAATGCTATCACTTGTAGCGCTAGCAATAATACTCGAGCTCTCAGGAATTATAAGTTTGATCTTTTCGCCCTCATTTTTGATGCCCACAAATGCAGATGTCGAGAACTCGTCGATAGCAGTGTGAGTTTGGCTATCAAGTTGGAGCGTGATGGCAAAGCCTTCGCTCTTCGCTTTCTCTGCCCATTTCATTACAGGAGCATAATTGCCTACCACTTTTGCTGAACCAGTCCCTTTAGGAGCGGCGCGGTCAAATTCTTCCAGGATCAAAGCGTCTAAGGCTTTGATACCGTGGTAAGCAGATGCTGGTGTTACATAGACACAGAAGGTATATTCGTCCGTTGGGCTCAGCAGGATCCGAGGTCCGGAGCCAAAAACAACGGGTCGAATGTATAGCATGCCATCTGAACTGTGAGGTGGGACAAACTCAGCATTGTTGACCACAGCTAGCCGAACACAGCGTAGGAAATGGCTTTCAGGAATTTGAGGAATGGACACCAGTGAAGCAGAGTGCTTCATGCGTAAAGCATGGAATTCAGGCCTGAAGATGTTGATTTCATTGTCATTTGGGCCACGAAACGCTTTGAACAGGGGAAAATATCGGAATTAGTATAATTACCTTCCCCAGGAAACAGAAATCTTGGGAATTTACCTTTGAGGCCCTCAAATGCACCCTGTCCTGTCTCAATCCATTAGTTTCAAGCTGTTTACTTTGCCATGGAAGAGAAAACCAAACCGTAGTTAAAGATTGGTGCGAGCCCATGAACGCGAAGGAAGGGATCTGAGACAAATTCCGGCTTTGACCATTCCCCAGTTTCGCGATTCCAACGTGATTGGACATGGCCGTTGACTTCTGTCAGGGCAGAGAGTCCATTCCATTCTACATTTCAGAGTCAGCAAACTATAATGCGTTTTGAACGTATAATGAAATACTGACCAATGTCTGCTTTCGGCAGCGGAAGTCCCATTGTCGAATAAATATATCCAAATGCGAGAGATGTTGCTCCCCGCTGAGTACCTTCCCACCTCTTAATTAGCGTGCAGTCAAGAAGGACTGAAGATAAAGTGATGATTGATGCAATAACTACTTAGCAGCTTGAATTTGCCAGGTGTAAGCGAATGTGCCGTTGGGCGGCGATTATTTTGTTGTTCGGGTTAGCTTCGGCCTACAAAACTGAGCTCCTAGAACATCAATTATATCCTGCATTAGATCTACGATCTATACCGAGGGTACCAAGTGCCTACGAATACAATTCCGGAGCGCAAGTGCTTAGTGCTAGGCTTAGAAAGTGGTGGACGGTGCCGGACAGTACTCTCACATATGCCGGGGCTATATAGGGGTAAACGCCGATGACCCCCCACGAAGACCCTATAGAGCTCCTCGTGAGTTGGATCCAGTGACATATTGCAAAGTATACATCTACTAAAAGTATTGTCACCGCCCAGTTCTCGAAATTCTGATCAAGTATGGACACATGGGAGCGAACGTAAGATCGTCTACCTAGGCACAAAGTGTGATACAAGAGTTGGCCTGCGGTGATATGATTTGCTGATCGAACTATTTCTTATTCATGGCTAGTACCCAGGTGGCCAATGAAGAAATCTTTAAGATAAATTCTATAGTCTAAAAAGAAGTTCTACTGCGTGGAGAATAACTACCTGTATTCCCGAACTATTTAGGATGTGGGAGTTCGAATCAACTACCTAGGTAGTCCTGGCAATTTAGCTCATGCTGTTTGTCTCTTTATAGCCCGATCAATAACCTCCAATGTCTCCTTGTAGACAAACTCCGGATCTTCAATGTGCGGAAAGTGAGTTTGTCCCCTTGCTTGCACATATGTGAACCATTCTGAATGCGTCTTACGAAATTCCTCGTGCAAATTCCTGTACTCTTCGGTTTTCGGCTGGCTGTACACATGGTGCACCAACGGAGGATCTTTGAGACGCTCAAGACGTTTCAGAGGAGTTCCCCACGTCTTGTAGGCCGCTTCCACAGTTTTCCCAGAAAGTGCCCAAGTCTCGTATCCAAATCCACCGATTGTCTTCAGGAGCTGCTCACGGATGCTGTCGTTTACTTCCCCACCAAGCCAAGATTTGAAAAAGGCAATCGTAGTTTTGCGCCAGGTCTCCTTTCCCTGTAGAGCCTTCAAAGCCCCGTAGAATTGAGGAGTCGCTTCCAGCGAGAGATGATCCAAGATAACAAGTGCTAGCATCCGTTTTGAGCCTACCATCTCAGCCAGGCTCATCGCGGCCCAATTGCCGTGAGAGGCAGCAAGACAAATAAACGTAGTAACCCCCAAGGAGTCTAAGAGACTGATTGCGTCTCGTGCGTGGTCTTCGAAGCTGAAATCACCTTTGAAATCTCGATTCGGACCATGGCTCCGGAAGCACATGTTGATGACTCGATAGTGCTGCATCAAATAGGATGTGACATAGGAGTATCCTCTGTGATCGGAGTTCCACCCCGAGAATGTGAGGATGGCGGGCCCATCATGACAAAATCCGTAATCCGTAAAGGCGATCTCATTGCTGTTGATTGTTTTCGTGTACAAAAAAGAGTCGGCTGTAAGAGTAGATGTTGCCATCCTGAGACCGTGAGCATGTGCGTCTTGATGCCGGTAGTCTTGGTTTAGAAGTGCATCAGGGCCGACTAAACAATTTAAAGATAAGGGTTTGAAGTTTGCGAAGAATCACGTAGCAGGAACAAATAAGGTGATAGGGGTCGCTTTACTGCTGGAAACTTCCGTTTAGGCGCCGGTGCCGGTTAATTCGGAGCATAAGTAAATACTTCGACCACTACTAATATTTGCTTCATCTTACTATTCTTTTCGACAATATTAGCTTTCTTTCAAATGATAAGAGGCTGCCCATGCCTCTATCATACCCTGCCTTGGGTTTCCTCACATTTCCACTGTTCTTTTCCGTATACTCAGTTAGGGTTGCGAATAGCCGGTCAACCATGATCCCCCTAACACTCAACAGTACGCTGTTCGGCATTGTGTTGACTATAGCAATTGTAGTCACATACTTAAAAATTTCTGTGATTGCGACATGGATTATTGATGTAAGTAACAGCATACGGATGGAATCAGTTTCCACATTAGATTGTAGACTAACGATATTCAATGATATAAGAAACTACTAAGTACCTTCAATGGAGGTGTCCTGAGCTATGGAGTTCCAATTAGAGGCCCAAAATGGCAATGGCCGAACGGACAATTTTCCGATAAGTTCATGAATGGCAAAGCAAGGTCGGAGGAATGGCAGCAGTATGGTCCTGTTTACCGTGTTTGGGCAGGACCAAGGCCTGAGATGTACGTATTAGCCCTTACTGACGGCAACAATAATTGTGGAAGCGGTTGATGAAAATCATACTGAAACCGGGCTTCGATTACCAGTGTCCTGACAACCCCGGAGGACATTCGAACCTTTCACACGGACTCCGACAAGCATGGAAAGCCACTAAATGGGAACTTTGGCTGGTACTTTGGCCAGCTGCTTGGCCGCTGCGTCGGTCTTCTCGAGTTCGATGAGTGGAGAAAGATGCGACAAGTCGTTGATCCGGCTTTCAAGCACTCCTCTGTTGTGAACCGGATAGACCAGACCAACAGCAGCGCTCAGAGTTTCGTGGAGAACTTGAGGACTTTCGCTATTGAGGGTAAGAACCTAGGAGTGAATGATAGATTCACCATCCATGCGGCTACCGCTTTCATGAAGTTTCCCTTCTACTTTACGGCCGAGGTCGTATACGGTACGATGAGCAACGAGGAGAAGAATGAGCTCTGGGTCCTAGCTGAGAAGCGACTGGCCTTGCTCCCCTGGTTTTTTAAGGGAGGTGTCTATCGCACCATCTATATGAAGTACTGGGATCGCCCCGCTTATAATCAGCTCATGGACTTCGTGAAGCACTGGGCCGATTTTAATAGTCGTATTGCCAACATCCGACGAAAGCAAAATAGGGAGGTTCCCATTGTTTCGTACTGGGATGAATACGAGAAGGGGAATATAGCAATGGAACAGGTGATTATCCAGAGTCCAACTCAAAGTCTTCCCTTCTGACTGTAGCTAGGTCACCCATACTCTGGACGAGATGCTCTTCGCAAATCTTGATGTAACCACACATGTCTTAACTTGGGCGATCACCCTAGTAGCCGACCACGAAGCAGAGAAAGATAAACTGAGGGCTGAGATTGCAGCGAATAATGAAAATCTCGAGCAGTATATCGCCAAGACTGACACCCATCTTCATCGATGCTACTATGAGTCGCTCCGCCTGCGACCACTGGCATGTAAGTATAGACCTCAATTGAAAAGTCTTCTTACAATCATTTCTCATTATCAAACCCACTCCAATTATGAGGTTCAAGATTAACTGGGCAATAGTATTCAGTATTGGGGAGAGCGCAGAAACGGTGAAGAATTTCCGCGGTATTCTTGTCAAGCCCAAGGTAAGCGATGCTGTCCTACAGAATCAATAGTTCGCTAATGGAGAGGAAATCCTGTATAGACAATGGTTTTAGTCGACACATTGTCCATAAACGTGCGAAATCCTTTCTGGGCCCCGGACAGCAACAGGTATAATCCAGATCGATTCAAGAATATAAAACAAACCGATGTAAGTTACCTACTATATACACTCGAATGAATTTGCTACTCGAGATAGCTGACTTTTCTGTACTTTGTCAAAGCTACGATACAATCTTTATGTATTTGGTTTTGGCCACAGGAAATGTCTTGGACAATATCTCGCCGGTCATATGGTCAAGGCAATAATGGTCCACCTCTTCGCCCAGCATGAAGTTATCATAAAGAATGGAAGGAGCGGCAAAGATGACTACATGATTGATAAAAACACCTGGGTTCCGGTGGCCAATGTCACTATTGAATTGAGCAAACTTCAATAGAACTGCACTCGCGGTATTTTCCCGTCCACAATGTCAGTAGCTATTTATGAAGGGGCGGAAGACCGAGTGATACGATATACTTGGTGCAACTAACTACTCTTTTGGTTGATTATTTAAGTTGAAAGTGATTATTTTAAACACTCTACTGGATGTGTTTCAGTAGTTCCTGATTCCTTGTTTTCTTCATTTTCTTGCATTAGGCTCTTGTACAGCAATAAAACATTGCAGCCCGGTTTCCAATAGAACTGACCACCATTGAAGTCTAAAACCCATGGGGAGATAAACTAGTATCACTGCTTTCTTCATATCTACTCTGTGCCTGAAGGTTGCTGTTTCATGGGGCCATGGGCAGACGCCTTTGACGGGTACAGACCATGAATGGCCGAGATTACGGAAATTAAATGGACTCCATTTCGGTGGAGGAATTAAAATAACTTTCAACTGTCATTGGCAACCCCCACACATAATTAATCAGGATGGGCGTCTGTGACCTCTGGGATAATAAGGCGGAGTTAGAATTGATAACTGTGACGGCTAAACGCTAACGTACCACTTCCACGGGCTTGGCGCAGCACGCCCTTTACTGATTGGGAATCCTTGTATGGAGATCTGTGTCAATAAGTGAGATGTCAATTCGGCATTGTTCTTTGCTTTTGATATGTATCGACTCTCATATTGGGACACCGGCTAGGCGACGGAGATTTATTTGTATGAGACGGGCAGCACCGTCAAGGAGTGAGGATGAAGGCCAATAAAAACGGGCTGTTTCCCTTGATAGATAGTTTCCCTCTTCATACTTAGTTTCTTCGTCGACACATCACCCTAGGAATAGAAATACTATCTATTTGGATTGGCTCCTCGTCACAATAACTAGGAAACGTGAAACTGGCGAGGGGGTCACAGAGTCGCCTTAAAGCTTATCGCTATAAAACAACAACCAGCGAAGCTTATTTTCCTCTCAGTTAAGGACAGGTGCAAATGGATCTATCGTTAGACAACAATGGTGATGCTGTCGTGCCATCAAAGCCCCTCCCAATGACAAGTATGCACGGATCTAGTGAGCTCGTTCGCTGGTGGGAGAATTGAGTGCTAATGGAAAAGAGGATGCCATATTCAATCATTGATAGTGAAAACAGAAGTCAATGAAATATTCTTCATGTGTACAGTGTATGCTTGAGAGTCGCATTGGGGACCAGATTGGGATTTCGTCACGAAGCATTTGCTCTCGTTGACGGGATTAGGGCTAGGGCTAAGTACGTCTTGGCCCTAACCCAGAGAAATTGCCTAGACAGGAAAATCCGCTATTTCCTGTTTTTCGACATGATTCTAGTCACGGAAAAGTCTCTTATCTTCATAGAATTTGGCAGAAGAGATGCGATTCACTGGAGATGATCATAATTCTCTTTTGTTTCGCGAGAGCGCATATTGATGCCTATGTACCTCATAGTACGGAACGTCCCTTTATATAAGGCATTTAGTATTCATGATACCTGAGTGTAACATCGAATATGACTTAATGTCATTCTAGATTTGGAGATATTTATCCATTATGTAAGGCATCTTTATACAATCACGTAGCCCTGATCTTTTTCTGGCCACAGGAATCCGTATGTCTGGAGTGTTTTCGGTAGCATATAATTGTCAATCTTCTTGTCGGAGAAAGGATGTATCAAAATTCTTTGGTACCCACGTGGAAAATGCACAATAGATGCAGGAGGTTTAAATTTGAAAAAGAGAAAACGAATAAACATTTGAAACATCCTTGCTCCCATGAAACAGCCCCAAAAGGAGTAAGAGTCACAAAAAGACTAGAAAGAGACGTCCGTAAACCAAAAATTTCATGCCGACGTTATTGGATTCCTTTGGTGGCTGTTAGGATCGCTTGTCGCTAGTACGCTCAAATCATGTCATTGTTACCTTGCCGGCCTTCAGTATCTTTCTGGCAGAAATTGAAGTGATTATAAAACTCCAATAAAACGCTGCCACGGAAATTATCGTACCCGAATATAAACGTGTATCGAGACGGCATCATGTATCAAAGCTCAAGCCACTGGACTGGCATCCTCCACTTTGCGCTCATGTTTTTCGATAACACCTTGATTGGTAGCCTGGTCCTGGTCAATACTATAGCTCCTCGTAAGCAGGCTCACCAGGAGAGTGGCTCCTGACAGGCCGCAGCATACCGCCCATACGATCCGAAGACTGTCTGTATAAGCCTGCTGGATATCTAATTTGTCTTGATTATATGACATGGCTTTGATGATCTGGACCAGTCCAGTGGCATCGGCAGCATATTCTTGGGCATGGGGAGCGAGAGAGGGATAATCTCTTAAGTTTTTGACCATTTGATTCTGGAAGACGGCGCCTCCAATGGCGACTCCAATGGCCTGGCCCAAGGACCGGAAGAAACTGAACATAGCCAGAGCCATAGGCACATTCTCGCGTGAGACTGAGGCTTGGATTGCAGAAGCTATGGATGGAAAGATAAATCCCAGGCCAATACCGGAAATAAGATTCAAGAAAACCCACTTCACAATGCTCGTATGGACCTCAAGGAGACACATGATGCCGAGACCAAGCGTAGCAATAGACCAACCAGACCAGATGGCCCAACGATATTTGCCAAACTTGGTGATCAATACACCGGCAACAATGCCAGCTGGAGCCACAGTAAATGTCAGAGGAAACATCGCAACACCAGTCACGACGGGACTATATTCTTTGACAGCCTCGAAGTATAGCGGCATATAGTAGACGATGCACCAGACCAGTAAACCAGAGGAAATCGCACCAGTAAAAGACACAGTCGTCGTTCGGTTTCTGAAGAGAGCTACCGGGATGATAAGGGCGGACGTGACATAGGCCTCATAGACCCCAAACCCAAGGCATCCCACGACTCCGATGATTAGAGGTACGAGAGTTCTCCATGAATTCCAGTCATACATAACGCCTCCCCAGGATAATGGAATAAGGAATGATGTCGTGCTGCCGATGAAAATAACAGTGCCAATATAGTCAATCCGACGCAGCTTCTCAGATAGGGATGTTGGTATGAAGTGCAATCTCAAGAAGAAAATCACGCAGACAATACCAATTCCGATGAATGGGAAGTTTATATAGAAGACCCATCGCTTCACATCGTCACGATTAGTGTGATGTTGATGACAAGATCCAGAGTTGACCGGAGAAACCTTACCCAATTAGCACTGGCAAAGGCACCACCTATGATCGGGCCACAGACAGAGCCGATGCTCCATGTGCCGTTCATGATTCCGTAATATTGACCACGTTGCCGCAATGGGACCAGGTCGGCGATTAGGACCTCCGTAATAGCGGAGATACCACCACCTCCCATTCCTTGGATGCATCGGCCCACTAGTAGCTGGCCAGCATTCTGAGATACGCCAGCGACGATAGCTCCGACGAGGAAAAAGAGTATGGCAATTGAGAAAAGAGGACGGCGTCCAAAGATCTCAGAGAAAGAGACAAAAGTCGGTTGAAATACTAGGATGCGATACTCTTAGCATGCCAAATATCGACGGGTGGCCTGAGCCCGCTTACCAGTTGAACATAAAAGGAAGCCTGTGCCAGCCCAAAAAGTCTCGATTGCTGATGAATTGATGGTTCTGGAGATGAACTAAAGCAAATTTGTTAGCAATCTCAAGGCACATCTTCTGACACAGCTTTCGGTCTTGTGAGACTTACAGGCAAGACAACTCCGATAGACGTGCTGTCAAGGGCAACCATGAGGGTCAAGACGCAAATAGTGACGAAAATTAGCAGGCCACGCTTCGAGATTTTCCACGGCTGTTTCATTTCATCATGATCGTTAAAGTTTTCATTTTCGCTATTGCGAGACTGGTTCAAAGGTTTTTCGTTTGACATATTGGCTGCCGGCGCTGGAATGTTGTCGAAATATGGGAAGCAACGAGAAATTAAGATGGAAAAGGTTGAAATTATAAATATAAATTTGAAGCCAGCCTAGGGAGCCAACATCACAGGACCAGATTGCGCATTGTTGGTATCTATAACTATATGTTAGAAGCACAAGTTACGTGAAGGAGAAGAAAATGAAAAATGCTTCGCGGCCCCTTTGTTCGCTCGAAATATCTACCTATGGGCCCCTGTTCGATATGCAGGTCATGCAGCTATCGAGAACTTTCCAGCTGGGGTGCTACTTTAGCCTAACCAGGACTTTGTTAGCATTCATTAGTCCCTTTTTCGCTAATCTCTTCACCTCCGTGTTAGCAAATTGTTGGCGCTTCACTGCCAGGATCAGGTATTTTTAACCGCATACAAGCTGATAAAATACACAAAAATTGCGTAACATGGTATTGATGCATTTGCCTAATTAGGTATATTATTCCTAATTCGGCAGTTTCTTAAATTAAATTACCAGGATATCTCATGAAATTACCGAGCAATTCGAAGCCTGCAAAGGAATCATCGACCTCTGGTTCTTGTGCAGTGCCAAAGCCTCTCTTGCTTTCTTTTGAATGCACGAAAATGGGCTTAATTACTTGGGCTAGTCTAGTATGGATCACCGTAAATTTTTCGTGGTTGGTAAAAGAGATATAACACCGGCGATTAAGTCGTCGATAATGGCCGAACGGCGCTTAAAAATTGGCAACATACCAACCTTGAGAAGCAGTCTTAGAGGAGCGGAGAATATATCCAAGTACTGTATTTTGATCCGAGACATAGTCTCCGGCCAATAACGAATAATATGCAAAATTGTTCCTGGATGCAACCGAACTTAGCGCCATCCATCACAAAGAGGCAAGATTGAGCTCTATGCCATCTGCAGTTTGTCGCCGGGCAGTGTAGGTATATACCGTGAATATACTTTCCAAGTACTTTATCAGGTCGGCCTATGTTTGTTACGTCGTTCAAAATGGACTCTTCAACATCTCGAGTAAAAGGACCGAGGAGCAATCTGGTTGAACATTCAGGCACCGTAGGTGCATAGTAGCCATTTCACAATAAAATTGGAAGTAAGCTTCATAAGAATCTCGTTTCATCACTTGAAGAGACACGTTCTCTTGTATGCCAAGATGCAAACAAGAACAACCATCTCCTCATTCACCATGATGTCCATCGCTCCTAATGGTACTGCGAGACAGTGCAAAACAGTATGTGATAAGATAGAGCAGTGGGCAGTACTGCAGCCAGATCATATCGCCATATCATTTGGAGATAGGAAAGTCTCATATTCCGAGCTTGATAATTCAGCGTCTCACATTGCCTGGCTGCTATCTCAGCGTAACATCGGAAAGGGTGATCGAGTTCCTGTTTTGGCACAGCGAAGTCCTGAAATGGTAGCATGCTTCCTGGGAGTTCTAAAATCGGGAGCCTTATACGTCCCCATCGACACGGAATCCTGGAGCCGGGATCGTATTCAATGGACTTTGAAGAAAGTATCTGCTCGAGTAATTCTGAACACCACCACGGATCATTTCCCCGAGTACGAAGAGATCTCACATGACATGATAGACTCTGCGTTCTCACCGACGGAAGAGCTGACTGCGAGGAGGAAAGCTGATCAGAAATTCCATCGTCCCTGGGAACGCATTCAACCTGATGATCTAGCGTATATCATCTTCACGTCAGGTACCACCTCAACCCCAAAAGGTGTTATGATCCCACATAGCTGTGTACTCAACTATGTTGAGCAAGGAGGCCCAGAGACTCCCTTTAATCTCAATGCTACGCCTGAAGACCGAGTTATGCTAATTTTCTCACCTGGATTTGACGGTATGATACCTGCTTTCTTTATCAACCTTCCCTATCACTAACGATTCAACTAGCATGCACTGGAGTCATTGTTTCAACCCTCTGCAATGGAGCAGAGTTGCAAATAGCCACAACGTCGGACTTCCTCTATACGGTAACGCTATGCACAACGATGGTTTGCACACCATCAGTGTTGAACACTATTCAAGATCCAAAAACGTGTTCAAAGCTAAGGACCATCGTGCTCGGCGGTGAAGCTCCACCTATCTCTCTAGTTCGCAGATGGGCCACAACCTTACCGACATGCACACTCTATAACTTTTACGGGCCCACGGAGACAACTTTCGCTTCTCTCGTTGCTAGACTTCACCCGGATAAGCCCATTGTCTTAGGACGGCCTATGTCTAACAGTCGAGTATTTTTACTCGATGGGGAGAGAGAAGCGAATTATGGAGAGATTTGTCTCGCGGGCCCGGGCTTGGGAAAGGGTTATTTCCAGAACGAATCATTAACCAATGAGAAATTTGTACACTGGCGAGGCGAGAGGATATACCGCACTGGGGACTTTGCGAGGAAGACAGAGCACGGGCTTGAGTTTGCCGGCCGAAAAGACAGCTTCGTTAAAAATCGCGGATTTCTCGTAAACCTCGAATCGCAGGTCATCCCTATATTGTACGACGACCCAGTCATCATAGCTGCTACAGCCTTCATGCACCGTGGACGCTTGGTCGCATTTGTTACTCCGGATGGAATTGACACCGCGTCTCTCCGAGAGAGACTGGCATCTCAACACGATTCCTTCGTGGTACCTGACATGATTCGAGCACTCGAATTCCTACCACTCACTGCAAATGGTAAGGCCAATAATAGGGCCTTGGAGCAGCTGCTAGACTCTGAAACATCAGAAACAAATCATACAGACACCACTGAGTTTATCCAAAAGGATGCGTCGGTGATAGATATTCTCAAGGGCGCAATATCTCACAGCCTGCATCTACCGATATCAAACATCGACGAGAGTCATTCGTTCCGGGAGATGGGAGGTAATTCGCTAGCAGGACTGAAAGTTCTTTCATTCCTTCAAACTAAAGGACTCAAGCTACGGCTCATACACCTCTTTGACTTACCAAGTCTCTCCTCGGTTTGCGAAGTTATTGAGCACTCTACAGATAGCCAAATTGCGCCAGCAAACCTTGATCCCAATACTATAGCCCATCTAACTACTGGTCCAATGACATCTATTCAGACTAAGATGGTTCAAGCTGGTCTCAAAAACCCAACGGTGAACTACATACTCTTGCGGATTACTTTTCCTCACCCAGGAACCACACTTAACGCCCAAAAGTTGAAAGACTCCTGGTACCGAGTTATGCAGAGACACTCTATCTTTAGAACTACTTTTGTTCTAAAGGAAGGGTTACAAATTGTCAACCCTAGCTTAAATATTACATGGGACAGTGAGGAGACAAGTGAAGAACAGCGAGAACGCCTTATCGAGTTTCGCTCTCGAGAGCTGCGCGAAAGAATCTCGTGGCTTCGGCAAAACGAAACATTTACTCCAGTGCAGGCATGCAACTTCATCACTGTACCTGCCAAATCATCAACACTACTTGTTCTTGTTCACCATATACAAGCAGATGGCTGGTCATTCAGTATAATTCTGGATGAGCTCCGTTCTGCGCTGGACGACAACGACTTGGAAGATCCTCCGCGGTATATGCACGTCGCTATCGCTCAAAAGAGGTTAGAAGACGACGTCCAAGGAAAGGCTTTCTGGTCTCAAATGCTTGAAAACCTACCTGATCAACCGAATATTACTCTCTTACCCCCATCCATCAATAACAAGGACACCTATTGGAGTTCAAGCATAAAGCTTGAATTGGACATGAAACCTGAGGAACTAGAGACCGCGGCGAGACTGAGAAATGTCACGGCAGCTACGCTTGTTTACTGCGCTTGGGGTCTGGTCTTGTCTAATTACCTATCCATGGACAATGTATCTTTTGGGGTCGTGTTCTCTGGTAGGAATATTGTCATACCGGGCGTGGATAAAGTAGTTGGTCCGCTACTGAATACATGTCCTTTTGTATTAGACTTGGGCCACGATGAGACCATTGACGGACTGTTGTCGCAGGCTCAGAACCGTTTGCTCCACATGATGGAGTATCAATGGTCCGCAGATGAGGCTCTGACCAAGATTCCCGCTAGTCGTATTGCGAACATATTTCAGACTGTTGTTGTGGTAGAGTACGATTTGCCGACTGTGGACCAACCATGCAGCACACTACCGATCCCATGGGTGATTGAAAGAGAGGACAAGATGGAATTTGATATCTCTTTGCTTCTCGAAAGAGAAAAAGATGACCTCCGAGCTCGCATTTTATTTGATGGCTCGCAGTTCGCTGAATCGAGCATCAGAGGCATATTGAGCCACTTCCGCAACGCATTGCAAAAGCTTCTTCAATCTCATAATAGCTCCGTTCAAAGTGTTCGCGAAGGAATTATTACTGGAAAAGAAAGAAATTACCTCTTGACCGCAGCTAATCAGACCGTGGAATACACAGGCTATCCTACACTCAAAGATGCTTTTGAAGCTGCAGCAACTCAATGGCCGGATCTGATGGCCGTTGAATCAACAAGTGGTTCAATAACCTATCAACAACTTAATATCGCAGCTGACAGCCTAGCAAACCATATAAGATCTCTCATCGACCCGAAAACTGTCGTGGGTATTCTTACTGACGGTTCACTCTACTGGATTGTGTCAATCTTGGCGGTCCTCAAGGCAGGCTGCATTTGCTGTCCAATAGACATTAACCTACCAAAGACGCGCATTGATACTATCATTTCTCAGAGCGGTGCTCGCCTCTTTGTAGCTTCAAACCGACGTTGCACTACAGTCGTTCCCAACGGTCATGATAATGTTGTCATATGCGAGGAGTTCTTGGGGGTTTCCGAGAGATCAAATTCGCAACTTCCCACGGTCTCACGAGCTAGGGATGTCGTCTATCTTGTATTCACATCCGGCAGCACAGGAACTCCCAAAGGTTTATCTAACATGCTTAATTCTTTTAGTTTCTCAGACAGCTAATCATGGCATTATTCAGGAGTCGCGCTTCACAACCAGAGCATTCTCATGGCCATTGACTCTGAACCCGTTCGGCTGTTCACTACGCCAGGGCGCCGAAATGCTCAAGTTTACTCTTTGGGTGAGTCCCCACCGTTGTTACGTAGAATCAACAAGAAAGTGAGCTCTTCTAATAATATCAAGGGTTTGACGTGGTCACGGTCGAAATATTTGGGACGCTATGCTACGGAGGAACATTGGTTCTAAAAGACCCTAATGATCCTCTCGGTCATCTCAAAAGTGTCCATGCCGCCTACTCTACGCCTTCACTGTTAGCCTCCTTTTCACCCGATGATTTTTTTGGCCTCGATACTATCAATTTGGCTGGAGAGCCGGTGCCGCAAAGCATCGCGGACACCTGGTCTTATAAACGTCTATCCAACGGCTATGGTCCGAGTGAAGTGAGTTATTCTATCAAATGATCTCAAGTTTAAGAAAGGAACAATAGAGCTAACTTTTTTTTCTCTCCTAAACTTAGTGTGGCCCGATATCGACATTTGCTAGGCTTCTCCCAGGAAAGAAAGTCACAATTGGCAAGGCGGTACCACACCTCAACGTCTACCTGCTCGACCATCGACAATGCTTGGTAGCATTAGGTGTTATTGGGGAGATATATCTCTCGGGTCCCCAAGTAACAGATGGATACTGGAATTTACCGGACCAAACCAAAAAGTGTTTTTTGCCCAATCCATTTTCACCAGGCCAATTAATGTACAAGACTGGTGATCTGGGCCTGTGGACTGAAGACATGTCACTGGCCTATATGGGACGTATCGACAACCAGGTCAAAGTTCGTGGGTTCCGTATCGAGCTGGAAGAAATCGACCGCGCCCTTGTGCTCGCAAATCCCTCCATTCAACGAGCCGCTGCGATTGTGGCTGACCACATCCGGATTGTTGCTTTTGTTACACCTAGCAATATTGATACCTTGGCCGTCATCGCAAGACTCAGAGACTTGCTACCAGCTTATACCCGCCCCAGCCAGATCATAGCCCTGGACACACTGCCGCAGTCCGCCAATCTCAAGATCGACCGAAAGGCTCTTCAAGCCCTCGCTTCAGAATTCAAAGATCAGGGCGATCCTCCTTCCACTTCAACGGAGTGCCTGGTGGCTGAAGTATGGCATTCCGTCTTGGGCAGGCAGGAAGGCCGTCGGATAAACAAACATGATGATTTCCTCGGTATTGGAGGAAACTCTCTATTGGCAATTAAAGCTGCCCGTTTGATATCAGAATCCATCGGTTACCGTATCCCAGTGCCACTGATACTTCGAGAAACTGTTCTTTCCAGTCTCGCAAAGGCGATTGACAATTATTCACATGTTGAAGAATCGGAAAACAATAATGCTCAATCATTCAAGTCCTACATCGCCAACCTCAAAACTCCAGTTGATCTTGCGTCTTTGCATCCTCTTTCGGAGCTAGAGGAAGAGCTATACGTTTGGCACATGATATCAGAGAACAAATCCCTGCTGAATACTGCATTCCGCTTTGAACTTGACGGAGTTATCGATATCGAAATTCTCAGACACTCCTTAGTTTCGGTAATTCGTCAAAATCCAATCTTGCGGGCTCGTTATCTCTCACAAGGTGATGGAGTTGTTCGCCGCATTTCTGGGGCCATCTCCGCGCCTCTCATGTTCGTTGGCAATGCACTCGACATACATAAACTTCAGTCACTTGTGAATCAGCCTTTCGACTTGTCTCAAGATCAATTGATTCGGGTTATTATCTGGGAGCGTACTGGAGTCTCGACCTCATTGATTCTCGTTGTTCACCATATAGTGATTGATAAACATTCCCTGAGCGTTCTCCTCAAGTCAATAAGCGATCAATACGGGGCGAAGCTTGGACTTATTCGCGAAAAGCAAACTGAGAGACATCTCCCTAAGATCACTTACCTTGACTGGGTACAATGGCGGCAGCAGAGACCTTGTACTGTATCCCTAAATCAGAAGAAGCTGGATTTCTGGAAGGAAAAAATGGATAAACTCACGACGATATCAACACTTAGACAAGGTTGTATATTAGGTCTCGAGTTGGGCTCATATGAATCGCTCTTGATACCGTATACAGGAGTCACGCACGTGTCCCAGCGCATAGTACTTGCTGCGACCGCACTGACGCTCCAAGCAGTCTACGGTCACAGTGATGTTACATTGGGTATCCCGTATGCGAACAGAGATGAGCCTGGTGCTTCTGACCTCATTGGTCTTTTCTTGGACAGACTACCCATCAGGTTGTCACTCAAAAGCGCCAATATTTCCACTAGTGACAAGCTATTGCAGCATGTTATTGATGAGATAAATATGGCAGTCGAGCACCAACTACCTTATTCTCAAATACTTGCAGCGGCTGGCAAAAATGGAAAACCTCTTTTCGATGTTATGGTCATTTATCATTGGCGTTCTGATGCGCTGGACATGTCCTTGAATCTACCAGGAGTCAAGGTCTCAAGCACCCCAATCCGAGCTAGAGGCGCCAAATTTCCGCTTCAGCTAGAGTTCACTGAGACAGATGAAGGATTGCATTGTGGGCTTGAATATAATAGCCGGGTTACTTCCCCATCGCAAATCCTCACAATAATGTCATTCCTATCTACTGCTATTCATGGTCTAGCATGCCAACGCACAATAGCAGACATTCTCTCCGAATTTGAAATCCACAAATATGATACCAGACAAACCATCAGCCTGGCATACAAGAACAAGATAGACAAAGTCCGGGAAGCGTTCTCTGCGACTCTCACTATGCCAATTGATGATATCAAACCTGACACATCATTCTTTGATGTCGGTGGGACCTCCATGACTGCATTCCGATTACACCACCGTTTAGAAGAGCTCGGTTTGCATGGATATCTTCGGGATATATTGCACGGGCCGACACCCGAGAAAATTGCCTGGATGTTCTATGACAATCTGGGGAGCATCTAGACAGTTTGGAGACTTTTCTTTAGTTCAAATGCTTTGCTATCCTTACTTAACTACAGTTTCAGTATCTTATTTACTTCCAAAGTTTATCTTCTAAAAATAGCACAGTAGCTTGAGTTATTGCCATGTATATAACTCCACGAATCTCAGCTCCCCATATGATGCTGGCATGAGTCACATTCAGCACATTCATTAGGCGAGTCAGATAGATGAAATACCTAGGTAAGGATTTTATTGGTTTCTTGAAATTTAAATTCCTTAATTTTACAGCTATTCAGCTAATAAAACGTATTACCAAGAATTTTAAATGCCTTGTCAGCCTGGAACTGAGCAGCGTAATTCTGTACCATGGAGGGTGTGATTTGAATGATCAATGTCCATAGTATGGTACTGAAAATTATGACTCGTCCAAGTCACATATTGTCTGGTCCTTATTTTCAATGTCAGTGATGGGAAAGGTTTTATTGAAGAGGATCAGTTTGTCATCTTTCATAGGCTCTGCAATCCTGTCACATAACTGCCTCTGGGTAATGAAATAGTCATCTAATGCGAATTTTGAATCTTTTTATTTGGGGCATTAACAGATTATTATTTATTAAAAAATGAATAAAGTCTACCCGTACTGTAGTACTGTATTAGCCTTCTATGGTTGTATGGTCTTGCTTTTCACCCGATGTACAACCTCCCTTACCGAAAAGACGAGCCGTTGTAAGGCAAACTCCAATGTTCCCGCATCCATTAACTGGTATGGAACGGTGTTGTTATTTGCCATGTGGGAAATATGAGTAACCCGTTGACGCAGCTTGTCTGTAATGGAACTGCTCCTGGCCAAAACCCTGTTGACCAGCATTGTTTTTACCATGTCGCTCTCCTCACCAGACATCTTCCACTTGCCGAAGACTACAGTTGGGGTATTTGAGTTATCTCCACAATGATGCTGCTCCAACATAGCCCAGTTAAACACTGTCTGTAACAGTATCATTATCAAGAGGAGCACCTTGGAGTCAATCCCGCACTGTTGACAGTCAAGTACGCTCGCGGCGATGTCCAGGATGTGGCTTGTTTTAGAGAAAATGGCGTCTAGGGAAATCCAGGCATGCCTGCGTTCCATGGTGTTTAAAATGCACAGCTGCTCTGTCAATATCCGTAAACACTCGCAGGAATTCCCGGATTCGTCATCATCACTGGACGACAGATCAAGCGTCTGTATTAGGGGCCTTTTTCCTGCATCAGATATTTTCGTAACCTGAGGTGGTATCTGATCCCTGGACGTATCGGTCGATCGAAGGGTTATGACAGGCTGATTACTCCGTTGCCCTGTTTTCCTTCTTTCAAGGGTAGAAATATCGGATGATTTGGAACTGCCCGGTGAGGAGTGGCGTACGTCTACAAGAAGAGATAAGCTATTTGATGCAATCACGAAGATAAAATCATCCTCACCTGACGGGTTTCCAGAATCTGTGAAAATCGATGCCAAAGGCTGCGAGTCAAGATTCAGCTCTCGACTCTTTTCGGCAACGATATTGATTCCTTATCTACGTTGCATGCATGCCTACATACCTTTTGAAGGCCTTCATCTATTGGAAGGGAGCTGAGGAATGCATCCAAGCCGAATGTGCTCGGAATGCTCGGTATGTCGAGACCCAAGTCAATATCAGAATCAATACCGGTGCATGTAGAGGAGAGAGCTGGCCAATTCATCCATTGCGTGATAGACGCCGGCGTACTAGCAGAGCCAGTAAGATCTTGCTCAAGCTCAATGTCCTGGCCTCGAGATTGCTGCGACTCAGAAGACGAGGTGGTGTCTCTGTTGTTCTGCGCCATTTGATTGAGCCTCTCAAGCGTTTTCTTGTTACGAGTGCCCTTGGGCTTGCCTAGTTTGGCCATATAGCTATATATGCATTCAATATTGCTTTAGGTAGTTAGTATATTTCCGCGAAAGGACACCTCGTGCGCATCATACCTGTGACTGCACTTCTCGCATGGTTTACCTCCTGTGCAGCGTGTTTTGACTCGATGGCAGTTGTTACAGGCCAAGCGCAGCCGCTTGGACTGGGATTGCTGCTGATTTTGTGAATCCTTACTCAAGTTTTGATCCATGTAAGTATTAGGGCTTGGTTTTCATATAGACATCTCCTAATCACCCTCCAAGTCTCTGTTTTAGCATTCATGAGTCGCGGGACGAGGCATAAGACATTAAGTATGATTTACCCTGTTGAGATGTACTTTGACACCGGTTGAGAAAGCCAGTTGTTTGTCCAGAACTTTCCAAAGTTCCAAGCAAGGTTCTTCGAACTAATGTGAGAACCTCCGCATGATTGCAGTAGATAGCTTGAATACTCAGCCCCCAGGTTTCGTAATGGAAATTCAAGTGTCAAATTGACTTGATGACACCTGATGTGTACCACTCGAAATTTCACGCATAAATGAGACTATTCTCTTTGCGTCTTATAATTGGAGGGTTATCTCCGGAAGTTGGGGGCGATAAACCTTGGAAACCAGATAGTATGGATAAATAATGAAAACGGTACCTTGTAGACTGTACCTAGGTGGGAGTGGTGAACATCTTTGTATGAAGCCCCGTCGGATTTCGTATTCGTGGCTAGGTCTACGCACACACGAGTCAGGAAGTGAGCCGCCGAGGTCATCAGCCTTTGAAGGCTAGCGGAGTCTGCGGGGATAGATGCTGTCTTCAGCCGTGCTAGCAAAGAAAGGACGCGCTGTTAGCCTGTTAGTAGAGATATGCGTCTGACAGGGTGCAAACTAGCCATCTGGGTCTACATGAACTCGTAAGCTAAAATCACCTCAAAGATGATCTTCAAGGGGATATACGACATGAAAAACAAACCACATTCGGATTCTGGATTTTGGAAGAAAGTAAGGCAAACCAGAGCGTGACTATATCTTTTCAAGGATATTGTGAGAGATTTTATTGATTGAGGGCTTGTTGGCAACTTGACTGGAAATATACGAATTCTGCATAGGTACATACAAGCCCTGATCGAAATGCCACCAAATATATTTGCATTAGGATTTCAAGAATACTCGGATAATACGGCTCTCACTGCATGATTTAAAGTAGATTGATGTGTTTCACTGTAGGATTATTGATACGTCATGCGTAAGCACTAGCTATACTAGTTACATATCGTGCTGGTACTAACCAACTAGGCCAATGGCCTGAAGCTATTCATAAGTGTTGTCGGACCAGGGTAAGTACAACAAATAAAGATTCTGCAGAGGGAAAACCAACATGAGCACTACACAAGACGAAATACTTCTGGTTATGTGCACATTCAAATTACATGCACATTCAAACGCATGTACATCTTTACTTGGTTAATAACTGGCGCACGTAGGAGGGTTTTACTGAAGTTTGAATCACTGAGAAAGGTGGCCCATCAGCTATTCATCAGTTGCTCATCATGATCTTCCCGTCTGGGTCCGGATCGGTCCACTTGAAGGTTATTGCTGCAACTAGCTGGTACGCTTCCATTAGAACTTGAACTACAATGCCACATGCTCTTCGTGGACCCTTAACATACTATAATTCGACGCGTGCTCTCCGCTCCTTGCTGGTCTGCCTGGGAGGATAAACCAGCTTTTTTACCGATTTACGTGCCGATTTTTAAGAGCGGCCGTTATCACGATGTGCTCTCTCATATATGCAGGTTTCCCTGTTGGGGCGGACTGTCTTATGAGTGATTTTATTCTCCGAGCCTTCAATATGGATGCAGGAACAACGAGCAGAATGCGCCGTCAGTGGTCTCTCAACCACCGGAAACTGCGCCTGTTTTAAAGCCGAGACGTACTGGTTCTACCTGATAAAGTAGTAGACTATTTCCAGACCTAGAAGAAGCTTCCTTAGCTTTTCAACTACTTCAATAGCCATTCCAAATCTAGGTTTCTTCAGGGGCTCAGGGATTTCTCGAAATTTCTACCCTTCGCATACTACGGTAGCCTCGTACCTGGAAATTGTACCATCTCGGCTTACCGTCTCGGGGCGGATTTAAACCTTTGATGTTACTATGCCAGGCAGAATCAAACAATGAATTTCTCTCTCTTCGAGCGGAAACAGTGGCCTCCGTCCTGGTTTACATCTGGGAGCCATGTAGGATGGCTAATATTACTATTCTTCATTATACTATTTGCTCTCACGAACTTCAAGTCCATGCCGGGGGTTTGGGCATGGCGGGTTCTATCTACTTTCCGTGCCAGTTTCAAAGCTCAGCTGCGGCAGACCGTTCGATCTCCATCAGCAGACAATAAGTCTCGGAGATTGGCCATCGTCACGAAAGCCAGCTCGTCAAGCTCAATCAAAGAACATCCACTGTTCCAGCCGACAGTTTACTCGACTCATGCCCCGCTCACGGAGATCGATATCAACCTACACAAATCCAATTCTACCTACTTTATAGACCTGGATGTTTCCCGGGCCGAGCTAATGGGGCGCCTTCTAGCACCCGCCTGGCCTATGGATAACATGCTAATAGAGTACACAGGTCGAGATGGTGTACAGAAGCGTGAGAAGGTTCAAGGATCTCCTGCTTTCATACTCGGTGCCACTTATACATCCTTCAAGCGGGAGATTGGCGCGTATACCTCGTATAACGTTGAGTCTCTAGTCCTCGGATGGGACACGAGATGGTTGTATATTGGTTCTTGGTTTGTTGACAGAAAGGACAAGAAGAAGCTGTATGCTTGCAGTCTGTCAAAATATATTTTGAAGAAGGGTCGCATCACCGTGAGACCCGATTTATTCCTTATGGAGGCGGGCTGGATACCCAGTCAAGAACCCGGCAACGGTGCCATAGGGGACAGCTGGACATGGGATGAGATTGAGGCACAGAGAAAGCAGGGAATGGCTATTGTCGACTCTTGGGGAGATACAGATCTACGGCTAGAGAGGGTTTATTTGGCTGATGCAAAGTAAAATTGGGAATGAAAAGTGTGCCTAGATAAGGAAGATATAGAATTTATGGTGTGCTCCGTCACCGTGAAAAATCGAGGAACTTACAGAAGTATCTGCCTGACTTAGTAGAAGCACAAGGCTGAAAAAGCGCTCAATTGATCCATGGATAGTGAACCAGAGTAAGAAACAGAGTAGAGCTCGATATGTTTCCTTTTTACTAGAACCGCCTGGCTAATTGGATCACGACTAGAAGAACTACCTGAGCAGAAAGCTTCGTTTGGTAAATATTCAGACTCTTGGGTAATCGATTTGTTGTTGCTACCTACGTGGCAGTAACTTTCAAGTGCGCTATAATGTGGTATTCCTAAGGTAAGAATCTGGCACCAGGAACGAGAGTATATATTATATAGCCTATACTCTAGTAGAATCTTGCTCTTCAGTTTTCGAGTCTCTATTTGAAGATTGACGTAGTGATGATAAACTGATTGAGCTCCGAACGATGCTGAAAAAGCCGTTCAATGAAGTATCTTTGAATAACCCTCGGAAGAGGGGTAGATTTGAAGCAAGATTGGCCAAACCGGCTTCAATCATGCACCAATATAGGATTGTTGAAACGGTCACTGGAAACAGTCAGTCGGAGGGATACCCGAAAAACAAGAGACAACATACAGTCCTCGTCAACGTCTGCACTTAACCCACCGCCAGCGATTTCAAGACCTACGACAATCTTGATGATGGATGCAATGACAGAACTATCAGAATTAGTAGTTCCCTCATACTACAAGACGTATTAATGGCACGTACATTGATCCAATCATCAAAATACCTACAGCAGCTAGTTTCCTACGCCAGCTCATATGCAACCTCCATATCATCGGCATTGGCATCAGCCATATCAAGAGATTTGTAACTGAATCGCTGATCACAAACGCATTACCGATATCCAGGTCCATGCCACAATATTGGTTCTTGTCTGCAAGATTGCCCCATTTCACTGCAACATGGACGCCACATGTTAATGTAGTAGCGACAACAAAAGTGACCATCCAAGCAGCGACAATCACCAATGCTGCTATGGTGATCCAGTCGAAAATAGATCCGCATAGCACGGAGACAAAGATACGTCTGTAGAGGCAGATAATACTGAGCTTGAGGAATCCAGATGCAAGTGCGAGGAGAAAGATGACCACGAATTGTACCTGAGAAGAGTTTCAGTGCTTCATTCTTTAGAAAATGGCTGTACGTACCACTCCCATTAATCTGATAGTCGGGTTGACAATGTACATCTTCTCTTCATGGGTCAAGTTGGGCTCATAGGGAGTAGGATAGCCGATGGCCTTTCCATGAACACCTAACTCATATAAGATTCTTCCCTCGAGCCGAGATAATATCGCTCACTGACCAATACATAGCATAATGCCCATGCCAATTGTAAAAAGCTACTCAACGATTAGAATTTACCAGACCTTCACCAGCGGAATCCCCAGACTAACCAACGAAGGTACCATAAGCCAGTCATCGATACCAATCCCTTGTCGCCGACGATATCGCTGATACCAACGAAACGCTAAGGAAATTATCCCCAAGGCAGGCAAGATGACAGCAGCTGCATATACTTCTCCGGCGGTCGCATAAGCGACCCCCAACTCCTTGCCCGTTGGTGCTGACATTTCTCACGATTTCAGGTTTGATCGCCAATATGGAATCATCTGCTCTCGGCGTTATCATCAAGACCAAGATGCTTTCTTTTTCTTTCTTTCTTTCTTCGCCAGTGGACGTCTTTTGCTTAGCTTGGCCCGGTCAATGATATTGCTTTTTTTTTTTTTTTTTTTGGCTAGTTGGAATGGTCCGGAGGATCGCTCCATATTCATGGACGTCTCGGTAGGACACGCAAAGTATGATGCAGTGAAACGACAGAAACCCCTACACGGAGATAAGGAGTCAATATTATACAAAAGCTAAGACGAATCTTCCTAATCGCATGACTTCGAATTCATTAACGCTTTTCTTCTTTACCTTGTGTAACTACACGTCAACTACAGTGTAACCGGAGCAACCAAGCACCTACGACAACTGTCCAATGCTGAGCACTGAATAACCGACGTCGGCGACTAACCATCATGTCGGACATGTGTTAAGTTACACATAGATGGAACAGAGGGTGGACCATCCGAAGATGTGGCATTTGAGGCCTCCCAAGATCAGCTATAGGCTTCCATGCTATCAATCATCCGACATAAATAGCTTCTGTAAGTAGGTATGCATCGACTTCAGTCGTCCTACCTACAGTTTGAGTTACGTATCACTGCTACCTTGAGAAACATTCCTCTGAACAACATTCCTGAAATCAGTGTCACCACTATCTCCCACCATGCGTTTCCAACTTTTCAGCACCATTCTAATAGGCTTGTTGTACATTGCTCACGTCGAAGCCGTGGCAATTCCCGGTAAGCTTTTGACTGTACCTTAAACCATGAATGATGCAGTGATCTGATACCAAGGGCCTGACAGAACCAAATGACGAAAACGCGGCATCCTCAGATGGCAATTTGTCTCCGGATGAAACGATCGACACCCCGCCAACGGGGGCGCCAGGTGTACAAAGCTTCTTTTGATTTGCGGAGGAATTGGAAAAGAAGGGCTAGAAATGGAGTGATTGATTGTCTTTGAAGGGACGTGATGAGCGTTGTTGGAGTAATCAAGATTACACTGAGTTTTCGGGAGTTAGCCTTAAATACCTACCTGGATGAATATCAAGCGACATTTTGCTACCCACGTACTCTCGAGGTCTAAATTCTGCTAAAAGACATATCTACTCTATCAAACAGAACCTAAACTATCCAACATTACGAAAATATTCCTCCATCTTCTCCTTATACGGCGAGCCATCAGGACAAAATCGATATTCTTCCAGCATCGATCGCCCTTCTCGCTCCAACTCAGGCATATATCTCCAACAAGCAGTATGCTGCTGAGCCCAGATTTCCATTTGATTCCAATCCCTGCATTTCCGAACTTGGCCTGTGCCGGACCTCCCCTGTTCCTGGAAGCCGGTATAACGTGGCGTGTCGTCTGCGTAGCATTGAACATCCTGTCTCAGAGCGTCTAGACAATGGAGCATGTGGCCTGCAGGTTGGGTTGTTGGGATTCCTTGATCGACTTGGCGTATCCAGGTTCGAAGTGTTTTCTGATATTGGCAATGGTGAATAGTGCCCATAAGAATAGAATGGGGGTACTTACGAGACAATGCATGCCATGATATCCATTTAATACATATATTTCTTTGCTACCATCCCAAGGAAAAGGCTGTGCATGGGGAATCCCTTTTCCCTGAACATATACTGAATCCAGAGCGAGCGTTCCATTATTGATACTGATGGCGTCCCAAGCACGATCGGCGTCTTCTTCTGTCCCTTCCCCAAAGTATATTGATTTGGACACCCATGGCACAGATAGTGTGGCAGACAGGTGAGCTATCAAACAAAGAAAATGAGATATTAGCCTCGGTTCACCGGAATATCCAGTAGATCATACCGAATCCGCTTCGTCCAGAGGGACAGTGTGACTGTGTAAAAAACAAGCCGTGCAGTACAACAGAGAGACAAAGGAGAATAAGCATGGCAATCATGTTTGGTGTGACTGTAACCCTATAACAAGGCCAATGGCGGTTGACTGGATGCTCTTCCCCGGTCAAAGGGAGCATTTCGTCGTCGAGTCTTTCAATCATGCTGACTGGAAAGATGTCAGGAAATTAGTCACTCGCAGACAAATATGATATAATGAATGAAGAGATTTATGCTCTCAGCTAGGTATGATCGGTTTGCGATCTTCTCATCTCCTCTGGTTATCTCTAGTATTTACAGTCCGCCGAAGTGCTGAACGCCGAATAGATCTGGCACTGTAGTACAGAAAACGAGTACTAGGCGCGCCTACAATCACCGACCGACCCTAGAGCCAGTCAGGACCTGTTATGTTTGTTAGGCCTCCAATCTTGTCAATCATTGTAATAGGAACCACATACGAAGGTGAAGGACTCAGCTGTATGTCATATCTGAGAGCAGATACAAATGTGCTCACGAATTGTAAGGTATCTGCAGCCTTGAGTTTGAGGCATCCATGGGCCCTTTCCTTGTGTGACTCCAACATCACAACTTCTCCTCCTTTCTCTTCCTTGTACTTTTACCACTCTTTCTGTCCGTCAGCATGGCCGACATATGCACAGCAGTCTTGCTTGGCTTACTCGTCATTCTATCCGGCACTCGAATTCTTTCCTGGGCTCGTATCAGAGTCAAACGTCGTCTCCATGGCTGTCAATTACCACCCCGCTATCCACATAAAGACCCAATCCTCGGCCTCGATTATTTCCTAACGGAACTCAAAGAGCGTGAGGATGGGATTTCCTGGGCTAGCGAGCGCAACCGCTTCGCCCGCCTGGGCCGCACCTACGAGGTGAACTCATGGGGAAATAGAAGGATCATGACAATGGATTCACAGAATATCCGTGAAGTTCTAGGTACATCTTTCGATAGATTTGGTGTCCAAGAGTTGCGTCTGCCCATTTCGAGCAGCTTCATGGGCAAGGGAGTGTTTACGACGGATGGAGAGTATTGGGAGTACTCACGCAAGCTCCTTGCGCCCATGTTTTCGCGATCGCAGGTTTCTGATCTGAGTGCGTTTGATGTTCATCTTGATAGGATGTTTGAACGGCTGCCACGGGACGGCTCGACGGTCGAGTTACAGGGTCTCCTTAAGCTTATGGTATGTTTTTCTTTCCTGTACTAATTCTCGAAATAGACCTTGACTAGCGGTTTCTAGTATCTTGACCACGCAACAGAAATGATATTTGGCAAGTCGACAGATACACTTCTCAAGGAGACGCCAGATGAATCCGCCCACGAACTTCTTGACACTTTCGCAGCAGTGTTGAAGAGAACGGGTATTCGGATCCTTCTTGGCCGTCTATGGATTCTTACTGCCTGGGACACAACATTCCAAAAACTTTCAAATAACGTCCGGGCGGTAGTTATGAAATATATTGACGAGGCTATTCAAAGACAGCACCACGACGTCAAGTCAAACGCCAACAGATACATCATCGTTGATGAACTTGTCAAGAGTCTCGGCGATCGAGAGGAGATTTGTAACCAACTTCTTAATATCTTTCTACCGGCTCGTGATGCGGCGTCTGTCAGCCTCAGTGCTTGCTTGTTTTATCTCGCCAGACACCCTGATGTATGGGATAGGTTGAGAGCGAAAGTCCTCGCAATACAAGGTCCTATAACTCGGGATGGCCTTCGGTCCATGCCTTATATGCAGGCAGTGCTAAATGAAAGTATGTCGAGCAAGTTGTTAGATCCTGTTGATCTGTAAATATATTTTGAGGCCTAAGGTATAAAGGTTGATTGACATCGTCTTCTAGGTCTCCGACTCCATTCACCCGCAGCTGGCAATCGACGTATATGCACCCAGGACTGCATTCTCCCAACGGGGGGCGGTCCAGACGGCAGGTCTCCCATATTCATATCCAAAGGAGACAATGTACACGTTATCTTCAGCGCAATGCACTACGACAAGGAAATCTGGGGCGAAGACGCCGACGAATTCCGACCTGAGCGCTGGTTAGACGAGAATGGACTTATCAAGACGAAAAACAGCTGGACATATATGCCGTTTTCTGCCGGAAGACGCGTTTGTCCAGGCATGGACATCACACTGACAGAGAATGCCTATGTGCTTGTACGGTTGATGCGGGAGTTTGAGAAACTGGAGAACCGAGATCCAGTCGGAGAATATGTTGAGCGGACTAGGCTTACTACAGAGAGCCGGAATGGGGTGAAAGTCGGCTTGATCAGGGCACAGTAGCCACTGAGATTGAGATAAACTAGGGTTTAGGGCTGGACAGATGCGGCATTACCGCTTTAGGCATGCCTGGTGTCTGCCCTGATTTGGCCGGGATCGCAGGAATGCGGACCTCAAGTGTATACTATAAAGAAGATTAAATCACATCAATGATACTTCTAACTATTATTTATAACATAATCTAAGAAGAGAACAAAAGTCTCGACTCAGGGAGTAGCTGTATTCCCAGTTCGGACAGCATTCAATGTATGACGCCACCACTGCCGGCGGCTTAGGGCTAACTCTAGAACTACCACTGGTGTATGACCAGTCATATGATATTATTTCACTTTCCTTTATACATACATATATATCGCCGTCATATATCATATCCTATGAACTATGAATTCCAACTCCCCGTCCAATCACCCTCTTCTCTCCCCTGTCGAGCCTTTCGGGCTGAATCCCAGCTGACCGACACCCTAAAATAGTTTACGCAATGCGACAGTCATACACGCAAATTAGCCACATCTCCATGCCCGATGTTCTGGAGTATGGAGCACGCTAATTAGGGAAAGAAAGGATCAGCATCCCCGTTAAATTTACAGAAAAACACGGGGAAATACATTTCACATACTCACATATCGATAGAGTCAGATTCTGGTCTGGGGACGATAGGCCGGGGTAATATTTCCTTGCCCGAGAGCTTGCTTGGCTGACTTCAGTTTAGGTCACTGCCAAAACCGTTCTGGACGAAAGAATAAAACAAGATTCTTGAATGTATATGTAGAGATTCAAGGGATTGTGATTGGACGGCCGTGCGTTCCCATGATACTTAGGTAGTGTTCACGATGCCTTCATCTTACTTTCATGACTCGAGTTGTGCCTACTCCATAGGTAAGGAAAAAGAAAAGAGTATAGGTCAGCAATATGGCTTTGAATGTATGACGACACATGGATTACCCCGGTTTTTGCCTCAATCATGATACTATCTATCTGCTTGCGGCAATGTTGTCTACGTAGACTACACCCGATATCCACGGATCGAGCCGATTACCTAGGAAATCAGTATATAAAGGGAGGCGTGTTCCCAGACTCTGACTTTATTATCCATCCTTTTCCCAATCTACCATAGTTTGACTTGTAAGTTGAAAATGTCTTCTGCACTCAGCACGTCCTTGAAAAGGACATCGATGATAAAACATGTCCCCAGGGCATTGTCGTTGTCTCAGCACAAATTAATCCCGTTCCTGTACCGGGTTATTTCCAATTATGGAACGGAGTCAACATCCACAACGCCTCCCACTTCTGCGACGGATCATATCCAGACAAAGCTGCCTCCGGCATTTGGGACGAAGAACGCCCAGCGATTCCGCGAATTCAATCTTGAAGGACGCGTGATAGCCGTTACAGGCGGTGGGCGTGGTTTAGGGTTATCCATGGCAGAAGCTTTGATGGAAGCCGGCGCGAATGGTATTCCTTTCTCCCCATCTTTCTTCTCTTCCAGAGAACTAAAGCTGACTGACTGCGTGGTAGTATGGTGCCTCGACCGCCTCGAAAAGCCCGACAACGAATTCAACGCCGCCAAACGACGCACGGAATCCTCCTACGGCGGGAGCATGCACTACGCGCGCATCGATGTGCGCGACAAGGAACACGTAGACAGTATCCTGGGCGAAATCTCCTCTCAAAACAGACGTCTAGACGGCATAATCTGCAGCGCCGGCATAAACCATCTCCACCCTGCAATCGGCCACTCTCAAAAGGCACTCGAAGAAGTCATGGCAATCAATTATAACGGTGTCTTCAACTCGGCTACTGCAGCGGCAAAGCAAATGTTTGAGCACAAATGTCCCGGGTCCATATTATTGGTTGCTAGCATGAGTGGTTTGATTGCGAACAAGGGGATGACTTCGCCGGTGTATAATTCATCAAAGGCTGCTGTTATTCAGCTCGGGAAATGTCTGGCGATGGAATGGGGTCGGCATGGGATAAGAGTGAATAGTCTTTCTCCGGGGCATATTGTCACGCCTATGGTTGAGATGGTCTTCGAGAAGAATCCTTCTGCGCGCGCGACTTGGGAGGCGGAGAATATGTTGGGTAGACTCGCGTCGCCTGAAGAGTTTAGAGGTGCGGCTTTGTTTGCGCTCAGTGATGCCAGTTCGTTTATGACGGGCAGTAATCTAATTGTCGATGGTGGACATACTGCTTGGTAATCAGCTCTCATGTTTTGTTTTCGGCGACGGTAAATATGTTAGCGTCGAGGCGCAATTCGCATTCGGATGAGCATGTTTGGCGAGATGGCGTTTCTTTTTTATCTTTGGTGCCTATCCTTCTACTTGTATTATCGTTCATGTTATACCATGTATCATATTCATACACGCAGACCGTTACATAATCACGATTTATTTGTTGTTTGATATCATGCAGGTATCTACATACATTAGCTAGCACGTTATCACTCGAGCGCAGAAAGCAGACTTAATCATAACCATGGACGACATCCCCCTCATCACCATCATCACCGTCCTCAGCAAATACAGGATTATCGTTCAACCCCGCAAAATCCAACTTCATCAGCAACTGATTAACTCCCGCTGCTTTGCGTGGAATGTACATATTACGATCTTCTACACCGGATTCCGTGGCTTCAAACATATTCCTATGCCCCTGATCGACGGATCGGTTATCGTCTATATCACGAAGGCGTGAAATGATATCTTTGATATTAGTCTGAACGGCTTCGTGCGCTTCCTGCAATTCATCTTTGATCGTGCGCTCTTCTTTGGCATAGTCTGCCAAGGCATCTACGACGCCTTCATCCGCTTCCAAGTCGAGATTGCGTTGGACAGTCTCCAATCGAGAAACGAGAGCGATGAGATGGTCGAGGCTGGTGAGAAAGGATCTAAGAGAGCTAGTGAATGGAACCTCAGTCAGGAAAAGAGACTGTGTGAGGGAAGAGAGGTAGCGGCGATGTGCGACTGTGATGGTTTCAGGATCATGCTGCTGAGTTACTGCCGGCGCCGTTGAATTTGCTGTTGATGGTCTAGACTGTTTCAGTTGCGCAAAGCTGCCTCTTAACCTTGATGCCGGTATTACTGATTCGTGCTGCGATGCTGGTCGAGAAGTAATCCCAGTCGGATTTACACCCCTTTGGAGCCAGCTCTGAAAGTGTTGCCATGATTCTTGAATCACTTCGCCTTGTAAGTAGCCTCCGATTTCTGAAAGCACAAATAATGAGGCGCTTGCGGTGGCCCACACCTGACGCATCTCAACACTTCGCGCATTATGTCTTTGCCGCTGTGACTGCAAATGATATTGACCACCACGGGTATTGCTTCGAGGCGGTCCTAAAGGGGACGGATGTAAACGCCGCATGGTTGTATGTTTCCATAGACTACTCAATCGTAGTTGAGCGCGGCGAATACCAAGCAGGTATGAATGCATAGTGGAATACACTGACATGTCCGAGTTAGACAGGAAAAGATCAATAGGTGGCTGAATCTTGAGAGACAGAGCAGTTTCAGTTGGAAATAAGAGATCTGCAAACGAAATTGAAGAAATTCCTGTCGTCAAATTCGTGCCCACATTATCCTGAGGTGTTGCTACACGATCGGCCTTTTTTGTTGGTTGTATAGATAGACTCAGCAATTCTCGAGCAAGGTCTAGCTCTTCGTCCACCGGAGCCTCTTCGCTCTGCAAAGCATATAGTTCCGTCCATGTCTGCGCTAACGCTGCTGCTACTTCTCCTTCTTTAATCATAACACCATCTAACCCAGAAGCTGTACCGCCAGGTCGAGTCATGCGTGCTTGAAGTCTGGAATCTGCATTTGATACGAGCGATGTCACAAACTCACCACGACCAAGAAGTAGAAAGTCATGAATTAGAGATAGAATCTCGACAATCTTTGGCAGCGGTAATAGCTTCGACAAGGATATTTGCGAGACCGAAAGTCTGATAGCTGTAACAGCATTCGCAAGGAGTGAAGTCGAGATTGGCGATTTGAGAGACGACAATTGTCGGAGATGGTCTGTCTCCAAAGTGATACCCGTAATTGAACCCGTCGCATTGTCGGATGTTGAGCGGTTTCTCTGGCTGCGGATATGATTTAAAGATTTTCCTATAAACAAGATTGAAGATGCCGTCGGGGCAGAGACGAATTTCGGCAACAAGTCGTCACGCAAAACATAGTCAACATTTCTCCTGCTTGGATAACTCAATTCATCATCCTCAAGCTCTATCTCAGCCGCCTGTACAAAAAAATCTTCCCTGCCAAATGTAGGTAATTCACCATACAGAAGCCACATGGACAGCTGTCGCATCCAGGCTGTTTCGGCGGCTTTGATGAGTTGTAAGGCTATCTCCTGCAAATCGAGGTAACCAGTCTGAGATTCCGAGCGGAGATAATCAATCAGACTGGCACCACTGGTAGCTGTTGTTGTTGTTGTTGCATACTTTGCAGCAGCTTCAGGTAATATGAAGCACGCTACCCCCCATAACCATTCTAGCCTCCGTATCCAAGGAGAAAATTCCGTCACCAACGTCGAGAGCGGTACAATGCCATATCCGCCGACGTAATGACTGTCGTTGCATAGAATTGCTCTTTCAACATTAAGTATCTGTTTCTGAAATTTTCCAAGTCCTTCAATCGATATGGCACTAGATACGGCACGGCAAACTGTGGAGTTGTGGGATGAAGATATACGCGCGGTATGGGTGCGTAGAGATGCGTGCAGTCGGCTTAGGCGAGCCAGTGACGCAAGCAGCGCTTTTTCCGGTGGTGACAGCAGAGGGAATGGACCTGAAGACGCGCCGTTGGGTTCAAGCTCTAGATCGAGAAGAGGTGAGGGTTGGCCCGAGAGGGAGAGGAGGATCTCATGGAGCATTTTTGACAATTTGTCAATGGATAGCACACCGCTATGAACATCTCTGCCCTTTAGCAGTATCTCTTGGCCTCGGTCAGTTTATTCCGTCTGAGCGTTGGATATTGCCATTGCCATTAGATGCTTGTGTCTGTTGTATAATTGAGGTTGCCGACGCGACGGCGCGAAGCGGTCAAAACAATGGAACAATGGAACAATGGGTGATCAACCAAGATCAACGAGCATGGAAACACAAATGATTCCACAACAACAGGAGTAAAAGTCAGCTGCTATCTGCAACACATCCGATTCTATCGACACATTGAGCTATGTTGGAGAGTAAATGCGTCGGAGAAACAGAATTGGCGGGGGATCTACCTGAAATGATGCCTCAGGCTCCAAGCGGGGCTGATAATAAATGCTGACCAATCAGCATCCGTAGTGCCCTCTCTTACGTCGACTGCCACCTTCCTTCTCTTCTCTTCTTCAACCTCACCTTGACATCTTTTTACCTTCTCATCTTCTTCATCTCTCTTCTACACACTGCAGCAGGGCCCCAGCTGCTTTCTTTTCCCTATCTGATCGCGTTTCTCGACTCCCTCTCAGCGTTAGTAAGCGGCTCCAACCCTCAGCTGCTGTTGAACAGACGAGCAACTTTACTACGTACAACATTCAAGCTCCAGGAAAGCCTTGTCACTAGGCAGGGCTTTCTTCGTATACGTCTTTCAACATTCACTCTCACGCCGATATTCCTGACACTGCAACAACCAAGAAACGCAAAGCCTCCGACCAAGACGCCGCTCGGCCGGATAAGAAGATCATGACGGTATGTTGATTTCTAATACACGATGACAGAGCACTCAGCACGCCACCTTGCATAGTTATATTCGCTCTTTTCCTCTCAGATTTTATATTCTATCTTAAACACATCTAATGAAATTTTATGATATGTGGGGCTAACAAAACGTCAGGACGGGAAGATGCAGCTCGATAAAGCACAGGAAACTGTGGAGGCTATCAAGCATGGAGACATTGACGAGTCTCTGTACAGTCGGCAGCTGTACGTCCTTGGTCACGAGGCCATGAAACGCATGGGATCTTCCAACGTCCTCATTGCTGGTCTGAAAGGTCTCGGTGTTGAAATCGGTAGGTCGTGAATCTGATAATCACTGTCACTCATAGACACTAACACTTTAAAGCCAAAAACATTGCACTGGCCGGTGTGAAATCGCTTACACTTTTTGATCCCACTCCCGTCGCCATCTCTGATCTTTCCTCACAATTCTTCCTACAGCCGCAGGATGTTGGCAAGCGACGTGCCGATGTGACCGCACCACGCGTCGCTGAACTGAATTCATACGTTCCCGTTACAATCTACGAGTCGGACAACCTGACCGCCGATCTATCACAGTTGAAACGCTTCCAGGTTGTCGTACTCACCAACACCTCACTCAAAGACCAACTTACGATTGCAGACTATTGCCATCAAAATGGTATTTACGTTGTTATTACAGATACATTCGGTCTCTTTGGGTACATTTTCAACGATTTCGGAAAGAATTTCACGGTTGGAGACGCTACTGGTGAAGATCCAGTGAGCGGTATTGTTGCTGACATTGATGAGACTGGTTTGGTTTCGGCTCTTGATGAGACCCGACACGGTTTAGAGGATGGCGATTACGTTACTTTCACAGAAGTTAAAGGCATGGAAGGCCTCAACAATAATGATCCACGCAAAGTTACCGTCAAAGGGCCCTATACATTTTCTATTGGCGACGTCTCCGGTCTCGGCAAGTACGAGGGAGGTGGTCTTTACACACAAGTCAAGATGCCTAAATTCCTCGATTTTCAACCTCTACGAGAGCAATTGAAGAAACCAGAACTTCTCATCTCCGATTTCGCCAAATTTGAACGCCCCCAACAATTGCATATTGGGGTGCAGGCTCTTCATCAATTTGCCGAAACGCACAATGGCGAATTCCCTCGCCCGCACCATGAAGCCGACGCGGAAGAGGTTTTGAAGATCTCCAAAGATTTGGCAGGCCAGACCGAGGATAAGGTCGAGCTGGACGATAAACTCATCAGGGAACTCAGCTATCAAGCACGTGGTGATCTCAATCCCCTTGCAGCTTTCTTCGGTGGTCTTGCTGCCCAGGAGGTCTTGAAGAGTGTTTCCGGAAAGTTCCACCCTGTTGTTCAGTGGATGTATTTCGACTCTTTGGAATCCTTGCCAGAATCCGTGACTCGCTCCGAAGAGACTTGCAAGCCTCTTGGTACCCGTTACGATGGCCAAATCGCCGTCTTTGGAAAGGAGTTCCAAGACAAGGTTGCTAATCTGAACACATTCTTGGTTGGAGCTGGCGCTATTGGTTGCGAGATGCTCAAAAATTGGGCTATGATTGGTCTCGGTACTGGGCCCAAAGGCAAAATTCGAGTTACCGACATGGATCAGATTGAGAAGAGTAACCTTAACCGTCAATTCCTTTTCCGTCCCAAGGATGTTGGCATGTTGAAGAGTGACTGTGCATCTGCTGCGGTCCAGGCTATGAATCCGGAATTGAATGGGAAAATAACAACACTCCGTGATCGTGTTGGACCCGACACGGAAGATATTTTCAACGAACAGTTCTGGAGCGAACTTGACATCGTCACTAATGCATTGGATAATGTCGATGCCCGAACTTATGTCGATCGTCGTTGTGTCTTTTTCCGCAAGCCACTTCTTGAGAGTGGAACTCTCGGTACAAAGGGAAATACTCAAGTCATTCTTCCTCACATTACAGAATCTTATTCCAGCTCTCAGGATCCCCCTGAGAAGTCATTTCCTATGTGCACTTTGAAGAGTTTCCCTAACCGCATTGAGCATACCATTGCCTGGGCTCGTGATCTTTTCCAGACGTACTTCGTTGGTCCTCCTGAGAGTGTGAACCTCTATCTTTCGGAGCCGAATTACATTGAGCAGACACTTAAACAGGCTGGAAATGAGAAACAGACCCTCGAGAACCTCCGGGATTTCTTGGTGACTGACAAGCCGCTTAGCTTTGACGACTGCATTGTATGGGCGCGCAACCAGTTTGAGGCTCAATACAACAATGCTATTCAGCAATTGCTATATAACTTCCCTCGCGATTCTACAACATCCTCGGGACAACCATTCTGGTCTGGTCCAAAGCGTGCCCCTACTCCATTGAAGTTTGACAGCTCGAACCCTACTCATCTGGGTTTCATTATTGCTGGTGCTAATCTGCATGCATTCAACTATGGAATCAAGCCTCCCACAACAGACAAGAACTACTTCAAGAAGGTGGTTGACGACATGATCATCCCCGAATTCACGCCCAGCTCGAATGTCAAGATCCAGGCTGATGATAACGATCCTGACCCCAATGCTCAGTCTGCTGGAACTTCTGACAACGAAGAGATTCAGAAACTTGTTGCTTCTCTTCCATCGCCAAAATCCTTGGCTGGATTCCGCTTGGTCCCTGTTGAGTTTGAGAAGGATGATGACACAAATTACCACATTGACTTTATCACTGCGGCAAGCAACTTGCGTGCTGAGAATTACGATATCCCACAAGCGGACCGACACAAGACCAAGTTCATTGCTGGCAAGATTATTCCGGCTATTGCAACTACGACTGCTTTAGTCACTGGTCTAGTTGTCCTTGAATTGTACAAGATCATTGACGGCAAGACCGACATTGAGAAGTACAAGAACGGTTTCGTGAACTTGGCACTGCCATTCTTCGGTTTCAGTGAACCCATTGCGAGTCCCAAGGGTAAATATCAGGGCAAGAATGGTGAAGTGACAATTGATAAGCTGTGGGATCGGTTTGAGGTGGACGATATTCCATTGCAGGATTTCTTAAAACATTTTTCAGACCTTGGTTTGGAGGTCACCATGATCAGCTCTGGAGTCAGCCTGCTATATGCCAGCTTCTACCCGCCATCCAAGCTGAAGGATCGTTTGCCATTGAAGTGAGTATCGATGAATATGTGTAAAAGTGATGTTCGCTAACAATTTTATAGGATGTCTAAACTTGTGGAACATATTAGCAAGAAGCCTGTTCCGGAGCACCAAAAGAACGTGATATTCGAGGTGACAGCGGAAGATCAGACGGAAGAAGATGTTGAGATACCGTATGTGATGGTGAAGTTGTGATAAAGGTCAAGAAATTGAACCGCTCAGTGAAAGTAGATTTGCAAGAACTATCAGTATCAAACCTTGGATAACATATAGAGTCTTCATTTCAGTTTGCTTGTCTATACGTATCATTATTATCGTTATTGATAATCAACGGAAATACGGATATAACTTAGTTATTATCAGACGATGATGACATCAGCAGGAAATGTTGATGGCATCGCTCAAAAGAATAAGTGAGTTAAATTCGTTAGTAAGCTGAATAATCAATGATCTCTAATCCATTCCATCAAAGCGTTTTGCTATACTTAGGCTTTCCAGAGCTTGTATAAATAGCTCTCATTTTCCCGCTGAGATCATCTTGAGCTTCTACCACGTCCTACCTCTACAACACACACACTCCAGCTATCACGTTGATGTCCTTTGCACTACTACGATTGAGAACAGCATTCGCAATCTCAAATAAAGCTTCAGTATCAATCTCAGCGACAATTCTCTACGGAACTAGAACCATGTCGGTATGTACATCTAGTGGCGGGGTAGTTTGAGCTCTCAGGGATCTATCAATCGCTGTCGCATATCGACATAAGTATAGTGAATTGTCCAAATCAGAAGCTAACAACAAAAAAGACAGGAAACAAAAACCCCATCACAGAATGGGTATCTCGCGACTCCAAGACCGGCGAATTCAAGCGCGGGGTATCGCAATTCCGGAGCTTCATTTCCAGCGAGCCTGGTGCAGAGTTTCCGCCCGAGAAGGGACGGTATCATCTTTATGTTTCGTATGCTTGTCCATGGGGTATGTTTCTTTCATCTATTATGCTTGTCGGAATGGGTAGCTGATGACGGTAGCGCATCGAACATTGATTACGCGCAAACTCAAGGGATTGGAGGACATCATTTCTGTGACTGCTGTGCATTGGCATATGGCTGAGAAGGGTGCGTATCCTATCTTCTTAAGCTATATAATATGAGAACTAATGATCGGTAGGATGGCGATTCGTTACCCCAGGCGAAAACGTTCCCGGCGAGAATGTCCGTCCAGACCCTATTCATCCTGGGTTCACGCATCTGCGCGATATCTACTTTGACGTAGATCCCGAGTATACAGGACGTTTCACCGTGCCGACATTATTCGACACCAAGACAAAGCGCATTGTCTCCAACGAGGTTAGCCCCTCTCTCCTATCCCTCAAATGCAATCATACTAATCTTGTTTTCCGGGTTGAAGAGCTCAGAAATAATCCGTATGTTCTACCACGAATTCGACTCCCTCCTCCCCGAACAATACGCCAAAATCGACCTCTTCCCGGAATCTCTCCGCGCCGAAATCGAATCCTCCAACGACTGGATCTACAACGACATCAACAATGGAGTGTACAAATCCGGATTCGCAACCACACAAGAAGCATACGAAAAAGCCGTACGCACACTCTTCGCTGCTCTCGACAAAGTCGAGGCCCATCTCGCCAGTCGCCAGGCCAGTGGTAAAGAGTACATGTACGGCGATCACATCAGCGAATCAGACATCAGACTCTATACCACAATCATCCGCTTCGATGCCGTGTATGTGCAACATTTCAAGACAAATCTGCGCGATATCAGATCTGGATACCCCGCTATCCACAGATGGGTGCGACATTTGTATTGGGATATCCCGGCCTTTGGCGAAACGACGCAGTTTGAGCATATTAAGAAACATTATACAAAGTCGCATGGACAGATTAATCCGTTTGGGATTACGCCGGTGGGACCTATACCGGATGTTCTGCCGAAGGGGGAGGAGGTTGCTGCTGTTAAACTTTGATCTGTCTTTGGTTTCACTGATGAACATCTAATATGATTAATATGACAGCTATATGTACGTAATTGAATTGAATTGGATGATTTGTATCAAGTCTACCTAAGTAAGAACTCATTTTCAAATCTCTATGTATATCTTCTTCCCCTTCTGTTCTCTGTACCCATCTCAACAAAGGAAATACATGGGGAGCAACGAGAAATTGAGAAATTTATCCAACGGATGAAAAGAATGCAATAAAAAACGCCCTTACCATGCATGCAGTGCAGTAGAGTACAACGTGGACTGAGCCGAGAATGAACAGGGGATGAGACGCGAGTGTATATAGACACAGTAGTTGTCCTCGTCACAAATCATGGGTGAGATCTGTAATCTGTATGTAATATGTATGGCAGGACGGAGACATGGCGACTCATTAAAAACAAGGGTATATATCGAAAAAAATGGTGGAAAGAGGATGACTGGATATGATTATTTCAATCCTAGAAATCGCTTCGCGTTCTCGTAGACTATGTAACTGATCGAGACTGCTGGTGCCACTTTGAGCATGTTCGGGGTAATACCCTTGTAAAACCCACGGATTCCTTCAGTACGATAAGTCGTCCGGGTCACATCTATGATGCCATCGTATGTTGCAGGATGTAGCACAGTGCCCTGTGCTTGTAATCGTGTTCGCAGGACATTGAGTGGATATACAAATGATGCACCAAGAGCACCGCTAAAGGCTCCAATGGCTCCAGTTGTGAAGTTGCTTAGTGGTACGTCATCTTCGTGGCATTTTTCTTGTCGCGCTTTGCGGGCAACGAGTCTTCGTTTGAGGTATTCGAATGTTGATAGATCAATTGCGGCGTAAGGGAACATGCCCATGAGACCGAGAGGTAAGCCACGGAAGAAGGCGAAGCCACCGGTTGTTTGCCACATCTTTCGAGCAGTTTCGGCTATGAGTTTGTTGCCTCGAACTCCTCCCTGGACGACTTCGCATTGCATACGGCTGTATAGTATTAGATTTCAGAAGTTGGCTGCGGATTCAATCACTCACAATTTCAATGTATCAATCGGATAGACGAAGCATTGAGCTACCATACCACCAAGCCCGCCGGACAGAAATTGTGAAGTGGGTTTAATTTTCTTTGTGTCGTTATGCCCTTCAAGACGAGCGAATGCGCGTTTCGATGCCTACAAATGTCAACAGGATCATTCGAAAAGAAGGCCGGCGAAACGTACTTCATAGGCACCGAACTTAATGGCCGATTCTGGCATAATCTTGACAACATTGAGTCCATTCCCTGCATCAATAGTGAGCTGAAGTTCATCCTAGCCATAAAAAACCAACCTGCAAAGAGACTCCGAACGCCCCCGGCTTTCCACAACTCCTTCATCGCATCGACCAGACTCTTGATCCCCTTCCGCACGGCATTCACAGGAGCACCCTTCTGAGCCGCACGGACAGCCTCTTTGCGTACACCAGTCTGGGCGATGAGGTAAACTTTCAGACGGTCGAGGGGCGCGGTAGCTGTCCGTGAGACGGCGCCAGCAAGTCCACCGGCGATGAAGTAACCTAAGTGAGGGAAGATGTCGGTCAACTGCAGTTCATACGAGCGTACTGACAGCCACATAGCTATAGGTTTGGAAACAGAAAGCCACTCGAGCTCATCATAATCAAGATCAACACCATCCCTGTCAAACACGACCAGATCCGCGGAGGCTGGCTGCTCAGCATTGGGCGTTTCAGCATATGCAACAGCTACCAGGTTGACTGGAGCAGCGTTCAAGATTATTGAGAGCGGAAGTTGAAGGGTATAGTACAGAGCGGTTTCGAGGGCATGGAGTAAGAAATGAGACTGGGTCGGGAATCCAATACCTAAACCCTGTCGAGAATCACCGATGTCGACGTCTCCTTCCGGGTTTAGATTTCCCGTTGCCTTGTAGTATGATAGCACGGTACGCAGGTCGTGATCTTCAGTTGGTAGGAAGAGTAGGAAATCTCTGCATTGATCAGTGAAGGTCGTAAACCACATGCGAACAATCGTACCTCCACTCATTATAAGTTATAACCCCATCATTGTTTCGGTCCATCTGAGCCAGAAATTCATCAAGCACGGGGCTCGACACTGTGATCCCCGCACTTGAAAACGCATATCTCAATTCCGCCCTGTCTATTTCCCCATTTTGATTTCGATCAATGCTTTTGAATAGTTCCCACAACGCCTCGTCGGCACGCGAGACAAAGTCACGAAATTCTGTAGGTAGTGTTGAACAAATCGTCAAATTTCGCACCGCGACGTCATTGCTTTGGCGTAACGTACCTCCGTATTGTATTCGACCATCGCCGTTCATATCTACCGTTTTGAAAACTTGTTGAAGCATAGAATCTGCATTCTTGAGAGCTGTATGATCGAACGAGCAAGCAAATACCAAAACTGTCAGTCATTGTACTAGAGCCTCTACTAAAAACCTCTACTTGGAGGGGCATGCGCGCAAGTAAACAGCAAACAGAAACAAGGAAATTGAGAAAGCGCTTACGATGATCCATCCTGCGAAGTCCCTTTTTCAAGCCATTAAAGTCAACAGAACCCTGTCTCCGGGTGTCGATAATCTCCCATAACTTGTCGACCCTGTCCGGGTGTTCGAGGGGTGGCATCTTCGCGGGCGGAGGGTGGAAAAAATTGTTGTCATGAAGTCGACGCAATCATTCTTTGGGTGTGCCTAGAGGATGTACGAGTGCCGCGCTAGGGGCGGCAGCCGAGATTCCTTTTTCTGTTATATCGGATCTCTGGGAATTGAGGGATATGAACATGAACCTGGTGGTTCAGTGCTTTGGCCTTGGGATATGATGCCGAAGTGCAGGACTAAAACACTGTCATCGGAATGGTCGGCGCTATGGTTTATCACGGCTGTTTTGCCCAATCAGCGTGTCAGGGTTAGAAATATCGCGCTATTCCTCTTTGGGAGCGGCGCCTTAATGTTCAATGTGCAAACATCAAGTCTTGTACATTCATCAGGTCGTTTGAAGACCATACCACGGAGAATACCGCCGAGAGTGAATGCTGCTGGACAGTATTGGGTTTGATAGGATTTGCATTTTCCGCGAGTACAGATACATATATTTATCCAAACATCAAGTGACCAGCCAGCGGATATATACCAGGTGGCGACATCCATACGTCCAACCACATCAACATCTCAATAATGGAGGAGGAGTCTGTGGTGTCAAATGTATAGCACAATTAATGCAGTCTGTTGATTGATGTGCCCATGGCAGCGAACTTTTGGGTGTCGACTCAACGTCGACATTGGATGTTTACTCGCGAACGTCTGGCAGAGGTCCGAGAGAATCTGAAAGCGAATAGCCCGGATCATCAAATCCAGCTTCCTGATATGAGAGTCATCAACATATTTTTGAAAACAGGTATGCTTGTGTTTTTACTCGCCCGGAAGCATTTCACTGACAGAATATACAGAGTTATGTAGACTTGCGAAACTTACACATTCGCGGCAACAAGCCATTTCAACGGCTCAAGTCTACATGAAGAGGTTTTATACAAAAGTCGATTTTCGACAGACGAATCCGTACCTAGTCATGGTCACGGCGTTCTATCTTGCGTGCAAGATGGAAGAATGCCCTCAACATATCCGAGTTGTGACCAGCGAAGCTCGACAATTATGGCCGGGTATGTATGGCCTTGTCTCCTGGGTATCGAATGCGCTGACATGTCCTTAAAAGAATTTATTACCAACGACCCCGGCAAGATTGGAGAATGTGAATTCTATCTCATATCAGAGATGCATTCGCAATTAATCGTCCACCATCCATACCGCACGGTTTTGGAGTTGACCAAAGTTCTAGACTTAACAACAGAGGACGTCAGCCATGCCACAACTCTAATCAGTGATCAGTACCAGACCGATCTACCACTTCTCTATCCACCGCATGTCATCGCGGTAATGGCCATTCTCCTCGCAGTCCTGTTTGGTGGCGGCGGTGGTGGTGGTGGTGGTGGTGGAGGTGGAGGTGGAGGCACTCACCGCAACCCATACGGCCATGGAGCCATAGTGGCCAACAACAATCCACCAATATCTACATCTCTCCGCGAAGCGGGATTGGGTGCAACACTCTCCGCCTTGGGTTCGGGCGGTACAAATACTACAACAGCGACAAGACCTGACCCGAGGATTCAAAGGATTATTGCGTGGCTCGCGGAAAGCGAGGTTGATATCAAGGCTGTTATTGAATGCACACAAGAGATGATTTCATTGTATGAGGTTATGGATGGAGTGAATATTCAGCAGTGCAAGGAGACGATATCAAGGATGATCAAGACTCGGAATGCGGATAAATGATGGACGACTTTTATTGATAGTATTAGTATTTAGTGAATATATTCGAGATCTATGAAATGTGCAACCTCAGAAATAAGGCAGACAATTAAGGCAGACCACATCCTTGTGCACGTACCAGACCACAGACCACACCAAATCTAAACAGGTCTTAAATTAAACAAAAACAAACCTAAAAAAAAATTCAAGTCGAATCGCCTTCAGTCACACTACTCCTGCAACAGACTCAATCCAGAAACCAAGTCCAAAGAAATGATTTGATCTACACAGATCTATGCGTATCATGATACAAGAGTTGGCTGGCATTGGCGGGGGAGAGAAAGAAGCGGTGACCTAGATTAGTTCCATCCAATCGCGGGGAGTGCTTGGCTATGGAGAGGGCTTCAATTCCTCTAAGTCAAAATTCTTGTATTCCAGCAGAAAATTCCATATTCGTTAATCTTGCTAGGAGCCAAACAGACTGCCTATTGGGACGTGACCAAGTCGGATATGGAGTGAGTGTTTACAGATATCTGCTTTGAAGGGAACGCAGTCAATCAACTTCAAACAGCTGCATGAAAAGGAAGAATAGAAGCGGGATGATCGTTGGCTTAGGGCACTAGCGCTGCTGTTTAGGCTGTTAGTCGAGAATTTTCCAGGTCAGCTGCCCTACCATGTGACGGGGTAGATTACCATAACCATACCATCGACATGAGATGACATGAGCCTCAATATGATCGAATGCATTATATGACATAGTATCTACTCCGTACTTATCGCACGAATGTCTGAATAGAAAATGGACTGGATCACTCGAGGAATGATGCTCATGTCACAATCCTACGGGAGAGTCGGCATCTCGACCGCGGACGCAGGTACGGCGTGCTCCGTCGGCGCTCCTACCAGGATTCCAGAGGCTTAGCAGGGTTGGATTCTGCATAGCCATTCCATGCACCACATAGTAGTACATGGTTGTCCTAGATACCGTGTTTAGAACTGACAGATGACTGCTCGAATATAGAGCAGAGATCTCAATTCAGCAACGGAAGATGATTCGGAGAGTTAAAACAGCGTTATAAAAAAACAGGAGTAATACAATACTTGTAATAAATACGTGCCAGCACAGCAAAACAACCAACCGAGCCAGTCAGACGGTCGTATTCCATAGAAACGGGTCAACGTCATGTATGTATGTATGCAAGCAAACCAGCAGACACGAGTGATGTCCCTGATTGGGCGGGCGGCAATACGGGAGTATCCACAGAGTGGCTGAAATGACATAGCATAATTGGGAAATGGATCCATTTTTGTCCGAGTTTGGTTGGCTGATTCTGGATTCGCCACTAGTTTCGCTACTAGCGCTGTAGAGCTACGTGCTGTCATTGGCTCCGTACGAAGATGAGTGCATGACCTGGTCTCATCGATGTGGGTACCAATACAAGCGTATTACGCTGACATGCTTACGAGAACGCTACAAACGTTGAGCCGAGTGACTCACTTTCTAAGCGAGAGCCGTACGGAAGTACCCAACAATACGGTCAGATTGGTACCGCCCTTGCTCAACGACTCCGCTATCTCTCTGTGAGTGGCCGGATCCATGTATTAGTCCCCTCGACTAGTACCGTACAATACGTATGTAACTCCTCGTCCTGTCCAGGCAGTGTCCCCCCCGTCAGCCTTTATTATTGTCCCGCCATCGTGAATCTCTTCTTCTCTCTCTCGTCCCACACTCAACTCGTCACAAACTTCGCCAACGACTCTGTATTCCTCGCTCGATCTACAATCTTTCTCTCATCTCTTTTTCCTTCATCTACGTGTATTCTTCAATTAAAGACTAGACAACGTTCATTGTTTGTTTCCTCTGTTGAAAACGCCCACACATAACGTATATATATATATACGCACCATGGCATCCGCTTATTTCTACAGCCAGCACCAGCACCAGCAACATCATGCTGTCAATGCCCACTTGCAACAATCCAACAATCACCACGGTGGTCGCCGAAGAGGGCCTCGCAGCATGGCCGCTCAGAATGCCCAGCGGCAATCTCGCAGTGTGAAGACCATGCGGGAAATGGTCGAAGCTCCTACCGTCACGGCTTTCCGTCAACGTTTCGAGGCTGGTCGCTCGTTTGATTTGGACGACGATCTGGAATTCTGTCCTAATCTACTTACCGAAGACGATGTTCGTTTGCCCAGCTTTCTAATTTGCTGGTCGGATTACTAACAGGATGTATAGCTGCATTCTATTAATTCCTCTGCTTCTGATCGCTCATCCCTGTCCAGCGGCTCTCCAGAGTCCTCGCCTCTGCAGCACCAAATTCAACCCGCCCAGCAACAGGTGACGCCAAGCATTTCTCTTTCACCCGGTCCTTCCAATACATCCTCCTATGTCAGCAATGTTGGTGCCATGAACCATAATATTAATGCCATGCATTTCCAGCAGCCCGCGGCTGCTCGTGCCCGAAAAGTCATTCCGATTGTCAACCCACAAACCGGCATTACTCTTTCCAGCCCCCCCACTTCGATCAATCCCAGTATGATGCAGAACCAGCGCCGGTGGTGAGCTCGTCGTGTTTTCGAAAGCTCTGACCTTGATCCATAAACTTTCCCTTTTTTCATTAGGCATGCCTCGTGACTTCGTTTCTCATCGCCGTCGCTGGCATCGATTTGCATCATCTGGGTAAGAGGAGTTATTTGCTTTTCCATTCGGTCTCGACGATCCCTTGCACGACAAATCTTTTCTTTTCTCCTGACCATATATCCTTTTGATCAACCCCAAAAAAAAGAATTTCTGTCAATATTGTATATATTTCTCTCTGTGACGACGACGACTACTTTGTTCTTTCGGCCTTTTTACCCACGATACTTGCAGATCAGCGACGGCGTATATGTTTTTGCATTCGACCATTTGTGACGGCATTCGCTTTTCAAGCGACGGGAAAAAAAATATACCAAAATTTCGTTTTCGGCCTGGTGCACGATTGCTGCTACGGTGTATAGAAAGCGCGGCATTGTTTTTTCTTTTTCCTTGTTTTTTCGAAGATATCACAACCGCATGCCTTGTGTTGGGGGAGTTTTCTTTCTGGATCTCGGCGACTTGCGATCTACGACTGTGTTTTTTTCACTCTACGACCACGCATTTATTCTTCGGTAATATGTCCTTATTCTACATCATTTATCATTATTATCACTGGGATGGATGTAACTGGGGTGGAATGGCTTGTTTATTTTATTTTATTTTTTTTCCTTTATTAGACGGCGGAAACGATACATGTTTTGCATTGGGTGTGATTTTGCTATTTGTCTTTGTCAAAGCATTCTGTTGTCAAGATATCTGGGCATCGGGAGAGCCCTCGTTTGATTTTGTTTTGTTCTGTTGATTTTCCGGATATCCATTGGGGCATATGTATGGGGTGGTGAAATGTAGGTGAGGTGTATCAGCCTACCTGGTCTGGAGTTTTGGTCTATGTTAGGCCCCGAATATATTGCTTCTATTATCTATTTCTTCTTTAAACTACTGGTAGAATAATATTGTTCTTGTATGAATAGCTAAACCGAGGATATCGGGTGTGCAGCCTGAGTTCTGAGGCATGCTGTAATCGTCGCATTGACGTCATCCATCCATTCGCCCAGATGACTCTCTCATATATAAGTTGGCAGCCCTCTTTACTCTGTGCTCCATCTAGTATCTTATCTATCAGACAAGAACTACTTGACTGCATTGACCAATTCAATCGTTTTGATCTCTTCAAATTGATCGGTCATCCTCCCACACCAGAACTCCGGCGATATATATCTTGATACATCACCAGAACAGAATCTCAGAGCAATTGACAGCAACAATGGCCTCACTCCCTTACATCCGTCAAACAATCCGACCATTTACTGCTACCTCTCTGTCCCTGGGCTCTGCTCCGGTGTGCTCATCGACAGCATCATTCTCAACATCCTCGATTCAGAGAGCTTTGAAAGAGAGTGATCGCAGTACGTCCTCCCATCACCCACCCCCATCAACCCAAATACTAATCCAATGATGTTCTGTGTATATAGACAGGGATGGTCTCGAAAACGAGTACGAAACCTATAAAAACGAAAACTTGAAAGACGTCAAATCTGGCAAGGGGTATTGGCGCGAACAACTCGCTAGCGAGAGTGAGGCAACTGTGAAAGCTGATCGGGGGGAGGCTGTGATTCCGGGGCAGGAGAATTTTGTGAAGGGGGGATTGAAGGAGGGGGAGACGTTGAAGAAGGATAAGAAATAAATCTATTCTGGAATGAGGAGGGTGTGTAATGGAGCTTTTTACAGGGTATTAGGAGGGGAATCGGTCGGGACGGATGTAAATACCTAGATTGACCTTCAAAAGGAAGGAATTGCTTGCTTGGTTAATTGAAAAATCATGAATAATCAGGTCCATTAAAGAGTGCGTGGTATCTCGAGATACAGCAAACCCAGAACGCCATGCAAAAAGCAAAAGGGGAGCCAGCTACTTCAAAATAACAATCAAAATAACAAGCACAATAATCAACCCAATAATAGTCATCATACTCCAATTATCTCCCGCTTTCCTCCGGATCTTATCCAGTCTGCGGCGCGCATTATTCAATCGTCCCTGATGCCGATCAACATGTTCATCCACATCATCCAACAGGGCGATTTGCCCTTCTAATTCATCGCCAATCTGGATACTCAATTGGTGTTGACGACCGATCGATTCGCCCAGCGAATCTAGTTGTGCGTCTTGTTCGGAGAGGATCTGCTGGTGGTGCGCGTGGATTTGTTGGTTGTCTAGGTTGGTTGTATCTAGGTACCTCGCTGTACCTTCTTCACGGGTAGTATTTGGATCGTCTCGGTAGGGCTGTAATAGTGCCGCTCGGTTTGAGTTATATTCATCGTCGCCGTCGTCATTAGCATCTGTAAATCTGACCGATTTCGAAACCGGATGTTGCGGAACAGGTTGCTGCAAATTCGTCCCGCGAGTCGCATGCGCAAAATCTGGTCCTAGAGCTGGATCGTTCGGTACTTTTGTGGCATCACTCGGCTCTGACGAGCCGCTGCCATAGAATTGAGATGCGAAATCGTCGTACTGGCTGCGTAGTAAGCTTATTTGTTCTCTGGTATCGGTGTCGGTGCCTGTGTTGTTGGTATCGTTTTCGAGGCGTTCGAGACCGTCGCGTAGGGACTCAAGAGATCGGGAGATTTCGCTGTCTTGGGTGTTTGGTTCGAGGTTGAGCGAGATTGCGCGTTGTCGTTCAAGGAGGGAGAGTTTGATGTGGTCTGCTAGGAGGAAGAGTTGGGATGGGTGTGACATGTTGTCTCTGTCTGTCGGTCTGTCTGTCTGAGTCGCAAATTGGGTTGATATGCCCTGATGCAGACTTGTAGAGTTCTGTATTGGTATGGTGGCCGTGGATGATGGATGAGAATGAAATGGGTTGCCTGAAACGGGCCGATTTCAGATCCCGTGGCTTGCTTGAGGCTAAGTTAACGTGGTCTGTCCGCAAACGATTAGTGGTTGTCAATGACCATGTAGTTAACCACTAGTTAACAGTAGTCAATAGTTATTCCTCTATCAGGGTGTTGTTGTCAACAATGTCAACAATGTAGAGTAATCGATCAGGTCGATGTGTAGCTTCGGACCCACGGATCTCTTCGGCATTTGTTTGGGCGGCTCCTTCTGTCTGATGCAATTTTGAGATTGCCGGAACTCTGAACCTACAACACTCGACCTTCGATACATTGCCTATGGAAATCTTCTGCATATACTCCGGTATGTGAACTAAAAAGATATCACAGAATCAAAAGCAAATATCTTGCAGATCAACACAGATTTGTTTCAGCCACTGAAACATCATCCAATCACAATACTCTTATCAGGAATCCCTAGCTGGGCGCCTCAGCTTTCGTACTACAGCTCATACACGCAACGCCCCTTTTGCGGAGGGTGTTGCTCGATGGTTACAAGCAGGGTCTGTGGAGGGCGAAGAAGACAATAACTATATAATCTCTGCCACTCCTGGAGACTTGGACTCCATGGACATCGCCGAGTTTCTTACAACAATGGATCTAGAACGCGGGGTAGAAGAGCTTGTCGACCTCAGAGCACTAGATTATGTCTCGACATACGACGAGCATTTGATGTGCCCTATATGTCACTGCCCATTTATACGACCCTTACGACTCCAATGTGACCATGTGTTTTGCCAGAAGTGTATCAACGATGCCATCGTATCCAATTCACGAGACTTCCGTTGTCCGTCTTGTCGTGCTCGTGGAGATATTTCTGGTAAGGTGCCGAGGATACTGATTAATATGTGCGACGATGTTCGAGTGCGTTGTCCGTACTCTACTGAAGGCTGTGCGGAGACTATGGCTCGTGGACATGTGCAGCTGCATGTGGATAAGTACTGCGATTACAAGCTGATGAAATGCCCGGACTTGACTTGTGGCCAAAAGACGCGCAAGAAGAATCTGAATCCTGAAAAGTGTATGCACAATATGGTGAAATGTGAATCTTGCGAAGAGAGTGTCATGGAGCAGGATCTAGAAGTGAGTATGAGTATGATGAATATATAAGACATACAACATCTAACTGAAGTAGGAACATCAAGATCAACACTGTCCCAGCTTACGAACGACTTGTCCCGATTGTGGCGCTATGGTATTTCGTAGCGCATTGGAACAACATATCGATACATGTCCGGAAGCCATTCACCCATGCCAGGCGTCCAAATATGGATGTCCTGTTAAACTCAAGCGCTCAGAGTTGGCCATCCATGAACGAAGCTGCCCGTTGATCACCATCGGTCCTTACATAGAAGTGCAAAATTCGCGCATTGACTCGCTTGATATGACGATTCGACAGCTACGACAAAGAAATGAAATTCTTGAAGATGGGATTGCTAGTATCCGTTCTACTCTGATGGAGAGTGCGCGTTTCTCGCCTGAAAATCGAACTCAACGCCAATCTCCTGGTGAGGATATGGCTCAAGATTCATCTCAATCTGGACCTACAGAGATTGAAGACAGTGACCGCTCGTCACAATTATCGACCTCGACGGCAATGACATATTTATTGTCGTTACATGAGTCCCTACGAGAAGAGGTATCTCAGCTCTCACACGCAATGACGGACCTTGATGCTCGAGCGAGTATGGCTATTTTGAACGAAAGCATGCGTGTCAACGAGGATCTCGCTCATACAAGCGCTGCAATAAACACAATACGAATGCAGATACATTGGCTATTGAATCCTCGGTTGCAACACGGTCATCGTCTTGGTGCCGCGACTGGGGCGGGAGGAGAATCGAGTCCTGGTCCGAGTACTCGGCCAGGTCCTGGACATGGTGGGTTGACGCCGCGACGGCGATTGAGCGATAGTGGTCGCGAGGGGACGAAATTGTAGCATGTCTACTGACGCTGACCCTAACAACGAAGGATTGATGTTATGACATAACGAGGCATGTTCACAGATACCCTATTAGCTGAGAGACAACGTACAATAGTTCGATATCATTAATGTATAGTAATAAACAGAAGCACTATCCTATCTTGGGAAGAATAAATGAATCGCCACCTGAGAAATCAGGCCTCGACACGTGACTTCCCCACCACAAAAAGTGCGGGCATCAAGCGCAAAACGAGACTAATCTACAAAGAGCCCACAACTTCTGTGGCGGCTGTCATCGCATTGCTGTCTTAGTTTACTCATTATACGTTCCAGTTTTGATAGCAGGTAGTAGACACTTCATTCATTGTGTCTCTACCCTGTCGTTGAACACTCATTTTTTCCCCTTAATTACATTGAGAAGAAGTATAGCCCAGGGAGAGGGCCGCCGCCGAGATGCCGCCAAAGAAAGGAGCAGATCAGGCAAAGAAGAAGAAGACGACGGTGGAGGATAAGGTGAGTTCTCTCTGAATGGATCTATTGGCATATATACTGACGTGTAAAGACTTTTGGCATGAAAAATGTAGGTCAACTATACGAACCCATTGACTATCGTATTTTCGAAAAGAGGAGACTGACCAAACCAGAAAAAAGGAGGAAGTGCCCGCCGACAAATAGCCCAACTCGAAGCCCAAGCCAAACACAACAAAAATGCCGACGAAAAACGCAAAGAAGCCGAAAAGGCCCGTCGAGCCGCCGAAAAGGCCGCCGAAGAACAAGCCAAACGTGAAGCCGCCGAACTCTTCAAACCCGTTCAAGTCCAGAAAGTCCCCTTTGGCGTCGACCCCAAAACCGTGGTGTGCCAATTCTATAAACAGGGACATTGCGAAAAGGGGAAGAAATGTAAATTCAGCCATGATCTTAGCGTGGAACGGAAATCGGCTAAGAGGGATTTGTATTCGGATACGAGAGATTCGGATGCTGCTAATGGTGGTAAAGAGAAGGATACGATGGATCAGTGGGATGAGGCTAAGCTGCGAGATGTGGTGTTGAGTAAACATGGGAATCCGCGCACAACGACAGATAAAGTTTGCAAGTATTTTATTGAGGCGGTTGAGAATCAGAAATATGGTTGGTTCTGGACGTGTCCGAATGGTGGTGATAAGTGCATGTATCGACATGCTCTGCCTCCTGGGTATGCTTCTCTTTTGTTTTCTTCTGAGGTCCGCGATACTGACGTTGATAGATTCGTGCTCAAAACAAAGGAGCAACGTGCCGCCGAAAAGGCACTAATGGAGAAATCACCCATGCACACCCTGACCCTAGAAGATTTCCTCGAATCCGAACGACACAAGCTCACCGGTACACTGACGCCAGTGACACCAGAGACCTTTGCCGAATGGAAGAAGAAACGACTCGACAAGAAGGCCGCCGAGGAAGAAGCTCGCAAGGCCAAGGAGGCTACTGGTCGTACGCTTTTCGAGTCTGGCAACTGGCGTACTGCTGGTGACAGTGAAGAGGAATCGGATGAAGAGGATGATGAAGATGGGGCGTGGAATTTGGAGGCGTTGCGGAAAGAGACTGAGCGGTTACGCATGGAGAAGGAAGAGGAGAGATTGGCGAAATTGCATGGTCTTTCTACGGGGGAGACAATTGGTGAAGCGGTTGCAGTTGACGGGGATGGTTAGATTGATAAGTTTACATGTTGATGATTTATGCATTGAGCCGGTTATTAAAATGGTACTGCACGAATATATTGTTGTCATTCTCAATTACTCGGACCTTAATCTAAATATTTCATGCGTTATAAGAATCACCACTTCTCAACATACGGTCTCAGATCCAACTCATATGCAAACGTAGTCCTGGGCTGCGTATGCAAGAACCAATACGAATCGGCAATCTACATTGTCAGCCATGCATCATAAGCAAAGTGAGACGCGACGACTTACAGCATCAGGACTAATCTTCGCATCTTCATGCTCAAACTTCCATTCCTTTGTACGCGGGATATCAATCACACCGTCAACAATGACATGCGACACATGCACGCCCTTGGGCCCAAATTCTCTGGCCAGAGATTGTGAGAGAGCCCTAAGACCGAATTTGGCGCTTGCGAAGACGCTGAAATTTGCTGAGCCGCGGATACTTGCCGTTGCTCCTGTAACACTCTCAGTATATCTGCCATTCGGATAATGAGAATAGGAGGGGAAAATACCAGTAAATATCAAACTAGGCGGAAACTCAACCTTCTCCTCCACCCCCTTAAGCAACAATGGTAACGTAGCCTGCGCAAACAAAAAAGCCCCCTTAACCTGCCCTTCCCAACCAGCCGCAAATTCGGATTCGGTCAACTCTAGGAATGGTTTTCGCACAAATCCGCCCCCGGAGTTGAATACTGCTGCTGCAATGGGACTGTCGGGGAATAGCTCCGTGGTGATCTTTTTGAAAGTACTAGAAACGGAGGTGGAGTCGGAGAGGTCGGTGCTTAGACCTATGGCTTGTCCGCCGGAGGAGTTTATGGTTTGGACGACTTCGGCGTAGTTGGAAGGGTTGCGGGCGAGGACAATGACGGGGTAGTGTTGGGCGAATTTGCGAGCTATTGAGGAGCCCTTTCATCTCAAGTTAGTATCAGCATAGATTGGAGGATTGGAGGAAGGGGGCGAGTACAGTTCCAGGTCCGACGCCGGCGATGACAGCAATTGCTTTCTTTGTAGACATTGTTTGTTCTTCTTCGCTTCTTTAGTATTGATGCTTCGAGACCTTCGGGTGAGCTATATCAGGATGAATCGATATCAATATCAAGTGGGGAACCAGCGGAATAGCAATCGCCTTAAATAATGTTCAACACACCCAGTTGCTTAGAAATCAACAGATTCAAATGCAAACCACTTTGTAATCATGGACAGAAATGCAGAGATATGGATGGTGAGATATTGAGGGGTGTTGATGGCGTCATCCATCCATTATCTTTCTGATTACTTATCGTGATTAGGGTTAGAGATATTATACAATGGGGTAGATTACCCTAACTAATGCAAATAATCGTACAAAGTGCGTAATTTTACCACCGCCGCCATCCTTTCTTATTGCTGTTATCATCTCCCCCATCCTGAGACAGTTGCCTCTCGGAATCAAGCATTCTATCGAATTGTCGTTGAGCAGCTTCCCTTTCCCGCTGTCCGTTTTGCTGTTCGCTTTCATACGATGAGTACTCAGAGGAAGCGCTTGGTTGTTGTCGTCCCCAGCTCGATGGTGACGGCGCAGAGATGGATGCGTGAGAGGCGGTTTCGCGTCTAATTCGGTCCCATGCATTCTCATTTGATGCCGGTGTTGGTCTCGACGGTGATGCCGTCGACGCCTGGTACTCAGGTACCGTAGGACTAGCATCATCAAAGAAATCCGACGAAGGAGATTCTTCCGGAACATAAGACCGAGTAGTCTCATAACTTCTCGGCGGAGTCTGATATGACGGCGAAGGCGAGCTGTGACTCTGATCATCTGTCGTACCCTCTGTTGATTCCGCTTTATAATTTTCTTCCGGCTCCTCCGCACTCACTGTCGTACCCTCATGTCTAGCAGCATCCCTCTGCTCCCTCCTCTGCTTCGTCTTCTCCTTATACCCTTCCATCCTCTGCATCCTCGCCTCCGCATACCGTCTAACCGCGTCTCTAAACTCGGCCAACCTTGGATCCGACGACAATGCGACTGTAAGCCGATACGTAGCCAACGCACTAAAATTGCCCAACGTAAAAATAACCCAAACACCAAACCTCAACCCAGCCTGCAATGCAGCCTGTCTCCTCTCCAATACAGGGGAAAGACGCCAGGCGACTTTCAACCCTTCCAAAAATGAGAGTTCGCTCGGAATACTCAATTTCTTGCGCAGCGTATAATATGCATGAACCGATCCCGCCGTGACGCCAATTGGCAGTCCGATTCTGCGTGTATTCACTTCGCGACTTGTATATTCAACCAAAGCGTCAACTTCGGGTTGAGTCGGATCTCGTCGTAGCAGTCCCTTTACGGTCTCCAATTGTGCGGAAAGGCGGTACATTACTGTCCTTTCCCAGTTCCAGGGTCCTGCGAAACCGACCCATAGTAAGAATGGGTTGGGGCGTTGGAGGTATTGTCGGTTGATTTTGAGGGGGAAGACAGAGGCATAGCGTGATGAGAGGTCGGGGCTGTCCCAGGTATCTGTGTTTGTGGACGGGTCGAGGGTTGTTGAATCTGAAGAAGAGGAGTCATCGAGGACCATATTGAATATTTAGTTGTTCTTTTGGTGGATGTTGAAGATGCAGCTCTGTCTTCTAGGAAGAAGTGAGGAGAGCTCAATCGGAGCTTGCACTCCGCCCGAAAGAAACCTGACGTCGTTCGTGCTTAGTCAGCCCCATATTTTCTTGGACAATTCCGACGAAGGCAAACACCGCACCACATGTTATAAGCCCCAAAACATGCTCTGATTCAGTACGATCAGCATTAGCATGGCTTCAATATGCTAGGACGTGTGGCACACAGACTTCGACCACAAGACAATCTCTACAAGTCTACTTCACCACCGTCAATTCATTAAGCATACTCGCACTGCACTAGTTGACTGCATCTACCAAGTCAAAGTCGGAACTAACCACATGTATAATTGTATATATAGCTAGGACCAAGTCATTACGCTCCCCATTGTAATCGCCCTCGCGGGCTACACTATAAACGTTCTTTTCTCAAGAAAACCAATTCTTGAAAAGAGGAGAGAGAGAGAGAGATTAAAAAAGAAGGGAAAAAAAGGGCAAACAACAAACAAGCGGAATGAGCAAGGCGAAAGGAAACAACGAGAAGTCTCCTGGATATTTATAGTTGTAGATTAGGGGCAAGAGAGAAAAGAAGATACAAAGTACCTTGTGGAAACAAATTGAACGAAACAAGGTAAAAAGATGCATAAAGTAAGCTGGGAATAATCGTACAGCACGGATAATCAAATAGGATATTCAAAGTATAAAGAGATTCGTAACTTCGTGCGCGTACAATTAGTTAGTATAGAATAGAAGAAAAAAGACAGAGCAACGAAACATGACAAAAAAAAAGGAGTGAAAAAACGAGATCAGTCTTTTGCTATTGTAACACTCTCGTACGGAGAAGCATTCTTATCAAATGATTCTGTCGGTGGAGACTGTACACCAGGACCACGACTGGTACTGCGCATTCGACCTGTAAAGTTTCTGAATTTGCTCGCAAAAGTCTCATTAATGCTGCGACCTCGTCGATGGTCAACTGACATTCTGCGCATGGACTGTGCATCGGCACCGGTCGTCATTGGCCTTGCAAGTTCATACCCGGCGCGAGAATTATCGGTCATGATCTGGCTGGACTCAATATCTCTACCTCTCGTTCCGGCGTTAGGAGCAGGTGGTGGTGGGGGAGGCGTCGTCAAATGCTGTAGTTCTGGAAGTATTGGTGGAACGATTTTCGTATTGTCCACGATAATATCAGGTTCAATGCTCACAGAAACTGACGGAGGGGATCCAAAAGTTGACTGTCCAAGCTCTGAAGAGTTCTCACGTCGATGGCCCCGAGGCCCTGGTCCTCGAGTCCTGCTAGTTGATCTGCTCCGCGGCATGCTGGGTATAAACCTTGGATGATGTGGAAGGTCGGCGGGAACGGGTGTTTGGTGAAACTCCACCACTGGAACGGACATGGACCGGCTGATCTTAGCAGCTTCATCTTGATAGACCGTGCTCGGAAGCGTTAGAGGTATCTCTGGCATGGCTGGTGCCTCGCCATCAACGTATCCATCACTATATTTAGGTCGTCGCATTGCCTTTGGTGTGGCTGGTAAGCCGACGGTACCTGAACGCCCACGAGTAGATGAACCAGAATCAGACCCATTCGCAAAAGTTGGTGACCTCTTGCTGGCGTTGCTTTTAGACCGAATCCGTTTGTTGAAAGAACCGCCTGACGAAGGAGGGCTTTCCGGCAAATTCCCACCAACAGCAGACATCATTGCAGCCGTCTGAAAGTCACCAGGATGTGGAATCTTAGGAGCAGAAGGGCGACGAGCTAGTGAGAGTCGGCGAGCCTCGAGTTCTGCTGCTGCCAGTTCCCTCTTTGCCCGCTCGTGCGCACTCAAAACCATGTTGGAAGTACTAGAGAATTCTGGTCGCGAAGACTCTTCAACGAACGATTCGTTTGATAAAATAACCTCGGAAGGAGTTTCTACCGACTGATTGGGTTCACGAGCCTGACGACTGCTTGATCGAGCTCTGGGACGCCGTTTGTCTGGGGAGGTGTCGCGTCTCACGCTGCTGGTACCACGTCGGCGACTGGAACTTCGCTGTCGGGACCGATGCAGTCGTTCACGATCACTAGTAACAAAGCGAAGGCTATCTTCAAATCCTCTCATATCCTCTGCAGGTGACATTGGTAATGGCGATGTTGGTGACCTCACACCTGACTTACTCCTATCACCACTGCGTCCTCGACTGCGACGGCTGCTATTGCGACTCTTTACCTTGTGCTTCCGCTCAATACCTCTAGATGTCGATCGTTGATGGCGGTCGGCCTTGGATGAGGCGCGAACACGAGAGCTGCCCTTTGTATGACTCCTACTACGACGCTTTGTGATCTCTGCGCTGAGGCTTTCCACACTAGCATTATATTTTGCAAACTCTTCTGGAGACATTGGAACAGGGGAAGATGGTGAACGCTTGGCAGGGGCAATGTACCGGTTGGTTGCCCGTCCACGAGAGTCTACAGAACCATTCCTAGAACTCTTCTTGCCGTGCTCACTGCCTGCTTCATGTCGTCGAGTCTTTGTATGAGGACGATGGACATTGGCATAGTAGTTAGCCTCGTCTAGGCTGCTGATATACTGATCAATACTGCGGCTGCTGACACTGGGACTCTTGGTGGACCGTAAGCTCTGGAACACTGAACTTGGAGTTCCACCACCGGTCCCGCCTGTGTATGGCCCAGCCTCGGACTCAGATGTATCGACTGGTGGCCATTGAATATGGAGGCCTTCTGGCTTGCGGTCGCGAGAACCGTTTCTGGCCGCAGCTTGACCCTTGAGCGTCTCGAAAACACCTGCAGCAGGAGATGGAAGACCCTTAATATTTTCGAACTTGTTTGCTCCTGTCTGCACGGCTGTTTGCGGACTCGGGCCATGACTGTCCTTTGCTGGTTCGTAGCGCGCCGAAGATAATAACAGTATGGGTGCGTCGTTATTGTCGCTAGATTCGTTGGGATCAGATTGAGATATGTTGCGCTTCCCTTTCTCGGAACTTGAATCGACTGGCGTGGGAAGAGACCTTGGAGGGAAGTTGGGAGGATGCACGTCCACAGGAGTTTCACCTATTGAAGGTAATCGATGTCGGTGCGCATGACTAGGTGTTCCAACTCTAGATAATGCGTTATTGAGACTGCGCGCATTGTTGAGTCTGTACGATCCGAGGCCTCCTGGCGAAAGCGCAGACTCTCCTACGGCCGATTCAGCAATGGGCGTGATACCAGGTGCGTTGGTTGGAGTGCGATCATCTGACTTGAGGCCGGGGAATTTGAAGGCCTGATTACCCTGGGGCCCGAAAGAAGTAATAAGTTTGAGTGCTGAATTCTTCACGGTCATTCGATTGGCAGATTCAGGCTTCAGCATTTGATCAACCGGTTTTGGCGGTGGTTCGGAGACGGGAGAGGCAACATGAAGCTCGCGATACGGTGCGTTAGGCGCTGTAGGGGACATCCATGGCTCTGAGGGTTCTGCTCCTGTACACATGAAGCATCGAATTGCCAGTTGCTGTTGAGCATTCGATACCACATGCTCGCCCCATCGACGAACAAGGTATGACTGTCGCTGCCAATCATTTGGTAGGAGGAGGCAGGTCATGAGAATGGCTTCCATGTAGTAGTTGCGCGACACATAGACCTCAATCGCGTCATTACGGTCCCCAAGAGCAAGGAGAATTGTGGCAGAAGCATGAATATCGCCAATCTCCAGTAACCTCTGAACGAAACTTTGGCCGACCTTGTTGGCTTGCTCTTCACCACCCATTTGACTGAGAGCTAGGAACATCCACGCAGAAGAATTCACGGGCCCTGAACTAAGCATAGCCATCATTTGCATTGGATCGTTTTCGCCCAACCAACGTGAAAGGAATATCGCATTTTGACTGGCCGGGGGATGTCGACTCACTATCGGATTATCAGAGCATGGCTATACATTCGTTAAAAGAAAGACTTACACTCGTCCCGAATTAAGCCTTCAATATCTCCCTCCCATCCAAAAACAACACGAAGCATCTGTTGTCGCAGTGCTTCAGGTGTTAGGCGAGATTCATCAAGCGGCGGCAACTGTTGCATATACGAGACTTCATTGACTCGCTCTCTCGTAAATGGGAAGAGATCGACCAAAGGTTTGTCGACAGGACTCTGGGTAATTTCGTTGCGAAGTCGTGAGCCACCCCGGGAGCGGACAGAAGAGACTGATGCAGTAGAACCGTATGCAATCGAGGTACCTGATTGGGAAGGCAGACGGCCCAGAGGCGAGGTCATGGAAAAGGTCGTCCCACTATAGGTTGATTTGTTGACAGGAGAGAAAGGCCGGACACGTCCAGATGAAGCATGGGAGCTGATTGAGTTAGTACGGCTCCTAGCTGACATCGGACTGGCGGTGGCTGCTCGCTGCTGACTAGCAAGCTCTTGGATTGACACTTCAGGCCCTCGGAACCCCTGGGCACTTCGAGTCCCGCTCCTTGAAAAGTAACTTGGCGACATCGGTCTCACTTTTGACTCTTCCACAAGAGCTATCTGATCCATCGGAAGATGCCTAACATTCTTGACCATGGCTGGATTTTCCAAATCATATTGCTGGACGGTATTGTTGGGACCAAGAGTAAAGAGAGTCGCAGTTGGGCCGTAATTGGCCATACCAAGTACATCCTCGATCGTGGGGATAGTTACATACGTGACATGTTTGGTTCTGACATCCCATACCCAAGTTTCCCTGCAAGAGTGAGAATTAGGTTCTATCAAAGCTAATGATCCAAACTCACCTGTCTGAATATTGTACGATTCTACCATTCTTGGACCAAGCAATCCACTTCGGGCCCGTCGAGTAAGGTTCTGTACGTTTTAATGCACGGATAACTCGAGGAGATTCGTTCAATGGTGCCTTTGCCACACTCCATACTCGAAGATCGCCATCCAAGGTTTGTGTAGCGAGCATATCCGATTTTTGTTTCGACGACGATGCATGCCAGGCGAGACATACTATTGGAGACGGACCGCGGCTTGTAGAAAGAGTATGGAGGATCGTGAATGCGGGGTGCAGCGTTGCTATAAGAATCGAGCCATTTTGATATCTGGAGACATTTGAATATCAGCATATGCAGTCATAGTCACCAATTGAGGCCACTCACCCAATTGCATATGTCCGACAGTCTGCGGATGGGGCCAGGGAGGTTATAGGGTCAAAAATCGTGCGAGCTGACAGGTGTTCGGAAGTGGAAGGTTCAAACAGTATAACATCACCCTTGCCATTGCCTGTTATTACAAAGTTAATATGCAAACACTAATACTGAACGATTCTGCAGAGTCATTACCAAAAGCCACATTCCCATTCCGCATCCAGGCTGCTACTCGAAGAGGCTCGTATGAAGCAAACCGCGATATTTCACTTCCAGTGAAGAGATCCCATACGATAGCTGTTTGAGCAAAGTCGTAGCTGACCACCAGTCGGCCGGCACCCCTTTCACTAACATTGTCGACACATATAAATGCGATCCTCTCTTCATGGAGTGTAAATCGACGTTCAATCGCTAAAGTGTCATGGTGCAGGCAAAGAATGACCGAGCCTTGTGAAAAGAGAAACAATGATGCTGTTGAAGCACAGGGCTGGAATTCAGAATCCCAAGCTGGGTCCAACGGTGTGGCGGGTGCTGTCGACTGTGTAGTGGAACCCACAGGTCGATGCCACGACGACAGGTCCGACATATTCAGACACGCACAAGCGATACTATGAATCTATCAGTGTGAAATCATGATGGATACGAACTGCAAAGCGTCTATGTCCAACCCTCAAGCCTCCAAGTAGGGTAGAACCAGGCTGAGAAATAGGAAGCTAGGAAAGCAAAGCACAAGCAGAGTAATAATGTGGTATGTGGTAGCACACCACGAGTGAAAAATGTGGTCATACAGCAAGCTGAATTTCTATTGTGAAGACTTGTTACTCACCGTCAACCACGATCCAAAGTATGAATCACAGGCGACTATCCCATCAACCTGCCGGACCTCCGATATCTGAACGACCGGGCGTGACAGGTGCTCCGCGACCACGGCATACAGAAGAACTTTGTTCAGATGTCGAGACAAGACGAAAGTTGAGTCGGATCTGTCAAAAGATAGAAATTGTGGTTGCGAATAGCCGCCGACCAGGGTATATTCCTATCTTTCTTTTCTTTTCTTTCTCGGGAAAGATGGTGTGAAAGAAGGACAAGGTAGAGAGATATGGAGCAAGTAACCAGACAAAAAGGATAAATGCAGCTTACATAGTGCGTGGGAAGAAACCCTGCTCGTGAGGGGAGGGGCAGGGGAAGCAGAAGCAAAAAAGAGACGCAGGGCAATGAGATGCAGGCACCGGGGAAAAGAGGCCCCAACGGCATAATATTGTTAGTGTTACAATAAGTAGCAAACGAGATGAAGGGCCGATCCGAATATAGAACCAGCCGATGGCCAGCGGCCAGTCATCGAGATATCACGGCGCCAGTGCATATCAGTAGCATGGAGTGGAATGTGCCAACCACCGTGTCATGTCGCGGGGCTGACAGAACGGATGCAATGAGTGGACGACTCAGAGCTCGTGTGGCATGAGAGCAATTTGCGGACAGCGCCAACGAGGGCTCTCAAGTGGAAGATCTGTCCGGGAGGAATAGTGGGACAAGCATCCGCCTCGTTCCATCGTCGAGTGGAGACTGTTGACATGGGATAAGGACGGAGTACGAGTCAATCCATCCATTTGATCTCTAGCTTCGCATCGGATCGCAACCGAAGTTGCCTTTTCATGCAGACGTCCATGCACGTCCTTTGACTTTGGCTCTTGATGAGCGACACGAGATACTCTCTATCTGCTGATTCGAAATGCAACGGACGGTATCTGCTTTCCCCTCGGTCAGTCTGTTTTGGTCTCAATCGCAACTCACCGCTAGAACGGTGCTAGCACTAGCAGTCAGTGCTCAGCCAGACGAGTGAAGGAGGAGAGAGCGAGAGTTGTCGATCTGAGCAAGGACGCTAAGCGGAAAGAGCAACTCATTGCTGGGACGCCCTGATTGGCCAATGTGGCTTCTTCACACTGCAGCCCTCATCACGAAGAGACAGCCAATCAGAGCGCTGAAGAAGTGTGCTGGCTGCATGGGAACATCACTGGCCCCACCGCGCTAAGGGCCGCTAAAACAAGGCCCGGCGCGTACGGAGGTTTATCTCTGATCCTAACATACTATGTATATCACTGCTCATCTGCTTGTTTACAAGTATCCAGTCGTTGGGTTGGTTGACAGTCTTGCAGCTACAGAGAATGTTGATGAAGGATTACTTGAGTAGCTGTGTTTGCCACGGACAAACCATTATTATGCATCTGAGTTCTCAACGACTGATTTGTTTCGAAACCATCACGTGTATTCTCGAATATTAAGCATGACATGAGACGGACCAATCACATTTCTGCGATGCAATATATTCTCATCAGACTACACCGAATGAGGAATTCGGATCAATGAGTGGCTGGATTGCAGCATTTCACCATAGACTGAGTCCTACGAAGTTTACTATCCACGCCAAGTGGCGGGAATGAATATGTGCCCAATCACTCATCTATATATCTACTGACCTAGTCGCTTTGTATAACTAACTAAGAATAGGCAAGCCCCAAATATCCGGTGGACTGACAACAGCTGTAGCGGAGTTCAGCGCAAGACAAGATGCTTTGGAAAGGACTTAATCGTTCTACTCGTACAACCCAACCAACAAAAGAAAGAAGTAAAAAGAGAATGAAAATAGCAACGTGCATATCACAATGCACCGCATAATTAATGTACTAGGCCACAGACTAGAAGCCTCAGACAAGCAGTACTCTGTACAAATACTGAGTGAATGCATTGCATGCCCACTATTTCAAACTGGACTGACTTGGCTGAGGGGCGGTCGAGTTACAGTCCATAGCGGTGTGATAGGAGGGTTACACGGGATATATGGTTAATTTGATGCTGTGCCCGAGGCATAACCGTCATTGCTCATAAGCCTAGGACGATTGTTTCTCGAGTTTCATTCTTGAATGGGATGGATGTTTAAAAACGTACCTTTTTATACATAAGGCACCGCTATAATCGGCGAATAAAAGTACCATTGACCGATATACCGAATGTGATAAACAGGCTCGTAAGCCGAGCAGGGAAGGGATAACTCCGTCTTTAGTGTCAAGGTATCAACATGTCCATTTTTTCTTCTAGAGACTAGAACTCCGTTCGTACTACGTACGTACATAAAACGGGATTTAAGGACAAGGTGGTGGAGATTCAATTGCTGAAGAATAGGACCATCTTTTATCAATTACTCCACTTGAGTCTTGACTTTTATCGCATGCTCGAGAAGTTGATACGGTCAGACATTGCCCAAAGCGAATGAAACAAGGAAGACGGGTCATATAACCACGTGATGGATACAGTATGCTTGGGGAATATTAAACTAGCAGCAAAATAAATGTATCCAACCAGCCAATCCTGGGACATGATTTCGAAATATTTTTCTATTTTCTTCCATATCGACCTTCGGGAGGTATAGAGTACAGGTCTGGTTATGATTTTGATACAGACTTGTTAGTCACACCCCGTGACTATCAAAGCCCAATGTGATTGTGCCCAGTGCACGATCAAGTCGAGTCAGTCAGTCAGTCAAATACCCTGGATCGATTTTTCCGACAACCAGTCCGAAAACGTTTAGGCACACAAGGAGGTACACTAGAAGCAAAAGCCTCTTATACATACTCGACCGTTAGTTATCAGTCTTTAGTATCTTTAGCATACTATCCCGATAGAGAAATTACCTTGTCATTTGGTTCGTCTGAGGGGGATCCGTGGATATCGTCTAGTTAGTTGAGAGTCAGGCCTTTGCTCGTCGACGAAGTTGAAGTAGAAACCCTAACTTAAGTACCCACATTATGTGATCCCCCGCACCTGCGATGCGAGGTGTTGTCATTCTCGCTTTTCATTGATTTTTGCTTTTTCTCAATGCGGCATTTCTTTAGTTTGGGATACCCACTACGGATTAAACATTTAAATATAGATATCAAAATACGCATGGCTGGGCTGGTTCCTTGCTTGATATCTATGGGTGCGAAGATGGAATACACTACTGAAGCCACAGAATAGCGAACCATAGAACCAACAATTCACCAATATACAAACCTATAAATATCTTTATCTGTACGTATTCTTATTTTGTACGCATTTTAAAAATTGTTGAGAGTTCCTTCCACAAAAGTCTTATTAATAGTACTTTAAGGTCCAGGATTAGGGTTATGCATACTCTATTTCCGGGATACCAATTGACAGGAATAGCATATAGATATTATTGCATAGGTATTTTAGTACATGAATTGCCAACGAATACATGCATATCTACTACTTGGTTTCAAGCAAATGTAGACACGGGAATATGTCCTAATAAAGAAGCTGGTTTCTATATCCTAGGTTCAGAGAACGCGGGGATGATAAGATGATAGAAAACTAAATCACTCCGTATGTAGGTCATGTATGGCCAGAAGTTAGGTTATTTGTGTCTTACATCTTTTTTCTTGCTCTCCTGATTGTGCATTCTCTTTAGCAGAGGTTGATATAAGACATATAGAAAGGAATTTGACTAAATGTACGATACCAATGCCGTATAACGGCCATATGTCTGGACGGGCCCAGATTGAGTGCAGTACCTAGGTATACATTTGGCCTGAATGTAGAGCGACATATTTACCGCTGCTGATGTTGAAGAGTGGGTAGTCCTTATATGAAGTTGGCTCTAATTGAAGAAATTCATGCTCAACTAGGGGCATATCAGCAGCACCGCTTCAGAATCTCGCTCCCTATCGCTGGCATTTTGTATATTGTTGCTATTAAGTAACCTTGATGATTACAAGCTCTACTTCTCCGGTTGGAATTACTGTAGAAGCTGTAACCAAAACATCACATCACGCCTCCCAACTCGATATATCATAATCATTCTCAATTGCGTTGGGAATCGGACCAGAAATATGACAAATTTTTGTTTCCTTGGGCTTCTCACTCCTATTCATAACATCTGACGACCTGAGGGGAGTCCACACTAGTTGCTTGACGGCTACTTTTCCAGGTCATATGGCCAGATTGATCTCAAAATTGCTTCGTCCTTTACTGGCTCATCATCTTTAACGTCCTTGTTTGTCAACACAGCAGTCAACATGCCATCAAATACTTCTCTGTGGGCTGATTTCATTGCTTCCCATTCATCTGAAGGAGAACATCCGTCAGTCGGCATTAAGCAGGTCCGAGAGGTCATGTCTCAATTCCTGCGCTACTACAAACAGTCTGTACTCTCTTTCATGTTCTACTAACTTATCCGGCGAGGGAAGGGTAAACGGACTGGACCCTGCAAGACCCAACTCATTCCGCCGTTGGGCGATTACGATCAGTTCATGGCGTAGGGCAACGGCGCCATCCTTCCACGTTCTGTAACTGTATAGAAAAGGTCGGAAAAGATTCTGGTCCATTGATCTAGGACCATAAAGTTTGGAAGTCAGAAATCGAGGGCAGACATTGTGTTTGAAATCGCACTCAGGAGCTGCAAAATCTGGCATTTCCTCAGCGCACCAAAATGCGGACTCAATACTGCCTGTTTGCCAATCGATGACAACTGCTATTTTTGTAGGATCGTTTTCTGACACGAATATATTTCTTTTGTGTAAATCAGGATGGAATAGTGTTGGAGTTGCCGCTGCCTGAATCAGAGAGCCTGCACACAGTCTTTTGAGTACCATCCGGCAGCTATTAAGGAAATCCAGATGTGCTTGGATGGAACCATAATAGGAGGGCCGTTTATCAGCTTCAGTGTCGTTGAGCGGAATTCTGGATATACCTGCATCAACAAGACCATCGCTGTATTCGTCAAGAGTGGTCCCTATGGAACGAGTAGATAATTTGACTAAGATTTCAATCAATTTTCCCTGACAACCTACGCGGCCCCTGATTAGATTTCATGTTATGATAATATCTTCGTTCGCTAGCATTGCAGTCCCAATACCTAGGCGCGCAGTGCGGTCCGATACAGAAGCCTTCACCTATAGGCCGTTTTGCCATCAGATTTGAGGCTGCCTTCGAAATTCACGCTGCCAAAAGCTGGAAACTCTAAGTCTACCATTTCTTTGAGCTTCCGGTAAATTTGATCTATGCATCGTACGCGTACGCGCTCATTATTAGCCATTGCCAGCCATTTTGGTGTAATTGGATGCCTTCAACATATCCCATAATGACATATTCGCTACCAACAGGATTCGAAGGTTCGTCGCTCCAGTCGAGATTGTTCGGTATTGGTACGTTTTTCTTAGCCTGTACTATCCGAAGATGAGTTGTTGGCCAGGATGAGGGAGTGTTCGATTCACGATATTTGATTGTCGCAACTTCAGAGGTTGTTGTTACTTTCGAGGGTCCAGCCAGAGTAAGTGGAACTTTTGCCACGAGCCGTTTCAAATTTTACAAAAGATAAAGCCCTGTTAAATCCTCCTTCTATTTTTTGGCAGTTCAAGATGGAGTTGGCTCCTGGGGATAGTTTAAGAATCTTTTGGCAAAGGGCATTGAAATCAAGCCCGATGTAGCGCGTAGCTCTTTCTTTCTGGTTATGACGAAGCCATTGTCCGCTTGTATAATTATGAGGGTCGAATGTAATCCTTTGGTTTGCAGGTTTGTAATTTGGCAGAGTTGCAGACCACCTACACGTCCTACGCGACTGGTGGGCGATGGGTATTGAAATGCTTGAACAGAGTCGATGGGACAAGGAAAATAGATCATGAAAATTTCGAACCCATATGTGTTTGCGTGCCATGATAAGAGTTGAAAGCAAAGAGATTGGAAAAGTTCATGATAAGACGGTAAGAGCTGCGTAGTCACCTGACTATTTAGCCTCGTCCAGCTAGCTACTCTAGCCTTTAGCCAATTTAGGAAGCAGCTATGTATCTAATACCACCATAAGTAAGGATTTACTCCGGTGCTTAGCTATTGATTGAGGCAAAGATCTCACACAAAGATCTAGAAGTTAGGGCTCGATCGTGGCGGCAGTTTCCATTTTCGGAAAGGTTATTGATGTGTGACGTCATCGTCTAGTCGCGTGTTTCTCAGTTCAATTCACATTTGGACTCAACGTTGTTATGGATACTATATATACTCAATTGAACAAGACTACTATGTTCAGGATGTCCAAAAGAACACTCGACGCATATTTGAAACCCGTCCGGTCATCTACAGACACGTCTTCATCCAAAAAGCTCAAAGAGACGACGGCAACCACGGCGGCAACAAGGACATCAGTAGTAGATGCAACAGATATAAAAGAAAACACAGCGGCCTCAAAGATATCACGCAATGAAACCAAGCCACCAGATTACACAGCAGACACGCATCCTTCCTACCCAGTCCCCATCACCGCAATTCGACCTCACATCTACACTGCCCTAAAAGCGACAACGCCCGCTCGTACACCGAAAGCAATCAATAATCAACCCCACTTGGATTTGTTATACTACGAGCCGTTTATACCACAACCTACAGCAGACGAATACTTCCAATTTCTGCGGCGAGAATTACCATTTTACCGTGTAAGATACACCATAAAGCGAGGACCAACCGAAACAGTCATCAATACGCCACGATACACAACCGTCTTCGGCGTAGATACCACATCATACTTCTCCCTGCCACCAGGCGAGAGGGATTCTGACTGTAAAGACAAAGGCAATCCGGAAGGCAAGCTGCTATTCGACAGCAAAACTCACCAACCCATCTCCAAGAACAAGTACAAGTGTACACCGCGTCCCATCCCATCCTGTCTAGACCACCTACGCAAAACCGTGGAAGCCACTTTGAACCACGGAACAAGCTACAATTTTGTGCTAGTCAATTATTATGCCTCTGGCGATGATAGTATATCCTATCATTCCGATGACGAGCGGTTTTTGGGTCCATTACCGAATATTGCTAGTTTGACATTAGGTGCGAGAAGGGATTTTCTGATGAAACATAAAGCTGTTGCCGGTGCAGCACCCAGAAAAGATAAGCCGCTAAAACTACCGCTTGGATCTGGTGATTTGATCATTATGAGAGGTGACACACAATCGAATTGGCTGCATTCGATACCGAAACGGAAGGGAGGAGAGTCTGGGAGTGGGAGGATCAATATTACGCTTAGAAAAGCGGTTGTGCCGGGTGGGACGGAGAATTATTATCGATATAATGTTGGAGATGGAGGGTTATATCGGTGGTCCGACAGTGCTAAGGAGATGGTTTTGGCTGCTTGAAAATCAGGTCTAGATTTGCGGAGTGATTGATTGGGCACAGGAAAGCTTGTTCAAGAGCCAACTAGACTGATTAGACACATGAAGGAAAAATGTGAAAGGCATACCCTGGTGTATGGCAGGCGATTTGACATTGACTAGTTATAGTTAAAGCAGTATACCTAACAAGATATAAGAAATTGCCTGTAAACCCCCAAGGTCTCTTAGGATTATGGAGAGAATTAGGGCTTTTTTGAAGCCCCAGGCAGCAGTGACTCAGATTTGACTCATAAGCCCGCGCCTTCCTATTTCGGTATAGGCAAATATGGCCGCAGTTTCCTCCTTCCTTTCTTCCTTTACTTCAGGTTATTCATCTCTAACATCTCTTTTCTTGAACCATAATGATCGTACGAACTTTTCATACCAGAGTGAAATACGAATATACGCTACGAGTCATGACATACACGATCATGCAATTGGTGGATTGATGCGTTGTTATATTACAAATGACATGAGCGTCGATGCTGTCAAGCAAATAGTCCTCAGGACTTGAATATGACTTGGGAGACAATCACACCAGTCTCAATACATACAACTTAAGGGACGTCGTTGGCAGCAGACACCATATCATGATCTTGACCCTTGCTCACCAAGCCCTGTCTCGCCGCCCGGTTTCCATCGCTAAACTGCGACGGATCAGGCTGGGGGTTCCCTGCCTGGTCCATATGGAGCTCCAATGTGCTCTCTGGTCCCCATGCCGTAGCGTTTGACGGCATCTCTGGATTCGAAGCAGCTTTGTCGCGCATTCTGGCCTCCCACTTGCGATCTTGTGTTACGCCACGGATTCGGCGCTGTTGATCAGCACGCTCAGGATAGCGGATTGCTGTGTCGGTTTTGGATGATGGCATTTTGGGCGGTTCTTCTTGGAAGATCCTTGCTCAATAGAAGTCAAGAAACGGCAAACTGGTTCAAAACGAAGGTAAGGTTTGAAATGTCCAACCCCAAATTTTGACTGTCTGAACACTATTTATGTCCTCCATCTGTGGCAAGTGATTCAAGCATGACGGGACTCTGTTATCATCAATGATACAACAAACTCGCACACGACGCCTCTCGACTTATATAATCAGTCACCTACAAGTGGTTCACGCATCGCTGGCCGAACCTATCCAGCAGCCACTAAGCAGGGAGCCATCATGTCGAGACAAGAATGTGTACACAAAGCATTCAACGGCTGGATGCGACGCAACTTTGGATTGATGCGAGTCGGTGATACTGATATGATTGTTGTCACCACCCTAGGTCGGATGCAGCCGAGCTAGTGCCCGCCACGCTGGCGAATGGCAATATTCGGCGGAAAGTTTATCCGCTGTCGACAAATCCCGCGATGAGGAGAAGCTGAACAGTTTGCGCCATTGTGGGCCCTGATGTGCTGGGGACTTTCGACTTTCCTTCTCCGGTACGTATTCGCGTTCTCCATCGTTGGCATCGACAATCTCCTGAGACGCAAGACTCTTGCCTATACTAGCTAGGTGCTTATTCCTCTTCCGTGTTCCGACAATAGACGAATAAAGAGGAAACCCCGGCAAATCCTCGAAATGAAATGCGGTACAGTGCCACACGATAAGAGAGTTGCAATCTCAACATTGGACTGCCATCAAGTATCGCGCAACATCAAGGCCGAATTCTTGCCTCTTTCGAGACTTTGTGAACCTCGGAGTATCAGACAGGTAGAATACTTAGATCAACCTGGTGCAATATTCACCGAAACGGGGGATACCATGCAAGAAAACATCGGCTTACAAACACCGTCGAGGAAGGGTGATACGTGCTCGGGTACTAAGATGATGCCCTAGTTGATAACCTGATAGACGGTTACATCTCGCTGCTAGGGTTCCCTTTGCCTACAGCCACTCAGATTGACGCGATAATAAACCAAACATATGCAAATCTGCATCTGCCATCTTATGCTAGACGTGCTAGTTTTTGAACAGCCCTCCACCAAATCCAATCATATCTGCGGTTCCTTATTTAGCTTTATCGAGATGCAGCATCAACCCAACACTAATTTCCTATAACGCTTCTACGAGTCCACCCTAGTATTACTCGGCCCTCTTACGCCATGTGCGTTGCTTTGGACGCAATGGCAAATAATTTTCCGCGCTCTTGAATTGGGAAAGATACAATTGGTTGAGGGATATGGTCCGAGCAGCTCCTAGAAGAGCTTATGCTGTTCGACCTTCTGGTTCTGACCGACTAGTCAGGTCGTATGCCTGCATTGTTACGTGCTTGGAGAATTCTGATCGAGACTCAGATGCACTTTGCAAGTATCAGTCGATGATTCCTGGTTGGTGTGGTGGCAGCCTGCCTGAATCATGTCATTGTAACTCTTCGCAACAGAGACTGCTACCAAATCAGAAGTTCGTATCTGATATTCTAACTGTTTATGGAGTCCTCCGTTCCATCAATCATGTATAATCTTGTAATTGCACCCCTGCCATTAAGTGTCGTTAGTCCATAGGTGGGTGTGCAGGAGGACCAATTATGAAAAGACCAAAAACGTGTTTTTCAAGGGTTTATTGTAATCTTGCGCCACAAGAGCCAATGCAGATTTTCGTCCGTCTCGTTGGCGGCAGATAAAGAGCAGTCTCTCGCCCGCCTTCCCAGGTTGAATGTCTTCTCTCTTCCCAGCCGGATCGACCACACTGTCCCAGGTACTCGTTCTCTCCACTGTCAAGATGGGTTTGTTCTTCCTCTCAGCAATCACATTGCATATAAGTCTAATACCACACAGCTACCAATGCGGGCCAAAATGTTATCACAGATATGATCGCAGCTGGCTCTCCTCCTCAAGAGGTGGTAGAGCAGATCGCGGCGCGTGACTCGCTCCATATCCCTCATAACCCAGATGCAAAGACCGCAGTCTTTGGTGATGTGGCTTCCTCCTCGAGCGACGGAGATATCGAACACCCTCTCCCCACTGAAGAGCAATCAGCAACTTTGCGCAAAGTCCCAGGTAACTTAAGCCTTGTGGCGTTCGCGTTGTGTCTGGTCGAGTTTGCAGAGCGCGCTTCGTATTATGGTGCTCAGAATTTATTTGCCAACTTTATCGAGTTCCCACTTCCTAAAGGTTTGCATTATCTTCCTGTCTTGTCTGTTACGGATCAACCGCTTATATTTCGCCATAACAGGCGGCAATGGAGCTGGTGCACCTCCAAAAGGTACCCAAGAGACTGCTGGTGCTTTGAACATGGGTCTCCAAGCGTCGTCCGGCTTCGTTCTTCTTTTTAAGTTCCTTGCATACGTTATCCCCATCTTCGGCGGCTGGTGGGCAGATACTAAAGTCGGACGATACTATGCCATTGTGGTTGGTGTCCTGATTTGCGGTGTTGCACACATTATTCAGATCATTGGCGCCATTCCAGCTGTTCTACAACAGGGAACCGCACACGCTGCTCCTCCCTTTATTATTGGGCTCTTGATCCTGGCAGTTGGCGCTGGTATCTTTAAGCCAAACGTTGCTCCTACCGTCCTTGACCAGCAACTCCATGCCAAGGAGTATGTCATGACACTGAAGAACGGCGAGAAGGTTATTGTTTCGCCAGAGTTGACCACAACTCGTACCATGCTCATCTTCTACGGCTTCGTCAATGTTGGTGCCTTCTACATGCTTGCAACCTCATATGCTGAAAAGGACATTGGCTACTGGTTAGCTTTCCTGCTAGCCGGTATTATATACTTTCTTCTACCCATCTTACTGTTGGTTATGTACAAGCGTACCAAGAAGGCCCCTCCTTCAGGCTCCGATCTTATTAATGCAGTCAAGATCATTGGAACTGCTCTTAAAAAGAGCAAGTTTCAAATCTGGAAAAAGGGGTTCTGGGACTCTGCCAAACCCTCAGTGTTGGCCCAGCAAGGTATCATAGTTGGCTGGAGTGACAAGTTGGTCGACGACGTTAGGAGAACCATCGATGCATGCCACATCTTCTTCTTTTTCCCCATCTACAACCTGAACGATGGCGGTATTGGATCTGTCCCATCCAATCAAGGTGCTGCTATGATTACTAACGGTGCACCCAACGACCTGCTGAACAACTTTAACCCGCTTACGATTATCGCCTTTGTGCCGTTCCTCAGCTATGTCATTTATCCTATATTGAACCGACTCGGCATCAGATTGGGCCCTATCGACAGAATTACTATCGGATTCTTCCTGGCTGGCCTTTCGAGTGTCGCTGGAGCTATAGTGCAGCACTATGTGTACAAACTCTCTCCATGTGGATACTATGCATCAACCTGTGACGAAGTTGCCCCAATCTCGATTTGGTGGCAGATCCCTAACAACGTTCTGAGCGCCGCGTCTGAGTGCTTTGCCAACGTCACTGCATACGAACTTGCATACTCGCGAGCACCTCCTGCGATGCGAAGTCTCGTGGTGGCTGTTTTCTTGTTTATGACTGCTCTTTCATCTGCGCTTGGTGAAATCCTGATTCCTGTCCAGGTTGATCCATACTTGGTATGATTTTCTCTACTCTTCTCTTAGCAGCCAGTGAATGACCCAGACGCTAATGTTTTTCTTTTATAGGTTTGGCTGTGGGCTGCTCCCGCTGTCGCCCTCGCTGTTCAGACTATCTGGCTCAATATTCATTTCCGTCACTTGAACAGCGAGGAGTTTATGACTAGTGAAGTCATTGTGGAGTCACCTGTATCCAGGGAAACCCAGCAAACCAAGGTTTAAGCAATCATTTTGAATACTGGATTTCACCCGTGACTGGTGCTGTGAGGGTCGAATAGGGGCAGAATCGATAAACTATTAATCCATTCATGTAATCTCTAGCCTACAGCCCGTTTAACAGAACATGAGAGAATAAATAAGATTCATGTTACAAAGACGCGTAATCGTGAATAACTGACATATGGATCCGGTGGTTTTATTGAACCTTGTAGTAGCTACAGATTCCTCACCTGAGACGGAACCATGCCTTCGAAAGTTATATATAGACATATATATCGGTTCCTCTGACTTTGGATTCACCACTTCCCTTGTAGCTTGTTCTCACGTGTGGCCCTACTATCGTATTAGACTGCATCGATATGGCAGATTTTATGATTGAGGTACCACAACAGATACCAAAGTAGGTCTATGCCTTCGCTGATCAACCGTCATCATCATCTCCATGGATCCCCTCCCCCCGTCTAAGACAAAGAAGACAAATCTGCCTCCAACCGCAACTCACGTGAAGAACTCCCAACATAAACCGTCTTGGGATACTCCGTGACTACCCAATTCTGAGAAACGACGTCCCAATTCGAAATATCGCGCCGAGTCAGAACCACACTGAACTCCTTGGTTTCCTGGGGACGTAAGGAGATACGATCAAACCCTCGAAGGACGATTTTGGGGTCGTCGGGGCCGCCGTGGGATATATACTATATCCAAATTTTGTTAGATCATCTATGCAATGACAGAACGGAGGAGGGGAATAGGGGGCATATAAGTTGAGGAACCTCATCACCGGAAACAGTGCCAGTATTGGTGATATCAACAGTAACAATGGCAACCTGCTCATACAGACCCGGGTTCCCTCCAGGTTGGCCTCCAGCCGGATGCAATGGCTGTGGAACAGCAGATGTCGCATTTTCAGGTAGATATTCATCAGCCGATAGACCATAATCAGGATCACCTGACGACTGAGCTGGATCAGTAGTATTCAGCCATGGATAAAGGAACAAGGACACTGCGAATCACCTCCAGGAAGAGGTAATCGGACCAATCCGTGCTGAAATTCCCAAATACCGGTGCCGGTTCTGTTAGTCCACTCGTTGGGACGTAAGGAGCCGGGTTTCGAAGCGGTCTAACCCTAATATTCGAGTATGCGAATGTTGTATAACTAAGTCCATGATCCGAATTCATATACAGGGGTGATATTGGCTCTGTCAAGACCTCGATAGTCAATGAAAATACCCTCCGTGAGGTCGATCTGTGGAGCTTCATCGCCGTTGTTGGGTGCATAGAGTACGTCTGCGCTGTAATCTTCACGGGCTTTGCCCCATGTAAATGGACTCTTGCCACCGGGGTTCACGCGGCCGTATAAGACGTCTGCGATGGAGTTTCAGCTCTCTTAACCCGGCATACCTGCCCAGAGAATTGCGGTGACGTTGGGATTCTCGTACCAACCTCCTACCAACACTGGCCCGTCGCTGTGAATGACGACTACGGTGTTATTATTCTGTGTGACGGCTTTGATGAGTGTGTCCCCATCTCTCCATAGAGTAAGGTTGTTGCGGTCACCTTCATTTCCGTCAACAACGATGAATTCTTCGCCTGAATCAGAGTTGACAAAGACGAGTGCGACGTCTGCCTGCGAAGCCAGGGCTTGTATCTTGTTGTATGCCTAGTCATCGGTGATTGAATCGACTATGCCGGCGCCTTTACCCAGGATTTCTTGTTTGATGGCTTCTCTGGAGTTATGATATAAGGAAAGTTGCTTGTTCCACTTCCCCAACCAGTGGCAAGAGTGCCATTGTCACAGCCATGATCAGCACGCTGTTAATACCCACAGGGTCTGCGTCGGCATCTGATCCGAATACCGCGGTGAATTTTTCTTCTCCGCTGAGTGGAAGAGCGCCATCTGTATTTTTGAGGAGAACTGTGCTTGCCGCACCGATTTCACGGATCATCGAGGCATGGTTGCCACGTACATCAACGTGCTCATTGACTCGACCAATGCCATATTCTCGTCCTGCAGTTGCATATATAGGGTCGTCGATATCACGATTCCATGAATTGAAGTTGATAGGAACCTGGTATTTGTCGCGGCCGATTTTATAATATGCAGCCATGATACGAATTGCCATATCATCAATTCGATACTCAGGGACAGTGCCGTTTACGACGGAGATGGTCAAATTCGCGCTCCCATAAGAGTCGCCAGAACTGAAGAGTGTGTCGCCTGGCATGGACATGTCGAGTCCAGCCAAGGTACTGCTCACGCCAGATGTGTCCGCACCCCAATCACTTATGACGAAACCCTGGAAATCGAGTTCGCGCTTGAGGAGGTTGTTTAATGTATAGCTGTTTGCGCATGCGTAGCTGTTGTTGATTTGATTGTATGATCACATGACGGATTCGACGCCAGCACGTATGGCATCTGCAAATGGCCTTGAAGATATCAGCTCCTAGGTTTGTCTTTAAAATCGAGATGAATGGTGAAATACCACAAATACAACTCATGCCGAGTCTTATCATCAATATTACTGCTCGCACTAGTGGAAATATTATACCCATACCCATTTGCCTCCCCAACCAATCTGAATGCTCCTGTTCATTCAAAATATAGTGCTTCGCGCATGCAATTACGCCCGCATCTTGTATACCCTTGCTCGTTTCAGCCATCATCACGCCGGTATTGACGGGATCGGGACTGAATCCTTCCCAATTTCGACCTCCCTCGGTTGCTCGTCCTAATAACCCGGCGGCGGGGCCTAGTTGGATGTCGACGCCTTGGAGTTGAATTCCCGACCCATTGCGCGGCCGCGCAGGTAGCCGAGAGAGCGGTCCCAGGTTGCGGCTATGTTGACACCCGCTGGGAAGGCAGAATTATAGTCACCTTGATACAACGTTAGTTAGTATGTCAAAGTAGCTGTGTAGACTACTTACTGAATCGTATACCCATAGGTCCATCTTGTAGGCATAGTCCACGGAGTCCTAGTCGTGGAATAGAGACCGTTTCGCCGACACATGAGCCTTGCATCCACCTTTATTCCAGATATCAGTAAGTCGTTCATTTTTTGCGTTTGATCTGACAAGTATAGGAACGAGACTAACCCAGTACCCGTAGTCAGATTCACTTTCTCAACAAGAGTAAGCTGACTCACGAATTCTCGCGCTTTCTCATATGCTTCCGCCCAACCGCCTTTGCCGTCGCCCCAAGGAGACGGATAGGATGGTTGTGAGTATGCTTCATTATTCTTTTTCAGCGTATTAGACAAGCTTGCGACGCGTGTATGTGACAGATAGAGAGCTCACCTGTCCTGCAGCTATCACCGAGGAACTCAATATGGTCGTCACCCACCAGAATGAACGCATTATCAACTGGATATCATGCAAATATGACACCAAGAAATATTGAGATATGCGAAATTGAGTGGCCAAAGCGACAAAAGGGCTAAATATAGGAGTAGTCTCCGTCATAGCAATCAACACGTCCCAGGTATCCAGGTACGTAGATTCCTTGCATCGAATTATGTCTTTTGTATCCACTCATGGTTGTCTCCTTGTCTGTCAATTGCCCGTGCTTGTTTAGCTTTGTTTGTGGCAAGAGAGGCATTCATTATCATCCCTTTTTTCCAGGTATGTTCCAAGCGTGGATCTAGGGTTTCACTGATCCTCTCTAACTGCTACCGTTTGCTGCATGTTAGTAGCTTGTTTTGGCTTGATAATATGGATGAATTTCAAGGACTCAATATCGTCCAGTACTGTGTCGAATTGTGATAATTGATGTCTTGAGCCTTTGTTGTACATTTGCCCAGGAGGCGAGGGTCTCTGAACGTGAGCATTTACGTCCATCGGAAGACTTTATGAGCTGCATATAAGTAACTTGCGTGGCAATGATGAACTTGTAGTAGATTTCCAAAGTCATTGTTTGTCGATATGGTATGCGTTCTAAACCAATAGGACAAAAGCAGATGATGCAGCGAAGCCCTAACTGCAATAACCCTAATGTGTCCATAAACACCATCAGGCAAATATTCCGCCAACAAACAACGATTGATTATATCAAAAGTCACCCTTCCAAAAATATTGATGACTAAAGCTGGACCTTCTAATCCATAACAGACATGGTAACTTTCAGGCATTGGCTAGCAGCAAACGGTTCCTGTCTGCCAACATTTGAGCCCTAGACAGCTGAACTTAAAAATGAATTTTATTTTCTGGGGAATCGAATTGCATTTCTAGCTCTCGATAACGAAGTTCTATCTATCAAATCAACTGGACAAAAAGAAAAGGCTGACTGAGAAATACACCAAAGGGGTCTGACAAATATACAAAAATGCATGTCCTGGCAACCCTGGTGGGTAGAACTCAATAAAAGGATGAGAATCCTGTCTAAGCGATTATATCGGACACGTTAACTGCAGTAACTCTCGCAAACATTGCGTTGATATCATCACTAGTCTTGGGCACTATAGGAGGTTGGTATCCCTCAAGATACGGAATGCGTTCGTTCTCTATCCAATATTAGAGTCAACGTTATGCCCAAGGCGTATACAACAGCGGGAAACCTACCAAAGAAAGCCCTAACCCATTCTTTTGGAGCGCCACCGGCCTCATCATCCCACAAGGTAGTCAAGTACAGAGCCGTTGTGCCGGGACTACCGGTCATCTCGTTGGCGGAAGCATTGAAAACTGGATTGATCCTCATGGCATCCCGAACGCGTGCAGCACGGGCCCTGGCAGCCGTCTCAACTGTAACATATTTATCCTTCTCAGAGATACCATAATCGTAAAGACCGAGTCTATGGGCCGTAGTCCACCAGATTGCATGATTGAAGGTATTGTCATCTCCGAAGAAGGCATCATTCCGCGACAATGAACCGTCAAACTCGACGTCATCGTGCTTCTTGAGATCTTCGAGGTTGAAAGTAGAGATGTTTCCTGTTGTTGTAAGATTAAAGGCCACAGCTTGCTCAAAGGCAGTGTCGAATGAGGTTGGAGCGTAGTTGTAGGCTTGGCTCACACCGGAGCGGACAGCGGCCAGATCGATATTTTTGCCCGAACGGGGGAGGAAGCCGTGATTTGCCATGACATTGAGACCGGGGCAGGGGGAGCGGCCTTTAAGACTTGGTCAGTTGATTCCAGGCCAGAGTTATATGATACGGAAGACTTACTGTCTCCTGGAACTGGTGGATGCCATTCATGACCTTCGGATGGGAATTGCAAGCCATATGCGGCAAGGCTTAAAAGACATATCTCGAAAAACAATGTAAGCTTCATGATTGTGTTGTGCGTCTCCCTGAATTGACTATGACCTGAATTTATCCAGGGATGTTCTGGCATACTTATACTTATAGGTGTGTATTCAAAGACCGTATTCAGCACAAGAACTATGCCCCAGAGCGTATTCGGATCCCAGACTTTTGGGGCCGAGCGTATTCAGTCTCGTTTAAGGCAAGCAATGATTCGCGTATAGAATACGCGAATTATAAGAGGACTTAGTCAGAATACTGAACCCGATCCTAAACCTCAGGGATGAAATGTGTAAAAGGGTTATTTCACTCGTCATCAGCGTTTCGCGAGCCCTTTCTTTACGCGCTATCTATTGTTGGACCGGTTATGGACGAGAGTCGGTTTTTTCTTTAGATTGGTAAAAGCCATACTCAATCATTTACGTATCCTCCCGGTAAGCGTAATAGCTTGAACAACTTAGAAACTTTGACAGCTTCCAATGGTCCGATGAAAGGTATAAAAGGGTTAGCTCTCTCATGATATTCCACAAGAACCAGACAGAACTGTCAGTGTCATTGACCTCCATAGCTATCCACCGCTTATTTGAACACTGGATAAAATGTATTTACACTTTCGCTTCCTATCACTCGTGGCCTTCGTGGGTGCTGGTGCATCCATTGTTGCTGCTACTGGCTCCAGCTCGACTTGCGATGCCCTCTGCCTGGAAGTAGTGCAAAATGGTTCCTCATGGGAAATAGACCAGCATGCGTCTCGTGATTTCTCGTTCTACGCGACACCATCTAACTTTTCCTTTGATCTTTCTCCGGGCAGCCTCATCACCGTGGAGCCGGTCACCCAACTGTTGAACTACAGTATTCCGAGCGGTCTCTCCATGTCTCGCATCATATACACCACTAATGACCTGAATGGTACTACGCTTCCGACTTCTGCATATATCCTCTGGCCGTACACGCCACTCACGACTAGCGGCCACAAAGATCAAGGATATCCGATGGTAGCATGGGCTCATGGTACTTCTGGAGTACTGAGAGGCTGCGCACCGAGCAACTATCGAAACCTGCAGTACCACTTCATGACTCCCTTCCTCCTCGCCCTTCAGGGTATGGTTGTCGTGGCGCCGGACTATGCAGGACTCGGCGTCGACACATTGCCCAATGGACAGAAGATAGGACACCCCTGGCTTAGCGGACCGGCACAAGCCAACGATCTTGCCAACGCCGCCATAGCTGCTCGGAAAGCTTTCCCCGATCTCCTAACAGCTGACGGGCCCTTTGTTGCCATGGGTCATTCCCAGGGAGGAGGAGCTACTTGGGCATTCGCCGAGAAGCAGGTCAAGGAACCTATATCTGGATACAAAGGCACAGTTGCTATTGCACCCACCACACGGACCTTCGACCATCTGAAAGACGCTTTTAGCAACATCACAGAACCTTGGGCCCAGGTAATCATTGCTGGACAACCTAAGCTTATATCTGCAGTCACTGCTGCGTTCCCGTCATATAATTACTCAGGCCTAACACCTGTATCTTACGATAGATGGTTCAACGTCCTGAAGCCTTTGGATGGATGCCTCCCGACAGACAGTCTTGCGTTCACAAACGTGACTGTTGACGAATTAGCGGTTCCCAACTGGTATGACGCACCCGAGGTCCAGGAATATGCAAAGTTAGCAGAAAACGGACGGAAGAAATTCAAGGGTCCACTGCTCATCGTCTCTGGGGAAGCCGACATTGTAGTCCCTCTTGATACGGTTGAGTCCGCGGTCGATGATACTTGCAAGATGTTAAAAGATGAGCATTGGAACGAGTCACTTGAGTTAGTCACCTACTCAGCCATGGATCATTTCCCGAGCATTCAAGCTAGTCAGATGAAGTGGCTACCGTGGATTAAAGATCAGTTGACTGGTGCACCACCACCACGACCCGGATGTTTCAAGAGTGCCGTAACCGGAATCCGTACAAACGACACCGTGCAAACTGCGACACCGAACTTCCTTGAGGGTTGGGCTAGTGCTGAAGAGAGTTGGAAATATTCTCTCTAGTCTCAACTTGTGCTTGCGCCTGAGACTCAACCGGGAATTACGATGAGCTTGGTCGTGGAGGAAGAAGTGCATAAGTCGATGAATAGTTCCCCAGACATGTCCGGACACATGTACCTTAGATGAAGATAGTGGCTGTAGCACATGTCGATAAGACTCACTTTCATCAACTTTTACCTAGGTAATAGCTTAGATACTACCTTCCCTCTATGGAAGATGAAATCACCAGACTTTTGGCGTATAATCCATTGACCGGTTTGTAAAATTCCGTTCGTCGAATATTTCAAGCTTCTAGATTGTGTTTTTCTTGGCTCGAAGGTAGCACTTCCTCAAATTCCCAGTGGTTAACTGCAGCCCATTAGCTGGTTCTCACGTAAGCAGACCGCGTATTCGTCAACTGCCGAATACGCACTTCCATGACTATTGGTCGCTTTGAAGCTGAGATTTGAAAAATTTGTCACGATGGAGACTCCCTTGTTGAGCTGAGGCTTAGACGTTGAAGATTTGTCATGGAGGTGGGGGGGCTAGGCATCGACATCGAACCATGTCACCTGTTAACAGCAGCCCCGCAGGGCCCTATTGCTTAGCGGTATTAGGCATGGCTTTAGAGGGTTACTAGGAATTCGCAAGAAGTTAGTCCTGAGAACACGACTTTAACGAGACCCTTTATTATCCTCAGGGATCTGATGCCAAGCTTCAAATTGTTCAGCTCTCGCGATGTAAAAAGGCAGAGAAGATTTTCAATGGATAATTGAATTCCAAATATATGGGGCTGTGTTCCGATTTCCGAACTGCTGTTCCCTGAGTTCCTTATGAGTTTCTTAGGTGCTGGAAAAGTAGAGATACCTAGGTATAACTAGAGGACTTGGTTGACCAAGGCTCTTGACCATGAATATAAAATGAAGGGCAGTCCCGTGGTTGAATTGCGCGACACAATAAATGCCCCAAAGCTAGAGATGCAATATGTCGAGAAATATCAATACCTTGGAGGAAGCTTCAAGCCCCGAGGCGGGTGGTTTCAGGACACGCAGGTCACATAAAAAGTCCAGATATGGGTGCACAAAATGCAAAAAACGCAGAATTAAGGTATGTATGAAGCCCAGATAAAAGTTTTAGTTGAATAACTCTAATTATGCTCTGTATTCAGTGCGACGAGCGTTTACCGAAGTGCTCGAGATGTGAAAGGATGGATCTCAGCTGCCAATATCCCAATTGGAATCCGAAATCCATATTAGCAGATGTATTTATGGTGGATTCATTAGATGTATTGCCACTGCAGCATAAATCTCGAGCAAAGTATGGAAGAGGGAGTCCCGCGAACTCTAATCATTCGTTTGGAATTTCCGGAAGTCCATTATCATCAGTATCAAACCTCGCTTCATCGCAGTTGTCAACTGTACTGCCTAAACAGGACAGGAATCTTGACTCCGCATTGCTATCAAAGGCAGCGCAAGATCTTACGCCGGTAGAGTTTGAGCTGTTTCAACACTATCTCGATCATACTAGCAAGGACCTAACCGTTGGGGACGAGGAGCAGAACACTCTGCAGATCAGAATTCCAACTTTAGCTTGTGAGAGTAAGCCTCTCATGAAGTCTGTACTGGCATTATCTGAAGTATGCAAATGTCTTGATATCATAAACCAGCTGTCGGCGTCTGATGCAGGCCGTAACCAAGTCATTGAACTTCTATCACTAGCAAATCGATATCACATGGATTCACTACGGGCGGTGCAAGCTACGTTGCCTCAAACCAAACACTACGACCATGTCTTGGCCAACGCAGCTATGATGGGAATGTATGGTTCGGGCAGCCATTGTGCGCGTATCTGGTTAGCTAAAACGGCGAGTTTGGGTGACCGGCTGCAGGAGGATTTGTTGCCCAGACACTCCCAATGGATTAGACTCTTTCGTGCCGTTCACATGGCTTATGGGGGGCTTCTCAATAACAGTCAATCGACAGATACGGCACAGTTTGATTGGGATCGTTCACCTAATCTCCCCACGGCAGGGAACGATTCACGGATCAGATCATATTTTCGAGCATCATCTCAGCTCCAGCAGCAGAGACCTCCGATAAATCATGCCTTGTACCCTATTATATCCGCTACGGTGGGCCCATCAATGGAAAAGCTGCGCAGAAGGACTAGGGAAATAGCTATACTTGAAGCAAGTAGCGAGATAAGTGGTTACGATAGTCCACTTACACTGTCTATTCATGGCAACCCCGAGATCGAAGCGTGCTTTGTTGCTTTAAGCATTTTAGGTAGCATTGTGACCGAAACATTTCCGACAAATGACTCGATGGCTAGCACGCCACTCGCCTTTGAAGTCGATGTTGACCCGGTAGGGCAATTGTCGGAAGTCTCTCCATGGCTCCGAAGATACGCAGCTAGTATAACCTCCATGGTACCATCGCCACTTCCTCGAAGATTTATTATGGCTTTTATTCATAAAGTTCCCAACAAGTACCTGAACCTGATTGAAGATATGCTCAACCTCATTCAGACGGATGCTCCAGTTGGTCACGGCATGGTTTGGACACCAGAGCCTAGTCCAGCGCACCAGCTTGCGCTAGATATATTCGCTCATTGGCTCGTTCTTGTGCTCATGTTAGATAACGTGTGGTGGATCGGTGACATTGGAGCTTGGGAGCTTGGTCAGATTGCGTCTTTCAGAAATGATGCACGGCAACCGATGTGGTTGTGGAATCAGGAAGAGGATTGGTGGCCCGGGAGCATGCTTGAGATCAGTCGACAGTTTGAGAAGCATAGGACAAAAAGTTAGATAAATTATAAGCAGATTTTCAGTTTGAAATGGTAGTGGAATGCAGAAATCCGACAAGTAAAACATTTACCTAGAGTATTCTTAGGTTTAGGGCTTAGGCAAATTGTCTCGGCCGGGTACCTGGCTATCAGCTTATCGATAACTTATCGCCCCTGTGCCGAATCTCGCTCCGGTGAAAACGCCGACGGCTAAAAACAACAATGAATGTCGTGATCACGAAAATTTTTACAATCGCTGTACCTTGGCTGCAATACATTCTGCCACTATAACACTACTTAATGACACCTTAGCCGACAAGAAATAATATCACTTCTTAAACGGCGCGCTTTCTCATCCCACGGAGCGGATTGATACCGAGCTATCGCATCGCAGGGCCACGCGATACCCGGAACAATGGCACAACCTGGCGCCTTCGATCAGAAATTGGAAAGTAGAACAGCACCCGGGAATCACAACAATGCGACACCTGCACCGGTAACACCATTGGAAAATGCCAGGAACCAAGGGGAAGATCTAGAAGCAAGCCTCCCAACCGCCAACAACCCGAACGGAAACCTCTCCAAAGAAGATGACGACCAGATTCTCCAACAAAAGTCCGCGCGACGAGGACGCTGGGGTGAAATCGTCAGCACAAATCATGCAGACCTGATATTCATCCTCTGCTCGTTGACGACTGGATTATGTGACGGTGTCGTTTATGCGTCCTTTGGTTGTTTCATCAGTATGCAAACAGGAAATACAATTTTCGTGGGGTTGGGTGCCTCGGGTATACCGACAAATAAACCGTACGGATGGCTCAAATCATTGATCTCAATCACGGGATTTTTCACTGGATCGTTCGTATTCGCAAAGATAATGCGTGCAGTCGGGAACCGGAAGAGGGGCGCATTGACAATCTGTTTCGCTGCCCAGGCTATCTTCATATTTATTGCTGCAGCAGTTATCGAAGGTAATGCGATTCCGCACGATATAGATAATCAACCTACTAGCGGCTCACTATTTTTGGAATTGATTCCCATCGCGCTCCTGGCGTTTCAATTTGGTGGACAGATTACGGCTAGTCGTGGAATGGGATTCAACGAGTTACCAACTGTGGTGTTGACTTCGGTGTATTTCGATATCGCATCTGACCCGAAACTTACGGATGGTGTTACGAAGAATGTGAAACGGAATAGACGCATTGGGTCAGCTGTCGCTATCCTTGTGGGTGCCATCGCTGCAGGTTGGCTATGTCGCAGTGATGCTGAGATGCAGAGCGCCTTGTGGATTTCGGGATTTTTGAAAGTATGCATTGCTGTTGGATGGACTGTGTGGCCCGTGGCTGAGAAGTGATTTTGCTTCGGGATTTACATCTGACATATGGACTGGATATAGCTAATAGACTTAATATATACATAAATATTTCATGGATCTTGATTTCTGAATCCGTCTTCATTCGATATCTAGATAATCAAAAGCTCGTCAAAAGCGACAATCGGGATGTGTTCTGATCCTCCACTAGAACCTATCAGACGAATGAGAACGAGAATGACGTGCCGCGGCCAGACGATGGCGAGAACTGGGGCAGCCCTGGATTACTGCTTAAATAGGCAATTATAGCACTAACAATCTCTCAAGCTTGAGCAACATATAGAGGGGCCTTTCTTCCTCGAGGCATAGGAGTTGTCTTTCTTTTTTTACGCTGATTCAATTTCATATACAATCAATAAGCTATAATGACAGAAACCATCCCTTCAGCGACCTCTGTCTCACCCAAGAAACAGATCATCCTCAATGCCTTTGTCATGAACACTCCGGGCCACCAGGCCCCCGGTCTCTGGAGACATCCCCGCAATAAAACAGATCAATACAAAAAACTTTGCTTTTGGACAGATCTCGCACAGCTACTCGACAAAGCAGGGTTTCACGCAATGTTTATTGCCGACACATTGGGTCCCTACGATGTTTACAAAGGCCCCGCCAATGTTGTACCGGCATTGGCATCAGGCGCACAGTTCCCCGTTAATGATCCTCTGTTTTTGGTTCCGACAATGGCTTCTGTAACGAAGAATCTGATTTTCGGGGTGACGGCGAGTTTGACATATGAAAAGCCATATGCATTGGCGAGAAGGTTCTCGACGGTTGACCATTATAGCCAAGGCCGAGTTGCATGGAATATTGTTACTTCTTACCTAGACAGTGCTGCTAGAAACCACGGGCTCAAGGAGCAAATCCCGCACGACGAGCGATACGCCATTGCGCATGAGTATATGGAAGTCCTCTATAAGCTATGGGAAGGCAGTTTCCGGGACGATGCCGTCCTTGAAGATCGAGAAAACGGCATCTACATTGCGAATGATGCTGTACGACAAATCAATCACAAAGGCAAATACTTTGAAGTCCCTGGTCCTCATTTCTGTGAGCCATCGCCACAAAGAACTCCGTTCTTGTTCCAAGCGGGTGTCTCCGAGGCAGGAAATGGCTTCGGTGGCAAGCATGGAGAAGCCATCTTCATTGGAGGCCAGACCCCTGAAGGCGTTCGTGCAACGGTAGATAATATCCGCGCCATTGCAAAGAAAGAAGGTCGTGATCCGAACCATATAAAGATCATCTTAGCGATCTGCGTTATCGTGGCTGCGACGGATGAAGAGGCTCAAGCCAAGCGTGAAGAGTACCTGAAATATGCAGACTATGAAGGTGCCTATGCCCTCTTTGGTGGATGGACAGGTGTTGATTTGTCCAAGTATTCTGATACGGAGAATTTCCTCGTCGCGGATTCACCTCGTGTTCAGTCTCTCATACGACGATGGGCAGCCTCAGTGCCCGGAACGGAGGGTCAACCTTGGACCAAGAAGACCATTGCCGAGTATTTGAGTGTTGGTGGTCTACAGGCAAAACTGATTGGAAGTCCTACTACAGTCGCTGATCAAATTGAGCAGTGGGTGGATTTGACGGATGTGGATGGGTTTAATGTCATTCATATAACGAATCCGGGCTGTTTTGAGGATATGGCTGAGTATCTGATTCCGGAATTAAGACGTCGTGGACGATTCAGGAGTCATGTAGAAAAGGAAGGCGCTACTGCTCGAGAAGTTTTTATCGGATCGAGGAGATTACCAGAGGACCACCCGGGGAGCAAGTATAAATGGCGTGCCGGTGAGAGTATCCCTTCGTATCAGAAGGAGGAACAAACGAGCTCTCTTGCAAATTAGACAGTGCTTCTCACGCTTTGAGCAGTCACTATATATCAACGTTACCTAAGTAGCAACTATTTGCAATCCCTAAGTACTACCTAGCACCCGTTCTTGCTGTTTCCTCATCACCTGTACCCTCATCGACCAAAGCTCGCTTCTTGATATCATGCTTTTCCAAAAGTCGGAGCACAACGGCAAGGACACAGAGAGTAACCCCTAAACAAGAAGCGCCAATAAACGCAGCATGAAAACGAGGCGCCAAAACCGTCCTCCAAACCGTCAAAGTCCACCAAATAGACTGAATATAGCTAAACATGTTTGAAGTAGCAATCACAAACCCTCTCATTTCATGATCATGTGGAATTAGGTCCGAATACCAAGCGTAATAGATACCTGGGACTCCGGCAGCAGTGAATGTCAGATAATAGGCCGCGTATTTGAGGCCAATCGGAACATCCCAGACGGCGAGTACGATACAGGCAAAGATTGTGGGGATTTGCATGGCTATAAGGGTTTGCCAGCGTCTACCACGGAGCAAAGGAGAATCAGAAATGACGCCAGCAAGTAACTGCACCACTACACCAACAGCGTACTGACCTGTAGGCCAAACGTTGACTTGATAAATAGAATGATGAGTTGATTTGAGCCAAAGGGCGAAAACAGGTTGATAAATTGGGTAGCTTCCTTGAACGAGAAAGTATCCCACGGGCAGAACCCAGAACTGCCACTGTTTCATAATACGGAAGATCTTTGTGCGGTCCCATGCGGATGCTCCAAGGGGTTTCATGCCGTCGGCAATTAACCGTCTTCGTGCGAATTCTGCTTCCTCTTTGGTGATGTAGAATGCGCGAGTCGTCTCGGGGAAGTCTGGGTAAAAGAAGTATCCCGTGATAGCAATCGGTAGACTGATGATGCCACAGACAATAAACAACCATTGCCATCCGGCGTGGCCAAGCACACCATTGAGACCCTTGTATGCACCAGCTTGCAGATAGCCACTGAACATTCCCGCAAAACTTGCAGTGGCGTAGAATATGGTCATGCGTTTTCCGCGCTCACTCTTGGTATACCATGAGCCAATAATGTATACAACAGTCGGGAAATACGTTCCCTCACAGAGAGCAATCAGAAATCGTATGGCGTATAGCTGGGAAGTAGTCTTTACAGAAGCTGAGCAGAATGTAAAGATTGACCAAAGAACCTCCATGGTCGGGATGAGAATCGAAGGACGAATGCGGGTAACTAGGATGACCGCAGGCAATTGACCGAGAACATAGCCCGCCGTAAAGACGTTGCCGGCATATGTTAACTCGCTGCCTTTCATTTTCAATGCATCTGACATTCCGGAGACATATGCATTAGCGACATTGGCTTGGTCGAGGTTCTTGCTGAAATACCCGAGACAAGAAATGCTGAGCAAGAAGATATCGAGCTTGAACAGGAACCATTTTTCTTTGGAGGATTTAGCAGGGTCGTCCCAGATGTAGCGTCTGATTGATGTGAAGTATGAGGTTTCTTTGATAGTATCTTCTGGCAGTGATTGAATCTCTGATGGCACATTGGTCTCAGTGACCGCGGTGTCTTTCTGAGCGCTGCTCGACATCTTGGATCCAGTGTAACACAAATTCTCGCATTGAAAGAATGAACAGAGACATCTCTTGAGACTCAAAATTCCGAATAAATACTACCACAGGATAATGTCTACAAGAAATCTTCAATGGTAACATGTGTACTTCGTTTTCGCCATCAGGTTGCATTTCCTCATGAGATACAAGTCAATTGCACCATATAACCATATTTTGATGTGCTTCGCTGGCAATTTCTTATTATTAAACAATTAATATGGACTATATAAACGCCCTCTGAGTGCCAATATGTTTATGAACTACCATGAGCCAATTGACTTCCAAGAAGATATCAGGGCATGTTTCTCGGATGGAAAAGGCCCGAGATCCGTCCAAATTCAAGGCGAGGACGAGGTGTATTCATGACTTGATTGAATTCTATGGCCTGTTTGATTTCAAATCAGACATATGATCTGGCTCTCTTTATCAGGAAATGGATGAATGGGAAGCGCGGATATCAGCGATGGCGACATTAGCCTTAAGATTATGACAATCTTCTTCCCCGCACGACCAACTACATATCAAATGCCAATGCAGCATTTAATACTCTTTTTGACAATATGGAATTGAGAAGACTCCGGACGGATCAATAAGCAAAATACAATGGCTACCACTACAATCGAACCCACCGCAGTTCAAACTCCTGCTGTAGACCTTGAACAATACGCCTATAAAACCCTTAAGCACTACGTCCACCCACCGGAAACCAAAGCCAATCTCCCCTGGTCTGAGCTGGTTACCCTTGACCTCGAAGACTACCATCGGCCAGGAGGCAAAGAACGTCTTGCCAAACAACTCGAACATGCCGTCCACCACGTTGGCTTCTTCTACGTCAAGAACTTTGGTCTAACCCAAGAACAAGTAGACCAGCAGTTCACTCTGGCACAGAATTTCTTTGAACTGCCGGTTCAAGAAAAAGAGAAATACGAAGTCAACTATGGCGAAGCTGACTACAATGGCTGGCGTAGACCAGGCCGGTACGTGGGCGCCAATAATACCAGAGATAATATAGAGATGTACAACATCCCCAAATTCACCAAGGATTTCGAAGGGAAATATAATCATCCAGATCTGATCAAGGCTCATTTACCGGAAATTGAGACATTCCACCGAGCTTTGCATGCGAATGTCGTGCTACCGTTGTTGCGACTCTTTGCAATTATTCTAGAATTGCCTGATGAAGATTACCTCGTCAAGCAACACACTTACGAGGAGAAAAGTGAAGATCACTTCCGATACATGCTATATCATCCTCGTACAGAAGAGGAATGGGAAGCAAACAATTATGGCAAGGGGGGCGGCCACACTGATCTCGGTACCGTCACTTTACTCTTCCGTCAACCTGTTGCCGGTCTCCAGATCTTGGGTGAGGATAATAATTGGACTTGGGTCTCTGCTCAACCTGGTACAATCACTGTCAATCTCGCAGATACAATCTCACATTTGACGGGTGGTTGGTTGAAGAGTTCTGTGCACCGGGTCGTGGCACCCCCGGAGGATCAACGACAGTATAAGCGGACGGGTTTGCTTTATTTTGCTCGCCCACATAACAAGACTGTACTTGTGCCCATTACAGATTCTCCGGTCTTGCAGAAATCTGGAGTGAAGCCACGATTTGAGAAGTTGGTGACTATGGAAGAATGGGTTAGGGCTAAACAGACTCTGCAGCTTAATCCTGAGATTGCGAAGAAACGTTGGGCGGAGAAGGGGGATGGAACTGTAGAAGTTCTTGCGGGATTCCATGATAGGAAGTACAAGGAGTAAATCCGGCCTTTCCCTTGAAGTTATATGCCCTGCCAGTGAGCTCATGCAGAAGTTAAGTCTGCAAATAGCTTAAACAATGTGACACGGAGCTTTTGGATCAGTCAATGTATAGGGCTTATAGATCGCTTTAAGCACATAATTTGCTTACTTCAGCAATACAGGAACACGCACGTATCGTGTATGTCCTTCAAAAGGGAAATATATGCACAAATCCAGCGCTATGCTAACTCCTCTCATAATATTTAGTTATATAAAACATATAAACCTGTTCCTTTGTAACGCTACCTAGTTACATAGGAACAGCGGTATTAAGTAATACAGAACTTGCCCTAAAACGTAACGTAATCCACAAGCGAACCGGCACTTTTTCCCGAACACGTACACAATATTAATTCCATACTATTCAACACGCCAAAATGCCACCAATTCGCAATAAAAATAAGAAAGATTTAGCTGAGCAAGAAGGACGAATCTTATTAGCTATTTCCGATTTACAAAATGGACGAATCTTGCGCGTGGCTCGAGCTGCAAGGATTTACAGTATACCCCGGGCGACTCTACAAGACAGATTAAACGGCACTCAACAAAGATCTCAAGTTCGCGCCAACAGCCATAAATTAACTCAGTGTGAGGAGGAATCGCTTGTCAAATGGATACTCGATTTAGATAAACGTGGATTACCCCCTCGACACTCTCTTGTACGAGAGATGGCCGATTATCTTCTTTCGCAACGCGGAAACCGCCGGGTTGGAGAGAATTGGGTATATAACCTTGTCAAACGTCGCCCAGAGATTGAATCAAAGTTCTCACGGAAATATAACTATGAACGTGCTAAGTGCAAAGATCCGAAGATAATCCAAGAGTATTTTGATCGCGTACGAGAGGTTATATTAGAGTATGGGATCTTGCCAGAAGATATCTACAATTTTGATAAGACTGGCTTTGCTATGGGACTCTGTGCGACTGCAAAGGTTATCACTGGAAGCGATCGATATGCTCGGCCAAAGCTATTACAGCCTGGTAACCGAGAATGGGTAACTGCAATTGAGGCAGTTAATTCGATTGGATGGGCATTGCCTTCGTATATTATTTTCAAGGCAAAGAAATACACTCGATTAGGCTGGTTTGAGGATCTTCCAGACGACTGGAAAATCAACATTAGCGACAATGGATGGACGACAGATAAGATTGGATTAGAATGGCTTAAAACTCATTTTATTCCTCTTACTGATGGCCGTACATTGGGGAAATATCAGATGTTGATTCTTGATGGCCATGGAAGCCATTTAACTGCTGAATTTGACCGTACATGCACTGAGAATAATATTATTCCGGTCTGTATGCCTCCTCACTCTTCACATCTTTTACAGCCTCTTGATGTTGGCTGTTTTGCTGTTTTAAAGCGAGAATATGGACGGCTTATTGAGCAGCGAATGAGGCTTGGATTCAATCACATTGACAAAATCGACTTTCTCACTGCATTCCCGAAGGCTCGTACGATGGCATATAAAGCTCAAACTGTTCGGAATAGCTTTATGGTAACTGGGTTAGTACCATTCAATCCAGATCGAGTTTATCAACAGCTTACTGTTCGATTGAAGACTCCAACACCCCCTCCAAGTCGATCAAGTGATACACAATCATCCTGCTTGCAAACCCCTCAAAACGCATGTCAATTTAAGCGCCAAATGACTACTACGAAGAAGAGAATAAGCCGGCATACAAGGAGTTCATCTGAGGCTATTGGTGAAGTGTTTACACGGGCATCAAAGGCTTATGGGATGAGTATTAATAAGCTTACAATTGCACAGAAGGAACTCCATGATCTACGGGCTGCACATGAGAAGGAGAAGCAAAAACGTCGAAGATCTAAGCAGCAAATATCTCATGAGCAGGGAATTACCAGAGAGGAAGCTCAAGCACTCGTACAAGGTTGGGTTGAAGCATCCCAAGCTGTTACTACTGCTCCGGCCGAGCCTGAGCTTCCAGTCTGTCATCCACCTGTACGACGTCAATTTCGCTGCAGTGATTGTGGTGTTGCAGGACATAAAATAACCGGATGTCCTAATCGTATTAGGAATTAATTTTTTGTATATAATTAGTATGTGGGTTAGAAATTGAGATTTGAGATCAATATTGTGTACGTGTTCGGGAAAAAGTGCCGGTTCGCTTGTAGTGCAGGTTCGCTTGTGGATTACGTTAAATTAAGAAGCACTGATGTGATTTCTCACTTCCGTCGAGGCCCTAGCTCAATAATGATTCGTCTTTGAACATGTATTATATGCATAAATTATAATAACGGCTTCAAAGCCTAAAATCATTGGAAATCATTGTACTATGGTCTACTATGTACGGAGATTGCGGATGACAATCACCGTGCTTGTTAGAGAAAGGTATAGTCAGGGGAGAAGATCTGAATAATGATTTTGGATTAGCCACGCATGGCAAAATCAACGACAGAAATGACGTTTGGCATGGGAACTAAAGTACTTGCCTTGAGTTTATTTGACACATCAGATGATGGGGGGGTTCGTGCTTACGCTGCTTCAGGTGGGTGATGCGCAATTCTCGCTTATCGCGCTCTCTTCAAATATCACGAGTTTCAAGACTAGATCTGATCTACCTCTATCTTGACTTCGAGCCTCAATGGGCTCTCATTAATAGAAGGCTATTTATGCTCTGTTGGTCGCTGATGATCCTTTGAGCCCCATTGGTTCAATAACCCTAATCTTGTACGGAGATGCTCCTCGGCATAAACAGGACTTGCACGGAAAACAGTATGAGTCGAAAGATAGTGCCAATCTCAATTGGTCGTTTCATGTTTATAATTCTAGGGTTGATTTTGAGCTGATGCTGTCCTAAGCGGGGAGCAGAAAAAGCAAAGCCCTAGTGCGGGACGTGCCCGGCATATATACGAGTCTCATACGAAGAACGAGAGCAATATCGAGTATAAATACTAAAGGCAGTCCCAATCACGCCATATTGTTTTGCAAATTCACAATCATTGTCCAACAACAACGGCGAAACACCATGTCTATTGATACATATGGGTAGCAAAATAGATAGCTCCTGAAAGCTGAGAAAAAGAAATTTCTACTCTCAAAGCTACTCCCAATCACCAGCATAATCCCTCCATGGTTTGGATTAGGAAGAACCCACATAGATGGATATATTAAGCTTCTTGGTCGCTCCGTCTTCGACTTTGCATGTAGCCATGAAATCATCCGCAATAGTGTAGGGCCATTGTCCCCCTCGAGAAAGTACAATGCGTTCAATGAGCTTGGTCACAGAGCCTATACTTCCTCAATACACCACCCTCCATGGCCCTCACAGAAGCACAGCTTCATACCCTAACCCTGGTTGGACGTTTTGCGTCCACGCTTTCCATCCTAGGGGTCGTCACGATCATCTCACGTTTGCCTCGTCACGCCATTTCCGTAACCCGATGCACCGCCTGATTTTTATCAATGCATTTTATAATCTGTTTGACTTTATTGCAACGATGATATCAACAAGCGGTCCGGATGCAGGCAACTCTTCGGCTTTGTGCCAGTTTCAGGGGTTTTGTCTCCAGATGTACGTTCCCATCCAGCGGCTTTATCATTTATCATACATTAACACATACTGAGCGAGGATAGGTTCCCCATGGCAGATGTTTTATGGACTGTTGCAATGGCGGTTGACGTTTATCTCGTTGTATATCATCGCTTTGAAGCGGAGGCTTTACGCAAGCTTGAAATTTACTATATTACTATTATTACGGGCGTTGTAGCTATTCCTGCGTTGGTCTTTCTTTTTATCCATACTCTAGACAAGGGTCCTATGTATGGAAGCGTAACAGTGAGTTGTTCTCCTTTTGTCCTTATACTCAGCTAATCTCTGTTCAACAGTTCTGGTGCTCAATTTCTCCTAATTGGGTTCTCTTTCGGATTCTGTTTTACTACGGGCCAATCTGGTATGCCGCATTCTCTGATAAAATCTATATTTCTTCGGTTGTCTTACTGATAGGCTTACTTTCAGGTTCCTGATTCTTATAGTATTGATTCTATATATCCTTGTCGGAGTCAAAGTTGTTAAGCTCCGGCATCAATTTAATGCTTCTCATGCAGATCACATCGCACTCTCTTCCAACATCTCGACAAAAAACCACTCCTTCGACCACCCGAGCAACACACTCGCCGTTACAGTCGAAGTCAATATCCGAACCCAACCATCTCTCTCTTCACATCCAGACCAGAAAGGGCCCCAATCCTTCATCGAACAAAGCGCACTTCCCTCCCACATGGTCCTCGATTACAACCACTCCAAGCAGTCACATGTCTCATTCAGACAGTACATCCTCATGCCAATGGTGTTTTTCCTAGTCCTGCTGGCAACATGGGTTGCTCCCACGATCAACAGGATATCCGCATTTGTGAATCCAAACCATTCTTCGTATCCGCTGATGGTTACTGTTGGGGCAATGGGATCCCTACGCGGGTTCTGGAATGGGGTTGTGTTCATTTCGATTGGAATGAAGAGTTGGAGGAGACAGACAAGACTGCAGAAATGGAAACTTTCTGATAAGGTGAAAGGGATGGCACCAGCGAAACCCAGAGCGCCGAGATAGACTCATATCAACACGCAGTTCTGATCATTGGTTATGTACATATGATATAAATACCCAATTCATCAGTGGATGTTTTCTAGCAATACGTTTATTATGCTGTTTGTCCATTTGTAGTTTCAAAATACATATACTCTCTGATTGGTTGAATTTTAACTAGGGTTAGGGTTATTTAATCCAACTACGTATTACTAGTGCGAGAGACTTGAAACATTCTCAAATTATTGGAGTCATACTTCCTTACGGTCAGCAAGCAAATAATCTAGTGCTTCTATGCTTACAGGTTGATAGCTTGCAACCTACTGCTGTGGGTGACCATACAGCCCATGGAGCTTATCTCGTTATCTGACCGTCGTCAACTTAAATAGCGACAGAGTTCTCCGATCGGGAAACTCTTTCACCCCATACACCAAACATTATCTGTCCAAGCTCAAACTATGTCCACCACAGACGAGAATGTCAATTCAGCAACTCCACCTCCATCGCGCCCTTACCGGTCGCACAAGTTTCCTGCTTGCGACTTCTGTCGCAGACGCAAATCTCGGTGCACTCAGCAGTCATTGGACCAACCATGTGTGGAATGTGTTATGCACCGGGTAGCATGTTCAAGAACTAGTCTCCATAGCGAGGCATCAATCTCAACGACTGCAGAGAGAAGCCGGAAAAGGCGACGAATGTCCAGTAAGACACCGGCCTCGCGTCGTCAGTCATTGTCTCCAGCGACGCCTGCTGAAGCTTCCACTGCTGGTGATCATCCTCCTCCTCCACCCCCCTTCACACCAAACGATGCAAGCAAAACCCAATCCACCCATATTGTCGGCCCAGAAATGGCCCGCGATGCGCAAGTCCTCGAACGCTATATGTCCCCGGCTTACAACACAGCGGCATCGCGTGCTCGGCCAAACCCGTACAGTGTCTATTCTCATGACCCTCGCAATCCGGTAGTGTATATGAAAGTTCCTCGCCATCGCAATATAGCACCTTCCGGCAATGGTACCGCTGGGTTTAGGCAGTATGAGGCGATGGAGAAGATTGTTGAGCCCTTGGGCCCAGAACTCTGTCGTGTGTATGTTGTATGTCCTTGCCACTTACAAGTTCGTTGGTTTCTAAAATCACGTATCACGTATCTAGGTATTTTGACAATATCCACCCACCATTTCCAATACTTGATGAAAAAGCAATTCTTGAAGCGTATCCCCAGGAAGGCCTCCCATATACTTTAGTATGTGAGCTCTACGCCGTGTCACTGATCCTATGGAGAACTTCCAAGGCGATATCAGCTACAGGACGTCCAACTCCAGATGTTCGGTACATGTGGAATCTGGCAGTGAGTGCAATGAACGATGATTTTATAGCACCTGACTTGTCCACAGTATTGTCGTGTATCCTCGATCTCCTTGGTCGGCCAACAACCTCCATCACATACAATGCGGTCAATGTTGGTCGTGTCGTCGCCCTGGCTCAGAGTTTGGGCTTGAACCGCAATCCGTTGAACTGGGATTTGGCAGTTCGGCAGAAGAACTTACGTATTCGGACTTGGTGGGGAATATTAATTCATGATCAATGGTAGGCCATGTTGTGACTTCACTTATAGACTGTACTTTTCTCTGACTAGATGAAGGGCGAGTCTATCCCACGGGACTCCGCCTCATATCCACCGCTCTCAGTGGGATGTCCCAGTGCCAGATTCAGACACATTAGGGGTGAATTCTATCACAGATGAAGAGACAATCTCCGTTGTTCGAGTTCAAGGTGCCCTCTCATTTATAGCACTTTGCCAATTAACTATGATCTTGGGAGAAATCCTGCCTCTGATCTACACGCTACAACCCCAAGGCTCAGGTCATGCATTTAGAGCTTTACGGCGTCACGAAACGGCACTCGATGAATGGGAAGAGAAACTACCCACTTGGCTACGTCCTGGCAGTGCCTCCTTTGATAGAAAAGCTGCCGGTGCTCTGAACCTGCAGCTATGCTACTTGGTAATAAAGATGTGTCTTTGGAGAATCGGGCTCCTGGTACGACTTTCTCCTGTTTCTGTCACTTCCAGCCTTATTTTGACATGCTACAAATCTAGGAGCTTCATCGGTTGGATGCGACTGACATCCGGGACGACAAAACGTATTATCAATCGAGATGCCGGGAAAGCAGCATGCGCGGTAATAGAGCTTGTTACAAGCCTAGAAAGGGATGAGCTCGATGCTTTCTGGCTCCCTTGTAAGTTTCCCGAGGTATGAAGCTCCAATAAAGGGATCGCATCACTAAATACGTGACTCAAGATACTACATATCACTTTAATTCAGCGACAACACTTATACTTCGCTGTGCCCTTGAAGCAGAAAACCCGGAAACTGCACAAGAATGCGTTGCAAGCGCAAAAGGTCTTATCGATTTCCTACGAGAGGCGAAAGACGAAACCAATTGGGATCTAGCAAACACATGTCTAGATCACTGCGAGACCGTAGTTGAAAATCTAAGTGACAAACACAACCTAGCTACATGGAGAAAAAATCCGCCCGGCAATCAAAATTCAGGTAGGGGAGAATCAGGAGGCAATTTCTTCCCTCGAAGAAATAATCAGCATGCTCAAGGGCAAACCGGAGCTACATTTTCTCATAGAAACCATGACTCTTCGAATCTGGACCCTGGAATCGTGGGAGGTCGAGACGGAATAAATCTCGGAGTTATCAATCCGATTTTCTTTCAGGAAGTTATGACTTTTGGCTCTATTCCGGGGAGTATGCCTGATAATTCGGTGTTCTCTGATATGGTACAGATGCCGTATCTGGAAGGGTACCCGTATCGCAACTTCTACTAATGAATGACATCGACCTTGAGTAATGATTCACGATATAAAATAGATATGTACACAGATATCCTATAGTAAAATACGAGAACAATAAAGCAGATAAGATAAATAAGCCTACAACTAACGAAGAAAATCCCTCCAGCGAGAGTCCTTCATAGTACATACCGGAAGTGAGGGTTCTGTTCTCCTGTCAGCACATCTCTCTGGACAAAAGGGGTAAGATGGAAGAGGACTAACCTCAAAGTCAGTTAAATCATGCAACTCGTCTCCTCCCGAGGCCTCAATTCCTTCTACCCCAGTCACATTCGCCGCGGCAGCATCTCTCTGCTTGTTGCGATAAATGAAGAGCAACCGCAGAGAAATAGCCAAAACTGCCTGAGCAGACGAACATGCTAAAATGACTTTGCATCCAGTTTGGTAGATAGGAGCTTCCTTAGCTAAGAATGCATGAGGTCCGATAATATTTCCAACGCAATATGCCAGGAAGACTAGGCCGACACTGGTTGTACGCTTCGTGTAGCCACCAAGATTCGTAGCAGGCATTTGTAATGCAAGTACAAGGGAGCACACATAAGAGCCAACGATGTAGTAGCCAAACAAAACCCCAACCTTATGCGTCTTATGTGACAGCTTCCACATTATGCATATACCAATGATAGTTGGAATCAAATAGGCGAACATGACGATAGTGCGGAAGTTGGGAATCCGGGACGCAAGATACGTGCCCGACAGGACCCAGAAGATCTGAAAAGCACCGAACGGAATTCCTAGTGCAACTGTTGTGATTGCGCTGCCTGTCAAACCCTTGATGATAAGCTTGCTGAAGCTGGCGATACCGCCGTTGATTGTCTCGTTAAACAACATGAAGAAAAACAGAATCCAGACTTGAGGGTCAATGAACGCTTCTCGAATCTGGTACCATTTGATTCGGCGATTGATGATTCCTGTTCGATTGAGACGACCACGGCCGATGAGGAGGGCTTTATCTTCGAGAGTGAAGCGTTTGGCAGACATGATGTCGTCTGGGAGCCACACGAACATCAAGAGACCCCATAGAATGGTGACACCACCGAGGATCAAGTAGATGGCCCGCCAAACCGCAATAGTTTTGATCTGACCAATGCCAAAGGTGAGGAGGCCTCCAATCATTGCACCAAGACCGTTGCAACTATAAAACACGCCTGCTCGAAAGGGTTGTTCGGACCGTGTGTACCACATACCGACAATCATCATAAAGCAAGGTGTGATTGGAGCCTCGAAGACACCGAGGAGAAATCGACAGATCGCCATGCCCGTGAATGAAGTGCAAGCCGCGGTGATCATGAGCATTGCACCCCAGGCCACTATATTCCCAGACACCACCTTGGCCATTTTCGTCTTTTGGGCAAGGTAACCCCATGGATACTCAGCAGCAAGGTATGCAAAGTAGAAAATACTGGCCAGCCAGCCGTATTGATTGCTTGACATATGTGTGGTTGTGAACAGGTCAAATACCGCGGAATATGCCAATGCCGATTTATCAATATACTGGAGCGTGTAGGTGCCTGCTAGAAGAGGCATGAGAAGCAAATCAACCTTGCGCACCAGACGTTTGTTGCGAGGCTTGTCACCCAGGAGCTCGTGGACGCGGTCGTTCGTGATGCCATTTTCTCGCAGGAAGACTTCGCCTTCGTCGAGGTCCGTGATGACGCCGGTCTGAAGGTCCTTTTCTTGAGCAATGGGGTCCTTCATGTCGGAAGTGGTTTTCTTTTCGACATCCATGGCTGGATCTCCACTGTTGAATCCACTTACGTATAAATATAACGAATACTAAACAAAAGATTTCAGCACGAGTGTCCGGAATAATGAAGCTGGGACTAGATGGTTCCAGGATCCATCCATGTTTGCACATGGGCTTCGTGGATTCCGGCGTTATATAGACCGAGTTCGGACTGGTATCCGTTTATGTTGAACTATGCCCAGCAATCAATCCAATTTGATATCTACATCTGATATTCATAAGCATTATCTTGTCTTGTCTAGCTACAATCAGATTGAAATGATAAGGATGCCCCATCAGTTGAGCGGGGGCATCTCCAAGTCTTCCGATAACAACACATTACGAGATGGGGACGTTGAAATCAGTAGAAAAAATAGGGGTTTTGTGTCTCGGAAAACTTCCGAAACGTCCGTCCCGGTATCTTGCTGGTCAAGGAAAGCGTCCTCTGATTTGCCCGGCCCCTACTTCTGAGCCCGAGGTACTATTTTATGATTTTATCAGATTTAAACTTCCTCAGATACGGCATCACACGACAGATACTTAGGTCTGTCTGTGCACGATATACCTTAGCCATTGCTCAGCACTCATATTGATCTCAAAGAGTGAGACCCCTGATATATCGAAACACCAAGCGACTAACCACATTATGAGTTCAAATTCTGCGTCTCTCTCTGTTACCCTGCCCCAGGGAACGGTGGTGGGAGTTCAATTGGACAACGCATTTCCTCAACCTGTGAATGCCTTCTTAGGCATTCCATACGCACTTCCTCCAGTGGGGGGCCTACGTTTTCGTCTGCCTGTCAAAGTCCCTAATTCGACAAAGGTTATTGACGCTTCAAAATATGGCCCTGCAGCTCCGGGGAAGGCTTTGCTGATGGGAGGTCCGAAAGTTGAGAAAAGTGAAGATTGTCTGACTGCCAATATTTTCCAACCTGTTAGGCATCATACAAAAAAACTGCCAGTCGCAATATACGTACATGGTGGTGCTTTCAATAGAGGATCGGCATCAATGCACGATACTGCATCAATGCTCGCATGGTCAGAAGAACCTTTTATCGCGGTCAGTTTTGGTTATCGTCTGGGAGCTCTGGGTTTCTTGCCATCTACTTTGTCCAAAAAGGAAGGTCTTTTGAATTTGGGGTTGCACGATCAGATTTTTTTGTTTCAGTGGGTGCAGGAAAATATAGAGGCATTTGGAGGAGATCCAGGTAATGTTACTCTCTTTGGGCTCTCGGCGGGAGCTCACTCCGTATGTACATTCCTTTTTATTGCTGATTCATCTACGTTAATAAGTCTCTGACACAGTGGGCAGATCGGTCATCATCTTCTCAACTATGACGAGCATCGCAAACCTTTATTTCACCGAGCCATCATAGAATCCGGATCACCGACTTCGCGCGCTGTTCGTCCTTACGATGCAAAGGTCCACGAGCAGCAATTCCAAGATTTCTTAAAGGAGGTACAATGCCCGGAAAATCTGCCAGAATCCGAAATTTTCCCATTCCTGCGCTCCTTACCAAGTTCAGTTATAACGGATGCTCAAGCAGCAGTGTTCGATAAATGGAACCCATCTCTACGGTGGGCGTTTCAACCCGTGATAGACGGAGATATCATCTCGCGCAAACCCCTTGATGCTTGGAAGTCCGGGCTGTGGAACAAAGTACCCATAATGACGGGGTTCAATACCAACGAAGGAACAATGTATGTCGATAAGACCATGTCTCGACCTGAGCAATTTCGCGGTTTCTGGCATACGCTACTCCCGGAGCTTTCGGCGGCAGATCTGGATACTATTGAAAAGTTGTATCCGGAACCCAGCACTGATCCTAAGTCGCCATACGTGGAAACTCGGCTCGAGCATGGCCTCGGGGCTCAATACAAACGTATCGAGGCTGCATATGGTCATTACGCATATGTAGCCCCTGTCCGTCAAACAGCACATTTTGCCTCTTCTCAGGGAGTACCAGTCTACTTATACCACTGGGCCCTAGCCCGGACGGTAGTTGGTCGCGCAAATCATGGAGATAATATGTACTATGAGGCGTACAGTAACAATATTATTAGTCTGTCGGAATCACAGAAAGAACTCTCGGGTACTCTACACGCCTATATCACTAGCTTCATTACACAGGGTGACCCCAACGCTATATCGGGCCGATATGCCCAGCGGCCAGAGTGGAAGCGTTATCTGCCCGATGAGCCTGGAGTGTTGATATTCGGCCAGGGGAATGAGGAACTCATTGGAGGAAATGTGGCACCAGCTGCAAAGTTTGAGGCTGATAGCTGGGACAGGGAGCAAACCGACTTTTGGTGGTCCAAGGTTGAAATATCGCAGCTGGCTTAATTTTAATAAGTCAAGATGTACTATGTTTTATGGCTGTAGCACTTCTGTCTTTGTATATACCTACCTACCGGAACATCTCTGGCGCTTCTCGACTTTCCTGTTCTGAGTTGTCACCACACTCTCAAAAACATAGTAACCTTACATAGTATAGTTGATCAAATGGCGAGCATTCAACTTTATGCAGTTGTTTAACACCACATCCTCTAATTTCGAACAGCACCGTTGCCTACTCAATGCCCCGGGAACACCTGGGCAAGCACCTGCAGTCCATTCAGACCTGTAGCATACAGAATAAACCACAAGGTGCCAAACATAGATATCAACTGGACCATTCTCAAGGCCTATAACAAGATTTAATTATCCTATAATCACTCGACAGGTGATCCGCCCAATGATCCATCCCTATCTTATCCTACAATGGAATCCGAGGATCCAGGAATCCTTCTAGTAGGGTTCTGTTCAAATTGCAGGAATATAGACCCAAAAACGAGCGTGGTCCCACTTGTACTGGTCATTACTGTCTATTAGTTGCTGGATCCATTCGACGGCATTCTTGTAGTCTTTATTTATTATATACCTTATTGGCTTATATGCACATGAAGCAGAAAAAAGGAGAGAGTCTGTGGGACCTCACTAGTGGTATCCTCGGTGTAAGGGTCGGTCAAACCAGATGCTCCATCACGATGACCGCCAAACCACTAACCACTTATCATAGTCATAGTACTCCTGGCAATCCCAGCGGGAGGCAACATCGGCGTAAACGTCCTAGCTATTCGGAGAAGCTCGTCAGACACTCATAGCCGACACTTGAAGATTGAATGCCACTTACTTCAGTCTCGCGCTGTTGTCCCATTCGTCCTGGGACTGGCCTTTGAACCCGTAGCGATAGGCACGTTCACGAAGTATGCCCCAGTTCTGCTTAAACATACTGAAGTTGGCGGCATCATAGGTCTTTCCGTCGCTATAGGAGTAGTCGGCAGTATTCATGGTTTTGCTATCGCGTTATAAGAGTCACAGGCAAGAGATCAACCAATACAAGCTTACATTTCAAGCATGGCAATGGCAAGATCAAGGGTGTTCCCGCCAGCATCTAAGATGGCCTCCTTGTGTGCGCTGATGCCAGTTACGGTTTTAGAGCCACGATCGTCTCTCTTGCTGAAGCCCTCCGTAATGGGAGAACCCAACACAGGAAGGAAAAACACAGGAAGAAGAGTAATAAGAGACCTCATGATGATAGAAAGCGAGGAAACGAGATTGCCGAGAACAGTGATGAAGATGAAATAGACATTTACTCTCGGGAGCGGACTGACCATCAATACATACCTAGATTTATTGCTGTCCTTAAGGTTTAATGCTCAGGTGATCAAAGTATCCTGTACATATGAACTTCCTCATACGGACTGCTTCCATATTCGTCAGGGATCATCAGTCCGTACCTAAAAGACATGAAGCTATAACGGAAATGTCTAAGAAAGCTAGTAGTCATATGATTTCAAACATGCCAAAACTCCTTTGGAAGATACAGCCACTCGTGCACTGATTATGTCGTGCAAGCGTGCTTTATATAGATATAATAGGGTAATTTGTGTTTCAATTTACTTCGTCTAGGATTGTTAGGCTGCAGAGCTTTCAGCTTCATCTTCCCCAAAATCTAAACTCCCATTATACTCCTATCATCTCCAAGCTTTTTATCAAGTCAGTCAGAGCTTTCTAGAAGACTTGATGTAGTGTCAGTAACATCCAGAGTAACCACCTCTACAAGCGGTGTGCATTCTCCTCCACGAGCCTTGAAAACTATTAGAATCAAGAGATCAGCTCTAAAACCACCTGGAATGGCTGAAGATTTCTAAATAGGAAGCCCTAATGAGGGAGTATAAACTTAGTTTCGGTAAAATCAATCCTTCCCTGAAACATAAACAGGGATTCTTCCCTGGAGGTCCAAAATAGATACGGGCGTCGATTTTACTGCCCCGGTCAGTCTTCCAGAAGAAATGCGGAGGACACGGAATAATGTAGAGTATGGAGTATAGACTTATTTCTCGCTCCCCTCGCCTTCTCGACGAATGCAATTTGACATTGACATGAGCTGATCAACTACTGACACGTTTCATTTCTTTTTTCCGCCCCTTATACGAGAGTACTTCTATCGCATGATTGATGGATAATTGATGAGTGAGCGCTCTCTCCGAAGCTCTAAAGTTCTTTAATCGTTTAATGAAGCAGATCCTCATTGCTCTTGTCTTCCGAAGGCAATGATTTACCTCGATCACAGATAGAAAAGAAATAACTGCAGACGACACTGTCACTTCTGTGTCTAGATATGAAATATGAGTGGAACTAGAATTATTCGCAGTTTTGAAGTAGCAGGCCTCAGGGAGATTTGCTCTTTGTATGAGATCGACTTTCCATTAGAGTCAATCAGGATTGGATTGGAGATATTTAAGTGAAGGCAATCCCCATCATTCAATACTGCATAAAGGATTCAAAGACAGGTCGGCAAATACACGAGTCCTTCAACCATTCAGTCTTCTTGCCCTCAAAGATGATGTTTATCAGTGCAATCAGTCTGCTACTCCAGGGAGGGCTGATCACTGCAAGCCCTCTTGTAACCCCCCAAGCCAGAGATGACCGCGGATCGTACACTGTGCCTGGTTTTTGAGCTCGCAAGCAAGCCGTTACCAGCGCAGGTAGTACCACGCTCGACTTGGCTATTGCTATGCTAGAGATGTCTGCTTTTTCCCCTTTTGATAGATTGGATTAGATGAAAAACTGAAACATAAGCTGCTTATGGATGATATGAACATTGATCACAAATATAATAAGTCATCAGGCCCTTCTAAGTTAGGGCAATACTTGGGCACATCGGCGTAACCCGTAACTTTCCCTACCCAAAAGTCAAGACAAAGGATCAGAGCGTCTCTTTGCTAGAGTTAAAATTACAGGAAGCAATTCATGCGGTATTACAAGTCCCGAGGCCAAAAGAGAGAAAGGAAAGAGTTCAAAGACCTCGTCTTTGTTTCCTTTGTGTGGATAACCTTAATCTCGCGTTCGGAAGCGTACGCAAACATTCAAGGCGCATGGCGATGTCATCAAGCACATCAAGTGCGCATATCGCGGTCTCACGTTCCTCCGTAAAATGGAACTGCAGCGCTATGCGGCCGATGCCCATGCAACAGTAACGTGAAATTCTTCCTTTCAGACTTCTGCTTGATGGACTTCAAGTTCAACTCACCCAGGCTGGACGTAGGGGAGTAGACTTGGTAGGTTTACGCTGACTGGGCCCAATTAATCCTTTCCTATATAATTCATCCACACCCTCTGAGTTACTGTATAGAGAGTATCAATCTTCCGTGTCTTTCATGATTATTCACTTGACTGTTGAGGTCGATTGCTCTGCGTACTTCCATTCTTTGTTGTTCGTTACAGTAGAACGGAAGCACCACGTTGTGGCTGACTTAACGTCGGGCAATATTACTAGCAAATATTTCCTTCCCAAATTATAGTATTGCTCGCTTTTGTCGTTATACCTGCAATTTCCAGAAATTTGATAGCAGTCACAGCTGAAATCCTTAATGTAAAGAATTCAGAGGAAGATCTGGTTGCCAAGGATTATGAGCAGGAGTAGAAATATCAGTTGTACGCTTCCCTATTGGGGAATGATTGGTTCTCGATAGAGCGTTCTCCACGTTCCTATTCTCTACGTTCCTATTCTCTCTATCTGCTTATCTCTTTTCTAGAGGAGGCTATCTAAGGGGTGAGGTGTTCTATCCCGTATGGATAAATATCGGTCCGAAGGTCACATGATATTTACACTCCCTCTCACGTGATACTAATTAGTTAGTTAACACGGAGACCAAGAGAGGGACCAATCAAGTTCATCATCTTTCCACAATAGTGCACCCGTTGTACTCCCCTTCGTTCAACATCCAGAGAATGTGAGTTGTACAATCAATAACAAATAACAAAAATCACAAAACAACATATAAGCAATTCGAGGGTGTTGAACGCTCGTTCTGGCAATCTTGTAATTTTGAACGTTATGGCTCGAAGATTCAATTCTCCTAATCTCCTAGCCGTAACTCTTGTACGAACCATTCCAGTATCTTCAGATCGACAGCCTTGGTGAGACTATCCGCAAGCATTTGATCTTCAGAAATATGAATTGGCTTGATTTCATCACGTTCAATAAAATCTCAGATGGCGTGGTATCATATTATGATGTGCTTGCTCGGGCTATGCATCACAGGATTCCCAGCTAGCTTTAATACCGAGGTGTTGTCAATATATAGAAATATTGAATGCACAACCTGACTAACTTCTCAGAGTGGGGTAATCCACCTGAACACGGGAACTAGGTACACTGATTTAATATGTACATCCGAATATCAAATATAAAGCTCCCTAAGAGGTAAACCACCTGAAATCTTCCAAGTACTCTCTAGACGATTTTGACCAGGTAACCGAAAGCAGACCTCGAGACAATGTATCTCACTTCAAAGTTCGCAAAGAACACCGCATACACTATGATCAATCAATCGGCAAACAATCATTATTTCTTACCATTTCACCGAGCTCAAAATGTACGTAAGAGCTCAAACCTTATATGTAACAATTCCCCGACGGAGTTCTACCGCGATGATTGGTCATATTAACTTAGCAAGATAAGAAGAGGTCAAGATTGCTTCCCCGCCGGAAAAGAATTGTCCGTTACGTCTCTGATACGGTACGTAAATGCACTGGATGATGAAAATTCATTTCATTCTGGATGGCCAAGCAAAGACCACCGATGCGATGGAGATCGTGTTTCTGTTACTTTTTTCAAAAATGTCACGATTAACGAGCGGGTGACTGGGTCGGACAGTATAAAAGGGGTTGCAGAGTACCTAGTCGTTCCTTTCTTTTTCCTCAATCATTCCCGGTATTCCAAATTATACGGTTACTGTATATTGAATAGACAAAATGGCTAGTGTCCAGCTTCCAGAGCCCTTTGCCAGCATCCCTAGAGAGTCATTTCTCTTTGGTCCTTCACCTATTCAACACCTCCCCAAGATCACAAAAGCCCTTGGCGGAAAAGTTGGCATCTACGCGAAGCGAGAAGATTGCAATTCGGGCTTGGCCTTTGGTGGTAACAAAACTAGGAAATTAGAGTATGCTCCTATACCCACGCCCGTCTTATCGAAGTTTATATGCTTACCAATAGTAGATATCTTGCCTCAGACGCATTAGCACAAGGGTGCGATACTCTAGTCAGCATTGGCGGATTCCAATCCAACCACACCCGACAAGTCGCAGCTGTAGCCACCCAGCTAGGAATGAAGGTAGCCCTCGTACAGGAGAAATGGGTCAATTGGGAGGATCCCGTATACGACAAGGCCGGGAATATCCAACTCTCTCGCCTAATGGGCGCAGACGTCCGACTCGATCCCTCCCCCTTCGGAATCGAGCATAAGGGGACCCTTCAAAATCTCAAACAAGAGATTATCGACAAAGGCGGGAAACCATATTACATCCCCGCTGGAGCATCAGATCATCCATTGGGAGGACTGGGATTTGCGCGTTGGGCGTTCGAAGTAGAGCAACAGGAAACAGAGATGGGCATCTTTTTTGATACTGTCATTGTATGTGCCGTCACTGGATCAACCATGGCAGGGATGGTAGCAGGGTTCAAACTGGCGCAAAAGAAGAATAACTCCAAACCCCGAAAAGTCATTGGAATCGATGCCTCTGCAACAGTGAAGCAAACCTTTGACCAGATCCTGCGCATTGCTAAGGCAACTGGAGTCAAAATTGGATTGAGTGAGGACGATATCACAGAAGAGGATATCATTCTCGATGATAGATACCATGCGGGTGTTTACGGTATTCCGGATCAGCAGACAATCGATGCTATCAAGTTTGGTGCTTCGACGGAGGCTTTTATTACTGATCCTGTTTATGAGGGTAAGAGCCTTGCGGGTATGATGGATATAGTGCGGAAAGAGGAAGTTGCTGCTGGTAGCAATATTCTCTACGCGCATTTGGGGGGACAGCTTGCTCTGAATGCGTATACGGGGATGTAACTACGTCAACGATAAGATATCTCTGAGTTCACTGCCCTATAATCATCTATACCTTGATTGAGTATTATATCCAGCATGAGAGCTTTTCCTGCAATAATATTGATCTTTTTGAATCCTGTGTGCAATACCCATCAAGATCAAATCCACCGAATGAATCGAGGGGAGAAGAGCAATTCGCCAACCCTAACCCTGACAATTCTGTGGGCACGATGCCCAAACCCGGAAGAGGGTCGGGGTTGGTCTGGATACTTAAGGGCCATATATAAAATATGTTCAAACCGACTTTCCTTCTGGGTACTTAAGCTCAAATTCTCCATCTAGACAATAAATCCACTCTCCCTCCTTCGTCTTTTCGTCAAATTTCACAGTAGAGTTTCCCTGTTTCATTAACATCAATGTTAATTTATATATACATGGAAAGGAAGATGGTTAACGTACTTCACCTACAAGCCAGGGTATATAATAATGAAGACTGATTAAGGCAAATCCTTTCTCAGGTGGACATACATCTGGTTGCTCGATGTTCCCCCTTATACCGCAGAACCGCAGAACGGAACTGTGCCACTCCTCACGGGGCTGTTGATTGAGCTCTCGCGTGTATACTAATTTCAAACTGGGTGATCTGGGTTGTCTGAAAGAAAGGTTCCCAGTGCAGTCAGTAAATTTCATGAATGCACTTTCCCTAGAAACTTATTATAGATGTAGATGTCAAGATTTTCTTCGCTAAAACGGCAGTGTCAGGTCGAATCGAGTGATTTAGAAAGGTAAGAGTCTTACACGAGTGGGGTTGTTGGATCAACTATGAGTTGTTCGATTTGGAACAGATCTGTATTGCGAGATTCAAGGCAGAACTTTAGATTCGAGCTCCCAGGGATTACTCTTGGGATTGACAATGAGGTACTTGTGTTTGTAGGAGTTGAGGGCTGAAACCAAGCAAGCAAGCCAAGAAAAAGTATTCACAGCAAGAAAGCGTATCTGCTTCATTCTTTTGGAAGGGTAAGAGTCGGTTTATGATTAATGATTAAGTAAAACGAGCGATTTTGAAAAGGAATGAGAAAATATGCTGTCAAACAGTAGCACCCAGCGGCAGTCTAATCAAGCAGACTACCTAACGTTATCACTGATCTAGGCTCCACTGAGATGCCAGGTTGCGAATCCCGAGAGGCTCATTGGTAGTAAACAAAACTAGATAGTGACGCAGGCGATGAGGCTAGGAACTACAAGAGTTCAGATCAAGTTCAGGCGAAGATTTCCTTGGATTGTTACTAATCCAGTAATTAAGTATGTATTCTTGGACATGCAAGCTGATCAGAATCAGATGGTTGATTTGCTATACTCGATTGTACATACAAGTGCGTGGCTGTTCTCACTCTACTCTCTGAACTGTGTACGGAGTACAGTTGACTACTACGTAGCGCGAGTGTATCCCCGCACAACGTCAATAACAAGTTTTCAATCTTGATCAGCAAGCATGAAACTAATGCATCTGTCCAAGCGTTGCTCAACTAAAGATGCGGTGACCTATCGGCTATTTCGCTAGCACGATAATAATGTTCCATGCATGCTTGGTTAAACCTTGTCGGGGTAGTACATACTAACTTTCTGGAAGAGGGGTAATCCTGTCTTACGATAGTCTTACAACAGTTAATATAATGATAGTATGATTGTATTAGCAATATATACGACATAAATCAAGGGTATCATCCAACCTTCGGAAAAGATGAACTCCACAGCACGAGATTGGGTATCTCTAAGCACAGAAATGAAAAGAACAAACGCCAGGAAATGGCTATGACAAAGGAAAGATTTGGAGGTATGTAAGGATAAAACACCCCGATGATGATGATGATGCAATGCATGGCAGTGAAGCCGGGCCCTGTAATATTTGGAAGAAAACAAAAAGTTCCCACCAGAAATAAAACTTTTTATCTCGCTGAAATGACTTGAATAAAACCTATTAATAAGGTTTGAGTAGTTGAGTGTATTCGTCGGATTGAGTAGTGGATGACGAGTACATAGATGGTGGATTAAACGGTAGACTGTCGCCGACTGGATCGGCGAGAAGGTCGGAGGATGGCCTCGCAGTTCGCATCGAACCGCATATCCCACAGACGGATGCTGTTCATGAGTTTCTCCGTTTCATGAAGGTTTCGATCGCGTCCAAACATGGATTCGACAAATTCGCAGCCGGCATTACGTCCCATCGAAACCGGAGCGCCACGGCGGGTTTCGCGCTTGGCGGCATCGTACATGAACTTCTCACAACTCTCGAGCAGGTCCTTGAATCGGATCCACAGGCGTTCGCCGCTCTCGACAAAGTCCTCAAGGAGATCCTTCGCTTCGTCGCTGAGACCACCTCGGTCGAGGAATTCATCGGCACGCTTGACTTTGCCGGCCAGTTTGATCAGAAGCAGCCATAGTTCGCCCGCGACATCGGCCATCGGAGTAGAAGCGCCATGGTGGTAAACGGTCCAGTCGTAGATCCATTTGCCTAATGAGTTTGCATCAAAGACACTTCCAAGAAGTATAATAGGAGCCTCATCCGGGTCCCAGTTCTTGATCGAATAGCCGTGTGGGATACCGGCCCTTTTGGCATCTTCCGCGGTGGCTTTAGAGGGGGATTTGGGAGGCGTAGTCATCTTGGGTGGTTTCTGGGGAGATGTTCGAGTCGAGGTGGAAGCACGACGAGCACGGGACCGTTTTACATCTTCTTCATAGATGGGGGGAGCCTGGTGAGAAAAAGAATAAGGATCAGTGGTCGTCTTTGTCTTGCGGGCAGTTGTGTAAGAAGATCGCTGGAAGCGAACGCTTCTTGGCTCGCGGTAGATATAAGTCGGCTCATCGTCAGCTTCGTCAACCACATCAATAACGATGGGTCGTGTCGGCGTACGCGAGGGACGGACGTAATCGTAACCAAATACATAGCCATAGGAAGGCACGTCACCCGGCATGGAAGCGCGATGTTTTCTTTTCTTTTGACCAAAAGACGCACTTACATTGTCGAACTTGCGGGATGACGCATATTCTGGAATGGGCTCTTGGTACTGGGGGTAGTGCGAGTACCAGCCAGATTCCCTAGGCGATGCATAACTGGCTTTGCGGGAGTGGCGCTTGGGGGGCGCGCGAGGGGATGCCGTGTTCGCGGCATAAAAAGATTGATAGTAAGGTGAGCTTGGCGGAGAGGTGGTGTAGTCGTAGGCCTGCCATCCGCGGGATGGGCTAGTTTGGTGATACATTATCGAGACGGTGCATGGACTGGACGTATGGATGCAAATTCGAAAGTCGACTCCAACTGGACACAAGTAGTCCTCAATGCAAGAATAGAACAAACGCAACAATGCAAGGAAAAAAGCAGAAACAAAAACAAACAACACTTATATTGTACAGGATATCTAACCAGACGCAAAATGATTCAGTGGCAAATGAGTCAAACCAGACAACTGGGAGTAGGACCGTCACCGGGGTATGGGCTTCGGTCGAGGAGAGGAGAGGAGAGAGGCGTGTCTTGACAGCACGGGCATTTGAGCGTTGTGGCAAGCGAACACGATGGACGAGTTCGTAGTGTGGATAGGTCTGGATCCGACGACAGATAGGGACCCAAAGATGAAGCTTTTCGGATATACTCAAAAGGGTCTGATTGATGAACCCCTCCCTCTCAAGTAGAGTAATTGATTTCGGTCGAAATATTCAGTTCGTCGACACGAATACCTGAATATCGGCAAGTTGTCAAGATTAGAGGCTGTTTGTGTTGAGATGGTGGTGAAAAGCCAGTGGCTGGGGAGGAAAGGAAAGAGAAGAAGAAGCGGGCATGCTGGGCGACGGGCCTTGATTTTATCAGTTCTGCATAATCGAGTGGTAATAAATTACCGTACGTGCTGGAATATACTAGTGTATTAGTGCGCGACAGTTTATTAGTCCGGCAGAAAGTGGCGCCTGCGCTAACTGCTAGCGGCCCACCGTTCCCACTGTATCGTACATACACGAAATTTATATTGCGATTGCAGCCCAAGCATTCTGCCAGCTCAACTCAAGGCTGTGCTTGTATACAAATGACTACTAGTACATTTGTTGGAATGACTCGATCGATGAGTCACTGTAGCCATTCTAAGGATTGTATAGGGCGATTTATTCTGGCCCGAGCATACTTGAGGCTGTAAACAAGGAGGGTGGACAGGTAGAATGACTCTGTAAACGTACCGTTTCGGCCCTCAAGGCTGAGTAATTCTCTCAGTGTGTGGGTAGGTTATTAGGCTTCAGCCGAGGGTTTGTCTAACCCTAACGCTATGTCCACACACCACAATGATATGTAATATGTAATCCTGCTGGCATTTACTACTCCATTCATTCCACACCCTTATGCCTCTCATGAAACTGAAATATCCTACAGGCAGCCTAGAATGCAACTTGCAATTGTACTTTCTCTCTTGTTTTTACTATGCTTCATTCCAACTTTCACCATACGTATCCAATTTCTTCAACTGAGCCTCCTCGCTTATCCGAAAGCACGTACCAAGTGAAAACTTTTTTGTCTCGCACAGATCAACCAGTCATTCAACTATTTTACAGCTATCGACTTTTATTTGCGAGTCACCAATACAACGGATACGTCGTTAAAGAGGTAAATGCGTAAGCACACATCCTTGACTCATTCATCCTTAATACAATTTCATCCCGTGTTGTTCAAGGATAAGGGCTATCTATCGACGAGGCTGTGCTCTAGACCAACTCCCCCTTTTCCTTCATTGCGGTTTATGTATGGGGCTTCTGGAAAGGAAAAAAAGAAAACAAAGTTTGGGATTCATACTGCCGGGATTTCGGAGATGGGCTCCCTTTCGTTGACTACTCTAGTTATTGACTAGTTGGCCACTAGAGAGGCCCGCAAACGGGATGTTTCATCCTGCATCAATTTATCGTTCATCTAGTGTCCGCGACTGCCACATGAGTTTTACATGACTCAGATTGGATGTACGTAGCTGCCTGCATATCAGTAAACCACACAAGGACTTGTTAATGCAAGATAGACTTATATGCAAGATCCTTCCATGCCAATGGAATTCAAACCGAGCATTTTCTGCCAGCACCCCCCGTAGCGTACTGACGGATCGATGCGTAGAACATCCGAAATAAAACATCATACCTCGGCCTTTGTGAGACCGGGTTAAATACTTGATTTATCGGCGATAAATCAATCAAAACCCTGGTCGCACATTCACGTTCTCCGGCAATCTAGGTAGACAGCAGTGTAACGATAATATCGACACTCTAGGCAGCCATGAATAAAAACTCCATTCCCTGACTCCAACAAATACCATAACGCATATCACAAAAATGAATTTTCAGTCTGGATGGTGTGTGGTTTGTGCCATGACAAGGGGTGAACAAAGCGGGCATCCAATAACATTCCAATGTTAGACGCGTTTGTCTCGATTGCCCGAATTAAGTTATTTCTCGGACAATCACTGCAAAGAAAAGAGAACTATTTTCAGCCATGATTGAACATGAAACATCTAGATAGATCAGCCGACTTGTTCTACGTACATTCTTAAGTGCACACACTCCGTATCGAGTAGTCTGTACTGAGGAGGAACGATTTGGCCCCGTTCAGCACGGCGCGTACATGCATACATGGTCATACCGCGTGGGCATGCAAAGCTGAGGCCAATCGATAAGATCAAAGACAGTTTCAGCTGATGCAGCCCTAAGTCGACTCCAATGAGAACAGACGCTGTTCTATGCATTGTCGATCTGCGCTGTGGTTGGTTGGTGGCTGTGGCGTCTGGCCCGGATGAACCGATTTGTCAGCTGGTCATGTGCTGTGGCTGTACTTATTTCTTCCATCGCATCCCTTCTTTTCTTCGATACGGTACTCAACAGGTATTTGCTTCATCAATTGCCACATATCAGCCCGGGTTTGAGGATAATACTGGGGGATTTGCTCCACTACTTTTCTATAGACAGGAGAATGACTCACGTCGCGACAATCACATGGCAGTGACGTCTGACTGATGAGTTGTCAGGCAATGGACCGGAGTTATCAGCACCACACGGAGTAGCCTTAGCAATTTCTCTAGAATTAGGTCCTAGACTTCAATAACATGCAAGGCGAGGCAGCGATTGATGAGGTCGAATACTCCGTACTGCCTCATTCGACGCGATTTGCCTCTGGCAGGCCGAATGGAGTCAATGTAGCAGGCAGACACATTCGCTGCATTACTTACTACGAATTGCCTAGAGAACAGACTGGACGAAGTCGCTATCATCACAGCCGCAACATGTGTTGTGACGACAGACGTTCAGAATTCAAGATTGGAACCATGGAACCAACTTTGAGAAATCTTGGTACGGTAGCGGGTATCCATGGGCCAGCAACCAAAAAACCCAACATCCACAAAAACAACAGTCTACCCACAACGGACACTATCCCGCTCTACCAGACTCTTCATCAACATTTGTCTGTTTCGTTACGAAGGGCATGTGGATACTACTGGAGATCGGTATCAGAACGGCAGACAACGCAAGATTATGGACACCCCATCAGACCGGTAAATAAATGTCATCGCCAATTGTTATGGTCCAACCAATCGATAACTATGCACGATTGCCAGTCGATCCTGCATCTATCTCATTAACCTGGTAGCCCTGACCGCCTCGTGCAATTCGTTCGACTGGGCCGCAAACCTCGAAATTTTTTTAAATCCTCCAACTCCGTAGTGAGTACGTATTTATCAGAGGCTGAGAGAGTGAGAGTGCAGATGCGGTATGCAGGCCAAGTCTGCAGCTAACAGTCAACCAGACAATTGGCGGTAAACTCGTACCGGTCCGGTATGGATCGAGTTGAGTTGTCAAGTCAGCTTGTGCAGGAGACGTGTCTTGAATCTATCACGATATGTACATTGGTCTCTCGAGTATTGTTTCTCAGGGCAGAGTCGGACCCGGTTGTCTGGGTCTGGGACATTCTCCGTAAGTATTAAGTTAAGTGACAACTACATAAAGCACCATTTGTGCGATTGCGGAAACAAGGTATACACACAATCTTGTTCTCATCATCTATATAACCTCTTTTAAACTTTTGTAAAACAACATCTGTCTCATTAAAGTAGATAGATTCGCTACTCTTTCACCGACTCTTTGCTCAAGAACGGTTTCAAAGTCTTAAGTTAACTTACCACCAAATTACCTAATCGGGTACATTGGGCACGAATCCCACAACATTACAGTTTCCGATTGTACACACCCTGATAAAATGTAAAATCCTGTTTTTATCTGTCAGAACGTTGCTCCTTCTTCTTCGTTCTTTTGATCTTATTATGCCTTCTTATAACCAATTTTACAAAGCAAGATTCGCGCGAGGGGGTTACTCGAAAAATCCATATGCGTTGACGAGGGAAACATAGACGCCAATCAATACCTCGGGATTACCACGCATATGCAACATTCATGCATTTTCTGATACCGGTAACTAATTACTAATTACCTGGCATGGTTACCATGGTTTTCTCGGAGTAAAATTAATTAAAAATAGACCGTTGGTGTTGTGTATGCATGCATGTTGGTAGGGTCGCTTACCGGGGTTAGGGCTAGGGCTTCGCCGTAGAGTTGACCTAGGTCTGTACAATCAGGGATGTCATTTGCTGCCGTTTGGGGTTTGCCAGGTATTACATACCGTACCTACTACAGAACTGTCGAGTTGCTATCCAATTTGATAGATCAATAACCCGTACCTGGCCCCCTTACTGCACCCTCGGTCATCGTGTGCAGTCCTGCAGTGGTTCCCCGTTAGTAGAGTACTTACAATAACCAGTTCGATTATTTTCTTGCAAGGGACAAGCAGCATCCACCCACTGATTTAAAATCCAAGCGTTCGTGCGTGTTGTTTGTGTGGTTCTCGTCTACAAATGCATGATGCTTGCATTGGAAGTTTTACCTACTACCCGATAGAATAAGTTCATTGATATAGCTACCTTGCTGATATCGTGCACAAACATTACAGACTTTCTCTTGACCTGCATGTTCCGATTGTCGTTATCGATAATTACCCAGGTAGAATATTGATTCCACTGTCCTATTGATTTCGCCTGCCTTATCTTGGTGGTAAAGAATAATGTAAGGAATAGCCTTATGATTTGGCAAGGTCCGTTCCAGAACTTTCGCACCCAAGTAAGGTCCTTGCGGGCGACCGATGCAATCAAAACAAAATCAGATATATACCACAGGTCTGTACGGTCATCTGGTCTGGACCGGACTATGCTTAGATTGAAGCACCAACATGTGAACCGATTTACCCCTCCTCATCCTTTCGGCCTAACTTCTAAGGCATAAACAGATACTCCAACTTATGTACTATCAAAATAAAGAAGTCGGAGTTCATAACAGTTCAATATCAAATACGCTTGTGTCAACTTACACAGTAAACATAGCACAAAGTCTCGGAACACATGGAATCGTATATCCAAATGATATCATCCGAGACTAAAACTAAATTTGAATCAAGAGTAAACTAGACCGTACGCAACCAAATGACATCCTGTCTTCCCTGTTGGGCGTTCATGCAGCATTGCATATGGTAGCGGTAAAATACATCGAGAGGTTAGGGTCAGGCTGCAGGGTTCCCTTTCCCACACTTCTTCTATGGCTTAGGCCTTCATGCTTGAGGCTGTCCTTATGGATGTTTTGATGGAGTATAGATATAAAGTTGGTATGATGTTTTACATGTATTGATATCGTACTTACCGGTCATACTGTATCGATGTCTTTTCAAGGCTGTGTCGTGTGTTGAATTTATTGCCTATATAGGAAGGTGAGTGTGAGCCAATAGCTTACATCTTTAATCGTAGGATTCTTGGTAGATTTAATAATGAAAGCTCGCAATTGGAGATTTTCTATCTTCGAATTCATTTTCATTGAGGGTCATTATTGTATCTACATAAGTGGCGCAAGTCGTTTCTTGACCTATGCTTGGCCGAGCCCAAACCCTCTACAGCCCCCGTCGCTCAATGACTGCCTACAAGTGACTTTTGGGTAATTTCTTCTTGACAGACAGCATAAATAAGATTAGTAATATGCAGCAGAAAACATAACACGTATAGGGCAAAACAGTGAATGCCCTAACCTATGACACATACACCAAAGTTAAATTTGTACAACTTCAGACTCACCTTGTTAACTATGTTAGACCCGCTGATTACCAACAACTATATCAGCTTGGCGGCATGCCACTCATTCTAGTATTATTAAGCACGGTTTTAACGGAGTTACGATGTCCTCAGGAATACTCAAGCATATAAACAGATCTTCAAGGAACATTCTTCCACCACACACCATCAGTCTACAACAACACCACAAATATGGCTCCCCAGAAGATTCTCATCATCGGAGCGGGTGAATTAGGCTTCCAGGTTCTCCGCTCCTTGGCGACTCATCCCCGCAAACCCTCTACAATCGCCGTATTGCTGCGTCCCAGCAGCATCGACCGTACCTCTGCCAACACCTCAAAACAAAAGCAAGAACAAAACGACGCACTACGCAGTATGGGCGTGCAGTTTGTCCCGGGTGATATTGTCGAAGACTCGGAGCAAACTCTCTCCTCAATCTTCGTTGAATACGACACTGTCATCGGATGCACTGGCTTCGTTTCTGGAAGATCTGTCCAGACAAAGATCACACAGGCCGTGATCGCAGCAGGAACGCCACGTTATATTCCCTGGCAATTCGGTGTGGACTACGACGCCATCGGCCGTGGCTCTGCACAGGACGTATTCGATGAGCAGCTGGATGTGCGCGATTTGCTGCGGGCGCCGGGCCAAACAAAGACCCGTTGGACTATCGTATCCACAGGCATGTTTACAAGCTTCCTCTTTGAGCCTTCATTTGGCGTCGTGGACAAAGATAACGCTACTATTAACGCGCTGGGCAGCCTAGAGAATAGCGTCACTGTTACTACACCAGAGGATATCGGAGCTTTGACGGCAGAGATCGTGATGAGGGACTTGTTTGACAATCAGCCTATCTTTGTCGGTGGTGATACGGTTACATATGAACGTCTCGCACAGCTGGTAGAGAAGGTTACCCGGAAGACTTTTAGAAGAAATGTTCTTACAGTTGAGAACATGCTGGCTACTCTAGCAGGGGATCCAGGCAATGGCCTGCTTAAATACCAGGTTGTTTTTGGCCAGGGTCGTGGTGTGGCGTGGGATTTGGCTGCAACATGGAACATGGAGCATGGAATACGGACAGAAACGGTAGAAGAGTGGCTGATAAAAAATTGGGCGTAAAGTCGTCTCCAGAAGACATTGGTTGTAGTTATTACATTGGTAGTTACTAGTCAACGCTGCTACTTTCTCGATGTTACCTAGATACTAGAGATAGAGTAGACAAGACTGATCAGATCGCCAAATCAGGCTTATATCCTTTTAAAACCTGAACAATCTCCTTCCAAACCACCTTCTGCAGTCCCTCCCATTCACTTGCGGTAATATTAGGTGATCGGTCATCAAACCGATCATTCGACCACATCCTCCCATTCGCCTCCTCACCCAAGGTCAAGCCAGACACCAAAGTCCGACTCCCTTGCTCGGCAGTTCTCGCAAAAACAGAGTTCCAGAAAAACATAAACACTTTCATACCGACTGGGAAGTTGCGGCCCAGGTCCGTCTTTGTCTGGTTGGGACAGCAGGCCAGAATTATAGGTCCAGAGTCTCTTTGTATTTCTCCTTTCAATGGAGAGAGTCTACCTTGACTACCACCAAGAGATTCGACAAGGCCCTGGAGGACAAACATGAGCAACAACTTTGCCTCACAATAACTCCCCTCGGGATTCCAGCGTTTCTCATCATTGAAAAACTTCAACGCATCCACATCCTCCGTCGACATGCTATTCGTAGTTCTATCAAGAACTGGTCTGATCTGTTGGCTCGTCACATTGCAGTATCCAGTAGACCCGACGAATTCAAGGATACTCCCAGACGTCCGTCTCAGAAGTGGTAGAAGCTCAATTGCCAACAATGCAGTTGATAGAACATTGACTTTGATAGCCATATCCCAAGTTCCGACACCATCTTCACTCGTGGCTACGTAGGAGGGATTGATGAGACCGGCACTGAGAAGGACGCAGTCGAGGGCTGAAGTGGAATCTTTGATTGCTTCGGCGAAGCCAATGACGGAACGGAATGATGTATATTCGATTTCAAATATGTCAATGACCGAACGACTGAGCGAAGGGGTTTGGGCTAGGATTTTGTCTCGAGTTGCCTCCCCTTTGGCCAGGGTTCGAGTTCCAAGGATCAGTCTTTTTGGGTTTAGGGCTGCGATTTTCAGAGCTGCTTGGTAGCCCTAACGCGTGTATTTTAGAGATGGGAACTTGGTCAAGAATGGGAGGGCGAACATACGACTCCAGTGTTACATCCAGTTACAAGGACTGTCTTTCCATGAAATGATTGCGTCGGTTCTGCTGGGGGATCGCGAGCGCCTCGATATAAGTAACCAGGCCCGATCTTCCCGAACGGCCCGTCGAATTGTACCATTTTGATCGATACAGGAAAGCCAAGAAGAAAAATACCGAATGAAACAAGTGAAATATATCTGATCTTGGCCAATTCAGAAATTTATACTGGATGCATCTGAATTATAAATCTCGTCTTTATTCGGTGATCCGGTGATTCGGCGATCTCAGCCCGCAGATGTACTTTTCCCAAGTAATTAAAAAAAATACGCTTTTTGTGCTGGATTTTGAGAGTCTCGTTGAAAGTGCCGTGGACTGGCACGTATAGGCTTTCGCATTTCCTATTACAAAGATCCATGTTAACTCGAATACTGCATATTTTGCTGTTGCTGTCAGTGGCAAGACCAGGGGTCGAAGGTGTAGGGTTAGGGCTTCAGACTTGCTCGACTTGCTGCCACTAGCTCTTTCATAATCAAACTATTCAAAAAAAAAAGGAAAAGAAAAGAAAAGAGATTACTTATAAAATTTCCTTGTAACAGACATCTTCATTGTTCTCAACGCCCTTCAAACCCTCCGCGCCATCATCCTCTCCTTCGACCAAAACGACCTCATCGACTTCACAAGTCCCTACGAAACCCTCTACCAAGCCTGCGATCCTGCGACGGGTAACAGACTCTTTCACATCGAAATCGCGGGTCCTACTACAACCCAAAAAGACGAAAGTGGAGGAACAACGAGCACACCCCAAGGCCTCATCTTCAAACAACACATCAGCTACAACCAAGTCCTTAACGAACTATCAATATCAACATCCTCGTCGTCCCCGGCGCAATTTGGGCTACGACAGAGAGATCGAGTAATTGGACTGAATCCCCCCCGCGGAAAATCATTAGGGAGTTTAGCGCACTACCCTCTAACAGCGAGGATAGTGGACGACCAGCGCGAGTTTTATTTTCTACCTGTAGTGGTTCATTCTCCCTCGCTGTGGCGGGTATACTCGCCCATCGCCGGGTAACAACTCATGACCTCATTTTCAAAGAACTAGAAGAGTTATGCACAAGGATATACGGTGAAGATGCAAAGAGAGAATGGGGTTAGGGTTCTTGTGTCGGGGGTTGACGAGTAGGTTTGATGCGACGTTGTATGCTATTAATAATGCTGGTCACGAATTTGGAGGAGGCGGAGAGGGTTAGTGAGACTTTGGAGTATGGGTGGGTGAGGTCTGAGGGTCTAATTTAATGATCATTATCTTCAGTTGAAAAAGCTATAGGCGATAAGGAGAGACATCATTATATATTAGGGTATCATTATCATATTGATTGCAATGCCGGATCAGGCACGCGTCATAAATGATTATACTTTTTTTGCCAACATCGACACCCATGGTGATGGGTTATAACACCATGTACTCCCCATCAACCCCCTCCCCTTCAATGATACTGCGCCATCTGAACCCAGCACCATCTTGTGGCATGGTGTTGGGTGCAAGCGTTTGAGCACGAATATTCGATACAGGGGTCCCCGAGTAACCATGGCTCGGGTAAAGATTTTGATGACTTTGATATGGTACAGAAAGATGTTGCTGTTGCTGACTTGCCACAGGCGGATTTTGAGCCCAGATCTTTTCCAACAGTTCAAGGCAGGATATATTGTTGTAGAAACCAGAGTCGTTCTGGATATCCCTGCAACGATTGCGGATTGCAGTGCGGTGTTCTTCGTACACGCATTCTGAGCCTGTGATGAATAATGGCCATAATAAATATACATCCGATTGGACTGCAGCAATGTAATGCATCGCGGTGAGAACAAACGTTTGAATGCGTGGGTGTGTGGATGGAATGCCTGGATGCGCAAGACGTTCAGTGTATAACAACGCAGCATATCGGAATGCTTCGGAGATGTTGGATAGATCAGCAAGATTACTCGGTGCGACTGTTACACTCGAGTTCGGAGTTGTCGGCGAAGACATTATAGTGGGCCCAGAAGTCGCTGAAAGAGAACCACAGGAATTGGAAGGTGATTGAGTGAGCTGGTTAATGTCGAGTGCGCCCGCAAATTGTGTTGGATCGAGTCGCCAGCTCTCCAGTTGCTGCCGTATCGAATGCCATTCAGCCCAGAATTCGGGATTGCCCCATTGCGCCGATTGCGGGTGGGCATAGAGTGTCGCTGCGTAAGCTGCGTTCATTCCGTTCGGGGTAAAATGAGATAGTGCAGGAGGAACAACGGGCATCGCTGCAGGCATGTCAATGTTATACGAAGGATCAACATGCTGGTTTTGACTCAGCAAATTTAAACGTCCTAGTCGGGCCATTACTTTGAATAGCCGACCGTCACAGCCTGCTAGATTCTCCATAGCCCACTCTTCATCAGACGCACAGGTCATATCCAGATATAAGCCTTGCAGTTGACCTTCCCGATTGTTGATGGTAGCAGTCATGGCGTCGAACCAGGTGAACATCCTCGTACACCATCTCGCCTCCTCTGATTCGGGAATGTTCAGGCGATGTCTCATAGCTAGAAGCTTCCTAACACCTGCAAACTGTGTTTGGAATTGAGCAACACCAGTCTCACAAATGTGGAACAAACAAAGAACCAGTAGGGATGCTAATACTGAATCGTGATGCCGTTTGTCAGGATCTGCAAGCAACGCATTTAGCGACTTGACCGCCAAAGATTTATGGTAAACTTCTTCGCGGTTATCCCCTCCGAGGTCTTGGATCCCGTGCCGTTCCTGAAACGAGACATCAGTCAGAGCTCGATGTGCCATGGATGACTTCCGGGCCTGTTCCGTGCGTTCGGTAGATAATATCTTTTCTTCCCGCCTTTGACGTATATTGCTCGCCGCTAAAGCTGCGATGGCGTGTTGTAAGGTCTCACTATGGTGTGCCAACTGTAAAATTCGCGTCCGATATGGATTGCTAGGCCGGTCAAAGGCGACTATCACTGGAGCGATGACTTCCGCGAAATAGCTGATCAAATATCGCATACGAGGGGTGCGTCCAACTGATTGTTCCAGTAGTAAGTCTGGCAAGGAGTTTGCAAATGGACTCGCCGCAAACTTCCACGGATCTTGAGTCGGCTGATACGCAAAGACTGGAAATTGATCCATATATACTGGGTCCGAGTAGACCGGCGAGATAACATACTCTTGTTGCTCTATATCGTCGTCTTCAATTGACGATGCGCGCCGTTTACCTGTAATCGGCTGTGGCCATACATAGAATCCGGTTTGAGGGCGTTGAATGCGGCCATGGTAGTCTGCATTGTGTCGGCTGACCACAGGGTAAGTTGAAGCTGCAGTAGAAGGAACTGCCCATGCCCGTGTTGCTGCTGTAGATGTCCGCGGCGGTACTAGTGGTGCATTGGAGGTATATAGTGACCCATCAGTTGGATATTGTAGCGCACCCAGGGATCCATCAGCCGCATGATTATGACTCTCGGGAAAGATCAATTCGGAGACAGTAGTCGCTGTTGCGAAGGGAGGTGCCGGGTGCTGCCAATTCGACGGGTGCTGTGGTCCTTTCAATGGACTGGCGGCGGATGGATGGGGTGCGTGGCGCTCCGCGGTGACGGTGACAGGGAAATTTGTAGAAGACTTTCTCCGGGGCTGCTGAGCTGTAGGCAAAGCACTGGCGACGGGATTGCTCGAAACGGTACTCTGCTTGCGCTGCTTCGTTCCGGGTGATGGGGGTGACGTCGGCTGAATGCCATCCGATACTGGGAGTGACAGCCCACGGAATTTCCCTCGACTTGCGACTCCCACGCCCCATGTCAAGGTAGTCTTGTAACCGGCGCAATCTCTGCCATGATCGAGACACTGGCTGCAATACGGACGACGGCGGTCACAGCTCAGGCCGGCGCTGGAACACGTAAAACAGTCATCGGCTGCTCCACCGCCTGTGGCCTTTCTCTTGCGTTTCTTTCGAGGAGCTGTCGTCGAGGATGGGGGCGGCTGCTTGGGAGCGACATCATCGGCGTCCTCCGACATGGCGCATCACACTGGTCGAGAGCTGATTGTATCGAGGAAATGAGGTGGCCGAAAAGACGCAAAGTGCTCCATGCAATTGAGTTGATGAAGAAATAATCAGACAGAGTGATAAATGAAAAAGAGCATGCAACTCGGACGATTCCCAGTATTTAGGGAACTCTCATCATTGGTAGAGCTCGGTACGTCAAATACAGCGCTCGAACGTCCAAAGAACGGGGAAGGCAGAAGTGGGACGGCGGTGAATTGCGGAATTGCCACTCAAAATACCTACACATAGTAGTACTACTTACTGCATGGAGTTTGCACCATCACAGTCTCTGGACAAGTTTACTCGGAACAATCTGAAAGTTAATGGGTGACTACTCCGTCTATAGAACGGTTTGAAGCGGAGATCACGTATCTCGCCCACTAACCATCCTAGTCTAGTACGGAGAAGTGGACCGCCCTATCGCTATGTCAAGCATTCGCTATCTACACACGACATGGTTGTTGCGAGCAGACCAGGATATTCACGGAAGAATTTAGAAGCAGAAAGGAAGCCGGATAGCGTTTCGAGTAAAGTCAAAGTAATTAATAATTAATTGCAGAGTTCCATCGCATACAGCCATTCAGCACGCAAGCCACCGATAAGTTAGGCCAGACTACTTATCAGACGCCGCCATAGGCGCGCACTGACATCGTGACTTCGATAGAACTTTGGACAGATTTACCACCGAGACCATGTATACCACTGTTGACTCTTTCTGGGATTCCATTCCATATCAATTAATGATTGTAGAGAGACTGTTAGGACCAGAAGACAGCGTCAGATGTTGACAATGACCCTAACCCTATGTAGATGCGGCTCACGTGCCCGCTAACCAGGTCTGGCACCGCAGTGGGCCAGCCGCAAGCAATAAACCAGACAAAAAGATCAGAAGAAGATGATAATTCATGCTACGTACATGGTCAGTGTAATGCAACTGATCCTTGCAATCAATGCATCCCGGTGCTTCTATTTGCGTGGTTTTCGACCCTCCCTGCTCTTAACGTCAATACTCCGATCCGATTGAACCTCCCACGGTTGGAGCTCCGGCTCCAGGGGAAACCAAACAAGTCAACCATGGTGGTCCAGCGCCGGAGACGATTGCGCTCCTTTTGTCTCATGCTGGCTGCTTTATTCTTTATCTTCTTCTCTATATACATCTCCAGTAAACCTTCGTCGAACAATCGGTTTTATAACGCTCACTTTACTGAATCCCCCGTCGACCCGTTCCGTGGCCGTCAACTCGCGTTTTGGAATTCGTTTCGCGAAATTCTCGATCGCCATGCACCGGAGTGTCCGCCCCCTGTACTCGAGGGGGATGCGAAACCGGTCACGTTCAGCGCGGTTGAGGCTGGTCCTCGTCCTGACCTGATTGTGCTCCCGGACGAGCATCTCGAAGCGATGAGGTCGGCTCATGCGGCTTTTGTGGAGGAGATTCATACGTCAAAAATAATTAAACCCATTCATACTCCCGGATCGCGAGGACTGGTGTCAATGGCAGGTGGGCCCTATTTCCCGCTCTTCATGGCTCAGCTACGCATGCTTCGTCGCAATAATTCGACCATGCCGGTAGAAGTATTCTTGAGGGACTCCAGCGAGTACGAACATCACCTATGCGAAAAGGTCTTACCGCAATACAATGCCAAATGTGTGGTCTTGTCGGAGCTGTTGGGATCAACAAAGCACAAGGGCGTTGAGATTGAGCATTATCAGTTCCGCACTTTTGCGGTTCTATTTTCGTCGTTTGAGGAAGTTGTTTGGATGGATGCTGACTGTTTCCCGTTGTATCGAGTGGAGGATTTATTGGATTCTGAGCCATTCGTTTCGACGGGACTGGTGATCTGGCCTGATTTCTCAGCGTCCACTACTTCGCAGCTCTTTTATCAGATTTCGCAGCAAGAAATCCCTCCCATGACTCTCCGCGCAGCTACCAAGACGGGTGTGTTCATAATATCCAAGAAAACACATTTCTTAACACTTCTTCTTGCCGCGTATTACAACTATCACGGCCCGTCACATTATTTCTCATTACTGGTACAAGGCGCACCCGGTCAAGGGGACAAGGAAGCCTTTATACAAGCAGCATTGGCTCTAAAAGAGCCCGTCTATGCCGTCAGCGAACGCGTCGGTGCTCTCGGACACACGACCGAAGGCGGCGAGTTTATAATCTCTGCCGTAGCCCAAGCGGACCCAATTGAAGATTACCAATTGACCAAGGAAGGAATATGGCGAGTCAAAGATCCAGAATCAGGGAAAGCACCACGAGTATTCTTCATTCATGCCAGCCATCCTAAATTTGACGCGGCCGATAATATCTTTGGTTTCCGATGGGACGGTACCCCGGATTTTATACCTGGCCGAATCTGGACTGCCGACACCGAGGCAATCCAGAGATTTGGCTATGATGCTGAAAAAGCGTATTGGGAGGAACTGAAATGGGTGGCGTGCAACTATGAGAGTTTTTTCCAAGCATGGGCTACCAAACATGAAGTATGTGAGAATATTCAGGGGCGATGGAGAAATTTCTTTCAGAGTTCTCATGACGAGAGTCTGAAATTTGGCGAGGATGATTCGACTTCATCCGAGTCTTGAGAGTCCGTAGCGACTCAATTTTGACATTTCGACGGGCCGGCCCTACTTACATCATTTTAATGTTTGACGAGTGATGATTAGAACATATATAATATCTGTACATTACCCTGTACATTACACCTTCGAGATATTTGAATCATATGATCTTCATTATTATCGTGCTCTATAATCGTATTGCTCCCATGACATGGATTTCAATTATTTCCCGCTCTTCTCCCGGAGTCTCTGTTCATCATCGGCCTTTAGTTCAGCATCAATCTGGGCGCCTTTCGAGGGGTTGTTGCCGTGCAGTGTGGCCTGGTGGATTACATGTTAGCTGTATTCTCATATCAGATAGTTTCAGAAGACGACATACCGGCGCAGTAGGATCCTTCTTACTCAACTCCGCCTCGGGATCGTACGGTCTCTCATCCTTTCGTGATCGCTGCTCTTCCCGTCCCAGACGGTTGGCGATTGATCTTTCGTCCTCTATATCACAGCATGTAAGCAAGAGCTCTTCTCTTCTTGACGTTTTAAGGGAAAGGGTGAGCATACTAGAATCATTCGCCAAATGACTACCTGACTGACCCTCCTTGTATCTCTCTCGCTCCCGAATCTCGGATTGAGAAGGATTGCGTTGGTCGCCGGCTTCGTAGATTTGTCGAGAGCCGACGTTGGAGGCGCCGGAGCCTGAGGTGGCTGTTGCCTTGTATGAGTGGTTTGCAGAACCGGAGGTGCCGACGGATGCCATTGTGTTTGTTCTTTAATATGTATGCGTATGCGTTTTGTGTGTGATGATTTATGGAGTTTGTATGAATGGTGAGTACCTAGGTAGAAGGTTGAAGATATAGATCTTATATACTGCTTGGAGAAAATGCAATGACGACCAAGTGACCTCAGAGAGTGGGGCTGGGATCTTCTTCGACCGCGGACGATGATGACATCTTATTGTTCTCCTGACAGATTGATAAGATAACTTATCATGGTTAATAGTTATCATTCAAGGGCTATCGTTATTCAAGGGTACATTCTTACTCTAGTTGATCGTGAAAGGAAGCCTCCCGTCATCCAGGAACAGCGCGTTCGGTACTCTAGGCTGTGGAGAGACGAATTCACTATACTCGAGTCTTAAAGTATAGAAGGATTGATTGAGATATGTAAAGATCGTGTGAGCAATAACTATATCGGGGCTAGCTACTTTCTCTAGGATCCTGTTGCTCTAACACTTAGAATGCTTGAATGAGGGCTTGCCGCATCATGTGATCTTGCTTGATTATTACCCTAGCTAACTACATGTTCCGCATCGATTGAAGGATTTAGAGATGATTACCGCTTAAACATGGGCAATACATCTGATACGTAGTAGTCCAGATCCCAGCATTCTCGACGCTCAAGACGGCCGTGACTATGACTAGAAGCTGTTGAAAGTATGTATATAAGGTTAGGGTGAACTGACATCATAGCGATAAAGGCTTGGCACCCGATAAGATAACTGCCCCTCCTCACCGCCAATCGATAAGATTAGAAGTTTTTAGCCTGTATTAAATGTCAAATTTTGGACACGATCAAATCAGCTTGTAAATCGCAACGTCGACGCACAAAACACAATTATAAGCAGCTGAAAATGGCGAAGCGCAAAAGTCTCAAGGACAATGACAATGATGTCTCTATGACTGATCGTCGGGATGACGACAGCGGAAGCGACTCGGTACGTATTCCTCCTATGTTGGGAAGTAATCATAAAGGCCGTCAATTGACTTGTCTTCTGCTTAAAGGATGTCGAACTCGTGAATGTCGAGTTTGAATGGTTCGATCCACAACCAGCAGTTGATTTCCACGGTCTCAAGACATTGTTGCGACAACTCTTTGACAACGATGCCCAATTATTCGATATCTCTGCGTTGGCGGATTTGATTCTTTCACAACCTTTGCTTGGTTCGACAGTGAAAGTGGACGGGAATGAGACGGATCCATACGCGTTTTTGTCCGTGTTGAATATTAATGAGCACAAGGTATTTATTTCAACCGGCAGCCTACCATCATGGAAGACGAGACGCTAAATAAGTATTTGGCACAGGACAAACCAGTTATAAAAGACCTTACAAAATACATTGCGCAAAAATCATCCTCGAACCCTTCTCTCGCATCTTTGGCGCGTCTACTTGCCAACCCCGAGAATCCACCAGCTATCGGCCTCATCCTGACGGAACGTCTAATCAATATCCCCGCCGAAGTCGTACCGCCAATGTACTCCATGCTCCTGGAAGAAATCTCGTGGGCACTCGAGGAAAAGGAACCATACAATTTCACACACTACCTCATCTTATCCAAAACCTACGAAGAAGTAGAGTCAAAACTGGATGTAGAGGAATCGCGACCTCAGAAAAAGAAGAAGAAAACTACAACTGCGGGAAATAACAATGAAAACAAGTTCTATTTTCATCCGGAGGATGAAGTGTTTGAGAGACATACCTTGTGCCATGGCACGTTTGAATATACGCATAAACAGGCAGAGGGTGCGTCGGATTCGAAGAGGGCATTTCAAGATTTTGGGATTAAGCCTGCGGGGAGTTTGATGTTGATTGAGGAAGGGAAGTTTGGGAATGCGGTTAAGGCGATTACGGAGTATTTGAAGCCGCCTGTTTAAAGTCTTTATTCTTACACAAATAAACGCTTGAGCTTTGCCATAAATCATAAGCCGAAAGATAGTTAGTTCATTTGGTGAAGAACTATTGCCATTGCGTTCCTATCAGGCGCTGCATAAGATATTCCACTTCAACGACCTTGGTTATAGGAATGATAATATTCTGCATCACTGTTAGGTTCATATATCAACAAGACATAAAGCATAGAACCAACCTGGTACATCTTGACAACAGCCTCGGCATCAACCTTGTTACTATACTCCGCCAAAACAGGATCACTCCCATAAGTCTGCGCTTTCGTCTCAATCCGCTTAAGCACAAGCTCTTCCACTTTGGAGTTTGTAATCGCCTCGTCAATACCCATCCGATCACCAGCCTTGATCAATCGCACAAATTTCTCGGGATCTTGTTGGAATTTCGACTCGGCCACAAACTTGCCAAAATGGATACGCCGTGATAGTGCCTGTAAGAGGTTAACGTCGCATGTCGCTGATGATCCATAATTTTCCTGTGACACGCCCCGATCAACACGATTTTGACGGCAGACAGAAGGGATAATTTCCTCAATGTAGCGTTTTTTGATGGCCGGGTTTTCGTTCACGTCGTTCGAGTGTAGGATCTCCGGGTATTGGAGTGGTTCTAAGATTGGGGTTTCGAGCGCATCTGGGAAGAAGGGGTGTTCGTCTGGTGATTCGTAGCGGCGCACTCGCGATTGGAGTTTTTCTTGCTCGCGAAGGAGATAGTCCATAAGACTTAGGTTGCTGCCGGGGATGGGGACGCCGCCAGCGACATAGATTGTTTTGTTGGCGGGGAATTGGGCCCGCTCTATCAAGTGGAATGTGATTGTGTCTTCGAGGCGACTGCAGAGTTTGTTAGTTCAGCGACTGATCAGTATAAAATTGGTGGAGGAACTCACATAAGCTGTGCACGAATGTTGTTCAGGTCCAGAGCTTTGGAGCGGTCTGTCAGGTCGATAGCTGCGTCCATAGCTACGAACTAAGCGACTGTATGGGTAGTCACGACAGAATTCACGAGGCAATAGAACAAGTTTTAGTTGAGGACAATCAATTGATTAAAATGGCTAGAAACGTGGTGCTGAACTTGGTTTTGAAGCTGTCAGAATCGGATTATTTCCACATCGGACTGCGCAGTGCATAAGTTAGCTAGGCGGGCCTGCTCCGAGACCGCTCTCCGTCCGCGAATATGCTTTGACTCATTATGCTTTGAGTCATCCTCTTCACTTTCTAGTTAGTTAGCATGTTCGTATATATGCTGGCATAACGCTCGTTTGCGAAGATAGCAAATTTGTCTAGGAGTTAACTGGTAAGTATTTGCACGCAGTCTTCAGAGGAATTCCCTCGAAGGAAAAGGCAATGGTTAGCCTATGCTAACAAATGTCAGTGGCCGCGCGATTGATTAGGGAATAAGAAACATCAGCCAAGTAAGTCGTTTTGCTGGAGAATAATCACACAGATGCCATATACTGAGTATGCGCTCTCATAGTCGTACGTATATGAGAGTTGTGTTTCTCGTAGCATCCGACTTGATGCAGGCAAAAAGAGTGGTCGTCCGTATATACGTAGTAACGCGCAACTTGGTCTTCTCACGACCGCCGCAACCGACAATTGGGTGAGGTAATACTGCTAAACGATGGAATAGCAACATAGTTATAGAGAGGCGTTTACTGTCTCGCGTGCTCATTAAAGGACGTGTCATCTGGATTCAGTTAGGACAAGCAATTAAGGTGTAAATTACCAGTAACCGAACTAAAATTACCCGCAATCGCGGCCAATTCCATCTGTAAGATGACGTAAATTACCACACCCTGGTCCAGAAAGATCCCGGGTATCTCATGCTGAGCCGAGCCAAACCGCTATCGCCAAAACAGCTCCACCAGCAATTGTTGTTCTTTTTTCAAATCCGAAACAACTTCCCAAATCCAACTTCACCACTCACTATTTTTTCAACTTCTGAGTACCCTCTACAGCTCTATCCTCCAGATGGAGGATCATAGCCATGATGGCTGGCCCGAGGGCTCATGGGACACGGGTTCTACAGACGATTCACTTCTGGGAACCGGCTTAACGGTACTTGCGCACTTGACCTGGAAAGAACATTGATCACGACTCTAATGCAGAACATCTTCATAGACGCGTCATTTAGAGGCATTCGGACGAAAAGTCACATCTACAGCAACCCATCTTATGGGTCCCACGTCCGATCCTCACTATCAAAGTGCTTTAACCGATATCCATCGTGAACTACGACGACCGGCGCTTCAACGACGAATGTTCTCACTCACCAGAACCTCACCAACTGACCTTGTACGCTCCAAACTGTCTACCGCCGAGATCCAATCAAGAGCGCTTTCATCTCTTCCCGACGAGCTTTTGGCCAACTTACCCGAAGACAATAGCAGTTATTCTCTTTTCCAGGGTTTTCAAGCCACACTTCCCGAATCAGAACATGAGCACCACAGATCACATCGCAGGCGAAGTTCGAAACATCAAAAAGTAATCACCGATGCAGAACCTACCAAGGCTCTCCCGCATTCGAAAGGTGGTCTCAAAGCTGAACGGGAGCGATTGAACCACCGTTTAGAAATGATGGGTATACGGAAGAATATGTGCAGCGCGGAGATACACGAGATAGATAACAAGATTACCAATTTGCACAACATGCGACAAATAGTGCTGGATCGTCTGGCCGGGTTAGAGGTGGACGAGACGGAGCTGGAAAATCAAAGTATGATCTTCCTTACTCTGCGGTATCAAGGTACTGACTGCGGATAGTTGTCGAGTTGGATAATAAAATAGAGGATATGGAAGACGAGGAGGAAGAGGAAGAAACTACGGCTAAAGCCACGCCCACAAAAACAAACGACTCTTCAGAAGACGCCGCTCTAGATGCGTCGTTTATGTCCGAGTCTATATATCAGAAGCTACCGACAACGTCACCGCGGGGTCGAAAAGTGAGATCTATAAGTATGTTGTTTTCTGCATCTCAAGGCGGCTGGCAGAACTAATCATAGTACAGGGAAGAAATCCATGCCTATTCTTCATGAGCATTTTGCGCCCGGTACTGCGATAAAGGAGATCCCAGCACACAACGATATAATTACTGCTCTCGATTTTGACTATCCTTTCGGAACCCTAGTCAGTGCAGCTTTGGATGATACCGTCCGAGTCTGGGATCTGAACGCGGGGAGATGTGTTGGTTTCTTAGAGGGCCACCACGCCTCCGTCAGGTGCTTGCAGGTAGAAGACAACTTTGTCGCGACAGGATCCATGGATGCGTCCATTCGTATATGGGACTTGAGCCAAGCCCAACCAGTCCCTCAAAATGATCGTATCAACAAGTCTTCAAAAGACGAAGATGCGGAAGAAGGCGATGACTCGGCAGCAGCAGCACCATCGTATACTGCATCCAACATGGCTGACTGCGAAATCTTTTCTCTAGAAGCTCACGTCGATGAAGTTACAGCACTCCATTTCCGTGGAGAAACGCTCATATCTGGATCAGCAGACAAGACATTGCGACAATGGGATCTCGTCAAGGGACGTTGTGTACAGACGTTAGACGTCTTATGGGCAGCGGCTCAAGCATCGACCTCCATATCAACCAACTCTAACTCTCAATGGCGGCCAACAGGACGTTTACCGGATGCGTCTGCAGACTTTGTCGGGGCTGTACAGTTTTTCGACGCAGCTTTGGCCTGTGGAACGGCTGATGGAATCATCCGATTATGGGATCTGCGTAGTGGACAAGTACATCGCAGTCTCGTTGGGCATACCGGTCCTGTTACATGTCTACAATTTGATGACGTCCATCTGGTGACGGGCAGTTTAGATCGAAGCATTCGGGTATGTCTTTTCTTTTTTTTTTTCACTTTCTTACGGAACGATCACTAACTGTGTTTAGATATGGGATCTGCGCACAGGATCAATCCATGACGCATTTGCATACGACCACCCGATTACAAGCATGATGTTTGACACTCGCCGCATCGCCAGTGCAGCCGGTGAAAATGTCGTCAAAGTCTACGACAAGACCGACGGTCATCATTGGGACTGTGGTGCAGGGGCAGGTGAGGGCGGTGAAAACGCCTCGATCATCGAGCGCGTACGAGTCAAGGACGGCTATCTTGTTGAGGGCCGTAAAGATGGTATAGTCGGAGTTTGGACTTGCTGATCTTCTCCTCTCCTTGAAGTATTCCATTGGAAATAGACTATTGTATTGTATATCAAGTTTTGTCGCTGCTTGTGCTTGGACGCGATCTGTGCATTTCTGTGAAAGCTGGGACTATGTAGCATATAACAAGAGTAAATGAAGACGAATCTCATATTCTAATTCCATCCAATAGACAGTAACCCTAGGGTAAGCTAAGGGTAGATATGCGCACGGACCAAGCAACTTGACGCGGCAGAAAACAAAGTCCGTCGCCGACTCACGCGTTGATCTACAGCTTCATCAACAAGCATATTATCACTTTGATCAGAATTACAATGTTATACGAACGCTTACTGATTCTTACTGAGGATTAATTGAATTGACTGTTCATCACAGCCAACACGAAGCTTTCGAGGGACTGGAGAATCATTCAATACAGTCGCAGCCAATCAATTCCTTGGCACTGTTCATCACAGTATCGTCTACTTCGGACTGTCAGTATTGCCATTCATTGTTTGGGGGAATTTGCGCAATTGAGACCTGATAGGCAGAACGGCATACTGGGCAATTATCTCAAGTCCTCTTTGTTTCATCTTTACATCTTCGTTTCAAAGAGAGTTTGCGACCATTCAACTCCTACTTGGACTGGGAGAAGAGGCTTGGGTTTTCGACTCGAGAGGCGCGCAACTTCGAAATATTATGTCATGTGCCTTACGACATGGGACTCGATTGAGTATCATTGTTGTACTGGTTTGATCAAGACCCGGTTTGCTGTGTCGACTGTCAAACGAATGGTGCCCGAACCGCAACTTTAGTTGAAGACAGCTATCAACCAGTCTAAAGTATCACGCTTTCCAGTGAGCAGTTATCCTCTGCTACTCACAAAGAATCTAGACTCAACTCGCTACACGCCTAATTAGACACCATGCCTCGAACAAGTCATCAGAGAGATCCAGCTTACAGCCCTTCTGGTAAGTCCTCCCAACCAGCCGCATGTCCATGATCTAACAATCAACAGGACGAAGATACTCCCTGGAACCAGGTTCTCCAGTGCGCCGCTCAAAGCGTCTAGAGCATGGAAGTCCATCTCCGACACCTTTCGCATTACGAGCTACCACGCCTGATGCCAGACAGCTTCATGAGACGTTGCGAGCAGCATCTGAGAGTCCGAGCAAAGAAAGACCTGACACTAGAGCAAGGAGCAGTGCCCATTCTAGCGTCACGCCCTCACCACCAGTTCAACGAACTATTTCTAGTACATCTACCCCTGCACCTCCCTCACTCAACCCCGCCATCACAGCCGGAAATGAAACTCTGGAACCACAGACTGATCGTGGTTTCTCATTTTTTCGTTACCCGCGTCTTCCGTCTATCGGATTCGGGAGGAAAGAGGCTTCTATCGTACTAAGCTCCCCCGAAGTCGAAGATGATAATGCGTCCGTGGTCTCCTGGCAGTTAGAACGGGAGTTGCATCGGGACAATTTACAACGCACGAAGCCAGAACCGGAACCAGAGTCATATAGCCTTGTGCCTAGAGAAGCACGCAATATCAGGAAACCTCCTCGACGGTTATCGGGGCTTACATGGACGAATGATACGACGCATTCGGCAGATAATACCAACACAACTTCTAATTACGACGATGACGGGAAAGACGACGACAAAGAAGACGAAGAAGATAAAAAATCAGACACATCTGATATAAGAACTGCTGCAGCACGGACGGTCATTTCATCAAATAATAACCGCGACTCTGCGGACGACAGTGTGAGCGGTAATTCGAGACCACCAACCTCCGATCAATCTGCTCTAGTCGACAGACCTCGCCGACCGCCACTATTTAACCAACAAGACATAACGAAAGAAACGCACTGGTCTCTTTTTCTGCTCCTGATGACGCTGTTCATAACGATCTTCATTATAACAACCTACTTCCTCGGCGGCTATCTCCTGTCAAACGATCTATTCCCCCATCAAGCCAGAAACTATCCCACCCTCAACACGACAGAAGGCAACATAGTCTCCCAACTATCAGACGAACTGGTCAGACTTAATACCCAGATGACCTCTGTATCCACATATGTGCATCATCTAAGCTACGAGCAAAAGAAAATCGCCGACCAAGTCACAATTGTCCGACCAAACCCCGAGTTCGAACCACGGATCAACTTCCTCTCACCAGGACTAGGAACACGCGTAGACCCAAAACTCACTAGTCCCAGCATCGGGACTAGAAGGACACTTCCTCGTCGCCTCTATGAAAGCCTGTCGCGGAAACGAATACCACAACCAAACCCGCCCGGAACTGCATTAGAAGCCTGGAACGATATAGGCGACTGCTGGTGCGCGGCACCCAGCAAAACGGGACAGGCACAACTCGCTCTTGACCTGGGACAACGCGCTATAATAGACGAGGTTGTTGTCGAACATATTCCGGCCGGTGCATCCCCAGACCCAGGCGTTGCGCCACGCGAGATGGAACTCTGGGCTCGATTTAGGCCTTTTCGAGGTGGTCAACAACAGCAGCAGCAGCAGCAAGCAGCTAAAGCAACCGAAACCGCGATTACGAGTGAATCATCTAACAAAAGATCCGGCTGGTTCGGTCTTTTCCGTTCTTCTACCACCTCATCATCAACATCTTCTTCTTCTTCATCACTATCCTCAATCTTAGACGCAATCATAAAAACGCTCCAACAAGCATACCCCTCCGATCCCGAAACCGCCTACGCCAACGATCGCCTGTTAGGACCTTCGTATTTCCGACTCGGGCAATGGGAATACGATCGTGCGGGCGGTGCAGTTCAGCATTTTGCGCTTGATGCGCTTATTGATTATCCCATGGTGAGGGTAGATAAGGTCGTGTTGAGGGTGAAGTCGAATTGGGGCGGGAATTCTACGTGTTTGTATCGGGTTAAGGTGCATGGGCATGTTTGATGCTTCTTTTTTCTTCTTCATGGAGAAGGGTCTATGTCTACATTATTTTTTTTTTGAGCGCGGAGTCTAATTTTTATGGTGTTTTAGAAGGCCTAGATTGTGGATTTCTCAATTCTCATTGAAATAAGCCAGTCTTCGTTTAATCAGGCATCAGTGTGTTAATGTTGGTATTTCCTCATTCGGACCCAACAACCGTCACCGCTCGATAGAACCAGCGTAAGAACCTGCTTCTCCTTACCAACAGAACAATCCATCCCCCGTCCCTCTACCATCTCGATAGTCTCGAACATTTGCAGAATCCTAACGATAGTATAACCCGTTTCTAGCAGGGCAAACTCTTGTCCAGGACATGCCCGTGGTCCTCCGTTGAATGGCAAATACGCCCAACCCCTTGCCTTGGTGGCTAGGGGTTGGTCTTCCCAACGCTCCGGTCGAAAGGCTTCCGCATCCGGGCCGTAGATGTCCTTCCGACGATGCATGGCGTACACGCAGTACCCGACTGCTTCGCCTTTGTGAACGAGGATTGGATCGGTGCCGTGGGGACCTCCGCCGGTAGGGAGAGTTGTTGTTCGGATAGCGGTGCGCGAGTTGACAGGGACGGAGGGGTATAAGCGGAGGACTGTTTATGTCATCAGTCGCTAGTACTATAAAAAGGATTTTCAGAGATGATGCACCTTCTTTGATGACATTTGTCAAGTAAGAGAGTTCCTTGAGTTGGCTGATTGTCGGTTCTGATGCATTGAGGCCGACACCCACGGCGCCTTTGACTTCACGGCGGAGTTTGGAAAGGACGTGGGGGTGTTGTACGAGGAGACGCCTTTAAACTGTTAGTCTCTCCAAAAAATGATAGAAGAATTTATACATACAGAGTCCATATCAGACAACATGCAGTTGCGTCCCTTCCAGCCAAGAGAATGTTCAAACACTGACTCCTGAGGTATTTTGGATCCTTGTTTTCCTGAATCAATGCATCGATTAACGCGTGACCTTCTTGGGACCCAATCTTCGCATCTGGTGGAAATTGCGCCGAATGCTTCAAAGCCATTTGAACTGCACTGTCAACGAAATCATGAACAATCCCACAAGCTCTACGAAACTTCTGGCCTCCCAGAAGCCAGTAAAAATCGCCCAATCGTCCTCGCTGCGCAAGATACTCTTGACTGGTCTTGAAAGCGTCTGCGAATTCGGATTCACAATCAGTGATTCCTTGAGACTTTAGTGACGGAAGAAGTTGTCTGAACAACAAGAAGAGTGTGGTGTCAAGTGTAAGCCGGAAAAACAGTGGTTGCATGTCCACGGACTCATTCTCTGGAATACCGATAGCGAGGTCGTCTACAGCACTCTTGATCTGGTCCAAGTTGTTGAGGCGGTTTGACATGAATTGCGATTGTAAAAGTTGGCGTGAGTGGCGCCACTGAGTCCCATCTTGGGTAGAGATACCATTGCCCATGAGAGGATCGAAATGGATAGGACGAAGTCCCAGTCCAAAATCTTCACCGAACATTAGCACAACGAAGAAGAATCAGGCGAAGACATCAGTACAAACCTTCAAACTGAGTGGACAAGATAGCTTCAATATTCTCGGGTTCTACAGTGTTGATACTTCGAGAAAAGAAGAGATATTGCTGGAACGTGTTTCCACTTTTGGCGATCACGTCCAGAAAGAATTGCAGTATCTGCTTCTTGCTCTCATGTTGGTATGCCTTGTGGAGAATGTCAATTCCCCAGGGGCATCTCGATTTCCATGTCCTGAGGAGTGGTTGACAACCTTTTGCAATCTCCAGTTTTCGATGCGCCTTTAGGAAGTAAATGAATTAGAAATTGTGAACAATCTGACAGCTAGAAAGGAAGTTCAAGGACTTACACGCGATTTATACTGGTTCTTGAGAAACCTGTATGCTAGAAAGAATACCAGGAAGATGAAGACGGAGACGGAGGGTGTGACTCTCATGGCGACTGCTTTGTCTTGCTTCGAAAAATCGAGGAATTGGACTGAATGGATTGAGATATGGCCTTCAGCTTGAGGTATTGGCAGAGACGTGTCAACGACAGCTCAGAGTGAATTTCAGAGATTCTCTCGTTACTTCAACTGAGATGGAGGAGAGGGATGGGTGAGAAGAGAGAGGATGAAGTAAAAGAGGCAGAAGGCGAGGGGGTTTGTTGCCGGCAGGAACAACAAATGGCCAGATTCGGGAGGCAGCGATCTGGCTCTTTGATGTTTTATCTGGCCGGTTGACTCCTCAGGCATGAAAGACTTTGACAGTCACATTGGACCTATTATTATCTATCGTCAATCCCGAATCTTCGAATGACATATATAGCTCCATATACCCATGTGACGTCGAGGCTATTGCCCAGAACGAACATACACTTACGACAATCAAAGAAAGATTCTCGGGTGGTCAGTGTTGTGAACTACCCAGCCCTACGGGTTGAAGTTGTTGGCCTTGAGATGGATTAAAGCCATGAAGATGGTGTTGTATTTGACACTGAAAGGGCATTGAAGGCACATGGCAATGACTTTGAAATGGAATTAAGCATGTTGTCTATCAACGCATAATTGTTGAATCATCGAAACAGAAGAGGTGTCGTGACCACCGTAACCCTAATCACGCAACTTGACTCTCAGTGTTGGAACCAAAATCACGTGACTAGCAGAATATGTCGGAACTTCAACGTAATACCATTTCACCAAAAAGGACGCCCT